AGGGACATGCAGGACTCGACTAAACTCCACAGTATGCAAACTCTGACCCCCAGAATGTGGCATGAAGTGCACAGAACCCATTCCAGCAGTGTAGATGACGGTGTTGTTGGCAAGATGAATGGGGATGTGACAGGGGGTGTAGTTGCGAAGCCAGTGGCGATGAGGAGTCATATGAGATGTAGCTCCTGTGTCTGCAGTCCAATCCATGTTAGCATCGAGCTGGAGGGGTGCAGTGAGAGAGGAGGGGTCAAGACTTGCACTTCCAGCGAACTCAGAGGTCTCCTCAGATGAAGATGGCTCATCCTTAGCAGCATGGGCCTTCTGGGGATGCTTCCTATCACCCTGCTGACACTCCTGATGCTTCTCCTGGGCAGATTTCATAGTGGCAACCTTGGCTTCGTGAAAGTGGAAGCAGGAGTCGATGGAATGACCTGGGAGGGAGCAGAAGGCACAGGTGGAGGTAGAGGCCGATGCAGAGAGTGCCGAAGCAGCAGGGGAAGCCTCAGACTTGACACGGTGCTGCTGGGTGATGTCCTCAGTGATGAAGGCCTGCAGCAGAGTGTCTTTGTTCAGCGTAGAGGCGATCTGGATAGAGGTGGTGAGGTTGTTGTACTCATCTGGGAGAGCATGAAGCATAGCCATGCATGCAAGCTCATCATCCAGATCCTCAATGGTGAAGCCCTTGGGTCGAAGATTTTTGATCCTGGTCATGATCTGGTCAACTCTGGTGGACAGATTGGCCAGGGATTCGTCCTCACACTTCTGGGTGGCAAGGAGGTCATCATAGGCATTGAAGTGAGCACCTGGGTGCTGCTGGAGGTGCACAGAGGTGAGTTTGGTCTACATGACAACAGGATCATCATCGATCCCAATCAGGTGCTGTCTTTGGTCCAGTTTCACAAGGAGGAAGAGCTCACCAGATGCTTTTTCAGCTCTGACATCCCATGCATCCATAGCAGCCTGCTCAGCCACACTAACAGCCTTCTTATCGGCCGCCTCAGGCCTCTTTTCCTTCCCAATCACCAATCTCCATAACCCCTTACGCTTCAGGGTAGCTCCAACTTCTCCAGACCACTGGGGGTAGTTGCCAGAGGTCAGGAGCTTGACCTTGGGGTAAGCAGAGTCTTCAGACATGGTGAAAGCAGCCAAAAGGGCAAGAATGCGATATTGGAGAGGAAGTAGTAGATGGATCAAGATGGATGTTGGTAGATGGGGGCTTTAGAGGGTGCTGAAGAAGATGAGACTAAAAGCAAGAGTGGATGGCAAGAATTGCGGTCAGGGGAGGCTGGAAAGCGAGCAGATGAAGCAGATGTAGGCAAATCTAGGCAGAGATTAGAAGCCGGGGCCCATAACCTGTTATAACCAGGAAATAGATCAACCTGGTAGCTGACAGAAGTTCTGTACTTCGATATAAGCAGCATATATTGGTATAGGAACTTAGTACTAACCTGTACTTCGATGTAAGCAGCAAAGAGATGCTGGAAAGCGAAGTACAGGGAAAAGCGGAGCTGTGGGAAGACAGCTCCTTATTAGGAAACAGGCAAAGTGCCCAAAGCGAAGCAGAAACTACAAAGTAGAAGTGGCATTGGGTGGAAGGATGAATAGGAAGAGTTAGAGGATGAGGATGGTATGTATGGATAGCTTAGGTGAAGGGGATGTCAGAAATGTATAAAAGAGGACAAGTAAGAAGGTGGAACATCACAGAAGTTGAATATCTCTAACACTGTTCAGGTTGCCCAGTACCTCCAAAAGGTCATAGCTCAGCCTGTCTCTGCTCAGACAATACGTAGGCATCTGAAAAGGACAGGTATGATTGCAGTTACCAAGCCCAAGAAGCCACTTTTGTTGGATCGTCATATTGCAGATAGGCTGGACTTCACTTTGGAGCATAGGGACTGAACTGAAGATGACTGGAAGAGGGTTATTTGGTCAGATGAGACTAAGATTACTCGCCTGGGTGCAGATGGGAGAAAGTGAGTATGGAAAAAGAAGGGAGAGGGACTTAAAAACAGATTGGTGAGGAGCACAGTCAAGTTTGGAGGTGGTAGCATTATGGTGTGGGGATGCATGCTGTGGGAGGGAGTGGAATTCATGACCAAGATTGGAAGCACTATGGATGCCAGCCTCTATACACAGATTCTGAAGGATGAACTTCAAAAAACCCTGGCATACTATACCAAAACTCCAGGTGATATCATCTTTCAGCAGGATAATGACTCCAAGCACACCTCAAAAAAGGCCAAGATGTGGTTGGATGATCATAGTTTCAACATTCTATCATGGCCAGCACACTCTCCAGATCTCAACCCCATTGAGCATCTTTGGAACCACTTGAAGAGGAAGCTTGGAGGCTATAAACATTCACCCAAGGGCATGTTGGAGTTGTGGGAGAGGGTGCAGGAGGAATGGGAGGCTATACCAAAGGAGGTTTGTCAGGACCTAATTAGAAGCATGCCTAGGAGGATGGAGGCAGTGATTGCAGCCAAAGGAGGGCCCACTAAATACTAGAATGTCTCATTTTTAGACTTTAGAATGATGCGCAACAAAACCCTTTCAATGAGTAGTGCCTCTTGCAATTCAACTATCTCCACCAATTCTAAACTAAATCACATGACCAAGAGTGATAATTGGAGCCAAGACACTAGCCTTTCAGATCTATATAACAGCACTTTGATATTCTTTCTCAGTGAGAAGATATTGCCCATGAAAGCAAAATTTGACAAATATTGAAAGGGTTTTGTGAGTCACTGTATCTCATTACCTTTCTGATCTCATCATACTTTTTATCATACTTGAGAAGAAACTCTTGTTATCTGTTGGGTGTGAGCTGAGCTTCATTCCACACTTTGTGAATTTCATCCAGGTCTGAAACAAAAACTCTGTGGCTGTTGATGGTTCTGCATCTCCCTAATAAGCATAATATGAGTCCATGAGACAAATTGAAGAAGATGTGGTATGGACTTCTGGTGATACAAACTTCAGTATCCATGTGCAGAAAGACTCTACCTAAATCCTTATCAATATTCTGAGAGAGCATATACTCAGCTACCGTCCTATATGATCTTCAGCACTCGGGAATCACAACAGAATGTGTAAATGCAATGAACATTGATTTCTTGCAATCATTGCAGAACCTTGCTCGAAACTCCCATATAACCTCACATATATTCACCTTGAGACATCCCTGAGAGTCATGTTAGCACACACAGCTACATTTCTCTGGTTATGAATACGTACATGACAGTGAGGAGAGAAACACAAGTTTGCATATGCAGGTTCACTCATGCCCGGGAACAGTTCTGGAAGATCGGGGATGTTCTGATGTGCCACTCTCCAGAACTGGGCAGCACTAGAGTCCATAAGAAGTTTGTGAAATGCTTTGCTGATATGAGAAAGATGAAGAATGTCAAGTGGCTGCAAATAGCTGAACACCTAAACCAGATGCAATGTAAGCAGGATACTAGCCAGGATATGGGCGCACACATGGATACCTCATAGAGAATATCTAATGGCACATTGGGGAGGTCTTGAAGCTTTCCTCGATGACCACATACAGCGATGCATTCAGGTGCCATAGTTGTGAGTGGCGGGACCATCATTTCACTGTCCTGCTTGTGAGCCTTTCATTTACTTGAAGGTGCCATCGCACATGCAGACCATACCCCAGCAGGTAGATTGGGATTATGCCTTAACTGTAATGTTTTGGAATATTAGTAACTATGGTGAATGATGATAGTGCTTCATGAGGCACGAGTGTGTAGTCGCCAAATAAGGTGCATGCGGCAACACCCGTCACTGCAGTGATGTGGACGGGGACAGTACTCAAGTACTCAAGCTTCACTCTGAACAATGCCGCACTAAATCAAAACCCAGTTCAAAATACTTACGCCAAAGGTTCGCAAATGGACTCCAGGCATCGGTTCACCACCGGCCCCCTTGCACGATTAATGTACCCAATCTGGCTCTTGGCCACCTCTTGGTCCAAGGACATTGAACATGTTGAGGGTTAAGATCAGCGGAGCGCTATCTAATGGTATAAACTTTCTTTACTGCACGAATTTGAAGTCAGCTTACTTCAACAAGGTTATGCGTTGCCAGTGATCTGCATGGCCTGCTGTGACCTCGAGAAAATTTGACCACTGTATGACCCCACCATCGCACACGTTCGGATCCTGCAGACTGATATTCACGGCAGAGACGCTTCTGGAGTGATTGTGGTCTCTTGGACTCAATAGTGCACTTCAACTTGATATACACTTATGGTTAGGTGCGGGTTGCCCTTCATTTTACCACTTGACCGAGGCTGCTGGCCTTCGTCGTCCGAGACTCTAGCTTGATGGAGTTATATGATTTATGATCGTGCATTGTTGTACCTTCCTGAGTGGTCCGGGTTCGATCTAACATTACATAGTTTCAGGTATATGTTTGACTTTCGAATACTGTCGAACAAAGCTGTTTTGCAGTTTCCCGAGCGATGCAAACATATTACTTGACTGCTGTTTTCGAGGAGTTCAACTCGCCTTACTGATCTATGGAGTCCAATGATACTCCTGAAATGCTACCCCCGAAACAATACCAAGACTCGGACATCGGTCGATATATGTGCCTCCATTTCATCATTTAATATGCTGAACGAAAGGCCTCGTCTGAATTTCATCTTAGGCGTCCTCGTGATCCCGCCCTTCGGAACATATGACGGAGCCCTGAGAACGGCGCTGGCTTCTGAGTTGCTGTATAACAGAGTCTAAGTTCCGCTGCCAAAGTGGCCTATTCACTCAGCGTCGCAACTCGGACGCACATTTAAAAATAGGAATTAAATGCTGAACGTCGCCTATCTGCCCGATTGGAGCTTTTGACCTCGAGCTTAAGAGTCCAGCTGGTGATTAGGTGTCACCATTAGCGATTGATTAGGCTTTAAACTGTCGATCGTTTTCAATCTAGTAGACACTTGAACCTAGTTACTTTCCTCATTGAGCGTGCAGGCCAAGTTGTTTCCAATTATGATTCTAAACGCTATCGTACCAAGTGACCTACTAAAGCACCCGAGGGTTCGTACTAAGGCTTCCAACCCCATGTACCCCAACCTGACTTGTCTTTCTGATTGTCGTAGAGGCGTGAGTAGTTTTCCGGTGGAATCGCATCATATGCCGGGGATCACGGTGACTAACTGCGTGAAGGAGAGAGTACTTGTACTGCGACGTTGACAACTGGCGTGCGACAAGAAGCTTCTTGCTTCCCTCTCCAGTGCCCACTTTGTCTCCAACTTTTTGTGTGGCGTTCTCACGATCTCTCTGTTAGTTGTAGCCATGTCGTCCAGCAGCACACCTGTTGAGGAGATATCAAAGGTGAGGTTGATTGTCAATAGAGACTACAGACGACGTCTGAACATTGATGTGATAGATACGGGAGGCTTTAGTGAAGGGCTTCGCTTCGGGAAAAACCAAAAATGTTCAGTATCGCAAGGAACAACTTATCCACCTTGGCTATCTTCTTCACGAGAATCGCGACCGATTTGTAGAGACTTTGGCTACTGATCTCGGGCGACCGACGCTCGAGGCGGACTTGTCAGTCGTTCTTCTATGAATATTGTGATTCTACTAACGTGTCATACCTTTGCCTCTCTCACCTACCTATGCAACTACTCGTAGTTTGGAAATCAATGGTACTATTTCCGAAGTGCAAGAAGCCTACAAGAATGTCGAGAAATGGAGCAAACCCGAATCACCTCCCTTCACCTTGAACTGGTTCTTCATGAGACCCAAGATCCGGAGAGAGCCAAAGGGTGTAGTTCTGATCATCGGACCTTTCAACTTTCCACTTTGGTGTCTTCTGGGTCCTCTCGTCAGTGGGCTTGTGCTAATCTTTTGCGATTTGGAACTGACCTCGATATCCAGGCGGGAGCGATTGCAGCAGGGAATACGGTGGCGCTTAAGCCATCAGAAATGTCGTCAGCTACCGCGGACTTGATCGCAGAACTCATTCCCAAGTATCTTGACCCTGAAGTTGTGAGCGTTGTCAAGGGCGGCATACCCCAAACCAGCAAGGCTAGTATACAATATGTTCTTCACGATCAGACACAAATTTCTGACGCAATCTTATCTTCAGCTTATTGAATACCCTTGGGGACACAGTATGTCCAATTTTCTGTCGCTCTTCGCGTTTACTAAGTGTCGTATTCGTAGTCTGCTATACCGGCAGCCAACGTGTTGCAAAGATTATCGGAACCGCAGCTGCCCAAAGTTTGACACCAGTGACATTTGAGGTAAGTTCCTTCTACTTCTACGTAGCCTCAACATATCTTACTGGTAACTTTGTAGCTTGGCGGTAAGCGCTGTTATGCGAGTATGGAAATTCTTGCGTGCTCATAGTGACGCCGTGTTAGGTAAAAGCCCAGTCATCGTCGACAAATCAGCTGACTTGAAACTGGCTGCTCGAAGAATTTTGTGGGGTAAATGTGCTAATGCTGGCCAAGTATGACACCTTTGCTTTCGCCTTCATGAGTTAAAATGAATGATGTGACTATGAAACTCGCAGATTTGCGTTGCGCCGGACTACCTTTTGGTTCTTCGTGAAGTTGAAGAGCCGTTCATCAAAGAATTGCGCGCTGTGTGAGTCTCGTTCTCCAGTTGCCCTTCCGTCTCATCTCACTTATCATATACGTCAGATACAATTCGTACTTCGGGGCTAACCCAGCCAAGTCCGACTCGCTCTCTCGTATCATCTCTCCGCAACACGCTGCACGTATCAAGAAGCTGGTTGACGAGACCAAGGGCAATATCATCACTGGAGGAGAGGTCGACGTTGATCAGCGATATGTTGCGCCTACTATCGTAAGGGATGTTGCCAACGATGATTCGCTTATGAGCGAGTACGTAGTACATCCAAACGCAATAGGTTATGGCAAAAAGATCTTGACGATGGCTTTACAGAGAGATCTTTGGACCTGTGTTGCCCATTATCCCCGTTGACTCTGTCGATGAGGCGATCAAGTTTATCAATTCGAGGTATGTCTATCGAAGAACGAACTGTCGTACTATCGATAAGCTCACAATGGTCCTTATTCCTTTTAGAGACCACCCATTAGTTCTCTATATCTTCGCGCAAGACAGGAAGGTCAAGGAGAAAGGTAACTGCTACTCCGCATCTCAGGCCCTTCATATATTTTGATATTTCCGTGTAGTCTTTGCGAGCACTAATAGTGGGGGTGCTGTTGCCAACGATGTTGTGCTCCATCCTGCCGGTATGCTATTTTCATTACCCTTTGTCTTGCTGTCACTCACCTTGGTACGTCTCTAGCTGCGGGCTTGCCATTCGGTGGCGTTGGAGCTAGTGGATGTACGAGACGTTCAGCTACCGCATTGACAACTTTGACTTATGTTGAATCGTTGTTTCTTAAGCTGGGTATACCACTGGAAAATGGGGCTTTAATACGTTCACCCATTTCAGGGCTACTCTTGACGTTCCTGGTTGGTTGGACAAGATTGCTCTGTCCCATCGCTTCCCTCCATATACCGTAAGCCCTTTCGAAGACCCACCTACTACGTATCTTTCTCGCGATTTTATCTCACTCACATTTGTCTTATATCTAGGATAAGAAACTGGCTGATCTGAAGAAAGTCGTCAGTTACAAGCTTCCCCCTCGCCCTGGTACCCATGCTGTGACTGCATCGAAACGCAGGTGGGGTTTATGGACTCTCCTAGCACTTCTTGCCGCCGTCGGCGCGTTGCTGAAGAAACGTTTGGGCTCAAGTTAGGTAATCTAAGTCAACTTCCGGGTTACTCTACCCTCATATTGGACGATGAGGTGAAATTCTTCTAAAGTAGGCTACGCAGAACGATTTCTTCTTGGGAGGACACCATTCTTCGTCGGATGTGTGCTGCGTATGTTGCGATTTGTCAAACTATTGGATACTTTCTGCTTTATTTGACTTAGTAAATGGTTGCTCTTGCATTGCTTTCGCTGTGCTACGATACCCGTTGTCTGAAATAGAAGCCAGTGCTTTTGTTGAGGTTTGCTTTGTGGACTGCACACCTAAATACCGCGCCGTTTACGTACCGTAGGTATGTTTGTGGACACTAGTAGACGTGACTTGCCTGATCGCTACAGTAGCTCTGGTCATTCCAAGAATTTAAGAACTTGGTGTACCCTCGTCATAGTCGGGAACAATAGGATATGTAAACAAGTTACACAAGTTATACAGCGCACAAAAGACAATTCTTCGAACGGAGAGACCTGTCTCTATGTAGCTGGCACACACGATTACTACTTATCAAGTTCCAAATTGTTGGAATAAGAACCGAACTTCTCCACAGTCTCAGCAAGTGCCTTGCTTCTCGCTGAAAATACTTCAATGACATCCGCACCAATAGGGAACCGGAGTGGAGGGTCAGGCATTGCTGCCAGCTCGAAAACCTTCTTCATCCCTTTGACGGGATCGGAGCCAACTCCCACCTGAGCGCTATCTGACCAGGCCCTCATGACAGCACTGGGTAACGTGGGCTTGGTGTACGCTGGGTGAGGAGGCAGCTTGGCTCCGTTGGCGGTGACTTTGGTCATCGAGCTGGTCTGGAAGTATCCAGGCTCCACGAGGGTGAGCTGTAAGTAAGGTAGCATCAGGCAATAAGAACGAGTCAGGGTGCTACTAAAGCGTTCATACCTTGATATTCCATTCAGGATCAATTTCCTTGGCCAGAGAATCGTGCAAACCCTCAACCGCTGTCATGTCGATAAGAACGCGGTTTCGTGGATGCTCGAATAACATACCATGCTTAGATGCACAATAATACCCATAGCCAGGATAGCCTTGAATACCGCATTCAGAGCTGGTAACTAGCAAGCGACCACCGTAGCCAGGCGGGTTGACCTCCCTGAAGAACCTCAACGCCTCGCGAGTGACGTTCGCAGAACCCCAAAAATTGGTATCGAAATTTCGTCTCGCGACTTCTTCATCTGTTCCTTCGACCTCGCCAATCAGTCCATAACCAGCATTGTTGAATACGATATCGATCTTCCCGAAAAGCTGTCTTGCCTTTTCGAAGGCTGCAACGATCTCGTCACGCTTACTAACATCGAGTTTGAGAATGGCTAGTTTGTCGGAAGGGTACTCGGACCTGAGATTGTCAAGATCCCCTGGCTTGCGGAGAGTCGCGACCACCACATCGCCATGATTGAGCGCAAGCTCGGTCATGACCTTTCCGAATCCGGAAGATGTACCCGTGACTAAGAAACACATATGTTAGAAGGGCCGTAGAACACAAGGGTATCTGGAGACTTACTGAACCAAACTCTGGGCGAAGCCATATTTCTGAAGATAATTGTGATAAAGCTAACAATGGTTTTGTGTTGGTTCTCGTCCTACATCATACCCTGTTCTTATATAGGATCCAGCGAAACCATCCTTCCTAAGTCGATACGTTGTTTCTATGCATCCTGGAGTGCTCTGCCGAGCATCATCGTCACTGCGTCAGTCGCGCTCCTGCCCTTTTCCTAGACATATCCCGATATCTCGCTATCCCGATGACGAGGGGAATCATTTGGCAGAGTCATTCAGGGACTGTATTGACCGGAGAAAGTAACTGGGAAGAACAAATGCGATATAAGGAAACCTGTGGTTAGCATAAAAACTCTACCGATACCGTGCAAAGCCGCGATAAGTAATGATGGACCTTCGTGAGATGCATGCAGTAGTAAGCCGCATGTCACGAGTGAGATATTGAGTACACCTAGTAAAGACAGACATCGAGAGATGACGTGAGTATATGTATATGTATATGAGGTGGTTCGGCGTGCCAGAAGGAACCGTCAAGTAGATCAACTGAGGCAGAGAGCGTCGCATTCACTGGCAAGTTGGTCCGGCGTAGTTTCTCGATCTGTTTGCAGTCTCATATATAAGCAGCCTGAGTCATACCTAGCATCGTAACGGTGAATCATTATTGTTGCAAATCTGAGAAAGATGATAGCCAACATGACAAGGAAGTCTTCATTCCTCCGAAGTGGTAGAAACGGTTGCCCTTGGAGCAGTAAGATCCAAATTAGGAAGTGCTATTGAGGCTGCCGATCAACAAACATAACCAGACTCCGTTCGTTTCTTCAGCCGGCTGCACTTCAATTTCTTCCTTCATGAACATCATCACTAGTGCTTCACCTGTGGGCTATATGACAACGTATATCGGTTCCTACGCGAGCGGATTGCTTCAGTCCTCCCATCTTTAATCGTTTGAAGCGGTGAAGAGATACACAGTGAGAGACAGCGTGTTAATCACCTTCCCATGGGGAATCAAGAACTTGGTTGTGGTGCCCGTGTTGAGCATGAAGATATGTAATCAATCTGTTTTGTAGTTCGAAAGCGTTCAACACGGGCACTATCTGAGTCATCATCTAAGTACTTCATTTAAAGTAGTGCCTTAACTTTGACAATGGTGCTTAAGTCGGTACCCAACTAACTAGCTCGGATATTTACGACAAAGGCCACGACAATTCTTTTACAATGATGGAGGCGTAGCCAGTACTTGCTCAATAGGAGAACCGTGTTCAAACAAGAATCAAGAAGGAACCAATCTGCTTTAGAAGCGCCGCAGAATCGCAAACTCTTCAAGTAACGACAGACAGTATCAATGGACAGGTATGACTTGCATATGATCACGACTAGCAGGGGCTTGTTAAAATATGTCCTCTATGAAAGCATAGAGTAAAATCTCACCCCCAGTTACAAGAGTTCAGCACGGCTCAGCGCTTGATACAACCGTCTTGTTTGGAGAAGAGCTGCGGCTCGTGTTCCGCCTTCAAGCTCCTCTCCCTCGACTATAATCGAATACCCCTCCTTCAACCATCGCCGCTCCTCCTCACTTGTAATGATCGTTTCGTTGTCACGTGTCGCCCCCTTCTCAAGCTGGTGTAACAACAATGTCACCAAGAAGCGAGTGACAACGCAAAAAGAGAGGAAGATGAAGAGCCAGCTGTAGATTGGATGTCGAGAGATGAGAGAATGCAGGAATGATAGGATAGCTGCAGCTGCGTTGTTGGCGACGGAGTCCGTCACGACTGCAGTCGTGGATCCTAACGCGGCGCTCGCGGATGCCGTTGGGGTCACTCGGATGGACTCGAGCTCAAGGACAATCAGTGCGTCGGAAATGACAGGCATGTCTAAGACTCTGAGGCAACGAATGAACGTGTGAGACTGTCAACGCAAGCTTTGAAGGGACGCAGCTCCGGCTAAGGGAGCAAGTTCTGGGGAGGCTGGCATCCAGGGTGTCCAGAACTATAAGAGATCTGAAATAGCTTGCGGAAATGTCCGACAGCGAACTGTCAATATGAAACATCAGATTTCCAAGTTCTTCGGTGAATCCTGTTCTTTTGAGAAGTTCTGACCATCATATCATCCTGTCTCCATGGACTGCTGAACGGAAACATAACACAGAGTTTCCAAAGGCTGACAAGAGTTCGCAGGCCATAATTTAATTACTGTCAAGGTTGTCACGGAGATGGACGATCAGAGGGGAACAAGGGGAACCCCAAATGTGGAAATTCTATCAACGGTTACGCACAACAAGCCCAAACAAATACAATCTCTTGGTGGGATACAAGGCAGATCTTCGGAACCATTCTGAAATTGAAAGAAGCACGAGGAGAAAGTTCAATACGACCGCATTGTAGAATGCGTAATGACTAAATGAATTACAAAGGTACAGTACATTTGTTTGAGTGCGGGCCCATATTCACAACCAATGATACAATATTGTATGGTAAAAGACCAAGATGCTTTTGTGAAGCGTATATGCGGACGCTATGTAAGGAAAGCTAATGATATTATAGCGTCAAATATGATACAGCGCTTGGCACGTTCGGATATTCACAATGGCTAAAACAGCACAATCAGCCTTGGGTTCGACCAATATCCCACACTGAGCTAAACATACGTCGAGCTAAGAAGCATAGCATCCATCATCCTCCGGTCTAAATCACGTCTCGCCACAATAGCCTGCGATTTCTCCTTCTTTCGTAGTTCCGTCGTCTTCCAAGGTGCCGCGAGATCGGCCGTGCCGATCTCATAACATGGAGTATTGCAGGAGTTGGGATCGTTTGGCATCGCGATGGCTACCGCAACTCGGATGGATGCATGTAGGGGAACGGGTGTTGGTTGAGAACAACAGCGAAACTCCGGCGTGGTAGGAGAATGAGTAGGGGTGGAAGACGGTACATGCTTCTGCTGGTACGATGATGGCTTGTGGTTGGAAGGAAGCAGATATCGTACAGACAGAGGCTAGAGGAACAACTCGGTGAACGGTCTCCATGATCGTATCGGGAAAGACACGTACCATCAGGTGCTTCCATGTCAAGTTCCTATCATCCTTCGGTGAAGACGGATGAGAAGCCAAAGCTATGTCATGTATCCTAGGTATGCGTCGAATTTTCGCCTTTCGTAGTATCGGCTCATCATCATCCTCATCGAAAATACTAAGTCGAGAAGTACAACACGGTAAACGTGCAAATAGTGATCGATCCCCCCATCGAATAAGTCCCAAGTTGACCAGTATGCATATAAATGCGAGTGCAAGGACGACACCGAGTGCAATGAGAATGTTGTTGGTATTGGGGTCCGCACCGAACGTCTCGTCTCTGGGGGAGAGTTGCGCAGAAAGAGCGGACATATCGATGTTCGTAGGCGTAGCAATCATGGATGAGGCCCGACAGGGTGGCATTGTCGCTCAAGCAGAAGCAACCTGGATGAACTGAATCTCCAAGAAGACTTCGAACAGGCCCTCAGGTAAGATCGGGGACCAGGAGCAAAGAGCAAAGGCCTCGAGGATGCATTAGCGGTTGGGTTTTAATGCGATGAGCGGCGTCGATAACACTACCCTGGAACGGGAATGTGGCTTGTCAACGGTCTCACTGTACCTGGTTTAGTGCCTGATGCCAATCTACGCCAGTTAATGACCTTGTCAATTGTCGCCGAGCCGCCAGCGATTAGCTGAGAAAGTAGTTATTCATTAAAAACGAAATGGAGGTGCTTTACTTCAATTCAAGCCAGATAGTTGCCAAGCCACCAACCTTTTTGGCTAAACACTTCACAGAATATACGTCTAACCCAACGTAGTAGCGGTTATTCATTTTCGAGGTACGCAAGGAAGATCTTGAGGAAGGTGAAAGGTTGATCAAAACAGGCGCTCCGTCGCGCCGATCAAGCGCCACAGACGCGTTCAGATCACGAGCTTGAACGCGTCCACATCAGTCGGAGCTGTCAGCTCCTGCCAATTTCCTGTCCGAAATACTATCGGGAAACAGAGAAAGGAGATTTTTCGATAGCTCGTTGCCGCCGTTGGGGACTCCAGACTTCGTCGAATTGTGATCTCGATTCCGATTGTCAAACGTCTCGGGAATTGATGCAAATGTCGAATTAGACTTAACCTCGGAGGAAAAAAGGTGGTGGACACTCTAGTAAGGCCTTGTTTTAAACTCGCAGTAAAGACAGGAAGAGGAGCGTGACCAATGGTATCTACATACAAAGGTATACTACCGTAGGAGACATTCAGGAACTAGGTATAAAGCAACATAGGGTACTTCAACCTACGTACAACAAATCCGCTAGTATATATGTGTCACGGTCCTGTTATGTGGGGAGGGTAGTGGGGGAAAAGTCTGTTTCAAGAAGGGTAGTATGATTAAAGTTCAAGCGTCCGAATCAAAATTGGAGCAACCTAAACCCAAACAAAAAGAGAAAAATTGTCCGGTCGTGAGGTCATTAATTACAACATGAGTGCACCAATAATGGCAGCAAAGATGAGGGTGAAGCTGGCAGGAGTAGAGTGGAGAATAGAGGCTGCGCTGCTTTCGGCGCCACCTGTAGGTGCAGGAGTGGTGCTTCCGGAATGAGAGCTTGAAGACGAGGTAGCCCCGGCACCAGAGGTCGGTGCAGGGGTCTAGAATATAAGTAATGATTAGCACATATTCGCGCAACCGAGCAATGCAACGAAAAATGGAGACGAAAACTCGTCACGAAACAGAGCAACAAGCACACACCGATCCTGATCCAGTTCCAGACCCTGGAGCCACAGAAGAACCACTTGACCCCGACACCGAGGACGAGGACGAAGACGAGCCTGTGACAGATGCAGACGACGAACTACTTACGCTCGTGGCAGACGAGGCACCGGATGAAGCAGCCGAGCTGGCAGCGAGGTTGTTTCCGATACTCGTCAACGTCGAACATTGAGATGAACTGGGCGCAGGGTGGGGCGCAGGAGTGACAGGATCACCCTGGTGGAATGTCGAAGCGCCGTAAACACCCATAGGTTCACCAGTGTCAGCAGCACACTTTTCGAAAGTGCCAGGGGCGTAGTTGCCGGGCATGTTCCAAGCGCAACCCATGACGTCATAGATATGCTCGCACAATGCAGGTGCACGCGGACCGTCCTTGCAAGCACGGATACAGAACTCGCTGTCAGACATGAAGTTCTATCCCAGAGATATATGAGTTTATAAATTCATGAACAAATGGAATTTCTACTTACCGTCCATTCGTGAATCTGAGTGAGTTGACCGAACGCGCTCGAGAATACCAAACCGCCAATAGGGTTACCTATTGAAAATGTGAAATCAGTCACTCTGCAATGGAGAGCGCCACGGAGCCGATCACAACGCCGAGACTGGCCTCATGGCGCGTCAGCCACCCTCAGGCGGAGCGAATTCCCCACTTCGCGTTCGAGGGAACAAAGAAATGTGGTTCATGTTTACTCACCATTCCCGTCAGCACCGTGAGGGTCAAGCTCGCCTCCAGTATCACCCTTAGGAATGTTGATCTTCGTGAAATCGCCAACGCCAGTAACCTGAACATAGTCCGGCGTCTGCACGAAATGTGCGCCCTGGATGGTGCCGTCAGGAATGAGCCGGGTGCCATAGCCATCCTTGATACACCATGCAACCTCGATACGCTCGGTGTTGCCTACCGTAGAGCCAGGACCTGGCTCAGGCGGCGCGAAGAGACAGAAGTCATCCACAGAGTTGACTATCAAAGCGGTAGGATATCAGCGAAAATCGATGCAAAAATTTCGGGGGACATACTGTAGAGGTTCTGGCAGGTGGAATTCTGGTTATGACCAGATCCACACTGGTTGGTTCCCGACTGACCCTTCTCCGAGGTCTTGGGCGCGTTCGAAGGTAGATATGTTGCACTGTAGGTCTGGCCAGAAACCAAAAGAGACAGCGAAAGAGCGATGAGAGATGAAGACAACATGGCGGTATGGGTGTAAGGTGCTGCTGACACGCGCAAACCGTGGACCAAAGAAGAATGAGGGCAAACTGCCTCCGTTCTTCACTGGTTATAAAAAGAAATGCACGAGCGGCCGAATTAGACCGTTTTCCCATCAGCTTCCGCATTTCCTCATTCGTCTGGATCTGTAAACGCCCATAAGCGGTGCAGAATAGCTAGGAACGTGTTGAACTTTGCGTCGCTTGAAGGTGTAATGTATAGCGATCGCATGCTGCAGGGCAATTAGCATGGACGCGATGAAATCCGATTGCAGTAACTCCCTTTTCAAAGTTTCCTTCTTGGAATTTCATTATATGCCTCGATCAGTTTGATAACGCAGGAAACTAAATTTGGAGACTGCATTTCCCTCCTGATGTAACCCCATCATGCTACTTGTTCTCTGTTGGGATACTATTATTACTGATGAAGACATCAGCGCCGTATCTCATGGTGGTGAATGCCTTGCTTTCACTCACTTTACCGCTGTGAATCGGGTTCCTAGCGGGTTTTTCTTGCATGGTTACCTGACGGGGAGATGTGGACCATCTGCTATCTGGGTCCTATTTCTACTCACTGGATGCAGTACTCCAGCGTATCATGTCAGAAGTGGGAGTAAGCAATGCGACACCTCTAGGAACATGATATCCGCGCATTACCGCGGGCAAAATCTTCGACCACATCACGAAGATGATCGGTGTTAGCAAGCGTAGGTTGCATGCGATGCTTAGGTAGGAATACACAAGGGCATATTGGTGGGGAAGGAACATCGTCGCTCCGCCTCAAACTTCGCCTTGCCGGGGCAAAAGAAGTAAGCTTTGCGCTGGATCCACCAACCGCGATACTTGCCATTTCTGGACATGCGATCAATGTTATTTTGATCTAGGCGCCCATTTGTAGCAGGCGCGCCCTCTCACGCTGGGTTTCTCCGGTTGGCCTCAACCACAAGCTTCCTTACCTCCCGACCGAGGGGATACTGCTGTGTCTGGTTTCAACACCTTTTTACAGCATGCCGCCATTCTACGAACTTCAACTAATCATATTTGTCCTTGTATGCATCGTCTGGCTGTTACTGGACCGCCAGCTGTCCGGTAAACGACCAGCTGAACATGGCACTTCGTCAGTAGGAAATACGGCGATGGCTATGACGAGGCTTGCCAAGCAGTATCTGATTGTGTATGGCATCGTTATGGGTGAGCTCTCTATTGCAAATTGTGTATAACCATTAACCGTTAGGAACCGCTACTTCTTTAGGTGCGGATTGGTTACAGGGCCCATACGTATACTCGCTTTACAGGGAGCAATATCACTTCCCTGAACGATTGGTGGCGGTTCTATTCGTTACAGGCTTCTTGTCTGCGGGTATAACGGCACCTTTGATTGGTGCCTGGGCCGATCAACAGTGAGTCTTCCATATGTCCTTCGTTCCCGCCTTTCATTTGTGTTCTGGGCTGCTGTGAACTAGCTTGATTATTCGAATATATCGTTTGAATACCCTTACACTTTTCCCTGAAATGATGTCGTTTGACAAGCATTCCGTTACGGGACTTCGAGCATCAAGAACGTCCTCGCGGGATCCAAGATGTGTGCTAATGTCGTACTTCTAGTGGTCGCAAGAGACTTTGTCTCGTCTTCTGCATAACATATACACTCGCTTGCCTGTGTATCCTCGTTCCTTACTTGCCCGTCCTTCTCTTCGGACGTTTACTTGGAGGCATCTCCACATCGATTCTCTACTCGGCGTTCGAGTCATGGCTTATCTCGGCCTCCAATTCCCTCGGACTTCTTCAATCTGACCTTTCCACCATTCTTGGACGTGCCACTCTCGTTAATGGCTTTGTAGCTTCCGGCGCAGGGGTATTCAGTAACCAGCTCGTAGGCGTCACTGGTTCGTTTGCTTCTCCGTTCGTCGCTAGTGCTGCTCTGCTTGTGCTAGCTTGGTTCGTCATTCGGGGCCTCTGGAAAGAGAACTATGGTGGCGTGGATTCATCGAAGGCGACCGTATCAGCTGATACTTTCCAACTGAGGCGATTGTCGCAGGCTTGGAGAATTGTAATGAGTGGTAAATCAAGTCAACTTGCTTACAAGTCGTTATTGTTATTCACATTCACGTAGATCCGAACTTGATTGTGCTTGGACTCACTCAGACCTGTTTTGAAGGGTCGATGTACCTGTTCGTATTCCTGTGGGTGCCATCACTCCAGGAAAGCGCTGGACCATCATCGACATCTCTACCTCTCGGCTATATCTTCTCATGCTTCATGATCGCCATGATGCTCGGCTCCCTGCTTTATACCACAATCACCTCTTACAACGCGTCACGAGGTGGGGACAATGCCCTGCTTCTCCACGCGAAGTTGAGCTCGCTCGTGTGCGCCGTGAGTGCGTTTACTTTCGCCGTCACTGTCAGTAGTCAGGACGAACATGTTCGCTTTTGGGCGTTCTGTGCATTTGAGGCGTGTGTAGGGATGTACTATCCTGTGCAAGGAATGTTACGAGGTAGCCTGATATCAAATGAACATCGAGCCACGGCAAGTTGTTGGTTAGTCTCTCCGATTAAGTCCCTTCTGACATAATCTGCCGTTGTAGCTCTCGTCGCTTTTCCGCGTGCCTCTCAACATCTTCGTCGTCGTATCCCTTTTGACAGGCGTGTCCTCGGCACGATACACCGTGCTTACTGCATGCGCCTGCATGCTAGGATTCTCATCTTTGATGACCGGGGCAGTCATCGTAAACAGGTTAGACAGTTCGAATATACCCAACGGATTGCCCCACGTAGCATAATTGATATCATCCGGTCGCATGTTCATTCGTTAACAATCCAGCACAGATACAGATATAGAAGCGGGCTTTGCAGGTCTTAGACACCCATAATACAAATTGGATATTTATGATTACCCATTCGCCCTCAAGATCAAATGTGACCTACGAATGAACTCAATGACAATGCTACCAGTTGCAACACGTAGACAGTGAGGACACTGTATGTTTGATTAAGCACGTCATCCCTATTGAGGGACAGAAATATCCAACAAAGGGCGAAGGAAGTAGCGCGTAATGCCGTGATGGTTGTTGAACAAAAGAATCGTCGGATTCGTGAGGACTACCTAAAGGGGAGTCGCCGTTCCCCACGGCGGAAGACTCTAAGTAGCCGGATTACCTTCTAGCTTGGTATCTAAAACTACATCTGACAGCCGTCGCTGGTCTTCGTCGAAGAATTTGATACGGGAACGTGAACTACTCCTGAGTTCCAAACTATGATCATAAACAATCGCCCGTCCTTGACGTATCCTTGCATAGATTGTGCCTGTAGCAGAGGAAAACAGATTGAGATTACTAGTAAGGATCATATTGCAGTGAAATCCGGTACCGGTGCATAAACCCTGCACGACCCACAGCATTGCTGCCGTCGAGGATGAAATCACTCATCTCAGGCTGTCAGAAGCCACGACTCCGCAGTACACCTTCTCAACCTACCAAAGTGATGGTAGCATTCCTTCACTAAGGTACTATGGTTCCACCCCTTTGGTAAATGTTTTAAGTACCTGGACTGCCAAAAAATCAGTTCTTGACGAAACCCTGCGGGAAAAAGCGCAATCGATGCTCTAGGTTCTTAGCTATAAGTAAGAATCAAGGGGATAGGCAAGAAGCGAAATTTTAAGATTCGTGCGGCGAGAGAAAAAGTTCCTATTTAAACGAAACCCGATACTGGCCAACCTGCAGAGTAGCCCTTAACACCCAGCACTCAGGGAACATGCCTTTTCCACTCTTCGCATTTGTTAACTCATTTGTTACTGTCCTCTCGGTTAACGTGGGGAATACCGTCAGCGTAAGCCGCAGTGCTACGACCGTCTTGAACACGCCCACCGTGGCCGCGTCGCAGGCTGCCAGTGAGGGAAGACCGGAGTGTCTGGTGGGGTTTGCTACGGGAGGTTCTGGCCATGGAAGGTCAGCTGTGTTGACCATCGCCGGCATCATTCTCGTTTGGACCGCGTACATGATCGTTCACCGAGTGGGGATGGCCGCCCAGAAACGCGTTAGGAAAAGGCTGGAGGAAGCCAGAGGTGAACATTGTCTTGACTACCGTCTGGTGCGTAGCTAGCAGAATATGACACGTAAATAACAGACTAATGGGCTCACCTACAGATCTATAACCTTGGCTATGAAGGCAATTCCGTCAGCGTCGATTAGACTTGGAACGCCTAAGCCGCAACACAAACAAACAAGAATAACTGTATCAAGAGTAGAGTTCGCACGGCTGGAAGGAGATCGAGTTATAGTCAGAAAAAGACCAGCTCGAAGCTGGAGTAGCTACAACAATTCATACGGTTATTTATACTAAAATACGCGATGATATAGTCGATCATTTGGAGGTCTTTCTATGCAATGCGGCGTACCCGCCGACATCGTCAAACTGATGGGCCGCTGGTCCTCTGATGCCTTTCTTCGCTACTGGCACCAACTCGAGATTATCATCCCCTTCCATGCTCAGTTGTTGCAACCAGTCCTTGACCCGCATTTCACAACAATGCAGTTGAAGCCCACCTTACATGCCCACTTAACCTAGTCATTCCTTCACTTCACTTGGTTTTCTCATTTTGTAAACACTATTGATATATATTGCTCTTATTTCCCCCTTCTGTGGGGTGGCCATCGCGTGAACTCGCTCGTCAGCGACTTCGTCGGGTTGTGGGTGATCCTCGCTGTTCCCCCTTCTGGCACACCCCAGACCCCCGAGTCCTTTTGCAGGCCCCTCGGCTGGTCTTCCCCCACATCAGCACTCGAGCTATAAGGATAACCTAAGTTAGTACTCCCAGCCTTCCGGAGCAAAGTACGAGTACCACCGCGATCGGTGATCGCCATCAATCCGCTCGTCCACGTGGACAGTTGACTGTACATGATTACGCGTCCTCGCTCCTGATGAGCTCTGCAACTTCGTAATAATTTCCTTACAAACCCATTCCAGCTAGATTCAAAATGATAGGCCCCTCCAAAAAAATCACTCAGAGTAACCGAGGTCTAGTTTACACAGCTTAGCAGGTGCCGAGCTCAGGCGAAGCTTGTGACCATTTTGTGACCAGTGAGACCTGTCGGGCCTATTCCTGGAAGTTTCTAGTCACAGTCGCGGGGGCAATGAGAATGACAAGAATAAACATGAGTGATCCATTTGGTATTTGTCAAAATTTTATGCCAGTACTACTAGTTTGTCATTATCCACAGACTGTAGTACAAAACAGGATACATATGTGGGTATTGACTCAAAGTTAGCCCAAAAAAAACATGATTGACAATGGCAGCCTCCAGCAAGTGACCACTGTGAAGATCATCTGGCGAGCCATCGCAAGACTGAACAGACATGGTCTAGAAGAATCTGAGCAATTCCGCACAGTATGCCTAACCATACCATTGCTTCACCATTCCACCTCCAATGCGGGTGCAACTACTTGAGGAAAACTAGACAGAATCTGGCAAGATAATAGCAGGCTACCAATGTTCACCTCAAGTGTGTCAAGAAGATGCGGATGGCTGTTACAGACCGGAGACCCATTAACCCCTCTCGTTTCATCATGAGTCTTCACTGTGCACTTTATTGCATGTACACTTATGCCGGTATACTCGTTGACCATCTTGTACTTGAGACCACAGTCAAGGATCATGCTGCAAATGATCTCCTTGTATTCCTTCGGTATATGTCACCTCATCCTCAGGCAAATACCAGAGAGCACAATGAGGAGGTACAGATGGGAGTTGGAACTCGACTGCCATTGCTACGGAAGCATTGTACAAGATGACAGTGTCTAGACCAGGGGGCATCCACTGTGCAAATTCCTGAATCCAACTCCTAAAAGTTTGCTGGCAGGACCCCGAGTGTGAGCGCCGGTACCACCACTTGATAAGATAGCATTTCGCCTTGATAAGGCAAGATCTCTTAAGTTCATTCGACCAGACAATATCGAAGTTTCATTCAATATAAATTATTCAAGAAGCCAGAGCAGAATACAACAACTATAGGGAACCCTGGAGTGGTATACATGAGAGTAAAGCTCTTCTGGATTATTACGAAAACCAAAACCTTTCATAGTGCCCGCTATTCACTGCTCACTGTGATCGTATGCCAGAAACACGCAAAAAAAAAACATAAGTATTACTGACAAAATTCACTTGATGAGACAGACATGAGGTTTGCTAGTGAGTTCTTCCTGCCTGTGTGATTTTCTGACTTCGTTGTCGATAGCCGCAGCGCAGTGTGAGCTCATTGTGAAGGTTATTCGAGAGCCTTGTTCCATGTGTTTCCTGTTAGAGGGAGCTTGGCTGGTGTGAGACTGGGGTATGTTGTTAGAGATGGCAATTGTAGCCAGAGTGAGTTAGGTGTGTTGCAGGGTCAGTAAGCACACCAATTGTTGGTTCAGCATGCACAGTAATATCACCACCTCAAAGAGGTGGGGCATGTGAGACTCCGTGACTAATCACAATGACAATCAATAAGCTGCAGAACACGGTAACATTTCATGCTAAAATTAATTGCGACCCGCTACTGGCAGACCCGCGCCAGTTGCGAGCCTCCTGAACGTACTGTAGAAAAAAAAGCTATAGATTTGCTTTCACAGCATCAGCTAACCAGACTGAAATATGCAACTCACAGAGCCATTGATAATGATGATCTCATTGATGGTCAGGCCAGGGAAGCAACATCATGACGGAGAGGTGGGAGGTATGTTCAGTGTGTAGTAAAATAAAGGGGTTGCAGGATGAATAACCCCTGTAATACTATTCATCTGCTCAAGCTTTCAAGACTGAGGCTGCCTCTGAGATGAGGCAATAACTAGCGCGAGGTGAACAGGCAAACCGTTATGCAAGATGCAAGGTGCAGCTCATCTTATTCATTTAAAATGTGGAGATGCATTCAAAGCAGTATGTCATATGAAATGTCTCACTGCGCCAAGAAGATTAGCGACTCACCTACGAACATTCTCAAATGCGATTCTGAGGGTGAATTGACCCAATGCTGCAAGAACGGAAGTGCCCGCGACTTGCTAAATGATTCTTTTCAACTTACCATTCATCACGAAGACCATTCATGCCCTATGTGTGTACAGGGTGAAGATATATCAGTAAACATTCAGCGCAGAAGAAAGAGGGATGATTGGACGTGATTTGAAGTTGTATAGTAAAATCTCGGCCAAAGTACTCAAAAAATCTCTGGAAGGACCCCGATAGTACCTCGAGCCACCACCACCACATAGGTTGGATTCAGCGCTTGCACGACTGGACGCCCCCCGGTCTAGACAGTGGAAGAAATACGGCGTGACGGGGAGTGACAGAACGCCAGAGCGTCAAGCGAGTCTGCCGTCAAACCGGCATGCTTCGCGTAGCCCAAGCGGCTGAATATGATTTTTTTGGAGGGGCCTATCGTTTTGAATCTAGCTGTCAAAGCCGTTCAATTGAAGCATTCAAACATGCTCCAAATGACGATATTCAGCGTATATAAAGATGTCATGGCTATCCATTTGACCTTCATCCTGCTTTCACTATCTAAGCCACCGAACGTCTTGGTTCGCTTGAGGATATGTCGGTGACTGCAAAAGACGTCCAAGACCTCACGGACATCTCCAGGTTCAAACTAGAGCCAGATGGGTCACTAAAAAGGGCCACAACGACATTCAGGAGTTTCATTGAGAAAGGCGGTCAATTCGCCCCCGAGAAAGGTTTGTCATTTGCTGTGTCTTCCTGGAATACCAATTGGTTTATCTGAATTTAGGTCGTTACCATCTCTACGTCTCGCTTGCTTGTCGTAAGTGCATTTCACATATTCTGTAGCAGAGCCTGAGAGTGGTCGCACAGCATGGGCCACGAGAGCTCTCATAGTAAGACAGCTGAAGGGTCTCCAGGAGTTCATAGGTACATTTGGTCTTTGCATCGTCTAGCTTGTTTCAGATAATGAGTGCATTTCACAGGTGTCACTGTCGTTTCGCCTCGCCTAGGTAAAGACGGCTGGCCTTTTGGCGATGTGGATAAGTTTCCGGGCGCTGAGCCTGACCCTATACTCGGCGCGAAGCATATCAAAGATGTCTATCTCCGTGCCCTGCCCGAGTACGCCAATCGGTATGTATAGAGGCTATGCCGTATCTTCATCGTCCACTCATCCATGAGCGTTCTAGTTTCTCGGTGCCGGTATTGTGGGACAAGAAGCTCGAAACAATCGTGAACAATGAGAGCTCGGAGATCATCCGCATGTTCAACTCTGCGTTCAATGATCAGTTGCCCGAGAACTTTGCTTCTATTGATATCTACCCCGAACCTCTCCGCGCAGAGATTGACGAAGTTAACGATTGGGTCTATCATACAGTCAATGGTATGCGCTCGTGATAGTCACTATGCATCATGACTCACTTGTTTCCACAGATGGCGTCTACAAGTCAGGTTTTGCCGGTACTCAGGCAGCATATGAGGCCTCTGTGATTCCTCTGTTCGACTCGTTGGATAGGCTTGAGAAGATGTTAGAGGGGAAAGCGTATTTAATTGGGAATCAGCTCACGGAAGCAGATGTCAGATTATTCGTTACCATTGTACGCATCATTTCTTTGCTTGACATTGTTCCTGGGCACTTATCCTGTTCCTTTGTAGATTCGTTTTGATCCAGTCTACTTTGGCCACTTCAAATGCAATGTCCGTAACATCCGGGACGGATACCCTGCAATTCATCTGTACGTCTGGATTAGTGTCAAAGGCATATTATCATCGTCTTGATTGACGAGTCAATCTTAGGTGGCTTCGTAAGCTCTACTGGAACAATCCGGCCTTCAAAGACACTTGTAACTTCGATCATATCAAGGTGCATTATTATTGGTCCCATGTGAATGTACATTTTGGTCTCTGCTATCGTTAGATTTCGCTCACAAAGCTTGGTATGATATAGATCAATCCCACGAGGATCGTGCCTGTCGGTCCCGTTCCAAACATCCACCCTCTGTGAATCAGCCGGGTCAGAACGTATCATTCTCCTGTTTTGATTACGTCCGCGTCTCCCTTGAATACTACCAAATGTGACTTGGTGCAACACTTGTACTTTTACTTTCGAGACGCATTTACCTCGGGATATTCTTCTGTCTTCTGACAGTGTGAAATGCATCAAGTTACTTGCCAAACTTGGCGAGCGATTGCTGACCGTCTGGATATGACAAAGCTGACGCAACACGACATCGATCTGATGCCAACCTTCTTTCTTTACCAAGCAGATCCTGACAAACCGTCAACGTAGTACACCACATTCACACATAAGTATGCAGAATGGGGTATATATGTTCGCTCTCGCTTTGAATCGAAGCTCAGAGGAATACCTTTCTCATTGGCGTTCTTACACCTACCTTCACGAACCCGCTGAAAGTTGACAATAACAACACAATGACGTCACGAGACGTTGAGGAACAGTCCGATGTTGCAAAGCTCAAGAGGGAAGCAGACGGATCTTTCAAGAGACAAGCATCGACGTTCAGGAACTTTATTGAGAAAGGAGGCAAGTTTGAACCGGAGAAAGGTCTGTCCTACTACTGAGTCATGTTTGCTTCAATAACATAATCTCTTCACCCTGCACCTGTAGGCCGTTATCACCTCTATGTGTCATATGGATGTCGTAGGTCTTAGTTCATACTCAATATTTTGGTAATCGTTCATGTTCACGCCGCACATAGCTTGGGCAACAAGGACCCTCATCGTAAGGAAACTGAAAGGGCTCGAGGATGTCATCGGTAGAATCATTCATTCGTCCACTTACATTGCGCTTCTAATTTTGAGCATGTTCATATAGATGTTACAGTGGTCTCTCCTCGCACGAGCCCGGATGGATGGGCATTCGGCGATGTAGACCCATTCCCGGGTGCTGACGCTGATCCTTTGTACGGCGCTCAACACATCAAGGATATTTACTTCCGCGCAGACCCCAACTTTAGGGGACGGTATGTACCATGTTGTCGAACTAGTTGCTGTCAGTTGAGGGTCTACACGACATTCTTCTGTAGATTCACAGTCCCGGTACTTTGGGACAAAAAGACCGAGACAATCGTCAATAACGAAAGTTCTGAAATCATTCGCATATTCAACACCGCTTTCAACGGTATATTATCTAAGGACAAAGGTTCCTTAGATCTTTACCCAACAGATCTAAGAGCGCAGATTGATGAGCTCAATGAATGGGTGTATGAGACTGTTAATAGTAAGCAGATTATATTTGACTCAGAGGTTCTGTCTGATTTCGGTGCTGTAGACGGCGTGTATAGGGCTGGCTTCGCTGCCTCCCAGCAAGCATATGAAGCAGCGGTTTACCCTCTTTTCGAGTCCCTTGATCGACTCGAGAAGATCCTTCAATCCAAGGATTACCTCGTAGGGGACCGTTTGACTGAAGCAGACGTCAGATTGTTTGTTACCATCGTGCGTGCTTCTGCGTCAGTCGATTTTGTTTGGTTGTTTTGCTTGACCACGAACATAGATACGCTTCGACGTGGCCTACCACGGCATATTCAAATGTAATATTCGCGATATCAGGAATGGATACCCTGCCATTCATCTGTGAGTAGGCCTAACGTACTGTGCGAGTGCCTATTAGTCATCGGTCGTTTCAGGTGGTTAAGGAAGTTGTACTGGAACATACCCGCGTTCAAGGAGACGTGCAAATTCGACCACATCAAGGTCGGGTACTATGCTCACGACTTCGTGCGTTTTCACCTCGTCTTCTATCCAAGTCGTCTCATACCCAATCATCAACGTAGATAAACCCAGCAAAGATTGTGCCTGTTGGCCCTCTACCTAACATCCTGCCACTTTGAGTTCTACCACGGCTATGTACTATCAGTTCTACATGGGCTTAGCGTAGTCCCACCGAATTATATCATGTTCATTGATGTTGTCTGTGTCCACTACCTGTCTATGGTATCTTCTATGACCGGACATGGTACGGCGACTGTGAGGACTCTGCGTGAACCACTTTACCTGAAACGATCATAGATCGCCTCTACTATCACTTCGCGGAAGCATTACCCGACCCACTGACGCCATAGACCGCCGTATGATACTGGCACATTGTGCCCCTCAAGTCCATGAGAATTCCCTTCCTTCGTCTTGTTTCTCATATCTCCTTGCGTCTCAGTTCAAAACCTGTCTCACTGCCTCAACTCGCTCTCGGAACTTGTCGATACAGTAATCAAAGAAACTTCACCGTGACGATGGCTGCAAGGAAAGTTGACGAACAAGCAGATATTCACAAGATGAAGACGGAGCCAGACGGATCTTTCAAGAGGAAGCCTTCAGTGTTTAGGAACTTTATTGAGAAAGGGGGAACGTTTGCGCCTGAGAAAGGTATGGCCAACTTCTCCAAGTTGCTCAGCGTCAACATGGTAGAACTGACCTCCGGACATGTTCAGGACGTTACCACCTTTATGTTTCATATGCCTGTCGTATGTCTACAATATATTAGAATGCGTATGACAGGATTAGAGATACTATACAGCTTGGGCTACAAGAACGCTGATTACGAGGAAGCTCAAGGGTTTAGAAGACTTTATTGGTACGTCTGAGGCATATCCAAATACTACGCATATACCGACGTATTTATTTGGTGTCACCCTTAGATGTAACTGTTGTTTCACCACGAATGGGTTCGGAGGGCTGGCCTCTTGGCGATGTGGACGAATTCCCTGGTGCGACCCCCGATCCCCTATTCGGTGCGAAACACATCAAGGATCTGTACCTCAGGGTTAATCCTGATTATGATGGACGGTGAGCATGCTTTCTTTCGTCTACCTAATGCGCCTAAATTATGAAGCCAGGTTCACTGTCCCCGTCTTGTGGGACAAGAAGACGAACGCGATCGTCAACAACGAAAGTTCCGAGATCATTCGCATGTTCAATACCGCTTTCGATGACCAGTTGCCCGCAGACAAGGCTTCTGTTGATATTTATCCCGAACCTCTCCGGGCTCAGATTGACGAGGTCAATGAGTGGGTGTACGACACCGTCAACAGTAAGACCGGCCTACTTCGCTTCAGCGGTTTCTAATTTCTCCTGTACTTAGATGGCGTATACAAATCCGGTTTTGCCAGTACTCAGCAGGCCTACGAAACTGCAGTCGTCGCTCTTTTCGAGTCCCTTGATAAACTCGAGGAGATGCTGCAGGGTAAGGACTACTTGATTGGCGACAGATTGACAGAAGCAGATATCAGGTTGTTCGTCACTATCGTAAGTGATTCACTGGATGTTAATGGGTTCTTAAGATGAATGTGACTCTCACTCGCCTGGTCAGGTACGTTTCGACCCAGTATACGTCGGTCACTTCAAGTGCAACATCCGCACGATCAGGGATGGGTACCCTGCCATCCATCTGTACGTTAATATCTGTTGTCGCACTATCCTACGTCCTATTGACTTTGACGCTTTTCTTCAGCTGGCTTCGAAAGCTTTATTGGAACATACCCGCATTCAAGGAGACCTGTAATTTTGATCACATCAAGACGCATTATTACTGGTCCCATACTCACGTATGTCAGCAATAAACTTCACCCTTTCAAACACTGACGACAATTGACTGCATAACTGATTTCATTAGATCAACCCCAAGCGAATTGTCCCAGTTGGCCCTATCCCGAATATCTTCCCGCTGTGATTCTGGAGGAACTTTGCACAAATTGAATCAATGACTTGTATCGCTAGTATAAATGCAGATGTTGTATTGTATCAAGTAAGAACGTTGAGGTAGTGTTGCCGGAAAGAAAGAGCTGAAATTGGACTCAAACAAACGATCGGACTTCGGCTATCACTATCTTCTGCCAGTGTAACGTAATAACACATCCTTGCCCGCAACCACCACTTGAACCACTACGACCTTCAAATTTTCTGTTCTCTTTGGTTCGTTTAGTGACTCTTCCTCCTCCTGCTTCCTTTGGTATACGATACGTCATTGATGAAGGAGATCCTTCACACGCAAACCGTCGTTTCCAGACTCAATCTGACTCAATACCTGATCTTGGAGACATGAAAAATGACAGCGAACGGGTCATAAGCATTTGACTTAACATGTCTATCCTAGTGCTCACCTCTTTCACTTAATGGATGTTTTCCCAAGGAGAATTTGCGTGCTCTCTATTTGTAGTATTGTCTACGCGTCACGATGGTCCCGGAACGCACGTTGCTTCTTCGCTGCTTCTGATTGATTCAACATTTCCAAGGAACAATCGGAGAATGTGGTCGAAGCTGTTGGCCCTTAACGTTTCCTCAATAGGCCTTGTACCTCTCCATTAATTACGCATTGTATCCTGTGGGAAATTTGGGCTTATCGAAGATCCAAACATTCCATGCTCAAACCTTCACAGAGGATAACGTCAAATCGCAAGGGATTGCAGTAGCATCAAGGGCGGATGAAGCACATGCCATATTCGCACAGCGAATGCTCCTTGTTCGCTTTGCACTTATTCGGAATCTTGTTGGTTTGTAGAATGGTTTAGAACGAAAACGCGCTTACGTGTTGAGCTTGGATGGAACATGCAGACTCTAGCACGGTGCGTTCTAATCGATCGTATGAAGTACAAGGAATGCTGATATAGCATGCCAGATCATGCCTCTGATCATATCCGATTAAGAAATGCAGTCTCTCAAGGTATCATACTGCCGCTACCACATGATTGCGATTCATTCAAATGGGAAAACCTTACACTTGCCGTTCCTCCCATTCGACGTCCACCGAAACACGTCTCATCTGCATTGCTGCGAATCTGAAGGCGACAGTGGCGGAAGGCGTTTCCACTTAGAGTATTTTTGACCGACTAGGTGGTAAGATCTTTTGTCGGGCCTAGCCCGAGCCCGAGCTGCGCTGATGATAGAAGTTGCATGTGCGTTTTCTTGACCCAGCTTCACATATGATATGCTGTAACTCCGCTTGCGCCTTCCCCTTGTTCGTCCCTTCATGAGCCCAGTCCTCGTTTACGCTAACGGACTTGTCACTTTACCTTTATGTCAATTCCATTGTAAGTTGACCCACAAATTCATAATCGGCTGTACTGACACTGTAGTGGTCGCTTCACCCTGATATAGCGATAGGGTGGCTTATACTATTGCAACAGGTTCGTCTATACCTTCTATATTTGTGCATTGATTCCTACCACTGTGCTCTTCCCTCTAGCCTTAATTATATATGAATATTCCCTATCTGTGTCGAGAGAACGTCGCGCATTCTGGCGTAGACCAATCAAGATTTCTCCAATTTTATATCTCGTTATGCGATATGCATCTCTCTTGTCCCGCATACCTGTGCTTCTCGAAGGAGTCGCCCGATTTAACCCTACGAGCAACGCGGTGAGTCGTCTTTGGCAACTTTAAACTCTACCATGACGTTAAGTGTCAATGCAGAGGTTAGCTATTCATAGATCAATCAGGTTCTGTCTAATCTTAGGCACTTTCTCAGCTGCCTCGCTTCAGTGTGGATATACGAACTACTGTACTTCTCAACGCAGGTCACAGTTCTCTGTGAGTTGCTCGCCTCTCAACCATAACTCATATAAACTGACACAATATTTAGTGGTCTCTGCCCTGCGAATATATGTCGTGTTTTCTCTAAACTTTCGTCTCTTTACCATCATTCTTATACCTGGACTTCTGCTGCCTTGCGCTCACCTCGTGAGTACGGATGAGAACCTAATAATTGATTCTCTGACACATGATTAGTCTTACACGGCCATCTCAACAAGGATATTGGTTCATGATACAACGGGCACGCTCAACTGTTTCTTTCTCGACACACATGGCTCTGCCACAGGTGCAAAGGAAGTAGAAACGTGAGTGTACACACCATCTCATGCAGTAAATGAACTCGCAACTAAAATGCGTCTGACAGTGGTGAGTGAGCAGGTCAATATACTACGTCGTAACTTACCTATATCGAACAGCGCTGTACAGCTCCTGCTTCACTGAGTTTGCCTGCGATACTTTCGTCATCATCCTGTTATGGACGAGGACAATACAGATCTATAGAATGAGTTCGGACGCAAGGTTGAATTTGTCATCGGTCGTCAGAGTGCTCTTACGGGATGGTATGTTATCCCTTTGATTTTGCGATTTTGTGAACGTCAACGGAAGTTCATGTTGATCTCTCAGGAACGATTTACTTCTTGTAGGTGTAGACAAACTTAGATGTCTGCAGTTTTCTGAAAGGGTTTTCAGAGCAATGGTGTGCCTGGGCATACCCTTATTGTTGTCGACCAATCGCGAGCAGCCACTTTCACTACTTAGTGTGAGCTGGTACCCTCGTCAGCATGGTTTAATGTTACTGAAAACGCAATATCCAGGGATTCGGAGCTGCTGCGCTCGACCTGTCGATGGCGTGAGTCGCCTTGGCCGTACTGCTGTGCTCGTCCTCATTACATTCTACTACAGGCTGAGATCAATACTTGTCTGTCGGTTCATGCTCAACCTTCGAGAACATCATCATGGGGAGCAACAACAAGAGAGTAATACTGACAGGTCGGCTATGCAATTCGCTACGTACATCATGGGACCTCTTAGCGCTCCCATAGTGCCTCCCATACGATCAGAGTCATATGCAATGACACCGCTTTGAATTTCATCGCAAACAGAGATGATTGAAGGCGTCGAAATGCGGCATAAGGTCAATCCTTACATGTCATTTCATATTGAATATAAGGGAGGTGAGCCACTAGAGCTCGGGAGAAACCGGCGACTAGGCGACAACATAGTCTTTGGTTTTTATGGGTTCGATGGCCCGGGTCCTGCAGCCGCCTCCCTAATAGTCCCCAGACCTCAGTATACATGATAAAGAGATCTCTGGACTATTATTCCAATACTTGTCATTGGAAAATAGACGATATGAGCTATTTCCGAGCCGCTGTGGTGCATACAGCGGACACTCAGTTCACATATCGATTTGGTGCAGGAAGCAGGTGGTTAAGAGAAGAGAAGCCCTCCCCTTCTATCGTCCCGTTTTATGTGCTTCTAATCATAAGTCGGCAGAATTACGCCGTGTTCCTCATCATTAGGTGCAGAACTACAAGTACCTATTTGTAACAGATGGTCTCACGCAGTCACATACAGTCATGACTGCTAAGTCCTTTCGCTTCGTTGTTTGCTTAAGTCATGATCGGATGTGAAGTTCTTTCACAACTTGTATCTAATCATTTAGGAATGAAGGCCGTGTACGGAGGTGATTCAATTCGCCACGACGGGAGGAACGGTCCTATGCATCGCATATATCGACATCTAATCGTCAGCAACTTTACTTCAAGGTGTTACTCAGCATCGTGTCCATTCAACTGTAGTGTCACGAAGCCAAACATGCAGTAGGCCTGGAGTTGACTCGCCGACTTGTCCTACCTTATCTCTCCCCTCGATATACCTGCCAAGAACGAGAAGGTGGACTTCGTCGATGGTTTAAGGACAATCGGAGGCAATGGTAGTGCTACCGCTCGTGATGGATCGGCTTTCCACATCTACACCGCTAATGCTTCTATGGAAAAGAAGGCATTCGTTAATAGCGACGGCGACTTCCTTATCATGCCTGAGAAGGGCCGCTTGGACATCCAGACTGAGATGGGAAAGTGAGTACAGCGGTACCCTCCTGTAAATGGTTACTCACTGGGATTTCAACTATAGGTTGATGGTTCGTCCTGGAGAGATGGTAGTCGTTCAGAGCGGCCTGAAGTTCAAGGTAAATCCCTCGGAAATTTTCCACCTCATGATGTTACCTTCCGATGCACTGTAGGTCTCCCTTCCGGATGGACCTTCTCGCGGTTGTACGTGCCTATCTCGTGTATTATTAGATGAAATCTGATAGTCTGCTGCATTGCAGATGTGCGAGAGATTTATGCCGCTCATTTTGAACTGCCAGAGTTGGGTCCATTGGGTGCAACCGGCTTGGCCGATATGCGCGATTTCGAGCATCCCATTGCTGGCTTTGATATCGACAGAACAAATTGGGAAAGTGAGTAAAAGTACGAGCTATTCGCTCGTCATCTTCGGGCTAACTTGCATCTGTATCTATCAATCAGTTGTATACAAGTGAGGGGCTCAGCAATACTACACAAGTGCCTTCTAACATGATCTAGGATAACTGGACAACTTTTACATGCAAACAGGATCACACCCCTTTTGATGTTGTCGGATGGACTGGAAAGTAAGCCATCATCGTGCTGGATCTACTGGTGAGCAGTCTGCTGATAGGATATTCCTACAGTTACGTGCCGTACAAATACGCTCTAGAGAAGTTCAACATAGTCCGCAATACGAACAAAGATCACGCTGATCCCTCATCATTGGCTCTGTTGACTGCGAGGTCTAAGGTACCGGGAACGCCTTTGGTGGATATCTGTGTCATAGGCCCACACTGGGATGTGATGGATGGTTATGGACCCCCTGTGCGTTTCCTAAACTGCTCCATCACATAACCTTGCTAGACTAGGGAACAACAGTACTTCCACCGCAACAGTGCATGCGAACTCATTACCTTTGTCACCGTTCCTTCATCGGGAACTTTCCGGCCTGCTTTTGAGTCTGGTATCGTCAATTACCAAACGGTTTTCGCCCCTCATGGTCGTAAGTGTCCTACGCGTATACAGACCTTCAATTAGCTGACAGTGCATTATCTTCAGCGCTGGCAGCAGAACATAAGACAGCCGTTGAGGAGAAGTTAGGTCCGACGTACAACTACGATGGTGTCTTCGATTCGTTCTAGAAGTTGCTATTGGCGTTGCCTACAGTATTCTAACCCCACTACAGGCTTCATCATCGAACCCAGTTCGCCCTTGCTTTTCACAGAGTTCGCTCGCAAGTCGCCCAAGTTCAAAGGCAAGTACCTCCAATCGAGATGATGTGTCATGTTGCTTATTGCACAACTTTCGCAGAACATGATGTCGCTTTGTGGAAGGGCCTTGAGCCGACTTTCATGAAGCACGTCGATCAGGTCAATGCTAGGCTGAAAGCGGCCGGACTTCCCCTCTTGGTTCAAGGCAATTGAGGTCCGATGCTACAGCACCACGGAGCTCTCAATGTTGTCTTGACACCGTCGAGACACATCATGCCACCGTATGTGTCTTGTGTATTTACCAACCCAACAAGATTTGTAGTTCGCACGCTCGTCGATGAAGTAAGTATACGGTGCAGAACGTAGCATGGTAGATCACCTATTTCTTCCGTGCTTCTAATATGCCGTGGCGTGAACAAGGTGGCTCTGAATGAATCGCTCGTTAACCACTCCTCGATGATGTGACCATGTAGAAATGTACTTACGCCTCCGTCAATCAGAACAGTCTCGCCTGCCGTACGCATGAGAAATGAAATGCTACTTTTGGGGACGGTTGAATAAGACTTACCATTCACATACCAATTGCTAAGGTAAAAAAGTACAGCGGAGGCGATATCCCGATTGGATCCTCCGACGTTGCGCGGACCACCCAGTTCTACTGGCAACGGAGGAGTGGGTACCTTAATTGGGAGTTCAAGAGAACGATCTGTCCAATGCTCTTGACCGTAAGCATCTCGAGTACCAGGTGCGGTCAGTCCACTGGTAAAGAGACCTTCAACAAGCTGATAGTCAATACGTTGAAGCGTGTAGTTCTCCCTTACGAAGAATCCGTACCGGGAGCAATGCTATTGACTCTGATACCCAGGGGAAGCAGTTCGCGCGCCAAGATAGCTGTTGCGTGTCCAATTGCCGCTTTGGAGAACATGTACGGGTACGACCAGCCAGCTGTATCGCTGTCCTGGCAACGGCCAGGAATGAGATATGATTTCGTAGTTGACGAAAATGTAACCCAACCTTAGTCCAGCCATTAATACTGCTCGTGTTGATGATCTGAGGAGGGAATCGATGACCTTCGGTGCCGTATCCGTTTTCCTTCCACTTCTCGAGGAGAGGTAGAAACGCGAAGGATAACCAGTACGGACCATACGCGTTTACGCGCATGGTATTATCAAACGCTTCCTCAGAAACGCCATCGAAGAAAGTTGAAACGAAAGATGCTGCACTTCCTTCTTCGGGTCTGCCTGGTACTGTACCTTGCCCGATCCTGTACATAACAATGAACAGGCATAAGGCGATCTTATCATTAGTATTCACTCGCCTCTGGTACTTACCCTGCATTATTGAATAGGACGGTAACGTGGGGAACTTGCTTTGCAACCTCTTCGGCTAGTCGCTTGGCCTCAGACTGTACATCATAGGAAGTCACTAAAACTACGAATATTCTTAACGCTATTTGGAACGCACCTTCTTGCCCACATCGCCCACTATACCCTGCAGACGGCTTGTCTCACTGAAACTCTTGATGATGCTGAGGCTCGATGGTCAGCACGTCATTGGTAGCAATACTCAACGGCAATTTATACTTGTCTAGAGCATCTTGATCTCTATCAATGATGAACACTATGATCATGGTGTCAGTCGAAAGCTCACTCCAGACCTCGTCTGGATTTACCAGTTGCGCCGTTAGACAGCAAGGTGTGCGTTATCATAGCCCCAATGCCCTGTTAAATCAAACTTCACTTCGGCTGCTGCAAGACCGTTCGAATAGCCTACTGAGGCACCGCCAGTGACGACTGCAACCAGCCCTTGCAAGTCAAACAGCCTACTAGCATGGACGTCTTTCAAAATCGCATCCGCCATGGTACTAGTAGCCAATGAGTATCTGGTCGCAAAATATGAATGGAAGAACGTACAATATCAGTGCTTATCGTTCTGCTGTATTGTCGGTGGTAAGATGAAACAAAGTTAGAGAACACTTCAAGGCACAAAACCATGCTTAATATCCAAATGACATGCGTGTGACGGTGGATCAAGAAACGGGAGTAGGATCAGTGTAATCCTGACTATTTCCACTGGGCAACCCACGCTTTGAGTCGGCATCTCATTAGGCTGAAAATTCCATGAAATGCATGATCACTGAGTAGGGCAACTCCCGTCGTATCGGCGACATCAGCCTAACTGTTACTGTGAGAAGTAAAGGGCTTGGGCTCATGAGATGGGGGGTGCTTGGAGTATTGGGATATGTTCTCTCAGCAAGCAATCCCGACAGGGCCGGTTAAATGTGGTGTGTCCCCGCCATACTCGGGTCCAAGAGCGTCCCATTCCAACGTACAATAGCCGGGAAACATCCATTTGATACCAAGTGACTCGATAGGCATAGCACGGTATCCCTGGGTATGTGGCAGACAACTGAGGATGTCATTGAGAGCTCGAGAAGATGGCGAACCAGGCGATTAGCATCGCTATGCCTATATAAATTCCTGCCATTCCTCCCACCACAGCCCAGTATACTCGACGTTCCAAAGTGCTGCCTCCCACGGGAGCGATATACAACCACATCCATACGACGGCAAAGATACCTTCGCTGGTCCCGGGTTGCTTGTTTCCACGTGCCAAGGAACGCATCGCCACGATGTACTTTGCCATTTCCACACCTGCACCTATTAGAATAGGAAAGCGTGGTCTGAGCGGGGTTGGAATGAGATCCCAGACGAAGTACAGATAACTGCAGAGGAATGTCTCCACTCGAAAACGAAGGGAGTTCGAAGCAAAGCTCTCTGGGAAGAGCATTTTGCCTGATTGTGAGACATCAGTCTGTCCTCGAATGCGATGGTCTGACAGTCGCTTCGGGAGGTCAGGGCAAATCACAGACATACGACCTATTCCTAGCAGATCTGCGTGTCTTTGGGCCAATGCTGACGAGAGAAGTTCCAGTGTACGGAGACCGCCCGTAAGAAGGATGAGCGGACGATGCTCACGATCCCTGGCTTCGAGAACCTGCATTGCGCGTTGCGAGAAGTCGGCAAAGAGCGCTTGACGTTGAGACGTGGTTGGTCCCTTGTTATTCATGAAATCTGAGTCACGAATGGTCAGCTAAGTTGCTTACAGTGACAAAGAATGAGTTGCTGATACCTGGATGTTCGTAATCACCACCACTGACTTCTATGAAATCGACCATTCCCCAACTTGCGATCTCGATAACGTGGAGCAAGGGGCGCTCAAGGTCAGATTCCGATAGAGTCACATTGTCTTGTTTCTTGTTGACGTAGTCAGCAGCGTTCAGTTTGATGCCTATTACTAAATGATTTGAGGCATCTTCAGACTTTCGGATGGAAGTGACAATATGGTGGAGAAGAGAGAGATCTCCGTGTTTCATGGACCACTCATCAGTTCTTAGGTTGGCCTACAAAGTATGTTTATGTGAGTGAGTATAAGATGAGAAGATGAACTACACAAACCTTCGGCGACATGAACTGAGATAGAAGATCTAAGCCGAGCTATCGTCAGTACTTATCCTTAGCTGATACATAACGTACTCACATCCATGACCAGCATGTAGCTCGATTCCATCAAACCCGCTACGTGCGGCCAGTTCGGCGCCTCTTACAAAGGCACGAACTACTTCGTCAATGTCCTTACGAGACATCTCCACTGGTGCCTGAAACATCAATTTATGCAGCAAAGTACCAACAACGCCGATGTCTTCGCTTTTAGATGAAAGCTGTAAAGGGACAGCACTCGGGGCAAGCGGTGGAGAAAAGGGAGTTCTCCCTCCGATGACATTGGCCGACTGCCTACCACAATGAGACAGCTGCATGATCGCCAAAGGAGCATAAGGGGCTTGCGGTTGGGGTCCGTGAATAACAGTTGCAAGTTGTCTGAATGGCCGGATGTTTCCCTCCGACAAAGTGGTGGGCACCACCATGTCTCTACCAAGAGATAGGTGATCTTTACAAACTTGGACATTCCCCGTAATGATCATACCCCATTTCGCGTCCGCCCAACGACGGTAAAGGGAAAAATGAGCATCGTTTGGAGGTCCTCCATAGAAATCTGCGAGATGCTCATACATCGCTACCTGGATATAATTCATCACCAGGCCCGTTGGAGGGAGAATAGGGTATGCAAACCTTCACAAGTCTATTGGGAACTCTGCGGCCGCCAGGCAACTTGACTGAGGAAAGGATTTCGTCCAACAGCACATCATCGACCGTTTGACCGTGACGATGCTGTTCCCTTGGGACGGCAAGACCTTCGTCTGATTTTTCTTCTGACATCCGCGGTGAGTATCCCTGACGTGAATAGAGCACTAAGCAGAGCTATAGTGTCAAAATATCCGCGTCACGCTCGCAAATACTGTAGACATGCGGCTATGCTCGTCCATTGAACGCGGCGTTGCCAACGCGTCCATTTGAACACTGGAGAACGATTAGATTAGATGTCATTTAGATAGGTGCTGTAATTAATGACTTTCCCACGATTAGATGTCATTTACGGCACATGGTTACATGGTTAATCTCTGGGCCCTGTCTCGAACTTAATAGCTTGCCCCTCAACATGCTTTCAGGCGTTCTAAGAGCATTATCGTGAGTTTATCATATAGCTGACACACAGTCGGCTCCGATATATGTACTGAATGACTCCTATAGAGTTCTTTGAAATGCAACCGATGACGTCTGCATGATGTTCAGCAATGGCCGGGATTTATCTTCGCCAACGTATATAAAGACAAGGTTCTTGTGTGAGAGTTTGCTGCAGAACTTCGATCTGTATTAGTACAGTAAGTCATTTGGTCGTTTCACTTAGACATCTTCGCTTCTGCTAACTGATACGGGTTCTTCGATACCAAGTCTAACATGTCCGAAGTCCTTAAACAAGTTCATTCAAGTAGCCTCCATGACTTGCGTGGCGTTGTGGCCGTTATCACTGGAGGGGCCTCAGTCAGTTCCATGTTAAACGTTTATCGTACGGTTCATTTAATGATGTATCATCTAGGGTATCGGAAACATGATCGCAACGACCCTCCTGTCCAACGGTGCTACAGGTAAAGATATGGCACTTTGAATGTAGCTGACAATGTACTAAACCCATCCTTAAGTGTTCATTATTGATCGGAACCAAAGTCTTCTCGACAGGTAAGCTGCGTTCTGAGCCGCCACCCTAGAAAGGTCACTCAAATCGCCCGGTCCTAGCGTCACGAAGACGTATAATGACGCCGCACAGAAGACCAATTTGCCTGGTCGTCTTATTGGAGTCACTGGCGACATAAGCAAAAAGGTATGAATGTATCCGAATGTGAAGCCGGTCATTCATATCTGATCGCTATCCACAGTCTGAGGCAAAGCGCCTTGCCGAAGAGGTTGGCAAGCACACACCATATGTCACAGTCCTCTTTAACAACGCCGGGTATGGTTATCTACCATTTTTATTGATGCCTTATACGAATCTCCATCATAGTATTTTGGACGGCTGTTTTTCTCCACCAAAAGCAGCCAAAGCCGCAGACTTCGTTGACGCGTTCTTCAACAATGTTTCCGAAGAGGCATTTGACAACGTCCTTCATGTCAACGCCGTAGGCCCTTACTGGCTGACCTTTGCCTTCCTTCCCCTTCTGGAGAAGTGGAAAGAGCACGGATATGGCGAGGAAGGTCGGCGCTTCCCTCCTCAGGTTATCATCACCAGCAGTATGAATGGCTGGACAAAGGTTCGAAACTACATCACGATGTTTGACCAGCGAAATCACAATGCTAACTGTGAAATCTCTAATGTAGGACACTGATACTGCCGGCCGAAGTTACCCATATATTTTCTCCAAAGCAGCTATTGGCAATGCTACAGCTACACTGGCTCGTGAACTTCTGCCTCTCGGTGTACGAGTGAACGGAATTGCACCAGGTCTGTCTACACATGATTATTCACTTCATTGTACTAGCGGTTTTCGCTGACGAAACAAAACGTCTAGGTCTCTTCGTCTCTGGGATGTCTGTTCCAGGATCTACGGATCCAACTGGTCAATCTCATGCCAAAAAGGACCTCAGTCAATTCACATGCAAAGTCCCTGTATCCCAGCTTCCGGAAGAACTGGGTGGCCCTTCAAATGTGGGAGGGTCTAGGAGGGACATCGCCTCGTTAGTGTTATTCCTCCTCAGCAACTGGTTCGTGAACGGAGAGACTGTTCTCATTGATGGAGGCGTAAGTGCTTTTTGCTACATTGCATTCGGTATGCCAGGACTCACAAGTTTTGCAGACTTTGCTTGTTCACGCATCTTCGTACTAAGCAAACAATCCAAACAATGTCGTCTCATATGCTTTTCGTATTATCCATTTATACCAGACCGCTCCCCAATGTATCGCGTTAGAATCAGGAACAGCAGATTATTGCACAGCCAGGCTTGGGGATTAACAGTGTATATATTGAATAGCCAAAATTGATACAATACTTCTATGATACACAACAATGTCCAGCCCTACATACGCGCTATACCGCCGCCAAATGTCATGACCTCGCTGTCATAACTTCATAGTACGCCGTATACTCCTCTGGTGACATCAACTCTTGGTGTTCCTCCGTCACCTGAGAGAAGGGCATAGGCTGACCGTTTACTGTGAGATCGTCAGCACCATGTCACTTTGCTTGACGGGGCATTGTTTGAACATACCATAGACCATAGGATCTTCCAATGGTTCACCTTTAGCCTCCATCGTAGTCACATCAGCTTCGAACTCAACAGAAGCTTCTATATGAAGTGGACCGTTCGCATAGGAAAGCGGGCTAGGCGCATGTTCCCCATTCATCCTAGGAGTTTTAACAGGGCCACCAGCCCCAATGTCTTCCGCAGACCGAGATCGTTTTCGATATTCGTTGAGCGAGTCGAGGTACTCGATATTCGGTTTTATGTCTTCCTCTTCCTCACCAAAGTCACTTCCTAAGTCCCCAGTCAGTGGTGTGACTTGGGCAGAGGGTGCAGCCGAAGCTTCGAGGGAGGCATAGTACTGGTCGTAGTCTTGAAACGAAACCATGGTCAGTTATAATCTGGCACATAACAACCATACTTACAATCCGCCTCCCGGATTTGCGTTACATCCGGTTTCACGTCCTCGGTCCGCTGTGCCGCAGCACTTATAGACAGTAACTGAGCACTGGCAGCCGCCCTTCCCAAACCCCTCAGAATCGTGTCATTTGAATTCGGTAAAGTTGCAGCAGCAGTAACGCTACTGCTCGCTGTTTCTTCGATTCTTGCAGTCTCCTTGATACCAAGAGCCGTAAGCTCTCCAGAGATCGTACTTTTGAGATGCCAAGCGGGCAGAATATTCTGAGCTCGTTTGGCAGCCGCTTCTCTGTCACGTTCCAGTCGTTGTTGAGCTACGTCTTTGTCGACAGAGAGGACGATGCCAAATGCTTCTTCTTGCTTGGCCTCGCCTGATGCGCCTGCAATCTTGAGTCCAGCGCCAGCGCCGCCTTGGGCTGCTGCTCTTGCTCGTTCCGCATCGATGATGTTCATCTTAATCCATTGCGCAACGTCGAACCTGCAAAAGAGACGAGTCAACGAACAACACAAACATGAACGATAGGGATACGAACGCAGGTAACACCATTGTCTCGGTTCTCCGTAGACCTTCTCGGATGAACCTCATCTGTCGGTTGAATCGCTGCATCCTATCCTGGCTTCCACGAACGCTCTCCGCATTCTCGTTATCCACCAACTCCGCTTTGCAAACATCGCAAATGAAGGCTCCCATGGCAAAGTCCATGACCTTGTCTGCCTCGAGCGGCGAGTACGATTTGCCACACTGCGGACATATGTAGCCCTTATTGTCGAGCTCCTAGAAATGCTTACCATGTCAGAGGTCCCGTCCTGGCAGAAAAGGAGAACCACGACGCAGGGGATACAAACATTACGCAAAGTGGTATCAATCCGTCGACGCATTTCGGCCACACGCCATTTGACTACATTGCAGAAGTGCTGATAGTCGATGTAGAAATACTGTCTGCCGACGGATCGTTGTGCACCTTCCTTGAGCTCGTTCTGGCGATGACTGGTTCATAGCTATAAAACCCGAACGTTCTATAAGGTGAAGTCTTAACAACACGTACATGCGAACTAGTTTATCATTCTCCAGCACCGCCATAACTTTGTTCAGCTCCTTGAGCTGTAGTCCCATCCGGCCGGCAAGGTCATCGTCCTTGAGACTTCATAATGGTTCAGAGACAATGAAACAATTGACAAGAATAGAGAGATCAGACAAGTCAACAAAAAGAAACACCAGCACTCTCAGTAGCTGAAACTCAGAAGATTGAGGACATAACTCGCCGGTTTCATACTCACACTGGATGTCGGACTAGCTGATCCAATACAATAGTGAATCTCGGCTCGTAGAATGCTCGTGCGACATGTTGTACTAGCAGACGAAGTGTTTCTTGGTCCTCCTTGGACAGTGATGACATCTAATTCCCAAGCCTTGTTGGATGAAGGCCGGCGACCAGTCAGACTATGACAGACAGCGAGTAGAGTGTGGCTAAGACCCGCAGGTCAATAACGAGGTTTTGAGACGTCTAAGACCGAAAAGAGGAGAAAAGAAGGTGGTGGTAGAAAGTCAAGAGGAGGTTGTGGCCATTGGAAGCTGACTCAGACTTTGTGACGCTAGTAAGAAATACGCGCCTAGGGCTCAAGCCCCTCCTGAAGTTGACCAAGGAGAACGTCAATTGTATAATACAAAATGAATTCCTTCCTATAGACGGAGAAAAATACAAAAAGGGTAATCATGCATGCTGGTATAGATTATAGGGTTATGAGAGATGATTAGAGCGCGTCACAAGGGTCCAGAGATGCAAGAAGAAAACTGAAAATCATGCAGCTTAAGCTGGTGCGCGTTCAGGGTCATAACTACGACATCCCACCTCTGCCAACCATTTCAACCTCTCTCCCTCCCGTCTACACATCAAACTGTTGCCCGTTCCCATACACTTGCCACTTGCACACCCTGAATTCTCGCCGCCCTTAGATACCGCCGCCATGTTGAAACCGCCTAGCGCACCTGGACCCCCAAACGCCATGCTTGCCGGGTCAGGAATGCAACCAGGTCCCGAAGGTGTGGGCGCGAGGCGAGGAAGAGTGGATGATGTCGAGGCAAAGTTGAATATTCGAAGACGTTGGGAAGTAGATAAATGGGGTGCAAGGAAAGAGAGGACGTGCAATTGTAGTTCGATTGGCAACCGTGGTGTAAGGGACGGGTAACGCGTGGTGGAGTCATTGCCGGAAGTCCTGAGGAGAACCGACCGCGCATGCCGAAGTAACACGAAGGCATCTTTCTCCGTCTTCCTCCTCAACCCATCGTTCCGCGAGAGCGCTGCTTTGAGACGAGCAGAAAGTTTCTGCAGAGCCTCCGCACTGTTACGCTCCTCAACGTCAGTATCTGCCTCGCCCTCCTCAAGGCCATTGGCGAACAAGTCGAACTTGAGCAGGGAGAAATTGCTACGTTCCACGGTCTCGATAATCTCGCGAACGCCACGGACGCCGAGTTTATTGCCACTCGCCCGTACAGTGTGCGCACGACACCGTGGGGAGGAAACAAATTGAACGATGTGAGGCACAGAACCATAAGTAAGGGTAGCCATAGAAAAATGAATTTCTTGCAGTGTTGGGCTGTCGAGGGTATTCAGCAGGTGAGATATCAAGGCATCGCCATCACCACGATTTGTGGAGAATGTAAGCATCGCGACTCGAGACGAATTCAGGGCTTCTACAAAAGGAATAACGTCGTCTTGAGCGCCGCTGAAAGCATTCTATCAAGGGGACATTAGGAGGCCGGTTCGAAGATATCTTCGGATGAACCTTTCGGCAACTCACATATTGCAGCCAAAGTTCTTTGAGGGACGTGTTGCCTCTGATGTATTCACTGATAGCCAAAAGCGAGCGATCACGGAGATGGTTGTGCACCAAGCTGATATCTGTGATCTGGTACTTCCGACCTTCTGACGAACACAAATACGAGAATAATTCAATACAGCCCTCGTCTCCGAGATGGTTATGACTGAGGGCGAGCGTCGTTACTTGTTTGCGGCATGAAATTGCCGCAATGACCTCCCGGGCACCTGGAGCAGGATAAACAGTTACCAGTAATGTCAACGGAAGAAAACCGATAAACATACCTTCGACTCCGGTCAGCCCAGCTTCTGAGAAGCTAACCTGTTTACGGCTGAGCAGAGAGACATGGTTCGGGGTGGGCTTCTGAATAGCTGGTGGCGTCATTGGTGAATCTACAGAGAAATTTACCGGCACATTTGTTCTTTGCTTGGTATAAAACCGAGGGAGGCAAGATGCCGTCCGACTTTGTAAGATATCCGGCAAGGATTTTGACCCGTTATGATGACTCATAATCTTATCAGATTACGATAAGATTAGATAACTCATCACAATTAATACAAATATGCTTCGTTGCCCCCGCATCTTCCCAGAATTCAGAAGCTCTTACTCCTCAACCTTCTGCTTCATTGACCATATCTGTAAGATTTCCAACAGGCAATATGCATACCTTGGGAAAGGCCAAGGATATCTTTCTCGTCTAACCTCTGCCCAGAGAGTAATCTCTAGTTGTTTTTGTTTCCAACTGGATTTCTGTTTTGCGCAGCCATGAAACTCACGTAAGTTCAGGCTGCTCCTGATTACGTCCCTGATCTTCAATTCTCCTCCCAGGTGACCATTAGGCTCCACCTGGAACATATACACTAGGACTAGATCCAGGACCGGTCCATGTAAGGTATGGACTCAGAAAACTTTCTGTCAATCCGTCAAGCTTCCGGGAATTCATATGCAATACTGGTTCCTGTCTTGAACGTTCCCTAGGAGATTTGTTTCGTTTTCGAACATCTTGCGCCGGCCTTCGCTCTGCAATGTTCATTGCAACTCTATCCACTACGCACCTGAACACAGCCCCCGCGCTCCGCAACGCGTTTCAGCTATGCAAATCCTTTCACGCGCATGTCCTCGGATCCGTTTAGAACCTGATCGTCATTTGTCAACGAAATCATCTGTTATCAGGACATTGATGACCCCTGTTCATGGTTCCCGCGCAGACGGAGTTTCTCCCTGCACTAAGCCATAAATGCGCTCCTTATAATGCCGCATTGCCGCATTGCTTGCAGCCGTAAGTCGATATGAGCTGGATGTGATTGTTGTACTCCGGTGCGATATTGTTCGTTCCTGTGTCTGGCTGGGTTCGATAAGAGCTTGTCCTTGATAACCGTCTCATTACCTGTTGCCTCTCTTCCGACATCGAAAAACGCTTCACCTCTTGTACCCCTCGACGCCCAGGCATGTCTGACTCTCCGGATGTTCAAGACGAGATCTTCGCCGCCTACCGTAGGCTGTACGTTCCATAAAACCCTTTGTCGATTTGATAGGAAGTTGGAATCATGTTCGATCCTCAGGTATATCGAAAATTATTGTATCGTCGCATCTTCCGGTGAGCATTCGACTAATCTAGATCGTTGCATTGGCGGATCTTCAACACTCAACGCTACAGTTTGGCTATTTTATGACACGTTAGCCACCTTTCCGAAGGAGGTGCAACGTATATGGAGCCGCAAGCTGACGGGCGCAACAGCAATCTACTTCCTCACACGCTACGGCGCCGTGGCGGAGCGAATCACTCTCATGGTCAGCTTGTTTCTGAAGACTACTACAGACAGTGTATGTGTCACGATACTCTTTACACCGCTTTTGATATTCACAAATGAATTCGACAGCGGTAATTATCTTCATTGCAGACTATTTGAAGTGCACTAATTCAGGTCTTGAAAGATGTGTGCCGGTTTTGCGCCTGGATGACACTCTTACAGATCTTAATTACGCTGCGATTGGAGGTATGACGCTGGGCTATACATCTTCTCTCAGGCTAACCGTTACCTTTGCAAGGCTTCACCGCTCTGCGGTTGTTCGGCATAGGAAGCGGTACTTGGTTGCCATTGGTGGCTGTTGTTATCATCTGGACTGCAAGGATAGCCATAGCTGTGGTGAGTCAGTTTCGGTACAGGTTGCGGGCACATTCTCTCTTGACCTCTTGTCGTAAACCAGTATCTGCAAGTCACTTATACACCTATTGCATTCGGCCCACCTTTATTCGGTTGCGGAGCATTGTGGAGCACGTCGTTCAACAAAATCTATGCGTAAGCACATTTGTCGTCCGATGCTTTGCGAACTGCTCAGTGCTCATATGATGCACTTGCTCAGTCGTTAGTGCAAAGCCCGTTTCGACATTCTTTTTTGATCCTGACATATCCGTTAGTCGATACTGCCGTCAACTCTTTGGTCCTAGCCTCAGATGTCCTTCTGTTGGCTATGACATGGGTGAAGACTTTCAGTATTCATCGGCAGTCGCGTCAAATCGGTATTCATACACCTGTGGCCGCTCTAATACTTCGCGATGGTTAGTCTGTTCATGCGTCCATCGAGAAAGACGCATTATACTTACGGACTCAATAATCAGGCACCATTTACTTCGGGTAAGCTCATGCTGGTGTTTTTGAAACTTAACTCACCAGGATCTAGAGCAATCCTCGTGGTACAAATCCTCGCTATAGTTTCGAGTCAGGTATGGTCATAAATAGCTCACTCATATCGTGGCTCATCCTCGTTCCAGCAAGGCTCGGGGTTTATTCTCTGGGATGTCTGGGTATATTTCGCTCAAATGTCAGACTATTTTCTGTTCCGCCTATTTTCTCATTCTGATCGCCGTGTTCTCCGTTGCTCCCAGTGTGACAGTTATCTTCTTGAGTCGATTCATGCTCAACCTTCGCGGAGTCTACCTCAAGTCTTCCGGTGGCGAACTAACATCAATCTTCGCTGTGTCAGATGTCCAATTCGCCACTAACATTGTTGGCAACCTTGGTGCACCCCTCGATGTAGGAAATACCGCGACATCCACCACAGTCTCCGGAGAAGACGGTTGGACTAACAACTATGATTCTGATGCAGAGGAAAAGCCGGAGCTGTCGAGTAATCCGTTGGCTGTTGGTGTCATTGCGCCTGCTGAAGAAGTCGAGATGCACCCAACAGAGTCGGGACGTCAATCTCCTAAAGCGCCAGAGGCGTAGGACTATATTTCCACAGTATCGCATCTAATATTACGACCTTCGCCCGTGGATCTGAGTCATGTATCACTTTGTGGGTACCAACCTTTCTACGATTGCTCAACTTCTGACATCAAATCATGTTCAGGACGTTAGAGCTTCATTCTTGTATTAATACGCTATTCACGACTATCGTAGTAAGAACTACCATACGTTTATCGGAGGCTGACGCTGCTGCTCGATCAAATCTACAGCCATGCAAAATGCCCCTGTATCACTGTATGCAGGCCAGGAGTTTGATTCAAGTTAGTTCTCTTGCCCTCTTGCTTATTGTGTAAGCAAGTCTTGGTCAGTGATCCTGCTGAGCTATACTTTATGCATGTGGTATGCATGTCGGTCTTCTCAGGCTTTCTTCTCAGTTATCCATAGTGCGTCGTTTCAGTCTGTACGCTCGCAGGTTTGTTTCAGGGATCAGACATACGGTCCGGCCCGGTTCATTTGTGAGCATAGTATGAGCAGGATGTCTGATCATGATCTATTCTTCCGCGTTCTCAATTGCTGACTGAGCAGGTTGAGAAGTTACGGGTTTCAACCGTAGAGACTACTTATACTTAGCAGCCGTGAACACAGGTGTGAGATCGTACTGATTTCCCACCTTCGATACATCGTCTAACACAATGTCCGTCCCTCGTTTCGAGCTGAACAACGGCGTCGAGATCCCAGCTATTGGTATGAGTTAATTCAACCCTTCTAGCTTTATGAAAGCTGCTGAACCGTATCTCTTTGCAGGCTTGGGATGCTGGGCTGGCATGACAAAGGAAGAACGCGCCGCAGGATGGAGCTGGTTCTTGTCCGCGATTCAGGTAAAAGATAACACTCGACTGTTGTGCATCAGAGTTTATGTCCATGTCAGAATGGTTACAGGCACTTCGATACAGCATATCTCTACGGTAGGCTTCGCCTTATCGCGTTGACAAGCAACTCGTATATTCATCGCAAATAGGAACTGAGGCTTCCCTTACCAAAGCTATAAAGGAGTCTGGCATCTCGCGCAAGGAGCTTTTCATCACAACGAAGTTGCCGTGAGTCTATCCTCTTAAGTGTATCAATTAATTAGATGGCATGTTTGACTGTACGATAGATGGGGCCACATGGGTCGTGTTCAGGCATCAATCGACGAGAGTCTGAAGAATCTTGAGACCGACTATGTTGATCTTGTACGCATCCGTCCTTTGCGTTCCCTCCGAATATTACTGATTTACCAAAATCCAGTATTTAATACATTGGCCATTTGCTGCGAAATACGAAGGTAAACATTTTACCGCAGACTCTGACAAAACACTGTAGGAGTAATCTTGGTGACGGTTCATAGAGGGCAACCCCTGGCCCACAACCGCTAATGGGGACCTGGTTGCCGATGACTCGGTTACATTCAATGAGACGTGGGCAGAAATGGAGAAAGTCCTCGCCAGTGGCAAGGCCCGAGCTATTGGCGTTAGCAACTTCTCGATCAAGAAGTCAGTTCTTTCTGCTTCGACTGTCATCATTTCTTCCGATGGATGTTCTGAATGAATTATGTGAATTTGAATAGTCTCAAAAGACTCCTTACTATAGCCAAGGTGGTTCCTGCTGTCAATCAGGTCGAGTATGTCACATCTTAAAATATGGCCGAACTACATTTGGAACTAAACCCCGTTCACACAGGCTACACCCCTACCTTGCACAGCCTGAGCTGAAGGCATTCGCTGACTCAAAGGGGATCCTCCTGACCGCCTATACACCCACCGGTAAGATCTTCATTCCGTCACACCTTTTTTCTCTAACAGCTATATTTGCAAGGTTACGCAACTGTTCGCTCAGACCCAACTATCACCGGGCTCGCGGGAAAGTATGCAGTGACTCCAGCTCAAATCATTCTGGCGTGGCACCTTTCTCGAGGTGTCGCTGCTGTTCCCAAAAGTACAAACAAGGAACACCAGAGAGAGAATTTGGAGCCTTCTATGCTTTCTGCTGAAGATATTCAGAAGATCAATGCACTTGATAGGAACGAGCGATTGTGCAACAAGGCGAACGAGAGGGGCGTCGTTTACGGTTGGACATACGAACAGCTCGGGTGGTGAACTATGAATGCATTAATGTGTGATTTCACTGAATGCAGAAGTTCTTTTTGCCATTATGCAATTATCGTACCGGCCCCGCCGGCTTCGAATATCTCTACATATCCTGTATAAAAATGTCCGCCTTATCTGCATTCAGCGTCCATCCCAGAAATGATCCGAACATGGATCATACATCTCGACGTCTTCGATTGTTTGATCAGTCCAATTTGAATACTGACGTTGACCGTGTTGTGATCTTCGTGACAGGGAAGTGGGGAGACTTCTGACGAAGAATGCGACTGTTTCCAATGTTGGACAATACGCGCCCAAAGCCTGAGCTACGGTGTACGAATCCCCAAACTGCGCGATATCCAGGTCAGCATAGTGGTCATTCCATTCATCCAACGTTGGGAATCCATTCTCGAAGAAATGAAGAAAATATGTAGTGGGGTCGTTTTCGTATTTATGGCTGAAATTCCAACCAAGGTGCTTCAGTCGACTGAAGTTCCTGAGGTGTAGAGCGTATACCCATGATGGATATGGCCAAGTGGTTGCATTGTCTTCGATATTCGTGCGATAGTGTATTGTGAGGGATATCAAATCGGGGAATGTCTCCGCTATGGTATCCAACAGCTCCGGCTCTGCATACTGCAAGCAGTCCAGGGCGAGGTGCTGCACTGGTGCGTCCCGAAGAACGTTGAGAAGATCAGAAAGATCGTGCTCGTCTAAGAACCCATCTAGTGTGGCCAGCTTGAAGTGTGTCAATCGCAATGGTTCCAATCTCAGGGTTTTCGCGGCATGCATCCAGCTGATGAGGTCATCGAGCTCCTCATAATGAATTGTATAGACAATAAACCGTTCCAGGGTTAGAAAAGGGTTGATACGCCCTTGCAAGATTGACGTTGGGAGAATGTGCGTGTCTGGCGTCTCCATGTCTACACCTATGTGAAGGGAACGAATTGCAGGTAAAGCCGAAACAATCTTCCATGCTTCCTGGACATCCAATGCACTGATTATAAGGGACAAATGCAAGATGTGGGTCCAAAATTGCCATCCCGGATCAAGCAACCCATTCGTGCAAGATATGATTTCCAATGAAGTCAGTTCTTCGTGCTGCAAGACGGCCATGGCAAAGAAGTTTGTAAAATGCCAGTGGTCCACGGTAACCTTAGTCAACTGCCGAATTCGGGAAATGACATTGCTAACGCCTGTGCGAAGAGGACGATAGAATGCAGCGGCCTTGCGGGCATCATCGAAAAGAGATGGGCGAAAGTATCTGGCTTTCCACTCGTCGCAGATGACGAGAGTCCGAATGTTTCGAAGAATGTCGTCTCGTGAAAGCAAATAATTAATCTCTGCCAGCATGTCGGAACGTGAGGCACGAAGGATGCTGTCGATGCCGTGCTTTTCCCTTAGCATTTCACGACGTTTCCTTTTGGATAGACGCAAGGAATACGTCTGGCAGGCGAAGGAGTCAGGTCTATGGATAGAAAATGTGAAAGTCGAGTGTTACCGAATAGATGTAGTTCACAGAGATTTCCTGGAACATTTTACAGGTCGAGCCCAGTCTCCGGGCTTCCTTTTTATGACAGAATTGCATGATACGGTGAATCAGCTCAGGTGGTAGATGGCCTAGACAGAGCTTCTGAAATCGAGGCGACCACTCGCGAATCACTACTCTCATGTCACCTAAACGGCATTTCAGCATAGAACAATATTGTGGAAAGAATGAAATTCGGTTACTAGTCATTATAAGCAACATGCTAAATGTCCACGTATTCTTGATTCGCCACTTTGCCAGGAAATCGTTGAATAGAGCTGGGTTGATCACGTACTCTGCCATCTTGACCGTATCGTCTTGAGCTTGAGCCCCAACAATCTGAACCTCTTCAGCGTGTCTTTCCAGTACCGTCATATCGTTTGCGAATTCCGTCCAACGTTTGAGTATGGATATGTAACGCCGCTGATGACGCCCTGCGAGGTCCAGTTCACCCTGAGGCGTGCATGAGTCATCATGTCGAAAACACAAGGGTGAGGTATTACGGAGACGCATACAGTATAAAAACCATGAAACGTTTTGAAAAAGCGAATAAGTCTGGTTGCAGCAGCATTATCCGGTATGTCAGGCAGGAACGAAAAACTTGAAGTTTTGATACTGGGTAGGATCCTTTCACTGGAAGCACCACGTTGATGACATTGATATTCATACAAACGATTTTCCATTTCTTTCCTTTCGAAGAGGCGGCATCCTGTACTCCAGGACTTGTGGTCTGCAGTCCATATCAAAATGAGTCGAGAATCTTGTTACCACTTGAACAAACTGTGCAATACTTGCCCAACGCAGCAAGTACGCCGTCTCTATCTTCTAGTTCGTAATATCTTTCATCTTCCGAGTCCATGGTAGATGTTTACTGAGCTGAGTTGGGTCTCCACGTTGTTTGCTCCAAGGCACAACGTTGTGAAGGGGCTATAGTGACCAATTCGGGAATGTCCTGAGGCCGTTCCACGTCAGGCGAATAGCTTGGCTGAGTCTCCAACCTTTAGAATATTCGAAGCTCAGAACAGCAGAGTAATGCTGCTCATCGTAAATTTGACAATTCGATGAAAGCAAGCGAAAGTGAATAGGTAGGTATTGTGCAACATGTTGGCGCCATCATGATGGCCGGGGAACTTGAAAGACCATATTAGGACACCGGCGTAGTTACTAGTCTGATACCGAGACTGGCCGAGAATGCCATATGAGGTAGGTCTCTCGCCGGGCTAGACCGGAATGACGATTGCACGTTCGAAAGGGAGCAGCCAAGAGAATAGGAAAATCCAGGCGAGGCATTGGGGACAGCCTTTCTTATCTCTTTCTTTCCTACCTTCACGACCCTTACGACTAACACCTTCAATGGAAAGAGGACCTCCAGTGATATCCTTGCTCAAGACCGTATTTGAGGTAAGCGCATATCGCGTGACTACGTAACGTCAAGAAATAGTGAAGTCATTGATGTAAACGCTTCTAGTCTATTTTTGAGGTATTTCTGCTTTGTCTTGCAGGGTACATCCTCGCGAGAAGAGGGACGCTCGACCGGGTAACGCAAAAGGTGTGTGGCGAACTATTGGAGATGAATGCACTCTCATATTGCTTTTCTAGAAACTCAATCGACTAAATGTGTCCCTATTTACACCTGCACTGCTATTCTCGAAAGTCGCTTTCTTTCTTTCTCCAGGTATGCTATAAGGTTTGCCCTGAGGCTTCAGACAATCTGACGGCGATTTCGTTTCTAGAGAAACTACGTGAATTATGGGTCATTCCAATCGTGTTCTTTGTCACCACCATCGTCTCGATGATTGCGGCGTTCCTTCTCGGCTGGCTTTGCGGACTTAAGAGATCTCAGCGGTGAGTACCTTTCTCTTGTTCTAAAATTGCCTATTCTTTTTCCGCATAGCTCTTGGCATATCCGGGCTGCTTTGTTCTCCGAGCGATGCTGTGTTGTGATCATCGTACCGCAGCTACACTCAGGACTATACTCCTTTCCGTCACAGCTATACATCCGAACCTGTGCCGTATCCTTGAGTCTCGCCACACTCGTCCGCTTCTGCGATTTGCGTTATTGAGGCAACTTTCACGATCTCAGTATATTGTCCGAAGAGGAGCATGTCGTTCCGAACCCAAGTATAACTTGTTTGGGAGCTCTGCATGGGGCATCGTGTTTTTCCTGTGACAAAGCCGCAGAACAAGTTGTACACTTCAGGAAGCTACGTGACTTAGATGGCCCTTTGAGCTTGTCCTTTTGACCCATTTCGCAATTCAAGGCATTGCCATCGCTTGCTCCTGATTTGCCTTACTGTCGTCTCGCGGCTTACTGATTCATTATCTGCAGCTCATTCGCAATAGCATCTGCCATGTTCATGAACTCCAACTCGCTTCCAATTGCTTTGATGCAGTCCCTCGTGGTCACTGTGCCTGGACTTAAATGGGGCGACGATGACAATGAGGATGCCATGGTTGGTCGCGCGCTAACATATCTCGTGCTCTACAGTACGCTCGGCATGGTGGTAAGTACATTTGGCTCGATCGCTGGTAGTCAATCTAACAGACATCTAGGTACGTTGGAGTTACGGCGTTCGTCTCTTGTCGCAAGCAGACCCCGAGGGGGTGGAGATACACGAAGAGCCACAGCCGACTGTACATCGTCCTTTGTTCGACCGTGACGAGGTTCCTTTCCCGCCTGCTGAAGCCGAACAACGTATTCATCGTCACGAAGGTGGACTCCCCATCGTATCGCCTGCTGAGACACCAACAGACACAGAGTGCCCGAGTATCTCAGTCCAAGGTCCTCAGGATTCGGCTCCCAAGTTTTTCTACTCCTTCCCTAACTCGCCGTCGGTACATTCGACCAGGCTACCGCAGGGTTCATCATCATCGTCTGTGTCTATGAACAACGGCGATGAGGAAGAGGAAGGCGAAGAGAGAGTTGAAGTAGTGCAACAACGCAGACGTGACCCCATCACGCCCACATCATCACGATTCCAATCGTACATTCGTCGCTTCAAGCATCGGTCAAAGAAGACATTCAGAACATTTAAGGAGTTTATGACTGTTCCACTATGGGCTGCGCTGGCCTCTCTTGTCGTCGCATGTATACGACCTCTCCAGCACATCCTGGAAGTACATGCCTCACCCATCAAGGGTGCTCTTAACGGGGCGGGAAATGTCTCCATTCCAATGACCCTCGTTGTCCTCGGAGCATACTTTTACACTCCCCTATCTGAAGAAGAAATAGAGGAACGAGAGCGTAGTCGCCAAGCTTTGTTGGCTGGGTATCAGCATCATTGTGGGCTTGCGGATACTCGAGATGCGGAGGAGGGTAGAGGAAGACGACGGACTATCAGCACGAAGTTGTCGCAGATGAGTCTAGTGGATAACGTGAAGGAGATGTTCAAACTTCCGACAAGAAGAAAGTGCACGAGTAGAGAGAGGAGTAAAAAGAAGGAGGAGGGTCGACCGGGTGAGACGAAGACAGTGGTGATTGCGATCATGGCAAGAATGGTGATCACGCCGTTGTTGCTTTTGCCAGTGATGGCGGTTGGTGCTAGGTGGGATTTGCAGAAGGTGTTCGAAGAGTATGTCTTTATCATCTCGTCTCTTCGTACCGAGACTTAACTGATCATTCTCTTTAAGTCCTATATTCGTGGTGTCGAATGTGTTACTTATATCCTCCCCACCGGCATTGACGCTTGCTCAAGTGAGTATCTATCACTCTTCTTCATGGGCTCTTGCTAATAGTTGTTTGTAGATCACACAAGCAGCTTCGGGCGACGCCTTCGAACGACTCATCTCTAAGACCATTGTTTGGTCGTACTGCGTGGTTACCCCACCAAGCACGATCGTCTGCGTAGTCCTTGGCCTCCTGCTCAGCAAGCTTTGAAGGCATCTCGGACCTGTTTCACAAATACCTTCTGCTTGTCACCTCCATCTAACCCATTATCCCTCATTGCAATATCATCGGACTATACACGATTCTCATCTACCTCATCTGATACATTTATCGTCCTCTTTTTTTCTTGATTCACAATGACCTATAGACTGCATTTCCACTGGGCTATATCATCTCACGTCTTATATACTAACTAGCGATGCGATTGTACATCTACTGTATTCATTCATCTACTCGTTTCTCTACCCGTTGTTGTTTTCGCTAGGTTACAGTGCTTTTGTATATACCGTAGTGGAATCGCATGCAGGATGTTCCCCAATCGGACCTTTATGATTTTTCACAATTGTCTGCGTTGCTAGCGCTTGATCTTGATCAATCTATATCCTCCTCCTGCCACTGGCGATATCCTTCGCCTACGATTCCCTTGAGAAACGGTCTGGTTACCAGCTGTCAACGTTTCGGTGTACGAAGGAACGATTTCTTCGAAACGACCCATATCTACCAATTGTTGGTAAGAGGCCACCGATTGGCGGATCGAACACAAAAACTAATACCATGACACTTGTAGTACTTCTTGGATAGAATTGCAGGCTTGAACTCATGGCGCAAGTAAACACGTTACGCCTTGACAAACTACCTCCCGAGTTGCTCCATCACCTCATGCAAGTCAGCTACACCAGTGAAGCTCGGCGGCTTGGATCTTGCTCTCGACTGTTCCGCGAAATCTCCCTTTGTTATATTCATGATGTGAGTGTACTTCTTCCTGCCTACATGAATATACTGAATGTACCCTGCATCTCAGACACACCATGTGGGCATTTTCAATGTTGACCGCTGGGACACGTATCCTGGTCTGCTTCTAGAGTCACCTGCGCTCTGGGACTATGTAATGAACTTTCTTATGGATTCCTGTTACGTGTGTGATGACTACCTTGATTACCTTTCGTCCCGTCCGGATATCCTCAGGCGAATCCGAACGCTTCTTATCTCCGACGAATGGTCAGAAAATGTGGCGATATTCAGAGGAACTCACTACTTCAGGAATCGTTATCCTTTCGCGGATGAACTGATGCTAACTGTCGTCGCCGATTCCATTAACCTCACGCACATTTCTATTCGTTTCTGGCACCTTACGGAGGACTTCCTCACTATTGTGTCACAGCTGAAGAATCTCACTTCCATCGAGTGTCGTATGTGCACAATCTTTCCCAACTCGCTGGGCTCCGTTCCTTCGTTGTCCGTGTCTCACCTGGCCGTTGGATTGTCGGGAGAGTCGATGCAGAGAGATATCTGAATATCCTTCCTTCGTGTCCAAAGATACGCAGCCTCACGATCTACGGCAACAAACCAGGGATATACGATGATACACACGGCGTGCTCCCACCATCAGAGGTCCTTACTCTTGCTGATCCTCTTTCAAAACTGGAGAAGTTCATTGCGTGTGTTATTCATCAGCAAGATGTTATCCAACTCATAACGTGGCTGAGCGTAGCCAAACATGGGAGCCCTACCAGGTCTCTGTCGTTCACGCACTTCAAGCTGGGTTTAGATCCTGGGCCTACAGGTATTGGCATGACAAAAACCTGGTTGCTTGACCTCGTAGAAGCACTCCGAGGATCTCCCATGCGGCATCTTGCCCTGGACTGGGTCGACTATGCAGAACCCGATCTCTTCGGCATCATTGCTGCTGCATTCCCCAACCTCGAGTCCTTGACATTGTATTACATATCGCCAGGACTGGAGAGGGACAAATTTAATGCCGCTTATCGACGTGGAGTTGGGTGGCCGCATTCAACTGAGGAGTACGCACTTCAACTACGGAACTTCAAATGCTTGAAGCATCTCGCGTGGAACCTGGTTGAAGCCAACAAAACCTATCACCACTGGACGCATTACAACAAGCCCGGTTCCAATAAAATCGCTGCTCTTCAGGTATTCCTGGAGCAATGTCCTTCATTGGAAGTGGTTGCGGTTTTCAATAACACTACAGTGTGGCGTGCATATCGTAAGTGGTGCGTAGACGGACATCCATGTTTTCAAAGGGATGATCCGGAGGCAACGTATATAGCTAAGCTGTATAATCCATGTCCTCCCTATTCATTCTGGCCTGACACATAGCTTTTCATTTTCCTATCAACTATATCTATAAAACATGAAGCACAATAGATATCAGAAGACTTCCCAGTACATAAGTTATCATCTCGTCTAACACCTAGGCTTCGTTTGAATATATTACTGTTACTGTAGAGACCTTACGTTTTAACCAAGGTAGTAAGGTTCGTATTGATGTCATTTTTGGTTGTCGAGCTCCACAACCTATTCTTGCACCTCCCTGGTCAAATGACTGTACACCTCAAAGCAGAGTCAAGCCAAATCAAGTCATGCGGAGATGAAAGTACACGGTATCCGTACCAGGTGGAAAGATGAAAGTCAGTACTAAGACATATTCCCCTGCGATAATGAAGGAAGTACGGGACCTCATGGAAGCTCACATGCAAGGTGGGGCGGAGTCGCAGTCCTTGAAATGACCATATCTCTGTGTTGTAGCGGCGTCGTTTATACTTACGTTGGAGTATTGGGCACACAGGAAACAATATATCTGGCAATGCGTTCGAACAATGTTTAAAAGGCTCAAATCTGTTTCGTTGATCCATTGTCTTCAATGGCCTCAAGGAGGACTATTTTAATCTGCTCTTGACCTTAAACAGATGAAATATTTCCGATCCGAATCGCCTGTCGCGCAGGTTCGGTTAAGTGCTATAAATGCTAATGACTTTCCCACGATTAGGCATCATGGTTTCTCTGGGCCCTATCTACTTAGAGCCTCATACCGACTTGCCCATGCCTAAGGCCCTTCACTTTCATCTATCCTGAGAGTCCAGAACGTTGCCGTTATAACCGTGAGTTTCTTATATAACTGGCCCACAGTCCGTTCCGATATATTTCTGAACGACCCCTAAGAGACATTCGAAATTACAGTTGATGACGTCTGTATGATGCGTAGAGAGGCTGGGAATGGACCTTCGCCGACGTATATAAAGACTGCAAACGAATATACCATTCTCCTGTGTGAGAATCTGCTACAGAACACTCATCTGCATTCGAACAGTAAGTCATTTAGTTGTTTCGTTGGGACTTATTCGTTTGTGCCCACTAATGCGGGTTCATCGATGTCAAGTTTAATATGGCTGCAGTCCTTAACGAAGTCCATTCAAGCGGTCTTCATGACTTGCGCGGCGTTGTGGCCGTTCTCACAGGAGGTGCCTCAGTCAGTCTTGATACAAGCATTCGTCGTACAGTTCATCCAATGGATTGTATCATCTAGGGTATAGGAAACATGATCGCAACGACCCTCCTGTCGAACGGTGCTACAGGTAAAGATTTGGCACATGAATATATAGGACAATATACTGAATCTGTCCTATAGTGTTCATTATCGATCGGAATCAGAGTCTTCTCGACAAGTAAGTCACTTTCTGAGTTACCACTCTATAGAAGTCACTCAGGCCACTCGGTACTAGCGTCACAAAAACGTATAATGAGGCCGCACAGAAGACCAATTTACGCAGTCGTCTGATCGGAATCGTTGGCGATATAGGCACAAAGGTATGACTGCGCTTGCATGTGCATGTGGTCATCTGAATCTGATCGTTACTCTCAGTCAGAGGCAAAGCGCCTTGCTGAAGAGGTTGGAAAGCACACACCATACGTCACAGTCCTCTTTAACAACGCCGGGTATGTTTGTCTACCCTTCTACCCATTGATCATACGAATCTCCGTCCTAGTGTTTTGGAAGGTGGTTTCACCCCACCAACAAAAGCAAAAGCCGCAGACTTCGTTGACGCGTTCTTCAACAATGTGTCCGAAGAGGCATTCGACAATGTCCTTCGTATCAACGCTGTTGGTCCTTACTGGCTGACCTTTGCCTTCCTTCCCCTTCTGGAGAAATGGAAGGAGCATGGATATGGCGAGGAAGGCCGAAGATTCCCTCCTCAGGTCATCATGACCAGCAGTATGAATGGTTGGACAAAGGTTCGGACCTGCCTCCTGACGGTTGACAAGTGAAGGCAAATACTGACCGCGAATTTCACTTATGTAGGACTCTGACACTGCCCGAAGCTACCCCTATATCTTCTCCAAGTCAGCTATTGGGCATGCTACAGCGACGCTGGCTCGTGAACTCCTGCCTCTCGGTATACGAGTGAACGGAATTGCACCCGGTCTGTCTACACATGATTATTCACTCCACCCTGCTAGCGGGTTTCACTGACGAAACAAAACACTTAGGTCTCTTCGTCTCCGGGATGTCTGTTCCTGGGTCTACAGATGAATTTGGTCAATCTCATACCGACCGCACTGAATTCGATTTCAAAATTCCTGTATCTCAACTTCCAAAAGAACTGGGCGGCCCTTCGAACGTAGGAGGGTCTAGGAGGGACATCGCCTCCTTGGTGTTATTCCTCCTCAGCAACTGGTTCGTGAACGGGGAGACCGTTCTCATCGATGGAGGCGTAAGTGCTTTTTCCAAATTCCTGTACCGCATCTGTTATCCCAGGGCTCACAAGTTTTGCAGAGTTTGCTTGTTCACGCCTCTTCGTACTAAGCAAGGAATCAGAACAACCTCGTCCTCACATGTCTTGCTATTATCCATGTGTACCGAACCACTACCCAATGTGTCGCGTTCGGATGATGGACATATTATTGCACAGTCAGTATTAGGGATTAACCGTGTACATATTGAATAACCAAAATTGGTACAATACTTTTATGATACATAACAATGCTCAGCCCGCCACTGACATGTCACGACGTCGCTGTCATAGTACAACGTGCCTCTTGGCGCGAGTATGGACATAGTGGACGCCAGCCAAGCTTTTCTTCGAGACTACCTACCATGTTCATGAACTTCATCCCCGTCTAGAACCTCCTTTTCAGTGTTCATATTTGGAGACCTGATAGGATCTTGCCTGAAGATATGATACGGTGTGAACATCTTCTTTGTTACTGCTGTCACCCACCCTCCAATCTGTCGTGCGAGTGTAAGTAATGCGCAGCCAAGTGACAAGTCTAAATATGTTTGTCTCCAACAACAACCGCTCCCACCAGTGACCACGATCATCCTTACTCGGACTAGCCGCCGTTCTTGCCCACAGCTCTCATCTCATGTAGCATCCGACTCCGAGCTCAGGGGCTATTTCGTCAGCCTGCTCTTGCAATTGAACGTCGACCATAAAATTCTGGAATGATGGCTGCTATTGAATTCAATCCTCTCATTGTTATCGCCGCGGCTGCCATTATCTGTGCTATTGTCTCCTTTATAGTCGCTCGGCGAACTATACGTGGCCGATTAGTCGTGGTCCCTGGTGGTCCAACGGTTAGAGTGACCGAGGAGCAACCTGAACTGGTGGATTTGTACGTTGAGCCGGGAAGAAAGGAGCTTGGAACTACTTGGCAGGATATCATGGTATGTCGTCCATATATGCGGCTTCTTCGGTCTAGACCGCTAAGCATTATCTCGTAGCCTATTGCTGCCTCCACTCCCCGAGAGTATGTCCAGTATTCTTTACTAAGTCGATTGTGTGGCTAACCCTAACCTGTCAGAATTAGTCCAGCATCTGGCATGCGCACCACCGAAGTCGAGATAGCGGTAGCCATCCTGATGCCATCGCCCAACAATCAATCTGTTAACCTCAATAACCATACGAATGGACGTCCCATGTCTTCATCCTCAAGCACCAGCTCTAAAGAGAAGGAGAAGCAACTTCGGGGGGAGGAATGGATGGACCATGCAGACCAAGCCGATGATTCTATTGACTATTCGATTGGTTTGACTCAGGTGCTTTGCCACCATCGCCATCCACTTGAATTCGCATGAAGGAAACGATTTTCAATGATTCGTTCATGACTCTAGGAATCTAACTGGTGCGCTGGCGGATAATTTCTTTTTGTATGCACACATTAGCTCTTACGGTTTTCAGGATGTATTTATAGTATACAATGGTAATACAGGTTCATCTATCATTATCTGCAATGTGGTTTGTCCAACATTGGCACCAAGCAGTTCGGCGCCCAGAAACACCGTGCCCAACGTGACTTTAATCCCGACAACCTTCAGGCAAACATGCATGGCAATAGGAGGCAATTTTTTAAAAGATGCCCAACGTCACCATTAAACCAAGCCGGCGGTACAGCGTCCGTGACATGCAGGACATTCATTCTGGTCACACAATATGCAATTCGAAGCTTGAGTACGCGCTGTCGCGCCTCAGTGCAACGTGAGCTTGGAGTCCGAAGACTGACTTGACTAATCTCGTTGTCAACAGGAAGCGCTTCTATGAATTGACCTACAACGCGAAGGTTGAGAAGCGAATACGAATCGCACAAGCTGGTCACCGGTCCCGATCAATAGCCATTGATAATCTCCTTATATATATGCGCCACGCTCATGGCTTAGAGCTTCTGGAAGCGCCATACCACTTCCTGTGGAGCATCTCTAGTCTGCAGGTGTTCAAGTGATCTTGCCAGAATCGAGGGTACAAGCTGAGTTTCGTGCAGGTAGCGAGAGCATTCCTTTTGAGTATACGCCGTTTCACTGACCGTCACTAGCGTCACTGACCGTGTTTTCTCGAGGTCTTGCGTCAGACCGAAGCCGGACTGCATGGACCTGAAAGGTTGTTTCATAGCCTAGGTAGGAGGCACGAAAGTGCACATTCGTACGAACCAACTGCACACGACCGATATGTTGCCCCGGCTGTGGAAGCATCATCCTAGACAACAACCAAACAAGCTGGCATCTCCCAGGGTACCTAATCCACGATTGGGATGAACTACTCTGTTTGATTCCGTGGACCCCAATCTTGCAACTTACTCGTGTGATCTACCTACGTTTCGTTTACATATATCATCGCGATCGGTCCACATATCGGACAAGGCGATACGACTCGGGAACGTTGACAACGTCGTCCAATCTCTTATGACAGAATGAAAGACGCAATAAATCACAAGCCAACCACCTCGTTCGGGCGCGTTGACAAGCTCCGCTCCATGGAAGATGGAGTAACTCCAAATGAGGTTCTGACATCAATAGCAGTTAGTTTCTACTGTCTCCGCAACATGAGGTTTTGCGATTCCCGAGACAAAAAGCGGTGTGAATAGAGCCAATGACATCAACGTGCATCGATTCTCCGGGATAACCACGAGCCCACGACGCGCTAGCAACGCGGTTGCCTGGCCCGAAACACCACGCTGCGAGCTGGGCTTGGAAAAAAAAGGGAGGCAATCTGCGATATAAATTCCGACGCATCGATGAGTCATTTTGGCCCAACACTCAAGTGCTGACTGCTCTCTCGTCTCAGTGCCGTTGCTTGACTCCACAACTTGTCTGGGGGAAAGCCAATGTGTACACAGGACTGTTGACTTTCCGTGCCTTGATGATTTTGACCATTTGGGTATCCAAAGTGAGTAAGCACGTTTCAGCTTTTTAGACTTCGAAGAATTCCGTCGTTTGGCCCATCTCGACTATTTTTTTCTCGGTTCCTTGTCGTGATCGAGTCCGATCGGTATTTGGAATGCTAACGAATTGTGGGTAGTTACAACGTTCTGAATGACCAACTACTTCTGGCTCGTATGGTATCGTGCTCGAAGTTCCGCAGGTCCCAAACATTGGTCGCTCTTTATGACTTACGATACCGACGAACAAGCAATCGGAACTATTTACCAGGTTAGCCACTCACTCTCTTTCGTCATATTTCAATGGCTGACTGAATCTCGAGTAGGCGGAGGGTAATGGATGGGGAAATGGACAATTCACAACAAGTATCATCCGTGGGGTGCAACTGAAGGGTCAACGCGGCGCTCAATCATATGAATCCCGACTTTATCTCGGAGAGATACATGATGGGTTTACCGGAATGATGAAGGAGTACTGCGATGCAGCCACAGACTTGATCAACGAGCACAACGCTGAACGTGTCGTCGGCGACTCCAACTGCCACGATTGGTGTCTCGTGGTGATCAAAAGCTTGGAGGACGCGCGATGTCTTCCACCAGGGACTCACGCCAAAGCCTGCATGTGTCCGAGAGGCCGTTAATTAGGCTGCTGGATGGGTTTCCTTCATATTTGGGTGATAACTGCGTTTTGTGATGGGTTTCGGATGAGGACACTTTTGATATAGGGTTCATAGCGCATACCATAGGATCCCGCTCCGAACCATGGGGAGTGTAATTAGCATAATTTATACCGTTGTTTATGAAAGGTCCTGGGAATGGGCAGATGCATGATATACACATACTGAGGTGCGCATGACCATAACATCTTCGTATCGGCGGTGCGAATCGGCGGACTTCCTGGATATTTGCGAGCAAGAAGCGCGAAGTTGGATGACCGAACATTGTACGACATGAGAAACGAAGCAAGTTGATGCGGGCTTCCAATGATGCAAGTTCCTTCCGGATATAACGCAGCATAGAGTCAAAAAAAAGGGAGCGCACCAAGCAATGATTCGTGCAGGGAAAATAGGGATCTCCGCCGAGTGATATAGTGGATCAGGAACGTTTATCAGGACATTGACAGATTGCATGATAGAGGACTTTAGGCGGTTTCCTAAGAAAAGGGTGACAAAATGGGGAAGTCCGTCGGTGCCAATAATCATCGGGATTGAGCCAACTTGCGAATCGCTCCGCTGAAAATCGCCCAGTAAAGTGGAGTGAGACTACCGTGTCTAAGGAACGGCAAGCCTAAGGTCAGTTGGTGCGACCGCAATCTGCATGTCTTTCCACGGCCGTGGTGTTCGAAGATGGCTACGATAGCAAGCATATAGTAGTATGAAAGCAAAAGCCGCCCCGAGAAATTCAGAGTCCCTGAGCGGAGTACGAGATGTTGAGTCGGAGAAAGACCAGCACGAGCAACTCACACGTAACTTAAGCATTCGGCGGCTACAACGCCATGTAACGACGCCCTCGACGTTCGTTCATGTCCGTACCATCTTGTCGCTATCGTGAACGGCGAGCGCAGATGAAGTTGGACGGTGTCTTGTAGGGCGCTCGCCGACCCTGTGCGCGGCACGTGGCAGACCACTCTCTTGCTCTCTCCTCATTGTCGTTCATCAGCCGTGCTATCTACCAGCATTTCCTGGTCCAGAAATCAGACAACAACGCGATCAGTCAAGCTAGTTGCTTTGAAGTGGAAGTTGGCGGTCAAAGAGTGAATTCAAGTCGACAAGTTGTTGCATTGTAACGGTTCCGAGCGGCGACGAGTCGGACAGTCAGTATTTCAGTCGGAGTGTGGCATTTGTAAGTTCTCCGCTTTCTCTCCTTCATTTGCCTCCATACTACGCTTTGTAGTTACCATTATGGGCCTATGGTATGGCGAGTTGGATGCAGGCGAAAACCAGGTCGAAAAGTCGACACCGTCGGGCGTGACATTTATGTCAACTGGCCAGTGACTTTCATAGTCTTGCATCCTACTCGTCTTCACCTCTCATTACTACCTTCGTTTCAGGAATCAATACTAACCATTATCTATTATGGCTCCAGAGTTCTGCTTTCGAGCATTATTCACCTCCAAGACGGTGTCGTCGAATACTTCATCCCATTATAAACCAACCGCAAATGGCAGCCGAGCAGCCAAAGTCTTCGACGACACCTAGTCAACAGGACCATCCTCCTTCAATGCACGCGCAGCACCCAGCTCTCGCGCCCTACCCGTACGCTGGTGCACCTTATCCGCCACTTCATGCAGGCGCCTACCCGCCATTCGTCTATGCAGCTCCTGTACCAGATGGTCACCATGATCCCAATGCTAATGGTGCTCCTCAGCCACCTTTCCTAATGGCGTATCCGCCGCCGCCGCCAGGCATGGTATATGCTATTCCCGCCCCAATGCCTCCGGCCAATGGTCAAGGTACGTCTTGCTGAATGCCCGCGCAACGCCTTGCTGACTGATCATGAACAGCCCCTGGTGGTGTATACCCACAATTCGCACCTTCGGCTAGTATTTCACAGGTAATGCCTAGGCCTAAACGGAAACAAGTAAAGATGGCTGTGAGTGGGCTTTTCTTGTTTATTATGATATTCTTCTGCGGTGTCGGCTGTGTACTGTTCACTTTACTTAACTGCGCATACTCTCCACAAATGTGACTAGAGTATAGGCGTAGACTTGTCCCGTCTGGCATGGCCATGAGACGGGACGCCTTACTCTTTTCGCTGTGCGGGTATCAGCAATGTGAAATATGCGCATATATGCGGTGTTTTGCACAGTAGTCCTGAATATCTCCTCCAAACTTTACCACTGATTCGTTTTTAAGACACATACGCTGACATCTTTCTCGTAGTGTACCAACTGTGCAACAGCTTGTAAACGATGCGACGAGGCTCGCCCATGTGAACGATGTCTCAAGTATGGATTGGCATCTACATGCGTGGATGGCGTTCGCAAAGAACGGAAGAAAGGCATCAAGCGAGGACCATACAAGCGTAAGAATAAATCCCTCAACGGCGACACAATCGTCTCGGCTCCACCTCCTCAAGGTAGCTCTCTCTTTCGATAGCTTATTTTCGTCTCTAAAATCGATATTCTAGGACTTCCAGTGTCTCCTCCCAACGGCGAGGCACATGACGGACACGCTCAGTCCCTTCCATATATGCTGGCGCCAGAAGGCTATTACCAGTACTTTTACCCTGGATTTGCACCTCCCGTCCCTGCACACGCCCCTGCTGATGGTTCACAACCGCCTCAGCAAAATGGCAGCACCAACGGAACCCCGAGCGCTGTTGCGTCTCCTACACCACAAGCACCTCCCGCGCAACCTCCAGCTTCGAATCATCCATCGCTTTCTCATCCGGGAGTCCCTCCCTACTTTCATCAAGTATACCCACCGCCCTTCAATTACCCTACTCCGGGCGTGGGTTACCCCCAACCGTATCCCATCATGGTTCCACCCCCTGCGCAGGACCCGAAGAACGACCAGAACGGCGATAGTGGAAAGGGGAAGAAGAGGGCCCATCCGTCTGGGTCGGCAACGCCTGCAACGAACGGCGAAGGTGACCCGAAAGCGAAGCGTGCGAGGACTGGACAAGACGATACAAATGGTGTCGGGCATTGAAAACATGCTCTTCGCTTTCTTGTGAGCACATACGCCTGTATAATATGGATGTATATCCTAATAATGTTAATATATAGCTGTCGTTTCGTTGGGACTTCTTCGTGTGTATACCTGTCATCTTGTGGTCATTCTGCGTCGTATCATATCTTTCTTGGTTTTTCTCTATCTCTCGGACTTCGAATTGGCATATACATTGCCACCACTACTTCGGTTTCCATGGTTCTTTGTCCCTGCACAGTGTTATATGGTGTTGCTTTCATTCTTGAGTAGGGCTCGCTTGGTGGGGACAAAAATCCGAGGACACCGTTGGATATTCCCACTTCATCTATCTCCAAATTAGGAATTGTCGCTTCTTCCGTTCCGTATTGTATGATATTGTCTCTGGATCTTCCTATCTCTCTTCCTGTGAGCAGCTCCGTTTGGAGATGCTCATGGGGCTGACTCTTCGTTCTGATTGTTACATGTTGTACTATATATATAAAGGTAATATTTATAAGATGCTGGAGTTGTCGGTACGTGATACGAAAGTAGGTTTCTGAGTGTATTTTCTAGCTTCTAGAAATCTAAACGACTAATCGTCTACATTCAAGCAGCTTGGCGTCGGACAACTGTCCGAGCCTCATTCGTCGCAATATCCCGGACATCCTTCATAAAGGCAGGACTGCACGTGTTGGTGGTCACTTTCACCTTGCCACCTGGAAGTGCTGGGGCTGGCCATTTGATAATGTGCTCTTTACCCTTAGTTCTTCTGTCCGTTATGTTCTCTGAACTGAGCGTCGGCGGCGAGTTGGACGTACGAGGACGATGATTTGGATGTCTCGACTGCTCTTCCTTGGCCCTTGCATCAGGATTGCAGACCTTGCGATGATCTTTCCAGTGCTATTATAGACGAAAATGGGTGAGGTTAATAAAGCGGGTCAACCGGTGACAACGTACCGCTCTCTGGCATTCCTTGCTACAATAAGACGGCTTCAGTTCAGCTGGACATTTGCCTGCACAACGGAGCAGGCCCGACTTTTTGGTAGCTTCGATACCGCAGCCAGGGGTTGCACAATGATAAGCATTTGGGGCTTTGGACACTTTGGCTTCCCTTCTAGATGCGATCTCGACGACCTCTTCATCGCGCTTAGCTATGGCCTCGAACGAAAAGCTGAACTCATCGAAACGGTTGTAGTCCACGCCCGGAATACGAGGCGTGTTCAGCAGCCTTCTGATGCCTGCACCTACGTACAACGTTGATGGAGAAGTGAAGCCGTATGATATGGCTTCATTAGCAAAGAAGGCAGCGCGGGAGACGCAGTCAACGTTCCAAGTATCCCCATCATCAACGATTCGTTTTTCCCATTGAGAAGCTGCGAGACATGAAGCCGCGTGAACCCTGACCTTCCGTGGTACAGAACATTCAGGATCGTCAACTGCTCTGAGAATGCGTATCCACCAACGTTCGGCTGCCTCGCGGTCTTCGGTCGTACCACATCCAGTCCATTTCCTGTATGGCGTACAGACTGTCAGTCGCCCTTGGAGCGAAACACGTAAAAAGGAACTCCAACACACCTCATGCCAGCTTCAAGGCAGTCGGCGTAATTACCAGCTTCGGCGCTAGTACGTACTTCATCATAGGTACGTGTATGTAGCTGCGGTGCGAATGTCAGCAAGGCCTTGTCTGGGGTGATGCCCTCCTTGTAGGAGGTGCAGCTGTTTGCTCTGAACCGAGTGTAGTCCAGTACGACTTGGAAATCCAGGAGTCCGAAGATACGTGCAGCTTCTGCGACTCTAAAGCTCCAAACGCCTACCGATGCGCTGCCCCTGGATGCGGAATTGAAGGCACGAAGAAATCAGCACTGCTGAAGTGTGCGGGGAAGTGCCCTCCCGATGTGAAACCATCGTACTGCAGCAAAGAATGTCAGAAAGCGGTTCGTAGCTACTCTTGATTCTCTTTTTTTTTTGGAGTTTCAACTGATTTGAATCCTGAAATAGCACTGGAAGACTCATCGCTCAATTTGTAACCCCAATGCGAAGCCCAAAGCCAAGGCAGAGGAGCAAGCCTCGTCCGATACGAACCAAACTCAAGTTGCATCTACTTCTGCTCAGCAATCCCCACGTACTATCGGGGATGACATCAGGACAGACGGTAGAGAGCACATTATTGAATGGGCAGCGCCCCATCTCCTAGATTCTGCAGCGATTGGCTATACCGTGTCTGCTTGGCCTTCATCAGTCTCTCCCGCTTCTGCTTCCTGCGCCGCTTCGAGTTCTTCTCTCTCCGAAAGACCCACATATTCGAACTGTAGGCGAACCGTGGGAAGGGATTTTAGCTGCGATCGAACCATCTCTTCCCATTCTGGAGCCGACCTCTTGCCACTAACCGACATGTGTTTGAATGTTACAGTCTCTAGGGCATCCCAATGGGTAAACGTGGTTTGCAATGGTTTCCAATCCCAACGGCTGAGCTTCTCGGTCATTTCAGCGAGAGTCTCTTCAGAAGTGGCCAGGCCTAGTGTGAAATGTTGGATCCCGGAGTGAGTTGTGGAGAGGATGGAAGGTAATACACTCCAATCTGTGACATCGGGCTCCCCCCACCAAGAAACCCCTCTCACATTAAGGTTGATTTGGACAGATCTGAGGTTCAAACAAGAGACGAGATTGAGCTGGTCGAAGTGTTTCTGCAAGAAAACTGAAAACCAATCAGTTTCCATAGATATCCCATGAAACATGAACTTACGATCGTAGAGAGACCCAGCCGAAAAGTCAATTGTGAAATCTTTGAGCTGAGAATGCGGCAAGTGCAAGAAAGATCCAACTATTGACAGCATTTCGGACGTAATTTGTGGAGGAAATATTATGTCCAGATACTCCATTTCATTTGCACGATCCGAAGATAGGAAGTACTGTAAAGTCTGGATATCACAGCCATCATCGAGCGTAAGATGCGCAAGGGACGGTCGATGGAAACGGCTTGAATTGATTTGTGCTGTATATCGGCGAATCTCCTTCAGGACAAGCTTCGACAGGGAGTGTAGATGTCCAAGAGTGCATAGTAGTCCGTCATCCATGACAGACTTCGTGACAAGTAACGTCCGAAGCTGAGGTGCAAGATTGGTATTATCCGTATCAGCAACTTTTGACAGCGGCGGGGCAGGGGGAAACCGAGCGCCTTCAATGGACAGGGTATGTAGGGATGGCAATCGCTCGTAACATGCCTCAAGAAGCGACGCGGGGACTAATTGATTCATACTCTGGTCCGACCAAAGGAAAAGACGCCGAATGTATACATGGACGCTGGGCCCGCTTTCGAGTAGATCCCGTAACTTCGCGAACAACACGCCTCTGGCATATTCCTTTGTGTTGGCACGAACTGTGAGATCATGGAATAAGTGGTGTCGAGATGGACCTGTCCATGCTTGGCAAACGAGCGAGGAAGCAGAAAGGGAAGGCTTGTCATCGTGTAGGTGATCTGTAATGTATTCAATGAGTTCCACGGGAAGCTCGGAGGCTGCGCCTGGCTGGTGATAAGGTCAGGGATGCGTAGTGGAACAGAAATATACCAAGGTATCCTCACTGTGAGTGTTTTGACATTTGCTGGACTCGACGCTTCATCACCTATGTTAGACATGGTGTAGATATAATGTCACCTAAAGAACAGATATCAGTGCTTATGGTAGAGACTTTCTATGGAATATGGACTAGTGGACGCACTTGATTTGAGATGGGTGGGAAGTGGTGAGTGGAAGAGTTTTAAAGAGCGAACGTTAACACTGCCTCGGGTGTCTATGATTTCAGCCCCAGCGCTTGATTGATCGATATTGGGAACCGAGTATCGGTGCGGGCATGATGAGCTATCATACCGTACAGTGCTCCGAAGTTGCAATGCGACTCACCATCTGATCGTGTTTATAGGTCCGCCCAGATTGATGTGGCCGGCAATCCTAGGTATGTAATTATTTTAATTCGCAGGAGACCGCTCGTAAGTACTCAAAACATAAATTAGCCTTGACGCAATCGACAAAGAACGATACTATAACTGCAGTGACATAGCCACCATAAAATCCAATATCTGCCTCACGTCAGAGAATTAGATTGAAGGGGACATTTGACTAGACATGGGCAGCAAGTAGGAAGCCAGAGTGCGCTCAGGACAGTTTCTGCCTCCGTTTCCCTATATCTAGATGTTAGAATATGCCACACACGAAGTTCAGGGACATACCTTCATTTTTTTTAGTACCGTTCGCGTTTCAACCCGATTCAATTTCTCCTATGCTTACTAAACTGTATATTTCAGTGACGAACAAGGCCCGTGATTCCAACGGCTGGACAACATACCTCTAACTGACTGCCTCCATCCTCTATTCATATTGAAATCTCAACTGACCACCAGTCGCACATTCTGGCAAGCTAAACTTTGCAAGCTCCTCCCATTATGACGGCAAAGGTGCGTATCTCCAGTGACAACGGAAATGGCTCGTCGAGCGGAAGCTCACGGTTGATTGAACATCTTCGTGCGTAGCCGTCGTTCTATAGCAGCCTTGTTCGCGGCATTAGAATACAGTGTGGCACGAAGTACTGTCGCTGTCGATATCACATCTCGGTTTGGGTTGCTTGGATTCGCGTTTCGAGGTACCCTGTCTGCGATCTTTTGGGAACGTTAATTTGCAACCGCGTCAAAAGCTCCCGGTAGTACCGGGATTTCATTGCTTTTGCAAGGATATCCTGTATCTTCCTATCAATGTACAAGGCAGCAGACCAAGTATGGCGCATGGAATTGCCTCGTTAGTTTATCACCCTGCATGGGACTCGGAGATGCGATTGGCGTTCCGAGTGTTTGCGTCGGCCAGTTATGCACAGGTAAGTGTAAACTTGTCACTGTGAACCTAAATGCAATCTAAAATTGGCTGCCTGACAGAATAGCGGTCGAGTCCCCGAACATAATGTCGCCTCGTTAGTCGCCGCTCGACCTTAATCCAGAATTTCTTAAGGAATGATGATCATTGTAACCTAAACTGATGGAGCTGAAGTCTGATCCTCTGCAATGTGAGGTCCATTTTCTTTGTTTTCGTGACTTGGCATAGCAAGCCATCCGTGGCTTTCCTTCGCTGCACCCCGAGATTTGATTTCCTCCAGCTTCATATCCGCATACCACCAAGCACGGCCATCGGCGAGTGTTGTTCGGGCTTTTCATACCTGTCAATGCAAACCCTGTTTTGACTGATGCCTTTTTCTTGGCGTTTCTTAGTGGATGTCGCCTATTACAATAGTCCTTCACTTTGCAAGCCGAATCTTTTTTTTTTTACTCTCACAGACCCTAGCTGACATTATGTCCGTGCCCAACTTCAAGCTGAACAACGGGATAGAGATGCCGGCCATAGGTTCGTCGTTCATGCTGCCATACATAGATAGATTGACTCAAATCTCTAGTCCAGGCCTAGGCTGCTTCTCAGGGTTGACAAAAGAAGAGCGTGAAACAGGACAGACTTGGTTCCTGACTGGTATTCGGGTAATGACAATATCCTTCACAATCAAGGTGCCTAACTCACGAGTCATACAGAGTGGCTATAGGTATTTCGACACAGCATACAACTACGGTGTGTCAAGGCCCGTCTCTCCCACTCAAGCCCTCGTATTGACTGTCTCTGTTTTAGGAACGGAAGTTTTCCTCGGAAACGCTATCAAGGAGTCTGGTATACCTCGCAAAGAGCTGTTCATAACTACGAAACTTCCGTAAGTAGAATCGCACTCTTCGTTCTGATTGGGGACCCAGAAAACGAGCCTCATAGGCGGACTCATATGGGTCGCGTCCAAGAGTGCATTGACGAAAGTCTTAAGAATCTTGGGACAGACTATGTTGACTTGGTGAGCGTCACTTGATAGGGATAGCTTGAATGTTATTTTGATTCTGTTTCAAAGTATTTACTTCATTGGCCTTTTGCGGTGAAGTTTTCAGGTAAACCTCACGCTCTGATTATCAGAATGGAATACACTGAGCTGTATTACGAACGCCATTCAGAGACCGGTCAAATGATCGCAGACGATTCAGTCACCCTCAATGCTACTTGGGCAGAGATTGAGAAGGTGCTCGCTAACGGCAAAGCAAGAGCGATTGGTGTAAGCAATCTCTCTGTCAAGACGTACGTCCAGCTTCGCCATCGTCAGACCGTTAAGCCTTATCGTGAGATCTAGTCTTGACCAATTAATAAAGACGGCCAACGTTGTTCCTGCTGTCAATCAGGTCGAGTAAGGAACTTCTTGTCACGCTCAAATGACAATACTCATTCTGATTCCTGGACCAGATTGCATCCCTACCTCGCTCAGCCTGATCTGAAGGCGTATTGTGATTCTAGAGGTATTCTCTTAACAGCATACACCCCAACAGGTATGCTCAGATCGTTCCCGTCCTACCGTTCAAAGTGCCTAACCAAGAATATGTATGCCCATAGGTTACGCCTACGTCCTCTCCTCTCCGACCATAAAAGAGCTCGCAGACAAATATCAAGCTACACCGACCCAGATTGTTCTAGCATGGCACATTTCCAGAGGAGTCGCGGCGGTCCCAAGAAGTGCAAACCCAGAACATCAGAAGCAGAATCTGAACCTACCGACTCGTGAGTCCGAGGACGTACAGAAGATAAACGCACTTGACAGATACGAGCGAGTTTTAAACAAGGTCGACGACAAAGGTTTCGTGTGGGGAATGAAAGCTGAAGAGTTGGGTTGGTGATCAATTCGCACGTCGAGAGTGACCGCAGAAAAAATGGTCGAGATGGATTCATGGTTTCCATAGATGTTAGGTGCCTTCATTCGTTAGTGCCCTCATTGATATCCCGTTGACTCGCCCTCTCAAGGATATTTGGGTTGTTTGCATGCTGTACGGCAGCTTTGCAGATGGTGCGGTGTTCCTTCCAGTGCTAAATGAATTGTCAGGATACAGGATTTTTGAGCTATCAAGTCGAAATGCTACGCACCGATCGTTGACAATCCTTGCAGCAATATGCAGGTTTCACTTCCATTGGACATTTTCCAGCGCAGCGGAGCAAAGTTGTCTTCTCACTTGACTCCACTCCGCACCCTGGGGCTGCACATCGATTTGCCATGATATCTTGTAGAGAATCCTGCTTCTCTTCCTTGAAGACAACGTCACGTAGATGGGTAAGCTTGTCGAAGCGAGAGTAATCGACCCCCGCAATTGTCTCAGTGCTCAAGTGCTTTCCAATCTCGTTTGCAATGCCCATTACCACCGGAGGAATGAATCCATAGGAGATACAAGCATTTGCCAAGAGCCCCGCCATGTAAATTCTGTCGATCTGTCCCAGTCCTCGGCAATGATATTGCTCCCAATGGGCGTTAGCCAGACATGCCAATGCTCGAACGTAGACCCTTCGAGAAACATTCATTCCAGGCTTTTTGCTCGCGTCGATGATATATTCCCACCAGTCCATCGCACCTTTCGAAGCCATTTTTGTGCCGCAGCCTGACCACGTCCTGCCAAAGATCACATTGTGAAGACTCGAAGTTGGATAGAAGTTTAGTCGACGCACCTCAACCCCGCCTCAAGACAATCTTTGACATTTCCAAGGATGGCACTCTTCCGAACTTCGTCGAAGGTACGCGTATGCAGTTGCATTGGCCATATCGATATAGCGTCTTCCAAAATGACTTCTTGCCTGTGCGAAACACAACAGTTGTTCCGGATCTCCACGTACAAGAGGACATTATCTTTGTCAATACTCCCGAAGATGCGCAAGGCTTCTGACCGCGAGAGCTCAGGAAGTTTGGTTGGTGTGATCTCCATAGCAGGTGAGTAGCTGAAGAAGGGAGGATACTTGGTTGCAGGTCTCTTAAACCTGATAGCGGACTTCTAACATACAATGAACCCTCACCCAAGCCTGTCGCACGCCTCTTCTTCGTTCACACGAACACGAATATCTAACACGTTGCATATAGCGCCACTTCAACGTCTTTGTCTTGCGTCTTTGAACAACTGCAACCCATAGGTTATCCAAATATTCGCAGGGCCCAGTTCAGTGCTTAACCTTCGAAACAACGAAGGCAATGTGGTTTCGAAAATCGATCTGACGATCTGACGATTCTTGTATTATATCAATAGTAAGTTCTACACAGCGAAAGTTAACAGCATGCTTACTTGTTCAATTAGCTCGTTCGTCGCAGACAATTACATCATCTTGAGCATCCCCCGCAGACCTGGCTATCGCTTCTATATCTGAACTGGATTACTGCCGCCCATCGTGTATGATGATAGGTCCCGGTTACAAGCTGAGGAAGGCTCTAAAACTCGATCCCAAAATGATGAGACAAGAAAGAAGCTTGGATCTGCAAATTACCAATGAATGAGTATTGTATGGGTCAAATCGGAGGGAGCAACCTTGAATATTCCGTTCTCAAGAGAATCCCCTCGTAATAAATCAAGTTTCGAGTGTGTTTGCCCTTACCTGTTCTCATGAGATGGGAGTGTTATGTCAGCGTTGTCGGCTAACCTTCGAGCCAACTCCGAATCGGAGTATCACACCCAGGGGCTCTTGAAGTAGACTAACGGGTAGTGGCAACCTTCCTGCTGGACCTGCACCCCGTAACGTCTTGCTCCAGGTGTACTGCCAGTGGTGTGGATGATTCTAGTCCTTGAAAGTATGTATTTATGTCACGCATCAATTTGATTAAAGTTACTGACATCAATCATCAGACAAATGCAACGGAGTCCATCGATATCATCTTGCCAAGCCCTGTGAAATGAGCGCAGCTTCGTCGAGGTTGCTATGCCACGCTTGTTCGACGCTAACTTTCTTTCACCGCATTTTAATAACAATAGCAGATGGAACCTCTGTAATGATATTGTGGAGTGTGGGACCGACAGGGAGTCCAGTTCTCTACTCTACTTTCACCACACGTACCGGTCAATTTACAGCACGCTGTATTGTCTAGTGAGGTGTCCGGCACACTAGGTTTTGTGAAGGAGCATGTTGGTTTTGCTTCTTGGACTTCTCCTTTCGATCTTTCCCACTCTTTTGTTTGCTGAAGATTTCTCGATACCATCCGCATGGCGTGTTTGTGTTTAACATGATTTTTGACATCCCGACCTACTGATTCTTACTGCTTCACCAACAGAAGCCAACCTCGGACCGCACATTTTCAGAGAGAGCCAACATATCTCAGGCCGTCATTGACAGTATCGTTCTTCTCTTTAATGCGTCCACGGGCCAGCTAGATGGTGCGTGTATATTTCTTTAGCGTCGTTAGGACGCTGGTTCACGCCTTGAAAGCCTTGCAGTACACACAATCCGCCAACTTGTTATGTGCCATTGCGCTTCACGACTTCATCGCCGGAAACAAGGCGAACGAAGCTGCTGCCGCCAATCCTCTCGAGACCGTCTTCCAGCTTCATCCAGGATATTACCAGCCTCCGTAAGCGTGACGCTTGAATTGCCTACTTTTTCTTACTGACCATTCGTACTTCAGAGTGAGTGACCGTCCGAAATATAAAAATTTGTCCTCGATTCACCTCTGTGTTTTCGCACGTAGAAATTGAATACTGATCCTCTGTGAGTAGTGGCCTAAAGCCATAGCTTGTGATATTCTGACGTCCTACAGAAATTGGGCGCTGGCTGCCATCTATGCTTACCGAGCGTATGGTGAAGCGTATCTTCTTAATATCGCGCAGTCTGTGTGGGACCAGACGAATGTTTATGCGATAACTAAGAGCCAGGCTTTCGATGGATTGCATCCCATGAAAAATGTCACATTTCCTGGAAAATGCGGAGACTGTGAGCATGAATAAACACTGCAAACCCTCGCTCAATTTATATTCTGCCTTTTTCCAGCTTCAGTCGCGGGCGGTGTATTTTATGTGAGCACCCAGAACTTCATGTATGAAGTGCCTCGGTAACTGACGGCTCGTAGATCGTCGATAACCTTCAGAATACTGATGTTAATGGTGCCACTGTTGGGTGCGTATTGTGAGAGTCACTGTCCCCATTTTCGCTGACTACTTTCGCAAACTTAGAGGCTTTATGGCGTGAGTAGTACGTCTAATCAGCTTAGATCCTAACCGCTAATGGAACGTTGCAGACTATCCGCACACCTGTACGAAGCCACTAAGGACGAGAAATATGCCACCGCAGCGGAGGCTTCTGCGGAGTTCATCCGGACATTCATGTACAATGGGACCATTATTATCGACACGATTACGTTGGCCACGTGTGCCGTCAGTACGCTGCCTGTGACGTACAATTCTGGGTTTTTCATCGAAGGTGTGAGTGTTTTGGCGGATGTCACCCAGAACACCACTTGGAATCTTTTGTGAGTCTTTCGTTACGTTGGTGATACAACGCTAATTGCCTCTATAGCCTAAACCAATTGATCGCTGATACTATCAAGTTTCCTATTTGGACTGGATCGGATGGGATCCTGATAGAAAGTAATCAGCTTCTTTTCATACTCTATACATGCTGACCCTCACTGATAGGGGCCGGGGAACCAAAGGACGCTCTGACGAATAGTTTTGGCAAGGCGCTCAAGGGTATCTTCATCCGAGGCTTGTACGAAGCATGGACTCGAGCACCCAGCAACTCAGATGTTGCCACCCTTATCAGGCGTTTTATAGTTGTTCAGGTAGCGTGCGCGCTCATCATGTAACAGTCTATCTCTCCTCACATCGGTTATATTTGATACAGTACAATGCACTTCTCGATCTGGCGAGTGCTCCTGGGAGCAATCTATACTCCCCCAGATTGCATGGGCCTCCCGTTGATCACCTCTTACCCTGGGGTCAATTGGCCGCCCTTGATATCCTTAACTCAGCAATGAGCTTTGCACCCAGATCTCAGGACAAGTTAGTATCGCCCTGTCGCTTAGGGAAACAGACTGATTACTGATTTATATATAGTACCACAAGCAGTTCGCCGCCCCCTTCAACGGATTCCGACTCACATAAGAGTGTCAACAAAGGTCTCATTGTCGGGGTCACCATTGGTGCTATTGCGCTAGTAGCTATCATTGCTGCGATCGCCTTCTTCCTATGGCGGCGCAGAAAGCGTTCGGAGTATCAAAGCACGTACGGCCGAGCAATTCTTGACCCTCCGGAACCCTTCGATGTGTCTCAACCCGTGGATATGTCTCAGGTGTTACCACCTACCACAAGTTCATCGGCACCAAGGAATCCTTCATCTGAACCTCTTCTACTACCGACTATATCCTCAACAAACACGATGACACCACCCTCTGAGAAACGCGGTGCTCCATTTGTTCTCACGTATACACCTCGGGTTTCGTCGACAAGCCGAGACGAGAATGCTAGTTCGGACCAAGGATCTTCGCGACCTTCCGCACCTTCGACTCGTGTGACGGCGGACGACAATCCTGATTCAATCCCGGAACTGGTGCAAAGACTCAATCGTGCAATGGCAAACCTTCCTCCTGGAGGTCGTGGAACGAGCGTGACAGAAGAGGAGCCTCCTCAGTACGAGCCTACTAGTTAGCTGTAAGTGTTTGCTTTCATCGCTCCGTCTATTTGCCAATCCTCTGTCCTAGGACTATTTTCATGTTTGCGTGTATACCATTACGGGGACAGTTATTTATTTTGTAGTTAGTGTCATCAAAGTTGCATCCAGTGAAGTCAAACAGTTCGCGCGTCGTACTCTTGCTCACACTCGAAAATCACCCAGACGTTGAGGCAAGACAACTCCACGCGTGCATGGCCATCACCGCTGTACATTTGTCCGCGGACGTATAGGTATCGCACTGTAACGGCTCTCTGCAGTTCCCCAGAAGGCCCCCCCCCAATCTTGTCATTCGACATTTTTATCCATTTCCCTATTTTATGTAACTCGGTATACCCGTCCTTCCTTCCAACCGCAACAGACTCCTTGCAGTATGTGATTCGACTCAATATACAATCCTACATATGAGCAACGGCTGAAGTCCTTTCCATTGTCTCAAATCACAAAGACTACCCGGCGTCACAACTGCTATGTAACATACAAGTATTACACAGCGACTTCAGGCTTCACCTCCCTCATGGCTATCCACCGTCGAGGCTGACATTTCCACCCGACTCTCCTTAGTAGCGCCAGCAATGGGATCTACATCGACTTTGATCTCTTCGCCCCTAGGAACTTGGGGCGTCTTTGGGCCCTGCGGCCAATTCCATTGGCCTCTGTAACTCCGGCCATTCACAGCCAAAGTGGACACTGGATTGCGCTTCTTCCCCTCTCGACGTCCTGTCCTGCAACATCTCTGGCCCTGCCTCCTCGCTTTCTCTTGTTGACTCTCATATGCATCTTGACCTTGACTCCGGTTCTCATAGTGAACCTGTATATTGCTCTGGGTCTGATTGCGAAAAGTCCTATTCGTGTTCATAGGTCTCCTATATGAGAAGTCGATTGACTCCATCACTCGCCGGACGTCTTCCAACTGGGCCAGGGTCAGTTGATTCAGCAAGGACTGCGAGAAGGCGAGAAGATCGCGGATGGAGTATATAAAGGGACCTTTGGACTCCGGCTTTACAGTTGCAGGCGTCGTCTTCTTAGGAGGATCTGCACAAACGGTCATATTAGTCTCTACTTGGATTGTCATGTTGTGAAAGCCCGACATACTGGGTGAAACTTCACGAAAGGATGCTGAAGATGTACGGGTTGACCTCGCGCGACGAGATGCTCTGCGTCTCTTCGGTGACACACTGGTCCATTCCGTCGACGACAGCGCCGGCGAAGATGCTCTTGATGACGATGGCGTAGACATGCCACTGTTATGCATAGGCACCTTGTAGGGTGAACTCTGAAAGGCGGCATCATGATCAACGTGTCTAGAAGTGGGAGGAATGGCGATAGGGCTAGACATGATTAGCAAGTGGCAAGTAGCAAGAGACTAGACGTGAGCCTTTCAGTTGAGGGTGCGTGGAGCGAAAGGTAGTGTAGAGAACAAGAGGAAAGTAAGTCATTGTCCTTATATCTCATTCGAGTGGCAGTCATTTGTTCGGTCACTGTGTTTTGGGCCAATGGCCACTGCTAATTGTTTGAGTGGCTGTTGCGAGTCAAAGGGCTGCATGTCAATAGATATGAAATAACAGAGCACTTTTGAGGTCAATGCGGGGTGTCGAAGGAGGACGTGACAATGGGAAGGTTCGAGCCACGAAGTGGACCATCCTGGAAGGTACCACAATTAGGCAGAAAGCGCCCATATCAATATTAGCGTCATAAGAGGATAATTGGAATCCTGCATGGCAACATCGACGACGATACCTCACCTGCGATGCTTGGCACAAGAAAAGGGTGCTAGAGAATTTCAATAGCAATGTACGCTCTGGAAGGACGCCATTAATATATTCACAAGAACACGCGAGTCTTATCGTAGATGAGAGTCGCTTATGCAACTTTTATAGAGCAGGTTGAGTAGGGAGTAAGCTGGAGTTGTACGGTACGCAATTAAGCCTCAATGAATTTCTTGACGTTCGCCAGCCACTCGATATACTCCTATAGCAAGGCATCAGCGTCCGTCATGAAGAGTTAAACAAGTGGACAAGAGCAATGACGAACCTTCTGTTCTTTGTGCTCAGCGTACTCAGGCACGAATAGGGCAAGACTCTCATTGATACCACGCTCCTGGATGAACTTCTCAAATTCCTCCTGGACGGTGATATCGAGTGTGTCGAACTGAGGACCAATGTAAAGTCCACGGCGCTTCCAGTCGGCATCGGCGGTCAACTCAGTACCAACCCTCTTGTCATTGTAATATGAGCAGTTGTCGACAATAAAGGAGCCATCTTGGCAGATTGCATCAATAGTGAGTGCACCAGGAGCGCTATCCTAAAGATAGGGTTCAAAACGTAAACAATTATACGTAACGCAAGAGGTCATTGCGCATACCTTGGTGATCGAGAAGGAGCAGCGAATGGGGTAGGAGGTGCTAGCCTCCTCTTCAGTTTCCTCCTCACCTTCGAACTCACTCTCCTGTTGGATGTCAGCAATAGAGAACATCAAGCGAATGCTGAAGGACTTGTATATTAGGTTGAAGTTAGGGAATGTCAGGGGAGAACACGAACTTTTCGTTGCCGAACTTCCTAGTCAACGTAACCTCGTCATTTCCAGCAATATCCTCAAGCTAGATGTGCCACGTCAGAACTTCCCCCATACATCGCGAGAGAGCTGTTTCTTACCTGCCAGATGTTTTGAGCCTTGAACGCTTTCAAGAAGTCTGGCTCGGCGTCAACTTCAGCCTCCTTTTCATATTGGAGCTCCTCAGCGAGTTTTTGAGCCAAAGCAACGTCAGCTACATCATAACAAAGTTAGCATAGGTACCATACAATTTCAACATTGTACTTACAAGCACCCTCTCCGAATCGCCTTGCCGAAACTGAGAAAGCTCTCGCCGGAACAATTGCTGAACGAAGAGCAGGGATGGTAGCCCTTGGAACTACACGAGAAACGCTGCGAGCAGCCAACACCCGGCTTGAAGAAGCAGTGAGTTGACGAATAGCACGAATAGCAGACATTTCGACGCAACGAGAGGAATTTTAAGGATGAAGCAAGTGAAAGTTGGTGTTGAGACTGCGTCTGCTGGCTCAATTCCAAGGCGCCCGCAAATTCTAGCTCATGTATTTGTTCCGAACAAATACTCTAGACGCGGTATGTTCGATGAAGTTCGCAGCTAGCGCATCTGTTTCTTCAGTCTCTTCTCAGTGACAATACATTGCTACGGAGTCAAGTAGAGACAGGAATTAAAGTACGTGGATAATGCTGTATAAAAATTAACTGTATCTTCATTTGAAGCAAAAAATAGGGTACAACTAAGTCCATTCTCATCTACTGGAAGAAGATGAATAACTTCTCACTATGTGATGGCAAGGGTAACTTGTTTATACGAAGATAAGTTTCGAGTGGCATATAGCTAATCTGTCGCGCACTAGTGCAAACGCTCCGGAGACTCAATCATACTTCTCTTGTCCCGCTCTATGCGTCGAGGACTTTATGGTATGGTCGAAAATATTCATGGGTTAACTTGCTACAACAAGATGAGATTAACGTTAGTCTCATCTTGTTGTAGCATCGATACATCCCACTTGATCCTCTACTGTTCGCCATTACCTTCTCTTCGCCATTGTGTCGGTCTTCGACTTTTGTTGTACCTTGGTTTTTCATTGACGTATATCCTGAATATCATCGGTCGTATATTGCTGGACATGCAGAGTCTTGCACGTTACTTGATAGTGCAGTAGATGTTTCATTCAAGGGTAATTGCGGGTTATACTAGTCCACCTTTGCGCCATTCAGCCTTGGAATGGTGCCCAAATATATGTTTGATGCTTTTGGTGTCAGTGGTCAAGCATTCACTTCTCCCCTGCATTGGTTCATCTCTCAGATCTCGTTTCTTTTTTTGGAGGCTTACCCATTTCCACTTCCACAGCCTACCGTGTATTTTGAGTGAGCCTCATCTGACGTCTACGAGGTAGACTTAGGTAGATGTTCTAAGTGACACATTGCTTATGCACCTGGCAAGACGGGTAGCATTTCGTATTTGGATCAAATAATGACATTGGCGAAACCGGCTTTGTGTCGCAAAGAAGTTTCCTGCGGCAGACGTTGTCTTGATGCACGACAAAGGCGGTCGGGAATCGAAGGAGGTAGAAGCCCCGATAATAATGGCTTCAAGGACTTATTAAGTATTAGGTGCGTATCGTAATACCATCGATTCGCTCCATTGACATTGCGCGGGCTGATATAGAGGAGTCTTCTGTAGACGAGGCCTTCGAAATATTCCATTACACTGATTCTATGGATCATTTTAATTTTGCTCCCTCCGACCGCACAGATGCATCGTAGAGCTTCGAGATTGATCCACGTTCTTACAATTGTTTGCGCCGATTTACTCTCAGGCTGCTATTACGGCTTCCCGTCCCCATCTCCGGCGCCGGATATCCTCCGGGTGTGACTTTCTCAAGCTCGTTGGAAGGATACAATGATTCGAGTGACCTCACCAGTAATCGTCGAGGATCATGGACAGCGGTTCAACAAGAAACCCAATTCAAAAGTACCATCAAGAGATGAAAAATCTGTCCGATTCCGTCAGAGCGACATCTTCTCCCCAATGCCCGATCAATTGTTGGTCTTAACCTTCGGTCGTGGGACATTATCATGCAGCCACCGACAGATGCCATCCTTTGCATTCAGTTTTCGCATCTGGCTCTCAAAAATGCCTGAATGCCGTAGGCGGCCGCCTAAACGAAAGGGTCTCAATATCTTATTACATGTTCCTGACAGATACGTCTCGACTAACTCCTCCACTAGTCTCAGTGGCGAGGCGCTGTGGACTGGGCGAGTGATTTAAAATGCTGTTTGTCTAACCCTGTAGCTTAGGGATCGTTTCCTCTACATTCACCCCAGACATGGTATTCTTAACACTCATTCCGCTCACTAATACAACCCTCGTCCCAGTCCCACCCGCATCTCTGGACGCATACCCTTGGTATAGATGTGCTTCCTTCGTATTCTCCATTGCGGTGTTATCCTTCACCCTTGGAATATGGTTGGGTGTTCTATGGTTGCGGTGGATGTCGGAGAATCTCTCAGCAGGGATCCTGGATTTGGAGGGGGCGAATTATCCTTTGGAAACCGATTCCGCTTTGCGGGATACGGATGTGGTCTGGAGAGATGGAGAAAGAGATTCAACGCTCGCAATAGAAAATCGCAAAAGTGGTATTCTTAAGAACTGACATTCCTTCGGTGAGTGCCGTCTTTACCTCTTCACAATTTATGAGCAGCAATATTGAAACGAAGATGTTTTGAAGGCCGGATACCGCTATTTTCCAAAGCAAAACACGCTGGCTCGAGTCAGATGCAATCCAGAAGTCAATGCTTATATTACAACAGATGGCTTGTAAGGAGACATTACAGTACAAGAACTATCCTATGAACCCACATCACCATTCATGCATCTGCAATTCGTGGCATTATTCGTGCAACGGACATCATCATTATCATCTATCATCAGCCACAGAACTCAAATCCTGGACAGCCAATAGCAGTTCCAAACACTGTGATACAATAGATTAGCGAACATAAATTCCTTTAGCAAAATGAGAACACGCACGGGAACCATCGACCTTAGCAACAGCTAGAAGAGCTTGGAAAACACCACCTAGACCTTCACCGGCAAGCATACCCGCCGCTACGGCAAACATGTACATATCGAAGCCCTTAGGATTGCGCTTCAACCAGATGTAGTTGAAGACAGAACCAGCACCCCTATGAATCCGTTGTTCAGCAATTTCGTGAGGAAATTTTCTAAAACGACTTACATGGCGATTGGGTAGAATGTTTGAGGGACGACGAACGCCTAATACATCGTAAAGCGATAAGCCACCAGAGCCATGCACTCAAAAGATGACGCTCACCAAGCCAACGGCGTTCCAGTTAGGTACGTAAACCCAGTACTTCTTGGGGATCCAGAGATGCTTGACAACGACGCTAATAGCGGCGAAGATACTGATCCCAATGGCAGTGTATCCAGAAGATGCCGGAATGGCTAGGAGAAGACGAGTGAGCTCAAGTCCCCCGGTGCCAACCACGAATAGATAACTCACGCAGCTTGGGTGACGATACAGCCACGGCTACAGCAGCCCATGCGCTGACAGAAGGTGCGCCGTAGGTACACTCGCCGCTGGCAGGAGGATCGATAATACAAGGACTAGCAGTAGTGAACAGGATGAATAGCCCGACGTTAAGGAAGGTAGCAACGACCGATCCAACAAGCTGAGCGATAAACTGATTCTTTGGCTTAGCGCGGAGCAAGAATCCAGTCTTCAAGTCACCAGTCATGTCGGTAGCCTGAGCGGCGGAACCAGCGGAGACAACACCAGCTGTCAGGTTCATCATTTGGGCTGAGCTCTGGCTAAGACCACTACCCTTGCCGATACCACCCAAGATGAGTTGAGATGCCTAAAGGAGGTACACAAGGTCAATGAATTCGCGACAACGCATGTAGAAGGACTACCGACCTTCGCGACGGTACTGACGGGGTTTACGTCTGTCGTACCTGAAGACTGTACTCCGATGAACGAGAAAAGGAAGCCTAGGACGAGGGACAAGATTGCCTCTCCGACGTTCATGTGGAACATCTTCGCAAGGATAGCAACACACATAATGATGCTGGCCAGGAGACCGGACATCCACCAAGTGTTCGGAACTCGGTCCTCGTATGGTGTGGGGTCCTCATCATTTTCATCGTCGGTGTGAGTAAACCAAGCCTTTGGGTTCCACTTGATCTGTCTGAATTTGAACCCTGGACAATTACCGTCAAAAGATGCGACATCGAAATGATTCTTATGAAAACACTCACCCATGAAGGCAGGGATTGAGCTCATGAAGAGGTCAGCAAACTAATAAATTGATCAGCGAATATTGAGAGCGTTTTGAGAGAACGTCATACCGAGTAGACCAACATCATCAGGACGCCGGGCCATAATAACCAGTACCGGGGAGAAGGCGCAGTAATATACTTGGCGGGATCGTCGAATGAAAGTCCTTGGTAGGAAACAAGAGGGAATTCATCTGAAATAGATGCACCGAATGCAAGTCCATTCTTGATCAAAGAGGGAGCGATGATTCCCCATGCAAGCACGGCACCACCCACTAAATGGCAGCAAAAAGTCAGGATTTATTTCGATACGATGACCCTCTACACTTACAGAAACTCCACGATGCGTTCAACCCACTAAGCATTCCAGCTCCGAAGAAGGCCGGTGTGACTGTATAATGACAAAAAAATCAATATGAGGAACAGGGGTTAATGGGGTGGTGACATACATTCAATCCACCAGCCATAATTATCCAGAGCAATGATGCTCGTGAAGCCTAAGCGGTAAAGCGTCCAACCGATGTGCCAGTCATAAAGCTATATTCGTTCGATTATTAGCGCTAGCCTGCAGCCCCGCATGTGAGAACACGTACAATGCCTGGAGCATATCCGGTCATCACTTTGAATATAAAGGTAGCGATGAAGGCGAACAAAAGTGCCAATGACTTCTTGCGAGCGGCGATCGCGCCGGTCTTTCCATTGTGCAAAGCCCGAATAGTGAAGGCAGTTGCAGCCGGTGTAGGGAAGGTAAGCTTTTGGTGAATGATATAGTACTTGCGGAGGGGAATGACGAAGAACACTCCGAAGAAGCCAGCCGTGAATGTGAGTGCGATGAGCTTGCCGATGTCGTCTTTCGGGATCACTGACAGGAGGTGCAGACGGTACATGGCAGGAATGGCACTGACGAACAGAATACCGATGCCTCCCGCAGCTGCATGCACATCAGGAGGTCAATTCCGATCAACGGAGGCGAAAAATAGAGACAATGCATTACCTGTCGCGGCGGATTGGACAGTGCAATTCTCCTTGGGCCCGAAGGGACCACCCAATAGCCATCCCAAGATACCTGATTCAGGAACGGCCTTGGAGAGAGGCTTGATTATCGCGAAACCAAATATAGCCTGTATGGGGTAAGATGTGCGTCAATGGAGTCATTTATTTCATATCAGATGGTTTTTTTGCGTACACCGAAGAGCTGCGGGGTCCTGTCGTCAGTTTATGCTTTGCTTTTCTGAGGGGGAAGGGACTCACCTGAGGACCGAAAGTGAAGCCCGTTTTCAAACCAAGGTAGATATTTGATGCGCCAACTATACACCGACATCAGATGCCTGGAATCAATGATACGGTCTCCAACTTACCGACTGCGCCCAAAACACAGCCAACGACCAACGCCCTGTCAACAGAAGTAGTCAGCAAGTGGGCAGAGGAGATAAGAGATCGGGGAGCAACGCACCTCAGAGTAAGTTGATGAGTCTCCTCAATATCATCGGGTTCTATGGGGAATGGCTTCGACCTGTGAAAAGATATCGTTGGCAGACTTCCTTTATGATGTCAACGGAAGACTTGCGTGTCGTTGACCACCAGTTCGTCGTCCACGAAACTCTTCTCATCATGATCAGTATGAGACTGTTTCTCGTCCGAGTAGAAATTTGGACTCTGAGAGTCCGAACGCCTAAGCTCGGGAATAACCTCGCTGTCTTGCACGGGGACAGACATGGTTATTGAGTGTGAGAGGGAAGAAGAGGTACGAAGATTGGGAGCAAACTCGACAACGTCGAAACGCGGAGAAGATCACCTTATATCCTCATTCTCCAGGATCTCAGCGCGACGGCCAACCGGAGCCACGAGATTGCACATGGTATCTGACCTGCCAAGCGACCATACCTCTTTAAACGTAGTGTTGAATCTGTCAAAACGCTGTGTTCTGTACCGTGTGCTCCCCAGGTCCAGTCTTGGGAACATTCTTTATCTCACGGGGGCCTCGGACCTGACCAAATCCACTTGGAGTCAGTCTAGGTTGGCAGATGGGCATCAGGTGAGAAGATTTTGACCTTCTTATGTTCATCGGTTCGAAGGTGGGACATCCTGTCAACTGAGGATAAGAACGCCGGAATAATCCATATCAAACGTATAGAGAATGAACTATAATATGGGTGCACATGGCTCCCTTTCCCGTCAGCGCGCGTGTCTGACATGACCAGTCTGCCTTGATCGCGTGTGTGCCTGGCATTCTACGCAATTATACACGCCGAACCTGAGACCCTTGGAAATAAAGGTGTCTCGTGGAGCTTGAAGACGCACTGGCACTGGCAAAACACACTTCCACGTATGACAAGAAGCTCACCACGTTGCTGCTCCGATCATTTTAACAGATCGTCGGGGGAAGCAGCCAAGGCATGTACGCTACCTGTTTGAGAGGATCGTCCCCGGAAGGAAGCTTCATCGCGTTCTGAGATGTTCAAGTAAACTCGGATGTGCCTGTTGAGAGCAGTTGGGAACAAAAAGAGAAATATGTCCCCCCATAGGGTGATAGGACATCCTGCTAGATTTGTTATAAGAAAGTAACGTTGGGAACGAGTACACAACTTGATCGGTACCAACATGTCGTGTACCGACGACGAAAATAGGCACAGAAACCATCACATCAGCACTCTAGGTGCCCGCCATACCGGTAACCCCAACTTTGTCTCGTATCTTCGCAATTTCACTAACGGTCAAAGTCCCCTTGCTCGCACAGAAGAAATCTTCCCAAGCTGTCGCGGCATCACTCCGATGTATAAATTGGGTGCTGGAGACAGAGATAAGGGCACAGCACCAATTGAAATCAGTTTCATCAAGCGCGACACACAGAATAAGGAACCAAGTTCAAGGAATGGAGATATGACGTACATCAAGAATTCATATAAACGCTCCCAAAACTCTGGCTGAGCCATGGTGGTGTGATAGGTGGATTCTGGACCACCTGTAGGCGACGCCGGAATGCTTGAGGTATCGAGGACGAGGGGTATATCGACAAGCTTCTCATCGGGTTGGGCGGTCAACGACGGCGAAGGTGACAAAACAACGGAAGGTATACGTCCATGGCCACCTCTGGATTTCGTCGGTTCCGGGAGGAGAGTCACTTGCTTGAGCTCTTCAACAGGTTCCGAAGTGAGAACTTTGGAAGGATCCCATTGATATCCAGGTTTGACAACTAGAGTCAATGTATCTCCGTCCTTGATGTCGTACTCCTTCAAAAGCTTCCCATCTGCTAAGGCCTTGCCTTTAAGCAAGAGACGCTGAACATCTGCAGGAGGAGCGCCTGGCTCGCTCGCAAGCTGAGACTTGATTGCCACGATAGTATCGGCCAATGGAACGGAAAGTATGTAGGACTTGGCAGGCTTTAAGGACTTGAAAGTCAACTTCACGCTCCCTGCGGCGAAAAGAACTTTTAATCAGTTGATCTATGTGGCCACTAGAGTCATCGTACCTGCGGCTGTGGACTCTTGATGCTCGCGTTTAGGAGGTGCAGGGAGTTCAATCTAGGAGCACTGTAAGCCAACACACGTACCATACTAAGACTTAAAAATCCACCTACCGGGGGAATCGGAACCTTTCTCAGATTATTCTCCAGAGGTTGCTGGAAATCATTCGGATATGTTACGGGTTGCGAAGAAAGATTATGTGCGAAATTCTTGATAAATGCGGCTTCTGCTTGTTCAGCCATTCAGATAGTCCAGATACGATCCACCTAGGAAAAAAAGGAAGAATGAAGATACGTGACGGTGGAGAGAAAAGAGAAAATGAGTTCAATGCCTGAGTGGCGAGGTGAGCCAGCCTGGAGCCAGCGGTCAAGCAACTCTTAGGCGCCCATGGTGGGCTTGATGTTATAAGCTGAGGGTCGTTCAAGAATTGTTTTAGTCTCAAGAGTTGGGCACAGAAACCTTGACGAGATATATTCGAATAAATGTCAAAAGACTGTATAACGACAGCATGCTAACTGAAACTTGAACCTTTCTCGAGATTGGTCTCGTATAAGTAGAATCGTCTCAGGTTGCCACGAAGTGACAATAGTCTTAGCCTCTTAGGTCTGTAAACGGAGCAATATTGCGCCATGACTATTAAAGAAAGCCTTTGCATTGATGGGGTTGGGTCCGAACGGAGACGTCGGAGAGGCTCAATCTTATTGAAATACTGAATTTTCGTCTGACTTGATAGAGGAACCGGGTTGTTGTCCCGAGTCCCTGTTAGATGGATGTCGGAGGTCATCTTTCAGCAGTCATCTCGAGGTGTCCAATTTATCCTAGAAGGCGTATCATCGCCTTCTTCATGCGGATTGTGTGTATAAGAATCGCATGGAGCGCAATGACTTCATGAATAACAATCTGACCTAAAGCATTTGAAAAGGGAGTATTTTGAAAGGCCAATTCACGATGGTGTCTTGAGGCAAGTGACAGGAAACTCAGCCTCTCTCCTAAATTCGTCATGAGTCGGACTGAGGGGAGGAATAAGAGCGAATGACTTACAGACAGTCTGATACTGCTCCTCCTGCAGCGTTACATCACCTGTTGCTTGCAGCTCAACAGGATCAATGCCTAGCAGAAGAGAAGATGCGGGAAAACCAAAGATGACCGTGAAGGGCGCGGTTTAGTCACCAAGCGCGTAGCAGGGTATCTTAACAGTCTAAAGGCGAAACACGTCGCGCGCAAGGCTAATTCAAAGTTGCACTTTTAACATGCACCCTGAACGAGTACGTTTAGGAACGCATGGTGCAGGCGTGGTTGATGCGATTAAGAATGTTCTGACATTTCATGGACGCGATCGAACGAGCAAAGTGTCACGAACTGAGAGATCTATTATGGGTGTGCTGGTCCTTCCTTCCCTCGTTGGATCAGTCCAACGCCCACGATGACACCGTCCGCAAGGATGTCGGCTACCTTACGGCCCTCTTGCGCCTGGTGCTCCGCTTTCTTGATAAATTCACTTTTTATAGCTTTGGCACGTGCAATCTACGAGGGTGAGTTTAGTATGACAAGGCCAGTCTTAGGCCGGAGCGAAAGGTCTATGATACGTACCTCCTTCGTACGGTGCAGACACTCGAGGTAATCATCAGCCTGATCTCGACATTGACCGGGATTGTCGGTAGCAGCATAGCACTAGGTAAACAGCCCAATAGTGCTTTCACTCAGTACACGCTACTTCTACCGAACCAGTTACGCACTTTAGTGAACTCCTGCCATAACGGAAAGCATCGTGGTGTTCCTACGGAATGTCAATCGAGGCCTTTCTTGAGATACCTTCGGAGAATCATACCTCCTTGAACACCAAAACCAGACTATAAAACTAGTTCAGCGCAAAGTCAAGAGGATATAGTGTTGTGGCCTCACCGCCATGATTGTTTAACGTTGACCTTGAAAGGTTGCCAGACAATGTCACGCTCATACCCTGTCACATCGTCCTGCAACACATTGTCACGGGTGTCACATTTATATGCCACACGGTGTGACATGCTTTCTCCTGCCATTCTCTTGTTTCGGTTTGCATCCTCCCGTTCGGAACGTTTGGTTTGTAACTTCCTTCTCGTCTTCCACCTTATCATCAACATATAGGACTTCACAATCATGATGGTTTGGCACGGCATGGGCTCCCTGAGCTCGCCGATTGTCATCTCAGACGATGAAGACGATGCCTATGTTGAACTGCAACTGCAAGACAGGCTGTCAGACCCATCCGAATACGAGCATGATGCTGGAATGGACTTGTATGAAGAGTCCTACAACTGGAGCTCGCGGGAGATGTCTCCTGAGCCACCTCCCCAAGTCACATGGGAAGTTTCCTCTACGTATTATCCGGCAGATGGTATGTCTTCATCCTCATAGTAGAAGCCTCGGGGAAGGTAATATTTTGCAGATGTGGACTGCGACTCTGTCCCAAATTTGAAGCGCAAGAGGAGTGGCTCTGTCGAAAGTCACGTTGAACCTCCTGCGCTAAAAAGGGTTTTTCACCCGACTGTAGTACCAACCATGCCTCCAGCTGAGAGTAAAACAGCTAGGAAAAAGCGCCTTCGGAAGGAGCGGCAAGAGGCGCAGGCTCAGAACAAAAAGACCAAGAAGGCAGGTAAACCTCAACAGCTAGAGCCAGAGCGCACCCATCTTCCACAAGGGCCTGCACTATCCTCGTCTTCGACGTTGCGAGAGAGTTTTACCGCTGCGTCCAGACCTCCCGGATTCAGTGGCCACCACGACCAAATGGATCTTCCACAGCCCATACCCCTTCCGTTGCTACACCTACATCCGGCGCCTCCATCATTTCATCCAAACATACCGCTGCCTCAATCGATACCCTATAACCCATTTTTGAATCTCAATTTCGATCCTTACCGTGCATTTCCTCCTCAGCCAGCTATGAACATTCCTACGGTGTCTCACCCACTCCCGGCTCCGCCACCCGCCCGAACGAATGCCCAATCGAATCCTCAACAACCTGCTACTGTCAAACGAATTATTGGCATGCCATCAGACTCTGACCTGAATGACAAACATTCCACCTTCCCGTCCAAGTTGTCACCGCTACCCGACCCTTCGCGTACCCTCATCATGGGCATGCTACCAAAGAAGTTCCGTACTCAAAGCTTTGCGTTGACTTGGTCAATGTCTTTTGATAAGTCCCCTCCTCCGAAGGTTCCGCCTCGTATTGAAGTAGATCCTAAGGCGGGGAAGACTTTGATTGAGTTCAAGACGGTACAGCTAGCTAGGACGGCGTGGGGCAGCTCTAGATTTCCTCCGGGAGAAGGCAAGGAACATATACGCGTCTGGTGGTATCACGAGATTGAGGAAGGCGAGATTGGCGAGGAGGGCGAAATTGTACCTGAACCAACACCGGCGCCAAAGAAAGAGAAAGTCAAAGCGAAGGGAATTTCGACTGGCCCCCCTCGCTCGCAGTTGCCAGGCATCGCCCCGATTGCTCCTTTCGTTCCCACCATGCGTGAGGAAGCCCTGCGTATCAGAACGAACTTGGGTTCTTTCGCGTCGCGACAGCAGTCCGCTACTTCAACGACCTTCTCTGTCTTCGGTGAGGAAGCTATGGATCTAGGCTCAGACGACGGTTTCGAAGACCGGAAACCCACCACTTCGCTGGCATTTCCGGCAGAAAGGAACCTGATGGAGGCGTCTTCTTCATCGGATTCTTCTACAACGCTGATCTCGGACCTGTCTATGACTTCTCAAGCAAGTTCATCTTCGACCGCTCTGTCTTCTCCAGTATCCTTGGTCAAGGCGGCTTTCACACCCATTGAGATATCTTCAGCAGAGTCATCATCCCTTTCCATGTCTACTTCTCAAATGCCGCTACGCGCTCCAACTCCTACACCTCAAGACAGTAGTTTGGCGACTTCAAAGCCGACGATACCGCTCGATGCGAAACAGGCAGTGCTCGCTCGACAGAAGGAACTGGAGGCGAGAATCGCCCAGAGTAGAAAGGAGATTGCGGCGAGAACGGCTGAGTCGCGTGCTCCGTCACCGAAAGTGGGATCGTTGCCAACCACATCCGCAAGCGATATGCCTGCCGCTATCATACCAACAGATCAGGTTCCTCTAGTTTCTGATACTACGTCGGCTGAGGAAGAATTACGCAAGTTGGTAGTCAAGAGCAAGAGTCGGGTGAAGACTGCCACGGGTCATTCGGTCACTCCATCTGAAGTCACTTCTGGGGCAGCGTCCACAGCCGCCACTCCGACAATCAGCAAGAGTTCTGTCAACTTCGATGCTCTAGCAGTCTCTTTCATCACCGAGACGATTCAGACAGTCGCAGCGCCGGCTGCTGTGAAGGCAGTTCCAGCCCCAGTTCCTCTGAGCAAGCTCTCAGAAAGGGAATTGCTCAACGAGAAGCAGAAGATCCTAGAACGGCATATCGCTGAAAGCAAGGTGCTAATGGACAGACTTCAAGCCGCGCGTACCAAAACCGAAAAAGACATCGTTTTAGGCGAGTTGAGGGAGTGTAGGCGGTGAGTGTAGTCCTCAGGTGCAGTGGAGTGTGGCTGAGAACCCTACCAGGACTATGGAAGATGCAATAAAGAACTTTTCGCAAACACCTGCGGCTCTTCCGATGGAGTCAAGGTCAACATCGACTCATTCACCGTCGAATCCTTGGCCTGAAACACATCAGGACTCTTATGTGTTGGTCATCAGCGACGACGAAGATGATGATGTTGACGACGACGAAGACGATCTATGACTATCCAAACAGTCCTAGATCATAGGTAAGTCAGTTGTCTCATGTTTTGTAGGTCGATTTCGGGAAGTTTGGCGGGTCTCTTTGGGAGTATCTTCAATCTATCTATCGCATGCACAATTAATCTACGGCATATTCGCAGGCGACATAATCGCCAAAAGTTTTGCACATTCTGTGAGTGCCAGTTTCTCTGTCTGGCCTTCGTCTTTCACGTCTCACAGTTCCAACCATCCAAACTAGAACATTCTCGTGTCTTATATTGTCATTCTCCTCGTTTTTCTGTACGTTCTGTAGGATTGACATTGTGATGCACGTCTTGCCGAACTGCCAGTGACTTTGTCCTAGCATGTCGGTTAGGATGGCATGACGGTTGTTACTTCCCAATTGAACGTCATACCACTGATTTTCTACTTCGTTTCTTGTTTTGTCGTACTACTCAATCATATCCGATTTCCTTGACTGGCAAACGTCCGAGTGTGCCATGAATTCAGCATTGAATCTTGAGCACCTGGCGAATCGATACCGTTGTGAGTGCCTTTGCCGCTTTAAAAAGCGACGATTTTTGAGTATCAAACTTCATGGTGGAGCGTTGATTCCATACACATGTCAAGGCTTATTAATACCCCTGACTTCAGTATCTGAGCACAACGTCATGAGATGCTCTTCCTCTTTTCGGCTGCAGTTGACTGAATATATTGATCTTACTGGACCAGATATCGATAGATGGCGTACAGCTGGACGGGCACGCGTGCCGAAAATGCTCCGGGCATACATATGTAGTTCGTTATATGCTGGAAAACTCTTAAGGCTTAGAAGCCCCATTGCAACCGCCGTTAGCCATTAACTTACGATCATGGTTGCCTCGAAGTTCGTGAAGCTCAACACTGGTGCATTGATTCCCACTCTTGGTCTGGGTATGTGCTGGTTCAAATCGTGTCCTATGATGACGCTCATTTCCGATGATCATTGTAGGGACATGGCAGTCCCAGCCTGGTGAGGTCGAGAGGGCGGTCGAGTTTGCACTTCGAAACGGCTACAGGCATATCGACACTGCCACTGCGTATGGTGAGCATACATTCATTGCGTTCATAACTGACAAGTAACTGAGTTTCCTTTAGCTAACGAGAAGGAAGTTGGCATTGGCATCAAGGCTTCTGAAGTACCGAGGGAAGAAGTCTTCTTGGTTACGAAGCTCGACAATCCCGACCATAAGAACCCTGAGGCAGCCCTGGAGTATTCCCTGAAGGCTCTTGATACACCGTATCTCGACCTCTGTAAGTGAAGCCACTCGGATAGAGCTGAAACGGGGCGCTAACCCTATGTAGGGCTTATGCATTGGCCTGCACCTATGACCAAGGATGGAAAGGCCGACAAGTCTATTAACTGGCTTGATACGTGGAAAGCCATGGAGAAGATCTACAAGGAGCATCCTGATAAAGTTAAGGCGATCGGCGTTTCGAACGTCTCAATTGAATTCTTCGAGAAACTCCTCCCGGAAGCAACAGTTATTCCTGCCGTTAATCAGGTTGAGCTTCATCCGTAAGTTAATCAGTTTCAGTATGTTATGCCCAAACGGTACTGATTCTTTTATTCTTAGCTCTTGCGTTCAAGATGACCTTGTGCAGTATTGCGTCAGCAGGGGCATTGTTGTTACTGCTTATTCGCCTCTGGGTTCAACCAAATCGCCCCTATTGTCCCATCCAGTCATCGACAAGATTGCTCGGAAACACGGTGTCGCGCCTGCGAATATTCTCTTGTCGCTCCAGGCCAACAGACCTGGTGTCACTGGTACGTTACTATCAACCGTATGTGTTTGAAGGGACGATCTGATGGTATTACCCTATGCAGTGTTGAGCAAGTCCGTTAAACCGGAGCGCATCATCGCCAACTCCAAGATCATTGACCTCTCTGATGACGAAGTCAAGGAACTTAAAGACATAGAAAAGACCTTGTCATTCCGTGCGTGCCCTCCGGAATGGACTGGTTGGGGTTCACTTGGCTTCCCCGGCCACTAGTCTTCAGGCTGGATAAATAAAGATTGAAATTTCGTACAAATATCTCCGCATGTCATTGTTATGCGTTAGCCATCTCCTTGAAGTATACGGAATCAAGTCCTGTCATTGGTGAGCGAGTAGCTTGTCCTCATTGTATCGACATACTGAGATTTAATTCTGCAGTCACTGCATAATATACTTTCGAATCCCTGTATATTGCTTGAACCTGGCATTTATGTCAGGTATTATTGTCAACTACTACTTAAGACGCCATCGGCACTCGAACCGTCGATATTTCATATGCAAGTTAATAGCTGTAGATGCTGCTTATTTTTGTACAGGTACCCCTTGCCTGTGGCAAGGCCCAGGTACATCTGTCGAACTTCATTCCCCATCAATGCCACTGGTAAGGAATAACTCTTAAAAGATGTCTGGCACTCATTGACCCTGCACCCGGACATTTTCCCCTAGTCTATGCCTTTGCAAGTTGAACTTGTGACCATCGCCGTGTATGAGTGAACGGATGGTACAACAGATCCTCGGACTCAAACGTCCCCTGAACCTGCTTCTATCATGCCTCTTACTTAGCTAACCATTCTGGTATATAAGTAACGATGACAAGTCTATTTTAGTTCCGTGTTGCTAGACTCTAACGCCATTGTGCCCTAGATTCCTCGCAGATTTAAAAGGGCCAACATAAGATGGAATTTGCCTCAGGTTTCACCCAGTTTCTAACTCAAGCAATGCTCTCCGATTTTACCATGATAAGTTTCTCAAGAGCTCTCATCTCTGTCATCCTTGTCACTACTACCCTTTGCATTCTCCCAGCCGCAGCAGACTTTCACATCATGAACTGTTTACTCTACTGGATCGGACCCAATGCTCCGGGTCCCGAGAACTACGCCATGGCCCTGCCTTCAAACCAATACAGCTGCTCCGGCGTGGATAACGCTGGGCATGGTCTCGACGCCTCGTCGGTCGCCGCAGGGATGGATCACTTCTCCGGAGAAAATGTGTGCGGGAATAATCTCGATTTTTATTGGAATGGGTCGGATAGCTACGACATGTACATCGCTGGAGGAGATGGGTCTGTGGTTGGATGGTGCTATCCAGGAGGTGGTGATCATCTCTATTGCAATGACGGGCTTTGGGTCAACGACTGTACCGATGCTTGGATTTGTTATTCCTACATATGCAACTGAGTAAGTGACCCCTTGTCTGTGCTATCTGTCTATCTGTCTTACTTGTTGCTGAAAAGGTGGTATTCTAGGCTTCGCCGAATCATATGTTGTCGCCGGTAGCTGGCTTCTCTATCTCATATGTTCGGGAGGTGAGCATTAGAACTCTGAGCGAGTCCGGGAGTTTACCTCAGGTTCACCGATTTCAGTTGCAGACGTGACGCAAATAACGCGCGTAAAGAAGCAAACTGTCCCGAAATCAGTGCCAATATTTTTACATTACTAGGTCGATGTTGAATTCTCATTCTTGACCGCTTCTATGTTGCTTTTTGGCAAGTTCTCGCCACTGGCTTCCGCTATGGAAGCTGAAACTATGTCTACTTCAGCCGACTGATGTTCGTGTAATTTATTTTTCATATGAACAATAATTCCTGTCTATCCTTTGCCAAGATGCATACCTTTCATTACGGAAGTGTCCCGGTATGGTAGGTGGTAGTTCAAGTAACCTACTGCGTGGTTGTATAATTATGCAGGTTCTCTCCTGAATCACTAACACGACTTCCCCTAGGGATGCTTCACTGATTTCCTGTTCTTAAGTCCTTGTATTATATCCATTGGGCCTGAATGTGTCCTTTGACCTGATAACGGCAATATATTCATCATTCATCAATGTCGAAACCTCCGCTCTCATCTTTAACTGCTTTCCTGAATGCGCTTTCTTTGCTTTCGAGTTCAACTACCAAGAACCCGGATTTCGATGCAGGATTGAATACGTCCTCAGCTTGGACGGAAGCAGCTCGAAACAGCCGCATCAGTACTAACATCAACTCACTATCAGACGAAGAGTCGGAGGACGGAGACCACTCGGACGATAACGCAGGCCTTGATGGTGTCATTGGGCGGTCTGCAAGAGCTCTCTATGCTTTTGAAGGGAAACCGGAGTTTCGAGAGTTAACATCTGTCCAGGCTGGAGATGAGCTGGAAGTCTTGAAGGAGGAGGTTGGTGACGGATGGAGTCTTGTTCGATGTTTTGCTGTGGACGACCGACGTGAAATTGGATTGCTACCCAGAAGCTACTACACCGTACGAGACACATTTGTGTTGCTCAGAATCTTCACTTACATTAAAGTACCTATCCAATCTATGCACAGTTCACAGCCGACTTCGCTCAGGCACCCGACTTAGAGTTACCACCTTCTCCTAATCGTTTGCGAAGTCAAAGGGAGGCTTCGCAGTCGTCTATCACACCTCGGGGGTCGCCTTCTCGTACACCTGAACCTCGTCCGATTGTCCCACAGAATACAGGAGAATGGTTCCCAAGTTTTCGACGCAGTTTGCTTGGTGGAAAGTCCTTTAATCGGTTTTCTAGCTTCGTCACAAGTGGTGCAGAAGAATGGGTCCTACAAGGATCAGGGGAAGAGATTTCACCTGCGCCAAGTCACGTCCGAGACAGTACTACGTCCTCTATGGGTCAAGATTCTGAAAGCAGTCGAATCGGACAAGGTGAAGCAGATAGGCACTTCGTCGAAGCGGGACCAACATGGAAATCCAAATCACCACCATTTCGCATCCTGGTCCATTCACCTTCGAAACGCACTTCGATGCTCTCCAGCACATATACTGTTTACGCGGTCACTTCTCTGTTTGATTCAGATGATGTTTCAGGGAATGATGATCCTCTATATTCACCTGTCCGCATAACGGTCCATCGCAGGTTTTCACATTTCGTTGTCCTGCATACTGCCTTAAGCCGCCGGTTACCTGGGATTGCTCTTCCTCCACTTCCGGAGAAACAGTATGCGGGGCGTTTCAATGACGATTTTATTGAGGCTCGGAGAGGTGACTTGGAAAGATACCTCGGCCGAGTTGTACGACACCCGGTGGCCCGGTATGCGGAAGTACTAACATTCTTCTTAGGCTGCGAAAGTGACAATGTGAGTACATAGTAATATTTCTAATGTCGTGTCTTCTTTCTGACGCCTTTCTGTTGTTAGGAGTGGAAGAGCCAATATCAAATATACCTATCTCTTCCACCTGCTGGTCCTTCGTTCTATGCCAATGTATATCACCCGGCATTCAACATCGATGCAGATGATGCAAATGAGACTATAGACAAGTTTGTGACCCACACCAAGGCCGTTGGAAGAGGTGTTCAAGGTCTGCGAAACGTTTACGGAGCTATTCGTCAAGCAAGTATAGGTATGTTTCTGGCTATTTTACGTTTCCTATTCAATAGCTAAACATTCGTAGAGATGTCGAAGGCGCAAAGACTGTTATCGTATTCCCTTCTTTCGTTGATTACCTCGAAACCCCTTGCGTCAGCACCGACAACAGGGATCAGCGAGGAAGACGAAGAGGAAAGCAGTAAGGCTAAGGGACATATAAACGAAGATGGTGCATGGTGTTGGAGGGAAGGCTGCGAAGGTATGTGTCCCTCTGTTATTCATTCACTAAGGGTTCTGATTTGGAGACGAAGAATGCCTTAAAATGACAAAGGGGATGCAGAAAACTTCTGAGGTTCTGCAGACCATAGCTGACCTATATGACAACCATGTGAGTCGATATCCTTAGATTGACTCGTCCACTTCTAACATTGGAATCGTAGGCAAGACACAGTCAGCTCGTTACCCACGAGTCCTTGAAGAGCGTTGCACACCCTTCTACATTATATGCAGTATGTGAACTAGAATGTCAGAAATCCTCTTCTCATTATCTTGTTGAAGGACGTCGTCGAGACTCATCGATCCACCTTGTCGAGATACAAAGAGGCGACAATACGGGGATCTGTAAGTTGTTTCATACATTTGTGACATGGTTTGTGACAAGGAGAGTTCAGGAGGACGAGGATATGGCAGCGCGATGCGAGACTGTTCTCAACACCACCATGGCGGAGATTGATACCTACCACACCCAAAAGTGTGAAGATTTCACCAATCTCACAATGGACATACTTGATGACGAAATCGCTTTCTACGAGCAGGCAAGTGTATTCATATTATCAGGTCGTTGCTCGAGATTAATCGTGTTATAAGATCATGTCACGTCTCAAGAACGCACGACGAACATTCGACCAGCCACAATACGATAAGCTCGGCACTTCGCCCCGTCAACCATCCATATATGAACGAGAACTTGAACACCCTCGATTGGAACCTCCGCCCATAACCCAACCATGCCCACATGTGTTTGACTCTGCACCTATGCGTCCAGTCAGTGTGGCCATTCAGGAAGGTGTTGGAATGTTGCTTGGGTCTCCTACGAGGCAGAGCGTATTCGGCAAGTTTTGGTAGTCACGATCTAGATGATATTGATACCGTTTTCTTTCAGTACTAGTTCATAGTAAGGAATTGTCACGAGCATTCGGGGTTATACATTCGTTTCAACCGTCACGCGAAGATGTTTTCTCTTTGACGAATTGGTACACAGATGGGAATCGCAGGACTCGGACTTGGTACGAGGTATTAACCCTAGACCAGATACTTGTCAAACCATTACACCGCTTGCATGAATGCTTGATCCCTGGCTTGACGCTTCTGCTCATCCTCCATGTTTCCCCTCAGGGTCCACCCATGTCGAACTCCTTTGTACACGACAACCTCGAACTCCGTCAAGCCCTTTTCTTTCAACCTTCGCTCCGTGTCCTTCCCTCGCATAGCGTCGTAGTTATGGTCGTCCTCCGCTAAAGCGAAACTTATCGGCTTCGAAATTCCTTCCAGTTCCTCTGGATACTTGACAAGACTTGGATGTGCAGTGACTGTCGCGTAGAATAAGGAGTTCAACACGATGGCGTAGCGACCTCCCCAACAAAACCCAACCATTCCGAACTTCGCGCCTGGATGATCGTTGCGAAGTAGGTTAACGAGAGCAGTGAATTTGGATATTTGAGTTTCGTGCGAGTTACGCAGGACGAACGGAACTAAAACTGATAACGCGAATGGTCGGGCGATTCTCTGAAAGAGCGTTGGTGATTCAAGCACAGGATCCCGGACTGAAAGAGTCCATTGAGGTAAGTCGCGACCTGTACCAAGATCTCCCTCAGTTGTCTTTCGGTGTGCAATGCAGCGCTACTCACCATCGAAGAGATCCGGAAGGAAGACGAGAAACCCTTTGGAGGCGTATTCATCCGCCAATAACCTCGTATTGACGAACCTCCATCCAAAGATATCTGGACCAAAGATCACAATTCGACTACCCTTCTCGTCCCCAGTTACATAGGTAGGCAGAGATGCGACAGTGATTTCATTTCCTTTGGGAGTACCCTTATGCACCATACCGCTCACGCAGTCATTGCAAGCCATGATCTGAACGAGATGTTGCCTCGAAAGACTTGCAAAATTTCGGGGGTACTTCAAGTTCGAAGGAGGGACCCGCCTCGGAAAACGAAGTATTTCGGGCATACACGTAGGTATGCCCCGAACCTTCGTCACTTTTTGTTCACGAATCTCCTGGGCCGAAAGCCCAAAGTGCTTACAGTATACGGATATTCGGACACAAAGGTGTAAGAGATGGGACGTCATCCGTCCGAGCCTGCCTTTCTAACGTTCCTGCATCTCCATTTAGGTGCAAAAGTAATGATACGCGCCGTGGTAGGGATTGATCATCAAATTCAGATGGTAAACGTAGCATGTTCATTTCTTCTTCCCTCGAAGATGCACGAAAGGTGGGAGAATATGAGCTACAAGACGTGCAAGAATAAAACTTGCTCCCATGTTCAGGGCATTTGACTAGTTCGTTATTAGGGCATGGTCCCGAAATCCGAGGGAGCCAAGTTAAAAACAAACCTTCAGCGTATAAAACCATGATCTTGGTAAGTACATCATCTGTAACCGACTTGGAACAATCTCGCCATGTCTTCTTTCGCCTCAGATGCTCCCCCCCCTTACGACGAAGTGATTCTTGCAATCACCGAGTATGTGTATGAATACAAAGTAACGTCACCTTTGGCTTGGAGACGTGCTAGGGTTGCTTTACTCGATGCCATGGCCTGCGTCGTTGAATGCGCGCCGGTTACTTCAACCTTCACTGGACCAGTGATCAAGAATACTGTTGTCCCTAACGGCTTTCCCCTCCCTGCCACCTCTTATGTTCTCGATCCTTTGAAGGGGGCATTTGATCTCGGGTCTATGATTCGATATTTAGATCATAGCGATGCCTATGGTGGCGCAGAGTGGGGCCACCCTTCGGATAACATTGGGGCTATTCTCCCCATCGCCGATTGGCTGAGCAGAACAGGGGAAATACCTCTGAAGATGCGAGATGTTCTCGAGGCTATTATCAAGGCGTATGAGATCCAAGGCGTGTTTCAGGCAATTCAAAAGTTTAATAGGCGAATTCTACTCTTCACTCACCAGTTTATCAGGCAAAGAATGCCTTCAACAAGCTTGGCATTGACCATGTCCTCCTTGTCAAAGTTGCCTCCACCGCCGTGGTGTCCAAATTATTTGGTTTGACTCGACAGCAAGCCAACGCTGCCGTCAGCCAAGCATTTGTCGATGGACATCCTCGTATGTAGAATCATTTTTCTGGGCCATTCCTTAGTTCGCTGATAGTTGTTTAGTCCGTATCTATAGACAATCCCCGAATACAAGTCCTCGTAAGGGCTGGGCAGCTGGCGATGCTTGTATGCGTGCAGTCCACCTTGTTTTTATGACGAAGTCTGGTCAGCCGGGCTTCCCCACTGCTCTGACTGCTCCGAAATGGGGCTTCTACGATGCCTTATTTCGCGGGCAGCAGTTTGTTTTACCCCGCCCATTTACTTCCTCGGTGATCGAGACCGTATTCTTCAAGTTGTATGCAGCTGAGGGGCATGGAATATCCGCCGTGGAAGCTGCCGTCACACTCTCGAAACTGCTTGAAGGACGCCTTGACGAGATCGAGTCCCTGCAAATTCGTACTCAGCAGGCTGCAATGATAATCATTGACAAGAGGGGTCCTTTGTACAACGCTGCCGATCGCGACCATTGCATGCGCTACATGATTGCGGTCACATTACTCAAAGGGGATTGGCCAGACGTACAGGACTACGAGGATGCGTCTCCATACGCCTCCAGTGCTGACGTTGAAGCGCTGAGACAAAAGATTACTATGGAAGAAGACCTGGAGATGACAAAGGACTACCATGACCCGAAGACAGGGAAGGTAGCTAGTGGTCTTACTGTGACGATGAAGGATGGCTCTGCATCGGGCGAAGTGTTGGTGGAGCGACCTGTCGGTCATCCGTGGAGGGAAGACACTATTGAGCTAGTCGCTCAGAAGTTCGTCAGGCTTACGAGTAGCTTGCTAAAAGAGCCTCGTACAGTTTGGGAGAGAATAATGAGCGATAGTTTTGAGCAGGAAGATGTGAAGGATTGGGTAGACTTGTTTTCGTTGAAAGAGTCCTAGGATGGCAACGTACAGGCAGGATTCCAAAGGTTTAATCATTAAACGATGTTGAATGCTATACGAATAGTCCACTTTCGATAACCATTGTCTTGCAGTCCATGATGATTGGTGTTTCATCTTATAAATGTCGACAGTGGGCCTTCGATACTCAATGGTCACGACAGGCATGAGCTTCACGATCGAAGATTTGCCATGAGCACGAGTGTCCAAGATCTAACGATTGTACGGATGGTCCTTGACCTTGAGGTGTAGATAGCTGATGAGTTGCTGTTTACTACAGGTCATGGCCAACTCCGTCAGAGCATGTTTGTAGTGGTTCTGGAAGAGTAGTCACCGGGAATTTATCAGGTTTTAACCGGATATTGGGCCTAGTTATCGAATCTTGCACACTTGTCTAGAACCATTCAGAGGAACCTGATGGGTGGTAACATTTTCTAAGCAAATGTGCATTACTTGTGAGTATGACGCTGACACATGTTTCACGACTCTACGACTCGCCGTTCAGGCGAGTTCTCGTCGCATGATTTACAGTATAAACGATAGCCCTCAAGCCCTTTTCACGATGTCTCACCACAGCAACTGCGCGCATCTTGAGACTTGAGCCTGAAATGCGAATGGTCGGAAAAGCCAAAACCTCTTGAAATAGTCCGAGACATAGCGCAATGCTTCATGAAGCACATTTTAAAGGTCACTGATGCATGGTGCGATAGACATCCTCCAAACATGAAACTTATCTTCTTAGTGTTCGCTATGCTCACTCTTGTAGCAAGCCAAGGGGTTGCTTCGCCTACAGCGGTGAGACGCGTTGCCATCAACATATTCGGCAGTGACTTACTCTCCATTGTTGGGCAAGCACCCTGAACCCTCAGACGAAATCATATTGCATTGGTCTGTGTGGTAACATCAGTTGCATTGTTCCCTGTGTGTGATGGCCCTTTGCGTTATGTAGTCACCCGATGTACTGACCTGCATGAACGATCACCAATACTTTCGGAAAACATCATACCATGCGGCCTGCCAGCGTACCTTGAGTAAACATTCTTGAATTTTTTATGTAGCACTTAACGACGTTAGTCCTGATATCGATCCGGGACGACACAGTAATGAAGGAAGTTTTGTAGATATCCGGTTTTTCGGATTTAAGAGCGTGGCTCAGTGAGAACGAAAAATTTATTGAAATTTTTTTGCAGGAAGGCAAAAGTGCTCCGAGCAATATGCATCATACATGAACCAGATACCACCGCTGCATGGACTAGTGCGAGGCTAATAAAACCCTGGAATCTGAACCTGGGTTGGAAGTTGAATACGGTCACTGGAAAGAGATTTGACGCATCTATAGTGAGCACCATGCCGATTGGAGAAACTGCTCGCCGTCAAAGACAATAATGAGACTTTCAACTCAGCCACGTCGGTGACCAAGCTGGTCTCTATCACGATGATCGCAGAGGACGATCTACGCTCGGGCTAGAAAAGGAGCTTCGTCGCAGTCTCACAAACACTTACTAAACCTTAGAGCAAATGATGAACGTTGTGAATATTACGTTGACCATCAGGAACAAGAAGAGATAACTTACTGACTTTTCCAAAGCTATGGCGAGGATACGTTTGCATGAACATTGAGATTGAGGTCAAAGTGGGGACAAGCCAATAGATGGTATGGTAGAAACTTTATCCTAACACCAAACAGTGACCAGCTTGTTGTATGCCGTCGAGTGCATTTATTGACGCTGTGTAAGGGGTGAACGATAATGGATGGATGGTAACTGTAGCCTCGAGTCAACCCACTACACCGGCAATGGTGTGGAGACTCTAAAAATGACAAATTTCAAGGGAGATTTAAACCATTCAAAATGAGAGGCGATTGTTCAGGGTCTATACCATGCGCCAGGTAGTGGCAGGATGACGGCAGGTACAGTAGGCCTAAATGCACGCAGCGACTCGGATGAACAGAGATTGCCAAATGCGGATTGACACAGCGTTAAAATACGGGCGTCAAAGGTGGTCCGTGCACATCCTCAGGACTATATAGGCCAACATCGAGCATTGGATGTTTCTTTACCACTCTGGCCTTTTGGCTTAGATCAAGTGTAGTATCTGTTCTTAATAGTTTAACCACTATTATGGAGGCACCGCCTCTATTATTGGTTATCTAATTTTTGCCGCCCTTGTCCTTCGAGCTCTGCTTGCAACTCGGAGGCGCGATGACCTTGCTATTGCAGTATTGGCTTGTGTCGTCGAGGGATCCTCTCTTTGCTTTTGTTGGCCTCCTTCACTTGTCAGTTGGCAAGCAGCGGGGTTCAACAAATGGATCGGGATAACGAGGCCTTCCTCTGATTGATTAATCAATGTCCTTCGCACTAGTTGAAGAGGTTGAAAAGTTCAAGCACAGAACATTCAAGTTACAAGTACATATGACAACGTAAGTCTCCAGAGAGTGCTCAAGTATGTCTAGCGTTTCACTCAGACGACAAGCTGACATGATGATTGACGTTGGACAGATGCATCCGTTGACAGTTCTTCCTGGCGCACAGGATGATACATAACCTACTTGACTGCGATCGACGCTGTGCACTAAAATGAGTTCCTGTAAATGCAGCTCATCTGTCATTCACGGAACTATCCCATCCGACGTATATTAGAGGATCCCCATGTTCTCATCAATCCAAGTTGTATAAGGACGACGTCTATACGTCCTTTCTACCACTCTTGACAAACGTTGACATCGCTTAGTCCTCCCTTTCTTCGATGGGCGTAATCTCCGAATCCGGGCTCGCATATATCATCTATCTTGAGACGTATGGCCATATTCTTCCTGCTGCTCTTTGCAGGACTAACGCATTTGCGCAGGATCATCGCAAATTACTCTCATGTTGCTGTGGCAGGTCTGCATAGTAATTTTACGCTGAAAGAATTTTGTATTAGGTTAACAATCGTGCCTACAGCGTTGTTCGTGTACGACATGCTTCTTACGTTCTCACAGGAAGTGAGCCATATCTGGGCTCGCCGTTTCACTGGGATGACTGTGCTGTTCGCTGTCAATCGGTCCTCTGCCTTGGCACAGAAAATTTTGATCATAATGCAGATGACCCCGCTGAATGGAATGTCAACGAAGGTACCATTTGCATCTTTGTATCCGAATTCGCTCTTATGTTCATTTCTTACGATTTAATAGAGGTCAGCGAAGCACACGTCTAGCAAGGGAAAAAAACTTGACGGTTCTTGATGCAGTTGCGGCGTTATCGCCCGACTAAATACAGCTCTCTTAGTGCTCAGTTATCTCGTTATTGCGTGTAAGCAGCTACACCCGCACATGCCTATAATGATTCTTATGATGATCACTTTCAGTTTTCTTCGCCCTTCGAGTGTACGCAATCACTGGCCGTGACTGGCGACCTTCCCTTATTGTCTGTTTCCTCGGCCTTGGGCTGCCTGGTGCTGTGACTGTAAGCATGGTTCATCTCCCACTCAAATCGCTTACCATTTGTCCGTCGGATGTTATAAAGTACCAAGAGGTCGTCACCACCTATTGGGTGTCAACGTCGCCTTCACCAGTGAACGGCGGATGTCAAAGCAATACTGCCTTCAGTCTTCGTACCTATCTCTTGTACGTTAGTTCTCCTTTCGTAACGGTTTCATTACTCACAGATGGACATAGACGTATGCTTTGCTCTCTTTCGCCCTATTCTTCTATCTGAAATGTTTTCGAAGTGGCTACCATTACACGATGTGCAGCAGTGGCTGCGGACCTTATCACTCTGGCAATCACCCTGAGGAAGACCCTCAATCTTCGGAAGGTAGGTTCGGATGCAGGCGTTGGTACACGACTGGTTTCGCTCTTGCTTCGAGATGGTAAACGTGATAAGTTCTTCTATGTTATGCCTACTCATCGCGTCATCAGGAACCCTGTACTTCGCGTAAGTCTAAAGGCATCAATCCGGTTTCTAGCGAAGACGCTTGACGTCGTCTCAGCACTATCTTATTACTCAATACCTTGGATATCATCCTGCTTCATACTACCGTTCTCCATGTTGAATTCTTGTAACTGACTGGTAACTGACTCACCGCTTTCGTTATCAGGGGTTCGGTGCCGTTGCAGATGTGATAACGACGTTTGTTGTTTATTGTATTCTTAGCCGTTGTCACCTCACTGAATCACGGTTCTTCCAGACTCAGCATTATATTGATCTCTCGGTCCATGCTCAACTTACGAGAGATCTACCCTGAAGACGGGCACACTTCAGCTGCGCAATTCTCTACTATACGATTTGCGTCATCGGTGATTGGCACTCTTGGTGCTCCCCTTGAGCATAACGAAGTAAGGGACAATAGTCACGGGGAAGAAGAAGACGTACACGAGCTTGAATGACAGACGGGTCATAGGGAAATTTGTAGTCAATCATGACCATAGTGTGCGATGAAAGATCGGAAGTGAGGTGCTACCTTGATAAGCTTTATGCTCCACAGATGACGGACAATGGATATCGCTGACTTTCCTTGTGTACTTCAGGATATAGATCTCGTTCGTCTCCCTAATGCGAGGAATTCCTATCCCCCAACCCTGGTCGATGCCTGGCTTCTCCCGCTGATGATATCTTCAGTATTGGAGTACGGATCTGCTTTGAGCTTTGGATTGCACTGCCGAGCTTCGATGTCAACATTTCGTCTTCTGGTAACTGTCATATCTTCGCTTCTCCCTTGTTGAATCCGCGTGGAGGACATAGTTGCTGCCTCACTCCTCCTCCCTGTGTGGTGATCTCGGAAGTGAGATAGGTCTTCATATTTCGCTTGAATTTAGTAATACCGTTATCCAGAAGTATATAAGAATCCTCAACGGTACTCCGATAAAAACAGTCTCTCTATCCCCCTTGATTTCATTCAGGTACTCCTATTGTCAATGCAGTCGACCTCAGAAGCTGAGTGCGCATCCATTGTTCTCGAAGGGTACGTTCCAATCCTTCCCCTCAGTTGTTGCACTATTTAGCAGAGTTTCCTATAGCCTTCTCGCTGACTATTGCAATGTCTGCGCCGCAGGTAAGCATGCTCTCCTCGCATTTCAGTCCCGTTATCATGGACTGAAAGCTTTGCACTAGCCTTGTTCGTATATGATATGATTATTACGTTCTCCAGGGAGGTCACGCATGTATGGGGCCGGCGGCTCACCACTGCCACTGCGCTGTTTATGATCAACCGGTACTCTACACTAGCAAATAGGCTCTTGATATTGCTCCCAATGTCACCATGGTACATAGCGACAACACAGGTGCATTTTATTTGCGCCTCTACCCGTATTATGTTCCACTAACCTATCTCACAAGAGGTGAGATGCCTAGCAAATTAAAGCACTGCCATATAGGCCAGTCTGAGCATATCTGGTGGTGTAGCTGTACCATTGTAGGTCGCCTGTACACGGTGTCCGGAGTGCTCAGCATCATGGCAATCGCAGGTGAATAACATATTCCAATACCCAAATGATGAGTATTCAAATTTTGCGTATCTAGTTTTTTTTGCTCTCCGAGTGCATGCTATCTCGGGGCGTGATCGGACGCTGTCATTCTTTGTCTTGACTTTAGGCATCGTGCTGCCAGGCGGTTACATCGTACGTGCTCTCTTTTATCGTCATCAACTTCTCTGATGGTCCTTTCGACAATTCTATTCATTTGCACAGTATGAAGAGATCAAAACCACGTACTCAGCACCATCACCCCTAGCACGTGACAGAAGGTGTCAACAAACAGTATTCTGGAGCACGAGCACCCATCTACTGTATGTCATTGCAATCTCGATTTGTTTGCCTTGCTTACAAGATACGCAGACGTACGTGGTACCACGGCTCACTCCAGGCGTCACAGAGCTAATGTTTGCCTAGTGGGAACCATTTGCCGTTGCGCAACGGTGGCTGCGGATTTGGTCACTTTGTGCATCACTTTGGACAATACATTAAAGCTTCGTAGAGCGACCCCAGAGGGAGGTCGTGGTAGAAAACTTGTCGAGCTTTTGATTAGAGATGGTACGTTGAACAACTCTTAAGATGCTCGATCATATTCAACCTCGATTTTGAGTAGGCTCATTATACTTCGGGTGGGATGGCTCTTTCTGTATCTTTCGAAACACTAAGATATCCTATTTCAAGCGTAATCCTGACACTCAACGCTCTAGATATCGTTCTACTTCAGGCTAGCGTACGTGGAGACACACGTTGCGCTCTTCATTTAGAGCTGACGTTCAATACAGAATTTCGGCACCGTGGGGAATATTATAAACACGTTCGCCGTTCCGCACTTCAGAAATGTGGATCCATTCATATTTTTTATTCTGCTAGACTCAGTGTTATACTGGTTTGCCGGCTCACTCTCAACCTACGGGAGTTCGCAGTGGAAGAGGATCCGTCTGTCCCCCAATTTTCCAGCGTTAAAGAAGCCCCTTCAATGACATTTGGCTCTTCGGATACGCCGCCTGATTTTCACGATGGTGCCGAAGGCGACTATGAGAGGTCGAACAACGACCAAGGAGGCCAGCTGCTTCGTGACGAGATCCACCCTCTAGACACGGAGAATCCTTGACGACGGCGACAATCAATCCCCATAGAGTCGTATACTGTATCTCATATCTCAGAACGACATAGTCCTAACATACACAGCATTGTCAACCCCAAACAACAGCTACAGTAGTCAATAGGAATATACAGTATGATAATTGTCTAATAATACAAACCGCTGGTATCGTTCACCATACCTCCCAGCACATGTTTTCAATCCGCTACCTGGACCTTCTCCGAAAAGTGATGTGCAGATAAAGTCTCTTTCCAGGGAACGTGTACAAGACCAAGGCAGTAGTCAAGTTCTGCCTCTCCGTGTGTAGATGATGACGGTAACGGCGGTGGACGTGGCATTGCGATCGTAACAGCCACTTCGAGTTTTCCATCTATCAATTGTTCGGAACTGTCTGAAAACGGCGGTTCTTGTGTTTTAGATGTGGAAAGATCACTACGACGAAAGTATTTTTGGACGAACGACGGGCGTGAGGAGGGCAGTCGAGGGGATGTGGGTGGAGAATTATGTCGTGATGTCTCGTTAGGAATGAATTTGGCTGAGATAGGCTTGAACCATCCACGTCAATATATACACACCAGTACCATCCAGGACAGGCTCTTACCAGAACCTGCATCCACTTTGTGAACCCTTTCTCTGATAGTTCCTCTTCATCATCCTCTTGCAGGTAGAAGTCCCATAGGACAGGCTTCTCTCCGATCCTCCGCCTCCGTCTACGATTTGTGGCAACTCGTGTAACAATTCCCTGTCGTCTGCCCTGTGGATACACCCTTCTCAAGACCAATAGAGCAACCAAAGCGCCGATTAGCAGTCCCGCTGCTAGGAATACTAAGATAAGAGGAGGCCCTCCAGTTGTGGAGAAAATGTTAGCTGGTGTCCCTGTACTGCCCTCTGACAATGGCGCCGAGGACGTCGGTTGAGCTGATGTGCCCGTAGAGCTGATTTCGACCATAGGCATTTCCAAGGACAGCGGAAACCGCCAGATCTGGAGAACTGGAAAGCACGACGGAGAGAACAGGTAATTGCCTTTGTAGGATTTCCCGTAACAACCAAACCGGTTACTACAGAATAACACTGCTCGAAGACAGCGAGGTTGCTGGAGACAATTGGAATCCGATGCATGTTGGCGGCGTTCCCATCCAGATAAAAGAGCGTCCGAACAGCCCGTGTGATCTGACCTGTGTAAGCAAGCTTCTTCCGCAGCGCCGACTGGGAACCGATTTGTCTGCGAGATTATAAACGAGGGCGCAAGCAGGATAGGAGTGATTCAAATACGTATACGAGCAAGCTTCGAACAGGTTTGTAGAAAGGTGAACACGTCAATGCCACGATGAGTCGGATGAGCTGTCATCACTGATTTGAGAAACATGCGTTGTACACCACGCTCGCTTAGGCATTATGAACTGAAACTGGAGCAAAAGTCAAGATTCTAACGCAGTGCGAGATTTGCGGGGATTCGGTGAGCGCGGAACACGAATGGAACGTTTGAAAATATACAATCGACGTACACATGGTATGGAAAGATCGTGATCGACAGAGGCAATCGGAAACACCAATCTGACATCGAAGCTCGAACTCAGCGGAAGAGGGCACATGTCTGCACAAAGCACTGTGAATCTCGACTGAGATATGACTGCTAAAACAATGCTCTTAGACAGATGAGGAGATTGTGCAGTTCGTTTCATGTTCGCAAACTTGATTACGGCCCAGATTCTTGGCGATCGGTCCTATAACGTGCATTAGCACAGGTTGAAGATCGGAAGTAGAGGAGTCTGGGCAAAATTTGGACCGGCTCACCTGTCGGGCCACTTGAGAACTTGCATTCGTTGAATGTCGCATTACAGACTTGACCGTGCTCTGGGACCGGATACTGTTCATCTCCCCACATACCCTCAAACTGTAACCATCCAACGCCCTCATCGCCCTCTTCCTTTCTTCCAAGACCAGCACCACTCGCAACGCTGAAGGTTTGAGCCGGGATATCAAACCAATAGCCTCGGAAGTTCAGAGTAACGTCCCATAGCGGTCCCGCGTCTGTGCGATCATTCAAGAGATTGTCTGGGCCATGAAGATGAGGACCAGGGCTAGCGTAGTTAGCGTGAGTACCGCCAGCAATGAACGTAGTTGCGCGGTGGCGGGTCATTTGCAAAGCGGAATAGTTGAAGGCAAAACCGCCGCTGTGGGCACTCAAGTAGATGACCGAAGGTGTATTATTCACGAAGCGGACCATGATATGTTCCCAGTCACCGACATGGTCACTGAACTCTTGACCAAGGATCTACCGAGCATCTTTTTGAGTATACCGACGTGAACGAAAATCGCCAAATTAGCACGTACCGAATTTCCTTCATCGAAAGAATAGAAATGAAAGTAGAATGCATCCAAGATACCTCCTTCTTTCTCTATACAGATGATCGTAGCAGGCGCACCACTCAAGCCTTTGCCCTCAGGTTTGTTCTCCGTAGATAACATCCATGACGGCTCATCCTCAACGGGATCTATAGATGTCAAGAAGACATCGTTGCCGAGACTCCCGATATCTTGGAAACCTATAGAGTCCGAGACGATGGTGAAGTTGACTTCAGGGAGGACGTGCGCTAGATGAGTAGATATATCTGAAGGGAACCATTTTTCTTGCGACCAAAGGTGGGAAAGTGGTGCGAATTCAATGACAAACTCTGGAATTGCTTGTTGAGATGGATGGACCACGCTAGCAACACAACCTACAAATGCAAGAGGGAAGACCCTATGGATGAAAGATCGCATAGCACTAATTGACTGTCGAAGTGGTCGCAGGTTCCAGGGAAGGGGCTATTCACCTCATTCAGCCTGCAAAGCCGGGGTTCTCACCACGAAGGGACCGTGTGGAGTAGTAGTGAGACCCAGTGACTAAGTAAAGTATGCATCGTTCAGTATACTTCCCATCCTACCGAGACAGTTTACCAATCTGCGAGCCTTGAAGAATATCACTGGCGATGTGAATGAGTAAAGTAAGTTTGGTGCCTTCGAATTTATCATCGACCTGGATACTCAGTCGAAGGATTGACGCAGTGAGCTTCGAGTTTGCTTGCATGGAAGACCAACTGTGGCCGTCGCTATATCTGTAAATATAAAAGGCTAAGGTGCTCGGAGGAAACGATAGAAGGCGTTGAAGCCACACAAAAGCTTTACAGTCCCGACGCCGCGTCCTTGCAGGTCCCAATATGGAGGAAGGCCGCATCAACGGACGCATCAGGAAGCGCCTGATTTTCAGTCATCGTGATTCTCAACTCTCCTAACTTTCCGAAAATGTTTCGTTGCTGTATTTACCTTCATCTTGCCATGTAACCAACATCAAACTAAAGGACTGTGGGGATACATTCAGCTTGCAGCAAAAGTAGTAGTTTGTCATGTCATCTAAAGTTGTGTTATTACGAAGATGCCAGCGCATCGTATGATGTTCTCCTCCACCATCACCTTAAGTTGCCTTGAAGTCTCATAGCGTCAATAGGACCGCTTTTTACAGACGTTTCGCCTCACGACATCTGCCCATACCTCATAACATCGCACCATGGGCTCTGGACTCATCCATAACTTCTTTGTGACTCACCCTGTTGTCGCGTCATTACATTATGCCCCAAGCATTTGGATTGGGGTCTTGTGCGGGACTCCGCCTTTCAAAACGCACAAGAATATCGTTAGCGCAGCACCTTCTTATTCCCTCCTTGACCTAAGTCGAAATCCCCGTTAGTGTCGTCGCTGAAGGCTTTGAGGTCTGCCAAAATGGCAGCTGTCGCAGTGCCGCAGGTTGCGAGGAGAGGTATGTCGATCTAAATCTCCATTGAAACCACGTGCGTCTTGGATTGCTGGACGGGGTCTCTACGCAATGATTCCCTACCGGAACGGAATGCCAAATGGGCATCCTAGTTCCTGTTCCGTGTGCAGTTTTGTCCAGCCTTTCACAAAATCCGTCGTTATTCGATATAGTGAGCGCGTAAAGCTGCTATATTGATCTGCCAATCACGGAGTCTGTGCTTTGCATCCGTTCTATCCTTGATATGTCCCCTCCGAGTCTGCGCGAGTGCAAGTTACCATTGCAACCCCGTCCTCGTAACAGACCGGACCTGAGAGTGTCCTATATAGCCTCGGCCCCGCAGCTTTTCCTAGCCAAAATTTTCATCCCCCTTACTTCAATCTCAAATACATATATTTACTCAAAATGACCATAGTGTTGACCCCATACTGGTCCAACGGCGTTCAGAAGCTCAAGATGGCCCCTCAACGTATGTGACCTCGACATTCCCGAACCCCAGAAACTAATTGACTGTTTCTTCTCAGCACCTCCAAGACCTGCTCCCGGTCTAACTCCTCCTGCATTTGACCATGAGATTCACAAGATTCGCTCGCTCTCTCAACTTCGTTCAAAAGACAAGGATATCGAAAAGCACATATACCTGAACCAGCTCAAAGATGCCGACCAGAACCTCTTCTTCAAGCTCTGCATAGAAAACATGGCTGTAAGGACCCCACAATCTTCTCATCTCGATCCGTATCTCTTACGTTGTCCTCCATGCTACAGGAGATCACCCCTCTAATCTACACCCCAACTGTTGGGGATGCCTGTATTCGATTTTCACACAACTACAGACGACCGGAAGGGCTGGTATGTCCCGAATTAAACTTTCCTTCTATGGAAGAATCATTTCCTGATGCGGTCTCTCTTGGCAGTTCATCTCGTTGAAGGATAAGGGGAAAATTGGTCAGGTTCTGCGCAGTTGGCCACGGCCTGACGAAGCTCGCATCTCTGTCGTGACTGATGGTGAGACCTACGTAAGGACCACGATGTTTTCCCGCTGAGCCATCTTCATAGGTTCTCGTATCCTTGGACTTGGAGACCTGGGTGTCAATGGAATGCCTATCGCCATTGGAAAACTGTCTCTTTATGTTGCGGGGGCAGGGTAGGTTTAAAATTGTTTTAGAATTGTCTACCTGCTCACAGCTCCTCCATAGAATCCGACCATCTTCTACTGTTCCTATCTGTCTTGACCTCGGGACAAACAACAAAGAGTTCCTCGAAGATCCTCTCTACCTCGGACTCAGGCATCCTCGAGTACCTATGGAAGTCATGAATGAGTTCATGGAGGAATTCATGTCCGAGATGTCTACCGTCTTCCCTAATTTAGTCGTGCAATTCGAGGATTTCGCTACAGACAAGGTTCGATGTTAACGTTACTCACTATCCTTCACGTCTTGCTCAATAATAAGTCGTTCTATAGGCATTCGCATATCTGGACGCATTCCGTCACCGGTACCCTGTCTTTAATGATGACATCCAAGGCACCGGCGCCGTCGTTCTCTCTGGCTTCCTGAATGCCGCCAAGTTGTCATCAGCAGCCTCTGGACGACCCTTGTCAGACCATCGTATTCTGTTCTTGGGCGCTGGTTCGGCTGGTGTCGGTGTAGCAATGCAGTTGGTCAGCTTCTTCAAGCTTCAAGGTCTTTCTGAGGAAGAAGCGAGGGGGAGGATTTACCTCGTTGATTCGCAAGGCTTGATATTTGACGAACGTGGGCCCCTGGCTGAACACAAGAAGTGTAAGTAGTCGGTATGAGCTGGATTCCGAGCGTGCAACTGAGCGGTTGTCGCGTTTTCAGACTTCTCTAGGAAGGACTATACAGGTCCGCCTATGACCGACCTCGTACAGATTATCGAAACTGTTCAACCAACCGCTCTTCTCGGTCTCTCCACCATCAAGGTACTTCGTCATGTCCACAGTTCTGCTTTCTACTTATTCATGCGTCTTATAGGGTGCATTCAACCAAAAAGTGGTCGAAACCATGTCTGCCCTAAACCCTCGCCCCATCATTTTCCCTCTCTCAAATCCTGTCCGACTGTCTGAGTGCGAATTCAACGAAGCCGTGGAGTGGTCAAATGGCAGCGCTATCTTCGCTTCTGGATCGCCGTTCCCGGAACAGTCGTACAATGGTAAAATGCTCTATCCCGGTCAAGGAAACAACATGTATATCTTCCCAGGTACGTTGCTTCCCAAATTCTCGATTGGGGTCTGAGTCTGAACATGACTGTAGGTCTCGGATTGGGTACCATTCTGTCACGTGCATCCGCTGTCACCGACAGCATGGTCGAAGCTGCATCACTTGGACTCGCAAATGCGCTCACTGATGAAGAGCGTGCTCTGGATCTCATCTATCCTCGTATTGAGCGTATTCGAGAAATCAGTGGTGCGATCGCCTTGAGCGTAATTCGCGCTGCTCAGAAAGCTGTGAGTTTGTCCTTATTACGTTGCCGTTATGCGCACTAACAACAGGGTCTTGTGCAGGGTGTCGACCGTTCACCCGACCTGCGCACTTTGAGCGATTCTGCTCTTCTCGACGTTGTCGTTAGCAAGATGTGGCATCCTTAAGTGGACGTCGTTTCCATCCTATGCATTTCATTTTATAGACGGCTCTCCTTTCCTTTTTCTCAGGTGGATCACTGTATGCCTTCTAATTTGTAGATCAGCTTATTTATGCAGGAATACTTACTACGTAGACACAGCTCGTCAATAGACATGGATTCAAGTACTGTTGTTAGGGCCAACGTTGCCAATTGCGATCGACGGATCAAAGTGACCGACCGTACTGTCGCGCTGGGTTTCAACGTTCAACATCAAGTTTGTCCCCATTTGCCTCTCTGCTCATTACCCCGAGGTGTCTTATGCCAAAATGCCTGTTGCTCCTCATCTGCCCTCGGAGATTATATACGAAATAGTTGCTCCTATTATAGTCGAGAACATCGACCTTCTCATCACCGATCGAAGGAGGGTTAATCGAAAGACCTTCATAGGCCAGAATCTTAAAAATCCTGTCACTGCTCTTCTCAGGACGTCTGTTGCTTTCAGAGCTACGACTCAAAAAGTTCTATCAGACGCGCTTGGTATTGCTCTTAATGATGACGGTAGGTAAGTTGGGATCACGGGTTTTACTTTTCCTTCATCTTACGGACATCCTGATGCACAACAAAATTATACTCTAGTTTACAGCGCAATCCGTTCCGTATAATACGAAACATCCGGGTCCTGTGGATGTTTTGTCGCAAGGGCAACTGTAGAAGATACACGGACCTGGCCATGAAGTTGAACTACAAGACATCGAGACTGCCTGCCGCATATGTGATGATGGCAGGAGGGGAAATGCTGGTACACGACCGCTTTGTCCCTAAGATGCAGTCATACGATCCCGAGAAGGCGTCATTGCTACCTAAAGAGGCTCTCCTGTACGCCGATGATATTTCCCCGCAGATATTGGCCGGACCTGTGACAAGGCGAATCGAAAGTTACTTGTGGTCTTGCTACGTAGGTATGTAATAAGATAATGGCTTGCGTGAGACTCCGCGCTCATCCATTCACCCATTCGTAGCGGACGAAATGATGGAATGTATGGAGCTTCTCGAAGAGGTTTGTATGCCATTCAGGAACCCGGGTTTCGGTCGCAAGAGTCCCGGCTACAAGGTCAGACTTTCCCTGTTTTGCAGCATTTGCAGCACAATTGAAAGTCACTGCAGAATGCTTTAATCACCACTGTCAGCATTCTCGAAGTGGTGAAGACTTGCATGAAGCAGGAAGACAATCGTCGATACAACGTTGAGTTCGGCCCTTACCCAGGTGCAGCCAAGCTACGTGCCGACGTCATCATGGTGAGCATTGATAACTACGACCGTATTTTCTCTTTGTCCATAATTCCAGGTTCATCGTATGCTGCATTATCAGATCGCCAGAGGCCATTTAGCACCGCTCAGGATGGTGATAAAGCTGCGTATAACGGACCAAAAAGACAGAGACATGATAATAAAGGCGACACTCGAGGCATATACCGCCATGGATGGATTCCTCCAGTCTCTCTTTCCTGCGAAGGACGGTGAAGAGGATATTAGCCTGATGGATTATTATGTCGACTGCGCCCTCCCCTTTAATGTCACTCAACCTCTAGATATTTAGTTGACTATATCATGTGTTCATCTTCAGCACTTCTGAAAATGCTCTAATCGTGTTCTACACCGATGTCGGGAAAGATCGTATATGTCCATGGTACCACTTTTAGGACATTAGATTTCTGGAGAAGAACCGAATTTGAACACTCACTTTACGGACTTCGCAGCACCTTCCGTACCATATTGCGACTTATAGCATCTAGATCATTCGTTTACCCTTTATTGTATGGCTTGTTGACACTGTCATGTCTTGTCCGTTACGTTTCTTAACGCACCCTCCAGACACGGTACTATATGAGCCAGTGACGGATCAAAACGATCGATCGTATTGTATCTACGCGACTGCTGCTTGTGCCCGAGTCGGACGCGTCCTGGTTCTCCTCATCACTTCGGGTTTGAGCAATCTTGCAGAGAGATGCCTGACCTTCCTCATTTACCCCCAGAAATTATCTACCAGATTGTCGCTCCGATTATAGTCGAGAACATCGACCTCCTCATTGCGGAGGCGCGTAAATCGGAAGACATTTATAGGCCAGAACCTCAAAAATCCTATAACTGCCCTTTTGAGGACGTCTCACTCATTCAGAGCCACGACGAACAAAGTTCTATCTGATGCATTGGGCATACCTCTGAATGAAGATGACAAGTAAGTTCTGACATTATTTGTCTCAGATTGTGTTTGCGATTAGCAAGTGAACGATGCAGTCTCCAACGTAAACCGTTTCCTGTGATACGGTACCTCCGATCCATTTGGATATTTTGCCGCAAAGGCAACTCCAACAGTTACGCGAAATTGGCCATGAATCCCAATTTCAAGACATCACCCTTGATCACTGCGTACATCTTCCTAGCAGGCGGAGAACTGCTGGTGCATGATCAAGTGGCCCCCGAGATAATCCACTACGACCCAAAAAAGGAGCCATGCCTACCAGTGGACGCTCTTGAGGTTGCGGACTGTATCCAAAAAGAGATACTAGCTGGACCTGTGATAAAACGCGCGCAGAACTTTCTCTGGTCTAGTTACGTCGGTATGTATCGTTACAGCTATCGGTCACGGCTTTCACCTATTTACGCGCACCCACGACGAATTTACAGCGGACAACATAATTATAACAATGGAAAAACTTGAGGAGGTTTGCTGGCCATTCAGAACGCCTGTTTATGATCGAAACTATCCGGGGTATAAAGTTAGCAACTGGCATGACCCTCTTTATTTTTCCATGCAGTTCGCTGATCAATGTTCCTCCACAGGAAAACCTGACCGATATTATCAAAGTAATGCGCGATGTGAAAACGATCATGAACCAAGAACAGAATCGCCAATTTGCTTTTTATTTTGGGCCTTATCCAGGTGCCGCTAATCTTCGTCCAGAACTGATCAAAGTGAGTGCCAATAATCTATGCTAGACCCATCTCTTAGACTTTCTCTACTAGGTTGCCAGAGGTCACCTTGCACCGCTCATCATGATGGCGAAGCTGCCCATCACAAACCAGAAGGACAAGGAGCTCATAGCGAAGGTCACGCTTGAGACATATTCTGCTATGGATGATTTCTTCAAGTCACTCTTTCCACCTAACGACGAGGAGAAAACTTTGATGGACTACTACGTTGACGGGATTCTGCCATTTCCTCTTGGTCAACCAAGGGAATTCTGATTAAGCCAATGTTGCTAACATTTCGTCTTTCGACATGTCTAAATCTAGAATCATCAATGGAATTCTAATGCAGCGTCTCACGTTTACTGTGCTTAAAATGTGGGGGTCATCATAACTGACATTCATAAGGTATCTTCTTCACCGTCTATCAGAAAAACCCTCATGTAGAATCGGATCACGGTATACAGTGCAATGCCTACCTTGCGGACCTCTGCTACGTCCAGACTGATGGCGCGAGTAAGAGATGGACAATGAAATGGGTAGAAAGGGGAATTTCCAGCACGATGTTGACGTATCTGAAAAGTAGAGTATGGTATTCAGCGTGTCACAAGGATTCTCTAGGCAAATAGAAGGCCGAAGACAATCCATCGTTCTGAGAAATCTTAGTGAATACCATATGGTAATATTTATGCCACTATGGACGAAAAGAAGATCGAAAAGAGTCCGAAAGGTCTACATCTCGGGTACTAAATACAAATAAGATTTTTAATCCGGAAGATGGAGAGAATACAAGTATTAGTCCAGAGCTACTGATACATCAGAAAGGAACCGGTCCTTTTGGGGGAACTGGCGGATTTGGAGAAATCCTACGCTGACTGCCAGAGCCAGGGCTGTTAGGGACATCGTCACGGTCGACAGAGTCCAGTGAGAATGGGAAAGAATAATGACGGTCGAAATCGGAAAAGGTCCGAATGACAGGACCCTTTGGTAACGGCTTCTGAGTTTCCATGGTCGATGAAGCAGGTTTCTCCCTCGAATCGGCAGCACTAGTGGTGCTATTGCTTGGGTTATTTCGCATGATCGACTCGGATGAAGTGAACATCGTCTCTGAAGATTGACAAGTCAGCAAAAAGCTAGAATACCACAGAAGAAGCACCTACGTCGCGAGAGCCATTCGCGAAGTGGACCGTTTCTCGTATGCGCGGCACGCGAGCGGCGTTTCCGAATACCACAGAGCACGAATATCAGTGCAAGTAAGAGTATAATCATACAAGCACCGAGTATACCGCCAATGATGATAGCTGTCTTCCTCGGCAAAAGTCCTGTATCCTCTGTCTTCTCCTGGACCGAAGCTGCAGCGACGGATGGGGTCGAGTTGCCGCAGAAGAAGAGATAATCGAGAGTGTAAGGGCTTCCAGCGCTCGTGACGTTGATAAGCAAGGTGTGTTCTCCAGGAGACAACTGGGGCGATTGGAAAAACTGCTGATTAGGAATGTTGTGCGTCGCGACAGGAAGAGGAAGTTCAGTCGGATTACTCGTGTCGATAGTGTAGCTTGCGACAGGAGGAGGGGAGGTGGAATTACTAGGGTGAACGATGCCGATAACGATGATCGCTGTTCCTAAAGAGCCAAGCAACATGTATCAGCTAGCAATGATAATATACAAAGAAGTGTTACCATTGAATACGATAGACACCTGCGAGCCAGTAGTGGTTGTGGTGTGCGTCGTAGTCGTTAGACCAGTTGGATCCTTGGCCTCCAACGTCCATCGTCCGGTATACTGTAATCTGCCATCATTCTCGTTCACGAACTGACAACCATTGCCTCGAGGCGGTGATAACATCTTGGTATTAGAACCATTGTTACCATTCGAATCATCAGAGTCATTGTTTTCCCCGTTCCCATTCGCGTTATTGTTCCCTCCGTTGGAATTGTCACCTCCGAAACTGAAGGTATTGTTGTTGTTTCCGCCAAAATCAGGGAACTTGCCATTACTATCGTCGTCATCCGCTTGAGAATCAAAGTCCTTTTTGTTGTCGGCGTAGGATCGATGCGAGTTGGAGTCCAGAAGATGCTTCCGGTCATTTATGGATTTGTTAAGACCGGAACAGTCCCTTCGACCTGTCGCGAAGATACGTCAATGTTCAACAAGAGAGGATCAACAAACTTACCATGCATTCTCGAACGAACGATCCTGCGCAAAGCCATCCTGGGCTAGTTGTTATGTAAAGCAAGAGAAGCAATCTCAAGGATCCGCCTGTGGATGATCAGATTGAATGTGAATAAAAAGCGGAGGCAGAAAACATACGTCAAGCAGCCGATCCAATGCGTTCAACGCAGCGAACGAAGAGAAAGACGATTGAGAAACGATGGTATACGGCTCGTACATCCTTATAGCGACCGTCGTATTCTCATGTGCCTTTCCTTTGGGTCATAGCAAAATGTCACGAGATAGCAAAGCGCATTTCGTCCGCCTCTCGACGACCAGGGCGAGAGAAGTCATTTACATATGCAGGCACTTCGACCGGAGCCTTGATCTCTGCTGGCATCCAATGTGACTGTTACTGGAAATACGGGCCTGATACGACGCTGTCTATAAGTCCATAGCAACATCGTCGAGTTCGCTGTGGAAACGTCCACTCACCAAGCAAGAGAGATTTGCCTGGGGGCGGAGCCTACTATCGAAGCTTCTTAATTGGCACCGAACATGGGCGCTCTCACGAAATTGTATCTTGCTCTTCAACCTCTATCTTCGTTTTAATGCTAGGTATGAAGCTTCTTCGTTAGGCACGACATTCGAGACGTACTGGGAGAATTGGAAATATTGGTCGATTCCGACATTGAATGAACAATCGAGCAGATCGGTGCATGTTCTGAAGCACGTCAGTAGTTACCATCGCTACCACTGACTGGCTGGGATTGGTCTCCACTGACACTGTATTTCGGGCAAAGTTCTGGGAAACTTGTTGCACTTGTTGCAAAACTTTTGCCCTGCGGCTCTTCTGCAACGCTCAGCAGGCATTATTCCCGCGAACCTCGCATCCGAGTTTACCATTCGCTCTCATGAATGAACATTGCGACCTCGATAAACGCAAGTTCCTTCCTTCATTCCGAGATCTGGATCTCTGAGAGATACTTTTATGAGCGTTGAAGTTCTTGTGACTATGCTAGTGACGTTCGTCAACACGTTAATATTCCGGTGCTTTGGATGTGCTATTCAGTGATCAATATCGGCGATTATAGAGGTGCCATTCATTCGCGAAATCTCGTTGCTTGGCACATCTCGACTTCATATGGTAAGACCGCCTTGGTGCCTAAAAGTATGTCCTAACTTACTGAATGTCCGCGGGGCTAAGAGTTTGGTATTGGTGAATGCAACGGGCATTTATCGTCAATGACAACCATACTTGCATGATCGAGTGTAAGGGTTGGTACACCCCAGCGTGCAGGCGGTAGGCAACCTTGAATGGCCGCCGCGATGATACCAGTCTACTGAGGCTTCAGCACCGGGTTTGTAGAACAACCATCGGACTCGGACTGCGCTGTATGAACACTCGACAAAGATAGAGAGGAAGCGATTCCGAAAGAACCGGAATCGGTTTACATGCGAGACAATCTAGATAACAAAGGAGCAAAAAGCGTCAAAGAGAGGCTTCTTGTCTTTGTCATCCTACCCCGAGTCTTTGTAATACGAATCCCAGTGCATGAGGATAGCTTTACTGATTATGTTGTAATACTTCTGGCACAATTGCGTATAATCCATTCACGCCGAATCTTCAATGATATAAAGGGACGTCTGCTGCTCTTGATCAAGCAGCATCTTTTGAACCCGATTATCATTAACGAACACGCTCGTAATGTCGGAATCACGTACGCCCATCTTCCTCACAGGTGCTACAGGTATGGCGGCCATCGATATCTTCTTGAGCATTGAGAAATTTAGATGTCAATCTGCCTGTAGGCTACATCGGCGGGTTTGTGCTTGAACGCCTGCTAACCCACCCAAATGCAAAGACATTTGATATCACGGTCATCTCTCGTCAAGAGGAGAAGGTTAAAAAGCTCGAGTCATTTGGTGTCAAAGCTGTTGTCGGCTCCCTGGACGACTATCCTTTGATTGAGGATCTCGCATCGAAGGCACATGTAGTCTTCGATTGTGTATGTCTCACTAGTCTACGTCCGTTCGTTTGGTACATTGATACTCACCGTAACATCATCCCATCAGGCCGATGCTGATAACTTTGAAGGCGTAAAAGCTATCCTGCGCGGCTTGAAGAAGAGGCATGACACGGTTGGCGATGTGCCCATCTATATTCATACGGTTGGTTTCCCATTTCGCCGGATCCCTTGTTGACGCTCTATAACTAACTTGAGATTTACTCAAGTCTGGCACAGGTGTATTGACCGACGATGCCAAAGGCTTGGTCACGTCCGACCTCATCTACGATGACTTGAACGTCGAGCAGCTCGCGTCCATTCCCGATACCGCTTTCCACAGAAATGTCGACCTCGCCGTTGTTGATGCTGACAAGCAAGGTATATGGCTTGCCTCTCTCTGCATCCTATCGTTCGCCTGGATATAAATTGATGCGATGTCCTCTTCTTGAAGGTTACCTCAAATCGTACATCATTCTGCCTAGCACCATCTACGGCATCGCCAAGACCCGTCTTGTCGAAGCTGGCATCCAGAACCCCTACTCCATCCAGATTCCGGCAATAATCAAAGCATCTTTAGCCCGGAAGCAAGCCGGTGTAGTCGGAAAGGGTGTTCCTTTCTGGCCAGATGTCTCTATCGAAGATAGTCAGTAATCTTCTACGTGCTTCGAAATGTTTGTGTCATTCATGGTTAATCCTTGTGTTCTTTTTGATATAGTTGCCGACTTGTACATTGTTCTATTCGATGCTATCGTCACCAACCCCGACAAAGTCGGTCACGGACGTGAAGGATACTACTTTGGTGAGAACGGCGAACACCACTGGTCCCAGATCTCTCGTGCCATCGGCGAGGCATTCGTCCAACTTGGGATCAGCACGGACCCTGAACCAACTCCGTTTACTGACGAGGAGCTCATCAAATACTTCGGTTCACTCGTATGTGTCATGATTTTTGTTTCTAGTGTTTCAGAGGGCGGAAGCTGACAATGTTGTATTAAATGCTTGCGTTGTTGTAGTGGGCTGGTAACTATTCTGGAACCAACTCTCGCTGCCGCGCGAACCGGAGTCGAGCTATCGGTTGGAAGCCGAAACATACTACGCAAGATATGGTGGCTAGCATCAAGCCTGAGGTCGAGGCCGCCATCAAGCAGCAGGGTGGGAAGTAATGTAGTCTATTGCACAATTGAAGTGGGGATGTTATCAGACGATGGATCACGACTTGTACAGTATGATACCTTAGACATTTGCAAAACTCGTTCGGATACCGTGTGTAAGACTAGTTATGGCATGTATGTTCAGTGTTGATGCTAAGTCGAGAGAATTCTAGTTTATATCGGTCACTTGAACAGCAGAGCAGACGAGGTATAGCAACCGTTCAACGCACCACTCAAAGCTGAATGGATTCAAAAAGAAATTAGAAATTCATTGGAGGACTTGATTAACGGGTAGGACTTGCAAAGTTTTCGAAACAGAATGATTCATGGCGTCGACTCCGTTGACTTCCAGTTCTAGAAATTTATCTACAAGATCAACTACATACAACTAGTCTTCTTCGGTAGCGTTCTACGATGGGTCTGTTATCTATCACTCTATATTCAATAGATGTGCAACTCTAGTCGGTGCACATATTCAGTGTCAACGAAGCATGTCAGTCTGCAGTCTACCAAAAAGCACCTGGCAGTGTAGATATACAAGAAAACTCCATCGTAGAGGTGTATACAAGCATCTCCTATACGCCTGCGAGTTTCTTCAGCATTGCCAATTCATTCTTGCCTGTCGCTTGGCATAAAGCGTAGAATTTTGAAGACGTGTCTTGCAACAGAGTAGCAGGTCTGTCAAACTCGACAATTCGGCCCTCTTCCAACAGCATAATCTGATGGCAATGTCAATGAATGAAGGGTGAAAATAAACAGGAACAACTCACTCGATCGTAGTCAATGATGGTACGTAGGCGATGGGCAATTGTGAGGATAGTACTGTCAGCAAATTCACTGTGGTGATAGACGTAAGTCGCGAACTATGACATTATGTCATATTTATCTCACTGTCGTATTGTTTTGCCAATGAGTTCGTCTGTCGCATAGTCGACACTGGGCAAGCCAATAAGTATACAGTCAAAAAGCTTGGCTCAGGAGTAAGCTCACCTTGCAGTAGCCTATATCGTACGACCGTTGTGAGTCTAACGTATACTGCGCTGCGAATTCACGTACCTCATCCATCACAAGGACCTTGGTACGTTTCAGGATGGCGCGGGCCATACACAACAACTGCTTCTCGCTGGATCCCCGATTAGACACATTATTGATGGATTAAGGGAAACGAACATACCCCGTAGAGAAGTTTTCTCCTCCTTCAGATACTGAGGAGTCAAGGCTACGGAAGACACTGCCGTTGACAGTATCTGCATCCTCTGCCGGCGTGCCCTCGGGAGGGATGAGATGGACACGTCTGAGGGCTTCATACTAGATTGCATATAATATAGATATGTTCATGAGATAGACAGAATAACTCACAATTTCGGCATCTTGATACTCGTTGAAGACGTCCAGCGCAGAACGCAATGTGCCGCTCAAAATCGTTGGATCCTCTAAGTATACGGTATGAGTGGATTCAAATTCCTACCTACATCGACATGCAGGATACTCACGAGGAATGATAGTTAACTTGCTCCTCAGGTCCGTAAGCCCGACTGTAGCGATGTCCAAGTCGTCGATGAGAATACGACCTTGGGCGGGTTCGACGAATCGGAAGAACGACAGAGCAAGGGTCGACTTTCCAGACCCTGTGCGACCTAGTATTCCCACTTTTTCGCCAGGTCTAATTTTGAAACTGAGATTGTGGAGAACGGGCGGAAGATCCGGCTAGCAAACAAAAGGTCAGTATGTGACATAAACGGGCGGAAATGTGACTATTCCGTACCGCGTAACGTATGACAAGATCCTCTACCTTGATGATGCCGTTTGAAGGCCAAGACGCAGGAGGACGAGGTTCAATAAACTCAGCAGGCTCACGTTTGATTTCAGAGAATTCCTTGACTCGTTCGACCGCAACCTACACCATGTCGTCAGAAAGATGCTCACACAACTAAACTCAGGCAGAAAGAAGCACACCATTGCTTGTTCAAGTCCAACGAAACGTCGCACCTAAACAAGCTACATGTCAGATTGTGATTCGACCAACCCTCAAAAGTTACTGACCATGAACAGCAGCTAGAACAAGGCGAAATCAGTTGAGTCAGACAAAAAGGATGAAGGATGCTCACATCATTTGTAATAGTAGATGCAAATGTGAGGGCGAAGCCGGCCGTTGATGCACTGATGCCAGGTGTGAGGACAGTGACGAAGCCGGCAAGACCAACCACAGCAGCAGACAATAAGTTGAAGCGAGCCGAAAGCCATCGGTTGACTGAAAGACATCATGAAAAGGGAGACCTATACAGAAAGAATGATTGCATACCTCCCCACGTCCAATAGAACGGATTCGCGTTCTAGCCACAAGAAGATGTTCAGAGTTTGATAACCTATATGTCTGGACAAAACATACCGTATCAACGCAACGAAGCATGTCGCGTAAGAACTTAGAGGATGCGCCAAAGGCACGAATCACGGCTACGCCTGCGATAGTTTCACCATATATCGAATACAGAGGAGAGCGAGTGACCGAGTCTTAGATCTATTGGTGAGCACGATATTTGACCAAGAGTAGTGGAGCCTACCTAATCTTCGCATATCACGGGAAGTTTGACCGTAGACCTTACCCACTAGTTTGTATCAGCAGAGTCCTCCACAGAATGGCAACACGACAACAGGACGTACCGTTATAATATAGAGTACCCAGAAGAATGGCAGCCAATATGAAAGGCAGGCCACCGATAACGCTAACCGTTATGACGCTTGTCATAGCGGAGAGGCCAAAAATCACACTGCGACCGAAGTTATCGGGAAGATTACTGTCAATGCCTAAACAAACCTAAGCGTCAGAGCAGCGAACTTTATTTTATCGAACAAATACCAACCTTCGAAATCTTTACCAAACCTATTCAACAAACGTCCACGCGACACAGTGTCGTGGAATCGGAGGTTTGCGAACAAAATGCCCTCCAGAAGCCCTGGTACCATATGTTACAATGTACATCCTTGAATAAAAGAATAGACACTTACTCATATGTAAGACCTTTGACGCATGAAGACCACCCCGATCTTCAGAAAATGTCAGATCTAACGGTCTGAATGATTGAAGTATAAAGCGTACAGATGACGAAGTACCGGAACGTCGTCAGTATCAAACCTGAGAGGAACATGTTCAAATGAACGAGCACGTGAAGACAACTGAAGTTTTACCTATGGCAGTAATCTTTTCGGAGGGGTCAACAAGACTCGTGAATAATCAAGACACGAAAGTACATACACCTGCATAAATGCTGATATAGAAGAGAGAGCTATGGGTAGCAGAACCTTCCAGCGCGGCACCAGACCAAATTCTGAACTTTGGTTTAGTGCATCGCCCTGGTATAAGAGTGGATTCACATACTTGAGCCATCCGTTCTCCATCACAGGAGTCAAAGCAGCAAGGACCAAGATGAACACGAAGGACGTCCAGTAGACGACACCACCGCACGCTTTGATATATGTGAGCCAGAGTTCCTTGCTGATCCGTCCTACAGCACGCTTCTCTTCCTCTATCAGTTTTCTTGGCGGTTTCTTCTCCACTTTAATTTCAGGCTCCGGAGGTGCGGGAACCGTTGTGGAGCTAGTTTCAGAGGTATCGCCATTACCCTTCTTCTCTGGAGCCAGATCCTCGATAACTGGGGTCTCGTCCTCGCCATCCACGGGTTCGGCAGTCGACTGACTGAGAGATCTCAGAACAGTGGATGACTGGAACGCTTCACGACCACCTTGGAACTGGACCCGGCCATTGTCAAGAGCAACGATGTAGCTTGCACCCGGCGCGCAGAGTTGAACATGATGTGATACCAGGATCACTGTTCGTCCACGCATGAGATCGCCCTTGAGACACTCGTAATAGAGATGGTGAGCAGTATGTGCATCCACTACAAACATATCGACTTAAGAGACACGGAAGAAAAAAATGTGAAGGATAGCGTACCTGCCGAGAGCACGTCATCCATAAGTAAGACGGCTGCGCGAGAATAGACGGCACGAGCTAGCGAAACTGATGAAGGCTGAATCAGTTGGCAGTCAAATATCCTTGTGACTGCATTCGTACCTCTTGCCTTTTGCCCTCCAGACAGATTCACCTATAGGAAGTCAATGGCCGAAAGGCAAACAGATAAGCCAAACTGGTTACTTACTCCTCGTTCACCAATTTCAGACATGTCACCATCCTCAAGGATCTTTAGGTCGCTAAGCAGTGCACAAACCTCCAAAGTCTTCTGATAGCGTTGCTCGTCGTAGGGCAGATCAAAAAGGATGTTGTCTGACGAAGGTTAAGCGTTAATGCGAAAATTCTAGCGGAAGGAAACATCGACCTCATACCTCGGATAGAAGCGTTACGGAGCCATGCAGTCTACGAGTATCGACGCTCAGCCTGGTGATCACCACCGACCCCTGCACGGCTTACCTGAGGTACAAAGGCGCAAACGCCTTCGACGATCCATTCTTCCTGAGGAACAGAAACACCGACAAATTTGGCAATAATATCCGGAGGGGAGCGCGGACTCGTAATCTGGCCAGTCAGGAGGTCTGCCTCTCCTAACAATGCTGTGATATACAAACACCCTTCAATATCTCATGGGACCAATAATTGGGTCTGAGATAGGCTTACCGAGAAGCAAAAGTGTCTTTCCACTTCCAAGCTTACCGCAAATCAACGAAAGTTCACCTAGAGGGAAGTCCAAAGTGAGATCGATGAGAATGAACTTGTTTTTGGGTGTTGATGCGGCAGATGGAGCGGAGCTAGCACCCCGCGTTCGGTCCTGGGGCCAAGTGACGGTAGCTGATTGCAAGCTGATAGGATGGGGTCGTCCATCGAGAGGTGGGACTGGCTTGACTTCCGCACCGTTAAGGTATTTCTCAATACGACGCAGCGAGACCATCGATTGAAGCATGCCGATCAGCGTCTCTGGAAGAGCATTCAAGGCAAACTTCATCTCGTTGAAGACTGTAATGAGGCTTCATTTAGAACGGGTAAGACATATTTCCATTTCTTGGCAACATACTGCTTATCTTTGGGAAATGTCAGCGTCAGCAAAGTACAAAGACAAAAGTAACATAGAACTGACCGAAGTGAACGCAATAGCTGGCGTGAGCGTTTGCTGTCGGATGATGACGAAGTGGTAGAATGACACGAGCGTAACCATGATAGGCGAACTGTTCCAGATGGCGTTCCAGAGTACTTCGATAGTGTAGTTCAACTTTTGATACTTGAGTTCGCGCTCTCGGACTTTAAGGACTCTGGACTCGAAGCTGCGTTCCCAAGCCATAAACTGAACGGAGTGTGAGCAGTGAAGTGTATCAGTTTCAAGAGCAATGTACCTTTAGCATGCGGATGCCGCCCAAGATCTGCATAAGACAATCTTCAAGTACTGACAGGAGTTGACGAATTGTAGCTGTTTACCTCGTTCATGAGAGCGACACGTTCGTCTCTTGCCTTCATCAAATTATCCTGAGCCCCAACGACGACCTTACCAGCGAAGTGATTTAGAGGCATGAAGAGACATGTTACAGCCAGACCGAAGAAGCAGGAAACACCGAGCAAGTTGTACAGGAAGAGAGTGCCGACCACAATCTCCACAGGTGAGTCTGTCGTGCATATTTACTACTTTGCGTCACGAAAACACAACAGCAAGGAACGTACCGAAAAGAGTGAAGATATGCCACGAGAAGTCACTGACACGGTCTACGTCGGTCGTCATGAGAGTCATGACCTGGGCCTTACTAGAGAACTCATCCTCGTCTTCCTTCTTTTTCTCGTCCTTCTTGGTATTCGATGCCCCATTTTCTGCTCCCGCTGTGGTTGTACCAGGTGCAGGTCCAGATGATGATGCAATGTCTTTCCGGATTAACGTCTTAGCGAATAGGATGGAATTCAATTGAATGCGGAGGCGAAGTTGAAGGCTGGTTGTGGATATTGACCAAAGTTGCCCAGTCACTTTTGAAATCATCAGTTGCAGGTCATGGGAGAGTCATGCAAGGAATGCGAAGTTACCGAGATGGCAAATGGCATTACTGAAGAACAATCCAGCGCAATACACCCAACCCCATCCCCGATCCAGTCTCTCCGGGTCTTTTTCCACATATCGCACGATCCTCTGCAAGAAGTACATCGGAGTGTAGAATAACACCGCAGAAATGATCGCCAATAGCATGACCATTAGCAAAGTAGTAGAATTCACTCGCAGGATTTGATAGGCAATCTGCCACCCGCTACCCGGTTTTGGCGACCAGTTCCCAATGCGAAGTTTCCAGCGACGCAGAACAGCACGCATGGTAGCGTAGATAGTCGGCGCGCGCATGTCTGTTGGAATAATTGGCAAGTCGGCTATTTCAAGACTCTCGGAAGTGTACCCGAGCATGACAACTTTTGTGGTGTAACTGAAGAAAAGAATGTCCCAGAGAGATGCACCGGTAACGCCAGAGACATTATCCTCATATTTCGATGTGACTGCCATCAGTGTCTTGTCAGAGTATAACCGCTCAGAGGGGAAGTGCAGCGCAGGTCCTGTGGGTGTCGTAATGGCAATGACACATGCCAACATGTAGAGAATGACGGTGATGTACCACAAGACAAGCAGCGCAGTGATTGATTCGCCCTCGGGCTGGGAGCTAAAAAGGCTGGCGACAGGATTAGGAGTCGAAGGAAGAATGGCAATCGTCCCGAGAAGCGCAGTTGCCAAAAGCGTCAGTGCAGACAGATGCATGATGGCCCTCCTGTGCGGCGCGTATTCCTTGTTGACTGACCCTGCAGAGATAAACAAAAGATAGAGCGCAAAGAACACGTGCAGAATCTGAACGGCGAGCTCGAGATGTTCGCCTTCCGCTACAGCCCATCCTAGAGAGATAGCTTGGAGCGCAAAGATAATCGCGAAAATAGCCGAAAGCAACAGTTTTCGCAGGCGCATCTACAGACCTTAAGTCGCATAAGACGTACAATATCCGTTGGCTACTCACCTTGGACCAGAACCGTTCCTCGTCGAGAGGCTCTCCGTCGACCAAATCATCCGGCCTCGTCACGTCGAATGGATCGTCTAATGGTTGTCCATCCTCATCCTGTCCCACAAGTGTTGGTAAATGAATCTTCCCATCGTCAGGGTTGGAGGACAGTAGCCACGCAGCGCTGCAGCTTGCGCTGACTGAGAGGGCGATAGCGACCGGAAGTTGGTACAGAGGCATTTTTTTGTCTGTGCTTCCTCTTTCCGAACCAAGATATCAGGATCACACCCTATAACCAGCTTTCGGGCGTCAGGAATGACTCCCTCGACAGCGTTTTGTCAAGTAGTTGTTGGGAGTCAAAGTCGGTCCCGCCCAGTGAGTCCGCACGATACGCCAGATATAAATGGATTACGGAGCAATCGGATCAGGGCCGGAGTCAGGATAATTAGGATAAGTGACCAGTGAATTAAGCCTCTAGGTACTTACTTCAGCATATAAGCAATAGCTGAGATACGAAGGAGTAGACCTGTATGAAATGCAAGAGCTGAGAACTGAGTATGTTCCGAAGGCAGTCGAGATTGAAATTTCTTGCTATCATTCCGAATCCGTGAGAATCGGAAATATGTCTTCTGTCACATATCACGCCCAACACGATCGGTCACGATTTGATTGAGTCGTCGGTGACCATTAAGGCTCTTCCTCCTTCGCATTACAGTGGCACCCGCGACAATACTCTTACCTTGTGAACTCAGGCCCGAATTAAATGGATGCGGTTCCAGACGAACATATGCTCGCGTTCTATCGACGACTCTACCCGTTCAAGTCAGTGTTTCACTGGCTAAACCACGGACATACGCCGACACGTCTCTTCACGCATCGCGAGCTCGCGTTTACGCTGAAAGGAGACGTCTACTTGCGATATAACTCATTCAACACCGCGGAAGAGATGAAGAAACAGGTTTGCACGTTGAATCCGACGCGATTCGAGATTGGTCCAGTGTACAGCGCGAGGGTATGTCCTTGACCCCGTGGCAGCTCTCACTCGTTTGCAAACTCATTCGGGACTGTAGCCAAGGGATAAGAAAACTGTCCGACCGGCCGCCTTCAAACCTACACTGCGCGAGCTTGTATTTGATATAGATATGACTGACTATGACAGCATCCGGACGTGTTGTTCCGACGCGGCGATTTGTTCAAGGTGTTGGACTTTCATCGCCATCGCAGTACGCGTTCTAGACAAAGCCCTTAGGTCGCAATTTGGATACAAGCATCTCCTCTGGGTGTATTCTGGACGTCGTGGTATCCATTTGTGGATAAGCGACAAAGAAGTCATGGAGTTGACCGATGATCAGCGAAAAGCCATCGTTGGATGGCTGACTGTTATCGCTGGCGGAAAAGAGATGAATAAGAAAGTCAATGTCAGGCTAGGATCAAAACCTCTTCCTCCATCCGTTCAGTAAGTACCGTCATTAAAGGTCTTACCTTTCCTCAATGTCATTTTGCAGGATGGCTCTCGAGCCGCTGGCTGAAGCATTCACTGAGCTTATACTAGAAGATCAGGATTGTTTTGCTTCAAAAGAAGGATGGGAAACTCTACTTCGACTCATACCGGATAAATGCGAGTCAGTCACGGCCTCGCTGAGGAGAACGTGGGGAAAGGATCCCGATAGATCGTCTTTGGAAAAATGGGACGATCTCAAACGTGAAGTAAAGGGGATGGAAAAGGGCACGTTTCAGAGAGTACGCGTTTCTTTTCTCCTACCGGTAGACCAATGCTGATCTTATTGCACGGTCCAGGCATTGATGATGGCTACGATTGAAGACATCATTTTGCAATACACGTATCCTCGTCTTGACGCCGAGGTGTCGAAACATCGCAATCATTTACTAAAGGCACCTTTCTGTATCCATCCTAAAACAGGACGAGTTTGCGTCCCTGTTGATCCCAACGACATTGACAGATTCGACCCAGAGAAGGTGCCTACCGTTACCCAACTCCTGGGCGAACTCGATCGTGCTGGCGAGGATGTAAAACCGGACGAGCATCATTCTGGTATGTAAATCCACGGTTCATATTCGATAAATTGTCCTGAGCAGAGGACGATTCCCAGATTGGGAAAAGACATCCTTGAAGCCGTATATCGAAATGCTAGACAGACATGCTGCAGGATTGATGGAGGAAGTAAGACAAAACATTCGAAATGGGACTGGTATGTCCGTCTTACGCTTCCAACTCTCGATCGATGTTACTAACGCTTTGTTTGAACTTCAGATATGAGCTGGTGATCGATCTCTCCGCTCGATCCTGAGATCGTTTCGTCTTTCTGGATATTTTATGTATCTTACTGCTGTACCATTATATTTGTAGCTCTACCCGTCTGCCGTTCGTCTTCCAAGCTGTGAACCAAAGAAGTCTTGCAACTCATCAACAGTGAGTTGCTCGCATCTGACGCAAATGATTTCGGTGTTCTCTGCGGAATTACCGCCTTAGGAAGGTTTTGTATCGCCGTCCACGTGTCTCTCGAACCATCAAAGCGGTCGTCCGACTAGTCCCTGGAGCCCATGCAGTTCTTCAACAAACTCCCAGCACCTATCCGGCGGCACATGTAGTGCTCTATTCTCGCATGCGCAGCGAGGGAAACCGAGTATCGATTTGCGCGATATTCAGCCAAACCGGTCTCCGTATCTCCGCAATGTGCTCTGGTGTACATCACGAACAGGCGGTCTCATCGACGTAAGACAGTGCGCCAAGAATATTCATCAAACCGATTGCTATTCTCTGCCGTACGTTTCATGGCCCGTTGGTACTTCCCAAGTAGAAGCCTGATGCGACGCCTCAAAGACATGTGGTCGTCCAAGCCGTCGGGACGTCCTTTGTTAGTCTTCCCATAGTATAAAATATCCGGCATGGAAACACGATAGCGTTGCGCACTCCTGGATTGATTTGCGCTCTGGAGGGTCTGGTGAGGATGCTGTCCTTCGTCTCCTTCGTCTCCTTCGTCCTCGCAGGCATACTCGCTGCCAGCGCTTCGGCAAGTGAAGGTGAACTTGCACTTCGGGCAATCGACCCTTGTGCTGCGATTGCGGGGCAGAAATGGGTCTCTCCCAGGGATGTCCGAGCGTGCTTTACGTCGTTCAAGGTTGACCCCGATATCAAAGCCAATGTGCGTACAACTTTCATACTTCCATGCAAACTAGTAGTGATTCTCTCTCTGCCATTGTTCTCAGATCATAGAGGTAGTCAACAAAACACTAGCCTTCCACACCTCTGTCAATTACCAGAAATTGGCTCCAGAACCGTTCACTGCCGATGTACACGAGGACCTGCTCTTTGATTTGGCTCGTATCAGCCATCAGAGTTACCCCTCTGATTTTGACTTGCACATCGACATGTCACGGACGCTCAAGAGGCTTAATGACGGTCATTGCGTCTACATCAACGACTGCTACGATTGTGCGCTCTTTGTTGCCTAATTACCATCACCGGCAATGCACAATTGACTGTTTCTCAGCTGTGTTCTTGACTTTCCTGCCAGTACCGTTGGTGCTGCTTACCGACGCCCGTGGTGCTCAAGACGTACACATTGCACCTGAAGCTTTTACCGTGGCGTCCGCAGAGTTCGCAGACGAACTTGACGTCTGGCAGAACGCGCTGCCTGGAAGCCTCAAAGGGAAACTTAGCTCGGTAAATAGCGAATTTAAATACGCGCCAGTTCGTTGCTAAAACCATGACTTCTAGCTCTCTGGTGCAAAGGTCCTCTTGATCAACGGTGCAGACCCATTTGTTGCAGTCAACGCGAATGCTTTGATCACTGGTTCGTTCCAAGGCTTCGGAACCCGACAAAACTCGTTAGTGTCTCTCCAAAACTATTGATGGTGATCGTTGAGCTCATTATTTTGACACAGCTTCTTCTCAAGCTATAACCGTGCTTCTACGGGTTGGAACTACATCATGGGCAACTTCGCACAGATGTCCCTACCCCTTGCGGATTCAGCAACTCTGACTATTCAACGTATCAATGCGACAAGGCCTGAAACCATCACAGTGCGATCCATATTTTCATGCTCGGATTCCCCTCCTCTGAGTTGGAGACATATAGCTCCCTTACCGTTCGCGGAAGAACGCTGCAACTTCCTGGACGGATTCAGCTTCTTTCCGAGCCAACAACTGTGTAGCAACCGCTTCCACAAATGGCGTCGATGCTTATGCTGACACAGCCAAACGTGCTGACAACCCATCTGCTCCTGCACTCATTAGCCCTGCAGCGGCCAAGTTCGAGCAACAACCTCCTATCTCCCTTGTGGATCGCCGGCGACATGCTCTGAACGTCATTCTTGATAGCACTCCTTTGCAGGATGTAGTCCTTCCCCCAGTTTTAACCCCTCAAGGGGAGGTACCTGGTGGAAACGGTGTTGCACAGTTCTTCCTGTTGGATGATGGGAAGACCGGCGTTTTAGCGCTAGGAAGTTTCTCCGCCAACTCATTCGACGGACTCGAGCGAGCTATGTTAACTGGTTTGGTCAATTTGAAGGCTGCTGGTGCATCTCAGTTGATCGTCGATGTGGTGCGCCCTCCGTTGCTGGATATGATTCTCTATTTTCCTGCTGACGCTGTTGTACATACATAGTCCAACAACGGCGGCGGCTTCATCTGCCTTGCTCACGTAAGTCCTTCTATTCGTGTTACGCCTTCAAGTACTCATTCGCTGTACCCCAGTGGCTCCACCGAATCGTACGTCTGCAACGTTACACCGTATTCGTTGGATATCTAATTCTCCATTGAAGATCGCAGGCCCTAAGAAGACTACGGTCCCTCAAGCCGGTTTGGATACCACGACACGCGCAGGGCCTCTTGCTCAGCTCATTGTAAAGACTATTATTGCGGACCCCACTGGTGTTGACCCCGCTGATTTCCTCCTCTATAATCCACTCAACTGGGCATTCCCTAACAAAACCGGTGGTTTGACATTTTTCGGCCCCACCGACGATTGGCTGGAACCTCTCCAACGGAAAGTCATCAATGGTCGACAAGATGCATTTGCCCCTAGGTATGTGCATCGCGCAGCAAGTCACGCATGTTCTGTAGATTGAGGTGTGCCTTCTATAGAATGGCTGATATCTGTCAACCGTTCGACATGGAACCTCCAGCGGAGCAGCTGTTTGATCCGAAAAAGACGGTCATCGTCAGTAATGGGAGATGTGCTTCCTCGTGCTCGTTATTCAGTGTAACACCTTTCCTTTCTTGATTCGTTCACGTCTGACTCACGATCGATAGATCACGATGGCCAAAGAGGAAGGTGCAAAGACAGTCGTTCTCGGAGGTAAGAAAGGCGTTCAGCAGCAATACTGTGGAACCGTTGGAGGCCAGTCTACCGATTTCTCCACTATTGACACCGAGGTCAAGGTAAGTATCTACTAGTGCGATTAGACTTGAACATCAGCTGATGTGCGAGCATTTCTAGACGACGCATCTGAAGAACAATACGCTTGCTCCTCCAGACTTGTACGTCTATTCTGTCAATATTCGAAAGTATTCGAGGCTGAGACGTCTCTCACAGCAAAACTAACAGTGTGCAGGGTATCACATGGCGACTTGGATTTGGTATCCAGGATCCCTCTCAACCTGAAGGTACGTCCAAATACAACACGTCTTCTGGGGCATCCGTCATTCACGGCCATACAGAATGGCAGGACCATCCCGCAGACGTGAACTTAGCTCTCACGGCGGATATGTCAGTCTTCATCTTTCTCCCCATTCCGATTCTCATCGAACTAACTGGTTTTGAAGTGTTAACAATCCTAAGGCGATCTGGACTACGATAGCGAACACACTTTTGTGACCATTAGGTCAGGTCTCAGATGTCATCAATTTATCCTGTGTTTTTTTCTTTGTGTACTCATCAGCGAGTTAATGAGTGGCCATTTAATACATCAGTATGTAGTCTGTATTGACTTCCTGCTTCTAACATACATGCAGTGAGATCTACAAATGCAGAACACCTTCTTAAGCCTAAGCTAGGTCAATATTTTAGAAGTTGCATGCCTATCTAATTTACACACAACTGATGGGAGCAGCAACATGTGCCATCTTGAACCACAGTTCATCTTTTACCCTTTGAAACTCTTAAGAGAGTCAGCCTCTTTTATTTGTAAACAGAAATGCAAGTTTAAGAAATAGACTGCTATTTCATCCTTGTATGTCTTGCATATCAAATCTGCTGTGAAACCTGTTGACTTAATCACTTGGTATTCTCAAGGGTATTCTGCTACAGTATATCACCATACTTCAAATAAGCAATTACAGACTTTTTTTTTTTGCTAGTAAGAATCATTGTACATAAATTATGGTGCAAATACTATGGGTTCATTCTGATCATTGAGCAAAGGATGATGATGGTAATTTTGATTTTGAAGTATCCGATGCTCCAGTCTACATATTTGATCAACTTCAAAAATCACTGTATATTGAGTAGCATCTACCTGATTGATGCTGAAGTGTATCTTATCAGAAACTTGAGTATTGCCCCCTCTTCCCTGATCCTGTAGACATTCATTGTGAATAAAAAAGTGCTGAATAAATAATTAAAAGAGACTAACTAGTAATTGAATACTTTGAGTGGAAGAGATAACTTGAAATTCAATTGGTTCAAGAGCTGTTGAATCAAGTGTGAACTGTACATTGAGTTTGTTGTTTAGAAGATGTTTGGCATTCAGCCTATTTCAACACAGAATATAAAATTCAGAATTGTATAGTAAGCAATTGATATTACTTACACTCCCAGAAGAGAATTTGAGTACACTAGAAAGAAATAGGGTTAATCAGCTAAGAGTATAATATGAAAAAAATTTGAGATTCATACATTTTGTAGCAATCACAACAATTCCAGTGAAAACTAGGCTGCCCTTTAATACACGATACTACATCAATTGTTAGTATCACATACAAGAATAGGCTATTTAGGTGATATTACTGTAATTGATATAGCAGTTGATGCAATCCTGTATGAATAACCATCAATAATATCCTCTCTCTATTTGAGAAACTACATACATGACAATAGCTCCAGTATTGACTGAATATGCCATAACCCAGTGAATTATATTGTCTAATCTGGTATTCATTCTATTTGCTTATGAGCTATAAGAGCCAAGGTGAGAAAATGACAAAACTCACCTCTGAAGGCCTGCTTGACTTTTCCATAGAAAGTATATCATGCAAATTGCAATAAGGCCATCAACAATTGAGGAGAGGCTATCTCCTGTCACAATACAGATCTATAGATAATATATAATGGTAAGCAAGAGCAATAAAGATCAATAAAAACAAATCTGCATACCTCTGGTGTTCTTTCATTCTGAAATGATGTCCAAGTTGGTCCAAGTGTCCTATAAAAATACAGTATAAACTTGAGCATTTTGTCAAGGTAGAAGACATACGCAAACACTGCTGTGGCTAATAAACTCATTAGAGTAAGTTTCTGAAGAACAATAAGTGGGCTCAACTAAGTGAAAATCCTAGTGGATCAGTCTGAGATTGTATTTCACATTTTATGGTAAGGCAGCTTACCAAGGCGAAGGATCAACAAGATGGCCTAGAATACATAGACTTAGTCCATATTCATGAACATTGAGCAGTATCATGCTTACCAGTCCAGATGTTAGTAACCATGACTTGTAGCTCACTAGAGAAGTGTTAACTGAGATGGTAGAGTAGTGGGGCCTAACATGCTTACACATCCAAATGCGGTGAATATAGAAGCTAGCAGCATCAGTGAGTTATGAAAGTCTTGACACTGGTCATCTTTCATACCTTTCGACAAGCATCAAAAGTGCATTCTAACAAGAAAACTTTAGCTTTCCCGTCCAGCCATTAACAGGATATAAGATACCTGTGTGAACAATGCCGCCTAGTACAGAATCGTTAAAGATAAAGTTGTCTGTCGCATAATGGTAACTCAAATAGAAAACATACGGGCACACTCCTTCATGGCCGTGAATACAGGGTTCACGCAAGTCCAAATTCAAACTACTCACCAGTCTACAAAGGAGATACCAGTATAGTCGCCAAACGAAATGACTGTGTAGAAATACAGTTGTCGCAACACGACCACACTGTGGACCGTATCTAGGATCCTGTGGCAGACTTGATTCTATAGTTCGGAAGCTTCATTGAGAACGTTGACTTACCAGACAGCCCATACCAGTACCTTCATCCAGTGTGGATCCTTCTGAGCACGTGTTACGTACGAGTACACTTGTACGCATGTCACGCCGTATAATCTGAGCGTTCCGAATGTTCAAACGTCGGACATGAAATAGCTATCAATACGATTTCACGTACATGAATGAGACACTTATTCCAACAACCATACCGCCCATAAGCCGTGCCGCAGAGAAAGGGGGGGTTGTCGAGGGATCCATGATTAAGTTCACGCAGCCTCGGGACCGCCAACAGGGCTTATATGGAAGAGCACGAGTCGTGTTTACATTTTCGCACACAGGCTATTTACTCATCACATCAGGATTCTACGTTGCCGAATACAATGTATCTGTCAAGATGAAGCTTCTTTGGATTCGATGATGAGACGAAACCGGGCAGATCGCGCCCCGTCCTTTCGAACCCCGGTACGAGCCGCACCGTAAACTTAGACATGGCTGACTACGGCAATACGAGACAAGTCCACAATTTCAGAGCATCTGAAGTACCGGCGAATCTGAGCGAACCTTATCATGGATGTTGACTGTGCCAGGCTACTGGACTCCAAAATACTTCAATGGTCAGAGGTCCACATTGTGCCGTCCTACACTGGAAATACGTTAGGACACCTACATAGGCAACCGTCGAACGAACTCTGTAGACCTGTCGACACATGAGGCTGAGAAATATCACGTACAGCTAGGCAGCGGCGTCGACTTGCAGATACATACAGGCTATTCAAGTGATCAGATCAGCGGCGGACGAGACCGACCGTGACATCACAGGTCTTGGTGGACGAGGCGACTCGACAATGTGTGCTTATGCCATAGTACAATAAGCCATCTGAAGTGATCCGGTTAGCAAGAATGTTGGACGAAATGGCGCCGCAGAAACATACGCCCGGGCGTACAATCTTACCAACGACAGTCACAAATCATGAGTATGAAAACATTACTGAAGCAACGAACGTCAAGATGGGAAGAAAAAAAGCTTAGCAACCTCTTATGGTTGAGTAGGTGCCACCGGCTGCCACCGGTGTGGACAAGGATGTGCGTAACACACTTACAAAGGCTTTGGAAGCTCCGATGAAAGTCGATGTTAATGTTAAACATAAGCGAACACATGTCATGCGTTTGACGGCGCCGTCAAGCACTTATGGTAAGACGATTCAGTCGATCTGGTTGTCCCGACGAAGGCAGATGCTTCCTTGGACATGTCCTTCAGATCTACCTATGAACTGTAAGCTTGTCTCAGACCTTCGCAAATGCTTCTCGGCTATGAGCTGGGCGACGGGATGATCAGTGCTTTTTTAGATGATCTCGTGCCCTATCAAGCAGTCTAGACAATGCAAGAATAGCGAAACTCAATTTGGACTCTAACGGCTCACTCTAAAGACTTGAAAACGAAGAGAGCGCACCGCCACTGATCTTGCAGCCGGAAAAATTGAAAATACGTCTGTCTGGTCGGGGTTAGGTGCACAGAGATGACCCTTGTTCTGCATCGTTTCTCGTCCATTCTGAATGGGAAAAAGACCAATGTAATAGTCTTAATGAGCCCTTTCAGACGTGCACATTCTTGCCTGAAGGCATCGAGAATGCCAGAGTGACTTCAACTCGAGGGATGATCCCATGCGATCGACATTGATGGCGGTGCTTCGGCAGTCATCGGCATCTACGCCAGCATATGTTCGTCAGTGTTTAGAGTGAGCTGTTAGAGTCCAAATTGAGTTTCGCTAATGACTTCGTATTTAAATTAGAATCGTACATCGCCTCAGAGGAAGAATGTGCATACCAGCGTAACCATTGAACTTCAGCCAATAGGCATGTCGCTGAATGCCCTATATCCTGCCAGTCTACGGCCTCCCGAGTATGTCAAGGCCACCCGCAATGGCTTCAGGGTAGTCCACTAGTGTCGCACGATATAAACACAGCACATAGGTGTATCCCCGATTCCACTTTTACCTGTGCCGACTAGGGCCAAGATGTTATGTAGACGGCCGGGTCATTCTTGGAGTGAAATAGTCTGCAAGTCTTGCTTTCAATGAAGTTTCAAGTCAGGTCGTTCATTTTTCATCAGGACATCCGATATTTGGCGTTATTTGTTCTAGATAAGATAATGCTCATTGAACGTTGAACGCGGAGTCAATTTGATGTTTGAACGGGTTCCATATTGAATCTCTACGACTGCTGTTTCCTTGTCTGTTGACCCGAAAGCTCACAAGTTCCGCTGAGAAGATTAGAGTGGAAAGTAGCTCTCTAGATTGTGCACGCGTTGATTGGGCTCCTGATAGTCTGATTGATCGTTGTATGCTGCCATGCCAAGTTGACTTGATGTTCAAATCTTCATCACTGGACGGCAGTGGATTGCGATGTTTCTACGCAGCACGCAACAAACCTTCTGTGGTTAGTACAGATGCGATACAGATCTAGAGTGATGAACATCTTGGCAACATGTCTCATTGTCTGTCCCCCAGGCAGACTTTTGATAGGTGCTTACATTTTGAGCACTGACTGGTCAACTCACCCTGCAGAGCTTAAATCTGTCGTCAAGACACATACATTAACATGTTGCCAAAATGTCATCCAGTCTGCATGGACTCCGCCTCGATGGCAGACATGCTCATGTTTGCCGTGCTACATCCTCTGCCGCAACGACCTATCCATAGGGTTTTCCAGCGTGTTCGCACCAATTATAATTGGACCGATATTCTCAGGTACCGTATTCCAATGAGATTTGCACTTATACTGCATTTATTGAACGTTGATCAGGCTCATGGGAATCGACGAAGGCACCGCTCAAACTTCGGGCGTTCGGCCTCTACGTCAGTCGTTAGCGAATCTTCGATGACCTAGTCGAGTCTGCCTATCTCATTTACATCTCTTCCGTTCTGGCGACGACGATCAGAGTACCTCTCTGACTCGGACCTTTTCAAGTTCAGTATGACGACCATAGCGAACTTATGCGCACAGGCTTCTTTCGTCTCTTCCCACCAGAGATCGGTTTACCCACTCTTTTTCAGGACAATCATAACATATTGCTCCTTCGTTCAAGTATCGGGCCGGATTCAGGTGTACGTTATTTACTGCACATGATACAATTCATTCCAGCACGTTGCAACGGCCTGCTGATCACCAGCTGTATCTTTGAATAGTCCATAGCGAGCATGTTCCAGGTCCTGCAATGGCGTACGATATCTTGTCGATTAAGCTTCTCCGGTATTCCAAATTCGAATTCGTACCCTATAGGCATGTCTGCGAGGGAGGCTATCTCGGAATTCAATCGAGTAAGTCTCGTTCTCTTCGCGGCCCTCGTGCCGTGTTTCGATGGTTAATAGTTGTGACAGCCACTAGTGCAGTCGTCCAGTCTGTCTAGACATAGAAGCAAGCCGGCATCCGTACTTGCGCGGACTTGACTCCGTTGAGATTCCACATTAGAAGTTTGGGGCACAAAGACTTGAAGCTTTAGTCCATTTTAGCTCTCTCGCACTCGCAAGTTCCAATCGGAGTATCCTTCGCTTTGTCCATTCTCCGACAGACCGCTAGTGCAGAAGATCAGCCTGACATCCCACCCAGCTTCTCCTGCCCTGCAGACCCTGAAAATACAACTGGCGTTTTACGTCAATATCTCTATAGACCCAGATCGAACGCAAATTCAACCCTTCACGGGATGCTGACTATTCACTCAAGTGTCAGCTGTTTCTCATGACTCCAGTGACTTCCTGTAGTTTCACAAGGATGGTCTTGGCGTCGGCTTCACCTCTGTTCTTTGACTGCCGAGTTAAACAACCGGTCAAGGATCCGTCAGCTGGATCCAATATTCTCATGAACCTGAGAAGGCAGGTCTATCGACACGTATTCAATGGTGTCCCTCATCAGTTTCTCCTGCCGCTGGGATTTGGGGGGACAGTTAGGCTCCAGACTTCAAGCTTCAGGATGCCAGGCTGTCAACCGTTGACATCCTCTATGGATGCTTGCAGTCAATATTCAAGCGCCGCCGGTCTACGGCCAGCAAACAGGAATCTGACTATTCATCCAGGGTCTCCAGCGCCCCTAGGACTGCTTGAACAGTGCTTCGTTCCGATGTCGACGGCGATCTACCCTTCATAGTCTTCTTTTTCCAGTTTTACTCCGCTTCTTCCGACCTTGTTTCCCGTCTTCGACAAACGCCCTCGAATTGAAGGTGTCTGTCAGCGAGGCATTGATGCTCTCAAATGTCTCGACACTGTCTTTTTCTTTTGTGCAGAATTTCACAAGCGGCCCATCTTATCCCCCGAGACAATGGATATCGTCAATCAATTTGAACACTCTTTCTATGCTTTCTCAGCGCATGCTGCAATCCACCTCTAGTTCACCATCGTTCGGACCGTGTCGCGTCCCGAAGATCTGCATTAAGATAGCGATATGCATTCGACCTTCCGAAGCTCCATAACACCGATACTCGTATTCGTCATCGACCGAAAATCCGAAGGCACAGATAGAATGTAAGTACTCTGCATTTTACGCAGACATTGTGTTTGTGTTGAATCAATAATAAAGACAAGACAAAAAGCTCTGCAAATCAATTATACTCGCCTTGGCAACTCATATTGTTCCTAGCGTCGTAGCGACGTTCTATATGCTTCTCTTCCTTGCGGTCGTACCTGTCAAATGAGACCTCATGGTCTTTGGTCTAGGAGACAATTACAATGAGAGAGCAACGAAGACAGGTTATGTCCAAAGATGTCAGCGATGTCAAATGCGGTCGCGGTGCAGTGTCTTTCAGACAATTACCACTGCATGAGGAATGAAAAGAGCGCGTGCAATGGCGATCGGGCGTGGGCTGCACATGTCCCATGGTCCTCGTCGTTGCATTTCGGAACGCAGACCCGAGTGTGATGGTAGGCATCCAAGAGATCTTACAGATGGGGGAGCAACGGGGCAAGGTTGTGCAAGGTGTGGAGAAATAGAGAGTTCAACGTGGAGAGCACTTACCTGAGGCTCTGAACAAGTAGCGAGATCGAATCGTCTGACCGACAATATAGCATGTCGTCTTTGCCTCCATATACACTAGCCCCAGTGTAAATATTGGGACTGAACGTTCACCCACAGTGTAGATGAGATCTTATCATAACTGGCCTTGGGAAGAAACGATACAAATACATTTGTAACCAATGAACTTTTTTTTAATCTGTACATCATATTTCTTGAAGACAGCCGACTTGTTCTGTTCTACCGACCCATCCAGCCCTAGAAACAACGAAAGTGAACATCAATTTTAAGACGCAAAAACGCAAGGTGAAACAACGTACACCATCAACAACCAACAATTCTCCACAGACGTACTGACTCGCAGCACTCGCCAGGAAGACAATAGGACCAGCGAAATCTCTCGGCTCGCCCCACCTACCAGCTGGGATTCGTTCACTGATTTGACGAAGACGCGTAGGGTCTGCTAACAGTTTCTCATTCCTGAATGGACCATTGGGGAGACGTCAGTGAGATAGATAGACTTCCGAATCGGATGTTAAGAATAAGTGGCAGGGAGAGGATAGTAGAAAGTAAAATCAAAGCAAGTGACGTACATGTCGGTGGCGATATACCCAGGGACAATCCCATTCACTTGAACATTCTCTTTACTCCATTCATTGCTCAACGCCTTGGTGAGCTGTCCCAATGCACCTTTGGCAGCCGCATATGCGGGAACGGTCAATCCTCCCTATTCAAGCACCCATGGTGAATATGTCGCTCTCAACCACATAAAAATAATCGGAAAAAAGAAAATAGAAATGGGCGAAGCAGGTACCCAATCGAGAGAACCGTCTAGACCATCGAAGATCATACAGGAAAGGACAAGAATTGAAATTTGCTTGAAGAAGTCATCCAACGAACTGCGGAACAGTACAGGAGGAAGGGAAGACCGACAAGTTCTAGCCAACGTCAGGGATCGAAAAGCCAAAAGACGTGTAAGAAGTGTAAGAAGTATAGCAAGTGCCAGGAACAGTCGAAGATGAAAGATAGAAGATGCACAACACACCGTGACGTACCTGGTAAGTCAACAACGAACAAAAGTTGATAATCTTGCCCCTTCGACGAGGGACCATATGTTTCCCTGCCGCTTGAGAGAGCAGCCAGCATGCTTTGAGGTTCACATCCAGGACCTATTTTCAATCAGCAAGAAGTAGCAAGTAGCAAGTAACAAGTCCAGTTTGGGTGGGATTTGAAACGCCGGAACGTGTTGTATAGTGTAGAAGAGTTCAAGAGAGTTCGAGAATCCGAGCGTGCATGCCACGTTGAGGATCGGAAGTCGACATGGTGAAAATCGGGACCAATTGAGGTAACGAGAACCAACCAAACCACCCCAGAACGCAAGAGGGGGAGAAATGACCAAGGTACGGGGGTAAAGGTTAAAGGGACCGAGGTGTTGGAAATGTGACAATGCGGTGGATTTGAAAGGTTCGAAAGGCGTATCCATAGAGCCATGCGTAGAGGCATGGCGTTGATGGAGCACGTGGTGTGGGTGGGAGTGATGAGAATAGAAGACGTAGAAATCATGGTGACGCGGGGAAGAGATGGGGCGACGGAGGGACGGGACGACAACGTGGAAGTAGTCACGAATGTGGGACGATCAGAAAGTGATGGACGAGGAGAGAATAGGACATTCGGCGATAGAGATACACCAATCCAGTAGGAAGGCACAAACGGGACAAGCGGAAGAGCGGAATTGACGATGACGAGAAAAGGGGGAGGAGTGTGCCAGACAGGCAGGGAGAAAGGTCGCGGCGATTGGGTCGGTGATTTGGTAGTATATTCGTGGAGGGAATATCCGACGGGTGTTATTGACGTTGTGAAGAGATTCAGGAGAGGAGATTCAGGAAATCGCGAAGTTCGAGCGATGGAATGTTCATATGGGAAGTCGGGAAGATGCGACGTTCATATTTGTGACGTCATGTGGTTTGGTTGCGTGCGTGAGAGATATCGGACGGTTGGATATGTCGAAAAGAGAGAACACACAAGGTCAGCGATAGGGTGTGAGAGAAAAGGAAGAAGACCAATCACAAAACATGGAAGAACAGAAACACAGACAAAGGAAAAGGAACAAAGGAAGGAAGAAAAGTCTGAATGCAGAAGGTTAAATGATGTTCGGTCGCCAATAGGGCACTCAACAGAAGTCGTCGTTCCAAAAGTGCAGCACCAGATGCCAAAGGGATCATACCAGTGGTCATCGGCGGAAAACGAAGAAGCTCATTTGATCCTAGGCCGCATAGCAAGGGGATCTAGGCTGAGAAGAAGACGAATGAAGGGGCGAGAACACGATAGAACATATGACGGAACGATCGTCCCCGACAACATAGGAAAAAACCGAGTGGAAAGTGGGAAGGATGAGAAGAAGAGGGGAAGGAATGACTGGGAAGGTGAGGAGGTGGGAATCAAAGGGAAAGGGCAGGGAGAAAAGGAAGACGGTGCGAGGGCAAAGAATGGACGAGACGTCATCCATTAGATACAATCAGAAGGCGCAGATCAGGTTGAGAATACGAATGTGGTAACAAGCCACAATCGTACAAGTCTACAACCAAGAACTTTGTCCAACCCGTTATGCATCATGCACAAGGGTCTTTCCCTTAGTACTAGTACTGAACGGTCCGAACTCCAGTGGTGAATAAAGCAGGCGCTAGGAAAAAATACCAAGTAGCGAGCAAGAGCTCGTGCAAGGAGTAGAGTCCACCCCATCCTAGGGAGCCGTTCCCAAACACGAGTTATTGCTCAGCGCCGAAAAAAGACATCATCATTATAGAACCAAAGATCGCAAGGAGCCATTCATTGGCGTTAAGATAACCGTCCAGAACTGCCGATTCTTTCCCCCACGACTGGGAGAAGCTGGATGGAGGGTACATCCAAATGACTCGGAACGCGTGCATCAAAAGGGCAACGGAAGGCGTGATGCCATGACGAAGAGGGGACCCAAGTATTGAGAGTGGGTTAGTCTCGGAGGATTGTTGAAGATGCGATATATGAGAAGCCGCAAGAGAGAAAGCAAAATAGAAGGGGAGATGGAGAGGAACGAAGGAAGATGCACGATTAATGTCCAGATGTGCGGTTGTCGCAAAAAGAGAAGCGTTAGCGGTAAGGAAAGCATTACCGACTGGCCGTAAGAGAAGCAAAATCGTGGACGCGCGACGTCATGGTATGACATGAACCGTACGCCAGAAACCGGATGGCCGGTCAGGACGACAGATCCACTCGTCAAAAGACATCCAGAGTCAACCCACTAGGCCTTCCATATACGATATGAAAGAAAAGCGTGGGTCTGCCGTTGAAATCCTGGGTGGATTAGAGAATAAAGGGTGATGTAATGATGTGCGGTGGTTGCAAACAGAAAGAATGCAACTGATCCGCCACAACAGAACAGAACAGAATAGAAACCAAAATAAAAAAGCAGGAGCAGCACGGGAAGCGCGACGTCATGTCAAGCCCAAGCCCGGACGCCCGGCCAGAAAGACAAATTCACGCATCAAAGCGCGTGAACTAGCGTCCACGTCCATGACCCTAACGGCATAATGAACTCTAGGCCTCCAAAATTGCAGTCAAGGTCTCCCAAGCATTACGAAAAGGGGCCCCAGGCAGCAGGCGGAATTCCAAAGCACGGGAGGATTCAAACGAAATACGCGGGAAGGGGAAAACACACACACAAACAAAAAAAATTCAACACGCACATCGTCCCAATCCTGCTCACTAAACTCAGTCGCAGGCGATCTCCTCTGTATACCCGCACAATTCACGAGCACATGGATCTCACCACCCATCACATCCAACGCCTTCCCAAATAGCGCACGCACACTGGCCATATCGCTAACATCACATTCGACGATCTTCACAACTCGATCGCCGTCGCCGGGTAATGCTTTGATTGCATTGTAGGTCTCGAGGTTGGAGGAGCCGGGGCGTTGGACAAGACATATGGAGGCGCCTGCTTCTGCGAGAGCTAGAGCACATGCGGCGCCTATACCTATGAGAACGTGTATCAGCCATAGTTATGAGGTATGAGTTGTGGCGGATTAGAGAGTCAAATATGGAACGGAACGGTGCCACACTAGGAGGGAATGCGGAGATATGATGATATGAAGAAATGTGCGGTTGCCGAGCAGTATCAGCATTTTTTCAACCAAGGTAGACATCTCTGGTAGGCGTTTCCGACTTGTCGTTTGGTGGGACCCCCTTTGGTCGACAGTTCGCTAAAAGTGACCACATTTTTGGAAAAATGTTGTGAGAGCTCCCTCAACTTTGCATATCCTGGAGACAATTATGAATTTCAGCGATGATCGTCTCCAGGTTTGCAGCTTCTCGACATTGTCTAGGCCTATGACTTTCGAAGACATCTTCTGCATCCAATTTCAGGTCGAAGGATTAACAATGTCGTAGAACGCATATGCCTCCGAGTATAGCAGGAGATTTTCCGACAAGGATGCCAGTGAAACATCGAGGGGAGTGACAAAGCCAAACTGGAAAGATGAACCCTAAACGTAGTCGCACACACAACAAGACCGGTTATCGTCCGAAAAACGCAGGAGGTACGAAGCTTGGCGCCAGGTGAGGATTCCCCCTGTAAAGAAGTCCTAGCTGATACTGCTCGGCAATTGTAAAAAAGTCAAAGTCGCGAGGACCGAGATAAAGCACGTTTGAGGGAAGTGTCAATTCCGGATAGCATCCGCTCGGTTTCAAGAAAGATACGAAGATATGAAGAAAACGCGAAGCACTGGAGCTTCAAGGGAGAGATACGGATGGGAAAACGGAAAGCGTGTAGCTTCTGAGCGTTGACAGCGGACTCGGACACGCACCTCTGGTAGCGCCTGTTATAAGCACGTTCTGACCGATGAGTGAGAAGAGCTGGGGAGTGGGAACAGAGGGTGTTGGGTCCATGGCAGCAGAACCAGTTGAAGTTGAAGTGGAAGTGTGGAGAAGTGCAGAATTATGAAGTTCAAGGGTGGTACTTATGTATTCGTACGGCGAAGACGATCCGTGCATCCCATCCGGGCCATTGTATTCAGTGTCATCGAGAGCGTACTTTCGGTGTACATTCTACGAGTGTCTTGAGCAAAAGACAAGGAAAAGAGATGGATTTCGCTTGAGCCGTTGCCCCAGATCGGCAACTTCCCCGGATCGGAAGATCGCACCGGAGCAGCTTCAATCAAAGTCGGCAACTTGGCCTCTTGAAGCAAGTCTCCTCCGTAGCTCTCTTTGGCTCTCCTGGCCCTGTATACGCCGACAATCAAAGCGGATAAGGCTTTGGGTTCTATGCAGCGTTCGCCATGTTCCGCCAGCGTTTGGAGGGCAGGTCACACTTGTAGAGCGTGGGGGAGGAGAGACCGGGAACACGGGCCAGCGTCCGGCGGAAGAGGAGTATAGCGAGTACGTAAGCGAGGGGTCGATCTCATCTCTATAGCTTGACGGAGACTCGGACCGAAGTTCTACATCCCTGCACCGTTCTGGGTCGTTTGCTCAAACCGTCTTCTCCTCACGCGCCTCGTCTCTCTGCTTCTTCAAAATCCCTATAAAACGTAGCCCCTCCAAGTCCACCCATGCCTCAGCCCTCCGCGCCCTTCCCCTGCCCCTACATACTCCTTCTACACCATCCACCATGAGCCCAATCGCACTCCCGTCTCAGCACGCTGCTGTCCTTCATGGTGCCAAGGATCTTCGTTACGAGGACCGCACTCTCTGGCCACCACAGCAAGGCCATGTCCAAGTCGCAGTACTTGCGACCGGTCTCTGTGGCAGCGACCGTAAGTCTCCAATCACACTTACATATGCACACCAGTCATCCGATAGAACTCTGGCAGTGCACTATTACATGCACGGACGGAACGGAGACTTTGCCCTCCAAGCACCCCTTGTGCTCGGTCACGAATCCGCAGGGATCGTCACCGCCGTCGGTCCCGGAGTCAAGAACTTCGTCACCGGCCAAAGGGTAGCGATCGAAGCCGGCATCATGTGCCGCGACTGCAGTTACTGCAAGAAAGGTCGCTACAACCTTTGCAAAAACATGCGCTTTGCCTCTTCCGCCAAAACCTTTCCTCATCTGGACGGGACTCTCCAGGATAGGATGAACCACCCGGCCCATGTCCTCCATCCGTAAGTGTCTCTTCATTTCCCCCTGTCTTTTTGTCTTTTGTCTCGGATACGGAACACATCCGCTCATGCACAGCTGCTTTTCTAATAGACTACCAGATAACTGCTCTTTCGAACAAGCAGCCCTCGCAGAACCCCTCTCCGTCCTCCTCCACGCATCACGCCGCGCCTCCTTCACATCCTCCTCCGCCCCTTCAACCGTCCTCGTCTTCGGCGTCGGCGCAATAGGTCTCCTCGCCTGTGCACTAGCAAAATCATATGGTGCCACGAGAGTGGTCGCCATCGACATCAACCAAGCTCGTCTCAACTTCGCCAAAGAACAAGGGTTCGCGGAACAAGTGTATTGTTTGTCTATGACTGACCGGGCAAAGACGACGGAGGACCAGTTGAAGAGAGCGAGGGAGAACGTCGGCGCCGCTTTGAGCGCATTTGGCGAACCGGATGGGTTCGATTTGGTTTTCGAGTGTACGGGTGCGGAGCCGTGTATTCAGATGTCTATTCACGTTAGTCTCCGTTTCCCCTCCCCCCATCTTTGTTCCCTCTTTCCCCCATACTCACCACCATTTACGTTCCCCTCTAAAACAGGCGGCTATAACCGGCGGCAAAGTCATGCTCGTAGGAATGGGCAGTCGGAACGTCACTCTTCCTCTGAGCGCCGCGGCACTCCGCGAAGTCGACATTCAAGGCTCGTTCCGGTATGCGAATACTTACCCGGAAGCCCTCGCTCTGCTTGCTAGCGGCAAACTTCCGAATATTGAGAAGATCATTACGCATCGGTTTGGATTGGAGGAAAGTAAGAGGGCGTTTGAGCTGCTTGCGAAGGGGAGGGATGAGGATGGGCGGATGGTTATCAAGGTTATGATTGGCCCGAGTGATGGGCAACTGTTCTGAACGGTGGTGGAAGTTGGGACTTGGGACTGTTGTCTCTGTTTCGCTGGCTTTTTTTTTTTTTTTGGTTCTTGGTTTTGGAGAAACTCTTTCACGCTTAGACTTCCACTCCCCTCCCCTCCCTCCCCCTCCAACCCTTTTTTTTGTTTTTGTTTTTTACTTTCCTATCCGTCTTTTTCTTGGTTGTACGTCTTTTCGTCTCGTCTTCGGACTGCACATTGTATCAGTACCAGTACCGCACATCCTGCTTTTCACTTCACGCCTTTTTTTTTTCCTCTTTGGGTCTCTCAGTCTACTCTATTTTTCCGCACGCATACGCACAACCTACAATTCACAATTTACGACAATATATCCTGTCTCTCTCTCTCTCTCTCTTGATGCCCGCATACCCCCTTCTTCCGTCTTCCGTCTCTATCATTCGCTCTGCAATTCAACTCTATACCTACCGTTTTTGTTTCCGCATCTACATCATGTACACTCTATGTACGCCTCCGTTGCAAACGATTCTACAATTCCCATTGTACATGCTTTCTTGTTTGCAACTCCTGACACGACGTTCATACAAGAAAACGCATATGACCATCAAGGATGCTGAGGATCGAAAATCTCAACGTTGCAAGTTAAGACCCGTATTCCTTGCACGATAGAGTACATACACACCTCTGTACACATTTTTTTCCACCCTAAATTCTTATTACCGAATGGTACCCACCCAACATCGCGCCCAAAAACGCATGCATCAGAAACTAAGTATGAACTACAGGTATCAGACTATCAGACTATACATCAGAGCTTGCCGGTGCCACTGAAGCTTGGACTCGGACTCGAACCCGTTGGGAGCTTTCTGACCCGAGGTACCACCCGAACACGTCGATGTTCCCGGGCCCTTCTTTGGTTCCAATTGCAAGGTTCCGACGTACATGTGTTCCGATGTATTTTCTGCGCTTATTATACTTACGATACAGCCAGTGTATCTACGAGCCGACGGACTCGTCAACTTGAAGCGGATTTTGATCTCCTCCCGCGAGCCCTTCAAGATCAGAACGCTTCAGAGCCGATTCAACCGACCTACCGACCGACCCGCCGAATGTTGAGGCAATTTAGCGAGCGAGCGTTGCCCACTTTCGATTTCCAGTCAATTCTTCTTTTTTTCTGATTCTGTCAGCTGCAGCTTTGAAGCGACGTACTTCGTTTGAGGGTCGACATCTAGACTCGTCTCTTTTCGCATGATATGCAGGGATACGAGTGTTGGCGGAATATAGAGAAATTAGAAATTAGTTTAAAATGGAGGAACTGTCAGAATCATCAATAAGTTTCATGACGGCCGGGATGTCCTCTGGATATCAGAAGTCTCTTCAGTCTACTTATGTGGTATAGGACTAGTGACCTGACCTTTTGACGAACAGTGATGCACAAGAATATTCTCTTTCACCTTCCTTTGTTTCCTACAAAGTGACATACGGCCCGCTCTCTCCCCGCTCTTTGCCCTCACCGTACGCGTCCAGTGATCTGAATCACTCGCTTGCCTTCGCTTGCACATCCCGGCGGATGAGTACAGATAAGTACGTTCGGGTAAAGGCAAAGGCACAAATGTTAAACGACTGTTAGTAGTCTTGCACGCACCGGAGTTCCATCATCCAAGACGGGTATGTAAGTACACCGGTAAAAGCGTTATCCCTACATTCCTGCTTTCAAGTGCCAAGCTCAAGCTGCTGAAGCCTCATGTCCGAGCTTGATTGGTCGATTGGTTGATTGGTTGATTGTCTCGGGTAAACCCTTTTGTTGGGGTTTTTATAGTTGATGAATGGTGACCACGTAAGTACACAACCGTAAAGCGGACAGAAATGATAGATCAGGGGTTTACTGAACGATAGTAGAACCACGCTATAGAGAGAAGAAAGTCGAGATATACGTGCCATGGAGGAAGAGGACGTCATTGTGCTTATGCTTAAAACTCGAGCAATGCAGATCTATGCTTCCTCACGCATCGATTTCATTGACGAAATGTCCTCCGGGACGATGTTCAGTGCCTGTAAATCACCTCGGAAAGTCGGACCGGCCTGCCAGAGGACTTCCTCAAGCCCAAAGGACAAAGGGAAAGTGCATTGCGATTTGAACATATTGCTTCAATTGATAGGTTTACACGTTGCCGCGAGTGACGAAGTCGATAATGTAGACCATGTGCGTCTGTAGCCTAGACCATATTAATACTGTAAATCCGGATGCCTTGAAATGAGTTTGCCAACCCCTCTGCTTGAGGCATTGTGACGACACACATTCGCTCTTTCACGCGGGTCCGACTAGCCGGTGGTGAAGGGCTTTGAGAGATTCCGACCCCTTGGCCGTACGATGTGCCTTCCCTGTATGAGCCTGTACGGTAGTGCCGACCTTATACTTGGCATTGTCGTATCGACTATCCGAGACAGGGCGACTGACGGATTTTGCGCCCGATGGAACCTGAATATACCCGGAGGAAGGCGACCTTGAGAGGCCAAAGATTCATAGCCAAACATCTAAATTCGAACACGAAGAAGATATCCTGATTCAGGATATGATTCCGTTTCCCGTCTTGAAGACTGCAATGATTGAAAGTAAAAGAGGCTCTTTGATTAGCTTACTGTATAGAAAGAGTATATTGTTGAGTTTTGTATTGGAATTGAAGCGACGCACGGATCTTGGACATAGTTTACGTACAAAATCTTGCGGCTTTCATGTTCAAGATTAAAGCATAATCACAATCGGATACGTCCAACGAGTCAAGGAAGGCAAGTTCGACTTTGTCATGCAAGAGGAATCAGGTGTCGACGTGTAGACTTCCCTTGGAATGCCGCGCCCGATGTCAAAGGCAACCCTATAGCTAGTGCAGAAGGAACTTTCCGACATACGATGGTCAGATGAGAGTTTTATCACGTACCCGCCATCATCCAGCGATTTATTTCTGGACGCATATCAGTCGTGAGCGCCCTCAGAGTCTGAAATAAACACCGATGGGGACATACAGGCTCTAAGAACTGGAACACACGCCAATGAAGCGAGTTGTTAGCAGCAAAGTGACAATCTATGGACCAAAGCATGACCTGTCGGTAGGTTGTGTACTCACGGTGGGACTCATCTGGCTGGTGTCGTGAGATAAATTTATCTGACATCCTGCATTCAAGGATGAACCGGCGGATCTGTGAAGAAGAATGTATGCACCACTTAGCCACAGGCCCGATGGCATTGTGGTAAACTCATCTCGGTAGTTGTATGTGTGAGCTGGTCGCATTGGGAGCCATAGAACATACGCGGAAAGATACCGAATGTCACAATGTCCGACGAACTCTTGTCCCGTCAACAAGTTTGGCTATAGGAGTTTGGCTTGTCCCGGCGATATGAGAACGGCCCTGATGAAAGCAAAAGTGCACGTCTATACGAGACATAACCTCCTTCCAAGAATCAGTTAGCATTCAATCCATAGTTGCGTCCCCAAACACTCGGTATGCCGCCGAGCGCCGGTAAGAGTACTGAGGACCTGCTGACTAGAGAAGATTCGGAGGGGAGTTGTATAGACGAGACGCCGAGTCAAAACGAGACAACGATATCCCCTCGATAACGTGGAGGAAATAATGCTGCATAGTGTATGGAGCAGCAAGTACCCTGATAGAGGGGCAGCATAACGTAAATTGCTGAAGAATGCAACGTGTACGCGACTTGGCATCATGTTATAGAGCTGTATTCGGGGCAGACAATGGTGTACACTTGGGCCATACACCTATGTCTAGACAGATTTTAGAGCCAAAGTAGCTCCAAAATGAAGAAATCCTGGCAATAGGCCCTACCTGACGGGACGCCGCTCGTCAAATTGACGTACAAGACGCAGCAATAGAACGGCTGATCTACATGTTCCGGCCTAATCAACGTCCGGAGGGAAACGTTCGTTAGCTATCAGGAGGGGGAGGTCATCCAAAGCAAAGCACAGCGGAAATGAAAGATCGCAAACTGCAACGAAGGGTATCTCACTACACCGAGAGTGCGATCTTTCCAATGCCTGAATGAAAGGACCGGGACCCCATTTCATACGGAGAACGGTCCGAAGGGCACTTTGCAAGTTCTGCAGAATGGGGTTCAGAGACACGTCTTGTATCAGGCTTGTTTCCCGCGTAGAATCTGATTCGCGCCATCATAGAACGCGTCCTGCCTGCCTTTCACTGAGCCGCCTTCGCAAGTCCCTATAACGCGCCCAGAATCTTGATGGTGAGAGGAACAGGCCGAACTTGCTTCAAGAGCAGACAAGTTAGGTTCGAAACATCCACGGGATATGGGAAAGTACGAACAGCGGCTAGGTGTTCATTCAATCGTTTACGAGAAAACGTGGTCACTGGGTAACGTCGCATGGGGATATTAATTGGCTGTTAGACTAGCGGTACCGGTGCCCGATAGAATCACACATATGCAGCTGGAGAATATGGGTTGAGCGTTGTAGGGTATTTTCAAATGTGTGCATATGCAACGCACGTTAACACAATAGTATCCGTAATAACAGCTTTCAGATTTTCAGGCGGTCTATTGTCCCTCAAGGTTGCCTGTAATCTAACTGAGATTGCTTTTCAAAAAGGATATACTCACGCGAGTATGGAGGTGTTCATAGTTGCAATCCGATACGAATCTGGTACGACTAGCAGTGATTAGTATCAAGTAGGAACTTCACAACAGAAAGATGTTCATCATACCTCCTACGAATATTGTACTTGGACCTGATAGACCTACGTACTGTAATCTTGTAGCATGAATATTAACTCATTCTTGAGAGGCCGTCTAGGATATGAACCAGGTGAGGAGTCGCCAGAAGGAGCACGTAAGCGCATTCTGGAATATCGGTCCGAACGCCGACGACATGAAGACTTCTGTCAAAGGCACAACCCGAACACAAATATTCTCTTTTTGGACCACCTCTCCGGGTACTTGGGACTCATTCCAATCCAGCCAATTTTGTAACATTTAAATGACTGCAGTCTTTCCGAACAATATATGCCATTCGTAGGAAACTGTGAAGGGGGCTATCATCTCCGCATGCGCGAGGTACGTTGGCGGACTCGGAGAGTGATGCTTCCTAGGATTTACAGCGTTCCTCAGGCATAATGCAGACTTCCAAAGGCTCTGGATGATTTCCTGAGCCATTTCGCCGTGAACTGATGCTGTTGTTAATCGTTCCGGGTCAGTGGATTTTCCCAGGTTCCCTGCGAATAAGGTCTCCCCTCGTGAGTTCACGCCAGCATCTCGAACGTCACTACTATACTAATAAAAGAAGTAAGATTTCCACCTGCAGATTATTAGTTTTCATCGATGGACCATTTCCTGGTCTATCTATTGAGAGGAGGTGGACGATTGGTCAGTATACAGTTAAGTAAATAAATAAAAAGTTAGAAGAGAAGGCCTGAGTTTACAGACATGCTGTTTCGTCTTTAGCAGCGCGCGCAATATGATGACCCCCCGAGAAGAAAGAAATTGCGACTGCCTACTGCCGCACTCTCGAGTTGGCGGTTCAGCTCATCATACATGGAACGTGTTGAGGTCAACGAGGGGACATGACGAGAAGCCATGTTTCTACTACAGTAAAAATCAGTGGCTGGTTTCCCATTTTCCCTAGATGTAAGCTTTCAGTACCCTCTCTTCGATCTTGTTGTGCTGCCCCTAACTCCCTGGCCCCCGGCTGAGGTAAACTAATTTACCGAATTTTCGTTCAAAAAAACATTCCAGACAGGCAACACAAGGCCATCCGCAAGGTCATCCGGTATCCAATTTCTGGCTTGAATTACTGCTGTAATGGCCCTGGTGTTCCACATCCTGGCAGAGGTGATTCGTAACCAAGACCTAAAAATAGTAGCGTATTGCGGACCAATATGGACCTACAAGCCAAGTCATTGCAGCTTCGTTGGCGAACTGTACGATCCAGATATCTGTTCTCCGAATCTGACTCATCTCTGTCGATCGCGGTACTTTTCATTCGGTATACTTATGATTTTACGTTTGTGAAAGCTGCTGACTTCTACACGTCTTGCAGTCCGAAACGGAGACAGTGGAACATTCTGACGCGGGTTTGCGCGGTGCCGAGAGAGCTCTGAAAAGAGAACTCCAGACTTCCACAGGCCTTCAACTTCAAGAATCTTAATGTTTGTCCCTTGAGCGCTTTACCAATGCATATCCATCCCTGTCGGGAAAGCGAGACATCGGGAATTGCTAATCATGCGCCCACAAATAGATAGTTCATGGGGTGACGACAATGCTTGGCATGGCCGCCCCCCAACGGATGAGCAGAATAGTTCGATTGGATGCATTAGAATTTTGCACCAAGTATATAAGGCAGTGAACATGAATGCATGCAAACCAGATACCTATCGACTCATTTATTGAAATCATCGCCACATACAGCAATCATCATTGCGAACATGTCCCCAATTAGAGCCTGGTTCAGTGAGTATCAGATACTTTTCATATTCTACGCATACTCAGATTTTGACAGTTACTGGTGCATCTTCTGGGTTTGGAAGATGCTTAACCGAGATTGCATTGAACGAGGGAGATATTGTTATCGCGACCCTGCGCAAGCCACAAGCTCTTGACGATCTCAAAGCTAAATATCCCTCCAACAAGCTAGCCATCCTCAAACTCGATGTTAGTAAACACGATGAGATCATCTCCGCCTTCGACAAAGCGAAAGAGCTATTCGGAAGGATCGACGTCGTATTTAATAATGCAGGATACGGTCTCCAAGCAGAGGTAGAGGGAACGGACGAGCAGGTCTCCAGGACTAACTTCGACACCAACTTCTGGGGTGCGACGAATGTCACCCGTGAAGCAGTGAAATTCTTCAGGGAGGTAAACCCAGCAGGCCAAGGAGGTCGTATTCTAGTCACCAGTTCTGAATGTGGTATTCACGGCTATCCCATCTACGGATATTACTGTGCCTCGAAGCATGGTAAGTTAGTATTCTGATTTGCCAGGCCACTCATTGATTGTGTTTCGCCAACTGTCAGCGTTGGAGGGTGTTCATGATGCATTAGCCAAGGAACTTGATCCTGACTGGAATATCAAGGTATGGGTATTTATCCACCTACTCGCCTGGTTCTTGCAGTCCGAATCATATTCCTCGAAAGATCACCCTCATTGAACCCGGGTACTTCGCTACCAAGGCGACACCTAATATGGCCGTCAATGGATCTCTGCTACCCCCTCATCCGGCATACACCAAACCCACTTTACCCGGCAATGTCTTGCGGGGTTATCTGGAGAACCCTCAGGCGGAAGGTTCAGACCCTGCTAAAGCGATGCAGAAGCTATACGAGTTCTCTTCGTTGTCTGACCCTCCTATTAGGTTCCCTATCGGAGAGGACGCTGTCGATGCATTGAGGAAGAAGGGTAAAGAGTACATCGATACGGCTGAGAGGTTTGCGTCTTGGTCAGAGAATCTGCAACTTGACTAGTACAGAGGCATAGGTCCGATGCAGCGGTCCTGTTTTGAGATAGCTGAATCGTCGGGTATCCGGGAAGAGTAATCATGTCAATAGACTCTCAGACTTGGTGTATGGGGAGTAAACGAAAAAGAAAGTAGGAGGCTGCAGGCTGTAATTACTGATGAAGTAGTCAGCACGTGTACAAATAAGTGGGTCATACCGAAAATTGAAGTCTTAACTGAACCGTGACAATCTTGGAATGAGGACAGCAATGTGGAGGGCAGCGAAATATTATGCATTTATATGAAGTCCACCATACTACCCAATCAAATAGATAGGACCCTCAATCAATGAGATATTTCCTCTTGAAGAACGCGCGTAAGTGGAAGATTTGCCAGACGCCAAGTCCAATAAGCGAGAGAAGCGTGAGCCACGCGAAGGTCTGCACCCGTCGGTTTGTTGACACTATGGGTAACAGAAACAAATGATCAAGAATGAGTACATGAGGATAATAGGAATGTAACACACTGTTTGTTGCCTGAAACCGCTCTTCCCGCGATTTGAGGTAGTCTAACTCGTCAACAATCTCCTTCACGACACCTTCCAGTTTTCGCATCTCAGTCTCTAGACCTGAGAGTGATTCTTGGTTGGCTATTGCACTAAGTGACAGACGCTCGATCATTGAGTTCAATGACATAGCACAGGAACATACTTGTAGTCGACTGCATCGGCACCAATGTCAACGTCGAGGTCAATAACTTTCGAGACACGTCCGGCACCCGTAACGCCTGCACAGCCGTAAATGATAGAACAGAGAGAGAAGACAAGATAGTGACGTACCGGGATCCAGGTAGTTCTTAAAGCAAACACCGACATCCGCCTCCGAATGAGCTGTAACAGCAAACCTCGCCTCGCCTTTAATTCCCTTTTTACTCAGATAGGTATTCTTATGTGGTCCGGCATCGATGATTTCTATATCCACTCGTTGATTGTCTCCAGGACCAACGTTGGCTGTTACAATCACAAGTGCACCTGGATGTGCGGCATTCCAGATGCATTTCGGTGGTGGAAATCGGTATGCTGGCAGCTCAAATTTGATGGCATAAGTTTGTGTCGATTGAAGGAGTACAATAAGAGCTGCGAGGAGGATTAGAGGTAGAGATGAGGGTATTCGTCTGTGTCGCGAGTAGGGGGACATGGTCGTCGTGGCAAGGAAAGCTGAATGGGCGCTTCCTACAGTACTTACTTGTTTCCTTCGGCTACTTCATGACCATGATCATGTCGACAGTATCAAAGGCGTATTCAACTGGAATACAGCTCAATTCTTTGACAATCACGATGTATGATGGTAACGTTGAAAACCATTACATGTCTATATCGATACATCCAACTGGAAAGGCTCCGGACTCCCGCTCGCCATGAGCAGCTGACCTTCGGCCGTTTCTGGAGAGATATAAGACCACCTTAGAATCAGCGAAGAAGAGTCCTTGAGCAGTGCTACTTTCACCAACTGCAATGAGTCAAATCAAAGACGTAGAGGTATGTTCTTCGCCCGTCGGTAGACTACGAGTACAGTATGTTTGACATCAAGTACAGGTGTTCCGTGTGCCACCGCGCTGGGTATTTCTACGCATTGAGACATCGGACGGTCTGGTTGGCTGGGGTGAAGCAACGCTGGAAGGTCACACAGAAGCCATTGAAGGAGCTCTGGATGCCCTTCGCCAGACCTTCGTTGGGTGGGACGCTGACAGAGTACAGGATATCTGGCAACATGCCTATCGGTCGAAGTTCTATCGAGGCGGTCCAGTACTCATGGTATGTGTACCTCTTATATTGCAGGCGATTTTGCCATTCACGCACCTCGTAACCACCAGTCAGCATTGTCTGGTGTGGATATCGCATTATGGGACATTAAAGGGAAGAAGCTAGGTGTTCCCGTCTGGCAGCTCCTCGGTGGGAAGGTTCGAGACAAGGTCAAAGTGTACGGTTGGATCGGAGGAGATACTCCAGAAGATATTTATCAAAGCGCCACTGTCCGCAAACAACAAGGGTTTACTGCTGTCAAGATGAACGGGACTGGACAGATTGATTGGATTGATTCCCCTCATCTTCTTGACGGTACTGTCGAACGCGTGAAACAAGTTCGATCCCTCGGTTTGGATGTCGGTGTCGACTTCCATGGTCGCGTTCATAAAGGCATGGCCAAACAGTTAGCAAAAGCGCTAGAGCCTCTTCAGCTACTGTTTATTGAAGGTAACTACCTTCACCCATTTTCGGTATCCATACCCTTACGCGTGACCTCAGAACCTCTCCTTCCTACTCAACCAGAAGAAATTGCTGACCTTTCTCGCCAAGTTTCGACGCCAATCGCTCTTGGGGAACGTCTGTATACGCGTCATGATTTTCGACCGTACTTGGAACGCAGAGCGATCGATATAGCACAACCAGACGTATGTGTTGGGCGAGAAGGTTTTGTCAATGGTGGTCACTCATACAATTGCTCCAGGTATCTCATTGTGGTGGCATAAGCGAACTTCATCGGATCGCCTCGCTCACCGAAACATATGATGTTGCCCTTGCCCCTCATTGTCCCATAGGCCCAATTGCGCTGGCGGCTTGCATGCAAGTCGACATTACTGTACCAAATTGTGAGCAATAGTTCTCATTATTATACGTCGCTTTTAATCAATTTTTCTTCGTCAGTTGTCATCCAAGAGATGAGCTGGCAGGTATGGCCATAATCTTCGTCCATTCAGTGGATAGATAGATGATCATCATATTTTAGATTCACTACAACCAAGGTGCTGATCTTATGACGTATCTTGTTGATCCGAAAGTGTTTGCAGTAAAAGATGGTTACGTGGATGCGCTTGAAGGTAGAAAACATTTATCGTCCTTCGTATGATTACGTCAAATTGAAAACTATGATGCGCGTAGGACCAGGACTGGGCATAGAAGTAAACGAGTCCCTCGTGCGAGCAGCGGCTGCAAAATATAAGAACGAAATCCCGTGGCGAAATGAGGTATGGAAAGGACCTGATGGGTCTCTTCGAGAATGGTAGTCTAATACGTCTTGAGGGTTGACGGGATTTACAGTGAGTTTAAATGAGCTAATTTGCTGTTGTCGCTTGATCAAGTTTGTCTTCAGTCAAATTGTTCACTCGCGCTTAGGATGCATATTGTAACGCACATCGAGTCTGAATTTCTGAGCCTTTATAGTTTGCGTTGCGTGGCAGCACGTGCACAGCATCGCGTCGTCATTCCCTTTGGTAGGGAAGCGTACGCCACGCAAATGCTTAATTGCAGTGTTGTTAGTCCAAAATCAACCTAGGAAGCTGTTTTATGGTATGAAATTGCGGCTGTGACTTGACAGATAGATCTATCCTGCTCCTGGGGTCTGGTGCCTCGCGGAGACGCTCATACCATCTGCTCCTCAGACTCTTACCATCACCTTCAAGCCTCAACAGCTGTTTCCCGTAACCTATCGTGTTATCCTGGTGAGTTCTGTATAATCTGGTATCAATGTAATACTTGCAGGCTGACAGTAAAGTAGAATATGGATGAACCGTTAGTAACAATGCTGGGAGAATTGCTACTTGAACGTAGAGCTGGATGGGCAAAGTTGAATCTCGACCCTTGGTTCGACATTACTTCGGAATTAGACCACCTTTCCAAGCGTTTGGACGATATTCGAAGACGACTTCAAGCGGAGGGTATGACCGAAGGCGATATCCAATTAGAACAGCACAGCTTCATTCAAACACTGACCATGACCGTTCAAGGCCAGACTGATACCTTAGAGTCTATGGATATCACGATGGAGAATTTCAAACGTGACTCCGTACTGGCGCAGATGCTCAGCGATAGCTTTATGGGATCAGTTGCAACAGTCGAGAACGCCGATCATGGTATCGCGTGCCTCCTGGAATTGGCTCTGGAATCCGAGTTGCATAAGAATATTCTTGTCGCTTTTCGTGGTTCAGCAGCAGAGTACGTCCTGTCGCTAATGATGCGTCCAGTGAGTCTTGTTTGCTTGCAGATCAAGTTCGAATACTGAGTGATCCTGGTCCGAATTGAATTAGGGCAAAGACGAACCTAGTAACTTGCTCAGTCACCTATGGAGGGAGCACCGATCCACACTACTTCGTCTTCTTTTAAAGCTTGCAAAGTGTTCAGAAATTATTCCACGTGAATTGTTCCTTGATGGCGTCGATTGTATGCAGAGAGAGAACCCTGTTGGTCACGGCGGGAACGCCGACGTTTTCTTAGCGACGTACCGAGGAAGGCCGGTCGTCCTTAAACGGCTTCGAATATTCCAAAACGTCAGGGAGGGACGAGAGGATATGCAAGTGGGTCGTATTTTCTGTTATTAGCTATCTTCGTGAGGTGCCTATCAGGTGGTTCACAGGAGTTCTGTCGGGAAGCACTCATTTGGTTTCAACTCTCTCATCCATTCGTTCAACCGTTTCTCGGAGTCGACTGCGAAACATTCCCGAACCAACATTGTATGGTCACTTATTGGATGGAATATGGGAATATCAACACTTGCATGAGGTCTTTGACAGCCGGACGTAAGCCTTTACCTCTCGATCGTTGGGTACGTTCTCATCTCAGTGATGGAGCTATGGAACTATGGCTGACTAGGGCGTTCTGTTTAGCTACGAGAAATAGCGTTGGGTCTGGAGTATCTCCACCATGAACAAGTGATACATGGGGATATCCGAGGCGTATGTTTTTTGAACGCATATTTTTGTCAGATCAAACGAGTTGAAGTATCTCAATCCATAGAATAACATACTCATTGATAATGACATGCATGTCCGTATCACGGATTTTGGTTTGGCGGCATACCAAGGCTCCAATACGATGTCCGTGGGTGATGTTGGTGGATCGCGAAGGTGGATGGCACCAGCGTTGTTTGACCCTGAGGCTTCTGGCAAACCAAGTCGTGAAAGTGATGTATATGCATTTGGAATGACTTGTATCGAGGTGTGCCTTCAGATCATGAGTCTTTCTTGCAGCTACTCATATGTCCTCGACAGATTTACACCCAGCAGAAACCTTTTCCCAGTATCAGCAACGAATATCAAGTCACCGCACATGTCCTTGCAGGCGGACGGCCATCTCGCTCCATCGGTGGCGAATCCTATGGTGCAATGTCCGATGCTCTATGGGAAGTTGTGCGGTTGTGCTGGGCCGGCCTCCCGTCCGAGAGGCCCTCTATGTCTGAGATTCTCATGGCGTTCCGCACCACCAGTGGCCAATGGAACACAGACCCGGGAGTCTTCCAAACATATACCATCACTGAACTCCCCACCCGGCCGGTTTATGCTACCGCACTTAGCTTCATGCTCTTCCTGCATAGTATTTACTTAATTCTCTCAGTCAGTTACCTTCTGTCAGCCCCCATGGAGGACGGCGTCATCGTCGTTAAACGATTGGTTTTTGTCTTTTTCAACTTGACGTTGTCTTTCACTTTCGCATTGGCGGAGTTGATGGCCAAACATCTTCATTTGCGGAACAGGACCACTCATCCTTCACACTCTCAGATTCGGGGTTTCAGCATTGCAATGATATCATTGCTCTCTTGGGCCTTTATTTTCATAGGTGGGGCTATTTCGACGCGAGATAATACTTTGGTGACGGCGGCATCCATGAACCTTGTGAGTCATTTGACTGTACTGTTCTGCTGCATTATTGAACCTCTTAATCACTCATCCTACAGATCTATATGTTTGTTGGCATTATCGTCTTCATCATTTACATGGTTTCGTGTAAAGGGCGTCTTCCATCGGCTGCTTGAGTCATCGCCTTCCCAGTCATTCTGTCCCCTTTCCTCTCATCTTCCCACTCGATTTGCCTATGCTGTCGAGGACGATCGTTCCGTCATATATCTGTCGCGTTCTCGTCCCTTCATCTTCTCACTCTAGATCCCTTGCTATACGGTCTAGGACTAGAAGCACTTCTTCTCTTTCCGCCGATGACCACTGGTATGATCCCTTTAGCATCTGGCCCTGTATATTTGGGACAATGACTCTGTTCACCACCCTATTGGCGACCGAACATCATTTAACCTTCTGCATTCAGCCTTTCCTTGTCTGTGTTTCCATTCTTCCACGTTTCGTGAATGTCTCTTCCTTTCTCTCACACCCTATCGCTGACATTGTGTGTTCTCTCTTTGTGACATATCCACTGTCTGACCTCTCTCACACATATGACATCACACATATGAACGTCTCATCTTGCCGTCTTCCCATGCCGTCGCTCAAACTTCGCGATCTCCTGAATCTCCTCTCATGGGTCTCACAACGTCAGCAACACCTGACGTACATGCCCCCCCTTCCTTTCTTCCGACGCGACATACTACCGAACCACTGAACCAATCATCGCCATCATTCTATCTGCCTGACGTCTCTCCTTCTCCGTTCCAATGTGCCGCTATCCCGATACCATCTTTTCGCTGGATTGGTGTATCTCTATCGCCGAATGTCCTATTCTCTCCTCGTTCATCCCTTTCTGATCGTCCTACATTCGTGACCACTTCCACTTCCACGTTGCCGTCCCCGTCCCTCTGTCTCTCTTCCCCGCACAAACATCATTTCTACGTCTTCTATTCTCACCACTCCACGTGCTCCATCGACGCCATTGCATCTACGCTGGTTTAATGGATACGCCTTTCAAATCTACTGCATTGTCATATTTCCAACATGCCTGGTCCCTTTAACCTTTACGCCTGCACCTTGGTCATTTCTTGCCCTATTGCGTTCGGGGGTGGTTAGGTTGGCTCTCTTACTTTAATTGGTCCCGATTTTCACCTTGTCGACTCCGATCCTCAATTGTGGCATGCACGCTCGGATTCTCAAACTGTCCACCTTTTCTACGCTGTACGCACGTTCTTGCGTTTCAAACCCTACCCAAACTGGACTTGCTATTGATCAAAATTAGGTCCTAGATATGAACCTCAAAGCATGCTGGCTACTCTCTCAAGCCACGGGGAAACATACGGTCCCGCATTGTAGGGGCAAGATTATCAACTTTTGTTCGTTGTTGACTTACAGGTACGTCACGGTGTGTCGTGCATCTTCCATCTTCGACCGTTCCTGGCACTTGCTATACTTCTTACTCCTTTTGGCTTTTCGATCCGTGATGCAGGCTAGAGCTTGTTGTCTTCCCTTCCTCCTGTGCCGTTCCACAGTTCGTTCGATGTCTTCTGCAAGCAAAGTTTTCGTTATTCTCCTTTCCTGTATGATCTTCGATGGCCTAAATGGTTATCTCGATTGGGTGCCTGCCTGGCCCATCTCTGTTTTTATTCTGATTCTTTTTTATGCTGTCCTTTGTGATTGAGAGCGACATACTTACCATGGGTGCTTGAACAGGGAGGATTAACTGTTTCCGCTTGTGCAGCTGTGAAAGGTGTATTGGGACAGCTCACCAAGGCGCAGAGCAATGAATGGATTAATGAGAATGTTCGGGAGAACGGCTTCGTGCCAGGGCATATCATTACCGATATGTACGTCACTTGGTTTGATTTAGTTTAGCCTATTATCCTCTCCCTGCCACTCATTCTTATCATCTGATTCAGAGGTTTACCTGTCTCGCTGACATCTCCTCACTTAGGAATAAGAAACTTAGTGAATGAACTCCAGCTGGTAGGTGGGTCAGTATGTCTGTGAAGGATTGTTAGTTGTTGATGGTGTACATCATTTTGCCTTGTGTCTTTGGGTTTTATGATAAACTTATTGAAATACACATCATGTGGGAGGAAAGCGAGTCAGTACATTTGACCTGGTTGAGCTCTGAGGCAAATGGATGAGGTACATACAAGCATAACTAACTACTTATATCCTAGAAAATCTGCCAAGCATGCAGGACTCCGTTCCACTCCTCTCATTCTTGCACATAGCGATGCTCACCGCTTCATCCATATTCCAACAAAACTACTGATCGGGATGATAACAGTCAAGTGAGGTCTAGCGGCAGTGCTTTCAGATAGGAATAGGTGAGTATCTATGTCTTTCACACTGAGTATTCCATCAGAAAAAGGTGCATTGCCTCTGAGAGCTGCCTCAGAAGCCTCAGAAGGGGTCACAGAGGCTTCAGCAGCTCAGCCCTCAGCAAAGATCAATTCTGGGCTTGCACATTCTCAGAACTATTTTTCTTAACCATAACAACATAGCACCATATGTTTACATCTCATGTTGTTTTTGTATACATGTTTGCATACTTGAAATATATTTTTTGGGCTATAAATGGGGGCCACATACTGTCAATTGAGTTCACTATGAATTTCAGAAGAATGACTAAATTTGGGCTCAGCACTCAGAGTGCCAGAACATGCACCATTTTCTGATGTGTGGATATTACAATGGCTGTCCTAGATATACCATCATTGCCTTCAATTGGCTTCACACTTTGTGTGTTCCCTTCTTCTGCATCTTTGTCAATATGCTGCATCTCTGTACACTTCTCACTTGCCAGTCTGAGAACTGCATTCTGCATTTGACAGAATTCTACTACTATGCATCTTTGATTCAATCATTTCAAGGCTGTGAATATATAGCAGTATATGTGAGGTACATGTATCAGTATCTTAGGATTGTCAAGATGGCATATATAAAGAGAAATAGAGTGAATTGGCCCTGTATATCTTTTCCTTTTAATCACCTACTTATTCTCACTATTTTGAGCTATCTTTTATAAGTATTGATTATGCAAAGCACAAGGCAATAGGAACCAGAAGAAAGAAAGAGAGTCAAGACAATAGAGGAAGAGAGAAAAGTGAATAGTGAAGAAGTCAAGCAGCTTTCATTGCTGCCCTTAGAGATACAATTTAAAGTTATATACTGAATTCATGTATTCTTATTTTAAATATTAGATTCTTTGAAGAATTCAAAAAATAGAGTGAGTTGAATATATATTTCTAATATTGTGAATACAAAGTTTTGATATATATTGTGCATATTTAGTAGAGCACTTTAGCTATATACTGTCTTACTTGCCATGCCTGACATTCATATGCATGGCCTTTTCTCTACAGACATATTCATCTAAATGCTAATATAGCTTAACAAGCTAGTCACCTATAGAAAATATATGCACATCATGATAAGATGTATTGTATATATTTGAAGAGCCTTACAATTAATTTTTTACAAGAAGAACAGAATGAGATTGATAAAAAGGGCTGGTCTATACTACTGTTCTCTATTAGATTTAATAATATCATCTATCTTATTATATGGCATCTTAAACTTGTCTGAGTTTATTCAGACTTCTTCAGATGCCTAACTCTTCTATCAATATATACTTTGAGTCTAATATATGTTACACTTTCGATAAAGCAGCTTTAAAGAGTATTACACTTATATTCTAAATTACAGCATCTGGCACCTCAACATCTTCACATATCTTTTATAATTTCAAACATTGCCACAACTAATATAGATAAAAAGTAGCTTAGATCTAGATTAAAATTACTAAAACTATAATTCTCAGAGCTATCACTATGACAGTAGTTATTTGATAATGGCTATATTTCTAGTCTTAAATTTCTTTATATTTAGTTATATTATTAAGATAAATTCATAACTAAGTATATATTAGCAATTAATCAAACTCTATCAAGCTCAGAATTATTACTGTCAAAATGTCACATCAGATTATCTAGTAAAGTCAGAGGTAAGAATTATATCATCTCTTTATTTTTTAATCTTATTCTGACTACTTTAATAGCTATCAATCTTCAATATAATTTATGCTTGCAATATCTAAGTCTAAAAGCAGGCAAAGAAAGACTTTTATTTGTATTAGCATTACTTTTATCTGTGCATTCAAAAATATCAATAACTGTAAATCTTTATTAATTATCTAGTGATAAAGTAGACTGTCAATAGTTTGAATCAAGCTTATTAGCTATAAATGCAGCTAGTCTCAAACTTGTTAGCTTTTTTGAGATAAGAAATAATGTTAACTAGTTTTAACTATTTCCTAGGCTAGCAGAGAAGGGCATTTTATATATTAGAAATAAATATTATAAGATTTATAAAATAGATATAATAGGTAAAGTTTAGATTATATTTTATAATAAAAACAAATATAGTCTTAGGATTAGTTTCAATATATATAGCAGATGACATATTATATACTATAGAAATAATAGAAAATATTCTATTTATAACTATTAGCTATTTGTAGACAATACTTTAGCTCTTATAAAAAATTTTAAAAAAGTGATCTATATATTGGATCATAGCAAAAGATGTTTGAGCTAAGATACTATAGCATATATCAATATAGCAGTAATCTTATTCTCTTTTATTATATACTATTTTATTATTCTATATAATATTAATAGATGTTATAGTTTTATATATTAAAAGGTAGCCTGCTTATTAGTAAAATTGTTATTGTTATTAAAGAATATAGAAATTCTTGTATATTCTGATTATTCTTTATTCTAACAATTTCTATTTTTTTAAATTAGTATATTCAAATTCTCTTTTAAAACTGTAAGTGATATTATATAACTTTGAATTTAGTATTCTATATTGAAATAGGCTGAATATCTAGATATCTGCTATATAAAAAATTTAATATGCAGTCTATATCTATTTAGATAAACTTGAATTAATTGAATTTGATAATATTTCTTCCAGTTAGAGCATTTCAAAAGTTGGCCTCTTTTTATTGTATTCTTTATACTTTATTACTAACAGTATATGTTTTAAAAATTATAGAAAAGAAAGCAATATTATTAAAAATATTAGATGCATCAAAGTTATTACCATCTTCTACTTTATTTAACACCATATAGTTGATAATAAATCTTTCATATATCTAATTATCTTCTAATTCATATTTCTTCTTTTATCTTTACTATCTAAGTTTTGTTCATTATTTTATATATAAAAATCAGTATTTCTACTGAGATTTTTTAATCTAATCTAAAATAACTTCATCTGATAACTTATCTAAATAGAATTAAGTCTGACTAAGATTAAAAGTCTGAATCTTGGATTAGAGTATTAAGTTATTAATTTGAATAATATATTATTATGCTATGCTTATTACATTACTCATATAATTTAGATAGCAAAGTGTATATTTTAAATACAATAAAAGAATTGCAACTATATGCAAATTGTTAGAATTGCCATTATTAAGATTGCAATTGTAAAGTTCATAACTATATTCTTGGCTTCTTGAATTTTATCTCTGCATCAAAAGATGTTAGTAGCAGCTTTTGAGCATTCATCTTATGGATCCTCTAAAACACATTATCATCAGTGTTATGCCCTTCGCGACTAGTCTCTGGAGTCATGACTCATCATGTTCTTTGGAATGGCTACAACTGGAAGGAGTTTCAGTGTTCCAATTGCCCAACACCTGCATAAACTACTTACTGCCCATCACTTATCTATATATGTTAGAATTAAGAGTGAGCATGCAGCACAAGTCAGGTGATGAGCGAATGAGTACATTGGTATACATCAAATTTGTCCCCTAGAGTATGTACAAAGGTGGACAAATATGTGAGGAGCTGACTATATTATGCTACACTATATAGCTACTATGAGTGCCCGAAAGGTCCAAAATGTGAGATAGTGATGGCAGTGCAACCATGCAAGTTCACTTGGCACTCAGGATTTCAATACACCCCCTCGAATGAAGCATGGTTCATGAAAGAATAAAAGAAAGAAATGAGTGAACAGGGATATGAAAAAAAAATAATCAACATCAATAAAATTAAAGCGCACCCCCTGAATTATAAGTCCCTATCACTCCACTCCAGACTCCTCCAATGCAATGATAGCAGTGGAGGCAGATGATGCTTCATTCGATGACGATGGGCAATCTGAGCAATAATGGTCCTTCTGGTCACAACCAAAGCAGATGATGTTGGTGAGTGGGGTACAAGGCTTCTTGATCAATGCAGCAGCCATGGTCTGATCAACAGAGGCCTCTGAGGCACTTGAAGCCTGGCGAGACTCTTTATTAAGCAAGCGAGTAATCACATACAAAACTGTGAGGTCATTAGCAGGGGTAGAGTTGAGCGTAATAGTGAACTGCTCATATAAGCAAGGCAAATCATTCATGAGAACAATAATTGTATCTTCTTTATCAATGTTTGTACCAATCTCTTCAAGCTGGAAAGTGGCATAGTGCACATCAGCGATCTAGCAGAAAATGGATGTACTGAGCATTATCTTCATCCTGAAGAATTCACGATAGAGAAAAACACGGATCCTGAAGCTATGGGCCTGGTGGATAGTCCTAAGGTTCTCCAAAATCTCAGTGGGGTCAGAGCCTTGAACATGAGGGAACTGAGATGGCTCAATATAAAGGATAATCTCTGCATGAGCCTCTGCACACTTTCTCCTTCAATTCTTCATGATCTTAGTGTTATCACTCCCAGGAGGTCTTGACTCTATTCCATTGGCAACTTCAATAAGGTTTTTGTGAGTGAGCAAAGCATTGATCATTATGCTCCACTCATGGTAATTCATGTCATTCAATTTTAGAAATGACAAGCAATTGGATATAATGGAAAAGTGAGCAAGTCGATCAAGAAATGGTCAATCAGTGGGAATGCTCTCAATGAGCAGGTTATGGATATGGTGTGAGTATAAGCATCGGATTTCAATCAGAGGCTGGAGTAGTTCAATCGAGGATTACAGTTACGAAGTCAATCAAGCGAGTGTGAGTCGATCTTGTCTGAATTAACCTTCAGATGGAGGTGATGCATTTATATTAGAATTAAGAGCAAGCATGCAGCATGAGTCAGGTGATGAGTGAATGAGTACATTGGTATACATCGGGTTTGTCCCCTAGAGTATGTACAAAGATGGGCAAACATGTTGTCGGTCAGAAAAAGAGAAACACTCTCAAAGGGATGAGAGGTCAAAAGTTTCCCTTCTGCAGAAACATTTTCAGGTGAGATGTTACACCGGATCTTTCCTGTTGTTCATTTGGGATGAGGGAGGTTTACCATATAGTCTGACAGCAAAGTAGACTTAGGCAGTTATACCACAGAGGTGTGATCACAAGGTAAGTGAAGTTTTAAGCAAGTAAGCTTAGAGTACACTTAGTAGAGAGAGGGAATTAGAGTAGCAGATTCTATTCAAGACAATTCAAAGATATGCAAAAGTACAATGAATAACTTGCAGAGAGATGATACAGACAATAAGATGAATAAGATACTATAGGCTTACACTTGAGCTTCACAGAGAGAGAACTTCAAGTATAAAGACTTAGAATGATAAAAAACACTTTAGAACTTTAGAGCTTTAGGGCACTTTAGATGATAAGAACACTTTAGATGATAAAAAGCACTTGAATGATACAAAAGATACACACTCTACTACTCAGAAACAGAGGCTCTATTTATACAGAAGAGGCCAGAGGCTATGCATATCTGATAGGGGCTTTCTCTGACTCACAGTGACTCAGAATAACTCATAGGGGCTTGAGATGAGTCAGAATAACTCTGGATGAGTCAGAGTGACTTGAAATGACTTATAGGGGCTTGTGAGTCATGATGGAGTCCATTCTGCAGAGAATGGAGAGCTTTTTTATTGATTGATCAAGATTTATTAATCGTGCATCAGATATTGAGGTCTGCTGATCAGTTGGTGCATATGTGACCTTGTAGATCCACCTTGTACTCTATCACCTTTCTTTCTTGGACTCCTTATCTTATCTGGTATTGCTTGGAGATTGCCAAAGTTGAAGGTTTGATCAATTATTATTCAAGAAGCAGGGTCAAGTGCTGCACTCTTCTTTTCTTCAAAGACTGCATTCTTCTTTCTAAAGTACATACTTGCTGGTATCACCACAAGTCAGGTAAGACTTTCAGACATCTTACTCAGACCTTTCAAACTTATTTTTAAGTCTACAAGGTCCTTTAAAGATGAGTTGGGTGCCTGTGCAATACTTCATGCAATTGTTATACCTTCAGAAGTCAGAAAGATACCTTCAATTCTTTGGAACCATGAGCTCAGTATATGTCGTTAGATTATTTAGACTCATTTCAATTTATTGAAAAATGTTCTCCTTGTAGGTCAACAAAATGAAGGCTTTAGAGCCTCCTCCTTCAAGTATGAAGATTTTCCTTGAAATCTTTGGTATTATTTTTAGAGTCATGATCTTCTGCAGTGGAGTGTTTCTTATAATGAGGTTCATTATTAAGCGTAAAGATCACTCTAGGAGTTCAGGAGGAGGACCTTTATCTTTGTAGAGTGTACTTTATTCTTACCTGCTGATGCGAATATTTCAACATCATTGAATCTCAAATTATTTAGTCCTTATCTTGTCACTGTAAAGTGATGTCACTTGAAATGAGAATAAACAATGGTGTCTCAAGTGTGCTGTCACTATTTTGGTCTTTCTAAGTGCACATAGACTTTGCCAGTGTCGAAGGTCCAGTTAAGCACCTGCCACTGATATGGCACTGCCAGGTGATGATACTTGTCTTTAGAAGCTATCTCTTTCCAATAGATTTGAGTTTCAGATTTACTCACCTTGAGATTAGGCAAGTCTTACTTCTTCTAGTCCAATTTGGTTATATTCATATTTGACTTTCAGATTCTGAAACTGCCTCATGACTGCCACAATGTGTATCACATTGCATGCATATTTAGAATATTAGCCCAATGTCTTTTCTAACCTGATGCTTCTTTAGGATTATTCTGAAGTCTTCTTCAGCTGCTTCCACTCCTTCAGCTTATCCTAAGGTCCCTAAGCGAGTGGTGATTGGCATCAGTCTCTTCATTGGAGTTATGGTCTTAGCCATAGTCATCATGTAATTGCAGTACACATTCTTTCCTCTTCAATGCAACTCTAGAGATGCATGCAATAATGCTCTGACTCCTATAGCAATAGTTTCTTTATCATCTGTTCACTTTAAGACAGTTACAGTCCCTTCTACTCCTTCATCTTCATCATTCACTCCTTTGAATTCTTTGGCCAATATAGCTCAGACTTTATTATCATCGATACATTCCTCACATTTCTTACCTCCCATTCTTCATGCTTCCTCTTCATCTTTGGAAGACTTGAGGCATATATTATCAGTTTGAACTAAAGTTGGACTTGATGTTCAGGAGATCTTTTATTGTACTTGTTGTTGTTATTGGGATACCCTATTTTTTGTCATAACTGCAGTGTGTTCTTCTTCTTGGACTTTTATAACTACAGTGTGTTCTTCTTCTTGGACTTTCATATTCAGTGTCAAATATCAATGTGATCTGTCCACTTGCCAAACACTTTTGGTGCAGGACAACATAAGGAGCCAACTATATTATGCTACACTATATAGCTACTATGGAAGCCTAAAAGGTCTGAAATGTGAGATAGTGGTGGCAGCGTGACCATGCAAGTTCACTTGGCACCCAGGATTTCAACAATATAATTTTTGCTGTATATTTGTTTGCTTGGTCGGCCCTTGAGGCAACACTTTGATAATTTCTAACACTGCAGTGCAAGCTATGAAGTTCTTACAATATGAAATATCAACATGATCTCCATACACTTGAATGCACCAAATATTAGTGCATCAAGCACTCTCTGAAGCTTTTCACTACACTGGATGCCCAACCTCTCTCTCCATCTAATCTCTCCAAATGTCTGAGTTGAATCTACCTATATCTGGTCCATCTACTTCTGATCCTCCATCTATGGGATTGAAATCTTCTCCATATGTTGATTACAATCTTCGCCAGCCCATCCACTTGTCCCTTAAAGATCTATTTGAATTTCTATCCAAACACTGGGTGAAAGCAGTCAAATGGCATGGCCAGTACTGTACTGATTATCAACTTTGTATTTACATTAAATTACATGCTCACCTGCTGATCTAAATAAATGCATCCTGATTGGCTGAGAAGATGCATATGACCGGGACCCGAACAGCTTTTGGGACCGTTTTCAGTCAAGTCACCAAATGACCGAATGGCGATCAGATCATGATTTGGAGTATGACCGGCATAACAAATAAGCACTAATGGGGTAGTGGTAACCTGGGTCGTTGCCATGTGCAATATCGACCCGCCGGGGGTTCAATTCCCCCTTAGTGCAGATGTTTTTTGCATCTTTCTTTTTTGTGCGAGATACGACCGTGCATACGCCAAGCTTCGAGTGGTGTTGGACAGTCGAAATCACTAACTTGGACCATTTATCAAGCAATCCAGAGCTTCCCGATACGTTGATCAATATTTTGGTGATAGCTATGTCCCATAGACAAGCAAAAAAGAAACCAAGTAAAGATACAAGAAGAGATGATGGGGTAACGGCGGGGGAGGTATCGCAATGTAAAAGTACACACAAATACAACCGAAGAAAAAGAAGCAAATCCTAACACTAGCATGTATCCGTTCCACGTTATAATGGTCATCCCTATTCCGTCCTTCCCGTAAGATCCGCTTCATCAGACCAAGGTTTCGACCACGGAAATTCAGCGATGCCTATAACATAATCCCCCATTCCCCCTTCGGCGACATTCACCTTACCATCAAGATCTCTACCCTTACCTTTCTCATCCTCCTCCTTCCCGATCTCCAATGACCCCCGACTCCGCGCAATCGAACCCCGCGACGGCATAGAAACGAGCACGGTAACCTGCATACCGGTCACTTCCCCGTCCTCAGTGTTGGAGTCGCCATCATCTGGAGAATCGGGATGCCGTGGCATGGGTGTTAGACCCATGTCGAGGAGGAGGGCGTTGACGTATGGGTTTGCGGCGATATGTCTTCTGGCTCGGGACCAAAGGCTTTCTCTTTCTTGTGGGAGGCCGGGTGCGTTAGGTTCCTGGGGAGGTGTCGATGGCTGTGGTTGAGGGTTGACGACGTTTGGAGCATTAGAAGCATTTGGAGGGGCATTTGGAGGGGCATTTGGAGGAGCTGGAGGGTTAGAAGGGCTAGAACGAGCAGCGTTAGGAGGCTCGGCTGGTATGTTACGCCTTGTACGATCAGCATGTGAGGGAGTACGACCAGAACTTGGTAAAGGGATGTTGTGAGGGGGAGGAGGCGTTGGTACTGGTATACGACCAAAGCGGGAAGGAAAGTAGCCCAGAGAGGTCACAGGCGAGAGTGGATGGGTTGTTGGACCAGAAGAGGGTTGCTCAGATGAGTCTGAAGGATTTGACTTGGAAGAGAGCAATTTGACAGAGAGTGGCTAGAACGATCATATTTCGATCAGTATCGTACGCTGATAGGGACCAGGGTCGTACGTCTCGACTAGTTTCTGGTGTGACTGGTACAGTACTTCGTAAGACGAAGTTCAGAGGTTCTGACGCAGGTAGTCGGACTAGAAAAGTGCACCCTGTCTTGAGTGCGCCAGAAACAGTTGCTCAGACTGTTATGGCACGAACAAGGTGCAGCATTCCATTCACGAAGACCCAAAGACAAGCAGTGTGACTGACGTTCAGTCGCACATTGGCAAAGTGATAAGTGCTCACCTGCAAGCTATTCCATTGCCCGTCCAATTTCGACTCTTTCGGCCATACGTCCCAAAGCTCGGGCTTTGTCCTCCCCACCTTCTTCCTCCTTCGACCAATGCCGGTGCCATCATCAAACTCTCCTTCCACTCCAAAGCCCCGTCGTAGTGCCCAAGCGACTCTCCGTGTACCAAGCCCACATCCAAGGAAGAACAAGAACAGAGCAATAAAAGCAATCAGAAAGCTAAATGGAATCGAAGACGATGGACTCAGAGATTTGGGCGGATTATCTGTATTCGTTCCATTCCCTGATCCTGCATCGGTTTCTGTCGCAGTTGGACTGCTACTGCCCGTAGAGGATTGGATCGCCATGGTGTCCACGAACGAACTGGGATCACCTTAAGATCATGAGAGTCGCAATGTGAGATGACAATCGGTGAGGTCGCAGGGAAAGGTTAGAACGAGCAAACTGTCTGTTCGCGTGCAAACAAAGCCAGTATCATGAGAAAGCCATTCACCAAAGTAAGAGGACTAGCGCCCCAGCCGTCGAAGCCTGGAAGACCGCTCTCGGTGTCTGTCGTAAATCAATCTTGCGCAGCACGGGCTTCCAAATATAGTGGACTAAGTTGGCGACGCGTGTAACCAGTATGCCAACTTCAAGATAGCGCAGTGAGGCCTTACGTTTTCATCATTGCAGCTGCGAGGAACTCCATATGGCGTCAAGGACGAATAAATGTTTGGAGTAACGACGACTTGGGATCGAAGGCACAGGACCTCATCACTGGTTGGTTGAATCGAGGAAAGCAGCATTGAGACATGAAGGCTGCGTCTCCGACTATTCAGGGAGAATATGTTTATTGAGACCTGAAAACAGAATTCTTAGGAGAATCGCAAGGAAGTAATTACTCGTAGTAGTCTATGAAGAGAAACGAGTAATCCGAATCAATGATCATATCGAAAACGGAATGAGGGATTCGGCGGCGGGGTGTTGTAGAGAAACACTTTGGAAAAGGTACGAATCTTGACCTAATCCCCAGTCACATGTAACTTTCGATCGTTTCTGAAGGACGGACGCCGTGAAAACGAAAACGCGCTTGATGATATATTTAACTTTAACCTTCATTAAGCCAGACCCAATCATATAAGGCCATACCCAGCACATTTCGAAGAAAGGATTAAAAATAGAAAAGCTTCCGTAGAAGTGCTGCTGCCCCTCGTGGTGGGATGATCGCGATGCGTACCAGAGCGTTCTTGCCATCTCAAATCTGCCAGGCAGCACTGAAGGGGACATGTATCTGTTTAACAGTGGCTGCACTAGCAACACACAGATTCCGCTGAATGACATTGCAGCCATATTGCGAAGATTGATTTCAATCTCTAGTCTTCAACAGGCAGAGTAGACAGAGCTTCAAGGTTCAAGTTTGGCACCTCAGGATATCTCTGTCACCGATCACCCCCTAGCAGCCAAAAATCTTCTCGTTCTGGATAAACGCAGCAAAGTCCGCACCACCAAAAGTCCTGGTAAGCACGAGAAAGGCACAGGCCCATACTTAAGCGGCTGACGACCAGGTAACAGATCTCTATGCCTCTTGTTATTCGCGAACCGTACCAAGGACCTAAACATCGCAACGCTGAATATACACGCTTAATTAAAAAAAATCCGTATATGCAATACGTGTATAGGTTGCGAAAGGAGGGGGAAGAAATGCTTCTTTCCATTGTTGAGTGACAGACCAAGAGAAAGTTTGAGCAGTTGACGCCGAACTCAGCTTGGAGAGCGACCACGACCTGCGCAATGCCGAAATTGAGCGATAGTATCTCACTTGCCAGGCACAAGGTCACTATAGTAAATATGGTTAGGCACGAATATGCCTACTAACCACAGCCAGGTAACGTTTCACCTACTCCTTCCTGCGAATCCGCCGCTTGTACAACTTTCAGAATGATATATAGGATACGGTAACCTCCAATCTCTGCGCGTCTTCCGGGATCCCACTCTGTGGAATGAACTAGTCTCAATGAATAAGCTGGGGTGATAGACTGGTGGCGACCCTGCAACATGTCTATTAGTGTGGTACTTATTCATCTCGTCAGATCTACATCACACGTTCAACACGTTCAATTTCCACTTCAAGTACTTATTGCTTAGCATGATTCCGGTCTGTCGAGCTGTTCAACATGCAGTAAGCGTCCCTTTTCCTGTCAGTAAAGCAGGTACGTCTGAGCCATCTCCCCGTCGGGCGGACTGCCGTTCAGACGCTTTGCAATGATCTTCAATCATCACGACGACCTTGCGCTCATAACTTTGATATTGGCTAAAACAACTTTGACAGCAGGCGCTGAGCAAGGGGATCATTCTTAATGTGCCTGCCTTACTTTCCTCCGATCTACCTTCGTAACGACTATGCATGTCTTTCACGTCATGCACGGCAATCACTAACATATGCAACCAGATAACACCAATCGGGATTGCCTCCACATAATGTGTTTAACGAGGCTTCGGAGCCAGTGGATCTCCGTCTGCGTAAGTAGAATCGTGCCTGGATCTTATATCGAGGTATGTCAAGGCAGGGGACGGTTCAACCTATCCCTCTCCTCTTAATTCTCATTCAACCGGGACAAACGGCCTGCACTGTAGTCGAAAGAGCCATGTCTGACAACAGCACTGACTTACAGGACGTTTACGATCTTAGTCCTGACGACATCAACTCCGTCGCATGGGGGATGTGAGTAGTTTTCGTTTCCATTCTAGAGTTCTTTATGAATGCGAGTTCGTCAGATGGCATGATTCGATTATCACCATGCCGTTCTTCAGTGAGCGGCTAGATGCTCTGGAAGTCGTTCAATTCAACATTAACCAGAATTCTTTCAGCTCTGATTTTGTATCATCATTTTACGACGATACCACAAGAGATCAACACTCTCTGGACGAGGAAAAGATCTTTGGCGTCACTGATATTCTTCGTCAACCGCTATGCTCTTTTACTTGTCGGTGCAGAATACATGGCTCAGATATTCCCCGTCTACGGAGATGTTCTGGTGGATCGGGTGAGCATGCACGTCTCACCATCGCTTAACACAGTACTTATGCTTATTCTCGTTTCAGAGGTTAGTGAGATCCTTTTCGTCCATGATATCGTCTATGCCAATACACTAGATCATGTGTAGGTGTGACATTACCTCTACTATTGGCGGAGTCGCTCTATGCATAGTCATGATCGCAGTTATTGGTATATTCGACTTCTACCTACTGTTACTTAGACTGACGTCCCAATGCTGCAGCATTTGATACACTTAGAGTGTTCGCAATTACACAAAGGAGCTATCTAGCCAGTGCATTTGTAGGAACTTTAGGCGTGACCTGGGTGGTTCTGTACTGGGTAAGTGTCCAACCTCGAAATAAATCCCTGAGGCTTCAGACGTCATATTGCTACAGGTCCTTCCTGATATTGAAGGTGTCACAATCACATTTTCGAATGCTGCATTCCTTGGCTGTCAAAATTACACTACAATTGCTACCAATTATGATGCTATTCTCAGGTGTAAGTCCTGTAACCTTCTTGACTCGTGTTACTTATCAACATCCATTTTCTTAGGGAACTATGGAAAGGATGCTGCTACTATTCTATTCGAAGCCACGGTTCTTGCATTCACTCTGCTGAAAACCTTCAGACTGAAAAAAGAAGCTTCTGCCATTGGTTTTCAAGTATCTTTAGCTTCTTTGCTAATCCAAGATGGTATGCTACAAACTATGCTTCTCAGCTCAGTGTCTTACACCTAGTTTGATTCAGGAGCTCTTCAGTTTGGGTTGGTATCCTAGTCATTGTAATTTGTTCTTTGATGCTCACATGTTCAATCTCTACAGAATAATTCTGCTTATCAGCATCCTAGACATTGTCCTTCTAGGAACCACTGTAATTCATTCTCCTACCAAAGATCTAGCCTCATACTGATACACAGATATAGGGCAACCCAGTGCCTATGATCATGTCAGTATCGCTCATATCGTCTCAAATCTGCACCTCTAACATACACCTCTTAGTCCAAAGTCTATCATCACCAGCAACATTTTCTTTCACCTCCGCCAGGTTTATCCAGAGAGCGAAGTTAGCCAGAGCACCAGTTCCTTCACAGTGTCCAATCTGCGCTTCGCTTCAAATATCATCGGAAACATGGGAGCTCCTCTTCATAACATCTTCACCGACAGTCACGAAGAGATAGAAGCCGAAGCCGACAACATTCAATTTGCTACCGACCCGCTGGCTACTTGTCTGGATACTATAGCGAAGTCTCAGCAAACCGGAAGATCACTCAGCTCGTATTCTACGGATATTGAACTCACTTCGTGTCTCCCGTGAGCCCGTTGAACTGGTAAATGCCACTTTCAGCTCACTTTGGACAGTTCTGAAACGTCGTGTTAGGTCGGAACGGCGCGAAGTCTGAGAGTCGGCGATGCATGCGTGCCTCGCCTTCGTAGAAGCATTTGGAGGAGACTGTAAGTGCTTGTATAGATCGGCTTAAAACCATGTCCGCTGATAGGAATAGGAATCCAGCATCTTGTACGTATCCTGCTTGACCCACGACAACAGCTCGAAGCTAAGCTAGAAGTTCCAGGCGCGAACGATAGATTGTAATCATAATTGTCGGGTTCTCAATCATATAATGAAAATACGAACAGTAAGGATTGAGGCAAAAGGGCATTGGATTGCGATACCAAGATACATACTATTCCGAATCCTACCTGCCCAGTTGAGAGAAATCAAGCCTGGCTGATATCTTTTGTACCAGGAGTAGGTACAACGGTAGGTACTGTGGTCGGCTGCAGAGCCGTGTTCCAAGTTGCGGTAGTGGGGTATGAAGTCGTAGCAACTGTCGGTGAAGTCGTTACATAAGGCGTTGGGCCCGGAACTGCAAAAGTTTCGTATAAACACTACACGAATGGCAAGGCAAGTGACGTACTTTGATAGGTGTCAAGTTGAGTGTAGATGTTGATGAGGATACCCTATCGAGAACAACACGGCGAGAATAAATGCATGTAGTGTGAAGAACAATGTATACGCACAGGGTCCTCTGCACTGTAAGCTCCGGGAATCTTAACTGTAGAAGGCGTCGCGGTCCCAGAACCTCCAATCTAATCGAGAAAAGTGCCATTAGACCATATTGTATGTGCAAAGGGCGCATCTCAACAAACGTTGACTTGGTAGCATGACATGTAGAACCTGAACTACATCAGCCTTGCATCGTGCGATAGCCAAAGCGTACTTACTGAGCTCCCCCAACGCTACTCGCGACGTGTAAAGCTTCAGACGAAAGACTGTGAATACAACGCACGTAACGTATTTGCGAAGTTAGGACATACCAATGACCTCCGCTCGAACAAGATAGTCTCCAGGTGCGATGTCAGAGGGAACAGTGAATGTGTAGTGACCACAATTGTCCTAGGGACGATCAGCGATGGATCCTTAGAGATGGTCAACGGCGAGAACGTACGTTCAACACCTCTGAATAATCGAACACGATTCATCAGATAAGCAGAAAGCTTTTAGCGCATGCGGAGAATACTCACCGGTACCCCAATAGTCAGGACTACTGCTAGGAAGCCCAATCTCCTGAACTTTAAACCAGTCAGCATCAGAGCCGACAGCGGTCGTTGCGTCCGAAACTTTTGCCATATATACCTAACAAAGAGAATCAGAGGTATTCTTGAGTATACCACTGGCAAATATGGAACTCACGTTGATAGGACCGTAGTGGTCACCGCCAATAGCTTCATTCGCGCAAGATCTGTCACCTGGCTGTTGATGCATTTCGACAGTGATTTCATCTCCCGCTGTACGTGGAATCGTCATTGTCAGTCGTTGTCAAATGCGGGTTATCCATTTGACAAGTGGATATGACTCACGATTGGCTGAACATATGCCGCTCGAGGGTGTAGCATTGACGTTACAAGCGATATCCTACGGCCAGAGGTAAACGTTGGGTAACCTGGCAACAATAACAACTAGCTCACCGGAGAGGTAACACCGGTCACGGGTGAGTTACTCAGCGGCAGTCGGACACAGGACGAGCCCTGGTCAACACCGTTGATCCAGAGCTCCTGGAAGGTAGCATGAGCAGATGTGAGAGCGATGAAACACGCAAAGGAGAGAAGCCCAAACATCATCACCAATGACGAAGGGAGAGACAAAGCACCTGTAGTACAAGTTGATGAAGTGGGATACTTTTTATACCCATATACTATACCGAGGTTTTGCGTACTTGCCTCTGCTCGAGAAAAAATCTAGGGCAGAAATAGATCCTGAAGGTCAAAAATAGCTCGAGGCGCAAAGCTAAAAATCCGAAAGGCTGCAATATGACATGTAAAGAAGCATTCAATATTTCCGTACTGAATCCCCTGGCGAAATGGGGTGGAGTAGGAAACTCCACATATCTGCACAAGTGACCATGAGAATCATAACCCTACTCACATGAAAACCCTACGACATACCATGAAAACCGTCAGGTATCGACTTGATCGCCATAGGTTCGATACCTGATATAGTACGTCGAAACTACAAATCGCAATAAGGACCTACTGAGGGCTCTCAGTGAGTATGGAATAACCAGGAGAACTAACTCTGAGGCAACAGAGTAAGAAAGCAGGCGGAGATTTGGGACCATGAATCGGTATAACCCATACCGCGAATTCGCCGACTGACCGATAATAGCTGGACTAACTTGATCATGATGACAAGCCTGCATGCCGACTACTGGGATCCGATGTTGAGAGTTGTCCGATATCAGTACCGCTTGGAGTCGCAGCTAACGGTTTTACATCAGGGAGGCTTACTCCGAACTATATCATTATGTTCATCAAGCCGACTCAAATTTCATCCCCCACTGCTGACGGAAGTCTCTCAACACAAAGTTTTCCAGAGGAATTCGTGTCCACTCCAGAATGAATGTCTGAGTGACTTTCGTCGAAGCATGCAATTGCATGTTCACGGAAATGAAAGCAGAGGTTAAGGCGGCATCCCTGAGCATTACTATACCTCCAATACGTCTGGTCTGGCAACACAGTTGTCAGATCCAACAGTCGTGCTTCCACCGAAGTATTTCCTGGTGAAACTACGAAAGTCGCTTCAAGAAGACGTCAAGGAAAGTATGTACTGCAATGGATCTCGAATTTACTCACATGAGATATTACCCATGCATCCAGTATTCCAAATTAACAAAGATTAAGCAATTCCAAAGGTATGCACATCCGAAATTAAAAATGTGAAATCAGTCCGTTTGGTATGAATGAGTGTCTAAAGCGTCCGCGATGTCGATGAGATATGAAGATCCGAAAAGACAAAAAAATCATAAAAAGTCGTGAATATGACCACAAACCCCGCAATTATATCGCCTCGCCCATCGAGACATTACTCTCGTTCCCAATTATTATTGAGTTCCTCGGATGCGGCGCTCTCTCCAACCAGTTCTTCCTTCCTCCGGGGGTACCAGGCGTCCCAATAGACTGCGTGGGTGATGGTGAACGAGGGTTCGTTACGAACAGGTTATGAGGTGTGACATCTACAGCCAGCGGTGATCGAAGGCCATCAACATCACCCGCATTGCCACGGAGCAACCCGTTACTACTGTCAGATGGCTGAGGCGAATGCCTAAGTGGTGGTGTGCGGAATGGATCAGAACCGTTGGACCCACTACGGAAATGATACGAAGGAGGTCTGGGATTGGCGTAAGAGGAGGGTGGAGCGTTTGCATTTGCATTTGCACCCATCACGTCATCCACGATGCGACCAAGGTTAACTTGGCTTGAAGTAGCTAGGATCGGGTCCACAAATCGACTTTGTTCACCCGGAGGCGGCCATACGTCTTCATGGAATATAGATCCGCTTTCTGAAGCCCGCATACCCATGAGCAATGGAGAGGTATTGCTGGTATTACTGGCAGAGAGGGGTATACTGTGTTGGGTGGTAGTATTCCTATGTCGACTGGCAGATGTTCTCTGAGACGGCGTCAGCGTTGGGTAATCGCGGTACTGCATCATAGGTGGATCGCTGTCGTCAAAGTCCTCTCCGGCAAGTAGCATTGAGCGAGATCGTGGGTGATGACCGAAGACACGAAGTTTGCGGTAGTTCTTGCGCTTGCAGAAGAGGACTAAAGACACTATGATAGCAACCAGGGCAATACCGCCAATCACACTTCCTGCGATTACGGCTCGCTTTTGAGGGTTAGCGGTACTCGGCGCACGGTTAATGGTCGTAGGAATCGCAGAAGTGACCTGCAGAAGGCCATGAATTATTGCCCCCAAAAGTACAAGAGAGTCAGTGACGCACCGTCTGCTCGATGCCATCAATGGTCGTCACAAATGTCGTAGTAATCGTAGTCTCCGCACTAAAGGATGAAGAAGAGCTGGAAGATGAAGTCGGGGGAGGGGTCGTCGATGGTGGTGCAGACGAACTCGTGCTACCAGGTATAACAGCCGAGGACGAGCTACTTTGTGAAGAGGGAGGCTGCTCAGTTGATGAGCTTGAGTCCGGCGTCGACGAAGAGGTGCTTGTAGGAATTGATGACGGTGACGAAGAAGGCGGTTCCGACGACGGTGGAACTGACGATGGCGGAGTAGAGCTCTCCTGGGACCTGATAGAAATGGGAAGGCTTGATCAGTACGTAGACTAGGAATGACATGAATAGCACGCGCACGTAGGAGAACTAAATGGTGAGGAGGAAGGTGGCTCGCTACTCGGAGGAAGCGAGCTCGGAGACGAAGATGGGTCAAGACTACTGGGATCCGATGATGGTAGGTCAGAACTTGGAGGTTGACTAGTACCAATGTCACTTGAAGCCGAAGTCGGAGGTGTTACTTCAGGAATGCTTATTCCCTGCCTCCGAGCTATGTCATTCTGTACACAGTCCATTCAACCGACGCATGTACAGTACATTGACGTTACGTACTTTCCACGTTCTCCTCGTAGGTGCTGGTGTAACGGCAGGATGTCGAGCTACATTCCTGTGCGCGTTGCCAGACATCGTGTTGTTGCAAGAGTGTTGCGTTTTCACGAAAGCGTTTAAAGATATTCAGGACCAAAATAAAGAAGACAGTAAAAGCATAAAGATTGAGCAGAAGGGTACTACTGATTAGAGACCAAAAGGATGCTGATTATTGACAGTTATGAGGAAAGTTGTCGTTGAGGAGACCCGTCGCCGTTGTGCGAAACAAAGCGGTGCACAGCCTCCTTAAAGGCATTCATAGTTAAGAAAAGCGCGTCGAGTAGGAACACAGATATATCATTCTTTCGGTGGACAGCTACGCTATACACTCAACGACGACAATAAATCAAGTGTAGTTGCGAGGGAAATTCCCAATAACGATATGTACTCAAATGGCATGAAAATGATCAGCGTCAACGATACTTCTCACCGTAATACCCAAATAGAGGTCATGAAATCATCATTCATTGCAAGCTGCAAAGAGTACATATAAGTATAATGTCAAAGTATGGAGAAAGGAAATACGGCCTGTAAACCGCTCTGAACCACAGTGGCAAAGATAGCCAGCAAGTGAGGCTGCAGAAAGTTACTTTTCGGGGTCACTTAGGACACTTACTGCCGTAGTAGTCTAACAGGGCTAACGTAGACGCGCTGTTATCAACGTAGATATTTCGTTCCTCGATCACTTGCTTCACTTCGCTCTCCTTCCACCTTTGCTCGACGTTCGTCGTATCGTGCTCGTTATTCGCCGTTGTATCCCCATCTCTGCTACATCTTCCCCCTCCTAGCTCTCTAACTCTCATCGACGCTCGTCAAGGCTGCACTCCCAGTAAGGTTCTCTTCGTCTACGTAGCATCCACATTCGTAACCAGACACCAAGTCTAATCCCTCCCTCGCTTGCTTTGGCCCGCGGCATCATACCGCTGCCAGTGTCCTCTGTGGTATGGTCACATAGGCCTCATAGTCATATGCTTAAAGTTGTATGCTCAATGCGGGCGATGCCTACCCGGTCGGTGCCCGTCTATACGAATCGGTATTCGAGGTCCACCGTTCGTTCGTCACCTGGTGGGTGCCTTCGGACCTGCCTGCTATCAGGTCTCGAGACTTCAAAGCTAAAATGGTCTCTTCGTTGTCCATTCATCCACCCATTTGTGTGTTTGACTGCCTACACCGTGATATGACCATGTTCATGTGCGCACACGTTTCTTATTTGAATCTTCACTACTGATAACACATTCTTATCATCGTTTGCCTAGTGGTTCGTAGCCTCTGCGACATGCACTTCACAGGTGATGGACACTAGGCGGGATATGTAATGTTCTGACTCTTAGTGGGATGGATTGACATATATGTTTGGTAGAGGTGTATGTTCCGTAGGAGATCATGGTCTTGGATGCAAGGGGGGAGCAATCTGGGTTCAGATGGTATATACATGGGTATGTATTCACCTCTTAGGAATCACTGATGTAACACGGCTGTTCTATATAAGCTGTATAGGTCTAGTAGGTTGCGAATGAATATGCCTGATGCATGCAGAGCTGTATACAAGCATAGGCGGAGGTCAAGTAAGTTCAAGTGAAGGATAAGTGAGCCCAAGTGAATGTAAGCGAGTTTAGTATGGGCAAGTGAGACTTAAGTGAGCAAGTTCACTTAACGTGAACTTGCTCACTTAGATGCCTAAACGGCTCACTTATGCACTGCGACGCTCACTTGGCTCTAACTTATGTTTGCTTAGATCCTCGGATCGCCGCTTCTGCATCACTGACGGCCTATTGAATATGCGCTAACGTACTATGGTAACTAAACTGACTGCAGTCTACTTTATTCTACCTTTTACTACAATCCCTTCACTTCCGACTAACTCCCAGTTGTTGGATGCGCGAGCTCCGACGCAGTTGGTTTGCAGTTGACTCGGCATCATTGTTCACTGCTACAGGCTTCGAGTCTGCTTTGCGTTGAGTCTCTTTGGCTTTGCTCGGAGCTTGAACCCCTTTCTGCGCCGCAGTTGGCTTTCGAGTTGGAGCTTTTGGCTTAACTGTCCGCCTGCTGGTAAGTTGATCCTGACTCTTCGCAACCGTCTGTTTCCTGATTCTGCTTGTCATGCCAGCTATTCGTGATTGCGACCAAACATACTCAGCTTTGTCTTCATCTAGAGTTTCGACATATGCCAGAGTGCCATGGGTCCACCGTAACTCGAGGTCATTAGAGATTTTGCACACTGTCACCAGCGGTACAATGTCGGTAATATCATCTTCGCTTTCTGAGATGCCTTCCATCGCGGCGAGGACATACTCGGGAATTGTTGGGTGTCGTCGAATCCGATACTGTTGCTTGTAAACCAGCTCGCCACTCTCCTCGTCAACTCCCTTCTCACCAATGACTATTCTGCAGATCTCTGCGTCATCTTCAGGCTTCCGCTCCAGGTATTCCCTTGTGATCACCAGGTGAAAGAGTAGCTTAGCAGGGCCGAAGACAAGTGTGTCTGGTTCCATGGCTTGCACCTTTGACCTTGTAAGCTGCAAGAGCAACCTCTCAAGAAAAGGATCAACAAGACAACTGTCTCCAGGAAGAACTGGTAGTCTGTACTTCTGCCCAAAATCTGAGACAAATTCCACCTTGTTTCCTCCCTTCCTCTTTCCAATACTACTCATAAACAGCTCCATCACTGGATGGGAGAAGACTGGAGATGTTATGATTTCAACAATAGAGTCATAGGCATCTTCCAGAGCTTGTGTGAGTGCAGTATTTTTGTAACCATGGCGGATAGTAGCCTCATCACAGAGTTGAGCAGGCCATTTAATATGTGCACATTTCTAGGAGGGTATGGTTACTTGGTTTATGCATATAAGTAAACTAATCACCTACCTGTCCTACAGGACCAAGGAGTGCCTGACGAGCCAGTATTCCTGCACACTTGTGAATTGGAATTTGGGAGGTAGTCTTTGTGGGTCTTTCTCCCTGAAGGTACAAGTTTCCATAGTACCAATCAAGAATTGCATACTGGCCATCTTGCTGTACAATTCTTGCAGGATAAACATGACTGCCATTAGATTTGGTTTTAAAGGCCCCAAATTTTCCAATGCTATATGAACAGTCAAATATATAGGCATAGATATTGTAAATAGAAAAAAAAACTCACAGCATGTCATGCCACATTGGTGAACCTTTACAAATAGGACAAGTCCACATTGCTCTTTGATCATTCCAGTTATCAGGAAGCTTAAAGTGCTCTTTGATGCATGTGATATGAAACCAGTGCTGGCAAATATCACAGTGCATGACCTCAGATTTTTCTTTGCCATCATGAAGACAGCCTGGTATACACTCCACAATAGATTTAGAGCTGTCTCTGGAGCTTGAATTCCAAGACTTGCAACTCTTGTCACTTGCATGATCTAAATCTATAAGCTGATCAGATATATCTTCACCTCCTTCAAGTGAAGTATGTTTCTCAGTAGCATTCTCCTCAGCAGTCTTGAAGTCAAGTAATGACTGGGATGTATGTTCAGAGCCTTTCTCAAGTGAACTGATATATCTCTCAATCCACTAAATTCAAGATAAGTATAGGGTATATAATATAGTAATATAACACTTACTGAATGCTCTGTAATGCGATGGTATATCAAGAGACAAGCCATATGGGATGGCTCCTCTATAAGAGAGATAGGACCAATATCCTGCAAGACTCCATTGTTTGACATACTGTCATAGGAGAAAGTCCTATCTCCAATAACAAATTGAGCTGTATAGTGATTGCTTGAGGGACCATTTCATCTGTGAAATAGCAGACGTCCAACTAGTCAATAAGTGACTTGAGCTTCTTCTGTTGCACCAGTGTTTTGAGATAAAATATTGAACTGAACAATAGCCTGAACTGATGTCTTTGCTGAAAACTTGGACTTGGTCATGCCTGCTGTCTCTGGAACCAGATGAAGAGTCTGAGGCCATAAGGTGCGAATAGAATGAATAGAGGTCTGAGATGAACATTCTGGCTTGCCACATTGAAGATTGAATAGAGTTCGAAGATCTTCTCCATCATGTTGTCGACCTAAGCTTGTTGACTGTCGTGGAACAAATCAGTCAAAGTAGTGCTCCAAGGTTGGCTGCTCTATGTTTGCATTCTTTATTGCCAGAAGAGTGTCATCATTTCGCAAGCGCAAAACAGTGACTGGTGGTGTGGAAAGAGTGCTTTGATGACCATGAGGACACTTGTGAATGACTAGATGCTGCATTGCAAAATAGCTCTGCAAAATGCCCATATTATCCTACATATAGTAGTATTTAATTTAGCACTTGCATACTATATAAGAAGAAATATCATACCTTTGTATCCAAATCTTTTAAAGTATGAGTCATCCACTCAACTGTATCACCAGGAGAATTCTCTGGATAGAGCTTCCAAATAGAGTAGATAGAGTTTCTTGCAAATGCTTGTGTACCACTCAAGATTCTTAATCCATCTGCCTCTTCTGATCCCTTGCTGCGCAATTTTTGAATCCAGAGAAGTCGCTGATGAAAGTCATTGAAGATGCGGCTGATTAATGGTGAAGTAGGCAAGGCATCAAGCAAGGCCTCCTGAGTGGTATTGGACCAGTGAATGAATGATCGAAACCAGACTTCTAAACCAACATCAATGAAGCAAGAGTTTTGATACCACTGATATCCTTGCATACTGCGTGATTGTAGGGATGGAGGAAAGATACCATTGAAAATTGCAAGTGAAGGCAAGACAGCTGGTGTAGGTGTGAAGATCTGCTCTTCTTTGTGAAGAGCTTCAGCAGTATCAGGTGCACGACCATCATTGAGAGCAAACTCTTTTCTAGGCAGGTTGGTGGTGTGTGAACGAGGTGCTTGAGATAGAAAATGTCCTTCTATTTTAAGAAACAATGAGTCTCATTTATTGATACAAGCAAAAAGAGTCTGTGCAAACCTTTAATTGCCCTATGGTGATTTTCACGCTCCTGCATATGAAGGAATATATTTTGAATGCCTGGAATGAGATCTTGATCCTTTCCTGAAGCATGGTGAAGAAGAGAATGCTGTGTCTCAATAGGATTAGAGGTATGGGGAACCTCTGAGGCCACAGTAGAGTTCATTGTTCGCTTGGCAGGAAATATCATTCCCATAACTGTGGGACGCATCCACCAATCCATCCAGGTCTTGATGCAAGGAAATGTTGCACGAAAGGTCACAACAAGCTCATTGAAGACCTCCTCTGTTGTCTCCACAGAGACCATACAACGTCGCAGGTTATCAAACTGGTCGCGAGCTGAAGGTGGTACCAGATCTGGATTTTGCCGAAGTCGTGTGCCTGACCGCCAAAAATGAGTCTCACAGCCCACTTCATAGTCTAAAGCTTCCTTGAGAAGGGCCTTATGCTCTGCCTTCTGTGCTTCTGGTGTGAGAAGATACCAGCCTGGAATCATGCTTGAAACTGTGATAGCAAATTCATCTGCATGTGCTCCTCGCTGTGATCCAGAGAAGTCAAAAACCTAGTTATACAAGTCCTATCAGCATTAAGACACATATGCAGAATCATATTCACTTACATTGAGCAGAAACTTCTTGTCAAACCTAGGTCCCGCTGCTTTGACAATTCCATGATTGAGATGTCGAAAGTGAGGCCGATGATGGTCCATGTCCATACCACTGATCCATGAATAGAGTACTGGGATCCACGCATTTGATGTAGAACTGAAAGCACATGTTGCAAGCAGTGTACCTTGACGAAAGAATGAGTGATCGCCATCTGTGACAAAGCCATGTCGCCCAGCATCAGCTCCTGCAGTTGAGTTGATGATCCAATCCTCGACAGACTCTTTTATAACCTCCCTCATCCACGGTGTTTGAAGAACAAAGTATGTCGGCCCACTGAAGCTAGACTCGACGATAAACTTGTAGTCAGACGTGAGCTTCTGATTAAGGTCGGCGAGTGATCCCAACAGTGCAAGTCCTCCCTTTGCCGATGATGGGTTGATACCTTGACGTGCTTGACTCTTCTGGACTTGATATCGTGCCGCCCGAGGATTAGCCAATCCAAGTGATATTTGGTGAAGCGGAACTGAGCGGGGAGCAATGGTTCCAGTACGCAGTGCATGGGTTGACGCCATAGGATTGCACGCAACTTGATTGTCAAGTGCAGCCTCTTCTTCCACCGAGAGTGCACCACCAGGTGGACGAGGATGATTGTGAGATCCGTCATGCTCCCAGACTTTGATTCGTACACCATCCTCATTTGTCCGTATGAAGAGCCATGTCTGCGCTGTACACTTTATCCACACCAGCGACATTCTATTACACCCATCTCCTGACCCGGGACATCCCTTTGCAAGCTGGACCTTGCGAGCATTGACATCAGTCTTCGGGCGTTGGCAGCGACCACATGCATTGCATTGAACAACACCAAGGCAGACTCGCTTCTCGGCGTTGTATCCGTTATGTTTACACATGCCACCGGAGCGCCAGACCCACTTTGTGAACCTCCACTTCGTATCTCCAGCATCTAGCGATGCGGGCTGCTCACGTTGTATGAAACCAAGCGGCCAGTCTAGAGTTCACATCAGTGGGAGTAGGTGGTGCTGATCCGATGACATCCACATACCAAATGTGTCGTTCTCATTAGGCTGACCTTCAGCCGCCTGTGAGACCTCTTGATTGAGACCCACAGCTTGCTTCGTCTCATTTGCGAGAGGATCACCCTTGACTATGCTTGTATTAGTTATATGAGGTGCTGCGCCAGGTTGAGTGGAAGGCCATGGAGGTGGATACATTCCGGAATGCAGCCAAGGGTTTGGAACTCCAGGTGCGAATGCGAAGGGAGGATAAGACGGGTAACCAGGTGGTAGAAGAAACGCATTTGCGATGCCGGGATATGTAACAGCAGAGGGATAGAATGGAAAACCAGGATTGTGGATGGAACCAGCGGCGGCCGTGGGTACGACACCGGCATTCGTTGCCATAGGTAGACCTGCAGCATTTACCATGGGTAGGGCTGCGGTGTTTGCCATCTGGCTGGAAAGGCCTGGGGCAGCAGATTCCTGAGGTTCTAGTGTGGGATGAAAAAGCTTAGTCTCACGGCGGTGAATGAAACAAAGCTGATAACGCACCTGTTTTGACACCGGGAATCATGGGTGGTATAGCATAGGGATTATACCCCATATGCCATGCCATCGGCATATTAGGGCCAATGGTGTTGCTCACAGCTGGGTGAATCGCTCCCGCTGGATTTTGCACCTGAATCACGCCAGGCGATGCACCCTGAGGCGCAGTAGTAGCATCCTGACCTGAGGGAGCTGTTGGAGAAGAAGGTCCAAGACCTATCAGGTTGAGGGCACGGCGAACTAAAAACATTGCCTCGACGTTAACGTTGAACGAGCGTCGGGCGAAAAAGTCTGCTATGATGGATCACGTTCACCGATCACTTCGATCACTGAACGATCAACGACGAGCGTGCGGGGCGGCGAGTAGGTTCGTATTGAGATTCATACTCAACGGCTATATTGTACAGGGTAATTCTACATCACTAGATGATATCAGCATCGTTGCAAGGCATTCTGTGACTGCAAACTGGCACATACCATGTATTAGGAACCCTTAGTGTGCTCTCAGGCCCTACATTCGGCACCTCATCCTCTGAACTTCTTTGAGCCCACTATGCACATGTTTCGGCACACACACTAACTCACGCACTAACTCAACAGACATATTTCGGGGAATAATCTGAACTCCAAGCGACGAACCAGTGCATGAACGAGGCAGTGGTGCACGGAACGATGGGGCGACCATGCAAGAGTGTGTATTAGAACCTTAAACAGGATCAAAAGGTGGTAGCAAGTGGAGAAAGTCGCCGACAGTGAAAAAGTGAAGCAAAGTGTAGCGCAAATGAGACGCAAGTGACGCGGCTTTTAGGTCTGACGCTGGATCGCGGCTGTGTGTGAACAGGTCAAGATGGAAGGGCACGTGTGGCTTCGTCGGCCACCTACCTACAGTAGAAGGCACACGTCGGAGGGCGCGGGTGGAACGTCCGCCACGTTATTCCCAACCCAAGTGAGAGAACGTGAATCCAAGTGAATCCCAAGTTCACTTGCGACAATCTCACTTACAGCGCCAAAAGTTAACTTAAGCTAACTTAAGTAACTTTTGTAAGGGGTAAGTGACTCACTTAAGTGAGATTGTTAACCGTCCCAGCAAGTAACCGAGATGCCAGAATCCAGAATCCACAGCACGGTAGTGACGCAGCACTGAACAAGAGAAACGAGGATACAACATAAGTAATCTATCGCGCAAAGAAGAGAAGAAGGAAAGACGTATGGCTTTTACTGAGAACCACTTCCACTTGCGCCACCACTCGTGGTCCCTTTCCGCGTCCTTACAACTTTGTTTCGCAGAGCCCTCTCCTTGAGCTCACTTTCGCGCTTCTCCAGGTCCGTTTGATCTGGCAGCGACTAGTGGGTGTACAATAGTCAGTAAGCAATTAAGAAGGGGCGCAACAAGTGAAAGGGCACCTCTTCCTGTGGTTCATCCCACTTACTTCGCTTGCGTTCGACTTCCGCCTGCCCTTTAATCTTCAACTCCTCACCACCAGCTCTGCCCTTTCCCTTCTCAGCATCAACTTCCGTTCTTTCAACTTTTTCCCTCTCCTTACCCTTTCCAACGCCGGCTGAAGGTTCCGAATCCAAAGTGCGACTTGAGCTTCTAGACCGAGATCTCGCTCTTGTTAGTCGGTCCCTGTCGCGATCACCACGTCTCCTAGGCGGAGACCGACTTCGACTCCTACTCGGGCTTCGTCGCCGTCTTCTCGGTGGTGGAGGTGGACTCCTGCTTCGACTCGGGCTGCGTCTCCTACCATATCCACCTCCTCTGTAAGGAGGTGGAGACCGCGAAGGGGGCGAGAGTCGCCTCCTGCGAGGTGGGGGACTCCTGCTAGCTCTGTCACGGCCTCGTCTATCACGTGGAGAGAAAGTAGGCGATCGGGGTCGTCTTCGAGAAGGCGGAGGTGTACGTGACCTAGAACGGGATGGCGACCGCCTGGCTGCACGAGGGGGAGGTGAACGAGAAACACGTTGACGGAGAGGTGGTGTGCGCGAGGGAGATCGTTTGACAGGTGGGCCTCCGGGAGATGGTGAACGGAACCGACGACGAGGTGATCGTGAACGGGATGGTGAACGAGACGATCGGGTGCTGAAACCTGGAGAGATAGAACGGCGACGTGGGGGTGGGGAACGCTCGACACCGGGACGACGATTAGGACGCTGCAAGGTCATGACGTTAACGCGACAAGAAACAAGGTAGTAGACTGATACTCACCCCGCCTCGACTACCCCATCCAGAATCCCTCCGTCTATCGCCTCTATCCTCGTCATATCCACCTCCGCCTCCCCCATATCCACCTCTTCCTCTACCTCTCCCTCGTCCTCCGCCCCTACCCCGCCTACCATCCCTCTCACTGGCTCTGATTTCATCCAACCTCTGTCGTCGATCTCGCTCCTCCAACGCACGTGTATCACTCGCGCGTGCCTGTCGCATTTCAGCTTTCTTCTCTTCGACGAATGTCTGGGGTACACCTGCTGGATTTTCTTGCGCTTCAATAAGAAGTTTCCATAGTGCTGACATGAAAGCTGCTGTGTTGTTAGTCAAGAAGCCTGTTAGGTTAATTTGCATCTTGCGTGGGTCGGGAGTCTACGCATCCACGTAAGTACACCGCTTCGCAAGCACAGGGATACAACGGCACGAAACGCACAGGCTCTTGGTTATCTTCTAGTAGACCCATCGCATACTCCACGACTACCTCATCCTCGAAACCTACAAGCTCGATGACTTTCTTGACGACCCATGGTCGAATAACCTCTAGATTGACCTTCCGCATGTCTACCTAAACGACAGGCAAATATTCCAGGATCACCCTAAACTTTCAGAATATATCTCTCACGTACCTTTTTATCAAATTCTGGCGGAAATTTCATCGATTTCAGTAACTTCAGCTCCTTGTCAGAAAAGCGACGATCCTGGTCGGCCGAGGTTCCTTTGAAGAAACCTATGATACCTTGGTGAATTACCTTCATATAATAAGTAGTTGAGCACACTTACCAGCATCTGCCATGATTTTAGGATGTTTAAGAACGCTAAAGAGTGAAGTTGAGCAACCAAGTCTGTACAGGTTCGAAACAAGGTGGAAGAAATAATAAGCGCTGTATATCGTTCGTTGCTTATATGTTTAGCGCCTGCACTGGAAGCATTTCGTAGAAGTTCATTCTTGCTTTCACTGACCGTCTTTGCCCTCAATCTATCAGAATCATATATACTTAGGGAAGTGGGCAATGAATATCTGTTACTTAACATGATATCTTCTGCACGTTTTGGTCTTGGCGGATGTCAAATGTACTTTTGACAACCTGCCTCTCAGTCTAGGATATCCTGAGGTACGAAGGTTGAACCTCTGTTTACACTGCCTGTGGAAGACTATCTCAGTCTCTCTCGGTCTTTAACTCGGGAACTCGATCTTTTCTTTCACATACAGCGGAAGTCGGTACAACAATCGGTTCGTACTGTTTGGAAATACAGCACTCATATCTTGGTCTAATTTACAAGTTTTAAGCATTCACATTGTCTGAGAATCTGCGTTGGAGTGCATCCCAACTGACCTTCCTGGGGAATATGGCCGCCAAAGCGATTCGACACCGGGCTAACAAGTATCCTATAGTACAGCCATCTCACTAACTTAGCAGTCAACACCCACGAACTGGTGCAAAATTTCTCCGCGTATTATCGTCGGACGCGGTACGTGACAGCTAATAGCATATTTGGTCTTCAGATACAGATGATGATCTTATTCGTTTCATCGAAACTGAGTGTCGTATGTGTATGTTATGTATGCAAGACAGGAGGAGAAGGCTATCTATTCAAATTCGTCTCTCCGCCTGTTTAACCGGTAAATGTAAGTAGGACCAAATGATAAACTGCATGTAGAATGATATTTCGTACAAGACTCCCGTAATCTAAGAATGTCAGATGAAAAAATCCTAGGGAATAAACTCTCCACATGCTAGATCAGAACAATACCGCAAATACACATCAATCTGGACCTGAGAGCACACCCTTTGACAAAATGCCAGCAAGAGGATGTGCTTTCGGGTTCGCCAAATACATCCTGAACATCCTAGCGCTTTCGCTTTCTGGACCGGAAGTGCATACTGATACATCGTAAGCTTTGCGAATCCATTGCTTTGCATTGACGAAGTCCGATACCTAGGTACCTTTCGTTGAGCCAGGGATCCCGAAAGAAAAATAAAGGAAGGCAATTTGATGCCCTAAACTTACCATGGCGCAGAACTGGAAAGCATCGTAGCAGAAAGAGGCCTCGTAATGTACGAGATGTTCATCTTTTAGGAGACGCAGGGCTTTCTTGATCTGTGTAAATCATGGTAAGTCTCGAATGGATTGGGCGCGGAATAATGAATCTCGATACCTTCCGCAATCCCAAGGTCGGCTCCTTCCCACAACTGCCGACTTCATCATATAGCCTAGCAATGGTAGCCCTCCTCTCATCACTCTGAGCCAACGTTTCCTCTATGCTTTCACCCATAACATTACATGCTTCACAAAGACATACGAAACCCCTCTCCGTTGATAGCTCTTCGATTCTATCCGCCCTTGTTCCCAGGATGTCACCATAATTAAAACATAGCTCCTCTCCATCTTCAATGTCCCACAAGGTACGAAACATCATGACCCTTTTTGATGCATCCCAATACCTTGAGACATTGGGCGTACAAGAGGAATTAAAGTACGACGCGAAGAGGAAGATTCCTCCCCTCTCTCCGCTTTCGTCTTCACCGGAGCCACTATTCGCGTCACGATATGGGATGTAGTTGGATAGGAAAATCCCTTGTGCAGGTAGTATTTCTTTCTTCTCCTTGAAAGAGTTTGCAAGTGTGAAATACTGTTGTTGTTGCTCTCTCGAGCATTGTGACAATGCGATCATGATGCTCGAATTGTTTGGAGGAGGAGACAGTGGGAACGAGAATAGCGGAGGCTCGGTGAAGAGCAGCTCTCCGCGCTTGAGCGACCGACTAGCGACGAGGCCTCGTCCTTTGTGAGGGATAACATCGCATATGTAACAGGTTTCCTCTATCGTCTCCTCGATGTCCGAGATAGACCGTGAATGTTCATGCGTCGAGTCAGAACGTATAGATTCGGAGGAAGTTCGAGATGCAACCGGACTGAGTTCTGGGGAATGCGATGTTGATGTCATAACAGAGAGGCCACCACGGTTGTAGAGATGGTTGTTGGCTGTAGTCGTGGCCGTTGTGGGTAAAGGGCAGTGAGCATGAGGAAGTTCCGACGGAATGCGAATAGTAGAATGACATGCGGGAATTCGAAGTTCATTAGAGGAATGGCAAGGCCAAGGTACATACACGCGTGTAAGAAAGGCGCGCGGGTTTAATTTTGACATCGGGAGTTACAGTTCAGAGTATGGCATGCTAAGATAGGCAGGAACGGCATACTCGGATGATACCGTTAGGGTCCCTGAAGGGTAAACAATCTGTACAAAGACACCTCGTTCGACATAGAGACTTACAGCTTGAACTGTTGACGCAGTATAGACATTCTCGTGCTTCAAGGGCAACGTACGAGCAAGCGCATAAGTCGTGGAAACCCAACGTAACGCATGAATGGAAAATGAAGTTCTTCGCGGAACCTCTATGCCGATGTGAAAGGCGTCAGTGCGACGAACTTTGGGAGTACTGAATACCACGAAGTTTCCTGGGATCACGTACGTTCCTCGGATCCGAGCAGAAACCGTGGATTCGAGCGATAGGAGATTGTCTTACTAGACTGTATGATCAACTAAATATTTGGCTAGGATGATGAGCAAGAGGTTGGCCAAACGGGTCAGGAGAAATACATACCTAAAAACTCGATATGAAATGAAGTCCTGATGAAAAGCTTCGCTCGTGAAGGTCAGGGTAGCATGCATTTCCCCAAACAATGGACCGATAGTACTGTATCAGTTGTCAGGATCCTATCAACTTTGTGACCGGAAATTTCTGACGATTAGATCCAACGAGTAGATGATTTGGCAGGCCTCAGGCTATGCCACGATGAGAGTGAGAGCTTGAAGAGTATGTCGAGGGTCCGGATAGGCAATTGCCGACGGAAAAATACCTCAAAAGGATATGGCTGAATCCAACCTTTTAAAATCCCGAAATCTGCAATGTGGAAATCGACTTACACCTGGCCAAGTTCTGTAGTCTCCATTACAGATCTTGAAGACAACCGTCCCTTCACGACCAATCGGCTCTATCTCGACTGTCTCTTGATCTTCATGCCTAAGAACCATCAGCCTACGCTGTACTCGAAGATTCGTTGCCTAGTGGTGTGTATCTGACGGAACTGTTTTTTCATGCAGCCCAATACAGCGGACTCGCAACAAAACGATCCTGATTCAATTCTTCAGCCCAGATATTCTTGTGTGCATGACTCTTGCGGTCCGAATTTCCCTGTTCAACGTGTGGCAAAGGCCGCAAACGTGTTCTTTTAAGCTTCATTTAAAAGGGTCCTTGAGTTACTCTTGAGACCTCTTCTGGGGGCAAACATCCTTGTTACGACAAATCCCTATACAAGCATGGTGTCGTAAGTACAAGGCGACGGAGGGGAGAAACGTCGCCACGACTTCCAGAACGTGATCACCAAAACAGGCAAGTCCGGAAAAGTCGGAGTCGGAGAGCCGTTATGAATCTTATGATGAGGGGAATGTGGGGAAAGGGACCAAGCTCCTGATGCATATCCATGCTGTCCTGATCAACTCTAGACATTTCGCTGCAGGTCTCGCTACATGAACGCGAATTACTGCGTAAAGACACTGACAAGAAGAAGAGTAGGAAAGTTTCAGGAATTTCAGCGTAGGGGGTCCATAGGAGTCGTTGGCCGGGATATTCAAAGGTGGCTTGCAGGGAAATTACATTGGTGCTGTTGACAATTGGACAGACTGTCGGTTGATACCGGCGATGTGCATTTTCTGGGCAGAAGCGCAATTACGCCATTCTCAGGAAACGTGATTCATTCAAGCGACCGAATCTTCGAATCTTATGTGTGGGTCACATAAAGGGTCTAGTACTAGTGCAGGCTCACCTCCTCATTTCCCACCAACTCCCCTATCCTGCTACGAACGGGTCTTAGTTTCCCCTCCCAATCCCCTCCCCCACAATATTGTACCATGCCACACAATCCGAACAAAGTCACTGAACGCTTGTTCCAGTCTCCTTCCAAGTACATCCAAGGCCCGTCTGCATTTCACAATGCAGCGAAATACCTCGAACCGTTGGGTAAAGCACCCCTGTTGACGTGTGACGCCATTGTGTATAAGATTGGTACGCATTGTTTCAAGTCTTACCGAACTACGAAACGCTGACCTCGATCGATCTCCGAGAAAGCTGGAAAGCAATTGATCGACTCGCTCCAAGCAGCTAACCTCAAAGTCACCTACGCCGAATTTGGTGGCGAAATTACCACCCCAGAAATTAGTCGTCTCCAAAAAATAGCCCAAGACAACACCTCTGACTTTATCATCGGTGTTGGCGGAGGGAAGACTCTCGATTGCGTGAAAGCCATCGCAGCTGCCCTCCAAGTCCCTGTGGCTAGTTTACCAACAATCGCGGCTACAGACGCACCATGCTCAGCTGTCTCGGTGGTATATACACCCGAAGGTCACTTCGATCACTACAAATTCCTGAAAAATCCAGATATCGTACTTTTGGATACTTCTGTGATCGCACAAGCTCCTGCTAGGTTCCTTGCTGCTGGTATGGGTGACGCTATCGCAACACACGTTGAAGCGAAGACGTGTAGGCAGAGTGTTAATCCTGGTGGTGGTTTACCTGCGGAACTCTCGACCGCTATTGGTGAAAAGTGCGAGGAGACCCTATTCAAATATGGCAAGCTTGCGTATGAGGCAAATAAGTTGAAAGCCGTCACACCTGCATTCGAAGCTGTCGTTGAGGCTAACACATTACTGAGCGGATTGGGCTTTGAGTCTGGAGGTGTTGCTGCTGCACATAGCGTAGGTTATTGAACCATTCACGGAAATAGTTGGCTAACATTATCCTTTCTTACAGATTCATAACGGATTTACGGCGATTGAGGCTTTGCATGCTCTTCTCCACGGCGAGAAAGGTGCAGCACTCGTGTCTCCTATAAATACTACAACTAACATGTCACGTCGCTAGTCGCCTTTGGTACAATCGCCCAACTCGTCTTGACCAATAGTCCCACTGCCGAGCTTGACAGATACATTTCATTCATGCTCTCTGTCGATCTGCCCGTTACTTTCGAACAAATGGGTATCCCTAATGTTACCAACGACGAATTGCGTCTTGTAGCCAAATTTGCGACAGCACCAGGAGAAACAATCTGGTCGATGGATATAAGCGATAAAGTGAATGAAGAAGCTGTGTTCTGGGCTATCAAAGGTGCGGATGCTGCGGGGAGGGAGTTCATCCGGAGGACCGGGTGGACAAAGGCAAGGGTGTAGAAGATACACTTTTCGACTCAGCCTTCGCAGGGTTGATTCTTTGATGATTCCTTGTTCCTCGTTGGACTTGTATACATCAGCAAAACTACATGCAAACTTGGGAGAATTTGGAAGGCCTTGACAATTAAATGGAAGCTGCAGATTAACGTCGCGGGAACGAAAGGGACTCGCTCGAAAGCACTATGGTAATGACCTTACACCTTGGCAATTTCAGTACTTTCGGTGAAGGACTAGTGACTGCATCCTGTGCATTCGATTCTAATTCGATGCATCGTCTCATCCTAAAAATACACGACGTTTCTGTATGTCCCGTTAGATCTGGGCCAGCCTGAGGTTCCGCTACACGAACTTTCTACCAAGGGATAACCGAGCCATCGTAATTCACAAACGGAACAGCATCCTGTTTCTTCGCCTCCTGGATCACTTTGATCACACCCTTTGCACTCTCCTGAGTACTGATAGGTTTCAAACCAGGAACACGTTCCTGAATCCAAGCGTCGATATTATTCCCTAACTCAGTGTCGACCCATCCCGGGTGAATGAGGATGGAGATAATACCTTCGTCTTTGGTGACGGCACCCCACTTGCGAGCGAGCCTAAATGAGAAAACAAGTTAGGCAATATAACGGCAAAGACATGATGAGTTTTACACACATGTTGAGCGCGGCTTTCCCGACGCCATAAGCGTTAGCGAGGTTGGGCCGTGCGTCAGCAATTTCAATGGAACCGAGCTCGGAGGTGACGAAGAGCACCTTCTTCTCTGCGCTCTTCAAGACGAGGGGCTTAAAAGCGCGGAGGATGTGGATGATGGGGACAGTGTTGAACAACAGCTCTTTTTCGAATAGCTCAATATCCCTGTCGGTCGTATTTAGTGTTTATTTCACCCAATCATTGTGTCAAAAAAAACAGCTTACAGCTCGTCAAAAGTGCTGGTCGCACTGTTCTGATAAGAGACACCGGCATTGTTGATTAAGTAGTCCAGCCCACTCGGTAGGAGCTTCTGAGCCTCAGCAGCTGCAGCAGTGATCTGCCCGGGAACGCTTGTGTCGAGAGTGACCAAGGTCAGGCGATCTGAATGATACTGAGAGGCAAGTTCTGAAAGGCCTTTAGACCCGCCTGGATTGCGAGCAGAGGCAATGACAAAGTTCTGAGGGTCTTTGAGCTGTGAAAAATTGTGAACGTAACCGTTTCAGTAGAAGGTCAGAATGAGGGAGGAAGTACTCACGAGTTCGGTGACGATGGCAAGACCAATGCCTCTACTGGTACCAGTGATGAAATATGAAGGCATGATCTAGAAAAGGCTCTGGATGCGTGATTTACGGTGAGACTGTTGGTGGTGTCTGGATAGTTCACCTTCAACTGCCAGTTTTATACTACGGCAAAGACAACCTCCGATATCAGTGCGTTCGTTTCCCAACTTACATGTCATCGATGTTGATGATTAGTACGCGCACAGACAAGCTTACTGATCCATCAGAGGCGTGAGAGCACATTTCGAGTCGCCGGAGAGGGCATAAAGCAAGCTTCTCTATTCCTGGATGGCCTTTTTGGGCCTACCGTATTTCCAACGGCGCTACGAGGTCCATGCCCGTCGGAGATGACTTTGCAGCTCTGGTCCTTCTGAGATCTCACAGAATATACATGCCTGTTTCCCACCAATTGCAAGTGGTCTGCAGATTTGAATTGTGCCGACGGTCATTAGCATTACTAACGTTGATGACCATCGCTGTACTTAAATACTTAGCGGCGTAGTGAGAAACGAAACATAAATTGGTGGAGAGCGTCTGAATGGTAATGCAGAACTCACAGATCTTTGGCAGACTGATATCCCGGGGAGCGGCCTGTTAGCTAGACCAAACTATTCTGGGAAGGAGACTGGAACGTCTTGGGAATGTCTGAGAAACCCCCGCTTCAACTTCAAATGAATTGCGAGCGACGAAATCCGAAGCTGAGTTCATGCTGCTGATTTTAGTTGTCCTCTAAGATGTATACAATAAGATATGCCTGTAAATTTGACAAGACCGTGTAAGCATACTACCAAGCTACGATTGAAGTCGACAGTCAGAAAGAAAGTGAAAATACTTACGATGAGTGACCCGCCATACATCTAAGACCCTTTCGCTGAGAGTCAATTGGATGTCGACGTCTGTTGTAAGGACTGCAACAATTACTTCGATGGAGTTCCACTGAAATCACTCTGTAGCATGAGTACATTCAGATTCATAATATCGTAGCGTTTGACATGACTAGAAATACAGTAGGATCAATGCTCTTACACTCATAAAACAAGATCGAACTGGTATCCCCAGATCATGAAAAGACAACCGTCCGTCTTGACCCTGACGAGTCAGCGCGATCAACTTGCAAACTTGATTGGTTATGGTCGTCCTGTGAGTCACCACCCAGTTGTGTGGCCGGGCTATCCGTACGATATTCAACGTCGAACGGCGATGGTGTACGTGCTGGAGTGTTCGTCGGGTTCGTAGGACCGCGACTGGGATAAGGTTCGTCTATCGACGGCGCATCTGGTGCGGTCCATATCCTAACGGCACCATCATGACTACCGGTAGCAAACATGAACGAATCATGGGCGTGGTTCCAAGCGATACATGTAAGGTCTCCCCCAAGGGTTTGCGCACGAATGTGGTGCAAAAGAGCACCAGATTCTCTATCCCAGATGTGAATATCACCAGCTGGCCGAAGTGTTCAGTACGCGGAGAAATGGAAACGAGATCATCACATACCCTTCCCAGCGCAAAGAATCAATTCGTCGTTCTTGCCACCGAAATAGCTAGGACCTGCGAAATCTACCTGAACCTTTGGCATATATGTGTGCCGTAGCGAAAGACGAGCAGTTTCCCTAGTTTCCTTGTTGACGTTGTCCTTCAAGACTTTAACGAAATCCAGCTTCCATAGTTGAGGAGGTGCCTATATGTAGGGTACAAATAATGACTAACACTGACCATCAAAGCTTTAGCTCACCTTGTTCTCATAGCTGACCAGCGCGACAAGGTCATTTCTAGCCAACGTGATATCGCGAACATCATGAAGGACGGGTACCCGACTACCGTCACGAGATGAGGAAATCAATCATTTATGATAATACCTGCACGTACTTTTCAATGTCTTTTCTTTCCAGATTGTAGGCTGTTTGGCCCATTCAGTCAAAAACATGGAGAGAAAAAAAGAAATGGGTTATGCGTGCCTATGATTTGTTTCTCAGCTCTACTCTTGCTTGGCTGCAGACCCTCGGCTGATGCAATAAGAGATCCTACGCAGAGCATGCGTTGACAGTCCTGGGTCACAGCAACGTCGTGGATTATCATCTTCTCAAAGTGATATACATCGACAACCTGAAATGACCGTAGTTTGACTCTGAGCGACTATGAATTAGGAGAGGAACTCACATTGCCGTTCAAATCTAATTTTGTAACATTCTCTCCTTCAACAGACAAGAACGCTGTATCACTAATTTCAGCTCGCCGTACGGTCAGCTGAAGTTGCAATATACCTTCGCCAGCGGGTAACCATGCAATGGATTGTATAGCCGTTCGCCGTTCGATAGTCCTTTTACAAACACCGTCCTTTCACGAAGACAAAGGTGAATGGCTTGTCATTGACCTCAAATACACTGAATATCTTACGTCCGTCCAGAGTTTGACGCTGCGACCGAGTTTCGTGAGTAATGTGGTCCCACTAGGTGACCTTCACATAGTAAATTAGCCAAGAATCGCTACAAGAACGCTTCAAAAAACATACCATGCAACTTGTCCCACAAAGCCCTGAGGATGCGCGAGTACGCGGTGACAGGTGAAAGGATCCTAATGCCAGAACGAAAGTCAGAACAAAAAGCCGTGATGTTCAAGAGGCTGTGACAACTTACCCCAACCTTGAATATCACCGACGTACGATCCCAGCTATGCCAAGTGATGAAACTTATTAGTACATCTATGAAGGAAAACAGCGGAAAAAACTACCTCGATGTAGCGAGGAACTTTCCATTAGGTGAGAACTGTAGATGTCTAACCAAAGCCTGATGTGCAGCCAAGTCCTGGGTAGTTTCCAAACTCTTCAGCTTCGGGACCAGTGCCGCAACTCTAGAAAGCTTTATCATCCCAGGAAGGGTTACCAGAGGTTTCCCATTGGTTGTAATGCGAGTGCCGTCGGAAGACATAGTTCTCTGCCTCCTCGGTGAACTGGGGCCATTGAATGGTCCAGTCGCCGCCGAGGTCGACCGCAACATCACTGAGACAGACTTCACAGCGTTAGCCCATCGACGCCTGGCCGCCAAACTTGGCTGAGATGATGGTCCGGCAGTTGAGCCACTATCGCTGGCTACCGTCTTTTCGTCGAGGCCGTCCACAGAAGGTGATTGTGTGATAGAGTCAACTTCCGATATGGGAAGAAGGGCATCTCCAGTGCGAGCAGTGGCAGGGGACAAAGGTTCCGGACTGAAGCATTGAGGGACCGGGGAACCAGTATCACTTCGCTGGGAGTCAGACGCATCTGAAAGGTTGCTCTTGACGCTCCGTATGATGACCATTGTCTTTTTGCCTATGTCAGAGAAAAAGTCACTTGCATCCTGGGATTGGCGGTGACCCCAATATACGAGCTTGTTTACAGCAGCTTTGGGTTGCGTGAAGAACCAAGCTATGCCAGGAATAGAATAGAGCTTGACCTTGGTGTCCGACAAGGCATCCGCTAACCACTTCTTGCCTTTGTGGCGGTTGAAAATCCAGCGTTCCGATGCAAACCAAGTGGATACGGCTGCTAGACCAAAGCAGCTACATGCCGAAAAGACAGTAGTAACTGTCGACGTGATTTGATGCTGATTCTCGAAGTTAGATCGTCGAAGACACATGTAGGCAAACGAGAGGTAGCTTACCTGATGAGATGAGTAGGCAAACAAGACTAGACCCATCGAAAAACAAGCAACAGACAAGACGAGAAAGACCAGTGGCGATCGTTTGATCCAAATGAGCACCCACCATGGCACCCTATGACCTGGCGACCGACTTCATAAAGTAAGTACGAAAACCTCACGCGGAAGTCATGCTGTACACTTACTACATGGCTTGTTTCCAGGTTAATCCCAACAGACTATTTACTGCAGCACCGATACTGAATACCAACGAAGTAAACCAGAACCCGTTGACGGAGTCCGCCAGAGGATTGCCAGTTTGGTCGAAAGAGAACTGCATGGTTGTAGCCGTAACCGCTGAGAAAAATGTTGCCACAGTGGATAAGTTGAGCAGATTCGCTGCTGCGTGTTTCTGCGCAAAACGAATTGTTGGTACACCTATTACAATAAACTGAGGTCACCAAATTGTCTTCAATAGAGTGAGCAGTTAGCAAAAAGGGGCGGACCAATCTCGATGAACATAGACAATGAGGAGGTGATGCTATCGAGGTGCTCTCCCATTTCGGTTGAGAGATCATGCACGTATCTCTGTACCGCCGGGTATTTGAATTGGCCTATGGAAACGCATACATATCATTAGACCAGACATGAACATCGCGTGTCGAATTTGCATGCTTACCTTCATATGCTTTCAGGCACGAGGCCCAATACTATACGAACCCTGATCAGAGAAGAGATAGACGATATCAAGATCCAAGCCACACCTTTAGATCACCCTTCAGAGATAGGATGGATGCATTCAGGCTTTCATCTGTGAACTCCGGAAACTCGTTCAGACATTCAAGGAATGTCGTTACATCTCGAGCAAAAAATTCTAGCTGCTGAGGAAGGTCTTCCGCCTCTAAAGTATCCATCACAGTGGGGTTCACCACATGTGGAGGCGCTCTTCTTCGCTTATTTCTCTTCAGATGGCGGTAATTCGGATTCACCAATTGTTCGCGACCCTCTCGGACAATCTTCCGTGGAAACAAGTCTGCAGCATTCTCACGAAACAGGAAGAGAATCTGTGTGAGACGTTCGCGCAGATGGAATGAAGACGAGAGAATGCCAACGGAGCTGCCTAGTTGACGGGCTGCGTTAGCAAAATTGCGAAGCTAATTTGACACCGTCAATGTTACGCCGCATCGGTCTTGTCGGAAGAACGTACCTCTCGATCAAGGTTGAGGATTCGTCTAGGATTCGCTACGTTCAGCGCAAAAGATTCACAAATTTGACAGTCATCTTTGCATACCTCTGGAACTTATTGAACGCATCAGCGCCTACTTTCTGTAGGTGTTCATCGACCGTGGCTGAGATTCAAATTGGTCACCTTGTCCAGCATAAGATGTTGGAACGGATACTCACGAACATCCCGGTCATCTTCGAAGCTTCGTTGCTGCTGTTGATTGATACCTGTCAGGATCGCATGACATGAGCGCTTGTACCATGTGAATATGAACGACTATTGACGTACTTGCATCTGCCAGCTCTCCGTCGCGAAGCTCATTGAGGACATCGAGTAGAGTAAGAATGGTTTGTTTGCGTTTGCTGTGTTTTGTATGATCTTCGCCACGCGGTGTAGAACCGTTGTTGATAGATGTCAGGTCGTTCGATGGATACATTGTAGTTTCACCTGTGATCTATTTCAGCGAATACAAGACAAGATGTAGAGTCGCCGGAATTCACCACGACCCATGCAGCATAAACTGAGCTATATAGTTCGTCGAAGACGTATCGGATACCGTGGTGTGATTCGTAAAGAGCGTATGATTGTCGTAAGATGTCTTCTGCTATGTGTTCAAGTCTTGGACAAGGTTGACAACAAGCAAGTTCGTTCAGTTTCTTTTGTGAGAAGTGTTCTCTGGCGAAGTCGTGCAAGAACGTCGTCGACAGCGCGATTATGAGAAGGGGATAAGGGTGTGGAAGACGGCGAAAGTGGGTTGCGGGCGATCTGACAGCATACAAAGATGCAACAATGATTGGCGTCTATATGAGCCTCGTGTAAATCAACAATTTTGGATTGTACGCGCGAGACGCCGGTACGTCGAGGCCTGTTCTACGCCAGAACGTCTTCATGAAATGGTTCAACGATGGCAAGTGGCCGAGGGTCAAATTTGAAAAAGGCGGTCAAATACGTGGAGCTGTAAGGATATCAGGACATAGATATATTCGAGTTGCGCAAGTTGAACTTGAATGCACCTTCAAGTTCATACCGGCCAAGTTAGGATGAACGTGAAGCACAGTCTGACGTTTTCTACGCCGGTCTCCCGGAGGGCATGCACGACACGACGGCGATAGATACAAACGTGACCATTTACTCGCTATCCAACGACGACTGTTCATTTGCCTAGTTGGAAGGCAGATAGTCAGATCGCGAACATGTCATCGTGCGAACGCCAGGTGAGAAGGCTAACCAAGATTAGCTTGACCCAGTGCCCTGACGACGAGATGTTGCAGAGTCCGTCGATTGAGGTGATTTTTTACAATCCCTGCAGTATCACATTCTCAGGCTTGGTTAGAGGGCACCGGAGAGTGAGAGAAGTGGCGATCTCCGCTTCCCCGACCTGGATCAGATGATTGGATGAAGCAATCATGATACACCCCATTCCCACAGACCGCAAAACGGATACTCGGTCCTAAAGCTAGCCTTACTGCATTGCAGACTTTCGAGAAGGTTTGCAGGCTGGATGCATATTTGATTCATACCGCACGCATACCTCATGTAGTCCGAGTCGTTCTAATGACCGGCGCAAGCTTGTATTTGCACGTAGGACGAAAGGATGAAACTCCTGCAGCGTGCGCAAAGTGAGGATGCCAAGACAGCTAACGAACATACCACGAGTCCAGAGGAGGGCATAATCATAGGTGGAAACGGTGAAAACCGAAGACGCGCATGTATCAAGCACGTTCTTGCAGCCAGGATCGTCGTTTAACAAATTATGCCATAAGCCCTTCTTCATGAAACCGTGGACAGGAAGCCAAACGACCAGGGGAGTCGCATCACATAACTTCTGATATCATTGAACGTTCATCGCGTCAATTGCAAACAGCGAACGTTACTGGCACCGGACGGTATTGTATTTGGTACAATTCACAGCTATTTGCGGAACGATAGGCCACCTTTGAAAAAAAAAAAATCCAACACACGAGTTTCAATCCCTGAAGACTGATTGCAATTTTCCGAGCCAAATACGAACAGAATTTGGAGCATTCGTAGAGCAGGGGAGCTTGCGGCGTCTTAGCTTGAGTGAGTGCCACTTTCAGCCGAGAGCGGATCTCGAAAGCCTCTGTCCTGGATTTTTTTTTGCTAAGGTGGCCTATCGTTCCGCAAATAGCTGCAATCAATCCTTATTTCACCAGTCAGCATACTTTCTCATAAATGCACACATACATTGGCAAGGATGCGGTTCGAGTTTGTGGAAGCTGAGGCGACAGATGCATACAGGCTGTGCAATGCTGCGTTAGGTGCAAACAGCGTCCGGAAACGAGACCATGCAATGCGCAGTTGGCGAGTGCTTGCCTTTCCTGGCAGATTATATTATCTTTATAAGCTATTGGCCATAGCTAAGTAAGTTACTTATAATGTAATCTTGAACTAGTATACTAGTTGCAGTATCCTAGAAGATTAGGGTTAGGGTTAGGCCAAATAACCAGCAAAAAATAATGGCCTGCCCAGCCCGAGGGCCGAAGCAGGACAGGAAAATATTGAGACGGTGCATGAGCCGAAGCCCATACAAACCGCAGGCTCCCTCTGAGGACATGGTCGCCGTGCTATGGAGTGATCCCACGGCCCACCAACCCGGGACGTGAAGGGGCAAGTGCCATCAAGGTAAGTATGAAGAAAGTAAAGTGTCGGGATGAGGTTTATATATTTGGTGCTGTGCGCACGGACCACGTAGCGTCGACGTGAAGACATGCAATACCTATCCTTGATTGTGTATTTGAGCTGAAGGATAGTTATTTGGGAGCAGTCGAAACTCAAAAGGACGACAGGAACTGCGAGGTATCAATAAATGCCAATGAGTGCGATACAGATAACGGAAAGATATGCAATAATGAAGTTAACGGTCCGTACTCTAATCCACCAAACCTAAAGAAGCCACCACTAAGTATATCAGCATGTCTCACGAATCCGCATCCAACGCCCTCTCCTTCCCCTTCCGTGGTGGAGATTTCAGGAGGAGGTTGGGTGAACTAGCCATAGCTGCTGACGTGAACGACGGTAGACGGGTTCCCGTTTTGAGTGAATTTGGTGACAAACGCGACGGACGTGTTGGTGTCCCTGGAAGGGAGTTGTTCGTACGTGCGCTAGGTGACTTTGGTGGCGATGTACCTTCCCCTGCCGCTGCTTCGGTAAGTAGGAACTCGACCCAGAGTCGTGAGAATGACTAGAACCGTATGTAAATAAATGGTCTCGAAACTATTGATTTAGGGAAGCACGTACCTCCGTCTCGTCAGTTTTTTCCAACTCTGGAGTTTTTCCCTTACTATTCGGACTGCTAGCTCGACCCCATATGGAAGATCCTAAAGTCGCAACAGCACCGCCCTTACGTTGCAGGCCGGCCTTTTCTCGTTCGTCATCATCCCATGAGAGAATGGTCGCGAGTAAGGAGAGAATCTCGAAACGTTTCGAGTCTGCCCGTGGTATAGTGAGAAATTGAAGGATAATATTTGTAACGAGACGGCGATCGACGTTGGTGTCATTCGAAGTACGCCGTAGCCGGCGAAGGGCTTCCATAAGGTGTTCGTTCATTATTACCGCTGTTGAACACGTCGCATTAACAAGGGCCGCAGAGGTGGGGTTATCGGCTTCGTACCTTCATGTCTGAGTTTGTTATTGAGAAGAGTTTTATCCTTCAGATCCTTTTCGAGCTCATGTAGCCGTAAGGAGTTGGATGATGTCTCCTCGAGTTGAAGCTACACAATCTTGATCAATATATGCCATATTCTCCTCGTTGTGACAGCAATGTTCCGACATACCTCAGCGGTCAACGCTCGATGCTTGAACTCTGCTAAACTCTGAGTAACTTGCAAGAGCTGTGTTTCGTACCCTTTGACAGCCTGTTGTACCTCATGATCCTTCGCTGCAGCGAGATGAGCGTATATACAAACAAAGGATACATAAGTCTCACCGGTTTGGAAGTCCTCAAGAACCGACTGAAGGTTTGTTGTCTTTTCTCGCTCAACTTGGAGTTCCGTGGATTCCTGTACTCGGGCTTCACGCTCAATCTCCAAATCCCTTCGTAGACTTTCCAACGCGGTCTTAGCCTCATCTGCAGCCACATGTTCTTGTAAAGCCTTCTGTTCCCATTCGTCTCGTTCCATTCTGCATTGTTCCAATTCGCCCTGTAGGTCTCGTAGTTCACGTTCTCTCAGGAACGCTTCTTGTGCATTCTCTTGCAATGCTCGGCTCCGCATTGCCTCCAGCTCTCTCGAAGAGCGGTCTGCCTCCTCATTCGAGGATATGAGCTCTGACTTCAGAGTCTCAACGGTATCTGCAAGATCTTCGTTCTGTGCTGTCAACTGCTGCACCAGTTGCTCTTGTCGGTCGAGCTCTTCCTACGCAACCAATAATTCGTGACATTGAACATTGACTTTCGAATATAATATAATGGCGTACAACGTACGGCGTCCTGCTTCAGCTTGTTCCCAAGTGTAGTACGCATAGTAGTCAGCTTCGCGAGGAGATTCCGATACTGCGCTGCTAGATTATCCTTCTCCTCTCTCGTTCGTTCCAATTCCCGCTGCAGACGTTGAATTGGGTCGAGACCTTCGAGGTCTTCATAGTCCTGCCCATCAGCCGTGCCGTTTGCTATTGGTGGCGGAGAGTTTAGTCTGTCACTGTCAAAGGATGGCCTATTGCTTGTACCGTTCAGCGGTGGACTGGCCATGATTCAAAGTAAACGGCGAGGACAAGCTACGTCAACAGTGATAATTGAAACACCCTATGTTCAGTATAGATTCTCACGCTTAGAAAGTGAATGCTGGATTGACATTTGCTACTATGGGTACTTGCTTTCTACCGTCATCCTCACTTCCACTAGCCAGCTTTGGCTACTTGTTCTGGCCCGTGAAGCTTTGAAGAGTCAAGGAGACCTTTAGAAAGCTGAACACACTCCTTCCAAGCTGTTAGATTGCGACACCTCGGTTCCCAGGCAACTCTCTTAGTGACATCTCGACTATTACGAGTTACATTTCTTCAACTTCATCTTGGTTCTCTCATACTTAAAAGAGCGAGGGAATATCCACTTCCCAAGACCGTCATCCATACGACTGTGACAACACTTCGTATCCACAACCTGTTGCATGGCGACCCTCGTACGCGCTAGACCGGATGCTGAATTTTCTGATTCTTCACATCCCTTGAGCTACGGCATACCAAAACCCTTTCCTGGTCCAACAGAGAGAGAGCAACAGGATCTGCTTGATAGTCTTGCCTCCGAACGACTACATCTTGATCTCAGTGCTTCGTTGGCGGGACCGTCCAATGCGACACCCGCATATGTTGACGCTACGAGAGAAGGGGACACGGTCGAGAATCGCTCAGTGAGTCTGTTCTTTGCGCTTTTATTGCAAACACTCATTGTGCTACAGGAGGAGCTCCCGCCGTCGATCAACCACCTTCGTACACGATGTCTGACGACCCTGAACGATTTGCTTACGACCTCTAGCAGATGGCAACCCATCGTTCCCGACCGGCGACACTCGATGCCGAGTCTATCTGTTTCTCCTGCGCCACCATCGCATACGTCCGCACTGCGCACGCTTGTGTCCAACCTTCGTTCCGAAGAGAACGGTGACGAGACGAGCCCAGTTGTTGATTCGACGGATGATGCCCTTCTTCTTCGGGAGTTGCAGGATCGAGTGTCACGCCTGGCAGTTAGATTGGACGTCCGAGAAGCCCAATTGGCCCGTTCGCTCGTGTCTCTGCTTATTCGTTTCCACCGTTTATTCGAGCTCTATCCCGCACCTGCCAGCGCCAGTTCACCTCGCGTGGCTTCATGGAATTCTAGCAGCAGGTTACCTCGTGTGCCGACTCCCGAAGATGCATTTAAAGACCTTCGACGACAGCTGAACGACTTCCAATTGGAGAGGTCTGCCATTGGAGAACAGGCCAACGGAAACGATGTCCAGTCTCCGGTCAGAACAGTAGAGGCTGCCTTGCTGTGGTCTCGCATTGACGATGATCTTGAAACACTGTCTGCCCTTTGTAGATCCACGACGGATGATGGTCGCTTGCCACCCGAATACGATCCCGCAGATTATGAACGCGATGTAGAGTTGGACAGCTTGCCGCAGTACGAGTACGAATCTACGGATCTCGGGCTTGCCAAATCATCTGCCCTGAAAGATTCGGATTCCATCTTTGCCACTAGTTCTTCGCAACTCGGTGTTGGTGGAACAGTTAACACGTTAAGTGAAAAGATGAAGATGGACTTGGAGGCGGTGACCATGGCAATTGACCGATTGTATATGGTTGCACCCCAACTGCACAGTCAGCGCGTCGAACTCAAGAAAGCCAAGCTCGAACAAATGGAGCGGGCAAAGCGATCAGGAAAACAGAAGGCGACAGTCGTGGACGATGAGGCGATCGAATTGGAGAAAATGGTTGAACTAATTGGGAAAGCTTCAGGGAGGAAGATGGTTGACCAGTCTGTCGAGATGAGTGGGAGTCTGAAGGCCAGGCTGGAGCAGGCGAAGAGGCAGGATGCTGAGAAGGTGGGCGTGCATCCTTTTTATGGACGAAGGTTACATGCTAATACATCCTGTGATGAACTAGCGAAGGGAATTTGTGGAACACCTCATGGTTCACTCTGGTGCAGGTCGTCTCAGATCCCAAGATGCTACATTCCACCCTCCCCATATCCATCGCTCACACACCGCTCAACCTTCAGACAAACTACAAGATCCCAACGCTCTTCTTTCCCTCCCTGAATTCATCCGTGAGGCTGTCCCAGAAGCCGTGCAGCGACGTATGAAGCTCGATGCCGAGGAACTGGATCCAGAGGCTATGCTTAGTCTTCCTGACTTTGTGAAGGAGCCTATGCCAGAACGTTTGTTGCGTGGCTCGAGGCATTCTCGTGTACAATCGTATTCAGTGTCTGCTGAGGGGAACGATGCGGCTATGGATGTTACTTCTCCTAAACCTGTGAAGGCGCTGAAGAGCGTGAAGAATAGGTCAAGAAGTCTTTCTGCGCCGCCCTTGGCCTGGTTGCTCTCTGGTTCAAGTTCAAGGACTTCGCCGAGTCCAAACGAAGGCAGGAAATCTCGGTCGGGGCGAACCTCGCGACCCGGTTCTTCACATGGCCGTATCGAACCTGTACAAGGTCAGTGCAGTTCACGTATCCGTCTGATTTATACTAACGTATATACTTGTAGAACACCTCGATGTCACGTTTGTGGCGGAACATCATGAGAACCTTCAGCACATCCTGGTGTTCCTCACAATTGCAGGTCTCAGGTCAGGTAGCCACGTTGAAGCGGAAGTCATATCGCGTGATGGAAGTGTGAGGGGAAATCAGCTCGTCCTGGAGTGTGAGACCAGCACTTCACCGACGCTCGATCTTCCTGTTCGAGTACCAGTTGGAAAGAAGGAAGTGAGACTTGTTCCTGGTACTGAGAATCGGTTCGAGATCAAACTGCCGACTTTGTCTCCTGGCCGTTCTCGCCCCAATACCCCCTCAGCATCTAATTCGGATCACGAGAGTTTCGACGTCGCTATCCTGGACGCTACTCGTCTTTCATCATTGACTCCTACCTCCTTCATATGTTCATCGTGTTCCCTACCACTCGTACATGCCTCGAAGTTACACCAGTATCGCGATCTGCCTTCGGAGCATTGGGCTGAATTGGTTGATGCTTGGATGTGTCATGCAGATATCAAACTTCACGAGGATGTCAAGAAGGGGTCTAGGGACGGATTCTGGCCTTCAGCTGGCGAGGGACTCGTTGGCGGAAGTTACGTTCTTGTGCACGAAAACGACGTCATAAAGACAAACTTCTGCCATCCGGAAATCGAGAAGGTACGTCCTATATCTTATTCTTTTCTTTTTTCCTGCTGTATATGCACGGACGTATAAGAAAGTCGACGTGGGGCTACCCACCCATGGTTGCTTGTTTCGCTCGTCATTTCGCATTGCCTTTTATGATTGGTTCGAAGCCCCTGGCTGGTTTTGAGTCAGTCATTGGCAGTGATGAGAGGCGTGGCGGGACAGCAGCAGGATAATTTCCTTCGGCTGATACCAATCGTCCAAGAATGGACACTAGCACCGTGCTAAACAACTCTCATGTTACAAAGACCAATGTCTCGAGAGCTACAAGTGCGGGCACATCTTACCCCACTTCTAAATTTCTCCGATTATTTGACAGTTGAGCCTTTGACTTATTTTTTTTTGTTCTCACTAGCATGCCGATGACTGGCAGAGAGTACGATGCATATGTGGAGCTGTTGTGGGCCGATGTCAAGAGCACAGACCCCGCGATGGTGAAGCTTCCATGGTGTACAGGCTAGCGAAGTACGCCTTCCGACCCATCAGCCCTTCGTCAGAGTGAGTATCAGGTCCTCGCGTTTTCAGTCTGCTGTTTGTTCACATTGCATGGCAGACCGTCCAAGCTCCCGCTTTCTGCATTCATCTTCGAGGACATGAATGAGTTTGTGCAGGCTCATGCGACGTATCGCTTCGTGATTGTTGACGAGGAAGATGATCGGCCGAGAATCCTTGTAAGCCGCTACGTCTTCTATCAAATCATGATGCTTTTACCAACTTGATGTTTGCAATTCCGCAGGTATGGCTGTTCAAACCTAACATGCGACTATCGTACACTACACCATCTCAGTTCCTCATTCCCAAGAGTGGATCAATCCGTGCTGCGAAGGTCTTGTTCAAGCTTCTCGCGCCATCGACACCTTCTGATCTCCACACGTAAGTCAATAATGAGTTTTTATTGTTATTCACGTTCCTATTGCTGACTTCCTTGCGCCGCAGGATCATTAACAAGTATCCAGGATTCCCGCAGGCGGAACATATATACTACCCTATAGACATCTGTAGACGGCTAGCCGGCTCACTCAAAGAGAGCAACACTGCCTATCCCGAGGATATGCGAACCATGACCGGCCTGGATGTCGGTTGGTTGCAACGTACTTGATCTTATCCCTCATCACCTTTCTTCCTCTCGCACACATAATATTCGTTGTTTCGATATATTATACACTCCCAAAAGCTCTTCATTTTTTTTGTTTCGCTTTGTAGACAGCGAGGGCTTTTTTTTGAATTGATGGATATCTACGTTTCGTTATATTTTTGCCATCTACTGCAATCCTTTTTTTAGTATTTATTCTGTATCACGGACACATCATCTTTCAATGAAAATCTGTTCTTGCAATCTTTCAGTATCGATAGCTTACCTCTCGACAGAACGAACTCGTGACCGGGGATGAAAGAGTTGCAACAGGCATTCTGAGCATGTTCACAAAAAGAAGTGCAAGATTTCTTACTTTACGATTCCAGCGTTTCGCGTCGAATGCACAATTCCTAGCAGCTCAGTCTTTGCCAGTGGAAGAAACCGTTGCAGGAACAGAATGTCCACTTCGCTATGCATGGATGGCATCTAAACTTCTGAAGAAATAGCGCGTTATTCACTTCTAGTTCTCATCATCCGGAGCCGAGGCTCTATTGGCCCAATGCCAAAAATACCTTTGATATCCGCACAACTGGCTTAGTGGCCACACTGAGGATTAAAGAGATGGATAGAATGGAAGTCAGATAGTGGAGACAAAGAGATGGTGCAACTAATGATACAGTATATGATACACCGCTAGAAAAGACCAATAAGATAGAACGAAGGAAAACAAGTCCACAGGTATACAGCCTCTAGACCTCTTCGGCGGCTTCTGACTTCTTGCCCTTCTGTGTTTTACTTGGGAGGAGCTGTGGAAAGACGACCATCAGTGATGAGTGGGAAAATAAATGCAAGTCGGCTTACCTCTGGATTGATGAATGGCACGACACCACCCTGTGAAATGACAACATCTCCCAGAAGCTTGTTCAACCTAAAAGGTACCTGTGAGCCAAGGCGCTCGTAGATAAGGGTAAAGAGACTCACTCCTCATCGTTTCGGATTGCGAGCTGCAAGTGACGAGGCACAATACGTTGTTTCTTGTTATCACGAGCTGCGTTTCCAGCAAGCTCGAGGATCTCAGCAGCTAGGTATTCGAGAACAGCAGCGAGGTATACTAGAGGTCTTTCTATCAGTTTTGAAATTCGATATCGATGGAAGAACAAGACGTACCAGGTGCACCAGCTCCTACACGCTGAGCGTAGTTCCCCCTCTTCAACAGACGGTGTACACGACCGACCGGGAACTGGAGACCAGCCTTAGCCGAACGAGATTGCGACTTGGAGGCAGCCTCGCCAGAAGCCTTGCCAGACTTGGATTTACCACTGCCTTTGCCAGACATTTCGAATGAGTTTAGGTGTTAAGAGTGAGAGGGATTGAGCGTTTGGTGAGCGGTGGTAGTTGAGGAATAAGAGCAGGAGGGGAGTGAGCGAGGTCATGGTGGCTGGTGGTATTTATACCGAGGAGGGTCCGTGCTCTTTCGTGTGAGTGTGGGAATGTGAGATGCAATCAACAATCGAGACGCGTTGATCGCGTTTGTGACTCAAATGTCACGATTACGCTATTGTCACGCGTCACTATATAAGAGACGGGCTAGAGCGCGCGAACCTCCCTCTCTCTTGAAACCCATCCACAACGTCCCCCTCCGCTTGTCCATAGCCCTTCTCTATTTATCTCCTCCATCTAACCTCAACTTCCAATGGCACCCAAACCCGCTTCCACTGCCGGCAAGGCTCCTGCTTCTACCGCCTCAAAGGCGCCAGCCAAAACCACTGAGGGTGCTAAGGGTGCGAAGAAGACTTCCAAGGCTGCTGCTGGTGGAGAGGAGGCGAAGAAGAAGCGACGAAAGACCAGGAAGGAGACCTACTCTTCTTACATCTATAAGGGTTAGTCATTTTCGTTGTATGCATTCGGTGTTTCAACTGAGGGGTGTCGCGTCGAATAGTCTTGAAGCAGGTGCACCCTGATACGGGTATCTCCAATAAGGCTATGGCCATTCTCAATTCTTTCGTCAATGACATCTTCGAGCGTATTGCCACAGAGGCGTCTAGTAAGTTTACAGCTTTTCCTCCGTTAGATCTGTGTTCTTATAAGGGGCATGTTCAGAACTCGCCTCGTACTCCAAGAAGTCAACAATCTCATCTCGTGAGATTCAGACGGCTGTTCGTCTCATTCTTCCTGGCGAACTTGCCAAGCATGCTATTTCAGAGGGTACCAAGTCTGTGACGAAGGTCAGTATCAGTACCAACTTGTATTCTCATCTCGTATTAATGAGCTCTCAATTGTTTAGTTCTCGAGCGCGGGTGCCAAGTAATCGTTTGCGTCAGAGGGTTATCTTGTCTCATTGTTGTATTTGCATATCAATTCTGTATTCTAGTTCGATTTCTACTTCTACTGTACGGATATCTCTGATAACTCCTATTTGTCTGGGAGGCTTGCAACGGTCAATAGTGCGTGTGCGTATGAAATGCATGACTTAATAATGTGACGGTAGGGAAGGTTATGCTGCGTTATAGGAGTTCGTTCTATGTCATGTAAGGTGAGTACTTCTCTTGCTCATCGTCACCTTCTCCTAACGAGGCTGCTTCTTCCAAGGGCAGCAGCTCCATCGTTGTTGCATTGTAGTGTGTGAGACGAACTGTAAAAGTCTCATGCTAATTCCGATTGAAGCTTAAAGTATTCTCGCATTTTCCAGCTATTTGTGGAACGATAGACCACTTCAGCAGAAAATCGGCAGAAGCTTCTCGGCTGAAGGTGGCATTCACGCAGGCTGAGACGCCGCAAGCTCTCTTGCTCTACAAACACAACGAAGTCTGTTCCTAACTAGCTTAGGAAAGTGCAACCAGCCTTCGGAAATTAGAACTCATGCGCTGGATATCTTTCGAAGGTGGTCCGTCGTTCTGCAAATGGCTGTTAAAGAGTCTTCTGGCCAGCATATGCCATTTCAGCCTCCCATCCCCTCGCGTCCCGATCACAGCCTCATCGGTGCAGCATATGAAGGGGCTTCCTTTTGGGGGAGCCCAGGATGATCTGCTTAGGTGGCTTCTTCGACTTCGATCAGCGGTCACTCAGCAATGCGTGTCACGTAATGTCGTCCCCACACTGTTTTCGTCTTTGCTGATAGAAGGTTGTAATGTGATTCTTGACGCCATTGTGATGGCCAGATCTTCCTAAGTCGAGAGTCTCGGCCATTGCTGGCTCCTTTATCCACTCATCCCTACTTGTGGTCACTTGCGCAAGATGGCGACTTACGTCGCACGTCCAGTCTCCCTCAATCGGCGAATTACCTCCACATCCTCGTGTCTTCTTTGGTGTTGTCGTGATCGCTGGTCTAAGGAGGATGAGAACGAAGCACACCTTTCAAGTTGTGGTAACGCTATTTCAATTATATGACACAGGAATAGATACGGTACAACCCAATGCTGGCCCTCCGATGTGTGTTTGAAGGGGAAAAGAGCTGTTAGCCAAACCGTAATTCTTTGGTGGCCGTACCTGGTGAGTTCAATCTTCACTGGTCGGAATATACAACCGTCTTCCATCACACTCATTGTGAACTGGACCAAACAGATGTACCTGATACTCACTCGTCCTTTTCTAACCGACTTGCCCCCATCAAGGCCTCATGCACATGTCCGAACCGAGTAATCGAACGATCGAACAACCGAATTACCGAGCAATCGATCCCTCTCCCCAACGATCGAAATACTGTCAGTAGAGCTATAAAATGGCTGGCTGCAAAGAAATACCCGCCTTGATCGAGCCTCTCTTCTACCACGATCCCCAGCGTTTCCCCAGCTGCCAGCGAAGCAGGCTGTTCACTGCTTGTGATCCAAATTACTTCCTCTCCCGTCAGAGGCTCGAATTCAGATTCACGATTCTTCTGCAGGTAAGATACTTGGATGATGCAATGACATATCGATATTGAATCTTTAGGTTAATCTCCAGCTACCTTGAAAACGGTGACGTGAGTCATAACGACCAAGCTTTCTCCTACCCCGCATTTATTTCAACTTTCAGTCTTCCATCTCCGGAGTCCCCATTGCGTCTCTCTGAAGCGATGCAATCTCTCTACCACTCCCGAAATATGAAGCAACCTATCAACCGTTGTCCTCCTTCCATCCTTTGCGATATCTTTCTTTGCCTCAGTGATATGGCGACATCAGAATTCTTCGACGGCGGACCACCTCCCGATGTCCGAGACGGATACACCTGGTTACGAATAATCCTCACCTGTCAATACTGGCATACCGTCGCCCTTTTATGTCCGTCGCTATGGTCCACCATTATTTGCGGACACGCCAAGCTGGACACTGTCTCGCGTTACCTCAAGCGGTCCGGACAAACCTGCTTGAAAGTCCACCTCTCCGAACGCAAGACTACTCGAGTTCGCCAACCCATCTTTTATGCAGAGTTTCGTGAGACTTTGAAACTACTCATACCGCATTTCCATCGCGTCTCCGTCCTCAATTACAATTTTAACCTCCTGCCTCGCGAGTTTACCCCCCTCTTCAACAGTCACACTCCTTGTCTCCGGGAACTTCATCTTGGTATCATCGGACTCGACAGAAATATGCCCGTTATACCGGTTCCATCTTTACCTGTGTTCAGGGAAGCACCTATCCAAACTCTCCATATCAACTCATTCGTCGTATGGCCTGTATCGCACCGATCGACTCTCACCACGCTTGTGATAAGAAGTCCGGTGCTAAGGTCCACAGGTTCGTCTGGTCTGGAATGCGCGAGGAGTCTTTTGGAGACATTGAGGACTCATGCCATGTTGCAACATTTGTCGCTTCTCAACTACGACGAGCAACATGATTTAGTTGAAAGCAATGGCAATGCTAGCGGGATGGGACTAGGAGAATTTTTACAAATCCAACACTCCACCCCACAGATCGACTGGAGGAATCTTCACCAATTAGTGATTGCCCATTATCCTCCGCATTTGGCTTCTCAATTCCTCGGAGCGATAACATTGTCAGCGACAACTACGTTGGTCATTAGACACTCTGATGCTATCTCAGATATCGGCCAATTCCTTCCTCGCGATATGGTGGTTGCTCATCAGAATATCCCTGGTCTTCGAACGGTCATGGAAGCGACTGTGATATATCATTGGGAGCACGATTTCTGCAAACTTACTCTTCATTCGCCCTCGCACTCGGTCGTAGTGGCTATGAGTCACCCCATCCTGATTTCGACTGATCGTCACGACGGAGACGTTAATGAACCGAGTCTATCAAGGATACTCAAGATCATCCAGAATGGAGTATGTGCCGGTGAAGGTGTCCGACGAATCACTTTCAGGAGTGTGGGTCGGGCGCACGAGTTTTCGACTTTGTTTTGGCGATCGTTCTTACTTTTGGTATTCAACTTGCGGACCCAGCGCTCGCTCTCTTCCTCATACATGCCCCGTGATCGGGGTCTCACTGCTACTTCGAACTTCCCCGATAATGTTGATGCAAAGGAGGTGGTCAAAGATGAGGTCACGGAGGAGGTTATTGATTTACAGGCAGGGAATTTCGGAAGCGTCTACGAAGGGATGGAGATCGACCTAGATGACATCCTTCCACATACACTATTCCAGACGCTCCTCGGACCCGAATGCGCCTACGCCCTCGATACGCTGAAGTTTTATAAAGAACCTTCCAAGGCTAGCAACACGGGGGAATGCCTTGATCCTTCACATTCAGGGCACGCCGTCGTACATTCCACAGAAGAATTTCATCCGAGATTGGGCGGTCTGCCATCGGTGGTGAAGACTGCGTATGAGTGTCGGTCTCCCCTATCTGCTGGTGCGTATTCAGCATTGGATTATGGTGGGGTTGACAAGGGTGAGGGAAGAAACAGAGCAAGTCAGAACCGGATGCATGTTCGGACGGTTTTGACTCTGATGTAGGAAAGGGCGGGACTGAGGAGACTAGGGACCGATTTGCCCCTTGTCTGCTTCTGCAGTGTATATATATATAATTGTACGACTCTTGGAAGAATTTATTATATGGATCCTTTACGATTAGTATATGGCCGCAGGGCGAGTGTATTCTGTTTAGGGATAGATTTCAACCCTTTTTGGATGTTCGGCCGTTTCCAGAGGAGTGTAATAAATAAACGCAAATATCACTGTATGAGGCAGGCGTTGTCGTTTAGGCGACGGGGAGGCTCTTGACTCTGTACCTCGACGTGCTCTGCACTCGAACATGCAGAGTCAACGAATTTCTCGCTTTGCCTTCCACCAATTAACTCCATATCATCAAGGCCTACGTTCTCTACCTCGCGGCTATCACAAGCTCAAGCCCTTGAATGGTGGGACTAATCCTCGGTTGCGCCTCCCGACGGAGCTTGTCTATCCCATTCTGTTGGATGTGCTGCTAGAATACTTTGATGAGCTATTCACTGTTGCTGGAGGCGTGATACACAGCGATGGATCGATCTGGACGACGCGACTTACTAGTAATCCTGTCACCCCGTTTCTGGTAGTCTCGTATCAATTCAGAGCCATAACGGTGGAAATTCTCACCAGGATTCTTGGAGTACGACCCAGTCTAGGCGAAAGGTAAGAAACCTACGTTTCTCAGCCCTGTTTCTGCGACTAAGGTATCTAAACAGACTACTTATCTCACACAAACTTCTGTGGCGCCACCTCGCACCCCTCCTTACTTTCCTAAGACGGATGCGCCAAGGTAATTACATACTTGCCGTAATTCCCTGGGAATGGCTGCGGGCCCATGGCACGTCTTTCATCAACTACTACCTTCTTGACGCCACAATAGAGAAAGGGTGTCGTAGCGTATCTCAGCAGCCTTGGATGATGCCCACACAGGATAGGGAGTATCCGGCCGTATGGAGAAGTTGTCTTATACTTGTTGACCGTGCGCCTCTTTTCTATCGAGAGCGGTATAGAAAACGTTGTGCACGTGCACTGTGGGACTGGTTCCAAGGTATGCCGAAGTGAGCAATGTATGTAGCAATGCTAACACTTACCATAGTGAGGCATTTCGTGACCCATAGAAGCGGAGCAATACGACTCTTCAACACGTTGAACCGAACTGGGGCCCTGTTTAGGTCGAGAGGGATGCAGCTCCCCGAGGCGTTTGTCGAGAAGGTTAGTTTCAATTGTCTTTAGTACTTTGGCCTTCTTCGATGTTGTTGGCAGGTTTCTGAAGAAATTTGTGACCATTTGAAATTCTTGGATCCTCATCACGGAGCACTTCGTGCAGAACATCTGCGTATCCGGGAGCAGTTTGGGTATTTTGACGATGAAGCGAGTCAGCAGGTCTTCAAGGTGTGTCGAATTTTGATCTTCTTCAAAACGCTTCACAGATACCTCCTTTTCATTTAGTACGCAGACCTTGTCCCGATCCTCACTCATATTCCTCTCTTGAAGTCCTATATGAATTCGAGGCAGTACGCTGAATGTGACAAACACGCGCGAAAGATCATATACCATTGGTCCTTGGAAGGACCCACGTTTGCCGATGTACTCTTGGATATCTATGCACCTCCTGCAGATCTGGATCACTGAACGTCGTCTCTTGCCTCTCTTTGATCGAAAGCGATGAAGTCAGGCCTTGGAGAACTATGTCAGTGATCCAATGACTATGTTGACCCTATGATTCCCCTCCTCCCCTGCTGACTCGACCGAGAACGATTTACGTATCTTGATATACTATGTTCTGTTTCTTTTATGATGTGTAATGCCTCTGGATTGTACACTCTCCAATGACCTCTTGGACAGAATGAGATTTATGGACTGCAACGTCGATTATCTTTGGAGTGATTATACCGAGCTTTTGATTTACTACGCGGTAAAATATAATTGAAGGGTTGATTCAAATCTGACATTGGTCATCAGGTCCAGACCTAATCCTCAACATCTAAAGTGTTGTAGCAGAAAGGAACTTCAAAAGCAACCCGATGTGACCATGTGCAGTGGCTGATGGGAAAGTATGGGTCGAAGGGGGGTAAGTATATTGAAGTTCTTGCTCTCAAACAAGAGTTTCTATGAAAGAATGCCAAGATATTAACTATCTAGGATTGCGGTCAGCATCCACTGTTTAAATTTGACGACCGTCCCTTTTCCATAATTATTCCCCCGGCTCTCTTTTGACAACGGTCCAAACATGCATCTCATTGAATTTTCCAACCGACATCTCATCGGCAGCCCCCTTCGCCAATGTCCTCGGGCGATTTGTCATGCATAATCGTAACGGAAGTGGTTTGTAATAAGATGATACTAGAGAGAAATTGGGCAACCACTGTGGAATGATAATGATCGCAGACGAGTGTTACGGCGTAAGACCTCGAAAATGTTGCGCACGAATGAGTAACTGCTTAGTGGTTGGCCAACAAGTTCGAGAGAGGTCAAATGAATGATCTGTTCAATAGGTCATTCGAAGAAAAAGATTATGCGCATCCTCCTTAAATTAGGTGGAGTGTTGGCAAATATGCGTGGGAGTTCTTCGTCCTCTGCATCCTTCTGCGATCCGATAAAGAGCACTCGCAAAAGTGGTGCTGGAGTCCGCAACGATGTTGGCATGGTAAAAGAGCGTAACCACGCGATGCAAATATGGCGCAAGGAGCTCGAAAGATTTTCGGCGATAGAACGTTTGACGCATAACAACATCCATCTCCGGAAGACATGCCATCTGAAGCTGATTATGGAGCGCAGAGGTGGCGACGGGTCCGAAAGGCATAACTTGTTGAGCAGATTGCATTGCCTATAGATACAATTAACAATGCTCGGGATGACTACAGAGCTGGACGCACCTGGTATGTTGTCGATGCGTGTAAAGAGAAGTCAGACGGAACGGGAGGCCCTAGATATTTGGGACAAAGGCAGAGGTATATTCAGAAATGAACACCCTAAGTGATGACTTTCTCCATCGCACAAGGAACGACGAGATGGTGCTTAGACTGAGGTGCCCAAAAATGATAGTCGACCACAATGCAGAAGGCCCCAAGGCAACGTCGAACCAATGACGGCAGATAAGGAAAATGCGAAGCCATTCATATGCACCTTTCACTGACGGTGGATTAACAGCTGTGAAGAATTCATCGACGGCCGCGTCTCGGACATGAAGGAAGATCTTTCCGAAAAATTCTGGAGAACATTGATTCACCGATTGCTTCAAATTATGCACATACTTTATGAGTGCAAGACATTCGAAAATTGTAGTTGAATTTCGCGAAGCTAGTCGATAGATAAGTTAGAAGCGCAAGGAGATTAGCGCTGATCAATTGGGAAGCCTCACCGAGATATCATTGGAATCACCGACCAACCTCAAGAATGCCCGTCAGTATCGCGAGCGTCACAGCCACACAGTGATATCGATAACATACAGCTGTAACGGTGTGCCTTCGATTCTTTGGACAAGTGCTCGGGTGAGATGGGCGATAGTTAACGTTTCAGAGTCAGAAACGATCGAATTGGACATCGAGGTGGGAATAGAGGTAATAATTCCCGTGGATCCAAGCAAGGTAGGTATCTATTAGGCAGTATAAGACGACTTTCGTATGCACCAGATGATCGCTGTTCAAATTTCAAATTTGAACGGCGATCACCTGGATCGTTTAGATTCAATAGCGCTATGAGTAACCAAACCACGCAAGCTTGAGTCAGGATCAATGACTTATTGAACAGTGAATCAATGGAACAACATACTCGAGGACACTTACGTGGACTGTATTGCGATCGTGAACAATTATTTCCAGCTTGGCTCATCTGAACAACTTGAAGGATTTCCGTTTGCGTCTTGCTTACCATTGTTTGCCCGCCAACATAAGCGCCTATAAACGCTTGCTTGTAAGATTGAATGTTCGACTCTCGACTTGTCTCCTACCACGCCATACATTATATTCGTCTCTCCTTCCTTTGTTCAAGATGCAGTTCTTTTTTCTTGTGTCTTTCTATCTTTTGGCAGTGCCGGCCACTGTCCTGGCATGCGAAGGCGATTGTATTGTCGAGATAACAAAGGCCTTTCTATCTAACTATACAGATCCCATTCGGTTAACGATGCAGCAACTCGTAAGTAGTCAAGCCCTCTTTCCTTTCTCTCCAATTTTATTGTCCTCTTTGTTTAGGCACAAGAGATTTCCTACTCTATTCCTAATCAACCATCCCCGGAAAGAACCATCAACTATCTTCAACCTCTGCTGGATGCCTATAACGACGATGCTTATGACGGCATGGAGAACGCGATCTTTCCCAGCTACTTCCATGGAAAATGTCTTCGCGACGGTGTCACCCCTCCTGGCTGTCCTAACCCTGATTGCGACGTTGTCTGCGGCACACCTGGCTCTCTCGTTCACTTCTACCCAAAGCTTCGCTATATCGCGTATAATCAAACCTACCATGGTCTCCAGAGGCTCGCTTCCCCAGGAACCGACGCGTACAAACAAGTTGAAAATGCCATCTTGAATTCTGTACACCAAGAAGGACCCCCTTCTCGTCGCAGCTCTCGTCTCTTTGCTCGATTCTCACCACTTGCTGGATCAAGCCCCACTTCTCTTGCTAGTAGACGTGACGATGACGAGGATATACGCGTGAAAGTGCAGACTATCATGGCGAAGATCCGGCCGACGCTAGAGAGCGTTTGCGGTGGAAGTGGTAACGGCGAAACAAACGGCCTTCCGAATTGCAGTTGGGAAGACGCTATGAAGGCGTATATCTTGACCTTCCCATGATCTTCTCTTGTAAACTCTTCGAAGCAGGACTTCTCTCGCCGGACGAACTATTCCTTGGACTCAGACTTGGACTCAGATCAATACCATGGCTCTTCACACACTAATGTATCAATAGGCTGTCGCATTGTAATACTCGGATGTAATCACAATAATATTCCCCACTGCCCTTGCGACCGATCTGTCTTGCATCCTACACCAAAGTCTACAACAGCAAGTCTAAATGGTTATTTTATTCTTATTCGTTCGCCACATATACACAAGGCAAAGTACGGTACAAGAATCAGTGACATTTGGACTATGTCGGGCTCCCATACCTTCTCCCTGTCTACATGTAAACAATAACCATCGGGCACTTCTACGAATTACGTCGCTCCCGCAAGAACTCAGACAAGCGTATAACGATGAAACCCCTAAAGCACGCACTTCAGCAAAGCTGAGGCGGGGCAAATTTAGGATTGAGGATAGATAGTTTCTACTACAGTGTGGATCGTCAGCAAAGACGGTTTCAACTCGGTAACCCAAAAGCGTGCTCTTCCCAATGTTCGAGCTCATCTAGCGTGAGATACAGTAAATATGGGTTACGTTATAAGGCCTTAAGGCCTAAAGGTTTCGAAGAAAGTTCCAGCAAATGGCGAAGTACTGAGGCCTAAAGGGCGAGCCTACACCCTCAAGTTGGAAGCAGGACAAACGGATCAAGGCACCATGACGCAACTCACAAGAAGCACAAAAACAGACCAAAAACGCTTTCTTCCATTATCAACCACTCAATACGTCGGTACAAGTACACTTGAAGTAATAAGGGTTCTATCACAAACCCAATTTTCCACCATACACGACAACAACGTCCAACCCTTCCTCAAAGTACTTCACGCAAAACGCTACCCAAGCCCAACTCTTCCATCCCAACCAACCACCTCTCACAAACGACGAACCCTCCTCCACATCCAACATCCAAACGAACGCGAACCAGCTTGACAGGACCTTTCCCTCCCTTCCCCCAAACCAACAACACCCCCTCCAGACAGCAAGCAGCAGCGCCGAACAAGCTCCGTTATTTTTGCCCATTAACAAACCCGCGCCGCGATAGACAGAGAGCGACTGAGTGGGTTTTAGGTAGGTGTAGGTAGGTAGGTTAAGTAGAGGTATGATGAGGCGTGTAAGCATGGTCCAATAGTCGATACGCGATACGATTGTCGAATGAAAGGAAGGCCGATGATGGAAGTATGGTGTGGTGTTGTACAATTTGAGAAGTGCGAGAGAGGACTTGGACGAGAACGATGAGATGGGAGTTGGGAGCTGGAAACGATAGCGAGCGAACGAAAGGACACGAGCGAGATAGAGACGATGTAGGCGATAAGGCTGATGATGTACACGATTTTTGCTGAGGGTGACGGTGAGGAGGAATGGGAAAGACAGACCGGGACAGGCGAGACGGGGGAACGAATGAGAAACCTTCTATATTTTTGAGACACAAACGAGTAGAACAGAAACTGTAGGGAATGTAGGGCAGAGAGCGTGTGTGGGCGGACCAAAAAAAACGGCACGTCCGCGATATGGAAGACAGGCCACCAACCCGGGCAGAGACTTCATCCAGAGACGCACGAGTGACTGATGCGCCTAATCAATGAACAAGGACGAAGACCACAGAAGGGACCCAGGAGGCGGCTCAGAATGTGTTGCAGGGACTAGGGTGTGCACGGGGTATGCATATACCTAACAACCCAAGAAAATTATTAGTCTATACCACAAGAGAATAACAGAATACCTACAACATGTGTCGACAACCCAAAAGAAGAAGAAAACCCTGAACAACACGAGAGAACGCGATACAGACGATGAAAAGGGGGTGGGGACGGGTGTAAGAGCGGTGGGTATTGAGAATAGGTGGGGTGTGTGTAGTAGCGTATGTAAAGTCCCGCTAGTCGCCGCCGCATGAACGACGACAACCACAGGACTATTTGATATAGGCGGCACGGGGGGAGGGGGTGGGTGTGGGGGGGTGGGGGTAGAGGCGATAAGGAAGAATAAGATGGGTAGGGAAGACTAGTAACACAAGGTAACAGAACGTAGAACGTGAGGAGACGATGCGGTATTGATACAGTGCATGGCAACACGCCAGAACGTCAAGGGTGAGAAAGGAAGAAGTAAAGGGGGAAGGAGGGAAAAGAGGAATATGTACAACTGGAACTAGAAGCGGCTGGGGGAACTAGGGGGAGCATTGAAACGTAGAAGGAAAAAACGAAGATAGATAATACCTCGGACCCAATGTAAAGGTGGGCGACGGAGGAAAGATGTATATTACGCGGCTGAGAAAAGGGGGGAACTGTAAAAGGGTTAAAAGAATAAAGGGAAAAGGAGAAGGGGGTAACCGGACAGACAGAGTCCCAAAAAATCCAAGAGAAACACACAGGTTGAAGAGACGACACGAATCTTGCTAAGAGGAATACGTGAAATGCGACGATAATGAATCACAGATAATAAACCCCAGCAGCACGAATCGCCCCGCTCATCGACGAAGCTAAAACAAAAAAAAAGGCTTGTATGGCACAGTGCGACCCTGGGATGCTTGAGGTGGTGTATAAATATAAAAACCGAGGCTCTCGATTGCCCAATGTTAACTGCTGCAGATAACCTATAACCCGGGCGATGCTGTTGATATAGTTTGCTTTGGTTTTCTTCTTGTTGTCTAATCGTCTCCTTTTGTTACAACGCTGCGCCGGATATCCTGCCGAGATGTCGAGCGGAAATAATGATAGATGTGTGGATGGAGGGAAGGAAGGCGAGGAGGACCGACGCTGCGTAAGGACCCAGAGTAATGTGGAAAATGCGATGCGAATCAGAGATGCTGGTATGTGAGAGCATGCATGTGGGTCTTGAATGGATACTGACACAATTGAGATATGGAGCCAAATATAGGAGATGAGAATAAGAATTAGAGTAACCGAGGAAACGATGACGGTCGAAGCCCGCGACCTAACCCTCCGAAAAGAATCGGGTACGGCGAGCGTCCGTCGAGCCGATGACAACGGGGGTATGAATACCCGTGCCAAAGGCGATCCTGGCGTTTAGACCAGGTGTGAAAGTGTGAGGTTGTCCTGAACGAGTGACCGAAGACCGGGATTAAAACCGCTGATGAATGTCGAAAACGGCGTAAGTGTAGAGCCTAGACCAATCCGGGTAGACCCAGAGAACCACGGTGATACGAGGTGAGTGACGAAGCCGAACGTCGGAAAACAATGATAGGACAACGAAGTCGACACTCTTAAGGGCCCCCACGCGCACCATGATAGGTGTCGCATGTGGGTGTAATGGAGAGAGGTCGACCCGAGAGTTTTGAAGTTGACGAAAGTGTGTGGTCGACGTCGGCTTAATCGTGCCGAGTATTAGCAAAATGTGGACGGTAAATATGAGCATCTAGGGAACCCAAAATAAATCTAAGCTACATAGAGAAATTAGTTTCGGTCCCGTCACCTGAACATGTAACAAGAGACGCTTACCTGTACACCTGACGAATTCTATGATATCATACAAATACAATCATGCCATAAAAGCAGGGACGGGAAGCTCTTCAGGACTGGGTGAGTTTTGGAAGACAGAACCCGCATAGAATCCAGCAGGGAGAGCGTTAGCATCAGGGGTGGAAGGAGAAGGCGTCCTGCGCGTGGAAGCCGCCTGAGCACGTCGCTTGGGGATGAGACCGACCAAAGACTTGAGTTCCGCCGAAGCATCAGAGGAGGAAGAATCCTCGTCGGTCGACATCGCAAACATGCCCTCACTTGGTACACGCCGGTGAGTACGGCGACGCTGGGACGGCGTCGGGGTGGCGTTCAAAGAAGCACGGTCGGCGAATGGGTAGCCAGGGGCGGCTGACAAAGGTGCAGTCCGAGGACCATCGTCGAAGATCAACGATTGCTGCTGCCATGTCGCACCAGTCCTCTTGGGAGGGACGCTCGCACTCTCGCGGATCGGCGTAGAGGGAGGTGTAACGTCGTCAGAGTCATCGCAAATAGGGAATGAGTCCCAGTTCACGGTGAGTGCAGGTCCAGTGCTGACAGAGCGAGAACCTCCTCGTCGAGGAGTAGACGCCGTGGTAGCTGGCTCTGAGCGAGCCAACTGCGGCAGGCTAGCTACCTTCTCTCTGATGCGGGAAACAGGGACGGCCTTCGAAGGTGTAGGGCTTGTATTGACCTGGCCGCTCTGTCGACGACGAGCGAGCTTCCCTGAGGGACGAGAAAGTTCAGGAGGCGTACGGAATGTAATCGGCTTCAAGGACTTGGCGACAGGAGAATCGGGGGACTGCTTGCCCGACGGTGAGGATACAACGAACGGGTCAAAAGAGTTGGAGTCGCTCTGGCGTTGATTCAGCGACTGAGCCCGGAGAGGGTTACAGGGGCGAGCAGTAGTGTCGATCTGCTGGGGTATGCTGGCGGGTGGAGGGGGAGACGGTTGATGGCATTGTCGCCGCGCACGGGGAGAATTAGAGGTGCTCCTGGCACACATCGACGACGAAGGGGAAGATCGAAAAGGAATAAATACATGTACGATCGAGGTGATGATGATTAAAGCAACCGCTTACCTCTTGTCAGCCTTATTATCAATGGGGGCTGGCTTGTTCTGGCGACCCCTTGCTGAACGTTCAGGTGAAGCAGAAGTGATCTGTGTCTTGTCAGACTTGGGGGCTGACGACTTCTTCGACTCCTGAACAGACAGAGTTGCTTGAGGTGCTTGAGGGGGCCGATTCGCCTTCTTCGGAGTAGACGACTTGTGTGCCCTCGGCTGTGCTTGAGCTAGCTGAGGGCGAGACGAAGCAACGTTTGCAGGTTTGGAGAGCGACAGAAGTCCTGGCGTATGAGTAGGGCGAACGACGACAGGAGCAGAGGGGTGTCGCCCATGAGTCGGTCGATACGCCTGCGGTGTCGAAAACAAAGCGTTGACTGGTTTCTGAATGGCAATCATAGCGATTGCTAAGTGGGTGTTATGGCGATATGGCGGGAGAGGGAGGAGGCGAGCGCAACGGCGGCGGCGACGAGGAGGATGCTGAAAAAACGAGGCAGAGTCAATAGGGAGGTTCGTAGGGGCGTGCTTCGGCTGCCCGCGATCTTTTTGATCTCTCGGCCCTCCCCCACTTTCAAGCGGAGTTCCAACCCTTACGCACGTACCCATTGGCTCGGGTTGCTCCGGACCCTCATGGTGCCACTTGCCGCTCGGCTATGCCCGTCAAACGCGACCACACACTGGCAAGCAAACACCCCAGAATGGCAGGCTACCGGTCAGCAGGACACCGCAGCAAGCCCCTCTTGGTCTCTCCAGGACCGTCGCCGGCCTCTCTCCTGCCCATACTTGGCCAAGTCTCTTTCACCTCTCCACGTCTGATTGCACTCTCTTGCACTCTCTCCTCTGCCCTCCACGAGACATCTGCTTTGAGACGTGCGGATCCTATACCGAGTGTCTTCACACTCAAGCACCCTGATTGCCAAAACCTTACTCGGTCTTCTGGACCTTCTTCCATCAGCAAACACCTTCACATTGCCTGGACCTTTCCTGCCCTGACGCCAGTTATCGGGACTGCTCCTTCACGCATTGTCTTCATCCAGTGGCTCAATAATCCTTCTCCAGCTGTTGCCGTCTTCTCAATTCGTATTCTCGCAGCAACTCCAACTGTCTACAATTGTCCTACCCGAAAATCCTTGTCCTCGTTCGTTATCTGCTCATGGCCGATATGTGTACACGCAATTGCGCAATGCAGTGTTTCGAAGTCTCGTCCCTCCTGTCATCCAAACGGCGGTGGGATTGAATCCGCTCTCATTCTGGCTGAGTATCCTGCTTCCGCCGTTTCAACGCACATTGCCTCCGAGAACGAGACCTTCGCCGTTACAATCCAGACTTGACGCATGCATAGACTTTTCCCAGCCGCTACAAGCAATTGGCAAACCGTGACCACGTTCGAGTGTGCTTCTGTTGTTACCGTCCCTCGCTGTATTCGCCAATCCGAGTACACATCGATGTCTCTACTTGTTTCTATCAAGCAGATCCCAGCAAATCCTACTACCCCATCATCCCGTCGTCAATCTCCTTCTCCATTGTTCCTAAGCGACACTGCCCAAGTACATCCATCCTAATCTCCCACCCCGCATAGCCGTTTCTTGACAGCTTCTTCCTAATCATGAGGTCTCCCCTTCTTGATTAACATCCACCGTCGTCGGCGGCGATTCAAATCAGACTCAATGTTTGCTTGACCCGGAGCGCTCGTGGACCATGGACCGCCGGTCAATGCCACCAATTTGGGCAATTTTCAGTTTAAGACTCCGACAGAATTAGAGTTTTGCTGGTTGGTCATCCCGTTTTCCCACGAGCGCTCCGCATTTGCAGGCTACGGGCGACTGTTCCCGATCGACGACCGACGCTTTGCTTGAAATGTTTCAAGATTGTTTATCAAAGCTGGTGCACAATCGACGCCCACAAATGTCGTCGTCTCTCGAAACTCGGAGCTCGGATTTTTGGGTCGTGGTTTTGGCCGCCTTCGATATGATGCTATGGGAAAGAAAGGCTATACTTCAATCTATCACCGCGAGTCGTCAACAACCTCCATATGGACATTCGAATGACGTCCATTGTCCCCGATGGTACTGCATTCAACATTCTAACGGGCAATGCGTCCTTCTTCAGCCATATATGCGTATACCGTCGAAGCCCTCACTGTCAATGGCCGGTATTACCCCGGCTCCGTTACATACTATCTACTTAATCGCCGTCCCTACTATTCACTAGTAGCTATGTCTGGCCTCACTGCAAGCTTGATGGACTAGCCAATGATGTCCCCGGAACCGTGATTCGTGGGTGATGCAGCTAGACGGGAACGTCGTCCTTGATCGGATGACTTTAATCGCGCTTGGTTCAAACTCTACTTGTAATCTCCTCTCCCTCTCTGCATCTTCCTGTATCTTCTTCTTCGGTCGGTCTATCCAACCCCGCAGATCTGTGCACGCCCCCAATCACATCATATCATATGAAGCCGAGGAACCAGGGACTCAAGAGACCTATATACCGTTTCAAGCTTCAAGTGTCTTGTGACATCTCTGTGAATGGCAGGACAAGAAGGGTGGGGCTTGCTATATCCGGGTGATCGTCTGCACTCTTCCATTTTTTACGTCTCCTTCATTTCAGTTTCGTGGGTCATGGTCACAAGAGCGGACGAAAGCACTGGATGACTTAAATCATGATGAAAGTGAACGCTGTTTAGGTGGCAAGTACTTGACGTCGTGTTCTATTTTGTTGAATCTTCTCAGGCCGGAATGAATGTGACGACGTTTTGGTCGTCATATCATCAATGCGTCAATGCGTCACTTGCTGAGCTACTTACATGCAGTAGGTTTGTACGAGGTCGTATGTTGCTGTCATCCTTAACCTCTGCACATCATACCTCTGACAATGTCTTCCATTCAGTGTTGTTGTTGTTGTTGCTGTTTTGTGGTCTTCGAATCTTCGACGTGTCCTAGCATCGCAACGCACAGTTGTGTTCTTGACTTATCAATAAGTCTTTGGAATGTTACATAGGCCGTCGCAACGATTGTTGCACTATTGTTCTGTTTTCTTACTTCCTTCGATAGACGGTCGCAGGTTCTTGTGAATCCATTTTCAAATATATCGGTTGTCCTGCCTGTTCAATTGTCTGAGAAAGGTCATAGCTCATTGTGAATGCATATGGGTAACGTATGTAGTCCATGCCAATCTAAACAAGAACCAGATTGGAACCACTCTCACGACTGTCATACGCATCTTTTTCCAGTTGCGAAGTTGCTATATATAAATAACATGGATGAAATGTTCATTTACGTTCGAAAACAAGAAGAAAAGCTAGAGTATGTATGATGATTGTATCAAGGCACAAACATTGAAACAAAGCAATCGCAAATGAAAAGAAACGAGCGACAGACAGCAACACTTGCAAGGAGCTTTATTGTATGTAACTGTTGTACGAAGAGATGCTTACGGTAATAACTCCGTACAGTATTGATTGTGATTTACCGATTACCAACATAAAGGTCGTCGGGTTGTTCTTGGGGGGGAAGAAGCGCAGTCTGAAGTCCATATTGTCTGTCTAAACGAGGAGCATCCTGCGAGGATCTTCAAGGTAGTCTCGGATTTTCACTGCATACGCAACGGGCACCGTCAGCAAAACAGGCGCAGAACGGGGGGGAACCGGGGTGGTGGAGTGTAGTATACGTACCGAGGAAAGTAACGGCTTCCCGTCCGTCGAGGAGACGATGGTCGTAAGTGAGTGCGACTACCATGATGGGTCGGATCACGATCTGGCCGTTGACGACAACGGCTCGTTCCTTGATGGTGTGCATACCTAAGATTGTTTGAAGTGGTAAGACAACGGGTACCGGTGAGAAAACAATAAGAAAGGCAAGACAAGGAAACATGAAGAAACGCAACGGGAACGAGGTACAAGTGAGCCATGACCAGTTCAGGGGACGAAGGAAGTGGGAAATGTGACAAGACAAAAAGAGATGAGAAGAAACCGAGACGAGACGCACCGAGAACAGCTGCTTGCGGCACGTTGATGATGGGAGTACCATAAAGTGAGCCGAAAACGCCTCCGTTGGAGCTGAACAAGCGAAATAGATTCAAATCAGAATGGGTGGGCAGGAGGAAACAACGAGGTGGGAAAACGCACATGGTGAAGGTTCCACCCGCCATATCTTCCAGCGTCAGCTTTCCATCACGAGCCTAGAGTAGGAGTATGAGTCAGTCACGATCAGGAAAACAGTACACATCAAGGCAAAAAGTTCCGTATAGAGATCTTACCTTCCTACCCAACGCAGCGATCTCTTTCTCTATCTCCACGAAGTTCATGCTATCAGCGTTACGGACGACGGGTGTAACTAAGCCCTTTGGTGTAGCAACAGCAACGCTGAGGTCGACGTAGTCTCTATACACGATCGAATCGCCTTCGATTGAAGCATTCGCCCCGGGAATCTCCTTGAGCGCAAGACAACACGCCTTTGCGAACGGGCTCATGAATCCGAGCTTTACGCCCTGAGTCTTCAACACCTCCTCCTTGTACTTCTTGCGGAAGTCAATCAAGCTCGACATGTCGATCTCGTTGAACGTCGTCAGCGATGCAGCCGCGTTCTGAGACTCCTTCAGACGTTCTGCGATACGCAGACGCATACGGCTCATCTTGACATGTGTCTCAGTTCTAGCACCGGCCACGCGAGGAGGAGCGACTTCAATTTCTTTTGCTGCCTCCTTCGGTTTTGATGGTGGTGCAGCCTTTGGCGCTTCCTTAATCTCCTTCTTTGCCTCGCCTCCTTCCCGAGCAGGTGGTGGGGGTGGAGGAGGGGCCTTCTCCACTGGCTGCTCTTTAGGCTCTATCTTTGCCTCAGCCTCCTTCTCAGGTTTTGGTTCCTTGGTTTCTGGGACACCCTCTTTTGGTGCAGCAGCGGCACCAGCTTCACCGGGTTCGAATCGGAAAAGATCCTGACCTACGGCAACGGTATCTTCTTCGCCGGCAAGGAGTTCGGTAATGGTACCAGCACTAGGTGCGTTCACAGATACGTCGATCTGCGGAGAGGATTATATTGCAGGCTGGAGAAAGGTTGGGAAGTAGAGCTGGAGCGGTACCTTATCGGTCTCGATAGTAGCAACCTCTTCATCCGCTTCTACTGGGTCTCCAGGCTGTTTATGCCATGTCTTAAGAGTACCTTCAGATATTGATTCTGCCATCTGAGGGACTTTGATAGTCTCGGCTGCGAACGTATCGGTAATGTCAGAACGAGTTCCGTAGTGCATAATTTAAATGCTGCACGGAATCACCTTGCAACAACTTCGATGAGTGGAACTGTGCAACCCTCGCAGATGTGCTTGCAACACTCCTACAGACTTTGTTTGAGTACGTTGCGATAAGCTGAACACATGTGTAACATACCATCCTCTTGACAACGCAACTGCACCTGCGCGATTGCGAGGAAGCAAAGCCCGTCCTTGGGCAATAGCAATTATACGTTTCGACAACATTGAGGAAATAACAACACTACAAGGACGATAGAATAGAGGCCAGCTCGTTGCTGGCAGCGATGGTGGCAGGAGAAAAGAGACGAACAGTATTGGCTCTCTACGTCAACGTCAGGTGACTCACTCGGCTTTTCTGCCCTTACACCGAGCAACGCCGACAGGATTCCAGGACCCCGCTCGGAATGTAATCGCAACCCCAGAAGCTACTTAGAAAGATTAGAATCAAATCAATGCGGACTATTGAACAGTAATAGCAGAAGTATAAGCCACTACTATTGGAGGAAGAACCCCGATTACGAAGTATCTCAAGGTTTCATTGGTCAACCGGTCATACTCGCGTTCAGTCCTGTTCAGTCCGATGTTCTTTACTAAAGAACTCGGAACGTTTCCTCATCATAGTATAGTAATATGAATCTCCAGACGATATCATCCGAACCAGCCCGTCAGTGCATACATCCACATCCTACTTACAAGCTGAAGCGATATACACCGAAGCTCAATCCCGGCACGCGAAGTCCAAAAGTGACAGCCAAATCCTATTGGTTGACGTAGCTTATAAGCGCTAACCATTTGGGCGGGAATTTGGCGATGTATGTACTGCCTCGAGTCACGCGGGTATCATACGGGCAGCACACAGGAGACGGGAAGCGGGAATAAATCTCCTAGATCACCGAGGAATCGAAAGATCGACGTGCCCAAGAACCTGGAACGCCTGAAAGTTGTAATTTCAGGATCTCGCATTTAAAGGCTCCGTCTTTCCCTTCCTGAGTCTCCTTGTTGCTCATCAGGCGCTTACTACCTGCGACCAGAACTTAGGCCTACGCCTCCTCATTCTTTGACAGTATTCGCCTGCCATTGTAGTGTAAAATCGTGTCGGTATGAAACAGTTGTTCCTCCCTTCTTCCTAGCTACAATGTCCAACTCACCCGCTCACTCACAGAACTTGACGGTTGGACAACTGACTCACGCTTTAGTCCAGAGGGCTGGTCAAGGTCCACTCCATGAGTAAGTCTATCTGCCACGTATCTTCAGGCCTTCGGTAATGAGTGTTCTTGCAATAGTCAGGTTGAAAGAAGATCTTGATGAGATCCCGGTAAGTGACTGCCAGGATGTCCTGTGTGCTGTCGGTCTTATCTCAGAATTTAGCTTGACATTATTGAAGATGAAATAGCGAAGGCACTTCAATCACTGCATTATGTTCATAACGCGAAACAGCCAGTTAATCGGTGCCCACCCGAAATACTCGGTCATATCTTCCTCTACATATGCAATCCTGTGCTCGACTAATATTTCGACTCCGTTCAACCGCCTCCCGTAGAGAACGCCTATAAGTGGCTTCACATCATCTTTACCTGTCGCCGCTGGTATGATGTTGCCCTTGGGTTGCCCGCATTGTGGTCGACCATCATTTGTGGTCACCTTAGTTCGACCTCCATTTCATCCTTTCTTGAACAATCACGCGAGTCGTCGTTGAAAGTGTTCATCTCGGAGAAGCATGTAGTGCCTAGTGCTCAGCAACCACCAATGAACCCTCAACGAGTTCATCCTCCAGCTGCCCCCAATCCGCCAGCGATGGCAATGCTGCCTCCACCTCTGAATGTGTGGCATGGCGTAGCGCCACATCTTGAGCAGATGCCTCCCATGCCTCCACCAATGGCCGTTCCTCCACCGATCCCACAATACCAAGCGCCATTCCATCCCCCAATGCATGCCCAAATGGCGAACGTGCATGGGCTCGCAGGACAGGCTATGCAGCCGGCGGCTCCGCCTCTCCTTCCCCAACAAATCTTTGGAGGTCCTCCCGGGCGAATTCCCGCCGATCCGATTCAAGCTGCTTTTCTCCTAGAGATGCTGCAGCTGTTTGTTCCCCATTTGAGCCATCTGATGGTATTCGTATACGATTCAAATATCATACCAGACGATCTCGTCGACGTTCTCAGCGGGGAAGCGCCGCGATTGCGAAAGCTCATTTTTGGATGTAGTAAGATCGCCAGGCTGTTTTATACTAGGTTGCCTCCTCTGTTCTCTGGAATACGCCTTCGTTGAAACTGGTTTGCATGCAGAATTTCCCGACGTGGCCTGTAGAGCAGATGAGCAACTTGAGCGGCCTGCATCTAAGACATCAAGCTCTTAATAACCCAGTATTTTGTCGAAGCCTTTTCGAGACATTGCGACGTAGCCCACGCCTTCAACAACTTAGGTTATCTGGCCTAGGTATGCAAGCAGGTGGTGGTGCCTTAAGGTCAAACATAACAACTCCTGTTGAGCTACGATGCTTGCGTAGTATCAGCCTCGCACACTTTACTCCCGTGGTGATTTCCCAGTTTCTCTCGCGGATCCATGTCTCTGATGCCGCGAGTATCTTCATTACGCCTGACGATGCTTCGCGTGATATTGAAATGTTCCTTCCCGTTGACGACAGACACCTTCCAGGTCTGGAAGCTGTCGCCGAGATGAATGTCGTTTGCCGCTGGGGAACAAATGCATCGTGTGAACTGATCTTGCGAGCACCGTCACGATGTTCTCCAGTCCTTACGGCACATGGTCGCGCATTGTCACAAGGCGATATTGTCTTAGCCAACCTCGCACGAGTCTGCCCACTTTCCGGTATATGCCGTCTTAGTCTGACGAGTATAGGTCTCCTGCATGGGTACAGCGCGCACTTCTGACATTTTGTTATCCAGGCTATGCCTTCTCTCGTTGAAGTACATCTCGACAACTTCTTACCTCACACATTGATGTGGGTCTTCCTCGGGAACAGCAACTTCACTATGTCCGACTTCGACCCTGACTATCAATCGAGAAAATGTTCCGACGACACCCACCGAGGACACATTTTCATCCACTCTAGTCGAGAGTTCTATGGACGTTTAGGTGGATTGCCGACGGTAGTGAAGACTGTTCATGAATGCCGACCTCCTAAGGATGACGACGATGCTGCGGGTGAGAATACTACAGCTAATGTGAAGCATATCCGGACTGTGGTGACGAGAGACATTGGAGGGAACCCTTGAATAAGTGTCTGATATGTTGTTAACTGTCGGAGGATTTCTTCATGTTTTAATGGATTCGTGGTAGGCTTAGCATTGTAGCCGAACAATACAATAATCAGTAGTTTGATTTGTAAACGATTGGGGTGGCCAGAGTTGAGCGAGGGATGGACTACAACTCGGTGTTAATGAATACATGTGTGCAGATTTAGACATGACCGAAAACCGCGAGCGGCTTGTAAGGCTCTTCAAGATGCTTGACCTCTTCCTCAGTCAACTTCACATCCAGACCATCTGAAATGAGTAAACATTAGTCTTCCGACATTCGCTGTGTTTGGACTAGTGGTCTTACTGATGAGATCCTCCATGTTCTGAAGGCTGGTTGTGCCGATAATGGGAGCGCTTACACCTACGAGAGCAAGGGAATGCACCATTAGTACCTGCCTACCAAGATGGACAAATATTAACTGTACCTTCTTTCGACAACATCCAAGCAAGGGAAATCTGAGCCATACTAACACCTTTCTTCTGCGATAGCTCTTCAACTCTCTTCACGATCTCGGGTCCTCCGGGTGTCGTCGAGTAGTATTTGTACCATCTACACAGAGAATATGTAAGCGAGATTAGTGATGTTCACCGTGATCACAGCTACGGAGCGTACTGATCAGTTTCGCCTCGCTTGGTTGACTGGCTGAGAGGACGAGTGACATAGCCACGAGCAAGAGGTGACCATGGGATTGCGCCTACGCCAAACATCTGATACATTCCATGAGAAAGACACTCTGAACAGTTCTGAGAGGAAGACTATGCACCTTTAGGGTCGGAAACATCTCGCGTTCCTCCTCACGGTAAGCCAGGTTGTAATGGTTCTGCATCGAGATGAAAGGCGTCAAGTTATTCTTGATGGCATAGTCTGAGGATGCATCAGGAGATTGCCCATTATGAATAATTAACTCGTTTGAAACATACTCTGCATGGCATGGACTACAAATAATTGTCAGCAGACCTAGTAGAAACAAGGCGGAGCCACATACACTGATAGGCGAAACAAGAACTCATGCCGATGTAACGAACATACCCCGCCTTGACTACGTCGTGAAGGGCCTGCATTGTCTCCTCGATCGGGGTGTCATAATCGAAACGGTGGCCTAAGTAACTCATTAGCGGGCGGAAGTCCAGCGCACCTAGAAATGCTCACACTGAAGAACGTCGATGTATTCAAGCTGGAGACGCTCCAAGCTATGCTTTACTGATTCGAAGATATGCTAGAATTCAACTCAGAAACCTAAAAGCACTAATAAAGCAAAGTGCTCACCTTACGACTAAGTCCATATTGGTTGACGAGGCCTACATCATCGGGCTTAACGCCAGACTTGTAGAAGTTCTCCCCGTAGGATTTAGCGACTGGTGCAAAGACCTAACAATGGAATAGACATTTAAAAACATGTGGTTTCTTCATTCAGTGCAGGAACTTTCTACTCGCCTTAGTCATAATAACAATCTCGTCTCGCGGCAATTTCAGCTCCTTGATGGCTTTGCCTAAGATGATCTCTGACAAGCCATTCGAGTATGTCTGGATGGGATGAGGATTAGCTGGCTCAAAATAACTCGCAATGTACTGGACCTACGTTAGCAGTGTCGAAGGTCTGGATGCCATGGTCGTATCTGGTTGTGAATCGTCCATCGTTGACATGGAACCACGGAATAAGACCAGGTACGCTTACGCAAACTTGATCTGCTTGAATGCTTCCTGCTCGTCACTGATTACCCACTCTTGCCATTCGGAGGAGCCGTATTGCATGCATCCTAAAATGACTCTTGAAACCTTTAATCCCGAGGTTCCGAGGCGAACTTTGCGACGATACGGAAGAATGAGCTTGCAAAAGATGGCCTTGAACCTTTACATGGACTTACCATATGAAACTTTTTTGATGCTCGCAGACATGGTAGATGATGTAGGTCTTGGGAAGGGGATGCGTTGGACTATACTTTATTGCCATGGTAGAAAGCACCTGCACTCATTTAAATACAGCACGTACTTGGAGCTGCCGAGCAGACTCGTATACTTTACAACGCCATATGCCGTGGTGTGCTGAGTGAGATCGTGAGTCAACCACATCCGACTCGGACGTCATAAATAGATCGATCGCATACGTGGAAAATATCCTATATGTAGCAGTTCTATGTTCTATCAGCTCCCGGGTCGGTTGAGGCTCGAAAATACCCCTACGTTCTTTATGAGAGTCAGTTGCGTTAGAAAGAGCACTGAAGTGCACTTTGGACCACCACCGCAACTGGCTGAAGTTCCATGTTAACCGTGGATCCAAGACATGTGGCAGATGCCTCAATACCTCTTTCGGCTAAGATATTTATAGATTAGATATGTTCTCGTCCGACATGGGATCGAGCAAAATATCGCAAAATCATGGCAATATGAAAGTAAGGATAGAAAGACAGTATGTTTTCATGCAGTCGTATTGATCAGTCATGGCGTGGCAAAGTGACAGTGGTCAACAGTGTAATGATATTCCTACAACGCGACGTCTGGCGCAATGATCATCCTCCAAGACGAACACACGAAAGATACCCGTGGATGCGAAAACATAGATAACAAGCTCGAAGCATATATCATACAACGAAAGCGGGTTTAATACAATGGTGTACAAGACAAAGGGATTCAGATCATGTGGTTTTGGGTACTTGAATGTGAAGTGCATTGTCATATTTATCTTCAAAAGAAGCAACCGAGGGATCGTAGTCGCGTGTCCACCCTATGCTCGCCGGTACGGGGATCCAGAGGTATCATGCTACTAATACAGTACAAAAGGAGGTACTCGAGAGAACCGCATACTCAAATCAGTTAGGTATATATCTGAAGAGCTGCATTCAGAGAAGCCATACATAACCGACACACGGCGAACTCACCAGTTATAGATGAGCAATAGTGAGCCTTAGCAGCCCACGATTCGTAACGCTGGGAAAACCTGACTGGAGATCCTGCATGATCATATCGAAGTCACACGGTCGTAGGGCGCGAAGGTATTTGACGTGGACTTCGGTTAGTCCGCTGAACTCCGATTTGGTGAGGTGTTTATCTAACTCAGCGTAGCCTGAGTTGACATCGCGTGAGGGCATGTGGAGGACGATGGTTTGAAGTAGACCCGGGAAAGGAAGTTGATCCAACCAGCGAGTGATGCCTGGATGAAGCGGATCGTGAATTTCGAGTTTGCGGAGGTTTGAATTGCTTTCAAGGCTGATATGCTCCATTGTCGCTGTAGAGCTAGAGCGTTATTGACGAAGAAGGTTAGATAACACGTGGTGCCTACCTTTGTAAGTTTGTTCGCGGAAGACATCAATGCGTGGACGTCGTGCAACCAAAGCGAGATGTTCCAGAGAACCCCCCACGGTCCGGATGAACTCGGAACTCTCCTTAAGTCTCTCCATAGAATCTACGCCATCTACAGAGAATGAGCGTAAGGTAGAGAGCGACTCAGTGTGTGCAATCCATTTGTAAAATTTGGCACACTGTTGAGTCTTCTCCACTCGGAGAGAGATCAACCGAAGCTGGTCGTGTTTCGAAAGTGGTATCAAAGGACCACCCTCGTCTGGGAACCCTCCCTGCTCAAGCTCCAGATAAGCAAGATTGGGAAGAGCACAAGCGGCGGATTGGATGAGGGAAAGGGAAAGCTGTGAACGTCGAAAGCGGAGGGTGTCAACAGTGCCGAATTGAGAGAAGACTTTGGTGATAGCAGTCCGATCGACAGGCGCATCCCTTTGCAGTCCTCGAAACTCGAGGGTATGCAATCGTGGAAGGTGAGGCGCAAGATTGATCATTTTCAGCAACATACGTTGCGGAGGGACAGTAGATACAATCTCCTGAACCCAATGAGGGAGGACTGTGCCACTCTCGAGGTACTGCAATAAGTCTTGGAGTTGTGAGTCCCTTGACACCAGTACCTGGCAAAATCGGTGCTGGTGGATGGCCTCATGCCATAAGCGACACGTCAAGGCACATGCCTTCAGAGCGGAATGCGAGGCATAGAGATATGCAGCTATTATGCTGACGATCTCGAAAGGCAAGAAACTGTTCTTTGCATAGATCGAACTGCATCAGTTCACAAGCATCATTAGTATTTCGAGTTGAAGTATGGAGTGTCTCGTACCCAAAGCTGTGCGGACTAGCATCGGGGGACATGTCCATATCTGTTCTGGAAGACATGTACAAGAACTTTATACCCAGTCCCTCATGAAGTGAGTAGCTTTCAAGTTACACACGAAGAGGTGGCCAGGAGGAGGAGCAGACCTACACGAGGACGTTGGCGCCCATATGTGCTAACTTATCTCCTTCTCACCACCATCTCGGTTTTACCTTCTGGGTTGGATTCGTATTTGGTTTTTCTTTTCCTCAAACTCGAGTAAGCTGAACTTATCAATAGTCTCGAAAGTGGATACTAACTTCAGTTTACAGGAATATCCGCACCATAACTCGAGCCTATGATCATATTCGGTACAATCCCGATAATTTGCAGACATCGCCCTAGTCAGATAGCATACACGCGCAGATAATGGCCTGCACTCTTGTGCTACGTCTTCCAGATAAATAATCAGTATATCCTATCTGAGATTCATAGCGTCAGAAGGCGGGGATTTAGAGCATGCTATTAAACAACTCCGATCGGCCTATCCCTCAAACTCTGCCTGGAGAGGTTCTTGCGCGTATATTCGCTTTGGCGGAGCCGAAATATGAGGACTTTGGCGTATTTCCGGGTAACTTCGAGTATTATAGGCATTTTGCTTGGGTTGAAGACATGTCCCTTATCTGTTGCCACTGGCGGAACACGTTTGTCCTGTCTCCAGAGTTATGGACTACGATCATATGGCGCCCTCCACGCAAGAAATTCATAAGAGCGGCACTTGCGAGGTCCGGAAATCATCCTTTGCGGGTGTATGCGCTTTCTTCCATGGAAGACGAAGGAAGCCCTGAATGGGACGTGGAACGTGACGAGGATGAAAAGCTGGACGCTGCTGCATCCTCTGATTTGTACAAGATGCAGCCCAGGATATCCTATCTCATCAGGTACAAGGACTGGGATCCACCAAACCCTCCGGTGATGTCGAGAAACTATTACGATCCGGAAGACTTCTTTAAGGACATCGCACAGCATATCAGACGAGTCAAAACGTTCCATCTCACGCTCCCTGGCGTCCAACTCCGCATGCTTTTGAAGATTTTCACTACTGCCGCACCTCAGCTCGAAACTTAGACTCTGGGAACCTCTTTGAGACAGCGGACCTGGTACATGAAACAGAAGCTCGTTCCTCGTCTTTTCTCAGGACAAGCCAACTCGCTACGCCAATTATCATTGACCAACTTTACGGGATGGCCGATGCACTTTGCCCGTGATCTCACGCATCTTTCGCTTCGCGGTCTGAGCCTCGACGATCCTGAAGTCTACCAAAGGTTCCTTGACACTCTCCACATCGCTCGCGACTTAGAGGTCCTAGTTGTGAAATCCCAAGACAATCCGCATGAAATTCAGACTTCGCTCATCGGCATCGCCCCAGTACGCTTGGAACACCTTCGGACACTTGCGATCGACATGACCACTCGGAAACGAGTTGCCAAGCTTTTATCACACATTTCCCTTCTGTCAACTACAAGTGTTGTCATCAAATGGGACGACATGGATGACCATCCAGACAGGTTCTTCCCCCCAGTGCGCTCACAATTGTTCAATATCCGGGACCCCAGTGAACTTCTGCTTCTTTGGGAGTCCGGCGACTATGCATTCCCGTTAATCAAGAGCGGAGCAAGCGTATTACCTGTTTTCGCGACGACGGCGGTGGCGATCGATGACCTTCCTCGCTATCTACGTACTTTGGGCTACATATTCAACCTCAAAGAGCTTCGTCGTTTATCATTCTACAGTCGAGACTACGGTGATCCTCGCGACTACGAACCCTCAGTCTGGCGAAAAATCCTCGTGTCTTCCGAAGCTCGAGTCCATCCACTTATACAATTATCACCCCTTCACTTTGTTGACTGTTCTGTTGGGCTGTGACGTGGCCAGTGCGCCGGAACATCCTGGGCTCATGCAAATGGGAGCAGAGTTCAATAGATTGCAGGACGAGACAGAAACTGCAGACAGAGCAGCCACCAAGATGCAGAAAGAATATGAAGAAGTTGAGATGGACGGTTCGAACCCTTGGAATATGCTTCCACCTCTTGACCCTCATCTCCGTCACCGTCATTTCGTCCGTTTAACGAAGCCATTGGACGTTCCGCTTCATGGCCAGCCTGCCAAAGCACGAATAGCCTATGGGTGTCAATGGCGATATGGTACTTCAGGCGGTCATCAAATGTTTGTGGAGACGTCAGTTGTTCTCAAATCTTCGGTCAACGATCCTAAGATGACTATGACTCCGAGAGAAGACATGGATTCGATTAAGGCTTGGTGCCAGCAGTGGGCTGTTTACTTTCGGACATACCTCATTGTCCCTTCTTTGTTGGTCGCGCCCTTGGACAATAAATAAGCTCCCGATGGTAGACGTGACGAGAATGCTTGAGAAGGTCAGGATAATCTGGGCTGGGACATATGTTCAATTCGCACGAGTGAGCTTTCATATCGCCCGGTATTTTCTTGTCGAAGTACTACATTCAATAGGTAAAAGAATTCTAGTGCTTTCGAATTTGAACGCAATTCGTTCACGTTGGTCTAGCTGGCAATTTAACTGCGGGGCTAACCGCAGGTAATGGCCCACTTTCAGGCTTGAAGGGGCCAAAGGAGGACTGGTCAATGACTTGTCCGCTACCATAAACGGCCTTAGCGGTGGGTGCCTTGAAAGGATGACATTCGGTATTGAAGACCCCTGTAAGTGGCAATTGGTCAAAAGTAGACGATTCCTACTGTGAGCAACTCACATTCATCCAGATTGATGTGACTCGGATCATCGAAGGTGAGGTATCTGTAGACGACTCAGATTACCAGTCGTTCGAATTTCTACAGAGGACTCACAAGTACTTCAAGACCTCCGCGTACCAGAAGCTTTCTGTATCGTCAATGAACCCTGAGTCCGCTTCATTGACGTTCCAAATGCCAGCGAATGCAACTGGTGCCTTGAGGAACTTATTGATACTGTTGATTGCAGATGCAGCGCGATCGAGGTACGTTCGATTTCCGGTGACACGCCAGGCGTAAAAGTTGGATTCCAGGACTTCGGGGCGAAGATAATAATACTCTGCCTGGGGATATAGGAAAAACCCGTGTTTCTCGTAGAAAGCAAGGTCTTCTGCTGTTGGTGTTGCCCCGGTAAAGTTGCCGTCAGATGAGAAGAAGCCAAAGATTTCTGGACCAATTCCCGTCCTGTGAAGAAGAATATCATCACTTCTTCTAGTGTAACGTTGCACCGAAAATACGTACATCGTACTGGCGTAAGTGTTCCAGCAAGCTTCATTCAGTTCGAGGCCAGTATCAACAATAGTCTGATTATCCAGAAGGCGGCCGCCTCAGTACGGCAGTATGTCAGCGCTCTTTTCGAGGAAGTATTACGGTTCATACTGACCAAACATCCAATTTCCAGCATGAAAGCATTCCAGGTGGGATCCAATATGTCTAAGAGTGCCGTCGTCCTGCTGATCGGCCAGGTACAAATGGTTTCCGACTGTCGACGTCTATACAAGAGTAGGTCGATCTGTCCAGCAGAAGAGTCGAGGTATAGGTCACCTACCCTGGCCAATCTTTTGAGAGAGCTGTCTACCGCAGTTGCCCATGTGTCCGCGAAGAGATTGTCGTCAGTGTTGGTGAGTCGTGCATACTTGATTAGGTACTCAAAATAGCTGTCAGAACCTGACCCCCAAGTCTACGGATAACTCTGTAAGATGTTCCAGGGGAAAAAAGGTTTCATACGAACTACGAATGCACCGACAGACTTTCCAGTGGATGGATTGAGACCTTGAGCAGCAAGGCCTATTCCGAACTATCTAGCAACGGGAACAGTGAGTGAGGAAATAGAAAAGCGTTATACCTGGAAGGGGTGCAGGCTAGGGTGCAAGACCGAAATTGAATATTCAAAATCAAACAGGGCAAAAGGCAAAGACGCACAAGTTGAGCGATATGTCGGACCGTATCTTCGGCAAGTTTGCGATAGGTGTCATTGCCGCTGTACTTCCTGTTTTTCTACTCATTTATATTGAGATTTTCCTAGAAGAACAAGGTCATTTACGTGAGAGTGAACCACTCCAAGCTCAGCTGTCGGACGTATACAGCCCTTAGAATGAGTGTTGTGGCAAAGGAATATCTGACGTACCGTCCCAGCCTGCGAGATGACTGACTAGTTTCATGTCAGCCAGGAACCAGAAATCACTGTCACTTTGTACTAACGTTCTCCAAAATGGGGATGCTCGTATTAAAGTCTATATTCATGAATGGTATAGGACTGGTTCCCTGTCCCCAAAGAAGCATAAATCCAGATTTTCGGAGAACAGAAGCAAGACTCACGGGAACCCAAGCGAATGCCATCTTATTGGCAACTTCCTTCGCTTTCTCAATCAGTGCAGGGAATTTCTGCCCGCTGAGTTCATATGCACTCAACAATCCTGCAAGGTACCGAATTGTAGTTTCGAACACGCTAATGCGAGACAGCGTTAGAAGGGAAAGTCAAGGAGTTGAGATCGGTTTACTACCTGACCGTATCAGAAGTGTGTGAAACGTTGAAATCAATCTTTGAACTGAAGTCAACGGCTTCGATAAAGAGTTCCTGATTTCTTTGAGTATCATGTCAGTTGGTCGGCAGTTATTCGCACCTCTTGTCCCATAATTGCCTAAAACGCATCGAGCTTCAGTGAGAAATAACAGTGACTGGTAATGGCTCACTAATGTTGTCATCGCGTCGACGACGGTTGCACCCCATCCATTACGACCATCAAAGAATGACTTGGTCACAGGTGTGAGATCATCGTGGGGAAATGCGAACTGTCTACAAGATCGGAGCTGTTAGATGAAGAATGTACGAAGCATAGAATACCTAACTTGTATGCTTGATAGCAATCTAGGAATATGTTTACCACGGCTTGTTGATGCATATGGGTATCTGGAGGTAGGAGCAGAAACGGGTTCTGAACAGAGCCACCAAGAACTCCCATCAACCGAAGAGATGCAAGTAAGGATATGACGAGATGATGAAAGAGCATCCTTGTAGCAAGAGGAGAGTCTAGAGTGTGAGCTTGCGACGTCTTTGGAAGAGGTGCATGCTCAGACGGACGGACAGTATTTTAAATGATTTCCTAAATGCTTCTCCAATAGAAGTGGGTTCCTGAAGCATACATTGATCTAGTCAAAGCTTGTCAGCTGCTGCTTCCCCGCATGGTTCTAGCAAAGGATTTTCCATTTGTGCTTCTCAGTAGTGGATATGGTGACTCACATGACAGAACCTAGGTGTGATTTCTTGATATATATATTCATAGCGGCAGATCGTCTCTATAACCAACCCGCGAATACAGTGAGCACTGGGCTCTATGAAGTCCATTACCAACTATCCCGTAGCCTTCACAGTCAGGAACGCAGCTGATATTTCATCGTTGCATCGGAGGAACTTCAGAGCCAGAGGAAAGAATATACCGGTAGACGTACTTGGACACCAAATCGACGTCTCGTAAGAAACCCATGACGCTTCAAGCGCATGGTCGAAGATGCGAAGCCACCCAGAAGGCGAAAATACAATAAGAGCCTTGCGTTCTCTATTCTGCGTAGCCCACGCTGTCAAGAACGTCTGACGTCAATGGATTGATTAAGTGAAGGCAGAAGGAAGAATGCAATCAAGACCCTGTAGAACGTGGAACAAGGACAAGGGGGAGTGAAGCATAGTAGTCCTTGTCAAAATGGCCGCCTCAAGACTGTGGATGGTTCTTAGAAGTTCTACGAACGTACACCGAAGTTGTCAGTGCTCAATCGTCTCGAATGAGGGGACCACCTTTTCACTTCAGTTGCTTTGTTTCATCTCGAAAGGCAGAGAAAAACGCACTGAATCGTGACCCAAACGACTGTGATACGACTCGGTGCTGCAGAGGTTCTCGCAAGAGAGAACATACATATGGTTGATGTCACTGTACACATCCCCGCTTTGACTAAATTTGTAACGAGATCCAGTACACGTGTTATTTGGAGCGCGTAATGGATCCACAGGAGTGATACATAAAGAATCACGACAAATCTGATTCAAAATACTACAACGGAATGATTGCGTATGATGGCAAGACCAAGATGTCTGCACGAACCTACGAGTATGTTAAGAGATGTTGGAAAATTTGCATAATGATATTCAGTCGTCTATCGATGTCATAGCCTATAATCTCCTCGCTCGTGAACTATGTCGACAAGAAACCTAGAACAGTTACTCACAGTTTCTCCTCTGGATCGGCCATGAAAATCTGCAGGAAACCCCGACAATGTGCTTTGGGAAAGACTCTTTGGATTTCTTTCGAGACAAGGTCGACTGCAAGCGTGCCTTCGTATAAGAACCGAATCTCGCGAAGACCACTCAGATTTGAATTCGCCAGACACTCATCAAGCGTCTCGTAAGCTTCACTTTTGAGCTCTCGGGGACGGTTGAAAGATATTCTGAAAACAATCTTTTCGAGCAAACCAGGAGAGGGTAGATGTCTGAGCCATAGAACTAGAGTCGGATCCAATACGTCGAAGAACTCGAGTGTCCGTACATGCGAAAGTGCGAGTCCTGTAGTGGTGTACCAGAGTGAGATCTTGTTACTGGCTTGCGTTCCACCTGAAGTACTCAATATCAGATGGAAAACGAAGGAGACAATAACTCACCGTCTACCCATTTCGCTTTGTCTCGCACAATTAAGCGAAAATGGTTAATGAAAGGTCCAAATGTACCAAGCAATGCAGGCATAAGTCGGTGATTCTCATCCATAGCCAATGTTTGAACAGTGTCCCATGTCCTTATCCATGATATGAAGCCATTTTCACTTGATGTGTTATCCCTCACGGATTCGACATACAGGATAGTAAATTGTGGCTTGTTTTGGATAGCCATCGGCGAAAAGGTTTGCTGAGAGTCGATAATAGTGGCATTTACCAATCGAAGTGTTCTGACATTTGGCATAACAGAGGCCAAGGACTGCAGCATCCCAAGTTCCAGTCGGGTATTTGCAATGACCAGTTCCCGTACCGAGATAAACTTTGAGAGATGCACCATGAAGCGCGAGAGCCACTCTGAGTCAAAGTTTTGATGTTCGAACCGGAGAACTGATAGTCTTGGAAGTAATGAGGGCAAGGCAGCAGAGAGTCGAAGAACCCAATAGGGACATCCCGTACTCCACCACAAACCAGCATTGCTGGGGTGCGGAGTCCTGACGTGGAGTTCCCTGATCCAATGCTTAATCACGTTAAATCGGACGTTGGGGCTTCGTAGAAATGAAACCAAGGAGTCGAATTTGTCGCCATTACTTAGGACGATTCGAGAGTAAATGTAAGGTCGGCCTGCCGCATACCAGGCGTGACAAGCAAGCGTGCACGCTCTCACCGCGCGAGGTGAGTTCCAGAGGTGTCCAACAACAAGTGCAACTATTTCGTTGGGGAACGGACCTTGTTGAAGTGCTTTCACAGCGGTAATGCCGGTAGTAGACTTCAAACAACCGTGAATCAGTGGTGTGCCATACATTGTCATCCACAAGGCTTACGTTCCGGCACATCTCATGGTCTGAAGCACTTTCTAACGGAACCTTGAGAAGAGAATGAAAGAGAGTTGGGTTGAGGATGTCTGATCGATTCAAGATCGTTGAATATAAGCGAACACGCGTCCTTCCCACGCATACCTCAACTCGGTGACAATCAAGGAACAACCAAGGAAGCCTAATGCTACCATGGTACGCAACGCTAGTACCTCAGACATGTCAGTCCATGTCTATAGTTTTATTCGAAGGATCCAAGTCCGTACGAATTTCATAGATATCGACATTAGCCCGACTATGAATGGAGTTCAAATTATACCGCCCACAACTTAATCTCTGAGTTAAACGGAGAATGTCTCGATTCGAGAGGGTATGGAAAAGTACTACAAGTTTCTGTGGAGCTTCATGAATGCATAGCTCGCCTTTGCATGTAAATCAAGTTTGGGGAACGCCGCTTAGGTTGCAATGAGTGGGCCATTTACTGAACTCGCTAATGTCCTTTCCCGAAACCCACCAACGTCCCTCAAGAAGACATGGCGCGTGATTTGCTCAAATAGACTGCATGTAGATAGCTGAAACATCCACAAAGATATCACCAATTTGTAGATACGCCCGCATATGGAGACGCCAGGAACCGCAGGTATTCAATTGAACTCCTGAGATGGTATCCGTGAATCAAGACATTTCTGTCGACCACAAGGGTTCTAGTTCTGTTTAAAAATGCAATCATTCTAGGAAAGAAGCCCAGTCCTATCCCAGGTCTATTCGATTTCCGAGGATGGTCCTAAACTGCGGCCTGTACGCTAGTGCAGGTGTGTCAACAGTTCCGCGAGGGAAGCCGGCAATAACGAAGCGGTGCATTCAGTGTACTGATGCTGGTAAAAGTACAGACAAGGAATTCACATATTCAACTGACAATCTTGAATCGTGATGAATTCCGGGGATGCCTGAGTGTGGTAGTTTTGCCTAGAAAGAAACGATCTCAATATGCAAACCAAGGTTGCGCACACGAGATGGCGTTCAGGCAACTTGAGTGAACTGCTACTTAGACGCCACCGAGTTCGTTCCAAAGGCGGGAATGCAACGGAGACTGTTGCACAACAAACACAAACAGAAATGTTGGCCTAGCTCGGACAAAGTTGAGCAATAAGTAGCCTATTTCTATGGATACATGTGTATACATTCGGATATCGTGTCGTCCTGTGTGGTGAAATCTTTTTAATTGCCATGTTTGAGTTTGTTTAGAGCAGCTTCAGTAAATCGCTCATTACACCCATTGCGGTGACGGCAGCTCCTGCACCTGCTCCCTGAATAATAAGAGGTCTAGGACTGTATCGTTCGGTGTGGAACATGATGATGTTGTCAGAGCCTCCAAGAGAGGTTGCGAAAGGATGGTTTTTGGGATACCTGGTACAAACGTTAGGAATGTATACGATGGATGTTTCAAGAAGCAATACGTACTTTTGCAAATCGGCTTTGACAATACCTTCTTCGACATCGACAACACCAACATAACGCAATAGGGCGCCCTCCTTGAGAGCATCACTGCGCTTCTGGTCAAACTCGACATCGTATTCAGCTAGACGACTGACAAAGTCATCAGCCGACAGTGTAAGGGACGCAAGGCCTGAGGGAATTAGTGAAGTCGTAGGAACTGATTGATAGCCCGCTGGAAGGGGAACTTTCTCTTTGAGAGAAGGAATGAAACGAGCCAGGATCGCAAGTTTACGGGCAACGTCCGAGCCAGTCAGGTCGTCTGCAGGATGCGGTTCCTATGCGCATGTTCGTATGAGCATAGCGACAGCAATGACATTGGCGAAGACCTACGGTGTAACCTTTCTCTCGTGCTATGCGTACAACAGATGAGAATGAAGGTCCTCCCTGTTCTCCTGAAGAGAAGTTGTTGAAGATGTAGCTCATTGTGCCCGAGAAGACACCCTCGATCTTTCTCACCTATTCATCCGAGTGATGAAAATATGTAAACGTTCAGAATAATGATATAAGACATACTTTATCACCAGTCGCAACCAAGTCCTTCAGAGTCGAGATCACAGGCAAGCCTGCACCAACTGTGGACTCATTTAGGAACTTCGCACCACTCTCTGCGCTTGCAGCCAAAATGCGCTCAAACAGCCCAAGGTCACCAGAGAAAGCCTTCTTGTTGGGTGTGATGACATGTATGCCGGAAGACAAGAGAGGTGGGTAGAGTGATGCGATGTTCTCTGACGAGGTATTGTCGACGAAAACGACATCCTGCGACGGTTTCACGAGCTTGGCTAGCTCTTGATGAAGCTCCTCTGACGATTTCGCGGGTGCCTTTGTCAGTAAATCCTTCCACGACTCCGCGGTGATCTTCAGACCTTGAGGGGAAAACAGAGTGTGCTTGGACGACGAAAGGGCGACGATCCGGAAAGGGTTAGGAGATGCGAGTGAGAGAAGTTGGCTGATGAATTCACTTCCGACAAGACCAACACCAGTTACGGCAACCGAAATCACCCTTGGGCTGACTGAGGATGTTGAAGTTGTTTGTGTTTTCGCTGCTTCAAACTCTGCCCGGGTGGCATAACCATATTGCAAGCATGGCTCCGGTTGCGGAGGGGCTGAAGAGCTGGACATGTTGGAGGAAAGAGAGGGAAACGTTTTAGCTATTCGTCGCGTATCACGTATAGCGACAAGTGAGAACGACTTCACAGAAAAGCGAAATGACTCGAGCAAAATCATGAAATCGATCGTGATCGAGGATATTCAGATGGGAATTCAAATGGAGCCTACAAATTGAATTTTCTAACTGATATAGAGCTATACGTTCGACATATTCTGTACAGAGTCTAGAAAGCAAACCGAGTTACTATGTCTGTCCATCACTTCTTAGATCTCACTCGAATTCCAATCCTTTCGATGCCTGGCATTAGTCCTCGCAGAAACAGTTCAGCCGTAAATGCTCCTGAGACTAGTTTAACTTTAAGCTGACTCGTGAGCTCAATGGAGTTGGAACTTACTGAACCAAAGCGATTGATTCAAGCCGTTCCCCCGTAAAACAGCATGTCATCTATATCATCGGCCATCCGGTCGGGCAAGATATCCTTCCATGATTTCAACCAACTACTAAGCTCCACCTCATCGAAAGATGGGATGTCATCCCCCCTCACAGCGACCGTCAGAATGTACATGTCATTCTGGTTGGAGCTGCGAGAGGGTCGACAACCACAAATTACGCGTGCACGACCAGGGACACCTCCAAAGGAAATGCTGGTAACCCGTAGCGTGTGGATATGCCAGGAAGCACGATGCTTCTCATGAGTGCATTGGAAAACCTCTGTTTCTTTGCGAAGCTCTTTATCGATGATCTCCAACAATGATTCCTTCTGATCAGCCGAGAGTAAGGGGGAGAGCAAAGAGGCAGGGTCCAAGTTGAGCAGGTGGATTGTATTCAATTGAGGTGATAAGGCAATGAGGCTTTGGAGGAAGGAGCTATCGGGTCCATCTCCGAAAGGTTCGTGAGTGTAGAAACGGAGTGAACGTGCATTCGGGCATGTTTCTATCAGAAGATCAGTCGACACTGATGAATGACCACACCCCATACGCGGTGGTACAAATTGTGAGGCATCTTGAAGAACGATCGTTGTCTGGCCTAGCATGTGCGTAAAGTGTGAGACATCAATCGTATTCGGTAATGGTACCGGAATAAATGTGAAAAAGGGTAGATGTCCCAGGTTAAGTCCGCCCATAACTAGATTCGTGGTTTCCGTCATCTTCATGCAGCGTAAGACGTTAATAATAGCCGAATCTGAGAGTGATGAGAAGGCTAGCTTTCGAAGATGGCGGAGATGCACGTTTGGATATTTTTTGGAATTGGGAATCCGTCGACTTCTAGATTTTCCGTCGCCGGACAAGGATAGAGTATGGAGGTGAGGACATGATAGGAGCGCGTCCCGAAGACAGGCTACGAACTCAGGATCGTCAACATCTTGATCGAAACAAATGAGACTTGTGAGGCCTGAGAACTGTCCCTGTGACCAGTACATCATGCCTTGCAGTAAAACGTGTCTCAAAAGAGGTGTCTGTCTGGCGAATAGAGGCCCTAGGCGGGTCTGGGCGGTATCCTTATTTCGGAGGCTGATACGCTCTAACAAAGAAGCAGGGTCTTGGAGAGACTGAATATGCGTCCAAAATTCGTTGGACGTCGCATCCAGATCGAACACCGCCAAGCGGTATGTGTGCGCCTTGAGAAGTTCAATGAGGTCACACAGTATAACTGCGGAACAAGCATTATATTCAGAACAAATGCGAAATCAAGATAACGTGATGGATTTACCTGGCTCCCAGTGGGATAACTTCTGCCAACGTATGTAAACCTTCAACGGGTGTGGGGCGGAGTTCTTCAGAAAGACAGATGCCGAACTAAGTGGCATTCCATCAAATATTAAGGTGGTCCAGAGTTCCTTGCATTTTGATGCAATATCTCGCCATCGACGGCAGACGAGAGTTGATGTGATCCAGTGATTCGAACGGCCGGGCGAAGGTTCGTAATCGCCACGCATAGCTAAGAAGATCTTGAACATCAGCTCTGGAGGGAGCTTATTCACAAGCAGCGTATCGTTAAACGTGGTCAAGAGAGCGAAGAGGGTTTTGACGGAAAGGCCACCGATAGCGTAGTCCAGCTAAATGAACAAGAGTATTAAAGAAGTTGTGGGATTGATTTCATGCCACTTACAGATATGTAATGGAGATCCTCGTCTAAACTATAATGGAGCAACATGAGCTGACTAAAGCTACGTCAAACCGGGGAGAACATACTTATGCCGTGGTCCATTCAGCGCTCTGCGAACTAGAGCGTTCGTCAGTTCTTGCGTTACGGCTCTAGCATCGTTCATCTTGTCGATGGTTAGGGAGAAGAAAGTCGTGCCAGCGGGCGTTATCAATCCTCAACCTGCTGCGAGATTCACACGGTGAACAGCACCCTTTGATGACATCATTCCAAGTTCTTGTACATAGATATACAGCACACTGTGGAATCAGAGCGACTGAGAGAATGTGCACTTCGGGGACCGCAGCGCAGCACGTCGACTAAATCAGGCAAAAATCAACATAAAGAAAATCACAATAGCCATGAATAATGCTGGGCACAGTTTGGGCAAAAGGTCAAACGATATGCTCGTCGGGAGGGCTACTGTACAGAAACGATTGAGAGGTGCCGTCAAGCGTTGACTCCGTATGTTCAGATCGAGCCTCGTATAAAATGTCCGGAGAAAATATTCGGAGTCGGTTTGACATCCAGTGAGACGTAATAAAAAGACTCATAGATGCTAGAGTGATTAATTAGGTGTGCGAGGCGTTGTAACTGAGTTCAGAGGAAGATAGCTTCGAGTCTTCATCATGCAAGCAGAAGTTGCCGCGGTCTTGCAGATCTAAGCGCTCGTTATGTTTGATTGATCTGCTTAGTCAGCCAAACGTCGGCGAGAAACCTTAATTTGCTTGAATGTTTCGTTTCGAGCTTCGAGTCCAACTGGCTGATATTCCGATACCAGACTCATTGGAGAACTTGTTTATAACATGTCATGGATACTTCCATGCCTCTATGGTCTTTTGTTTCCCGCCGTTTCCACCCAAATACTTAATGTCTGCTGCGGAATGCTTGATTGGAGTCCTAACTGCTTTTCCATCCGTTGGCCCATAAACCAAGGTGTTGAGCCTCCTTGATAAGCCTTTTTCTCTCCAGTACCACCTCTATCCTCCCAGGACGAAGTTTTAGTATGTTGCCCTACTGGAGCTTAATGCGCGGAAGCAAATTTTCGATCACATAGCGTCATTTCTGTTCGCGGTGACCGTACAGCCTAACCGCTTTACCAGCCGCAATCCATAAATCCGCCTCTGTAGACATATCGGTGTTACACTCCACTGCACTTCCCTCCACTATCTCAGCATGGATACACTAGAGAACTCGATGGCTTCGCTCGATCTGTCAATGGATTCGCTCGAAGCCTCTATGGACAAGCTTAAACTCCACAGGTGGAGTACATATGGCATGGTCTTCTGTAAAAGGGCTGAATGTGAGTTGCTCGGTGTATTTATGCATTCGTGATTTTGATGATCATTTCAGGCCCAAACTCGAAAGTCTCTGGGGTTCAAATGTCTGCTTGCTCCAAGTGCTTGAGAGTAGCATACTGTGTATGTCATCTTTGCATAGTCTTTCATACGCTTCCACTGACTCATAGCGGCCTCCTTCACACACATAATAATAGAGCAAGGAATGTCAGGCGAGCGATTGGGACCGCCATAAACCAGAATGTCAGATTTTGAATAGGCGCAGGAAAGACCCGACATCGACAGGTGGTGCCCCCGCAACTCAGGTCTCTGAAGAACTTGGCGCGTTCCGGAAACGTTTCCAGCCTACGATTTTCCTTGCTGCACTTAACGCGTTCTCTGTTTCCTCTCCTGGGCCGGTAGGCTGGCGCGACCATGCCTTCTACATAGACCTCGAGCGACTTCCCGCTCCTACTCCGGAGTCACGACCCTGGTCCCGGTTCCGACTGCATGAGGCTAACATTCTTCCCCTTCCCGAACGTACAGAAGGGTCCCAGGACCACTACGACGTCTGGAAGGAGAGAAGGGATGCTCGGATGAACGAGCGCGAGAAGGATGGTCTTTGTGTTATTAGCATTTTCATCACCTGCAAATGGGCCGGGAGCGATCTTCTCCATCCCTTTGACCTTCTTTACCCCATGGATACTCCGCTCAGGCTGAATCAGGAACGAGTGGGTAATTGGTTGTCGATGCTTAGAGGCCTCATTGAGCTGCAGTGCGGTCGTTAGGGTGCATTTCCTTTTTCATTGTTGCTTTTATGCTGCGGTCGCTATCCTTTGTTTTCTTTGGGCTGAAGAATGCATTGTCTATTGTATTACTCATTCGACTTGTAATTACGTACATGTTGTATTTGCTTGTATCAGGTCCTACCATCTGCTTCCTTTCCTTAAGGACTCATTCAACGCAACTCTGTGTCACTGGATCTGGGTACGAAGCACTGAAATGAGTAGATCATAAGTTGAACTTGAATCCTGCTTGAATGGGCCGAACTTGGAAAGTCAGGTCGTTGTTTACATCTGTTATGACCTGTTAGAATCAAATGCCGTAGCCAAACAATTGCCCGATTCAGTCATAAGTCCAAGCGGGAGCAACTCTGTAAAAACACTCAACCCAAAAGCTTCGGTGACAGCAAACATTCACAACCAAGGTGCGCGAACAAGAGTACATTGTTGTCTAAAGCTTGAGCCTGAATACTAACCGTTTCTATAGCGAAGGCTGACCCAAGCAACTACCACCATCACATCGTCTCTAGTGTATTGACCTCTGAACGAATTACTCTTATACTCTCCGTCACATTTATTACAGGCATCTGCTCTTTCTCCGTCTTGATAACGTCCCATAATGTCTTGGCCAAGGCTTACAGTCGATTCACTCGACGCGAAGGAGACGAGGCGCAGCATGGTAGAGTGTAAGGTCGCATCCTGTGAGTACCACGGTAGACCCTATCAATGTATGAGCTGACAATTTGTCAGGTGGAAAATCGAAGGCAACGGGCGCAAAGCTCTTTGCTTGTGCTGGCTGCAAATGTGCTCTCTATTGTGTACGTGACCATTCCAAACGACAAATCCAATCGCTTACTAACGATCCCCTCAGAGTCGAGAATGTCAAAAGAAAGATTGGCCAAGGCACAAGCGCGATTGCTTGATGACTCAGGAAAACAAAGTGGACATGAATTCGCAGCCTGATTCATCGACCAAAGCATCGACTCCAACAAACCGTCCACAGCGTGCCGCCCTCCCTTCAGAGGTCTCTGACGAACTGTCAGCTTTCAGGAAACACTTCCTGCCAACGCTTACCCTGGTCGCGATCAATGCGTTCTGTGACATCGAGAAAACTCCCACGCCCCGTAGATGGGAAGACCACCTGTTCCTAGTCCAGCTCGAACGCGTACCAAACCCATCACCGTCCCTACCTGCTTGGGCTCGATTCAGACTCGCTGCCGCAGGTCCATACCCCGTCGAACTGCTCTTTCCGAAAGGCAAAGAGATCGATCATACCGGTTGGAGGAACAGTCGTGATGAAGCGGTAGCACGGAACCTTAGCATGGGACTTGGCACTATCACGCTCTGTGTTTCTTGCAATTATCAAGGAATGGGTCTCAATGCCTACTCCGACTTGCAGTTCTTGCTTGGTGCACCGATCGAGATGGGCGTTGAAAGAGTTGCAAACTGGAAAGACGTACTACTCAAACATATAGAGAACGAGTCCAGAGTGTAGTACGTTGAGGTTATTGGACATAACTTTGTATTGGTATCCCTTGCTCTCGCAGCGACATAGCACTTAATAGTTTTGTTACAGTAATCGTTCCGTTATGTGATCGATACATCGAGAGCGGGCCCGACGCCTCATTGAGCTCATGACCTGGTAACTTAGCGGCCTTGATGTTCGCTCCAGCATGTCAATCTGTGGAGATAACTTCCTCTATATCCGCCATAAGTCCTGAGTCCTTTGCGGAATGATTAGCAAGCACGTCTGCTACCGAACCGTGAGACTCTGCCAATCATGATGAGGTTTAGCGCTACTTTCTCGGGAGTAGGAATCGACGCACCTCTCGCATTCAGCGAATTCCGAGAGTGTATGGCGTCTAAGGTCGCCTGCAAGATACGTGCGCGAACCATGTAGGATGCAACGTCAATAAAAGTTCCTAAGTCGCACGTACTGTTACACGGGGACCGATTGGCACCGAACGGATTAGCATGCGACCGATATCCTATCGAAATCCTTTCAGTATTCAAGTTCCACTTTGAATGTCCTAAGACCTCACCTCATCATTGATCCATTTCCCCATTTGCGGGTCATAGTCAGCAGGGAGAATGACTGTGAATGCTTAAGAATGCAAAGGCTTCTCAAGCGGGGGAGAGCTTACATTCATCCAAACCATCCGCTTCAAGGAACGCATTTGCTTGTTGCTCAGTCCGCCCCGAAACTTTCAACACTCCTCAGTAGCTTAACTGCGGGTACACAAATGTTCACCCACAATGGAACAGCACTTGGTCTCCTTCACTGTCGACCTCCGTGAGCCTTTGGACTGCATTCAACTGCAAGGTACTTAATCCATGAGTGTTGGAAACTGGCAACTAATAGGCATACTGCTCACAATTATTTCTCGGGTAAGAATATTGTCGCATTTCGTGTTTGAGAGCACAGTGATGTTGTCGTTCTCGAAGCCGTACCTGTCTAAAGCGACTTGTCAATTTTAATGCTAACGGCCCCTGTAAATAGCGATATCACTAGTACCAGTAAGGCCTTTGCGAACTCGATCTACATCCAATTCATTGTCCGAACTGGTTGTAACGAGCAATGCTCGCTTGAGCGCTTCCGAGGGGGCGAAGGCGGTGATTCGACGCAGAAACTGCATGTCATCTAGGAATGGACTAGATGCACCTTGTCTCTTTGAGCTAGTGCGATGCTTCACGGCAGGATTGTCGACTACGATGTACTCTGACCTCTGAGACACCACACGGAAATATGTATGACAATAGAAGCTAGAATATATTTGTCAGCTTCCGAGATGATCATCAGTTGTGGCAACCATACCAGAGAATCTCGTCAGCCGAAGACTCCTGTCCTACAGAGGGATAATTCTTGTGAAGACACCGCGGACATTGGCGTGAGGTGAGTTTCGAAAGCAAAAACGTGGCGCTCATATTAATTGTGGCACCTGGTTTCATCAGACATCGCCAGGTTGTATCGTTCACGACACGTCCGTCGCCAGCAGTAGTCAAAATAAAATGACCGTTCTTCACCAGAGCGTGGCCTGCTCGATTACGGTAAAAGAGGTTCAGATAGTCACGAAAAATCTGGCGGGCTGCGTAAGTCGAGGTTCAAGCTGTGTGATAGTCTGTATTTCATTCACCTCCGGGGTAGAGCATAGTTCCATTGGAACTTGAGTGGTCTGATCCAAGATATCGATTACTGCAATTGTGTGGTTCATAGGTGTAGGTGGGAGATGAGTAGAGAGTTCTCGATTGGCAAGAGAAACTAGTGCCATGGTGGGAAAAGTAAAACTTGAGGTTATGCATTGTCTACGGTGCACGGCTCTACTTTCCAAGAATATGAGTGATATCATTAGGCCTGTTCAAATAAAACTCACAGAGTCGACATGGAGAGGATTCGATTGATTATATCCCCTTGTGCTTTGAGCCGGGAACGGAGCTCAACAGCGTCGTGCCTAGTTGCCGACGCCCATTGCAACTTCCACCAAATATTCCTAAACCATTCCGCAGTATTCGTAGATATTTCGCCAGAAGAAGGGGGCCCAAGTTTGGCCTTGAACTCTCGTATCAATACTTCGCAGCACGCCACGGCGTACCTGATGGCATTGATTGCAGAGGAATCTATGGGTGAACTACCAGATTGCGTAGAGAGGAGGGGCTTGAGACATTCCAGGCTGTACGTAAATGACTCGAGATACGATAATAGAGCCTTGTACTCTGCACCTGAATCGCCGCTTTCGCTAAGTACGTTCCTCAAGGAGACGACCAGCTCGATAATGGTGACGATATCACCGAAGGAACCGAATGTAAATGCTGCAACGGGCATTTAAGATATGTGGAATAAACTTCAAGAGAGATGCTTGTCCGACTGTTAACCATTGCGAGCCAAGGATGGCCCGATATGAACTCTATTGCATAGCCGCGTACTGGTTTGCAGTGGTACTGTATTTTATACTTATTCGCATCTCGGGCACCCTGCGCATAGAAACATAATTCATGGAAATTAGCCATAGGCAATGATGCTGATTTGAATGAATTGTACATACTGTAGACTGTAAGTTAAGACCGTCAGCTTCCTGGCGGCTACGGCTCCGTCACAATGAATTTGAGGGTCCTCTCTGTTAAAGCGTTGTCAAACAATTAAAAATTGTGTATGCAACTGGATACACGCGGCACAACCGCCGTGTCCGGTGAGGGGAGGTTCAACCATGTTCGACGAATGGACAAAGAGACGAACTGGAACAAATTTCTGTGCATGTTCGTTTCGGCGCTTGTCGGGACTTCCTCATTTGGTATTTTCAGATAGGTCATATCACGATGTCAGCAAATATCAAGCTAGCCGCCTTGTAGCCGCCAGCTTCACTTTCAGCTTTTCTTTGTTAGCTTCGCTGCTCCCAAAATCCCGAGCTTGAGGACATTACTTTCCTTGTAAAGTACTTTGTATATTATTGATGCAGGTATGATTCACACTGGATCCACATTTCACCAGTCGTACGGCCTCGGATTGACGGATACCCAGCGGGCCACTCGAAAGCAATTGTGTATCTACTGTATGATAGATCTAATTCAGCTGTTCCTTCACCTGTATTGGTTTCGATCTGACCAATGCATCGACTCTATCAGGATTCTCTAGCGATATGTCCGGCCCCCCCAAATCACCCCCGATGAGCGTTGCAACGCTCAACTCTAAACGGGCCAGGCAAACCGTAGCTCGATGCCGATCACTTCAATGTTCGTATGACCGTTCAAATTTCAAATACGACAATCTTACTAACGCGCGTCGTCACCCAGGCTTGCATTCAAAGGCTGATGGCACCAGGCTGTTTGCCTGTTCAGGATGTAAAATTGCTCTATATTGTGTACGTCGACTTTGGGATCAGTTTACCATGTACGAACCTAATGTTGGCTTTGTTTCAGTCGAAGGAGTGTCAGAGGGAAGACTGGCCTAGCCACAGGAGGATGTGTGGGGAAATTCAAAGGACGGCGAGCGACCCTCGTTATCGTCAAGACCCACCGCAATCACTCTCGTCGCCGATCCAACAATCTGCGCCTCCCATCATTAACGAATTAAATGACTTTAGGAAGCGGATTTTTCCAACACTCACACTTGTGACTCTAAACGCATTCTCCGAGAACTCGCCTATTCCTCTCGTTCCTTATGGATGGGAAGACAACATATTCCTACTTGAACTCGATCGAATACCCAACCCCTCGCAATCATCTCCTCCCTGGACTCACTTTCGCTTTAGAAACGCAGGTATCCGTCCGATCGCGGAAGTCTGCCCTGAAGGCGTCGATCCGGAAAACGATCATATGCGCGAAAGTCGTCTAGAACGGTTCGACCCAGAGGGTGGCGAGGGTCAATTCGGGTATATCACCATCAGTGTATCCTGCAAGCGTGGGGAACGTGCTCTTACCCTTAACTCCAACATGCGGTTTATGAGAAACGTGACGATCGATACGCTGGTGGAAGTAGTAGATGATTGGAAAGCGGTGCTTATCAAACAGATAGAGAGTATAACTGGTAATGGTCGGCGGCGATGAGCTTGGTTCGTTGATTCTTTCCTCCTCGCTGGCGTTTCGGTTCTGACTTCTTAACCTCAGGTAGAAACTGCTTTTTTCTTACTGGAAACTCAGTGTACAATGTATATTTATTGGAAACAATTTTGGAGTCTTTCAGAGCTTTTTTTTGGCGTGATATGATCCGGATACGGAGTTATTTAGCGGTTCTCTTGCAAGTTGCAAGTTGGACATGCGAAATTCTGGGTTTTACAGGCTCCTTGACTCTTTGTTTGCATTATAGATGCGTTTTCTATGGCAGACAAATATTTCCTGCCGATCGCAACCCAAAGTGTTACTTAGTGGGAAGGAGGGAAGCACTGGACCACTTTGCAGCTTGAAGTTGTCAACTCTTGCTGCAGATGACTTCCTGAATTGCAAGATTCTCTTAATTGATTTTGCATGTGAGCGGTTCAACGTCATGATGTTACAATTCGCCCTTGGGCGAGCCTGGTATTATAGCGAATGAGGCAGGAAAGAAATAGTACACATAAGTTATACAACAGCTAAGGTCCCGAAATGCCGAATAAGCCACATCCTACACCTCTTGACTGTCTCCCTTTTTGCCCTTTTGTGTTTTGCTTGGTAGGAGCTGAAGGCATTCCGGTTAGGAAAGTAAATAGAAAAAAGCAAACTGACTCTACGTACCTCAGGGTTAATGAATGGTACGACACCACCTTGCGAGATAACAACATCGCCGAGGAGCTTGTTTAACCTGAAGAAAAGAAGAGCATTGGTCACATGCACACGAACGGAACCAGGGGCGGACATACTCTTCATCATTTCGAATGGCGAGTTGTAAGTGTCGGGGTACAATACGTTGCTTCTTGTTATCGCGAGCTGCGTTACCCGCAAGCTCAAGAATCTCAGCAGCAAGGTACTCAAGTACTGCTGCGAGGTATACTAGAATCAAGCAAGTCAGACCATATGCATCTATTTCAAGCCGACTAGATGTGGACTCACCTGGTGCACCGGCACCAACACGTTGTGCGTAGTTTCCCTTCTTCAAAAGACGATGTACACGACCGACAGGGAACTGAAGGCCAGCTTTCGCGGAACGAGATTGAGTCTTGCCTGTGGGTTCGCCGGAAGCTTTGCCGGACTTGGATTTGCCACTACCCTTGCCAGACATTGTGCTTATAGTCGAATTGGAGTGTAAAAAATGTGAATGGACGAGAGGGCCAAGCGTAGAAGCGGCAAAAAGACGAGCAAAGATGGGGAGAAGGAAAAGGCCCCAGGTAAAACGACGAAGGTCTTATATATGATGGGCGCCTAGCACGCGTCGCGACGCGCTTTTGACTACGCGCGTGACCTTGTTTACGCGGAATCAACAAGCTTGCCCTGCACGTGGCAACGCGTCTGGTGATCGCATCGCACGAGAGCATAAATACTCAAGATCTCCTTCTCTCGTCCAGTTCATCTCTTTGCCCTCCTCCATCACCACTCGCTCCTCAACCGTATACACTTTTACCACCCAACCTTACTACTCGCAATGGCACCTAAACCCGCTTCCACCGCCGGCAAGGCTCCCGCATCTACTGCCTCTAAGGCTCCAGCTAAGACCACTGAGGGTGGTTCCAAAGCTGCGAAGAAGACTTCGAAGCCTGCCGCAACTGACAGCGAGGGAAAGAAGAAGAGGCGAAAGACTAGAAAGGAAACTTACTCTTCGTACATTTACAAGGGTGAGTGCGGTTATCTTCCTTGTTGTGTCCTAACAGTACTGATAAGCTTTGATGTCCCTCAGTACTCAAACAGGTTCACCCTGATACTGGTATCTCCAATAAGGCGATGGCTATCCTCAACTCCTTTGTTAACGATATCTTCGAGCGAATTGCCACTGAGGCTTCCAGTACGTTTCCCCCTTCCCCCCTTTTCCCTCGTGTATGCTTAAGATATCCCCCATACAGAACTTGCATCGTACTCTAAGAAGTCAACAATCTCATCACGAGAGATCCAAACTGCCGTTCGTCTTATCCTGCCGGGTGAACTTGCCAAGCACGCAATTTCAGAGGGCACAAAATCCGTAACCAAAGTGAGTTGAGTTCTTATTTGACATTTGTTATATCAGCGCTGACAGTTTTCACAGTTCTCGAGCGCAGGAGCAAAGTAGATTTTTCCGTTGTTCTTTGGGACTTTCTGTGTTGTTGTATTTTAGAGCCATTCTGTACAGTTTCTATTTAATTCATCTACTCTACTTGACTCTCACCATTTCCCTGTGAGCCTGATGTTATCGGGCTTTTATTCGAGTAATTCCCTGAAGCGTGTTCCACTTTCAATCGACACAGGATCGGAACGATCGCGCTTAAGTTCAACTGATCGTTCAGTAGATCTATCGACATGCAGTATATCTTTGCTTTTCGATGTCGGTGTTTGCATACCGGCCAGCTCCGGTGCTGCTAACGATATCCATACATGAACAGTGTGGGTCTACTCCGGCTCTCGATGGTCAAACTTTCAGTCTTGGCACGCGTTCAACCTTCGTATGAGACGGAAATGTAGTGCGTCCTGCGCGAATCGGACCCCAACGATACGTATCTTTTTTAAACTACGATAATTACTGAAGTCTTGAAGGCCGATGATAAATCATGAAAGTTGTGCCAGAAGCGAAGCCCTTCCTGACCTTCTTCTGTTCACGATCCACAGACGGAGATGCCCCCATCCCACCATAAAAGGCAATTTGCTAGAGACCGTTGATAAACAAGGACAAACATTGATATCTCCGAGTCTGACTTGGTCATTTGTGGACTTTCTGATGCTACAGTAGAAGCTTGTTGTCGAAATTGACGTCGCTATCTTCACTCAATCATTCTCCAACACAAATGCCATAAGAATAGAATAGACTAAGCCCAAAACCAGGATGTAGGACACCAGAATACAGAGAAAACCGCAGAATTTTGGGAAGTAAAGCTGAAACCTCGACATACTGTAGTTGAAACCACGACCATACCGTAATCATACACGACACGCGGCAAGGATACCTGTACATAGAGAAATCATGTATCGCTACCAACCCCCCACGACTTCCGCTGCACACCTCCCAAAGGAGGACCTCGCTCACATTCCCTACGTCGGAAAACATCCAACATCCTTTCCGGACAACCTCACTCAGTCTTCCCATCCATGACGCTTCCTACACACTCCCCAACCCACCTCTCAAACCTCTGCACGTCCATGGCGCCCTTTTCGTCAAAGAACGCATTGTATCCTGCTTGCACTTTGGCTTTGCCTTTTCCGAGAAGGGATTTCCCTCCGGAGGTTGAGCGCAGGAAGGAGATTGTGAGCGTATATTGCGGGCAGTTAGTTGGGGGAGGGGGATAAGTTGTCGACGGTGATGGGATGGCGGAGGGAGGAGCGGGTGATGGGGAAGAGGATAATGAGGGAGGTGGGGCGGTCGAGGAGGCGATAGTTATTCGTTCGGTGACAATCTGAAGATAGGACGGTGGTCAGCGTGTTATACAAATCACTCTCGAGAGTCAGAATTAGTGAGAAGGAATAAGAAGCATGATCAGGTATGCGGAATGTGCAGCAATATGGCGCAAAGAAGACGGGAACTTACGCGTTTATCAAACGTCTTTCGCTTCCCTACATAAACGGTATCCCTCTCGATGAAGTACGCATATAGCGTTTGTACGGTTGTCAGCACGACATACCTGCAGTACACCAGCGCGTCAGAATCGCTACTTGTAGAAGTTACCCTGCCTCAAGAGAAACGTACAGAATCACGCCGGCCCATACCACTGGCTTGCTCTTCTCAAATTCCACTTTCCATCCGTAAAGACCCGTCGCTCCTGCGACGAATACAGATAGCCAGCCTAGGGCTAATCGGACGTCGGTATGGGTGTATATTTGGTTGAAGAGTTCTGGTCGTGATAGGAACTATTGAAAGACAGCAATAGATCAATTAGTACTTCAAGTAGGAAAGACGATTGTCATTTGGGGATGGGAGATGTGGAAGGCGGTGGCACAACGTGGAATGAGGGATGAAATCGAAGAAATGGGAACTAACGCGCTTGAGAGCATCGTCGCATGCATTCTTCAACTCCGTTACATTCGCATTGTTCACTTTCACGCCATTGGAGTCTCTATCTATGACAGAGTCCGCAGCAGCAAGTAGAAGACCTGAGATGCTACTTGTGGGTGTTGAGTCGACGCCGTCGATGGCAGGTCGGACGCCGTTCGAGGCATGTTTTGATTTCTTTTGGCGAGAAGACATAGTTTTAGGATTTCTTGGATTCTAGAAGGGGTGGAGGTTCAAGGTTTTGAACAAGAGGTTCTCGCTACTGAATGCTGAGGTCGTAAATGAGCAGAGAAGACAGGCAGAGGTTAACAGCAAGGGTATCGCACGAGGTAAAAGGGTCCGGATTCAATACTCAGGTTTAGGATAAGCTTCAGAGTGGAGGGTTAATGACGAGAAAGAAAGGGACAGGTTACGTCGATGGCCACTGCACTAGTCCTACAACTAGTCTTGTGCCGCGTAGTATTGAGACACCGCCAGCCTAAGACAGCACACGAGGGGAGATGGGAATCCACAACTCGCTCAACGTGGCCAACCCTAAAGGAGTTTGGTTTGATTCCCAAAACGATCCAATTGGTTCGTCTGGTGAACCTACTAGTCATACGCGCTGACATACGCGTATGCCAGGCGTGTCGTACGATTCAGGACTTGGCCTGACGGTGTACAAATACCCATCTTGTCCTCGACGGCGAGCAGCCTATCCTTGCGTACGACATGGCGGGTGGAAACTCAAAAGGAAGATCAAGCACCCCCAGTGAGACAAATGACGGTTCGAGCTTTGTGACGAAGTGGCTCGGCCGCGCTGTCGTGCTTTGCTTGTTCTTTGCGACGTGCAGTTGGCTCGACTCCATCAAAGTATGTCTAGGTTGTATCCGGATTGTATGTTTAGAATCTCTGACGCGTGAATAGCACCGGTGGTATGTCTTCACGCCTGAATTCCTTCACGAACTCGCGCAAGAAGCCGTTGCTTCTGCCCCCGCACCAGACGATACCTACTACATGATCAACCACATCGTCTCCAACCTAACCGCCACATACCCCTCCGATGTAGTTGCTCTCAACCACGACACCAAGGAATGGATGTTCAACAATGCTGGTGGTGCCATGGGCGCGATGTACATTATTCACGCCAGCATCACGGAGTACCTCATTATTTTCGGTACTCCACTTGGAACCGAGGGACATAGTGGTATACACACCGCTGATGACTACTTCAATATCCTCGTTGGTGAACAATGGGCATTCGATCCGCCGAATTTGGAGAAGGAGGTTTACCCTCCCGGGAGTGTACATCATCTACGAAGGGGGCACATGAAGCAATACAAAATGCACGAGGGCTGCTTCGCCCTTGAATATGCCAGAGGTGCGTCATTGTATCGCTACTCATGATTGATTCCGATTAATAACGGCTCTGGTCAGGATGGATCCCACTGATGTTGCCTTTCGGATTGGCGGACGTGTTAACATCGACCCTGGACTACAAGTCCTTCTATCGTACAGCAGTCATTACTGGACGCGAGATGTTCAGAAATCTTGCAATCTTCAAAATATAAGAATACCCGACTTATTGTCAATATACCGCTATCGTACTTTGCTTGATTTTGAATGCTAGCTGCCTCGCTGTATTTTTACTCGCTACTTGTTTGCAGTGAAGGATACACATACCCATATATGAATAATGTGTCGAGGAACCTTCACTTCTGCAAGGTCCGCAAGACAGGCACAATAATCTAACTATGAGATAATGGCGGGTGATTGGCAAGTACTCGATAGTAATTGGCTCTGGAATACCGCTGATGTGCCCGCAGTCCAGATGGTGTGGATTTGCCACCAATGCCTCGAAATGGATTCAAAGACTGCTCTTCACCCCCCCTTACCGGAGAGTGTAGCTTTCGAAATAACGCAGGAGTGCTCTGGGCAGGTGAAGGCTAAGGTGGCTCATCAACAAGGGTGAGCGCAGGCATGTCTATGGAGGGAAATAGTGAGTCTTCCCGACTGGTACGGGGAAGGGAATGAGTTATTGGACCGGGACATACCAGCAGACAAGTCGGGTACGTCATACATGGGGGGAACTACTGGTGTAAAATGGCCCACTTCTTCCATTTGGGATTCATCAAGTGGCGATGTCAAGAACTCGTCAGACGCAGCCTGCCATTCAGGTGTAGCTGTGAGAGGAGGAAACACTTTTGATTAGAGGCGTTGCTGCGACGATGCCTGAGGTATCCGGACACTTCACCTTGAAGGATTTCCATAAGAGCTCGTATAGCTTTTTCATCTTCTTCCGCTGTAACAGTGGTTGGTGTACTGGCATCGGTGTTTTATGACTGATGATCTTGTTTTTTTGACAGCATTTTCAGATACTCCGTTGTCAATTTGCTGAAATCGCTGACTGTGTTGGGGAAGGACGATAGCTTGACTAGGAAGCGTCTGATGTATTGCAAGTCGTCGTCGTCGTCGTCTTCACCATCTTGGTTTTGAGTCGAAGAAGACCCGTGATACCCGTCTGTCGAATTTCCGGTTTCCGTCGTGCTCCTCTGGCGGCTAGTCAAACTGTCTTCAATGGAGTCCGAGATCTCAGCGACACGAAAGAAGTTCTGACAGTAAAAGCTGATTGCGATCAGGTTCTTTAGAATAATATCTGTTTACTGGATAGAGGTCCGTACCATTGAATTTCTGCATCTTCAACCTCCACAGGATTCCGTCTGTTGCAGCGTGGACATTGTCCTCGGTCCCCCTTGTCAGAGACAAGGACGGCACTCATGCTTAGTGTCGAACCAGGCTGAACTCTGACGTCCCAAGGCGATTGAGGTCTGCCTTTGCCAGACGTCATGACTACATCGTAAGCACCACGTTTGACAAATGATAGGCCAGCACGATTTTTAAAATATAGCCGTATGAATTCGTCAAACGTCTGTGAAGAGATTAGTTTAATTTTTATGTTTGTAAGTCCGAATCGTTATGTTTTACTTGCAGATTGGTCCAAACAGATGTCTACGGGTACATCAGTTCTCTGATCAAGGAAATCTACTAATGCGACGCTATGCGTCCTCGGCTGCGGCGGGAGTTGCAAATATGATGTGTTGGCAGCCAGGTCGAGGGTGATGCCTCTATTTCACGGATATCAGTAAATTGTTGGACAATGGTATGATATATGTACATGCTCACAACCCTGATAGCGACAGCAACAAAGTGATCATATTACTTTGAGCCAAAAGCTTTTCTTGAAGTTCCGACAACGCCTTCTTAGTACAGAAGGCCCACCGGAAGGTCCGTAGTAGGACCGAAGCCCACCATTGTGGAAGCTTGAAGCCATCTATTTGCGATTGGAAGTCTTGAACGAGGTTCACTGAGACGGCTAGGGCGTATTTGATCGCATTCCGCGAGGATGGTTGCAACTGCTGAGCCGATCTGGACTCCAATACCGACTTGATGCATTGCAGAGCACTGATGTAGAGTTCAAGGAAGTGGACAAAGTCTTCCAAGTCTTTCCTCATAGTCGCGCCATCGGCAAGACAGTCCTTCAGTGCTATAGCCAACTGGATCAAGGCGATTATATCACCGAAAGAGCCGAAAGTGAAATGCACGACTGCGGTAGGCATGGAAGACGATAGACAATGTTGGGTCTTCCAGGTAGTATACTTATAACCACAGCCACGGCGTCTGGCTCGCTATCACACCGCCTTTAATTGAGTGCGTATCTCATTGGTTTGTGTACAAATAGCGCATCGCACCAAAGCAGTGCGGAATTGGATGTACGCTCTAATTGCACTCTCAACAAGGCAGTTCAATAGCTTGATAGTACAATGGAATCCAGGGTGATGGATTCTGAGTGGCCTATTCAAAGTCTGCATCGAAAATAGAAATTGCAGGAAGCTGATCGTCGGGCTCCTCTTGACTATAATGTCCTTGCATTGCTTGGGATTCTTGTGAGTGATAGAGATCGTCATCATAACGGTATAATATCTCGCTGGATCCATCAAGATTTTCTCCAAGACGGCTGCGAGTCGGATCATCCACGAAAAGATAAGAATCTACTTGCTCTCTTAGATGCAAAAGATAGGTATAAGTTCGAACGGTGGAGACACTATGCGGCCACTGACCGTTCATAAAAACCCCTTGGAGTCTTCTGCCACGAAGCATAGAAACCCTGTGCGGTATCAAAATGGGTTAAAACGAGGAAGAGTCATTCAAAATACAAAACTCACCGAGTTAGCAGACGAGGCAAGAGGAAGCGGCTCGGACGTTGACTCGACAGGAACCCACTGAATCCCAGAGACGATGCCATTAGGAGTCTGGTAGCTACTCAGCTGACGCATAAGAAACGCGTTGCGACACCACAAGGGATTTGAAGACATGCGTACCTTGCGGGAACAGCCCTATCAACAATACAAGAAAAGAGAGTCAGAACATACGCCAAGCGAGAAAATGGAACTCTTTTGCTCACTTGAATGGGTGGTAAATGACTCGCCCATCAGGCGTAGTTGATGTCGTATATATCACGCTGCCTGGTTCAACAGGTGCTTGTGCGGGATTATGTTCCAAGAGAGGATATTGCCGTGTCTGCATTGGATGTAGTTGAACCAGGAAGCGTCTTATATACTGTAATTCATCCTCTTCCGGGACCGAATGCAATTCTTGGTCTTTGTGTGAGGGATCTGGTGCACCAGCACCAATGGGGCTGACTTCGTCATTGTCCATATCAATGACTCTGCTTTCAGCGACACGAAAGAATGTCTGGCAATAGAAGCTATGAGGTCCCGGTGAGTAATAAACTTTGTATCCAAAGCATTCAGATACCATTTAACTTCACCGTCATTATCAGCGTGTGCAGAGTTCATCTTGTTGCACCTTGGACATCGCTGAGAGTTATCATCCTGGGAACGGAGAATCGCACTCATACTGAGCGTAACTCCAGGTTGTAGTGTGGCATCCCACGGTGTTCGTGATGTGCCATCATCAGATCGTAAGCTCACATCGTAGTCTCTCCGTTTGATGAACGAAAGGCCGGCGCGGTCTTTAAAGTATACTCGCATGAACTGATCAAAAGTCTAGATTGACAGCTGTTGGCGAGAGTTGTGATCCAAGAAACACTTGTACTTACCGTCCTATCAAGACATATCTCTAAGGGGATATCTGTCCTCTGGTCGAGAAAGTCGATTAATGCGATACTGTATACTTGGGGCTGAGGGGGAAGGCGAGTATACGTCGTGTTTGAAGCAAGATCGAGAGTGATTCGTCTGCCCAAAATGTCAGCGCTAATAAGTCAGATACATGAATCCACGTACAGCCCGGACAACGACAAGAGAAGTGTAGTAGAATTACCTTGAGCTATCAACTTCTCTTGTAGCTCAGAAAGAGTCTTCTTCGAGCACAGGGCCCATCGAAAAGCTTGGAGAACACTGGCAGTTGAGCCCCACCATTTCACAGGTCTGAAGCTATCGAGCTGAGCAAAGAAAACCTGAACGAGTCTCTTCGATTCAGCCAAAGCATGTCCGATCGCGTTCTTCAGAGAGGTCGGAATCTGCTGAGCTGAGGCCGAGGACAGAACCGATCGTATACAATGTAAGGTAGTCACATATCGATCAAGAAATTGCACAAACTCTTGCACTTCCTCCCGCATATGTACGCCGTCGATCAAGCAGTCTTTCAGCTTCACCGCGAGATCGATCAGTGTGACTATATCGCCGAACGAGCCAAACATTAGCTGCAACGCGAGATTAGGCATAGAGACCTTCGAAGGAGGGAGAGTAGGTGCGAATGACAGCCATCATCTTCCTTCCCCGTGGGACACAGCCCTACATGTAACTAAAGAGGTGCGGCGTCTTGTATGTGAAGAAGTTAGACGCTATACGCAAAACGGCATGAGAAGTGCTATGTTGTAGTGGTGCTACTGATATTCGAAATGTGGTTTCTGTCAATGAGGATTAGGATAGCGTGGATGAATGTTGCTGAAGGGTGAATTGCGGTCCTCGCTATAGAGCTTGCAGCTAGCAATTTCCACCTAAATCGGCGCCAGTACTAGGTGAATTCAGATACGTTGAACATCAGCGAGGTGAGGAAAGCTCGTGTCGTTGAGGCCACGCTCGTAAGCAGTAGTCAGAGAAATAGTATGTATGTCCCAGTTGGTGATACCACACCGATAAGTAACTCGGAAAGAGAATCAACAAAGAGTGTTTCAAGCACATTGAACCAGCTGAGCTCAGACTCGTCACTCGGAAGCTTACTAGTTTTGGCGTCTACGTCGTAGTCAATGGGACGGTCACCATTGGCGCCAGGTAAGCCAGTTTGACAGTTGACTTTTCGCCGTCATTAGGCTGAAATACTTGTACTCAAGTTGTATCATGGGAGTTTTCTCACATCTTAGACCTGCCTCGGCAGAACGGGACACAGTGTACTCAATGCTATGTATCTTGTGTTTCCGCCTTGGGATGACTATGGACCTTACTAGGTTGCTTAGTGAGGCTTGTATATGTTTATTCCCTTGCTAAGCTGTGTACGAATAAATGACCGCGAGAGTGTTTGTCTCGTACGCGCAAATCGGCTTGATGGAGTAAATAGCCTACAATGGTATCGCTTGGATTCGGACTTCACATTTAGAGGTGCGTAATCATGACTGATAAATTTTGTTCAGCACTCACGATCTTCAGATTTTCAAGACGAACGTTATTCGAACTCATTGCACAGTAGTTCGAGGGGCGATTCGAGGCACCTTTGAGCTTAAGCGTAAAATCCGTGTAGAATGCGATTGCGGTCTGTCGCCGTAAGACTGTTGCTAGGATCTGCTTGGTCCGATTGGAAGCTGTTCCTTGAAAGTTGAGTATCGCGTTGATATGCCTTTGGGGCTGACCTTCCGCGCCATTTTCTTAATACTCACTCATTGCCAGATGTCACTAATTCCGATCGCATTTTTGATGCAGCGCCTCGTCGGGAATTTGGAATGCTTAAAAGTGGATGACGAATAGAACCAGGTGTGTATTACATTATGCCAAATGCTTACAACTACTACTTCTCATGCTTGCACCTCACTACGGCTGAGTTTTCCAATTATACGTGGAATTACATACAGTACAGTCTTGCAAGCGGAGAGCCGTTTGAAGCCTTCGGCATATTGGAGTGACGTCATGGTATGATCTTGGTATAAACCACTGGGCCGGTCCTTTCCCGCTCGGATGCATCCCTTCCTTCGTTTCCCACTTGCACCATCATTGCTCTGTCATCAGTTAACATCTAACAGGAGCTCTCAGTTCCTTCAAACAAGTTTCATCACGTCGCCGAAAACAAGAAGCGCAGGTACCACGTCGAAGGGCATCGGCAAAACCAAGGACATGTCTTCGAGTGAACCAGCCACCAAGAAACAGAAGACACAGGAATATGTACTCTACTATGTGCGTTGATAAACATGACCCTCCTTGGAGACTGTCTTGTTTAACGACATACAGTGGCCGGGAATTCCCGGCCGAGGCGAATACGTTCGTCTAGCTTTCGAACGTAGCGGTACCCCTTATACCGAATTCAACGATGGCTCGAAGCTCCTTGGGATTCTTACTAACCCTAAGAAAGTTGGACATCCGACGCACTTTGCGCCTCCGGCTTTGAAGTTACCTAGTGGAAGGTTCATCAGCCAGACACCGGCTATCTTGAACTATTTGGCTCCGAGATTGGGGTTAGCCGGAGAGAAATGGGTGAAGATCTCGGAGAAGCAGAAAGAAGGCGAGAAAGTTGAAGTTGGGAGTGAGGAGTATGAGGGGGCTGAGGAAGAAAGGTCCACGGTCAATCAGCTAGTATTGACCGCTTTGGATTTGTGCAACGAGGTGAGTTACTTCTCAATGTTATCACGTTGCGTCGGTCTTATGTTTTGTTTTCTGTAAGACGCACGATGTTCACCACCCTGTTGCCACTGAAGATTACTACGAGGACCAAAAGGATGTGTCTTTGCGACGAGCTGTATCGTACAGGAAGAATCGCCTTCCCAAATTCCTTGCGCACTTTGAGAGGGTCCTCGATTGCAACCCAGAAAACAAGAACGGCAACACATACCTGGTCGGATCTAGGACCACGAATGCGGATCTGGTACTCTTCCACGTATGTACTTCTCTCATACCGTTTGTCTCTGGTATGATTTCTCAGCCGTCACGTTATAGGTTGTCTCTGGTGTAGAATTCGCCTTCCCAATACGAGTTGCCGCTTTGCGCAAGAGCGGAAAATACGACAAGGTGTTTGCATTAAAGGAACGCATCGAGAATGAGGGCGGGATCAAGGAATATATCGAGAGCGGGCGCAGACAGCCATTCTCAATGGGCTTGTTCAGACATTATGAGGAATTGGATGCTGAGGAGTAACGACTGAGACGTCGTCAAAAGAGTTGAATCAAAAGACTGCGCCCTGAGGTTTATATAGGGAATATTCTACGGGCTGTATGATTATATGGACATCTGTGTATTAAACAAAGGGTTGTCAACAGTGGTTGACTATTTATAAGATTTGATCGGAATGTAAACGGGTTTTGATTATTCGTCCAGAGTCTATGCATTATAAGCTTCTGAGAAGATTATGATTTATATTAACAACTACCTGGAGGATATGTAGCTGTCAGCTCAGAAGCGCTAGATCAAGAATGACTTACTCACGAAGATTCATGGTCTAAGTTTGGGCGGGAATGAAGAACGAAAGCAATCATGATCACATATAGAAATATCGGTAGTACGCTGGAAGAATATGGACAAACGATACCCAGCCCTGAAAGCAACGAGAACCTATCAGCAACCGATTGTAATTCCAGAACGGCATCCACCGTAAACCTACGTTATACCAATAGAAGGATATTTGATCCTCGACAACCTTTGTCCTCTTCGTAAACCTGTACCCTGTAAATGAGCCCATGACAGCGAAGGCTACCGATGTTGCCAAGTCTAACTGCCAGAATAATGACAATATGACTGACCATGCCATCATACCGATGAACATGGAGATTCGAGCAATATCAGGCCAAAGGATTGGAAGGGTAGATCGGCCGACAAGAATATCACCGTGGATATCTTTGAAGTCTTGCGCATGGAAGGTCGTGAGGTAGACTAGACCACTGATGCAGATTCCTAGTGATGCTAGAGGCGTGAGCTGGGTAGGGTCTTGGGCTGTGGAGTTTGCTATGTTAACGGACATCAGAAGAGCGAGAGAAGGAAATGCGAACATACAGATTGCAAGAGCGGCCCCGGCTTCGAAGAGCGAAAGCCCGAATGCATTCATAATGTTTCGTGATGACCAATGAATAGCATGACCGCCCAGTTCGTTGTAAAGCATGAAAGCCGCAGACAACACTGAGCTGATCCACAACATCATGGGGCTGAACCACGATGACTGAGCGAGACAGAGAGGTAGAAGAATCCACCGGAGGATCTTGGCGGACTGGAGAGTGAGTCGATTGGAAGGTAATGGTCGATCACTTTTGTTTAGACTGTCTTCCTCGATGGAAAGACATTGGTTGGATACGTTGAACTGGAGCAGATGTAGCCATATCCAACAGACTGAATGAAAGAGACCGATAAGTTGAACTTTCGGCGTCACTGCTGCTGCGAAAGCAGTCTTAAGAGCCCAAAATATCACGTCAAAGAGGTGAGCGAAGTCGATGAATATATACGTACAATGGGCAGAATTGTGGTCTTGATGTCAGATTTTGTGAAGAGATAAAGCGTATATGGATGATAAACGAGAATTCGTTGGAGGTGTTTCGACGCATTGTAGAGGAGCGACATATTATGAGAGATCGTATCAAGGACGGCGGTGGAATGGTTTAATAAACTTACAGTTGAGAGAAACTGCATTTTTATAAACCTGCTGCAGCGGCGCTGCAGGAGAAGATACATACTGGCGGCTTGAGATCCCTTCTGTGCAATAGATCGGCGGTGATGCATAGGTCCACTGTCATGATGCCACAAACCTCGGCCGGTAATACGAGGCATTAAAATTCAGAGCATGAAAATCCGGGTAACTGATCCTAAGAGGCCTTTGATGAACAGTAGGCCGCCAAGTACTGACACCGCTCTAGATTACAAAGAGCCCGTTATTTTCAAGGAGATTCCTTGACTGTCGAGAAGATGAGCGTGGAATGATTAGCATAAGGCGAATGCCAACCGCTCTGTGCCTAAGGCTCGGCCGTTTCTGAGATATCTCATAATCGTCTGGTCAACCGGCGCAAGTAAAACCGCGATAGGGGCAAACACCTCATCGCACAGACAGGACGTCAACAAAGAGAGCTAGATGTTTACGTTTACGTATTAAGTGAGAATCGTTTAGACAAGTCGGAGAACTCACTCGTCGTTGTTCATAACTGTCTACCAAAAAGGCGTGCCTTTTGAGCAAGCGCTCCGACATCGCAGTGAGGACTGACGCGCAATTATATGCATCGGCGCAGCAGGTGCAGAGAAACTAGAGCTGGGGCAAGCGGAGAATGTATCGGCATGTTGAGCTTGCGATGAAACGAGCTGTCGCACGTGGAAGGTTCCGGCGACAGCTGGTGCCTGTGGCAAACATGTTTGCGCGTGTTGGACAGCGACACCTGTGATATTACCCTTAAGTGGGTATGGGAATCATCTAAGTAGCATGAGGGGCTAAGTGAGGATCCTAAAGACAAGCCGTGCAAATCATCCATAAACTTGAACGGTATGTATTCTGACGACAATGCCTCAAATTTCGTTGTGCCCTACAAAGTCTCAGCGCTGACGGTACTCGGGGAAGATGAAAACAAAAGCTTCTCCCAAGTCAAAAAGAGTTCATTCAGGAGAGCATCTTCCCATGTTGTTCTTCCTGGTTGGATAGTGTAAAAGGCCCCAGCGTGAAAAAAAAGGTCTCATTAACCTCTTGACATCCTGAGTATCTGAATATCGATATCAAATAGTGACACGTTGCAAGGTCGCGCGAGATATCACCTTGAAAATCACTGGTTTTGGGCACTGGGGACAAGGGAACGGACCTCATGCTGCCGCAAGTGAGATGTTGTTTCATAATGTCATGAAGGTTAATCATTACGTCCAGAAGGTCCTTGTACGCATTCTAGCTAACAAAGACGTTATAGTGATTGGGAGACAGTGGATAGTTCTGGGAACAGACCTGGTACTCTGCGCTCTTCCTCCGGTTCCAATTGGCGATCAGAGCCGATTGGACTTCTCCAAGTTTCTGGAGCCCTTGCGACATGAGACCGGATGCAAAAGCACTTGTACAGAGGAATAGAACAGTGCGGAGAATGTTATACTTACCAATATAGAATGACCAGAGATATGGGGCTATCCTCGGAAAGGGTGGTTCAGCCAGAATCTGTGGCTGGACTGCAAGAGCCCGCTTGAAGGCCTCCAAAGCAAGGTTGATGTCACTGCCTGTGTAATCAACACCTCGATGCCGGACAACGTGATACAGCTGCGTAAGAACGGCGTCTTGCAGTATCGGACGAGGGCAGTGCTCAATTTTCATAATTTCTCTACATTTTGGGTGCGTGTTTGAGCATGTAGACTTCATACATTGTATATCATGGACTAGGGTTTTCAGATCAAACCAAATAGTTAGGATGCCCGAGACATGAGAGTCATCGTACAACGAATCCTGTGCCTGGAAATGATTGCTTATCGGCCGTCCTTGCCTTGAGGTATACCCAGAGTATCGATCTAATACGGCATTCTGTGTGAATTCCCTGAATATATAGGATATTCTTAAGAGAGGTACAATTGGATTTTGGGGCTCTTCGCCATTTGCATGGACGTCGCTTGATGTGATCGAGGCTTGTCGAGGTAGGCTACTCTGCCTCAGGGAAACTACATTATAGGAAACTTGAATTTGACCATCTATCTAAGTACGGTGAACCTGATTAGGTGAAGAGTTGTGGAATGACTTTCAAACTACATATCAAGTACCAACCAACAGTAGGGCGCCAAGGTTCTGTTGACAAAAAAGCTAAGCAATCTCCGGTCCCGCCGGCAACCCACTATGACTTGTACTGTAACCTCCAGATGAACACACACAGCATTTCTCTCCATTGCAAACTCAACGTGCTCAGACTAGTCTCTTCACCACAGTACGCAGAAACCCGCGTATAAGCCATATCGACAGGTTCGTGTCGTGGGTGACGAGCTCGGCATTGATGCATTGAACTTGAAGTTGACACCATGATGTTCAGGAAAGTTACCGCTATGATAACCTCAACGGGAAACATTCAGAGTCCTATCACATTGCTCCCTCAGGAGCTCTTGGATAGGTCTATTGATTTCCTGCACAATGACAAGCCGTCGCTTTTCAACTGCATGCTGGTGTCACGTCGATGGGTCGATGCCAGCCAGTATCACTTGTACGATACCAAGAAGATTCTCCTGGTAAAGGATTCCAATGCCAAGCGCGTAGCTGCATTCAAAGAATACCTCGAGGATACGCCCCATGTACGACATCTGATCAGGACATTCTCGATTATCCGAGCCACCGGACGTCGACGGTGTCTCGTTGAACTCATCGAACTACTTTCCATTCTAAAGAACCTCCCCAGACTTGAATCCTTCTTTCTTGACGGCATCGAGCTGACAACTGTAAACCATTTTGCATATGTTGCCATGGCCACCCCGCTATTTGGCATATTTCGACTCAGAATACTCGCATTGAATGACGTAGCGGGTCGGGAAAGTAGAGCGACCATACATGGCGCTTTCATGATCGACTTCCTTGGCCTTTTCTCCGAGATTCAGACCTTGAAGCTCGTCTCGTCATATTCTCAATCTGTCTGGACAGAGATGGCAGATTGTCCTTCACTCACCCATTTGCAAAAGAAGACTCGAGTTTCGCACCTCCAAACGTGGCTCATGTGCAGATTTGCTGTCGGTCCGATGGTGCTACCCAAAGCCATCAACGTGAATAGTATCAAGTACTACTCATTAAAAGTATTGTATCCACAGCAGCTCCAGAACCTCGGCGCATTCCTACGGAATCCCAGCTTGAACATCACATACCTAGATATTGACATAAAAGACTACATAAACTGGGGGAGCCACATGGGTTTGATCATTTCACATTGTTACCGGCTTTCAGACATATCTGACAATCAATTTTATATCACACCTAGTAACCTCTGAATCCTGGAGTGCGCTTACTTCGTGTCCTTCCATACGGTATTTCGTGGTGCATTGGAAGGAGTTTGGCTCGGACGTGGGTCCATCAGATGCGGAACAATCGACGGCCCTTAGATCATTGTTGTCCGGTTTCGCGCCCAGCTCGTTGACGAGCCTCACATTCTGCAGACACGGACAGCCGCCCACAGAGCGAACAGAGGGTGCACCGAAATACAAGGGCGACCGTTCGGGTCCGCTTGCTAGGCAATCAGATACGTTGAAAAACCTCTCAGTGCAATTCTATCAGCGCCGAAATGCTCGGGTGGCATCTAGGAATCAGATAACAGGGGAGACACGTTTACTGGTGCAGGATTGGTTAGGGAGCCTGGGATGGCTCTCCGGGTTTGAAATGCGTTTCGCCGAGAGCTGTTCTCGTGATGTGCAAGATGGTCTGAGGATGTATAACCGTCGGGCAAACGTTCCTCGTGTATAGATTTTGAGGTAAACAAATGCTGTCACTGGGGATGTCGTGGACATTTTAACTCATGAAGCGTACATCATGAGTCATCAGGGAGAAAAGACAGTTCAGGAGGAGGTCGCAATCCGAAAACACCCAATGGTAATCATGGGGACTACAGACCATCCTCAATAAGTCCTTGCGTTGCAATCTCCATAGGATTCGTTGTGAGCGGCTTATCAAAGTTTTTCTGGTATACTCATCTGTCTCAGAATAAAACTGAGTTGTACCATTACAATACCGTCTCGTTTACGACATCTATCTCGACTACGAACTCAACCTGTTACTCGTTGTTTGCCGTAGGTCTAAATTTGAACATGCACCTGATAATCGTGTCCTTTTCCTCAGCTCTCATATTAATCTGTGTAAGGGTCCGAGTGGTGACACCTGTATTCATGGGACTCGAATCAACCTTCCGAAGATGTACATGCACCCTTGGCGTGGTGAGTCTTCCATTCCAGATGCTTGAGCACGTCGCTGCCGCGGGGATTAGATCGAGATACTCTCATTTCTCGGTACATGTCACTATCACAACTCCACGGCCTTCAAGTCATGGCACTACCAATGCACTAACATCCTCAGGCTGTAGACTTCTTGCGCTCGAAGGCGTATGGACGCAGTAGATATACAGCCTGGTATCCGGACTATCTCATGTCAAAACCGCACCCATAGTACTGTGTATTGGATGCATTCGGGCTCCAAATGCCTGCCCTACCACATTGGCCGTACCCTTAACTTTACTTGAAATCATCTACGTCGAATTTGTACCAGCTCCAGCCCAGCGATCCTTTCATATCTTAGCAGTTCGAAGCGGAGAGGCCCCATGTACTGGCGCAAAGTCTGAGTTTTCGCTTAGGCCCCGGGTCTGATTTTCCTTGGACCTTCTCACCTTGAACCAATATGCGAGATCGTGAACTGAGATGAGAATGCGAGCTTCACCATATGTCTGCGTTCTAACTTCTCAGCAGGTCTGCTGTTACTTTCTACCGAGTTTCCCTAAGTTTGCCTATCCGGGTATACGAAATCTGACACCTACATATGTATACTTTGCTGGTTTGGTCTAGTCCTCAGTGAATTATCTGAGAAGCTGGGAAAACAAAACAAAATAGGACGCTTTGCAGAGAAGATTGCAGAGTCAAGGTGGAGGAACGTAGGAGGAGAAATTAGTGAATGGGTTGTGACGGATGCGCTAGAGTCAGCGAAGCAGAACGGGGGCAGGGAGGGTACTGCAGAATACCACACAGAAATTCATAGAATTCCGCGAATCAACGTCGATCTTTCATATGAAATGCTATGCTAACAGCGTAGCCTTATCCACGTCTGTGCTGTCCTTTGAGATTCGTGCTTGGAATTCATTCCATCTAAGCACTAAACACGTTTGTGAACCAAATGAATAGTGTTTGAGTGGAATACGAACCTTGTGGTTGAACACACGACCAGCCATGGATCTTCGACGAGAATCATTCGCGTGCCCGCTTTGAACGAGCGGCGGGTACCTCCGTTGGAACCTAAAATACTACTGCTGGTGTTTGAGGGGTCGCCTTCGGCAACTCGGAGGTTCGACAATGCAACTGTTGCACTTCACGATGACAATGCGCCTTGAGTTTGGAGCATAGGGTTCTGTCAGAAGAATCTCTACGCACAAGCAAGCTGTATGCGTTGCATTCAAGTCCATAGAGTTTGGTGGGCTGCGCCTCACACAGGCATGATCATGATTCATTTAGAAGCTGATATATGACTAAACTCACTCGTGGGCCTCCTTCTAATGCATTCCCCAGCACGGTTACCTGCTCCGTACAGGCGTTTTTCTGTCATCGAACATAGAAAAGTTCGAGGCGTGCGACGACTGCACAACTTCGAATCCTGGATCGGCAAAAGCTCGCGAGTTACTTATACAGAGTGTAAAACACGCTACATACCTGAGATATCAACTGTAGTGTTTGCCCGTAACGAAAGCGCCGAGCATCTTGACGTTGGTGAGCACCGTAACGAGACAATTATTACCTAAATAGACGATGATTCCCAACGTCATGTCTGCACTTACCTATTTGGTGTTTGCAATGTTCTGCTGAGGCTGTCTGAGCTGTAGAAACATGCCCCAATAGAGAATATGTAGAATCATTCTCAGAGAGGAGGCGTCTGCCAGCAACGGTTTCCTACTAAGTACAGTGGTAGACGCGCATCATACCATCCGGACGTTCGGGGGAAGCCGAGGAAGTTGATCTTGTAAAGTTCAGCTGAGTACGCACGAAGCAACTATATTCTAACCTGGACCTATGATGGAGATGAACGTCTTTGATCCGTAATACAGGACCTTTGCTGAACACACGAACCTTTACTACAGTAGGACATGTTTTCCTCAAGCAGCCGTGGACTCGTTTCGTAGTGCATGTTCTGTCCTTCCTGTCCACACCTCTTCCTGTTCTTGAATCTAAATGGTTCGACGCATGCAGCGGGTGCATAACATGGACGAATATATAGGCATACTGACCCACTGGCACTTCATCTGTTTCCGTGGCACGACCAGCCTTAATTCCCTCTCGGATGCTTCATCGAAGATCTCCTATGACAGCTGTTCACAATCCAATAATGCCACAGGATCAGAAGCCAGTAAAAGAAGATTTCGGTCCCATGCCTGCCCACTGGATGGTCGAATTTAAAAATATGCCCGAGTGGTTGAACAGATGTCTTCAACTTTCGTTCTCGGTGCTCTGTTTGCTCTCGCTCGGGCATGCAAACTTGAAAACGGTGTGGAGGGTTTGTAACACCGAAGATAAATCAGACTGGCTTAATAAAAAGAAACGCTTGTTGGATAGAATCGAGAATATTACTGTCATCGTACGTTGTCGTGTAATGTCATAAGGTGCTTGAGCTAATTTTGCATGTTTGCATTTCATTCATCTATCGTACACATTTCGGCCTTCTTAGGCAGGATTATTGTTAACATCCACTTCTGCTTTCGCCACTACCCTACCCCCCCTTACACCGTTGTTTGACTACACGACAACTGCTCCTTACATCTGTAGTCTTGCATCATTCGGCTCTGTCCTGGGTAGTCTAATTGTTGGATCATCGGTATTGTTCATGCTGGCTAAATGTTCGCAGGAATGGTTTCGCGATGTCCGTTTTCTTATATATTGCATTTAGAGAGCTGTGCTAATGCTTCACATTTTTAGACACTAATGGGCTCACGTTCGAGTATATGTCTTACTCTCATCATTCTCGCGTATCCATTTTTCTCCATCGCTGCTGCAGCATGCGTGATGCTGATCGGTAAGTGGTAATACCCTCTATGCCTCTACTGTATCTCAACTCACGCTATCACGTATTTACCTAGGTCTAACTATCGCAGCTTATCAGTCCTCTCATCCAGTCGTCAGGATTGGAAGCATATTGGTCATCCTTATTCCGGGTCTCTTATTTCCTGCGTTCATTTACACTCAGGTGCCATGGAGCCGCGTACGCACCGATCCTGCACAGAAGTCCAGTCACAAGCAGACGTCCAATCCCGCCGGGCAGACGTCTATTACTGAGAAAATACTCATTCCCGAGCAGACACCCAACATCGACTATTCAGACCATGACAACGTGTGAACACGGCTCATTCCGTTCTTTGCGATATACACTTTTCGACGTTGATCGATGAGTCGCAGTGCTTCGCGCTGGCGTAGATGCACAGATGTATTTTTTAGCGTTTCAATATCCTATTCATGCCTATTTCAACTTTTGTCGGCTTGGTTTGTATATTGACTGTAGAAACAGCTCCGAGTCGACACTCGTCTGAATACTTATGTACATACGGAATAGTATAACAGAACCAGATTCAAACGACTTTGACGCGAGACCCTTCGAGTCCGCAACCATGACGGTGGTGACTACTTAGTTCTGTTTGAATTTCACATACTTGCTCCCTCTCCAATTGCAATCTGACTTCTCTGGATGCGTAGAAGATTATTCTGCCTATTCACTCCATTAAGAGTCTCGGTGGAATGATCTCGCGCTTGCCTCCGCCTCCGCCATGTCTTTGCTCATTCTGTTCAATCGGGCTGACATGGACAGAGACTGGGGTACACAGATCCAAAGATGTTTCTTCATCAATGCTGTCTTAGTACTGTACATGGTCTTCCAAGTCAATGTTTTCTTCTCCACTACTCAAAATTCGACCTCCTTCAATTTCGATTTCGTGCTGACTCTATGTGGCCGTAGGACTTTGTTTCTGACAATATAGGTCATGTCAGACTCCTCGTCTGCATTCTCTCTGAGAGCGTTGGCTTCGCAGCGCGCGCGCGCACTAGCTTTCTCCGTGCAGGACTCGGACTGGAACTCGACGTTTCGTAGTTCGAAATCTGCTCAGGCGCGGCGTGCAGCGCCACAGTGGGCGGGGGAGTACCGGACATTCGTGGGGGTCAGCGTATGTCGATGTCGACTTCAGACTAGAAGCAGGGAGGGCCGCGAAGGTACCTGCAATGGACAGTTTGGACGACAACCCGGTTGAAGATGGAGCAAAGTTTTTGAAAAACCTCGATAGTTTGGAGCCGCTTTAGCGTAAGTATGTTAATCAATCCTGAGGCCTGAGGGATGGTAGTATCGGTATAGGGTTCTTCCACTATGAGCGAGATGTAGAAGTCAATCCAGTGAAGTTCCTCACGGGGACAGGGTGTGCGACAACAACCAGTATTTACGCATGATACGATTTCTGAAGTGCCCCGAATTACGTGCAAGTCAGACATGGTATGGACTTTTCGCCCAGTAAGCGTCCGATTCCTTCGCACAATACAATCGTACGTTCTTACCGCTGAAATGAGTTCTTTTTTCACGTTGCATGCTCCAACAGAACAGCTTCTGAATATGGAATTGCGAGCATGTACGGAGGATACACGGTTGAGGATGGTATACCGTGATCCACCATTACCTCATCGCACGTCGAGTGTTCACGTCAAGTCAACACCGGACTCGTTTGTGACGCTCTCAGCATTACAGACGTAAGTGCTCTTCACAGGCAGAGAGACACTAGCTCTACCACGGCCGGAGAGCCACGTATATTCCCGTGTTGCACAACGACCTCCTCCGTCTGAATCGAGGATGTGACGAGTCAGCGGAGATTGTTCTCTATGTGACAGCAGAATTCACAGTACATCTCAATAATTGGGTGCACCACTGCAGGCTAGTATCCACGGGCCGGCCAAGATTGTTGAACCAAATTCTTGAGCTTTCGTCCACATTGCTCCGTTTGATCTCACTTGGGTATATATCCAGCTAGAGGAAATACGGGAGACGACCGTCGCGGATGATAGAGGGTGGATGGATCGCTTGTCAGTCAGAATCGATGATATTGCTTTCATAGTGGGTTGATGCATGGTATTCTCAACCATAGTGACTGCGTTGATGATGCGCCACACTGTGTGACAATTGTAAATTGAGTGTTTCTTCTCGTGACTGCTGGCAGAGGTCAACGCAGTGGTGGTCACGATAATATTATTGGATAAAGACGACTCCAATGAGAGAAAGGCTTGGCAAGAGAGAACGCGGCTGGATACGTCGGCGTTGACACAGAGATGAACTGACGAGAACAATTGCGAGCGAGAAGCCGAGGAAGGCAGGGGTCATATGAACTGTGGAGCAGGGTTGGCAGTGTGGGAGGCAGCGACGCGGGCGACAACCATAGTCGTCGTCGTTGCAAGTACGAGAAGGATGCAGAGTCTCGCAGAGGTATAGTGTTTCAGAGACACGTCGATGACGACGCAGACACGATCGACAACAAGAGACGTCGGCAAGCAGCGGGAAGGGGACTGAATAGGCAGTGGTGACGTCATGGACGACGAATGGGGGTCGAAAAGAGAGAACAGGATATTGCCTGATTTGGGGGGCAGGCTTGGAGTCGGCTTGAGTGTTTGTTGCTAGCACCGTCCGTGTCTGTCTCTAGCCAGCGAGCTTGTTTTCGGTGAGAGCTGCTTCTGCGTCTGCAGTGTCTTCCACGGTCCTTTCGCTCGAGTCTCTCTTCCTCCCTGGGCTATACCGGTGCTACGCTCGTTTCTCTGCAACGCTTACTCGACCTCTAGCCTGCTTTTGCCAACTCGCTTGTGGTGTTATCGTTAGATCTCCCATCGCAGCGCTCCTCCGTCTCCGCAGTTTTTATCACCAGTAGCCCTCCATACGTTCCTCCAAAGCCCTTTCTCCCGACTGTGACGCACAGTCGGTTGCTCTACTAGATGACGGGCATTCCACCTTTGGGTCCATCCGTACGTCTTTCCTCTTCCTATACTTCACCTTCGTTCCTTTGCCATCCATGTCAACACTTCTTTGGTCCATGCTTGTCATACGCCTATGATACACATGAGTCCCCAACTCGAGAGGTAATACGGTGCTTCCGCACAGCTTTCAGCCGGTCCCAATGTCATGCTCGGAACGCGTCTCAATATCTGCCATGAGACAGTCTTTACATCTTCCATTTACCTCTACTTCTTTCTGGGACACTTGCGTTGGGAGGGCTCGCTATGATCGGACCCAGGATGGATGATACTAGGTCACCCTTCTGTATGGGTCCATCAGTGCCTACCTCCCACAATTGTATCTGTCCTCCTGGGTGGACTCGTCTCTGCGTTGTCTAATGCCCTGCATCTCCGTTGTGCATCCCATCTCGTTTTCTACTCCCGTACTCCCGCAGATGTGCGCGCTTGTGTCCCGATCGTCTGGCATAGCTTTGACCTACTGCTGACTCTAGACACGAACGCGCATATTCTTCTCCATGTGTACGCCCTTCTCTTTTGTGCACGGAGGGGCTTTTCATCGAAAGAATGGATGCCTCCCTGTCTTTCGTTCCATCTACCCCTCCGCTTTTGGCAGAACCTCTCTTGCCTGCTCTCCGACGTTTGGCGGCCCATCTCATGAGTGGTCTCTTTATCCACGGATCGTCTTGCGACTTTATGTTTGTGCATGCAGTGTTCCCTTCCAGCTTCAAGCCATATCAAGCCTTGTCGCCGGAATTAGTTGTTGTTTCTTGCATTACGTCGCATTCTGGTCGAGTGCATCTATTTGCCACTCAATGCGAATGTGCATTCTCGCACTATCTATTCCATGTGTGCCTTTCGCAGACATATTTCCTTTTCTTCTGCCTTCGTATTTTCCTTCTTCCTTTCATGATTGGCTGGGGGGTTTTGGATACACGTACATTGATACGTTGGCCCTCCGCGCAGCACAGTCGGAATGAGAATATTCGACACACACGGACGATATCAACAAGTTACGCATCGTCCGCATATGTTGATTTCTCACTCGTTGATTGCTGCTGCACGCTTCAGATGGCGCAACACATTGTTGGACTTTAATTCAATTATTGAGCCCTCTTCAGCTCGGTTACTCTGCGACATGGTTTCTTTCTCTCTTCTTTACATTTCAACCATACTCGCGTTCCTCGCGCAATTGTGGTCTCAGTACAGGAGTGGGCAAGACGCTGGCTTCCTCATCTCTTCATGTGCTCGACTTGCTTGAGCCCTTTGTCACGTTCTGAGACCTGGAATGCATTTCTGCTTCACTTCCATTCCCTTTCGGTCACTTTTCATTTCGCTCCACTTGTGCCGTTCGGCTTGGCATTATTGGGTACAGCGACGGAACGATAGCAACAGACATGATGCAAATTTCGCTTGGGCACGTGTAACAGCTTCTCCATCGTCGTTTTGGTTGACATTACGTAGCGGTTGCTTCTCTGTTTGCTTTTTAGTTTCCGTTTTCCTTGCGTTCGATCCTTCATTCCCCACGCTTATGCTAACGAGGGATGTTATTTCTCCAGGAGCCTTCCACCTCCCGTCGAACGTCATTCACGACGTCACCGCGCCCTCCTCACCTCCCAAACCCGCTCTCGAATGCGCTCGCTAACCTCTCCCTCGCAAACATCAACAACAACAACAACCTCACCACCAACCCACTCAATAATAACCTGAACAATCATTCCCGTCCTGGAACCTCTACAAGCTCCCTCTCTCGCCCCGGAACGTCAGGACTTGGATCAAGTCCTATCCTTGCTAACCTTGTGAATCAGCCGTTTGGATCGAGGTCAGGAAGTGGAGGGAGTAGTGTAGCTGGAAGCGCGACGGGCGGTGGAAGTGCTGGTCTTGTGACGGGGCAAGGCCAAGGGACGAATACGGGGACGCCGACGAATGATGATATCGAGGCGGTGATCCAGATGGCCACGAGTGCGAGGAGTGGGTCGAGTAACGCGACGAACCCTCCGAGAGATACGAGGACGCAACTATTTGTTGGGAACGTGCGTTTATTATTATTATTTCAACCACCCATTTCACTCATTCACTTTATTCACTCTCCCTCGTAGCTCCCCTACAGAGTGCGTTGGCAAGATCTCAAAGACCTATTCCGACGCGCAGGAACCGTCCTCCGAGCAGACGTCTCTCTCGGACCAGATAATCGATCGAGAGGATATGGGACTGTATTGCTCGCAACGGCAGAGGATGCAGGACGGGCGGTGGATATGTTTAATGGGTTCGAGTGGATGACGAGAGTGTTGGAGGTGAGACCGGATCGGATGGGTGCGTTGGTTGCGGGAGAGGAGGGACCTGGTTCGTTGAATGGCGCTGTTGCTGCTGGTAGCGCGGGTGTAGGTGCGGGTGCGAGTTCGGGTTCGGGAGGTGTGGGAGGGACTGGGACGGGGACTGGGACTGGGACACCGTTGAATAATGGGATCGCGTTCGCTGCTTCCAACGTCAGCTCGCCGTTTCCGTCTGCTTCGGCTACGCCTTTCCCTGGTTCTGCTGGCACTTTGAATCTCACTGCGTCTGCGGCTGCGGCTGCTTCGAGGCTCGCTGGGTTGGGGACGGGTGGGGCGACGTCGCCGTTTGCGTCTGATTTTGGTGTGGGGGGAAGTGTTGGAGGTGAAGAAGATGCGAATTCGTTGGCGGGGAGGAGTTTATTCGTTGGGAACGTAAGTTTCTGCTCTTTCCCCCTTCCTTTTCCTTTCGTTCTATCTCATAATCCGTATGCTTTTTTTTAGTTGCCTTTTCACATTCAATGGCAAGACCTTAAGGATCTCTTTCGGATGAGCGGTGGTACGATCTTACGTGCAGACGTCGCTCTGGGTCCGGATGGTCGGTCGAGAGGGTTTGGGATGGTAAGTTTTGCTACGGAGGTGGATGCTGAAAGGGCGAGAGCCATGTTCAACGGGTAAGTTGGACGACTTCTTTTCCCATTTTTTTTGAGACTCAATAGTTGGCGTGATATTTTAGATACGAGTATAGCGGTCGGGTGCTGAAAGTGCATTTTGATAAGTATGCTGGGTCTGGGATCGGTCTCGGACCATCCATGCCTCCCATTCCGAATCTCTCGACGTCTTCTACCCCGGCACCGTCCTCGTCATCGATACCTTCTCCTCTATCGTTATCGACGCCTCATTCGCCTTCTAACGCACACGCTGGGTACGCAATTGGTAGTACCGCACAGCAATCGGGCGTTTCGTTCGCCCAGCAGGTGATGTTGTCGCAACATGAGCAACAGCTTCAATACCTTCACAGTCTGAGCCACAGTCATGGTCAGGGCAGGGTGGAGTTGTCAAGGTACAATTCGGACTCATTGACTTATAGGTATGGACTAGGCGAGGACTCTTTGCAAGGTTCATCAGCTGGAACAACTTCATCCCCGACTTATGCGCAAAACGCTGAGTACCTTCAGTACCTCCAGCATCTTCAATCTTACGGCTCTTCATCTTCGTCTGCTGTTGGGACATCGCAGTACTTACCGCCAACAGGCGCATCGACAAGTACACAGAGGAATTCGCCGTTGTACGCGACGCTTGATCGTGTACGGGAGGAAGAAAAGTCCCCATTCGAGTTTGGTGGGTTTGGGCCTGATGGGACAAGGATTATCCCTGGCTCGCAAAGAGGTGGATTCGGTTCTGCGGTTGGGGCTAGTGGATTGTCGAGAGCGGTCGAAGCGGAGGTTATGCAACCTGGGAGTGTCTTGGATCTGAGTGGGAGGAAGGAACGGCAGGGTGACGTTAACGACAATCGCGAGAATATGACGTCTGAAGAAGGTATGCGCAAAACGAAAGGGAAGCAGACACAACTGTATTCGAGTTCACCCGGGTCTTCTCAACAAGCTTCGTCTTCGGCTTCGCTGTCAGTTGAATCGAAGAACCTTACTTCTCCAACTCAATCGTATTCTTCCGCTGCAACAACCAATCAAGCATCGTCACATACAAATACGACGCCTAATCATCATCACCACCACCCCGCTCATCCAGGTCCTATATCCCTCCCACCGCCACCGCCTATCAATACATTCCCTGTCCCGCCACCTCACACGCTTTCGCCTTACCATTATCCCCCTCATCCGATGTCATCACCTTATATGAGCCCGTTATACCATCCTGCTATGATGAACATGGGTATGCCGGGTCTGACGCCTCATGGGCTCCCTCCTATAACGCCTAGTATGCCTAGTTTTACGTTCTTGCCTCAGCCTAATCCTATGGGTGGGATGGTTCCCGCGTATATGCCTGCTTCGTCTACGTCTTTGGGTGGAGATCATCTTGAGATGCCGACTTCTGATGAGAGGAAAGGAGGGAATGAGGGTGATGGTGAGGGTGAGGGTGAGGGGGAGGGGGAGGGGAATAATGGGAATGGGAGCGGGGGAGGATCGAATACTGCTTCGACGATGACGGACTCGAGAGTACGTCCGCCGGCGTTACCCCAGATACCTTCGCATCACAATCCGCACCAACAACAACCTCCTGGTTATCCGTATCATCATCATCCTCAAGTATTCTCGCCATATACGCCTTTCTCGCCTGGTCTCACTATGTCGCCTGGGGCGTTTTGGGGGAGACCGGGGACGGGGACGGGGGCGAACCCGTATATTAACCCTGCTGTGGGTGCGCCTGTGCATCCTCAACAACCTCACCCTCATCCTATGACTCCGCATCATCATGTGCCGCCGTTTTATGCTGCTATGCGCCAGCCTCCTGTTAGCGAGGAGATTGGGTATTTCCCGCCTGTTCCTCCTATGCAGTACACACAGTACATGCAAGGTCAAGCGCAACAGCAGGAGCGGGAGCGGGAGCAGCAGGAGCAACAGCAACAGCAACAGCAAACGTATAATGGGGAAGAACCGCAGAGTTACTTCCCGTTCGTCCCTCCGAGCGCTGTACCTTCGAGACCTAGTGGACTGTCGCAGGAGATCAGCGCTGGGTCGAGTCATAGTGGTGAAGGTGGAAGTGGGAGTGCACGTGCAGGGATCAGCGGATCGAATAGTGATCCTAGTGTGCACGGTGCTCAGACTGAGAGTGTCGTGAGCAGTGGGACTAATACTGGGACTGGGACGAACTCTGTGGCGTCTCCGACGAGACCTGGGAGTTCTATGGGTACTTCGTGGACGGATTCTCCTGAGCCTCCGAGTCAGGGTTTTGAAGCCCTTATTGTGGGTGATAGATGTCACAAGGAGGACTTTCTCGCGGACTCCCCAGCTGGAGAGTTGAAGGGACCATCGCAGGAGAGCACGGTCTCATCGGGAGGACCCTCGTTATCACGGGCGGAGTCTGATCCGATGGTAAGGCAGCCTGGGATGGTTATTTCACCGGTGGCGGAGGACTTGCAAGGAGAAGGTGAGAGGACACGGGAGTCGGGTGTAGATGTACAGAGGTCGAGTTCGGATCCGCAGACTTCGTGGAGTAGAGCTGTCTAGATTTTACCGTGAGTTCTTACATTCACCTCTCCGATCTTCCATGTCGAGTCATTCGTCGGCTTGCCAGCTTGCTGGGTTTTGTTTGATAGGTGCTCATTACGACACACCAAAACCGTTGCCCGAAGTCTGAAGGATTGCCCATGTCGGAAGTACTTATTACTTGGATATAATGTCTATTGCGTGCTTGCTCTCTTTTTTTTTCTTTCGTCGTTGCTTTCTGTTATCTTGGTATTCTAGCTGAATATACCCTCAAGCATCTTCATCTTTTGAATACAATATCTTTTTCTGCTCTCTCTTTGATTTCGACTATGTGATTGCTCATCCGGATCAGACCATACGATACGATCTGCTGGTAATGACCATGAACTTGTGCAATGTGCACATATAAGCAAACAATTCCTTACCCGGTAAGCCATATAGAACATTGAAACTAATGAACTTGCAGCTTCTGCACATTGTCAGGAGTACAAGTTTGCAACTAGTTGAATGCTCTCTTTTTTCTCCCTTGAGATAATGGTGACATATAAGCAATCAATTTACCTGGATTCAATTGCTATGGCTAATCCTACCAGTGTTCTTTCATTATCTTTGATGTCATGATGAGATGATGATATAGTAAACCTCATTGGTCCAACTAATAGCCATAGATGAAATTAATTTTACATTACAAATGGCCTATCATGTTACAGCTTCTCCTGAGAAACAGACATGAGGCTATGTAACTCAGGATCATCCTCTAGCATGTTCTTCTCATCAGAGAGAACAAGAGATAATTTTCTTGAGTGGATGCCAACACTGTGTTCATCCTCTGTCAAGTCCCCCAAGTCATGAGTTGAGACTTTTGTGTATCTGGCTGTCATTCTACATAGATACCCAAGGGTTCAATATAGATGCAAGTCAACAGCTTGCAAGAGAAACTCACTGTTGTGCAAGAACCAGCCCATTTGATTCATCCTCATCATCCAATATGGGCAGAGGTAAAGCAGTGGCCAAAGGATTACTGGATACAGAGATCTGGTCTCTTTCAGCTTCAATCTCTTCATGACTTTCTGTGAAGATGTTATGCAAAGGTGCTCCAAGGTTTCCTACCACCATGGAAGCAAAGTGTAGATTTGATGCAGCAAAGGAACTGGAGTTGACGCTTGAATGGGAAGACAGGTGAACTTGTCTGAGGTGAAAGAACATGTGAGAGAGAAGAATAGATTGAAGTCTGTAATATGCAAGCAAGAAGTAATGAGAGATGTTAAAAGAGTCATCAGTGCAAGAAAGAACTTTCAAATCTGATGCCAAGACTTACACATATGTGAAAATGGAAACAAATATGATAGGCTGCAAAAATAATAGGTTCAACAAATGAGAAAACCCAAAGAAACTATACTCACAGAAGTCACAGTCATGATAACATCAATTATGTTGATACATAAAACAGTCCTAGAAATTTTATCAGTCAATAAGCTCCAAAGTTCTAACATCTACCACTTACAAGAACTGGATGCTTCCTGCAAATAAAGATGCAAGGCATTCAATATTTCAGATTATCATGAAAAAAGGTTTCTGACCACACACCATCTCTTAGAAGCAAGGAGGTAACAGTAACATGCACTCCAAGTTGATGAGATTCTCTGGTCAACTTGAATGTCTTACTTGCAGTCAAGCCCAGTGTCAGAAGTTCTGCAGTAATCCAAATGATGTCTAGAGTGACATTCCCTGGTAAAATAAAATAAAAAATCTTGTGAGTCTCATAGTTCCTAAGCCTACTGTGCAATCAAGAAATTGAACTTGCATCTGCAGAAAGAAAGCTACAACATTAAAACTGGATCTATATTCAGATCTTATAAACAGAAACTCACCTAGTGAATTGGTCATAACCATGACCAGGGACCGCAACTGTGTTAGCACAAGCCAAGTAAGGTAGCTGGACACGAAGAGAGACATCGTAGAACTGTGTAGTGATGAAGATCTGGTAACGGACATCAATACTCTGAAACTGAGGTAAGAACTGAGAGGCAATAAAGGACATACAATTGTCGCAACCAGAAAGAGAGTATTGACTGTCGCAAGAATGATGGCAGCAGAAATACTTCGTTCTAAAATGGCATAGATTCGCAGGACAGTGAAGGCTATAATGGAGATGATTAAATTTGACAGTCAGTTTAGACGTATATATATGTACAGTTCAATAAACGGACCTGCAAATGTCGCCGATAGTACGTATCCAATAGCGTTGGCAGTTATATCGAGCGCACGGCACCTGTCATCTAATGGTCGACACAAAATTCGCATTAATTTACTAATCCAAGTCTCACCTCTGACAGAAGAACTAATTAAATATTCTCATTCTCTGATGAACATCGGAATGTGAGACTCACAGATACCAGGATCGAATTGTTGCTTTCCTGCATGAACTCAAGGCCAATGATCAGAGCTAGGGCGAGAAGGAGGTAGCGGTTGATGACGAAGATGGCAGAGGCTACGGAGAACTTTCGTCTCCATATGCAGTTGATTTCTTCGTTGATCGTGAGCAGATGATCATATAGAATCAGGCCTAGGGTGGGAGGGAAGTTTGTAAAATGTGTCATGACTCGAGATAAAGATGTAAGTACTTACAGACTACTGCAGCATAACTAAAGGTGGTTGCGGAACTAGGCGACGCGTCTCGTAAACAGCTCAAAAATGGGAGCAATTTGGCGCACTCACAAAGAGTAATAAATTGTTACTGCATCGTCATAAAGCTCCGGTGGAATATCCAAAGGTTTCAAACTAGTTGATGTAGAGTTCGGCATGAACAGGTATCGATTTTACTGGGAAAGCGGGAAAACGGCCACGGATATTGCAGCGACGGTGAATGTACTTCAAACAAGGACGGGGAAAATAGAACTTGAAGGCCATCGAGCTTACTTATATGCCGACTGGGAACTCGGAGACAAACGACGTAACAATAAAAACCCTCCGCTTCGACATCAGTGCGAGTGTTGCACAGCTCTTCCGATATTCAAGAGTCCCGAAATTGACCGGTAAAGACAACACTGCGAAATCATCACTGCATTTCTGACAAACCCAGTCATTCCAAATCATTCAAGATCCCCGCCCAGTGCAGAAGAGGTTCTAAAGCAGCGAGGAGCTTATCTACTGAACTGGTTCAGAACTGTCTTGGTGATCAAATAAATAGCCATTGTAAAGATATCGATTGATATGAGAATCACACACTTGTATAGGATGAAAGCTATGACTGAATGTTTGTGAACATTCTTCACCACGCCGATCTCGTAGACGAAAGTCGTAAGCAAAGAGGATGAAGCGGGCGCCTCCTGTCGTGCCACTCTTGTCCCCGTACTGCGACGAACTTGGAAGTCAATATTGGGAACTGTAATTCAGATTCATAGGAGTTCATAGGGTGCATCCGACCCCTTATCTGTTACACATCGAGGGCTGTTGGTGAACGTATGTGAATGTATCAATCCGAGGGCCTTTCCCCTCTCGGACATGGTATATCACATTGACACGAGGATCCGAGGTGCGTGTACGACGCATGCTATACTTGTTTCCTGACAGGACCGCTAAGCACAATCCCGCAGATTCAGTTGTTCACTTTCACTCTTGGTGCACTTGCGATTATCCATAGGTTAAAGCCTACCTGGTACGTCCTCTCCGGGCAACGTCCTAAATTACATACGTTAATGTCTTGTGCAGTATTCCTTCTGGTACGCTTTGCTGCACGAGATGGAGCCAACCAACGAGGATATTGAAGCGCAAATTGAGCTACATCGTGCTGCTATTGAGGGTCTGACGAAGGCCTACGAAGAGGCCGTCCAAGCACATCACTGCGCCATCGCCATTCAACGCCGGTTACTTAACTCACGACTTCCGGTCGCCAGACTACTCCCTGAGCTTCTTGCAGAGGTGTTCTACCATCATGTCACGGCCGTCTGGCATCGTGATGAGCCGGATGCTTGCTTCAAGATAAGCCACGTTTGCCATTATTGGCGATCTCTGATGTTGCAGCTCCCAACATTGTGGAAGTACGCCACGTTTCCCATGTCCCAGCTAGTGCCGACGATGCTGGCTCGCTCTCAGCGAGTGCCTTTAGAGATGGTAGTCAAACGCATGAAAGCCTCGGCGGACCTTCCAACCTTTAGAGAAATGATGAAGGCGAATTCTCATCGCATTCGCCATCTCGAGATGCATTTGACATGTGCAGAGATAGACACGCTTACAGACTTCAAGTTCACCTCACTTTCGCTGCTTCGTCATCTTCGCCTGACAGCAAAGGACCAGGCAGACTCCAACGACCAACTGGAGCTTCCATCCATGTTTAATACACTCAACCATCAGTTGCACCTAGAATCTCTGACTCTCGAAGGGTTTCACAAACCGTGGTCAAGTCCAATTTTCTGTGCATCACTTAGGCACCTCTTCATTGTCAAACCATTCGAGGCTGCCGAAGGTATCGAGGATCTCAACCTCCTGATGGACGTGCTCGCGAACCTCCCTTCCCTTCAGACGTTGTCGATTAACAATGCTTTACCACGCTTATTCCTGCGTCAAATCGAAGCCCCTCATAGCGTTCATAGTGTCAAGTTTCCCAACTTGACACGTTTGACAGTCGAGGATGACATCCTGGAACTTGCCGAATTCCTGGCTCACGTCTCTATTCCCTCATCCGCAGATATCAAGGTCGGGTTCGAAGGCAAGGAAGTTTACTGGAAAGGTCTTCCGAGCCTCGCAATCTCCATGAGCCAATTCCTTGTTCCGACTGAAGATCGGCCATCATTTCTCACATCCTTCGTTGTTCGTACGATCCGCAAAGATGACAAACTCAACGTATACATGGACGGTTACGACAAGCCAATACGCATGTCAAGTGCTGAAATTTCCTCCGATAGTCCGCCTCGAATCACGCTCGGTCCTATCCCGCTAGGAAAAGGTATCACAACAGAGGACGTATTTGGCGATTTCTTCGCCGGTCTACCTCTCATGCATATTCGTCACTTATCTGTTGACGACCTCTTGGGCATGAACGGTTCGGGCGTCCTGTGGGATCAGGTTGCTAAAAACCTACCCAATCTGCAAGTTCTACGCTTATGCGGTAAATCCATTACTGTTTTGCCCAGGCTCCTCGTGCAAAGCCAGCCTCCACAAGATAGCAAACCGGAAGGCGGGTCGGAGATGAAGGAAGTCCCACCACCTTCTCCTACGCAGGTTCCATTGCTACTTCCACGTTTGCAGAGCCTCGTCCTGGATTGTAGTAGTAGTGGCGACGTTGACGACGATGTCCGTGAGGAGCTTTGCAAATCCTTCAGAGCGAGAAGGGCTGCCTTCACGGACTCTTCATTCGCTTTCTCGAATCTCACGTTGCTGAAACAGAAGGATTCCACACTAAGTGACGGTGATCGTGGGCTCTTACAAGCGGTTGAGGAGATGTGCTCTCAAGGAGGACGTTATTCATGTCTACCGCCGGACCCGGACGTTCCAATGAAAGACGATACGGGCGCACAGGTGTCTGGTGCAGGGGCATTGGCAGACCCTCAGATGTTCTCTTTTGACTTTTCGCAACATTGACGTGTATACAGTATTTAGAATGCGATGGTAGATATAAATGTATTTTTTAGTAAAGTTTCTTGGGCAGTCTTTTCGTTCACTCATCATGTACTTACTTTGGAGTTTCCCCCTTGGATGACTGTAATTTAGTTGTATTATCACATAGCGAATGTGTCTTTGTTTTGTGGTGACTTCCCTACCTGACAGCTCTCAACTTCAAGAGTCAATATGACGGAAGACTGTACATGACCTCGCCGTTCTCTCCGTCTCGGGTAAACTGTATACTCGAAGCACGGATCCCAAGTTGTCCATCCATCAGTATGCGGAAAAGTTCAACAAGTTACACTGCCAGGTATGACCTCCTATCGAGATGAGGATGGATTCTGTGCTTGAATTGTAAGCGATCGGCATTGACGGAAGCCCTCGATGAACCGCTTGCCTTCAGCCGAAGGTGAACACGTATGTGCAAGGGGTCCTGTTATTGTATCGTGAAAAGTGCCAACGCACCCAAATGTCGTTAAGACAACTGTAGATATACACACAGATACTCACGTCGCGCTCCGGGAAGGTTTCGATACTGCCTTGCGGTATATCGATATTACCCTTACTGAGACTGGCATGGAGCGTTGGTGATGGGATGCTGAAATACGTTTTCATCACCTGGAACACCCTGAGCATCTTGAGACGCAACGAGGTTGCAAGTCGGCGGTCAATCAAAAGAAACAATAGCAATACAGCGGTCCAGGAAATACAAAGCGCTGCTTACTGAGGATCAGCAAGCCAACGACACTTGCGAGGGACAAAACAAATATACCATAAATTAATAAAATATAGATGTCAATCGTAATCATACCCTTAAAGTATAAATGCCAGCAAATGAGCCGTGATCATCAGTAAGGAAAGGGAAGGAAACGACGTACCAACACCACCTTCCTCCGCCCCAACCCCTCCACCGAGGTCCTCGTTGTCTTCGTTTTCGCCATTGTCGAAGTAGTTCTCGGCGTAATCGTTATCATATTCTTCCTCGACGTCGTAGTCTTGCTCGGCAGCTTCAGACCCTGCTTCAGAACGCTCTTCCTCTCCCTCCTCCTGATGAGATGTCAGAATCAATATCAGAATTGAAAGGAAACATATGCGAGTAGATAACATACTTTCTCTCCCGTTTCAGCTTCGATTTCATCAAGGTTAACACGCTTTTTGACACCTTTCCGCGCGGCTGCATGAATAGGGTCAGGACAAGGTGGTGCATAGGTCAAGATGCACAAACGTACTGATTTTCCGCTTCTTCGGGTTGAAGTATCCCTCGAAAATCTCTTGAGGGAAGAAAGGTTGATGAAGATCTTTCCGTTTTAGTGTGGGCTGTGAAGCCTGTGAAGGGCGGTACTTGTCCGAATATCGAGGAAGCTCTATACTTATGTCATAGTCGGATAGGAATAGAGATAGGAATATGCTCAATGGCTAGTATCATACCGATGGATTTTGTAGGCTCTGTAATATAATATGCGGATTTACGCAGTCTGGCAGAAAACCCGAGTTGCAATTCTGCTATGCGTTTTTCATCCTCGGAATATTCATTAAGTAGAGGAACTTCCATTTCCTATTCAATCAAGAAGATTATGGTGTAAAGAGGCGATACAAGAAGTTGTAGAAGTGATGCGCGCACAGGATACAATGCTGTTGCCTCCTTCGATATACTCTGAATATCGGCAAATGTCAGACCCATTGGAGGGAGAATGCTTCCACCGAAACTGCTCCTTCCTCCGAAGCCTCCACGCCCTCCGCCTCTACCGCCTCTAGACATCGTTCAGAACAGTGTGAACAGTGAGGATTAGAACAAGACAAGAGGAGAACAGCCTCGTGCAAGAGAAAGGTTCAAGGAAACGCAGCTGGAAGACATTGACTGCCGAATAAGGCAACTTGTTCAACTCCGCTTAGAACACCGATATACAAGTGCGTCGACGACCGCAGACGCGACTCTCGCCCTTGCCACCAACCCCCATCAACAGCCCCTCTCTCTTCAAGCCTCTTCTCCGTCCTCGTCGACGCCGTTGCCCATTACCACCACACAGGACATCCTAAGAATCGTTTGCCATGGATAAAACTCTCGACGAGGTAAGTTTTTCTTTTTGCGCCACACTTTGCTGTGAGGGACGATGTCACTCATTTTCCTTGAATCATTTGTTACAGATCATTGCTACGCGCCCCAAGGGTACTCGTCGCACTGCGACCCGTCGTGGAGGCGCAAAAGGTCAAGTTCTTGGAACTGCTAACGCCCCTACCACCCGTGCTCGCGCAGCTGCTGCAGTGGCCGGCGCGAAGGTCCCTACTACCCAAGCCCAACCCGCTGACAAGATCATTGTTTCAAACCTTCCGCCCGATGTGAACGAGGCTCAAGTCAAGGTCAGTTCCCCCCCCCACATCTGTGAACTTCATCGAGCATCGGCTTATCGTCTTTTTAGGAGCTCTTTTCGACCACCATTGGCTCTCTTCGGGATGTGACCCTCCACTACGATAGTGCGGGTCGATCGAAGGGTGTGGCTGCGGTCCAATTCCAACGCAAGGGCGATGGCACAAAGGCATTCCAACAATACAATAATCGGCTCATCGACGGAAGTTAGTATCGGTCCCTTACACCTCTCCAGTTATTTCACTGCTCGTCTCGTCATTCTTGATCTCTCTTGATCTCACCTGTCAACTTTGCACGTGTCTCCACTTCGGAGTTCATGATGCTCAGCTGCACTTAGCGAGGGGTTGGCCTGTTGTGTTCGCGTGGATATTCTTTGTCCCTTACAGCTCGTCGATGTTGCGGATATTGAGTAGCCGAGGAAGATGCGGAACTCGCCTTGGGAATGGTCAACATTTCTCAAGTCTTTTTCCTGCTGACAAAGCGAAGCCTCAAAGTCTTCGACTCGATGGACGGTTGCGAGGTCGCGCATGGTGTTCCGTTTAGAACCGCAAGTAGAAAGGGTGGCTTGTTGCCTCAAGAGACAAGCATGAATGGGGTGCAGAACAGGGTTTGGATATGCTGAATCCGTGGTGGAAACAGGTTGCATTACGTCTGCATCTAACTAACAAGATCAAGGCTACCTCTCGCTTCGTCGCATCCCCATCTTTCACTATTCGCTCGATATGTCCTCTTTTACTTGCCTGCTTGCTCTCTTTGCGCCGCCGAACAGCCAACTGATGCACAATACTCTTTTCTTTTCCCTCCCGCCATTTCCCTTCCCATCGTCATCCTCGTCACTATAGAACGCCCGATGAAAATCGAAATTGTTGTCGACCCCACTCGACCCGCTCCTCCCGCGTCGCTTGTTGCTCGTGTTGCTCCTGCCGCTGTTGCTGCTGAAGGTGGCGCCCCAAGGTTAGTGGGTTCCTGTTTGACAATGTTTGTCGTTGGTTCAAGGCCAGTTTGCTAATGCATGTGATCAGAACTGGTGGTCGTCCCAGACGCGGTAGGGGAGGAGGAGGACGAAGAAGGACTGAAAGGCCAGCCAAGAGTGCTGCTGATCTGGATGCAGAGATGGAGGTATGTCTACCTAGCCGTCTCTACAGTCCCCTCATTAAACTTTGTTGTTGCTCAGGATTACACGGCGAGCAGTGCACCTGCTGCCGCTTGAGCTTCTTAAAGTCTTTGACTACGTTTTCCCTCTTATTTTCTCCTGTTGTCCAGTTGTATCACGTACATACCGTACTCGCGTAAAGTTTATGTTTCCGCTTCCCCCATCTCTTGTTCGTCCACATCGTTCGCGATATCTTGTCTGCTACTGTCGATTTCTGATTCTCATATTTGCGTACTACGATCTCTGCTGCTTTATATCATACTTGAGGTTCTCGAACTCTTGTGTATATTGCTGGTTGTCAATTTGAATGAGATGTCTTGAAACGCCGGCGCCTTCGACCCCAGACAACACCTCCAGCCACAAACATGAAAGTTCATACTACATCGGAACCTTCCTCGACCTCCCCTTACTGCTATCTCAACTCTTGATCCACTACGATGCCTGATATTGCAGGAGACGGTCCTGAAGAGCAACCTCTGTTCTCTGAACGGCCAGACTGGACGGATGTCACGCCTGTTCCTCAGTATGAGGGTTATAACCCGATCGCGCCGATCTTCTATACCCCTCAATGTAAGTATGGTCTTTTAGAAAAATATGGGTGTTAAAGAAGTGTATTGTTAATGAGCGTACTGATGGATGCGTCTGTGGATAGATAAGGATGCAACAGATTATTTTAGAGGGATTGTCAAAACGAATGAGAAGAGCGAACGGGTGCTCGAGCTTACTGAAGCTATCATTCGGCTGAACCCCGCACATTATTCTGCATGGTAAGTTACACCACATTCTCCGTATTACATTGGGACTAACAAAGCGACCTACTGTAATTTTTGCTCTGATTTACAGGCAGTATCGCTACCACACCCTGCTAGCTATCAAAGCCCCTCTCGATGCCGAGCTCAAGCTCATGGACTCCCTCGCCGTACAATTCCTCAAGACGTATCAAGTCTGGCATCACAGGAGACTCATCCTCACTGCCATCTATTCTCCGCCACCGTCGAATGCATCCGGCCTCAATGACCCCACTGCTACGACCTCCTCTTCTGCCAAGAGCAAGCCCTCGCCCGAATCACAAGCAGCTGCTCGAACTGAGCTCGCGTTCATCACCCGTGTTCTTATGGTCGACGCTAAGAACTATCATACTTGGTCCTATCGTCAATGGTTACTCGCGTTCTTTGATGACGTTCACCTTTGGGAGGGCGAACTTGGGTTTGTGGAGAGGCTGCTTGAGGAAGATGTAAGGAATAATTCAGCTTGGCATCATCGGTTCTTTGTGGTCTTTGGACGAGGGCAGTTGCAAGGTGAAGAGGATAGGGTCGCGGTGTTGAAAAGGGAGCTTTCGTATGTATATTCTATTTTATTCTAGTAGTTGAATGCAGGAGGGACTGACGGTCTTCATGGATAGGTATACGAAAGATCAAATCGCACTCGCCCCCAATAACGCTTCTGCATGGAACTACTTACGGGGTATCCTCGAAAGGACCGGAACCTCTTTCTCCAACCTCCGTTCCTTCGTGGAACCTTACACAAAGACCCACGAAGATAGATTGGGAGACGAGGAGATTCTGGATTTGGAGAACCCCGCACCGAGTGCTGAGGCTGAGTTGCCTTGTGTCGCTGCTCTGGAATTCTTGGCCGACATTTACGAGAAGGATGCCGTTAGCAAGTCTGTCGAGGTAAGTAATTTTTTTTTCGTTAGGATTCTGCTTCTCTTGCGAATGATATCTGTATAGATTTGGAAGAGGCTTGCGAATGAACTTGATACGATGCGAAAGAAGTGAGTGTCTATCGTTCGTCGGACAGCTAGGAGCTTGACTGACTGCGTTTAGGTACTGGGAGTATCGAATCAAGGAGGCACTGAAGGATGTCCCAGTCCAATCATGACTGCGATATCCGACGTAATGATATATTTTGTAAGGATCGAAGGATAGAGGCCTCCAGGACTGTATATCTCTATAGCCGATCTGTATGTATCACCAGTCGTCACCACAATCCGTGTTGCTCTAATTCGCTTCGACGTCATGTTCGCTGCTTCAATCCGGTTGTTGTAAGATCCATTGTGATTTAGGCTGATTCGTACTACTGATACATTGTTGAATTCGTACAAGCTGAAGACTATGATACAAATGAACACTGTCCGACCAGATCTCACATCTTACACTAGTAGTACCTTCAGTTCCTCAGATCCTCCTATCGGTCAGAGGAACATACTAAGACACGCTTCAATCTTGGGATGCCTAAATTCACTTTGAATGATGCTTACCATAACACCGAATAATTCTTTCTGCGTGACATTCCCATGCTCATCTTTGTCCACCTGCGAAACAATCAGTTGCGGATACACGATTATCATAAGGCAATATGAATGACTGACTTGGTAGATGCTCTGGCTGAGCGTCCCGATTGGAATGAACATACGGCCAGGACTGGCGAGTTGGTCCACCAGCGCCTTAGGCAACCTGGGTGCAGCTGCACCAACGTGAATTGCATCTAAACCCCACATATTCAGAAATTTCAACAATACGAAGGATCAATAACTACATACCGTATGGCGCTGTGAATTAGGGGTAAGAGGATGAGGTCAAGTCCTAAGAAAATGAAGAGGCCACCTGCGTACCTTCCCGAGGGAACCCTGTACAGATGAAACGATGTTAATCATGCACCATTATACAGAACACGATTGTACTTACCTTGTCTGCCATCACCGGCAACCATTATGATTTGAGCACCCTTTATAGCTGCACCTAAGCCGTCCCTGTCCAGATTCTGGACGGACCAGTCAACGAGCTCTGGGATATGCTCAAGACCAACCACTCTCCCAGTAGGCCCAACGAGATGGTGAAAGACTGCGCAGAGGTACCCAGATCCGGAACCAATGTCGAGAACTTTGGCACCGGGTTTGAGGAGGGGGAGAAGGTTCTCTGTGGCGTGGGCATGCTAACAGGGGTCAAGGGCATCGAGACGATGAATATCATGTATATTCAAGTTGTAGAGATGAGACAAACCATATGTGGTGCTGAGATAGTAGCATCGTAGCCAATTGGCCTATAGAACGGAGCGAAAGACTCCTATCAACGCGTGCAATGGTTACGCATAAGACGGCGATGCTAACTGGGGGGAATCCTCATAAGCATACGTGGGGTCGATAACGTAGTTAGCTCGGTCAACTTTCTTCATGGCCTACATATGTATAGCATTCATTAATTCTGCTTCCTGTAGTGCTAGATGTAGAGAAACCACTCACTTCCGCCACACGGGGTGAGTTGACGAGACCGTGCCTCATCATGTTACTGATCAGTTCTGCGCTGCTTGATCCTGAAGATCTCCAAGCCATGGATGTGTATAGTAATAAAAGTAAGAAGATGCCTTGGAGGAGTAAGTAGAAGCGGAACAGAATGAAAGAGCGGGCTACAGGGGGTGAGCTTGCACTTATAAAGTCGGAGCAGGACAAGCTCTAGTAAGGCCCATATATTCATCATTGACATGATCCTGGTCTGTTGTGACGTCAGACGCTGATCATGAGGATATTGAGTTAGTCTATATGATTGAGAAGAGGCCAAAGTGCCAAAACGCGATATGTTTGTTAGTTACCATTGCAGCAGACAAATTGTCGATAGGAAGCATGGATGGTGGCGCCTCTTTGACTTTATACCTCGGGGAAATACTCAGCTCATGGCGAAACGATACTTAGTATGGTATCTCTTCATTTGTGCGACTCATTGACATGTGAGTATAGATCCTATCTTTGAGTACACGAAACTCATTCGAAAACAAATAGTATACAAAGGACGGTCAAAAAAGATGGGGTATCAAGATATGAACTCGGAGTAATGGAGGAGTTATCGTCCACCTAAGTGCGTGGTACGAAGCTGATCGACAGTGAGTTTTTGAGACCTTACTGTCAAACCAATTGAACTCACGATGTGTCTAGAGGATAAGCATTGGTATCTCAATGGTCGTCAGAACAGTGGACAGGATACCACTTCGGCTCTTCATCCGTGCCGATAGCGCGTTTGAGCTTCTCGACGCGTGTTGTGTCCAACGCTCTCGTCTTGTTGAAATTCAAACCAGAAACGAAACAGGTAGCCCATTCCCTGGGTTCCTCCTTGATGAGAACGAAATAAGTACCCATCGAATGTAGACGCGTCGCTATCAAGCTCATAGCGGACAGAGTCTTCTGAATGGGTAATAAATGATCTTGACCCCTGATTTCATTGGCGTGAAAGTCGATGAGCCACTTGTCGTCGAGGACATAACCATAGCCGTACACGGGAATCTGTGACGGGTCCCAAAGAGCAACGTCGTCGCGGCCACAGGAAAAGTTGGGAAGTGGCAGCTTGTGGGAGGGAGCGGGAGGTAAGTCCTCTCGACTAGTACTAGCTCTCACCATAAGCATATCATGGCCTGCATTCGAGAGGTATTCAGCAATTCACCTTGTCATGGAGTTGAAGTACTTGGTTGGTATTGACTCTGTATGATGTGTAACGTACGTAAGCACGTTGGTTTGTTTAAAGATGTTTGCGGGGTGTTTTCACCTGGGGTGAATGGTTGAAGAAATACTCTCAAGTTGTCCGGAGTTCAAGTTTTTGGAGAGCCGTCCATAAAGGACCTTCGTACGTCGACCAACGGAAGCTTCGTAAGGCAATCTCATGGCAGTTATTCGAGAACCTCGTTTTGAGAAATTATTTGAGTATGTCACGGATTCGCTACATCATACTGAAGCAAGTGGGTATGATCACAAAGAAACGCGGTGTCTGAGTAAGTGAAAACAAGTTGCGGCCACAAGGGAAGCAACTTGATACCCATGTTACTGTATTCTCTAAGTATTCTCGAGGCGAAGTAGCCATAATTTGATCTCAGATAACACTGCTACGCGGTTTTCTCCGAAGTGCAAGCCAACGATTTGAGCTTCCGAAGCGGAGCCTTAAAATGTGGCACCTGAGTTGAGCTCAACTGAATTCAGCCTTTCATATTGACAACTCTCATCTATCCTTTAGCATTTCGCTCTGTCTCTATCGTTCATATATTTTAAATCCTTCCCGAAGTTTCACTTTCTCTGTAAGATTCCCTTTGCCTATGATACTCGCAACGGGAAGCTGACACAGCGTTTCATTTTAGGCCGCCTTCTTGCAGAGTAACTTTCGTGTGACTTCATTGAAAGGCGGAACGGCTCCATACAGTGTGCGGAAAGATTAGACTTCTGTTAAGAGGTCTGCATCTTGGCCCAACACGCCTTTCGAACCGATGTACGATCGGTACACGCCCGCGCGTTCAGGCAGGGACGAATACTCTAGTACCTATAGACCAGATACATGGCGACATCCTCGTTCGTATTATGAGAGGACGCCATCACCAGAGCATTATCCTCGTCAGCGCTCGGAGACATGGTCTCACTCAGATACATGGCGTGGATCTGAACCTTCAGCATGGGCTGAGAGACGCTCACCTCAGTATTCTACGTTCGAAGAATCGTCCTCGCGAGGTAGACGCGACATACCATCAGAGAGATTGTTTGAACCTTCAGACAACTGGAAGCAATCTCACGGAAGTAGTATGTTAGAGAGGTGAGAGGTATTCGTGTACTATTAGACTTATTGATATTCACCAAGTTCCAGCCCTGTGGACGATCGAGTACGCGATTGGCCCCAGGATTCTCACATCCTTCCTCCACGCGAACGTTCTTCAGATGCAGTTGCACCACGCGAGCCCTACCCTGCTCCATACTATTCGGAAACTCGTTATAGACCATATTCCCCCACTTCGGAATATAGAGAACCGTATCCTCCACCTCCACCTCCTGCAAACCACCGGTATGATTCTTATCGACCTTCATACCCTGAACGTGGAACCGCTTGGATACCTCATAGTCCTGTGGAATCTCGCGCTAGCCACCTCGAACCTCGTCGTGAACGTTCCTTCACGCATCCCATGCCCCCAAATGCACGATCGGAAAGCTTTGATCGTAGCTATGCTACTCATGAGAGATCTTTCAGTGCTGGTTCACCTCCTGATGTAGGGTCTACGTCGCCGGGGTATCGTGGCTCTATATCAGGTGTCAGGGCCCCAGTGAAAGTCAACCATGATATCTACGAGGATCAAGCTGACTATGTGCGCCCGTCTCCAACTGGATCGACATTTCCAAGCCACCAAATGCTCAGATCTCGCTCTTCGTCGCGCTCTTCGGAGTTTAGAAAGCCTCCGCGTTTGGAGGTATCTATTCCGAATGGCTCTTTTGCTCTCTCGGATGTTGCAGATTTCAGCGCAGAAGTTGACAGGCACACCGACTTCCGGAATCGTATGCCTGCTCGTTCTCCTGATCAGGAGGAGTCTGTTGGGAGCCGGAAACCTCCTTCACCTACTGCGCTACTCAGAGAAAGGTCACCGCGGTCCGACGTACATGACGAGTCTCGACAATCGCCTACTTTTTACCAGCGTTCTCCGCAATTATCAACGAATCAAACTTTACCGCAGCGAGAGTCGACACCTTTAGGAACAATGGAGAGAAGTCCGCCTATAACACCACCTCCAATGTCGAAGTCCCCCTCACCAAATCTTAACGATGTATCCTTAGTTCTGCTGGAGGAACCTGGAGGTCAAGTTGAAGAGGCACCTTTGACATCTCTGAATGCGGGGGACCTGTCTCAGGGACCACCTCCGATCACTCCCTTTGCTGTCACTATGGATCATGCTAAATCTCCCCGAGAGGCCAATCATAACCTACCTGCGCCCTCCGTAGGGCTTACTCCACCAGAAAGTCGAACGCATATGCATACACCCTTCGAGACGCTGGCAGTCGAGACTCCGCCATCCGAAAGTCAACGACCTCCAAGTCAAGTGGTTCCTACAAGGGTGCTCCATCAGCCTGTGGAGAACGAAAAGTCACTTCATGAAGCACTGCAGATGATAGTAATGATGCGCCTTCGTTGCGATCGTCAGACACGTGAAGAACGCGTGGATCCTGTGCTACTTGCAAATAGGTCGATAGCCGAACCTCCTCGCCCTTACAAGCCAGACTCCCTCCTGAGGTCTGACTCTGCGGTAGTGCAGGAGATTGTCGAAGGTCCTTCTCGTAAATTCTTGGAAAATTCTTACGCAGAACACAAGCCTTCTCTTGAAGTTCGCTTTGCCCAGCGTCAGGCGGACTTGAACGAAAAATTACAACGTATACGTGAGGAGTACCTGTCGTTGCATGAACGTTGGTTGGTTCATTGTGCCAAGTTGGATGAGGTTGCCAAGGCCGGTGCTCTGGAAGAAGCCGCGGCGACTGCTGGGAGGACCACTCGGAGATCCACGACAACATTAGGTGACGCCGTTCGCTCAGATCTGGAGATGGAGCAGATCATCGCTAGCCTGGGAAACGAGGAACTCACGGATGCGACTCATCTTGGTGCTCGAAACGCTGCGGTGATTCCAGATATGGTATCTGCCACTAAAGGTGATATCGAGTATATCTATGATGACACCAACAACGAAGTGCTCGACCCTAGGACCTTCTTTGCTCCACGCACTGGTTTCAAAGATTGGACAGAAGAAGAGAAGAAAATCTTCTTGGAGAAGTATGCACAGTATCCCAAGCAATTCGGTATCATTGCAGACTTCCTTCCGGACAAAACTCCAGCGCAATGCGTAACTTATTACTATTTGCACAAGAAGAAACACATCGACTTCCGGAAGGTGGTGTCGAGTTACACTGTAGGCAAACGACGTCGCGGTGGTCGTCGAGCACCCAAAAAGCGAGGAAACGCATTGTTGTCGGATATTTTGAAAAGAGATGCGGAGGTGTCCAGGGAGCCTACACCGACAACGTCTGCTGGAAGACGGACGAAGCCCGTAGTAGCTACGACAGGAGAGGGCAAGAAGCCTGTTGGTCGGCGGCAAACATCTCATTTGGAGGACACACCCACGCCTACTTCAACACCTGATCCGGAAGGCGAAACTCGAAGAAAACGACGTCGAGTTACTACCGCTCGTGCACAAGCAGCTCTCGAGCAGGAGGCTGTATTGGACGAGATAGAGGTACATACTCCTTGTTGAAATGATGCCAGTTGATGTGACTAATCTTTATTCAGGAACAGGAAAGTAAGCTCCTGAAGCGTGGACGACGAGGTCGTAAACCGAAGGCGGCTGCCGAGATTACCTCGGCTGACTCAACAGCTACTCCGTCAGAGGGTTATCATCCGGTCCAGCAAACCAGATTCATCGACCAAACCGAGATGATCGCTCGACGAAAGGCTCAGCAGGCCGCTGGAGTATGGTCAGAGGAGGATAAAGGTTTGCAACACGGCCCTTTCAGTAAAGATTTCTATCTAATTTACAGACTTGTAGCTCAATTCTTGACGTTGTTGTCTCAATATGGAGACGATTTCAAGCGTATCGCTGCTTCAATGCCTAACAAGGTGAGACCTGTGCTTGAAGATCTTTATGACAGCTTCTAACGGTTGCAAATTTATGGTTTACGGTAGACAACAATCCAAGTTAGCGCGTTCTATAAGTGCAACCAAGCTGAGCTAAACTTGGCCCATGTAGCTGCAAGCGCCCCGAAGCGGTCTCCTTCACCTGAAGGCACTAGGGAAGGGTGGTCAACATATCCAGGATCGATGACTCCCAATTCAAGCGCGGTCGCAACGCCGCCAGAAGGTGCTCAGATGAGTTATAATGGGACAACACTGGAGACGCGCTTTAGAGTTAACCCCATGGCGCATTTCCCTGGGGAGATACCTAACTATCAGTTTCATTCGACCACCCCAGAAACGATGCAAGCTCAGTACCGACAGCCGGATGCGCACCATCATTACTCACATACCCAGCTTCAGGCAACTCCCATTCAGCCTACTCCTCAATACCCTCCTTATGACTCGCAACCTATGATGGCAATGAGGATGTCTATGGGATACGATCACATTGCAAATCCATCTCCATTTGCCCAATCTGCACCCCTTACAACCACATTCCCTTCTGCATTCCCATACACTAATCTTTCGCCCTCTCACTTCGCGGGAGGCGGTCGACCACCTCCGATATCCGGTATACGTGGAGGCATACCACCTCACCATCCTAATCCACCACCTACCTACGTTCATCCCGGTTGGGCACCCCCGGCTAACGATATGCAAGTCTATCGTGGTTGAGATTTTGATTTCCTCCCGCTGTCGTGTTATTCTTGTTTCTATCATTGAACTGCTCTTGTCATACCTATAATGTATGTATCTTGTACTCGCTTTGTATTCCTCGCATAATATTTGGGTTTACTTGTGTATTATATTATTATGGGACGGAATGCGAGATAATTGTTCCGAGGTAAATCAGCAATACAAGTACAAGGAATAGATGGTACATGACAACAAGAAACCTTTACAGAGTAAAGTACATAGATAATATTTCATCGACGTCCTTCTACCATGATAATATGATATCCGAAGTTCGTCTTGACCAGGCCGGACAGGACCGGCTTATCAACGGTAGATGGCTCCAAAGCAAAAGCAGCGTCTTGGAATGGTCCCTAGTCACAACATCGAGATGCTTGAAAATATGCGTCGAATGTAAGGCTTACCACCATAGATCCTCTGGTCATCCATCCTAAACTTCCTCCCGCTGAGAATATACCATCAGCATCTCAGGTGTATACAATACTGGCCTATATATACCTTTAGCTTTGTCTTCTGAGTACTCCTGAGCGACTTTATCAAACCGTTGTCCTTCCTAGCGAAGGAATCAGGCCATCTATCTAGTCTCGTCTGCTTAAGATGTCAAGGTATGACCCACTTGAATCTTTTGCAAGGCCTCTGTGGCTTTCGAATGCTTCTCGCACAAAATATGGCGAACGTTTACCGCTGTTGCGGCTTTCAGCCCACCCTTTCCCTATCAATCTGTCGTTAGATACGCTATAGTGAATTGGCTACAACCTCACCTCACCTTTGCTTGCTTCTCACTGGCATTCGTATCAGCCGCTTTGGCTTTGGCCTTCCCAGCCTTGTCGGTCCCTTTCTTATCATTTGAACCAGATGCCTTCTTTGCCATGAAGTGAACTTTACGGTGTGGTGGTTGAGGATAAACCTAGTTGCCTTTAATTGTTTGCACAGTGGGCGCTGATGGGAGATCCCACGTCGATCATGGACGTGTATTGAAGTTCACAGGGTCAGTCACCAAGCACTCTCAGGACATCTTGGAACAAACTTTCAAATGAATCTCTTACAGTTACATCTTTCTCTGAGTCTGTGAAGTCTACGGTGATCCATCAACAGCATTGACATTGTCATTTAACCACAGAAAACGAAGGATAGGGTGGGACAAAGCTATTGTGTAGATAAAGTATGGACCACCATCGCTCAACACAGTACAGTTACCACTAGGGCCCGTCTTTCATATTCCTAATCCTGGTAATACAGATCACAACCCTCCCCATACTTCACTCGTACGCAAGCTCCCCTGGCGGGCGCGCGTTTAAGGCTTAAAGCTACAGCTACAGTCAATCCTTATCCTACACCGCGGGGAATGTCGGGTCTATCTCTATAGCTATAGAACTTGAAGGGCGTCGTCGGCTCCAAATCGATAAATAGCGCCACAAGGAAAACCTTATTCTTCTAAGAAGAAGTAATTTCCGGAAGCTGGATATGGTGACGAAGAGTCAGGAGAACAGTCGAAATACTGAAGAGATGGAAAAATCGAGACATACCCTTTTGCTCTCGGTCCTTGACACTATTGCGCTTGTTCACTCGGGGTCGGTAGTTGGTGGGGTCACGACGGAAGGTGATCTCCAAAGAAGCCAAGAACTTGTTCATACCGGTCAAGAGTGATTGGGGTCTGCTCGGATGATTTAGTGGTCAATAGAAGTTGAATATAAAACAACATCAAATGTGGATACGCACGGAGTAGCGGTAGCGGCTACGGCGGGTGTGCCCTCGAAGACAATGACACGGTCAGCCAAATAGGTGGCCATGATGAAATCGTGCTCAATGACGAAAGCGGTCTTCTTCGCATGAAGGATGAAGCTATACACTGGGTTAGTACGCAAGTGGGAAGAAGACAAAGAAAATCTCGTACCGCTTGATGACTTTACTTGCAATAATACGCTGCTCGGAATCCAGGAAGCTATAGCACAAAATGAGCCATGACCCAGATAACTCGCAACCGTTAGACTTACGAAGAGGGCTCGTCGAGCAAGTAAACTGCAACGTCAGGCTTGCCAAGCGCGAGTACAATGGCAACACGCTGCAACTCTCCTCCCGAAAGTGTTTGCACATCCTGATCAATGATCGCCTCCAAGTTCATCGGCTTCACGACGTCGGTCTGGAACTGTGGATGCATGAAAGCCGATTTGATCCTCTTCAACATCAGCATGCGCACAGTGCCAGGGAATTTGGGCGAGATTGTCTGTGGCTTTAATGACACCGACAAACTCTGCTTGTCCGTCTCTTCATCGGGGGTATCACCAGCTAACAGGCGCACGAATGTGGTCTTGCCGGTCCCGTTCTCACCGAGCATGACAATGATTTCGGAGTCAGTGAAAGAGCCGCTTTGGACAGTGAGTTTGAAGCCACCGAGTGTCTTGGTCATGGAGGGGTACGAGTAGTGACGGGTCTTGTCTATCAGGATCTCCTCGGCCGTCTCGACCATCTTGAAGGTGAGCGACTCCTGACGGAATCGCAAATTCTCGGTGGGAATGAAGCCGTCCAAGAAGATATTGATACCTTCTCGGACAGAGTAAGGCATGGTGACGACACCATACATAGATGGTTTGCCGTAGAGCACACAGATAAAGTCGGAGAGGTAGTCTAATACTGCCAAATCGTGCTCGACGGCGATGACATAGTTATCAGGAGCGAGCAGCCTGCGAATGACTTCGGCCGCCACGAGACGTTGCTTGACATCAAGATAACTCGACGGCTCGTCAAACATGTACCTATTCCGGTTGTCAGAATAACGGGCATTAAAACAATAGTTTTCGAAACGCACACATCAGCCCTCTGTATGCACGTCATCGCGATAGCGAAGCGCTGCAACTCTCCACCGGATAGCTGGTTGACCTCACGTTCGAGGACAGCGTTGAGCTCCAGCTCGTCTAACATCTGTTGCTTATTGCCGAGTTCGAGCTTCGAGTCCAACATCTTCGAAACCGTCATTTTACCCTTGATCGCTCGGGGGATATGATCGACGTATTGAGGCTTGATCAGAGCTTTCAGATTGTCTTCGAGGACCTTTGTGAAATAGTTCTGGAGCTCAGATCCACGGAAGTACTTCAGGATTTCTTGCCAGTCTGGGGGATCCTGTAAAGGGGTCAGAAAATGATAGACAGAACTTATAAAGGGCGTACATCGTAGCGACCGAGGTTGGGCTTCAGCTTTCCCGCTAGGATCTTCAGCGCTGTACTCTTTCCGATACCGTTCGTTCCCACAAGACCAAGGACCTGGCCTGGTCGTGGTGTTGGGAGACGATGCAATTTGAAGGCATTTGCAGTATATCGATGTGTTACTTGGGAGTCCAGATTTGTAGGAAGGTTGATAATGGCGATGGCCTCGAAGGGACATCTGTGTGTTACAAGATCTAGCAGCGCTCCACGATGCGAAAAGACGACTAAACGCACTTTTTGACGCAGATACCACAACCAATGCACAGGAACTCGGAAATGAAGGCAATTTTATCGGTAGGCTTTACCTCAATACAAAGCTTGCCTACAACGTACGATCAACGACTACAAATTGGGGAATGCGACACTGAGCACATACCCATCTTTACGACTGGACATGACTACCGAGGGGGCGATGAGATCGAGGAGTCTGTGACAGGAATTACACATATTCACCTTTTTGCACTCTTGTGCACATCGTTTGGGTTTACATCGGTTGGCATCTACGATGGCTATCCGAGTAATCTTGTCTGCCATTATTCCAAATAGCTAATGGAAAGACAAGATGATGGAGAGAGAAAGTTGATGATATAAGTCCAAGAACGTACACAGTTCAGCGGACAAAATATCCAAGATCTGTGCTAAGATCAACCACGTGGAGGAACTGCACGTGGCTCGTTTCAATCCCGACCAATCATGTCACCAGGATTCAACGCTAACGTTCCAACAGGTTCAACCTCGCTCTATGTTTACTTCGCATATTCTGCCAAGTACTTATCTATCTTTCATAGCCTACCCGCATCGTCATGATACAACTCGAGGCGGCCAAACTATCTAATGTCTGACAAATTTATCTGTAGCTGTTTTACGCGAATTTTACGTCTCATTTGGAGTCAACGTGATTCGCAGCTGCATGTCTTAGAGCATTTCAACCTCCGCTGCCAGCACTCATGTCTTACCATCCAGCAGGTTTCCCATCGGGTCTCGCAACAGACTACTGAACTCGCGGTTTACCTTACAAGTCGTTTTCGCCGTTGGGTATGAGTTTCTATGTTTTGAGTTTGAATGGCCCACCCGTCTCTAAATACAGTTGCACACAGAATGAGTGCTTCCTCGACCGAGGGATTCATCTCTCGGCCTGCATTGTCATTACCTCCAGTTGATGTCTCTCCTGAAATTTTAATGGCTCTGGAACGTCGGAAACTGAACGCATCACGTCCGGTTGCAAAGCTTGTCCCCGACGTGCTGACACGCATCTTCAATTTTTTTGTAGCGTTTAAAGGTTTTCCTTGGAGAGAGCAGCCTCCTCCTTTCCTGTTATCTAGTGTGTGCCATTATTGGAGGATGGTTGCAATATCCTCACCCAGTATCTGGTCGCACGTGAAGGTGGACAGAGATGGTCCCGACCTCGAGGTTGTCGACCTCATTCTCGCAAGATCCTCTCAGCTGCCTCTCCGTGTAGAGGTGGATGAGACTATTTCTACACCACTTTTGATTCAAGGAGCCGGCCATATCCTACGAACAGCGTCCAATCGCATCTACAAGGCGAACTTTTGCTTACCAAGTAAGGGTCCCCATATACTCGACCAAGACGATATTCCACCCTTTCCTACCCTACGGTCCCTCTTCCTCATCGTTGTGTTTGCCGACGTGTCAGGTGACATCAGCTTCCCGGTAGCACTCGAGGCACTCGAGGCACCATTGCAAGAACTACATCTTATTGGAGTCCGTCCTCGATTGTCAAGCCCGTTCTTTTCCAGCCATGCGCTCCGGGTTCTATGCATCAAAATCTTGTGTCCCCCATGGGGGGATGCCAGTGTTATGCACGACATCCTTGATATGCTTCGCGGACTGCCCACCCTCCAGAAATTAGTCTTGAAGAATGTCTTGAGTGGCGTAGTCGGACCGACGTTGGAGGACCCTGAGCTTTTCCCGCCAGGCAGTCTTGAACTTCTTGACCTGCCCAATCTCGGAGAGCTTGTCATCGAAGATGGAGCCGTCGTGACAGCTATCTTCCTGAACTTCGCGCTCCTCAAACCTTCGGTGAAATTGTCCTTCGACGCACGACTCTTCAATCAGTTCCTCCCTAGAGACGATCAACTTCTGGAGCTAGCAGAGGCTTTAACTGATCATTTCACTGGTGGCATGGTTCGTGAGCCGCAGTTAACAAGTCTTGTGTTGAGATTTATACTGCGTTCGTCATCCCTGTTGGCTTATAACGTACCTCTTACCATGACACGTCGCCTCATTTCGACGAAGGAAGACCCTCAACTCAAGTTGGAGCCGAACTTTCCCACTGCCTGGGATTACCATTTCGATGAATGCCTCCGAGATTTATATTCTTCCTTGCCGTTGTCAAATATACGGATGGTGGCGATCGACGACCATGCCCCATTCATCGATGGGGCAGAATTATTATGGGCATCTTTCTTCCACATGTTGCCTAGCCTTCGAGTTCTCCGCGCAGGCATCTGGTTCCTCACGCATCTACCATTTCTCTTCAAACATGGTGTCGGCACCACTGTTTCCCCTACGACCACCGTCGAAGATCAGCACATAGAAGATCAGGACAGGGCTGAAACAGCTTTGTTTACTGGGTTGAAGACGTTGGTCATCGATCTCCAGAAACCTTATGACTCGTTTGAAAATGATATAAACGAGTTATGCGAGGCATTTCGTGCCAGATGTCACGTTGATCACTGCTTCAATCAGCTGGTTCTGATCAAGCCGAGTGGGTCGCGCCTGAGTTCATCTGATTGGGCACTGGTAGATGCAGCGGAGGCGATGTGCTCAAAGAAGGGCAGTCTTCGCACAAATCCGGACAACGACGCCAGCGATGCTATCGGCTCTGCACCTCCCGCGGACGAGAATGCAAACGTTGACCAAGGTGTCGAAGACTGTGGAGTCGAGACTCTGTCCTCTGTCAATGATGCTGTCTATACATTCAGATTCGTTCCCTTTGGTCGTGCGACGTGAACATCAATCAGCTGTATTCATTCCGTGCTCTTCGTGTACGGCATTCAGGGTGTTTATGATCCTACGTCCGCTACATCACACTTCCAGATCCTATTTTCTTCCTATCTTTCACGTCTTCACCTTCAAAACGGGCCCCTTCAGACACGTTCGTGTCCTTCGTCGGCACGATTCCCGGTTTCATTTCGCCTACACTCCTTCGAACAACCCAATCACTATGATCATCTCCATCCCTGAATTGTTGTGTTACGCGGATGTCAGATGTCATCAAGTCTCGGCATGCAAGATGCATACCGGCTTGCTATCCCCATCGTCGCCTGTACACTACATTCTGGACTCTAGATGTTCTACTGTTGCTTTGAATTGAATGTCTAAAATTATGGACAGGAGATGATCATTCTGCACCTCCTCGCGTGTCAACTGTCCAGAGATTTGCAAAGGCCTCCACCACAAACAGCGAGGCTAAATTTAGACACGGTGAAGTTTGATACTCCCTCCATCCGCATTCTCGCACCGTCCGGCTGGCAACAAGGTGATGTTCTTTGATTCTATATCGCAGCAACTGACATGCAAACTTTCAGGCTGTTTCGTTCAACAGATATGTGCAGGGTATCAGTCATCCAGGCAATGATTACATCCGAGTCGAAGTTTCCTGGCGATGTAAGTACGAGTTCATCTCCCGCTAAGGATCATGGAGAGATCGTGACTAGGATACATTCATCCATATCTGTCCCGCACATGCATTGCCTGTCAACCGTGTCGCTGGATTTCAGTCCAAGAACGGTAGTTCTTGTTGGGTATCGTGATTCACTGATGACTACGGTGAAGAATAGCCAATATGATTTTCTCAAGATGATCATGTGGTGAGTTTGTATCTGATGTCTAGATCGAAGTTTGAAGAATAAACCCGGATGGTTGGCATTTCTTAGCAACTTGCAGGGCCACAGATGACAGTAGTAAACGGACAGCGGCCCCAACACCGCTCTAAGTGTTTGATATCATGCGGAGACCGATCTTTTTTGTTAGATGGTCCTGGATTCGTCCTCAGGGTCACATCCACACCATTCTGACGTCGAAGCATCAAACCAGCCTCCGTTATACTCTTACAGATGCTGGAGGACTCGAGAATCGTATAAATGCAGAACTGATTTAGAGATGGCCTTCAGCCCCCTTCGTTCGCTCAAGCCTTCGTACAAATTGTGGTGCTGGTCGGTGAGTAGCTGACCATGGTACTCTTTCTCTTCATATCTGACCTCATCCATTCATTAGCCTCGATTTGTTTTCATTCATCTCGTTTTCTATCCATACGCCAACGATCCACACGACTTAACGTTTAACCTCTGTTTTCACGATGCATTTTTCCATGGCTGTTGTTCTTGCTGTCATCGCTACTTATGCTCTACCTGCGTTCTCCGCTCCGCTCGAGTGTGTTCAATCTTACCTCATGTTCTTGATGTCTCATCTCGTATTAGGTTTGAGGAGCGCGCACTGACAAGGAATGGTGTTGTTCGCCGCCAGCCCAAGCTCTTGAAGGGTTTCAAAACTCCCAAGCGGCCTCTTCCCAAAACTCCCAAGCTGCTTCCCGAACCTCCTTCAGAGCCTCTTCCCAAGCCTCTTCCTAAACCTCCTTCCGAGCCTCTCCCTGAGCCAGTTTCCAAACCACAGGCTCTTCCCGAGCCGGATCCCGAACCTCAGCCTCAGCCTTCCAAGCCGTCGGGACCAAGTCCTTGGGAGAATATTGCGAACGGCGCTCAAGCCGCCGGCAGCGTCGCCGGCATAGTAACTTCTGGTATCGAGTAAGCAAAATATACTGTACAAAGATTTTGCTATGAAATGCTAAATGGTCTTGTTCAGCACAAATATAGCTCAGCAGCAGTTGGCATTGCAACAGCAGGAGGCCTCTCAAATGGCGGCACAAGCAAATGCTACTGACGTTGCAGAAGCTACGGTATCGTCCTCCGATATGCCTGGTACCGTGACGGCCTCAGCTGCGCCTGATACGACGCCGACCTCAGTTGCGCCTGAAGCTTATGCGCAACCCAGCCAACCCGTGGCACTTCAGTCTCAGGCAGGTATGGTTTCTGCAGTATCGCGTCGTAAAATGGAGGCTCGTGGATTCGGAGGTCTCAGACTTCCATCGCTCTCAAGTTTCAGAGAGATAGCCAATACTGCTGAGTCCATGGGAAATGTTGTCACTTTGTCCACTGGGTATGTTGGAGTGTAATGCCCCTCCGTGACTGGAAAGGTTACTCACATTTAAAACAGCGCAGAGCAACAGCAATACCAAGTCAATCCCCAGGAGCAACAGCAACAAGTTAGTAGCCAATTCGCGACACTTCAAGCCGCTCAGCCTACGCAGCCCGCCAGTAAGAACGTCCAGCAACAACAGGCCATCCAACAACAACAGGCCCTGCAGCAGCTGCGGATTGGAACCACAGCTTTTGCATCTGGATGATTAGTGTATCCGCTCGTAGTGGTTGTTTGTCGTGTAATGTAAAGAGGAAATATCAAGGCTTCGGGTGCGGGAGTTTATCTTTCACCGTTGTGATCGTGTATAAGATAAACCTGCAGAGGTCTCAGTTCGAATTATCGTCTCCATCGAAGAGATGGCCATTCAGACTTGACCGTCGAACGTAGTGTTTGCAAGTGGAGTTCAAGATACGCAGATTTGAACTTTATGGAAGCTCTCGAATCAGACTCGTATATGGTACCTTGGAAACTCTTCCGCTTGCTTCTAGTCTGCTTCAGTTCATTTGAGTTGGACTGCATGGCGTTGGCTTGGGGCTTGACGTTGTTCTAAACCAGGTTCTTCGCCTTCGTCGTCGCACGATCGATCAGCGTTCAATATTTCAATATTGTGATATTTGTGCCAAGCTTCAGTCGGTACCCCACCCTATGATTAGGTCCTTGCCAACAACTACTCGCGATAATAGGAACGAATCCGACGTACAGGCAGATCACGAATCATGACGACTCGAAAATACCCAACTGATGACAACTATGAATACAACTGATAGTACACGCGATGGATTTTAAACTTTACAAATGGTATACGAGTGTCCTGGATTCGAAAGGCGAAGAGGGTGATACGATGATAATGGTCGTAACCAACGGAATCTTTACTGTTTCATGTCAAGAACGACACGACCAACGACAGTTCCCTCTTCAAGACCTTCGTATGTCCTGAATACAAACACATGAGCTCAGAAAATTTTAGAGCGATGATAAGATAGACATACTCTTGAAGGGCAGAAAGAGGTTTGAGAGTGTAGTAGCACTTCACTTTTCCTCGTGCAGCGATATCAAGCGACTCGATTGCATCTTGTCGGTTACTGAAAGAGCTGATCAGACAAAGTTCCGTCTGAATGAGTTTTAATATACATACCCGACGTAAGAGCCAAGGATACTGATAGCCTTAGTGACAGTGAAGAAAATGTCACAGCTGAGCTTTCCCTGGCCTGGCAAAGAGACAACCATAAGGGTTCCTCCGGGACGAAGGTAATCGATGGCCTGCTCATACGCAGCGTTGCTCGCAGCAGTGATGATAGTAGAGTGGGGTCCAGCGCCGCCTGTGGCATCTTTGATGTCTTTCACGAGGTCCTTGGTCTCTTTGAAGTCAACCCACTTCTCAGCACCGAGCTTCAGACAGAGATCTCGTTTCTCAGCACCGGTATCTGTAGGGATGGGAGTCAGGAGAGGCGTTACCAGTGCATGAGAGAGAGAAACGTACCGACTGCAACGACACGGAGACCCATTGCGACTGCGTATTGAATAGCAAGGTGACCAAGACCTCCACCAGCACCGGGAAGGACAATCCAGTCACCGATGTGTGTCTGGCTGTGCTTGATGGCACGGTATACAGTGATACCCTAAATGTTAATATCAAGATGAGCGTTTTGTGAAAATGAATGTAAGAAGAGACACCACGTACTGCACATAGGATGGAAGCGGCTTCTGCGCTGTCCAAATTCGCGGGGATGGGAGTAACATGGCTAACCCATGAGACTACATATTGCGAGAAAGTACCGTCTACGGAGAAACCACTGTACTTTCCCTTGACGCAAACTAGATATCATATGAGACATGAGTGTGAGGGGATGAGACGATATTCAGTACCTTGCTCGTTTCCTTTCCTGCATTGTTCACACTCCAAGCAGGAGTATGCGAGCCACTTGATACCAACACGATCGCCGACCTTGACTGGGGAATCTTGAGTGTGTTCACCGATAGCAACGATATGGCCGACACCCTATAATTGTTTACACTTGTTTATGAGACTTTCAAGAACGTCGGCCGATGAGCTCAAAGCACGAACCTCATGTCCACCGATAAGTGGGGTTTTAGCAGGAACTGGCCAATCATTCTTCGCAGCGTGAAGATCGGTATGGCAAACACCAGTGAACTCGAGCTTGACGAGACATTCGCCTGGTGCAAGCTCACTTGCTTGCTTCACGGGATAGTCGTCCTTGATCTGCAAAGTTCCGCCAACCGATTCGACTACGGCAGCTTTCTGGGTCTTTGGAATAGTGTAGGATGTAGACATGATTGTCTTGAGAGAGGGGTTGTAGGTAGATTTGGGGGGAAACAGGGGTGTTCGGGTGAAGAGCTCGCGAGGGGGACAGCCATGGTTTTATACCCGCAAATCGGATAGCAATATCTGTGCCACGAGATGTGGAGACTAGTGGAGGAGGTCCTGGCCAAGAGGTTCAGGCTGCGGCTTGGGTGGCAGTGGTTCCATTTTTGGTCTGGACCCTAATCACATATGACATAGTTCTGGAGGCTGTCGGATACCCGTCTGGGCTCTATGCCAGTGTACCCACCGCATTTTCGACGCTATCCGTGCAGACCTGTCGGTAATTTTGGGTATCTGCGTCCAGACTGTGTTGAGGCCTGCTCTACATTGTACACGTTCGTAATTATCTGTCAAATAAGACGCTGCAGTACTCCCATTGGGCAACCTGGAGCTTAAGATATTACGGCGCCCGTTGCAGACGCAAAGCTTTCACTGCACTTTTGGTAAGTCACATATCTGTGGGGAAACATTCTAGAACGACGACGAATTTTGGAAGTTGATGGAGAGGAGAACTCTGGAGAACTTGGGAGAAGCGGGGAGCAATCAACTTCATCGCCGACCGAGAAGGCACACAGATTCAATTGAAGACTTCTCAGGATCCCAAGTCACCGATGTAAAATGTCACTGCACACTATTCCGCTACCTTTGCGACAAAGGTCTGGTGACCACTTTACACGCTGAGTGTGGATAGCAAACGTTCCCAGAATGTCAGGCGCGAATGTAACCATCCAAATGGTTCAACGCCACTCTTGTGAACCGCGAGGTCGCGGAACTCCCTCAAAATTGCTGTGAGGCATACTCATGAACGGGCATCCTAAAACTGGTCATCTGGTCAAGACACCTGTGGGCAATTGGGACCCTTTTCCCTAGCCAATGAAGAGGTTTTATCTATAGATCTCACCTGACTCCAATAACAAAGGGCGAGAGACAGCAAGATTATGAAATTGGCATAATCTTCTATTACCCGATAAGCCGCATCCGAGGTCCGCACCTTCCAATCGATGCGGCCGAAGCGATAGTAATGTATGGGTGCGAAATATCCATGCTTCTGCAATGCGGGGTAGGTGGGGAAGAGCTTCTCTTACGATACAAAGTCCGCCAAGACTTGTGTCTACCTAATAGCCATTCCATCTAAGAAGTTCCGGCAGTATATCTAATGTTCGCCCGCTATAATGAGACAATTTCTAAAACGGTGGAGGAGGCGACATCGCGTCGAACACCCGGACGATCGTGTCACGAGTGACGATGTTGTCGGGGAACGAACACTTCTGATCATCTGTCGTCGTAATCTGAACTGCACCATGGATGTTCAAGCACCAAATCAAGACCAAATGATACCCCTCGTGATAGTTTGCATTGTGATCAAGATCGCGCACCATTTTCTCATCCAAGACAGACCCGTGGTGCAGTCCGCGAGTGAAGTCCAGAAGGCGACCACTGTAGGGGAGACGAAAGCGATAGTGGTTGGCAAAGGTATTGATGTTCTGTTGATCTCGTCGAAACCAGCAAGTGCTCTTCGGAAGTTGGCTCACGTCTCCATTCGAGTGTAATCGTCCGCGCCCGCCGGAAAACATCAGAGTCTATGACCACCGGGAAAGTAGAAAGATCATCACTACTAGAACCGGTGAAGTAATGCAACGAGAGAGTGAGGATACCAAGATGCCATGAGTAAATTCGAAAGCGACTTTGTCGTTCCTCTCAGTGTAAATGCCGTTCGTGGCCGGAGAGTACGACACGAAGTTCCTCAGGAGCACCTTTCCATAGAGAGCCAGGGAATCGAAGATCGCAAGCAAATCAGGAGTTCGTGAATATTCACAATGACGCATATCCGAGTCATCGAAAGTACAAACATCGAACATCAGATTAGCCCCGGCTTCATGCCTCGGAAGCGACGCCACTAAAAATTGATCTCGAGCCGGGAACGCGAAGCCACCGCAAGCCCTGTTTTCAGCCACCTTGAGGCGCAAGATGATGGTCGGATTTGAGCAGGCGTAGATGTCTCCTATCGAAGGTTCGGATATACTGCCAAATAACGTCGGTCTTGTATTTCGATAGGTTCCGGGCTTGTTGTACTGTTAATAACGACTGCGGGTGAATCGTTGAAGCCTTCGACATCGATTACCTCCTAATTCGCGCTCTGTTCTGCAGGTTTGGTTGTTGAGCTATCAGCGTTTCAATTTCCTGGTCGTATACTCTTTCTTCCTTCAGCAAGGATTTGACAGTGTCCAGTGTCCTGACCTGAATGCTGCTCTCCGAACGGTTTGGGCACGGTATCAAAACCACTCCTCGTAGCTTCGTATCATAGAAGAAACAAACCTTGCGAAGGGCAAGTACAAGAGATTTGAAAGTGGTTGTTCAACGATCAAGTTTATGTCGAATCCTATGGGTCGAGATCCACGAGGCCACTATCGCCTGGAGAGAGATAGATCGAACGATGTCCGTGTGGAACATAACTGAAGCATTTATCGCCATGCCACGCTCCATAACAGGGCTAAAATCGTCAAAGTACTGGTAGAGCATGATATCGCCGTAGAAAGCACCACCAGGAAGTCCAGGCTTCCCTTCTGATACGCGGCAGGAAGAATTTCAATTGTTTCATCCGCTCGAATAAACGTAAATTACACTTGCCGCCGCGATCGACGAGACCAATGATCTTCAACTCCATCTGGTACCAAGACAGCACGCTGGCCTAAAATGTTTCTTACGAAGGACATGATGGTATAAAAGAGCTTATAAAAGAGCTTCTACTTTTGACCAACTGGCCCACAAACCATACTTGGTGCCATTTCATGTCTCGAGTGCTCAGGAGTCAGCAATGATAACATCTTGACGACAAGTTCTGGCGGGAAAGGTTCAGTTTTTCTTTGCATGTCGGGGTCGGTCAAGTTAGGCCTAGAGATGATAATGTTGAGAGTGTCCTGAAAGAAAGCGAGGGATATCCTCAACAAAAACGACAGGTGATAGTGAACAAAAAATTGAACGGAAGGAAGACGAGCACGGAGTTGAGCGCTGAATCGATAACCTTTCTAAATTGGCGCCGCTGGGCTTCAAAATGATCATTTTAGGCAAGAATCGGCGCTTGTCTGCGTTTCGTAACAATCATCGTGAAGACCGGCATTATTGATTCTCAAGCCGCATTTGAAGCTCGAAGTTGAAGGTGGAACTCCCGGTGTGTTGCTTTCAGCATAGAGGCCCAGAAATTTGATACTAACTTGAGGTTCTTTTTTCAATTGTTTTTTTTTGGCTGTGGTGAGAAAGTTCACGCACTCGTAAGCCTTTCTGTACTCATCCCAACTTGATTCATCTGATACGAACCATACTATGCTCCGTAGGTTACCTTGAAGTGATACCGAAAAACCTTCAGTATGGCTGTCCTAGCGCTTCCGTCGTATCCTACCTCACGGGCGCGACAATCACTCACTCCCTCGCAAGTGGCTTCCCTTAACCAGCTGATCCTATCATCGTTGTCACAATGTCGAGATCTCCCAGTCGAGAGGATAGAGACTTCATCTGCAAAGACGTTCATCTCATCTTACGCCAAAGATGTCACTTCTCGTGTTCTGCAGTCTCTAATCTGGGAAGATCCCAAATCAAAGTCCGAGACGTCGAACATGTCACAGATCGAGAAAGCCATCCACTATCGAGTACTGCTACTTGCAGAGAAGGTGTCAGGATCTCTTGACTTCCAAACTCTAGTCGATTTGGGTGTTGCTTATGGCTCAAGCAACCCGAAGCGCCTACGTACACTATTCTCATCGGCCTACTCATCGAACTCCAAGAATCTGGACGCCCAGGTCTCTTCTGAGGTACTTCCAGCCTTCACCTCCTTCCTGGCATCTTCCACGCAAGGCTTGTATGGTATCCGAAAGCTTTCTCACATCATCCTATCATGCCTTCGACCGGCACCAGCTCCTCTCCAGCTTCTCTTCGCACGAGACAAATCATTCATTCTTGCCCTGGCCAAAGCTTATGACGAAGGTCTTAGCTCATTTGCTCAATCTTATGGCGGTATCCGCTTGCCAGATTCTTCTGATGAACGCCCTCTTGAAGAGTGGGAACGCATCTTCCTGGATACAAAGGTCGCTTTTCTGGATACCTTCCATGTCCTGCTCCGTGCACTCTTTGATGACGTGGCTGCCGTTCCATCCGCAGGGAGAGACCTTGCATCACGTTGCGAACCTGCGTTCGAGGTCATATTCGCATTGCTGGATCTTCCTTCATTCCAAGGCGAATCGACCAGTAGTTCGACGGAGCCAATACCATTCCTTAATCAGTCACTACTAGCTGACTATCAGCATGCATATGACCTTTCGCGAACCTTTGTATCTGTCCTGCGCAAAGCGGACGGCGAAAGGACGCAGTTACTCGAACATGCTCTACGATCGTTAGACAATGCATCCGACACGACAAACCCCGGAGCATTAAAATTCATCGTTCGTTCTTCAGGCATTCCAGCTGGCATTGATCACAAAGGAAAAGGTCCGAGTCGTTATACAGCCGATGCGAAAGGCAAGGGCAAAGCGGTGATTACCCGGCCAGTCGCAGAAGACAATCCTCAGCTCGACGCCGCCGTTTCTCAAGTCCTGGATATTCTCCCCGATCAACCTGCACCTTACATCCGATACTTACTCGGACACCCTGATTACCCATACAAGGGGAATGCTGAGCGATTGATTGAGGCAATATTCGAGGGCGGAGCTCCTTCTGTGGAGGAAGTTGATGCTGCCATGGCTCGGGAGACAGCTGAGCAAGTTTCTGAGGTAGTTCATCCGGCTGAAGAAGAAGAGTATCAATACACCAAGGATCGACAGAATGTGTTCGATGAAGAGCAAATGGACTTGTCTCAAGTCAGGTTTGGCAAGAAAACGTAAGTGTAGGAGTTTGAATGCTTCACGAACTCCGTTGTGTCTTAACACTTGTCCCCTTTTTCCAGGGAGGACTTGGGTATTGTAATTCAAGACCGCGCTGTCATGGACCAGATGAAAGCAGACATCCTTCGGCGAGCGGAAGAAGCCATGTATAGCGACGAGGAGGAGGATGTCGATCCATACGCGGATAAGGATAGGAAGAAAGGTAAAGACGTTGCTTTCGAGGATGAACTCGATGAGGGCGGCGGCGTCAAGGTTCGTGACGGTGAACCCACTGACGATGAGGAAAGTAGTAATGAGGGTGGAAGTGATGAGGAAGAAGATGTAAGCCTCCATCTCGATACTTCATACACGAGATACTGATGAACGCTGTTGTACTAGGGTGCTAAACGGCCTGAGACGATCCTGGAACTTGCCTACATCCGAGATCCAAAGCTATTCGACAGAGATGGACAGACCAGAAGGAGCAAGGCAAGGGCAGATCTCAAGGCGCAAACTGGTATGTTTTTTGCGTACACCATACATTTCGATGTCATTACTGAGCTGACGCTGTATTACAGGTTGGAGTGACGAGCAAATTGAAGGATGGAGAATCATGCTCGAACGCAACGTAAGAGTTACATTCTCGCGTTGGTTACATTTCTCAGTTCTCAAATCTATTATATTACAGCCTAAGAAAGACAGTATCCTTCGAAAGCACGAGTTTGCGGGAAACCAACCTGGCCTTCCAGTCCCCGGAACCGCTGGCTCATCTCAGCACCGTGGCCGTGGCCGTGGTCGAGGCGGAGCACGCGGTGCGGGAAGAGGACGCGGTCGGGGCGGACATCATGGAGAAGGTGCTAGTGGAGGAGGTCGGGCCGAGGGCGGCGGTGCTCGCGACAGAGCTTGGAAAGATAAGCACAAGGCCAGTCGAGGAAATCATAGTAGGAAAGCAGGTCACGATAAGAAGATGGCTCGAGCAGGAGGTCCGCCATCTTGAGTCTGATGTTCTGTATCATGGTTGGAATAAATTAGCTGCTCCCTACATACATAACGTGTACCTCCGAGCAAAGCAAAACAATGCTGGATACTAGGTGGTTAATCCGACTTAGGTTTTTCGGCCGTCTTTTCACCCGCTGCAACCTGCTCACGACGAGCTCGCCTCCAGGCCAGGAGTTCCCTAATCACAGCAGCAACGAGGGGCGCAGCAACTGACGCAAACAAAGGAGTGTAAACTGCGTACTTATGCTCCGCGGGGAAGTAGAGCAATCCGAGATTATTAGGGTTGAAGAAGGCCCTTGAAGATAGTTTCAACGCCTCGGCGGAATACTGGAGTGCGCGGGCAGCGGAAGAAGACCCAACTTCGAACGCCTAAATGACGAAAATTGAGAACAATGAGGGTCGAGGTCACAACGAGCGCATTGACTATGCGTACCCGCTCCAGAGCGTCCAAAGCACTCTGTACATCACCTTTGACATCTTTCCCAACTGGCATATTCTGAATCTGGTTCACCAACTTGACGATACTTTCCAACGTTTCCTGACTATCCTTGACATTCTCCCCCGTACGTTGACGAATGAGTGCGTCTAGCTGCCAATCCGAGAACGATTCAGGGTGATCCGATTTGATATCTGCTGGTGGCAATTCTGGCACTCCGAGAAGTGCCAAAAGTTGCGCTCGGAAAGTTTCAAAGGGCCGTTTGAGGGCAGCGGAGGACAGGTGGGGAAGAGGGCGGTTCACGATGACGATGCCACCCCATTGAGGAAGAATGAACGCGTTTGAGTCCGATGGTTTGCCTGTATGACAGATGAGGTGTAAGGCTTGAGAAGACGGAAACAGAGGTGCAAGTGACCTGCCTTCGTTATCTAGGATATGTAGTGGCGTGTGGTTCGCTGATGGAACGAAAAGCACGAAATGAAGCACTGGATCATTGGAAACGCTAGATGCTACGTTCAAGTGTAAGTTCAATGTTGAACGGGAATCAATGGCTATACTACTTACACAACGTCCATTCTGCCGAGTTAACGAAGACAGTGAGGTCTTCGTGTGTTAGTCCGTGTACCGTTTTGCCCTCATGCTCGACGGTCTTCGGTGCGAACGCCAACGGTGCATGGAACTGAATCTGACTCTCAACAGTGAAGTTGTGGAGCACTTTGAATCGGTCGAGCGACGGGCCCAAGTACTCTGATGAAGAGCAATCAGGCAGTGTGGACCGTAATTTCTTTCAAACGGTACTCACGTCCCATGGATTGCTGTAAATCCCAACTGATTGCAGCTTTGCCCGTTGCAGAGTCCTCGTTCAACAAGGTAAAAGCAAGTCGATACCGGGGTGAGTACTTGACAACACGCTGCGTTGAACTTGTTGCCCTCGGAGGAGGCGGTACGAGCATATGACGGAGTATGCTTGCGAGTCGCAAACGGGACATCTGAATAGCTGTAATTGTGCATCAGCGAGTAAGACATGGGAGGACGCAGATATTAAATTACATTCGTCATCATCCTCCGGTAACATTCCAATGGATAATTGACGACCTATCAACGAGGTATGGTCCACGTTGTTGTGGAGACGGACCTGGTATGTGTCTGGTGTGGACTATGACAAAGATTAAAAACCTATACCCAAGAAAACGAGAAAGTCAAGGACTTACTTTGGAGACGAAGTCTATGGAGACGCTATCGACGTCTTTCAAATCCTCGCCGAGCAGCTTAGAGACATCGGCAGCAACGACTTCCGCAGGGTGCGCTGGGACCTCTGATTTAATATGAACACGAATGGGGGAATGCCACTATTCCAACTACGTCAGAGACTTGCGAAACGGCAGAGAGAGATTGGTCGTACTTGTTTACTTGCCACACTCTGAACTCTCGCCTCAGGCAATGACAACCTGTCAATACTAGTGTACTTCCACCATAGAGGGACTGCTAGCAAGACAACAAGCCAGTAAGCAGCAAGTATCTTCCGCCGAGTGAATACAGATTCAAATGTCAGCTTGGAAGGATCCTTTACACCTGCAGCCGTCTCGGTTTTGGACATTTTGGAGGTTGGGAAAGGGTTGGCAACAACCCGCACCTCAAGGAAAGTTTATAACAATGCGATGATGATGGCCACGTATGTTACAGCACCATCATGAAGGTCTCAGAGCTTTGAAACCCGAACTGAGAGCGAGATGTCGCCGTCGTTGCTGCGATGACAGCCATGAATATATTGTAGCATAGTATGCAAACCATTGGACACTGTATTTAACTCCAAGGATATTGAATGGTGTATATGTGATTACTTAGAAGCTGAATGTCATTAAGGTTAGGGTTAGGCCAAATAGCCAGCAAAAAATAATGGCCTGCCCAGCCCGAGGGCCGAAGCAGGACAGGAAAATATTGAGACGGTGCATGAGCCGAAGCCCATACAAACCGCAGGCTCCCTCTGAGGACATGGTCGCCGTGCTATGGAGTGACCCCACGGCCCACCAACCCGGGACATGAAGGGGCAAGTGCCATCAAGGTAAGTATGAAGAAAATGGAACGTCGGAATGGGCTTTATATACTTTGATGGCATGCGCACGGACCGAGCTGCTTGTGATGCATTAACGCCAGAGTTCTCGTGATTGGTCAGATGGGCAATACCTAGGCCCTATGATCCTCTGTAGGTTGCGATTTCTCCGAGTCTGTTGCAATGCATGGTGCGTAGAAAATAGTGATTATGTAGTGTGTGTGTTTTACAAAGAGATACATGTAGGAATAGATGACGATGGATAGTCCACGGGGAAGAAACCAGCTACATCCTCCGTTCACCTCTAGAAATGTTACATCAAATAGCCAAACGTTGCTCCATACCCGAAGCATATCCTCCCATGACTACAGTCCTAGGCGACTGCAAGCCACCCAGCCTCCATTCAAGCTTGACATGCTGGTATAGCAACTTGAAAGTTGACACTGCGCCCTTCTCCAAATGGAATGTCAACACAGTCTCGAACCCGTTCAATTTATCCACGTTAGGTCTACTGCGCATAGGAATTGCGGTAGCAAATGAGTTCATTGTGGGTGACATTGGGTTGGCAGAAGAGAGCCCGGCAGGGTTGGACTGTATTTCGACACGGAAGCGAAGTTGCTTTTGGACCAAAGAGTTTCCGTCATAGACATCATCAACACGGCATTTCAGCGTAGTCGCAGTCTGGTTGTCCTCAAGAGCAATCACGACACCAACGGATTCGAGTAGACGAGCACATTCGTTGCGAGTGGCGACCGGGTCATCGACCGAATAGAGAGTGTAAGACTGAATTTTCCAATGGAACAAGTTGGAGAACCAGCCCTTGAATTCGCCAACAACCGGTGAACCTATACTTGTCGAGGGCGGAGACATGAGAGTAGGAGAGCCGATGAGGGAGAAGTTACTACGTTTTTGAGACATCGTAGGCGACATAACATCTAAGGCGAGCGCTGAGGCAACGACATCAACGAGCACATATAACCACATTTGAGGTCATGGACTTACGATGACGAGTCTTGTCTTTAGAGTCCTTGTTTTGATTCTTCTCCGGAGTAGCAGTGGCGTACATGGAGTTTCCGACTTCTTTGCCCATCGGCACCGAGGGCCCAAACCCCAAGCCTCCAGAACGGTCCGTTCTACGATGCACAACGTCAACGCCAACCCAGTTCTCCTTGTCGTCTCCTTGCGTAACGTCAGCCATCACAACATCAGAATTAGAGTTCGAATCTTGTTCAACACTAGGAGTTGCCGCAGGTTGGCCATCGCGAGTAACAGCAGCGTTCCAGTTGGCGGCGTGCACGTTTACTAAAGTCGCGTAATGGTCAATAGTCTTCTGCAGTTCTGCGTCCCGAACTCTAGGCGCCGTGATCATCGGAAGAACTGTGGAAGGGGCAGCCATAACGGGTGTGGGAGCATGGATCACGTTAGAAGAAGACTCGCCGCGGGTAGAATCGTCCGGGACCCGCAAGGTACCAGGAGCGGAGGAGGTTGAGGCTCGATGCATGGGAGGCAGAAGTGAGGTATATGCATTTCTATGAGAAGATCCAGCGATAACGGAGTGAACATGAGAAGACTCTTGGTGGCTCTGACTTCGACTTGAAGAACCAGGAAAACGAGGCCGATTCGAGGAAGGAGGAGCAGGAGAAGATTGAGGACGAGGCTTCTGTGGGCGAGGGCCAACAGGGGATGGAAGGTGAGGTCGTGAAGGATTCTTCTCCATGGTCGGAATTGTGATGTGAAGTGGAGGCGGCTTCGGTGAAGGCGTACGGGAGGGCAGAATAGGAGCAGGACGACTTGAGCGAAGTGCAGGATGGAGAGCCGTAGAAACATGCGTAGATCCAGGTGCGCTCTGGATATCCCGACGCAGCATCCTGGTTGCTCGCGAGCGAGGGGCAGCATACTGCTTGGTAATAACCTTCCCAGGCGAGTTGAGAACTTCGTTGACATCCATGAGTATGCCATGTTCTTCCATAGCCTTCTCGCGGTGCTTGAGCAAGAGGAAGTAGAAGGCTTTGGCAAGAGTGCCTTCACCAGCAGGGCTAAGTAGGTCAACCTTGATGCCATCAGGATTGGCGTGACGTCCCCAGACGACGCACAATGACTCAAAAAGATCACGGTCAATATGGAGGGCAGAAGGTAGGGGCTGTGCAAGCTCAGTAACAGACGGCGCAGGAACATAGGATATTCCCGGAGTAGGTCCCTCGAGCCAAGGGTGCGCAAGAACCTCAGACATCTAACCATTTCATGTCAGCCACTTTCTGTAGACTTCAACTAGACTACATACCGTGATCCGCTTATTGACGTCGACAATAAGCATACGAGAGAGTAGGTCTTTTGCGAGAGGATCCAGGTAAGGAGGCATATCATACTTGCCCATCTTGACTTTGCCCAGGAGGGTTCGGACGTTCTTGTCGTCAAAAGGAAGGCGACCAGTCAAAAGAGCATACAATATAACACCGCAGCTCCAGATATCAGTGGCGGTTCCGGTATACTTGTGGCCGTTGACGATCTCGGGGGAAGCATAGTGGGGACTTCCGCAGCTGGTCTCCAGTTGAAGAGAAGGAGGGGCGAAAGCAGCCATACCCCAGTCAGCAATTTTGATTAGAGGTGGATTTAGAGAGTGAATTAAGATGTTCTCCGGTTTGAGGTCACGATGGATGATAGAAAACGTATGAGCATAGTTCAAGCCATAGACGATCTGCTTGAAATAACCCAGGGCTTCCAGAGGTCCGAGTTTGCCGCGGTTAACGAGAAAATCGAACAGTTCACCTCCCTCAACGTACTCCAAGATAAGATAAAGCTGGCGGTCTCCTTCGTACACGTCGTATATACGCATGATATTCGGGTGATTCATGAGTTTCATCATAGTAATCTCTCTGTCGATGCCCAAGCGTTGCTTTTCTGATTTTGCTTGAAGCTCGAGCGATGCTCTAGATGAAACGAAAGGCTGCAGGGGAAGGATCTTGACGGCGGCGAGTTGACCGGTGCGACGGTGCTTGGCGATTTTGACGTGCCCGCTGGCGCCTTTTCCGACACACTCGCCGATAATCCATGGACCGACGAACTTGGCATCCTCAGGGTACTCAAATGCACCAGCTTCAGCCGAAGCTTTCTCTTTTTGCCAGCGGGTTCCAAGAGGTGTTTTGTACTTGACGGGTGGCGCGCGAGGCGGGCTGTCCATCGTCATTAGGAAGGTCTGTTATATAATAGTGTGTGAGGTAGCTTCTGGGTATTAGTTCAGCTAATAAAGTATTCGATAGATATGTTGAGGGTAATCGCGTCGACCAAGCGACGGTGGTGAGTTTAAGAACAGGAAGTGGTGAGCGACGCAACTTAAAGTCAAACCAACTTGCTGAGTTACCGATTTTGGAACGGCGCTATACAGGGCTAGCGGAGCGCGAAAATCCAGGCCGGAGGAAGGGCGCGGCAAGATCGGCAACTCAGAACGTGCTTTCATCAAAGATTGCATTGAACGTTTCAACGACTACCACTGCTCTATATGCGATTCAGCTATTACTTTGTGCATAGTGGGAGCTAGCATAATGTCCTTTGCCTGTCTGAGTTTCACTCTTTCGTAAATGCTTTGTTTGGACGAGTCTCACCGTCACTTGCAGAGGTGTAATCACTTTGGTACGCCTCATTTGTGTATCCCAAGGCCCTCAAGGCTCAACTCGCAACATCTGACCTTGATCCGTGCTATCTAGGGACTTTTTGTAATATGACTATAGTATGATTGTGTATGACGTGCGCCATCATGAGAATGATAACGAATGGAAAGGCATTTCGGTCATTGTTCGGGTTGCTTTTCAGGATATTTCTCCGTGTCATCCCCTACCGTGGCTTATCCTCCTCCTGCTGTTCGCGATGCTCGCTTCTCTGCCGGATGTTGCTCGGGATTGTGGGTTGTTCAACCGTCCTGCTCATGCCGGCGTTGAGACGCTTTGTCAAACCAGTCTGATCTCACAAACAGGCCACAGGACATTTCCTGAATGTCGCGGGGCTCCACTCCAATTCTCCTTGTGCTTGAAATAGAACACCCTCTGGTTTCTGTGCTATATGGTTGTTCTAATTTTGTCGGTGCCGACGTGCCACAAATAACACTTGCTTGAACCTCGGTTGTTCTGTCTTTGTTGAAGTATCGCGATTGGTGCAACGGGGACGTATAAAAACCATCTAGCTTACGGTCAGTGTCTTTAGAGTCATCCTGATCTCTTGCATTACAAAAGAATGAAGGCCTTCATCGCTCTGCTGGCTGCTGTCTCCGCCGCTTCGGCGCACTGTACGTTATTTCCATCATGCACCACCGCTCACTGACTCTCTTTATTATACCTTTAGACACCTTCCCAGACTTCATCCAAAATGGTAAATTTTCTTTTCTGTCAAATGAGAGGCTTTTCGTTAACGTTTCCCCTTTGTTATATAGGAGCCGTTAGCACCGTATGTATCGTCTTGTGCGTCATAGGCGTGCACTGTGTATAACTTTTATATTGTAGGATTGGCAATATGTCCGAGAGACCGCGAATCATTATTCCAATGGCCCGGTAATTATATATTATGGGGGCGGTTGGGAATCCGTCGCTGACTGATTGTACTTTGATACCAGGTTACTGACGTCAACGACCCCGAGTTCCGTTGCTATGAGCTGGATCTGCAGAACACCGCTGGACAGACTGGCGTTGCCACTGTCTCGGCTGGTGACACAGTCGGTTTCAAAGGTACGCATCTCTTTCGTCAGCATCCACACCATGACTCATGTTTCCGACAGCGGTGAGTATCTCGCGTTTTATACGTACTTTCAGGATACAGTAAACTTAAGCCAATGCAGAATGGCGCCATTTATCACCCAGGAGTAGGTCATCCTTGCCAGGCGCCTGGTCAATCTTGCTTACACTCCTTTGATAGTACCTTGACGTGTATATGACGAAAGCGGACCCCGCCGCCGACTCACCGGAGGCTGGAACGGGTCAAAGCTGGTTCAAGGTTTGGGAGGACGCTCCGACTTACGCTAACGGGCAACTTACCTTCCCATCTACAAGTACGTTTTCGTACTTCGCTTCCTGATAACGGAACCGCTGTATGCTAACAGTAACGTTTATCCATAGGTATAACTGATTTCACGTTCACGATCCCCAAAAGCCTTCCCAACGGTCAATACCTTATTCGAGGAGAACAGGTGCATGGCAATTGGATGGTCAACAAGCTTCTCGTGGCTGATTAGAATGAAATCAGATTGCTCTTCATGTTGCATCTACTTACGGCGGTGCCCAGTTCTATATAGGCTGCGCTCAGGTGGAAGTCACCAACGGTGGTAGCGGCACTCCCGGTCCTCTTGTCGCTATCCCCGGCGTTTACACCGGCGTGCGTAATCATGCTACTGTGCCTCAAGATTTCCTCTCACCGTTGATTTCCTTACAGTATGAACCCGGCATTCTTATCAACATATACAACGTCCCGTCGAACTTCACTGGTTACCAAGCCCGTACGTTCTCCGCAGTTCCGCCGTCCCATTTATGGTTCTAATCTGGTCATCCATAGCCGGTCCCGCCGTCTGGCAAGGATAAAGCGTATTTAGCCGCCTTGTTAGATTCACTATACTGCTGTATTGCGCTAGTCGGTTTTCGAACGTGCTAGGGAGTTTGACTGTATTCGATGTCAATGTGGTTCCAACAACTCCATGAAATGACCATCCGCACAATTGAGTACGTGTTCCGTAGCCGAGCAGAGCAAGCTCCACATCAGTTTTAAAGCCCGCGACAAGGCACCACCGCGGAAACAAATTCATGGGATGGGATCTCTCGATATGGTGTAGTTCGTTCGACCCTGTTCAAGCGCCTGATTCCTGAACCATATGAAGTAGTATTGCAGTCTGCAGTCCTTCTCTCGCTAAACCATGACATCCAACGCGACCTTCTAGTAATCACCCGAACAACCTGCGTGATCATCGACATCAAGAGTCTCTTTTTCAAGTCTCTTCCTCACATGCACTTGATTCCATAACCTTGCATCTAATTTCCTCATTTGCTCAAACTTCCTCATGTCAAAATGGACCGCTCAGACCGCAGGTTCAGCTGACGTAGCACGAATGCTCATTGTGGCTCAAACTCGCCGATACGTTTCCATGTGCGAAGGTTAGCTGAGGAATTCTTGAGTTTCATTTGTAACTTCCCACATCTGTTTTCAGCGGCTGCGGCTGCCTGGTTGCTCTACGATTGGCTTATAAGGCTAGGCGATGAGGTAAGTTTGGAATTCGTGGCATTGACTGTTCTAGTCTGATGCTCAGCTTTACAGATTGAGCTTATCTGGATGTATGTTATATTTTGATGACGTGGAGTTTCTTTCTCGTTGAATATGCCTTTGGTAGCTCTGGCAACAGTCCACCAAAGTGTTTATATTTTGTATTACGGTACTTTGGACTCGTCACAGCATTGTAAGTCTTTGCTTCGCTATGGACTCATTTAGTCGATTTACGTGTTCTTTGTCCAGTGTGTACTTGTTGGATGCAATTCCTCCACAGTACGTCTTTCTGTGTTTCATGTTTGTGGGGTATGAATTTCAATGGCCAACAGCAACTGTGAGGGTCGGATAATCTTTCGTGCAATGTGGGTGTCTCATATATACTTTTGCTCTAAATCTGACACCTTGGCTATGGAAATAGTGCGTACTATATTTTACGTATAAGTCTTGAGCTCAGCCTGATGATCAGGATATACGCACTGTGGAATCAAAGTAAGACAAGTAGGTCTTGGGGCTCTTAAACACGGTGATCTCACACTTCGTTGACCGCTGAATTTTTACAACGCAGTGGCGATGACCTTAGCGATATTCTTTGGAAGTGAGTAGCGTTACTTTCGTCCCGAACAGACGGTTGACAATTCCTTTCAGTGGTACACACGGTATTAGGATATAATATCTATATTATACTTTCTTTGCTTATCTAGTGACAACAGTGTAACATCGTATTACTGTCCATCATCGCGACGCACGCGATGGCCTCCCCCGTACCGTATCCAAGCACCTGGCCTGTCCGGGGTTGCTTTGTAGTTTCCAACCCTGGATTTCTTCGTGCTTCCTGGTACGTTTCAGTGTTACTACATGAGATGCTGGCCTAAACCCTGTCATAGGTTGCCCGCCCTTTTCTTCGAATGTGAGTGAATTTATTCCTGCTTGAAATCGGACGATTTGTCTTAGATCCCCCTCAGCGCTCTTGTTCGTGTTGAACACCATCAAATGTCTTCAATATCGGCCGCTTTCTAATACGCCTCTTATGATTCGTTTATTTCGGGATGGAACTGTCTATTATTGTTGGTGCGTGTCTCATGTTGAACATCTTATATGATGTACTGATGCTCGCACAGCATATGTAGTGCGTTTACTTTAGAAGCAAGTTCCGAAGCTTGAGTCTTACTTACCTTAACTAGTCGTGTTACTTATACGCACGTGTTCCGAATACCATTCTCGTGTAGGTATTGTAATGGACACGTTCATGACGGCGATATTTTCATACTCGGTGAGCTGTCTTATTGGCGGGTTGGGCGAGACCAACATTCACATCATCCACTACAGGGTTCAGCACTTATGTTAAGCATACGTTCGCTTGCCGCGAAACGTTTTCAGCTTTCCGTCATTGCTCCCGAAGTCCCAGACATTGCGCAGCCTTATGATCAGGCTGTATCTGATTTACCATCCTCAAGCCCAACAGTGGGGAACCCTCTCGCAATGTCTTCCCTTCATCAAGAGCCGTCGACCGCAGGCAACTCAGAATACGTTGAGGAGACCGTCGGATCTACCCGCCAACGATGCACTTGCGAGGAGGGTGACCGATGCCGAGTGCATGGCGGCCCTGATGTTGGGCAAAACGTCGGCTCAGAAGCCAGCAATGTACAAGTGCCATCGGAGATTAGCGTGAAGACGACGACAAGCAGCTGGGCTAGGTTCGGGAGACCAAAGTTGGCGAGAGTCCCTTGGCTTGACGATTGGAACGCACACAGTTAAGCTGTGTCTTATATTGCTATCGTTTGTTATCGTTTGTGTTTTCGCATATCGTCGTGAAGGACATGTTCTTGCATCGCATTGATTCTATCTGTACATAATATAATACCCCATCTTCCGCTTCCGGTTTATATCATATTTTAATCAGTGCTCGGTCTGCGGACTGGTTTTATATTTATATGTAGGCTTACCGTACTTCACACCTGAGGGTGGACTTGGGGACCCTCAACGAATTGTCCCTCAGACATGAGTGATTATTAGATGAGGGGAATTTGCACGATGTGATGTCGATGGTGCTGATAGGGAAGAGCGAGTAGTTGTGACATTCAGTGGGCGAAGAGAAGTATGGTAGAAAATGAGAACGAGTGCCAGACGCAGCTTGAGTTCAACCCTTTCCAGGTGCTTCTGATAGCATACGTAACGGCTGGAAAGGCTTGCAGATGTTCACGGTCTGAACCACGTCAAGGTCCATCTCCATCTCCATCTCCGTTATTATTTTATCCAAATTTCTGGAGGCGGTCCAACATGGCAGTCGTGTTTCCCCTTCCAAGACCAATCCCAGCCTGCTGTGTTGAGACCAAGAGCACCATGCACCCAATTGTTGGAACACTGGTCTTCGGGTTTTCGAAGGGGGAAAAGCCGTTGGTATGCTCCACAGGATGTATCCCTACCAGCACAATTCCGGCAATAGAAAATTGAGAGAATGGTTGGAGGGCGTCGATTTCAGATAGGGCTGTCAACGGTAGTGCTGGACAGTGCATGATTTAATTCTTCTATCGAACCAGCAGATGGAAATCGAATAAGGTAATGATACTTCCGCGCTTGAAATTCTGAAAATGTGCTTTACAGGTTTAGACGATGTCACGAAACTAGGAATGCGTCTAATGGCCGTGTTCACACTTCGGATCTCCCCCACCTCATATCGAGGACCGAGGAAAAAATTACAGTCATAGAGACATTGATTACATTTAGACGTAACCTTTTCATTTACGAGATTGCTAATGAGACTTACGACCAACAGTAAGCGTTACCTGAGGCCTTCCATTACGTATTTTCCCGCCTCTGCTCTTCAAACGGACTCAAAACAAAATGGGCACGCCGCATGGGATCCAAATTCCACTCGGTGTGACAAGGACCTAGGGTGGCAATATCGAGGCCTCAAGCCTTCGTAGCAGTACCCCAGTTCCACGGTCGTAACATGTACGAGAGCACAAACGATGCATCAGCGTGTTTTGTGGGGGTATTCGGTATCAGTTGGCGACCTCCAGAGGGATGATATAGTATTGCGCCAAATCGTGCAGCTACAAATACAAATTATCTGACCGTCCGCATGACACGGAGAATCACGCTCAACGGACACATCGGTCGGCCTCTATCCCCACGCAGGCAACGAGGTTCTCGAGCTTCGATTGATACACACCTCATGGTTCGCTATAGAGACCTGTGAATTGGAACAAACGGCAAGGGTGAGTGAAGACATTTGTAAACGTACACTTGGGCGAAAGACAGCTTTGGTTCTCACCATACTGGCGACGTTCTGAAGTGACAGAATGATGTGAACCAAGCAGGTGACCCCAATTTAGAAGTGCAAATCGACCGTTGACTGGGAAGAATTGACGTCTGTCGAAATGCGGTATCGTCGTTCCGCAGTGCCGTAGGAGTGTAGTGGCGGAGCTGTGAAGTAAAGTCACCAGATGAGTATGTGCCAGCTGACTTGTAGCATCTCAGTATCGTCGAATATCATGCAAGGTGATTTTGAGTGTATAAAAAAAGAGGATATTGCCGTTGGTGGGTAGCGTTAACGAGTTTCTTTGAAGGCCATGCTTCGCCCAACTCCCTGATTATTCATTTCTTTTTTGGAGGAACGCTACCTTCCGCCATGCCTAAAAAAATCAAACATCGTCTTGACAGACTCGCGACGGCCTTCGACTGTGCGCTGGCCGTCATAGGCTTCTGGAGCCGCCCTCGATCATCTATGAGGACCATAGATTACACAGGCTGTAAGATACCAAGGTAGAAATTATAACGTTAGAGCGGTAGTGCCGGATGACGATAGTGATCATCGACGAGAGGTAGTGAGAGGGTCTTCACTGCGCCACACCAGGCGGTGACGCTGGTGTTTGCGCTATCTGATTGGAGGACATGGGTAATGTCACTGACGGCGTAATCCTTTGATGCGATGGTTCCGGAGTACTTGAGTTCGAGGACTAGCGCCAGCAAGGTGCACGATTTATTTAGACAAATGATATGAAGCGAGCATGATGCTACAGGTGTTTATCTTCCGAGCTGGTGTCTTCATAGAGATGACTAGTTGCCGGAATGATTAGCAATGATGAAGTAATCACACGTATCGAGCAATAAAGCTCGGAAGCGCTGTTGTAAAGTTGCTGGAAGATATATGCTTCTTCACCACCGGTTTGAGATCGCACCTCGCGTAGACAGCATGGTAGTTCCGGGTGTTCATAGGACTCACAGAAGGCATGGGAGTGTGGTCTAATAGCCTCAATCAGCCCATTTGCAACAAGCATATGAAATGTGGTCTGACTTACAGGGTAAATGACAGGCCTTAGATTAAATATTGACGGCGCACGCATGGGTACTTGAATTCTTTTGGCGCCATGCACGGAGCAGACGACAGGATCTGTGAGCGGATAGACGATGTGAGAAGGATAGTGCTTAACTGTACTAAATCATGGAATATCATAGATAAATGATCATCGATCCGAGTATCGAGACTGAGCAGTCACCTGACTTCGTGACAAAAGGCAAAAGTATCCGGCTTGAATTTGTATACACGGGATTCAAGAACGGCTTGTAGACCACCGGATGTCGCAGGGTCAATGACCAACGGCTATTAGTCCGATCGCATGAAAAGTGGCATTTCATGTGCGAAGAAGCAACACAATCTAGTCCCTATAAGTGAATGTTCAGGTTGGCAACAAGGAAAATATCACAACGACTCGGTAGCGTTGGGTGGTCATATCCCGAAAAGAAATTTTCCTATGTTTCGGCGGCGGGATTGCAATGCTTAGATCACGAGTTGCGATCGCTGCAGATTGCAAAATTAGCCATAGACGACTTGCTCGCAGCGTCCGATCATTGACTTACCCAAACCAAGAGAACGGTACGCAGGGATGCTGTGGAGTCAAGAGGCTAGAATACAAGCCATGGTAAAATGCGGGATGTACATAATTCAATTCAGTGAGACTCACCCCTTCTGAGTCCGTTTCAGTGGCGTGAGATTGATGAACGCGGAGAAGTAAGGCAATCCGAACGCATAAAAAGTGAACCTCAGCCAGGCAAGATGTGGACTTTAAAGATTGGCTCACAGGCTACTGGCTCGCTGGAACATAATTGAGTTCAGGCGGGATCTTCGTTCGGATGAAGCCGACAACGGCGCCACGAAATGCCTTCGGCATCTAAGTTCCTCTCACTCAGTAAACAATCCTGTTTAGTGAGCAAGAAATAGGTGCGACTGGACACGGGGATCGAAATGTCATCAAAGTGACACGTCAAATCCTTTGCATCCTCAGAGAAGCTCAACATGCATGCCGAAAACCCACGGTAATAATGCCGCCGACCCACCCCACCAGTCGCACGGACGCGGAGGGATATGCATTCCATTGGACGGGATAAACAGCCATATTTGCAACGTATCGAGATGAACAATGAACGGACTGGCACTGCAGAGCAATGGAGAATAGGAGGAATAGAATTCTGCTGCTTTCCAGAAGAAAGGATGAATCGCTTTTCCAGCGGCGGCGGCGACAGCCTGAGATCCCGTTTAAGCCTTAGGCTCCCAGGCAGCTCCCGAAAACCTTAAGATTTACCAAGTATATGTACGACGATCCCTGGTGTTCCTTACGCTTCTGCGCGGGTGAGGAGGAGCAGTGGGCTGATCTAGACTGATGGATAGATATGAGTGAATGGGATGTAGCTGCGAGCGAGTGCTATCGCGGGATATAGGCTTCCATACAGAACATACGAAAGAGCTGGCAGGGAAGACTATACCGCATGAGGCGTGTCGAGTCGTCAAACTTTAACTACATCAAACGGTGGCTCCACCTGAAATTAGTCGAGATGAGGGGGTAGGGATCCCCTTCTTTCTGGCGCTGGAGCCCTGAGAAGGCTAGCACCTGACAACTTGGCAGACCAAACCATCTTTGGACTTGCAGGGTCACCTTTTATGGCACCTGTATTTGTCTTTCGCTCGGGCAGCATGCATCCATCAAGGTTCCTTTGTTGATCAAACCCTGATCATGAGAATGGAGGAACCGGAAATGCAAGTATGAGTTAATTGTCCGTACCGATTCCAGAGGCGAAGCTGCCGCTCTCCGCTTCACAACGCATCGCAACATCTGCAAGACAATGCTAATTGCATGGTTACCTTGAAGGTCTCAAGGGCAACCTGAGGAACGGAGTGGCATCGTGGACAAGCAGCAGTTCAGAATCTCAGATCGAAACGCGGAGCCAGAACAGTCCAGAAACGGCAGGTTAATATTACGTAACCTGTTTACTGCGAATTGTCACCGCAACAAAGTACAACAATTCTTATAACACACATGCTTCACGGCGCGGCCGTTCCCTCACCTTTCCCCCACCATGTATTCCCAAAAACGAAGGCGAACAGCTACTAGCGTTCTCGCAGGCGACTTCGACCCGCGTCCTTCTCGCGACGTGCTCACTAGCTTGTTGAACGGCGTACCGTTGTACAAGGTGGTCGAGAAGGAGGAAGAGGTTAGGCGGGCCAAGAAGAAAGAGAAGAAGGAGAAGGAGAAGGAGAAAGGGAAGGAGAGAGAGAAAGAGAAGGCCAAGGAGAAGGAGAGGGATATTTCTCGCGCGCGGTCGACCAGTAGGGCGCGAGAGAAGGCACCGGCGGCGGCGGCCAGTATCAGTGCGGCTGCTACTTCGTCTTCAAGCTTCAATAACAAACGTCCTGTTGCTGCTCCACGCGCCATTACTGCTGCCTCACCCTTCTGGCAGGCCCGCCCCAACATCCACATCCCACATATGCAGCGATCGGTTTCTGTAACCCCACCACCCATGGTATCCTCGCCACCTACTACTCCTGGGCCGTCTATCTCATCAACTACGTCTGCTACTTCGTCTAAACGTCCTCACACACCATACGACGATGAGGACTTTGCTCAAGGTCGTAGTGAAGGCACATACTCTCCACAACCCGAGCAACAGCGGTCCCGGAAGAAGCGACCAGCGGCGAGGAAAGGTTGGAAGGGTTGGGTGGAAGGTTCGCCGCCTCCATCGGAGAAGCTCATCAACCTGGATGCTGTTGTTGTACTTGGGGAGCGTAAGACGAGGAGTGGGAAGAGCTTCGATGCGATCGGCGTAGGCAAGGAGGGGTGGGTTTAATCATGGTACGATATCTTCTCAACTAACGGTTGGATCTTGCTCAAACTCTGTGTTCGTCAGCTGCTGTGTCTGCGGATACCATCGGCTTCAACTCCTGGCACGTTTCTCGTCTCGCGGCTTCAACAAGCTTCATACCACTGTATTGTCCACCCTGCTGATTTATCAAGCGTTATCATTGTGTTCCAATCTTCAATTGTATCCTATCTCTGTTGGATCAGTCTGTTGCCTCCTCTACGTTTCTACACTATTCTCAATCCCATTCCTTCTCTATATTTCTTCTTGGCATCTTAGGTTTCTTGCTTTCCTCTATGTGCCCTTCGCGACGTGACTTTCTATATTCCCTTTTGGTGGTATCTTTTCTACGGTCATCGAGTAGAGTGTTTTGGAATGTTTAAGTAGGGCGTGTCTTGCGATCAATCCATGCTGATTGTGTCTGTTATATTGCGAGACGGATGATAGCAATTTGTTTGTTTTCTTGTGGTGGGTGTCATTTTCGCACCTGGAAGCTTCCAAAGTCGTAAGCGACGAGTCGGGCGGCGCCGAACGTTTCGATCAAGCTGCCGCCCGCCGATCAATGTGTCGTTCTTTCCATTTCATGGTTGCCCACGACCTCCATTCCTCCTTGCTCATCGTTTGTTCCGACGTCCGGAGGCTTGTCATGCATTGTTGACGACGAACACTCAAACAAATCATCTTTCGCAGCACTCACATCAGTCTGGTTTCGATCTAGGCCGTTGAGCGGTCGTTTCTCAGTTTGGTCGAAATCGCACACCGTACGAACATCGGGACCTTGCCTTTATCATCTGGTTGTTCAAAAGTATATATTCGTTCTCGGATTCACTGAAGATGCTGGCCGCGGCTCGTCCCCTGCTTCCCGCCCCACCGTCATGGTATCCAGGACATATGACCCAGTTCGCACGCATGCTTCCGGATCTCCTTCGACGCACCGACGTCGTTTTGGAACTCAGAGACTCGCGGTTACCTTTGACGAGTATTAACCCAAACTTTGAAGGTCAGTCCTCAATGACGCAGCCTGGCGTATCGCAAAGTTTTGCCAGACATCGTATGTCATTGGTTGCCACTCGAAATGTTGAGTCGGGAACTAAAGAATACACTATTGGAGTCTTTGTTGCTACTACCGAGAGGTGATTGACCAACGTGGCTCCAAAAAAAGACACGACGTGGAGGCGTTGCCTTGATGTTGGTTATCTGAGGCTGTACCTTTTGGAGGCGCAGCCCGATTGCACGGCGTTTGGCGAGAAAAAACATATGTCTCGCACGATCCGGGAGCCACTCGCATTTGTTGTTTATTATGTTTCTATTTTTGTTTCTCACGACAACGACTTTTATTATGTTTGGAAGTTCGGTTTGTAGATAATGCTTACTGACTCGAAACTATTGCAGGAGCCTTGCGGAAGTGGCGTAACGAACGAGGATTCATTTCACCACAAAGTTTGGGTACTAATGTTGCACCAGCTCCCTCGCTACCATACACCCCAGTGTGTGAGCGGATAGTCGTGTTTAACAAACGCGATTTAGTTTCTGGATGGGGGATCGAGGTGCGACGGGTCTAGAAACCTAATCTAATATTTCTAATTCTCTGCTGTGCAGTAGCCATTCCGCAAGGCGATGGCCAAGAAGCACCCTGACCAATCGACGTTTTTCGCTTCCTGGACGCGTCCGAAAGATGTCAAGGCACTCAGCGACATGCTCATCGGTTTGTCTTGTTTTATCTTTTCGGAGATGCATATTCACCGACGGTCTGATCCTACCGTCTGTCAGACATCGCTAGAAGGAACACGCATGCCCCCGAACTTAATGTCCTTGTGGTAGGCATGCCAAATGTCGGGAAGTCGACGCTACTTAATGCCCTCCGAAATATTGGCATTGCTGGTCGTAAGTGTTCTCATGTGGCCATTCCGCCGCAGACTGTTTCTCTAACTACTCGTCTACAACACAGCGACACCAAAGGCCCTGCGAACATCGGCTCAACCTGGCCTGACTCGCGCTCTGTCCACACGCCTCAAGCTGTCGGTCGACCCGCTAGTGTACGCGTTCGACTCCCCAGGCGTGATGCTACCGTTCCTTGGACAAGGCGACCGTGGCGCTGAGCGCGGCGTCAAGCTCGCTCTCATAGGTAAGTCTATACGAAACCCTCGTGTCTCATTTTTTTATCTGACTGTCAACAGCGGGTATCAAGGAAGGTCTGTACGACATCGAGTCCCTCGCGGCGTATTTACTCTACCGACTCAACATCCTGGATCCTATTTGTAAATCCCTGTTCTCAGCTTCTCGAACCCTGCTGACGCCCACATCCTTGCAGCGCCGGCGTACTTGGAAATTCTTCCGCCTTCGACTGCGCCGCTAACAGACGTGCTCGAGTTTCTCGATACACTAGGCAGACGGCTAGGTATGCTCCGGAAAGGCGGGATCGTGGACACGACGCGGTCTGCGGTCTGGTTCATCAAGTGGTGGCGAGAAGAAGGCTGTCGAACGGCCGCGAGCACGCCTCTTCTCACGTCGTTTGCAGCGGACGCTGTGCCAGGAAGTCGGACACACAGACGCGGATGGGGATTTGACCTTGAGTGGAGTGTGGAAGAGTCGGAGCTAGAGCGGTACGACAAGTCAATGATTCAGGCAAAAATGGAGGAGTGTATCGACACGTACGAGGCGGAGTTGATGGAAGAGGAGCGCGAGGGTGGGGGCATCAGTTCGACCCAGCAGAAGAAGCATCTTCGGGATGAACAGCTAGCAAAGAGAGCCGCAAAAACGAAGGCAAAGATGGCTAGGAGTCGCTAAAAACACGACAGGCGTGCTCTCTCTCCTGGACGTGCCAGATGGCGTTCTTTACCAGTTGACGGTCAGTATATTCCGACATGATGCTGATGTATCTTCCTGACGATGCGCCCCACTTATAGGCTGTGTAGATGTGTATACTAATACATACCGACCGCAATTTTAGCAGAAGTACCCTTACTCGTAGGCCATCTTTACCTGAGACCTGATATGTGCAAGAGGCGTTTTTCTTGCACCGCGCAGGTGGTTCAAACACAATTTCCAACTACGCGAACTCGCCGGAAGCTAGAGCGTCACAATTTAACAGCTCCGCATGCTTGCGGACGCCGGAAAATAGGTGAGGTGATCAACAAGTCGGCCTTAGATATTTTATCACAGTATCCAATTGTTGACCGGAATGCACAGGCTGAGAATAGAGCTGCTGATATTTTTCTCTATCCTTACTGGACAGCGGCCCAATGAAGGCCGTGGGCTTGCTGTCCTACTTCAGCGCGCCAACTCTGGATCAGCCATTGTGAATTGGATGCAATCGCTACTATACCACGGGTCAAGCAGTGTACTCGGTAACGTTACTACTTGTAGGTTTAGCAGCTCGATTTGCGTTTGATTTTTCTCTTTGCTTCGATAGTGTACACGCAGCAATGAGTCACTAGCTTCCATTCAAGACTCACTCTTGCCGATAACGGCCCGCACACTTTAACGCCATCCCCACATACGCTCCTCTCCTCCACTGCCAGCAACTGAAATGTCTGAATTTCGGTGTCACTCCCAACAGTCCAACAGTCTGCCTGCGGACACTCCGAATGCGGAACGGGCATTTCAGGTGACCCTAAGAGCTGCCCGCAGCAACGTCAAGAATAAATCAGTCCACTTAGTACTTCCAGCCAAGGAGAGGAGCCCTCTTTGAATCGCTCTCAAGGTCTGCTGTTCACATTGTTCACATTGTACTAGGATCTGCTATGCATGGGACCGTGGCATTAGTACTGGCAGGCCGGCTTGACGGCCGTACTGATACCGAGGGCGTTCTCAGGCGCAGCATGCACACACCGCATGGCTTTTTCCAACCGGGAGACACGATGTGGGTCCCTGAGCACTAGATGCAGTCGGTACACGTACAATAGAATATCTTCACATTTCACATATCAGCTTTTGAACGTACAAGTTACGAAAGACCCCATGAGTATCACGTATGAGCTCCAGCTTTCCTATCTTGCGTCCTCGTATTTCCTAGTTGGGTCTGCTACGGGGATGGCAAAGCTGATTTATTTACTATACAGTACCGTACCTGAGACATTTTCTTTCTTTCTCGTTGCAAGCGAGCAGTCTACGACTTTGATCGAGTGAAACCATAGCCGAGATCAAGTCGACAACATACACGCTTCAGTTTCAGACACCACAACCGGCCAGATCGAATAGTGACATCGCTTGTGAGCAGAGAAAAAAAAATTGAGATCCAAAAAGCACTGTCGGTGATGGTACAATGGTACATGGTACATATAGTACATACGAGTCAAAATGTGAGCCCCGTAACCAGACATGTAGGAGATATAATAAGATGATGGAATATCAAGCAAGAAGCAAGAAACGACGACAAGAAAAATTAGGGTAACCAAAACGCAGCCATATGCCAAAACGAAGCAAGGGAAGCGTGTATACGAGGAGGTACCGATAGCGTGAATCAATGAGGGAGTCAAAATAACCGCGAACTAATGGGATCAGGATGAAATGTCAGAGCAGCCTGAGGAACGACGGGAAGGAGGATGATCCTGTCTAGTTAGCAGAGGCGGCGGCACCCCTCTCGACATCAGGTGGTTGCTGAATATTTCCCCGAGAGAAAGCCCTGAGGAAACCAGGGCGTCCAGGACGAGTAAGTCGTGCCGCAGGAGGAGGGACAGCAAGCGGCTGAGGTATGGCAGGGGACTGAGGTGGAGGGCCGGCAATATCTTCACCCATGTCAGAAGATTCTTGTTGATCGTCATCGGTGATATCCTTCGACGGAGGTGTAGTAGTGATACGGAGCATAGATGTGTACGCTAATTTGCATTCACGTCAGTTAGATCCGGCATAACAACGGAGACAATGACAATAAGTTGGCACTCACGTTGACGACAGACGGGACAGAACCACCCTTTAGCCTTTCGTTTTCTACGGTGATTGTTAACGGCGGGTATAATCACAGGTGTGGGGACTGGTTGAATGGCAGCGGTAGGGTCCGAAGGCGTAGGAGCTGGGGCACTACCTTCGCCGCCTTCCTCGCCCGTGGCACCATCGGTTTCGACATTCGCAGGGGTGCTTTCATCTCCCGCAGGAACTGATGCAGAAGTACCATCGTTGCTTTCGGTGCGCGCGATGGTTCCGCCTGCACCAAATTCAATCATGTTCACGGCGCATTCTCGGCAGGCGACGAGATGTCTGCATGGGAGCAGGACAACTTCTCGAGGCGATGAGAGGCATAGGAGACATTCCGACGATGTGCCGTCGTCTTGCAATGCTGGCGTAGACGTTGCTGGTGGTGAGGTTGGAGGGTAAGAGTGCGTTTCTAGTGCGGGAGGCGCTGTAGGTGCTACTGTGTGTGTAGCAGTTGTGGAGTTGGCAGAGAGTCCATAAATCTCGTGTAGGTGGAATGTGTGTGGACCGATCTACACAGAATGCATAAGGATAGGCAGATACAGATAAAATTATTCATCCTACCGTAGCCTCGCGCTTGACGACCTTGACAACCCAGGGTCGCTTGTCTTCCTCATGTTCCGCACCGTGCATATGCACGGGAGGAGAACCGTATCGAACGATATGGAGATATGTTATTTGCTCGTTTGGAAAGGCCAGCTCGTTACCTTCCTCATCAAGAGCCACCAGCCGAATGGTGACTTTCACACCCAGGTTACTCTCGTCCTGCTGGACTTCTTTCTCGCCGTCCGAGGGATGCGTATGTGATTCTGCATCTAGGACAGCAAGAGCAGGTCCTGCGACCGACCGATCGACGTTTCGCTTTCGGAAATGGAAATGGGTGAAACGCTTTCGATGTCGGGGTTCAGTACCAATTGAAGTAGCATCATCTGAGCCAGGAATCTCGGAAGGCGTTGAAGATGCCGCCAACTCGTCACTAACAAGTGAAGATGTCCGAGGGCGGTGTTCAAACCGACCAAGCTCAAGCATAGCGCCCGCCTCTAGTTTGAGGATCTTACCGAACCCACCTTCGGTCACAGTTTCGAAGACAAGCAGTTTTGTCTGTTGGTTGCCTGCAGAGGTTTGTGCTAGGTGATGAGATGGAGATAGGATGACATGCACGTAGATTCCGCACTTGGCGGAGTCGCAGTCGTACTCAAACTCGAGACCATGATGGTGCTGAGAGTCTTTGTGATCGGGGTCATCTGCAGAAGAGACTTCTAGGGGAGTGAGCCGAAGTGTTGGTCGCTTGAGATTCACGAGTGCTTGCAAGGTTGTTGTCACATGGTTTGCCTGCACAAAAGTTGGCCTCAGAAAGGGAGACAATCAGTAATCAACTCACCTCTTTGCTTTTGGCGACCCAACCCTTCACAACCTCCGGTGTCAGCTCGTTAGTCGATTTATCTGTCCGTTCAGTCCACTTTGGACCAGTGCTGACTATGCCGATATTCGGCCCAAACAAAGTATCTTGCTTTTTCTTCTCCTGTGTACCAGCGTTGCTGTTGGATGGAGCAGTCTCGCCCATGTTGATCACGACAGCATTTTGGTCGGTTTGAGCCATGGCTATTGCCCTGCGAGAAGCAGCAGAGTCCGTGCGAGCGAGATAGGGTGACTGGTGAATCTGCCAGGCTCGATTGTTACTGCGATCTGATATAAATTGCGCTTCAGTAGGTTTGATTGGCCTGCAACTCTAGAAAACGCAAGTACTCACACCACGCAGTGACTGTAGACATCGTCCGAGGTGCAGAGGATGTTATAGAGGGCAGGTAGGTGTGGGCAAGGTCGACGGATACGCTTGTGCTAAACGCGGATGGACACAGCCGCTCGGCAAATCTGCCGCCGGCTTAGAGACGCTGCGCAACGTGGGAGTTCGGAACGCTGTCTTTTTGGTCATTCACCGTCGAGGCCAATGACGAAAGACAAGATGCGGAAGCTGTCGAAGAAGAAGGCAGCAAGCAGTACAGTGACTTCTGTTCTTTCTCCGCCTCCGAGGCTCCTGGAAATATGTATGGCAGGGGGATGCGTACAAAGAGTTTGCCGAGGCAAAGAATCACGATGAAGATAACAATTCGAGTGAAGGGCAAGGAAGCTTAGCTTGAGCTCGGATAATGGTCAGAAAGGAAGTGCGAATTTGGGGTCTAAGCGCTGCTGTCAGGCTGTTCATCTCGATCGGGTCTCATGGCAGTTGGCTATTCACGTTCGTATGTATCCTCTGTATTACCATGCACTCGTAGATGTTGAGCAGATGCATATGCATACAAAAAAAAACTGCCTGTGTGCGCCAAGGCGAGTCTCATGTTGCAATGATGAGACGGTGCCAGTCCAGGTTGCCAACACAGTCATCCACGTTCTTGAACGTCTTTTATCGATTCGGGGGAACGTTTGTTGCACAGAGAATTCGATTATTTTCCCTGCTAAAATCACATATATCGCTGCAACCGAAAGGGTGTTTCTACTGAGGAAACACGCTACTGAGTAGCGAGCATGCTCCACACAGTAATTGATTCGACATCTCTTTATCCATAACGGGATGTATGCATCCATATATGGCAATGCCTTCTAACATGCGCGTTTCGAGCGGCTGAAACAACCAGGATCCATCTTGATACGAGTCGTCCCTCCTCCCCTCCATAGACCCGTATTCAAGTCTACCTAGGGGAGACTAATCAGCCACGATGTTTTCGAAATCAGAGGGAGATAGAGCGACAAAATCACCAGAGGACTCAAAAATCTCGAAGATACTGCGGGCTCGGACTATCTCGATCGACTCATCTAATCTTTGAACGGCACTAAGGGAAGCACGAAAGAGGATACTTGAATTCATTCAAGCATAGAGTTGCATTGTTTGGGCCAGGCGTACTTGGAGCAGTTACCAGGTCGTACGCGCTGCTTCTGACGAATATCGCCAAAGGCGAATGTTTTCCTTTTCGGAAGCAGCTTTCAATGCGGGCTGACGAGTGAATTGTAGATTAGGTATGGCATAGACGAATGCCTGACATTCCTTTGCACCAAGGAGGCCCTTCAGCGAATCGGCCGAACCCGATACTACGCTGGTATCTGACGTTGCGACACACTATCAATGAGACGCAACGCACCAAACTGTTTCACGAGTATTTGACCACCGTTAAGAGATTACACTGCAACTGTGCAAAAAGCGGAGTTCTCTAGCGATGTCTGAGGACATCAAAGCAATCTCGCATCAAATTTAGACACGCTGTTCCCACCCCAGCACCGAGAAAATAACAGAGCAATTTGCGTCCTTTCGTGTCACAAGCAGCGCCGAAGCGCATAATTCACAGCAGGGATTATAGTTACACCGTGCATCGCAGATTGAGGTTCGAGTGGCTACATGCAACAACTGCTCAAGGCTCCGTTGTCGGTCTATGATGATGCTCTGGCACATGCATGAATCGCAGCAGTAGTGGATTGCGAAGGCATAGATTACATAGAAAAGCCTCGTGGATGTCATATGCATGGGTGCGCGGATATGCCATGATGCCGAGAGATATAAAAGCAAGTGTAGAAGAGAATGATCATGCAACGAGCTTGACGACACCACCAGCCTCCTTGATTTTAGCTCTGTAGCGATCCGTCAGTATCGAATCGTTGCTTAAATGAACTGTGCTACGTACTCTGCCTTCGCTGAGACGAAACGGGCTTTTACAATGAAGGGAACCTTGGGCAATCTAAACAAAGAATTCAGAAAAGTAAACAGACGAGAAAGTTTGGATTTGACTCACTGTCCATTGCCCAAAACCTTGCCGTATCCGTGTCGGAGCACGTCAATAACGGGAACAACATCAGAGTTCTCAGTCAAGCCCTCCTTCTCCTGCTGAGGGACAAGCGACCAGAGCTTGTCAACGTTGATGATGGGGCGCCATTGCAGGTTGCGGGTCAAATGGAAGCGACGCATACCAACTTTACCGAAGTAACCAGGATGGTACTTATCGAAATTGGTTCTACATGGTTCAAAATGCACAGATGAGCATAATCGGTCAGATTTTTGCAGCTGGAAATGGACGAAATGCGGAAAACGCACCGGTGGTGGTGCTGACCACCAGCGAGACCACGACCTCCCGGATGCTTGCGGTGTTTACCGACACGTCCGTGACCGGCCGAGACGTGGCCGCGGTGCTTGCGAGTGTTAGAGAACCGTGTCGGCATTTTCTGATATGTAGGAGCACAAAATCGTCAGCGTTGAATCCCAAATGGCGAGGAACTAGCAGTCATCATCCGAAGTCATCCCAAGCCATCCAGCATCAAGGTTCCCGCAATCCCGCCACATAGACATTTGTTCGGAAGCCAGAGCAGCGTAGATTCCTTTGGGATGACTCCGGACGGGCAGCAAGATAGTATACTAACCTTGAGGAGGCTTGTTGAGTCGGATACCGGTGGCTGGAAGGTTTCCCTCAAGACGCTGTGACGATTTGGGAAAGAGGACAAATAGAGCCAAACAAAGCGCTTAGTGTCTCATAGTCCCTCATTCGTAACTTCAATTGAACTTCAATCGGTGAGTCTAACGTCCTTATAGCTGGCTCAATGATGTTGGCTTCGGCCTTTTTCTCTTTGTTGTCTGTGACCTTATGATCACAATTTCTGTCATGAGAGCCCCGCAACTGCACTCTCACCTTTCCGACTTCGATACTGATATACTGTTTTCAGGTCAGGATCCATAGCGTTCAACACACTGAGGTGGAACAGCTTTGACAACCCGACGCGACGCTATCCACGTTGAGCTATAATGAACGCGCCAAATCGTTACGAGCTTTATGTCTTGGAGGAAGGCGAAAGGCCGTGCGTGAATTCAGCTTCTGGTGAGAAGAATGTTGATCGAATGGATACCTTACCAGTGTGGAGATCATTGAGGACACAAAGATCCCGAATGCCGCTACCATCAAAGTTGTGAAGCAAGATCACACGTTAGGAAATCTGCTACGAGCGTAAGTCCCTTCGCATGTTTACACGTCTCCAGTCTGTAAACTCTTTTGCAGTCAACTTCTCGCCATGCCGCAGGTCCTCTTCGCTGGCTACAAAGTTCCCCATCCTCTCCAGCCACACTTCCTAATCAAAGTCCAGACAGACGGCACCATCACACCCACCGCCCTCCTTGAACAGGCGTGTACAAAAATCATTGGAACGATCGCTTCCCTAGAGGCCACCTTCAAGAAGGAATTCCAGATGAGTAACATCGGAGCCGCTGTTGCAGAAGATGCGTATGGCACTGGTGCAACGACATCCGGCTTCCCTGGGGACAGAGATTACTTGGACTTCTAGTCTGGATGTTGCTTACTGTATCCTTTGTGTATCCTTATTGTATTGTTACTTGTATTTTATGTTCTGGACGTTAATGTATCATCCTTGATATACCCAACTTCTTATATCTACCAGTCTGCCAAGATTTACGAGGAGTTTACGGCTATTTTGTAATTGGGCCGTGTCAACGTCTCCTAGTAAGTTCACACTGCGCAACTATGGGCGCTACCGAACGTTACACTTAAGCTTCCACCACCATCTGAGGCTCGCACGCATGTCTCATATACGACCTCTTGGTTCATAGAACTAATTTCAATAATACCCTTAAGTCTCCAACTACAATGTCCACGGATCCATATCATGCCGTCCAGCACGAGGTACAGGTCTCGCTCCAGACGGCTTCTACTTTACAGTCTTCCTACTTGCGGATACGAAGTACGGCTCGTGAAGAAAGTGAGGAACTCGTATGGGCTAGGAATGAGGTACGTCCACTCACATCCTTCCTTGATTCGTTGGGTTTATTCACTTGTATCCGAACAGCTGAAAGCCACCCTAGCGGCGATGGAGGCCGACTTGGAGGACTTAGAAGAAAGCGTCAAGTCAGTCGACTCACTTAGGAAACTGCGTATCGTATAATGGAACTAATGTTCTGTCTAGGATTGTTGAGTCAACAGGTGCTCGCCTCTTTGGTCTGGATGAGACAGAGGTTATATCTAGGAGACATTACGTTGATTATGTCCGACGTGAAATTGGGGTGCGTTTGTGTATCTTCTCTCGCTCAGGGTCTGCTCACATATCCTGACACCGCTTTGCATTCCGCAAGGGCAGAATATGCGAGTAGAGGTGGATTCTGAAATCACTAGTATTCGAATTGGCAGTCGGCCTCCATTTCCGGACCTTTCTTCTAGTCGAGGAGGAAGCAGGCCAGGAACGCCTTTGCCGCAAGACGAGCAAGCTGCTTGGGCTAGACAGGAGCAACAGGTATATTTTATTCCTGTTCAACTCATATCTAAGAATTGACATAATTGTGTGCCTTTGTAGATGATGATCCAAGAACAGGACCAGACCATTACCACGATATCCGGGACGCTTACTACAATTGCTGAGCAAGCGGGGTTGATGGGACAAGAAATCGGCGAGCACAACGAGTACGTCACGCAGTAGCGTACATCCCGGTTACGATTAATCCTGTTCTATAGAATGCTCAGCGACCTGGAACGCGGTGTTGACCACACAGACTCCAAACTCAACACAGCGATGTCGAGAATGAAGAAATTCATTCGGCAGACAGAAGGTAAATTCAAAAATTCCCGTATCAACCTCCGTACCCTATAACATGCTTACGCACGGACTGCAGAGACCAAGTCGGGGTGGTGTATCATCATCTTGATTATAGTCCTGATGGCGTTACTACTTGCAGTCATTCTGGTTTAGGGATGCTTAGAGCTGTTCATTTCGTGTCATTCCTTATATTTATCGTGCTTTCGGCCTATTTTCTAGCTGCCGCGGAATGGATGGACCTCGTAGATACATTAGCATGCAATGGATTTTGTTGTTCTAACAATTACGAGACTCCTGCTCGCATCGACCAACGAGCAAAACGCTTCAGACACTGCGGCCAACTATTGACGGTCGTAGGTTTTATTATAAATCTATGGTGCAAAACACCTAGTCACCGCTACTTTCGGACAGTGGCCAACTTGGGGTCGCGACCAAAAAAATTGATATTTCATGTCCCGCATCGGCGCGACGTAGTCGCGCGAGCTCCTGAAGCTTTAAACATGCATTTTCCTCACTGAAAAAGGTCCCCAGCGTAGTCCAAGAGTTCCGATCCCCTCTCAAATAATGTAAGCGGCCAAATTCTCACGAGCCCTGGGAAATAACTTCTGTAGTTTTGAGAATTTCGACAAACCCTCTGACGAATCGATTCCTATTGCGAAAAGGAGTGTTTCTGCAAGAGGAATAAAAAATCCGGCGCTTTGTGTGAGCGCTGTTTCCGCTGTACAAAAGTAGCGGTGACTAGGTGTTTTGCACCATAGAGATTGTTTTTACATAAGTATCGTCTATATCTCTATGACTACTATGATCTGTAGGTACTTTCTTTCTGGAGTTGCGGGTGTGAGGGGGAAAATGAGAAACTCGAAGAGTTGAGAAAGTTCCCATTAGCCGATTTGAACGACTGACCTCATCATTACTAATACTAGTGATGCGCTCTACCAGCTGAGCTAAACGGGACTTCCCAAATGAAATATATCAATATAGATTTTCACTCTATTGACCCGCCATCTGCATCTCCAAAGTGACAGCTCCTCCATCCAGAAGAGCCATCACCCTTGACCAAGTCTGCTTTCGGTCGACCGTTGTCCTCGCAGCTTCACACTCTCTCACTGCTTTGCAAAACTTTCTTGCTGGCGTCTGGAAGTTCGCGATACGATAACAAGTCGGCGCTCTCCCACAGGCTTTTCCAATATGAATTCTAGCTCGGCAGCGCATGACCAGCATCAAAAGGACTTCTTGAACGCCTTTTTTCAGTCGGAGACCGGGGGAGAACTCGACCAGCGAGGGAGGGAACCGGATATGTTCAACAACGGCAACCTGTCCTTACCTCCCATGATGAACCTCTCTCAGCAGACGTTTTCCAACCCCCAAGCAAGCATGGACGTGCTTGAGAACCTTATGGCGATGCAGGATAGGGTGGGCCAAGCAGCGGCTTCCCAAGTGGGCCAGCCAACGACACCGCAGATTCTATTGGAGCAGCAGATGAGACTCAACCAACTACAGCAGTTGCAGCAACTCCAGAACCAGATTTTTCAGCAACAGGTGTGTAACGTTCTTCCTATTACCTCTTCCCTCCAATGTCTCGATCGTTCTCACACCCCTCATGCTGTGTGTTGATGTGATGTGCGACCGGCTTTCATAGATCGAACTTTTAAGTAGCAATAGCTCTTTCGCCGCATCACCTCCTGTAATGGATCGGTCGCGGGATCAGCAGCACTTTGGTCTTCCTACACCAGGTACGCTATTCGAATGTCTTCTCATGGTTCTCACTAACAGTTCACAGCGTCTTCCACCGAACTACATGCCCAGAACACCTCGGACTTTGTTTCCCCCATGCTTTTACAGAATCGCAATAGTGGCATGCAGTCGCTTCCTCCACAATCGCAACAGCAGTTTCTGCCCCACCCTATGATACCCTCCGCGCCACATTCCGCTCCTGCCAATATTGCGTTCGGCACATATCCAATGCAGACGGACTTAGATTTTAGCGAAATTTCACCCCTTACAAGTCCTTGGTTGGGTGCCGCGTACGGTCCATCTGGTCCGCAGCCATCGACGTCGACCACAGTTCACAATACACAACAAGCTCTAACTAGCTCGAGTAACAAAAAGAGGCGAGCGGCGTCGCCTGGCAGTGACGAGCAGTCTACTCTGACAGCAGCTGGCAGGCCGGCTCGTAAGAGACAACCAAGTGTCAACCGCTTGACACCTGCCGTACCACCGATACAGGCGAAGAAAGCAAACATGCGAGGCAGCAAGTCTGCTAACTCGACGCCGTTGTTTCCGCCCATTTCATCCGGTAATCGGATGAGTCCAGCACATAGGACACCGGCGACAACAAATGACATTCCCGGTGATACACCCTCGCCAGTTGACCTGGCAATGCCGCCACCCGCGCCACCAGCTGGTTCATCCGTTGTGATGAACTCGAACTCTTCGTCGATACAATTTGTTCAAGGGCCGTCTTCCTCGTCGTCCGGTCACAATACTCCTAACTCTCATGCTGCAACTCCTGAACAGTTGATGCCAGTCACCCCCGCCAGTATCATGAACCTTGGACGGTTGGGCACGAATAGCTCGCTTGCGCCACCTGCGGCCAACAACCAGGAGAAAAACATGAGGACCAGAAGCTCGAGAGCTAGGTCGTCGACGTTAACGTCTACATCAAGTACAGTTTTGAAACCGATACTTCCTGGTATGCTCACCGCTTACTGCTGAGGCACAAAAACTCCAGCTGACCTATTTTTTCTCGTTCTTAGCAGGTAACGCCACTCCTACTTCGACTTCACCGACAACCGCTTCGCAGCCGCCCATCCTCCAGGTTCGTAAGACCTCCCACAAAGCAGCGGAACAAAAGCGTCGTGACTCGCTTAAAAAATCCTATGACGATCTGCGGGTACTCCTTCCTCCAATTCCACTTCCTTCGGACGAAGGATACCCAGACGAGCCCCCACTGCCCGGCGCCATGCCGCCTCGTGGGCCACCGAAGGGCAACGCTGATGGACCGAATCGTTCTGTTAGCAAGCTACAACTGCTTCGCTGTGGTAACGAGTTTATCAGGGTCCTTAAAGCAAGAGTGGAACGTCGGGATGACGAGATCGAGATTCTCCGCAGGGAGGTGGCAAGGCTGAGGCTTGTCGCTGGCGATGCTGGACAGCCTGAAGATGGTGTTGAGGAAATCGATTTGGAGAAGGATCTGGATGCGGTGGAGATGATTGGTGGTGGTATTTTCGGGAGGAGCCAAATGGGGAGGATTATGGAGGGCGAGGAGGGTGATGAGGACGGCGCGGATTAAATGCTGTATGGAATTGTAGAACAGGGTTTCTTGATTACAGTAAGGTGACGCCTTTTTCTATCATGTTGGCCAGGGGCTCAGGTTGTATGAACACATACTTGGGGTCATTAGATGTAAGAAAAAGAAATTGTACAAATTAGCATCTCTACAATATATTCTAATGTATACTACGCACGTGTAGATTTAAGATAGACCAAAACTTGGACCGACCACGGAATGGCCGCGGGGAGAACGCAAACTAAAAACATGGAAAATTCTAAACATGAGCTTTACCATGGTCGATCAAGATTTTCGATCCGATCGCGTGTGCCTGAAAGCCACGTGGAGAGCTTGAGAACAATTACAAGGTTCACATGCCACTGGCAGCAGCAAGTTCAACATTCATACGAACGATATTACGCGTGCGTATACACTCTTTCGGGGGCCAACATGTCCCAACCACAAGCTATGCAAGTAAGACATCCATTGTGAGTATCAACCCAGTGGTACGGCTTATCGTAGGGACCAAAATAACGCTTCTCGACAGGTCTGTTATATTCCTGCTTCATATCGCGTTGGAAGTACCCATCGCGTTGCAGGGACTATTGTCTCCTGCAGCGTTGCCGTTTTTACAACTTAACAACACAACCGTTGTATTTATTAAGGCGAGAGCGCTCTTACTCCATTATCTCTTCGCGAAGTCCTTACTAACCTCGTCTGTCACGGTCCTTATCTATAGCTCTACGCCGCGTTAGTGGCCGGAACATGTGCTGCAGCATTACTATGCTTTAGCCTACCAGGCATGTATTACTCTGCATAAACTCCAATACGTTGAACTTACTAGTCCTTGAAGAATTCCTACCGGGGAAACGTGCACTAGCTATCGCGCTCTGTCTGTATCATGTCACTTGTTCGACAATTCTGTATGGCGCTCCTCGTATTATCCCGTATTCTTTTGGACCATTAGCAGAATCGTGTGTCGTGTATTGTTTCACCTCTTCCATAATTCTAGCTGAAAAGTCTGTTTGATAGATACCGCGTCACCCCCGAGGTCGTTTGGGGAACATTGCATGGACTTGTCGGTTTGGGTATGGCCATATGGTGGCAAGCTACGGTCATGATGACTGCGGCTATGCGCATGAAGGCAGAGTGAAATTGTGTGAACAGGACAGGAAGGATGTACAATGTGCATGTAATGCGTCTATCTATTGGGTGTTGTATTTACATTGAGAGTTTGTGCTCTTTACTGATACACAAGCTTTGAGGAGATCGTCGTGATGAGGGAAATTCGTCTATGTAAATGGAGTAGAGAAAGAAAATGAGGACATAAGGAGGATGGGTGAATACTCTTTAGACACAAGAATACAGGACAAAAGATGAATACGGAAAAACGGCAAGATAGGGATATAAGTGGAGAAACAACAATCTAATGGCGGCACCGGCCCAGAAGAAACAGAATGTTAACGAAGAGGAACGAATACGGCTACCTCAATCGACACGGCGGACTCTGGGTACGAAAGCCCAAATGACAATCAAAGTAGACATCATCGAAACAATACTGGTATACACAGTCGCATCAGTTCGATAATCTGCTACAATGAAAGTACGCTACTTACAGAGGCTGCAACGACCCAATCCCAAACTTGGATGCCAATAGACCTGTCATGAAGGGCAAGACTGCAGATCCCGCTTGACCGAAGCCACCGATCCACCCGACGCAGCCTGTGAGGAGCCATTTGGGCAGAACTTGAGTACAATAGCTCATCAGGATTGGATACATGGGCCCGAGAAGGAGTCCAATGAGAGACACTGCTAGGGCGTTTTCGACCAACGAGGGAACAACCCAGACTGTGACTTCCAGCCTACAAAAAATGTTAACATATAGTGTAGGGATATACGGAAGAACAAGAATATATACTGGATTGCAAGTAAGGCGTAGATGAACATGATGCGGCGTTCACCGATCTGATGGCCAAGTCAGTCAATGTCAAATAGACGTATAGTGTACCTACCTTTTGGTTCAACCACATCAATGTGAGCCGTCCGAGCATAAGGCCTTAGTAACGAAAATGTTGGCATGTGTCATTTAAGTCAAGGGCGAAGCAGCTAACTTACCACCAAAGAACCCGGAGGAAATATATCCAGCTGATGCTCCGCCGTCTCGCTTCTGTTGGACGAACGTCACAATCCAACCTATAAGGGAAAGAAATCGGAAATCGAATACAAGCTGACGGGTTGTCTTATTTGACTGACCTCCCAAGGTTACCTCAACCCCAACGTAAATGAGAGCGAAGATCGATAGGAAATGGACGGTCTTGATGCCAAGTATTTGTCGATACTTGCTCTCCCTAGTGCTGTCAGCTTCGACAGCAGCTTGTCCAGCTTCAGCGAGCACATCTACAGATAAGTACGGTTGGATGGTGTTGCATGGCTATATATAAACAGTAGAACTTGCCATCTTGCTTCCTGAGTCGAAATACGAACCACAACATAGCGGTGTTAAAGACACCTATGGCAGCAGAGATTAGATAGTGGAACGACCAATGACGTGTCGTTGCGAAGTGCGTGGCTACCAAAGGAGCCACGAATGCACCCAGGCCTAGTCGACACGATCTCAAGTGAGCCGATAAGTGTCCGTTGATATGAGTATAAGAAACAAACCGTAAGAGCCATGAAGTAAACCAAATTTGGTTTGTGCGCCCTTAAGGCTGCCGACAAAACCATTGGCTTGAGCATTCTGAAGCGAGATACCGAACCCGGCCAGTCCGAAAGCCGCACACATGATGGGGAAAGGACCCCCTGGACCGAGCATGGCGTAGGCGGCAAGCTGAAAGATAGAGCCTAAGGAAGCAGATGTTATAGATGCGATTTACGGCGTCGTACGTAAGGTTACCTATGACAAGTACCTAACGGCGGACTTGGTTGAGCGCATACAATGGCGAGACCAGATCAAACTTACTTTTCCAAACCCAACCCGTTCGTCGAGGTAAACATTAGCCATAGCACCACTTATGAATCCCTTATATCCTATGTGAGGATTGAAACTAAGAATGAAACAAAATACATGCTTACGAGGCAGTTGAAGACGAATAATAGAGACACAATAGCGAAACCAATCTGAAAGATGTGTCAACTCATAAGTGTAGAATCCCGTATGCTAATCTTACGTTATATGACCGTTGAATGGTTGGCAAAAGAGGTCCGGTCGAGCCGTCATTCCACCCCTCCAGGAACATAGAGAAAGCCAAGGCAGCAAAGTGAAGGCGGGATCTAAATTTGTTCCTAGCCCTTTCGGCGGGAGACAATACTGGAGCGGTGGAGCTTGTATCTTCCCCGATCCGAACGGATGAAGCAGTAGTGCTAGGGAGTCTCGAAGCAAGTTCAATATCTTCCGAAGGAGCCCAGACTACAGGCGCCTGGGTGGTGAAAACAGAGCCTGTAGCACGACCGTGAACATCACTGTGTGCTTTAATATGCTCTGGGAGGACCGGAAGTTCGAAAGCTTCAGACTCGATCGCTGGTTTTGATCGGTGAAGCTCAGACCGTCTGCGAATACGTTCTGATGTAGGTGGAGGTGGTAAGACTGCTTGATCTGCCGAGTCAACTTCCAGTGCAGACTCGGTGCCAATGCCTTTACTAAGCGACAAGTCAATGCTGGAAGACACAGCACTCTCATTATCACCGATGCGGATCTGGGGAATGCTAGTCGGTGGTCCCGACTGCTTTTGAGACCCTGCCACAGTGTCAGTAGTTGTGTGGGAGGCCATGGGAGTGAGAAGAGAAGGGGAAATGGAGAGGAGCTGCAGCACGGACTGCGAGTTTTTATTGATGCCTACCGCTTCGAACCGATAGACTTTACATACTTTCGTCTAGAACATGGAACTCGGAAGGAAAGCTGATGCATTGATGCAGAACGCGGTACGATTCTCCGGTCCGTTGCACGAGGCATTATCGTGACCTAGAATTGAGTCCCAAAAGTCAATAAAACGTCAGGTTTACTATCATGTTGCCTCGGATCTCGAGTTTTTACGCTCGAAAGTTGTTTGATCATGAAGTCTTTTGTCGGAAATGGTAGTTGCGATGACAAGGAATATTTTGTAGAAACTGATCGACATGCGGCAATTCCCGAGTGCACCACTACAGTAAGTCATGGACACGACCATGAACGTGTCTTGTGTTCTGCTTCCTCACTTAATAATCTACGTGCTCTCTTCTTCTGATCTTACTTTTTTGCACCTTCTGGACGTGTAAATATGCAGGCGCATCCTCAGTACGCTCGTTTTAACACCTACCACGGACCAAAGCGGCAGCTCCTGGGAAATCAGGCTGGACATACAGCTCCTGCATGGCGCGTAAACACTCCCGCTGCGGGAAAGAAACCTATAGATCAAGGCTCTAAGATTTTGCTGAGTAGACTACCTCTGGATGTAGGCGACGATGAGGTCGAAGTGAGTGGCGCTACTGCTCTGGGTAAATATCCAATGCCAATGAAACACTGCAGCAACTATTCTCGAAAACGGTGGGCCCGGTGAAAGAGGTCTTTATCGTGTACAACTCTCAGGCAAAGTCGAAGGGTATGGCCGTTGTATCGTTTCAACGTCCTGGAGATGCTGCCATTGCTCGTGCGAAGTACAATGGGAAGATTGTTGACGGACGTGAGTGATGCTAATTAGAGGGATTGGGCACGACCAACGTTCGGTTATAGAGAATGTTCGGTGAATGTCATCGAGTCATGACAATCCTGGTGCCCAAACTCTCTATTGTAACTTCGTTTGACCACACAATAGCTAGGTGCTCACAGTATCTTCTCAATTAGGACGACCAATCAAGATTGAGATCGTGAAAGACCAGGATGATACCCCCAAAACACCGGAGAAACCTTCTATGCCATCGTTACTTCAACGGCTAGGGGGCGCAGCTTTACCCAATGGAACTCCACATGCACCAACGTAAGCCATATTAGCAACCTTCTATTTTCCAGCAGATCTGAAAAATCGACGCCTCAGAGCACTGCGAAAACAACAAGCCGCGGCTCAAAAGGTGGTAGCAGCAGCATCGCATGCGCCTCTCGCTCCCCGTCTAATGCCGGTGAATCCCAAGAAATCTCTACGCCAGAAGAAAGGCCCTCGACGACTACGAAAAGCGGCTGCGCCACGATCACGAGTGGACAAAGATGCACTGGACAGAGAGATGGAAGACTATCGGGCGCATGTGGTCATGAATAGCTCATAGGACGAAGATGTGCATGACCTGAGTCATTTGCTGTCTTGATCGCTTTGACACTTGTAGCTGTTATATTGTACATTCCTGTTGTGAATCAGTCGTTGCTCTACATTCGCCTTGGATTTCCCTTGTCAATTGGCTTTCATTTTCTACCGACATCAATCAACTTCAAAGTGGTTCCTATAATTTTGTGCAGACATAGTCACCCTAGGGTCGACTTGCAATAAAGAAATCGCTGTCATATATACCACTGCATACTGGAAGGTGTAGGGTGAAGTAGGAAATCGAAATCCCTCCGGTGCATGTATTGCTAGAGTTATCAGATTAGATAAGTCATCCATTCGTTCCACCTTGCGAAATCACATTGCGAGTTCCACCTTGTACCAGAACCATGGTTGCACCACTATACACAACGGCCTCTGGGCTGCTCTTCCATGCTGGAAAGATTCTAGTTGTCACTGTTGGCCTCCCAGCACGCGGAAAGACTCACATATCACGGGCGTTGGAACGATACTTGCGATGGACGGGTGTCAAAACGCAAGTAGTTTCGCTAGGAGATTACCGTCGCAAGATTCTCGGTGGGGCCCAGAAGTTGCCTCCAGATTACTTTACATTAGGTACCGAGCTTGGATTACAATTCAATGATGTAGATGGCTCATGATCTGAAGTAGGCGAGAAGAGTCCGGAGACCGTTGCCTTAAGGAAACGGATCTCGGACGGATGTGAGCAACTTATCTGGGACTTCTTCAACTCAGGAGGACAAGTGGTCATATATGATGCGAACAACGGTACCCGTGAACGTCGACAGGCCCTTGCCGAGAAATTCGACAAGGAGGGTATCCATGTTATCATGCTAGGTCCGATCCTCTACAATTCCTCACTGCATCTCTTGTTCAGAGAACTTCTCTCGTAGAGTCGTTATGCGATAACGAAGAAATTATTCTGTCTAACATCCGGAGTGTCAAGATCTCCTCACCTGACGTACGCCTCGTCTCCCTGCGTTGGCAGCTGATCATAGCACTTATCATCGGATCGTCTTTAAAGTATCGAGGTTGGGATCCTGAGAAGGCCGTCCAGGATTATTACGGCCGTATACGTGACCATGAAGCTCATTATGAACCAGTTGAAGAAACGGATTGGCCCTATATCCGTATAGTTAATGTGGGTACAAGCGATTCCACCGTCTGATTTCGATCTTCACAATGTTCGTCTTTATATAGGTTGGAGAGAAAATCATGGTTAATGTAAGGTGGACCGCCCTTATACAGTCTGCTTGAGCTAATGTAATATGTCTCAGCGTATCCATGGCTATCTACAGGTAACGGATCCCTTGTGAACTCAAAATGGTGAAAATTTGACATCAGATGTAGTCAAGGATTGTCTTCTTCCTGATGAATATCCACAATCGATTCCGAACAATCTATTTCGCGCGAGTAAGTCACTTCATACGTTTGTTCTGGATTGACAATTTGACTTTTGCATAGTCAGGACAATCGCTCATTGAACATTCGTATAAAGCAGATTCTGATCTATCCCCACCTGGATGGGAATATGCAGAGCGTCTGAAGGAATTCGTACTAGATCGACGAGCGAAAGCTTTGCAGCAACGAGGGGTTGATATCGAGGATCGCCGGCTAGTCGTACGTACTTTATTTATCTCAATGCCCAACTGTCAACGCATCTTCACCAATCTCGCAGGTCTGGACTTCAGCACGGAGACGATCTCATCACTCAGCATGGCCATTCCTCAATTTGACCGAAAACGACAAGGTAAAACTCCCGCGAGTGAAGGTTGTCGAGAAACCACAAATGTCCGAAATTAACCCCGGAGTATGGGACGGACTGAGCCCTGATCAAGTGCGAAAGTTCTATCCGGATGAGTGGGAGAGATTCGTCAGAGATCCTTATGCGTATCGCGCTCCCAGAGCCGAGAGTTACCATGACTTGTGCGGTGAGCTCTTTCGATCAGTACGCAAAATATGGATTCATTGACATGGATGAACTTGTAGTTCGTTTGGAGCCTACACTCATCGAACTCGAGAGGGAGCAGGAAGACTTGCTCATCATCGGACATGCCTCTGTCATCCGGTGTATGCTTGCCTACCTCATTGGTCTCCCCGCCTCTGAAATTCCCGCCATCGAGGTGGCAAGAGGTGACCTCATCGAAGTCGTGCCAACTTCTTATGGCGTCCACAGCCAGGCATATCACTTCTGGGATGGTCCTGGTCGGAGCCAGAATGGTGGCGGAGTAGGAAAGGACGAGCATAATTTCTATGAGAATTATGCGGAGGATACGCAAGGCAAGCGGAGGCCGCAGACTGCAGAAGCCGTGGACGCAATCCCTAGTTGATTGCACTCTAGGAGTTTTCCCTTCGCACCTTACAGTAAGTACGCAATGTCATCATGGAATAATCGTGTATACTACAGATGAAATACAAGCGAGAGGGACATTACAAATCGATGTGAATGTGCCTACGTAATCGACCTTTCGTTTTGATGCTAGATGTCTGAGTGATGGACACTTCGAGTGTCCTCGACGATACTTTCTTTCTTGTCCAGATCACTGTCGGCATCACTTCCGATCGGACCACGTCCTCTGACATCTAGATCTTCCTCCGCGCTCACATCAACTTCTTTGAAAGAAGACGCAGCCCCCAAAGGCGGGAAGATGTAGTTGAGAGTCCAGTAAATGAGAGCAGCAACACCGAACCCAGTAAAGAAGGACATTTGATAGATCCGCGTGGCTGCTAAGGGAACAGAGCGTCCCGCTTCGAGTAGAGTTGTAGATGAGCTAGATAGTGTGAGGTGGAGTGGGAGTGACTTACTGGCTCCGGCGAAGCCTACGACGTTGATGAGGATACCCGCGATATACGCAGCGTATGCTCTGACGAGATAAATGCTCTTGATCAATTAGAGCCCAAAAGAGTCTAGAAGAAATGCATACCGGAAGTTGATACCGTAAGTGTACCAATACCAACCGTCCTTCCGCGCACTGTATAAGTCTTTCACTCGATAATGACCTTTGCGAATGACCCAATAATCCGTGATCTGTGGCAAAACCAATATTCGATCAGTTCAGTCTCGAAGGTCGTAGAAACAACTGCACCACACCATCACGCCTGCTATGGAGCTGAGAAATACAGAATAGGCGGAAAGATAGGACGTAAAGCTGTTGCTACTTTTGAGGAGGTTCCATGGCAACATGCAAAGGCCAACGATCGCAGCAATGAATCCTCCCCGTCGTATATTCTTGGAAGGAGATATCAGATTTTAGTGTCAAGAATCAATCGGGGAACAAGTCAACATATAAAGCTACTCACGATGTATCGAGGGAATAAAGCTGTAAGATCGCATCCAGCGCTGATGGAGTTGGCTGAAATGTTTGTACTATTGATGATCAGTACAAGTTTGCCTTCATGCTTCATGCAGTGAATAGTCTCACCCGAGCTGTTGGTCAGAATGATTAAGGTCTCATCTGTGTCTTTATGTCAAATAGAATCGAAGTTACACTGACCTGAGCTATAATGAAGGATGCAGAAATGAACCAAACCTGAAACGTGAACGTCAGCCATCATTCCGTTGAAAGGGTTATGATTGTATCTTACCCCAAACCGCGTTGCGTGGGAAGGATGATCGTCAAGGAATCGTCCGAGAAGATCTATGGGTGACCAAATGGCCTCTCCATAGATGGCCTCAGAAGACGAGCTGACGATGATGCCGATGAAGCTGACAATCGAGAACCCTAGTGGCACGGAAATGAGCTGGGGGAGTCCTGCGGCCGATGGATACCTGGCTCGAGATGCGAAGTCAGGAGCATTGCTTATGAGAACGAGTATAAGTCAATGGCATTGATACAGAGAAATACGCTACAGACGTTACAAGGGTGGCCATGTTGCTGATGCAGGACATCAGGCTTGAGACCATGGCCCAACCAAGAGCAGAGCCGCTTTGCTGAGATGGCTGATGTATGATGGGACCAACGCCATGAGCCTTCACAATGCACCAAATAAAGAACGTGAGGCCAGCTGCTGGGGCAACGAAGGCTTTTACTGTGAACAAATGGCGACTGCGAGGACGCAGAATACGTGAGCCAATGTAACTTGAGAAATGAGAAGCCATACATTTTATGAATGGGGTACCAGATCGCGGGAAGCGAGATAAGCCAGAATAAAAAGAAACACATGAAGTCACGAGTGGTTGTACCGGAAGAGGCAGGCATTGAGTTCGCTAACAATATTACCATGAATGAAGAGATTCACATGCGGACAACGGAGCTGCACTCAACGGATGTTGTTCACGCTAGGCCACATAGCCCTCAACATCACCAGCACGCAACTACCTCCAATACTAGCTTGGACGCCATACCAGATACTGAGGCGTCAATGACCCGTCAGTGATTCCGCCAATAACATGAAGATTCCGGCAGCCTTACTTACCAAGCCATGGCACCCCGATTGAATACACACCAAAGACTCCCGTACAATCCGAAGCTCGTACGGGCTACCACCGGAAAAGTGACGTGAAAGATGGCGCCAGGACGGGCGTTTGCAACGATGAACGGAGCGACAACACCATACCCGAGCCATACACATATCCATGCCTGCCACCAAGAGAGACCTACAGGCAGTTGAACCATCGATGACACAATCATCCATCTGCAGAAATTTGCAAAAAAAACCTTAACGGAGCTCGGGTAGAAAGATGGAATTCCAGACGTACGTGTTGATGTTAAAGCTATCGGCGATCCAACTTGTACACCGAATACAACGTCAGATGGTGTTTGAAAAACAATTACATGGAGGATTGACGCACAAGGCAATAAAGTTCCATGTCCCCCAAGTACGTTTCTCAGGTGGCACAGGGACGAGATCATCATTCTATCCCAACCAACGATCATGATCATTCAACCTCGAGTCAACTTAATGACTTGCGAAGAAGAATTCGTGCACAGGACTTACGGTTAAAAACTGTTCCGTGAACGAGAGATCTTTGTCGTGTGACACTTCGAGCTTTCGGACCCAGCTTCTCAGGATTTTCAGCATGTTGCTTTGCCGGAGAAGCAGTGTATAGCCAGGGCAAGGCAACTGCCAGGAGGGAGGTGACGTCCATCATAGCGTCCTATATAACTTGTGCATCTATCTCACGAGAGCCACAGAAGACAGCTGGAATGATTTAAGCAGGGCAATAGATAAGGGATAGAGGAATGATTGAACTTCCTCGAGGCGCCTTTGATAAGACAAGTACAGAGGCGTCGAGGTCACATGCCTATAAGAGGACGGGGAATACTTACGTTGCCCAGCGTCGAGGATCCCTCGCCTCGATATGACGGATATCATTTCTAGGACACCTGCGAAACTGTGGTATGATTCGATACGAGTACAACATGTGAGTACAGAATACATCAAAGTCAAACATTACCTAGGTATACAATCTATCCAGATAGTCCAGGAGCGATAGCAAGAGAGATTAACCGGAGTGATCATGATATGAACACTTTACGCAGTTCCGAGATATGGCAAGTCTCTCCTGTTCGCGGACAGGTGACCATACCGTTATTCCTGGCTGCCATATCGTCCATTGCCTAAGCATATATTAATGAAGCAACTATCCAGCTTGAGCTGGCTCAAAAGGCGTACCTCCTTGGAATATACATGTCCACCAGGGAAAACCATTGGCCAATTGTTCTCGTCCATGATCTTGCCAGTTATGCTACACACGATTGTCGAGTTGACATGATGGCTGAAAGGAACTTCCTCCGCAAGACGTCCCAGGTTAGGATCGCACACGGGACAATCCACATTCTTCGAGTCGGGATCGTAACATGAAGGCGATTTCAGCGAAGCAAGACCAGCATACATTGCGAGGTGCAATAAGGGTTCTGTTGGCAGCGTGCTGAGGTTGTAAATGGCTAGGCGGAAGGCATGTACTAGGGTGAGCCATCGTCCAGGATCATACAGACGCTGCCGATAGTACTATGTCAGAATCAAGGGCGTCACATAGATTATTGCACGGCGCTCACCTTGTAAGGACCGCAAGTGGTATCTGGTTTGAACGCGATGAGAGCGGAGGCTTGACGAATCTGAATAGCATGAGTCTCATTCCATTGAATAAGGTATTTCTTCTGATAGGCGATAGATTCGGTGAGCTTCCTTGCCCGTGCAAGTTCAATAAACTCTTGCAGACGAAGGTCAAATTCCAACGGGTTCTGTCATGCAGCGTGGTAAACAGCTGTTACCCGAAAACAGTGAAGACGCGCGGAATGCGTACCTTCATTTTCCGCAAGGCGGCTTTATTCTCACTACACCATGCCAAGGCTTCGGTACAGCTCTGCCTTCGTAACGCGTCCTCAATGCGTCTGATATCAGAGAATAAGTCGATATCCACTAGTTTCTATGCAATACCCGCTATAGTTAGTAATATCCACAGCCATAGTAAGAATGGAGACAGTATAAGGAAATGAGCGCACCTCGAGTCCCCTGTCTTTCGCAATTTGCTTTGCGGTCTTCTCCTTTCCATTTCGCAGCGCCCAGTCGACTAACCATCTCTCTAAGCGAACATCCGCCCACCGAGCATACTCGGGGTCAGCATCACTTTCGAGCGACTCGGCTGTGGCCAAGTGCTGTAGCCGTTCACGCATAACCGCTAACGTGGGTGCCCCAGAGGATTGATGAAGATCCGAAAGCTGAGAACATCATTTTGAATGAACCCTCCACTGATTAGGAGATATAGAATGTATATTGACCTTACGTTTGAGGTTCTCTACTCGATTAATCATTCCATCGATCGCTTTCACCGTGTCCTCGGTGTTACTCCCGTCCAGTGTCTGTTTCGCGAGCTCTTTCGAACTGGTCTGAACAGCCCCAAAGTCTTTCTCGATATGCTTCTGGGATGTACGGAACACTTTTCTATAGTTCTCGTAAGGAACCTGTACCATTCTTAACGATCAGCTTGTCTTTTGGGAATGCCGGTAACATTCACTTACTCTCGCGAATGGCTGTTCAAACAGCATAATCCCCTCCGTATTGAGCTTGTTGCTAGCCATGGCCCGCGAAGAGTTTGAAAGTATACTAAGAGGCAAAGCAGCTCACAGCCGCATTGCTCGAGGCTCGAGCACTAACGTACCCCGCACTGCTTACGTAAAGGAGCATGTTTCACATTCCGTAAGTTCAATCATAGGCTTTCATAGCCGCTTCATCCTGATTCACCTCCTATTTTCTTCGCTTTCGTACAGCACTTACTGTATACGAATTTGTTCAATGCAGGGAAACTGTACGTTACGAATCGAACAGAGAGTTGGCTACAGTCACGGCGGCATTCACCCTGCGTACTTCACGATCGATCAATTCTGGGATTCATAGAAGCTTTCGAACTGAAGGTTGGAAGCAACACTTTCCACAAGCACTATGTGCGGAAGATATCTAGTTGTACTTCAACGAATAATCATCGCGGAGCCATTGTTTCATATCCACATTTGGTCTTTGTTCACCGTGCCATCAGCTCACTTTCTTGCAACATCGCTCGCAGGTTAAAGACTCTGATACGTTGAGCGGGATAGTATAGCCCGTTACGTCAAAACATTGGTTGGAAATGGCTCCTTTGGTAAACACTCTGGTGACCGAGGGGACTCTAGACCTGTCACTGCATCAGTACGTTTGGAGCATTGCACTAGAGCCACATTCACAGTGTTAACCTTCTTGCCGCGCAGAGTGCGTATTGATGTAATGATGCTCTAGTGGATTGATGTACCCACTTCTGCTACAATTGCGGTCCGCGACATAGCATCACTTTCCGACAAACGAACACCACCTTGTCTTGCAACTTACTCGGCAACCGTTCGCTCATTCGATCAAGACGAGATTTCTGCTTTTGATCCTGCTTGTATGGTGGTCATCACAAGCCGACTGGGAAACTGCAGAAACTGTTCAAAGATACACTTGCTACCTCTCTTAGGCGATATTCTTCAGGCTCCGGTTTTCTCAAGCTTACTATTCTCCAACATCTGACGCGTCAATGCACTGTTGTGTTATTAAACACATCATTCTATGGTCATCTGGTCTGGGCGACGCGTCATAACATCTTCACCATCCCATAGAGCGTCAGTACGGCTATTTAGGAGTATTAACCCACGAGGCATTGATCGCGCAGGATCGTTCGGGTTCTCGCTAGACCCAGGTTTGTTCTCACAAATGAAGACCGTTGGCGGCACCTCGGTATCCAAAGCAGCGCGCGCAGACGTGCGTTTCGATCATCCGGGCTACATTTTTGTCGCCCAATCGTTGAGTCATTGAACGCCCGAGTAGCTTGAGGCGCTTTGTGTCTTATCCTTTTTTTGTGGTTTTGCGCCTCGAGGGTCCTTGAAGCCTTCAGGTATGTCTGTGAATTTTGACATGTCTGTTCATGGGCGCAGATGTAAAACAAGACCTAAGTGCAAATATTTGGTTACCAATGACGTCGCCGTTATCGGAAGAGAAAGAAGACGATTGAGGTACTGGTATTCGATCCGTGCTATTGCAAACGTTCTCCATGACTGCATCTCGGTATGTCGTCGGTAGAGTCAAGGGTTGGTCATTGAAACCCCAAGTGATCTCAACTGACTGCATCACAACAGTTCCTTAAATCCAGTCTTATTCACTATCAATTCTGATAATACAGTCGTAACAATCATGGTATTATGCAGCATCCACTGTTGGACACATCCATGTAAGGCAAGTTCATCCAGATGATGGCAGATTAGGTTTCTCCCTCGAATCAATGCCATTAAGACTAACAGATGCCGTCAAGGATTCCTGATCCAACTAAGCAGTCGAGGAGGTTTAAATGATTCGAATCATAATTGACCGTCATTTCAGTGAGTCGATACGTACTCGTTTCATGGAATATCTTTGTTGATGTTGTGTCTTAAATCATTATATGCATAAGCCTTAGTCACTGAATAGGTGTACGAAAGCGCAAAGCACCTTGAGGCTAAGGGGATGAAGTAGCTGTGCTTTTTCACCCAGTCAAAAACTTCTATGGTACATATATCCCTATACCACTCCCAGGTACATGAGCTTCAGGCGCCTCGAGGCTCGACGATGCGCATAAGATGAAGAAGAATTTCTTCCGGTACTTGTGGACTTTAAGAAAGGACGTCTCAGCAACCAACTAGGGTGAGTCTGATAGCTACTCCGAGGAGCGAATGCGGGTCAACGTTATTGAATCGGCACGACAACTTTCACAGCGACGCTTGAGTTGCTGAGTGCTCCCGGAAGGCGTGGAATGATATGTGCTTGAGAACGATGCTACTCGGGATTCGATCTGCAGTGCCTCAGTCGTTACGAGCTCAAGTGGAAGCGGTTCACCCTACATGAACCGCTCTCCGCGCCTTACGGAGCCACGTGTATAGCAAGTCTTGCCGGAGAACGCCACTCGCGTGGGCGTAGGAGACGCTGAGTTTCGGAGATCCACAAACGATCGGACAGTGTAATCGGAGAAGCGAGGGAAGTGTTCTCATCCTCATCCGGAACGCGAGGAATAGTATGAAACTATGCAAAAAGATTCTTTCTATCTCTCCAAGTCGCGCCCAACACGATTGAATACAAGGAAATCTTTCCAAGGCTGACTTTTGCGATTGCTCATCACCGCTAGATTCGATCAACTCTCATTTTAGGTGCCTGACAAAATGGGTAGCGAGCTGAAACAACTCTGACGCCGGAATCGCCGGGGGGTCCCAGTGCTCCTCCTCAAGGCTCTTGAGATGTATGTGGACCTTGAGCTCCTAAGCCTCGCCTGTGCTTTCACACCAAAATGGCTGTCTGTAAAATCGAACCCACAGATATGCTGGCGACGCTCGCGGTGCGTATATAATATCACCTGAAGTCTGTTCGAAATGTGGCATTCACCTCCTCGTCATTCTTCTTCTCGTCATTCTTTCTAGCGTTGTCCCCAAAAGCCTCACACGAAGTTCACTCTCAAGATGTCGGTCAATATGAATCCATACACTGCAGGTGGCTGGTCCAGAGCTGGTAATAGCGGCTCTCAAAACCCTTGGGGTGATATCGACGCACCTCCGTCCGTATTCGGTGCCTTGCCATCTCTGCCCATGACCTCTATCCCGCGGTCTATGCATCCCGACAGTCTCACCTATCAATTCACGTCTTTCCATACTACCATCCTGAACTGCACCGTCATGGGTCCGCAGAATCAGATCGCCTACCGTGTCGTCACTGAGTCCACCACGCCGTCTTGCACGATCTGGAAAGACAACGAAAGTCGTAATGTCGCGATGGTGCAATGGCAGCCGACCGCCATGCTTGAAATACGAGGTGTCACTCCTAGGCAACGCGTTAAAGAGTGGTTGCGTCTTTCCTCTGACCGAACGTGAGTAACGCTGCTTGCGTTTCACATGTCACCGACTGACCGGGATTTGGCTTGGACAGTCGCAGGTTGATGGAAGTCAGAGGTATCGAGTACGCGTGGGCTCCGATGGACGGTTTCATCTGCGTACGTCCTATGCATACTGCTAACAATTTACTATTGACACTGCTTCAGTTGTACAAGGTCAGCTCTTCCGCTCCGCGTGTCCTTGCTCGTATCGCCAGAGCCCCGGCCATGGTCATTCTAGAAGTCACCGCCGATGCCGTCTCGGGCGGCCTGCTGGAGCCGTGTCTCGTTGCGACTGTTATGTTCGTTTGCGGACACAACATCGACTAATTTTCTACCTTTACACCCCCATAATGTTCCCGATATCATCGCTCGTCTCCATCACTGTATTACTACTGTTGTTTTCTGCTATCTTTCTCTCCGTTGCTGTATATCGCCAACCGTGTAGCTGTACATCTTGATCACCCGTCTGTTTCCCTAGCCGCGCCTCTCCTCTGGATGCGCTTCCCGCTGTATTGCTTAACTTATATTTATCGCCCTACCCTGTAGATTGTAGACTTTCCCATTAGAAGTGGAGCTTACCCCGTTATGAAATATGTATTTAGGCCTACCCACTGAGCCTCAACATCTCAAAAAGCCTGTTATAAAAACTAACAGGCTCATGCTTGCAAAGCTACAGACATAAGATAGGCAACCTGCCCATGCAAGTTTCCCCACGATCATTGACGTAGAGCTTCAATGATCACAGCCAGGTCTCAATTGTAGATGCGAATTTAGTACTATTTTTTGACTCTCTTTTCGTGCTCACTTGTACTTTCGAAGCTAATCGGAGTTAAGTTCTCCTGACGGCTTACTTCACCTAGATATTTTCAAGCGGGAAACGGACGGGAAGGGGGAAGGTGAGAATGATCGTGAATTGCAGCAATTCAGTTTCGCTTCGGTCATTACCACACATTCGACTTTGACGCTTTGTACTGTACGTGCAGAGATACCGCTTTGTTGCAAGTCACAGAGATTACGTAGTTACCTTGGAGTAAACATGATTCTATGATGATGCTGTGTCATGTAAAGCGCGGGAGCTCGAGCAAGAGAACTTCACAACTGGAGGAGAGGAAGCCGACAGTAGTGAGCTATCATCCTTATGCTTACCATTGCATAGTATATAATGGCACAAGCAAGATTGTCTTTGGAGTACAGTGTTCAGATAATCAGATATTATTACGCAATGGAATGTGACCAGTATTACGCGACTTGGATTGTACGGAGGAACCTCTCGTAGGCCGTAGCGTGTATATGTCGTAGACGTGTCGCCTCCGTAGTCAAAGGAGCTCTCAACTGGGACTGAATCTACGACGAAAGTTCAAGTATTAGCCCGATGCTTCGAGTTGCCGCTGACTAGACATGGCTTACCGCGAGAGGCCGAACTTGGTCGAGCTGTAAAGTAAGGCCGGTGATCATTTCTGACAGAGCCGCCTTGTAACGAAGGTTATTATGATCGGGCAGGACATCAGGTAACAGGCTGATAAGCTTTGGCACGCTACGCGACAGTTCTTCCAGTTCAGTAGCTTGACTCGCGTCGGGCACTGCGTCGATTTGTATGATGTGTTCCCGTAGTTTTGGCAGGCGCGTCATCGCATGGACGTAGTCAAGGAAAAGCTACATCAAATCGAGCTTAACACGACAAACAGACATAGGATGTGTTGAATGGGGCCGTACCTTCCCACGTAGATTCCAGTCGTCCACGGGCTGACCAACAAACTTTTGGAACAGGTTTGTCAGCAACTCAAGATCTTCGCGGATCACAGCATCGGGAGCTAGCTCCAGAACGGCGATGTTATGCGCGGCGTTATACATCTCTGCACTGAGGTAAAGCTCGTATGCGCGGTATACTGCGCCTTCACTCAAAGCGTAAGTAGCCTAAAAATACACATAAGCAACAGATGCTAACATCGAAAAGCAGATAATTTACTTTGGCTTCGTTCACCCATGTAAGCGGAATCTTGAGGCTTCCGACGAGTCCACGGGTCATATAGTCATCCAATCTGGATGCTGATCGTGAAAGAAGGTCTTTGATCGCCCGGCGTCTCCTGCATTGGAATCTGAAGTCAGTGACTGAACAATCATGACTGACATTACAATCATACCCAGCTGATCCTTCGATGTGCAGTAGAACAAACACAGCTTCTTGAATGAGACCAACTTTCTCCAGTTGGTGAGCATAGCTATTAGCAAGCAAATCTGCACTCGGACTATGCCCTTCAACTCTCGGCTCGTTATCAGTTTCGTCATTTGGGAGAGAATCCACGACAGGCTCCCCTCGGTCTGCGAAATCACGCACTCGAAGGCATCGTGAGAGTACAATGTAGAGATGCCAGGGTAATCTGTAATCCACCGGGCTCGAGCTGAACGACAGAGGGGTGAGGATGTCCGAGAGCGAACACGAAGGCTCGGAGAACAGCCGGATGAGTGAAAATAAGGCATCCGGAGGATGTGAATCTTGAGGGAGTTTCCACAAGAACTCTGATTCGTCTGAAGCGCTACTTTCTCTGTACCATGGTATAGGCTGAGAAGTATTAGTAGAGGTATCTTCCGATGCACGACAGTACGAAGTGAACGCATCAGCAATCGGGGTATCCATTCGTTGACCGAACCAAAGATGCAGTCCGAAAGCGCGCTTCCAATCCAAGTCAGCCGCCAGAGACAAGTCAGGACATCGTTCAGGCCCCGTGCCTTTCGAACCCTCTAGGATATCCACTACACCCGCCAAAAGTGCATAAATCCTCCGAACGTTTACGTCGATGTGAGCGTCAATACGCTGCTCCTGCCACAACGCCAACTGCATGCGGAGGTCTTCCCTAAATTCTTGGTCACCAGGCACTTGTGATAATAGGGTAGCAAGCTTTACGTTGCCAGCATCTATCGCTGCGTCGCATGCCTTGTCCAGTTGGTTTCCTGTGAGGAAGGCGTAAACCGTGGCAGCCCAGTCCTCAGCGGCACGTCCTCGGACGTCGCTGTCAACGGATGATGCAACAGCAGATTGCAGGCAGTCCGAAAAGGCGCGTCTCCGTCGCATAATGGCAATTTTGGCCCGAATATCTGCACCAAGTGCATCCGGGACGCTTAATTCCAAATGATCAAACAAGGCTTGACCGAGGCGAAAAAGGTTCGCCTCAAACGATCGGTCATTTGAAGGGAATAGCGACGCAAATGAAGAGAAAGACAGATCTTTTGATGGGTTCGCGCATGGCACGCCGTCCGCATCATGTTCTATGGGCGAATGCTGAAGGTTGCAAGAGAGCAACCTTGATGCTCGCTCACTTGCTTCTTTCTCTGAGGTCGAGAAGACGGGTACAGTCGTAATGTGAACGACAGACGAGTTGGCTGAGGACTTTCTATTCCCGCATGAAGATCAATGGGAATACCACTTCGAGGTAGAGGGCACTCACGATTTACTCGATACGCCACAAAGCGCGCCCACATGAACAATTTTCCCGCCTGGTCCCCAGCCAACCCGGAATGACCGACCCATCGCTAGTCCGGCATCGACCAGAAGACTTTCATTCCCTCGTACAGCGGATGCAGAGCTATCTACACGGGCATATTTACGTGTTGGTTTGAAAGGTTGAGGTTCGACATTAGCGGCAAATGAGGCTCGCTATGCAGTAGTCGCGTCAGTCATAGCCAAAACGAACAAAAGCAGCTTATACACACCGGTCGCGACTCTGCGCGAAGACCATCTCCCTCTGAATCTCTACTATGCTTCCGACTTAAATTGGGCTGCTGTAGTAACCTTCGCCGCGCCGGGAGTTGACTAACCTCCTTGAATGCAGCTGCTTCCTCTGGTAGTCTGAACAGAGTTGACTGCATAACATGCATCCGTTGGGGTTCCACTCCGATCTCCCTTGCCCATGGAATTACGCTAGCATCGACGCGCTTCTCGTCCACTGGTGGTGGGGTCACCGACGTGTCCTCATCTTCCTCGCTCGTTTCCTCGTATTCCTCGCTCACGTATTCTTCGTCTTCGTGATGTGAAGGTACGTATTCAGATCCCTCAGATTGTTGCTGCTCGGATGAAGACATTTGGTCGTCATCCTCGCTGTCGACTGAAGGGGCCCTAAAACGTGCCATTTTTCTACCTCTGCGGTCTGTGAGGTTGAGGATGCTAGCAGGAGAGTATGAGCCAAGAACAAAGATGTCGAAGTCGAAACAGTTTGGCTAGAGTTGAACAGTCTCAGATGCACTTTGCAGTTTGGCCTGAACACATTGGTGGAAATCGGAGATGACTAAGCCACAAATTCCCTTATCAGGTATGTTCTCACAATTTACAGGACATTCCACCATATTTGCCAGGCACAATGGACGAGTTCAGACTGCTATAGTGTTAGCAGAAGAAAGTATTTATGTAGCGATAAACCGGAAAGGCCAAATGATCTAAGGGGCAACGTGAAGAGTGAAGAGTGAATAACAAGTAGGAAACGAGAAAGTAATAGGCGAGAGTTTCGGCATGAGTGTTCTCATTACAGAGCAGCGTTAGATTCTTTTATGACGAGTGTAGGATATATGCATAAAAGGGGATTTTCGGACACCGCAGACTGTCTCCCTTCCGCCAATCCTAACGCACGCAAGAATTGCAACCTAAGGTATCATCTTCGGCAAGATCCAACATAGAAATACAGCACTATCAATACAGAATTGCGGCAAGAACGAGAATGAGAACCTCAGAACATGGAAGAGAATTGAGGACTATGCCACTTCTCAACAACAAAGTCGACAATGTTCATATCTACAATCTTCAGATCGCAATATGAATTGGAGTTATCGTACGACTTACCTAGTGTATCTCCCAGGTTGATGCAATTGAGGAGCTTAACAACACCAGGCTCTACAACCTGCCCAACAACCTCGATATAGACATCTTTGATCGGACTCTTCTGGGTACATGAAGCCAACGTGCGTCAGCCAGTAGCACAATCTCTGAGGGGAGTCGACGCACGATTGGAACCCGAACTTCTACTTGGCCTCCGTCTGACGCTTCAACAATGGCTGCACTACCTGTCAACTATCAGTAGCGGTCAGTATGCTAACATGACTTGTTTCTCATCAGTTACCCACCCTGAGAACCTTGCAAGTCAGACGAACATGCTGTCCGACATGATCAGCAAGTCTTGCAGAGTTGACTCGAGGGGAAACAATTTCGGCCATGACCTCCACGAATATGGTATATATCTTTTGGAAGTTGGCTTTGGAGAAGGATTAAGGATAAGTAGTGGTGGCTTGAAAGCGACGGCGCCCAGAATATTAAGACGCGACTGTGACAAAGGCACGTGTATGTGACAGGGTCGTGCTTCCGTGACGGTTGGGTCGATTTGGATTGCAAAAATCCTCTACATATACGCCAGATATCAGTGATTCTCTCAAATGATATATGGCTGTCTATTGGCCATTTCTGTGTGATGTTTTGGCATTTACATACCGATTTTGTGTTGGCTTACTGATGCTGGGGCACCCTTTGAATAAGTAGGACTCAAAACATTTCTATTGGACCCCTCAGATAGGTACGCGCAGCACGCTTGAGCTCTACTTAATCGAGTCGAATCAAACGCCATACACTCTCCAACTAAGTGTCCAATTAGATGTAATGAACGACGAGGATACTGACTACCTAAAAGGAGCCCCCAAAGAACCCTACAGTAACACGTTAGTATCTCCAGAAGAGTTTGGAGTGAAGTTTCAGGACTCACAGTACTGAGAAGCATATCTCACTGAAATATCGGGGGTGCCAGGGGTGCACTACAAGGAATCATTATCAGCCTTCTATCTAGGCCACATGCGAGGGAAAGAATTATCTGCGTACAGAAGAGGGAGGCTGTCCCTTACGAGTTTCAATGCGGAAAATTTGGTCGGCGAGGTTTCCCTGTACACCGTCGAGCGACAACCAATCGATATTTTCGGTCGGGTCAGTTGGCGAAGGGAGGTCGCCTGTCCTTGCGCCAACGACGAAAGCATCCGGGTGGCCAGCCAAGCTAGCAGAGGTGAAGTCCCACTTCGGACTCAAGCCTGTGCCGGTGATAGGGTTGGTGATGAAGTAATGTTGACCAAGGACAATGGGCGACCCGATGACGGCGAGGTCTTTGATGACTTTCTGCGGGGTAACGCCCTTAGGTGCTTTCTCCCAGACACTGCTGACGATATCGGTAGCTTTGACAAAAAGTCCCGGGTCCAAGCAGGAGACGTCAAATATTTCGGCGACGGCACCAACGTTTCTAAACGGGATCAACGGGTCAGAATACCTTGAACGAGGGACAGGGTTTGTTGGGCATACGTGTATGTGCCTGTAGCCGCACAGGTATAGTTCTGAACACCCGCAGCAATACCGATAAACCTCGGTGTGGTTGTGGTGGGAGCAACGAGCTGGGTCTGCCCAGCTGGGAGAGGAATTACGACATGTGACACGTCGCACCCAGACTTAAGGCTGGGAGCGGCGAGGGTAAGGGACGCGAAGACAGTTGTAAGGAGGATGGAGAACATCATGAAGGAAAGCGAGGGAATGAAGCAGTCGATTGACCTCGAAGCAACGAAAGTCACTGAGGTCCCTCTCTCTGTACACAGATTTTATACTTGTGGTAGTTCCTGGATGACTGACGGCCATCGGTAGCATGGATAGTTTACCCATTGACTCCCTACGAACAGCGCTGAGCCCCAAACGTCACTTGATGGACGTACCAATGGAAAGCATAATGAACGCCTGGCTCTGGATGAAAAAGCCGAAGACCCGTGATGTGGGAAACACCGAATTGCATTACAACCGTCACTGGCCAGGCGTAGAGTTGCACTGGCTGTAGAATTCAGGTACAAGCAATCTATAGGACAGTCTGTTGACACCACGAGATGATGTCCGTTCTGTACAATACCACGAACGTCGCGGACCCTGCGGAACCGAGTGATGAAAAAAAAATATAGGCCGCTACCAGAGTAATTGCATCAGAGATGCAGACGCAATTGAAACTCAAAGGAACCCAATGTAGGGTCCGCCGTGAAGGTTCAAAATGCAGGGGTCCCTGACTAACAGTAGGACCACAGCGTGCTCATGAATCCAACGGTCAAGTTTAAAGTTGTTCCGAGCAAACCATATCACAGACCTAGACCTGGTGATACTGGATGCATGATCAGATGCAAGGGGATTGACCTCCGCTCCGTTAAACGTTTGTGCTGAGAACGCAGGAGGCACAATTCGATATCAGCGCATGTCATCAACAAACAATACGACGCACTTGAACGTTTGACGTGACAGATTGCAAATTGATCGAAGAATCACTTGTGACCGGATTTATGAAAGAAGGAAGGTCATCTTCGAGTAAGCCAACTGCCTGGAGCAAGTTTCATGCGACAAGTTGGGGAAAAGTGAGGAGGTGTTCGTGATGATATCATGCTGGTGGACGTGAGAACGTGGATCGTTGGACAGGCCAAGGGGCATCAGTTAATCCAGGCCATCTGCTTCGAGTTTACATCGTACCTGGTGTTATACAGGTGCGAAAGTTGAAGAGAACTTCGAGTCCTGATAGGACGACCGATGTGAGATATTACGACCAGCCTGCATGGTAAGTTCTATCATGATACAACTTCTTGGGGTCCTTCGGTGAGAGGCACTGAGCGTCGGAAGGGTCTCCCAGTGGCGGTCGACTTAGTAGTAGAATCGATATGACTGTATGATCTATTTCCGGCCGAAACGGCATCAGTTGGAATGCTTAGTTATTGAGCGCGAAGCCTGGAAGGCTTTGCCGTAAGCCATGGTACAATTGTGAAGGTTAAGTGTCCCTGGGCGGCTACTATGGCACACTCTCATACCTTGTCTCACTGAAGTAAGTTCACAAGGAACGTTCGTCTCATGATTCGAGATGTAAAGAGTCGCACCAATAGTAATGAACAATGTGTACTACTAATATAACAACTAATGTCCGGGAAAGCGAATTATACAAGATGCAGATACCTCTAGTCATAAAACGAAGGCGTAATGTCATCATCATCCAAAAGGTCCAGAACATAGCACAAAGTAACAAGCATGTCCATGGCCAGTCACGACAGTAGAGGATGGAGCTCAGTGTATGGAGCCGCCGGAGAAGTCTATCCATGAGAAGTCAATGAGCTTGTTGGCGGAAGCAAAGGGAGAGAAGAACTGCAACTGCTTACAGTAGAAGGACACGTATCTGACCGATGTGTCTTGTGTCTTACCAAACTCGCACTGCTATACTGTCAGTAAAAGTGTTCAAGTGCATACGGGCTCAGAAATCACTCACGGAGCTTGGAGGTTGACCGCCGCGTGTATCAGTTCGGAAGACAGTATTGGCAATGCTACCCTGCACATTCGCAACCTCTAGCCAATTGATATCCTTCTTAGGGTCTGTCGGTGCAGGAAGGGACCCCTGCCCTCTCCCCACAAAGAAAGCATCCTTGTTCCCAGAAAACTTCCCAGACGACGTGAAGTCCCACTTAGGGCTGAGGCCCTGACCAGTGGTAGGATTGGAGACAAAGTAATGCTGAGCGAGGATCTCGGGCGGGTTGAGAACGTGAAGATGATCAATGATCTCTTGGACGCTACTCTGGTTAAAGTTCACCCATGAATCATAGAGCTGATCTGGTAATTGGCGGAAAACGGAGCTTCCAGCGAGACAGCTGACATCAATGAGCTCTGCCACCGCGCCGACGTTCCTGTCAAAGCGAATCAGCTTTTGCCAAATGAAGTTCAAGCAAACCATAAACTCACGTGAAGTTGTTTGATTGTGTGCAAGTGTAGTTCTGTATTCCAAAGGCAAGGCCAACGGACGAAAGACTCTCATTCGTCGGTGCTACGAGCTGAGTCTGACTTGGCGGGACAACAAGGCTCGACGTTTGGTTTGTGATGTCGCAGTTGGCTGCATGTAACCAACTCCACGAAAACCAGCTTGAAGCGGCAGCGGCGGGCCAAATAGTGTGCATGGCGTGTGAGATCGCTACCATCGTAGACTTGGAGGAGAGATGATATGAGATGTTTAAAATGGGATGAAGGCGAGGAGAAGATATGGCCTCTCCATCATCATGAGGGCGGGCATTATATGTGCGCTTGGCAAGCAAAGGAAACCAATGGGACGTTGTAAGATATGTTTCATTGTCCTCACTCGCTTGGAGTTTCAACAATTAGCGCCCACATTCCTCAGCGCATTTGATGGACGAAGTGCCCGAATGCAGTGTGAAATCTGAGTCCATGCACTGTTTGCAGGAGAAACTCGTAAGCAATGCCGCCGAGTACGTCTGGACTACTGCAAGCATGGTGTCAGAAAAGTTGCTATCGGGAGCCATATTGTAACGACATTATCTTCGGTATGCTCGGTGTTCACATTTGGCTACCAGTGTTTAGCCTTGGCCAGGTCACAAAACTGTCTGGCTCCGACTTTGTGAACCCCCCGGAACCTCTGTGCTGTCCGCCGTCTGTGGCAGCTGCAAAAAATCGGTCTTAGAGGTTGGCCTATTTCTGGATGACGTTGATCAGGCGTGGATGATGTTCGGAATAAAAGTGTCCAATGTCCACAAGGTCAGGCTGCTGCATTCCCGCTAAGCGTAGGCTATCTCCAAATAGCCAGGTAACCTCTGAATCAGTTGCATGGAGAAACAATGAGAAGAAATCAGGGAGTCCTATTCTGAGCTTGGGCGCTCACGAATCTAACTTCAGACAAACCGTGCCTGATTTGGAGGACAAATAGTAGTCAATATTATAACCCTAACCCTTTATTTCCTGCCTGCTCGAGACTTAAATTATTTGATTCAACTTACTGACTCGTATATCCTGTTCTCTCTGCATCGTCCTGTTAGAATGTCCTCTGAACCTGACAAGGGCTTTCACAGTACCCTCGATACATGGAAGGATCATGATCCATCACATTCGCACCACCGCCGGCGTTTTACTGCTGTTCCCGACTTACGGTTCGAGCAAAGCTATTTGAGGAGTGTTAGACCGTACGTTCGCGTCGAAGAGATTCGAACGGAGGAAATATTCAGGGATGAGAAGGGAAAGGCAGTAGCGAGAGATGACAATTTCCCGCCTGAATCTCCCGAAGGGCGTGTTGTAGTACTTCATGAGGAGAACATTCACATCCAGTGGGGTCCCGTTCTTTGGGCTACCACTAGAGATCAGGTCATTAGTCCCCTGCTTCAGGGTGCACTATGGTATGTTGTGTTTTATCGTCATGCATATCCTAACGCTGAAGGACACAACCCAGGGGTATTGCCGGTTATTTCTTACAACCTGCATTTGCCGCCTTACGCTCGAAGATTAGTTCATGGTGGGCTCGAGGCGATGTGTTTGGTCGGGGAGGACCAAGAGTGGAAGGACAAGGCATTGGACAATTGCGAAGCTGGGTTGGGAATATCAAACAGGCAAAACCTGTACCCCTCATCCGATGAGTAACCTTCAATTGTTTCCATTTCTCGGAAACAAACTACGAGAGATGTGCAAAAACTTGAATCCAGGGCCGGAATTTATCAGAGGGTGTGTACATCTAGCTACGCCGCAAGGTCGGCTGCAAAGGTGTCGTTACCATTTTCTACGGCGGGAAGGTCACTATTCCTTTATAGTTACAAATTCGAGCTAGTGGGGACCACTTCCACCCACTCGTTCAACCACGTATACCTCGAGAACGCGACGTACAACCAACGGAACCAAATCATCTGCGACTCGTGTTCCAGCATGGCTTTGATCGCCAACCAGAAGTCTTCTACACCCGAAACGAATACTGGCAATCTCTTCACATGTGCCTTGGTAGAGCCATCCAATAAGGAAGCGACGTGAAGATCAAGTTTGGCTAACAACGGTGCAATTGGGCCGATGTACTTCTGACCAAGCGGGACTGTGATGAGGCTGAACAGGCGGGGTGGTGTGGCACCGTTTGATGCAGAGTCTCTGATGAGTTGTATGATTCCGTTCGGAAGAGAGTAATGGTTTGGATGCGAAGAAATTCCTCGTCGATCGAATGTTAGCACCTGTCTAGATTGAGTTGAAATGCGCTGCCGGCATAGTACTGAAGGTACACACCGTGCCAATATTATATTTGACGATGTATGGCCTCACGACATCTGCAATGGCATGTGCGTCCCAGTGTACAGTCATGTTATCAGGCAGTTCTCTACAGGCTGACATTCATACCAATATATCACAGATGACATGCACTACACACGGATGATCGACGACCCATCTTCGACCTTGATCAACTCCAAGTACGTCCAAACTCCGTTGTAGCTCGTCCCGTCTTATATTACCAAGTCCCTCAGCGTTCCCAACAGAGAGGCAGAGAGAATATAAGTTGGGTCTTTTCTCGTTCACATGGTATTTCGTCAAAGAAAGGATGGTTGGCGCGAAGAACATGCATTCGTCGTCAGGATGAGCCGTCAGAAGTAGGATATTGTTGGAGGGTGGTAGGATACTATCTATACCAGATCGCAAGGGAGTTAAGAGAACGTTTGCGAGCAGAGACACCACCAAAAGTGGTAGAGAAAAGCGAAGAATGCTCATCTGACCGATAGAACAGTCGATGTGAATTACAGGAAAGTAGTTTACCTGTACATTGCGGTAAATTACACTTACTTTGCTATATTCTATAAAAGGTAAATAAAGTGACGTGAAAATGAAACCTAACCTATAGCGTCGTAAGTTGTAAATTACGGTAAGTTACAGTACTAAGTTATCCACAGCTCTATACGTCGAAGTGTTACCTACTGTTACCTACCAACTGTGTTCGTGCTCCTCTCGCAAGAAACTCCGGACGCTGTCTAGCGATCGCGGAGTCCAAAGGCAACTCATGCTAATACTCAAATGAAGCATTACATATGCCTTTCGACGGACAGTCAGATTCATGGTAGACGTGACTGCGTTCCAGCTGGACTCAACTTGCCCCGTTCTCGTTCGACTTACATATACTATATAGGCATGAATTCTATCAATGCATCACTCGTTAGTGGACGGGTCGAGGAAGATGCAACCGCTTTTATATGCTTCAACGTCACTGTACGTACTTTCCAAGGCTCATCGCGTACGACATAGTATCATAAATCTGCTTATGCAGAATGGCTTGTTGCCCTTCTCATATCCTGTGAATGATTCAAGAGAAGCTAAATTACTGCACGAGTTTGTTTCATTCGTCTTTGCCAAGCAGGATGTTCCTTGGATTTTGGTACCCAATGAATATGGTGCGTTTTGCGATGCCTGTGACCTAATGCTCTCATCCAGAGTTAGACAAAATGAGTCAAATATATACATGTGGGATCGCCTAAGGCACTGGCTAGCTATTGTTGAAAAGACCTTCGGCAACCGCTTTGCTGGTTTCCTGGTTTCATTCTTCAGACCCTTCCGGCCGTCTCGGGATGAGCCATGAGATGAAGACATATTTCGAAAATTGTGCCTCATGGGAAAATTGCACTGTGGTCAAGGATTCACAGAGAGTCCTTGGTAACTCCACTGGTCCGGACCTCGCGAGGCTTATTCCTTTGTTTTTTTTTTTTTTTGCTAGCGGGCCGAAGGCCTCTCTTCTCACGCAAGCTTCCAAATGATCGTCCCTGGATTTTTGCTAGGCAAGTATTGTATTCCGAGGTTCAATGCAATGCTGATGTATTCAACTTCAATGCTTGTTTCTTTGTTCGTTGACCGCGCTACATCGGTACAGGCTGTCCAACACTCTCCTGACATATGTACCGTGTACCATGTCCCGGAACGAACTTCGAGCCCAGATGTAGGAATCGCGTTGAACGACATCCCTTCCATCGATTCTCACATCATTGAAGTCTGCCGCTACCAATGCATTGGGATTCTGCCATGGTCAATTATGTCCTCCCATAATTATTCGCGCACGAAAATGTGAAGATAACGTCAGGTGCATTATGTTCATCCCCTTCGGCATCGCCCTGGCAAACCAGCTAAACGGCACTGCTCTCACTGCCATGTGCATGCGTACAGCAGGAAACGAACTCCTGGCGATCAAGACACTCTTTTTCCGTCCACTCTTGACGGAGCCGGCACTCTTTTAATCACACGATGGCTCTCAGCAACCAGACGAGCGGGGATCATGAACTGCCATGTTGTTATTTTTAGGGAAGTATGTTCTTACTATGGCTAAGGCTCTATTTTCGCCCGCACATCCCGTCGTATGTTTGCTCTCAAGGACCCTTGGTTGAGACCATTGGTTCGGAGAAAGCCTTACACGATGTGATATGTCACCCTTTTTATTGGTCGATAGACTGTGAACGTAACTTCCAACAACAGTGTGGATGCCCATCTAAACCCCACGGCGGTACCGACAGAGACAAACGACGGATTTCAGTGCATTTATCGAAAGGTATAAAAACTCTCTGTCGTTCTCAGTCAAAGCTTCAAGACACTCAGGTCTTTCGGATTCTCCTCAACGTACAATGGCCTTCAAAGCTCTCGCTGCTTTTCTCTCTGTCGCTGCCCTTCAAGTCGCAAATGGTACATCATTAGATCCATCCAATCTTCGTCTCCCGCAATCACTCATCCTATCCTGTGATTAGCTGCCTTGACCAGGCGTGTCGCTTGCCCCGACGGTATCAACACGGCTACGAACGCAGCCTGTTGCTCTTTGTTCGCTCTTCGTGATGACCTTCAGCAGAACCTTTTCGACAATGGCGAGTGTGGCGAGGACGTTCATGAGTCGCTTCGTCTCACTTTCCACGACGCCATTGGTATCGGCTCTTTCGGGTAAGCATGCTGTGTACCGTCTTGTAATCCCGAAGGCAATCGCTAATGCACGTTCTTCAGTGGCGGCGGAGCTGATGGTTCCATTGCCATCTTCGAGGACATCGAGACAGCCTTCCACGCCAACGCTGGTATCGATGAGATTATCAATGAGCAGAAGCCCCTCGTCGCCAGACACAACCTCACCGTTGGCGACTTGTGAGTGTGAGCTTTACTTTGCGTCATATGCTGTTCTGACGGTTTGGAAACTTAAGTATCCAATTTGCTGGCGCTCTCGGTGTGAGCAATTGCCCTGGTGCTCCCCGTCTTCCCGCCTTCCTCGGGCGTCCCAACGGTATAAGCATTCTATTTTCAGACATGTTCATTGGTACTGAATCGGAATTCAGCCGTTGCTCCTGCTCCCGACAAGACTGTACCCGAACCATTCGGCGAGCTTTTTTGTTGTTGTTAATGGATGAATATTTTGTATTAACCTGAGGCAATCGCGCAGATTCGGTCGATAGTATTCTCGCGCGTTTCGCCGACGCTGGCAATTTCAGCACTGTCGAAGTCGTTTGGATGCTGATCTCGTATGTATCTCCTCCTTTCCGTATACTCTCACCACTCACTGTTTGTGCCTAGTCACACTATCGCTGCTGCCGATCTTGTGGACCCGACCATTCCTGGAACGCCTTTCGATTCTACTCCTGGACGTTTTGACACTCAATTCTTCCTCGAGACCCAGCTCAAGGGAACTTTGTTCCCAGGGTAAGCTTTATATCACCGTGAACAAGACATGTCGGCTTAAGTCGTTCTACAGTACTGCTGGCAACCAGGGTGAAGTCCAGTCTCCTCTTGGTGGTGAAATCCGTTTGCAATCCGACCATGATCTCGCTCGTGACTCCAGGACTGCTTGTGAATGGCAATCCTTCGTCAGTAAGTATTTTTGTCATCATCCAATTTCACAGGACGCTTGCTGATCGAATTCCCATATAGACAACCAGGCCAAGCTCCAGAACAGGTTCCAGGCTGTCTTCACTAAGATGACTGTCCTAGGCCACAACCCCGACGACCTGATCGACTGTTCTGAGGTCATCCCTGAGCCACCTGCCTTCACCGGATCTGCTACATTCCCCGCTGGTTTCACCAATGACGACGTTGAGCAGGCCGTACGTTTCGCTTTTCTATCTTAACATATCCAATGCACTGACAGGATATGTACAGTGTGCTGCCACTCCCTTCCCTACTCTTGCCACTGACCCCGGTCCGGTCACGTCTGTCGCTCCCGTGTAAGTAGTTTTAAACTCTTCATTCCCGTCACTTCAGCTGACTTTGATGTGTGAACAGTCCTCCGTCTTGAATGAATCCCGTCTATCGCGATCTATGTGGTGGTATTTTCTAGAATGGCGATTTGTTTCGCTTCCCCTGTATTACCATGTGCTTTAGTGTTCGATGTAAATAGATATCGATGCGCCTCTATTTCGTTCTCGGTGTGAGAATCAATTGTCGAGGTGTGAATTTGTTGATAATAAGCTCAAAGTTTGTCCTCGCGATTGATTTCGTGGTTCGTACAACCCTCTTTCAATCCCTCGGACCTCGGCGTGAGCCTCCAAGCAATGCTATTTCCATGCTCCGCTACTATCTCCGGCCAGTGATGTCTGACGACACATGGGAATATTCATTGTATAATATGTACCTACTGAAAACGTTTTTCTATACTGGTAGTTTTCGCAACCGCTATAAGTGTATGCTTATCATACTATAATTCATCTCTCGTCACGGACTGCTGCTTGTTTTGTCTCCTTGTTGGAGTCATGTTGAAGTGGATTGATCGAACCAATAACGGGAGCTTCAATGAATTTTATCAGATATCAAGGGCATCTTAAGACATGCGGTTCGAGTACTTATGTATGTGGTTACGTTCAACTGGAATGCCAAACATACTTAGGCTCAAAATCTTTTTCCCAGGTGAATCACATTCTCAAAAAAAAAGGCCTCCCCTGAATAAAAAATCCGATGAAAGCGCAAGGGGGGGGGTCTGGTATTCCCCTCCGACCTAGCTAAGCACTGGTCTCGCTCTTAGAATCTCATAAATGATGATTGAGGCCGCCAAACTTACAGCTAGATTCAAAACGATAGGCCCCTCCTCAAAAATTACATTCGGGTCGGTAAGGGCCGGTAGCATCGGACTTGCCTCGCTAATGAAGAGCCCAGAGAAGGACGAGGGCGGCATGGCTGACCAGCACTGGATTCTTCCCCCGGCATGTGTTCGGTAGCCCTCAGCATCTGTGACGCTGGTGAACGGAAAGGGAAACACTCGCGTCACACGAAGAGTCACACAGAGAAAGACAGGGTACAAGACTGAGATTCCTGAGTGAACTAAGGAGAACTACAGTGTACGAACTCTGCTATTTTATACTACTAGGGTGCTGCGGAAAACGACTGCGATCGATAAGAAGGAACACCGACGGGACAAGACAGAGGAAAAACCGCATAGGCATTGTCCAACGAACTACAATGCCCGAAAGGAGAATGATTGTAGCGCCCAGCGCTACATACGCCCTCCAGGATGTTCGTTCAAACATCCTCTAAGCGCTGTCCGCCTTCTCCATAGCAACATCACCATCCTTCTCCACAGCAACTGATAGGACTCAAATCAATTTAGAAATGAGCAGGTAAAACCATTCGAAACTTGGAGTTAATCCGAAGTTCGTCTGGTGTATATATACAACTATTATCTAAATACATGTGATAACAATGTGTTCGTATGTACTTATGGCATCGGTCAGGTTCGAGCATGGATCAATGAATGTGTTTGGGTAGGTTTTAATAAGTGGTTACAAATGAATAACGAGAGGGAAAGGTGTGTTCGTAGATCCGAAATGAAAGTGATCGTAACATTACCCCCTCCTCTAGAATCGTGTCCTCACGATTAATTTATGATAGAGTGTGAAATTGTTCAATCATACCATGATGATCCATTCTTCTGAATTTTCTTCTTCTCGAAGTCGCATTCGGTAGACGCAAAGACAGATGGTGATTATCACCAAGTAGGCGCTTCCTACAGAGATGAATATGATGACAGCGTCGTCGAGCATTTCTACCAAAGAGCTTTCATTGGTTGAGTGAATGATTGTTCTAAAATAGGGGAGTCCATACTTGGGATTGATATTGGTTTGACGAGTTGGTAGAAGGAAAGAATGGGGTATTGCCATTCGAGTTTGACTTTCGTAGGCGCAGATGTGATTGCCACGTGTGTCAGTTTGAGCGTCTGCTCATTGATGATCCATAACTCGCCGGTATTCGGGTAATGCTGATTAGATATGATTTGTGCTTTTCTTCGATTTTCAAATAATTTAGTCAAATCTGGATCCACAGATATCATTGCTTTTTCTTTTTTACAATGTTCTGCTCATCGCTGTACTTTCTGATCCCAATAATCCCATTCTTCTTGTGTCGCTTCTCTAGGAAATGACTGTTCCATAATTTGTGCCTTTAACAATATTCTCGTGGGTGCTTTTGGCGCATCGGGATGATCTTTATAGAATTTGTCAATTATCTTTTTGTCTATGTTTTTAATAATTTTATGACGAGGTTCCCATGTGTTCTCAGAACGTGGTTTTCCAGCCCACTTGATTAGATATTGAAGGCCTCCACGTGCCATCTTGGAGTCTAATACGGATTCAGCTTTGTCTTCTAAGATATCGATAATTATTGGAATGTTTTTGTGTGTTTTCTGATTAGGGAATTCTGGTGCGTGATACGGCAACAATAAAGTTTCATTGAATACAGGATGTACACCTTTCCACGATTTTGGTAATTTGAGCTTGTATGCGCTAGCTCCAATTTTCTTGATAATTGGGAATGGTCCGTATCTTTTATCATCTAGTTTTCGATTTGATCTGTCCGTTCGTATATGTGTAGCTTCAAGCCACACCAAATCTCCATCTTTATAATTTATGGCTTCGCCTTTATGTTTATCGTATTGTCTTTTCATAACATCCTGTGCTAACGTTAAGGATGCTGATGCTTCTTCTTGGATTTTCTTCATTCGTGCTACAAACTGCTCTGCAGTTTCATTACGAATTTCCTTTTTGGTTTCTACACCAGTGTAGGCTTCTCGTCCGTGATTCATATAGAATGGTGAAAATCCAGTCGCAGAGTGGACTCTATTTCGATATGCAAATGTTGCCAGTGGCAACCATTCTGGCCAATCAGTCTGTCGATGATTGATAAAGATTCGTAGATAGTTTTCAATTTCCTGATTGATTCGCTCTGTTTGTCCATCTGTTTGGGGGTGATATGCCGTACTAGGATTTCCCTGAATTCCTAGTTTCTTATATAGATCTTTTATGAAGCTGGATACGAATTGCGGTCCACGATCTGATGTCATCTTTTTTGGTAATCCGTGCAGCGGATATACATTTTTTATGTAAAGATTAGCCCATCCTTCTGACGTCAATTGCTCTGTGGTTGGTATTTCAATGTAGTCTTTTGATTTCATGTCCACAACTACTATGATCGCATCATGCCCTTGCGATTCTGGTAAATGTGTAATCATGTCTACAGATTGATATTCCCAGTTGTGTTCCGGAATTGCATTTGGGTGCAATGGAGCATTTTTCGGTTGATGGTTAATCTTGGTTTTTTGACAAGTCTCGCAGCCTTTTACATATGTTTTTACATCTTTTTTTATCGAAGGCCACCAGTATGATCGATAGATTAGTTCTTGTGTTTTTGCTTGTCCAGGGTGACCGGCACTAATTGAGTCATGATGCGAATGAATAATTTCTCCTCTGAGTTCCTTGTCAAAAGGGATAACAATCTTCCCCCTTCTCCAGATAAGACCGTCCTCGGTCTCATTGAAGTTGGCATCTTTTGTCAATAGTTTTAATCGTACATTGTTTTCATATTTATCAGTGTTTTTTATGATTTTCTCCCGTAGAGCTGATGATCCGAGGATTTCATTGGCTCGGAACCATTCTGGTTTTAACAACGTAATGTTTTCATTATGACTATCTCCAATATCGTGATGGGTCTGTCGCGATAAAGGATCTCCCTTCGTCATTGTGTTTCCGGGTTTGTGAGTCAAATTGAAGTCATATTGTTGTAATTCTTGGATCCATCGCGCCTGGCGATGATTTAACTTCTGGGGTTTTTTGAAATAGCCAAGGTTCTTGTGATCGGAATGAATTTCAAATTTTTGTGCGGCTCCCATCAAGAAGTGACGCCATTCTTCTAATGAGATCATGATGGCTAGCATTTCTCGATCGTAGATCTCATAGTTTCTTTCAGCCGGTGAAAGGCTTTTTGATAAGAAAGCGATAGTTCGCCATTGTCCATCTTGCTTCTGTGCAAGTTCAGCTCCAATAGCATATTTCGATGCATCGCATTCTACTTTGAACTGATCTTCATTGTTCGGAATACCTAAGACTGGTGCCGTGATAATGGTTTTCTTTAGAAGTTCGAAAGCTTCCTGCTGTTCTGGACCCCAGGTCCATTCTACTTGTCCGGTTAATTTATTCAAGGGAGTGGCAATTTTGGAAAAGTCTTTGATGAATCGTCGATAGAAATTAGCGAATCCAAGGAATGACTGTAATTCCTTTTTGGCTTTTGGTGCTGGCCATTGCGTAACTCCATCTACTTTGGCAGGATCCATCTTTACAGTTCCTTGCGAAATAATATGTCCGAGATATTCTGTTTCTTGAGTTTCAAACTCGCATTTTTCTGGTTTGCAGGTTAATTTGTTTTCTCGTAATATTTTAAGGACTTCTTTCACAATACGGCGATGTTCTTCCAGGGATTCGGAAAATATGAGTATATCGTCAAGATATATGATTACTTTTCCTTTAAGGATGAGATTACGGAAAATGTCATTCATCATCATCTGGAACGTAGCAGGACTATTCGTCAATCCAAAGAACATGACGGTTGGTTCGTATAGTCCTCTATTCGTGATGAATGCAGCTTTCTCTTCGTCTCCTTCTTTCATACGAATATTGTTGTATCCCCAGCGAATGTCTAGTTTCGTAAAATATTTGGCACCTTTGAGCTTATCAATAAGCTCCGATATCAATGGTAAAGGATATTTGTTTTTCTTGGTCATATCGTTGAGTTTTTGGTAATCCTGTACCGGTCTCAATTTGCCATCTTTCTTTTTGACAAAAAAGAAAGGTGCTCCCCAGGGAGACTTTGATGGTCGGATTCTTCCCGTCTTTAGGTTTTCTTCGAGAAAACCATCTAGGATTTTTTGTTCTTCAACAGTCATGGAATACACCTTGCCTGCATATGGCGATGAATCTGGTAGCAATTCTATTGCATGGTCCCATGGTTTTCTTTCCGGAAGGATGTCAAAAGTATCTTCAGTGAATACATCCGTGAATTCACGATACTGTTCTGGAACCATTTCTTCGAAGGTTTTTTTCTTTTTCTGTTTACTTTGTTCGATTGCTATGTCCATGGCGGTTACGCGCATTCACTGAATGTATTCTCCCCGTTCTTTATACCAAGCATTGGTATTAAGTAAATATACTGTGTCTCCTTCTTCGATCTCTTGTTGTCTTATGGTGATGCACGTGTGTGGACATCGGTTAAAGTCAACAAGTTGCAATTTGAAGTCTATTGATGGATTATGGTATTCAATCCATTCATATCCGAGGAATATGTCTGACTTCCCCAGATCAGTAACTAGAAGCATGATCTTCTCTTGGTGATCGCCAATTCGAAGTGTGAGCCAGACATATTCTGTGATCGGTCCCTGAGAATTCTCGCTATTATCGGTGTTATAGACTTGGATCGGTTGATCAAATTTAGAGGTTTCAATTCTGTGCCTTTTGACGAAATTATAATTTATGCATGATCCGGTACTACCGGTGTCAACTAATGCTACTGTGTCATGGATTCTTTCTGTTTCCGGGATAACCACGGTAACTGGTAGGTCCATTTGTTTCCCTCTTCCGAGTCCTTTGACGACTCGGAGTAATGGTGGTCCGATGTCTGTGATGCTTTTATCCGACGCACTCGGTTTATTTTCAAATTTTTTTGTATTTTGTTTAGAGGAATCAAGCACAGGTTCTGCCCTGCCGCGCTTCTTGGTAGAAGACGCCTCTGCGTTAGATGAAATATTTACAAAAGGGGACTGTCTGATCGATGTACTACAGGCATGTATCGAGGATGTTTTTATAGAGCCCTCCAGGGGCTTATCCGAGTCATTGTTCATATCCAGCAAGTCACTTTGTGCGTTTAAGCCTTGCCCGAGCCAAAATTCAGCTTCTTCGCCTTCTCCGGGTTCTTCTCCATCCATCGCCGAACCATGGCGATCATCTTGTCATCGTCGTCATTATCTGAGTCAGAGATCTCCTCGATCTTGGACTCTGTCTTGGTTTCATTCTTTCGAACACGTTGAGTGTTCGTGGAAGGTCCCGATCGATTGGGGACATGCCATGCACTTCCGCAAGTGCCCTTCTCTGATTGCTTAGCCTTACACTTAAGGCAATTTCTGTCCAAGTCCATGGGCTGTCCACGCCCTGTGAACGTTGTCCCGGTTCCATCTTTCTTTTCTCCGTAGTCCTTCTTCGGACTCTGATTCTGGTTCTGACCCGATCCTTGGGTCTGCTGCTGATAACTAGGGTACTTCTGCCCATAGTTCTGGTTTGATCGGTATGGTCGATATCCGATCTTCTTCAGTCGCTTCTCTTCTTCCCGCTGCCTTCGCGAGGAATCAATATCAATGATCGCTTCCTTCCACTGTGCATAAGTGGCTGGTCGCGTATCTCTGTCAAGAGCCCTGTCTACGATGGACTCATTGCAGTTGAGTCGAACGAGGTCGATAGTGTGTTTATCTTCCTTTTGCCTGCCTGCCTGCGTGATGTACATTTCCAATTTCTGGAAATATTCCTGTGCCGTTCCATTGCCTTGGGTCAAGTTATCCATTTGGATAACTGCTTGTTCGACTCGATTTACATCGAGGAATGTTTCGTGTAGGTCGAGTATTAGCTGACGAAAATTAATTCTCCAGCTGTTTGCATCGATATCAAAATTATTGTCGAAATAATTGTTGACCCAATCGTCAACCTGTGGACCCTTCATGTATGAAAGAGTCATGTCGACCTTTTGCTCATCGGTGAGGCCAGTGTTCTTGGGTGTGCGGTACCATAGTATCAATTGCCTTTTGAAAGTAAGGAATTTGTCTTTACTTCCATCAAAGTCTGAAGGTTTCGCTCCAGATGCCTTTGTATTTGGCTGTGGTGGTACTGGTGGTGGTTGTCGAGGTGGGTTTGGGTTTTGTTCAAGATCACCAGTTCCGGCTTCAGTGGAACCCATTTGTGATATCGGTGATGGTGGTGTGAAATATGTGAGTGATGAGTGTGGTGATGATACGAGCGGAGGTGGAGATCGGCGTGCGTAGAATTGGTAGATAGGTACAGAGTCAGGGAATATGAATGAAGACGTGATATGTGAACAATAGTGTCTTGTACCGGGCGCATGACCCTGTTCTGGTACTTAGACAAGTATAGATCCGAGGTAAAGGTACTCCTTCAAAGTGTTCCGGCCAATTGCCGATCCGGACACACGAGGTATGTAGATATAGTAGCTACGTAAAATGGTTTGGCCTTTGAAGGCGCAAAAAGAGAAGTTGATCTCCGCGGTAATTGCTTTTCAGCATGCGAGAGAGTCAAAGAATACCAGCGAGGTTCGAAACCTCCTGCCGTACACTCAGTCGTTTAGGTCTGAGCAGGGTAAATTCTGGTAGGGTTTTTCAACGGCCCCTCTGTCAAGAAGGTTGCAGCACCGCCTACTTCCTGGTTGCTTCAAGAGCAGACTACCAGGTGAGAGTAATGGTTTATGTACAAAGGGAATACAAGGGTCGCAATCTACAGTTGTAGTCACGTGATTACCCAGGTGGAGGAGTGGAGTGTGATAGAAAAGTAACTAGGAATGTGGAATTCGGATCCCTCCGAATGAGGTCTTGAGCGAGTGAGAGTAAAGCAGAGTGGGATGAGGAATGAGGTGGTTGCCGTCGAGTACAACGGACTTTGAGTGAGGTGAAGTGTGGGTGGAGGACGAGGCAATGCCTGTCGAGAGAGTGCGAAGGGGCAAGTTTCGAATTATGATAGGACTCAAATCAATTTAGAAATGAGCAGGTAAAACCATTCGAAACTTGGAGTTAATCCGAAGTTCGTCTGGTGTATATATACAACTATTATCTAAATACATGTGATAACAATGTGTTCGTATGTACTTATGGCATCGGTCAGGTTCGAGCATGGATCAATGAATGTGTTTGGGTAGGTTTTAATAAGTGGTTACAAATGAATAACGAGAGGGAAAGGTGTGTTCGTAGATCCGAAATGAAAGTGATCGTAACAGCAACGTCCTCGCCCCTCGCCACCTCCTTGCCTTTCCCGCTAGTAGTGGCTGCTGAAGGTGCCTCATCAACGGTAGGAGTTTCCATCTCCAAATCAGGCTCGCCCTCCACATCGAGCTCACCTTCACCATCAATAGGTGAAGCTGTCCGAGGCCGAACGGGAGATTGGGAACGAGCGCGAGAATGAGAGCGTGCGACGGTGCGTGAACGTGAGGTTACGGGGGAACGACGATGACGACGACGTTGACGACAGTTACGGTGTCCAGAACTACTTCCCTGCTGGAAGTCCTCCATCGTGCCACGTGTCTCGATAGCTGGGGGTTGACTGTCGCGACCGGTAGGTTGTTGGAAACGGAAAAGACCCTCGCGAATGGTCTTTTGCTTCAGACGCTCCTGCTTAGCGGTCTCCTGCTTGGCTTTCTCGCGCAGAGCATAATTAGCAGTGAAAGCAACTGCTCCTTCGATAGTGGTAGTGTCCCAGTTACGAGGTCCGCCCTTGGACTCCAGAGGCTTGGGAGCCAGTAAATTGACGGGAATAGGTTTCTTCTCGTAGGTGGCGAGTCGCTCGGTAAAGTCGATGGTGGCGAAATCGTAAGGACACTTCGGGCCAGATCCGGCATTGAAGATCCGCATGAAGAGGAAGTAGCCCATAGGAATGGAGTCAAGCCCGGACTTGAATTTGCCACGACGGAGCTGGTCATCGAATGAAACGTAGGAGCGTGCGAGAGCATTGGGAATATGGTACGTGAGTAAGTCTTCAGGGTCATGAGCGAGGAGGTCATTCGACCCAAACAAGATGGTAACGTTGTCATTTTGGAAGTTGGTCGACATTAGAAAAGAGAGCAGGATATGATTAAAGGGGGTGGCGAGTGCGATGGCGCGAGCACGAGGAGGTAAGTAGTTTGTAGAGTGTGGACAGGAAAGAGTCGACGAGTAATGGCATTGTCGTTGGTGCTGCTTTATAGGCATCTGGTGGTGGTTATGAAAATTTAAGGTGCCCAAAAACACCTGAGGATCATCGGTGGGCGGTGTCCCGGATCCGTTGGGAATTTCTTCAGCCGATTCGACACCCAAGAGCTCTAGGTAAGCAGTAAGAGCATCCAGGTGGGCGATTGTGGAATAAGGGACCCACGTTCGATCACCGGATTTCCACAGCACCTCAAAGGTACTGTCCTTCCCTGTACCAGTATGAGAGATAATCTTGTCTACTGACCATTCTTCCTCTTGATCCTCTAGTTCTGTGACCTGGCTGTCAAGACGTCCCGGAAAGAGACGGTCATCATTCGGAATATGGATTCGCAGGAGTGAAGAGTGGAAGACATCGTGGATACCTCGCCTTTTCAAATTGGGTGGTAACGCAATCCGATAGGAATTGTTCTTGAAGTCCTCGGTTATCCGGTACGGCCCAATGAACTTCGGTACAAGCTTCCTCGCCAATCCCTTAGGTAGAGATAGATTTTTAGTGGATAAATACACTAAATCACCCTTTTCAAAGGGAGAAGCACGACGGCGACGATTCGCGTCGCGGGTCTGCTTCACACGAGCCGCAAGAATACTATCATGAGCAGCCATAATGGTGTTTTTCATTTTCTGAGCATACACTCGCACAGCAGGGTACTCTTCCTTTGGAGGGTCATTCCAAATCATCGGTCGAGGCATTCGGCCAGTGTTCAGAAAGAAAGGTGCATAGCCAGTGCTATCTGAACGAGCCGTATTAATGGCAAATTCGATTGCCGGTAGCTTGGAGACCCAGTCCTTCTGATTGGGTCCAATGCACTGTCGCAGCATTTGCGTTACAGTGTGATTCGCACGCTCTGTCGAACCGTCTGACTCTGGGTGATATGCACTCGACATTCGCAATTCCACACCGACTAGCTTGTGGAGGTGAGTCCAAAAAGTGCTAGTAAAGAGCACGTCTTGATCGCTAATGATGTGCTTGGGCATACCATGGTGTTTGTAGATCTCGCTGAACACTAGTTCAGCAACATTCTTTGCTGTATAGGTAGTGCGACTAGGAATCATATGCACCATCCCTATCAGCAAACAGATTACAACAGTGATCGAGTCAAATGCACCGTCGCGGTTCTTTGATTCAGGCAACGGTCCAACAAAGTCTATGCCAATAGACTCGAAAGGTACGCTTGGAACCTGTAATGGATTTAGAAGCCCATACGGCTTCTGGTTACTTGGCTTACTTCTTTTACAGGTCATACACGTCTCGCAGTATTTGTGAACATCCGAAATCATCGTCTTCCACCAGACGTGATCTCGCAACAGGCCCAGGGTCTTATATGACCCAAGGTGAGCGAGTAGAGAGTGCGCGTGTCGTATAACAACTTCGCGAGCACTTCTACCATTCACAAGCACATCGGGTATACAGAGTAAGCACTTGCCTCGTTCCTTTAGCAGAACTAAATCATTTTTCACTAGGAAATTCTTGAAGTGTTTAGGTTCCTTCAAGATTTCGCTGAAGAATCTATCTTCGGCATATCGCCCTCGGAGAACATGCTCAAGGTCCAGCCCATCGAAGCTGGAACTGATATGTTCGAGAAACCGACTCTCCTCCGCTATCAACGGCCCTTCCATAGACTGGGAGGTTATTGGAACACCCTCCAGTTCCTCATTCCCATCGCCGACAATGGTGGGAAAAGAAGGTGGTGCAGGTGAGTCAGCGTTTGAGTCGTCATCCAACCCAGTATTCCGACTAGCACCTGCACTCTCGCCCTCCTGTCGTTGTTCACGATTGACGTGCAACACGACACGCTTGATTCTTTTAGCAAACTCCTTCGACGTCTCTGGCCGACCAGTCTCAGCTGCCAGCAGAGGCGACTTCACACGGCGTTTGCGAGCAGGCCGCGAGATGCCATCAGATGCCACACTCGCAGGGGACGAGGGATTTCGCCGGGCCTGCTTGTGTGCAGCACGCACCGGGACAGGCTGAGGGGTGATGGTAGTTGGGATGCGAGATGGGGCAGTAATCGTCCGTGCATGAGCACCGTGACGACTCAGGCGGGGTTGTACTGCCTGCGCCTCGATGCCAACATAGACAGGCACAGAGATGGATAGAGACTCCAGGAAGGTGGGTTGCAAGCTTGTCTCATCAAACGTCGTGTATTCTGATGCGGCGCGAACAGTACCCGGGCGGTCATTAGAGTAGATATGTGACAAGGCATCAGCGAGAACGTTATCAACGCCAGGGACGTACTCGACGGTGAAGTCGAACTCTGAAATCTTCTCCAACCAGCGAGCCTGCCGGCCGGAGAGGTTTTTCTGTTTCAGAAGGTGGGTAAGACCTTTATGGTCTGTGACCCACGTAAACGAGCACCCTATGAGGATCTCGCGGTGTCGCAGCATGGACTCGACACCCGCTAACATTTCAATTTCATGAACAGGGTAATTCATCTGAGCCGATGACAGCTTCGCAGAATAGAACGCGGCGACTCGACCAGCACGCCAACTGTCACCTTGGCAGATGACACCCGCAATACCACCTAGTGAGCCATCAGTAACCAGCCAAATGCGAGGCACACCTGGCGAGTAATCAAGGGGAACACGATGGTGTTCACGGTGCTCGTGAACGAGACGTTTGACTTCCTCGAATGCACGCTGGTGAGTGAACTCCCACTTGAAGCATGCATCAGCACCTGTTAACGAAGTGAGGATACCCATAGGAATTCGAACGGTCGCGATGTCATCAGCGAGATATCCAACTGATCCAAGGAACCCCCGAAGAAGTTCCTTGGAAGTAGGTACCTTCCAGTTCAGTACTGAATCAACCTTGTTAGGATCCATTCGAATACCTTGGTCGTCGATTATCCGACCGAGGATTTTCATTTCTTTGGGCAAGAAATTCAGCTTTGTTGCACTCAGGTAAAGATGCTCCTTCTGCAAAGCATCAATCACCAACTTAACGTGCTGAATATGATCATCCAGGGTGTCCGAATAGATGACAATGTCATCCAGATAGACATCCATGAAAACACCAATGTATTCACCAAAGATGTAGTTCATCAATGTCTGGTAAGTCGCAACAGCATTACAATCACCTTGTTGCATGACCAAACTGACCATGTTTCCATCAGGCGTGGTCATCGCAGTACGCTCAACGTGATCAGGATCGACACGGATGTGTTCATACGCATCCTTACCGTCAATCAGAGACCGGTAAGGCTTCCACGATGCACGTCGCAAGATACCTTCCATATCCGGGAGAGGAGAAGTCAACTTATGAGTATTTGCATTTCGCTCTCGCAGATCTGCAACCACACGCAAACGCGGTGGAATTCCATTCACACCAGTGCCAGGTTTCGTCAACAGCATCATAGGCGATGTATTGCGTGCGGAGGTCATCTTCCAATGACCTGAGCGAAGGTAAGCATCCCGCTTCTCTATCCAACTCGCACGGTGAGCATCAGGACATTTAGACGGACGCCAGGAATAGATCTTCGCAGGATCTTTCAATGGAATTGTGTGGTTGATTGCACGCAAGGGAGGCAGTGGGGCATCACTTGCCTCTCGACATATAGGAGCTGCATATTCCCGCAATAGCTGACGAGCTGATTCTAGTTTATCGTCATACAGATCTGCAGCACGCGATTCGAGCACCCGAACACTCTTCCCTTGAATAGGAAGCGATGTCGAACTTCCAACGACTATCGTCGTTGGGTTGAGTCCGAGGACGACTCGGTGCTGGAACAGAAACGGCGTGCCCAAGATCACATCGTAATTCAGTAAGTTGATAATATCAAAATACCGTTCTTCTGTTATTGACTGATATGCGATTCGCGCTTTACATCCAGTAGAGATCTTCGCACGCGAGCCCTGCACCGCTAAGTGAACAGGTAACGGTTTCGCGAGTTCAACCGGTTTGATACCAAGCTGATGAACTAACTTCGCAGATATGAAGTCTGACAAGGAACCACTGTCCAGCAACGCCCGCGCGGGGTGACTGTTAATATCAATGACGACTATGACAGGTTCAGGCAGAAGCCGCCGAAAGTCCTTTGGAATTGCAGCATTCCGTTGGACGGCTGATATACGCTCTATAGCAGGTGAGCCGGCCATATTAAGCTCAATGACAGGATGCGGAGAAATGAAGTCAAACTCCGGCAGCCACTCATCCGAAGAAAACCAATCGGCCAACTCGCCCTCCAGATCATCCAAGGTGAACGGCGATCCTGCCAACTGAGCCAAACCATCCAAGCAAACCATAAGTGAGTACGCATTCACTAGGTCATACCAGGGGTTAAGAAGCATGGCTCGCGGCATCACAAAGGTGCGAGCCAGAAGCGTATCGTGTGTGAGTACTGATTCATCAGCCAGCTGAGAACAGACAAATCGCCGTTGTCCAGGTGTCTCGAGAGGGTCCTTAATGCCACTATTAAGGATTTCCTCCACACCTAAGGCATAGGCGTCGCCCATTGCGACACGAGGGCGGTCCTGACAGCAAGAACTGCCATGATGAAGAGGCCATCCTTCTGTCAGTTGGTTTTGATACCACCTCGGAAGATCAAATGCTGGATCCAGTAAAGATGAGGCCTCAACGAGAACATCTTCGAGAACTGAGGCATTCATGATGACATAGTGAGTGTCAGACGTTCTATAAACAGTGAACATCCCATGAACGTCTTCATCGAAATCAGCTAGCAGAGGACCACAACAGTAAGGTGCCTGCTCCCGCAACACCCGTGAAGCTCGCTCTGCAAGCAAGTCTTCCATGGTGGAGTATTGCACATGCCGCCGCTGAAAACGAGAGGGTTGAGGTAGGTAATACCATTTCCAGACCTCATCTTCTACTGCTCCAGGCCATACTTCACCTGGGTCGCTAGAATCGGAGGCCAAGGAGTCAGAAATGGATAGCAGGTCAGGTATGTCAGTGTCGGAAAGACCATCCTTACTACACAGATCCTCAAGACCCGGTTCAGAATCCGTGCTGGATACCGTTCGCAGACTAGGCATACTGCTCGACTGACTGTCAGAGTTGAAAGGTGAGCAGTGTGGGCTCAGTTCAATGTTATTGAACTCAATCTCCTCAATCCGTGCTGTAGATTCTGCAAGATTACGAAGACGTTCAGCGTCGTCAGCTGCACCAGGTTCTAAATGGTTCAGAGCGACTCCGGGAGCCTTACCCTTACGGTCAGATTGTACTCGATTCAGTGAGGGGCAGTTCCGTGAGAAATGCCCAGGTTCTTTACAGACAAAGCACTTGCCAGCGGCAGCAAGGTCTGCGCGTTCTTTCTCAGACAGATGTGCATTCGACTGCCTAGTATTTGACAGACCGGCAGCAGCACCATTATGGTTTGCATGCAGTCGTTGGGAGTTTCTTCGGTGGAAACTGCCACGTGTTCTGTTAGAAGGTCGGCGAGAAGAGCCAGGACCCTGGGACGAGCTTGGAGCTCCTCGGCGGTTCTGATTCTCGTGAGTGCCTGAACTTCCATTTCTAGGCGGCCCCTTGTGGCCACCCTTTGTCTGCTTAGACTGACTACCATTGTTCTTAGGAGGACGACTGGCGGAGCCATCAAACGACTCGCCAACATGTCGAGAAGCCTCAATGTACTCAGCCTCTCGCAGGATACGACGCCAGCTGCTACGGAGAGGTGACAGTTTTGCTCTCCATAAGCCACATTGGATCGACTTATTGAAACCTTCCCATAGCTTCATCACTCGGTCGCGTTTACGAGCTGGACCAACCATGCGGTATAGGCTTTCAAGCCCATGTGCATAGGTACGTACATTCTCACTGCCTTGAACGTAGGCTTGCAGCTTCGCGTGCATCTGAAGCTGAAAGTCCATAGGAAAACAGTAGTTAAACAGCTTCAAGAATATTTTTCGCAGGGACCATGGCTGTCGGCATCTGCGAGACAGCGTATTCACGTAGAAGTTGTAAGCATCCCCATCCAAGAAGTTGGAGATAGTGGTGGGGAGCTCGGATCTTTGCATGCGGTAAGCACGGCAATAATCAGTCATCTGGCGTAAAAACTTATGATAAATATCAGGATCAGGCTGTCCATCATAGGGAGTTGGCTTTTCTGGCTTTAGGAAAGGCCTCGAGCGGGAGCGCGAATGGGCTCGCCGTGAACGGCGACGATTTCCAGCAGAGGAACTCACGCGACGGCGATGAGAAGAGTGTCGTTTCCGTCTGCGAGCTTGATGGCTATGATGATGGTGCGAGGAACTACCACCGGCATGACCGGATGAGGTAGAGCCACTTCCAGAGGTTGAGCTCGAATCAGAATTCGGTGAGCTTGGTGACAAGCTAGAAGAGCTGGAAGAACCTGAAGATCCAGAGGACCTGGATGTGCCAGATGACCCAGAGGAACCAGTCGAAGATTCGGAGCTGTAACCCGACCCAGAATTAGAGTCACTCTCGGAACCAGAAGAATCTGAAGTGGAGGTTGAAGTAGACGAGGACGAGGAACCACTCGGCGAGTTGTCTCAATGCTTTCGTCTCATCTTCCCTGCTCCATCCAGGGCTTGTCTGAGATAGCTACCAGCCTCGATAGATTCAGCAGGCTCATTGTCATGTCGCGCCTTAGAGGACTTAGCTAATTTCTTCTCCTTTTTATCAGAGGAACGTTTACCAGGCCGGCAGGGCTTGGTAGTCATGACTTCATCCACCAATGCCTCACCAGGGCGTGATGAAGACTTAGACTTCTTTTCAGGCGCATGAGACTCCATCGTACGGGATTCTACAGTCTTAGATACTCTAGCTACAGGCGTCTTGCCCTTAGCTGAAGTAGGCTCATTAATGACTATGCCCCTAGCTGTTACAGGCCCTTCTCGAGAAGGAACCTGAGTAGTACTAGTTGCAAGTGAGGCTTCTACGGAAAGTTCCTCCTGTCTTTCCTGCTCTCTAAGAGCCTTCCAGAAAGTGAACATACGACGCTGTTCATCAATGTCATAATCAGGGTCTTCGAAAGCCATACCATGTATTGTAGTACCAGATGTGTTAGAATACATGTCAAATTCCCGCTGCTGAGTCTCAGGATCCAATTCCTCTTCGGGAATATTAACCGCACCCCAATTACGAGGGTCAACAGTTTTACCTTTGCGCTTTGAAGTTCCTTCTCTGCGCGAACGAAAATGGCTATGGGCCCTGCCATTTTCGTGAACGACCTGCATTCGTCTTCTGACGAGGTCTTCTTCTTGCGGCGTGAGCTGTTGCTCGGCCACAGACATAGCCCTAAGCTGGGCTTCAGTGAACACCGAGCAACCGCTTTGGGTGTTCTGAACCTGTGCACTATTCGGTTCGGTGGCAGATGTCTGAGCGCGCTGATGACCACGCTTGTATGACACTGGCACCCAAGGGATGCCGACGTCTTCTTCTTCTTCTTTGACGTCGGTCCAGGTCGAGTGAGCACTATCGGCATCACTGACCACCTCCTCTCCTGAGACAGGGGGAGGGTTGTCCGCCGTGGAGGAGCTACCTCGCATGGGATACGCCTCGCGAGCAGGTAGCTCAGGTGAGGGAGTATGCGAAGCCACCTGGCTGAATAACAGCCCAGGGATCACTTCGGAGGACGCGCGTGGCGATGAGGTAGGCGACCCCAAAGGAGTCAATGGGGTCGAGACCGAACGGTTAGTATTCCCAGAGATAGATTCGGTATACGCACCTGGTATAGCCACGGGCTCCGCAGAGACTTGCGTCACGGGTACTGCCCTTTTTCGGAGGTTGTAATGAGTTTGAGTGGCCATGGTAAGCCTGGGTGTTTTGATGAGATGAAAGGAAAGCTGTTCGAGTCGAACGACGAGGGAGACAGTGATTGTCGAAAGAGGGCCGCCAACTGGAAAGTCGAGGTGATCAGACTCGAGGGAGACCAGAGAAGCAGCTTTTTTAAGCCAAAAGTGAGGGGGAGTAAACAAGCAAGAAGTTTTTCGAGAGTAGAGTTTTTCCGAGCAGAGATCGGACAAGATAACTGTCAAAAATATGTGACGCTGGTGAACGGAAAGGGAAACACTCGCGTCACACGAAGAGTCACACAGAGAAAGACAGGGTACAAGACTGAGATTCCTGAGTGAACTAAGGAGAACTACAGTGTACGAACTCTGCTATTTTATACTACTAGGGTGCTGCGGAAAACGACTGCGATCGATAAGAAGGAACACCGACGGGACAAGACAGAGGAAAAACCGCATAGGCATTGTCCAACGAACTACAATGCCCGAAAGGAGAATGATTGTAGCGCCCAGCGCTACAGCATCACTGCTGCGTTAGCCGATGCTGAGTGTGATTTTTTCACAGGGGCCTATCGTTTTGAACTTAGCTGTAAGGGTCAGCGGCTGAAAGGCTACTTTAGGTAATTTTGATGAGGGTGATGATCAACAATGCCAAATACATGACATACTGACGGAGCACTTTGTGCGGCTTCAAATTTTGAGCTCTCAATCGAGTGCAAGATGTCAGCCAAGTTATCACCCTATTTTTGATTGTCATTCTTGACCAATCTGTGATCAGCACACGCGGTGCAGGTTGGGCTTTCACTCAGTTGCCAAGTCCGCGAAAATCGACATTATTTCTGTTTTCTCTCGTTCAAGTTCGTAGGCAATTCGTAGGTTACAAACAGAGCGTCTATCAGTAATGTACCATCAAATGGGAGCCCTGGACTCGGAGTAGGAGCTTTCATTTGGTCGAGGCCTCAAAGGCTTCCCATCCGTACCTCTCCGCGTCTCAAGGTTTCTTCTGACCTTGGACAATCGGCCGTACATCTTTCGAGCTAATCCGTGTGTCATTTGCAAGCCCTGCTCCTTCTCCTGGTTTCTCTACAGAACATAAAAGCTAAATGAGCCGCAAATCATGTTGTACATATGACTGGTGAAGACGTACTGAACATGGATGCAGAACCCTCCTCAGATTTTGTCTTCTTGCCAACGACGTACATGTATCCAAGAGTTGCTACGGATCCAGCCACTGCGCCAATTGCCTATGATTTATGGATGAAATTCGTTGATCAAGCCGATATGACTTCGAAAGGGGGTACCTGGATGCGACCAGATGAATTCGCGGCCATAGTCGATTTGTTTAGTCAACAGAAGATTCTGATAGCACAGCTAGATCAATAAGAGAATTTGTTTCGAGAATTAATGCTAGGTAAGAAACATGGTTTAAAGACAAACTAGTAATTACTTGAGCGTGGGATACATAGCGTTGGATAGTGTGACATCATGCTTACCATATGCATGATGACGTCACCCGCCAGTAACAAAGTCATTAACTTATTCGAACCTTGCGCACGATATTTACGCTAAGACATTTTGTGTTCAGGAGTTTCGACCAAAGCAAAATGCACAAGAAATCGTAGGAGTCGAACTTCAGCCAAAGACAAGCGGAGGAAACAGTGTACTAGTATTACGACTGGAACAATGTCCGAGAGATTGAACACGACGGCAGATAGAAATACACTGTAAGATACTACTAGTGAAGCCTAGCATTGCGAGAACTGAGAATTTTCAAGCTTGTTAACATGACCTACTGGCCCATTTATATCAATTGAATCAAAAAATCAGGAGGCAGGTGTTGGAACGCTCAAGTGCCATTAGGCAGATGGCTGGCAGGAACTTGGTCTCAGTTTGACGGAGATAAGGCGCCTCAAACGGAGCGTTGTTGGGTGTCTCAAGTACGGCCGGGTGGCGATTTCGGTTCCACTGTTTCACCAGGGCCTGTAATAGATGAACACAGCTCAAGTCAACCAAACGGTGTTGTCATACGCCAAGTGACGATTCTCACCTTTGGCCGCCTGCTGTGCACCACCTTTCTTCTCTTGTTTGTTTCGCATCATCCATATCACGCCTCCTGTTGCAATAACGGCAAGCCCTGCTAGCACAAGCTAAATCCGGAACCGTTTGTGGGCCCTCGAGAGCATGCTCGAATGATTGAAGTCGATGGACATACCTTATTTTGCTGGCTGGGAGGAACTGATGGTTTGTTCGTGTTCATATTGGTGCTCTTGGTGATGGTAAAAGTCAAGGTGTTCTGTGGTGTGTTTGACAAACGGATGATGTCACGATCGGAGCAGCAAAGCCTGGAATCAATCGAAGAATTACCAGGCCATGGAAAGGGGCGTTGCTCGTACAGCACCAAAGAAAGAAAGTGTTTAGGATACGATGAGCGGGGATAAGAACTTCATATCCGCAGGCCAAAGCACATGCCACAACCAACGCCATTCGAAGATGCATTATATTAACGCTTTCTATCGTTGTACCCGCCGTGGCTTGTGTTGATGATGCTTGGTAGGCGTCGGTATCTCTAAATCGAAACTTCCAGAACGTAGACACGGTCAGCTCTCGCATTCATCTAGTATGGCCTCGGCGCGATACTCCCCGACTGTAGAACACTCGCGTATACTGATTTGGACGACAAGAATATCGAACCAGAAGCATTTTCAAATTATGTTCTGTTGACACCAAACGGCCCCACTGTATGATGTGTAGGGTCCAAATCAGAAACGAGAAGGCCCAGATGACTTACGTATGATATCTCCTGATAGCAGCTGCACGATTTGACGAGGATCTAGCAACTGCATGATTAGGGGACTTAGCGATAAACTGGACTCACCGCGGAGTACCACCTTGCGCTACTTTAGCTAGCTAGGCGTAATCTTGTTTCTGCAGGGTCAAATTATCATTTCAACATATATCATACCTACCTTTATGCTTTATCATATCATGCGTCAGAGTAGTCGTAGCCTCCGAAGAACGCATCGGAGCTACTCAGCCCTGCCGACATATAACCACTAGAAGTTGGGGCGGGCAAGCATTAATTAACGCAAAGTATATTGAGGAAGAATCAGGAAATGGGTGCGAGTTTGAGGTCACCACTGGGGAAGCGCTGAGGTGGACGCGTCCTCTGATCAAGGCTGTTGCCTTTCATAGGCTGCCGAGAGCCGATTTTGGAGTCAACGGACATATTGCGATGCCATTTAGACTTTTGAGCCACTTCGAATGAAAGGAGGTCGCCGCAGATAGAGGCATGCTCCCAATGGATCATCCAACCAGTAGGCTATTCGAGAATGTGAAAGATTCCAGCTTGGAGCACATCGAAGGGATTATGTCTTGCATTCGTCATCCTTGAACTACCTGAGTCGCGCTTGCCGTCATGAATCAAAGAAGAAGCAGCAGGAAATAAGCGGTGATCAGATGTTTGTTACTGACGAACGTGTCCTAGAAAAGCGAGATACCCCAAACTGCAGGCGCTGCGTTCCGAAGAGATTTCGGGATGAAAAATCGATGTCCGAATGCAAAACTTCTGAGCATAGATCCTCGGACCGTTGAACTCCTGCGATATTGCGCAGGAAGCCGTGTAGCCACCTGCGAAGAGCATATTGACAGTAGAACACGAACGTTTCCTGAAATCACCTGCAAAGTTCAAGCCGAAAGCCCCGCCGAGTGCCCTCATCGTAAAACAGCGAATGAATCAAACTTGGAGCAATGGACACATTGTCTACAGCAAACATGGGGTACCATGAGATACGAAATGACGTTCAGCGAAGCTGGCATCCAGCGCTGTCTCTGTGAAGCCCCCAGAACATGTGTCCAGACATATCCACTGAACGCTGAGCAAGGACATATAAAAGAGGGCCTGCTCGCTGCATACCTCTCCATTCGCCCTGCACATCACTGCATTACACCATACAAACCAAGTTAAAGACTTCAAAACTCACCAACCATTGACCATGCGTTTCTCCGTCATCGCTGCCTTCACTGCACTCATCGCTGCTCCCACCGCCCTCGCCCAAGTCGGCGTTCATTGCGGAACGACGAGCGACGCGACCTTATCCGACTGTCGTGCCCTTGTTGATCCTGGAACTTGGAATAGCGAGTGGGCGGGCACACGCAACGTCTGTCGGTGGGTCTTGAATTGACTACGAACAGACTCAAGAGTTAATTCGAATCCATTGATCAGTTTCAGCAACCCATGGAGCGGGGAAATAAATGCCGCAGCCCACAACGTCGCATGCCACGGCAATTGTGAGTTTAGGCCTGTCATCGAAGGGTCGTGTTGTGAGTCAACATCCTTCAGGCTGCGTATACGTCGCGCGTCGCGCAAAACCGGACAGGGACACGACTAGGAGCGAAGCCCAAGGTCTTCTTGGCTGCGGCAATACTGGTGCTAACAGTATCAGTGGTCTTGACCATTTCCCGGACCATCATGGCGTGTGCTTTGGCGGCCGAGACGGTTAGCTTAAGTTTTCCATACACTGGTACTTGACTGATAATCCACTCACTGTTGATAGGTTGCAGTGACTGCTTCGATGGTACGCTTTTCTTCAAATCTTGAGCCGCCACTGTCCTCATCTTTTTGCGCAGACCAAGACTTTGACAATCACGACAACAACTCGAACTAAGCAGTTGGACATCACCAGTTCCGCTAAAAAAAAAAGCTTAGCTACGCATTGTTGGACTATTGCAGAAATCAGAGCGATGTGGGAGTCCACAAAAGACATACATACTGTGTGAAGACGAGAAATACGAGGAGTTCTTGAGAGAATTTTTGTATTAGTCTTTGGAAATTAAATCTTGTACTACGCTGCGTGTTTTCAAAAGGTGACCTCTCGTCGTGCAAATGGCTGTAAGTGGACAAGAATCGAAACGAGCCAACTCGTAATCATCAGCCAGTCCAAACCGACAGGTGCGCTCTTACCCGGCAGAATTATCAGTGCGGCTCATGCCCAAGGTCGATGACGCGAGTAAGGTTCCTGAAAATACCTCCTCGGGGGAACATTGGTCATCAATATGTACCTTTCCGCTCAAAAGGTATGGATCAGCCTTGTATCGTGCGCTATTCTTTGTGGACGTTAGTGGAACATCGATGAGTACCCGAGCTTAAGCCGAAGGGAAACAACAATGTTACTTACCATGCGTCAATAAACATTCCGTTATAGTGGGTAAACTTGGCGTCATCGAGCGGGTTTTTTTTGGCGTGAAACATGAGCGTGTATACTTTCGAGGGAGACGGGTCGCCACATTGGCACCATGTGAATGGACCTCTTCGGACGACAGATCTAAACTCTATAAGAACAGGATCCTGCACTGCATCCGTATGAGCAGCTGGAGGTCTTGCGTGCCATAATGTAGGTTGAATATGCACTTCCAGTATCGTTTCATGGATTGGCGACAAAGAACTGTTGCCAGAGAATCGTTGCTTTCCAGGTACATTGCAAACATAATATACGAAGTACCGAGCCGGTAATCCCCCTGAGCGGATATCTAAAGAGTGAGTTGTGCGTATAGGACTTCGGATAAATGAGATCTGAATCAGAGAAACTTTAGAGTTGGGTGCACTGCTGAAGTTGTTTTTATACTGAGAGTCGCCCAAAGAGGGAAGGCGCTCAAAGGCGGCATGTACCGGACCGGACGAACCCGGCAAGCGCGGGGAGACAAACAGAGTGACAAAGGCAGACAGGCGTCTTATCCTTGTCTCCCTCTGACTACCATCCTCTCTGCTTGACTTCATCACTCTCTTGTTCTGTGAGTCCCTGCGGTTATGTTTTGCATATCATTACTGACGTATTATGCTACTTTTGCATCCAAACACCTCTCTTGCGATGTCGATACCACCACTTTTCATTCCGTCCCGCAATACCTCGTCGCAATGTCATGATCTTTGCCGATCTACTTGAGGGGTGTAGTTACGACTCTTTCGTCTTATTAGATTCAGTCGGGATGGCTTTGAAGCGCATTAACAAGGTACGTTCTCTCAGCGTGCTCAGCCTGACTGCGCAGGCTCTTGCTCCTTGGGTGGCGTTAATCCGATGAAGGAAGCGCCTGTCGCACTGGCGAAGACAACGCGACACAGACCGCTGACATCTTCTTTGTATTCAGGAATTGATTGACCTCGGGCGTGACCCGCCTTCATCTTGCAGTGCCGGTCCCACTGGCGACAACATGTTCCAATGGCAGGCGACCATCATGGGGCCTGTAAGTCGTGTTTTCTCATCATCCACACCCAATTGTATTTCTCATATGTTCTCTCATTCAGGGTGACTCTCCATACGCTGGAGGTGTATTCTTCCTTTCCATCACGTTCCCTACCGACTACCCTTTCAAGCCTCCGAAGGTCAGTTTCACGACAAAGATCTACCACCCTAACATCAACGCCAATGGCTCGATCTGTCTGGATATCCTGAGGGACCAGTGGAGTCCAGCATTGACGATCTCGAAAGGTACGTCTGCAAAGTTGCTCTTCTTGACATATGTGCCTGATTACTCACGCGATCTACCCATCCGAATAGTTCTCCTGTCGATTTGCTCAATGCTGACTGATCCCAACCCTGATGATCCTCTCGTTCCGGACATCGCACATCTGTACAAGACGGATCGAACCAGATACGAGGCGACGGCTCGGGAGTGGACAAGGAAGTATGCCATGTAGTTGACCGTGGTGAAAGTAATGGATGAATTCAGTGTCTGGTGTACAATCTTGGTCTTCTCGAGTAGCTTTCTCATCGTGTATCATTCCCGACAATCATATCATGCCCTTCATTATTATATACTTCCCTACTATTTCTCTGTGAAGCAAATTAGCATTGAAGGTATATGAATGCAGCTTGTAAGGTCACGAAGCTTCAAGGCGCCCACTCAGTTAGGCGTCATTTGCCGCCACTTTGGAAAATGACCTCTATTTTTAAACAAGCATATCTCTCAGTTCTATTAATGAACTCGCTTCATTCCGACTGCATTCATGTGTGCTCATCTTTGCGCAGGTGAGCAACTAAAAATATGATGATATGACTCCAGGAACCTACAGTATATCGTACAATCGGTCACCGGATGACAGCACTAACTACACGTTGCAGTGAACCGCCGTGTGCGAGGCTTCAGCCTTGCGGGCCCGCCTCTACCTCGTGCTGTGCACCCACAGAAGAGCGGAACTATGAATTGGATATCATAGCCGTCTGGAACCATGTTAGGCACATTCGTCAGGGCACTCACCGCCCTTCCGGTACTGTATGCTGGACATTACGATTCCTGTATCAATGGTCTTCCGTATGTTTCAATACCTGCTTCATACTGTTTCAAGGCTATCTGTCACCTTATTCCAGGCGCCTTGCATCGTGAACTAGTCGTGGCGTGCGATCTGGATCTTCTTCTCTTCGAAACGATCCTCTTGCTACGTACATACATGAGGAGTTCTACGAATGCCTGCGTCGATCTTGACAGCACGGACACGTTACGATGTTATACATCAATTGCGAGTAACACGAGTTTCAACCTGCTTTGGTCGGGTTTTATCCGAGACAGCTGTCAAGCTATGGCTAGTTTGGGCGGAGGCGAACAATTCCTGCTGCCTGGAGCTGTCCCCTAGTCCGTCTAAACAGTTTTATGTTCCTTCGCGTCTCGGTTGAATGGTCTTCGAGTCACTCAAGACGTTGTTTGTCAGGCACTTCCTCTGTTGCTGTTTTGTATCAAACAATGAGTTCTTCGCGGGTGGCACCCTGCAGGTCCGAATATTCAACCGATTGCCGCCACCGCACCACGATGCTATCAGTTCCAGTGCGGTGCATGGGCCAGGTCAAGGTCATTTCATTCACGCGTGGCGAAGATTGGCCACTTCTGACCAAAGGCTTTCTTTGTAACCTCGTGCTAGGTATAAAGGCACGGGAAAATGAAGGTGCTGTGGTTCTCTACTTTTTTCCTTGAGACTACGACTGTACCATCTCTTCCTACCCTCCCATCAGTATAAAATGTTATCTCCTTCTGACATCCTTGCTTCTCCTGCTTCGCCGCAGAAGGTGAGTATCTATTTGGAAGTCGTTCTTGTGATATTAACTAAAGGCTTTCAGGATGCATTGCTTTCACACGTCATCCCCGGCGAGTATTTGGTCCAACGCGGGAGTGTCAAGCTGCCCACACCATGGAACTCTCCTTCATTTTGCAGTTCCCTCATGAAAGGCCTCGTCCCTGAAGACGCCATCTCGGAGGGTCAACTCTCGACGCCGGTGACACCCTCCAGTAGTCCAACAGATTACAAAGTCAATGGGTCCCAGTCACCCACACAGGCCGGATCGCCATCCACAGCTAATGGTGGTAATGGTGAGACTCGAAATTGATCAGTGTCACTTTATATGAGGAGGCGAATGCAATCCCTGTAGATTTATTGAATGCTTTGGATGTTGCTCTCGAAGTCCGTTTTCCTTGACTACAATGTACGTGCTGCGTATGATAATGATTGGATGCAATTTCATTCAGGATTCTTTTCGTCAAAACATAACTGCATCTAGTGAGCGTGTCGAGACCATGGGGTTTTGAACCCGAGACGACTTAACTTGTTCTTCAGATATAGAAGAAGTCCCAACCTCATATTGTTCTTCTTTGACGGGTGCTGTATGTCTTTTAATTTACCCTCTTGTTCTTCAATGGTGGTAACTTGTCCATTTATCACTGCAGCTTGACCCGGACCATGCTGATGTTTCAGCACACAGAAACTACTCTATAGCAGGACTCGTTCCTCTGTCTCAACTTCTGCGAGACGCATGTCAGGATTCCCCGGACTCGTCGCTGGCAGGAGCGGTCTGTAATTTCTTCACTGACAATGCCAATGAGTGGGCTAATGCATGGTTGTATCATAGCTCGGTCCTCTAAACTTAAGCCATCTGAGTGACCATCATGATTCATACAGGTTCGTCACGGACAGTTATGATAACACTGACTGTACAATGTCGCAGGAGGTTGCCGACTGCTCGGATCTTTCTGAAGGCGACCTCGATTTCGCTGTTGTCGACGGGGCCGTAGGGGCTTGGGATACATCATCGACTAGGGAGCAACACCCTAGGCAGCTCAATCAGGATCTGACCAGTGACAGCAAGAGTCCGAGCATCGAAGTGGACGAACGCGAAGACAGACAAAGTGGAACGCAGCCTACTTCATCTGAAGTTGACATACAACAGTACATTACCTTTCATGCCGCCCCACAACCCCCAAGACCCTACAAATGTTTGTTTCGAGGCTGTCACAAGACCTCTAAATCTCATAAGGATCGTGCGCAACACATGGAAATCCACTTTCCTAATTACCAATGTCCGGGGTGCAAAGAGATGTATCATGGCAGAGCAAGGCTCAGATATCACTTGGTTAAATCTGAACCGTGCAATGTGGGCGTTGTACTTGATTGCAAACTAGCTCAGTACAGAATCTCGAAGACTGCTGGGTGGTTGCTACCTGAACACAAACACTCGCTTGTCAAACCGGATAATGAAGATTCTCGGCTTGTGCAATATATTTGGCCAGAGGTGAACGAGGAATGAAGGTGCCAAAGTGTAGTTTACTATTGATGTCGAGTTGTCCTGCTCGAGTCTCGATCGCGTGACCCGACCGCCGATGAATAGACCCTATATTCCACGGCCTGGTTACGAGATGCAATGATATCTTTATGCTCTTTCAAACTCTTTATGTGTCTCGTGTACTTTGTGGTGAAGTACGAAACTCAGTAGGGAATAAAATCATAATAAACTTCGAACTCAAAAGTGAACATTGTTCTGTGTGGCGCGACCGATCACTTCAATTAGCATCGTGATGTACATATCTTGAACAATCTAAAACCTCTTGTTCTTCAACCACCACAAGCATCAACACTGAGTCCATCTCATCTTTGCTTGACTCACATATCTGGTATCTTTTCTCTGACTCGATTTCGTTATGGAGAATGGAAACTGCCCTCTTTGAAGCTTCCGAATGATTTGCCTTACGATTGAGATGAAATCGAAGGTGATAGGTACAGTGTGTCATGTTATGATGTATCTATAGAGCAATGTCTCCTAGGGCTGGCGCAACCGTGACCACATCTCGGCAGCTTGATTGACAATATGCTCGTTTCTCACATGTCGCACGGTTTCCATCGATTGATGCGTGTTTTAGGTCTCACGGACGATGAAGCTCTGTGGTTAGGACTACGATAGTGCAAGTCAGGTTCTGGACAACATCACTTATCATCAATGGCTTCTAGAGACACCACAGCAGGAGAACTAGTATGGCTCGTCACCGGTATGTATTCTCAAGTGACAACTTTTTCGGGGTATCATAAATGATTGATTCCAGGCAGCTCTTCCGGTTTCGGTCGTAGACTGGTGAATTCTGCCGTCGCCCGTGGAGACAAAGTCATCGCTACTTCACGCAGTATTGAGGGCCTAGAAGATCTGTCGAGCTTATCGAATGTCCGAGTATTGCAACTTGACGTGACAGAGGGTCCAGACATTATCAAACAGAAGATCGACGCTGCAGTGACTTTCTTCGGTCGTATCGATGTCTTGGTAAATAATGCTGGCATCGCTGTCAAGGCTAGTGTGGAGGAAGGAGGGTGTGTACAGTCTGATTCTTCTCCCGTGATTCTTTGAAACTATTCCTTATGATCGCAGGTCAAAGGATTTCATGGATCAGATTCAAACCAATGTCATAGGGCTGCTCGATGTAACATCGGCTGTCCTGCCTCACATGCGTGCGCGACAATCCGGAACGATAGTCGTGATTGGCAGCCGTTCGAGCTGGTTTAGCGAGAATCAGGTATGTTCGAGGTTGGAGACGGCCATGAAAGTTGTTAACATGATTGATATACACTTCGTAGTTCACAGGTGGATGAAGTCTATTCTTATCAGAAGGACATTCTTATCTTTGTCGTAGGTCATTACTCGGCGTCTAAAGCGGCTGTACGAGGCATGTTGATCCTTAGACCTGATTCCAGACAATTCACTTCATATATGGCTGCTTTGTAGTTCTCGGAGAGACCCTGGCTGTAGAGGTGGCCCCGTTTTCCATCCGAGTTCTCATTGCAGAGCCCGGTCCATTCAGGACGGAGGGGATGCTGTCCCTACCCATGAGCACGCACAACAATATACCCGAATACGACGAAGCTAGGGAACGGACAGATCAACAAGTTAAATGGTTTGACGGGAAGCAACCCAACGATCCGGTCAAAGCTATGGAGATTCTTGTCGATGTTGTTCGTGGGGAAGGTCGTGCTGCTGGAAAGCCATGGCCTTTGTACTTGCCATTGAGTATTGAAGCGGAAGAAGCGATACGGAATAAATGCAAGGTATTGTTAAACGTTGTTGATGAATGGAAGGATGTGATTCGGGACACAAGGGTAGAGTAGAATTTGTGAGAATTAAATTTTAATTCAATCATTCTTTGCGGGCCCTTAGGGAACTGTATTTGCCACTAGCGAACGAAAAAGACTGGGTAGAAGACAGTCATTTCTGGCACCCTAGCAACCGTTCAGGATGTTTCGGGGTAGTTTCTAATACATACCAACAACATTTCTGATTGAATGATCATCCCTCGCTCAAACGACCATCCCGATCTAACTGGGATATGAACTCCTTGTTGGACAACAACTCGAAATGGCCGGACGAGAAAAACTTGACAGATAGGTTCAACTTGCACAGTTCCAGGCCTAGGTTATCCCATTCTGAACTCTGACGGGGATAAAGGCTTCGCAATCCGTGGGATGCCAAGTAGAGGGTGATCGGAAATTTAAAGGTGGATATCCAGTCGGCCAATCGCTGTCGCACTAGACGAGCATCGAATGTTTCGGACGAGTTTGCGAAACGCGTCATGAACTTGCCGTGTGCCCGAACCGAATGCATTATGTTCCTAAACCTGTCTCTCATAGCGGGACCAACCCTCTCCCCATTCATTGCCTTTTTCGTCTCCTCTGCAACGCGCGTGTAGTTGTGCCCAACTACAGAGGATGGCTCGTTGAGATAAAGGTCAATGAGGAAGTCAATGCTGCGTCGTTCCAAATCCTCGCTTGCCTTTCCTTCATGTACGGTAATCTGATCAATCTCCCAAACAGGAGACGCATAGAACATAGGAAAACCATCGATCAAGGCCATTTGCTGAATATCGTCTCCAGCTTGGAGAATTTTCTCGGCCAAGAGAAAGAGGGTGATGCTACCACCACAGAAGGCACCAAGACGGTACGGTCCACGAGGCTGGGTAGTCTTGATGTTCATAAAGTAAAATTCTGCAAGTTTCGGGAGAGTTTCGGGAGTGGTAGACGTCATTTGAATGCCGTACACCGGTGAAGTGAACTCATCGCTGATATGAGTGAATATATCGACTCTACCGGAGGTTCCAGGGATTAGAAAGATGGGTACTCCATCCCCGTCTCGCAGTTTGACAATGAGTTTGTCAGAACTAGCCACTTCTTCCCAGTCAATGGAGAACGACTCGGGGGACATTTCAACGGTCGCCGGAGGAGATGAATTTATTCGTGTAATGATGTCGTTGAAGGTCATGTCAGCTAAGAGCTGAAGTTGGGTTATACGTACAAGAGGTCGAAGCATCGAAACGACGCGTTGGGCAGAGAGTGAATCCAATCCGTAAGCTGTCAGAGGAACTTCAGGAGAGAAATCCTCCACCGACAGTTCTAATGCGTTGAGGAGAACCTGAAGCACTGATTCTGATGGTGAACTAGCTTGGACAGAATCTGCGTGAGGCCCTGTGTCCTGGGGTACCAGGTGTGCGAAAAACGGAGAGACACCCATTCGATTACGTATTGAGTGCCAATTCATATCTGGGACATAGAGCGAAAATGCCCCATCCTTCAGTTTACGAAGTCCGTCTTGAATAAACCTACACAAATCTGAAGTAAGAGAGTAAGATATACCATCCATTGGACTATTAAGGAAGGCAGTGCAGTTCACCTCTGGATGAAACTCCCCATTCAGCGATATGACGCACTTTCGTGTTTCGAGCTGTCCTTTCCGTTATGTCACCGAAAGCAATAGAAGTGTCTAGTATCATCGGTGTAACAATGCAGAACGCATTATCATGTTGTTGAAGCAAGAACTCGAGTGCGGTGTTCGCGCTGCGCAGCATGGAATGAATGGCATCTCGCTAACGTAGGTAAGCAGACATACCTAGCATAGTTGGTTTGACCCGCGTTACCAAACATTCCTGATATCGAAGTGAAGCCGATCAGAAAGTCAAGTTTGCTGACATCCAAAGCTTGGTTCAAGGCGTTGTACGCCCCAATCTTTGAAGCAAAAACGCGCGAAAAGCTTTCTTGTGTTTGTGTATCAAAGGGTTTGTCTTCAAGTACTGCTGCTAGAAGCATACAGCCTGCCACAGGAACCGCGAGGGTATCGATGAGTTTGCGAGTGTCGTCTACATTGGCGGCGTCAGAAGATGACAAGACAAGAGTCAAGTCGGACAATCCCTCCAGATACTTCAGTGTTCTTAATGCTGGCATGTTAGTCGCTCGCACAAGTGAATCGCGACCAGAACGGGAAGTTAGGATGAGATAGCGAGCGCCATTCTTTAAAGGAAGATGTATGTCAAATAAGAATCAACACCATGACTAGCCGGACATACCTCGTACATCCATGACGCAATTTGCAAGCCGAGGCTGCCAATGCCCCCGATTAACAGGTAAGCTTTGTTGGAATAGAACAAAAGACTTCGATCGGGCAAGACATTGGACGACTGATGATGGATGAAAATAGCATCGACCATGGGGCAGTCAACAGTCGATGAAGGAGTGAAAGGCAACCATTGCATGGCCGATTGTAAAGCGCGGCTGATCAGATGTTGCCTTTTGTGCAGAAGACTGTGAAGGCCATCCATCTCACTATTCCAGAAGCATAACGACTCTGCTGTTGCGTAGAGATTATGGATAACATCGCATATGGCGGGGTTGGTGTGTCCACTTATGACAAAGTCGAAATGCTTTTGCTTGATATTCAATACATCCGAGAGTGGAGCGGTACGATCGAGGCGGTGAAGATGTACCCCGGAACGCTGCAACAGCTCGGTCAAGAGTGAACCAAGGACAGTATCGGCATGTGTCAGCAAAACTGTGACACCCTTTAGGCTTTCTGGTTCTTGCGCACGCGATTCAAACGTTAGGGATAGGATGACAGCTGGGATGGCATATATCGCAACCTGTTCCAAGGGTAATGGATAGTCATGAGGAACAGCGAGGATGTGACCTCTCGGAGTGGAGACGACGTTACTGAGCAAACTACCTGTGATAGCAACCACAGAAGCCCCGGCGTCTGTGCAGCCTACGAAGCTCCACATTCTGGTCTCCTGTGAGTTGTGAAATACACGTTGGATGCGTATGCGAACCTCATTAGAATTGAGAATCGGCATTGAAGCATGTATGAGAGACATTCCACCGTTGGTATTCTCAAGGCACCAACGCGCGCTGGGATCAAAAGGAACAGTAGCGCGTGGTGCATCCATAGGACGTAAGCGGGGCACCAGAACAACACCAACTGGTGTTACAACGACTTCCTCCTCTTTGATACCCGATGCTAGGAGATGCATAGCGATGAGTTCTTTATGGTCTTCTGCCCAGTCTATTTCGAACGCCACCAGGCGGACAGGGCACATGACTTCGCGACGAAGTGCCCGAGAAAATCCTGCTGCCGCTCCAGCACAATAACCAGTACTGGCAAATATCCACAAACCAGAGAGGTTGGTGAGATCTGCCCTCCTGAGTGCTCTTTGAACTGAGTGGCACTCTTCCCCGGGTTGAAACGTGAGACAAAGTGATCTTCTAAAGCTCTCCTGTAATGAATGCGGAAAAACACTCAACGAGCGTTCGCTATCGACCATACATGCATCTGGAATTTTGAGTGATGCAATAGGCTCGTAGATCATGTCGTAACGTTTCGCGATCTCCTTGATTGGGGCATGAAGCGAGACTGTCATCTCTCGGAACGTACATATCGGCGTGTTCTCAGAGTTCACAATAAGGATATCGTACGAAATCGTTTCTGATATTGCAGCATTTTAGATTCGGTTGAGACCAGAAGGTAATAAGGAATACCTGGCGTCCACTTTCCGTTGCAACCATAGGCAAACAGACGATCCGTGAATAGTTCAGCGGTATTGTATAAAAACAGCCGACCACATCCGGATGGGAGGTAATACGCCGACGGATCCGTGGTACCGGTGATTAGGGGATGGACGATGACATGAAGACAGGCATCCAAAATGGCGGGATCGAGTCGGTACTGCTTGCGATAGCCATCAACACTGTATTAAGAAGACTTAGCACTGGATCAAAGAGAACTGAAAGGCGATTATACCTGGGAAGATTATCCCGCCCGGCATCTACCTCGACCAAAAATTCTTCATTTCCACGATGGAATCGCTTGATCAATTGGAAACACGGTCCGTATTGAGCAAAATATCGTAGATCATCGTAAAACCCTGCAGGAAACGCCCCGTCAACTCGTGACTGCCTCAAGAGTAAGGCGAAAAATACCGTTGGTGTTGACTTCCTGACATCGTTCTCGAATTGCAGGGATGTCGACAGGCGTTTGATGATGTGAAAAGGAATCGAGAGAGAGATGCCCTTCCGCATGCAGTCGCGTTGTCTGCACCCGAATAGATAAGGTACGTGTGTGACCACAAATGAATGGTATTTCGTACCTTGGCTGGGTCCACACTAGTCGCACTAGAGACAGTCCAATGTGTGCCCTGCAGAGTGACACTAACGGGTATGGGTTCGTCTTGAGATAGCGATAGGAAAGAGTGAAATTTGACATTCCACAGGACCGTCGCTCCGAACTCTATCGCCTAGGACAAAGATCAGCCTAAAAGGCCTCCAAAAGGAAACTTTGCCTACCATTTCGAGGAAACCTGTAGCAGGCACAATAGGTTCTCCGTTCATGACATGTTGCGCGAGGTCTGGGTGAGTAGCAAAGTTCATCCTGAGTCGTCGGTGATTCAAAGGCCCATTACAACCACTGAGGACCTTTTGTTGGCCCATCCATTTGGAAAACAACGGCACATGCCTTGGTAGAAATGGATAAGATGGAAGAGTAAATGAAAGAAGGTGATCGATGTTGCCGTTGAGCGCAGAGAAGTGAACGATATTGTGACCAGCTGTTACAAGTCCACCGATGGCTCGAAGGAGAATGCTACATTCGTGATAGAGAGTGATTGTTTTGGTACGACGCATTGGACAAAGGACAGTCATGTTGTCTGGTCTGAAGGAAGAGATGTACGAGGACAATACCGGATGTGCGCCGATCTCTATGATAGTGACGGGCCTGTCAGCGTAATCGTTGACTATTGCCTCCATAGCATTAGAGAAAAGGACCGGTTGGCGAGTGTTCTTCCAGAAGTACTCTGCATTGAATGTGTCGTCGAATCTCTTGCCAGAAACAGTGGAGTATGCTTGTACACCATTTGGCTCCAGGAAACCGCCTGTGTGCCTATCAAAGACGTCATTAATGAACGACCGGAACTGAGCTTCGCAGTGATCCATCGCTGAAGAATGGACTGCAACGTTGGTTCTCAACCTTTGAGCAGAAATGCTCTCTGACTTGCACAGATGGATGAGTTCCTCGATCAGCTTGACAGAGCCCGCAACGGTGACCGCTTCATCCGTGTTGTAACATGCGATCTCTAGAGTCCCGCGTGGATGCTTTGAGAGGACTTTCGATAGAAGCTCCTCGGCTTTCGATGGCCCACACGAGAGTGCCGCCATAGTAGCACCCAGCAATTCTGTTAATGCAAGTGCCTGCCCTCTGGCAATCGAGAGTTCCACTGTCATCTCCCTTGAAGCGGCACCACATGCGTATAACATTGCGGTCTCTCCAGCAGAATGACCCAGAACAAAGTCAGCTGCAATACTGAATGACCTCAAAAGATCAATGAGCGCGACCTGGATGATAGCAATGGAGGGCAGAATAATATTGATGGGCCATATGTCCGGCAAGGCTGAGTCGCCGCCTGTGGTATCGAAGAGCCCCGTCGACTTGATGAGAGAAGTGCCAACCACTTTGGTATAGACAGCATCCATTGCCAGAACACTTTCTCGGAATACAGAAAAGTCCCGAAACAGTTGCCGGCCCACTGCAACCGTGATATTAGCGCAAGGTTGCGAAGAGCTATTTTCCATCATGGACTTACTGTGAAGATGCTGAGGACCCTGACCTGAGAAAACGAATCCAAGCCCAGGTTTGGTTCGAGTGGTCAGAAGCGGTTGGGTAAATGTTATCTTATCATCCGCTGTTGGGTCGACAACGGCAAAGCTCCGCCAAGTCATCTGTCGTACCCGTCTGCCCAAATTTACTGACAGGGCTGCGGCTTCCGACGGATGTTCTTTTACTAACATCGAAATCGAGTCACATAACACTGTAATCGCACGAGGCGAGAGCCCCCCAACCACCAAGAGAACAGGCATGCTTTTGAAAGAGCCTTTGAAATCATGAACAACTCGTCGAGGGGGTGCTTCGATTACACAGTGACCATTTGAGCCGCCAATTCCAGAGCTCGCGATCGAAATCAAAGACCTTCCGTGCTTTCCATGCGTCGGCAATGGTGTAGCAGTGACAGGTGCATGCAGTTTATATTCTTCCCAGCGGATGGCGGGATTGAGGCGTTGCAAATTAACGTTTGGAGGAATGACACCGTTCTCGAAGACGCCAATAACTTTGCAGAGCGAAGTCAGGAAGGCAGCGATTTCGGTATGTCTAGGATGATAAGAGTCAAAGCCCAACTAATGAATTACGTGCAATTGTTAAACCTACTCGATATTACCTTTAACACTCCCCACGAGTATAGGACTGTCGTCAAAGACATCCCTCTTGAAACCTCGGCCGACCCAATTCGCCTCTGTGGGGTCTCCCAGCGCAGTCCCTGCGAGATTCTCATTGCAGCAAGGGTATAAATGAATCAGGGGTCGGCACGAACCTGTAGCATGCATCTCTATATAATCCACTTCTGCCGGCTGGCGGCCAGCTTGCTTGTACGCCCTGCTCATTGCATCTTCTTGTGCGAGACCTACGGGCGCATTTTCCGGAGCAGCGGAACCCGTTGAATTGATACCTGTTCCAAGAATCTAATCATAGTAATCTGTAAACTTCGCTGTTAGGTGGTAAGGACTGGGGTCTCACAGTAGCGTAGACCTTATCTCCGTCTCGCATGGCATCTTCAAGGGGTTTAATTACTACCACTACAGCAGCTTCGCTGCGAGAAAACCTGGGACGCCCTAGTAAGTTATCGTGGAGAGATATTCAAGATACTGGAACGTGACATTTACCCGTCAGCAGAAGCGTCGAAAGGCTTGCATTTTCCATCCGGAGCAAGTACTCCCCCTTGGGTGTACTGCACGAAATCCAAGAATCTAGGACATATTTGAGGATACGCATCACTTTGGCAAAGATTGAACCACTCCACCTCTGGTTGAGCTGGCATCCACCCACTACAGCAGCTTCGCAATCGCCGGCACGTATGGATTGCACGGCGAGATGCATAGCAGTAAGAGTGGAGCTACAAGCTGTGTCTGTTGGTACAGAGGGTCCGACCAAGTCCAGGTGATATGAAATCTTGTTGGCTATCTGGGTAGGTATCCCGGCAAACGATCCTCGAGCTTCGAATTCATCCTAAGCGACAAGTGTGAGATAGAACACAATTTTAGCAAGGTTGTCACGAACCATGTCACCCAAACCTAGTACGTCATGTACGATTCCAGATGCGAAGCAGCCAACGTTGCGGCCTCGATAGTCAATGCCCGAGTCGAAGAGAGCGATAAATGATAACTCGATCAATTTACGAGTGCTAACGGACATAGCGCGAGCGTCCTTGCTTGTGATACCGAATTCCAGATAGTCAAAGTCATCGATGTTTTTGAGAAATGAGGCTCGATTCGCGACAATCCGCCCAGGTTGTGAGCCTTGCAATCTAGGTGAGGAGTAGGTCTAATGTCATCGTATTTGAACAGTTGAAAATTGGAACATACTCCATGACGTTGAAGCGTTCTAGGGGGATTCGTTCATACGACTGACCTTCCTTCATTAGAAACTCAAAGAAGGCTACATGATCGAGGTTGCAATTGGAAGAATCCCCGCCGGGAAGTTGAGCGGCTATGCCAACCTGTGGAGCGATCAGAGGAGCGTAGGGGCGGAAAGGAATCTCAGTACATACTAAAGCAATAGGGTCACGAGGGGCTCCTGCGCCAAGACTCATAGTTGTGTTTAGAGCAGTCTATGGGGATCGCTCGAAAGTCAGCAGTATTTATACCAGCGCAAGCGTGATCAGTCAAACCGATAAAGGTTGCAAAACGTTTGGGTTCGGCCGCCAAAGACCCAAATGTCCTGGAAGGATGCCGCCACTGCACATAAAGCTATCAGCAGGATCAAGGCCAACTCCTATCGAATGAGGGATCCAGGTTCACAATGTGAATATGCACCATTATGGACCTATCCTATGAATTTTTCCTGTGCCCCGTATGAGCGTAGAAGACCGGTAGTACTTGTTCTGGTTCTGTTTCGCCCACGGTCTCCAGCTACAGTCTTCTACAGCATCAGACCTGGCTGAGAAAGATTTTGTGACCCGAACACTTTTCATCGCAGTGGGGGCCGGTCAGGGTTCCACTGGTTCAAGGTTCAATATTGAAACACCTGAGTTCACAAGCGGCAGTACTGATGTTGATATGTTGTATTGTGCCAAAAATATTCGGCGTTAACTCAGGACCCTCGCTAATTCCCGATCCCGGTCTGCCCGAAAATTGGGTCCGTCGTCTGAGGTCTGAGAGGAGGGTCTCTCAGATCTCAGGTTGTATAGCTCGAAACACTTGCGGGGCTTGGAGGGGATCCCTGATGTCAATCGCCTGTATTCACCCAGTCTGGAGACAGTGGCTCTCAGGGAGGCTTCGATAATGCCCGGTCTCTACTTGATAGACCGACTGTCTTCTATATGTCCAGGATGACAGCGTGACGTGTGAGCCTACCTCCGAGTCTACACTTTGACACTTCCAGCTCACACTGTCCATCTACGAATGAGATTTCGCCCGATGCACTAATTGTACATCCCCAGGCATTCCCTGGGATCTAGCAGGGCCCAGGGTTCTAGTTACATATGGCTAGAACCCTTATTCCGAGGCAGTCGCAATCAAGTAGCGACGAAGATAGATAAGACGGATGCTGTGGCTTATTTTTCTTATCAATAGATATCAGAAGAAACACAGAGAGGCTACACAGGCAGAATAATACATTCCGATGGGAGAAGTCGGAGTTCGATCTTATCCAATGATGTCTGCATCATATCAATTGCGTTCCTTTCTTCTTCACCAAAATCTCTCTCGAAGCAATCAGCGCAATGGAACCTCCCAAAACGGTTACCTACATAATGGATCAAAAAAAATCGCGTTAAGCTCATCAAAGACTGGGGAGGTAAATGAGACTCTCACTGCGCTGAAGATAATAGCAGACTCCCAATCATACGAAGGCGCACGAAGGAGAGCACCGTTTATAGGTCCCCCAATAAGAGAACCGATCCCATAGAGCACACAACCAATGCCCAGTCGTAATCTTCACCAGAGGTCTGGGTCAGCTATCATGGAAGCAAATAGCGGGTGATCTGAAACTGACCCGTATTCTGATCTGTTGCTTGTATAACACCCGACGGAAGCAGGGAAAAGCGATGGTACTAGAGATTGCAGGTTATCGGTCAAGCGAGCATAGGCGTTCAGTTGCATCAGAAGAAGCTGGGATCCGGAGCTCTGGATGGATTACTCACGTACTCCACCACATGGTCCATAGAGCAATGTGAATGCAAGGAATCCACCCACAGTGTCAGCTCTGGACATGAGGAATATCAATCCTCCTCCCACTATTGTATATGCGAGCATCACTACAAAATAACGTGTATAAAAATGAACATGGGTCAGGTACAGGGGGCGTAAGGGGGTAGCTTGATAGTACAGTGCGCACCATTCAGTATGCCATAATGGTCTGCCAGAATCCCCGGCACAATTCTCCCAAAAATAGTACCAGATCCAAAGAATAAGGCAAGCTGAGACAGAGTGTCAGCCAATATGTCCAACACCACCATCAGTAGAAATAATATAGGCAGTACGCTCACTGTATATTGTGTTAAATTTGGAGGGATACCATGTAAAGATGCAAATAGCTCAAGATAGTTGACTTGGCGAAATCAATACGAGAAAGCAACCTGGGGTTGGTAACGTACATGGGAAAAACAGACCCAAACCTGTAATGAACACGCTACTTGCAATCAAGATCTGACTTGAAGCACATTTAATACTGGAATGAACGTACGCAACAAGACAAAGATTGAATGGCAAGTCTGAGAATGCAACCTTGAGCCCTTTCACCATTGGAGTACGAGCTGGTCTTATAGCGGGAGGGCGCGTCCGCATCAGTAGGTTGGCCGAGAAAAGTAGTGCAAAACAAAGAAATGCAGTAATCCTAATAGTGTAACGACGTAAGAAACGGAGAATATAAAATGAGGTGGAGGACAGTACCTCACTCCCCAAGCAAATCCTACGTCATGTAGAATAAGTCGATTCAGCATGATCGGCCAGAGGAGGCCACCGAGAGTAGAGCCTACGTGATCAACGGTTTGGTCATAAAATGAGCATCAAAGATAAAAGCGTGTCAGATGATACCTGCAAAGACTATCCCATTCGCGCGAGCTCGCCGAGTTTGAAAATAGTGCGAGATGATTGAGATACACGGCACTGTGACGAGCCCCATCCCAATTCCCATACCGAGTCCTTGAGACAGAAAAAATTGATAATAGTGCTGCGGCTTGCATAGCGACAGCATGAAGATCCTGGCCCACTTTAGAGCATGATAAGATTTAGTTGAGCTTTGAACTCACGAAATGATGTAAATGATCGAGCCGGGGATGATCATAAAGTAGAAGTAACCATTGTCGAACCATTTGCCCGTATAGAGCCCCAATGCATAAAGTAAGAATGTCTGCACAGATCCTATCCAACTGATATCAGACGGCGAGAAACCACTCAGAACGACACGCTGATGATCGTTTATAAGTTGCCATATTGTAGCGGAAAATTTACTGTATGTACGCACAGTATAGTAATCTTGAAATACGCCAAAGCTCTGTATCATGCCAAAAGAAATGAACATAACAAATGAGCTGCGAAAAAGTTGAGAACATTGAACGAGAGTACCGAGTCACCAGCTTACATACCAACCAATCACTGTCAACCATGCCCGCACTCCCCCCTCTGGAGGATCTTGCGGAGTTTGTTTCAAGGACAATGAAACAACAGTATCCTCGGAAACATCTTTCTCATTCGGCGAAGCATGTTCAAGGTCTACATCGGTGACACCTGGCCTTCCAGTGTCGGAATAAAGATTGCTATCGAGCTCGGACATGGTGTCTTTGTCCTTTGCAATCACTAGACAGGATCAGCAAGCACTGGACTACTGGAGGGAGAAGGAGGGAGTGGCGGTTAAGAGCTGTAACCCTCCTCTGAAGCTTGAAGGCTTGCAGACTCCAGCAACGCGTTGCATGCTCGGGGAAGTCAAGCATGATGGAATTGGATCCGGCATACTTCTCACTCATGCCAGCCGGGGTCCAGCAAAGATACCGGCCCTGGGAGGGCAGACGTCCGTTTGAAAGCTCAGGAAGAACTTGAACTTGAAATTTATGAATGTCTGTTCTATTATTTACATGTAAGTATCGCGACGGACGAACCAAATCTGTCCCATCCAAAGTACCGGATGAACATGTTTCTTTCCGCCGAGACAGGTCCAATATCATTTGTCCTATCACAGACCCTGCAACATTCTATGCAGGGCCGCAAGGATGTGAGAAATTGAACGAGCAGAAGGGGAAGAGACCGAGCGCTAGCGCTGATCTCGTTGTTAGCATTTCACAATTAACTGTCAAAATGCGGCTCTCCGTTTGTAATGACCGCTCCATCAGAACATCACTTTAAGTTCTTCAAAATGGTGATTTCGTCGCTTGTTCTTAAATTACACCTCATCGATCGACTCTCGAAGGGTCGAGATAACAGCTTTGGAGTCTTGAGAAACTCTATAGCCCCACCAGATTACGTGGAAACACAAAAATGCATGAGAAAAGTCAGGGCCAGGCCATTGCATTTTGAAACGTCTGGCAGTATACTTCCTGATGAGATACAGTTGCTTTCGTTGGATCTGTTGACCGGCGCAAAATTGCTTTGGTGGTTAATGATATAAGAACGCTCACGTATTGACCTTCAGGTCATTATTCAAGTCTAACTTTCCTCAGACCTTCAGTCAGTCTACTCGCCATGGGTGGTCTACACCTTGTACCAGCTGAACTTGGTGGCATACTCATCGAGTCTTTCATCTATGGTAAGAGCCAACCACGTATCAATTTCCGTGATTCATACTGAGATAACCAATACTAGGCATGTATGTTATTATGTTCTCGGCCTGCATGTATGTGCTCGTCGGCAGACAGCTCAACAGACCTAAAGAACGCCGTAAGCCATTGAACAAACCTCTCGTCGCAGCTTGCGTTGTATTGTTCATGTCTATAACTACGGTAAACCGAATTTCGCGTTTGTGCTACTCAAGGAGAAGAAAACATATTGAACTGTTCTTATTTTAATTTTCGTCAGCACTGGTTCCTTAATATGATTCGGGCATTTCACGCCTTTGTGCGTGAAGGTCACAAGCCGGATGGCCCACTCAATTCATTCGGTAAACTCTCGGATCCGCTGAACGTCACGAAAACTGGGTTGTACATGTTCGACATCGTCATAGGGGACTTGATCATGGTAGGTGATCATGTAACCTTGGGGCGTATCTCTGCTCGCTGAAATCGAATTGTGCTCTCAATAGGTTTACCGTCTGTGGATTGTTTGGAATCATAACAAACTAGTATGCGCTCCTCCAGCTCTCTGTGTCCTTGCGGTGATCGGTAGGGGTCTCTCTATTCACGTATTTGAATGTGCTGACATTAAGGCTAACAAAAAGCTACTGGTACTGGTATCACCTATCAATTCACTCAACTACAACCGGACCAGGATGTATTTCTTTCACAATGTGGTAAGTTCGCACAGCTGCAGTTGGTCTTTTCCCCCTGAGATATATCGAATGTCTCGCAGGACGGTGGATCACGTCGTCGTGGAGTTTGACCCTGGCGTGAGTCTTGGCTTGATATCAAAGCCTTTCAGACCACTGACGATGGCGAGCGCTGACGTCTACAGTACCAATGTGTATAGCACCAGTACGTCACAGAAAACAATGCTAGGACTTCATTCTAACTAGCTTGTAGGCATGCTCTCGTACAAAATTTGGAACATCAATCGTGCTGTCAAGCGGCTACGTTCATCGACTACCATGGCGAGAAGAGCAATTCGTTTCTTTTTCTGGATCAAGGCTAACTGGGCGTTGTGTAGTATATTATGGTGATCGTCATCGAGAGTGCCGCAATCTACACGTAAGCTTCTGAGTTACCTATTTCCGTCGACTCTCAACTGAACAGTCATCCTACCACAGTGCATTCTCGTTCAGCGCAATGGTGTCGTATCTCTCCAAATCAAATATGCAGTTCCTCATTCTCAATGCAGTGAGTTGAAATATCTCACCCTCCTTCACCACCCATTTAGCTCTCAAGTTGCGCTGACACTGATGAATCAATCCTTGGCAGTGTAACCCGGTCATTGGTCTGGTCTTTTGCATGATCATTGTTCGAGTTGGCCTCGGGCTTGGTGACAAGCACGTCATCACAACCGCACTTCCGGTCGACCTAGGTGATAAGTTCTCTTCTGGATCCGGAATGGGCTTGAACGGGTCCCGCGCACTTCAGGGTAACGTTCATCCTCTCAGTCATCTGAAGCCAATATCCGTCAATGTTTCCACCCACATCGACACTGCAATCGATGATGATATGCTACCCCGTCGACACAGCCAAGGATTACCAGATGGATATAAAATTAGTCACGATGAGTCGCTTTGAAGCGTGCGATTGTTGGGTTTAAAGTTTTCGGTGGAGGGGTTGGTTTCGAGAGTGTATTGCTGCTGGATACAACGATCCTCTCCCATGAGTATCTCGTTTCGAATATTTCTTCTATTTATTACCATCGGGTTACCATTTCGTTGCCTCGTAGCCCACTCGAGCCGTGTACTTTACAATCTTTTCGAACAGTTTGCCACTGCTTGTGACCTGTGACCCCACCTGACAAAATGTTGAATTCGTCAAGACGGCAGGAACAGTGGGACTTTGTGCACAAATTCATTCAGTTTTGGCTAACTCAGAGCTACCAATTCTGAAGGACTCTTCACAGCTTAAAAGGGTTCAGGAGGCGAAGAACGACGGCGGTTGCCACCGATCAACTTCGATCAACCACCGATAGGTACGAGCTTTTGGGCGCCTGACACCAAGCCCTCCGATTCCCGAAACCTTGTGATGCGTGATACCTGTCAAATTTCGTCGCACTGACGAACCGTTCCAAATTGTACAGTACTTACAAAGTCTTGTCTATCTCTCATTCCTGTGAACTCTCGTTACGCCCATTGGTCTGGGCGGAGTGCCGGGGTCTGAGACTATAGAGCCGTAGAGCACACCTCCTGCGTCATTGCTGCCAAACATTGTGAGAGCCTGCATCTGCCAGCGGTAGCAGCATCAATAGAAGACGATGCCAACAAAGTTGCAGGATGACACGATGCAGGGTCATGTCTTATCTATCACCTTCCAGTTCATTACCTTCTCAATCTCATAACAAAACCGTGGTTCACACCTCACGCAGACCAGACTTCCATCAGTAGGCATTTCCATTTTCAAGGTGCTGCGCAAATAATTTCCCGACTTCATCCGGGTCTGGTCTGAACCCTGTGATAGCCATGGTCACCGAAATAGGAATTTAGAAGCATGTCGAGCGTATGGTACTGCCCGAAGCGTCCGCGAGAATGAACCCGTGAAGGGGCCCTGCATTCGAAGACACGTTCAAGCATGGTTCCAATGAACTCTAGCGACACAGCCGCAAATGTCGAAGGTGCTGACGTTATGATACGGACAGCAATGTAATCCCAATATTAGGACTGTTAGCGTCTCGGAACTCAGTTATTCACCGCTGACCAGTGGATGGCCCTCTAAGCCCTATCAGGCCTGCGCAGCATCTCTAACCATAAGAAGTGCTGACTCCAGGTAGTTCCGTATCTGCTAGCACTTACCGAGTGTCCCACTAGTGCCGATACGTTCACTATACATCTCAACATGCATCCAGACAATTACAAGACTCTACCTATCCCGCCTCTACCCAAGACTCAATGTTTATCCACACAGACATTCAGTCAGCCAAAACTAGACGGCTCGCTCACTATTCCAGAGATATATGACTGGCATCTTGGGCACTCACCCCAACATCCGTTATTCGTCTATTCCGACGAAACAGGGGTCACGACTACAATCTACTGGCCCGATGGGGCTCGAGGAGTTCATAGGGCTGGTCGTCTCGTGCAGTACTTGGCAAAGGAGACTACAGCCCAGCACCCGCGGCCGCTTATATTCGCTATTCTAGCGTCAACAGGTCAGAAGATTTTTGACTGCATCATTTCGTCCTAATCATACCATCTGTTGCAGACACTATCACGTACTTCACGTTAATGGAAGGTATAATCCGTGCGGGCTACACTGTCTTCCCAATCTCGCCGCGTAACTCTGCTGTTGCTGTCGCCCACCTCTTGACCAAGACTAGCGCGGAGCGTGTCTTCGTCGGACCCGAGGTTGGACTGCAGGATCTTGCGGCAGCCTCGCTCAAGATCATGTCGCAGGCCGGCACGGCTTGCCCTATTCTTGATACCGTTCCTCCGTTCGAGAGCTTCTACCCAAAGATTTCTGAGGCAGATTTCGAGCCATTGACCCCGTTCAAACCGAATTGGGATGACCCAGCTGTCATCATGCATTCTTCAGGTTTGCTTGCGTCCCCGTTTCGATTGGGCGCTTTAACTCAACTAGAAATTGCCCAGGATCGACTGCATTTCCCAAGCCTATTGTATGGTCGCACTACAGGTACTTCATGCTGTGTATCGTACCGTGTCAGTACATCGTTATTCTACCCATCCCATCGATTGAAGTATCGTTTTAGACCTTGGCGAGCGCGATATGACTGGCCAACGTCTTGCATGTCATTCGATGCCCATGTACCATGGAATGGGTATCATGCAGACTGGTTGGACGGTGCGCCAGCAGTGATAGTGGTTCTTTGCATTTGAACTGAAATGCTTTGCAGGCCACCGCCGGACTGACTTTGACAGCCTTCAGACCCCAATCACCTGCTATTGGACCAACTCCAGAACTAGTTATCAAGGGAGCCATCGACACAAAGAGTGACGTGATCTTCTGTGTACCGAGCTTCATCGAGGTACGACTGCTTGCTCTTCCTAATCTTCGTCGCTTACCGGGCACGCAGGCTTGGGCTAAGAATCCTGAGCACGTTCGTCATTTGCAACAAATTCAAGGGATTGTAAGCTATTGTAAGGCGGTTACCTATGAAACTTCTGACTTCCCTTTCTGGTTAGCTGTATGGTGGTGGACCTCTGTCACAGAGTGTCGGTGATGCTTTGACCAAGCAAGACGTATCAATCTTCATCTTATACGGGTGGTGAGAAGCGCATTGCATGTCTGATTTGGAATGTATACTAACAAATACCAAAGCTCGGAGTGCGGCATCTTCAGCCCAATTCTCCCAAGTGCATAAACCCTCTCTTGTTAACTGAATTTGTCTGAACAAGGTTCCTTCAGAGACCTCAGGACTAGATTGGAATTACTTCACCTTCCCAACTGGTATTGAGACTCGGTTTGTCTGGGACTCTAATGGGAATGCCGAGTTGCTCGTTCTGGTGAGTAACGCATATGTGGATAGCCACTAGCAATGCTGATAACGGTTTTAAAGCCCGGAACTTTCCTCGTACCAAATATTCTCAATACCATAATCGACGGCACTGACGCCTATGCGACAAGTGATCTCTTGTCCCCCCATCCTACCAAACCGGGTTACTGGAAGATATATGGTCGCGCAGATGACCAAATCATGCATAACACAGGAGAGAAGGTAGGGCTATTGGAGATTCGTTTCCTTGAAGAACTCCATTGATATAAAATCGCGTCAGACGAATCCTGCGCCACTAGGTATGTTACGTTTCTTCAGCTGAATGACCAAGCCTCCCTACGGAATGTTAAAATTTGGACAGAAAATATCCTGAACCAGGACCTGCACATCCAGGCATCAGTAATATTTGGGCGAGGAAAGTTTAATGCTGGAGTTGTAATTGATCCTCGCGCCGGGTTCGGGTTCGACCCTAAGCACCAAGACCAGCTTGTGGAATTTCGCAACAAGATCTGGTACGCATTCTGTCTCTTTCTGTCTCTTCGTCATTCGCCTCATCCATGTATTAATATATATTTGACATAAGGCCTACCGTTGAGAGAATGAATGAGTATGCACCACAGCATTCTCGTCTATTCAAAGAGGTGAATCCAACCTTGTTCTCCGCTGTCCAACCAGGCTGACATTTCTGACCATGGTCACAGATGATTATGGTGGCATCATCATCGAAGCCCTTTACCTATACAGCGAAGAACACCGCTCGCCGACAAGCCATTATCGCTGACTACGAACCGGAAATCGAGGCTTTGTATGCGGCTGTGGATGAAACCACTCAAGCTGATATCACACCTCCTTCCTCATGGGACTTACAAAGCTCACTACGCTTCGTGCGAGAAGTTGTCAGGAGGGTTCTCACGCACGAAGTTAACGATTCAGATGATATCTTCCAGAAAGGTTGCGATAGGTTCGCAACGCGTGACCTTGCTCTTTGTAGTGATACTGATACCTTGGTGATTGCCCAGCTTGCAAGCGACTTGGATCCGAAATTCACTTCTACACGCCCTCCGAGATACGACCAATGTGAACACAAGGTCTTTCTCAAGTAGCTTCGTGTATCAACATCCTAGCATCAACGCTCTCGCCTCCTTTGTCACTCGCGCTCCTGGCTCTGAGCATTCGGATGCTAATGACAGCAGACCAGTCGAGAATATGTTACGCATCGTTGACAAATACTCTGCTTCCCTCGTTTCCCATTTTCCTTTAACAGGCACCCCTACCCATGACACCGTCGTCTTGACAGGAAGCACAGGTGGCCTGGGTGTCAATTTACTTGTTCGTCTTGTTGTATCTCCGGACGTTGCTCGTGTATACGCTCTGAACCGAAAGAATCAGCAGTCGTTGAAGGATCGGCAACGTGTTGCGCTTGAAGAGCGTGGTTTTGATGCAAAGATTGTCGATTCGGAAAAGGTCGTTTTGATAGAAACGGATCTGACGAAAGACACTCTAGGCCTCTCTCATGATCTTCTTGAAGAGGTGAGTAAGTGGATCATTACAAGTAATGATTTTTTAAACTTGAGGTTAGATTCGTGCATCGGCGACGCATATCATACACAACGGTAAAACAATGATGTGATTAATGTGAAGGTGTCATTGACCGTTTCATAGCCTGGCCTGTGAACTTCAACCTGTCGCTGAGCTCCTTTGAGCCTAACATCAGGAGCTTACGAACTCTCATTGATATTGCTTTGGCTTCTCCTCTGCCTTCGCCGCCCCGCCTCATTTTCATTAGTTCGGTCGGTGTCCTACGTCGTGAGTGTTTCTTCCCATTGTGTAGCTGGATATTCGATGATATTGTCGGCAGATGTCGACACCGCCGCACCCATTCCAGAACAGCCAATCGAGGCAAACGTTGCCGTAGGCACAGGTTACAGCGAATCAAAATGGGTTGCAGAGAAACTGCTGAACGTCGTTGCCAGCAAGTCGTCCCTTCGTCCTGTGTCAATTCGGGTGGGTCAGGTCAGCGGTGGAGCTTCTGGTGCATGGAACCAAGCCGAATGGTTCCCCGCCCTCGTGAAGTCGAGCGTGCACCTCGGCCACCTACCCACTCTTCCTCAGGTGGGGAAGTCTCAGAATATATCCTAGCATTTGGTTCTCACTCTCTCTGCGTTGGTAGAAAATATCCTGGATTTCCGCAGGTGCCGTTGCTCAGGCAATCATCGAGATGCGCAACTCGCACGTTCCCCTTCTACATCTCGCACACCCACGGCCTGTGCCATGGCAGACTATGATTGAGCCTATCGCGAAGGAACTCGCACTTCCTCTGGTCTCATACGACGACTGGCTCGAGCTATTGGAGGACAAAGGGACTGGTCTCGCTCCTGACGCTGAAGTCGATGTTTTGAGTCGGTTCCCCGCTCTGAAGCTTATGGACTTCTTCTCGCGAGCGCGAGAAACACGGTCTTCAATCGAGGCCATGGGCATTCCTATGCTTGACGTGTCTGAAGCGAGCCGCGTGGCACCCATGCTGCATGAGCTACCGGAGCTCACGAGAGACGATGTTCTCAGTTGGCTTGCTTATTGGAGGAGGTCTGGTTTCATTTGAGGTTTTCCCAGGGATCTTGTTTTCCGACGCGATGGCTTGGTTTTGATAAGTGTTCTCATTAGTTCGAGCTGGGCTGTTAGGCACTGGTTTTTTGCTCCCGTATATTCCGTTTCGGTGTGGTATATACGGCTCCTCACATATTGACTATCGACGGTGATTTCCGACACGGCATAAATGACTCGTTGTTCTTTCCCAATTTCCTCGTCTCTTTGGATGCTCCGTAATAGCCTCATTTTCTTCCTTCGTTTCTTTCTTTTCTGTAGGTCTTCGAGTAATATTAAATGCTTAAACCCTTTCGGGAAACCAAAGACTAAATAGGTTCTTGACGCTTCGTCAACATTTCAACGCACTGCGCGTCCGCACCATTCGCGTACCTTAATGAAAATGAATGGCGGATGTCGATAACACGACAAAAATGAGCGTGTCTGCGTTTTAGGAAAAGTCCATGTACAGTAGTAGGTCACCAGATGTCAATGTGTCTGTCCGGACGACAAATTTAAACTGCAGTGAGTGAACCAATCAGCGTCCAGAAACGTAATCATCCATCAAAAATCTGTCTTGGGGATAAAATTTCAAAAATCTGCATCGCGTCTGTACAGTGTATGTACCAAACACAGCAGATTTCTTGGGTTCCGTGTAACTTGTATCGGTCTTGAAACCGGACGCCTTTCGGACGGAGAGGTGCTAGCGGACAGTAAAATTCTATTACGAAGGTCAAGCTAACTGCAGTGCCAGGCTATTATAGCCCGAGCATCTGCGGTCCCACCTGTAGTTCTCAATGCATCCAGACCATTAGAAGATTCTACCTATTCTGCCTCTACACCGGACCCGATGCGTATTCACGCAGACCTTCAATCATATCCCAAAGACAGCATCTTGAGCACTCCCCCCACCCTCCATCACTCATCTATTTTGATGAAGCTACGCAGGGTCATGACTCATATAGTCTACCGTCCCCGAAGGCATTACAGCGATTCACAAAACTGGTCGCCCCGTGCAGTCTTTGGCAAATCATGCTGCATCCCAACAGTCGCGCCCACTCGTTTGGCCATCCAACTGTCCACAGGTTAGCAACTTCACACTGACTGCGCCAGGTCTTCGTAATCATACAGCATGCTACAAGCACGGTAGCATAATCCGAATTAATGGAGAGCGTCATCCATGTAGGGCACGTTGTCTTCCGAGCATATCTTCGTCAGACTCGAGATTGCGCTACAGGATCTTGCAGAAATCTCACTCAAGATCGTGTCACACGCTGGCACGTTGGGCCCGGCCCTTTATCCTGTTCATTTGTTCAAAATTTGCTACCTCAAGAAGTCTGGGGCAAATTCAAAACCGTCGGATCGGTTCAAACCGAACTAGGATAACCACGCTGTCATCATGCACTCCAGCTTTGTTTGCATTCCTCGGTAGGTGCAGCAATAGAAGCTGTGCATATATGCTTCTTCGAATACCTTTGGCTTCGGCATGTGTTAATGACTTGTGGACAGAAAACCCTTATTCCTGCTCATCGTAGCTTAAAGTCTTTCTTTGGTGCCGTACGAGCAATCTGCTTACAGCGCCGTAATTCGATCCAATTCAGACTCCGCTGCTCCGATCGTGACATTATCCATTTCTCAAAAACACCATCAAACACCTTGACTAGTATCGTCTTCACATAGTATGTACATTCTCTGCATACTCCCGCATTCGAGCTAACTTCCGCAATAGTCCAATAATACGTAGCTAAAAATCAAAGAAGCTAACGATGTCCAACTTCTTAGTTCGAAGAGTTGTCAAAGTCTTGGTCTGCGTAAAAAGATGAGTACAGTAGCGGCTCAAATTTTGCAGAAAAACGCACCATCAAAGCAATCACCGCAAGCTATCAACCGTGAGTGAATCGTTAGTTAAGGATTAAAGTATAGAGAGATTAAGCTAACCGTCTCGGCCCCCCAAGCACACGCCATGCCCGTCCGGGAAATAGTCGAGACCATTGATCTTGTTAGAACCGGTATCGCCGCAACCAAGAAGACCCTGAGCTTCTTTCCTAGTCTGCTCTTTGTCTGGGTTTCCGGAACGCGCGACGTACACGCAGCCTGAAGAACGTTAAATCGTTGTACGAGCCTTCGAGGACTGGCTTAAACTCACAGTTGCCGTGGCACGCGACGTTGTAGGCGACGGCATTTATGTCCCCGTTCCATGGGTTGCTGTAACTGATTAATAGATACGACATCGTTAGCTCTGAGTTCGTCCGTAGTCAGTCAATTCAAGACTTACTGGCAGACGTTGCCTTTGCCTGCCCACTCGCCATTCCAAGTTCCGGAATCAACAAGGGCCTGGCAGTCGGACAAGGTCGCATCGCTCGTCGTTCCGCAATGGACGCCGACTTGGGCAAGGGCGGCGGGTGCAGCGATGAGTGCGGTGAAGGTAGCGATGATGGAGAAACGCATTGTCGATAAGTCGGTGAGTTATAAAGACTTTGAATTGGTGTGTGTATGTATAATGCAGGAATGTGCAGGTCGAATGGAAAGGTATGCTACCAGCAGACCCCTTTTATATGTCCTTCTTCAGCGTTCAGTGAATATGTCAAGACAGACGTTCTGGGGTTCCACCAGAGTCAGCGCTGGGTGCAGGCTTCGTTGGACGTCATTTCGTGTCTCATGATGCGCCATATTTGCTGTTCGCAATATGTCTATCGCTCCAAAAATCTGATCATTGGCAGTTCTAGGGTGAGGCGGCGATGTTCTAACTTCAGGGCCCATATCGCTGAGCCTACAACTATGCTATGGCACCTGACGTAGCCAGTGCAGGTCGCCGGCGTCATGCACCAGTAAGTAAAGTTTCAATGTTGCCACAATATTAGTCCATTCTCATGTAACTACGAATTCACCGCAACAGTGGAGTAAACTCGACATCCGAGGGCACTCGGCAAGCTTATGCTATAAACCATGCAGGCGAGTCCAAGAAACGTTCGTGTCTTGATATCAAAATGGTCTTTGCAGGAGTTCAACCTTCCGAGGGTCCATATTCAGAACTTCTATGCTCGAAATTAGCTTTTCATTCCGAAATCTCTTCGGAGCGCAGTGGTGCGAGAGCCTGCAGATTGGGGTCTTTCGCTTTTCTAGGACACCTTCATCAGTAACAAACACCTCATCATCTGTCGCTGATGTGTTGCTTCTTCTTCTTCTTCAACCTAACTAGTTCGAGCAGTCCGATCGCCAGGCCTCATTCGATGGGCTGGAAAGTATGCTTTGGTCTTTCGCAGCTGGTTAACTGAGCCATTCCCAGCCTAGCCCAACCCGCCGCAGCCTCCTTTCATTCAAAGTGGCTCAAAGGTATAAATGACACCGCAATGCAATATCTCCTTTCACTCCAAACTCGGATCTCGGGAGCCTACGAAAGGCAACAGCCTTGATCAGAGGACGCATCCAACTCAGCGCTTCTCGAGAGGTGAACCCAAATTCGAAGCCGTTTAGTGAACTCTCCTCAATACTTGGCATTAACCGATGATTGCCTACCCCAACTTCTTGTGGTAATGTGACGGCGGGGCTCTGTAGCTCCGATTCTTCTTCGGACACTAAGGCCATCTGACGCATGTTATGATGGAGCAAAGGTAGCTATGATCATATGTTGAAATAAGAATTTGACCTGCTGAAACGAGACTAGAGGAAGTAGTATCGATTTGCGATACTTCTGCGGTGAGCCCAGTTTACAGCTATTTGCGGAACGATAGGCCACCTTGGAAAAAAATCCAGGACAGAGGGTTTCAAGATCCGCTCTCGGCTGAAGGTGGCACTCACTCAGGCTGAGACGCTCCAAGCTCTCTTGCTCCACGAATACTCCAAATTCTGTTCGTGATTGGCTCAGACACCTGCAATTAGCCTTCGGGGATTGAAACTCCTGTGCTGGATTTTTTCGAAAGGTGGCCTATCGTTCCGCAAATAGCTGTATCGCCACGTCTCCCCAATTATGCAGATACTAAATCTCATCAGTTCTTAAAGTTGCACCCATCAGGAGACAGGTCATCTGTGTCTTCCCATTTCTGATTTGGACCCTACACATCATGCAGTGGAGCCGTTCGGGGTCAACAGAGTTTATTTTGAAGATACCTATAAACCTCAATAACGCTCAAATCGAATTCATCTTCCTCTTCACCACGCTGTCATTCAACTTGACCAGTTGTTCGTAAGTTACTTATTTGTTGCCTTTGGAATACTCCATTATAAATATTCGTTTAGATCGAAGTACACTCCGAGTCGTGCCATCGCGTCGAGCCCTCTTCTAAAATGATTGGCTACATTGGACGAAAGTAATACTTTCCCGTCAGCGTATTATCAGCTAGTCATCGTCCACCGTTTTATTTGTGTGGTCAAGATGCGAAACTCACTGGACTGAAGAGACTTTCGGTGATGCCGTTCAAAGTCCGCTCGGTATTGTCCGTGTCTTTTTATATCGAGGCTGACCAGTGACTGACCAGTGACCATGCCGCCGCGTCCCTGTCTGCTCCGCCTCGAAGGCTGGCAAGTTCACGTTTTCTGCGATTGTTCTTGCATATATTGGAATGAAGATCGAATAAGGTTGTAAACGGTTGCTACGCCCACTCGATGCCGCGCCGCACGAGTGAGCCTAGTCTTTAATGAACGCGGCGATATTTGCTTCCGCAGTTCTTGACATTTACTTACAGAGCGTAGACATATTGTATGTGGCAGGTGATGCTGACTACACCGAAATGACCGAGTCAGGGGACAGTTCAGCCGGTGCACAAGTGACGAGTTCTTTCTGTTCCCACACCGCTCATATGGAGGGGGGTTAACCATACAGTATCTGGTCCCTCGGTATCTTTCTCTTTCACTCTGCACAAGATGCAGACTGTCGTGATTTTTCTAGCGTCGTTGGCTGTGCTCTTTGTGGTGAAGAAGGTACTTGAGTTCTTGAACGCAGTTAGAGCTATCCAGTATGCCTCTTTTTGAGATCAAAGACTTCCAGAGCGCTTTGACAACTATTGTTATATAGGAATCACCCCGGATTCCGCACCCTCTTCGATCCTACAGGTGCCTCCTCGTTTTTCCCTCGTATCACAGGAGTCTCTATTGGTTGCGATGTCATGTTCAACAAGTACGCCGATTACGAGGCTTTCGGTATTGACATCATTAGCTCCGTGAGTGCCATATACAGGTGCACTAGCATTGATCTTCTTAGATATCGATTGTGATTCAAGGTGTGCGCGTTTCCAAAGGTAAATACGCACTACTTCATTGCGGATGCTGCTGTAATCAAGGTAAGAATTCCGTTTGACTTCGTGTGTGCGTTCTGTCTTGAATGCCGGTCGGCAGGAGATCATGACCGCACGTTTGAAATTTCCCAAACCGATAGAGTTGTATTCGCTACTTCTCTTTTTTGGGCACAATATCGTTGCGTCGGAGCGTGAGGAATGGAAGAAATACCGCAAGATTTCTGCACCCGCCTTCACCGAGGTCACTATGATTCGCCTGTCGTATCTAGACCTTTTGTTGACGTTGCATTGTTGTAGCCAAACAATAAGCTTGTATGGGAGGAAACTGTACGCGTTGTCACAGATCTTTTCGACAACGTATGGGGGAACAAGAAGGAGATTGTGTATGATCATGCCCTCGATATTACCATGTCTGTAAGTTCTCCGGCACTGTGATGGCTTGCGTCTTTTGATTCATAATCCCCACAATTCAGCTGGCTCTCTTCGTCATCGGAGGCGCAGGTTTTGGCCGCCGCATTGGGTGGAATGACGAGATGGTTGCACCCCCTGGCCATAAACTGACATTCAGGGTTTGTTCAAGTCAGTCATTGTAATATACTCGTTTGTCTGACAAAAAATAGGACACCCTTGCTGCCGTCTCTCACGATACCATGCTCAAAGTCACACTTCCTAACTGGGCCTTGTATGCCACAAAGCGAACGCGAGCCGTCAAACTTGCTTTTGAGGAACTGGGGTAATTCATCTTCCAACTTGATCTAGCAGACGTGCTGACGGAACCTTTCTAGCTCCATATGATGGACATGATCAACGCTCGACGGTCGTCAGAGAAGAAGGAAGAGAGATACGATCTCTTCAGCAGTCTCCTCGACGCCAGCGAAGGGAACTTTGACGGCGAGTCAAAGTTGACTGATCGTGAACTGCTCGGTATGTTTAGTGGCACATGTGAACGTCTTTTTGATTTCACTTACTTGGGAACGGTCTTCAGGAAACATCTTCATTTTCCTCATTGCCGGTCATGAGGTATATTTGCAACTTTATAAACTATGGAAAATTCTTGTTGATATTGCCTTTGACAGACCACAGCCCACACACTTTGTTTCTCATTTGCACTTCTAGGCCTGTACCAGGACGAACAGGAGCGATTATACCAGGAACTAAAGAAGGCATTCCCAGACGGCAGAACTCCCGTGCGTCTGCTTGGCATTTCTGATGAATAAGGCAGACGCTGATAGGTATCAGTAGGCGTATGAAGACATCAGCAAGCTCACTTATGTCGAATGGTAAGTATACCAATGTACTTTCTGCGTTCCAGGAAGACAGCTAATGACAAGTTAGCGTCATGAATGAAACCCTCCGCATGTTCCCTCCTGTAAGTTCTAACCCGACATCGATCATTTTCGCTTTTCGTTATCTTAACTTGTCTTGTGATCAAAGGCTTCGAGTGTTCCAAAGTATGCCACTGAAGACACTACTTTCGTAACCAAGAATGCTGCCGGCGAGAATGTCGTTGTGCCTGTGCCTGCTGGAACTGGCGTCTCGTTGCATATCAGTGCTCTGCAACACAACCGTATGCATTCCCTCGCAGCTTTCATACGTCGAGCTCCGTTGTCTCTAATGACCATACAGCTCGTTACTGGTCAGATCCTTTTGAGTTCAAGCCTTCTAGGTTCCTAGGGGACTGGCCAAGAGATGCTTTCATTCCTTTCAGCGGCGGTGTTCGTTCTTGTCTGGGACGCAGGTGCGTAGGTCCGAAGCTGCAATTGGTCTCCCATCTAACACAAGGAATTTCCGTTTCCTCGAACTAGGTTTGCAGAGTTGGAAAGCCTCGTTGCTCTTTCGATGATTATCATGCGATATAAACTTACGATCAAGCCGGAACCTGAGTTCGAGCACGAGACTTTCGAGCAGAGGAAGGCGCGAATCCTTAAGGTTACCCAGGGCATCACTATCACGTACGTCTTTATCATCGCGCGCTGCCTTTGTTATATCGCTGATCATGACTTGATCCAGACCTGTTCGTGTGCCGTTGGTTCTGACAAGGAGGGATTGACGGTTGTACTTTTATATGGTATCAGACCTCTCGCCGTTATCATTCTACTATTTGATTGTTTGTAGTCCCCACTACACCTTGTTCCACGAACGCGACGACAACGACAACGACTTTATATGTTTTATGCCATATCGCGATACTCGTTACGCTTCTACGGAGCACCAAGCATTCTTTAAGAGACTTGTATAAAGGCCGAGTTTGCTAGTTATCATAGTCTCTTAGTTAAACTAGGTGCAGTCAGTCATACAGAGCTGATACGTTTTGTAGTACTCCACGCCGGAGGTTACACTTGCAAATTGTCCCATGGCGACAAAGTCAAGAAAAAGAAACAAACAATCCCTGCTAATATTAAAACAAGCCATTTGACTGCGGTAGCGACATGTGAATCGCAATTAGTCGTAAGTAATGGTATCTAAGTCTAAGTAGCTACCATTTGTACGCCTAGACTAGTACTCAACGACTTCACTTTTGATTGATCGATCAGGTACGTCAGGGTAGAGCTGTTTTCCTCGCATCTGCAAATTCCTTCCGTCAGATCGACCAAAAAAACCAGCACAAACAATATTCACTCACAATCGAGATATGGTCTGTTCCGAATCCGACAGACCTTTCTGCAATATCCTGAATACGCTTGCGTATTCCCCAGACCGATCGCGCAAGAGACGACCATGTGCTCCCAGAAGCGCCGTCACCCAGATCAAGTCGAACTCGAGATGAGGACTCTTCTCTAAGTGCTCCGACACCAAACGCAACAGAGGTCCGATATAGACAGCAGGTAATTGTCGTGCCAAGAGTCGAACGTCTTTCCGAGGTATGCTCTCGTACACTTTGTGAATGAGAGGCTTCTCATTTAGACGGAATGCCATTACGAGCGCTTTGAGATATTCCCTCTTGGCGAGGACGGCGAGAAGGGATTGAGGGGTAAGGTCGATATCGAGATCGAAGGGATCAAAAGTGAGACTGTCGTCGACGGAGTAGATGAGCAAGCCTTCGGTTGACGCTGCAGCCCAAGCACGTCCTGTGGGTGAGAATCGGACACATTTCGTCCTGGCTTCTTGGCGATATCTCCTCTTTGATAAATCTCCACGAGTCACCCCAGGTAACGCGTAATCCATTCGATCTTCCAAGTCACTCTCGTCACCTCTGGTATCAATGAGGTCGACGTTACCCGCTTCTGTCACTTTCCGACTATCCAAGAACTCCTCCGTTCCATCCAGACTGAGGTTCTGGCTGATTTGGAACTTCTTCACCATCACGCCTTCTCGTACATCGTAGATGACGATGTATTTGCTGTTTCCACCAGCGAGGATGCACTGGCCGTCAGCGGTGTAGGTGATGCTATTGAACGACTTGCCAGAAGCATTATTCGACGCGGCCATTCGATCGTCTGCCTTACGCCCTCCTGAGATATCTTTTCGGCCCTCGATGACGTTGGTCTGTTTGCCAGCTGAAACGTCAAAGAACATGATCTGCCCATCTAACGAAGAAGCAGCCAACTCCTTGCCATCAGGTCGGAATGCAACAGCCAGAACGTCTGCGCTGAGCTGATATGGCTCGACTGCGCGTGAACGAGTGAAGACGTTCCACACTCGCACTGTCTTGTCCCAAGACCCGCTGGCGAGAAGGTTACCTGCCGGTGAGAATGCTAGCGAACTGACTGGACCTTCGTGCCCTGCGAGGACGTCGAGTAGCTTGCCTGTCTGTACTGACCAAAGGAAGACCTCGAACGAGTCAATAGAGCCAGCGGCGACAACCTCTCCGCTAGGGTCGACGGCCAAGCAGGAGAATTGGACGGGAGCAGGTGAGGTGAAGGTACGGAAGTTTCGATATCGAATGAGGTCAAAGGCGCGGACGGTTCCGTCCAGGGATGCCGAGAACAGAACTTGGCCTTGTTTTGCGAACTCAACAGCAGAGACAGCGGCTGAATGTTCAGTGAAGGTGACGAAGCAAAATCCAGAGGTTGTGTTCCAGACTTTGACTTTGCCGTCATCACCGCCGGTGGCGACATTCTGACCATCTGGAGCGTATGCCAAGGTGTTCATATCAAAGTAATGGCCTTGTTGTTTTAATATATAGGATTCGGACTGCCACTCCCATACTAGGAGCTGACCTAGTTTCCGCGCGCCGAAAGCAAGCCATTCACCCGAGGCGCTGATTGCCACGGAGGATATTTTCTCTTGTGAGATACTGAGCGTATGGATGTTGCTGAATGCAGGCATTTCCCAAAGACCGAAGACTCCATTTGAAAAACCTACGATGAGCAGGTTCGAGGCCTTGTGGAAAGTACTGCAGACAACTTTGGTGCCCGGTTGATTGAAGTATTTCCGTTTGTGTACTCCCCACCGAGTATTCGCGATTTCGTATGTCAGTTGGTTTGCAGCCTGCGAAGTAGAGGCCATCGGCTCGTCGTCATCTTCATCAGTGTCGGAGTCTGCTTCTTTCGGTTTGGCTTTCCAGATGAACACAGCGCCATCTCTACTGACAGTGTAAATCTATAACGAGCGGTCAGTTACACCTTAGAACATAATCTTGGACAAACATACCGTCTTGCAATCTGAGGAGAAGTATGCACCAAGGACAATATCACGATGGCCAGCAAAGGTCTTCGGTCGGAAGCCCTCCATGGGATCGAGTGTAAACAGCCTAGCAGTCATATCTCGCGAGGTTGTCAAGAAACACCTGTCGCGATTCCAGTCAGGGCGAATCTCACACTACAGAAGGTGAGACATACCTTGAATCCGGGGACCATTCGATACTCAGAACTTCGTCGTGGTGTCCTGTATATGTTCGATGCAGGACAAACGGCGCAAACTCTCGCACAAGATGATTCGGAGTTCTCCATATTTGTACATGAGAATCGTGCGTGACAGCAATGTACCTAGAATGCTAGCTTGTCAACATGAAAACTTGGTGGACAGGTGTCGAAGAGCACCCACTTGCCATCCGGGGAGAACTTGATGGCTTTGACCGGTTTCTGGAAATTGAAGTGATGCAGCACAACACCTCGTCGTACATTCACAAGCAAAGCTCTGCCATCTGGAGAAGACCATTCGTAAACGATCGAGCGTTCACATTCGTAAATCCGCACCTTCATCCACACTGATCAACACATTGGAATCCGGGCTAAGTGCAATAGCAGCAATGTTCTTGCGGTTCTCAAACGGGAAAGTATGTGACTTGTTGCTAAGGACAGTAAGCATTCAGCTCAAGACTGCTAAAAACGGACTCACTTCACGAGGTCAAACACAGACACCCTGTTCCCCACTGGACTATAGACCGAGTTTCCATCTGGAGTAAAAACAATGTTTCCCTGCCTATAGACGGTGCCACACAAGTTCGAAAACTGGTGCACTTGTCAGTTACTTCGCTTCTAGTACATATTTATCAACATACCTTGTAATTCGCTTTCATTAGCACTTATGAAAGGACGTCGAGAGTGCAACGGTGAACTTGATCGCTATAGCTTTGCAGATGACAGTGTAACGGTTAAGGATGGACCAAGAAATGAAGGAGAAGTGTCTACGAGGTCTTGTTCTTCAAGTTGACTGAGAATGCAGAAAGCCTTGATATTTTTGCAAGTATGTGCAAGCGCCCACTGATCGGAGCGCGTGTCACAATATTCCCGCAATTGGATTAGGAAAGTAACGTCGTTCAGAAAAATTGGCTCTAGTCAACCACCATACGGTATCATGCAGCTTACAAGAATAAACGATCACATTGACCTCGTATGGATTATAAAGTACATATTTTACTAAAGAGGACACCGGCTTCGCTGAGACCAGTTCCATCATATCCAACGAGATGAAAGTCAGGGACTATGCAGCACTAACGACAACGCTGGCTATAACAAAAGATATGATAGCAACATGCAAAAGAATGTAGGGTATGAAAAAGAGCGTGGGGTATATCAGTGGAGCACCATGGACGAATGCCTTCAAGACCATAATCAGACAACGCACGAAGCAATCCGATAGGAAAGAGGTAACGGACGTACAACATCTATTATCTACATCTATGTGGACATCGATAACAGCAAGGTCTTTTCGGGGGGTTTACATTGACTGAGGTTTGTACTCCGTGTTGCTCTCAATGTCAGAAAGTTCGGCATCGTGAGCCTTTTGCACATTGACACTGGCATTGTCTCGGAACGTCTCCATCTGCCATGCATCCACATGTGAGATCTCAGTAGGAGAGAGCAGAAAGGAAGGAGCGCACCTGAACATGCACGCTAGTTTCACCCGGCTTGGAACGAGTAAAGAGAGTAGGTGGAGCAGTCCGACTGTGAGATGTAGTAGGACCATTCCTGGACCCACTGGCTGCAGAACTATTGATGTTACGTTAGAATGAGTAGTGCGAATGGGCGAATTAGATATTTACTAGACTTCAACACCACTACTTGACCAATTCGACAGACGCCGAACAGCACGGCTGGCAACAATCTACAGATGCCGTTCAGCGAGAAAAGAATTGAGAAAGTTGTGCGCGAGAACATACTGTTGATGCAACGACTGCTGGGACATTGAAGATTACGCTCATAATAGCATTTAGGCTCATACACATGAATATGGTGGCAATAAGATTGGACACAAATCTAAACGCAGTACATCAGCGATCAATCACTTTTGAGATGGAAACCAAGAACATACGCGATGATGAAGTAAACCAAGCCATCTTTGAAAAGCAAAGTCACAAGCTGAGATGAGCCTCGACGGCTGAGGAGTTTTGCTGCAGAGAGTACCAACACGAACAGATCGAAGCACATCGAATAGATGAACGTTGCCGCCAGTATGGTATTATTAGTTTGCGTGATAACACAACCTTGACCATCAACCCAAGCTGCTTCAAGGAGTACACCTGAATCAATCACCGTACATCTCCATTCAGCAAAGTCAAAGAAGCGAAGGAGAAGGATCACAAACCTTGTAATATAAGCGACCAGTGACCAAGAATAACGGCGACCAGTGGTATAACGATGTACATGCTATTATTCCAGAGTACCATTCTACATTGGAACGTCTGTTCGTTAGAAAGGGCGCTCATCGGAGGAAAACCCCATGGACGTACGTGCGGAGCGCCAGATTGATACTGGCAAGTCCCGCTGAGGCGTTTCCTGCCAGCTGGAGAGCATGGAACATCAGCATCAATGCACTCTCCTTCCGCAAGGTCCACCTATCAGTAGAAACGACATACCTGATTGAACGTGTAGAGCGCTTGACAGTTAATTTTCCTGTAAATGCTGTTCAGCGTCGGGACGTGGGTCCGGAAGATAAATGACTGACGTTGTTGTGTCCAGAGCGATGAGGCTACAGGGAGAAATACGTTAGGTCAAACACGCTCACAGTACTGGGAGAAAAGGTGATCACTCACATTCCGATGAGGGCAAAGAATAGGAAGTATCTGCCAAGGAAGTAAAAGATCTAGTCGGGCGAGGAAACTCTCAGTATGAGAAGAAGGTGTACTCTGGAGGTTGCGTACCATCGGCCAGTGGAACTTCTTCTTGCCAGAAATAAAGGCCCAATCAAAGTCCAACGAGGTGGCGAACTCCCAGCTGTAAGACACTCAATAGGTGATACCGCGAGAGTCTACGGACATTGCACAACACTCACAAGTAAATGCCTGCAAGAGCATGGTTGAGCTTCAAGAAAGCAGCTATGGGGCGTAAAGTCAGTATATTGACTGATGCACTTGAAGCATCATTCCGCACCAGCTTGAAGAGCCAACGCCTCAGGTGAAGTCCAATCGACCATGATGTTTCAGCAAGGGCAAGGTAGACGGAAGGTTAAGAGGTTGAATCAAGACAAGAAAGTATGAACTCGGAGCCCAACGACGATCTCGTCCTGATTCCAAGGAAGGAAGAGAAAGCCAGCACACCACTGCTGGTACCTACATATTTGAAGCAACATACGCGACGAAAGTTTTGCCGAAAGAAAAGACCCGCCAAACAAAGTTAGCGTAATATCGCATCGTTACGCTAGATGCTGCGTTTAGATTGCCTATATATCGGACATGAAACTCCTAATTGTACGCGAGGCATTTTGTGCGGGACAAATACCAAAGCTGGGAATTGTGACATCCAGCGGTACGTTCGATTGAGTAAACTCGGTACCACGAGGCTTGCGGAACGGAGATGCTGTTCGTTTCACTAAAGTGAGAAAAAACTTGAGCGCATCTGTGTCATGCTTCCTTCCTTTCTTGTTTGCGGTGTCTCTACGAGATACGAAAGAGGTATCGTCTTGAGAGTCGAGAAGGAAGAAACCAAGAAGCAACCCATACTGCCCAGTACCTTGAGTCCTGGAAACGATCATATTTCATAATATACTCCGCGAGCTATGGTTAGAAGTCTCGACCCATCTCATCTCCGTTGGGTAGATACCAAAAGAGGGTAATTCACCTACCAAACGGCTATACCTTAAATAAACGGTATTTGCCGACCTTCCGTTCTAAACTTTGTGAACCTCGATGTCTCCTTCTGGCTTCAGGATGCACTCGAAAGTATCAGAATACATCTTGCATGACGAAATCCGGTCAAGTCGAAGTGATGAGGAGGGATGAATGAACTTTCTTTTAGCGGAATGTGCCAGCGAGAAGTCACAGAAGTCCGTGATCCGCCCCAGTTCGACTCGGGCTCTCGGACAGTCGGATTGCTGTCCAATATTACGATCAAACGTCAGTCTGGGCATCCCCAGGGAAATGGCCTACACACGACCTTATCAGGGGATATTCAGGACCAACGTCGACAGCTGATGCTCGTCCAACCAACGAAATTAGGGTCCAACTTGGGTTCAACGCTCAAGAAAATCAAAGAACCTGCTATCGGCCAAGAACTTACTTTTGTTCAGCGGACTTTGATGACCTGAACGATTATTGGCAATTAGTTTGCTCAATAAGAAAACGATGATCGGTCAGGCGGATTGGTTCCGACTTCGTTTGTCTCTCTCCGTCTGTCAGTGCGAAAGGTCTTGCCTGATTGTGTCGACGAAAGAACAGGTATCAGTTCTAATTCAGACGACTTTGCACACTCGTTGGTCCTCGGAGACGGTGATTGTGTTTGCCATGCCACAGACACCAGGCAATGTCTAGAATCGGTCTAGTCAAGTCTCCCGGATTCTGTGCGAGGCACATCGTGGCACAGTACGTCGTCGCGAAACGTCCATACGTTGAAGACAACCGAGCGCAAAATGAACTCGAAAAGAAAGGTCTGATGGTGCAGAGAAACTAGAACACATTGTCGCTGTCGAAAATTGCAAGGTTCAGAGCCTGAAGGAGCAGGCAGTCGCAACCTGCCGAGGGTTGGACGCTCGTCTGCTGAGTCCGGTAACTTGAGTTACTTTCTGCGAGCGTTGATCGCTCAGGTACTCCATTCCACAAAACCGCAAGGTACGACAGTTTGCGCCGCCTTCTGCCACATATATCGTCTGGGAAGCCACTAGCGTGCGTCGACCCTGCGGTGTGGAGACAAGGTGATACTTAGCAGACATCGGTAAACGATATATGGTGAATGGTTGGGGGCCGATTGTACATCAATGACAGTGACCCTGTAATGACGCCATTTCCACATCGCGTTCAGTTTTTGCTAAGTTGAACACTAGTGACGAACCTTTTGTAAACCGTACCCAAACTGTCCAAATCCCGAACAAAAAAGCTGCGCCAGAACTTCATCAATGGTGAGTACCCCCGCTGAAGGACAGGGCCATGCCAACGACCCCGAATTGTGCACAAGGATTCCGAAGGTTCACAAAGTTCTATATGCATGTTCAGGCGCTGACGCCTAATCAAATGGTGCGACAAGTTTGCTGATTTTCAGAGAACTGTAACGACGTGTCCTCTTCCTCCAGTGACTTTGAAGCAGTATGGATTTCAATCCATACATCAATGATCCATGGGAGAGCAATGGGGGATATGTATATAGGACTGTCGCACGGGGTACCAGCGACATGGAATCCTCGTCGATGCCACTCACAGAAGTAGACCGGTTCGAGACTTGTAAGGTATACTGCTAGGATGCTTGACGGACAGGTTTGTTGAGAAGTGGACGGACGAGCATCGCGAAGTCCGCAACTAGACGCTGGGGGGCATTTCGGAAGAGTCGTACGTAGCATCTAGTTCATCAAACGTAGTGAAACCCGAGTGTAGGAAGTATTGCAGATACGTATTTATGGTCCAGCGATGATACAGAAGCCACGAAGAAGGACCTAGCCACATATCCGAGCCCGTCTCTGTGGAAGAACAACTTGAAGAAGTCGTCATCATCGACCTTCGAGTTACGCGATACTGAAGATTTTTTTGACCGCATGTGCCCGGAGTCGTTTGCAGACAAGTCAAGATGCCGCAAACGCAGGCGAAACATGTGAGAGAGATGCGACCGATATATGTTTCTGGAGTCGACGGTCGTTGTGTTGGTGACGGTTCGAGTTGCGGGGAGTTGGCGATTTTGCCATTTTGGGAACAATCGTGTAGGAATGATTACTTTAGAGTTTTAGCCGGATATCTCTGAGGCGTACCTTGGGGCCTTGCTATAACTGCTATTCGACGAAAGGAAACATATTCCTCTTCTATTCCTAGGCCGGGATCGGGCAATCGATAACTCGCGGCTCTGAGACGGTGTTTACAAATTTTCATGAGCAATGGATGTTGGCATCAGAGGATTGATCCTAAAGTTGCATCTCTGCTCAGTCATTGTAAGTTCTGCGCTAATCACCTCAATCGGCAGAACTAAGAGCGTCAGGCGTGGTGAACGGTCACCACCATTCATTTTGGCTATCCTCGAGCATGCTGTCATAACGGTACCTTGAAGCCGCCAGTGCGCACCATGCATCACAGGTCATGTAATGATATTATCTGTACGGTAGGGAAGAGGACCATTTCCGTCAAAATGTATCTCTAGTGCCTATTTATCCGGAAGATGGATTCTCCGTTACTTCTTTCTCCGAACAGCGGCCCTTTTTCGCATGGATTTCGAGTGCTGAGATTTGGGATGATGCTGCCAGAAGAGGCAAGTGTTCGGATTCTCGAAGGTTGCTGTCACGAAGAGTGGGGGTCCATTCCGGGCAGGCGTGGTTCTAGGACAGAAATCAGCTTTCTTCCATGTCGCGTCGTATATAACCCCTCGCGCTCTCCTTTCCCTCCTTCGACTCGACGTCCACATCTCCCCACATCTCCCTCAGGCCTTCTGCATCTTTCCCGCCATTTGCCTGCCGCCCCCCACGAGTCCCGCCCACGTCCAAAGTTGACATACAGGCGTTTTCAGCATGGTTGACTGGCAATCCCCTACAGAAATTGCGAAAGATGCCAGTAAGCGAATTTCCATTCCTGCACGCTGACATGCCGCCGATTCTGACGATTTCGCAGTGGCATTCGATAGGTTGATGCACGCCCTGCTCGGGTTGTACATGTACGTCCATGTTGTATGCGTCTTGCGGCCGGCGGGCTAATGCAACATTGTGCAGCTGGGAGTTCGTGACGTCCCTCGGCTTCGACTGGGAATTCATCACCCGCAAAAAGAAATTCAGATGGCCAATGGCATGTCTTATTCTATCTCTCTCCAGTGGCGGCGTGTTCAAACAATATCGCTAGATATTCTACTTCGCTGGTCGCTACTTCCTCATGTTTGCGCTGATAGGCATGTGAGTTGGAAAGTGTTTGACCGTGTATATGCCAGTATTCACCCATCATTCTGCAGTGCAATCGCATTGAACGTTACACAGTATGTCTGCAATCTAATCGCGGCCCCCATGTTTTGAACCGTTGGCGGTATTAGACCTGTAGACTGTCAGGCGCTGTACACGTACAACCAAGTTTGTCCTTTGCACTCTAGACAAGTTGGTGTACTGACTGTTTCTAAAAATTCCAGGTATTCGGTAATGCTTCCATAGGCCTCGCGAGTATCAACTTGTCTCTCCGAACGTGAGTTTCGATATTAATTTCATTTTCATTTTTTTTCACACTCAACCATGTTCGTCTTCGCAGGATGGCAGTCTGGTCGCAGTCCAAGTACATCGTCATTCCACTCGTTTGTATCATCATCGGCCATTGGTCACTACTCCTTCACGGTATGCATGTTGAACACCCCCTACATTACTGTCTAACTCAGCGTCACATATAGGTATCCTTCTGAAAGCTCAATGGGTCAATGGTGCTTGCGTAATTACCAACACGGATAATAAAATTCTAGCAGCCAGCTTCATCTATTCCATGGCGTTCGACTTTATCGTTCTTGTCTTGACTGCATTCAAGCTGGCGGTCCCGGCCAAGAGCGTCAAGCGTTCCAGGTTGATGACTCTCATCTTCGGCGACGGTTTGATTTTCTTTATCATTGCCTTCTTGTCCAATCTCCTAGCTACGGTACGTCAGAGCAGACGTGACTATATGCGCACTCCAATGACGCTGTTGTCACCATTGCCTGCAGATCTTCATGCTAGCGAACTTGAACGCGGTGATGTCCATCATCGCCAATGTACCCGCCGCCATCGCCTCCACAGTGAGTTTAGGTATTTCCATTTGCTTATGAATGATCAAGTGACGTCGTCGTTGCAGACTGTCGCTTGCAGGGCTGTTCGTCGTCTTACAAACTACACCTCTCCCGGTGCCGAGGTCTTTGCGTAAGTTCTCTTGACGCGTTGATCGACACTTCTGCTCATACTCCGTTCTCTCAGATCAACACAACATTCGACTCTTGCTTTCAGTCGTCGACTGAACACTGCTCCCAACTTCTCTGTGTCCGATAAGAAGCTTGACGGCGTACATGTTCAGGTATATGCGTCACCATTCCTGCGCAACATTCCGCTTCTGACGTTTATTAACTTGATAGATGGAGACTTTCGCTGAGATCTCGGATGGCGACCCATCGGACAAGTCCTTCATCCAGTACGACGCTGCAGGCAAGATCGTTACTCCCGATACGTTTGATCCAGAAGCCCAAGCTATCAGTAACGAGTTCAAGAAACCCGGAAACGATTATTTCTCTGCCGCCTGAACGGCATAAATAGTCTTCAATGTTATTGGCCTCTCTTAGTGGTCTGGACTCTTTCATCATTCTCGGTTCCTTCGGCATCTTGTCATGTTCGGCTTCCCCCATCCGTGTACAACCATCCACCATCCGCTTTCGCGATATACTTCAAAACGCATCTCTGGCTCCTGCATTCGATCTCGGCCCTGCCTCATACAAACACTCTTTATCCATAAATTCATTCTCTCTCCTTCTCTCTCGGTGTTTCCTCCTTCTTTCATCCCTCTGTCCTTTGCATTTTGTCTCGTCGTCGCAAGACCCAATATCGCATTTGTCGTCGCTTTCGCAACTCTCCTAGATTCTCATTCATCTGTTGTGTCCCGTGTCTCGCTCGTTATCCTGTTTTCAGTCGTTTGTTGTGTTTGCTGCTTCCTGCATCTTGGTGCGCTACATGTTCTGACTGGTGGATGGGGCTTTCTCACCCTCTTCTCCTACCGTCACTAGCTCATTGTCGAGGAAAATGGAAATACATTGTAGGTTAATAAAGGTGTTACGTTACCCAATTCATGCCCCTTCATAAGCCAATGGCCCGTTTCAACATTCTCTCTATTGCCCGTTGAGTTATCATCTCCGTCTTCGCTCGCTCACTTATCAAAGTCAAAAACTGCGGCTCCGGCCGCATTCTATCCGCTATGGCTGCCTACTGTCAGAAGACCGTACAGCCGTCGGTCCAATATATAAGCGGAGGTCTGAGTGCTTCGACTCCCAGAATCGCGCAGTTCATTTGCCCCCTCGATCACTTATTCTTATCAGAATGTCCGTCTTCACTTTCTGTCACCCCTCAGACTAACGATGGCTTCCGTTAAAGCTTGTTCGAGTTCTGAAGAGTTCTCGACTTCAATCAAGCCTCGGGTCATGTTCGGGGTGTATGCTTATCGAGTTGCTATTTCCGCATAACTTTCGTGTCCAAAAGCCACAGGATGTCTTCTTTTCGGAGCGAAAGCGGTAGAGTTTAATCAACCGGGGAAGGTCGCCCTTCTTTGAGCACTGAACTTCTGGGACTTAGAAGAACGGTATTAATACTATGATCGCGTCCCTGGCGTCAGCTGAATCTGTCGGAAAGTGGCTCTTGGAAGCTTGGATGGACGGAATGCTTAACGCCACATCTAGAAGTGTATCTGGGTCAATGGTGTGCTCACAGGATACTCTGCCCTCATCATAATTGAACAGATATGCGCTATAAACGCGATGACTTAGAGTCGGTTGATGGAACGTACGTTGGTACCGACGCAGGTGGCCTTCTATATAAGCTCTGTAGAGATAACCGCAAGGAAGGTTTGAGGGCCATACGAGACTAGGACTTACTTCTTCTTGTCCGACTTCTGGAAAGTCGATTTATAGATGAGGCGCCCAGGGTGTAGGTACTGGTGAATTGCAAAATCTGCGAATTGGATATACTGTACGATGGTGCCTGCATATATGTTAAAGTTAAGGGGGACAGCTGTGGCCGTTTATACCATATGGATATCCTTGTCAACGCTAGCCAATCATTATTGGTTATCTCGAAGCCGCAGTGCCTTGTCGTCAAGGCTCGTTGATTGAGGGGGACGGTGGAAATGTGGAGTTCGAAGGTTTACGATCATGGAGAACAACAAAGGTACAACCAAAACGAGTAAGGATGTTGGCCGAACGGATGATGTTGATAGACACCGGAAGATGTGCAAGATTCAACTCTAACGCTAGGCGTCCAAGAGTGCGGGATTTAGGTCGGTAAGCAGAGAATCTCCACTACAACCGGAAGGACTTAGTTTATGGGGGAGTATACAGATTTTGGGGTGGATTATCGAAACATATCAATCACTAGGAGATGGGTCGGAGGGTAACGTTCTATATCGCGAACGGGGATCGTCAGCGGTGATTGTATCTGCAAGAACCAAGGGAAGTAAGTAAGACTGCCTGATAGGTGCGGCAGGCTATGATCGATTGAGGAACTCGGGGGATGTACAAAAGAGATTAAGCCATCTAGGCATCCCAACACTCAGTGGATGCTCCCAATGCCTTCGGTGACGAAGACACGAGAGGAAGAAAGGATTGGGATTGCCACCCCGCAGACCAATTGACATTCAATCGAACCGAACAACGCAAGATGCCGGAGGGCACGTGCGCACTTCTTAGAGTCACGTTCCACAAACGCGTGACGAGGGAACCGGTGGCGCGTCGCACGGTTTCGTTTCTACCCTCATCTTCTCAGGCGATACACGACTTTCGTTTGAACTACCATTACTGTTAGGAGTGCGAAACCAATAATCAATACTCAGAACATTACTAATATCTCGCCACCTCACAAACGACCATATACCATCCTGGCGACCACTAAGGGGAAACATACAGGCGACGATCATAATAAGACGCGATACACGACTTCGGAATTGGGGAGATGGACCCTGTGCAAAGATGCTGTTGCATCATGCTTCGTCAAGGACGCGCTGGAGATGCCGGAATCCAGCGTAAACGGTGATCTAAAGTCTATTTCATGTTTTTGCGTAATGCTGACAGCTGTCATAGGTGTAGAGTTCTTCTGGCTTGGCCGTGTACCTTGCCGAAAAGTCTATATAGTTGGGCTAGTCGTTGGTGTACAGGTTTATGAGGAGCGTACCATCTATACATGTATGTTCTGAATTCTATCCTTACATCGCCAACTGAACCCATTTTTTCTATAGTGGACGACGGCACCGGTGTCATTGAATGCGCTTTTAAACATCCGCTCCAACCTGCATCTGGATCACCTAAACCAAGTGTTACATCTAAATCGAATCGTGCCGGAACAAGCCCAAGAAGACGATCAGCGAGTGATAATTCGGGCCTGCCTAAGTTGCCACCTTCAAATTCAAATGCTGAGCCAAAACCGATAGCATGCGTAGGCATGTCTGTGCGCCTGACTGGTAGAGTCATCGTGCGAAAGCAAGGACGCGTGATACTGATAGACAAGATCGGTTAGTCTCCATGCTGCTGTGTGACTGCTAAATGCACGAGGATTGAGTTTGGCTTCATGCTTAGAACGATGTGACTCGATTAACGAGGAACCACAGCACTGGTTAAAGGTCTGCGATCTACATCGCATGTGTTACTTTGCACAGGATGCGGGACCATTCGTAATTCCAGATCAAAAGCCGACGTTTGCACCATCTCACGCTGGACCATCGTCTGTCTCTCAGGTTCCCTTTAACTCACATGTAGTGACCATTGCGTCTGATCCCCGGACGCCGTCTAAGTCGTCGGTGTGTAGTAGTGCGGTCACGTCACCATCGCTTGCTTCTAGCCCCGTTGGACCCAAGGTTCGTCTCGCATTCTCAATTCTACTGTGTTTTGACAATAACATATACTTATGTAACAAAGTCTCCACTACGCCTACGACACCCGTCGCGACTACATACGCGCGACCTTACAGCGAACACATTCAGGATCTACATGAAACACTATATGGATAACGCCCCGCCAGACTCATCCTCGGACGAGGAAGACGAATACGATGCTGCTAACGTTACATTTTCGCTTTCTCAAGTACAAGGCACCCCCACGAAGCGCAAGCGCAAGACCCCTCCTCGTACACACAGCACTCTGACGCCATACGGCGAGACACCAAGACCAGTCAAACGACGTAGTATCGAAGCGACACCTCGTGCTGCACCGTCCAATGTCTCGTTACAGGACGTTACAAGTGACGATGAAGACTCGCTACAGGGGTTCACGATGTCACATTTGCGTCGAGTCCCGGAGTTAGCCTTACTTGCACGTCGGGTGGTCGAAGCTGAGGCGAAACGCCGGGTACGAGAGGAGCGGAAGAAAGCTAAGGAGCAACAAAACCAATGCACCTCCTCACGCTCGCATGACTTGAAAGGTAAAGCTCGTGCTACAGTCGCTTCCCTGGCACCTCCATTTGGGAAGGGAAAGCAGGGTGAAGGACCAGGCCCGAAAATGAAACGCCTATTCCGATTTGCCATTCGTCAGTTATACGACGAGGGTAGTATCGTATTGTTCGATGGACCGATTCGCAAAATGCCTGAACTCTTTGTCGACGAGTTCCCTGCTGCAAGTCCATTGAAACTGTGGAAATCGGGCATGTCGAGTACGCTTGGCGCGAACAGTACCGCCACCTTATCCTCCATTAATGCATCCTCGTTGTCCTTTTCCGGAGATGATCCAGGGGAAGCCAGCGATCCACAGCCAGACGAGGAGTCGTATATCACGCTCACGCCGGGCTACCTTTGTCGGAAGGTTGAACGAGCGATTCAAAATATAGTCGCTCGAGCGCAGAAGATGCAGAAAGGCAAAGGTCCTCCAGCACCTGGACCGACGCCTGGGGAGATCTTGAATTATATGAGGAAGAAAGATGATCGATGGGCTCGTTTGGGTGAATGGTCGGTTAAAGATGCGTTGGAGTGGGGGAAGGAGAATGGGAGGGTGTGGTGCGTTGGGAAGGATCGGTGGGAGGTTTGTGGATGAGTGTCGAGCGTTGAGTGTCGAGTGCGACGTGAATAAACAGTGAGTAGTACTTCGGTATATTCTATATTTGATTGCTATCTGACAACCGCCTTGAGTCCGTAGATGTAACCGTACAATTTCAGAACTCTCGAACATAAGTAAGGGAGCTCCGACTCGAACTATGCATGCGCCTTTGTTTGGCCTCTGTGGATTTACATGCCTTGAGCTGCACGGTTGGTCTAATACCTCAACATAGTGCCGGTGATCTACTCGCTGTGTCGGGCTTAAACCAAACCCTCGGGAAGTCATGAACTTCTAGCATAAGAAGTGACAGGCTTCCCTTCCGGCGGTTTAGTGGTGGCTTTCTCCCATCGCGTCCATGTCCAGATCTCTTGGTGTATGTTCCCCTGTCGGTTTCGACGCCAGACATACAATCTGGTAGAGTATAAGCCGATAAATGCATCTTCACTGTATCGGACACCCTCATGTCAAGGCTGCTTTCACAGCTCGGCACTCAACCGTTCTCCCCCCCTTCAGTGGATTCATTCCCCGTCTCGCCAACTCTACTCGGCTGCGTCCACATTGAAAGTACCAAATTCAATCGAACAATCCCTTTTTCATCGTTTCGGAATTTAACTCAGGTACACTCCGTATGGCTGATCACCGGAGGTTGGAATTCTCCGACGTTCATCCGTTCTTGAATTTGCATTCAACGCGTTCTGTTTGACCTCCCTTGGACAAGTTGGACGTTCTCGTCTATGTAGACTTGATATGGGAAATCGTAGGCTCGGGTGACAAACTGAAAGTACCGTGTCTAGCAGGAATGGGGCAATTGTTGACATTGTGAGTCGATCAGTCGTGATTGACTGATTGGGAACTTCGGTTAATGATGATTACTGCACGCTATGTCTGCAATCCTGCGTTTGTCTTCGATTGCAGCGCGACACACTACTGAGCAAGCCAAGTCGTCCCCGTTCGACTATTCTGCACGTAACATCTCCCCTTTGTATACTCTTCTCTTTTGGTCCAATTATTCAGTGGCTTTAGAAGTGTAGCAGGGTATCGGTAGCCACCGAATCCTCTGTCATCATCGTGGCGTCATCACACCAGATACATTCGACGCCGTCGCCTGGAACGTCATTCGTAAGCGAAGTACATTTGGGTCTCGATGGAGGGGCCTAGCGTTTTGAATGTAACTGTCATCCGAACAGATGGAAAATTAATCAACAATCCGCAGTTGCATCGTGCGTGCTTGTGAAGCGAAAAGACGGGTTCTCCGGTAATCCTTGTCAATATGCACCTTCATCCCTAGGCGAGTCATCAGCTGTGTCAACGAGATTGGCTTTCAATGAAAGACAATGCTAAAATGCTTTGGTCTGCGGGCAGTAAGGGTTTCCCAGGGATTAGACGGTGCTTTTCAGCTCCGGGATCCTATAGCTAGACAGAGATGCAACGTTCGCGGATGAGGTTACCCCTGGCCTTCGTGTTAACGGCGCTCTTTCTACCTTGAAGGTGGGGTGAAGCTTCGGCATACACTTCTGTTTCAAGTGTTTCGGCGTTCAGGGAAGCGGATAAGCGGAGATCTTTGGGATATCCTTGTGCTAGTTTCAGGGATTAGTGTGCCAATCTTTGTGTTATCCCGTCTCTCAGTGCGTCTTCTCCTTCTGTTCGTACTTCCACTTGCCACTGACTATGAACATGTTCGAAGCGTGTAGCAGCGGCGCAACACCCAAATCCTACGTTGTAGTTGATCTAAAGGACACTGAGATTCTGCTCATACGCTCTGACCATGCTGGGAATCCTCATCTGTCCCTCACGCCGGGAGCGTCAACGGCGCTCTGAGTTTTACCAGTCTCCCTCTGCCGGCTTGATTGATCATCAACGTTGTAGCCAGAAACAAATGGATTCAGTACACTCATCCGTGCCCCCGACCCCGCCGTTTCCGGACCCTGTACTTTTGTCTAATCCCTGCCAACCTCATTTGTCTAGCTCAGAGACGTTCACCGTGACGCAAAGCAGTACAATGCGCACATCAGCGCCTGCCCACTGGAAGGTCGACTTAACAGGCGTCCCTGTAGGACCATGCCATGTTATTCAATTTATATTCATGGTGCTCGGTCTGATCTCATTTGGACATGCCGACCTAGAACCTGTATGGAAAGTCGCAATCGCAGATGATAAAGACTGGATAGAGCAAAAGGACCGGTTGGCGGAGAGGATCAATGCCATCACTGTCATCGTATGTAGTTATTTTGTGACACAAGGTACTTATACTAATAACATTTCGTACTTCTTGCTCACACTTCCACCCTTCTATGTAGGCGCGGTTGATGTTATCTTCTACTGCCGCTTTCGCTACCACACCGCCTCCTAGCCGGTCATTACTTGACTACACCGGATGGGCAAGGTTAGACGAATGGGCAGTTAAGGATGCTTTGGAGGGGAAGACGGAGAATGAAAGGGTGTGGTGAACAAGAAAGATATGTGGGAGATTTGTAGATGAGTGTTGATCGTGACGTGCGTACTGGTGAGTAGTACTTTGGTATATTCCACCATTATCAAGCGTGCATGCATCCCCGCGACCCGGACAATGCTAGATGCCTTTCACAGACCTCGTGGGTCTACACGCTTGTATTGTATGTTTTTTCTTCATGCCGGTCCTGCCGGTTATCTGATAGATGTTGAAATTACACATGCGCCTGATAACCTTGTCCTTTTATTTAGTTATAGAAGACGATCAAAGGAAAACTGGGGCAATGGCTTCTACGAAACTCACATCAACCTTCCGAAAATCCACACGCACTCCAGCGTGACCTCTGCAACTGGGCTAACATCAAGATCATCTGACTCCACGGCACATAATTCCTCGTTACCAGAACTCCAGGTCTTTACAGCTATTTGCGGAACGATAGGCCACCTTGGAAGAAAATCCAGGACAGAGGGTTTCGAGATCCGCTCTCGGCTGAAGGTGGCACTCACTCAAGCTGAGACGCTCCAAGCTCTCTTGCTCCACGAATACTCTAAATTCTGTTCGTGATTGGCTCGGACACCTGCAATCAGCCTTCGGGGATTGATCCTCCTGTGCTGGATTTTTTTTGAAAGGTGGCCTATCGTTCCGCAAATAGCTGTAAGTCGCTGACGCTGTCATTTGATGCTGAAAATACGCATAGCTAACAGAGATCTCTCAGGCTGAAGACATAAGGTCGCAGCAGCTACATAATCTGGTGATAGGACTCAAATCAAACTAGAAATGAGCAGGTGAAAACCATTCGAAACTTGGAGTTAATCCGAAGTTCATCTGGTGTATATATACAACTATTATCTAAATACATGTGGTAACAATGTGTTCGTATGTACTTATGGTATCAGTCAGGTTCCAGCATGGATCAATGAATGTGTTTGGGTAGGTTTTAATAAGTGGTTACAAATGAATAATGAGAGGGAAAGGTGTGTTCGTAGATCCGAAATGAAAGTGATCGTAACATTACCCCCTCCTCTAGAATCGTGTCCTCACGATTAATTTATGATAGATATGGAATTGTTCAATCATACCATGATGATCCATTCTTCCGAGTTTTCTCTCTCCCGTTCTCGTAGGCATACAACCCAGAGTATCACTCCAACAGTGCATAGGATTATGCCGCCAAAGACGCTAAGGATGATGGTTCCGTCTTTGTCCATTTCTACCAAAGAGCTTTCATTGGTTGAGTGAATGAGTGTTCTAAGATAGGGGAATCCATACTTGGGATTGATGTTGGTTCGACGAGTTGATAGAAGGAAAGAATGGGGTATTGCCATTCGAGTTTGACTTTCGTAGGCGCAGATGTGATTGCCACGTGTGTCAGTTTGAGCGTCTGCTCATTGATGATCCATAACTCGCCAGCATTCGGGTAATGCTGATTAGATATGATTTGTGCTTTCCTTCGATTTTTAAATAATTTAATCGAATCTGGATCCACAGATATCATTGCTTTTTCTTTTTTACGACGTTCTGCCCATCGCTGTACTTTCTGATCCCAATAATCCCATTCTTCTTGTGTCGCTTCTCTAGGAAATGACTGTTCCATAATTTGTGCCTTTAGCAATATTCTTGTGGGTGCTTTCGGCGCATCGGGATGATCTTTATGGAATTTGTCAATTATCTTTTTGTCTATATTTTTAATAATTTTATAACGAGGTTCCCATGTGTTCTCAGAACGTGGTTTTCCAGCCCACTTGATTAGATATTGAAGGCCTCCACATGCCATCTTGGAGTCTAATACAGATTCAGCTTTGTCTTCTAAGATATCGATAATTATTGGAATGTTTTTGTGTGTTTTCTGATTTGGAAATTTCGGTGCATGATACGGCAACAATAAAGTTTCATTGAATACAGGATGTACACCTTTCCACGATTTTGGTAATTTGAGCTTGTATGCGCTAGCTCCAATTTTCTTGATAATCGGGAATGGTCCGTATCTTTTATCGTCTAATTTTCGATTTGATCTGTCCATTCGTATATGTGTAGCTTCAAGCCACACCAAATCTCCATCTTTATAATTTATGGCTTCGCCTTTATGTTTATCGTATTGTTTTTTCATAACATCCTGTGCTAACGTTAACGATGCTGATGCTTCTTCTTGAATTTTCTTCATTCGTGCTACAAACTGCTCTGCAGTTTCATTACGAATTTCCTTTTTGGTTTCTACACCAGTGTAGGCTTCTCGTCCGTGATTCATATAGAATGGTGAAAATCCAGTCGCAGAGTGGACTCTATTTCGATATGCAAATGTTGCCAGTGGCAACCATTCTGGCCAGTCAGTTTGTCGATGATTGATGAATATTCGTAAATAGTTTTCAATTTCCTGATTGATTCGTTCAGTTTGTCCATCTGTCTGCGGATGATATGCCGTACTAGGATTTCCCTGAATTCCTAGTTTTTTATATAAGTCTTTTATGAAACTGGATACAAATTGTGGTCCACGGTCTGATGTCATCTTTTTTGGTAATCCGTGCAACGGATATACATTTTTGATATAGAGATTAGCCCATCCTTCTGACGTCAATTGCTCTGTGGTTGGTATTTCAATGTAGTCTTTTGATTTCATGTCCACAACTACTATGATCGCATCATGCCCTTGCGATTCTGGTAAATGTGTAATCATATCTACAGATTGATATTCCCAGTTGTGTTCCGGAATTGCATTTGGGTGCAATGGAGCATTCTTCGGTTGATGGTTAATCTTAGTTTTTTGACAAGTCTCGCAGCCTTTTACATATGTTTTTACATCTTTTTTGATCGAAGGCCACCAGTACGATCGATAGATTAGTTCTTGTGTTTTTGCTTGTCCAGGGTGACCGGCACTAATTGAGTCATGATGCGAATGGATAATTTCTCCTCTGAGTTCCTTGTCAAAAGGGATAACAATCTTCCCCCTTCTCCAGATAAGACCGTCCTCGGTCTCATTGAAGTCGGCATCTTTTGTCAATAGTTTTAATCGTACATTGTTTTCATATTTATCAGTGTTTTTTATGATTTTCTCCCGTAAAGCTGATGATCCGAGGATTTCATTGGCTCGGAACCATTCTGGTTTTAACAACGTAATGTTTTCATTATGACTATCTCCAATATCGTGATGGATCTGTCGCGATAAAGGATCTCCCTTCGTCATTGTGTTTCCGGGTTTGTGAGTCAAATTGAAGTCATATTGTTGTAATTCTTGGATCCATCGCGCCTGGCGATGATTTAACTTCTGGGGTTTTTTGAAATAGCCAAGGTTCTTGTGATCGGAATGAATTTCGAATTTTTGTGCAGCTCCCATCAAGAAGTGACGCCATTCTTCTAATGAGATCATGATGGCTAGCATTTCTCGATCGTAGATTTCATAGTTTCTTTCAGCCGGTGAAAGGCTTTTTGATAAGAAAGCGATAGTTCGCCATTGTCCATCTTGCTTCTGTGCGAGTTCTGCTCCAATAGCATATTTCGACGCGTCGCATTCTACTTTGAACTGATCTTCATTGTTCGGGATACCTAATACTGGTGCCGTGGTAATAGTTTTCTTTAGAAGTTCGAAAGCTTCCTGCTGTTCTGGACCCCAGGTCCATTCTACTTGTCCGGTTAATTTATTCAAGGGAGTGGCGATTTTGGAAAAGTCTTTGATGAATCGTCGATAGAAATTAGCGAATCCAAGGAATGACTGTAATTCCTTTTTGGCTTTTGGTGCTGGCCATTGCGTAACTCCATCGACTTTGGCAGGATCCATCTTTACAGTTCCTTGCGAAATAATATGTCCGAGATATTCTGTTTCTTGAGTTTCAAACTCGCATTTTTCTGGTTTGCAGGTTAATTTATTTTCTCGTAATATTTTAAGGACTTCTTTCACAATACGGCGATGTTCCTCCAGAGATTCAGAAAATATGAGTATATCGTCAAGATATATGATTACTTTTCCTTTGAGAATAAGATTACGGAAAATGTCATTCATCATCATTTGAAATGTAGCAGGACTGTTCGTCAATCCAAAGAACATGACGGTTGGTTCGTATAGTCCTCTATTTGTGATGAATGCAGCTTTCTCTTCATCTCCTTCTTTCATGCGAATATTGTTATATCCCCAGCGAATGTCCAGTTTCGTGAAATATTTAGCACCTTTGAGCTTATCAATAAGCTCTGAGATCAATGGTAATGGATATTTATTTTTTTTGGTCATATCGTTGAGTTTTCGGTAATCCTGTACTGGTCGCAATTTGCCATCTTTCTTTTTGACAAAGAAGAAAGGTGCTCCCCAGGGAGACTTTGATGGTCGGATTCTTCCTGTCTTTAGGTTTTCTTCAAGAAAACCGTCTAGGATTTTTTGTTCTTCAACAGTCATGGAATACACCTTGCCTGCATACAGTGATGAATCTGGTAACAGTTCTATTGCATGGTCCCATGGTTTCCTTTCTGGAAGGACGTCGAAAGTATCCTCAGTGAATACATCTGTGAATTCACGATACTGTTCGGGAACCATTTCTTCGAAGGTCTTTTTCTTTTTTTGTTTACTTTGTTCAATTGCTATGTCCATGGCTGTTACGCGCATTCGCTGAATATATTCTCCTCTTTCTTTATACCAAGCATTGGTATTGAGTAAATATACGGTATCTCCTTCTTCGATCTCTTGTTGTCTTATAGTGATGCACGTGTGTGGGCATCGGTTAAAGTCAACAAGTTGCAATTTGAAGTCTATTGATGGATTATGGTATTCGATCCATTCATATCCGAGGAATATGTCTGACTTTCCCAGATCGGTAACTAGAAGCATGATCTTCTCTTGGTGATCACCGATTCGAAGTGTGAGTCGGATGTATTCTGTGATCGGTCCCTGAGAATTCTCGCTGTTATCGGTGTTATAGACTTGGATCGGTTGATCAAATTTAGAGGTTTCAATTCCGTGTCTTTTGACGAAATTATAATTTATGCATGATCCGGTACTACCGGTGTCGACTAATGCTACTGTATCATGGATTCTTTCTGTTTCCGGGATGATCACAGTGACCGGTAGGTCCATTTGTTTCCCTCTTCCAAGTCCTTTGACAACTCGGAGTAGTGGTGGTCCAATGTCTGTGATGCTTTTATCCGATGCACTCGGTTTATTTTCAAATTTTTTTGTATTTTGTTTAGAGAAATCAAGCACAGGTTCCGCCCTGTCGCGCTTCTTGGTAGAAGACGCCTCTGCGTTAGATGAAATATTTACAAAAGGGGACTGTCCGATTGATGTACTACAGGCATGTATTGAAGATGGTTTCATAGAACCCTCCAGGGGTTTATCCGAGTCATTGTTCTTATTCGGCAAGTTACTTTGTGCGTTTAAGCTTTGCCCGAGCCAAAATTCAGCTTCTTCGCCTTCTCCGGGTTCTTCTCCATCCATCGCCGAACCATGGCGATCATCTTGTCATCGTCGTCATTATCTGAGTCGGAGATCTCCTCGATCTTGGACTCTGTCTTGGTTTCATTCTTTCGAACACGTTGAGTGTTCATGGAAGGTCCCGATCGATTGGGGACGTGCCATGCACTTCCGCAAGTGCCCTTCTCTGATTGCTTGGCCTTACACTTAAGGCAATTCCTGTCCAAGTCCATGGGCTGTCCATGCCCTGTGAACGTTGTCCCGGTTCCATCTTTCTTTTCTCTGTAGTCCTTCTTTGGACTCTGATTCTGGTTCTGACCCGATCCTTGGGTCTGCTGCTGATAACTAGGGTACTTCTGCCCATAGTTCTGGTTTGATCGGAAAGGTCGATATCCAATCTTCTTCAAACGCTTCTCTTCTTCCCGCTGCCTTCGCGAGGAATCAATGTCAATAATTGCTTCCTTCCATGCTGCATAGTCGGTTGGTCGCGTGTCTTTGTTGAGGACTCTGTCTACAATGGATTCATTGCAGTTGAGTCTGATGAGGTCGATAGTGTGTTTATCGTCCTTCTTTCTGCCTGCTTGCGTGATGTACATTTCCAATTTCTGGAAATATTCTTGTGCCGTCCCATTGCCTTGGGTCAAGTTATCCATTTGGATAACTGCTTGTTCGACTCGATTGGTATCGAGAAACTGTTCTTCGAGATCGAGAATCAATTGGTAGAAATTGACATTCCAGCTGTCGGTGCCAATGTCGAATTCATTTTCGAAATAATTATTGACCCAGTCGTCAACCTTCGGACCCTTCATGTATGAAAGGGTCATGTCGATCTTCTGTTCATCAGTAAGACCGGTGTTCTTCGGTGTTCGGAACCATAGATACAATTGTCTTTTAAAAGATGGGAATTTATCTTTGGTTCCATCGAAGTCTGAAGGTTTCCCTCCAGATGCCTTTGTGTTTGGTTGTGGTTGTACTGGTGGCGGTTGTCTAGGTGGTTGTGGTGGGTTTTCTGGTGGTGGTGGTTGTGGTGGGTTTGTTTCAAGGTCACCAGTTCCGGTTGCGGCAGAACCCATTGGTGATGATGGTGATGTGGAGTGTGTGAAAGATGAATGTGATGGAGGTAGGAGAGGAGGTTGAGATCGGCATTCGTAGAATTGGTAGATGGGTACAGAGTCAGGGAATTCGAATGAAGATGTGATGTATGAACAATAGTGTCTTGTACCGGGCACACGACCCTGTTCTGGTACTTAGACAAGTATAGATCCGAGGTAAAGGTACTCCTTCAAAGTGTTCCGGCCAATTGCCGATCCGGACACACGAGGTAGGTAGATGTAGTAGCTATGTAAAATGGTTTGGCCTTAGAAGGCGCAAAAAGAGAAATTGATCTCTGCGGTAGTTGTCTTTCGACGTGCGAGAGGATCAAGAAATACCAGCGAGGTTCGAAACCTCCTGCCGTACACTCAGTCGTTTAGGTCTGAGCAGGGTAAATTCTGGTAGATTTTTTCAACGGCCCCTCTGTCAAGAAGGTTGCAGCACCGCCTACTTCCTGGTTGCTTCAAGAGCGGACTACCAGGTGAGAGTAATGGTTTATGTACAAAGGGAATACAAGGGTCGCAATCTACAGTTGTAGTCACGTGATTACCCAGGTGGAGGAGTGGAGTGTGATAGAAAAGTAACTAGGAATGTGGAATTCGGATCCCTCCGAATGAGGTCTTGAGCGAGTGAGAGTAAAGCAGAGTGGGATGAGGAATGAGGTGGTTGCCGTCGAGTACAACAGACTTTGAGTGAGGTGAAGTGTGGGTGGAGGACGAGGCAATGCCTGTCGAGAGAGTGCGAAGGGGCAAGTTTCGAATTATGATAGGACTCAAATCAAACTAGAAATGAGCAGGTGAAAACCATTCAAAACTTGGAGTTAATCTGAAGTTCGTCTGGTGTATATATACAACTATTATCTAAATACATGTGGTAACAATGTGTTCGTATGTACTTATGGTATCGGTCAGGTTCGAGCATGGATCAATGAATGTGTTTGGGTAGGTTTTAATAAGTGGTTACAAATGAATAATGAGAGGGAAAGGTGTGTTCGTAGATCCGAAATGAAAGTGATCGTAACATCTGGTCTTGTACAGACTTACGAAGCACGTTCAACGAGCTCCCACTGCCTGCCCTCCTCCCCCCATTTCCCTTCACCTGAACCCTACTCAACGGCATCTACATTGGAGCCACACGATTTCTTCATCTCTTTAGAGTTAAACTCGGAATTCACCGGTACTTTGCAGGTCCTGGGCAAGGTCTTCGAGCATGCATTTAGGGTGCTTTGCCTGATCTCCTCTGGACATTCAATTGGTGAGCAGCAAGTTTTCTTACATCATCGCACCCTCAACACGTCGAGCCTCACTTACATTCAATCGTCACTTGATTCTTATACACCCCCGCTAGGTATGCTCATTGTCAATTCAGCAATCTCCTCGTGGCGTCATCAAATACGGGTTTCTAGTTGTGAGTATGTATCAGGACGTGATGCTCTTTGGGCACAATGAGCCTGGAAGCCCCATAGTGGTACTGATTTATCATTCATAGCATGACCATAGCATTGGCGAGAATCAATGTCTTATGCAGCTACCCCAATATTTACGGGATCGTCGATGTACGATATATTTGCTTAGTTGCTAGCATCGATGAGCAGGAGCAGGTTCAGTCTCCGTTCAGAATCACTGTGTCGGACCAGTGATTGCTCAGTGAACAAGGCAATAAGTAGTTTGACTCGTCCGATGATTTCATCTCCATGGTATGAAGATCTGGAAGAATTAGATAAACCAGAAGGCTTCGCGGGTAAAGTCGAAGTTGCGGAGATAGGTCAATTCAGGAGATAAATCAGCGAATGGGGTGAAGGAATGCACCAGAATGGACAAAGGGGTTACGTTTTCATAATATTCTCATAAGTTGATGCCGATCCTATACATCAAACAACATTAGAATCCTCTTATGCGATTTTCATATATACATTTGACACTTCCATACAGTCTGTCGCAGACGAACGGAGATTTCGCGTGTAAACCTCCTGGTTAAAGATCTTCGACGACAATCATTCTCGTTCCTACTCTGAACCAGGCCCGGGCCTTGATAGCTTCCTTTGGACTTAGGGTACTCGCTTGAAGTGGCCACTAGGCAACACGAGGTTTGAAGGTGTTACTGTTGGACGTCGAATAGCGACAAAATCGCTCATTTGTATTTGAGCGGCGGGGAGAGTATCAACATAGGGATCAGTTAGAAGGGTTTTGGTGCATGAGTCAGCTGTAGGCGTTCCACCTGGGGTTGAAGTGGGTTCAGGAAAGACTCCCGCAGTACGTTGGACCTGAATTAGCTTGCGTGCAGGCATGAACGTGGTTCTGTTGGAAGTTCATTCGTTGGATGTGCGTCTGAAGTTACGTGCATCTTCCGACTTCGTGGAACCGCTCGACGGCTTCGAGTCGGCCAGCAAGCGTCTGAGAAAGGATTTCGGTGGATTTTTGTTTAGAACATACTCTAAACGGCTATAGAAAGCATCCAGCTATAGAAGATTTCAAGTAACCCGAACCGAAGCGGCCAGGTCACGACATAAATGGTCTTAGGCCTTGGTTTGTCAATGCTTTGAATCAGAAGTGATTCTGAAAATACTATTTTGGGGGAAGCGCTTGGAGTCACAACACAGTGGCGACACGATTTCACTCATTTACTTACGCGCCTGCATTTCGTCAAGTCGGTAGCTGTACGGAGGCTTACTTTAGCGGTGGAAACACGCCCAGTACAGCTAGTGGAGACATCACGAAGAAGAAGAAGGCCAAATGACGGGACAGACCGCGTCAATAGACCATGAAGTGCCCATGAGCCGACGGAAGCCTAGCAGAACAGGAGGTGTCGAGACCGCGGGGACACGCATTGGTTAGTCTCCCACAGACAGTGTAGACAGAGGTTCAACCTTCGTACCTCAGGATATCTCTGTCTGACGTGTCAGTCAACCTAACTTTCAAGTTAGGTTTTTCTTCACTTCCTTTCATCTGAACTGATGAAAAGCTAATTTCTATTCTGCCACAAATATTAACATCCGGCGTTCTTGTAACGCAATCGACACTATGCTGTTCCTTTGGGAATGTCATGAGTTTACACTCCCCAAGGTGAAACCTTGGCTGACGATATTGAAAAGGTTCAAACTGTACTCAAATGAATGTTACTCAGGTATCTCGGTCATTCGGATAGGATCTCATTGCATTCTTCTGCAGGAAAAAGGGCTAATAGGCGGCTTTCGCACCTTAGGCTAATTCTGACTGATCCCAGCCCTGCTCATCCCAGAAAGCCTGAGGCTGATTCTATCACCTGTAAAGGCGGATCTTCGATAAGTACTTCTCTTACGAACGTCTCGGTATTCAGGGAAGTTGATCTGGCAGAACTTAAGTAGGATCACGGGAAGCGATATTCGAGCCTTGCGTCAACAAAGGCGATCACCTTGGGCCCGCAGATGCAGCATTGCTAAGCGGATGTGTTAAGTGAGTTCTTCATTCAACGTTCACGCGTGCTTGTTTTCCACTGTGCGTTCCCGTTCCGTTCACACCCTCCTTCTGTCACGAAATATGAATGGTTCCAGGCATGCAGCAGCTCCACGCTTGCGATCCTGCAAACGGATATATATAGGATGATAACATTCTACCAACTATTTGCCTCTGCCTATGGCAGGACTCGGAGTCCTCATTCTTCAATTTTATCGGCCGTACTCTTTGACCTACCAGACTTCCAACCTTACGTCGACGCATAACCAAAGACCAATGCACTCAGCGGATCCGCATGGACTGGAGTCCCTGGGGCCAACTACTTCCAACACAGCGCATCCTGTTCCATCACGATCTCATACTGCATTTAGTTCAACAGCAAGCACTGTATGCGGGGAGACAAAAATGGATAGGCTTGATTCGAAGCCACTGGTTATGCCTCCTCACTGGAAGCTCGAGTTCATCAACATGCCTAACTGGTTAGGCAGATGCCTTCGGTTCTCTTTCAAGCTACTTTGCTTGCTCTCACTGGGACATCGGGATCTGGACTCAGTATGGGAGGTCGCAACAACCGAGGATGAAAGATGGTGGTACGAACAAAAGGATCGAATGTTAAATAGGATCAACAACATCACTGTTATTGTAAGTCGTTGCGCAATGTCATACAATGCTTATTACGCATCCTACTATTTCGATCGTCTAGGCAGGATTACTGTTAACTTCCACTTCTGCTTTCGCCACAACTCTCCCTCCCGTCACTCCATTATTCGACTACACACAGACCTTCCCCTACATTTGTAGTCTTGCTTCATTCGGTTCCGTCCTGGGTAGCCTGATCGTTGGATCATCAATATTATTCATGATGGCCAAATGTTCGCAACAATGGTTTCGCGACGTCCGTTTTCCTTTTTATTACTTTTAGAGAACCGTACTGATACTTCACATTTTGTAGACCCTGATGGGCTCACATTCGAGCATATGTCTTACTCTTATTCTCCTGGCATATCCATTTTTCTCCATCGCTGCTGCTGCATGCGTGATGTTGATCGGTAAGTAGCAATATCCTCTATTGCGGTGTAGTGTGATCACTCTATGCCTCTGCTGTATCTCAACTCATGCTACCACGTATTTACTTAGGTATAACTGTCGCCGCTTATCAGTCCTCTCATCCAGTCATCAGGATTGGAAGCATATTCATCATCCTTATTCCAGGGCTCTTAGTTCCTGCCTTCATTTACACCCAGGTGCCATGGAGCCGTGCACGATGCACTGATTCTGCGCAGACTCCCATTCATGAGCAGATGTCCAGCCACGAGCAGGTATCCAGTCCCACGCAGACACCCAACATCGACTATTCAGAGCCTTCCAGCGCGTGAACGCTGCTCGTTCTCTTCTTCGTGATATACATTTTCTCAGTTTTTTTCGGCGAGTCGCAGGGCTTCGCGCTGGAGTACTGTAGATGCATCAGTATCGTGCTCATGCTTACTTTAGCTTCGGCCGGCCTACTAGCTTGGTTTGTGTGGTAAATGTAGGAATAGCTCATGATCAGCCTCACTTGTCCGAATATACCTGTACATATAGAATGCAGAAGAATCCAATTCAAATAATATTGACCTTGGTCAGACTCGCAGAATGTATTTTTCATGAGTCCTAGTTGCTGAAATACCCTTTCTGAAACGGGGCAGTAGAAACTTCGGCATTCAGGCGTCTATTATTACTGCAAGTTCACGGGGGATCCTTCGAGTCCGCGACGCACGATGGTGACCAGTTCTGCCATTTGAACTTGGCATAGCTTCTCCCTCTTCAATTTCAATGTGATTTCTCTGAATGCATAGAAGATTAATTTGTACACTTGGTTCTTAAAGAATTGTGGTGAAACGAATCTCAACCTCGGAGGCGTCGAGTTCCTGTCACAGTTGTAACAGGTAATCTTTTAGGCGGAGAAGGAAGTACTAGTTTTTGCGTAAGTGCCTCCGCCACCGTCGTTGCCCTCCAAAGTTGACCCCCTCTCATATCAGGTGTAGGAGCTATCAGTAGACCACGCGTGCGATATGTTTCTCAGCCCTGGTGCATGACAATGACCTGTTGATTGGGTATGAATCGACTAGATCCTACTGTTCGCTTAAGTTATCAGACCATCTGCCTTACCTCCAGATTCCGACTGTCACAAACTGGGGATCATGTCGATAACTGGTACGCCAAAATTTGACCCACTTCGATTTTGCTTCGTGCTGACTCTATTTGGACATAGGGCCCTGGTTCCGGCAATACAACTTGAGTCCGACTGGTCTGCTTTCTCTCTGAAGGCGGTGGCTACGAAGTGCACATGCAGAGCTGGAGATCGACGTTTCGTAGGCCAAATTGTTTAGGCGCGACGTGCAGTGCCGCAATGGACAGGGTAGTGCTGGGCATTCGTGGGGAAACTAAATGTATACATGGATATGGACGGCAGACTGGAAGCGGATAGGCTGCGAAGATATCAGTGACGGACAGCTCAGACTGCCGGCTGAATATTCCGGAATTAACCGAAATATCCCGAAGGTGAGCAAAGTTTTGCAAGGTTTCGATAGTTTCGAGGCGCCTTGTCATAAGTATACTATTCTATCCTGCAAGGTGGTAACATCAGTACATGGATCTTCCGCTAATAAGCAGGATGTAGGGTTCAATCCAGTGAAGTTCCGGATGCTTAAACCTTTAGTATCATGATGACGACTATTCTCTACGCATGCGAGTGGCTACCTATTCGAGCAGTACTTTGTGGGTTGATAATTTTTCTGAAGTGGCCCGAATTGCGTCTAGGTCAGACGTGATATGAATTTACCGTCCAGTGAGTGTTCAACCCCTTTGCATACTGGTTCGGGCCACTGAAATGGTTTACTGTTCCTGTTTCATGCTCCAAGGCAATAGCTTTTTCTCTATTCCTTCTCGTTGGATGGACCCAGCTGCTGTGGACCCGGAAGCGGAGGCGCCCAAACTCCCCGCAAACATACTGCTTCCGCAAGTCCTGGGCAACATGAAGCTTGTTATATGTGTTAACGTGTACTTTACATCATTCACGGGTCACAGCATCTATAGTAACAATTATCTGCTAACATTGGCCCTTTGCTTACCTAGTGCACAACTATATTCAACCACGCTCTTTCGGTCACAGGAACCCTGAACTTCTCCAGTAAGCAAGCCATCTTGTGGTATCGTTGCTCGTCAATGGTGCTAGTTTCTGGAGGGTTGGGGCTACGCGCGTGGCTTCAGATACGTCAAGCCTGGGGATTCCCATAGCCTCAGCACAAGACAATGTTTCCTGTGCACGCGCGAAGAAGTCAAGGATCTTCAAGGCTGGATAGTGACCTAGGTTCTCTGCCTCAACAGCCGGATCGACACCGGTACCTTTCTGTTTCAGGCGTCTAAGCCACTCGGTGTATGGCTCCGAAGGAAGGTCCAATTCCTTCGAAAGCCCCTCCATGATGGTCTCCCATGTCACAGGTCGTGGATGGGCAAGATGCAAAATTGACACTGGCGAGTTTCGCATCTCGATGATAGCCCGAGCAGCAGAATCTGCGGGGATCCAGGATACTTCCTGTGTTCATACGTAGATCAGTAACGAGCAGTCGAATGAGAATATAGAATATACCTGAGGAAGAACAGGTAAGCAACCGAGATTAACACTAGACTTCACGAGAGAAGGGAACCATTCGGCTTGGTTCCATGCACCTGAACGTCCACCGGTGACTTGTCCTACTCTTACGGTGACAGGCCGTAGGGTCGTCTTGCTTGCAACAACGCTCAACAACTTCTCTGCGACCCACTTCGACTCGCTATAACCCATGCCGACTGCTACTCTCGCTTCAACCGGTTCTTCCGCAATGGGGCCGCTAGGATCAAGATCTGTGATGGGATGTCAAGACAGAATGACGTCACTTAAATGGTAGATACTTACTACGTAGGACGCCTATGGAGCTGATGAAGACCAGACGAGGTGGAGAAGGTAGAGGAGAGGATAGGGCGAGATCAATGAGAGCTCTAACTCCCTTGATAATCACCTCGAATGAACTCAAAGACAGGTTGAAATTTACTGGCCATGCTATCGATTTCGTCAGAGATATTTGTCTGCTTGCAATAGACGTCAACTCACCGTTGTGTATGACATGTGTCGTTGAGATACGAATCTGTCGATGATCAGTGAATGATGGAGGCACAGCATGATGCCTGTACTCACCTCTTCATAGACTTCCGGAGAGAGACCCATTCTCTCCTTCTCTAAGTCCGTCTCAACCAGCACGATTTTCTCAGTATTAACAATGCTCTCATCAAAACCTCGCAGTTGGAGTGCGAGACGTTGCCGTTCCTTGAGAGGCTGGTGATTGTGTCGGTTTAGCGCATACACGCGGCCGATGGCGGGAGATGCAACGAGATGAGCCAATAACGTGGCACCAAGACCTCCCGTGGTTCCTGTCAAGACAACAGTGTCTTGAAGAGGAGAGCTCGTGGAAGGAGCATGTGAAAACAGTGAATCAGAGTATCTCTCAACCATTTTCAGCATACTGTGGACCCGTTCAACATCACCGAGATCTGAATGCTCAGAGCCAGCAATGCGAGAAAGGAAGCCGGCAAGAGCTCCAATGCTAGGATATTGATACACGAATCCACTTGATATCGATCTCGTGTTGACTTTGGTGGTGTCTCGCAGTGCATGTAATAAAGAGTTACGAATCCAAGTTGCTTGCAAGCTAAAGTCCGGAGGTCAGCATGATATAATATGTAGGAATAAGCCTCGAGGATCAACCTATCGCAGCCTTTCTGGAAGATATCGTCTGACTCTTGAATCTCGTGCTTCATGACTCTGTTGACGACTTCCTTCACGAAGTTGATTGAATCAGGGAGAGACCATGATGGAGGAGGAGCCATGTCGGCTTGAGTTGTCTCTTTCACCGCCGCATACAATGCTTCGATCTCCGGATCGTAATCAGCAATAATAGCCTGACGACGTGCTGTGTTCTTAGCAGTATACTGGAAAGGCTTAGTTGGAGATGCGACCATGATCATCTAAAGAACTCATTCAGCACTTACGATCAGGAGAAAACGGATGCGATTTGCTTACTTCTTTGAATATGCGGGAATGTTGTGGTGCAAATTCGTTCATTCTCTCCACAGTCGGCCTGACAGAAAAGGATAAGCAAGTCAAAATACTCCACCAGAGACAGGTGACATACCAAATCTTATTTCGGAAGTCACTGAGTCGGTCCTGGTCCTGAGGATCAAATTCATGACCGGGACGTGGATCTATTACGACCCCGGCGTAAAACCTTCCCCGACCAAACATGACGGCTGCTCTCACGTGCGGGTCTTGATTGAGGATGGCCTCTATACGATATCGATTATTTAGATCCGACTGCACATAGAGTCAATACATCAAACACACCTAAGGGCCCGGGATTCGTCTGTAACTGTCTGCTTAACTCACGATGCTCAATGTTGTAATCGTCAGGCTCACCTTTTCTCCAGTATTATGCATAATTTGGTCATCAGCCCTACCGTATACTTTCCAGAACCCTGGTTTGGTCGGGTGGGGAGTTAACAGGTCGCTCGTGGCATATGCGTCGATTCCATCTATCACAGTGTTGAATTTACAGGGTACAATATATTTTCCCGGCTTCAAATGTGATTATCACTACGTCGAATTGTAACAAAGGACACAGGGCTTACAAGGATTACTAGTTCCGCATTGCCGTTGACATCCCAGATAAATCGAGTCTCGATACCTGCAGGGATCCGGAAGTAAATCCAATCCTTCCCAGATGACTCTGGAGGAGTTACGTCAACGCATGTTGTACCGTTCAAATGCAGTAAACGTACTGGGGATAATCGGAGTTACTATACCGCATTCCGTGCTATGGACAGATCAATACGGTTTTGGGAAAGAAGATCGAGGAGGTCTCTTACCATCCATACAAGATGAAGATGGATACGCCCTGCTCCACCAGAAAATCGCCTACACTTTGGGATAGGGGACCACCACCATAAAGCTGGTGACAAGGTCACATGAAGAAAAGCGATTCTAAGCCTATAATGGTACGCACCAGGCCTTGAATTTGTCGTAACTGTCGAACATTCTCGGGGTCCTTAGCCCAACTCTACGACAATCGTTAGCTGGAAATAAGAATCAAAGAGCCATGCACACCTCTATGAAACTCGGTACACAGAAAATCACGTCAGTCTTCGTTGCCATACTACCCTTGAGAACTGATTCTGGAGTTGGAACCGGAGCAGGTGACTGAGGCTTGAACGTAGTCAAAACCAATCCGGAGGTCGCCTGTAAAGCAGCTTAACACGTTCTATGGAAGAACAAAGTTTATGCGCGCACGTACCGACCAACCTGCTTGGATCATGCCCATTCCGTGATACATGGGTAATGAATGGCATCCAAGATGCTGGCCGGTCAGGTCACGCTCCCCATGGTCTAGCATGCAAAGGTTAATAGATGACTAATGCCAAGTGTGATAACAACGTACACGGTACCATGCCGAGCATAAGGAACCTGTGATGCGACCAAAGGATGGACTTCGGATACGCAGTCGAACCTGAGAAATATGGATTCAACCGATGATTTGTTCTGAAGAGTAAGAGCGCCGAACCTGAAGAGTGCATGATAACGGCTATGTCATCCCACTTCGGCTTCAAAGGAGGCAAGGGTTCAAAATTGGCCTCTGAATCTTTAGGATACAGACTTTCAAATGGCGGCACCGAGCCAATAATTGGTTGAGGCGTGCCAGCATCAGATAGAATCTTCAGTGACACCGCAGCCAAATCCTGCATCGCAACCTCAGGTCCAACGAGAAGATATGCAGAGTCGGTAATTGTCAACAAATGGGCGATGGCTGCTGGAGAATTACGGGGCGACACTGGAAATGCAACGTGGCCCGCGCGAATGATGCCTACCATCAAGGTGAAGTACGCGATGAAGTCTGCAGATAATTCAAGTAAAGAGAAGTACAGTTCTGTAGATAACGTACCTGTGGGTGCAAGGATCGCAATTACGAGCGGTCCAGAGCGCTTAGAGTCGGCATCTTGAACAAGGGACTGTATAAGACGACCAGCTCTGTGAACCGCTCGGACGGCCTCGGGCCAATAGATGGTCGTGGCGATTCCAGCATCATCAGCATAGACAAATAAAGGATGATTGGGAGAATGTTCAAGGTGCCAGTCATAAATTTCAGGTAGACTTAGAGTACCGTCGAGAGGGGGTTGCTTGAAGGTATCGGTAGACAAACATTGCGTCGGCGGTAGAGAAGGAATGGGGAGAAGTTTGTAATCGTCGGGATGCATACTGGCGGAAGATACTAAACCTGCGAAGGTCGAACGCGAGAAGTCCAAGAACTCCGGTGCTAGCAGTAGATTCGTTTCCTACAGGGCCATTATATACCTTCCCACAACTGTAAGCTGAAAACTCTGCGGCCCGCATGTTACATCACGAAGATGAACATGGAAGCTGTATTTGGATTCTATAATGAAGCTTAAGCTCATATGATAAGTCCGGAAGAAGTACCGTTCTATTCTTGGCTCTGGTTGACGACGCGCGTCAGTCCGTGTCAGAAGGTCGTGATTGTATATCGGCCCCATTGGAACGAAGCAGCTACAGAATTTGCGTTCAGATGACCCAAGTGTTCGGAAACCGAACGCGCGCCTTGAAACATTGGTTGTCAAAACACCATAAGGGAAAGACAGAAACGAAAAACAAAACAAAAAACATACGCTTTGGAGCAGAGGGCTACGTGCAGCGAGATATTTCTGAAGAAGTCCGACAGGAGTTCCTGGGAAAGAGAGATCGAGGCCGGGAATCGATATACTTATTCGAATTCTGTATTGTCTTACCCAGAACTAGGGAAACATCGAGCCGGCAGGATATCAGTACTTATCTGAAAGCCTAACAGAATGGGTGAGGATGTGCGTCGTATTTATAGAAGACATTTTTGCACCTTAGAAAGTCAGACCACCGGCGAGAAATTCCTACATACTCGAGTATATCCTGATGCACCAAAACGGCTTCAATTCATATTCCGGTGGCGACCCCATATGTCCAATATCCGCTACAGAAACCCATGTCCTTTCCAGTACGCTATCCAACCCAATGTATCCCTACCAGATAACGGAGGTACCCCTTGCAGTGAGGGTGCGACGCCAAGCGCTCGAGATACGTCGAGCCTGGGCAATCCCATAGCCTCTACGGACTCAGAATTTGCTGCATCCAAGAATATATCGAGAATCTTCAAAGCAGGAAAACGATCCAATAGTTCGACTTCTGTATCTGCACTTGACCCCGAATTTAGCGCCGTCAGTGACTTTAGCCAATCACCATACGATACTGAAGAAAGGTCTAGGGTCTGCCTTATGGGTTCAGCGATAGTTTCCCAAGGTACTGGTTGAGGATGAGAGAGATGGAGATGGGGTGCATCAGAATTTCGCATCTCGACAATGGCCTGCGAGGCCGCATCAGCCGATATCCATGACACGTCCTGTGAACGAGATACCATCCATGAGTTCAACATAATCAAGATTCAAGAAGATAGCTCACCCTTTGTAATTGAGGTAGACACCCAAGATGCAGACTAGTTCGCACAAGAGCCGGAAACCATTCTTCTTGCTTCCAAGCACCGGAAGCACCGCCGGAGATTTGACCTACTCGGATGGAGACTGGGCGTAATGGTGTCTTATCCGCAGCTACGCTCAACAATTTTTCAACCACCCACTTCGACTCGCTGTAACCGTTCCCCACCGCAACAGATGCCTCAACAGGGCCTTCTTGCACGGCGACAGAGGGATCTAAATCTGCAATAAGCCCTTAGTGCGAATCTATCCTGTAGAGTGGATGTCAACTTACAGTGTAAAACACCAACGGAACTGATGAAGATGAGACGAGGCGGTGTCAGGAAAGGCGAAGAAAGAGCAAGGTCTACGAGATGTCTCGTTCCTTTGATCTGCGGTTCGAAGGAGGACAAACTAAGGTTGAAATTAACCGGCCATGCTGGGGAATCTTCAGACTGTGTTGCTAGGACGCATGATAAAGATAAGATGCTTACCATTGTGGATAATGTGGGTGACAGAGTTACGAATCTAACAAACACGTCAGAAAAACGCAGCTGACCGTGATTTGCACATGTTGCGCACCTCCTCGAATACGTCCTGAGAAAGATCCAGTTTGTCTTTACCCAAATCTGTTTCCAACAGAGTTACCTTCTCCAAATCTGCAGTATTCTCTTCCAATCCTCTGTCCCGCAGGATAAGCTTTTGACGTTCTTTCAACGGCACTTCACTCTTGCGGTTCAAAGCATAAATGTGGGCTACATCAGGTGAAGCGACCAGACGGGCGAGCAGTGTAGCACCTAAGGAACCGGTAGTACCTGTAACAACTACAGTGTCACGTTCAGGCGGAGGCCTAGATGGAGCATGCAAGCCGAAGAACGTGGTGTATTTATCGACCATCTTCAACATGGCGTCAACATGATCAGCGTCGTTCAAAGGCGAAGACGCAGACTGAGCGAAGTTCAAAACAGCGGTGGTAAGTGAGCTGATCTTTGGGTATTGATAGACAAAGCTATTCGGGATGGTGCGAGTGTCCGCCTTGAGAGTGGATCGGATTGCGCGTGCAATGGTGTTTCGAATCCAGGTTGCTTGTAAGCTGTCGCATCCTCTCTCGAACAAGTCGTCATCATCTTGCAATATACATTTCATAACTTTTGTTACCACTTCGCGAACGAAGAGTTTAGTAGCGGACGGATCCCATGAAGTGGGAGGAGAAAGCTCTGCCTGGGCGCTCTCTTCGGCCGCGGTGTAGAGTGCTTCTATCTCTGACTGGTACTCGGCGATTACGGCGTGGCGGCGAGGTGTACCTTTGGCAGTGTACGACAATGGTTTGGACGGTGATGCAACCAGGATCATCTGCCGAAAACGTCTCGTCAAACCTACAGAAGGCCGAGATAAAAGTCAAATTACCTCTTTAAATATACGAGAATGTTGAGGGGCGTATTCGTTTGCCTTCTGGACAGTCGGCCTGGCAGAATTGTGAAAACCACATTCTCGTAAATATAAAGACAAAGACATACCAGATCTTGTTACGAAAATCGGCAAGCTTCTGTTGGTCCGTAGGATCAAACGCGAACGCAGGCTGAGGATCTATTAAGACTCCGGCATTGAACTTGCCTCTTCCAAACAGTACTGAAGCTCGAACATGTGGATCACGGTTTAATATATCCTCTGGAGAAAGATTCGTAGTTAATGATGTGTGAGCAGTACAACCAAAGAATGAATATACCCAAGGGTCCTGGATTAGTCTGCAACAGATGTCAGTACTATAGTAGTTGCCAGCGTCGTAATATGTGCGTACCTTTTCTCCAGTATTATGCATGATTTGATCATCAGCACGACCGAAAATCTTCCAATACCCCGGCTTGGTGGGATGTGGAGACAGTAAATCATTCGTGGCGTATGCATCCACGCCATCTACAGTTGTGTTGAAGACAGCGGGGATAAGGTGCTTTCCCGGCTTTAAAATTGTTATCAGCCAAGGGTTCACCTCAGAAGCAAACAAAGGGAAATATACTTACCAGAAAAACGACTTCGGCATTTCCGTCGGTACCCCAGATGTAATGCGTCCTGATACCTTCCGGAAATTTAAAGTAGTTCCAATCCTTACCGACGATCTCTATATATCGTTGTCAGTTTCATCGCTATCATGAAGGCAAACAGACCGACTAGGCACAATCGGGGTAACGACGCCACATTCAGTGCTGCGAGGCGACAAATCGAATCAATAAAGGGAGGGCTGTTCGTAGAGCATTATTTCTTACCACCCATAGAGAATAAAAAGCGAAACGCCCTGTTCTGTCAAATGATCCCCAACCTCTTGGGACAGAGGTCCTCCTCCATATATCTAACGAAAACCATCTTTCTTGCGAACCCTCACATAAGAATTGAAAATCGACGTACAACTCCTTGAATCTTTGAGAGGAAACGGACATATTCTGCGTTCTGGGCCCACGCCTATCGCCCAAGGTGAGTTCATGCAACAGTAAATATTAGTGTACTATACCTCGACGAAGCTTGGGACACAAAATATGATATCGCTCTTTGTGAGCATAGCTCCCTTGATCACGAGTTCCGGGCTCGGTCCGATAGCAGGAGACTGCGGCTTGAAGCATGTCAAGGTCAGGCCGACAGTAGCCTATGGCGTTCATATTGATATTCAGCAGGACAAATGAGTATAAGCATGGGCATAGACATACCGTCCAGCCGGTTTGCATTGTTCCCGTTCCGTGGAAGAACGGTACAGCATGGCAACCAAATCGTTGTCCACAGAGATCACGCTCGCCCAGATCTGAAAAGTCAGTCAACGACGCTAGATAGGGGGAAAAGAACGATAGCTCACAGGGTATACAACCTACAACGAAAAATCGGTAGTGCGTGCTCATTAAAGGTTTCGGGAAAGCAGTGGAGCCTACGCATCATTAGTACCATACATAGATCTAGGTGAAGTGATTAGAATGGCAGACCAGAAGAGTGCAGAATCACAGCAGGATCATCCCAGTCCGGCCTGATCGGAGGAAGAAGCTCAAAAGTTGGATCATCTCTTTGCGGATATAAGCCTTCGAACGCTGGAACAGCGGCAAGAGCAGGCAGAGGGGAGTCCGCATCTGACATAATCTTGAGTGACGCTTTTGCTAGGCTCTGCAATGCCGGTTCAGGCCCAACAAGGAGATGCTGTGCCCCCGTCTTGGATAACAGATGAGCGATAGCTGGGGGTGAGTTACGTGGTGAAATGGGAAATACGGCGTGTCCTGCGCGCATGATGCCTGCTTGCAAGGTAAAAGAGGTGATGGTATCTGGAAAGGGAGAGTCAATACAAAGACCATGGAATGTGCAGTATACAGTACCAGCGAGTGCGAGAACTGCGAAAATCTTCGGCTTGGTGTCTTGTGGTGCCTCCTTCTGAGCCAGCGAACGCACAATATGGCCAGCTCTATGTATACCTCGAACACCTTCAGGCCAATAGATAGTCTTCTCAGCACCGTCATCGTCTGAGTAGATGAAGAGCGGATGGTCAGGAGAGTGCTCTAGATGCCAATCCCATATTTCGGGCATGGTGAGTGACCCGTCGAGCTTCGGTTGGCGAAACGTCTTCGAGTTCAGACATTGCGAGTTGGGGAAAGAGAAGGGTAGAATCTTATAATCGTCCGGATGCATGGTGGGGTGAAAGTAGGAGCTGAAAGTGGGGATAGAGTTAGATATCTCGACTTCTTATAAGGGTTGGAGAATCAAGTAGAAGGAATCAAACTGAGAGGAACAATGATCAGATTGCATATAAGATGAATGGGGATAGAAGAACAGATCTACTTCGCACGCTGCACTGAGATTTGAAAGCGGCGATTTGAAAAAGAGATGGTTCTCCAGATCCTCTAGATAGGATTGACTAATATTATTGGCTTCGTCGTTGGTGTCCAAGCGAACAGGGGGTGAGCAGAATCATGGCCTATCATAAGGCGATCGGAACATATACGCAGACGTGCGGACTTCGATAGTCCTTGCCAAATTGGTAGATCTAACTATCTATGTCAGTTCTTGTTACGATCATGATGAAAGAGTTCTGGAACCAACGAAGAATTTCGCAGGCACGTCAACTCGGGGCGCGAACCCATCATAAACCTAGATAAGTCAATTGTGCTGAAAGAGGTGTAAACATCATGTAATCCGGACGGCCCTGCGTAGAACTTTGGTGTCGCAAAAGAGCTTAAAGACATCATGAAGTTATTCAGTGCGGATGTCCATCATGAGGTTCAAAATGAGACGTGACGCAAGAAAGACCAAGTTCTCACCTTCGTAAAATAAAATAAAACGTCGTAGGAGTGAAATGACTTTGCAGCTGTAAAGCGCCATGTAAACGACATCAGTTGACGCATCTACATACCATCGACAACGTGATGACAAGACTTGTCCATCACACCTTGCGTGAGTGCGGCAGCCTTACCTTCCAGCAAATCCGCGCATATATGGACTAGATTGTTCGACACATGTATTTTGAGGATGTTGTACACGTGTAAATGCTTCACAATCGCCGCCACTTTCATCTTTCAAAACCTCCAATTACAAGGGTTTGAGGAAGTCAATCTCATTTTCACCAGGAGGCCAGAACGCTTCCTCCAGCTCGATAACGCGACCCCAGATATCTTCGGCACGAACCCAAGCATCCGATCCCGGTTTGACGTCCAAACTTAATTAATCAATCGTTGGGCACATGAAATCTGAACTTTGGAGATAGAGTGGATGCTTACCTGTTCACGAGCTCAGCAAGTTCATCCACAAATATGATAAACTCCTCGTTTGTCCAGTTATGGACGAGTTCGGCAAGTGCATCCGACACAGGGCCTTGACTAGTGCCCTTCAAGGACGATACATAGCTCCATGCGTCAAGATAGACCTGAACGGAAGCCAGGCATATAGCAATGTTACTTCACATATTGAAAATTACATCTTACTTACTCGTTCCATTGCCCACAGGAAGATGAGCCCATCTTCTAACCTTCCTGTTGAAGCGATCCGGGCCATCTCAGCAGTGTAGTCCCTCGTCGCCTTCCGTTCTCTCCATCCTTCTAATTGCAACCCGTACTTTTTTGCGGTGTCCGAAAAGAAATTAGCCTCACGGATAACATTCTGCAAAGCCCCACTCAAGGTCTTAACCACCCTTTGGTTGAATCGTTCCTTATCAGAATCGATCGGGTCGAATGTGGAGAAGGGAACGGATGCCAGGACGCGCCCGATGAACTTGGGGTAGGCATGAGCTGCGTACAAGCGATCTTGAGACAAGAAGACAGAGAGAAGATCTTTCGAGAGCGTCCCCTTTCCAGCAGCGGAGAGAAAGTCATGCTCTGTCGCTGTGGAGTATGGTCTAAATGTAGACAAGTTGACAAGGTGAGAGGTAAGGGATTCAGAGGTCGACATGATAGTTTGTGGTCAACATAGATCGACGGTTGAATACCAAAATTCGAAAGCGTTTCAGTATCGAAATACAGACTCCCCCATTCGTCACCGATACAGGGTCAAGGTGAAAGGTGATCTTCTGCTTCGAATACTTTTCCTCGAGATAATTTCTGTCGCATAGCAGACCTATTTCTGCTACATCGCACTCCAAGAAGATAAACAGCAAGTGCTTAGGTTGGATACTAGCAGAGTTACAGTAAAGTCGAAAGGACATACAGTTGGAAAGAGTGCCTTATAAGGTGCTTACATAAGACACGCGATCACGTGTATCGCCCAGTTTGTGCTATGATTGCCAAGGCGCGTAACTTGCGCATCCGAATCTTCGCTGTGACTCTTTCAGCCTCACACATCTTGGCCACGTACCACATTCATGCTAACTCTCACTAATATCTTTCAAGTTTGAAGAAAACTTAGAAAATTCGCCATCTTGTTCAGTTCAACTTCTTGATGACGGCTGCATTCAGTGGCAACTTGCTCGACTCCTACCATTTAGCACAATCACCTCGAGGTCCTTTTGGACAAGCATCGCCTCAAGTCGTAACCAGTGCCGCTTTAGCATATGCACCTACAATGCACGGAAACTTTTCTAACTTTTCTCAAATGTCTTCCGCTGGTATGCCGTCTATGATTGCAGACCATAGCGCTCTCATGGAACTCTCGGAAGAGACTGCTCGTAAGATCGCTACCATGCAAGCAAAACTCAACAAGAAGCTAGGGCCAGAGTACATCTCACAACGGCCTGGCCCTGGTGGTGGCCCGAAGTTGACTTACGCAGAAGGATGGAAGATTATCAATCTTGCAAATGAGGTGTTCGGATTCAATGGCTGGAGCTCCAACGTCGTCAGCTTGACCACAGACTTTATTGATTATCTGGAGGAGACGAAGAGGTATAATGTTGGCGTCACCGCCATAGTTAGAGTCACTCTGAGGGACGGCGTGTTTCATGAAGACATTGGATATGGCATGCTGGAGAATGCTAAGAGTAAAGCCGCTGCTTTGGACAAAGTGAGTTTGCCTTGTCGGTTTCATCATGGGTGTGCTGACCGTTTGCTTTATCATAGTGTAAGAAGGAGGCCGTTACAGACGCCATCAAACGTTCCCTCCGAAACTTTGGCAACCTGCTTGGAAATTGCTTATATGACAAGTCCTATACTCAGGAAATCGTGAAGATCAAAGTACCGCCAGTAAGTGCCCAATGTGCTCTCGCTGCAGCCTTCAACTTGATACAACTCATCTCAGCCGAAATTCAACAAAGATGAACTCCATCGCCGCCCAGAGTTTACTGAAACACCTCAAGCGGGACCCCATATTTCTGGTCCGAGTAGTATCAAGTCTGAACAACAACAGCCTGCCGCTGAATCTTCGAGAACAGGTCAAGCATCAGCTGTACCTCCCCATATGCGCTCGAATGCTATGACCACACCGAACAAACCTCCCCCACAAGCCACTTCGTCCTCTTCGGCTGGCCCATCAAGGTTTAACACGGGTTTGAGCACGCCTATCACGCCTGCTAATTTGCCAGGAGCAGGTCTTCATCCTGTTGCAGGTTTGAGCAACCGAAGCAACAACACCATATCGAGACCCAACGCAGTTCCAACAGTTCCCAAGCCTCAGCCACCGCAACCTCAAGCGCTACCTCAACCTGCTTCAGACGAAAAACATGTTACCTTCGCCGCGAGTCAAGACGAGTACGATTTGGCTCCTGAAGACGACGCATTTTTAGCTACCGTCGACTTAGGTGAAGGCGACGCTGGCATTGGGGGCCACATCGATTTTGACGAAGGGTCTGGAGGAATTGCCGTCGGTGAGGATGACAGTTTCGAGGGAACTCGCCATGTCTCAAATCGAGGGGTTGCACAAACTGATTGCCCACGCGAGTCAAGTCGTGGACCTGATCGTAAACCTACCACGAAGCAGCCCCAACAGCAGCAGCAGCAACCTCCACAGCAACAACAGCGTCCGCCAAATTCGAATCAAGCCCAGCCGCAAAAGCCAGCGAAATCCCGTGCTGAGTTACTTGAAGAATACGAGCGTCAGGAAAAAGAGAAACGGCGACAAACCGCTGAGCAAGAACGTCGTCATCAAGAACAGCAACAAAAGTCCTCGAGTGCAGATGCTCCTGTGAAATCTTTGTCCCCTTCACCTGCAATGGGTGGATTCCGGTTCCCTGGTGCAGGATCATCGGTACGTTTCTCGAGCTAACCAATCGATCCTGATGGCCTGACTTTGAGGGTCAGAACAATTCCAATCCAAATTCGAGTAGCAACAACAAGCCCGCCCCTCCATTACAGCAGACCTCTCGAGTTGCTCCATCCTCGGGAGCTGGTTCTGGGATAGGTGTCAAGAGGACGGCTGATATGATGCAGTGAGTTCTTAATCCCCTCGCTTTTTTTTCCTTCTCGACGTACCTGAAATGGCGTGATTCTTGTAGAGGACAACCCGTGCAGCGAAGACCGGTGCAAGGTATGGGTCTAGCTCAACAAGGCGCCGGAGCACCAGTTAGGAGGGAACCACTCGGTACAATTGAACTCGGAGAGGGTGGCGATGTGAAACGGCTTCGACGATGATCGAAACCATATGGTTCTCAGGGCTTTTGACGTTGATCACTATTCCATGGAAGTTCTTGCACAAACTTGTATCTATAGGATTTCTTGGGGCTTTCAAGTTCTATCGATTATTGCATTATACCTGCATCATATACCATACCAGATAATCTTTGCTGCGCTGGAGGATCTTGCGAAGGGTCATTTGCACGTTACCCCCATGTCGGACACAGACTACAAAGCTTGTTGGATCAACATAGCACTAGTGTGATAGGTTGGCCTGGTACTTCGTTTCCTACACGCCCTCAACTGCATCGTCCTGAATCAGAACGGGGTCAGACAGATGTTGTAATGAATAATAAGACGCTCACATCAGGCAACCATGGCTGGTCACAACGCTCTCTCTCCGTCACATAATACCACCAAGGATCTCTCTCCATCCTCATCACCTCCTTCAGGATCTGAATCCGACTCGGGTTCAATGCATCCTCCATCTCCTCCGCTGAATCATTCGATCCCGAACCAAAAATGAAGGCAAGCTGGAATGACTCGCGATCTTTCACACTGTTAAGACACAATGCAGACCTCGGTCGCCCATTCGTTGTCCGCTTCCGGTATACACATATGCTCGGCAACACGATCTGGTCCCATACGCCCACTTTGCCCATGAGATCGACAAAGGCTTTGACATCATCCGCTTTCCCAGATGGGGTTACCCAGCCGTGTTCTCTGGCGTATTGGCCTATCCAGGACATACTGACGCAGTACCCGTACATCATGAGCCGCCTATTCACAGCTCTAAGGGGTGGGTGTTTAACGCCGGAGGCTGTCGGCGGGTCATCTGGAGGGGCCTGAACCCCGATCGACACCTTTGTAGAGGAGACAGGTTCGGCTGGGTCCCTGAAAAGTGAGGTAAAGGTGAGTAAACCCAATGTTGCTCAAAGCTGAGACACGTACATTCCCGCCATTGTAAGCAAACCCTTGACTTCACTTGCCTGACTGTGGTGGTTTCCAGCAATGGACCTGCCAGCTTGTCAGTCATGCGCGAAACGTCACCTGTCAGATCATACAGATGTTGTAACTTCAAACTCCACCTGCCTCGTTGCAGGTACTAATTGAAGCAAATCATAGCACTCGAGGAACCATTCGGTGTTGTATCGGCCGCATGCAGATGCCAGGAGGAAATTAGATGTAACGTATCCCGTCGGAAGTGAACACGTTGTTTGTTTGAGAAGCAAGCAGATAACGGCGAGCACTTACGACGTGTAAGAGCTGCTCTGTACGTCAGACATAACCTAATTAGCATGTCAGGCAAGCGTTGGGTAGTTGAAATCAGTTATGAACGCGTCTCTAATGGATTAGAATTATCCAGGTGACAACTTCTAAACCTCTCAATTTGGATGATCCTGTGTGTGCTTCAAGAGTCAAGACCAGATACATACCGTGAGGAGATGTTGCGTACTTACGATTCAGAAATACAGCTCGATACTAGTCAAAAAGATTCCGGTCCGACATTGGTGTTCGGCTTGGTCTCAATGTAGCTGTATATCACTCATTGCATGAGCCAGAGTCCTGAACGAAGTAGCAACCCTTTCGAATGAATACGTCAGATGAACAAACTTCGAAAGGCGCGAACTCCGGCCTCCTGTTTTTGTTTGCCGTCTTCAACAACTCAGACGCAAAGGACCAGAAGGTAGCATATTCGATGACCGACTTGAGAGTGTTCAAATCCTTACCCGCGACCGGAAGACTAGTCTTAGGGAATCTGAAACACGTGTCCATGGCATACATGTAAATCATGAAGGCGGTTAGACAAGGCACCGATGCATACCTCTCAGCACCGAGCGGGTCAAATCAGACAGATCCGTAAGTAATCTCAGACGATCAAGTTCAAGTTGCAAGACGCAAACGCGACCATCACACATATGTGATTTATCACATAGACATGATAGGTGTCGTATCTGGGTTGATAGCGGAACACTAACTTGTGAGAGCTACATACCATCGGAGAGCCTAAGCTCAATGTATCGTCTCTATGACCGTCGGCGTGCCGATAGATGATTGAGACAGCTAAATGATCGTTTCGTTCACGATGAAGATGAACATATGTACGGGCTGATCTTTGTATGAGATGAACACAGGTTGAGCTGGAGATCGCTCTCACCTGGTTGTACTGTAATGCGACGGTGTGAAGCACTGTGAGTTCACAGAGACTTTGCTGATCACCTGGATGATGGAGAGGGGCCTCCGTTAATGTCATCTTCAGTTCCGTCAGTCAATTGTTACAGATGGAACGATCCGACGCTTCATTCTGACTGGATTGCTGTACGAGTCGCCTGAGCGACTGGAGACACTATCGGGATCCCTTGCAATGCTGAGAGTGTACTTGTCGGACGTAAAGAGCAAAGAGATACAGAGGTCAATTGTTAGAAAGGAGAGCACAGCTTCCGATAGAAATTCTGTAGATCCTCTATATACCAAATTGGAATCGGTAACAAGACAACAAGCAACAGCAACAACCGTGTCGGCTCCTTCACGACCGCCCACAACAACAAGGACTGCCTTTCACATATATCTTCATCTCCACCCCTTCGCCACTTTCTTTTGTTCTTTACTGTCCTTTCGCTTTCACCCCCATCACCGCCAGCCATGCCTGAACAGGCCCCAGCACCCGCCGCTTCAAAGTCGAAACATAGTCATGCTGCATCGACTGCGCAACCTGCACCTCGCAAAGTGCGCTTTAACGTTGGTGAGCAGTCATCCGTTGCACTGTTTCTCGCTACGAGAGTGTCAGGCAGCATATGAGGTGGTAGTTGAGAAGATCGGTGAATGGAGGGAAGAGGGGGACCCTGCAAAACACCCGAGGCTAGCACCGACGAGCACGATATGGGGTATAGCGACTTAGTGTTGATGAGCTATATACGCCTGATGCTTTTTGAGCAGCTCGCCTGGGTTCTTATGTTAATTGTTGTTGTTAGGCACACAATACCAGGTCCTCGATGTCGTAGGAGAAGGTGCTTATGGTATCGTTTGCTCTGCCGTCCACCGACCAAGCGGTCGCAAGGTTGCCATCAAGAAGATTGCTCCATTCGACCACTCAATGTTCTGTTTACGAACACTGCGAGAGCTCAAGTTACTTAAGTTCTTGAGCGAGGCCGGTGTCAGCGAGAATGTATGTCTAACCATTTTCATTTTCTGGCCTCTATTCACACTCTTTCAAGATCATTTCAATCCTAGATATCATCAAGCCTCCCTCAATAGAACAGTTCAAAGAGGTGTACTGTATGTCTCCCTCACTACATCCGATCTCTAACCCAACCTTAACGTCACTTAACCCTGTGTGCAGTGATCCAAGAACTCATGGAAACTGATATGCACCGTGTGATTCGTACCCAAGATCTCTCAGACGACCACGCCCAATACTTCATCTATCAAACTTTGCGAGCACTCAAGGCACTGCATTCGGCCGACGTGATCCATCGGGATCTTAAGCCATCCAACTTGTTGCTTAACGCGAATTGTGACTTGAAGGTCTGCGACTTTGGCTTGGCTAGAAGCGTGAAGACGGCAGAGCCGTCGGGTACGGAAACAGGTTTCATGACTGAGTATGTTGCGACGAGATGGTACCGTGCGCCGGAAATCATGTTGACCTTCAAGCAGTACACTAAGGTTGGTTGTACTTTCTCACCATCTGTTTCCTTCGCAACCTATTCGTCTGCTTCTCAAGAACGCAGGAACTTATCATGGTACTTTGACAGGCTATCGATATCTGGTCGGTAGGGTGCATTCTCGCAGAGATGCTTTCGGGCAAGCCACTCTTCCCCGGGCGGGACTATCACCACCAGCTTACTCTCATTCTCGACGTACTCGGGACACCTACTTTGGATGAATTCTATGCTATCACGACTAGGCGTTCACGAGATTACATTCGTGCTTTGCCATTCCGCAAGAAGAAGCCATTTGCGACGTTGTTCCCAAATGCTAATCCGCTGGCGGTAGACTTTTTGACGAAGAGCCTGGTAGGTGTATTCCATGAACGTGCTGTCGATTTCGTCTTAATTACTTCTTGCAGACTTTTGATCCCAAGAAACGTATCACTGTTGAGGAGGCGCTTGCACATCCATATCTCGAAGCCTATGTAAGTTTGCGTTTCTCTCGCTGCTCAATTCCCAACTCATGTTCGAACAGCACGACCCTGACGATGAACCATGTGCACCTCCCCTCGACCCCGAATTCTTCGAGTTCGATCGTAAGTTCAATATCCTGCGATTCCCCGTTCATCACCAACTCACTTTATTCGCAGTCCACAAAGATGATATCAGCCGTGAACAACTCAAGGAACTGCTCTACGAAGAGATCATGTCTTTCCGACCTCCGCCTCTCACATAAACGTCGTCGTCCCTCGCCAAGGCTCACATTTCATTTGATCTCGTCAATGATACCAACATCATACATCATACACCATATATATCGACATCCATCCCATCTCCTTGGCGTTCGTGAAGTGAATTTTTTTGACTGCATCTGGAATGTATTTTTATGTACCACCAAACCATCGAACCCATGGATCGTTTCTTGCATTCGGCGAGCGATGTTGGATGGAGGATGGGAGAATGGGGGGGGGGGCTTGGAAGACACGTCACAAGGGCAAGCACAGAATGGGTGGTTCAAGAGAGTGGGTTGGGAACAAGGTGCGGGTACTTCCGGTTTGCGTATATAGAGGTTATTTGAAGGCACTGTTGTGTGTAGGATTACTTGGGTTATGCATTGCGTATTTCGCACTTGCTGTTTGATTCGCTTCACGACCGTGCCAGCTGCTTGTAGTATTCCTAAGTTTGACGTAAAATTCGCGTGTGTGATGAAGTTCAGGAGCACTGTTAGTCAAACAGTTTGATTTCGACCAGCTAACGCCTCTCTGAAATGATAGTGAAGTTGCTCCTGACCTTTAAAGCAGTTCTATAGGATCCACCTCAAACAAGCAACCTGTCCACTTCCGACGAGATACTTTACGTTTGAAGGTGACCTTTCCACATACGATTGTTGCCCTCGAGCTGATCTCAATGTCCATTGCCACAGCTAAGCAGCTCTATATGTCAGACGAAGTAGAAAATGATGCACGCATCTATCGGATGAGATTCGCGGGATTACAAGGGCTGGAACGTCTAGACGACACCAACGAGGCGGTGAAACCAGGGGCAAGATATGTATACGGAATGGCTGCTACCATCCAGTGGCTCGAGGAATTCGGACACACCCTTCGCGACATCATCACCCCAGGCCGATACCCACAAATAGAGGATATAATCGACTACATCATGTCGAAGGCCGGAGACGGTGTAGTGTGTTCTGGTCACATAGTAGAGTGTATTCCCCGTGCCAAAGTGAGAGTCGGAAGGGAGGAGACTCGAGCGGACGATCTTTTTGGGGCATGGGTTCTTTGCATTGGGATGAATAAGGACGCGCAGTCGATGAGGTGGACGCAGGATAGGGCCAAGATTGAGGCCCTTGAGAATGCCTTCAGCGGTGTGAATCAAGATCATATTAAACTGGCTTGGTTCCTTCCTAGCGACCGCCTCCAGCATATTTCTTGATTTGTGAGCATCTAGTATTTTCTATTCGTTGAATCACTGCTGGAGTATCGGCGTAGATTCCACTTGGGTGACCTGTGCGGTTGATAGTACAAGATTTCAGTTTGGTTATCTTCAGGTTGTTTTCTAACCGATCTTTACATCGCGGTCAATAACGGTTCCGGTAGCACAGACATTGAACGGTGTTCAGTACTAGTGTTCCTGACTAGTCACTAGTTATAGGGAGAGACATACTTGCTATAGGATATATTCTATGTCCCTGAACCAGTGTCCGAAACACGGAGTAGGTAACAATGGATAGTAAGTTGGTAAACTTTGCGACAGAAGTACTGTAGTACGATTATAGTGTTCTCTAAAGAAGGCCTATAAGCTAGGATTAGGGTTTCTAAACGTCACATTTTCAAATTCGGTGTGCCAAGAACTGTGGTTCCATCTCTGCTGCGGCGAAAAGCCATTTCTCTCTCCTTCCACCATGTCGACTAAGATAAACACCCATGTATTGTTACTCACACTTTGTATCCTACTATTCTGTATTCCAGGACATGGTGTATTAGCCTTTGGTGCTGGGAATATTCCAAGGTACGTGCCTCGATCGCCATACGATCTTCAGGTGACTGCTACTGACTTGACGTTTATAACAAAGTTTCGCGTACTTAGAAGGAAGAGCGTTTCGACATGGCGATATAGTGAGTATCTTGATGATATACCACACAATGGGGATAACTGAAGTGTCTGTCGTGCTTGTAGGAAGATACCTTGGCTGAACTAGCTAAGAAAGCTGGTAGTGGGTTCGCCTTAGGAGCTCTGATGGGCAAATCGAAGTTTGGAGGATTGGACATTAAACGAGTATACTTTGGGTATGTTTCAACTACCAGTCGGATGTTCAGGAATTGACACTCCACTTAGGAATTGGCTTCGAGACTATAGTCAGGTCGATATATGCGCGCTATTCCCGATCGATTCTGTGTCTTAATCTTCCCTTTACAGGCCATCGACGTTGCTGGACTACAGAAGCTTCAAATTCAGGTTTGCTCATTCGCTCATATCGTTGCGTTATATGAAGCTCATCCCCGGGTCAGACGATTATCAACTTATGTATTGCCCTGGGATTTCTCGTATGTTCGGCCCCAGTTTTGCACGTACGCACCGGCTGATATGAGTACATTGACCCAGGCGCACGGTTACGCCACACACGAGTTCGAGGTAACTGAGGAGCGTCTTGGCGTTTACCTACCGGTACGCGTCTTTCACGATCGCTATTAATCTAGGCCGAATTTTTCATGGGTGTGGATTCTAGACGGAGCACATCGACAATCCGAAAGGATATCCTGACGACGCTCGCAAATATCACCCGAAGCTCCGAGGACCTGTGGACGTAGGTTTTGAGCCGTATTCCCCTAGACTGTTCTGATATGAACGTTGTCCAGCCCAGAGAACTTGACATTGATCCCCGAACAGGAATGAAAAATTATATCGCAAACGGTAATAACCCACTTTTTCCCTTAAGCTGTTTTACGGTTACTGAAAAGGCCTCTGCAACTTATAGAGAACGGAAGCTGGGATTCCTCAAAGGCGTTGGTTCGCCGTACCCTCGAGCGATGCATTCACTTGGGCAGGCAACACCGAGCGAACGGACGTAAAGAAGACGAATATGAAGCTTACCGACTTCTCGGCCAGGCGGTAGGATTATACAGGGTGTGAGCATTCTTATCGCGGTTGCTAATTTTTCCCATCTGCAGATGCACACCCTCGAGGACTTTCCGGCACATTCAAATTTCTGTGAACTGGCACTCGTTCACATGGGTTATCGAGATGTGTTCATACATGTCGGCGATCAGGTGCGCATACAAGCACGAAATGGAGCGTGGGTTGCTCCGCTTGTCACTGGTAAGTGATATTATCGGTATTACGAGCTAAGTTTTCAAAGTCATTCAGGAACGTTCGGCTCCAGTGATTTTATACATAGTATGTTAGGAGGTATGTTCCGATACGTTCCCTGTTGTGTAGCAAATGCTGATGGTGCACGTTCAGAGGCTTCCGATCATATCGTTCGTAATTATGATAACGCTGATCCTTTCGAAATACTGACCTTATCCATCAACTCGACACTAGAGTCAAGTGAGCCTTCCGTTCCTTTCACTTTCTTCAGCCTCTGACTCACACTTTTCTCCTCAGGCGTCTGTGACAGATCTCAATGCTGAGCTCGACAAGGCCCGAGCAAAATCCGGTGGTTCTGCTCGCGGAGGTTCCTCGTCCTCTGCCTCTGTTCTTCGTGACCTTCTCTTTAAGCTCCCTGGGGGTAGCGATGACCGCGACATGCAACGTGAGATGGATGACATTGAACGGATTAGAGCCGGACCGAGCCAAGGAGGCAAACGACCTGAGGATATGAGTCCTCAGGAACTGCATGCCGTTCTTTGGCAGGTGTTGACATTCAGAGACTCTGGTTAGTATCTATTCGTGATTTTGCTGTGGAGAGTTTCGCTGATGAATATGTTTGCAAAGTTGTGAAGAAGATAGAGAAGACTATTGGTGCGTGTCCGGTTTCAGTCGACTGGCGACCAATATTTTAGTTTCCTTGCAGAGAAGATCCCTGGTCTTGGACCGCTTATCGAGAAATTGATGGATTCAATCTCCGGTGTGCTTTTTATGACCATTTCCAATCCATTCTCGCGACTGATCTCAGCATGCAGTCTTCGTATTCACTACTCTCGAGGTAGGCAAGCTCGAAAAATATTGATCAAACAATGGTATCGATGCGATTTCCGTTCTTAGCCCTTCCTTAAGCCCATCATGAAGCAGGCTACTACTGGACTAATGGCGGCGTCCGGCGAGGTGATTGATTCGCATGATCAGTACGAAGTACGTACTTTCAACCGTTGGCCGAGAGTGTTCAGTCTGACCATAATTTGCCAAGGTTTTCAATGACTCACGAGCGGTAAAATCATTCCTTTCAAGTGTCTGCTTCGGCTTACGAGATTATCTTTCATAGTCCGATCCAACCCATTCGTTCCTGAGCAAGGATCATTTTGTACGTAGCTGATTTAAAGCGCCAGCATGCAACCACCGACTCACGAATATCTAGAATCTCATCCTTAACGAACCTGCCGGACAACTGGGCAAGATCATCCTCACCCATGCTGTCAAACTCATCGTACAAGCGTGGGACGACCCTTCAATTAATGTGCATGCAGTAACCGAAGATATCCTTCAATCCTTGTGAGTATATTGCGGCGTTATCCATATGAAGGACCTTGTTAATGCAACTACACCAGGTTCCATCCTGACTTCCATGACCACAACTCAAGGATCCAACGGGAGATGATAGACTACATGCAGCAATGGATTCAAAGTCTCGGTGCTCAGCAGCACGAGACTCTCCGACGTCTCACCAAGTCATCCGTCCGAGAACACAAGAACGTTCGATTAGCTGGACACGGCGGTAACCAGTCGTCGGAGTATGGTTATGCTCAAAATGCCGGTCAACAAGCGCAGACTGACCTTCAAGGGTACCTCTCACAAGTGCCTTTGGTCTCAAATGCTACTTCGTTCTTAGGGAAGCTCAATCCTGGAAGTGGAGGAAAGCCAAGTGGCGGAGGTGCATTCAGTGGCATGGCGCAGGCCCAGTCCTTGCTTGGGCAATTCACCGGTGGTCAAGGGGGTAGACGAGAAGGACCGTCGTCAAGCTCAGCTTATCCTGGTGAAGGATATGGGCCTGGGTCGCACGATGTTTCGTACAATCCTCCTTCGGGACCTCCACCTTCGTTCCCTGGTCCGGTTGCGCACGAAGGGTATTCGCCGTCGTATGCTCCACCATCGGCTGGATTTCCTGAGCCGAACTATGGAAGTGGATATGCACCACCTCCGGGGGCTCCACCAGGCTTCCCGGACCCTGGTTCGTACCAACCACCCCCTGGACCTCCACCAGGGCAGGGGTATGGCTATAATGACTATAATGATCGCCGATGGTAGATGTAAACTGTGATAGTAAGTAAGAAGGTTTTGGATGTATTGAGTAGCTGAGCGCCTTCAACGAATCTGTATTTACTAAACCTTTGACATAGTCGTTATTTGGACACCTTCCTGCGGATAGTTCATTTGCCTCGCCGTAAGAATATGATACTTCTATTTTGACAAAGCTGTCGCGATGTACAAGTACTATTAAGAACTGACAGCAAGAGAGTGCGTGTGCATTAGACCGATACGTGAGAACTTGTATTCCGGATCCATTATTGATTCCACACTTCGCACATTGTGTACTGTACAGTACAAACATATTTGATTTGCTACATCGTTACAATACATTTCAAGTCATTTCTGTACGTATACATCATATATTGCTGCATGTCTTTTCAACCGTATAGATCAATAGCACGTTCGTTGGAGAGATTCCGTCTTATTCTTCGTCAGATTTAGTAAATTCTAAGCCTTCCTCATCATCTTACTCATCAACATCAGCATCCTTGCCCGACCTGACGTTGGGAAAATGCATGGCAGGTGGTTCTGTCTTGTTCCTCTTCGGAGTTCTGACCACTGTGGGCGAAGGTGGAGTATGGGCCAAAGACGAACTTGAAATGATTGACGCAGCTGCAGGTCGGTGTGGCGTACTGGGGTTGGAAAGAGGCGATTCCATTTGAGGAAAAACCGGCGACTGCGCAGCTGACCCTTGTTGCGACGATGGACCGGATCCGAGGTTGCTGGCATCAGGGTCCGCAAGTACAAAGCTAAGGATGAAGAAAGTTGTGTAAGTTTCTTAGCAATATGGTACTGTAATAGATTGTGTACGCACATCTCGTTCTTGGCTAGATCGTCGTAATCCTGAAGTTTCAAACCGTTCTTTGGGTCGTTGGCCGCATGCTCAAGGTACTGTCTAATCCTCCAAAATTGCTGGTTTGACCTGATCGTGCCGAATTCTGTTATGTCGGACCATTCTTTGTATCTATCGCAGAAGTGTTCATTGATTTCATCGTATGATTCGAACGGACTTGTCTTCAGAATGTATTCGCCTCGACCACTCCTGATCGTTGTATCTCGTTCATCCGACCTGTCGTGGATAGCTGCGACCTCGCTTTCAAAAGCCTTTCTCCGACGAGGACGCAGTTTCATTTCCTCCACGCGATTAGCTATTCCGGAAGAACCACCATCATCCTCATCCTCATTCTCAACATCATCCTCATTGAATACCACACTGCGGCTCTCCACATCTACTTCCTGTACGGGATCATAGTCACCCGACAAATCGGCCTCGTCTTCGTCGAAGCTATCATCTGATTCGATGTCTAGCTCTATGTTTCTTTTCGTCGGCTTTTCCTTGCCTCGAATATGTCCATTCAAGACCATAACCTCTTGGGGAGTCGGGCGTTGGCTCTGTGGAAGAAGTCTGAACTGCCAGTATTCTCCTGAAGCCACTATGAGGAGGATGATATCTTGATTATTCTCGTATTGGACGAGCGCAAGTGAGGCATCCCGCATGAGCTGCATACGCGCAGCGGACAGAAAGAGCTCTACGTCATCATTGACATATGAATCAAGGTCCTCCTGCTTTCTGATAGCTCTCCGCTTCCACTCCATTAGAACCGGCACTGTAGCATGTCTGTCAAGACCAACGGAAGGGTTATATGAGGATTGCAGCGCTTTTCGTGACTTCCCTGTGAAGGTGCCATACGGTGTCGCGGTAATAGCGAAGTCTGGGCGCACGCTGTACCATTTCTTGCGCTTGGCTACCACAGTGGGTGAGGTAGCCTCAGCGCGCTGCAGAGCACGTATCCTGCGCTCGCGGGCCTCATCGTCTTGATCCTTTCCAACATCGTCATCCTTTGCAGTATTGTCAGCTCTCCAAAATGCCTCCTTTTCCACCCATACCTCGAATTGTGGGCGTGCATTCAGAGTTGCAGACCCTCTGCAAAGGTTGATGGCGATCCGGTTTGCATGGCCATATGACATACTTTCTAGATTGCGAGGATTGTGCCTATGGGATGCCGCAATACTTGTGAGAACGCTCAATCTTGTCTGCTCACGTCCCTCATCTACGTCGGCGTTGGGCAATGTGAAATTCCCCTCTGGATAGGCAAGGGGATCAGCCATAATTCTAGAGAGATTGTAGGGATAAAATGCTTGAGGAGAGAATGAGCATACTCTTGCTAGACATGACCACTTTTTATACCCGGAGGTGACCATATGGTTTGAGCCTCTTAGAGACGTAGAAAAGGAAGCGCGTACCACTTGTCCATCTTCCGCCCCAGGCTGGCCATAGAACGGAGTTTCATTTTCCAGGGTGTTCAGGGTAGCACGTCAGGTGCGCTGCGAAAAGGTAAGGTTTGGCCACTCGACCGCTCGGTGGCGCGCACGGGTGATTTAACGAAGGAAGAAATACAAAAAGAAATGCGATCCTGAACATGCACCCTTGTCCTTGAAGATTTGAACTCTAACTCCGGCGAATAATGAGCGTGAAAATATGCACAAAGAAGCTTTATCGATCGTGGATGAAATTGATCGGCGAAAAGGTATCGGGACAGTCGGCGAAGATCGTGGCTCCAGGGTGTTTCGGTGAGTAAATTAGCGGTCGGTAAGAACAATTGGGGCACACGTAAGGAAGAACTGCGTAAGAAGTAATATCAATTGTCTATTGAAGAAGTCACCAGGGTCCAAGACGGATCAAGCTTGAAACCAAATGCTGCAACCCTGCAAGAAAAGGGCGCAAGGAATAGAATGTTATCTTTATTGTATTGAACAAGTGATAATAATGGAAGTGTGAAATGATGCTCACCCAATGACGAGCCTTATCTTTCCCGTGGCTCAGTGGGTGTTACTGATGTACTCGGGCAGCGGAGCCTACACTGGAATGTCAGGGCTCTATCTTTGACATCGTGCGTGCATGTCAGATTCTGGCAATGGGGACTGCAGCTACCCATGTAGTCATCTACGCGTTAGTATGAATTTGGCGTGTCTGCCGCAACGTTGCTCACCCGACAGGTACGAGTCGCTTGGCCCACTGATGTCTAGTATAAGTCACGTAGCTTGTAAGCTAGTCTGCATGCCACATGCGTAAGTTTTGATCGAGATGTCATCAATCTCGGGCTGCTTCGGCGAGTTAGAAATACACGTTGTACAGATACAACCAACTTCTCGAAGTTCGGGGTGCTAGCTGACATGTTACTGGTAAAAGGCAAGCGCTACGCATCTCTTGTTCCCGTATATAAACTGACCACCCATCCCAACCTGGCGCAGAATCATACTTCATCAAGTCCTCAAACAGCACATGTATATTTCCAAGCTTCTAACATCTGTGCCCTTTCTCAATAACCTTCTAGGGCGGAGGCACAAGACCCCAATATGAATATTTCCAACTTGGCCAATGACGGCACTAGCAGTGACCCGCCGACAGCTTCCGGTGTTAAACACCCACCTCTCAAAGCTGTAAATGGGCGGCTCATGATGTACGGGTACTGCGTCAATATGTCTTGGATATGCGATTATGCCAGGGAACACGATTGGCTGACCCCATCTGGGAGAGCGGATGATATGAAAGCCTTAATCGACCTTGGGAGAAAAGTGGGCAGATGGGACCATATCATGGTACCAAAGGTATTTGTATACCGGAAACGGACAACGAACGGGCAACCGAGGTCTGCAGTGTGTCTTAATAGTATCAAAGATCCAGAGTCATCCCAGCACGCCTTCATTTTTGGTTCGGGTACGAATAAATCAGCGGCAGATATGGAGGATGCTTTGAATCCGAGTCGGATTGAGATCCTGAAGGAGGTGATGAGGATGGAGAGAGAGCCTCGGTGGTACTATTTGACGGAGAGAGAGCGTGATGACCAGCCCTGGATTCCTGAGGTGAGTGTCTCATTCATTGCAGCATTTCTCTGGAGTCTGATGCTGCCTCAGGATGAAGAACAGGAGGCACCTGCGAAATAGAGACGACAATAGCCTGCAATCATCGCCGCAATAGTCTACCGGGATAACAGGATTTATGCTGTCTATGCTACATACATTTATGACACTTACCGTTTTTTTCAAAGCCTTTGCTATACATGTAACGCGTGCTCCGAGTCAACCGGGCCCGTACAAACCTATTGTCACACTGTTTCGCATTTTTTCTACTATGTTTTCACGAATGCCTGAATAAGGCGGTCTCTGCAGTATATGACTGCCTCCAACGAGAAAATCTAAAGCTGAAAACGCTGAGCGCTGAAGCTTGAAGCTTGAAGTTGGAGCTGGAGCTCGAAGTTGTTGTACCTAGTGGCAAGTTGAGTGTACATGTGGCTTCAATGTTTTCGATCCAATATTAGCGCTCGTTATCTCATGATAAAGACACACGACAATTGATCGCGTTCCCGAGTCCTTAGGTGGCTCACAACATGAACTTGGTGGTTTCGAAAGATATCACGTTCCCAAAGAGTGCAAACAACAAGGAGAAAGCGTCGACGATAACGAACGTGCAAGGGACATCACATCAAGAATGGAGAAGGAGGAAGGACTCGTGAAAAAAAGACGAACATGAAAAAGACAAATCAGGTCATGAAACAACACTCTCATGAACAGAAGAGAACAAAAACAAATAGCACTTTTGGTACTTTTATGCAGCATCACATCACATCACATCACATCACACACTACACCCAGAAAAAAGCAAAGGAGAGAACCGTAACCAACGAAAAAGTCCACCAAAAGAATAACTGGACTCGAATACCAATAGTAATCCGACCCAGGCCTGAAGGTAGACCTCCCTCAGTCCATGTACCTCCCCCTACTCAATCCCTTCCACACACCCACCCCCTTCCCCCAGTCGCAAATCCAAACGATCTACTTCTGAGGTCCAGCACCACGGCCACGCCCACCTCCCGGCGCTCCTCGTCCACGGAATCCACCACCCCCACGACGGCTGTCACCACCATTGACAGGCGGACCTCGTGGCGGCGGACGTTCACCACGTTCCTTGCGAGTCTCGACGACCACTCTGTGTGCATGACTATCCTGAGGATTACCAATACGGATCCCACCCTCGCCTCCCTGATTTGGAGGAAGAGAAGCAATGATAGCTCTGCGAGCAGCGTCGACGGTGTTGAACTCGAAGAATGCGCAAGCTTTGCTGGGGACGACTTCGAGGTTCTTGAGAGGACCAAACCGTTGTTGGAGCGTGCTCCTGAGAGCAGCTTCTGACACATGTTCGGTAACGCCCTGTTACATAACCGATGATGAGCTATTAGAGTCTTCTCGTTTGAAAAAAAAATGAAAACACGAACCTTGACAAAGCATTGAGCAGTGGTCACCGATGACGCCGCCTGCAACGCCGGTGGTTGGGTCTGACCAGCAGGACGAGCATGAGGGGCAGGGGACTGAGGACCACTTGGAGGCCCAGGTGAGCTGCTAGCAGCAGGAACCTCACTGATTCCCCTGGTCTCCTGAGCAACCGAACCCCACTTGTTAGAACCTGCAGCAGCCAAGCTAGCCCATGACTTGGGCTTGGGCGGCGCACTAGGTGTAGGCGGTACAGGTTCTGAAACAGGTGCAGGTTGAGGAGCGTGTGGTTGCGGCGGTTGCTGGGCGGCAGGGGCGGGAGAAGGGGCTAATGTCTGGGGAGCGATGACAGGGGAAACAGGGGGAGGGGAAGCGGTGGCAACGGGTTCAGGAGCAGAAGGAGCAGCGGGTTCAGGCTCAGGCGCAGACTCAGCTTCGTGCTCGTGAATTCCGTTGGGTTGGGGTTGGGGCTCCGGCTCGGGCGCAGGGACCTCCTCGACAACAGGCGGCGTTGGTGCAGGAACAGGCGCAGGTTCAGGCTCAGGCTCAACAGGTGGTGGAGCTGGAGGTGCAGGTGTAGAAGGAGCGGGAGGTGCGGGCTCTTGAACTTGGACGGTAGGTTGTTCCTGAACCTGGGAACCGCCGAAGTCACTGGCTTGGTCATCGTCAACGCTCTCTTCCTTCAAGAAGCGGAAGATGTCGTTGAGCACGAAATAACCGTTGGGTTGCTCAGCCAGGAAGAACGTCTGCACGAACTTGCGCCATGGCTCGCCGTTATTTGACATTTCACCTATGACCTGGATAATGATGCCACCATTTGCTGAAGATTGTGCATCAACAGAGTGGATGAAGACCTTGCAGTCCTGGAATCCGATCGATGTAATCTTGGCATGGATTTCCTGTATGAGAGGTCACGGTCAGATACACATACGATCAAAGCCTGCGCAGTGGCCCACGAAAACAAAATAAAATGCGAAAGAAAACGACATTGAAGAGCATGTATGAGATGGTTGCTGGCACGTCGGGGAGACGGAGGCAATGGCGCAGGACGGTAACGGAGACCAAATACAAATGAAATGGATGACAACTCACCTGCTGTCCGAAACACGGCTTGCCGTCCTCGCCCTCAGTACCGTGAATGAAAGTGGATGCTTTAGTATAGAAACAGTGCAAACGATGGGGCTGTTTGTTGACAAAAGTGTAGTACTGAGGAACGAATTGCCAGCCGACTTCAGAAGGATTGACGGAGGTGTTGGTCATTATGAAGCTATTAACGAATGGATATGAAGATCACTTTCGCGACTTGTAAGGACTGCGAGCTCACCGTGAGTGTCGAGAAGTGAAAGAGAACGGGAAGTTCTAGATGAGAGTGAGCAGGGTATGGCCACGAAGGCGGTCGTTGTAAGAAACGGTGTTGGAGGCAGAAACAATTTCTGGCGCGCACTGACGAAGGCGCAGATTTTATCAGGCTCCGTCCCAGCTCATTCTGCTGACAAAGCCTCCGTGCCTCGCGTTTCGGGCGGAGATTCAAGCGCTGCGTTGCCGCATGTGGAACAAGTTTGACAGTATGTACTTCCAGATGTTATGCTACAATGAGATCCCAACGAATCTAAAACTACATGCTAATCAAATATATCAGTCGCATATCTGGAAACCTGGGACGCTCTGTCGAATAACGCTGCAGCCTTCTCATCCTCAATGTTGTTATTCTCCTTGATGATCTTGGTGAGCACGTCTTTGACGCCTTCGGCCATCTTTCGAGAGCCGCATGTGTAGAACTAATGGGGAAAGAGTGAGACAACGACTCAAGAGAACATGCACTTCGCTCACCTTAGCTCCAGCGTCGTAGGCTGCGACAATATCTACGCGATCATGCCAGACGCGGCTATATCCAGCAATTAATGAGCATCGATAGATTTTCCAAAATGACAAACACTTACTCTTGAACATACTTGCAAGCAAGCGATTCTTCCGACATTCTTGAAAATGCTGGCCTGATGTCAACAACGCCAAGCTCTGACCATTCCTTGAGGTCAGACTCATAGTACAGGTAGTCTTCGTCCGGCTTTCGACAACCAAAGAACAACAAAGCTTTGCCAATGTCTCTACCAGCCTTCTTCTGATAGACACGATCCTGGATAAAACCTCGCATAGGAGCAAGACCGGTACCGGCACAAAACATAACGATAGGCGTCGTCGGATCTTGTGGTAGGTGGAATGCCGCAGATGAACTTCGTACCGAAACTTGTACTTTTGTTCCTGGTCTGAGGTGGGCGAGGTATGTTGAGGCGACACCGAGGAATGGTTCCGTACGACCGGAGATGGATGGTGCATCAAGGATGCTGACTGTGAGCGACACCTGAGCTGGGTTCCACAGTGATGATGATGAAATAGAGTATTGACGCAGTCGCATCGAGGGAAGCATTGTCAAGAAGACACCAAGAGGTAATTTGATGTCCGGGAAGTCTTCGAGAACGTCGAGGACAGATAATCGCCGCTCTTGGATCTTTTCGTATGAATTGATGTATTCCTTCAGGGCCTGCTTGGTGGACTCGCTACTCTCTGCGTGGAACAGAGTGTGAAGGTCTCGAGTCGTCGCTGGTTGCGAAAGCTCGACATATCCTAACAATAAGTCGAAGGTAGTGATAGGTTGATTGACAGGTAGAGAAGTTGGTCCTGCAGATGATAGCGTAACCTGAGGGCTGTCAACACTCTTCATACAGAAACCAAGTCATCAACGGTCTAACCTGCTGCTCCGATGAGAGCCCAAATCGAGCAATTGCTCTGTGCACACTGCGAATCGGATTGGTCGGAAGACTTCACGAAGTTGCATGGTGAGCCTCAAGACATGCTGAGGCAAATGAGGTACACTCACATTGCAAGGTAATCCCCAGCCCGGTATTGCATATTCTCCGGCAACTCAATGACTAGAAAACCCCTTCTCAGTGACTTACCAAAGACCAAGATTTGAAAGGTCCTCACCGATATGCCTCTTCGCAGGCGCACCAGGCGCAGTAAGGACCGCATTCTCGAGGACAGTTCCCAATGCAGTATCCGATTGACGCAACGCTGTAGCTCGTGAAGTACCAGCATCGATCTTCTTGACCTCAATAGCAGTTGACGTGTCGTCCTCATTTACCGTCGTGTGGAATTCCTACACCAAGCAACCATGTTAACTAACTTTGCACAGCCGTAAACTGCAAGCACCCACCTCAGAAAGGACCTTCCACAACTTCCCACTCCAGTCATCAAAGGAAGAGAAGAACTCAAACGTCGATGCATCGCCTTCACCTCTTTGTAAAAGACGTTGACCACCACGTTCTTCAAGCGTAGCATCAATGAGTTTTGGAATTTTCTGGTACGTTCGAGCCCAATCACGACTTCCACATCCGAAGACGGCATAGCGAACGTTGTTGAGTTGTTCTTTGAGGTTGCTGAGCCAGTTGACAAAGTGAGCGGCGTTGTCTGCAGGTTCACCTGTATCCAAATTACTTTAATCAATATACGTACAATATCAAGAGAAATGGAGACAAACCTTCAAAAGAGGCGGTAACAATGACTATGGGACCATCAGGAGGCAAGTTGTTGACAACTGAGTCAAGCGTTGCGAAGCTGGCTCGGAACCCTGCACTTGAGTGAATACAGTGAGGATAGATCCATTTACTTGATGTTCTACATACCATACTTTGCAGCATCGGAGGCGATGCGTTGAGCAAAGCTCTCCGAAGAGCCAGCATTCGAGCCATACAACACATACAAAGGCGGCGCACTCTCAGACAACTTCGATTTCGACACACCAGCAGAAGCTTCGGTTTTCTTATCCTTCTCCAGGACAGCCTTGACAATAGGCCTCGGAACTCTCTTTGTTTTGTTAGCAGTACGAGGGATAGCGTGAACGTAGAAGTTTGCAGGTTTGAGTGTCATGGTTTGTTTGAGTTTGAGTTCGTATGAGGGGTCCTTCATCGCGAAATCAAATTTTTGGATGATGCACGCGAGTGCGATTTGAGCTTCCTGGATGGCCAATGCGCGGCCCTGTGGTTGTGGGTTTACGACTTTGCATGAGTGATCGTCACAACAACGATGAGAATAGATGGGCCTACAATACAAGCCCGCGATCCGTATCCAAAAGGTTGCCACGCATTCGGCTGCATACAATGTCAGTTTATATGAGTGAAAAGACAATAATTCGTGGGTGCTTACTGGATATGCCTCAAACTTGCCATCCATCATGCGTTCAGGTCGGAATAGCTGAGCCTGGAACACAGGTTCAATAACACACAAGAAGAAGGTGAGGTTGGCAGACCCACATCTTCACCCCAGACCTTAGGGTCTGTTTGGGCCTTCCAAGAGTTGACTACGACATTGAGACCTTTCTCGATGAAATATTTGCCACCGCCGATAACAGTATCTTCAAGCGCTACAGCAGTTCGCAGACCGGTCGGCACGTTGAGACGAAGAGCCTCTCGGATGGTAGCTGTCTCGCAAATTCAGTGCATGATGGTCTGGCTTGTCTTTGAGGAGAGGCCTTACCGAGGTTGTACTTCAGTCGGCTCAAGTCGTTCAGCGTGATGGTCTCGTCACCAAGAACTTCGTCTACTTCTACACGAAGCTTGCGCATGACTTCGGGGTTCTTCATGATATGGTAGAGCGCAAATGTGAGGGTGCCTATGGTCCATACAGATATTACAAAGTCATTCTGACAGGGGAACGAGAACCTCCTTACCAGATGTCGTCTCATGACCAGCAAGCAAGAACGTTAGAAGCTATATCCGAGTTACTGTGAACTCGGCTACAGATATAATGAGAAAACTTGGAGTACGTACGTTAAATCTGATGTTTTCATCAGACAACTTTTCTCCAGTTTTCGGATCTTTCTGATACAACATGCGATTGAGCAAATCCGGCTTGTCTATAGGGTTCTTCTTTCGTTCAGCGATGACTTCAATCATCAACCGTAACCATCAATACACGATGATCTTTTCCTCGAGATGCTGTAAAACTTACTCTCATCAGCAAGATCGGCCATCGTTTTGATATCTTGTTCGTACTTCGCGTTCGTCCCACGCATGAGAGCGGTAACGACTGCTGGTCTGTTGACACGAGCACCGGCTTCGGTAAGGAAGTCGGACATGGCTTGAATGAAAGGATGGGGAGTTTCCTGAAAGAGATTCAGGTGAGGTATGCGTAAGACATGCCTGCGCTGCTCAACGCACGCTATAAAATGAGTTCAGACGATATGTCATTGACGTCAATGCAATCGTGTCGAAAGTGAGTCGCGTGAAGTCTTCTGCGGGGTCAATAGTATACGTTGGACCGAAGCTACGGAAATCCTGTAGTCGAATACGAACAGCGTGACGAGTGAAGACCTACCGCTCCCATTTGAGCACAAGCTGCTTAGCAATGTCCAGCATGTCGTCAAACGTGTCACGGACGAGGATGTTTCCGAACGCAGGCATGAGAAGACGGTCTGCAACATACTAAGGATAACAGTGGCTCAAGGTATCATATCGTACTTACGCGCGATTCACCAGTTTGGTTCTTTTTTGTATGCCTATTTTGGTGTTGTGAGCTGAGGTGAACATATCTAGAATACATCGTGCTGTACCGTGAAGAGCCCATCGCCTAACGCTCTGCGAACCTCTTGAAGCTGAGCAGGGACAGCTTTCGTGAACCTTGATTCATCCGAAACTTCGTTCACCAATGGTAAGTGTTAATGACAACTGCCCTTCTCGCTGCATCGAAAGCTGTCAGCACCAAATATAGCAGACGTCCTATTGGAATGGACTCACTCAATACATTCAAGCGAAATATTTCGCCATACTGATCTGCCAGCAGTAGGAAGGATAAATGAGGGATCTCTCTGTCCAGTTGTGCTACATGTCCCAGGAATGGTATGGAAGGCGGCGAGGGTATCGGAGTGGTCATTTGAGTATCGATGGTAGTGGTATGAAGACAAGCAGGGCGAACGATCCAGACCGAGATGGCATAGAGTTCAATCGCAGTGATGCGCCCAAGTGCCAGCTAGTCTTTTATAACGTTCTCCGGTAAACACGATCGGCTCCTTCCCTCGGTTTCACGGTGTGACGAAGGCGAGACTTGATATAGCGAGCCGAGGATATGCAGCGTTACCGGCAGATTATGTGGCTTCGGAAATCAATGAAGCTGTTGGTGTTCATGCGCAATGGACGACCACTGCGAATCTCGAGCGAGGTATCAACAACAATTGGTCAGACGAGCACTGCCCGTGTCAATGATCTGTCAACGCTCATTCGAGATCATTTCAGTCTGTTCCAGTCAACGATGAAAAGATGCCATTGAATTGACTTGATATATAGCTACGAAGCAGGATGAAGCGCGTCGTATTGTTTGACCTCCATTCTCGCCGGCGTTTACGGGAGAGCTGCAAGCACCTTCATAAATGCGGAGCAGAAGGGAAAACCCATGAGAAAGCAACCGGAAACATGAATTTCCAGCTAGCTCCAACTCACCTCACCTACCAGTGTACTCGACGCCGGAGGTCAAACTTCAACTGCCACATCGAGGTAGAAAACGCATTCCTGAAGACCGATGTTCTCTCGGGCGCAGTAAAGCGCCGGAGGCGCACAATATTATGAACGTCAAGTGGACTGGCACATAATCCAGAAGATCTGAGTGTAAAGGAGAAAGAAGTATATTAGAAGTACCAAAGATGAATTACAAGGCTATCATACAGGATGGTTACGACATTAGCGGTACAGGTTTGAGCTGGAATTCCAATATGCAATGTTTTGACCTGTCTTCAGTAATCGTGCTTCCTGTTGATGAGGAAGTACAGGAGCATCCAGGTATCCCGTACCTTCATAAGGTAGGCTTAGCCAGTCCTATCTCTAAAGAAAGGGCCGCTTGAGATCTAGACGTCGGAGTAAATGTGAGTAAAGCCTATCAAAATCAGACACTCGTAAAGAGATCGGTTCAGTGACTTGAATGGGATCCCGAAGGAAGTCACACCCATCTGTGTCCTCAGACACGTCGTTTAAATATGCAACCAAAAAGTCGAGCGCCTTTGAAGCTCATGAAACGAAAGAAACTTAGTGCTTACCAGGAATAAATGGTACTTAGAAGTCATCTCAGACAGGAAAACGAATAGATAGCGATGCAAACTTGTCTCGACTCTCGAGGACATCATGAAGCAGAAGAAAGAGGCGGAAAGTCGAGACATGCCGGCCCGTTTAATTAAAAGTACATTGAGCGCCTACTTTCTCACGGAAGTCGGGCGCTCGCACTGTCTAACTTACAACTTTCCAGCAGTCTCTCCGTGGCTACAGTTGGGCTATAGTACCAAGTAGTGTGACCGTCCCTCGTGTTGGTGTGTTTCCAAGTTTCAAAAATTCTTCCCTAGCCCATCCATTGCGTCCCAGATACTCCAACGAAGAAATCTTCATAGGGTTTCCTCTTGATTTAAGGCTCGCGTTCGGAGCATCACTGAAGTGAACATGGTGCTAAATTCGCCGTGTACACGCATCCACATCGTTACGATGTACCAAGGCTCGATTATCGCACCACTCGTTTATGAAGCGCTGCGTCAATTTCTGGGCTAGTGAACTAAATTGCAACATACCAACAACCGTCTGGCACACTTCACGGTCCTCATCAATGATGCGCTTCGCCTTATTCCTCTTCATTTGCCACCCCCGTGCTCAATGAACTTACTATCATTGTGCTTTCTACGATGGTGCTACCCTGTTCTATGAGTACGCCTGGTATGGTTCCTCCACTCTATGCGGTTCTCTGAAGGCAAAGGCTTCGCAGCTTCCTAAGCCGGTCATGAACACTACCTTGCTGCTCAGTGAGCTTGCGTCCTGGAATGCGTGTATATCTCAACCTGAAAGGATCGTACGTTTTTGAACTTTTCCCTTCACCACCAGCTCATAGTCATCTCTTAGAGTCTCGTGTGTATAAATGGTGCATGACTGATCGTTGAAAACTCAGAATATTGCGAGCTGCGCTCAATCAGAAAAGCTCGTGAGGTTCTGGCCAACGTTGACTTCATGATCCTATACGAAGAGGACCTCGCTGAGGGTCAGGACAAACTGCTTTAATACCCTTCTCTTGAGGGTGACTTTCTCAAGAGTCAGATGCCCTGGGATCTCTTCAGGTAGTGGAGATTGAGTAACAGTGAGAACACATATGGTGTTGGAGAAGCTTCAGACCGTGCCTTCTGGTCCAGTATACAAGACATTGAGGATTGTTGGGATGAATGTGCCTGGTGGTTGAACGAAAGTACGTGCCACTGTACAACAGTTGTGTGAATCCACTGATCTCATCATGAATAAGAAGCCCGAGTAAGCGCTGACTTTGCATTCGGTCGTTTACCTCTGGCAGCCAATTCTATTTTTGTCTTAACGTCCCGTTCTGAGTTCTCATTCCGCTCGACGTTGCCTGACTTTCGCCATGAGCATGATGCAAGATAGCAGTTGACGTGCTTTTGGCTTGTTTCGTTCCTCCCTCAAGACCCAAAATCTCAGCAGGATTTCAATATTTATATCCCGATGTTGTCCTGCCAATGCTGTCATCTGAAGGTTTCGATCAGGAGGACGTAGCGACCAATGCCGCTATGCTACTACCGAAGACGCTCATATATTGGGATTCTCAGGCTACATAACTTTCGCATCACCAGGCCACGCGATTATGACAGGACCTGCTGGTTTGTGTTCGTCTGATCGTGGTGCTCTCCATGTTGCCCTTATGCCCTAATGTCGAACCAGGGACAGCTCCTTGTCTCCATCGTTCGGAGTGTCCTATGTGGTTTTACTTCACGTTGTACATTTGCCCAAATTCTACAACTTTTTCGACGTGTCTTCGTTCGCCTCAGAGGCTTCTTCTTGCCAACCAGAAAACCTGAAGACGATCGTAGATCCCATGGAAAGCCATCGGATGTCAAGGAATCTCAAGGGGTAATACTACCCAGCCGAGTACCAAGCCAAGATATGATATTGCCCAGCATTGAATACCAGGTGTCTGAGAAGACCAATGAAAATCTCGACGTGTCTTTCGGTGCAGCGGTCTCTAGACTCGAGTCTGAAGACAAACATGCCCCTTCTCATACTCGTACGAGCCTCTTACTACCATCGATACTTCGATTCGAACTAACAAGTTTCAAAGTATCTGCCAGCGATAGTCCACAGATTGAGTACCACCATGGCGTTACTCCGTACAAACCGGACGAACCTAATCCTCGAGGTCATCTACCCGCGGCATTTCCCATCCTTCACACGGCAGGTTCCTTTGGTCCCAAGATGATGTCAGTGCTCATCGACTTCACTGTGATTAACGCCTAATTCTCTGATCTTGCCAACAGCCCTTATGGGTCAGGGAAGAGCAGAGTCCACGAACCATCTGTCATACCGAGCATGACAATGCACATTGAGGGGTACGGTGGTCATGATATCACCCTGTATCAAACGGCTTGCTGATTTGCATGCAGAGAGGTTGTTCCTGGAGGCTGGACAGCATGTCGACACCCAGATGGTCAACTTTACTTTTGGCATGAAGCTAAGGTGTGCAAAATGCATTAGTGAGAGTTATATTTGGGATTTTGAATCAATAAAATCATGTTTCAGAAACTCTACACGGATGCGCACCTCTACAATCCAAAAGTGTACTCGCTGATTGAACGCTTTGCCAATCACTTATATCAAGTTGCTCAAGAGAAGAATATGGTTCTGCCGCTAGATGCGGAACTCGTCCTGGACCTCAGAGTAAACGGTACTTGTGGTTACTATTTTGTCATGACCTCTCTCAACACGTTATTCTGGATTCACGACTTCGATATTACTTGGTATGTCTCGCGCGAAGCTGGCGTAGCGTCTCCGTCCAAGGATCGCCTGGGTACGATTCTGGCACACTTTCACCTGAGTGCTTACTGGAGTTTCTGAAGCCTGACCGAGTAGCTCGCTTGATGGAATATGTCTATTGGTACCTCTTCTGTAATGCTGACAGGTACGCACACTTATTTTGCTTTAGGCGACCATATCGATCTCTCTTTGCTAATGTTATTAACATCCTAGCAGTTATGAATGAAACCTTACAGACTTCTCCAGGCTACATCTCAGAAACTTTCCGCACGGGCACTCTATACCACACACAAGGGTTCGCGAGCTTACTGGCAGAATAACCAATTTGATCATTGGTGGGTCAAGCATTGCCTCGACAAGTGGTTTGCATCCATATATAACGATTTCTTCGTTAGGTGTTTTGACGGGACCTTCCTCGGACCCTCCGGAGCGCGCCCGAATGGAGGAAATGCTGACTCTGGTCCCTCACCTGGATGGCAAGTATATCAGCTTCGCACATGCACGTTGTTTCCATGTTCTCAACGAATCTCAGATCCCGACCATCACAGGACCTGTGCACTTGGTAAGTGTGCCTCACATTCAGCTACTGTATATCGACGTTTATCGCTTCTATTTCTTAGCGAAAGCCATGTGCTACTTCAGTGCGTCAAAGCCTCCAACAAACCGTTAAATTCATGTTTAATTGCTCAATTAGCTTTCGGAGACTTCATGGCCATTGAAGACATTGGGGAAGTAGCAGAACCCAAACTTGAACCGAACCCTCGACCTCCACCAAGTATAGGAACCGTGCGTCTCTCTTCGAGAGTGGTGCACATTATCTTCGCCATGCTCCTCTTCGCGCCCGCCGACACGATGCGTCTACTCAAGGCTTTACATGCTTCCCCAACAGGTACTCGGGCGCAACATTGGACGCCTATCGTTGAACAATTGAAAATAGGATGGCAAGAATCGACTGTCTTCGTACGTTTTACTTATTGTCGCATTTATAAATCTCATTGCGAGGCGTAATATATTGATGTTCTGTAGGCTACGGTGTTGCTTAACGCCAATGTAGCGTTCCTCGCGATCCCAGATGTGATCGGAAGTGACTTCAGTCGAACTCCAGCACAGGTAGCGAGCTTGATATCTGTTGCAAGTAGTATCGGTAGTGTTTTGATGGGTCTATTCCTCCTTGGCCGATATCGCATCGACGCTGAAGACTCGGCTCGCGATCTCGTACGTGACACATATATCTGTGCTCTCTAAACGAGTGGGTGCAGCTCATTGACTTTGTTGTTTCACTCAGGCAAACTTCAGGACTTTCAGGAAACCCTCATGGGGTACGGCAGTCGAACACTTGGCCGTAGTCTATGCGCTGCCATATGCGTTACTCATGTGGGGGTATGTCTTCTCTCCAAGCTTTCAACTCCCTGCTGCATGCTTACCGAATAAATTCGTGTTTATGTACGTGATAACAGGATGTTGACTTTCCTCGTAGCGCTGTCAGCGGAATGCTTTAGCACGCATGACACAGTCTCTCTGACAGTTACTGGGGTAGCTTGGGCAGTCATTGCGATAATCATCTTGTGGTATTTCTACGGCGTGTGGGCGGCTGGTGAACCTCACCCAACAGCGCTGGAAGACCCCAATCGACCTGTCTGGGGAGGGCTGAAGCATATCTTTGGACGGCTTTTGCGATGTATGAGGGGAAAACTGCGAGGGAATCGTGGATAGGTAGACCTGCGCTGCAGCATGGAATGCATCCCAGAAACATGGTCAGAATTGCGAGGAAACGGCAGTCCGAAGAGTCCGTCATAGGCTGCACAGATAATAATGTTGAAGTACTTTGTCCGTGAAAGTCGCTAGAATTCAACCTTCAAGCTCGAGCTCGAGGTTCAAACGGCCTGAAGATCATTGCTTTGCATGTTCTCCTCAGATACCGTGGAGGCCTTCCGGCACACTCGAAGGACGTTGGCCACAAGGCCAACAGAAGAACACGCAGTCTTCGCAGTCCACTTCATTGTTTGACTATCGTCGAGGTATCAGGACGTCGTACAATTCTCCACGCAAAGGACTTATGAACTTCTGCGTTGGTCATTCAGGTAGTCTTACAGGCCGCCACACTATTTGTATGAAACAAACTGGGTCAAACAGAAAGGAGAACGCCAGCCGTAGAATTCTGAGGTGCCTTCAATCTCGGTCGTTGATGTAACTCAGGCGTCTATTGTCCATACATATCGTCCGCATTTCATCGATGCATCCGACAGTTGGTAGCAGGACGCGATCGTCATAGTTCGACCTGGACCTTGAGCTTGAGTGAGTGGAGCCCAACGGTAGCGCTCTACTGGTAGCGATTTAGAAACGATAAGCGGAGAGAAAGATCCACCTTGGCACTGTGGAGAAAATTAATCACTAATTAGCACACTTCTAGATGACCATGCAAGCATCAAACCTACGCCTGCAACCTGTTCACAAGCCAGGTTTCACGAATTCCGAAAGATTGTGTGCAAACATGCCAGATCGAAACAGCCGCATGTACATGGAATATATTCCGGTGAATGCAAGGTGCGCAGGACCGGTGAGGCATGTCACCGGAGGCTTAGGGCAACGAGAGGCTGTGCAATAAAGAAGCATACTTGACCATGTAAGGAACCGAACAATAGAGCTAACCGAAAGCGGAAGATACCAAGCTTGCTGTCGAATAAGCGGCGAGAGCACCTTGGCCACCGTGGAGGACGATGAGCGGAGAGCTCCATCGACGCAGTCGAAGTTGGAGCTCGAGCAACGGTGACTTGGAGCACAGAGGGACAATAAGACAATGACGTCAGGGGGCGGGCCGGCGGGCATGCCTGAAAAGGCAGGCACGTAACCTAAAAAGTCGCGGATGGGACCTTAGGAGGAACGTCACTACGGTCAGTGTAGCGCCGGCTGAAGGCCATGGCTGGCTTGGATTTCAGTCTCTTCTTGTTCCCAGATCCCCCGTGCGTTCCTTTCTTCCCTACCTCCACCATCTCCCCCGCCTACGATGTTCGTAGTCCCTTTCTCGCTGCAGACCGAGCTTTGCTAACTATTCAAACAGGTCGTCGAATGACATTGAAAATGCGGAGACTGCCTCTACGTCCACTTTCGTCACTGCGCTCGTGTTCAATTTGATTGTCTTTGCTGTCGAAATCGGGGCTTTCACGCTTGTACGACCTTATTTCCCTGCCATCTATCAACCGCGAACCTACATACCCTCAGAGGAGTGAGTCTTCACGCTTTCTTCGTTTTCCGCTCACATTTTCGTCAAATTCTTTGTGTCGGTTCTTCCCCTCGCTTTCTGCTTTTCCGACCCTCTAGGAGCCATCAATCCAGCGCGTTGCAGATCTGGTGTTTTTTATCACTATATTGGTCAATTGGATAGTCGGGGCGAGGTCTTTGTTCCTTGTACTCAAAACAAGGCTCTCCCACACATATTCTTTCTGATGTTGGACTGTATCGCCCAGAGTTCACTTGCTCTTATTCTTGACATCCCATCTCTGGTGCCCGCACTCTCTTTGCGCATCCATCTAGTTGACATCGTCATGCCTCCAGTTGACACTATATCCCGCGGATATTGTCTGTCTTACACAGGCCCTCATTCAAGCATGTGCTCCATTGCTTTTTGATCATCCGCACTGGACCCGTTCTCCTGCTGTTATTTTCATTTGCCTTTCTTCTGTCGGGTTAGGGATGATTTGCCTCGTTGGATACACGGGCGTAAGCCTCCCGCAGCAAGCACTGTATGGCGTTCCAGTGATGCAATATTGTGTCGTACAAGCTTTGACTGCCAGCGTTATAAGCACCCAAGTTTGGCCTCGGTTGCTTTTGATGCTTCTCTGTGAAGTGATGATCGTATGTGATGGCAGAAGCTACTTGCCTCACGCATTGTTCATGTTCATTTCCATCGATTCATTTTACTCACCCTCGCCTGGATCATCTGAATTCTGACATCTTTCTTTGCTCAGACGGCGCGCGAAACCCCTCGCATCACATATCCTAGGCTGGCCTTGGGCCATTTTCAAAGCGGATTACCATGCCATCAAAGAGGCGAACGGTCTCGACGCGTATCTGTTTGTTCGCTTTCTGCGGATGATGGTTCGCGTACTCCTTCCTATATGGCTCCTCTCCTGGGCCATCCTCCTCCCTATCACTTCTGTCAACACCTCCGTCGCCGACCATAGCGGATTAGACAGATTTATCTTCGGCAATGTCGCGAACAACAAGACGACGCGATACGCTGCTCACTTGATTCTCGCTTGGTTTTTCACTTGTAAGCGTGGTCCGTTCAGTTCATGGTCTCTGCTAATTATGCGACAGTTTGGTTATGGTGGAATATCAAACGGGAAATGAAGCATTTCATCACTGCTCGACAACGCTGGCTCATCGACCCGCAGAATGCCAATTCCGCTCAGGCGCATACTGTTCTTATTAGCGGCGTACCTCAACGATACCTGACTGAAGCCGCGCTCATGAAACTATTCTCTGACCTCCCGGGTGGCGTTCGCAAAGTCTGGCTCAACAGGAACCTGAATGAGATGCCGGACCTGTACGATCGTCGTCTGAAGGCCTGTGACAAGCTCGAATCCGCAGAGACGGCCCTACTACATACAGCGAGGAAGCTATACAACAAGGAACTCAAGGCGGAAATGAAAGCGGCGAAGAAATCTGGCAAGAATGTCCCTGTTGCTGACGAGGCGACTAGTGATGGTCGACCGTTGACTGCCCCGAGTGTAGTCGACACGGAACGCGGGGAGATTGCACTCGCAGAAAAGTTAGTTCCTCACAAGAAACGGCCAACACATCGTCTCCCACCGTTTTCTTTCCTCCCGTTCTCGCTCCCTCTCATGGGAAAGAAAGTTGACTCGATTGACTGGGCACGTGAAGAAATAGAGGCAACGAACGAGGCTCTCAAGGAGTCCAGGCGGGCTCTCTCCAAGGACGTTGCCAGCGGGTCCAACCTCCCGCAAGTCGAGACAAAGCATCCAGGCTCGCTCAAAGCTGCACACACATCACAGACATACCCGCCTCTGAACAGTGCTTTCGTACTGTTCAACAGGCAAATCGCCGCTCATCTCGCAGCACAAGCGTTGACGCATCACGAACCCTATCGCATGGCGCGCAAGTATACGAACCTCGCGCCTGACGACGTGATCTGGGCGAATCTGAACTTAAACCCGTACGAAGCCCGTGTTCGGTCTGCGATCGGGTGGGGTATCACGCTCGGATTGATTATACTCTGGGCGTTCCCTGTGGCATTCGTTGGTGTGATCAGTAACATCCCTGCTCTGTGCACGACATATAGTTGGCTAGCATGGATATGTGACTTGCCGGACGTGATTGTGGGCATCATTTCAGGTATTCTGCCACCGGTGTTGCTTGCGGTGTTGATGATGCTACTCCCCATCGTCTTGCGTTTGCTTGCAAGATTCGAGGGGGCACCGCAAAAGACGGGGGTAGAATTGAGTCTTATGACAAGATTCTTCCTGTTCCAAGTTTTGGTAAGTTGAATATGGGTCTCGTTTCAAATGAATATGAGGCTAATCGTCGTTTTGGTAGCATTCATTCCTGATTGTTACTCTGAGTTCTGGTCTCATCGCAGCGCTCCCCGGATTGCTCAACGACCCCGGCTCTATACCCACATTGCTCGCACAGAACTTACCCAAGGCCTCCAACTTCTTCTTGACGTGAGTCTATCGTGTATGTCTTGCCTTACAATATCTTACATTGCCGTTACAGTTACATCATTCTTCAAGGCTTGTCCGGAACCGCGTCCGGTTTCCTCCAAGTCGTTCCACTCATTCTGTACTATGTGAAATTGTTCATTCTTGGAAGCACACCTCGCTCTATCTATAAGATCAAGTATACCGGTCGAACCGTCGCTTGGGGTACCCTGTGGCCGACCACCACTTTGCTCGTCGTAATCAGTAAGCACAGGACTTCATCATCGGTATTTTGACCTTACTAACCACCAAACCTGCTTAATCTGAATTGTAGCGTTGGCTTACTCCATCATCGCACCTATCATGAACGGACTCGCGTGTGCTACGTTCTTTCTCTTCTACTTCCTCTGGAAATACCTCTTCCTCTGGCAACTCGATCAACCGCGTTCAAGCGATACTGGAGGACTCTTCTTCCCCAAGGCTATTCAACATGTCTTCGTCGGGATGTATATCCAGCAGATCTGTCTCGCGGCGCTGTTCTTCCTTGCGAGAACTGATACCGATAGCGCCGCCGCCATCCCTGAAGGTGTATTGATGATTATCCTCATCGTGATCACAGTAAGTATTGTACCCTTCATCACATCTGGACAAACGACTAAACATATACATTGATACCAGGCATTCTTCCATACGGTCATCAACAATTCTTACGGACCCTTGATTCACGCCCTTCCTGTTACTTTGGCGGACAAGGCAGGAGGCAATTTACCTGACGAGAACCGTATTGTGGCCGAACGTGAGCTTGAGGAGCAAGAGCTTCTTGAGGATGGAAAAGGACACATCGAGAAGACACCCGCGTCACCGACTGCAGCCGCCACAGCTGGCCGGCAGTCCACTTCGTCTGACACACCTTCTCATCTGAAGACTGGCAAAGCAGAGCCAGACAATGAGCGGAATGTGCAGAGAGAGCAGCCTTCTAGTCCTCCCGCTGCGAGCCCTCAAAACACACCTACGACACCTCCTACTCCTCCTACGAGTCCGAATACTCCTCCTACTGCTAATACGACGCCACAGACCGCCGTCGCATCTGATAACCCTGATATACCATCTATCAAAGCCATTGACGAAGAAGAGGGCCATAAAGAATTTTATCACCCAGCTAGCGTTGAGCCCCAGAGGATGGTGTGGATTCCGAAGGATCAGTTGGGCCTTGGTGAGGCGGAGGCGAGTGCGATTAGGGAGAGGGGTATTGCGGTTAGTACTGCTAATGCGGAGATGGACGCGAAGGGGCATGTTCATATTAGTGGACCGCCGCCTGATGGGAGGATTTAGTGACTTTTGCTCGAGGATGGGTTGTTGTTCACATTATAAAGTATGGGACGATTTGATTTGGCCGGGGAGGATACTAGTAGGGCGATTATGGAGTGTATTCGATACCCTTTGTAGTTTCACGAGATGACGGTTTACGGATGGGCCATTTACGCTCTTAATGTTACATGATATCATTGCGTCTTTGTTGTAGTTTGCATTTAATATATAACATACCAACATGCTGTTACGGTATTTGATACCGAGGTGCAGGAATGATTTAGACGACGGGCATAGTAATTAGACAAGCGCGATGTATTCGTCTTGTTTTCTGCTTCGTCAATATTGCAGCCCTTCAAGCTTCACTGCACATAACAATGCCAAGTATCAATATAACACAGGCACTTTCAGCCGGCTTTACACCAGCATAGACTATGCAAAGTAGCCGACTAACCACTGATATACAGTAAGAACAAACTCAATCCATTTGCTGGACCCCGCTGCTTGCCAATTGACAAGTCAAGGAGACCAACAAAAAGAGAGAGTTTAGGGTGATCCCCCGACGACACAAGCCGATACTGCAATAGCAAGGTCATCGCGCCTCCGAGTTGCAAGCAGAGCTCTGAGGACAAGGGCGGCAAAAATTAGATAACCAATAATAGAGGCGGTGCCTCCATAATAGTGGTTAAACTATTAAGAACAGATACTACACTTGATCTAAGCCAAAAGGCCAGAGTGGTGAGGAAACGACCTTGTCTGACGCCGCCTTATATAGCTTTTGGACGATTAACGCACGGACCAGGCGCTAGTGAGCGGAAGACGCCCGGGGGTGGGTGATGTCCTGATGTGGGAATTGCTTATTAAGTACTCGTGGCCAACTCGTGGCTGCTAACTTAGGCAGTCTCAGTCCGAAGCAACCGAAGCCGCGGTTTTGTATACACTGTCCCTGTTGCAGTACTGTTCCACCGGATTACGCCTGAATTTATTCTTCTTCGACAATGATGCTACTTGCTTCAGGACCAGGCCCAGTACAAAAGCTGGATGGGACCATGAGAAGGCTTAGAGAGCCGACATGACGCCTCGTGACCACTATCCAGCTGTAAGTTCTGAATCGTAAGTACTCGATGTTTCCTCAGAGCGTGTATCTGATCTCGACCCTTTAGGTAACATAAGATCATTGAAAGTTCAGAAGCAATTGTCAGAGAACCCTGGGTCGTTCTTTTCCATTGTCGACGTGTCATGGTCAAACAACTCGATGCCAACCGGCCAATGCGTGCTTGAAATACTGATTACGCTATGTTTGACGTACAGAGCAGTTCTTAACTGTTGTAAATCATCGCGTTATCTGCTTGGCTCTCAAGCAAGCAATGTGTTCACTTCCAACAAGTTACATTACTTGCTTTACGTCAAATTCCCTCCTGGCATTTGCATGCAGCAGATACAACACCGAATAGTTCCCCGAGTGCTGTAATTTGCTTCAATTAGTACCTGCAACGAGGTAGGTGGAGTTTCAAAGTTACAACGTCTGTATGATCTGACAGTGATGTTTCACGCGTGACTGACAAGCTGGCAGGTCCGTTGGTGAAACCTACTACAGTCAAACAGGTGAAGTCAAGGGTATACCTTGTCTACAATGGCGGGAATGTACGTGTCTCAGCTTTGGGAAATCATGGTTCTACTAAACCGCACCTCGCTTTTCAGGGACCCAGCAGAACCAGTCGTTTCCTCTACAAAGGTGTCGATCGGGGTTCAGGCCCCTCCAGATGACCCGCCTCCCGCCTCCCGTGGTAAACACCCACCTCTCGTAGCTGAAAATAGGCGGCTCATGATGTACGGATACTGTGTCAGTGTCTCCTGGATACGCTACTACGCCAGGGAACACGGTTGGCTGACCCCATCTGGCGGGGCGGATGATACCAAAGTCTTCATTGACCTCACGAAAAAACTGGGCAGATGGGACCATATCATGGCACCGAGCGTATGTGTATACCGGAAGCCGACAATGAATGGGCAACCGAAGTCTGCATTGTGTCTCAATAGTGTCAAAGATCGCCAGTCATTCCAGCTTGCCTTCATTTTTGGTTCGGGGACGAATAGGACAGTGGCAGATATGGAGGATGCATTGAATCCGAGTCGGATTCAGACCCTGAAGGAGGTGATGAGGATGGAGAGAGAGCCTTTGTGGTACTATTTGACGCAGAGAGAGCATCATGACCAGCCCTGGCTCCCGGACGTGAGTGTCACATCGTTCATTGCAGCATCTCTCTGACGCTGCCTCAGAACGACGAAGAGGAGGCACCTGCAAAATAGAGATTTCAGTGGCCTGCTGCGTAGTCTATCTGGATGTCACGTTCTATGCTGCATACATCTGTCGCGTTTCTGTTGTTTCAACTACTGAGCTACTGAGCTACACCCGTGCAAGGATATCATTCAGTTGAAACCGCTTTCCACCCCCGCCCTCTGCATGTCCATGTGCATCAAGTCGTTCTTTCCTAATATGCTCACCAAAGTGTGAGGATTCGGTTGAGAATCTGACGGTACGTCTCAGTCATCGTAGTGCATTGTTCAGGTTGACTTGCAAATCTAGGCTTGGATCACATTCTCGTCTCTAGCGCATCGTAGAAATATTCGGCTTCGTCGTTTCCGAATAACAGGTCTTTTCAGTATTATCTCAGTGGGGTAAATTGGATGATGCATATTCAACGATCATATATTTCGGTCTCTTTCGTCATTGTAGGCACAAGGCTCGGCTATTTTGTTTCGCTCGCGCCGTCACCGTCTGCCCTTCACCATTCGCGATGACCAGAATGCCACGCCTTGTGCCACATGGTACTCGTACGTGTATATGTTTCTATTTAATTTAGGCATTTTGGACTAGCAAACATGGGTGCTTTCGCAAGTCACAAAATTTCGTTTCGTACTCTTCTGGACTTCCCTTACCCGCATCGCCGTTCTCCAGTCAAAACGATCTGCGACAGGGCATCTCGGATGGCAGAAAACGTGGTCACTCTGGACGACGTACCTTTACGTCAAAATCCTTCCTAACACTTCCACGCGGCAGATATCATACCGAATGATGTTCTGATGCTATAGCGCGCATGAACACCTACGAGTACAAGGAGGCAGGTAGAGCCTGAGTTTGAAATTACAACCTGTGTATGATCTTGCCAGGTCCGTTGCTGAAAACTACCACAGTTAAACGGGTGAACTCAAAAGTGTGCGTGCGCGTTGCCTACAATGAAGGAAATGTACGTGTCTCTACTATAAGTAACTGTGATTCTACTAAGCCATATCTCGCTTTTCAGAGACGCGACCCAGGCCAAAGTAGTTGCATATGGGTCCGTCGCCGTTCAGGCCCCTGAGGTTGACACTCCGACAGCTCCCCGTGACAACTGTCCACCTCTCAAAGTTATAAATGGGCGGCTCATGAAGTACGGATACTGTGTCAGTAAATCCTGGATCCGCGAGTACGGCAGGGAACGCGGGATAAAAGGCGAGACCGATGCAGTATTAGATCTTGTCCTTAGATCGGACAGTGACTACCGCTACGTTATGGTGCCCAGTCTATGTGTCTACTGGAAGCGGACACTGAATGGGAAAGCGAAGTCTGCATTTTGTCGTCATCTTGTCACAGATCGTGAAGGATTCGAGCTTGCATACCTTTATTCTTCGGGATCGAATGAGTCGGCTGCATCGATGGAGGAAGCGTTGAATCCGCGCCGGATTCAGAAGCTGAAGGAGTTGATGAGGATGGAAAGAGAGCCCAAGTGGTTATATACGACGAGAGTTGCACGTAATGACCAGCCATGATTTCCTGATGTGAGTATTTTATTACTCACTGCAGCATCTGTCTGACTCTGCCTTAGGACGTCCTTGGAGGGGAGGCACCTCAGGCTGATAAATAGACATTTCAGTAGACTGCACTTGAAATGCGACATGGTCAATTTGGATGATGCAGACTGTGCTGTATACGTTCGTCACAGTTCTGTTCTTTCAATTCCTTTTCTGTACATCAGACATCGGGCTATGCCCGTGCAAACCTGTTAGCATTCGATCAAAACTATTTCTAATCGCCAACCTATCCATGTTCAAGTGTGCCAAGTCGTTCTTTCCTAGTACGCTCACAAAGTGCATGTCGTGAGGACTCGCTTGAGAGTTTGACGGTATGTCTCGGGTATCCTCGTGCTTTCTTTGGGCTGATTTGTGAGTCCAGGCCTGTGTAGCATCCTCATTTTTAACTGCATTATGTGTATTCTCAGCTTAGCCGGCGCGATGATAGTTCATTACCACACGAGGCCTCCAGCGCTTTATCGCTTCTCCGTTGAGTATATACGTTGGAGCTTCAATTCACCAGAGAAACAGATCCAAAGTGCAGGTCAAATCTTACCGTTCCTCTACACAACGTAGGTTGACCGTCAACCATATTTGTATGCCTCTGATTGAGGACTTCATTTCACAGACGTCTCCATGGAAGATCAAGATGTGAATGACTTGGAGCGCGGACCTCAGGCTGGCCCTGATCATCCCCCGGAGAACGTGGCATCATGCGCCGGGCAACTTAATACGCCAGATATACCCACTCTTGTGACTGCCCCGGCTGGTCGTTACATGATCCATGGCTACTGCGTTTCCGCTAGCTGGATCTTTATGTACGCCTATCATCATCAACTCCTAAAACTCGGTAAACGTCCCAATGACGTGAAAGCCCAGAGAGATGTTAGCAGGACGACCAACCGGTACGATGTTAGGACCATCATTGTACCGAAGAAATGTATATACAAGATCCTTCACGAGGATACAAATGATACTTTGAGGTCGATGGATATTGAGGGCAGAAATGGGTTTGAGCCTTGCTCAGTGATTGGTTGCCGTTCGAACGAGGATGCAGCTGCGCTCGCTACCGCCTTTGACCCTGAACGGATCCATTTGGTCTATATCTTCGACGCCACAATGGTATATCACTGTGACGGAAAGAAAGCACCCTAATCAACTACTCGAGTATGGGATGAATATATGAGTCCAGTCTTGCGATTCGATATCACCGAATATACATCTCATGAGCATTCATGTAGAAACCTCATCCTGATGACGACGTTACATCCCCTAGGCAGTACTTTGAGGAGTTGGATCAATAAAGGCAGCGCTGGACCTTTCGCTTGCTACTCTGTGTTTTGCTAGTTAACCTCGATTTCTTTGCTATACGTAGGACGAAATGCATATACGAAGGCAGTTGAGGAGAAAACATCACCAGAATTTCTATAATCCTTGTACAACACGTTACGACCATGGTTTCAAACAATGAATGGGGCGTACAATTACCTGGCAGTTTACATGTACCCCGGTTGAATGAGAGTCATCAGTCTTTCTCCCCATAGAAAAGTGATTGATTCGTAGATGCAAAGGTTGTTCCGAAGTGAGTGGTGCCAAGCAACTTGAACCTCGCTTCGGTCAACGTCGTGAACCATAATTTGTTCATATTTACCTGTGGCTTTCAAGGAATTTCCCGTAAAGGCATGTACCACTGTATCTGAGTTATATTATTGCAGCCATCGACTCATTCGTCTATAGGTCGCACTACGCCTTGCATTTTAGGTCTTCGCACGAACACTTCCACAAAAAAAAAGTTTTCGCCATCAATCCCATGTCGCCAAGCTTGAACGCAATACAAACGCGGAAGCAGGAGAAATTAAACCGGGAACTCTATCCCGACCGCTCGAGCAAATGGATTCAGCAGGAGGCAATAGTATCACACGTAGGTCTGTATCAATGACACGATTCCTTTCCAGAGGCGTAAGGCTTCTGAGAGTGAGCTTTCTTTCGATACCAAGGGAGAATGCAGGTTGTTGGACGTATAATCCTGGAGTCATCAAAGCTGTCCGGTTGAGGGCGGGCCTATTGACTTTCATTCTCATAGGTTCTTTTCAACCTAGAGAATGAAGAATCCTGCAAAGAAGGCTTGCAAGTCCATAGCGATCGTCGGAATCCTGGCCTCCATAGGACATGAGAGGGCAGGCATACACCTGATGAGCAAACGGGAGGAGAAAATGACAACCGACCTAGCCTGCGCTATGGACATCACGAGCACTCGTGGAGGCTATGCGAAGTTGCTAAAGCGCGATGTTGCAATGAAGCTAGGAAAGCACTCACTGTTAGAGTGAAGATCAGAAACAATGCAAGTTCACAAGTGCCCGAAGTCTCGCGAGAAATAAAGACTCGCATATGATCTAAAGGCATTGTACAGCTCGAAACCGGGTAGATCGAGATGTTTGCAGCCAAACGCGCACTTGTGAAAATCATCCAGAACAGCCAGTATTAATACTAGTACACACAAAGCAGGATATAAGCCTAAAAACACGAGTCAGTCAAGAGATTCAAAACGATACAGAGATAGCGTACATGATAAATATGAGTCCGACAGCCGCATGCAATCTTAAGACTTGAAGATCCTCAATAACCGCGCCTCTGTCACGATCCTCGTCCGACATAGAGGACATTCCCTTGTACTAGACATGATTAAATCGGCGCATGAACGACACATAGCCAGATGTCTATACCAAAAGCGTCAGTCAGCACGATTGGAAGGTAAAGAGAGTGTGTGCTCACCCGCAATCGACGATGGCGATGTTCGCCTCCTCGTCTTGACAAATTACACATAAACCGGTCCGTTCTAAATGAGAAGCCATAGCTTGTGCCTTTGGTGTCATTATTCCAGGAGGAGCAGGAGAAGCTGTTGAAGTCGGAGGCGTCTTAGGTGGTTTCGGCAGTTCAACAGACGTGGAATCCTCAATCGAAGCTTCCACATCAGTGCCCTCTGTCGCACCGGCTGCCACAGCTGCGCCTTCATCAGCTTCAGCTTCAGCCTCACCACCTTGAGGGACCTCGCTAGGCGGGGCCGCTGATTGCGCTGATTGCGGTCGATTCGAAGCAGCTGCAGCTGCCACTTGCTCTCGAAGCCTCTGCAGCCTTTCCCTTGTTTCTATTTCTTCTTGCTCCGCTCTACGCGCCGCCTCAGCCCGTTCCTTCTTCTCCTCTTCAACAAGAGCCTTCACCTTCGAAACAAGCTCGCTCTTCTCCACAACCAACCTTGCATTGACGTGATTTCTAAACAAGATCGCTTTGAGCGTGCCTATGGAGAGAGCCTTCATCTCTCTATCTGTCATGTCTAGCAATTCATCAAGGGAAGGAACTGGAGCAGGTGGTGTAGTGGGTCGAGAAGGTTCTGGTGGCTCGCGAGGAACGGACGCAGAACGTGGTCGTTGAGTTTGGGGGACATTGAGATTGCTTGAATTCGATGCAGTTGGACGTCCCTGTCGTGCTTGAGCGCCCTGATAAGGCTGATATCCTGGTGGGTATCCCGGAGGAGGAGCATATTGAGCGTAGGGTGGATGTTGCCACTGAGTCTGAGGTTGAGACCGTTGTTGATAGTGGTATTGAGGACGCTGCTGTTGTTGTTGCTGCTGACGGGTATCTGGGCGAGGAAACGTGCTGGGATGTGACGTCGTACGTTGACGTGGTTGTTGTTGAGGAGGAGGGGCGGTGGCCGGTCGTTCACCACTTACTGCATCCATGGCTCGAGAAAAGAACCCTCGAGGACGGTCATTCGATCGATCGGGTACCGAGTGCTTACGATAATAATTCTAATTTGCATGTCAGCTCTCAGATGAGACGATTAAGACTCCACGGTAAAGTTTGTACCTCGTTGGCAGGTGGTAAACAGCCATTCGGTTGTCTTGCCGCAAGGAGTGCATCGATGAACTCGTCCTTCTCCAGAGCACCGCGAGTCTTTATATTGTATGCGTTTGCATACTTCTTCAAACGAGACATTGGAAGGCTACGAAGGTAGGATCTGCCGCCAGCGGTGACTATTGTACTTTCACGAGTCAGAAATTCAGATAAATCGCACCATATTGACGGTATGACATACTAGTCAGATTTTCTATGCAGAATGCACAGACGGGCATAGGGTCGTATCCAGATTCAGTACCAGATCGTGGCATCAAGGCCTGGTAATCAGTGCACGAATGACAATATGAATGCCCTGTGATCGGGGTGAATTGATCAACGGTAGAATGGCTAGCAAGGGTAAATACACACACCGCAGTGGTTGCATTTCCTCGATCGAGCAAACAGCATGTTAAACTCCTTATTACACTTCCGACAGGACGTCTCGTTCAAATCGTACGAGGGTGGAGGCCCACTGAGCAGAGGCATTCCCCTGCCGCCGGCGGACATCTGTTCTGAATCTACTGCGGTAGCCAGCGTGAGTTGTCAAAGAACAACAGAGACGATAAATTCTCATGAATGGTCAAGCATACGTGTAACAACGGACCTCAACTTATATTCTCGACGATATGTTTGTCAGCACCGATGATATGACAAAAGTCGGAAACACAATGATCGGTCGGTTTCCAGTAAGTTCTGCTTCACACCCCTGTGACGTGTGTGATCTGTGTTCTTGTCACGATCGGTCACAACTTCAATATGATTGCCGCGCTCAAACGCGTCGCGTTCAAAGTTGCACCCCTAGTCTACGCTAATGAGAAGTATGTCCTTATTCCACATCTAGCACCTTTCTAACAACTGTCGCAGTATTATAAGCGTCCTAATAAGATTATGCATCCACAAAGACTCCCACAGACAAAGTGGATCCAGTACACACCTCCGACAGGCGGATCGCAAATGCCCAACCAAAGCGAAGTTCCTTCAATGAGACGCGACGTCTCTCATCCGGTACCAGCATACGGTCAACAGCATTTGTCGTACGCAGGAGTACATTCCCACACGTCTGCGCCGAGTTTACAGAGAGGAGACCAATCTGGCGTTTCTGGATTTTCATATGCACCTTACGCGCCGGGCGTTGGAAGAGAACAGCAGCACGCGACACACTTGAACAGCCAGGTTCCACCCTCAACCATGCATCCCGGTCCAAACTCAACTCAAAGATATGGACCGCAAGATGTAGCATATCCCAATCCCAATCCTGCTACCAATAGAACAGCACCTTACGCGCCTTTCTTAGCTCACCCCGAAAGCACATCTACGTCGCAATTTCGTTACGGACATCAAGACTTTGGAAGAACACAACAATATGCGTCCTCACCTACTGGTCAGGCTTATCAACATCCAGCTATTGGCAGGGGACCAATTCCTCCATCGCCTGTATCACCAATTGACCAGAATAGGCTCGACCGGACGTTGCTTGAGATGCACCAGCTCGTGGCTGCAGGGTTTGACACGGTTCACAGAAACCAAGCGGAACTCCTAGATCGTGTTACGCAAGTTCAGGATCGTTCTCGCCTAGAGACGTTTCAGCTGCTGGATCAGTTTCGCAGCAAGGTTTTGTCTTCATTTCAGACAGTGCATGCTCGCTTGGATCACGTGGAGAGGTCTGTGGGCAAGCCAAATGAATTGCCGGCGAACAGTAAAGCGGTCGGTACGGAGAAGTCACTTAAGGACCGTTTACAGGACATGGAGTGCACGTTGCTGGAGATTCTCGAGAAGTCCAATGATCCTGAAGCAGACAGTAAGCTTTTCTCCGCTTATGTTGCGATTTGAGTTCATATATGCGTGCTTTGCAAAGGATTGCCGCCCCATATCACGCGCGAAATTGGAACAAGTCCACATATACAACCAGGTGAATTGATCTGCACTTGACATTCGCGTCTCGAACGCTGATCTGGGCAATTCAGAGTATCGAGACGCTGCCATCGAGGCACTCGTTTTACCCCTGGTCGACGTAGGCGTTGAGGCACGCATGGCCGACGCGCGTCCGTTGGGTAGCGTCGACGTTGCAGTCGAAACGACTCCCACCTTGCAAGTCGACCAAGGCGTCGATCCGCCCTCTCCAAAAAGTCTCGCGCAGGCCGACACGTCTTGCCACCTAGCAGAGCAAGCTAGCAGCCCATTCACGCCACCTCGAGTGCCACCGCCTTTTCATGTCTCTCGTATGTGCCCGGTCTCCCGATCTCACGTACTGGCGAACTGATATTAGTATAGCCATTGTTGCTTTGCACACTCGGTTTCCCGGCACTCCAATCAGACAGGAAACATTAGGTCCCGCTCAGTGGTCTCGAGACAGTTCACATGATTCTTGTAAGGCTCTGCTTTTTCCGTGTCACATTAATCTGACTCACTTCGTTTTTGAAGCCGATAACCTGTTTGGCTCACCCGTTCCTTCTGGTACTCAATCTCCAGGTAAGTTCGCTCTATGATGAACGGTATTGATTAGGAGACGTGTTTGAGGCTGACTGAGTGTTAGCAAGTGAATTCGACCCTGTGCCCTTGATACGGTCAGATTCCGAAGAAAGCGTTCCAATACGAGACGCAGACCTTTCCTTATCTTCGCGTACCACAACACCGATCGCCCTGCAGGTTGCAAACCGTGATGCTACGCCACCGTCCTCAAATAGCTCGGACGTTACTGCAGTCGACCAAGGTGCTTCTGCTCTGTGTACTCCGCAAGTGCGACCACAACCGTTGGGATCTCCTAGTCGTGTTGACGACACGATTGAAACTATTGGATCTTCAGCCACTCCGATTGTGAATCGACCGTTGGATATTCCGCCATGCGTTGACCTCTCCAATTCGTTATCGCAAATTGACAGTGCTAGTCCTATTCATGGAACCGGGAGCATCGAAATCAATAGCTTGCACACTACAGGTCCACAGGCCCAGGATAAGACGTCGCGATCACCACGCCCAACAAGCGATGAAAGTGATACGTTTAGGCCTTCTACCACTTTCACCGTAACGAGCCCGCATATATGTGCTTCGCTGCAGCTCGAACCAACCAGTCCCGTCCATCAGAATGAAATCTCGGTCCTCAATACTTTATCTGTTCCTAATGCTCAATCTCAATTAGCAAGTCCGACCAGCGATAGGGACCCGATCCAACGGCCAGTGTTTCCGATTCACAGAAACCAGGCTGCGCAGGCGTCACCGCTTCATGAGCCAACTAGCCCATCCTTATCTATGCGGAGTCCGAGCCCTGTCCATCGTACCAGCGGGGCCAGCATCAGTGACTTGCGCTTTGAGGTTTTTGGGGGGATGACTGTAGAAAATTGGCTCCAAGGTCCTTTGCCTCCAATGTTTGGAGAACCTCGACGTTCAGACCATTCGCAGAAAAACGCTAGTAGTGAATCTGCGGGTACTTCTGGGGACGAGCAGAATAGTTTGAACGTACCGTCGCTCACGTCGAATCGTACTGTGTCGCCGCCGATCTACGAAGACCCTAAGCCAGATGTTATGGCCTTGTTCGACGACCCTGAACCCGAACCTGCTCTGTCTACACCTACTCTTTCTTTTTCTACTCCTGTTGATGCACTCTCGCCTCCGTTCGGTGAGTATGCTAGACGTTTGCATAATACTGCAGGATTTGTACTCACCCTAGGACTTCAGTTGGGCGAAAGAGATCATTGTCAATATCCTCCTTGTCCAGTCTATCTGATCTGTCTCCCCCGAACTCGTCTCGACGTTCTCCTGCACCCTCTGAGCAACTCTCCACCATCACTACGAGTAGTTCTTCTGTTCCTTTGGCTCATTCGAGACGATCGGGCAGAAGGCCGAAGAAAAAGCAGAAGTTTACTGAGTTTATTGACTTCCTGACAAGTAAAAAGCGCAAAGGCCGGCCGCCAAAGGTCTCTGCGAAGTCACGCTCTGCCCTCAAAGAGATACTCGATCCCGTGGTTGACTGTGATTGGCCTGAGGTGACATCTCCTACGGGGTCTGAGGAAATGGTACGTATTCGACTAGGTCAAATTTGAATTATATAACCGCTAATCGTTACTTGTGAGACAGTCCATTCAGTGTACAGGGTACGTGCTTACATGAATTCCTGATGACTTTTGTAGGCTTAGGTTTTGTGTCTAGGTGCCTGTCATGGTACCATCTCTCTTGCGTTGGAGTCACCGAAGACCACGAGTGTCTCCGTACCGACAAGTCCTTCTATTGCCCGCCTTGTCAAGCTACTCGGTACGTATATCAGATGAATGCAATCTTCTTCCTCATCAGCTAATGTCTTGTTTTTTTTTAGTGAGATCTACGGTATTGCCTCTCTAGTGGTATGACTTGTCCAGAAATACTGACATCTTTTCCGCCCGAAGGGAAAATCCGTAAAGTTACTTCTGTGAAAGATGATACTTGCGCGCGTCCAAGTTGCACGAATCCTTCGTTGGCGGAACCTGGCCGGTTCTTTGTCGATCACATCATAGGACGAAAACCTCATTGCGGTAATCCTGGGAGCTTTCGTTGGCTAGTCAAATGGGAAGGGTAAGTGGTCGCTTTTTGTCAATATCGTTTTGCTAATTTTATTTTGGCAGCTATCCTATTGCTGACGCCTCTTGGCAAACGCAAGCTGATTTCCCTCGTTCCGAATACTATACCTGTGCCTTCGATGAACGAGCTAGGCGTGAAGGTCATGACGTTTCCGACTATAATAGCAATATACTTCTGCGGGAAGCCCGCGATGCTGGTTGGAGGTAGTCTATCGATGGTGGACAGTTATGCTCAATACTTTTCTTTTTCTCATTATGTTCCTCCGCTCTTTTCGATTATGTCTTGTCACCATTTTCTTGATGTTTTGCTCTCGTCGCTTGATACACTTTGTCGTTCTTGCTATGCCGTTTTCACCCTATATTTCATATGCTTCAAAACGTTTGTCTCGCTGTAGTTGATGTTCCACATTACTATACAGTATGGATATTGATCCTTCTAGTACGAAGTGGCATACGTACAGCTGTTATAGCACTAAAGTCCTTCTATACGAGTACACTTTTACTTCCGGACGAATACTCGACTGATACAAAAACATGCCAATATGAGGAGTAACGGGACTTGTAATCGATAATTGATCCCATTTGGGCTCTCTATCGGAGTCCGAAAGGCATTACTGCAGACCACTGTCATTCACCCAAGACAGTTCTCACCGCAGTAAAGCAGTGGTGCGGCGTTCTGGGATTTTTGATATGCCACCGACGCCCTTTGTCAGGAGTTAACGATTTTGAGGATTACCTCGCTATCAACCTCGTTGAAAGAAGAAATCTCCATTGTTTCTGATCTACGTGTATTCGGTCCATCATGGAACCCGAGGGGGCGCAGTGAACGGTCGGACTCTCCCTTTGGGATAGACACGAAGAGAGTGACACCAGCTCGAGTTGCATACGGTTTTTCAGAGTGGTATAGTGAGCATGTAGTCATACGCTTTCTTGATGCTGTCACTCACCAGGACTAAAAATGTCTACTGGACCATTTGTCCGTCAGAATTCCAAGTCTTCGCATTCAGTGAGTGCCATTGTCGGAATTTGATAAGTCAACTTTACAGGGTCTCCTCGTGTGTTCATCCTCACCCTGAACATCCGACATGATGAACCATTACGCAAAGGCTGTGTGTATGCTCCGGAGGATTCGGTATCAGTTAGATCCTAGTATCTAACGCGCTTGACAGATGTTGCAAATGAGGGTGACAATCCTGTGTGCCCGGCGAAGTCCTGACATGGTGAGCTCCGTTCTCGTACTGAATGCCATTGTGTCCCACTATAACTGACTCGTGATCCGATGTCCTAGGGATTTTGATGTTAGCCAGTTCCCCGCCAATATCATTGTTCTGAGGGATCACAATGCGCTCCTTGGACCCTGAACAGCACCTCATGGTGCTTTGAACTTGACGTTTGGCTTGGGACAATGCCTCCGTTGCAAGTAACCTAACTTGCCTCTTCGGGGCTTGGCAATCGATTTCTGCTGCAACGTTGCAGCAGGGCTGCTGATCATACACGGATGTCTACAAATGATCAATATCCCATAGTCGGCATCGATGGTCATGAAGAAGCAAAGTGACAACCGGTCCTCTCTATCCGAGTAGTGAACACTCTCCGCACATATCGTATCAATGTCCTTCGAGTTAAGCACATCTTTCCGATTGTTCTAGAAGCCAATATCTGGATGGTCACGCTTTGAACGGGGGGCTTCACTGATTTGCTTCGGCAAAAGCTGTCTTCAAAAAGAAGTCTGTCTGCGCGTAATGGACCACGTATCCACGACATGACCTCACGAGCCCGACCACCGAGCCAAGGAGAAATGTTTCTGGATGTATCCTGGAATGTTCAAGAGGTGTGTATATTGCGTTTTGTTCATCGTCAGTTCTCCAGCCACTTTTATATAGGTTACAAATTACCTGAAGGGTTTGACGAGCAAAGTCGAGATGCTGAATATCCCTCAAAGTGCGAAAGAACAAACAGCACAAATGCACGGATATAATCACTTGGTTATATCTACCCTGTGGGCTTAACAACTACCTGGTTGAGCCGACAATATCTAATCTTGTGCTTCTAGAGATATGTCCCCATTCACCGAGCACACTGAGGGCAAGCATGATGTGTATGATGCTCTGTACGAACACCGTTGCTATAAAGCATAGTGGTCAGCTACTAAATTAAGGACCAACAGAGCTTCCGCCGTCTTGGTCATCGAAACACCTTCAGAGGCGGAGACAGTCCCACCTGACCGCCAGGACAACTCAGAGGTTTTAGCTGCATAGCGTATTTGTGTTTCTGTTATGTATAAGTTATGATACGGTCTGCACTACAACTGAAGGTCTCCTGACTAAGTTATGATCTCTGGCATTGGTGATTCTGCATCTCAGCCAGCACCCTTGAGGTATACTTCTATTTGTAACATTGTCTGGGTCCATAACGGCCCTCTGAATGATGAAGCAAATAGAAGTTCATATCTCAAGTTAGGTTCTACTCTGAGGCGTAGATGGTCAACGAATACGTTCGTTCTTCCTATCCCTCGTTGATGGTCGGCCATGATTCCGGGTACAGAATATACATTAAACACAATACAGACCAAATCACTGTTATACAAGGTACAGAGAGTTGATATATAGGAGGATGGTTTGGAATATTTTATTGAGAGTTCTTGCGCGGTCTGTAGTGTATGTCTTTCGCCAACAAACTCCAATGAACCTTACCACCACGATCGACCAACTCCTGCCATCGATTGCGCTTTTGATGTTCTCGTTCGTATTCCCACCTTCTCTGAGTGTTCCCAAGCTCAAGATGCCTCGTATCGTCCAACTTCGGGATCCTGGTCACAGGAGCGGACGCCAAACCGTCGTTTGCATCGATCATCGTGGCCAACTCTTCGGGAGCAATCAGTTCATAGGCGATGTATGGCACCAGCCCATGCTCCCGAAGAACAAACAGAAAGCCTCCAGCTTCGAAAATCAGGTAATCGTAAGGACGCTGTAAAAGAGGGATCACTTGACCATAGTAGTGGTAGGCATTCTCTAGGAGTGAGGCAATCCCGGCGAATTGGAATCCATTCACAAAGCATACCCATCCTCCCCATAGTTCCCAATCTGTGTCCCATCCTTCAGGAATATTCTCTGGTTCGTGCTCTCGCCACAGCTCGAAGAGGTACTCCTTGTGCTCGTCATAGAGATCACCACCACAATATGGGAAGGGAGGCGCGAATACACAGTGTACAGGCTCCTGTAATTGATGAGAACACATATGAAAATAGAGGAAATACACAGCTTACGGTGGGGAGAAGATCACACCCGAAGGATGGAGGGAAACTGAGCGGCTGGAAACAGGATTCAAGGATCTCTTGACTCCGTCCGGCAACACCACTGAAATCGATCAAAGCAAGTTCCCCAAATGCATTGCCGAAGATGGCAACACCTCGGGCCTCGTCAAAGTCTCTAACTGGCTGGCAGTACAGTGAAGGTAAATTAGGGTCACTGATTTCGATCACATCTCCTGTACCAACGACTGAGTCAGGAGTGGGTATTCGAGCAGCGACAAAGGTAGGTAGAAAGCTCAAGTCGACGCAGTCACGGAGCCATGTAATCACGTGAGGGCTTGCCCCGAACCGAGGTTGAACGGTGAGACTTTCATGTTTTTGCGCCACCAGACCTAGATTATGCGTCCACACCGGGATGAGCTCCAGGTGGTCATCTAGAGGGCGGCAGACCACCTCGTAGATATGGATACCACGACGATTCCCAACGCAGAGATATAGCTTCTCCGATTCCTCGTCAACCGAAGGCACAACTGATACTGAACCCTCATCGAAACATGCGGACGACATAGCTATCGGCATGTTTAATCCACGCCAAAATTTGCATCGGCCTGAACCTAAAAAATCCAGGATGTAAATATGAAGGTGCATGCGTGAAACGGCCGCAATCCAATTTGAACGAGCGGCCATGTCGATATACCCGCCCTACAATGAGTATCAACACTGCGATTCTTTCGAGTATATAGGGCCGAGCGCACCTTCAGATCAGGAATAGTTTGCAGGTAGTCAACATCACCAGTCCTCCAGTTATGTACCGACGGAATACTGATATTTTGAGAAAAAGCCACTCCAATGTAGAAACCGCGCAAGAAGCGAAGGTGAGATGCATCCGGTATCGTTGTCAGCTGTCGGAAAGCGGCAGTTTGACCCAGATTCTCTATGGTCATTACGGAAATACAAGGGATCCTAAAGCCAGTGAGTACACCACTTGTAGATTTGAACGAAATTACACACCGTTTCTTGAGGCAAAGGGCTATAGTGACCCCGTGGTAACGATGAACTTGGACCAAACCTTGTTCGACAGGTCCATCGAGAAATGCCTGCGCAACAGGAGAAACAGTAGATTCTCTGCCAACTTGAAGGAGAGAAGAGAGATGCCAGAGAGCAATAATACTAGAGGAGGTATCTGAGGACGCTATGAGCACCCATTGTCCCAGTACAAGGCGGACCCAGGTGATTGGACGATTTGAAGGCAAATGAATCGTGCGGTAATATGGTTCTGAAGGCCGCCACACGTTTCGGTTCACCTGATACAAATGTCTGACTAAACATTCAACTTGATTGGCGGACAACATGCCGAGTGGGAGACAGTAGGATGGCATCGGCAATGCGTGCGCCACAATATCTCGCTGAAGTATCTCGAGCCAGAGCACTTTCAGTGTAGAGAGCCAGGATAACCTCCGGCATGTCTGTCCTCAGAGTTAAAAACAGTAAAGCTCAAGTAAGTATAGTGACATACGCATCGTACAGCTAGGAGGTCCGCAATAGCGAGATGACAAAAGATGTCCAAGATCACGTCGGAAGGAGAACCAGTCAGAAAGTTGTGTTCGCCAATTGAATGCCGTTCTATCGCAGACATAGGATACAAAGAGTGAAAATTATGAGGGATGTCGATGAAGTGGGGAATGGCAGTAAGTGATTCCAATAATCGTTACCAAACATCCAAGTCTGCAGACGCTCAACAGACTAATTCGGGCCGATGAAATTGAACCCGTCGAGTACTTAATGTTCAGTAGATCATTCTCTGTAGTGATGGATGATAATCTGCTGTGTGCTTGCTTTCCGAGTCCGACTTCGCAATCTCAGGGTCTCCCTGTCAACGTTGCATGCTGCGATACTGTGCGTCCATGCGAATCAGGCATAGTATCTATCGATATCGGATAGATCATCTATCAACCCTGCAGAGGCGATGATAGGTGTATTCGTAAAGGGTCCAATGTAAATACATCCAGAAAGCTGGGAAGCATTGCATGTCTGAATTGATTCTTGGCAAATCACATAGGTTCCGATATGCAATATCGTGCATATCGCATGCTAGCTCACGCTGTTCTGACGGTGTGCCGTTCGGTACGGTATACGTACAGTATGATGCGCACGGCAGATGAAATGGGGGACTCGATAGCTCGATAGCTCACCTGAATAACCCGAAGTCTTCCATTCGGATATAAAAACTATGGCCAGTTTTCTTGGATCTTCATTCCGCTCTCTCTTTCTACATTTGCTATTCAAACAACGAAATGTCCTCACAAAACGCACAACCGGACCCTTCGATATTCGCCTTCAATCAAAGTATCAGGAGGTGGAATGATGACACGGTCAGATTGTGCTCCACTTCCCTCTTCGTATACTGTACTTACACGCCATCTTCATAGCCCGATCAATACATCGAACGACTAAGACGTCTAGGTGAAGAGCTCCCTTCGAACGCCGCTCTTCGTAAACACGTTCGGCGTGTGTTTAAGCGGATGGTTGACCCTGCGATGTACGTGACATTTCTCGCACTCAGTTGCCCTCAACTTTCTTAGTATTGATGTTTCAGATTGCGCGGCAAGGCACTGATCGATGACGGGACAGGTAAACCTCTTATGCTAGAAGTTCAACATGGCGGGCCGACGGTGTTAATCACTGATTTGTTCAACGCTTTGGGTACATCTTGCACTTCGTGACACCGGCATTGACCGAACTTCCTCTCCAGGATGGTTGATTTCTGTTTTAGAAGTGGGAGTGGCACGACCAAGTTCTAAGCTACCTGATCTCTTTAAGCTGAGCATACGGTTTGCCAGGCTTTGTAATCTTCTGGGGAAGAGGATGCAGTCTGCAGTAAACCCACCGGCAATGGCAGGCATCATGTGGCTTACCGAGCTGGGCGAGGATGCAGAAGAAGTTGAAAACGCCTCCTCAGTGATCTTAGAAAGTAACAACCTTGTCTTGGGAACCTCCATTCCGGGGGGAAGACCTGGACCTCTACAGGCGCTCAAGAAACTGGCACAAGAGGCTCAGGGTCGCATGATCTTCTCCGCTTTAGGTGTGTGGGGCCTGAATGACAAAATGGACTCGTGGCCCTTGGGAAACTGCGCAGAGTCTCGCGGCTTTGTGACGTAAGACAATTGACTTTTACCTTGTGTATAATTTTCTTATATGAGATTATTAGGTTCAACGATAGGAAGTACCTCCTGAACAGTATCGCGGTTAGAATCTATAAGGTAAATGACGAATGGTCTAGGCAGGGTCTCTCTGAGAAACGCTTGTTTGCCAATGCATGTAAAACATGTATCAGAGTCGTCCTTCAGTCCAAGCTGCCATTCCGTGATTTGGCCCGGAAGCGAAAGGGGAGAGCTAGTTGTAAGTGCTTTTCAATCTGCACTGACAAAGACATTTGATCATTGAAGGGAATCAGTCTTCGTGCTAGATGACCAAACTGACCTCAAGCAGGGTATGTTGATTTCTTATCTCCAGGGAGGTTCAAAGCCGACTAATGCCAAAATCATTATGCAGTACGAGACTGGGAGAAGGAATTCGGGTTCCCAAAGGGTACACTTCGTGAGATGTCTGAGGTAACGTGTCAATCTTCTGACATCTTTAACAACATTTTCATCCCCCGCTGGTGTATTTTAGGCGGAACTCGCTGCATCTCAGGAACAAGCGGATATTCATGGAGGGGACGATAATGACAGTGATGACGACTTGGCTGCCGAGATTGCACGCCTCGGCGTGGCGAGTAAAACCTCTACATCGTCTTATGGAAACGATGGTAGAGCAGCACATTCTGGAGGCTCTCAGAGTGGTCGTCAGGGTTTTGAAACGTCTCAGGCTCCGTCTAGGTTTTCTGCACGCGGACCGAGCCACTCAGGTTCGTCAGACCGTGAACAAAGATCTGGCCCGGAGCGCTCTCAAAGTGGACAGACTCGTCAGCGCAAAGACAAAGGCACTTTACCGTCTCGGAACCAGCCACAATCATCTGTTGACCCACGGTCGATTGATTCGTCTGCCTCCTTGAGCCTGGCTTCCTCGTCGCATTCTGCTACTCATCCGGAAGCGCCCTATGACTATTCTGGCACCGACTACGCTCCTAGTTCTCAGGATAGCTCCCTTCTATCACACTCGTCCACCCAACAACAACGGTATCAGTCTTCTCAGACTGCACCTACTCTGGGGTATTACCCTCGGGATTCTGCTTCTCAGCCTCCCGTTCTGCGATCTGATCGTTCTAATGCACAACCGCAAAGCTACTCTCATTCTGGGCAAGCTACTAATCGATATGATGTACGCCACTCAGGTGGACCCGTAGTTTCGTCCGCATCGTCTTCACATGACCCACATGGGTCGGAATCGTCGAGAATGCTACAGCAGCGCAGACCATTCGATACTTCACAGCCTGACATGTCTGGCGGTGTAGCCCTCTCACGTAGAGAAGACGACAATTTCTACGCTACGCAACGAGATAACAGCTACGGAGATCCATACCGTTCTCATCTTCAGCCTTCTGGTCACCCTCCAGCACCTCCTGTACCTCAGAATTACTCGGCCTCATTCGGCCAATTAGCTCAATCTGTTCAGGGTCCCTATGCGCCGATGACGCAAAGTCAAGGCTCAGGCCCGAATGCCTATGGCTGGTATGGCTTGTCCCCGCCAGGACCTGGATATCTGCGCCCCAACCAATATCCTGGGCCCAATCAATATCCTGCTCCCAATCAATATCCTGCTCCCAATCAGTATCCTCAGGCCACCACCTCAAGTGCAAGCCTTTATGATCCGAATGCTGTGGCACCAGCTGGGCCCTCTCCCTATGCTATGAACCCTTCATTCTTTAACCCCGAGCAGCAACGTCAACAACCGCCGGGCCCTCCTGGCCCTTCGTTCGTGCCACTGCGCCAGTATGATACAGGTTCTGTACCCGGGCCAGGTTTCTATCCTGGATCGTCACAAGGCGATCCGCGTCGCCAAGGTCGGGAAGGCGGTTCTGGATACCGACAAGGCTATTAACTTGACGTGAAATAGTTCGATTTATCTCGGTCGCCTTACACGTCTTTATGCGAAACTCCCACTTACTTTACTTTTCTCCTTGACCTTTGCTACTTCTCAGTATCGATTATAGTGCTGACTATCGCTCGACGTGTATAACATTTTGTATTATATGAATTCCTTTGGTAGACTTCAATAGCACTGTGTGCTTCCTCCAGCTAATAATAAAATAAGACTTTGCCGTCGTTTACAGGCCATTAAAACAAGTTGCAGAAGGAGTCAGGAATTACGACAGATCTAAGCTACTGCTGGTCCTGAACCGTATAAAGGCCGTCAACGCAACGTATGCCGCCTCTTTTGGCTGCAATGAAAAGATATGTACAATACCACCTCGATGTGCCGCCACGTTACTCTTCTCTAAACTGTCATTTCCACTTTCAGACCATAGCGGACAAACCCCGACATAGTTCAAATAAGGCAATTCCCGACGCTTAACCGTAGCTTTCCCCACAACTATGCAAGCTATCCGTCTTCCAGCTCTTCGACACTCACTCCGTCCTGCATTTAAAGTCTCAACTGTGCCATGGCAACTATCCTATCGATCATTTTCATCTTCCACATCTCGTCTCAGCGATGATCCAAGCTCATCACAAACACCGACTACCAGCACACCTGACTCCAACTCCAGCGAGGCGAAGCAAAAAAAGGCAGATCGAAAAGGGGAGACTGCGTCTAAAATAGAGACAGAGGTAGAGGTCACACTTCCGTTGCTGCAACGGCCTTTGGGTGTTAGAGACAGACCAACTACTGAGCCGAGGACATGGACGGACAATATGTTGAATCAGGAGGTTCGTATGGAACAGAGACAGAAGCTGTACGTCTATTTCGCCTCGCTCTTTGCAATCCCAATGTGTAAGATAAGGTCGTCTAAGACATTGCTATTACTAGTGTGAGAGCCGCGACGAAAGGCTACTTCTCTGACTTGAACGCGACGCGAAAGCACGGCGGAAAGACATGGATTGCGCCGAGGGTACTTATTCGTGAAGACGTAAGTGAACTTTCATCCTGCGTTTTTGATCTTCGCAATTGGGTTCTGAACGCTCTGCCTGTCAGAAAGCTCGATATTTCCCGGACATTTCTGGGACGCCATTAGACTCGAGTGAGAAGGCCCATACGACCTCACTCTGCGTAGGCAAAGTGTCTGTTATCTCTATGCTCTCGTCAAGAATGTCTGAGGTGCGTCATTTTCCCTCGTGTCTTGTGTGTAGGTTCAAGGATGCATTCAGCTTAATGACGGCGTAGATCCAAACAGCCATGTATGGTGAACCAACACATGCAACATATTGCTCAAACCCGCTGTACCAACATATCCGAATCAACCTTCAAGAAAATCTGCTGAAGTCATTCCTAGTATCACTCTTTGCGAGTAACATTCGGAGGAACATACCTAAGGAGCAATGGGGAAAATACCTCATTAGTAGTCAGAATATGGAGTACGTCCTCGTCGTCTTTTCTGCTACTGTTTTATTGATCCTCTCTCTTGTTACCTTCACTGACGATGATGCTTTGATCCAGTTACTTGCGAGACGACCTGGGTATGACGAACAAGCACATTGGATATGTCTACCTCGTGGATCAGGCGTGTCGAATCCGATGGGCAGCCTGCGCCGACCCGAAACCTGAAGAGATCGAGGCTCTGAAGGCATGTACAGGTGTTTTGCTCAATCGACAGAAGTCATAGTAGTTCATATGCCGGCACACATACTGGATATGCAAGATATTTACTAGACAGGTATACTACGTTATATATCACATTGCTAATAAATGTGTAGATACAGGGATGCGCATATCCTTTTCATCGAATCCCAGCGACCTATGTCGACATATATAAATCAGGTATAACAAAAATCAAGTGATACCCTCGTCGCCTCGGCCTCTAGTGCTCAACATCTCTCCCATGTTACTCGCCCTCCTCTTTTTCCTCGTCTTCGATGCCAACCTCAGTCTCGTCATCATAATCGTCTTCTTCGTCATCTTCCTCTTCCTCTTCCTCATCCTCGTCTTCGTCTTCGTCATATTCGTCCTCATCCTCATCAACCTCGACTTCGACCTGTACAAAGCGGAACGATGAAAATGACAATATCCGTAAATTCGCGAACGTGGTCGGAGTAAGTCATGCAACAAATTAATTGTTAGTGCCACTGACACTTGCTCAGGTCCTGCATGTGAGTATCTTCCATGCCGGTACGCTAGTTGGCACATTAGGTGGATATCGTGAATGGGATGGATTTCAAGTACGTGTAGTAGCATCTCTGGAAATTCTCACACCAGTATGATCATAGAATGCACTTCCCAAATCCCTGAATTTGAGAACGTGAGTCATTTACCGTCTTTGATTGTTTAGTCAGATCGCCTCATATGGAGGCAAAGACCTAAACCATCGGAGAAGGAACAGTTGGCTACAGGTGTAGCTAAACTATCTCATCGACTATCTAAGTTGACCAGTGCACACCACCATCAAACAACGGATGGCAGCTTGGTACGAGTCTACTCTTCTTTCGAGCACTTAAACCGTCTCATATCATTGTTAACCGTCAGCGAGCTCTGTATACTCCACGGGCGTGAGTAGCTCAATCTTTCGTCCTCTATACTATTCAGTAACTCTGTTGTAGCACCTTTCTGTGCACTGAAGAAAACTTGGACGAGAAGGATGATCCGGAGCCAGGCTGTCTCTTCATCCAATCGGACGTCACAAAAGCAGTGGATGTCGCAAACGTCAAACGTCAAACATCCGGTTCCTGCTTTAAAATCAGACTATCGTGCTCTCCTAAAGACCCGTGCATCGTTGTCTTCGATCTCCTTTTTACTCCTTCTGACAGTGATCGTTTCACCTCTGCGACCCTTAGGGCGATGTTTGCAACCGAGTTTGGTAAAATCATCGACATTCCCAGTGTGGATCCGCAAGGTGACACCGCATACCATGATACGCCCCCCGGAGCTGTCACGAGCGCATCTTCAACCCACTCGCGAGATGATGTTATAATCCAGGGGAATGCTATAGGCAGCTGGGCTAAATTTGAGATCAAGGAGGATGACAGCAAAGCCAAAAAACATGGACTGGGTCAGCAACATTCGCTTTCCGTCATTCTATCGCCCTCGTTGGCCGGAAAGAAGATTTACATCGAGTTTCATGCCCGTGCACGCCTCCAAAAAAAAGGACAACATGTCAGGAGTAGTGAAGAATTGTTGGTAGGATCCGAAAAGGAGCCACGCAAACGGGCTCTGCTCTTACCCGTTGCAACGCAAGAGGATTATGCACCCGATCAGGAGGACGGCCACAATCGCGATGACACGGGTGCAGAAAAGGGCAAACGGCTAGCGGTTAGCAGTAGCAGTGGTGGAAAAGGAAAAGGATAACGATCAACAGGGATAGGGACAGGCGCAGTCGGCGGACCAAAGGCTAGGTTGATTCAGAACAACTTACATATGGAGGGAACGGTGGATTGAGTCCCTTTCCAAACTATGTGCCGATCGCTCGACAGCGTCGACGGGGAAGAATTCTGGCAAACGTACATTTTGAATATACGTAAGATAAGCAGCTACAGGCTAAGGTCTGAACCAAATTCAAAGCCCCCTAGGCAAGATACTAGAGTTCAATTTGGAACGGTACCCAAATGACAACCTTCGTAAGGGTCAATTGGGAGGTACGCCAAACAACATGCCGCGCAAGACACATGTTCGACAGACCAGATATATACTACGCTATATACTGTATTACACTGCCAACAGATGTATAGATGCGCATACATGAGATCATCCGATTGAGAGCCCACCTGCAATGCATACTATTTCTGTGTCTCAGAAGATATCTCGGAGCAAAACCCGCAAAACCCCTCCTGCTTTCGCTCTGTCCTTTGGGAAAATCCTCCCCGTCTGTAAGGTATAGTTCCGCATCTGGGGAAGAGACCGAAAGACTTTGACTCTCTTGCCAAGCCTTCGAGCGTCGATGAGGTCAAAAAGATTGACGTGGACGCGTGCGAGTGCCTGGACCAGACATATATGAGTATTAACAGGTCATTGCAGAATGACGGTGGCATACCTTTCGACACTGTTTGATACTCGATGGGATGGGCCTAATTCTGACCTCCTCACACAAACTCTGCCATGCGTCTAAGCTCGTCTCGTCTACCCCGAATTGTTGATTGAACTCGCCCACCAGGCCATCCTGCAGTCGATGGTATACTGTTCGACGTTTCTTAGGACCCCAGGTACGAACTACGCACAACCTCTCGAATTCGGACATGACGGGGTTAGACGCGTCATAGTCGAACTCGGGGTATTGTGCGAAGAAGTCATCTATTGTGAATTCCTCCTACGAGTCGAGTGAGTACTGCGCTCGAGCGCCGCGCATAGACAGTATGAGGACTCGGGGCAACGTGAACTTACGGCAGCGGGCAACGCTCTTCTGTTTCTGCGTCGCGTCATTTCGCGTCGTATGTGTTTACTACCCTTGTTGGCGATTGGGTACGGGAGCGAGGGATTGGGGTCTAGGGAGAGCGTCGGGGGGACGAGAGGGTACGTTCCTCAAGCCCCTTATTCACATGCATGTTGTTATTATATGTATAGAATTAACTCTGGTCGTGGAACACCTTTTACCTCGTGTTGTTGTTCTCCGAGGACACGAGGACTGGAATTTCCCACCTGCAAAGTCCCATAAGGACTACATGTGAGTGTAGAGAGCAACGAACTGGACATGTTGGTTGCATGGTTGACACGAAGCGAATCATGGCGGCATGTTCTGGAAGGTCTACTCTGTATTCGTCGTCTGAATGACCTGATCCGGCTGAACGCTGTCAGAGCTGTCGAGTGTGGATGCATATAAGAAGCAAGAAGACGTACGTCGTTTGTGAAATGATATGACAATATATTCAAGAATATCCTGAGACTTTGGATGAAGTGGTCGTGGTAGAACATCATTTACAAAGTCCAGCCCGAGATGGTACGCACGTGCCAACAGCCCAGGACGAACGCTAACTCTGGCTTTTACCTTCAGTGAGGTCACAGTACGGTAAAATCTTGAATATACGATCGCTAAAACACAGAACAATCGGTAGATCGAATAAGCAACTGACCGCATAGCCATCTCCTGTAGTTCAAATCTGAAGTCAAGCATCATGAGATTGAGCCTACAGTTCACCGACGATTCGACGTGCGTCTCGCAGGACCAGACATATGCTGCAACAGTCCAACCAAGACGCCGCCCGCCTTCGCATCCTCCCTCGAAAAGAACTTCCCCTCTTCCTTCGTATATTTTTGTAGCGCGGCGAGACTCGGAAATTTCCTGATTTCTTGACCTCGTCTGCGGGCTTCAAGGAGATCAACAATGTTGACATGGATTTTCTTGACTTTCTATCACGCCGAGGTCTTTCGATTAATAGTGATCCTTTGAAGCGACTCATGCTGATGACCGCATACCTTATGGCATTCATCAACGGTGTCTGGAATAGGGTCTATCGACCGAGAAGCCGAAAAAGATTGCGACATTGCGTTCATCCATACGGAAGAAATCATGATTCGACGCTGAGTAAAAGCGGGAACGGGCGAGTTCAAAGTCGTCACCACGAAGGTGAAGCTGTCTGACCATCCTAAGGAACTCCTGCAATGCGTCTTTATCCGGCCGATAGTGAAAGGCTGGATACTGCCTGAAGAATGCATCTACATGTGCTGTACGCGGACCAGTGAACACTGCGATGGTGGACTATCGGTGCAATGAGTTCCAGCAAGCTTCAAATAATGAACAATCAAACCTGGTTGCTTCCTCGGCCACGTCCCCCACCACGCCTCTGTTACGATCACTTTCATTTCGGATCTACAAACACGGCTTTCCCTCTCGTTATTCATTTGTAACCACTTATTAAAACCTGCCCAAACACATTCATTGATCCATGCTCGAACCTGACCGATACCATAAGTATATACGAACACATTGTTACCACATGTATTTAGATAATAGTTGTATATATACACCAGATGAACTTCAGATTAACTCCAAGTTTCGAATGGTTTTACCTGCTCATTTCTAAATTGATTTGAGTCCTATCATAATTCGAAACTTGTCCCTTCGCACTCTCTCGACAGGCATTGCCTCGTCCTCCACCCACTCTTCACCTCACTCAAAGTCTGTTGTACTCAACGGCAACCACCTCATTCCTCACTCCACTCTGCTTTACTCTTACTCGCCCAAAACCTCATTCGGAGGGATCTGAATTCCACATTCCTAGTTACCTTTCATATCGCACTCCACTCCTCCATCTGGGTAATCACGCAACTACAACTGTAGATTGCGACCCTTGTATTCCCTTAGTATATAAATCATTACTCTCACCTGGTAGTCCGCTCTTGAAGCAACCAGGAAGTAGGCGGTGCTGCAACCTTCTTGACAGAGGGGCCGTTGAAAAAACCTACCAGAATTTACCCTGCTCAGACCTAAACGACTGAGTGTACGGCAGGAGGTTTCGAACCTCGCTGGTATTTCTTGATCCTCTCGCACGTCGAAAGACAACTACTGCAGAGATCAATTTCTCTTTTTGCGCCTTCAAAGGCCAAACCATTTTATATAGTTACTATATCTACCTACCTCGTGTGTCCGGATCGGCTATTGGCTGGAACACTTTGAAGGAGTACCTTTACCTCGGATCTATACTCGTCTAAGTACCAGAACAGGGTCGTGCGCCCGGTACAAGACACTATTGTTCACATATCATGTCTTCATTCATATTCCCTGACTCCGTACCCATCTACCAATTCTACGAATGCCGATCACAACCTCCTCTCTTACCTCCATCACACTCATCCTTCACACACTCCACACCACCATCACCATTGTCAGAAATGGGTTCCACTGAAGCCGGAACTGGTGATCTTGAACAAAACCCAAACCCACCTCGACAACCACCACCAGTACCGCCACAGCCAAACACAAAGGCATCTGGAGCGAAACCTTCAGACTTTGATGGAAGTAAAGACAAATTCCTTGCTTTCAAAAGGCAATTGATACTATGGTTCCGAACACCCAAGAATATTGGCCTCACTGATGAACAGAAGGTCGATATGACTCTTTCGTACATGAAGGGTCCAAAGGTTGACAACTGGGTCAACAATTATTTCGACAATAATTTTGATATCGACGCAAACATCTGGAGAATAAATTTTCGTCAGCTGATACTCGATCTACATGAAGCGTTCCTCGATGTAAATCGAATCGAACAAGCAGTTATCCAGATGGATAATTTGACCCAAGGCAATGGAACGGCGCAAGAATATTTCCAGAAATTGGAAATGTACATCACGCAGGCAGGCAGGCAAAGGGAAGACAAACACACTATCGACCTTGTCAGACTCAACTGCAACGAGTCCATAGTAGACAGGGCTCTTGACAGAGATACGCGACCAACCACTTATGCACAGTGGAAGGAAGCGATCATTGATATTGATTCCTCGCGAAGGCAGCGGGAAGAAGAGAAGCGATTGAAGAAGATCGGATATCGTCCATTCCGATCGAACCAGAACTATGGGCAGAAGTACCCTAGTTATCAGCAGCAGACCCAAGGATCAGGCCAGAACCAGAATCAGAGTCCGAAGAAGGACTACAGAGAAAAGAAAGACGGAACCGGGATGACGTTCACAGGGCGTGGACAACCCATGGACTTGGACAGGAATTGCCTTAAGTGTAAGGCTAAGCAATCAGAGAAGGGCACTTGCGGAAGTGCATGGCATGTTCCCAATCGATCGGGACCTTCCACGAACACTCAACGTGTTCGAAAGAATGAAACCAAGACAGAGTCAAAGATCGAGGAGATTCCCGACTCAGATGATGACGATGATGACAAGATGATCGCCATGGTTTGGCGATGGATGGAGAAGAACCCGGAGAAGGCGAAGAAGTTGAATTTTGGCTCGGGCAAGGCTTAAATGCACAAAGTAACTTGCCGGATATGAACAATGACTCGGACAAACCCCTGGAGGGTTCTATGAAAACATCTTCGATACATGCCTGTAATACATCGATTGGACAGTCCCCTTTTGTAAATATTTTACCTAACGCAGAGGCGTCTTCTACCAAGAAGCGCGGCAGGGCGGAACCTGTGCTTGATTCCTCTAAACAAAATACAAAAAAATTTGAAAATAAACTGAGTGCGTCGGATAAAAGCATCACAGACATTGGACCACCACTACTCCGAGTTGTCAAAGGACTTGGAAGAGGGAAACAAATGGACCTACCGGTCACTGTGATCATCCCGGAAACAGAAAGAATCCATGATACAGTAGCATTAGTCGACACCGGTAGTACCGGATCATGCATAAATTATAATTTCGTCAAAAGGCATGGAATTGAAACCTCTAGATTTGATCAACCGATCCAAGTCTATAACACCGATAACAGTGAGAATTCTCAGGGACCGATCACAGAATATGTCCGACTCACACTTCGAATCGGCGATCACCAAGAGAACATCATGCTTCTAGTTACCGATCTGGGAAAGTCAGACATATTCCTCGGATATGAATGGATTGAATACCATAATCCATCAATAGACTTCAAATTGCAACTTGTTGACTTTAACCGATGTCCACACACGTGTATCACCATAAGACAACAAGAGATCGAAGAAGGAGACACAGTATATTTACTTAATACCAATGCTTGGTATAAAGAATGGGGAGAATATATTCAGCGAATGCGTGTAACCGCCATGGACATAGCAATCGAACAAAGTAAACAGAAAAAGAAAAAAACCTTCGAAGAAATGGTTCCAGAACAGTATCGTGAATTCACGGATGTATTCACTGAAGATACTTTTGACGTCCTTCCGGAAAGAAAACCATGGGACCATGCAATAGAATTGCTACCAGACTCATCGCCATATGCAGGCAAGGTGTATTCCATGACTGTTGAAGAACAAAAAATCCTAGATGGTTTCCTCAAAGAAAACCTAAAGACGGGAAGAATCCGACCATCAAAGTCTCCCTGGGGAGCACCTTTCTTTTTTGTCAAAAAGAAAGATGGCAAATTGAGACCGGTACAGGATTACCGAAAACTCAACGATATGACCAAGAAAAACAAATATCCTTTACCATTGATATCGGAGCTTATTGATAAGCTCAAGGGTGCCAAATATTTTACGAAACTAGACATTCGCTGGGGATACAACAATATTCGCATGAAAGAAGGAGACGAAGAGAAAGCTGCATTCATCACGAATAGAGGACTATATGAACCAACTGTCATGTTCTTTGGATTGACGAATAGTCCTGCTACGTTCCAGATGATGATGAATGACATTTTCCGTAATCTCATCCTTAAAGGAAAAGTAATCATATATCTTGATGATATACTCATATTTTCCGAATCCCTGGAAGAACATCGCCGTATTGTGAAAGAAGTCCTTAAAATATTACGAGAAAATAAATTAACCTGCAAACCAGAAAAATGCGAGTTTGAAACTCAAGAAACAGAATATCTCGGACATATTATTTCGCAAGGAACTGTAAAGATGGATCCTGCCAAAGTCGATGGAGTTACGCAATGGCCAGTACCAAAAGCCAAAAAGGAATTACAGTCATTCCTTGGATTTGCCAATTTCTATCGACGATTCATCAAAGACTTTTCCAAAATTGCCACTCCCTTGAATAAATTAACCGGACAAGTAGAATGGACCTGGGGTCCAGAACAGCAGGAAGCTTTCGAACTTCTAAAGAAAACCGTTACCACGGCACCGGTATTAGGTATTCCGAATAATGAAGATCAGTTCAAAGTTGAATGCGATGCATCCAAATATGCTATTGGAGCAGAACTTGCACAGAAGCAAGATGGACATTGGCGAACCATTGCCTTTCTCTCAAAAAGCCTTTCACCGGCTGAAAGAAATTATGAGATCTACGATCGAGAGATGCTAGCCATCATGATCTCATTAGAAGAATGGCGTCACTTCCTGATGGGAGCTGCCCAGAAATTTGAAATTCATTCCGATCACAAGAACCTTGGTTATTTCAAAAAACCCCAGAAGTTGAATCATCGTCAAGCGCGATGGATCCAAGAATTACAACAATATGACTTCAATTTGACCCACAAACCCGGAAACACAATGACGAAGGGTGACCCTTTATCACGACAGACCCATCACGATATTGGCGATAGTCATAATGAAAACATTACATTGTTAAAACCAGAATGGTTCCGAGCTAATGAAATTCTCGGATCATCAGCTTTACGGGAGAAAATCATAAAAAACACTGATAAATATGAAAACAATGTATGACTAAAACTATTAACAAAAGATGCCGACTTCAATGAGACCGAGGACGGTCTTATCTGGAGAAGGGGAAAAATTGTTATCCCTTTCGACAAGGAACTTAGAGGAGAAATTATTCATTCGCATCACGATTCGATTAGTGCCGGCCACCCTGGACAAGCAAAAACACAAGAACTAATCTATCGATCATACTGGTGGCCTTCGATCAAAAAAGATGTAAAAACATATGTAAAAGGCTGCGAGACTTGTCAAAAAACTAAGATTAACCACCAACCAAAGAATGCTCCATTGCACCCAAATGCAATTCCGGAACACAACTGGGAATATCAATCTGTAGACATGATTACACATTTACCAGAGTCGCAAGGGCATGATGCGATCATAGTAGTTGTGGACATGAAATCAAAAGACTATATTGAAATACCAACCACAGAGCAATTGACGTCAGAAGGATGGGCTAATCTCTATATCAAAAATGTATATCCGTTGCATGGATTACCAAAAAAGATGACATCAGACTGTGGACCACAATTCGTATCCAGCTTCATAAAAGACTTATATAAAAAACTAGGAATTCAGGGAAATCCTAGTACGGCATATCATCTGCAGACAGATGGACAAACTGAACGAATCGATCAGGAAATTGAAAACTATTTACGAATATTCATCAATCATCGACAAACTGACTGGCCAGAATGGTTGCCACTGGCAACATTTGCATATCGAAATAGAGTCCACTCTGCGACTGGATTTTCACCATTCTATATGAATCACGGACGAGAAGCCTACACTGGTGTAGAAACCAAAAAGGAAATTTGTAATGAAACTGCAGAGCAGTTTGTAGCGCGAATGAAGAAAATCCAAGAAGAAGCATCAGCATCGTTAACGTTAGCACAAGATGTTATGAAAAGACAATACGATAAACATAAAGGCGAAGCCATAAATTATAAAGATGGAGATTTAGTGTGGCTTGAAGCCACACATATACGCACGGACAGATCAAATCGAAAATTAGATGATAAAAGATACGGACCATTCCCGATTATCAAGAAAATTGGAGCTAGCGCATACAAGCTCAAATTACCAAAATTGTGGAAAGGTGTACATCCCGTATTCAATGAAACTTTATTATTGCCGTATCATGCACCAGAATTCCCTAATCAGAAAACACACAAAAACATTTCAATAATTATTGATATCTTAGAAGACAAAGCTGAATCCGTATTGGACTCCAAGATGGCACGTGGGGGTCTTCAATATCTAATCAAGTGGGCTGGAAAACCACATTCTGAAAATACATGGGAACCTCGTCATAAAATTATTAAAAATATAGATAAAAAGATTATCGACAAATTCCATAAAGATCATCCCGATGCGCCGAAAGCACCCACGAGAATATTGTTAAAGGCACAAATTATGGAACAGTCATTTCCTAGAGAAGCGACACAAGAAGAATGGGATTATTGGGATCAGAAAGTACAGCAATGGGCAGAACGTCATAAAAAAGAAAAAGCAATGATATCCGTAGACCCAGATTCAATTAAATTATTCGAAAATCGAAGAAAAGCACAAATCATATCTAATCAGCACTACCTGAATGCCGGCGAGTTATGGATCATCAATGAGCAGATGCTCAAACTGACACACGTGGCAATCACATCCGCGCCTACGAAAGTCAAACTCGAATGGCAATACCCCATTCTTTCCTTCTATCAACTCGTCGAACCAACATCAATCCCAAGTATGGATTCCCCTATCTTAGAACATTCATTCACTCAACCAATGAAAGCTCTTTGGTAGAAATGGACAAAGACGGAACCATCATCCTTAGCGTCTTTGGCGGCATAATCCTATGCACTGTTGGAGTAATACTCTGGGTTGTATGCCTACGAGAACGGGAGAGAGAAAATTCGGAAGAATGGATCATCATGGTATGATTGAACAATTCCATATCTATCATAAATTAATCGTGAGGACACGATTCTAGAGGAGGGGGTAATGTTACGATCACTTTCATTTCGGATCTACAAACACGGCTTTCCCTCTCGTTATTCATTTGTAACCACTTATTAAAACCTGCCCAAACACATTCATTGATCCATGCTCGAACCTGACCGATACCATAAGTATATACGAACACATTGTTACCACATGTATTTAGATAATAGTTGTATATATACACCAGATGAACTTCAGATTAACTCCAAGTTTCGAATGGTTTTACCTGCTCATTTCTAAATTGATTTGAGTCCTATCATACTCCCACCACGCCCTCCGCCACGCCCTTCGGACCCTCCACGTCCGCTTCCACCACCTTCGTGGCCTGCTGCGAATGTCGCTCCTCTAAGCATCTTGATGAAGACCTGAGGGTGAGTGGGGGGAAACCTTCAGGAGAGCCGATGCAGTTGATAAGGTTCAATCTGCTTCAATCGCCTCGTGACTCTTAAAGGTCTAAAGCGTCACTGAAGACTTTTCGGCACATAAAGGCCTCGTGTGAAGTAAGTGCGGAGCGAAGTAGGCGTATCGACAAAAATTGGTGGGAGCATTAAACGACGATTACAGACACCATTAACAAGGCTACGAAGATCACCGTATGGAGTTCTGAAAGCGATAGTCTGGTCGCCTATGTGGTCGATTCCTGTTAATTTACGTGCAAACAAGCAGGGTATTCGCAGACTCACATCTTCTTCATCCGCAGGTACATGGCATCAGTTTCCTCTAAAATATGGCGCAATAACGCAACCAATACGCCTCCTGCTTTCGCGTGTTTCTCAAGTTGCACGAATCCTTCATTGGCGGAACCTGGCCGGTTCTTTGTCGATCACATCATAGGACGAAAACCTCATTGCGGTAATTCTGGGAGCTTTCTTTGGCTAGTCAAATGGGAAGGGTAAGTGTTCGCTTTTTGTCAATATCGTTTTGCTGATTTTATTTTGGTAGCTATCCTATTGCTGACGCCTCTTGGCAAACGCAAGCTGATTTCCCTCGTTCCGAATACTATACCTGTGCCTTCGATGAACGAGCTAGGCGTGAAGGTCACGACGTTTCCGAGTATAACAGCAATATACTTCTGCGGGAAGCCCGCGATGCTGGTTGGAGGTAGTCTATCGATGGTGGACAGTTATGCTCAATACTTTTCTTTTTCTCATTATGTCCCTCCGTTCTTCTCGATTATGTCTTGTTACCATTTTCTTGATGTTTTGCTATCGTCGATTGATACACTTTGTCGTTCGTGCTATGCCGTTTTCACCTTATATTTTATATGCTTCAAAATGTTTGTCTCGCTGTAGTTGATCTTCCACATTACTATGCAGTATGGATATTAACCCTTCTAGTACTAGTTGGCATACGTACAGCTGTTATAGCACTAAAGTCCTTCTATACGAGTACACCTTTACTTCCGGACGAATATTCGACTGATACAAATACATGCCAATAAGAGGAGTAACGGGACTTGTAATCGATAATTGATCCCATTTGGGCTCTCTATCGGAGTCCGAGAGACATTACTCCAGACCACTGTAATTCACCCAAGACAGTTCTCACCGCAGTAAAGCAATGGTGCGGCGTTCTGGGATTTTTGATGTGCCACCGACGTCCTTTGTCAGGAGTTAACGATTTCGGGGATTACCTAGCTATCAACCTCGTCAAGTTGTGAAAGAAGAAATCACCATTGTTTCTGATCTACGTGTATTCGGTCCATCATGCAACACGAGGGGGGCGCAGTGAACGGTCGGACTCTCTCTTTGGGATAGACACGGAGAGAGTGGCACCAGCTCGAGTTGCACACGGTTTTTCAGAGTGGTATAGTGAGCATGTAGTTTTTGATGCTGTCACTCACCAGGACTAATGATATCTATTGGACCATTTGTCCGTCAAAATTCCAGATGCAAGTCTTCGTATTCAGTGAGTGCCATTGTCGGAATTTGATAAGTCAACTTTACAGGGCCTCCTCGTGTGTTCATACTCACCCTGAACATCCGATACCATGAATCATTACGCAAAGGTTGTGTGTATGCTCCGGAGGATTCGGTATCAGTTAGATCCTAGTATCTAACGCGCTTGACACATGTTGTAAATAAGGGTGACAATTCTGTATACAGAGGTGCCCGGCGAAGTCCTGACATGGTGAGCTTCGTTCTCGTACTGAATACCATTGTGTCCCACTATAACTGACTCGTGATCCGATGTCCTAGGGATTTTGATGTTAGCCAGTTCCCCGCCAATATCATTGTTCTGAGGGATCACAATGCGCTCCTTGGACCCTGAACAGCACCTCATGGTGCTTTGAACTTGACATTTGGCTTGGGACAATGCCTCCGTTGCAAGTAACCTAACTTGCCTCTTCGGGGCTTGGCAATCGATTTCTGCTGCAACGTTGCAGCTGGGCTGCTGATCATACACGGATGTCTACAAGTGATCAATATCCCATAGCCGGCATCGATGGTCATGAAGAAGCAAAATGACAACCGGTCCTCCTCATCCGAGCATCGAGCACTCTCCGCACGTATCGTATCAATCACTTACGCGTCCTTCGAGTTAAGCTCGTCTTTCCGATGTTTCTAGAAGCCAATATCTGGATGGTTACGGTTTGAACGCGGGACTTCACTCCTTTGCTTCCGCAAAAGCTTCCTTCAAAAAGGAGAAATGCATCTGCATGTAATGGACCACGTATTCACGACATGACTTCACGAGCCCAACCACCAAGCCAAGGAGAAATGTTTCTGGATGTATCCTGGAATGTTCAAGAGGTGTGTATATTGCGTTCACTTGTTCATCGTCAGTTCTCCAGCCACCTTTATATAGGTTACAAATTACCTGAAGCGTTTGACGAGCAAAGTTGAGATGCTCAATATCCCTCAAAGTGCGAAAGAACAAACAGCGCAAATGCAAAGATATAATCACTTGGTTATATCTACCCTGTGGGCTTAACAACTACCTGGTTGAGCCGACAATATCTTATTTTGTGGTTCCAGAGATATGCCTCCATTCACCGAGCACATTGAGGGCAAGCATAATGTGTATGATGCTCTGTACGAACACCGTTGCTATAAGGCATTGTGCTCAGCTACTAAATTAAGGACCAACAGTGCTTCCACCGTCTTGGTCATCGAAACACGTTCAGAGGCGGAGACAGTTCCACTTGACCACCAGGACAACTCAGAGGTTTTAGCTGCATAGCCTATTTGCGTTTCTGTTATGTATAAATTACGATATGGTCTGCACCACAAATGAAGGTCTCCTGACTGAGTTATGATCCCTGGCGTTGGTGATTCTGCATCTCAGCCAGCACCCTTGAGGTATACTTCTATTTGTAACATTGTCTGGGTCCATAACAACCCTCTGAATGGCGGAACGACAAAGCAAAGAGAAGCTCATATTTCAAGATAGGTTCTACTCTGAGGCGTAAATAGTCAACGAAGACGTTCGTTCTCCCTATCCCTCGTTGATGGTCGGCCATGGTTCCGGGTACGGAATATACATTAAATACAATACAGATTAAATCACTGTTATACAAGGTACAGAAAGTTGGTATATAGGAGGACGGTTTGGAATACTTTACTGAGAGTTCTTGGACGGTCTGTAGTGTATGTCTTTCGCCAACAAACTCCAATGAACCTTACCACCACGATCGACCAACTCCTGCCATCGATTGCGCTTTTGATGTTTCCGTTCATATTCCCACCTGCTCACAGAGTTCCCAAGCTCAATATGCCTCGTATCGTCCAACTTCGGGATCCTAGTCACAGGAATGGACCCCAAACCGTCGTTTGCATCGATCATTATCGCCAACTGCTCTGGAGCAATCAGTTCATAGGCGACGTACGGCACCAGCCTCTGCTCCCGAAGAACAAACAAAAGGCCTCCAGCTTCAAAGATCAGGTATTCATCAGGGCGCTGTAAAAGAGGGACCACTTGACCATAGTAGTAGTAGGTATTCTCTAGGAGAGAGGCAATCCCGTCGAATTGGAATCCATTCACAAAGCATACCCATTCTCCCCATAGTTCCCAATCTGTGTCCCATCCTTCAGGGATATTCTCTGGTTCGTACTCTCGCCACAGCTCGAAGAGGTACTCCTTGTGCTCGTCATAGAGATCACCACCGCAATATGGGAAGGGAGGCGCAGGTACGCAGTGTACAGGCTCCTGTAATTGATGAGGTGAGAACACATGTGAAAATAGAGGGAGTAGGCAGCTTACGGTGGGGAGAAGATCATACCCGAGGGATGGAGGGAAACTGAGTGGCTGGAAACAGGATCCAAGGACCTCTTGACTCCGTCCGGCAACACCACTGAAATCGACCAAAGCAAGTTCCCCAAATGCATTGCCGAAGATGGCAACACCTCGGGCCTCGTCAAAATCTCTGACTGGCTGGCAGTATAGTGAAGGTAAATTAGGGTCGCTGATTTCGATCACATCTTCTGCACCAACGACTGAGTCAGCAGTGGGTATTCGAGCAGCGACAAAGGTAGGTAGAAAGCTCAGGTCGACGCAGTCACGGAGCCATGTAATTACGTGAGGGCTTGCCCCGAACCGAGGTTGAATGGTGAGACTTTCATATTTTTGCGCCACCAGACCGAGATTATGCGTCCACACAGGAATGAGTTCCAGGTGGTCATCTAGAGGGCGGCAGATCACCTCGTAGATATGGATACCACGATGATTCGCAATGCAGAGATATAGCTTCTCCGATTCCCCGTTACCCGAAGGCACAACTGATACTGGAGCCTCATTGAAACACGCTGATGACATAGCTATCGGCATGTTTAATCCACGCCAGAATTTGCAGCGGCCACCGGCTGTATAATCCGGCATGTAAATATGAAGGTTCATGCGTGAAACGGCCGCAATCCAATTTGAACGAGCGGCCATGTCGATATATCCACCCTAAGATGAGCATCAACGCTGCGGTTCTTTCGAGTAAAAGGGGCCGAGCGTACCTTCAGATCGGGAATAGTTTGCAGGTAGTCAATTTCACCAGTTCTCCAGTTATGTACCGACGAAACACTGATATTTTGAGAAAAGGCCACTCCAATGTACGAACCGTGCAAGAAACGAAGGTGAGATGCATCTGTTATTGTTGCCAACTGTCGAAAAGCGGTCGTTTGACCCAGATTTTCTATGGTCATTACAGAAATACAAGGGATCCTACAACCAATGAGTACCATTGCTATATTCGAACGAAATTACACACCGTTTCTTGAGGCAAAGTGCTATAGTGATCCCGTGGTAATGATGAACTTCAACCAAACCTTGTTCGACAGGTCCATCGAGAAATGCCTGCGCAACAGGAGAAACAGTAGATTCTCTTCCAGGTTGAAGGAGAGAAGGGAGATGCCAGAGAGAGATAACACTAGAGGAAATATCTGAAGACGCTATGAGCACCCATTGGCCGAGCACAAGGCGAACCCAGGTAATTGGACGATTTGAAGGCAAATTAATCGCGCGGTGACATGGTTCTGAAGGTCGCCACATGTTTCGGTTCACCTGATACAAATGTCTGACCAAACATTCAACTTGATTGGCGGACAACATGCCGAGTGGGAGACAGTAGGATGGCATCGGCAGCGCGTGCGCCACAATATCTCGCTGAAGTATCTCGAGCCAGACCACTTTCAGTGTAGAGAGCCAGGATAACCTCCGGCATGTCTGTTGTGTTTCCTGAGAGTCAGAGAGCCACTAAAGCTCAAGTAAGGATGGTGACATACACATCGTACAGCTAGGAGGTCCGCAATAGCGAGGTGACAAAATATGTCCAAGATCACGTCGGAAGGGGAACCAGTCAGAAAATCGTGTTCGCCAAGTAAGTTCCGTTCTGTCACAGACATAGGATACAAAGAGTGAAAATTATGAGGGATGTCGATGAAGTGGGGAATGGCAGTAAGTGATTCCAGTACAAATCGCTACCAAACGTCCAAGTCCGCAGACGCTCAACAGACTAATTCGGGCCGATGAAATTGAACCTGTCGAACAATGTTCACTAGATTCTCTGATGGATGATAATCTGCTACTTACTTTCCGAGTCCGACTTCGCAATCTCAGGGTCTCCCTGTCAACGTTGCATCCTGCGATACTGTGCGTCCATGCGAATCAGGCACAGTATCTATCGATATCAGATAGATCAGACTGTTAGAAATATATCATCTATCAACCCTGCAAAGGCGATGATAGGTGTATTCGTAAAGGGTCCAATGTAAGTACATCCAGAAAGCTGAGAAGCATTGCAAGTCTGAATTGATTCTTGGCAAATCAATCCAGGCAGGTCATATAGGTGCCGATAAGCAATATCGTGCATATCGCATGCTAGCTCACGCTGTTCTGACGGTGTGCCGTTCGGTACGGTATACGTACAGTATGATGCATGCGGCAGATGAAATGGGGGACTCGATAGCTCGATAGCCCACCTGCATCGCCCGAAGTCTTCCATTTGGATATAAAAACTATGGCAAGTTTCCTTGGATGTTCATTCCGCCCTCTCTTTCTACATTTGCTATTCAAATAACGAGATGTCCTCACAAAGCGCACAACCCGACCCTTCGATATTCGACTTCGATCAAAATATCACCGGGTGGAATGATGACACGGTCAGATTGTGCTCCACTTTTATCTTCGTATATGCTGTACTTACACGCCATCTTCACAGCCCAATCTCTACATCGAACGACTGAGACGCCTATGTCAAACGCTTCCTCTGAACACCGCTCTTCGTGCGTACGTCCAGCTTGTGTTTGAGAAGATGGTTGACCCTGCAATGTACGTGGCATTTCTTGCACTCAGTTGCCCCCAAGTTTCTTAGTATTGATGTTTCAGATTGGACCGCAGCGCACTAGTCGATGACGGGACAGGTAAACCTCTTATGCTAGAAGTTCAACACGGCGGGCCTACAGTGTTAATCACTGATTTATTCAACGCATTGGGTAATTGGTCATAATCTCGCGCTTCGCGACACCGGCATTGACCGAACTTCTTCCTCAGGATGGTTGATTTCTGTTTTAGAAGTGGGAGTGGCGCGACCAAGTTCCAGGCTACCTGATCTTTTTATGCTGAGCATCCGGTTTGCCAGACTTTGCAATCTTCTGTCGAAGAAGACGCGGTCTGCAGTAAGGGGACCGGCAATGGCAGGCATCATGTGGCTTACCGAGCTGGGCGGGGGCGCAGCAGAAATCGAAAATGCCTCCTCAGCCATCTTAGAAAGCAACACCCTTGTCTTGGGAACCTCCATTCCGGGGGGGAAATCTGAACGTCTGAAGAAGTTCCAAACATCGGCACAAGAAGCTCAGGGTCGCATGATCTTCTCCGTTTTAGGTGTATGGGGCCTGAATGACAGAAAGGACTCGAACCCCTTGGGAAACTGCGCGGAGTCTCGCGGCTTTGTGACGTATGAGACCTAACTTTTATCATTTGTGTATATTTTTCTTATGTGAAATTATTAGATTCAACGATAGGAAATACCTCCTGAACAGTATCGCGGTTAGAATCTATATGGTAAATGACAAATGGTCTAGAGAGGGTCTCTCTAATGAGAAACGCTTGTTTGCCAATGCATGTAAAACATGTGTCAGAGTTGTCCTTCAGTCCAAGTTACCATTCCGTGATCTAGTCCTGGAGCGAAAAGGGAGACCTAGTTGTAAGTGCTTTCAAACTACACTGACAAAGACATTTGATCATTGACGGGGAATCAGTCTTCGTGCTAGATGACCGGACTAGCCTCAAGCAGGGTATGTTGATTGTTCATCTCCAGGGAAGTTCAAAGTCGACTAACGCCAAAATCATTATGTAGTACGAGACTGGGAGAAGGAATTTGGATTCGAAAAGGGTACACTTCGTGAGATATCTGAGGTAACGTGTCAATTTTCTGACATATTAAACAAAACACATTTTCATCCCAAGCTGGTGTGTTTTAGGCGGAACTCGCTGCATTTCAGGAACAAGCGGACACTCATGGAGGGGATGATGATGACAGTGATGACGACTTGGCTGACAGGATTGCACGCCTCGACGTGACGAATAAAAACTTGACATCGTCTTATGGAAACGATGGTAGAGCAGCACATTCTGGAGGCTCTCAGAGTGGTCGTCAGGACTTTGAAACATCTCAGGCTCCGTCTGGGGTTTCTGCACGCGGTCCGAGCCACTCAGGTTCGTCAAACCGTGAACAAAGATCTGGCCCGGAGCGCTCTCGAACCGGACAGACTCCTCAGCGCAAAGACAAAAGTACTATACCTTCTCGGAACCATCCACAATCATCTGTTGACCCACGGTTGACTGGTTCATCTGCCTCCTCGAACCTGGCTTCCTCGTCGCATTCTCGTACTCATGCGGAAACGTCCTATGACTATTCTGGCACCGACTACGCTCGTAGTTCTCAGGATAGCTCCCTTCTATCGTACTCGTCCACCCAAAAACAACGGTATCAGTCTTCTCAGACTGCACCTGCTCTGGGCTATTACCCTCGGGATTCTGCTCCTCAGCCTCCCGTTCTGCGATCTGATCGTTCTAGTGTGCAACCGCAAAGCTACTCTCATTCCGGGCAAGCTACTAATCGATATGATGTACGCTACTCAGGTGGACCCGTAGTTTCCTCCACGTCGTCTTCACATGACTCGCATGGGTCGGAATCGTCGCGAATGCTAGAGCAGCGCGGACCATTCGATACTTCACAGCCGGACATGTCTGGCGGTGCAGCCCTCTCACGTAGGGAAGACGACAACTTCTACGCTGGGCAACGGGATAACAGCTATGGCGATTCATACCGTTCTAATCTTCAGCCTTCTGGTTACACTCCAGCACCTCCTGTACCTCAGAATTACTCGGCATCAGCTCAATCTGTTCAAGGTTCCTATGCGCCCATGGTGCAGAGTCAAGGTCCAGGCCCGAATGTCTATGGCTGGTCACCGCCAGGACCTGGATATCTGGGCCCCAACCAATATCCTGACCCCAATCAATATCCCGGACCCAATCAATATCTTCAAGCCACCACCTCAGGTGCAAACCTTTATGGTCCGAATGCTATGGCACCAGCTGGGCCCTCTCCTTATGCTGTGAACCCTTCATTCCTTAACCCCGAGCAACAACGTCAACAACCGCCGGGTCCTCCTGGCCCTTCGTTTGTGCCACCGAGTCAGTATGATACAGGTTCTGTACCCGGGCCAGGTTTCTATCCTGGATCGTCGCAAGGCGATCCGCGTCGCCAAGGTCGGGAAGGCGGCGGTTCTGGATACCGACAAGGCTATTGACTTGACGTGACATAGTTCGATTTATCTCGGTCGCCTTACATGTCTTTATGCCAAACTCCTACTACCGACTTTACTTTTCTCCTTGACCTTTGCTACTTCTCAGTATCGATCATAGTGCTGACTATCACTCGACGTGTATAACATTTTGTATTATATGAATTCCTTTGGTAGACTTCAATAGCACTGTACGTTTCCTCCAGTTAATAATAGAATAAGACTTTGCCGTCGTTTACAGGTCATTAAAACATGTTGCAGAATTGGAGTCAGGAATTACGACAGATCTAAGCTACTGCTGGCCATGAACCGTTAAAGGTCATCAACGCAACTTATTCCGCCTCTTTTGGCTGCAATGAAAAGATATGTACAATACCACCTCGATGTGCCGCCACGCTACTCTTCTCTACTGTCATTTCCACTTTCGGACAATAGCGAAGGACAAACCCCGACATAGTTCAAATAAGGCAATTCCCGACGCTTAACCGTAGCTTTCCCCATAACTATGCAAGCTGTCCGTCTTCCAGCTCTTCGACACTCACTCCGTCCTGCATCAAAAGTCTCAACTGTGCCATGGCAACCATCCTGTCGATCATTTTCATCTTCCCCATCTCGTCTCAGCGATGATCCAAGCTCATCACAAACAGGGACCACCACCACACCTGACTCCGACTCCAGCGAGGCGAAGCAAAAAAAGCCAAATCGAAAAGGGGAGACTGTATCTGAAACGGAGGCAGAAGTAGAGGTCACACTTCCATTGCTGCAACGGCCTTTCGGTGTTAGAGACAGACCAACTACTGAGCCGAGGACATGGACGGACAACATGTTGAATCAGGAGGTTCGTATGGAGCAGAGACAGAAGCTGTACGTCTATTTCGCCTCGCTCTTTGCAATCCCAATGTGTAAGATAAGGTCGTCTAAGACATTGCTATTACTAGTGTGAGAGCCGCGACGAAAGGCTACTTCTCTGACTTGAACGCGACGCGAAAGCACGGCGGAAAGACATGGATTGCGCCGAGGGTACTTATTCGTGAAGACGTAAGTGAACTTTTATCCTGCGTTTGTGATATTCGTAATTGGGTTCTGAACGCTCTGCCTGTCAGAAAGCTCGATATTTCCCGGATATTTCTGGGACGCCATTAGACTCGAGTGAGAAGGCCCATACGACCTCACTCTGCGTAGGCAAAGTGTCTGTTATCTCTATGCTTTCGTCGAGAATGTCTGAGGTGCGTCATTTTCCCTCGTGTCTTGCGTGTAGGTTCGAGGATGCATTCAGCTTAATGACGGCGTAAATCCAAACAGCCATGTATGGTGAACCAACACACGCAACATATTGCTCAAACCCGCTGTACCAACATATCCGAATCAACCTTCAAGAAAATCTGCTGAAGTCGTTCCTAGTATCACTCTTTGCGAGTAACATTCGGAGGAACATACCTAAAGAGCAATGGGGAAAATACCTCATTAGTAGTCAGAATATGGAGTTCGTCCTCGTCGTCTTTTCTGCTACTGTTTTATTGATCCTCTCTCTTGTTACCTTCACTGACGATGATGCTTTGATCCAGTTACTTGCGAGACGACCTGGGTATGACGAACAAGCACATTGGATATGTCTACCTCGTGGACCAGGCATGTCGAATCCGATGGGCGGCTTGCGCCGACCCGAAACCTGAAGAGATCGAGGCTCTGAAGGCATGTACAGGTGTTTTGCTCAACCGACAAAAGTCATAGTTCATATGCCGGCACGCATACTGAATATGCAAGATATTTACTAGACAGGTATACTACGTTATATATCACATTGCTAATAAATGTGTAGATACAGGGATGCGCATATCCTTTTCATCGAATCCCAGCGACCTATGTCGACATATATATAAATCAGGTATAACAAAAATCAAGTGATACCCTCGTCGCCTCGGCCTCTAGTGCTCAACATCTCTCCCATGTTACTCGCCCTCCTCTTTTTCTTCCTCATCATCATAATCGTCTTCTTCGTCATATTCCTCGTCCTCATCCTCATCCTCGTCTTCGTCATATTCGTCCTCATCCTCATCAACCTCGACTTCGACCTGTACAAAGCGGAACGATGAAAATGACAATATCCGTAAATTCGCGAACGTGGTCGGAGTAAGTCATGCAACAAATTAAGTGTTAGTGCCACTGACACTTGCTCAGGTCCCGCATGTGAGTATCTTCCATGCCGGTACGCTAGTTGACACAGTAGGTGGATATCGTGAATGGGATGGATTTCGAGTACGTGTAGTAGCATCTCTGGAAATTCTCACAACTCACCAGTATGATCATAGAATACACTTTCCAAATCCCTGAATTCGAAAACGTGAGTCATATACCCTCTTTGATTGTTGAGTCAGATCGCCTCATATGGAGGCAAAGACCTAAACCATCGGAGAAGGAACAGTTGGCTATAGGTGTAGCTAAACTATCTCATCGACTATCTAAGTTGACCAGTGCACACCACCATCAAACAACGGATGGCAGCTTGGTACGAGTCTACTCTTCCTTCGAGCACTTTAAACCGTCTCATATCATTGTTAACCGTCAGCGAGCTCGGTATACTCGAAGGGCGTGAGTAGCTCAATCTTTCATCCTCTATACTATTCACTAACTCTGCTGTAGCACCTTTCTGTGCACTGGAGAAAACTTTGACGAGAAGGATGATCCGGAGCCTGGTTGTCTCTTCATCCAATCGGACGACAGAAGAGTAGTGGAAGTGGCAAACATCAAACGTCAAACCTCCGGTTCTTGCTTCAAAATCAGACTATCATGCTCTCCCGATGACCCATGCATCGTTATCTTCGACCTCTTTTTCACTCCTTCCGATGGTGATCGTTTCACCTCTGCGACCCTTAGGGCGATGTTTGCAACCGAGTTTGGTAAAATTGACATTCTTAGTGTGGATCCGCAAGATGAATGCACACAGTCCTCTACCGCATACCATGATAAGCCCCCGGGAGCCGTCACGAGCGCATCTTCAACCCACTCGCAAGATGGTGTTACAATCCAGGGGAACGCTATAGGCAGCTGGGCTAAATTTGAGATCAAGGAGGATGACAGCAAAGCCGAAAAACATGGACCGGGTCAGCAACATTCACTTTCCGTCATTCTATCGCCCTCGTTGGCCGGAAAGAAGATTTACATCGAGTTTCATGCCCGTGCACGCCTCCGGAAAAAAGGACAACATGTCAGGAGCACCGAAGAGTTATTGGTAGGATCCGAAAAGGAGCCACGCAAACGGGCTCTGCTCTTACCCGTTGCAATACAAGAAGAGTATACACCCGATCAGGAGTATGGCCGCGATCGCGACGACACGGGTGCAGAAAAGGGCAAACGGCTAGCTATTGGCAGTGGCAGTGGTGGCGGGGGAAAAGGATAACGATCAACAGGGATAGGGACAGGCGCAGTGGGTGGACCAACTGCTAGGTTGTTTCAGAATACATACGGAGGGAACGGTGGATTGAGTCCCCTTCAAAACTATGTGTCGATTGCTCGAGAGCGACAACGGGAAGAACCCTAGCGGAAGCACATTTTGAATAGACGTAGTGGATAAGATGGGCAGCTACGGGGATTAAGTTCTGAGTCAAATTCGACCTTCCTAGGCAAGATACTAGAGTTCAACCTGGAACGGTCCCCAAACGACAACCTTCGTAAGGGTCAATTGGGAGGTACGCCAAACAATATGCCGCGCAAGACACATGCTGGACATACCAGATATTTACTACACTATATATCACACTGCCAACAGATGTATAGATGCGCATACGTCAGATCATCCAATTGGGAGCCCACCTGCAATGCATACTATTTCCGTGTCTCAGAAGATCTCTCTGAGCAAAGCCCGCAAAACGCCTCCTGCTTTCGCTCTGTCTTTGGGGAAGATCCTCCCCGTCTGTAAGGTATAGTTCCGCATCTCGGGAAGAGACCGAAAGACTTTGACCCTCTTGCCGAGTCTTCGAGCATCGATGAGGTCATAGAGATTGACGTGGACGCGGGCGAGTGCCTGGACCAAATATACATGAGTATCAACAAGTTAATGCAGGATGAGGGGGTCATGCCTTTCGACACTGTTTGATGCTCGATGGGATGGGACTGATCCTGACCTCCTCACACAAGCTCTGCCATGCGTCTAAGCTCGTCTCGTCTACCCCGAATTGTTGATTGAACTCGCCCACCAAGCCGTCCTGCAGTCGATGGTATACTTTTCGACGTTTCTTAGGACCCCAGCTACGAACTGCGCACAACCTCTCGAATTCGGGCATGACGGGTTTAGACGCGTCATAGTCAAATTCGGGGTATGGCGCGAAGAAATCATATATCGTGAATTCCTCCTACAAGCTGAATGAGTACTGACCTCGAGCGCATAGACAGCAAGAGGGTTCAGGGCAACGTGAACTTACCGTTGCGGGCGACGCTCTTCGGTTTCGACGTCGCGTCATCTCGCGTCGTATGTGTTTGACTCTGTTGGCGGCAGGGTACGGGAGCTCGGGATTGGAGCCTACATAGAACTTCAGGGCAACGAGAGGGTATGTTCGTCAAGCCCCATACCCAAATGCATGTTGTTACTATATGTATAGAACGAGTTCTGGTCGTGGAACACACCTTACCTCGTGTTGTTCTTCTCCGAGGACATGAGGACCGGATTTTCCCACCTTCAAAGTTCCATAAGGACAACATGTGAGTGTAGAGAGCAACAAGCTGGTCATGTTGCTTACGTGGTTGACACGAAGCGAATCATGGCGGCATGTTCTGGATGGTCTACTCTGTATTCGTGGTCTGAATGACCTGATTTGGCTGAACGCTGTGAGAGCTGTCGAGTGTGGATGCGTATAAGAAGCAAGAAGACGTACGTCGTTTGTGAAATGATATGACAGTATATTCAAGAATATCCTGAGACCCCGGCTGAAGTGGTCGACTGTCGTGGTAGAACATTATTTAGAAAGTCCAACCCGAAATGGTACGCACATGACAGCAGAGGATGACCGTTTCGAGAAATCTGGCTTCGTTCTTCAGTGAGGTCACAGTAAGGTTTAAATTTGAATATACGATCGCTGAAGCGCAGAAAAATCGGTAGATCGAATAAGCAACTGGCTACATAGCCATCTTCTGTGGTTCAAATCTGAAGTCAAGCATCATGAGATTGAGCCTGCAGTTCACCGACGACTCGACGTGCGTCTCGGAGGATCAGACATATGCTGCAACAGTCCAACCAAGACGCCGCCCGCCTTCGCATCCTCCCTCGGAAAGAACTTCCCCTCTTCCTTCGTATATTTTCGTAGCGCTGCGAGACTCGGAAATTTCCTGATTTCTTGACCTCGTCTGCGGGCTTCAAGGAGATCAACAATGTTGACATGGATTTGCTTGACTTTCTACCATACCAGGGTCTTTCAATTAATAGTGCTCCATTGAAGGGACTCACGCCAATAATTACATACCTTATGGCATTCATCAACCGTGTTTGGAATAGGGTCTATCTCGAGAAGTCCACAGAGGCCCCACCAGGATGGCAAATCGTGTGCATCCGTACCGAAGAAATCATTGAAATCTAGCACCATCGCTGATTTTAAGCGGGGATGGACAACTTCAAGGTCGTCATCACGAAGGTGAAGCTGTTCGACCATCCTACGGAACTCCTCCATTATGGCCTTTTCCGGTTGATGGTCAAAGGCTGGGTACTGCCTGAAGAACTCGTCTATGTGCGACCGGGTATGCGTAGACTTAGAGTCAGTCCCTTTGTTAGGCCCCTCCTAGCGATGCGTATGGAATGAATTGCAGAAAGCTTTACACGTCTAGAACTAACCTTTTTATCAGTTTCACCAGCGGCCGATTTATCCTTAACGAGATCTTTTGTCTTCGTCTTCTTTGCATCAGTACGACAAGAGGCTAAACCTGGCACAGACTCTTTCTAACGACGCACATTCGATCAATTACACAATGACCTTAAGCGTATACGACTAACCTTTTGACCGGTAAGCGATTCGTCCTTAACGAGACCTTTTGTCTTCGCCTTCTTCGCATAAGCACGACAAAAGACCAAACCAGGCGAACGAGCATAACAACATCGAGGCAGGTACCCAAGTCCGGTATGCATATCAAAGAAACTTACTGGTCGTCTACCGTTGGAGTAAAAGGAGAGAGGTTGAGGACTGGTCAAAGATACGATGGGAATCCATGCACACAGTACATAAGCCTCGAGGGACGGGCGTGTATGGAAGGAGAGAGGAGATGACCCCAACATGGCGCGAAAGGCGAGAGGCGCAGCCAGTATGACTTCCGTGAGGGCAGTGAAGTGCACTGGGGTGGTAGGGAAACGGGGAACATGATTCCAACTGCATGATATGATTCGCATGAGATATTGAGTTGAGGGTGTCTTGCATGAATCGGTAGATTGGCAAAACGCACGCGAATGGACAGTGAAGCTAAGTTAGCAAGCAGGGAGAAACCTGAGAAGCAGTCAGAGCGCTCAAATGGGGCAGACCTGCATGATTTCATTTCAGATTGAGCTAACAAACTGGAGCCTCATGAGTAGATACGAAGAACTCACTGATTGCCACTTCACTTTCTCCAATCCGCAAGAAAGAAAGGAAAAAGTCGGCCATTTTGGCTGTTATGTTTAATCGAGCGCGTTCTTACACGAATAAAGCCTAAAGCATGCATAAGTAGACATGAGTAACGTAAGATTGTCAAAATCTAATAGAGGTGAGGTAAGGAGGGAGGGGAGGGGTAGGGTGTGGGGGTATATTGGGATGAGAAAAATGCTTCTAGCCTGAGTCGAAATGCAAAAAGAACGTGTGGTAAGTAATATAAGTATCCATCGGATGAGAGCGTCCCCAGAAACATAAACAGCGCAGCAGTCATCCAGTGCATGTGTAACGTATCATGTGTGACCATGAAAGCGCATCGTCGCAAAGAGGGTGGGCGGGGTTCAAGCGGATCCAAGAAGAGAATACAATTTTGGATTTGCGATTTTCGCAGAGAGTTCAAGAGGAAAGTGCAAAAACCGACATCTAATAGTGCTAAGAATGTTCCTGTGTTCTCGTCACGATCGAAAAGAAAAATGTAAAAGGTAGTAACCGTTTTATATTACTTTCCGCCAGATGTCTTGAATAGGATGAGACCGCCCAACGCGATAGAGTAACCTACAAAACAGAGTTGACGTCAGTTGCAATATTCGATATACGGCATTGGAGCGCAAATGGGGATGAGAAGGACGGAAGTGTGGCGTAGGGGCGATTGAGGGGAGAGATGGAAGACATACCAATAATCTGTAGCGGCGTGATAGAGCTACCAAAGATAAGGACAGACCCGGTGATGAGCAAGATGTCTTTGAAGACACCAGCAAGGGTGAGGACGAGACCGCTTCCTGCACTGACGAGGAAGACAGCTGCGACATTGAGCATGAACGCTACCATGGCATTGCTCAGAAGAATGAGAGGCCTGATGGTACGGATTGTGTTTTATTAGACGATGTGGGAAAAATAAAATAGCAAGAAGTGGCCGGATGACGTACCCAATCCGCATCACCTCCATGAATGGCGCGAGACCCTCTGTGAAGGGAAGGATGGCCAGATTGATAAGAGCACACACGGGGGCGTAGTAGTGCAATGACACGAGAGGGTCCATCTTCATGCCATGGAGAAGGATCTGGATCATGACCAGGCGAGAAGCCTCGAACTACATAGATGGTTGAGGGACATGTATGAAAGTCAGAAAATGACATAGATAGACGTACGGCAACGGCAGCGGCCTGGGTCAAGAAACCAATGAGATTGAACTTCAGTTCGCCCTTCGAGGCAAGGGCGACGCCAGAAGAGATCATGAACACGATGACAGCCAGTTTCTTACTCGGCTCCTGAATACGGAACGTCCAAGAGATAAGTAAGATTGCGACGGGTGTAAATGCTTTGAGCATCTGAATATAGGCGACACTAAGGTAGAGATAAGCGGTGTTGCTAAGAATCAGGGATGCGCTGAATAGGAGGCCGATGGGTAGGATAGAGCGGAGGAACACGTCCTTGGAGATGTTGACCTCCTTTGCGCCATCTAACAGGTTGGTTGTACGCTGAAGGACTCGAGTACCGATTGCCTGTAACCCACAGGGCAATCAATGAGAATCATATTGATCATGAATGTATTGAATGCGCGACAGCTTCAATTTCATCATGTCGGGACTTACCGCGAAAGTCAAATGCCAAGTAACCAAAAACACAGGGAAGCGGAACTGCATAGTGTTGTACAGATAGTTGTTATAGATGATGACCGACGAGCTGAGGACAATCCATATCGGAATGATGACAGTGGTCGAAAGCTTCGGCTTGCCAGCAGGCTTAGGTGCAGCAGAGGAGACAGGGGACGGAAGGACGTCCCCCTCGGAGGGTTTCTCGCTCACTTGGAGCATTTGTTGTCGCTCCTCGTCGTTGTGGTTGAGAGGAGACATAATGAAGTCTTTCTCGGAGGTGGCGGAGGTTTGGGCAGACATGTCGAATGCTGGAAGAAATTGACAGGATGACAAGGGTGGGGATGATAAGGAGTTTGAAGCGTTCGGAAGCTGATCAAACAAGGCGTAAAAGAAGTGGGTTTAGAGAGCGACAAGGGTGGGATGGGAAGCAGAGCTCAACCGAAGGCGGCGAGGAGGATGAATATCTACGGACGCGGATGAAAGAGGGGGTTCAAGAACGGCCTCCGTGCTTCTCCTTCGTTTTGTCCCCTTCGTATGTTCCCACGTTTCCTGGCTCACTCCTTGATAACTAACTCACGGTCTCACTTCACCGACCAACTCGTATATCTCTCTTTTATTGTCGTTGCCAGGAACTCAGATGTATCTATATCTTCATCTTGTTCGTTAATCAGGTTTTGTTCAGGTGTTTCACACGGCGGGTTACAAGGCTGGATACGTTCGCCGTCTCCTGTTTCTGCGGTTCATCGTGCATTTCGTCTCTCGTCCACTGCGCTGCCCTGTCAAATACCGACAAACCGGCATCTATGATGTCAGTTATTGAACGTTCTGACGTTGAGCGCAACGCGCCTACACTCAGCATAAGGCATTCCATACAGCACTGGACATCACGGCCGTGTTTGCATCAGGAGCTCGGCGATCAGGTCAACTCAAAATGTGACAGGAATGTGGGTTACCTCCTAACCCGTAAAACCTAAACTACAGTCCGAGGTTCACTTTTGTTCGGTGACTGTGTCCGAAAAGAAAAAGCAGGCAAGCCTGTTCCCTCTCTCATCGAACCTACCATGTCAGGCACACGTCTTCAAACTTCGTCTTCACGAGATGTATCCTGGCTTACCAGATACAACACCGCATATGTCCTGGATCTCGGATACAAACTCCGGCCTATAGATCTTATACTATGTGCAGTGCTCCTAGGAAAATTTCGCCTTTTGTCCAAACGTCGTCAACTCTTGATCCAAAGTGCGTTGCAATCATCTAATCAGTATTCTTTCTCCAGATTCATCGAAGCCTCATGCTAGGTTGCCTTGGATCACCTACTCACTAGTTTTTCATGATAAGACAATAGAATGAGTTACACCGTTGAATCATCGCGCGATCCTCAAGCGTTTCTTCTCAGACCCGAGAGTCATTCGCACCATGCGACCGTCGAGACGAGTGGCCTTTCCTATTTTTTTCCAATCATCGAGGCTTGAACATCAATCAGACTTCATTATGTCTAGCACCCATAAATGGGGGTTAAGTTGATTGAATTGGCTACCCCCTTGAAAATCTTTCCTTCCATGTTCACAGTGCTCTCTCGTCCCATCCGTACACCAACACTCACTTTGTTCAAAGAGCAATGGCCACCTCAAGGACTCCTGACTTCGTAAGTCCCTTTAATATTGAAGCCTACCTTGTTGAATATAACTGACCGGGGCGGTTTGGTCGTAGAACAAGCCGCTTTACGCTCCTCTGGCAGAGAGACGTAGAAGTTGACGAGCAGGGCTACGATGGAAGCAAATGGTTCGATCCTCACTAACAAGCACTCCGAGGGTCTTCCTGCCGCTCGGTACTATGGTGGCAACGAGTACGTCGATGAACTGGAAGTTTTGTGCCAGAAAGGTGCCCTTCGGGCCTTCCACCTGGAGCCTTCACAGTGGGATGTCAACGTCCAGCCTTATTCCGGCAGTGTAAGTGCAGTCATATTACGTCTAGTTACGTTTCAACTAAGGCTGGATTTCATAGACTGCCAAATAGGCGCAAAGTATTCCTCGACGTTGTCATAATACCTGACCTTTTGATCATAGCTTCGCTGCCCTCCATCCTCAGGACCGTTTCATAGGTCCCGGTCTATCTACCTGATGGTGGCCATTTGACCCACGGTTACTACGTATATCTGTCCAAAATCATGCACACATATCCGTAACTGACTTGACGTTCGACAGACGACCAAAAAGAAGATGACTGCGTCTTCAATCTATTTTCAATCCCTCCCTTCCCTTACGGCCTCGACCCTGCGACCCGGCTTATTGACTACAATGGTATCAAGTCGTCAGCTAAGATCTATAAGCCCCGTCTCATCATCATCTGTGGTGCTTCCGCTTACCCCCGTGACAGGGACTGCAAAACTCTCCACGCAATGGCCGATGAGCGTGGTGCCTACTTAATGGCAGACATTGCTCATATCAGTGGTCTCGTTGCTGCTGGTGAACAGCCAAATCCCTTCGAATACTGCGATGTTGTCACCACCACTACGTACGCATTTCACCATATTTCATTGGTTGGTGCGATGCTGATCACAGTTCCTCGGCAGTCACAAGACCCTTCGTGATCCTCGTGCCAGTTTGACCTTGAAGGTTAGTGAGAACGCTAAGGATTTCCGAAAAGCGTGTCAACGACGCTGTCTTCTCTGCTTGCCAGGGGGGATCCCCACAACAACATATGTGTTCACTTTCGATAACATCTGTCACCACATGTTGAGGTTTTTTTTTCTTTTAGATTATTGCTGGTATCGCTACTGCTCTTCTCCAGACAAGTCGGCCAACATGGAAAGCGTGTACCAAGCAGGTCATCGCCAATTCTCGGTAAGGGTGGGTACTGACAACCGTCTTGTTGTCTGGAATCTCCGACCCCTCGGTTTGACCTGTAGCAAGTTCGAGAATCTTTGTGACCTTGTCGGTATCACAATCAACAGTACGTTGCTTTATTTCTTCGTCTCGCTGTCCCCGTCGCTCATTCAGTGAATTTTTCAGAAAACGCTGTTTCTGGTAACGCTTCCGCTCAAGTTTCCGGTGATATCCGTCTCGGTACATCGGCCTCGACTTCTCATGACATGCTTGAGGCCGACATGAGGATTGTCGCTGACTTCCTCCTCCGCACCGTTCAACTAACTTGCCCTTGTTTTCCAAAAGGAAGCTGGCAGTAAGCTGCTCAAGGACTTCGTCCGTGTCGCTACTGTTGAACAGGAGGGCAAGGAGGGTGCTCAAAAGGTGAAGCAGCTCCGTCGTGATGTCCGTGAATTCGCTCGACGATGGCCACTTCCTGGCATTGAGGAGGACGAGTAAGCATCGCGCGTGTCGTCCATTTTACACCGGATGTTATAGGGGTGTGGTTCACTCATTGTGATGCTTTTTTCTTTCGTTTCGGTGGCTTTGGAAGGGGTTACACCCCTTTTTCGTTCTGGTGGAGTAGAGTGACTCAACGTCCTAGTTTCAACCATTCAACTGTGCTCTTCGTAGATGTAAATTTAGTCGTACATTCAACGTAGTCTGGCCCTAGCCCGGATGTCTAACGTTGTAACAGCCATCTAGAGCCGTATCATTTAGTCTGTATTCATAGCCAGCATACTCATGGTGTTCAACCAGAAATTGCGAGATTTCCATTGGATTTCGAAGTTCTCGCGTTGGCGCTTCCCCCTGGCTACGTGCGGTTGATTCGAACGAAGAATCTCCTAGAATCTCCTATCGATCCTTCATCGTCGTCAAAGTTGCTCCCGCCCTTGAGTGAGCGGGACTCTCGTCGCCAAGAACATTAGGCATAGGTGAGGCAAGTTTTGCAGGAAAACACGCCAGCAGCCTCATTGTTTTCGCAAGCCATGCATTTAGCTCCACGCGTCGCATAATACGACTAAAGTAGAGCCATTCTCATAAGGGTAAACCACAACTGCGACCCACTTTTGACTTCCCAACGAACAGATACAAAGGCATTTGCCATTCAAGGGACTATATAGTACAAAGAGATGGGGCGATTCGAGGAAAAGAAATCTGAGACTACGTGAGTATGATGTCCTTCGCACAAACGTTCTACAAAAAAATTACGAAAAAAAACTAGAAGGCGGCCAGGTATATAGCATCGCGGGCGAGAGGGGATGCCTCCTCCCATCCCCTCAACTCCTCCTCCTTTTCCAATACAAGTAAGTCATCATCATCATCCCCGAGTGTTGAAGGTGAAAGAGGTGGAGTGGAGGATGGGGTGGACGGTGGAGTGAACTCGTCGACGTCGATGAAGGTGTACTCCAGCCACGGAAGCTGGAGCGCGTGCAGGACGAAATCGTCCTCCTCGTCCTCATCCTCGTAGAGCGACGGGGCCGTTGCTGTGGTCGGCCGCGACACCGCAGGCGTTGCGGAGTGAGCTAGATTGCATGGAGGTACCTGCCTGTGTGCCGACGTTGGCTCTCTCTGTAATGACTGTGGTTGCGCCACCAGATTCGGGTAGGCAACCACTCTGTCCACAAGTATATTTGTACTGATGCCACCATATGTGGCATCGGTGGACCGGAGGGGCCGATGGGGAGGAGGAATGTGGATAGTGTCCATAGGGTTGTACAAGGCGAGGGACGCCTTCCCCGGGACATAGAGGCTGGTGGGAATGGGACCGGGCGCGAAGTGGGTAGGACCGACGGTTTGTTCCTCGCTACCCCCAAAGGGGTCGAAGCAGAAGGAGGATGAGGATGAGGGAGGTGGTGGCCATTTGGACGCCTCGTTTACTGCGGAGGGTCGGATGGGCTTCTGGGCGAACGCCCATCGTGATCTCTCCCTCGCGATATACACCCCGTAGGGCGTGTGGCGTTCGTCCGAGACCGAACGCTCTTCAGACACCAGGGTCTCGCCGACGGAGCTCGTGTCACGCTGCTCCCACTTGGGAGCATCTACATGCTTAGCCTTCATGGAGGTTTGTGTCAGTTGGTGTTCTCTACATGTGTGTGTGGCCATAACTCACCATATAGGCAGCCAAGTCAGTGGACGATGGGGTGGATTGAGTGGAAACAGCCATTCGCGGCGTAAGGTTGTTGATGGATTTGGAGAAGTGTGGTAGATGGGACCACAAAGGTGGTAGAAGCTTGGCTGAAGAGAAGCGGTGAGTGCAAGTTCTCTCGTACGAGGGAAGGGTTATCAAGTGGCGGGTGCAGAATGAGGTGCAGATGGGGGGCGCAAGTACCCTCCTCCTTTTATCTTACGATTAACGCCATTCACGTCGCGACTCATGTGACCGCGAGTAATTCCATTGTCCTCCATTGTTTTACAAGGTTTCGCTTAGCGTGCGATAATAGGTTTATGGGATAGAATCAACTTCCCCGAAGAACATTTCCGTTTCAATACCAGCGGAAGTACATCTAAGATCCTCAGCACTCTTTGACCCTCCCATCTTTTCCGACGCTCGGACCTATGTTTCGTGAGTTTTACCCGGCTACTTCACATGTAAGTGTCTCAATCATTGAGTCACCTTGATCACTCGGCAGGTAAACCCTATTACGCCCTCCTCCACAGAACGTTCCCTCTTCATACACTTCTGACGACCAGGCTGATAAACCATATGCACCCTCTCCTCCGTCTGTTACTTCCGTCAGGGTTTTCCGTGAACTTGGTTCAGGGCGTAATACAATTTTCTTGGCTATCCACGTTTCCACAATCTCATCTTCCTTGGAAATGATACAGTATGGCGAATGTTCCTGTGAGTCCTTCCGTCCAGTCTATCTTCGCCACATTTATTCGCCAACAGCTCGTTGCGCTCTCTCGCTCATGGTCTGAATGTCCATCCGGCCTATCTTTACCATGTGTATTCGCTAACGTTTCTCCGCACGCACACCTCTTGATCAAAATATTCGGTACTAATGACAGTCCTAGGGCCGAAGTTGGAGGTCCGACGCTCGAATTCAAATTGTCGTCCGGTTGTTTTGGTGGTCGTTGGACAACAATTTTCTTTACGCCTGCTGGATGCCGTCGCCTACGGAAGACAAACTATCAAGAATTTCCATACACTGGTATCAGTTTTATGCGCAGGTCAAATGGAGGTGGATAAACACAGTTTACATGAACGTTGTGGTGCCTGTGGTAGAAACGATCAGACGAGATATCCTGAGGCAGACGGCTGCGTCTCTGTCTACTCTACCTCAGGGAGACTAGTAGAGAAGCCGTTGACTCGACTCGTGTACGGTTCATAAAGCGAGATGATCGACATTCTTCTTATGCTCTATTTTAAGTCACAGCGTTGTGTCCTGCGAAGTCAAACAAATCTGCATGTTTACATTGCTTGTCTGGGCTTGGCCTGAAGCAGAGGGACAGCTTGCAAGCATGCTATTGGCAGTGCCTCTGGCCAACTTGCCTACTCAGATGGAACTTGCTGGAGCTTTGAAGCGCTCAATGACTCTCGACCGCCACGTCAACGTCGAACGATGGCTCTGTCCCCAACAGACCTTGTTCAGTGTTTCTATATGCTCAGTCTGATAGACTGCGAGCCTGATATACTTCTCTAAGCCCCTCAATGTGCTCCCGTAAATTTTCTAAGCTGGACTTTCTCTCACGTAAGTATTTACCGTCTCTAAGCTATCGACGTCGACTTTCTGCACTCTTCTTTGAGTTTTCACTGACTACTGTACAGTTGCTTTAGAATTCGGAAATAATCTATCAACCTTCTACGGCACTAATGGGGTAGTGGTAACCTGGGTCGTTGCCATTGATTGGCTGGAGAATAAATGTCGACCCGCCGGGGGTTCAATTCCCTCTTAGTGCATGTACGTCGACCTGCTCACTTTTACTTTTTCCTGCGGCTTTTCGGCTACATTGACATACTGTACCGCATAATGGTAGCCTTCCTGCCGGTCGAGACATTGAATGATGTCCTATTTACACGAAGCTAGTAGAAGGCGACAAAGTGCGTCTTCCGGACGTTACAACAACAATAAGTATTTCAAACATACAGTGAGATTCTGCGAGTGCAGTCCATACAATTACTAGCACACTGGACTTTTCGTACCCTACCATGCCTTGTTTATTCGTTCTGATACTGTAGTATTGATCGGTCAACCCAACACCGCCGGAAACGAGCTTACGAGCTGGAAGCGTCACAATTGAAATCAAGCTATTCCATCCGAAAGCCAATCACTAATCAGTCTCTCGTCCACTTCATAAATATCCACAGCAATCCAAAGACGCACCTGATCAACACTCTGGATGTTCTTACAAACAAATGTCGCATTCCCATCAGGCGAACTCAAATTTGTCCCGGTAGCAGTGATATTTGTACATTGAGCTGAACATTCTATGTCGACGACGACGGTGCCTTCGGAACCGGAGGAGGTGCCGGTTATGTTGATGTCTACAAGTTCGTATGCCGGCATGGAGGTCAGGGGAATTAAGAGAGCGAACGGCAAGCCGGAAATGAGACGTACAGTGAACATCGGATATGGTCACGGTGCTTGGGAATTCAGCGCATATGTCTGGGTCGGTCGAGTAGCACTACACAACCAAGAGAGATAATCATTAGCATTATGGTCTAAATGTGAGTCGAACTTGCTACGGGTGGGGAAGGCTTACTTGGTCAATGAGGATAGGGTTCGCGACGTTTGTTACTACAATCAATCGAACCCAATCACCAATTATGAGATACGAAGGACGGCGGGGATACGCGTTCGAGGAGACATACCATGAAAGTTCTCAAAAGTTACATTCTGAACAAACCCAGTCCCTCCTCCGGCAGTGCTATCTAAAAATACGCCAATGTGTATAACTTCACTGGTGTTCAGGGGAAAGTTGAACTTACTAGGGTTGGGCGAACCGCCAAAAACCTTGATCCTAGCGCCGTTTTGCGCGTTATTCATGACGATGTCTTTTACTGAGACGTTCGCTACTATATCTGTCTCCCCAGCATACTACAATCGTAAGAGGAATTGTAAGTATTCACACATTGAATTGAGTTTTGCCTAAGCTGAGCACTGGCGAAGGGGAGCGAGTAGCGGAAGAGAAGACTAACCTGACCGAGACTACCAACTGAGATCCCATGTGACCCATTGCAATGCATGTTGTTAACGAGAATGTTGGTGCTATTTGGTTTGAATGCTATGTGTCCCAAATTCATTCAACATTTCAACTTGACCATAGAGTTGGCCGTGAGAAGGTTGAAAGTTGAACGGACGTACAGACACAATCGTCGTCATTGTTCACAGTAGAATCTTGGATGGTTACGAATGAAGACCTGTAGATGTCCCATCCATCTGTGACAAAGATAAGACATGGTAAGAGGCGAGAAAAGGCAAACGGTATCTGGGTCGCACCTGAGTTGGCAGTGGGGCTGCTTGAGTAGGACACCGTGCTGATGCTGAGATAAAAGATGAGAAGACGACAAGGAGAACTAGCGCATATGCATACTTGATGTTCTTATAGGTAATGTTCGTACTTTGATAGACGAACTAACAAAAAGAAAAAAAGCGTCGATATAGCAAGGTTTAATAAGACAGGTGCTCTGCTGCGTAGGAAGCGTACTTACATTGTTCTTTGCAGAAACGTGAGCGTCGCAATTTCACATATCAGCAACGAAACACGTACCCAGAAAGGGGATCCGATCTGTGTAATATTTTCTACAAGCACATTGCTAGCATTCCCAACAGTAAGGGGGATTGGCCGAGCGAAGGTCGTTGAGGAGCCTCCAGCAGTACCAGCGTTCTGACGATTATACGCATCAATCAAACTCAGCTTCATAGGGCAGCACGATTGACCTACGTGAGTATTGTTGAACGTGTCCCACCAGACTTGGCCATTGCCGTCAATCGTTCCACCGCCGTAGAGATGAATGTTATTTCCAGACAGGAACCAGAATGTCGTGCTAGCGTAATGGGACATGTCAGTGTACCAATTCATTGTTTGTTTCATCAAGGCTTACGCATTCTGATAGGTCAGGAACAAACTTTGAGGTGACCATTTGGCAATATCCGGAGTATACTGCACTGTGTTTTACATGCACCCATCAGCGTGGCCTATGTATTATAATAATCCTTCCGTATATACGCACGCGTTCCGCTCAAGTCGATCTCGACATCATCCAAGCCATCAGTAAGAAGCAAAGTGTCGACGACATAGTACTTGTCAAGTGTTATTCTGCCGTTCTTTGCACAACGTTTGAAGGCGGCGAGGATGTTAGGTCCGTCGTCCTGACCTCCACCTAGGTTCTTGACGTCACATGTCAACCTCGCAACGGCAGTAGAGAGAAGGGCAGCTAAAACGAGTCTGAGAGAATACATTATGAGAAAACTTCGGGGGGTATAAGTAGGAAAGTGAACTCACTTGGACACCGCTACCTGCAGAGATTATATATGTGCGTTCGATGCACCTCTCACTGACACCGACCATCACGGACCGACGGTTACCTTAGAATGCCCTACCATGATGTTGTTGAGGAGTGTGCAGCTGTCCGGAGGGCACCCGCGGTCCGGGCCAGTGAACCAAAAATACTAGTGGGCGGAGATGGGGAAATGTGTGCTATCGTGTTCTAAAATGTCGCCTGTCATCAGAGAATGTCTGTTGTTCTGTGATCTCTAATTCATATGAGAGACCAGAGTCGCGGGTCGATTAAGAAGTAGGTACTGTCATTGAGAGGCCTGCAAAACGGATGATTGCAAGTTGGGAGGATGGCGGACCCTGATCGGCACTGATCGAGGTCAGGCGACGCGTCCTCTCACGTGAGCGTATTATAAGACCTCAGTCACCCTGCAAGCGCGAGAGGGACCCGGAGGACACCCGCGCTCATCGTGAGCAACGTCCATCTCGAAGAACATTGTTCCTCCACGACGTTCTCGCCCGTTGCTCGCATAATTTCACGAGCATGGCCAGCTTGCAGGGATACGTTGATCGTCAGTAACATCTTGGTCTCAGAAATTTCATAGAAAAGCTCATAAGTCTTCGTCATAGATCGAGTTCTTCTCATCCTTCAGGACGGCCGTGCTATTGTGGTATGTTCCTTGGGACCGTCAGCTGATGATTGTCGTTTGTATAACTAAGTGTATTCTTGCTTTGATGTTCTAGGGCGTGATGGCTGGCTTTGACCAGAAGTCGAATGTCGTCTTGTCAGACTCCAAGGAACGCGTTTACAGCACGGACGAAGGTGTTGAAGAGATCCCCTTAGGGCTTTATCTCGTAAAAGGGGACCAAATGTGCGTTCTTCCTCCCTTTCTGCTATGCTTTCTTTTGTTAACGGTTCTTTCATTTATAAAGTGTTCTCATCGGAGAGCTGGACGAGGCACTCGACCAATCCGTCGATCTATCCACCGTCCGCGCAGAACCTCTCCCACCGATCCGGTACTAAGAAATCCAAGAAATCTAAGAAAACCGTCACCCCCCCTCTATGTGTTGCGTCACAGCTTCGCCTTATGCGCTTCGCAATATTCGGTCGGGCCCTTCTCCACGCCTTCCCTAATCTGTATTGCGCCTTTGCATTATCCACCTTCGGGAGAGGAGGATTTAACTATCTACTTCTGGTATCTGCTACTCTTGGCGCGGGAATACAGGAAGTTGTAGAACGGAATGTGGGCGTGGAGGAGTGTTTTCATTCGAGCTTTGGGTTTCGACTGTGCAAATATTTCATGTGTACGTACCGTACCTTTGGAGTTCGGGTACTAATATTATGGAGGTTGTTGTTCATCTTTCGTTAAGGTGTATCGTCTTAGCGTCTTTGCGCACTTGTCTTGTGCCATTATGTCATTCGTTGTAAGGCGGTATTCGAGTTTTTCACCTCTTGGTCGGAATACTTCGCATACCTTTGTTTTCCGGGCGAAACCATTCATTCTGGAGGTGAGGGAAAGGCTGTCCCTTATATTTCCGTGCCTCAGTGTAAGTCACGGATTTGTCTCTGCTACAGTGCTGACGATCTCGAGCACTCCAGTGTTCCAAATTTTATGTGGACCCGTGGATACGTGCCTGGTCCGTCATTGTAAAGGTGCGTTCTTCAACGGGTACTCTTCGGGGCGTTCATGAAAGATCTTTCTTGACGACTTACAGTCCCTGACATCCTATTACCTTAACCCTTATTGGTCATGAAATCCAGCTCTGAATTTGTCTAATAAAAACAAAAGGACTGACGCGACATACGAGATTTGTGGGACATCCGGACGCTCTAATTGATTTGTCTCCAATCCGAGTCGTCTGTCCTCATAGTCACGATTTCCAACAACCGGAGTTTCTCGAATATGGGTGGCGTCCATCCTGTCACTTCCTCGGATAGGATAAAGAGAACTACCGCGAAGGATCCTTTTTATTCCTACAGGGATTGTTCTTTGTGGCTGCCCTGCCACAAGCGACAATGAAACTCCGCTCCACCCAAAATTGGGGACGTCACCTGAGCACCTGTTCGTTTGTAAACCTACCCTCTCGCAATCACACTCGCTTCTTTCGTCTTAGACCAAACACACTGTGGCCGGCCTACGAACCTTTCCTTCTCTTTTCGTCTTGATTTTCAGAGTCAAGACGCGTTTTTGACTGTGGACTGTGAGTTACACGTTCTTCTTAACTCTAGGTACGTACTTCGTTGGCCCTCTCCTTTGTTGTCGATGTTTGACAGTGTGTTATTTGGGTTTTTACGGTTCCCAGCCTCGAACCTCCCTTTTCTTTTGGGGAAACCTCTTTTGACCTCCCGCTAATGTGTGACTCACTAGCAACCGCTTTCTCCCGTCTCCAGGTATGATACTCTACCTCCATCTTTACCTGCATTTCAATCCGTTTCTCATCAACCCCGTCTTCATATTCACTCTCTGTCTTTGTAACTCACATTCTCTCCACTCAGATCGATGACAAGAAGTCCAAATTGCAGAAAGAGAAACATAAACGCCGCAAGTCCCATACCATTCCAAGTCTCAAGGAAGAGCTAGTGCCGAGTTTGAAACCGCCTTCCATCAAGGTCTCTCATCGGATGTCTAAATGGAAAAGGGAGTCATTGGGGTCATCTTCCTCCACGAGTTCGAGCTCACATTCGGGTTGTGAGGGAGAGTTCTGGATGTTGGACCTTTGACGGAAGGGTTGCATGCCAACTTTTATATCTTGTATCTTCTGAATCCTTGTGCGCAACTATACTCACGTTCCAACACATCATTTCTAGTTCAAGTACATTATGGTTCTAGTCTAAGTGACACTCTAATACATGTATCCTGCTTCTCAGTGTCAACTATTCCTGGACGTCGTTCACATGGCTGCGTGACTACTATATCCAATTGACAAATGATTCTTTGACGGCTGTACCGGAATTCGTCCGGCATATTATCCATGGTTGACTTTGACTTCAGTATCCAACTGCGACGTCTGCGCACCTTTCCTTTCGTATTTGTTTCCTCCTCACAAGCGGAAGCTGCAAGCTGAATTCACTGGGGCCATCGTTCTAGAATGCTTGCCTTTTCGGTTGCAGACTGTGCTGTAGGCGCTCATGTATGCCAGTGTTCGCGTACAGCACTGGCCCCTGTAGGCTGCCAGTGCCTTTGACGCGGTCGGATTACCCTGTTCGAGCTCTCTTCCTCTGTACGACCCACCCGGGCCCACTCTTTTACCCTCTCTGACCGCTCTCCTTGCCTACGCTGATACTGAGGACATCTTCCGGAGTATCAAACTGACTGACGCACTTCCTGCGCACTCTACCACCGGCCCCACCCATCTGACTTTCTTGGAGGTTCTTTACGTTAGAACAAGCCCAACACATGCGCGTTTGATAAGCCTCTTTTAGTTCGTGTTTGTGTCTGGACTCGACGCTTCAAAAGTACATAAGCTATAATACCCCTCTTATCGACATACCCTCGACGTCAACGGTTAAACGCACGATCGTCTGGGCTTCTTTGCTATGCCGCCACCTCGAAGTTGGACGTCTCCCCCTACAAGGCGAGAGATAACGTTGCTTTTGTTCTCTTTCACAATATTTGTGCTGTCGTACAATTTGGAGACGTCGTTACGAGTCGTTGGAGTTAGTCCGACAAAGTTGAATGCTGGCTATCTCTCCACGCTTGGTATGCAGTGTCTGATACTTCACTATGGTCTATGATGACCTCGAGGATTCACGATTTATTGTTCATATTCTTAGGTTTTGGAAGCAAAGACCCTGGACTAGAACCTGACGGACGTAGACCGGTTGAATGGCGAGACGAACTGGAGAAGTTGATAGTTGGAGAATGGGAGTGGAAACAAGGTCAGATAGCTTCTGTGGAACATGCACAGGAGAGCCTCTTCCTCAAACCGTTGCCTGAGAGTGGAGAAGTTTCGACGTATATCTATAAAGCGGGCGCAGGCAAGACGGCTTCTAGGAGTGCAACGCGGGAAGCGATTGGTGTTGGGTTGACGAAGGGTGTTTCGATTGGCGAGCAATTTGTGAGATGGGGAGAGAGGATCCCGGAGACGAGGGCGTTGGTTCATGTCCCAGGTGAGTATTTCGTATTTTCGTATTACGTCTGGGTGTGCGGTCAAAACTGACCGGTGCATATAGGATACACTATCTTTGAGAATTTGTTCGTTTTGAATGGAACTTTCTACCTTGTTGCGGACAAACCTTCGTCACTGCCTCCCCTTGGGTCGATTGCTTCGTCTTTGACTGATCGGTCGCAAGCACCTACTCCTAAAGATTGGCGAATCATCAGCAAAGAAGAAGCCTCAACCCTCTTCGGCTCCTTTGGTGGCAGGTACGCCTCCACTCTTCATATTCTTCAATAGCATAGCATTGCATCGCTTACCACACTCATACAGAATATTTGGAACCAGTTGGTTAACCACAGACCCAGCGGACGCTCAAGATCCATATACGCTCTTCTCTCTCTATCGTACACACAGCTCGTTGCTTTCCCCTCACTCATCTGGCGCTTTCACGTCATCGTCTGGTTTGCGGATCATTCCTGCAGGCACGACAGGTATCGATAACGTTTCGCCTCCTGTACGACTTATCTTCCCTTCTGTACCATCATTCTCCAGTCCAGGTTTACCGCCAGCAGACGCTAACCCGAAGACACACCCTCCATTGAGAATCAAATCATACAATGGTGCGTACTTCCTCTCATCTCTCATTGAAGCTTCACTATGCTTGCAAACTGTTAACATGCCTTTTCGTCGGAATCAGGATTACATCCTCATTTGCTGAAGGCAGTCTTTCCTACCATGGGCATCCTGTACTCCGAAGACTGGAAAGACTACGTCGACATGCACGTTGCGTACATGTATGATCGCATCATTGTCGCAGATAGCGGAGCAGCCGAACGCGGTCGCGAACAGTGGACAGTGGGTTGGATCCCTCCTGCCCCCAAGAAAAGTGGCAATAACGGTGAACTTCGTCGACGGGATGAAGAATTCCAAGTGTCTGACACCCGGGAAGACGTAGAAGCTAGGAGGAGGGCAGAGGAGGATCAAGCAGGGAAACCCGTTTGGGCAGCACCTTTCGTTGGCCTTAACGCGCCTGATGATTGGTGGACGCCTGTTCGCGAAGCTTTGCTCTCGTACTTGCGACTTCCTTCCGATTTCGAAAGCAGCAACAAACAAACGAAGACCCTATCGACTCCTCCATCGAGGACACCTATCCTTACATACGTTTCTATGCAAATGGAAGCTGCGAGTGCGGGACCGAGGTTGAGGACTGAAGATCATGCAGCGCTTTTGAGAGGTTTGAGGAAGTTGGAGAAGGACGGTGTGTTGGGTGGTGTCAATGTTGTTCGTGGGAATGGGAGTATGGATGTTTGGGAGGATAGGATGAGTGCAATCGCTCAGTCTTCTGTAAGTCCGATTAACTTCGCCGTTGCATCCATTTGCTGATAACTGTCATCCCAATTTTCGTATACAGATCGTGATTGGTCCCTATGGTCCTCATCTCGCCGACAGCGTATTCATGCCCGCCCCTCTTCCTTCATCACCATCACAAGAAGGCCACCAGTCCATCGCTCCAGTGCTCATGGAGTTCTTCCCTCCGGGAATGTTCAGAAGAGATCAAGAATATGCCGTACGGTCATTAGGTTCACGATACATCGCATGGTGGAATGAACGGTAAAGTCATCTCACTCCTGCTCACACACATAGTCGATGAAAATTAAGCTTGTTCTTTTTGTTTTTGCATCACATGTAGGAAATTCGCGGGAAACTCTCTGCCGCCGGTTATGGGCTTCTCTAATGAGAGGCTACCGCATTTGAATGGGGTAGAGATAAGTTTGGATACTGATGTGGTCATTCAAGCGATCCGGGAAGAAGCGAGGCGCATAGGTTATAGAGAACGTAAAAAGTGAGGTTTGTTGTTGATGGACAGTTCGGGATTATTGTATAGGGTAGAGCTTCTTATAGAGCATAATGGGACCTAATTTATTAGGATAGCACTTTGAGGCTTGAGCTGAGAGCTCGTCACTGAACGGCCGACCTTGGACTCCGCAAAAGGCAAGTTTAATGATGCTCCAATACAACAATGCCAAACAAACTCCAAAGGCAAACTCGCATAGCTCGAAAAGAAAGATGATGAACTACACTGGCATCCATGGTTATCATGATTGAGCCCTGCGGGTTTGTATTTGTCTGGTTATTGTGAATAAACACTCCCTCTGTTGCAAAGGACACACGGAGATGAGTTCTCTCTTCCCAGGCACTCAGTTTCCCACCGACTTTGATCCCGATTCCCGATGGCCCGCGCTCATCACAGTCGCTTGTCAGGATGCACGTGAATGATATGTATAACACGACAGGACCCCTGCTAATCCCCCTCAAGGTCTTAGGCTGGCACGCCCGAATTTTGCGACTTTGGTGAGGGGTCTCTCAGGCCGGATGCCCGAAATTTCGTCACTTTGACCTCCGATCCTATGTGCCATTGATGCCCGAAACGTGAAGGTTCTGTGGTAAACTTTGAGGCGGGATGCCCGAATTTCGAGGGTTTCTGATGCTCTTCGTGACGTCGTGGGCTATGATTGGGTATCGAAGGGAAAAAATGATGGGGATCCTCCTGGAAATGCCAAAACTATGCAGGAAAAGTGGTTTTGGTTGGCATAACCGCCGAAAATGGGCAGCAGAATGGAGAGCACCTGTTAAGCGCCTAGAATGTCTCATGCGCCGCAGGCCCGAAAACTGACAACATTTGGAAACCCTACAGGCCGGATGCCCGAAAAGTGGTCAAAACGGCCCAAACCCCCATGCCCGAAATTGACCACTCTTGGCATAAGACCTTTGGGGGCATTAGCAGGGGTCCTAACACGACGCGTCGAGATCACCGCGTCTTGTTGGTTGACCGTTGACGTGTTCTTCTAACATCCAAGCAAGCACTCGAACTCTGAGACCCATGCCCAATTCTGACACTGATTCTGACACTTTCGCTGACGATGATCCCATACATTTGGATGATGGCGTTCTAGCGATTTTGGATGGAGCCACGTCCTACGCGTCTTCTGAAGCCAGTCTACCTATTGGGTCGTCCGAGCCTGACGCGTCAGAAGACGAGCACAAGCCGATAATCTCAAAGAACAAAACTATGAAGTTGTCTTCTATTGAAGCGGAGGTCGACGAAGAGGGCTTCCCTTTAATGTCCTTGACACAAGAGGAGGCGTCTGTGTTGAAGGCCGTTGAAGAAGAGTATCAGCTGTCTCAAGCACCCAAGCGCGAGTCCCCGGTTGAAGACTATGACTTGCGCTGGTTCGGATCTCAACTGGGGGGAAAGCGTCAGCGGCCTATCGTTCGGAGTCAATTCAAAGAGCCTGCTCCCGTTCGGGGCCTTTCCAGTTCGAATATTGTAAGTGAAGTCAGTAGGGTCTGCGATCCTGTATTGAACGACTTTACTAGGGTGTGCCCTCCCAGCAGCGTGTCAAATTCGAAGCTATGTCTCAAGTTGACAACAATATTCTGGTCATAGCTGATGACGAGACATCGGAAGTCCCTTTCAAACGCCCTGCGCCAATAATAAAGCGAGCTAGACCATCCGTTGCATCTGAACCGGTGGAGGTCATCGAGATACTCTCTTCCGACGAAGAAGACAAAAAGCCCTTGTTGCTCGGGTTAGACCGAGATATGCAGACAAAGGCTGGATCACGCAAGGCAAGTGAACCCCCGGCTAAGAGGCGGAAATTAGATTTGTTATCAACATCGAAATCCGGTACCGCTATTGAGGTAAAAGACGCTGGCAATGAGCAACTTCGAAAGGCGATTCTGGTATGTGCTCTGACGGCCTTCTAACATGTGGGAGTGAATATATATATTTTGCCACTGTAGACACAGCCAATGAATCGGCCAGTCCAACCAGCGATGGCTCGGCAATCCTTAACTCAGGCGACATCCTCTGCAAGGTCAAGTTTTTCTCTGTCTGCCATGGTTGCCCTTTGGAAGGACGCGGACGCCTTGGACGAAGAGTCTGAGCCAGAGGACGCCGACCCACCTTTACATGAGGAGAAGAATAAGACTGAGTCGACACCGGCATCTCCGACCCAGGTGAGACGGCCTTACCTTTGTCTTCAAGGTCATCAAAGCTGATGTTACTCCTTTCAGTTCAACAGCAGCGCAACAGTCGCGCTGCCTTCTGCAACCCCGCTACTGGATAAGTTCTTCTCACAGTATCCAACATTCGATTACAAACCAAGTGCTCCTGCCGGTGTGGAATTTGCTCGGCTTAGCCAAGCGCAAGGCTGGAGGCAGGGAGATTGGAGGGGAAAGGAAGCGAGGGAGGACTTTGAAACCGTCATGATCAAGCAATTTAACGCGATCTATGGCTTAGACGAAAATAGTCTCGAAGCTTGGCAATTCATGTTAAATGTTCTCCGTGTGGAGCCCATCCCGACAACATTGGACGAATGCAAGGCAGTGAGCTTGATTCCTAACCTACGCGAGTACTCGATGTGACGATTTACTGTTCAGGTCATCAGCACGATCCATGTCAACTTAGTTGACCTTGTGGACGTCCATCGCTCTGGGGAACCCGTACATCTATTTGCTAATTTGGCTCAACTTCGAGCTTATACTCGCGGCCCGAAGGTATTTCGTCTGCAACGGGCCCTTGAAGGTGGCATCATCAAATTTCTACTTCGTAGAATTCGGCGGTAAAGACTGTAATGTGGTTATTATGAATACATACATATCCTTCATTGCATTTTCACACGTATCCCACCCCCATCAAAAGTTCACAATTTGTCCAATATGGGTCACTGGCGGAGATATGTGTACGGTGCAAGTCGGGATTTGGCCAACGTCCATCAAATCTGCATTAGCTTTCTTGTGTTAATCTGACTCCTCAGGTCCACGCACAAAGTTTCGATGCGCGTCCTCGAGACTCCTCATCCGGAACAGTAACATCTTTTGACTGCTGTCGTATTGAATCTGGCGAGTCGTCTCTGTTGTTGGACTACACTGACTACATAAGGAAGTAACAACGAGGGTGTTGCATAACAAGACCAAATAGGATCACTTTCTCCTGTCATCACTGAATCGTTCCACTCTCCATACGTTGGTTCAAAACCGTGATGGTGAATTATACTTCTCGTACGCCATTCCGATATGATAACCATATCAGAATTGCGTACGAGTATGAAAGTGTGCATTCAGATCTCACGGAGATGAGCGCGGGCACTGCCCGCGCGGCGCGCTCATCAAACTCGCTTAAGAGAATGCACGTGGACCGTGTAATACGACGCGTCAAACCGCGACGCGACTTTGCTTTTGACATGTTCATTCCGGGACCACTTGACTTTTGCTTTATCTACTCCTAGACCATGGACGATTCCGACTCTGGCTCTGATCTTTTCGATGATGACTTGATACTTGATGAGGAGACTTTAGCAATCATCGACCGAGCGAGCAGCGCGTATCCTTCTTCGGAAGCAAGCTTTCCAGTCTCTTCCGAGCCTGCAGACTCCGACTGCGATGATGCATTCTCAGATCCAAACAATGTCGATGGTGTACATGTGGGCTCTGATCCCGTTGCGCCCTCGGAAGCTTCGGTTGACAACGAGGACGAGGATGAATATGACGCGTTTCCTTTCTGAGGAAGAGAATGAGTACCTGCTTGCGGAGGAACGGAAGCATCAAACTTCGCAAGCACACGAGGCTCCAGGGCGCGCCGCGTCAGAACATCCTGCTGAATCCTTAGTAGATGAAGGATCATGTGACGATATTTCGGTTCGTACAAAGTGCTCACAACGGACAGTAGAGTCAAATGACTCCCACCAGTCAGATGAGGTGAGGGGGTAAACCAGCTGCGCCTTCTTTTACTTACTTGGTGCTTTAGGAAATGTTTCTAGCTGTTGAATGTCCTCAGGCAATTCTACATGCTTCCGCTGCTTCCTATTCGCTCAAGGAATTGGATTCAATCAAGAAATTGCGCAAAGCAACTGTCGCGGTCGATCCTACCGACGTCATCGTCATATCATCTGATGACGAGGATGACGAGGACAAGTCACTTGCTCTCGCGCTGACAATCAAGAAACGGAATGGCATAAACCCGACACAATCAAGCCAGCCGCCAACCAAGAGACGCAAATTGAACTCCCTTGCCGAACACGAACGGAGGTTAGCAAATATTGAAGCCGCCATTCTGAAAAAGACGGCAGCCGACGCAGTTCAGGAAACGATCGTCGTGCGTACCCGCAATTTATTACCAATGACGACGTTTCAGAGATATCGACCTGCATTCTAGGTCCAATGCCCGCCTTGCGTTTTCGGAAGGAGTAGGATTCCGTCTTCACCTGTTCCTCGTGTCCTGCATGCAAAGAACACCGGAAAGCCAAATCTTCCAGTGGACGTTGCCTCCAAATCCCGATCGGTGTCATACTGTCGCAGCACTCAGTTACCCTCCTCAGAGAGTGATGATTCGTCATCCGAGTCATCTTCGGACGAGTCTGACAACCTCCTTGCGTTGCCGAATACAGTGAGACCATTTTATGTGTTCCAGAAAGGTGGAGTTGATGCGGAACCTTTCCAGGCTGTTCGTCCTTCACGCGTCGGGAAATCAGATGCTGGCAAGCCCTCCGTCCTTGCAAGATATCCCTTGGACAAGTTCTTCTCGCAATTCCCTACATTCAGGTATCGACCCGATGCACCCGTCAATGATGAGTTCAATCGCCTTCGCATACATGAAGGTTGGAAGCCTCGGAGTCGCATGAGTACAGCCATGTACACGAAGTTCAGAGAAGCTCTGGTGGATGAATTTAATGACAGGTATGGGAAGGACGAGAATAGGATCGAATCATGGCAACTTCTTTGCACTATGCTTCGCATTGATCCTATTCCAACAACCCTCTGGAAATGTAGAGAGGTTAGTCCGCTCATCGCTGTTTCAGCTTACTTGTACATGACGGATGTTGTACACAGGTTGTCCGTTCGACACATGTCAACCTGGTTGACTTGCTCGACGTGTATCGTACGGGCGAAGATGTGGAGATCTTCGAGGATTTGGAGGGCTTGCAGGATTACACTATGGAGACCACCAAATTCTTCCCACTACAAACTGCGAAAGCTGGAGGCGTTCTGAAATCTTTGTTACGCAAGATCTTGTCGTGAAAGGGGTTTTGTGACACGCCCACATTATTAATAAGACGACATAATTCATATTGCAATCGTTGTGTTTAGTGTCAGCTAGAAACTCGAGGCATACAAAGACGAAGCAATGCTCAGGGCTCTCGATGTGAGCCACTGACTTGCAAACTAGAAGACCAAAGTATCAATAGGGATAACACTCTGAGCAGATCGCGGCACGTGCACTGCAACACAAAACACAACAGAACACAACGCGTCTGTATTCGGTGGGAGTACCTAGTAGATAGACGCGCCAGGTTGACAAGCACCTCCCATGGCGAGGCCATGGATAATTCTGACACTACTTCTAACCTTCTCGACGATGATATACTTGACTGGAATACTATAGCAATTATTGACTCGGCCGCCAGCAGCTATGGCTCAGGCTTTCAAGCTAGTCTTCCAATACCTTCACAGCTTGATGATGAAGTTGCAAGCTTGAAGTCAAATAGAAGCGATGGTTCATTGGTAGATCCTCAGGTTCTACCCCCAGAGCTTGCAAATAATGGTGATACTCGCGCTTTTAGAGAAAACGCGTCTCCTGCATTCATAGATAGCGAAGGCGGGTACGTGCATACCTTGATGAGTCCTAATGTACAAACGATACTAATTGTGCCTTGAAGCCTCACTGATCCCGAAAGGCGAGGCTCACGAGCCTCGAGTCACTTCTATTTTGGACGCGCAACTCTACCAGGGGGGACAGCCATGTCCCCCAAATCTTCAAAATAAAGTGAGATATGGTGATCCTGCGTGCTCATCTCAAGTGTTAGATGTGGTGAGTGAATGTAGTGATGCTGGTTTTTGGCAGCTTTTCCTGATTCTTTTAGGCCAAAATGGTATCAACTTGTGTAAAATCAGAAATGCTATCTCAGCATTTCCCTTCAACACGGGCCTCTTCGAATTCGCAAGAATCGCTGACGCGTACAGACTCAGCCGCGGGGTCGACTATTTCCTCAAATGCATCAGAAGGTCAACAACTGTCTAGTGTTCCGCCTTTGCAAAAGCGAAGCTTCACAGCGTCGAACGCGGAAAGCCAGGGTACCTCCAAACGCCGCAAGGTGTTTTCAACAGAAGCAGTTGAACGGAGATTGACCAATATTCACATTGGCCTTCAGCAAAGAGAAGAGGACGACTTTCAGAGACCGATAGTGGTGCGTAGGGTGACCATAATATTTGAATTGCAGTGATCTCCATGAAGGCAAAGCGTTGCAGGTTCAATGTCTGTTCGATGATGTCCCGGGAAGACGTCTATTACCATTATCGATCAATGAACTCCAATACGCGCGAAGCGTGGAAGAATCCATTGCTTTTTCTGCTAGCAATCCCGGGGAGATTAAGAGCGTGGAAAGCAAAAATGCCGATCAGAAGCCGGAGCGGGAAGTAAGGAACTTCACTTTCCCGTTTTACTATTCTAAAACTCTTTATGCAGACTACCGGGGTCTGCGACCGTCCATGTCCTATCTGTGCACCTCCCTTTGCTCCCTCTACCAAGATTGACCGATTCCTCTCTCAATTTCCGGGGTTCAAGTATAAGCAATATGTTCCTGCTGGTCAGGAGTTTAAACGCTTGCAGCAGTTTTACGGCAGACGGTGGTCACAGCAGAGGCATCGACAGGTTTCCGAGCAATTCAGGAATATCATGGTTGAGCAATTCAATGACGATTACGGTGTGGACGAGAATAGGCTCCAGTCCTGGCAATACCTGTGTGCCGTACTCTGCGTGTGGCCAATACCTGACACGGTCTCTGAATGCAGAGAGGTCTGTAATCTTTCTGTACCAGTGGTGTATGCTCTCAACTGAACATTATGCTTTCAGGTTATCCGTTCAATATACGTCAACCTTGTTGATTTACTCGAATATCATCGTTCAGGTCGACCTGTACCCACCTTCACCACACTTTCCCAATTGCAGCATTACACCAAAGCCACCAGAAAATTCTTCCCTAGAGAAGAAGCCAAAGCGGGCGGCATTCTTAAGTTCTTGTTGCGTCACATCTTCTAGCTCTAGAGATACCAGTGTGGAACAGGTATTATTAACACTTGATGCAACCATTAGCTTAGCTTGCTTCGGATACAGATTTGGTTACCTCGGTTGTCTTATTTACACGGACCTCATCATTCAACACTTTGTACTGTATCGAAGGGTTCCTCTCGTTTACCGTCCCCTTCCATACCCCAATCTAACCCAGAAATTCACCCGCGAGCATATCTATCGTTTTCTACCGGCTGGAGGAATTGCTCATGTCGTTGGCGACTTCGCGTCTTCACTTAGTGGCAAGCGAAACTCAGACTATAAATGTTGTCTATCTAAGCCATCAGTATGAACATGTTTTTGAGTCCCAGCGGCATGACGGAGATCTTGATGGAGATCATTAGGGCCACTTGAAAGTGGAAAGATTTCAATTATAATTCCGACAGTTGAACTTCTTCCTTCTGAAGGTCCTCAATTTCATTCCTTCTCACCCATCGTCAATTGTATCGGCCGTACGTATAATAGGATTCCACCAGGCAATTCAATCTCCTGTACATCAACTCCATGACAAGGTGACGAGTATTTCTCGAACGCAAGCCCTGATGCCAGTGTACTGATAGTCAAAGCTACTAGTCAAGAGGAGCTACCTCCCGCTCCCTCCCACAAGTTGCCACTTCCTAACGTTGCGTGTGGCCGCGACGACGTTGCTCCTTGGGACCCATCACAGATTCCCGTATACGGCTATGGCTACGTCCTCGATGACAAGTGGCTCATCGACTTTCACGCCAACGAAATCAAGGGTCAAGATAATGCATTACCCATTAAGAAGACTCTGTCCGCTGTGTCGTTGATATCGAGACGCCTACGGGCCATGGGTACTTATTTTGTTCTCATCAAGGAGGAGCCTAGGGAATGGGCTTGGTGTTTCGTTTCTGGTTTGAACTTCAACAAGAAGAGAGCGTTGGATAGAATGCGCATCGAGAAACTCAAACGCGTTATCGGCACTGATGAAGAGCCGAAGTGGTATCCTGTCCACTGTTCTGGCGACTGTTGAGACACCAGTTCTTAAGCCTCCGGACACATCGTGAGTTTGATCAGCTTGGCTACAGTCTTAAACTCACCGTTGATTAGCTTCATTCTACGCTCTTAGGTGGACGATAGCCCATCCATCGATCCAACCTTGTATCTTGATACCCCGTCTTCTCCGGCCGTCCCTTGCATGCTAATTTACTACCCTGTGTCATTGCAGGAGTTCGGTGTATACTTATAAAGATAGGCTCTATATTCACCTGTCAATGATTCGCATGAATGAATCGTCTATTCCTGCGGTACTTCTCACCAAGGATGACGAAGGAGTTACAACACAACATTTGTAAACTTCGTGTGTTCAGCTAGATGGATTGGCTGTTACGGCTTCCTTACCCGCCGATCTTGCGCATTCATTTTCATGATATGTAGTAAGTGAAACTTAGACTTCAAGAGATCGTTCACTTAGGTTGCGGTGGCAGATATCCAGTAGTTGGCTAGTGCGGAGAATAACCGCTTACCCAGAATTCATATCTATCCGTGTGCAATAACAACATGTTTTCAGGTTTTCATGGACCAGGCGTAGCCAATAGCACTAGAAGATACTCTGAAGACACTGCTTATATTCTTATGAAAGATTCGTCGTGTTCATTACATACATCGTCTAATCCGTTAACTTGGCCCCACACATACTACTAATCAATTCAACTCCTTAAATCCTCAGTTGACTTGCCTACGCCACCGTCGCTCCAACACCTAGTCCCGTTTTGGAATTTTCCTTTTCTTCGAAGACGAGGCAGCATTCGCGTTTTCATCCTCCTGAAGTCTGGCAGTGCCTGGGTATTCGACTTCTTCCGGCTTCTCCAGAGCAAGCGAGAGCCAAGGCTTGTCTGAACTCCGCAGGTATCGGCGGATGTAATTCAAACGTTGATTGGAAGCAACGGAGCCCATTCTCATAAGTAGAGAGGTTATGTCAGAGCCGTGCAAATCTTCCCACTCAGTCTCGAGTTGAGCTTCTTCCTCGAAAGGTGGAGCACATAGCGGATGAACCCAGGGTCTGTATGTCTCATCTACCTCGGCAACGGCTATTGGATCATCTCCATAGGGATCCGAGTCCTCACCAGCCAAGTCCTCGAGGGGTACTTGATTTACGTTGACTACAACCTTGGTGCGTGCATGCGAGCCTCCAGATCTAACGCGATTTCGACTAATTCCGGCAAGCTCTTCAGGGACGTCGCGCTGATACCGGTTAAGCCATTCACTGGCATCTACAGCATCAGGGAGGTCGGGATGGTCACGTTCCACCACTCGATAACACCAATAGTCACCAACGAGGGCAACGAGGATGATCTCCTGTTGGTACTGGTAAACGTAAAAACAGATGCTGGCCTGAGAAAGAAGATGCTGGAAAGCCTTGTCGCAAGATGTCGTGATAGCATCGTATCGAAGGTCCCGTGTCCGCATTTCCGGCTTGAAGGGTCTCCGCTTCGCTTCGAACAGAATAGGAATGCTGAAGCCTTGCAAAAGGGCGACATCTTCCACCCAGGATTCAAGGGTCAACGGTTTAGCAGGTTTACCCTCGTGATGGTATAAAAGTGAAGTTTTCAAAGGTGGGTTATCTTCCACGATTTTATGCCCAAGACCAGCAATCTCCCGTTCTAAGGGCGTCCTCTCACGATTTGGAACGTATAGGCAGGCGGCGTCTGGAATCACGACACATTGAGGTGCGACGCAGCTGGTCAAGGCGTCGGAGGGGATTGATCGGTGCCGCTGAGCAGTTGGTTGGACCATTGGGCTGTCGGCAGCGGGCTCGTCAAGCTCGTCATCGTCAACTACAAGCTTGAATTGCGGATGCATCAGGAAATTGGTAGTGCCAGAGACGAAATAATCGCCGAAGTCTATGGCTAGTCCGTAATCCAGATGCTCGTAGTTGTGCCTGTTGATCCAACGATTGCTGCCAATCTTTGCATGCAGGATCGATCTCAAGTGTCTTTTCAAACGCTCATCGTGATTGAGATCGCCCGGTAGAGAATTGAAGGCGTCCATGATGTCGATACCGATTGGCCTACCTTAAGAAAAGGGACAACGGTTTAGTCGATAGAACTTGGGAAGAAAATTATTGCAATCCGACCTGGACTTTACAGACAAAAGAGTTGCAGAAACAGCGAGGGGACCGACGGTGCTATTTATACTGTATCCTCTCGTGTGTGACGGAGAATTACGACCGCGTACCACATCACGAAGTAAATTGACGTCCAGAACAGAACAATAGTGCCGACGGAACCGTTACTTAACGCATTCAGAGAACAATGGACATTAACGACCAATGGAATGACAACGGAACTCTTGACTTTGTATTCTTATTGGCGTCTGCACATGGTCATCATTGTCGATCCCGTGTGATAATCGGAGCCGGAATCTATGACCGTGTATTCCAGTTCCGCATGGTTGAGTATAAAGCCAGGCAGGGTTGAAACAACAGAACGCTCACCTCATTCGACACACAGAAACTAGTTGTCCGCCAAGACATCGTATTCGATAACATCCCGGACGTTAACGTCAAGTACTAAACCTTCCATCTTTAGGCCACCTTACGTGCTTACGTAAGACATAGGACAGAGACGCTAACAACCAACCAAGTACATCAACCTCGTTTCTCCATGACAAGGTAAAATGCCGAGTATCTCTCGAATGTAAGCCATGTTGTACTGACAATGAGAGCTGCTATTAGTCGACAGGAGTTACCTCCGCCTCCCTCCCACAAGCTGCCACTTCCCAAAGTCGTCTCAGGCCTCGACGACGTCGCTCCTTGGGACCCGTCACAGATCCCGGTATACGGCTATGGCTACGTCCTCGACGACAAGTGGCTCATGAACTTCCACGCCAATGAAGTTAAGGGTCAAGATGATTTATTACCCGCTGTTAAGGCTCTGTCTGCTATGAAGTTGATATCGAGGCGTCTACGGGCGATGACTTATTTCGTTCTCATCAAGGAGGAGCCCAGGGAATGGGCTTGCTGTTTTGTTTCTGGTTTGAATTTCAAAAAGAGGAGGGCGTTGGATAGAACGCGCATCGAGAAACTCAAACGCGTTATCGGCACGGATGAAGAGCCGAAGTGGTATCCTGTCCACTGTTCTGACGACTATTGAGATACCAGTATTTGCGGCCTAGACACGTCGTGAGTCCAATTAATGTGGTAATACGGTCTCAATCTCACTGTTAATTAGCTTCATTCTACGTTCTTAGGTGGACGATAACCCATCCATCGATCCGACCTTGTACCCCGATACCCCGTCTTCTCTGGCTGTCCTTTGCATGCTAATTTGCTATTTTGTGTTCTTGAAGGAGTTCGATGTATACTTATAATGACAGGCTCTATATTCACCTGTCAATGATTCGCGCGAATAAAACGTCTATTCCTGCCGTACTTCTTACCAAGGATGATGAAAGAGGCACAACAAGTCTACCGCGCAAAATGAAGTCATATTGAAGGTTCCGTGCTTCAGCACTCAACTTAGGGTGCCATTGAGCTTAAGAGTATCCTCGGTACAGACGATGAGCGCAAGTGGTACCCCATCCAGCCCGGACACTACTGAGACCGGCGTGCCAACATTGCCTCTAATATTAGGACGCTTGTTGTACATCTGATCCGTACCAGTACTGTTGTTCACTGATGTCTTTCTTCTTCAGCATAGGAGTCGAATGTGGCTCGTGCGATTTCAAGGATCAAGCCGAGAACTTACCCGTTTCTTCATTATAACGTCGCTGTTGTCATCCTCATCTTCCATATGTTCATGCATATCTCGAATGATTCTTGATTTGCTGCGCTTTCGTTGCCATTCACTCTTTGTTTGCATTCGTCTATGCTGGAATTCATATGTCATATTTTGCATACAAGACGTGGAGTAAGGTATATCATACATGAAATTGACCCTGTACCTAAAACACAAGACATAGTACAACCACGACCAGTGAAGTGGCGTGAAAGATACAGTTTGAACGTGAGGGTCGTGACAAGGTGTGATATGAATGAAAACGCACACGGCTCTACCGAGATAAAAATACAATAAAAATCTTATGCTTGAGACGAATAAGATAGGATGCGTGTGATGCGTGTGATGTATGTCACAGATGAGTGTATGAATGCAATGCGAGGGACCATGACGATGAGTGTGAGGCGATGGGATAAAGGGATAAAACCCAAGGAAAACACAGTGAGAGAAACAAAAAGAACAGCGTCAAGCTATGAAGAAAGCCGCTGACTTTTAGGAAGACGATGGCAAGACAGCGGCGAACAACTTGCCAGGCGAAAACCATCCCCTCAAAGGCGACCGCAGTCTGCGTCTCCTCCGGACTTCACCAGCACCTCGACCTCGACCCTGCTCACGAGCAGTACAGATGGATATCGATGTGCTCAAAGTCCAATGTGTGGAGAATTGGCCGTGGATTTGAGGCGTCTGGGTCTGGGTGGAAGGATTCGAAGATGAAGGAGTCGGAGGAGGGGGTTTGGTGCCGTTGGCGGTGGTAGCGCTCGATGCAGGAGGAGCAGGAGAGGGTTCACGACTTTTCTTGAAGCCGCCAAGTCCCATCGAACTCAGACTGAGGCTGAGAAAGCTCGAAGCGGTGCGTCGAACACTGTTTCCCTTGTCGTCTCGCGTTGCAGCGGTTGAGGGTCCAGCAGCAGAAGCGGCAACGGCGCGAGACTTCCTTTCGATAGTCCTTTCCCGAGGTTTGCGACTAGGTCGCCTGGACCGTGAGCGCGAAGACCTCGAGAGGGCTGGATAATGAATGGGAGGCGATGGAGGAGGTCGAATTGGCAAAGGTGCCGGCGAAGTTGGTGAGGTCAACTTGAAATCGAGATCGAGATCAGTTGACGTGAAAAACGACCAGCTCTCGTCCGTTAGAGTGAGACCGCTGTCACGGTTCAACGTTCGCGAAGTGGGAGCACAAGAAGAAGAAGGGTATGCGGAGAGTGAGAACGAAGGTGCTGTAAACGATGACGTTCCATCGACGTTGGCCAGAGCAGGATCAGTGGTAAGGAAGGAGTACGTTGCAGCTTCTCGCCTTGCCTCAGCCTCGTGGTATCGATACGAACCGTCTCGGATAGTGGGAGCAGGTATAGGGATCGGCTGAGATGGTTCCGGCATCGACACAGGTTGAGCGGACGATGACGGTAGTGGGAGGAAACTCAGACCGAGGATGGGTGACTCGGGTCTCGCAGGAGGAACTGTAATGTCACCATCAGTTGGGGTTGGAATAGATGGGATGATCGACATCCTATTCTCGTTGGGTATCGCAGAAGTCGGCGTAGTTGCAACGATGGACATTCTGCTTGGATCTTCCCCTATAGCAACACCGGTGGCGATGGTGGTCGTAGTCGATATGACAGACATCCGATGATCTTGGGTCGTGTTCTCCACAGCTTCGTCAGGCGTAGAGTAGGAGTATTCGTACTCGGAGTACGTGTACGTGAACTCCATTCCGACATCAGTCATACCCTCCTCCGGTCCGAAACTCCTAGCCAAACTCATCCTGACGTCGTCTTCAGACTCATCCTCGCTGCTGTCCGTCGATGAGTCATAAAACGAATCGCCGTAGCCAGCGTCTCGTCGAGGAATCGGAAGAGGTTGCTGGTCCAGAGGAGACTTCGCCGACAGAGGCATAGGAATGGGAATCAACTCATCGTCGCTACCCATCCAGAAGCCCATGTTCTCCATCTCAATAGCAGTCCTCATCTCTTCTTCTATCTCATCCCCGTCGCGCCCCATGAGCATGGTAGTGCTGTCGAACGGGGAGTTGGGCTGTATGCGAGCGAATGGAGAACGAGTAACTGCATGAGTAGCAAAAGGCGAAACACCAGAACGAAGGGTATAAGGCGACCTGGAAACAAGCGTCGTGCGCGACGCGGGGGTGAGATTTTGTTCGAACCCTGAGCCAACTCCCGCACCAGTACCCAAGTTCGTATCGAGACGAAGTCTCACACGTCCAGCCATCGAAGTCGCAGGTGGAGTAACAGGTGGTTCGGGAGTACCTGATGAATACTCGCTACCGCTGGATGATGGCGAAGGCCTAGAGAATACGAGAGGTCGAGACGATCGTGATCGAGAGATGGTGAAGTGGACAGACGTTGGGGTTTGGGACCTCGGGGTCAAAGGTGTCGGTACCCAAGAGAGCTGGGCCGGTCGGTGATGAGGAGCAAACACCATCTCGGAGTCTCCGTCTGTTGAGCTACTCCAATGTGAAGTAGGACTGGAACCTTGCCAAGCAGCGGTATCTACTTGAGGTTCGGTCTGCCATGCTTCGAGCTTGGCAGGATCGACTTCTTCTACCTGCACGTCTTCCTCGTGCTGCTCTGGCTCCTCAGGTCCACGCACGAAACTTCCATGTTCATCCTCATCGTCAGACTCCTCCTCAGGAGCTGGACCACTCTCGACCTCCCAACCACATCGAGCCATACCGCCTTCGAATACGACGTCAGGACTGTAGAACTCTCTGATGGAAGAAATTCGTCGCTTCAAGCCCTCGAATCCACCCGGAAGTCGCTGGCTGGGGTTCAGGCTGAGAAGTCCGCCAGAAGCGTCTCGACCGGAAAATGAGCCGACGAGTGCATCGTTCACTTCCCGAGAGATAGGAAGAACGGACATAAGGAATGTTTGAGGCTCGCGGCAATAGGCTTGGAATGTAGGGTCCGTCGGTGAAGCGGACTTCCAGGGGTTACGGCCTGTAATGAGGTTTAGGAGGATGATCCCGAGTGAGAAAAGGTCAGAATGCGCGGGCGAATAGCCGGCAAGCGTAGATGTAGCAGTGGAAGTCAAAGAGGAGGACGGCGAAGCAGGACCGTGACACTCTACATTGAACGCGGACATCAGTATGGAATGACAAAGACAGGAGACTGTAAGACGAACCAGGAGACATGTGGTAGACACTACCGGTTCTGAATTCCTTACTCCAGATGTCCCGAGTAGCAAGGCCAAAATCGGTCAGAGCAACCCGCATCTCCTGAGAGTTCCTGCGACGGGCCTTGACATCCTCGTCAGTGTCCCAACAGAGAATGTTCTCCGGCTTCAAGTCACGATGATAAACGCCACGGTCGTGGCATCGCTCAACAGCCTCGATCAGTTGCAAAAACACGTTTCGAATGCGCTCTCCGTGCCCAAGAAAAGCCCTCTTGTGAAGAATTTGCGTGAACAGGTCACCACCCGGTGCAAGATCCATAATGATGTAGGTGTGTTGCGAGATAGGGTCAACAACGGACTTATGGAGAGTGATGATGTTTGGATGAGGCGGACTCGAAGCAAGAGTGTGAAGATGCGTCTCATGCAGATGAGGGTCCCGAGTCCGATGCCGTGAAAGGGTCGACGATGAGGGTCGTTTGGCAGGAAGACATTTCACAGCGTATGATGGTGGATTCGCGGTAGAATACATGGTGGGGATCGCACGATAGACGATGCCGTATCCGCCGTAGCCAAGGATCTCGACAAGCTGGAGGGTACCATTATCGATGTATGTACCGACTGGTGGTGGTGAAGGTGAAGACGTAGTCACTGGCGACATGACGAAAAGGCGACGACGAGGTAGGTGCTTGCGCGAAAGAAGATATAAATGGGGTCGTCAAGACTCAAAGAGTTACAAGCACCAGTGTATTGTACCCTGAACTCGCAGAGTCAGCTCGTGTCGTGGTCAGAGGCGTGGATGATGATCACCCTTAGGATGAAGGTAAACAAAGCACGAATGGACAAAGACGACCTTGTTATATCTTCCTGCAGAGCCTCTAGAAAGGGAGGGAATAGTTAGAGGCGAACGTGATGAAGGGGCGAGGAAGCAGCATGTTTACCATGAGGCACGGCCAGGCGGCGCAGGTGCTCTGATCTTCGAGGCTTGAGTTGACTTAAGCCGGAGAGTCAGGCGAAGATGGCCAGCGATAGATGCGATACACACGTACTCCTGCAATGAGCGACAAGGAAGAGCAGCAAGATCAGAACTCAGGAGTCGAAGGATGTATTTGAACTCCCATTCAGTCCAGGCACGCGCCCAAGCGTGCCCCAAGATTGGCCCAGGACCCTTTCAAGATATGGGCTGGGGAAAAAGGTTGATACACCCCAACCCCAGATAACACAACAGACAAGTGCTCATCGACTGCGACTTCCGAAAAGGAATGGTCCAGACAAGACACACATAGGAGGTGTACTAGTTTGTTGAGTAACTTTAGCAGCGCCCAATCAAAATCGCAGATCCAGATCTGCGCACCGACCCGGTGATCCGTTGTCAATGCCAGGCGCTCCGTGCCGTCGAAGGTGTCCACAAATCGAAAGTTTAGTCAATGCTTGCGACAAAGTTTCGACATGAAATCCTGGAAATATTTCGACTTCAGTCAGAAAAGTAGTTCAACAGTATGCACAGTCTCAAGAATTCAAAGAGCTACACACCTCGTACTGATGGGGAGGGACAGAAAGAGGTTATGTCACACTAGGACGATTCGTTGCAAGGATGACTCGTTGCCGTGCCTACTAGCTGAAGGCAGTCTAATCATATCGAAGCGTAGTTGATCGCCCTATAAAGTAAGTAGTCCCAGTGCCACTCAGACCCTTGGAGTGCATTAAACCTGTGAATAGTCGTGTTATTGAGGCTGAGCATTGCTTATCTGCTACACGCATGTTTCATTAGTGTCTGAAACCTCATATTTGCATCCTTTAGATGTTGTCTATCGGATGCACAGAGAAAAATAGGGGTTATAGGCAACGATGAGTGTATGTTGTCCGGTCACATTGGAAGTTGGAACGAATATTTGCTTGAGTGAAAGGATGAATCCTAAAATGATAGACGCTGAATCTGAGATCCAGAATTTGGAGGTCCATTCCCCTTGGATTTCCTCGCACATCAGCTCACGCAAAGCACAAGGGTAAGTATTGCACATTCTGATGAAGGCTGTCCCAAATAACATAAACGGATCTCATTAGTCGATTCGCTAATAGGCTAGAATACTTCGTATTCACCGACGTCAGTAAGCAAGTTGTACTAATTGCGTGCTGATCGTTGCAGAAGCATATGTTCGTCAGGCCAATACCACGACAACCCCTACCCCATTCGCTATGCGGATTGCTTTAGGAATAGCTCATAAGGGGCGCAGTCTATTCGAATCACCCTCGTGAAATGATCCGTGAAGTGCCACGGTAAGTTTCATGATCCCTTCTTATTAAATTTTGACTTTGCTAAGACCCGAGGAACGTTCCTCCTTTCCAGAAATTTTAGGGCCAATTCCAACATGACTTTTGCATGACTTACACCAGAATCTTCTACAGAACCGCGGCCCGACAGAGTGAGTACCCTGGGGAGATTCCCGCTCATCGTTGCATAGGATGAACACAGTAGTCACCCGCGGACTCGTGCACTCTAAAATGGGGCGGGCCTACGCTTTTCAGAACGTGCGCTACATATACTGTGTATTGTTCAAGAAAGGCCGCCTAGATTGTTGCGTCACTCGACTCACGTCTTGCACCCAGGATCCGAACGGTCAAACTTTCAATGACCTCGACTGGTTTTTACGGTTCTGCATTCAGTCGTACGCTTCATGCTTCCATTCTTTCGCGCCCGTGTTTCGGGAGGTTGCTTTATTTTTCTTTGGGCATGTGCGGCGACCTGGGACTTATATTTAGACATCTTCTTTAAGAATGACCCCTATCTCTGGTGATAAGTATGCCGCGATTGTCGCTGCCAAGACACCGTTAAGGATGCTCTATTCGACTACAGTCTCCCTTTTTTCTCGTAGCAATGGATCCCTGATCAAGCATGTCTCTCCTGTTTTTGTTATCGTCAGGAGTCCAGGAGCTACTTTGCGCCATTTTACAACGGTAGAACTTGAATACAGACCCTGATTCTATTGTTGCGCAGTCAGGTGCGCGTTGTTCGTGCTACTGGCGGGATCATGTTCTAATGTTAGTGAAAGAAATCTGAACGGCGTATGAATTGTCCGAACAAATTTGTACGTTCGACACCTTCGTGCCTGCCGATGGAACACTCGAATACTAAGTTTTCTGCACAGCCCGACAGGTTTCGCTGTCTGCGTCGTTCAATTCTTTTGTCTAAGTGGCATCCTTCTCTTCCCCCAACGAATCCTCAATATCAAATCACGCACTCCTAGGTTGGCCTGGCTGTCTCGAAGAACGAGGAACTCTGGGAAAAGTATCATACCAATCACTTTCTGTGCTTCCATAAAGGTGTCACCAGAAGCAACGGAGACTTCCGATCTTACTCTGACCTTACACCCGTGTGCCCGCCGTAGTTCTCGTGGCATCAGCCACTCTAATTGCCCTCTGGTTCGTCCCTCCATAACGCGGCTTTGGTGACCAAACCCTGCGACGGTTACTTCTGCAAAACACTCTCGCTTCATCGAAATGAAGGCTTTCGACGTCATCTTCTTGCAGACTGCATGGTGCTATTATGTACTTGCATCATGACCACCCGCCAGTTTTCTGACGGTCGAACAGCTGGAGCTCGGTGGCACGCATGAGGTTCAGGCTTTGAGCACAGGCTTGACGAGTGATCCCCCAAAAGAACACATGGTTCCGAGTTTATGAGCTCGTGGCGAAGATCGATAGAACTCTATTGTGCTAGCATAGGCAGCTGATTGTCTGTGGCGGCCGTGGATGTTCATATAGATAGATTGCTCAGTAGTGGTATTGGAGAATCATGGCTCTCGATGGCTATCTAGGTAACCACGACTTAAAGGGCAGGCATGGATTCAAATCAGCACTGCTCACGTTCATATCGGAGCCTCGAAGCGAGAACGTCTCGAGTAAATACTCCCACATGAAGCAAATCGTACAGTCCATCGATCTTCACTGGAAGAACGAGGATTGGAAGGTACAGCCAACGCCGAATACTCGGGTCCAATGCGGATATGAAAGTTCAAAGACTACAAAAAGTAAATGCGTGTACATGCAGATATAGATGCAAGGAGATGCGTGCTTCAGTGAAACACTATACCGTTACAGGGTTGGACGTCAACCATTCACCGCTGCTTCCTTGTAGCCTTTTGGGGGGTAGCCGATGTTGCAGTGCGAGTGTTCCTTCTGCTCTTCACAGGTGAAAGTTGAGCCTCAGGAGAATTCGATCGAGTGGAAGACGCAACAGATAGTCTTGAAGACCGTCTCGTAGGTCGAATAGGCTGCTTGTCTTCCTCCTCCTCCCCTTTTGAAGCCCTGGACCTGCGAGTTGCGCGGCGAGCTGGGCCAGCTGAAGTCGCCGAAATAGACGGTAAGGGAGGCACGACATCTTCTTCCTCTTTTCCAACCTCTGCAGGCATACGTCGCTGATCCTCTCGCTCTTCCTCATCGTCATAGTCATCATCGTCCATCAACGATCCAGGAAGACTCCGACCCAACTTCTCGGCTTTTATCGTCGACTTACGTGGTCTTGTACTCGCACGTGTCTGAACTGCAGGTTGAGCGTGACGTTCAGAGGGTTGGGCAGAAGAGGCAGATTGCCGTACTTGTCTCCGCTTCGGACTCTTGACGAGGACTTCTGGCTTGGGATGATGACGTTTTGATCGAGTGGGAGGAGGGGTAGGTGAGACAGGAGATTCAGGCTCGCCGTCTGATGAATCTGGGAAGAATGCACCCGGTGGCATCATTCTCTCTGTCTCCGTTCTAGCCAGTCGTCGAGATTTGGCATATTCGGGTTTGGACCTGAACAAAGAGAATGAGAGCTCCTCTCTTTCTGGTACCTCGCTTGGCTCCTTTGAGATTACGTCTTCCTCGGCCTGGTCAGCTGCAGAGGGTTCACCCTCGCCCTGGAACTGTTCTTCGGCGGTACCTTCATCCTGCATTTCAACATCCTCTGCTGGTGTCGGTTCTAGCTCCTGTTCTTGTTCTTCCTCGGCTAATAAGTCCTGCACTGCGGAAGCTGACGCACTTGAAAAGTCGCCGGGGGCAGTTTGGAATGAAGCGGGAAAAGGCGAACGTGCGCTATCTTGGCCAAAGGAACGTTTTGTGCCAGCGGACACTGGAGGTTCATAGAACGCGTTCCGAACCTTATTCGCACTCCCGACGGATTCGAACAACGAAATTTTCGACTTCACGCCTGAGGCAGAGGGACCGGCAGAGGCATTCTGTGGTACCCTTGAAGAAGCCGCCGAGGGTCCCTTTGCACTAGGGCCGCGTGCGGAACCTCGAGAAGTGGGAAGCGAGGGAATCGTCTCAGGTTGGTCTGGAATAGGCCCACCGAAACGAGGAGCACCTGAGCGTTGTGGTATTGGTGCTTCCATGAAGACATCAGAGGTCCGTGGCGCCTTCTTAGTCGATGGTCCTGCACTTGCACCATTTGCCTTTGGAGGTGCTGGTGGACGAACGTACTCCCAAGACATGCTCAAGTCTGGCGGCGTCCATGCGTCCGTACTCGAATGAGGTGGGACCTGGCTTCCATGACCTGATTTCTCGAGTTCCTGTTCTAAGAGCATTCGCTCAATTGTAGGCATGACTGCGAGGATATCGTCCATCATTTGTCTTCTTTCATGGGCTGCCTTGCGATGTGTGTCACCTGTCTTGACCGAGAATTGACGGTCGAGTTTGATAGCAGCGGCGTATTGTCCGCTTTGAATGAGTCTGACACAGACGAGGTTTTGAATAGCGGGTATCGAGTAAGATGGCAGGTCTGACGGCGGCTGCAGAGCGAAATCTTGGATGAGGTTTTGTTCATACGAAGATAAAGGGAACGCCAGAAGTTGTGTGAGCGGTGTCGACTTTGGTTTCGCTGAGGATTATGTTGGGACGCGTCAGATATAGTAAAGCGTGGTGTAAATCATATACTGACGCGAAAGACACCACTGCAGGATTTTGCGGATGAGTCTGGCTCGGATGGAGCCCCCCTCTGGGAAGGTCGCTTGATATTGCCAAGCCTCCAGTAGACTAGAACCAGCTAGTGCAATAGCATAAAGGTCAATATCATCTGGTTCCTGTAATAGAGGTTTCGCAGTGCGAATGTACTGTCGGATGAGAGGAGATGAGTTGGGTGCTAGTGAGAGGGTGTGCACAATTTTGGAGACATATTCGCGAGTCAAACGCGCGTCGGACAGAATGGAGACGGCTCGCTGTAAACGAATCAGAGAGTTTTCCTCTATATTCAGCAATGAGCAACGTACCGGAATGTCATGACTGAAGTCAAGGTACCAGTACGCGTCCGTAAGCCCCGAGAATTGTGGCGGCATACATCTCTGCTCCTTGAACGTTTCTTCTCTTCCGTCCTCGTGGCACTTCAACAGGTAGTAGATCAAACAATCCTTCTTCAAAGCGTCGAAATCTGTGTCCTCGATTGCATTCAACAGCTCTCGCAAGGATTCCTTGTCAGCGGGAGGATAGAGTCTTTGGGGATACTGAACTCCGCTCTGCGACAGGATGACATCGAACATGAGGCTGTCGGACATTTGAGCCCTGCGTTGTTCTATTTCTCTAGGTTTCGGACTACGCCACGCAAACTTGTCGGGGGACGTTTCGAACAGAAGGAGGTGGTTGTGTTCGACGGCTTCCTGTACGATGCAACTATGAGCCGGACACTCGAGTACATCGCGAATCATACTCACCGGTATAGTATCCATAGTGATGTCCGCCATCCCGCAGAAATAATGACCACAAAAGGCCTCTTAGAGAGCGAAGTTCAAACTGACGGTGAAGAGTGGCGGCAGGCGTACAACAAACTCATGGCCTCCTTCGGCAAGCGCTCAACCATGCCGAATTAAGCAAACTTCACGTGATGCATGTTCAGAGTCTGAGTTTTGATCTCTTTTAGTAAAGTCACTGATCCAAACTTGGTGAATAGGACTTTCAGATCGCGGTGTTCGAGGATGATAATAACACTCATGACTTGTACAGAAAGCAGGCCCGTTTGACATAACTATCAACGTTCAAATCACAAAGTATTGACCTTCCATGGATTGCGACCCGTCCTTCTTTTGTGAATTTTGCAGAACATCCGTTATTATATTCCTTCAGTTTGTTTCAGCCTTATACTGCACGTACAATCGCGGCGCGGGTTTGTTTACTGAGTACTTACGGAAGTGCCTAAATACTACACTTGACTTTTATATCAAGCAGTCGATCGTTTTGATGGGACCGTCCTCTGGGCGCTTCACAAGTACTGCTCAAGCCACTTGTCTTCGTCCACAGCACCTCGAGCGCGAACCTCTACGCTGACTTTGGGCCAAGCAAAATGGCTTCAATAGCCAGAAAAGTCTTATACAGCTCATTACGATGTGGCCGAGCTGCACCATCTACTTCTCAGATTGTCCCTGCCACCACATTCGTTCGACATAGCTCGTCCAACGTCCCACAAACTTCGAATGAAGATGGCGACTTGGAGATCGAGGGAGGCTTCCCAAATCTCATGACCCCAGATCCGCTCATGGATCTTCATGATTCCGAAGTGTTTCCAGCGACCGCGAAATACCCATACGAATCCAAGGTCATCGTTCGGAACGACCCATCCATGTTCAAAGCTTATCAGAACATACTGAAGGAAAAGTATGGTGTCACCCAGGAGGAGCTCGACAAACAAGCCATCGGTAAAGAAACTACCGACCCTTTCTGGTTCCTACCTATAGACGCCAAATATAGGCAGAGCATGCACCAGTACACCATGATATCGCGCCGAGTCACTAAACAGACTGGCAAGGGCAAAATCCATCGAGTAGGGTACTTCATTGTCGTTGGGAATGGCAGTGGGCTTGTAGGTTATGGCCAAGCGAAGCATGACGAGCCTACAGTTGCACTGGAACGTGCTGTCTTCCAGGCGTACAAGAGCATGGACCACGTCGAGAGGTTTGAGGGTCGGACAGTATGGACGGAAATGGAGGACAAAATGGGCGCAACGCGTATCATCCTGCGTCCACGACCTGTGGGTTTCGGACTCCGTTGTAGTCCAACCATGCACCCTATTTTCCGAGCCGCGGGTATCAAGGATATTAGTGCGAAGGTTTGGGGAAGTAGGAATCCTATGGCGGTGATGAAGCTGCTTTTCCGCATGCTCTATTCCGGCAATGCGCCACTGGGTATGGGTGATGGTATTGGAGGCGTTGGGAAGAAGCTCGAGAAAGGCAGCGGTATGAGAGGCAAAGACGATATTCAGCGGGAACGAGGGCGGAAGTTGATTAACGTATGGAGAGCGTAGTTGCTTCGCGACCATTGGATACACTATGCTTTATACTATCTCGCTTTCTAATATCCTTGATTCTCATCTTGCCTTGGCGTGTAGTCTCGAACGGCCAGGCAGGTCGTCTTTCACCCAGCCCCATAGAACACGCAAGGCCCCCGCGCATTCGAAACAGATTGACACTTATAAGGCGATAATTCTAATGGGCTATATAACTGACCACACCTCCTTCCGGGGCTCCATAGCCTTTCTTGCGCTCTGATTCACTATCGCCGCCGACAGTTTGGAGCGTCTCCATCTGCCCAGGAAAGTCAGCATGACCGATAAATACGAATGCCAATGAAGTACCCACGTGAACATGCACATTTGTTGATTGCTTTGCTGCCATGTTCCATGACATGGTGTGATCAACTCTGGCTGAGGCTTCTGAGAAGGCATCTTCTGTGATTGGGAACCCCGCAGACCTACAAGAACGGCGACAAGTCAGTGACTCGAAACTGGATAAATCTTAGTGGCGCTTACACTTGAGGACCACTTGTGTTAAAGTCTGATAGGCGGCGAACCGCGCGGCACGCGATGACCTAGTAGAAAGCAAAATGAGCTAGGAAGTATGTGAGAATTAATTATAGTCTGTTCACCGTGGAGACAACGGTAGTCGGGAACCCGAATAGGACAGACATGAATGGATTAAGGTTCAATATCATAAAGACTGTTGCAGGGAGGTTGACAATAAACCTATATAGTAGACGGTAATTCAGTAAGCAACGCGCTCAACTCTGATGAGCGAAACAGGACCCACGCGAAACCGAAATAAATAAGGCCATCAGTGAAGAGCAGGTTCATGAGATGAGATCTTCGGCCTTGCATAATTACTAGTTGATACATCGTCACAAGAAGTACACACAGGTCCAGAGACATCGTGTAAGCAAATGTAGCAGGTAATGTCGCACTGTGTGAATTGACAATTGCGCACCCTTGCGGGGTTGAGTTGATCTCTATTTTCACACCTAGATAAACAAAAACAATCAGTTGTTCGATAAGAACAAGGAAAGATGAAAGACACACCTTGCATGAGAAGAGCCCACTGGCCAAGGATAATAAGAACGAGGGGAACAACAATGTAGAGTTTCCAATACCAGACGACCATACTAAACAAAATAATGCTCGTAAGCTCTGAAGACTGGCAAAGCCTATCGCAGCTTGCCCTGTAAGCTGTAGACGAAGGGAATTTATCAACGACCTGGAATTGCGTCTGATTCACCCGAATACCATACTAACCTGAGCAAATGTAAAGAGTGTCTGACAATGGATGCTCCCGCTACCATAGGTCAAAGTCAACATGCTGGGCTATAAAACAAGGAAACGATCACATACGATGTGTTGTTCACGACTATCAGCCTGTGTCAATGCCAAATTGAGACTGCCAGTGATAAAGACAAAAAGCTACCTGGAAAAGCTTACAGTCCTATTATACAGAGCACCTGACAATATCGGCCAAGAAAATAGAACGTCTATGGAACATTTCTGAGATGGTGTAAACAATATAATAAGTGAAGTTGGGTTACCATGGGCCAGCGGAATTCCTTCTTCCTAGTGAGGAACGCCCATTCGAAGTTCAATGTTGTGACAAAGCCCCAACTAATGCGCCGTGAGCGTCGAGCGTTCCGCTGCGAGGAAAGTAGACTCACTAGTAGACACCTGCAAGCGCATGAACGAGTTTCAAGAACGCCTCTACAAAGAGATTCTGTTAGAAAAGGCACTACTAGCAGTGACATGTCATTATGCACGACTAACCTTGTTCTCGTTGAAGCTCCTCCGGTGAATTCCAATCTCGACCCATGTTGATAACCTTGCTGAGCAGGGAAGGATATAAGTGCGACACATACCATCTCATGAAGTCTATGCTATATACGCCACTGGTAGTACTAACGATAGGCGGGCGCGGATCAGTCAACCTGCGACGCCATGCTGTTATGAAATTACAGTCAGTTGTGACAATAATAATGATGCACGTACATCATAAGAGAGCATAGCTGATGCGCTCCTACAGGAGCACCTGTATTAATCCTCTTTCTACCTCCTCGACCCTGCTCGTTGAGGAAGCCGACACAGGAAACGCACCAATGGCGCATCACATCGACCGCAGCCGTTACTATAGCTTGATCTCTTGCAACTCAGCGCACACTGGATTTGCACCGCCGGATGATTATGCCGTGTCTTGACAGAACTTCGACATGTAGTCTCAATACGGTCCCCACATCAGGAGGAACGAGTACTTCAAATTGGAACCCGGTACACCGCTTGCCGGTCGTCGTTGTAGGATCTTTTGTTCCTACTGTGCGGACTGGACGGGGCCCTCGGTGTCAAAATTAGAGCGTCCATCACCGTGGCGTCTCGTGATAAGGATTGAGAGTTGATTTTGAGAAGCTTGCCTGTCTTCAAACTATATTTTTACATGTACCCAGAGACCATCTATACAACTGTTATTATTCATCTTCAAAGACATAAGATCTCAGCAGTACTAATCCACTCGCCGGGCAGAATTTGGTACCATGAACCAAAGGAATAACATAAATCCCATCATAGAAACAACCCTGCACCGCTGTCAGTATTCACTATGCATGTAGAAATCGTGGACTGGACTTACAAAGGTTGCAAACTCCCTATGCCTTTGCTAGAAGCAATAGCACCGGTCAAAAAGGGCAAGAACGCGGACCCCGCTTGGCCAAATCCAGCAATCCAACCGATACTTCCTGTCAGAAGCCAAGGTGGAAGGATGCGTGCGGAGTGGTTCATGACAATTGGGTAGATAGGTCCGAGCAACAGACCAACGAAGGAGACGGCTACTGCACCGCCGATCAGTGAGGGTACGAGCCAAACAACGAGCTCGAGCCTACGAATAGTAGCTAAGGTAAGCGACATCTGATATTCATAATAAAAAGATCGACGTACGCGATGGCCAAAACCACGTAGATAAATATTACACGGCGTTCTCCAATCTGAAAGAGGAACGTTGAGAGGACGGCGGCAAATAGAAATTCTTCACATACCTTCTTGTTGACCCAGAGAAGTGCAACACGCCCGAGGGTAAGCCCTATCGAGAGCCTTCAAAAAAGGACAAACACATGTTAATGGGACGAGCTTACCACCGAAGAAACCTGAAGAGACGTAACCAGACGAAGTTCCGCCTCCCCTTTCCTTGATGACGTACGTCACAATCCAGCCTATGGCGCAGTGAGCAACGCACGGTGGGAGATGAAGCCTTGAAGAGTGACTCACCACCAAGAGTGACTTCAACACCGACGTAAATTAAGATAAAGACTGCCAGCAGATGAACTTCTTTCATTCTAAAGATTTGACGGTACTTGTTGTCCTCATTGGTCGATGACGTCTCTTGAGGTAGCTGTCCAATCTGCGCGAGACACTCTGAATTGATCTGAGTGTGTGTAGATACAATACTAGATCAGTTGACCAACCGTCTTGGGTTTTGAGGCGGAACACCGCAGTGAGCAGGATTACATTAGACAGTGCAATACCTAAGGACGTTAAAAAATGGAACGACCAGCGAGGCATATGGGAGAACTGGGTCGCAACCAAAGGAGCTGTCAGCGCTCCGACGCCTGTAGTGTCGAATGAAACCTCAACGCTGGATGATCGATACGTTGTCTGAGTATCCTCACCATATACCGCATGCAGAACACCCATTTTTGTAACAGCCCCATGTTTGTAGCTCGCAACATATCCGTTAGCTCCAGCATCCTGAAGCGCTAGGCCAAAGCCATTGATGGCATAGGCTAACACAAGAACAGGGAACGGAGGAGCCGGTGAGGCGATTGCATACCCGATTACCTGCGCCATCGAACCTACACATATATGTCGGATTCGGGAAGATATGTATGTTATCCGCTGAGGATTACTTACCCAAGACCATGACCTATAGGAGAGTAATAAATGAAGCAACTTCACTCGCAGTGAAGCTAAAGCAAGCGTACCTTGCCAAAACCAAATCTATCGGTTAGGTAGACATTCGCAGCGGCTGCGCTCACGAAACCCTAAGAATGACATCAAGACAAACCAACAAATGAGTCCCTAGGGCTTCCACGCACGATGCAATTGAAGACGAAGATCAATGACACAACGGCGTAGCCGACCTATAAATGCAGATATTGAGTTCCAGCCACAGAGATACGGCCTTAGCAGTTCCTCAACACAGACATGGTAAACACTTTGGATCCTAGGCAAGAGTGGACCGGTTGTTCCATCATTCCAACCAGCCAAAAATAACGTCCAACATAGGGTGAAAAACTGTAGATTCGCTTTCCAACGAGTGGACTTGGACGTCTGTTCAAAGAAAGACGCTACAGATGGTGTCGCACTGTTCTTGGCGACGTCTACTTGAGATTTGCTACCATGGCTATTGCGATGTCCCAATTCGGCCAATTGAATCGGTTCAGAACCCTGGTCAACAAGAAAAGATTCAGGAGGTTGAGGAGACCGAGCTCGAATAGATGCGGAAGAACTCGGCCCCAGCTTGGCTTCAGCTGTAGTCTGCACTTCCGTTTGAGTTGAAGACATGGGTGAGTCAGTGATGAATAGTTGGGTAAAGGGCAGACAGTCAAAATCTCTCACAAGTCGAGTCAGATTTATACTCGTGTATAACGGGATAATATCCCCATGCGTATCGTGGTTCGATGGTGTCCTCCACGTATGTGAATATCGTTCAGCTGAGCAAGACAACTCTAAGTCACAGTGGAAGAAGCAAGCGACCGCAACTAAATGAGTGCTGCCAAGAACAGCGCGGATAATCCTCGGAACAACTCAATTACTCAATCTCATTGCGAAGCTTGCAACATTCATCGATGTTCTTCGACCCGTAGCTTGACCATTGAGATGAAAAGATCTGACTGCAAACAGTGCAAGAGAAATGGAGCCAAAGAGAACAAGGAATGATTCAATTTACGACTAGAAAGGAACAGACAAAGTATCATAAAAAGACAAGTAACGAGTACTGTAATACCATAAACACTCTAATATCCCGAGCCGTTAACCTACATAAACATCCAGTTAAATATTGCAAAAGACGGCATTGAGTTGACACTTACCTTGTCCTTGAGCTGAGAAATGAATTGTTGGTAACTCGGTAAGACGTCCGCCCGATCTTGGATGAGGCAACTGAGGGCCCACAACCTCAAGGGCGGTTCTCCATCTTCCTTAACGATATACAGGTGGGGGTAGTATACCCCGCGACGCATCTCACGAGTCTTTTGGATGATGGCGGTGACACGTTGCGAGAAGGGGTTATCGAGCACAGGTAACGTGGTCTGAAATGGAACATTAAGAGCTGTCGCGATACAGTCGCTGCGCGAAACATACCTTGCCGCCTCGGAGGACCTCGTAGCTGGGAAGGTTGAAGACATCCATGACGAGCTGAGGTACAGCATCACGGCCGATCCACAAGAAAATTGTTTGGCCATCCTCAATAACGTAGAGACCATGTCTCTCAAGTCGTTCTGAGGTCAATGGAAGAGGCGGAGGCATGATGATACCATGCTCGCCGACTGTTCCACACTATTGACAACTCTCCATCAACCCGTTGATTTATTGGCATCGTAGGGGGACGACTTACCTCTGGAGGCATATTATGCAGAGAGTAAAAGTTAGGGTAGACATAAGGAATAAGGATCTGCGAGGGGAGCGACGTCAGGAGAGCTTGCGCATAGGCCCGAAGGTCGGGAGGTATTTGTGCGCTTTGTCTAATTCCAACCTAAGATCGATACGTCAGTGTCTGCATTATTTTCTGAACGGTTTAGGCAAGACATACGTTCTTCAACAAACCTAGCACCAAGACTGGCAACATCTTCAAATTCTCTGAGATGGCCAGCTGGGCACTAGCACCAGCACCAGCGGCGGTCATGCTGGCTTTGTACGCCGTCAATACCTCAACCATCTTGTTGAACAGCGCGTCACGCGAGTCCTCAAGTCTGTGAGTGATGGATCGTTCCACAGCCTTGTTCGCAAGTAGAGTGGCGATGGCGACTTGGTCTGCAGACGCGAATACTTCGGAGAGGTTACTCGTCGTTGGCAGGGCGGTGGTAACGACACGAATGCGACGCTCGCCTGTAGATACCAAAGTCAGAACCCAGCCACTATAGCAATGGCAGTGAAAGAAACGTACCATAGCAAGTTGTATGTAACACAGCAGTCTGGAACACCACGAAAGGTGCAGTGATGGTATCTTCGATCTGGACCTCGATAGCATACGACAGGTCTTGAGGGACAGCGGGCATAGCGAGAAGATCCGTCGACCTGACGAAGAAGTTTCCGTGGAATGAGGACATGCGAAGATCTATGGGAATAAAAGCAATTCATTGCTGGCCTTTTGCAATAAGGAAGCAGCGGTGACTCACTTTTCGAGGCACGAACACGCATGACAGCTTCTAGCATGATTGGCATCGCCAATACCTTACCGAACTCGTGTGCAAATTTGATCGCATCCTCCGTGCGCGAAGCATTGAATGCGGGGTAGAAAAAGGTCTGGCCGGCGGTGTAGTGAGGTAAACAAGCAAGCGTGGCAACGTCCTGGTATCCTGGGCTGAAAAGGAACATGTCGACAGACACTTGTGCACGCGAGCACTCGATGGCGAAAGTCTTGTAGAAAGGGGACGCTGCCTGCAATAAGCCGGATTCCTGGACACATGAAAAGTAATGAGACATAGCGTCTCGCAAAATGCAGATTAAAGTACCTTGGGTGTGCCTAACACCTTCGGGTCCTCCCGGTTCTTCAGTGCACCAACACCAATAGAAGGGAGGCTAGCCGTCAAGACCATAATTTTTCCGCCAATAGGTGCCATCATCTGGAACCCGGCCTGCAATGCGGGGCCAAGCGCGCTGCCAACAGTATGGTTGTCCTGGAACATATCACTCAAGCGGCCTAGGAGGGTTTCGAGCGCTGGACGAGCTTCTTGAAGGTTGACCAGTAAATCGGTTGGCTTTGGCAAGAAAACATCATCGATGTCCGAAACGACAAGCATCGAGGATTCGGCACCTCCAGACTGCAAAAGTCAGAATAGGAAATGACAGCATGGCGATAAAATATAAAGAAATCTTACTGGAAGGGTGAAGAAATACAACGAGGTGTCAAAAGCGATTATTGAAACCTTCGTACGCCCATTCTCATCCGGGATTCGGTCGAGGTTTTCCAAGATCGTACGAGTTGCAGTTGCCACCATACCAGACTGAATAGCGCTATGGCTAACGTCGATGAGGAAGATGTATACAGCAGGCTGAGGTGGTCGGACCATGTATTCAGTAGGGGCCACGAATTCAACGACTCCATGATTAAGTTCTGCTCGGGCCCATCTATCTCCTGGCTGATTTCTGACTTGGTCCCAGTCGAAGAGTTGCGGAACTTCGTTCGAGAGCGAACACATACAGCACCGCCAGCTGCGATATCACAGGGATCAATATCGTAGGAAAACAAGTGAAAGAAAGATAATTTACCGGTTGCCGCCATCAATAAACTGCACGTATGGGTTGATGTACGTCCTGCATCGTCTACAACGAGCGATGACTGTATCGGTGACTACCGGAACCTCTTCTTCACCCTCCTTCAACGATCTATACGGAGTGAGGACCAGCCCGAGAGGAATCTTCGACTTATTCAATAGTGAGTTGGTTGTCGGAATGGCGTTTAATGTGCAACGCTGATACGAAGCATCCGCGTTGGCATACGGCGACTGAGAAAGACACGAATTGGGCGGCAAGAAAATCTCTGGCGGCGGTTGACGCAACTCAAGGGGTTCGGGAGGGGAAGTAAGTAAATTGGTAGTGAATAGTCTCAACCCCTTGTGACCCATCGTCATCTGCCCAAACTGATCCGCTAGCACACCCATCTGAGACGGAGGTTGAACAGGGTACACCGGCTGCTGAGGTGCATTGATATACTCGGGCTCTGCATGACCGCCATAGTATGGAGGAGGTTGCTGCTGCTGCTGCTGGAACTGGCCGTCTGCGGCTAAACCAGGTGTGAAGAGTTGAGTTGGTTGTGGCTGGGGAGCAGCAGCGCTGTACTGGGGAACGGCAGCAAGGGAGTCACCCACACCATAATACGCTTGGGTTTGACCTGCAGCATATTGGCGACGTTTTGCATGATGAGATGGGGGTGGGGAAACAGATGGTTGAGGTGACAACTCTGGGCCGGCCGCGGGTGGTTCCCATTGTGTATGTCCAGTGTGCGTCTCTGCCGTGTACAGACGTGAAAACAAAGCACATATAATATACGAAAGCTCATACCAATGAAGAGATACCGTTGATGTGTCGCGTCCCTGCGAACGTGTTACTTGCATGCTTCTAAGCTCACTGCGAATTCACTCACCATTCCGCCGTCCAGCCAGGCGGTAACTGCTGCGCTGGTGAAGCCATCTAAGATGATATTAGGAGACGTAGAACTAGTGAGTTCTGGCCGAATATATAGGAAATACGATTGTCGACGTGGAAGGCAAGTTAAGCGGCACAGCTCAAGCGTAAGTTGTTACTACATTTGGACATTAGAAACGGATTATAAGTATTTTCTTACACAATTATAAACGTTTTCGATATCATTACAATAACGGATGTAGTGCTCGGTAGATCGCGTTGTAATGTGGTTCTAGTCTCAACTATAGTCTATAGGTGGCTTCGCATTTCAGATCTTCACGCTCCACCATTCGTTGTTGACGTACCCTTTGGTGGTCAACAGCAACGGCGATTCATCGTGTGTACTCCTTGCATATATGAAGTTGATCTGGAATACTGATGCAGCTCATAAAGCAAGCTGCTGGCTGTTGCCGTTGGACATTGCTGGACATTGCTCAGAACAAAGTGACTCTAGGTAAGCATGCCAACTGCCTTTAGAACGCGGAAGATGTTGTTGAACACCTAATATACATCAATCCTGTTCAGATACCAAGTAGCTTTGCCTTCAGGGACCTATTGATTAGGGCTGTTGCTTCCAACTGTCCATCTCTTCAAGCCATTCGTTTCATCAAACCTACATCAAGGCCAGGCTTGCCTTCAGACGTTTCCAGGATAATTGCTTTCCCACTAAGTCTCTGAGATCCCACGTCTTATATATTCCATGCAAGTCACAGTAGAGCAAACCATTAGACGTCCTGTCCGACAGGATACCTTCGACCTTCGCGACCAAATAGTTTCTGACGATCACCTTCATTACGGTCAATCCCACATGGACAACACCTACCCTTCGGATGAGGAGCATTCTGTCCTTGAAGACGACTCCGACGGCGAAGACCGAGATGATTTCATGGAAGACGACGATGGCTCGTCGTCACTCTCTATTCCCAACGAATCTATCAATTTTGACCTTGTATATGCCCTACACAGCTTCGCTGCGACTGTGGAGGGACAGGCAAACGTAGTCAAAGGAGATAGTCTCATTCTCATGGACGACAGCAACAGCTACTGGTGGCTTGTTCGGGTACTCAAGACCGAGGAAGTAGGCTATATTCCTGCCGAGAATATCGAGACTCCCTTTGAACGACTGGCTAGGCTCAATAAACATCGGAATGTCGACGTATGTACTATGTTGCCACATTTATTTGAGCTTTTCTCAGACATCGCCTTTTAGCTGGCTCAAGCAACCCAAGCAGAAAAGGAAGAAGTTCGTGATCGACTTCGAGAGAACCTCTCTTCTCGCGCAGGGTCAAATCAAGCGACCCCCTCTCCAACACCTGCAGCAGCGAACATCCGCCCGGTTTCGCGTACCCGATCTAGACACGTTCGCGGTGTTTCTTTCACTGCAGCTCTTTCAGTTCACCGATATCCACCTGCGGTATGGAACGAGGAGGAAGAAGAGGAAGAAGAGGACGTCGAATGGGACGATGAGGGATACGAAGACGAAGATCCCGGCTTGGCTGAGGAACAAGAGTTAGAGAGAAGGTTTGCCGAAGATACAGCGGGGTTACCCCAAGGTATGGAACCGGACGATGGCATGAGTTGGGAAGACGGTGCGGTGGAGGACATGCAGGCGAAGCAGCTACAGCTACAGCAGCAGCAGCGCGCTGCCGATGTCGACAAGGACGAGCGACGTGATCCACAACCGCAAGCTCCGCCTTCCCCGGGACAGGACATCGCGGCAGCACAGAAGCAGCGTGTAGCTATCATTCCTGATGACCCGATTTCAACGTCACCTACCTCGCCTAAGACCAAAGATCCTATCCAGGCCACTGAGACGAAGAAGCTCTCCCTCACTCCTGCCGTCGCTCGAGACACGCCCAGTGCAGAACGTCAGCAAACTCAGCCTCAGCCACCCGGACCACTCCTTCCAAGTGCCATCATGCAGCAGCAGCACGAAGATCGCAAACGTACGAGGGAAGAGATTGAGGCGCTGGAAGACGCTCAACGAAAGAAAGCTAACAAAGGGAAAGGTCCCGCCGGTTCTGGCTATAACTCAGCACCAGAACAATCCCGTCCTCCCGGTGGTGCCAAATTGCGCAAAGAGCGTGATCGCGACGTCGCTGCCACAGACGACGAAAGTAACAAGGACAAGAAGAAGAAGAGCGGCGGAGGCGTTTTCGGAGGGCTATTCGGGAGACGCAAAGATAAGGGCAAGGACAAGGCTCCCTCGTCAGGCGTTTCTGAGAGCTCGAGTACTATTAGCGTTGGAAGCAGTGATATCATTCTCAGAGGATCAGAGGAGTCTGGCAAATCGAGCAACCAGCAACATACCACTGTCGCCGATCCCGGATCGCCTGTCACTGCAAGTGCCAGGCAGCAGCAGCAACTTGCTATGGCTCAGCAAGCTCTGGTTACTACACCAGAACGAGTATCACAACGCCCCACAGAGATCACTACACCCCCTTCGGCGATTGCTCAACTTTCACAACATGCGTCTCAATTGCGACAACGCGACCAGCAGCAACAGGCTTTGTATCAGCAATATCTCAACCGCTCGCCTTCTTCTCCCCCGGAAGCCCAGCCTTCGTACGGATTACAATCTGCTTCCGCTGTCTTCCAAGGGCCCAGCTCATACTCCAACTCGAACAATGGTCTCGGCGTCGGCACTCCTCGTCAACGACCTGGCTCGCTGGTGCTTTCACCTACTGCAATGGACGCTCAGGGTGTTGGTCTCCCCGATCTTAGCGTCGTACGCATCTTTGCTGGTAATAATCTGCAGACCGAGGCTACCTTCAAGACAGTTCTACTTAACTCCTCCACTACTGCTTCGGATCTCGTGCGTCAGGCCATTCAAAGATTCCGTATTCCGGGTGCTGAGAATGAGAGTGATTATTACCTGACTATCAAGCAGGTGGAGGGCTCCTCTGCGGCTCTACGACCTGATGAGAAGCCGCTGGTTGTCTTTGAATCCTTGGTGGAGGCCGCACTGGAACTTCCCAAAGTCAAACGAAGCAGCGTTGGTAGCATCAGCTCTGTGGCGAGTAATCTGTCTATGCACCCTGCGATCAAGAAACTCTCTATGAATGACTTCACTGATGACTCTGCAGTCAAGTTTTACTTGAATCGGAAAGGTGATGAACATCACGACGACTTAGGGGATGAAGGCGACGTTACACTCTTGGCTGAGAGTGCTCATGACGATGATAGTGACTCTCGCAGATCCTCAGGGCCTTTCCTTTCTGTCACCACTGCTGTAGGTAACAGTGTCACGCCTGAGCGGTTCTCATCGCCGTCTGTTAAATTCTCGCTCCAGCTCGTCATTCGTCCAGAGGATCTTCCGGACGATATGGTTTTCGACCCCCTTACGGAAGCCATTGTCTTCAAGAATACCCTTCGTGACCGTCCCAAACCTCCTGCTTCGTCAAGAATATCGCAGACAGAGAGAAGGAAGATATTCACGTTCCCCAAGAACGTCACTGTCGCGGAAGTCATTGAGCTTGGCCTTGAGAGGTTCGGTATTCTTGACGGCGTTGTTGACGGCGGTGATGAAATTGAGGATAAACTCTCTAAACGTCGGAGCTCCTCTCGTGTACGATATGGTCTTCACGTCGATGTGGGCGGCAAAGGTAGTTCATGATCGCTTCTGACCGTTACGTGGCTAACCGAAATTTTACAGAACGAGAGCTTTCACCATCCACTAGAGTGATTGACGCATTCCCTCGCCCACCTACATTCCGTGTTCCGGATCGACGCGATCTCAAACGACGTTCAGCGGACTCTGCGCAATTACTTGGTAGTGTCGAGGATGTTTCGCCTGACGACCCCGTCTTCATCCTCCGACGTGCTACCACATACAAGCCATCACGCAACAGATCTTCAGCTCCCCTTGATGAACTCGCCCTCTCACATCTGCATCGGGAATCCACAGGAAGTGCAAGTGTCACCTCTGACTCCACGGCTGGTTTGGACGAGCCCAAACAACGCCAGATGTCGAAACAGGAGATCATTGCTGCCCAACGAGCTGCTACGCGAGCTAATCAGCGAGCGATTCTCTCCGCTCAGGCGAACTCTGCTCGTGGTCTCGACGTTCTGCTCCCTGGAAATGCAATGATACGAAGTTCGAGATACGACGTGGACGACAGGATGCGGTACTCGTATGTCGAGCCCGACGGCGAAACGTACGATATCAGCGACATAGTAGAGGAAGAGTGGCGCAATGAGATGCATCGGGAACGCAACGGTCCTGCTCGGGATGATCTCTTACATGGCGTCCTCAGCCGTGGCAAAGACGGATTAGGTGCAAGACTCGATCGCGTCTTGAGCAAAATCCGACGTGAAGGGGGACCTGTGCGAGCAGCACTCCCTCAGGCAACTTCAGCCAGTACCGTTGACAGTGCCGACTCCATGCGGTCGAGATCACCTTCCGTCTATTCGACAGCAGAAGGAGGGCCAGATGGACCCAACTCACGATCTGCTACGCCTAATGCCAATGCAATCAACAGTCGGTCGCCCACGGCCGCCACACATGCCATTGCTCAGCGTATGACGAGTCCACCACCTCGAAGTGCTTCTGTCAACGCTAACATTGAACCCGACACGAGGTCGAGGTCGCGTACTGGTACTGGTACTCCCAGTCATCAAAAGAATCCTTCTGTGACTGGATCCGCCGGCCGTCGCACACCCGCGAGGGAAGAACGACGAAGAGTGTACCTCCCTGCAGATGATTTCGGAATATCGCATATGATGGCTGTGATCACCATGCGTGGAAAGCTGCAACTTGGACAACGACAAGCGCTTCCGCCGCTGGATCCAGTTGACGAACTCTTATTTGGCAGAGAGATCAAGCCCGAGACTTTGCATCCGAAGATCCAAGAGATATATTCTCCTGCTTTCAAACAACTGGAAGAGATGGACAATGTGAGTTTTTTTTAGTATCGCTACTGGATTCACGCTGACTCCGCTTATGTAGGCACTGGATGATCTTCTAGCTGAGATTACCCATAAACGATGAGGTTCCCTGACTTCTCTAACTTATCCTCTTGCAAGCAAGACACCCTGATATACCTAGACAATTCGTTTCTTCATGAACCATGTTGCACGCTCGCTTAATGTTTCCGCCTTTTTGACGCTATTTATTCAGTCTTTGTTATTTCTTGATACAGTCTCATTCGGAAGTTTTTACATTAATGGATTGGTTATTACGCTATCTTGGCTGAAGTTATGTGGTGTGCCCTTGAAGATCCGGTTTTCAAAAGATTACTGGCAGGGATGCAGGTCAGTTTTACTACCTGGGATGTCATCGAAAGAAAAACATACATCGTCATCAAATCCGAATAACTCCTCCCGCCAGTGAGAGGAACTTGCAGTAGAAGTACGATTTCTCGCAGGAGTCTGATGCCATAACATCTCTGTACCAACAGAAGAAGAACGAGGCGGCGTGCCCAACGGTGTAATAGGCCCCGCAGAAGCTAGTCCTTCCGGTTCACCTGGCGTATCGTTATAGGGCACAGGAACAGATCCTATGGGAATTGTTGAATGTAGGTGGCCTAGTGGGCGGGCTTTGCGTTTGGAAGCACGTCGACGACTGGAGGACTTCTGAACACCAGCTGAAAGAGGTCGTCTAACTTCATTGCGGGTGGTAGGTCCTGAAGCAACCTGGAGTGCAGTCGGTATAGCGTCATCGCCTGTTTGCATAATCTCACCTGCAACGGAGACGTGAGATTCAAACAGATAAAAAAATATGATGCGCCCAACTCACGCATGGAGTTGTAAGCTGTTTGACGGTGCGCCTTCAAATGAAGGGCAAAACTGTTGCCTTTACGGAACAACCTAGCACAGAACGGACAACAAAAGGTATCTTGAAGTGTTGCAACATCTGCATCAGAGGTGACCTGGTTCTTCTTGGAATTACGCTGGGCTGTAGCGTTCTGTCGTCTCATCCTCTGAGCATATTCGAACGTCTTTGTCCAGATGTCGTCTTGAAGGGCAAGGTCCATTATAGGTGGGAACGGCGGTTGAGAGGTAAGAGATGTTTGTCCAGGAATATTAGGTGGTGTTTGTGATGAGTACGGTACTACAGGGATCGGACCATAAGGATGATTGACATATTGCGGCGCCACAAAGGGAGGAAGGTGCTGTTGAGGTACGATTGTATTATGAACAGGCTGTAGAGGAGGCATGCCCATTTGCCAGGGGCCTGGGTAGTGGGCGAATTGGTGAAGCGGTTGCAGAGGTTGCACAGTGTGACTTGGTAAAGGAGGCATAGAAGGGAAGTACAAAGGCACGTTTTGGTTGTGCTGATAAGATGGGACTGGCCATGGCATGCTGAAATTCGGCACAAGAGGTTGATAATAGCCAGAAGAAGTTAAAGCTTGGGACTGAAAAATCTGATTGAAGTTGGGGTGGAGAGGTATAGACGGTACAGTAGGAAGATGTCCCGAAAGAAATGGAGAAATATTGGTCTGCGTAGCTTGAGCTTGTTGCAATTGTTGGACAAAAGTAGTCAAATCAGGCAAGGAAACCGTAGGCATGGCAGAATCTTGAGGAGTCGGAGGATTGGAATCTGACATGGCTTGAACTGGTGGAGTCTTTTGTGGCGACAATGATGTACGTGAACGCAGTTGACCGGTACTTGGGCGAGGTGTGTTTGGCGGCGTGTGGATCAAGTCGTGCAGTGGAAACAAGCTAGGCGAAACTCCACCTCCTGCTACATTTTGAGTGTTTCGCTGCAGAATTTCCAAAACTTCGGACAAAGCAGCAAGAGTATCGCCCTCAGCAACTATTGGTTGCTGGAAGATGATATCGTTCACAGCTGAACTCGAATCTCGACGAGCCATTGGGGACAAAGTATTACGGAATACGTCGGCACTTGCCTGTGTGGATCCTAGAGCTGACGAGTCCGCCCCCTCTCTGTTGGTGGAGGTAAGCGAGGCCAGAGGGGCGTTATTATTGGACATATGCCGAGAGTCTATGAAAGACGGTGAAGACAACAAACCGGAAGCGCGAGGGGCCTCGACAGTTTGCGAGCTTTCCCGCGAGGCAGCCTCCACGTCACTGCGGGAGATGGAATGCAATTGCAGAGTCCGCTCCAAAGCCTGGGGGGGAGTATAGAGAGGAAATGCAGGCCTTGGAGTGACTATATGCGCGGGACCAGTAGCCGCCGAGAACACAGAAAACATTTCAGACGGCAAATCCTGGGTCTTCTCCGAATACGAAGACTTCGCGATACTCCATTCCTCGAGAGAAGTGGTAGAGAATGCAGGCTCAAGGGGAGGAGGTTGGACGCCTTCAGGTTTAGGTAGGACAGAATTCGGACCGAATACGAAACGAACGTCCATTCTTCGAGGTCGAGGTTGCTTGTTTGGTGCACGCCGCCTTCGGGTTTGCCGTGAATCTGTAGATGATCCTACATCTATGTTGGGCGCATTCGCATCAGACTGTGGTTCCCTGCGAATCCCGGTATTTGATGACTCCATGTTCAACTGGAACGGATGTTATAACGAATCTCTGCAAAGTAAGACGCTAAGAGCACCCGGACTTGACGCAGATAGTCGGCAATTGATTAGAACCGAAGAATGTATGATATTGAACTCTGTCAAGGCCGCTCAATTCTGCACTCCTGAGACGATGTGCGAGTACACGCAGGAAAGGATGGCTTACCCTGAGAATGAATCCGAACGCGCTCCTCCAAATTGCAAACTCCGTATCACAGGCAGGGGTTCAACGAATTGAAACAATATCAAGAAAGTACTCGAGAAATCAAAAAATTAAAAGAAAAGATGTGACGGCTTGGGGGCAAGATGAATATTTACCAAGTCGCTGAACGAAGAGAACTCGTATCGCTCAAAAAGGCAGGTCAGGTTCAGTCACCCTCGAATTCAGGCCCTCAAGGCAACACGAGGATAGAAGAGCATAACTGCAGTGGAAATACGTAACGTTATTAGCGTTCACAAGAGGTACCAATCGTATGGGTACCATGCAGAAAAATTAGACCTGACCACAATACAACGGCAAGAGCACGGACATCAATGCGGCGTTACCACATCTTCTTGTCAACGCTCAATCTTGAATCTTAAATGACACGAAGGGGTCACAGGGAAAACACGCAGAAGGACACCAGCTGAGAACCCGAGTAGATGGATATACACAAGACAGGGTAAGGACATGGCTTGAGACTGATTTAGGGTGGATTATCCTTTCTCGTAGACTGATCTACCGCTGGGGTATGATTGTTACCTGATGCGCTCGCGACTGCAGCAGGAACAGGTGCAGGCTGGCCATCATACTTTTCGATGCGTGAACGCCCTTAACATCGGAAGAGAGTATCGACATGAACATGTGTCAAAGAGACCAGTCAAATGTTTCTGCTCACAATCCAGCTTTTCCGTCGGTCTGGCACCTGCCTTGGCTAGTTCCAAACGACGTTCATCAATACCCTTCTTCGCCCAGTAGTAGCTAACACCAGCAGCAACAATCAGGCTGCCCCAGCCGAGAAACTAATCAGGATACCTGGTTCAGAATACAACGGAAACACCTTCCTGGGTCAAAGACTTGCCATGCTTTGTGGAGTATTCATTATTCAAGCAAGATGGATTGAGCAAAATACCAGTACAACCTCAGTGGTCTTGGATAGGTTGGAAACGTCTCCAGGATGTCGGTGAGTTGTCAACAAAGTTATTTCCCGAGTTCTTCCAGCTAGCTTCAGCCGATCCTAACGCGGACCGTGGCGGCACCGGACCGTCTCTGCGTAAAGTTCCGTCGCTTTGTCTCCAGCTTCAAGGTGTTCCTTCTTTAACTCCTAACCACTCCTTGGTCTCTTCATATATGTCGTTGAGTCTGGCGAGGTCTGGCATAGACCTGTCTATTCTCTTCCATAAAGGAGACTCATCCTATCCTACAAACAAATTTCGGACGTACATGTTTACTTTAATGACTTTCCCAGAAAGTCTGCCTGCTACATATGATGGAAACGCCGCACTTTCACAATATGGTTTATCTCCAATTTCTCCGGTCGCCATTGCTTACGGAACCTTCACTAATCTTCGAGGGTCATAACCGACTCTAGCCACACTTTCTCCTTCTCCGATGGGGTATACAACGAGGACCAACGCGTTATTCTGTAATCACCGCTCTTACAATTTCTCCGTCTTCTTCCTGTGTGGCATGAAGTTCACACTACTCCGGGCAATCTTCCACTGAGCAAGAAGGAGCTCGGTCATTTGGTTGTCCGTATCTTGACGTGACACATCCTGCTGGGTATCCAACGACGCGTATAGTCGATCGCGTAGATCTTGAACATTCTTACCTCTCAACCGTTGCTGACAGAAGTACTGACAGTGACAACTATATTTCCTCCGCAGCCTGCAAAAGGCGTCTCTCCGCCACCGCGTTGTGTCTCACTTCCATACATTCACCGACTCACCGGCAAGTGTCCACCCTAGTACCTTGCAACTGAATGGAGTGGATTATAGCACTGACAGGCCTGCGCTCGCTGTCAGCCAGAAGCTAGAGATCCTCCGTCACGAGAGATGCAAGAATATCCCTTGGGCGGGTACAATCACACCATTCAGCTGTAGATTGGTATAAAGAAGAAGATAGCAACGCTTCTCTAGGCTTCTTTTCCACATCGACGAGACACTCTATCCTATTGAGGCTAGACTCCGTTCTCACCTCCGGAAGTCTGGCTGGTATCTGCGTGATAATTGGGACCAGATCAGCCCATTCATTCATTTTCTATCCAGAACGATGAACGTTCTGATGCCTCGCCTTGTGGCAGACCTTCTCTTCTTGTGCCTGCAATCGATCCCATGGGACATGTCTTCCTTTGCACGCGAGAGACGCAGAGAACACTATGGTCCATGCTGTTCAGCTTCTCGGAACCACATATAGGTACCGCAAACCGCACACTGTCTACCTCAAGGACGCTTTTTAGGGTGCTTTTAGCTCTGATCACAAGCATACCATCATCTATCTATGACAGCTTCGCTAGCGTCATGCACCAACATACACGAAGCAATCTTGCTCTCACACGTACCAGTTCCGATGGGATTGTATTCATCTATACCACCTACGGACAAATCTATCGCCGCCGCTTCCGTTCTTTCTGTCCTTCTAATTTCCCCACACTGTTCCCCACAATGTCGGACTTGGGTTCCGTCGTTGTGTCTACGCGAGTATCTGCCATCAGACCTTCTACCGGCTATTGAACTATACCCTATGACATCGTCTCGTCAGAAGTTGATGGATTGCTGGTCATCCCTTGTTTCTTGCATTGCTTTGTCTTTGCTATCTTGGGTGCTTCAGGCGAGCTGCTGAGAAGACTTTACGTGACGCTGACATTAGATAGCATACGCGTCTTGGTTGTGAGACCCGTCGTTGTCAATCCGTTTCTTGCGCAAGGCAAGCTATCTTTGACGACTTTTGGTCTCACCCGATCGCAGTAATCTGACCAGTTTTAGGTCCTGGTAGCGATCGGATGCTTCGCGTCAATAATGCAAGACGCCGCATCGTGAAGTTGTCGTCGATCCTGGAATATCGTGCGTGGCTCTGGACAACCGGAACAACTTTCCTCCATTCACTCAGGCCTTCTGACTCTCGAATCTCAAGGCCAGCTCACACCGATAGCCTCCGGAGCCGCACGCTTACAGTATGTGTTCCAGTATAACGAGCTTTTCTAGTCCCTCATTGGATAAACACATAATTGTCACTCGTCCTCCGAAGAAAACGCTTGTCCTCGGTTAGCATGGAAATCCAGGCCTGCGGTGCTGCGATAACTAAATAAGTAGTTCCGTTATCGGGCAGTTGTTTGTTTTAGTGGTCTCCTGTCAGAGACAATGTACAGGAGTTCGTCCCTTTTCCTGGCCATCCATTATCAATTCACCTTCCAAGCTAAGTTATCTACCGCAGCACTCACCCACAGGCCCCTTTCCCCCGATGGATTGATCTAGAGACTATGAGTGTAACGTCCAGCGGGAAGGACGGTCTTGCGTCGCCGGAACTCAGTCTGTAAACTAGGTCTCGCCTTTTGTTTCGATTAGACGATTGACGAAGGGATTGTGCTTCTCCGTTCGATCGCTCACTAGTCCCTCTCTGAGTTCCTACTCACGTAGACTCTAGAATCACGAAGCTCAAACTCGTTTTTTTTTCCCCTTGTCTCATTGACAACCAGGTCCAGATCCTCAAACAGGTCGAGTATTTGTTTCTATATTTGTACGAATATCTAATATTATCCTGGAGGCCTCCTGTCAGTTGTAGGTCGAACCTCGAGTCACTTTAGCTAAAGACCGTGGAAGTACTGATACGAATAGGACTGTGCAGCGTTCCACTACAGACTTGAACACGTTGCAAACTGCTGTCTGGCAAGCAGATCGCGTGCTAGCGGAGTACTATCGTGCGGTATTGAACTCGGGGTCTAGCCACACATCGGAGCTCTCGATCATGATCATGACTACAGAATACTGATATGATTTACATTTTAGTCCGCACACGGGTCAGCCGGACACACATGGTCGCCTTTGGCCTTGCTCTTCCTTTCCTCTTTTCCGTTCAAGTTTTCCGGCGGACTTGCGGTTCTAACCCAAAAGGTTCTCTCTGAATTCTCAGATAGATGGCTCCGAGGGATCGTGGCAAACTTGCTATCTCTATTCTTCTTCTACATGTTACTACTAATCATAGTAATCATTATACGGTTAAGTAATGGAAACCGGGACCCGTAAAAGGACCTCAGGGCGAAAGGAGGACCAGGTGAGTCTAGATCTAGGTCATGCTTTTGTTCGAAGTTCGATCTTCGTCGATCCTCGATCCCTGGCTTCTCGATTTTACTGACCACATGGATGATAAATTCTAGGAACGTTTATACGTTAGCAACAAATTGTCCGAAGCTATGACTGTCGTGTGCAAATATTGCAACTGCCCAACGCGACACCCATGGCATTGGATCTAGACCTAGACCGTATCAACAAAGTTGGCTAGCTCCATTTTCTAGCTGAAGATCGAGAACGTTAGAACCTCAAGGCGCGGGGCCAGGGCTAAGTATAATACGGTAGCTCCTAAAATTATTGAATACGAAAACCGTTCTAACTCTCCGCGTCCGATGCAACGCAAACTGCGGGTCCTTTGTTGGGTCTCCATTTCTCGTATTCAAAACTCAGGTCAGTTGACTGAAGATAAGTACATGCTCAGCGACCCTAATACCAAGTTTCTGGATCCTTGATTGAGTACTAAGTAAGCAACACTGCTCTCACGAGTCAATATGCAATGCATATTTTCTAAATTGCTTGTAACCATCCAAGTCCGAGTCTTTAGGCATACGGTTTCCTCCATACGGGCCAGAGATACGGCTCGACGTTTTAAAGGTACCCGAACTTCGAGACACCATGTAAGCCTTAAGCTTGGGGCTGGCCAGGCCTTAACGGGATGGTCTAACCGTCTAGGTCCTAGGAGTATAGTCCTGACTACTCAGTTCAGAGATAACCCGTCTACTCGGGATTTGAATACGTTTTCCGTGTAAGTAGCTCCTTTCCGAGTCTAGATAAGTACCTCCTGTATAGAGTCCAAAGAGTCCGAAGGAGTCTTAAAGGCGAAGAGACGAGAGTCCCGAGTTTGGTCATCCATATGCAGTCTATAGAAACTCAGAAACTCAGACAAAGCCAAAAGAGAGAAAACACTCGGCATGCTGGCATGCCATGACTGTGCACCATGGGGAGAAAAAGCGTATGCGGAGTACTCTCCGACTCCGACAGTTCCGACGCGTCGGCCACTTCTCGACATTCTCAATTCTCTTAATTTTCTTGGATTTTGCTTGAGCGATTCAATTGTCTGTGATCGATCCTGCCATGAGTCTACCGAAAACATAGTGCATGCAGGTCTATGCAGGTCGCTCACTGGCACTAGCTGTAGGGTCACTGAGTGGTTCGAGTCTCGAGCCTCGACTGCGGTTGAGCGGGAGTGTCGGGCTGTTAGGCTTGTTACAGTAGGAATCTACTAGGACGTGCTCAGCAAGTGCTCAGGCTACCAAGTAAGAAACAGAGGCTGGGCAAAGTTCCAACCAATCGGCTTCATCCTGAATGAATTCCGGCGCAGTCAAAAGTGACAGGGCACGCCCTTTGGCAAAAATTCAAATGAAGAGACGAGCTTCCAACTGGCCAAGCTGTCACATGTCACAGTGTGGCTGCGGGCACATCGCGCGTGCGCGTGCGCGGCATGCAAGTGGTGTCGCGAGAAGCGAAGAATTTGAGAACCCAGAACTCAGAACTCAGGACACGATCGGATGGAATGGAAGTTGCATTGAGTTACCTTTGGGGGAAAAGACCAATAGGAATCGGAGCGGGTATTGATAGAATTGAATGGATTGGATTGAATTGGATTGTATGAACACGGTACACAGTACACGGAGCGCAGGAGAGAGGATGAAGGAAGTTGAAGCAAATATAAAAAGAAGACTGATATAATACAGCGTTTTTTTTTGGTGGTATGAATGAGTGGATCAATGAGTACCGTAGTTACTATAAAAATTACTTTAGCAGCTGTGTTTAAAAGCCTGCTAAATGAAAGGTATATTCTAAAAGAAAGGAATATATATATGCGTGGGAAGAAACGAGGAAAAATATTGCGGGACTAAGTACACGGGAGGAGAGAGATGGATGGATGGAAGATTGCGAAACAAGAACAAGACACTGATTGGAGAGCGATGAGAACGAAGATGACGATGGGGAAAACGCGAGGCAAAAGTGTGGACGGGAAGAAGAATATTCGAGAGCATAGCTCCGTGCCGAGAAGGAAGATAATGGAGAGATGAAGAGATGGCGATGGCGATGGGGCGATGGGCGATGTGGATAAATGGGATTTGTGGATTGTGTGTATGAAAGACCCGGGAAGAATCGAGCCTCATGTGCGATCCATGAGGAGGACGAGGCAAGCGGAGGAACGCAGATAATAGATCGCCGGAGCAAAAACGAAAAAAACAGAAATAATAGAGAATAGGCATACTAAATATTGCCTAGAAAGCCCTTGAAATGAGGATAAAATGCAACACCAGGCCAAGCACGAACAAGCTTAGGGAAAAAAAAACACGATGCGATCGTTGATTTGATAAGCACACAAAGAACAATGGGGAGAAGCGAAACGAAGCGGAGAGTGCGTGAACAGCAAGAAGAGAAGAAAGGAAGAGGTACAGATGAAGGGTTCTTCTTTCAATAGATGGATGGTCGATTTGGTGTCGATGGCGATGCCATGCCCCCACGATGACGAGGACATCGAACCCCGATCGCCAAGCAAGGCTGCGCAAAATTGTCCCACAAGCCGCCAGCGTATGGTTGATGCACGATTGGGAATGGGATACGTTGACTACGGCATTAGATATTAGAAAGCCGTTTGAGTTGTGTTGCGCCGCGAGGATGGGTGGCGAGGGAAAAAATGAGCAAGCCTATTCAAGGAGTAGTGCGACATGTGCCGTACTACTCCTGGCCGGGCGTGCAAGATGGTGGTGATAGACAGTGGAGTTACGAGCGGGTGGCTCGGAGGGATAGACCTATCGACGAGCGACGTAACGCCAGTATTGGTTGTTGGGTGGCTATAAACGGATGCTCGTTAGCTATAACAGCCAAAAAAAAATGATGCTATGATGGCGGTATACCTCGGTACCGGGAGTGGAGCAATCTAGGGATGGATGAGTGAGTATGCTATGGATACAGGGATGGGAATAGAAAAGCTCACGAGCACGAATGCACTCCCAGATGTCGACCCCCTTTCTCCTGGGATCCCAGACACCGCACTGGGCATTGACTGCCCATTGAACGTTGAGTTCCCAGATTCGAGTGGCATCACTGACGAGACCAGGCATGATGAGTGGGCTGGGGGTGGCAATAGGAGGAAGATGGGCAGGTGAGTGGGGTTGAGCGTATTTAAAGTAGCCTCAGGGGCGGGGAAAGAAAAGACGAGGGGGAGATATTTCCGGTAACCAGGATACAGAGGGCCATTTCGAGGCAGGACGGTCTTATAGAGAGAGAGGCTGAGCCTGGCTGAGCTGGTTGCAAGCTATCGGACGCGCGCTGCCTCTCTGCCAGATCTCTTCCAGATCCTGTTTCTATGACATCCCGATTTGGCTCTGACCCATGACGCGTGGCCCTATCGATCATCTCGGCGTTCCCCGGCTTCCCAGTCTCCCGCCACTCGCTTCCGGCGCCGCCCCCTGCACGACCACAAACCCGTATTATTATCCTTTCCGGCAGGTTTGAACCAGAATGTCAGCACCAGGTCACGACTTCCACTAATCAATGCTCTTCTATCTACACCTGATCTACACGCTTCAAAGCCCATCAAGCACTGCCTGCAACGACGAGACCTGCATTGTTGTCTTCGTTAAATAACTCCCCGCTAATTTGAGAACACGCCTGCTGATGAAGACAAAGCGCAGCCTTTCCTTGTGACCTGCCTTCCATCTTATTCATTGGCTTTATCTCCGTAATCAGTAGAACCACACCCATATGATTTCTTACCATTTCTTCGAAGTACTGTAAACGCGGGTGTGCTTCTCGTCCTTCCCACTGTCCAATTGATGGAGCCAGGAGAAGCACTCGAGGATCCATCCCTTCACGGAATATTTCACCAACGCCCCAGCGGTCTGGCCCTTTTCGCACCAATTTCCGATCGCTTGCCCGAATAGTTCCTAGGTTCGAACGCCTTCTCGCCGTTCTCGGAAGTACCACAACCCGTTGTCAAAAAACCGCGAGGTGTCTTGTGGCGCTGCCTTGCGGCGTTAATATACCGACCCAGATTCTTATTTTTTTTTTTGGTTGACCGGAAGGTACTCGACTGATATGTTGTCCAGTTACAACGTTTACAGTTCAACGTTCAAGCGTTTGATCGGAGTCCAACACGCCTTACAACGTGTTTTCTAGTGCCACTATCCCAAGCCTCTTGTCAATCTGTAGTCAAAAGTAAAACTTTTTACTGGATGCAACGAACTCCGGTATTACAATGCTCTTGTTGTACCGCTCGTGCCCTCCCGCGATCGTCAAACCGTACCGGTACACCGACCCGGTCGTCTTGGTCGGGCCTTCCCAAGGTCTTCCAATCATCCGTGGTGCATGACTTCCAAACATATGAAAGGCAGCGCTCGCTCGCTATGTGGATCTAACCAGTACCAGCGCTCGGAAACCTAAAGACCTAGACTCGTGCCTGCCTGCGCAGTGCATGATACGTTTGACGTGTGACTATATTAGTATATGGTATACGGTGACAGAAACATATTTATTCTGTGCATACGTGGCGAGTGACCAGCGATTCACGCCTCTCGGTTGTGCCATGGGTTTGATTTAAGAACCCGATGTCGCTGAGCAACGAATATTCCGACGTCGCACAGGACCACGCTTCGAGTCTACTGTAATAGGATATTCGAGGCTCGAGGCTCGAGGCTTCTGCGCCAATGTCCATTACCAAATAAAAATGAAGAGGACGGACGTCGGCCGCTGGTGGGTAAAACTTAGTAAAACCCCCTTCGGTGAGCGTTTGATCATGACTTGGAACTATCTTCGGAGGCTTCGGAAGTTAAGTAAGTTGACACAGAGTTCTAGGTCTTCTTCTTTACGTACAGAAACAGCTTGGTGTCCAGAAAGGAGCGCTGTCCGGTGCCAGACTGCCAGGATTTTATTGGAGTTCAGGAAACTCATCCATTCGTCCTTTCAGACTCTGTTAAGTAACCGGTGGTGCCCTGTGCGAGTTATATGTATTGTGAAATCGAAGTCTCGACGGCTGATTTTCTGGAAGCTCTGAACTACTGTAGTAGCAAAACCCTTGGACAAATCTCGAGCCGCGCGTTCCTCTTGTAACGAGGTCCAAAGAGAGCATGAAGACGCGTTGGGGTGTTGTTGCATCAACTAAAAGTCATTGCACACTCCCCAAAGAACGCGCACTAATTCTTGATATCTCCTGACTGCTTGATGCTGCGTTTATTATCCAATCGACTCACATGCATCGGAATATACTTCATTCAGGGTGCGTTCGTCTTTGGCAGGTCCTGAGAACGAAGAAGAACGCACGCACACTTCGGGCTTACTAGAAATGTAGATTGTGCTTGGGTGGTTACGCGTCAATGTATCAGCACGCATCGCACTGACACTGAAAAGCGTGCTTTTGGTGCGTATGTGTAACTTGGAAACATCCAACACATGTTGATTCACGCCCAATAGCTATTTCCAGATCCTGGACTCGGACCCTAATAATGGCACCGTCCCTCGGTCAGTCAGACATAAGGTTTTTGTGGTGTTGAGCGACAACCAACACTCAACTTCACTGACAGTTTGATCATGTCGTTGCAGGCTGGTTTCAACGTGTTCTTATCCTTGGGCATCATTATCATCATCTTCGAGACAGACACAATCAGAATCACATACCACACGCTTATGCTTCCGATAGATGACTCAGGCTGAGGAAGGGTACCAGTACCATTGGTTTTTATTTCTGAACTGCGAGATCTAACAATGGCCTATGATACCGCACGTCACTTACAGCCCTTGATGACTATTCTTATATATGATCGGGTCCGCCTCGCGCAAGTACACACAACACCCGAGGAAACGAACCGTTATGCAGAAGTACGTCCGTTACATTCCTCTTAATTTTCCAGATCTTTAAGCGTTTAACACCGGAGCGTCCAGTTTGGGGTAAATCTCGCTATCCCGCGATACATTACATGATATTACCGACATGGTTAGACGCAGATAAGGGACGTATCAGTCGTGTTCTGAGAACTGCAAACCCCCTCAGAGAATCATTCTCTCTCATGGGCCATGACGCTCCGAGTCTATCTGTTGTAACAGCGGACAGAAGCCGATAGGCTTACGACTTATCTCGTCGCGCTGGCCAGTGATCTAGAGATGACCAAGCCATCCTTCAGAGTGAGGTCTTCGTATTATGCATTACGATGTTCTGTATGTCTCCGTTCTGTACTTTCACTCACTCGCTTGGCTGAAATCTCCGTCTCATGGAGAAGCAACAAGAATTCGAGAAGCACCCTTGGACATCGCGATTGTCAATTGCAAAGAAGATTTAAGGACCTTCGCCTTTCAAATTCGCTGCCAACGCCGGTCTATAGCCTGAGCTATTATCACAAGATACGAACTCGTCGCCGCCGCCGTTCATTTCGCCTACAACTGTACGGTCACGTCGTGGTCCTCCTAGTGTCGTCCAGGTATCACGTTCACCACGAAGCAAAAGAATACTCTCGCAGGACCACACAAACTCCGTACCCTCACCTCGTTAGCCCGTCCTACCTCCAAACACTTCGAAACAGAGCGCTCATTCAACGTTTGCATCCTTAGATTCTACATGACACCCTGGGACCGAGGCCTATTCATTGAAAGGCGGGTACAATCATATGTCAAGGCTACTGTATACACCATCGCCGCTGGGTTCTCTTCGCGCCACACGCCCTGATTCTCATGCGAGAAGAAGGACAAATCCCCTCGGAGTTTGCGAAGAAGGTTGTCCAGTCCAATCATAGCCATGCTTCCATGTCATACTCAGGCGTGTGGTGGTTTCATTCAGTCTTGTGTTAGAGAATCATGGATACCATCTGCTACTGACAGAATTTCAAACGAAAACTCATCTCGCAATCATATGGAGCATGGGTACGAGCGACAGGTGGGCATATGATTGACTGGACGCGCTCTTCGCTATACATACAGCAACTACCGAAGGGCGAAGCATTCAAGATTTTAACTACACTTGCTTCCTAGACTTCGCCGCACATTCGTCCGCCTGCAACACGACTGGTTAGGCCTTAGGAGGGTCCAGCCCGAGACCACCATATGGCTTTGAGGCCTTGAGGCCTAGTTTGAGGCGTTGCCCTCACACGTGAATGCTCCCCCTCGTCCTGTGTAACACATCCAGGGCGCACGCGTTCGTGCGCAGAAGGCTTCCCTCCACTCGACAAGGACTGGCGAAAACGTAATGGTATTACATCTATTATCTGAGGCCCTCAAAACCCAACCAGAACACAAGTTCTAACTAAAGATATCGAAGACGTCAACAAGGTTCATCGTTCAGAAGGGTATGTCACGTCCAGCGAGGTGATCACACGACAACAAAAGTCACTAGAGAGGATATAGAGAAAAACGCGCGAGAGAGAAAGTAGGTCCGATAGTAAAAAGAAGGAAAAAAGCTGTCCGTCCGATGAATGGATATATCTCAGAGTCCATTAAGTGATATACCATGAAAGTACTACAGTTTGGTTTTGATTTACACCACCGTTGGGTATGCACTTACTCAGTGGTGACCGACTTGGCCCTGAAAACACAAATGTCAGCAACCATGACATGAGAGAACGTCGGGGCACTCACAGGTTCCTCGGGAAATCGACATCGAAGCCGTTCCTGACGGCAAGGTGGTACGAAAGCAATTGCAAGGGAATGATGTTCAAGATACCCTGCAAGCAATCGACGGTCTTGGGTACACGGATAGTCTTCACGCCCTTGGGAATAGCATCATCATTTTCATTGCACACGACAATCGGCTGCGCTTTGCGGGCGGTGATCTGGGAAAATGCGGATTGGACCTTGGGGTACAACGAGTCTTGAGTCATGATGATGATAACGGGCATGTTCTCGTCGATGAGCGCAAGGGGACCATGCTTGAGCTCTCCGGCCAGGATACCTTCCGAGTGCATGTACGAGATTTCCTTAATCTTGAGGGCACCCTCGAGACACGTAGCGTATTGGTATCCTCTGCCCATGAGCAAGAGACTACGCTGGTTGGCCAAGACGCCAGTGGCGAGATCCTGGAGGCTCTTGTCGTTATCGAGGACCTTGCGAATCTGACCAGGGAGAGCATGGAGACCCTCGATGATCTGGGTGCGACGATTCATGAGCGACAGGCGGTCCTCGGAGAGTTGCAATGCCACCATAAGCAAAGCGATGTATTGCGAAGTGTAGGCCTGTGAGACGTTATCAGCTCAAGATCGGAACGCAGCAGGAATAACATACCTTGGTCGAGGCAACACCAATTTCGGGGCCGGCATTGATGTGGACACCACAGTGAGTCTCACGCGAGATTGTGGAACCGACAGTGTTGACAATGCCGACACACAGGGCACCACGCTCCAAGCAGTAACGAAGAGCGAGAATGGTATCTGCAGTCTCACCACTCTGACTGACGAAGACGCAAACATCATCTCGGAAGATGGGAGTCTTCCTGTCCAAGAAGTCGGATGCCAACTCGACGCTGACGGGGATCTCCGTCAACTCTTCGAAGATGGCACGTGTGGCGATAGCAGAATGGTACGAGGTACCGCAGGCACAGAATACGATTCTTCTGCCTCGGCGGATGATAGGCAAGTACGCACGGAGACCACCGAGTGTGATGACGTTCTGGTCAAAGTTGACACGACCACGCATAGTGTTGACGACGGACTCGGGCTGCTCGTAGATCTCCTTCTGCATAAAGTGGTCGAACTTGCCCTTCATGATCTCGGCCAACTCGATCTCGAGTGTCTCAATCATACGATGGGTAGCAACCTGAGGACCATCACCGTCGTTGCGGCGAAGACGGTGAATGTGCAGCTCGCCCTCGGCGATGTGTGCAATATCGTCATCCTCGAGGTACAACACACGCTTCGTGTGCTCAATGATGGCTGAGGCATCTGAAGCGACGAAGAACTCAATGGGTTGGGGCATGCCGTCTTCAGACATGAACGCGCGAGACTGGGTGCGGAGCAGGTTAGGTCCTGCGGAGGGAGGTGCAAGAAGGCCGCCGGGGGAGGTAGGTGCAACTAAAAGGAATGAGCCGGGTATGGAATGGACAATGTGGAGTGAACTTACGAGCATCAAGGCTCTTGGCATCACCTTCCGGACCAGCGAACTCGACATCGACAAAGTCGACCTTGAGCTTCTTCTCAGTCTTGACGCCAATCAAAAGGGGAGAGCCGCGACGGGCGGTGACGACCTCATTGGGGTAGTGACAAGACTTGAAAACAAAAGCAAATGAACCCTCGAGTTCCTTCAAAACAGTCTTGATTAGGTCGGGGAATGAGATGCGCTTGTCGGGTTGTGAATCGTAAATGTATTTCGTCAAGATTGCAACAGCCTCAGTATCGGTCTCACTCTCGAACCGGAATCCACGCTTCTGCAGGAGAAGTCGAAGAGCCGCGGCATTGGTGACGATACCATTGTGGACAACGGTGAATTCAGCTTTGGGGTCGGACTTGAGAGGGTGGCAGTTTGCGATGGAAGGAGGACCGTGGGTGGCCCAACGAGTGTGTGCAATAGAGACTTGGGAAAGGAATGTCTTTGAAGTGTCGACACTGGCTTCGGCGATCTTCTTGCGGAGACCGGCAACTTTACCAACTTCTTTGAAGAACATCATCTCTCCTGGCTTGTCGCCGTCAATGCCAATACCGGCAGAGTCGTAACCTCGATACTCTTGGCGAGCAAGCCCATTGCAAAGAATATCGCATATCGTCTTCCGGTCCTGCAAATCCCAAGAAAGTTAAGCATTTTGGTGTCAAACGGACGGATACTTCCATTTTCGGGACACGCGCTTAGACAAGGAAAAGGAAAGGAGTAAAAGTGCACGAAGGCGTGAAGCAACCGAACGCGCCAGTCGCGAGCCTATATGCCTATGCTTCTTGATGGTTGACGTGCAAAGCTATGTTCAGATCGTCGCCGCTGGCGAACGGAAACGACATGCCTTTGCACGTCATCTGCAGATCGTCTCTATACGGTGATCCACACAATGGGCCTGGGGCAAGCCATCGACCATTGGCCCGATGTGTGGGGTCATACGTCGCAGATCTAAGCGTTGTTCGCGAACACGACTCGAGACAAGGGTCGAGACGGACGGTGAGGTCCATGCAAAAGTGACTCAACCCCGCGCCCTGTAAAGCGCATACAAGCGCGATGCTTGACCCGCCAAAGACGTTTTGAGGACACAATTGCACGACCGCCACCCCTTAACCCTCGCCCATGCATTCAAGGATCACCAAATCAAACATTTCCTAAGGGACATGAAAAGTGTCGAAGGTGAAACGTCTGCTCACCTTGTCCTGCAAGTAACTGCAATACGCAAAAATGCCACACATCGTGAAGGGATTGAAGTCTAAAGAGGGTCGTAGAGGTAGGTCTTAGTGCAAAAATGTCAGTAGGAGCTCGTTGTGGTCAACGATGTACACACCGTCGAAGGGAAGACGAGGAGATAGAGACGAACCAGAGTGACGGGCACCAGCTTGATATATACCTCGGGCGCTTGACATACGCGCAGAATCACGCTGTCACACGGCGATGCCTAGAGCGTGCCTTGTCACAGATTCGTGACCGAGTAACAGGCAGTGGTCACTGCCGTGTCCACCGCTTTTCATTTTGAGTTTCACCAACTTGGATGTTCTGTGAGGCTCAATGTTTCTCTCCTTTCCTGACACGGAATGGCTCCAAAAAATGACTCTTTCGTTCTTTCTGATTATGAAGGTTCTTATAAATCCTGCGTTTTGATTACCTACGTTGTTCCTAGATAACAATTCGCTCGCGAGGTTGACCGAAGTCGGTGACAATGTTCGTGCGAGCCACAATCATCTTCATCAACGCCAACGCAGTTGTTTGTATGACCGAATTGTATTTCAATCAGCATGCTCACGGTAATTGTCCAGCTTCATTGAAATGCCGTGCTGTCACACTGGTGTTTATCTTCTGCTTGCTGATGAGGACAGATATGAAACCAGAGCCAGCGAAGTTCCTCCTGGTTAGGCTATGGAGATGATCATTTCATGGTGGAACATGCTGCATCCACTCGTACGCCCAAGGCTTCTCCCGGTACTTTCATTCCACCGTGGATCAATGGACTTAGTGAGATACGGAACTCTCAAGCTTTCATGATGTCCGAGCATGCCGTTATATCGCTCGACCAAGGCTCGACTGATAAGGTATTTCAGATCTTAAACCCTCACACCCATGAGGATCTATCCGGGTCGGTTGCTGAACGTGAAAGCATGTTCGTACGTTGATCATTGTTCAGGATCAGCGATTGAACTTCCTTCAAGTGTGTCTGCAGAAAGGATCTTCTCCCTTCCCCTCATTGCTTTCGCATGCGTTGATATTCTTAATCACGTCACAGGTCAAAGATGATGCAACCGACTATCGTCGTACAACTACACTAACAATACAAGGTATGCTTCTCATAGTTCCATGTTGATACGTGCTGTATTCACAACGCCCGCTGCCCAGCAAGACCCTGACCACCAGTTGGACCAGTTCCGCCGGTTGCGTTATTGTCGAAGTTATTACCGAAGTTCTGACCCTGCGCACCGCCACCAAGTGCCTTGTTACGAGGATCCGCACCTATTTGTAGGTTACTGTAAGCACCGACTCTGAATCGACGAAGACTGAAAGGTTACCATGTTGAACAGCACGTTCGCGACGTAGCAGTGCTTCTTTCTCAAGACGCTCCGCTTCACCGATCTCAGCGCTCTGCTGCTTGTAAGACTCAGCCTCCTGTTCTTTCTGCATGCCCTTGGTTTTCAACGCTTGAGAGCCAATCATCGAACCAACAGCATGCTCCACCTTTCCTGCCATGCGAGCCCCACCACCACCGTGTTGACCGGTGTTGATCTGGTTCGCAGGTGGGATAGAAGGGTCGTTGTAACCCGCGGTATTGGAGTATGGATCGGCACCTTGAGTGTAGCCACCCTGTGCACCCTGAGCACCCTGAGCGTACGTGTCAGTACGATTATCTTGCCCGGTTGTAATTGAACTTACCGTGCCGCCGAATCCTTGTTGCTGTGGGTTCATACCGCCCTGGGTGTCATGACCGGCATTGTGTCTATCATGATGTCTTTGACCGGCACCGACACCAGCAACGCCAGCGCTGTTGTTGGGGAAGTCGTTACGACCGGTGGTCGTGTTATTGTTAACGTTGTGGTCAACGTTCTTCTGTATATGCAGTCTTGTCAAGTGATGTTGAAAACATCAGAAACCAAGATTAACGTACGTCCTTGTGTCCAAAGAGAGGCATGATTAATTCGTGAGTAGGTAAGGATAAGTTGTTTAAATGCAAGTTGTAAGTGTCGTTGACAGATGGTGTGAGATGTGTTTGTGTAGACTCCAAGTCACCTCGAAACGGTGTTTTATATAGTTCTGAAAGTACCAGACCATATCCGCAATAGCTCCACAATGACGAGTTTAATCCACAAAAATTCTTCTCCGCAGCTCAAAATCACTTTAGCCCTTTGCGGTTTGAAATGGAGCCTGAAGCTCGAGGTCCTGTGGAGAACTGACCGTGCCACGGTCAAAACTTTGCGTGTAAGTGTAAGTCGAAAGCAGAGGCCGGATCATCAGAGATCGTCCATGGTTTGAATATTTCGTGAACAAAGTCATTAGCATGAAATTCATATAGCTCGCCGCATACACAAGAAGTCCATCTATTGCATCCAATACATAGAAGGAAACAAAAACATCACCTAGCTCACCGATGACCACCCAACCTCGCCCAGAACATATCCTCCCTCAACTTCACCAACTCCTTCCAGGTTCGCTCTTCCCAAGTGCCATCGGTAACATACACACCAGGGATCTCATCCTCTTCCGCCGTCTCTTCAGGAACATCGACACCGTCACGATGTACCTCGGCGTCACGTTCCTTTTCCTCAAACAGGTCAATGTCTGAAATGACCACTGGTGACGTCGACACTTTCTCTGCAGACGAATTGGAATTCTGATCGTCATGATTTGATACGTCGAGGGGAGGGCTCTGGGTAGGACTCGGTGTCCGTATTCCAGGTGTTAGTTCTACGGACCCAGTACCTTCCTGAGGTGACGTCGATCGGTCTGTAGATTCATGACGCTCTTCTGAAGCGGGAAGGACTTCGTTCTTCGAGACGTCTTCCTCATCAACAGTTCCATGCACTTCTGATGATGGGGCAGAGTTCTGGGTAGCGACTTCCTTGCTTTCGGTGGGAGCGGGTTCTGTGGTGGGTACTGAAACAGCCGCAGGCGTCGCAGTCGAGGTTGGGCGTGTACGAGCCGCCGCACGTCGAGGCAAGGGAGGAGGCACTGGCCGTACCGTCTGCGCAGGTGCCGTGTCTTCAGCTGCTGAAGGGACCGCACTTGCTGCCGCTGCAGGGACAGATGCAGGTGCAGGTGGGGGCGTTTCTTCAGATGTTGTAGACGTTGCTTCAGCAGAAGGTAGCTCCGGGGGCAGCTCCGTTTCCGTTGGAACTGGCGTTGATGGCCCAGAAGCGGGGAGGGGGATTGTTGCAGGAGATATAGGCCGTGAAGGCGTAGATGGAGGATACTCTTCGACAGGCGTGATAAAGTGATCATGAGACTCGCTTCGAACACTTTCTGGTGCTTCGGGTAGAGTTAAGCGAGGAGCTTCTTGTGACGCTGTCTGAGTAGATTCCGTATGCACCGATGTCGAATCAGCATTAGTTGAAACACCATTGACAGCTGGCGAGGCAGTTCGATTTGGAAGGGCAGGACTCTCGGAACGTGAAACAGGTTGATGGTGTTCGTCTCGAGTACGATTTCTCTTCGGCAAAGGAGGAGGCGCAGACTGGGCTTGAGGTTGGGGCTGAGCAAGCCTCGGTACAGGCGCATGCACCGAAGGATGGGAGGGTGGCGGAGGTGGCAATCTTCTTTTTGTAGGAGTCGAGGGAGGTGCTGGGGATGCAGTCCTCCTCTCACCCTCCTCACTTTTGACAGGAGATTCCGTTCCCGGTTCCCTACTACCGCTCAAACCACGCTGCATCGTACCCCATAATGCACCTATACGTGATCGTCTTGGTGGAGGGACCGGTGCTTTAGAATCAGACGATGGGGAACCAGATTCAGGTTGTTTCGAAACACCGTTTACATTGGACTTGGGCGTTTCGGATGATGGTGTTGGGACAAAAGGTTCTTCCTCCCAGACCTTTTCAACGATACCCGTTCGGATGAATGCCCACAGACAGCATGTTGTTCGAAGCCTTGTTAGACACCAACCGGTGGTACACAGGGGGTAAATTGTCGGACGTTGTTGTGCATTCGACTGCTGTGATGCAATCGGTAGCGATACAGGTAATCCAGACGACGAAGTAGCTAGACGGAAGATATACACCTGGGTCGGTGGCTCGCTAGGAGGAGCATTATGAAGCGCGAGGGTTGAGAAGTTAGTATTCGAAGCAGGGGATATGCTCTGTAGTGAGTTCTTCAGCAGCGCAGATGCTGACGTCCATGACGCATTACGGTTTGGTGATAATAGATGAGTGGATTTTCCAGATGAAGGTGGATCTAAAATAGTAGCGCCGCAGAGTGCACATGCGACATGGGTATGATGGATACTTCCGGGTATATTTGGAGGCGAGAGTTCCTCTAGGAGGGTGGAAGTAGACATAGGCTCGACAGTGAGTTGCCCGCTATGGATAGCGGACAGGACAGAACGTCGCGTAAGCCAGTTGAGCGAGGGCGCCATATCCAAACGAACAGTTGGATCTCTGAAAAAAAACCTTAGTAATTAGACATACGCCACTCGCATCGAGGTGCTCACGAATCTTCTGAAACCAGCCTTGCCAGCAAAGGCAGTGGTAACAACGTGGACATCGCAGGAGCGTGTTGCGTCGTTGGACGTATAGAGCGGAGGTGACCAATGAATTGCAAGTACTCATGGTACGGCAAGTGAGTACACAACAGATGCAACTTCATTGTGCCGGTGAACCTAGGTCTTGACACCCATTTGCCCTTACCCATTGTCGCACGCATTTCCTCGACCCTCCGTTGAGCCTGCTCTTTCTCCGCTTCCAACCTCTGCATTTGGGACTGAAGAATCCCCACAACTTCTTCTGCGCTCTTTAATGCTGTTTCTGTCTCCGTGACCTTCTGTTCACTTCGAGCGCGAGCGAAGCGAGCTTCCGCCACCATCCTATTGGCTTGATCGAAGAGTCCTGCACTGAGGTCGTCCAATTCTTGTTCGATCTCTGCCCTCGCACTTTCAGCTTGTCCACGTCTTGCAGCTTCCTCTGTTGCCTTCTCCATGAGTCGCGTCAACTCCGAGGTGACATGAGATTTTTCGACTAGCAAGCCAGTACTCAGCGCAGACAGGTGTTGCGTTCTCTCCAATTCCAGCTGAGAAATCTTGAGCGTAGCTTGACGTAGATTTGAGGAAGTGACATGTATTTCATCTTCGAGGTCCGAAACGCGATCGTAGGACCGTACGAGCTTGCTGTTGAGCTGTGACACTTGTGCGAATAGGTCTTGTACCTGTGACCGGAGGGAATCAATGACCATGGCCTGTGCGTCTGGGTCGCTATGGTGTCGGTTGACTTTGGAAGCATTATCAGTAGTGCCATTGGGATCTACTGCAACTTTCTGCTCAAGAAAGTCGGCTTCCTGGTTGAGTTCGTGCATTTCCTCGTCTTCGTGGTGTACAGTTTCGCCCATTGTGCCTGATAGGGTTATAAAGGTCAGAACATGAGGTCTACGCATTGCAAGGTATTTGATACGTACCTCGTGGTTTGATACAGCTGTACCGTCCCCCAGACGATCCTCCGCAATAGATAATATGCAGTAAAGGTGTATGTGTGACGTCGAAGGGGTATCTAGCTACGGGCGCTACTTTGGCCGTATATAACACGAATATAACTTAAGACTCTAGTGTAACGCTCTTACAAACACATTATAAACTTGTTACAGACGTCTTCAATCCAATTTGGCGCTCGTTCAGCAGTCTTCACTGTGACCATCATTTGAGCAACTATTTGGTGCTTGACCTTTGCTCGTCGTTTTATTCAAAGGTCCTTCTTGTCGGAACCATGAGTTATCACCGAAGACGGCACAACAACAGAGGTGCGACATTGAGCTCTTGAGAGTATATTAAGCCCGCGGTTCGAACTTTCCAACCCGTTAGGTTATGACGATGACTTTCGACGAGAAGTCTATGAGACTCCAGAGCAGAAGCTCAAAAGCACCATTTTCAAGTTGGGAGAAGTGGTAAGTAACGTCTATCTATGGAATATTCGATGAATGAATTCTTCGATAGGACCCAATTCTGGAGGTACCTCGCATAACCAAACAGCTTCTTGAAGAGCCTGCTCTGAATGCACCTGTCATTTCTGAAGGTTTTCGCATAGCGTATGTTGTCCAATCATCTGCGTGTGTTTCTTCTAATCATTTTCTTGTAGAGTTACGGAGCAACCATTCAAAATCCCTTATTACGCGGCACTACTCCGAGAGCTTTATGACCCGGTTGAAGATGTGGATGAATCTTCCACAGCATCGCCGACACTTGGCAGGCAGATATTGGACGACTTTTGGAAGGGTTTTCAGGCGTCTTTGGATAAGCTGGCATGGAGGGATATGAGGCTCTCCGTGAGTTCAATTACCATGTAGTTGAAGTCGCCTCCCTTGACGCGTTTCCTTTCCAACAGATACATCTGTTCGCTCACCTGACTATGGCGCAAGTAATTACCACACAATCTATGTTTGAGCTGCTACGTTCATTTGCTGCAGTTCTCGACGAGTTTGGTGTGTCGCATGGTCGAGCAAAAAAGGCTGCACTTTGCGCCTCCGAGGGTCTTATGATTGTACGTTCTACTATCGCAAACACCGTGTCTTTCCTCTAATAGACAACCAGGCTGGTCCAGTTATTAAGGAGAACCCGAGCACAAACGTAATTGATATTATCAGCGCCATTCAGGCGTATATCGAATCTTCAGCAGACTCGAAGAGACTTGTTCAACCCACGGTCGCATTATTCTCGGACTCAGTGACCGTAGAAGCTGCCGACGAGGTATGGTGTAGTAGCATCACAGGAATTGCCAGTCTTAACTTTTGAACAGATTCTGGATTCCGCCCTAGCAACTTTGCAAATTCTCAACTCTTCTGACTTCTCTCAGACCGCCGAGAGCTACCCGCAACCCTATCTTGTTGCACCAAAGCCGAGCAGCGCTCCTTTTGAGCTGCCTTCTATTCTTGTTCCGCCTGAAGTCATTGAATTAGACAGTCTACACACCGATTCTGGCGAAGATGCGCTCGTGAAGAAGGAAGAATGGGCTGAGTTCTACATTCGCATCTTTGATAACGATGTTGGTCCTTATTTCCTCCATGTGGAATGCTGCTTATACTTTGCCATAGGTCACTCCTGACCCAACGACACCCGCTGGTTACGCCGTTCGCTCTGGTCTACTTGATCTGATCGATATTTACGAAGTCAATCGTAAGGAGTGCGCACGCCTACTTCTTGAGTTCCCTAAGTGGACTTTGCCGGGGACGTTCAAGCCCAAACCAGGTGCTCCGCCACAAGATGGTGTCTCAGGTAAAGACTGGCAACTGGAAAGCACTCTCATCGAGGTCAGTATATCCAGTACGCTTTTTGGCTACACATGCAGAAATAATTACGTCTTTCTTAGACTATTCTAGGCTCTCTTTTCCTCTTACCTGAATCTAACTATAAGTCCATCTACTACGTCGCGCTCGTCACCGAATTGTGCAAACTATCACCCAGCACTATCGGGCCTGCAGTCGGAAAGTCAATCCGGAAGATGTACGGATTGCTATCAGACGGACTTGATGTTGAAGTTGCCCTCAGGTTTGTTGATTGGTTTGCAGTTCATATGAGTAACTTCAATTTCCAATGGGTTTGGAAAGAATGGTGAGTACCTCATTACTATTAGTAGGTATCATTCTGAAGTTTGGCTACTCAGGGTGCCAGACTTGGACCTTTCGATCCAGCATCCCAAACGGACATTCATGCGCCGGGCAATTGACTTGGAAATCCGTCTGTCATACTATGACAGGATTCTCAAGACACTGCCTGAACCTATGCAAAACCCGGATATGAAGCTTTTGCCAGTCGAAGCACCAGGACCTGATTATGAGTACGATGACCCGTGTACGTCTGTTATGAATACTTTCTCTTCTCGTATGCTCTCCTTATGCCTTCCCGGTACAGCGAACCCGAATCATGATGCAGCTCAAACAGTGCTCAATCTCCTGCGAGGTCGAGCTAAAGCAGAAGACGTCATGTCTCACTTGCAAGGATTGAAAAATACGTTAGAGACGGCCGACAGCGACAGCAACGTCGATTCGATCATTCGTTCTATTGCCGTCCAGTCATTGTTGCACATTGGTTCCCGCTCGTTCTCGCATTTCCTTAACGCCATCGAACGATACTTGCCTCTTCTGCGAAATCTTGCTGCAGGAGGCATCTCATCAGGAGGCTCACCCAGCTTCGAAGCTCGCAAAGATATCCTCGATGCGGTCATTGCATTCTGGAAGCATAGCAAACATATGGTCGTGATCGTATACGACAAGTTGATGCAGTATCAAATCGTCGACCCAACGGATGTAGTCGCCTGGACGTTCCTGCATGGACGGCAATTCGTCGCAACCGAGGATTCGTCCAGCTTTGACGCCTTCCAGTGGTCATTGCTCAAAGGTGCGCTGGACAAGGCGAACGGTCGAGTTGTGATTGCTCGACGACGTGTTGCTGCTTTACGGAAAGAGGAAGATGATAGAGCTGCAAGAGAGAAGGCCAGCGACCAAGCTACTATGGAAGTCGACGCCGAAGCGAAGCCGGGTAAGCTTTATTTTTCTTCTAAGATCGGAGCCTTTTGCTCATTTATAACTGTAGACGAGCCAGTAGTCGAGTCTGCAGCTTTGACTACGGCATTGAAGGCGTTTGCTACGCTCACGCGCGAACAGAGGAATGCATTGTCGCGAGCTTTAAATGGCTTCGTTGATTGTCTGGTCTCGCAGTCTAACCCGAACGTCCGAGCTGGAGAGGTTATCCAAGAGAAAGCGTGGCACAACCGCGTGAACTGGAATGAGAAAGAATGGTTGGCTTGGGAGACATGGGGATGGTATAGGCATTTCTGTCGTACGGTACGTTGAAATCTGACCAAAATCTCATGCTTAACCTCTAACCATATTTACAGTTCTCGCCTTACCTTCGCAACTATGCAAAAACTCTTGGCGCAGTCTCTTTCGCCAGGGTTGGGCCTGCTGGAGATCCCGCCGTGGAACTCTTCAGGAACATTTGGAACAACGCCACTGGCCAAGAAGCGTAGTTTCCGTAGTGTCGCTCGTTGTTTGCGACCACTTCGTGTATTTAATTCGTTGTACCTTATTGTTCAATGTTATTATCTTGCTCCAAGGCAGTGTTGCAGCATCTCCCAACGTGAACATGGTATTTACGGTATACAAAACAGGTCCGGGTCTTATTACATTACTATCACAAGCCAATACAAAAGAGTATTAGAACAAGAACAAAGGTCGTGGATATTGTGAATTCATCGGATGAAGAAACTATGGGCTACAGCGAGGGCACATGCCCCCGAACAGACGAAAAATCCAACAGCGTACCCACTGGGGTTGTCCTGTACACTGGTAGACCAGAGCTGCAAGATGTTCAAAACTTAGTGAACCTTCACGCCCCACAAGAGGGATTACTCACCAGACCGCCAAGAATAGGACCAAAGAACCGTGCCAAACTGACGATACTTTGTGCAATACCGTTGGCATATCCAACGACGTGGGGAGGTGACACTAGATAAGAGGGCTTAATCACAACAGAAACTCTCAGTTGATGAAGTACTCACTGTAGTTGAGTAGGACGGAGATCGCAGTATAGGAAAACGTAGAGCCGCAGAACCTGACAGCACTAACAATTGCATGTCAGAATCATGAATTAGACATCTATCACGGCGGGGACGTACGTGCTGACGGCCAGTGCTTGGTAAAAGTAGTCACGGTGAGTATAGGAAAGAGCAATGGAAATATGTTTCACTTACAAGCCATGAGGATGAGATTTCCATCGTCGGAGGCACTTGCGAAAACTCGATACATCGTGACAGTCAGATAGGAGGGTATGAATAGTAGGGAACCGATGCGGAACATGGATAGATGAGAGAATCGGCCTCTAGGTGGTCTGACAAAGCGAGTATGGGTATCATGCGTGACAACGAGGAATGTAGAGAAAAACATACCCAATATTACTGTAGTATGAAGTAAACGTCAAACATGAGTATGGTGCAACAGAACATAGTGCAAAACGTACGGGTAGAAGTAGAACTGGTATACAATCTGGGCGAGGCACATTAGGGCAACTATGCGTAGCTGTATGAGTATCTGGTCAAGACAGCGATTGGATGTCGTTGCACATACTAAGTTGAGAGAAGTGTCCAGCATTTAAATTGAGACCGCCAGACGGATATTTCCTACCATATCCTGTCAGAAAACAAGATGGAGACAGGAAAATACATGAAACTCACGATACGAGATAAAGATAGAACACTTGATCATGAGTCGTCGAGTGCAGAGCCAACAAACCATACTGAATGATCACCAGTAGTGGTAACTGGGACATCAATGAAGGTTCTTTCTCCAAAAACACGTCACTCGTTTCAGATGTTTGAGTGAGCGGTCTAGATTCTTGAATTGGAGCAAGACCTTCCCCGCCCTCTTCCTCATCGGCCATATCGAGCAACTGCTGGGCCTCCAAAACCGCAGGCGGAGTCCGAACACCGACATGGGAGAAGATTGGTGGAACTGTGACGGAAGGACGACGATGAAGTGATGGAAGATCGTCACCAACGGATAATGCAGAAGAGACATGGCGAACGGATGGGACGCGGCGTTGAGAGGTTGACAGTCGTCGTGGTGAACCTAATGGGGGACGCAATCCCGAGCCACCAAAGGAAGGTCGCCCCGACCGCACAGTGGCTACAGAATCTCGTCGACTAAACCGGTTTGCACGAGCAGCGGTGGGTCCCCCAAAGACATCGCTCTCATCGAGTTCTTCGCCAGTCCAAGCCTCCGGCACGTTATCTTCATCCTCCATTTCATCTTCCGAATCGAAAGGGTTCTCATTGTCGACGTTTATAGCAGCTGCAACCCAGAGATCGGCGATATTCGTAACCGCGTTCTCATTTGCCATGAGTAGTCTTTGGGCAAAGTTCAGCTCGCTACCAGTAGCAACGCTGGATGAGAGCCCATAACCATCGCCTCCACCATGGACGTTGCTATCTCTTCTGCGAAAAGCCATGCTTCCTCTTCGCGCACGAGCACTGACATTACTGGCAAGTCGATTCCTAAAGCTGCCGCTGTACCCATATGCAGATCCATCAGCGCGACTCGTTCTTGAGAATGTCCTTGCTTTGGCTGGCGTTGGAGCGAGAGCAACAGGTGGGGTGGATTCCTCGTCTCTGTGTGCGTCTAGGACGCGTCGGGCAAAGATTCCCGAGAACTTCCTGGATATCTTCTTCACTAACCCTCGCTCTTCTTGCGAATCAGAAAAGGGAACCGGTGTTGTAGGTCTTGATTCTTCCTCGGGTATCGTTGTAGATGCGATTTTCTCTGCAGGCAAACGGATGGCACCCTCACGAGGACCGCAATCCGGTCCAAGGAACAAGCAGAGAATAGAGCCTATTGACTGTCAGACAAGACGCTCAAAGATGTGATCTTGAGATGACATTACCTGTGAAAGTGATGGAAGCAGCGACTGCGCATGGAAGCAAATACGGATACTTTATGAATATCGGTACATGGGCAAATGCGCCAGGCCATTTCTTCGCTGGGTTCTCGACTGTGGGATACCAGAAGTGAGATCAAGTAGAGTTGGGTGAATGTGATATTTCCTTACAGGTTCCCCCTACAATTGCCCCGGAGACACCTCCGAAGCCCCAGCAGAACCTAATAAATCTTATGTCAGTTGCACAACAGCATGAGAAAGCTGCACGGCCTACCCAAGGATGGCGTATGCTCTGCCTTCATTACTTTGGTCTGTCACAGAAGTAACGGAACCACGAGCGACACCGATCGCGCCAGCGAACACACCCTGCATCAAACGGATGACCATGGCCTCCCGGAGCGATGTAGATGTTCCGAACAGGCAACAGGTAATGGCACTGCCCAGCAAGGATACAAAGAGGACAATTCTGGCACCATGCTTGGCAGCTACAGTAGCCTACTAAGAAGTCAATGAAGTCAGTTACAAAAGCACGAAAAGATACATACCCAGAGCAGAGAAGTGAGGAATTGCGTAAGAAAGAATGTTGATGCTGAAGTATTCATTAGTGTCGGTGTACTGCTGGAAATTACATTACATACCGAGGATACCGGTCCAGTATCCGACATCAGCCTCATCCGAAAACTGATTGAATCCTAGGATCAAGGGAACGTTGGGCATCAAGCTTAGATAGCATAGTAAGATACGTGCCTTCCACCATGAATAACAGGAATGGTGCAGAAACATTGGCCGATAGGAACTCGCCAAGCATAGTCTGTAGAAGGCACAAGTCTCAGCTGATAACGGGAAAAATCCTGCGATAGGGTGACCTGCATACTATTGACAAAACAATCATAGACAACATGGGCAAGGGAGTCGCGTACACTTCGGGCGGTGGCTGAAGTGCACTTGGTATTGGAGGCTTTGGCGAGTCTAACCCATCACCGTCCTCCCCACCTGTATTCTGCCATCTATTGAGGAAACTTGGTCTATGGCCGCGAGACATGGAGGTCCCTGCGGGTACTGAAGATCTTCGTGACATCTGGGGAGGCAATCCGTCATCATCAAGAGCAGTTTGTCGATGCCCAAATATGCGTTTCGGTAAGTCTCCACTCGTATTTGGCTCGGTCATTAGCAGAAGGGCCAACAGATGGTGTATAGGCTTCTAAGGTTGAAATGGTCGCTCCTGTCGCTTGGATGCCCTGCAGCAAGAGAAGTTATGACTAGAGCTACAGACCAGATGATACGTTCTACCTCCGACTGCAAGAGTACTCCCGAAAGATTTACAAAGGATAGGAATGTTGTGGATGAGTTTAAGTTGAATGTACATGTCAGTCGTAAATGAGAAATATCTATGGCTGTAATTTACTATTATTTACTTACCAAGTTAAGGTTATCTCTACTAATTCTAGTAAGAACAAGCCCAAGCAGGCCCAAGCTGCTTGCTCGTCCTCGTCAACCACGATGTTGCCTATCATGAACGATTCCACGACAGACTCAAAGCTTAGGCCTAGGCAGTGACATGTCGACGATGTGACCATGTAGAAAGGTCCATTGCCGTAATTTATTGTTGCCCGGAATTTCGAGGGCATAGGCTACGTAAATCTAGTCATTGTGACCTCCAGCAGTGGACCAGGTTTCCGTAATACCTTCGGCAACATGAGGGCCTTATCTGTACTGGTCGTTCTTTGTCTTTGTGAGCTACCCCCAACCATTCTGTATCCAGTGGCTCGAATACCTGACTAAAGAAGTGAGTATGTATGGCACTTCTTTCATCGTTCTTGAGTTAAGCTTGGTCTAATCCTCATAGTAATCAGCGCAGACATGGGGGGTCCGGGTTACCACGTCTGTCGCTACAAGGGCCACTACTTCGTCTACTATCAACGTAGCGATGCGCACCCAGAAGCTCTCGGCGTGGAGTTATTGCGAGAGATCCCAATTGACATTGAGCCGTTCCAGCGATGGCTAGCGGAGACGAAGAAAATCTACGGGGAAAGAGTGGCCATGTTGTCCCCCGAGTCCATCCTAACTGTGGATGGTGGTTCCAAGCATCATGTCACGCTGCTTCAACCTCATACCAGTGCACGGATTGAGTGGGTCTGGGAGATTAATCTCGACGATTTGACGTTCTGTCTGAATGGATCTCCATTTTTCTGTCTCGATTATCGTCCCAGCACGGAGATCTTCCTGGAGTCTATTGGTCGGGATCACTACAACCACATCATACCTTCCGACAAGCTTCCCCGAGAGTACCGCGCGCGGGTTTCCCGTTTGCCACCATATTATCGGGAAGCTGACATCCAGGTTTACAAAAGTAATTCCATTAAAGAACCTCAGAGGGCAGTTCGAGAGGTTCTATTTCAGCGAGGACACTTCTCCAACCATCAGACTGTCTGCATCCGAATGATGGAAGTGGCAGTGGGCCTTTGCCTCTGCTCTCCGTGCCGACCCTATCTCTCCTCAACGCTCATGCCAGATGAAAGCGCATTCACAGACGAGTTGAAGGATATGGCGCGAATGCTGATACGACTCGCCGTCTGTCCTGTCGAGTATTGCCGACTCACGCCAACTCGAGCTGAATCTGATGAAAATAAAGTCTCGCGCGATGCCGATTTCTGGTGGGTACGGAGACACATTTGCGTGCATTTTGCAACACATCTCGATGACGAGAGGAATTTGCAAGCCGCCGTCTCTCGTATAGTTGAGGAGCTTTCACATGGCGGAGACACCGAGGTTGTGTATGGTGTTGCATTTTCCTTCTTGCATATCGTGATCGTGTGCCATGACAAGAGATGCAAGGCGTTCATGCATACGCGAGCTTTGCCATTCCTCCCCGAACCCCTCGCTACGAGTCCCAGCACTCGTGGTATCACTGCTCTGGTTTGTCTAGGAGACTCTGGCTCCGTCGACGATAAAATCTTCTACGCTCGAAGGCTGGTCAAGGTGCATGGCTTTCATGACGTTTCATTCCCGGTGGGAGAGGACAACCCGAGGATATCTCAGCAAGGGAGTGGGAAGAGGATGGCCAATGAGATTTGGACGACCATCGCGTCTTTCATTCACGATGGTCGAGACCTCGCCAGCTTCGCACTAGCTTCCCACCAAACTCTCTCCGCAGCCTTGCCCTGGCTCAAGTATCCTCAGATTCGGGTTCCCACAAATAAGTCGACGAGTGACGTGATAATATTGTCAGGGGTTGGACCAACGGACTATTTACGAAGGTTCAAGGATGAGCATCTTCATCTGTATGGCGGCACGTTCCGTACCATTTGGAAAGAAGCACCTAGTGTTGTTTCAATCACTATCAAGCGTGCTGCATCCATTTTCCAAGCCACTTCCGCTGAGAGGTTCCGGTTTCCCGGAATAGACCCCGATGATTGTCAATTTGCTGTCTTTCTAGGTCCATTAGAAAAGGGAAAGGATGGACGAACGAGTATTCCAAGGATCTTGGATTAATGGTAAGGAGTTTCGACAACGACCAAGTTTGGTAGCTTCCGGCGAGATTCTTTGTACTGTATAACAATTCGCTATGACTTTGTGTCGACAATATTTGACTGTATAACAAACGATTTCGTTATCGCTTCAGAACGTATAAATCTGCCGCCGTCGGTTTAAGTACCCTGCGGTCCCTGCCTCGAAATTTAGTGGTTAGCTTAGGGCGCCTATATGCTGCTCCTTGCCAACGTTTTGAACGGTCCTGCCAGTGTGCCAGGTTAGTCTAGTAATTCGTCCTTCATCCAAAAAGCGATCATTCTCTTCACTTCATACCAGTGCAAGATTGCTGAAGGGGAGTTTTGGCTTTGTGTGGGGTTACGAAGGTAGTATTGGTGCGTAGATGAGATATATATTGGCAACACTTCGGTATTGACGACTAAAGTTATGTATTTTTATTGTTTGATTCGTAGTTATAGAGCAGCCTTACTAGGTAGCTATCAGGATTCACGTACGCATGATACCAAAGTCTTGAATCCCTGAATGTGGCTAGTATGATCCCCTTCATAGCTGCAAGCAATCACTGTGAAGCTCATGACTATGGTTACTTTTAGATTTACTTGCCTGGATGCATCCGAACCTGAATCAGCCCATTTCATTTCCCACCATCCTTAGTGCCACTCAGAGAGAGGGCCTTTCACGCGGGGATGTCCGCTCATGGTATGACCAACAAGCCAATGATGCGTTTCTTCATGTCCTTCGCCTACGCACATATCAAAATGACTTCGCACCTGTGAACATATTACCGGATGATATCCTAACTGAGATGTTCCTCTATCTGGCTGCAAACCGCTTGGAAGGAATTTTGAAGAAGTGGTTCTTCGTCACTTATGTATGCCGGCGTTGGCGATATGTTGCCCTTCATGCCCCACGGTTATGGACTCGCATCGACGGCCGCAATCTGGATCGTGCATCCGAATTTGTTTTGAGGTCAGGCAAGGCGGACGTCAGTTTTCATGTGAATAAGGAATCTCATATGAAGACATCCGGCGAAGTCGTCCTTGTTGATCCCTGCCGTCTCGTTGTCTGGACCATATTCATTGCCTGCATCTAAATCTGCCCCAGGATAGAGTCGAGGGTTTGCTGCCTCTACCCAACCACCATGCCCACCCCCCACCCCCCACCCCGCAACCAATATACATACAGACGACCATAACCCCAGGACCCCCCGATGCCAACCCACTGCTGCCTGAGGCAAAGCTCGGAACGCAATCCGAAAGATGTACCTCGATGGCATCGACGTTCGCTGGAGACCTATTCCATTTTCCAAGTTGCGGAGTTATACCTTTTCCCGAGTGATTCTGGTACTATAGAAAGGACAACACGCCCGACCATTGATGAGTTCCTGGACGTTTTAGAGGGTTGTCCTGCCCTCGAAAAATTGGAGATACTAGGAACAAGCCCATCTCTTGATGAGCGCACTGCTACTTACCCGGAGCCTGCCCGTCGCACTCATTTGCAGTATTTGAAGAGCCTTCGGCTCTTCGAGAAACCCGTGCACGTTGCCCATATCCTTGCACATCTGATTATACCACGCTCTGCCGACATCGAGCTAATGTACGATTTCGGCACGGCGTCTGATATTATGACAATCCTACCTCGAAACATCGACGGGCTCCAAATTCTCTGTAATGCATCCATCCTGGCTAGGTCGGCATCCACAACTACCCGCTTGGATCAGTATAACACTTTATGACGGCTCGGGGTCCGGTGGTCGCGTGCAATTTCATCTCACATGGAGGGGCGTAGACACGAGTGTCATTTGGACCGCGACGAATGTTCAGGTACCCCGCGCACTACCACACATATTTGGTCGTTGTCCGGTGCTCACCGTAGAATGCCACCTCTTTTCGCTGTCTGTTGAAGATTGGATGAACTGCTTCTCCAATTTCCCGCAACTCGCGCAGCTTTATCTCTTCGGTTACCATGATGGGCCGATGAAGCATTTTCCAAACGTTCCCCAGAGTATTCGAAGCACTTAAACCTCCTCCTGATGGGTCAGAAGCCCTTCTTTGTTCGAGTCTCTCGTGCATAAAATTGGATCGGCTAATTATATTCGCCTCATTTCGTCGCAGTCGCTAGGGACTGTCTTCGTGCACGTGCAGAGAAAGGACCTATCCTGGAAGAATTACACATCTCTCGACAGTTCGGTGACACAGGTCGGATACGATGGACCAGATTGGAAAAATGTGTCAAGACGATTGACTACACTGTGCATAGTGAGTCGGAACCCGACTCTGACGATTCAGATTCGTCACCCATTTCGTGAGCTATGTAGGGGAAGTTTTTCATGCCACCATTAGTTGTCAGGTGAACTGACTTTTCTCGTCAGCGTTCGCTCCGCCCCACGCATGGCTACATGGGACTTGTACACATTCGTGTCAATCTCTCAATTCATCTGCATGTACATGAATGTACTTGGCCAACCCTCTGTTCGTTCAGCAATGAAAGACATTCGTATCTAAGGTCACTATTGAACTCTTCTGGCCGCTTCATCTTCGAGATTCTAAAGAAATCTCTGCTTGGGTCCAGCCTCTGACACTCTCGCATGACTGACGTATGTTGACCAGCTTGATTTGTCGATCAGTTTGACGAATTCAGACATAGGGTACTAGTAGGTTTATAGGGCCTTATCTTCTAAGGGAACATCTTCAAGTTCGGAAATGCTCAAACTTGATCGAACTCAACTGGTATCGGGGCCCTATAACGCATACAGTTGCGCCGCATCTTCTCGTTGCATTACCCCGATACTCCTACACTACTCAATTTTCTTCAAGGATCCGACTTTCATCCCGAACAATATGTTCATGGTCTAGCTGAATCACGTCTTAGCGGAGTGGAATGTGGAAGAATGAAATGTCAATCTATCATCTCTGCCACTATCCACGTCACTATCGACTTGTCAAAGTTTACGACAGCAGACCAGGCTTTTTGTTCATCGAGGCTTGGTGCACTCTGCTCGCATGCCGAAGGAATCCAAGGTTCGAACACTTCAATCATCTCACCCGGTCTCACGCCTGCAAATGTTTCCGACTGCGGGCCATTTTAAACGCCCTGTACGTCGCCGAGGCAGAGAAGTGACGAGAACAGAGGACGAATACGATTGGTGTACTTAGTCGTTGAAGGATTCAAGCACTTATCAGTGAGTTCTCCGGATTTAGATTGCTGCTTCGCTACAGATCTGATGTTTTCGTGGACATCGAGACTAGTATTTTGTTATCGGCTGGTACATCTTGTCGGATGCATACAGCTGGACTTCAGTATTGCAGTCTTGACAGTTCGTCGGAAGAACTAATGAATCCGACGTACGCCACCGTTCTTGTGAAGCTATCATAAATTCGACGTCTAATGCCGGTGATATATGTCACGCCAGGTGAACCCCATACGACATTTCCACATGAGGGGATGTATATTATCGATGCTATTCATCGGAGCCGCAAGCACCCGGTTATCACTTACTGACCAGTGACAGTGACAGATGTGCCTGGGAATTAAAAGCAGCGCCAAGTTGTCTTGAAATCTGCGAACTTCTAGCCTACTCTTGAGATGCTCGCTTTCTGAAAGACGGGCTGGGAAGAATGAATTTATTCTTGAAGGATTGGTTATTGACCTACGGTGCCGAGCTTCGGTACAACATGAGGGTACCTGCTTCTCGACTTCTCATGCTAGATGGAGCAGAGGAAGCATAACATGAGTTGTCTATCTTACTCATCGTTATTGCATTGCGCGTGCAGGGGAATGGCATACATCCGGTAATAAGGCCTACGTCAGTTCTGCTTCTGAATGACAAGAGATCGTTCTAGCCGAATACCGTTCTAGTTGCTGAAGAGATCTTCTACTTGATCGCCTTCAATTTTAAGTTATAAGGTAATTCGGGGCTAGCCAACCTCATACAACTACCCACAGCGATTATGCACTCCCAAAGTTGATATATTGACTTACGGCCACATTGCATGCACTAGTGCTGTCGCATCAAAACAATGGTCCAGCGTCCACTGTGACTGGAATCCGACCAAGGAGCGCACAATGATGCTCTTCAACTCCGGGTTTGTAAGTTTAATCGGCCTTTGGGGTGGTCAGATCAGAAGTGTGTCTCGTGTATGCAGGCATGTACAGCGAGGTGATCAGTGTACTGATATAAGGCCCCGTCGTATCACCTCTATCCCGGCTACATACCAATATGAAGCTCCAGGATTGTGGAGCTTTTTTAGCAGCTGCCACTAGGAGAAAGTCGACGGCGTGTCATGTCCGAGGAAGTCTCAATGTCAAACCATGTAAAGTTAGTGTAGGATGCGATTAGAACGGGAAGAAGCAGCACTTGAAAAAACCTACCATTGGCAATAATCTCTGTGGTCGGATCTTATGGATTTTAGGAGGAAGTGAAATTGATATAAACGTTTCTCGCGTTCATGAAAGAGATTTCTCATAGTTCCATTTCCTTCAAAGTAAGTGGGATTGCCATGAACCTGCCGTCTTCTATACGTGGATTAGTGTTGATATGATCGTTCTAGCGCCATAGTCAGCTATCATGTCTTACCGTCAATGTTCAACCCTTTTCGAGGTCTGCACATATATATATTTAATGCTTCTTGCCAACGAAGCACTGTGTGGTGAACTTGAGCTTAAGCATAAACCGTATACAAAGGGGCACGGACTACCCTTAACTCGCCAACGAAGACCCTTGATTTCCCAACGCCGAAACATTGCCTCGCCTTCAGCGTTCAGCGTTATTAGTCTACCATGTATCAAGGACTCACGAGTAAACTTCGCAATCCATGAGGAAGAACGCAGTGAGCTGTGGAACCTTTCTATGTGAACTTCGATGGAACCCATGAAACCCTGTAAAGTCATCAATCAAACTGGCTTCGGCTTCCGGTGATCAGCCTGACAGGAAGGTATTATTGCTGGTCTACAAGGACGGTACAACATTGGACTGGGATACCTGGCCTCTCCGTGCACGGTATTCGATGTACGACTGTGCTAGTTTGCAACGTCATGGATTCTCTCCGGGGACGGCATGGGAGTCGGATCCAACGATGGGGACTTTTGTTGGCCCCGCATTTAGACTAAAAGTTTCAATTCAAAGCCCAAAATGGCGAAGTAGCTATGTAAAGAACAGCAGAGGATCAGCACCATTCATAGGCATTCCAACGAGGATAAGTACAGTACATAGACGAATCCGGTTTCTCTTCTTCGGTCCTCGGCAAACACCGAATGGCAGTGCTAGAATAGAGACTTGCTCCCAAATTAATGCCTTCCCTGCTAATGACCTCTCCACCCGAACTTGAAGGAGACAAGACAACGACAAGCTACAACGTATGCTGTACTGACATTGCGTATAGGACCAGCTGTCGTAGTCATCGCCCAGCGGGGCGTACTTTTCCGCGGAGTCATCTCACCAATATGGAAAGGCCGTTCAAGCAACGTTTTATGGGCGATATCTGAAACTTCCCGACCGTCAAGCTGCGAGTTCTCGGTAGAGGGTAATTAGACTTTACGATGCCAGATCTCAGCGGATCTCGAGGCAATCACTTGCTGCTAGTCATTGTTTTGTTTGCCGACGGACACGAGCAAGCTTCCGATTCGCACACGAAACCCCCTCGAGGCATGCAGCTTTGCCGCTTCTACAACTTCTTCCTGCAATCGCGTGGTTATTACCGCGCTCTATGCGATAGGATGGGTCTGCCGTCTGTCGGTGCGGCAGCCGGTAGTTCATCGTAAATCTCGTTGACCACCGCACTGCACGTGGTGTAATGTTTCTCTTTTTCTTGTTTGCCTGATTTATTGTCCCCGAGGGCCACGCCCTATGTCAGACAATACAAGACGTAATGCTTCTCAGAGCATATAAAGCCCGGCCAACTTGACTTCGACTTCACCAGCCTGGTCCTCACTACTGTATTCTTGCTTCTTTTGTTTCGCTAGGACGGTTTGCTCTTCCGTCTTTGAAGCAGTTACACAGCAGTCCTTCGTCATGCCTTCCCAGCCCATGAAAATCGTAATCCCCGATCTTGTATCACACTGCGACTTTCCACTTCGATGCAATCCTTGCGAGGCTCAAGCAAGTCTTGAATGCAAAGAATGGCTTTTCCGCGGAGGCAAGATGAGCGAGAAGAAGAAGAGCGCCTTTCACGGTCTGAAGGCGGGTCTCCTCACTTCCTGGTGCTACCCTAAAGCCTCGTACAATGAGCTGCGCGTGTGCTGTGACTTCATGAACTGGCTGTTCCACTTGGACAACATCTCAGATGACATGAATGACTACGGCACGTCGCGCACCGCGGTCGACATCATGAATGCCCTTTACCATCCCCATACCTACAGCCCTGTGTCGCCAGAGGGCAGGATGACCCAGGAGTACGTGTTATGGTCATGTTTCCTCATATTGCATCTCACGACGGCCACTTCAAAGCTATTGGCGCCGCTTGATCCCTACTGCGACGCCCGGCACGCAGCAGCGTTTCATGGAAACAATGGACTTCTTTTTCCAGGCGGTCACTCAGCAGGCCGTTGACCGTGCAAATGGCGTTGTTCCAGACCTCGACTCTTACATTGCGCTTCGGCGTGATACTAGCGGTTGCAAACCATGTTGGGCGCTCATCGAGTATGCCTACAACCTCGATATCCCCGACGAGGTCATGGAGCATCCAGTCATCGTGTCTTTGGGTGAGGCTGCGAATGACTTGGTCACTTGGTCTAATGTACGCCATCCGGCATTTTCCTTTATGTGCCTCATATTCATTGACGTTTTCATGCAGGACATCTTTTCGTACAATGTGGAGCAATCGAAGGGTAAGTCTGCGTCATCTTCTGTTCAACCCGCTTCAATTGAAACTTACGAATGCTTCACACCAGGTGACACACATAACATGATCGTGGTAATGATGAAACAGGAAGGTCTCGATCTTCAAGGCGCCGTCGAATTCGTGGGCAACCTTTGCAAGCAATCTATCGACCGTTTCGTCGAGGACCGGGGTAATCTTCCATCGTGGAGCCCGGAAATCGACAGGCAGGTTGAAACATACGTTGAAGGATTGGCCGACTGGATTGTTGGTAGTCTACATTGGTCGTTTGAGTCCGAGCGGTACTTCGGCAAAACGGGTTTGGAGGTTAAGCAAACACGCGTTGTCGATCTTCTACCTCGACGTTCTTGAAGACGCGTCTTGTCTAATGTATTAGGTGAGGCATTTATTGCATCCGCCTATCTATGAATTCTGACCCTAGTTTTTATTATTAGAGGTCACCTGCCTTGCCTATTCAATGCGCCGTCTTGCTCTCCAGAAGCCATATCGACCATCTCTATATGAGAACTCAACGTGCGTTTGTAGCTATACCTGGTCCATCTTGCTATGTATTTCTCAGAGCCGTCCTTCGCTCTCCGTTTCATTTCCGTCCATCTTCTAGATTATCCTGCATCGTACATTCATCTAATGCTTTTCGTTATTATAAATCGTAGTATCGCTTGGTTTATGACTCTTGACTAGCACTGCCTATATGCAGTCTCTTTTCCTCGATCGACTTTATCTTATCCCACTATTTGTCTTTCACACTACAATCCATCTACCACAGTTCTGTAGATGCAGGATAATGCCGCTACGCCTAGGTCGTAACCATACACGCGTTACCCATTCCCATCTTCAGTCTACTTACAACGCAATCCGTTCACACACCCCTTAATCTTGCCTTTAAAGTAGACAGAAGTTCACGCTTATTAGCTTGCCATGTACGTACTATCTACACCACCAGTATGAAGTCGTTGAGGCTTGTGCCTCATGCATATCCTCACTAGTAAATAAGTCAACCGTATTTGTGGTAAAGCGGCGATTGGACTCTGCTTGGGGCTTGCGGACGTCTTCCACCGCTGACTCAAGGCCCCGGAGAAGTCCTGATTGCACCCTTGTCGTCTGTTTGATTCAGGTCAGCACTTAGATCGGGCTGAGAGATACAGCAGGAGCAGTGACATGCGCAGTAAAGTGAAGATAATGCAATTGCCTTCTTTCTCGTCTCCGATACTATCTCCCGTCTTCCAAGACTCACATCTCAGAAGAATCATGATACCGTTGGCGCACGGATATGAGAACTATTCTCGCAACGTCCACGAGGGCTACGGCGATGCAGAAATGCGAGTAAGTACGTAGTCGGACGTTATGAGTTACTTGCTGCTCATCACGTCACTGAGTGGCGCGTCAGTATCAGGACGGCATCTGAGTAAAAGACGGAACATGAGGACTTGAAACTTGAAACATAATGAAAGGACATCGGATCTGCTTTGCGCGGCGCCCCCTTGGGCGGTGGTGATTGGGTGGGCAGAGGATGGCCGTTCAACGACTCATACATAATGTCATTGAATAAGGACTTAAATACCAAGACCATCCATTCTGCGGTGTATCTGGTGTTCGGTGCCAAAGCGAGACATCCAGGATACGGAGGAACTTGTCATGATAAAGATGATGATAGCGTGAAATCACAATAATGCGCGGGAAAATCCCGCTCAACACACCCGATATTGATGTACTTCATAGAAGCATCGCCGAATGATCCTGCAAGGGTAGGTCAGCAACAATCCGTGCCGTCGACTGAGCAATAAGAAAACAACACGTACGATCGGCCAGACAATTACAGCTGGAAGTCGTCGCCAAATACGTCACGAAGGACACTGAGCTTCGTATGGCGCACAGAGATAATATCCTCCCCTTCCTCCCGCCAGCAACCTGTACCTCCTTTCATACGCTCCTGCCAATCTTTCTCTACATCATTAAGGCCGTATGAAGAACCACGCACGGCATCCGAAAGTGATCTTCGTGGAAGTGGATCTAGTAAGCGAACCACATCTTTCTTGTCTGCCCTGAGCAGAGCGGCATATCTGCTGATCGTTCTCCTCGTAAGAGCACGCATCATGACAGTTGTGGCTTCAGGAGGTTGCAACAATATTCTCCGCAAAGACCAAGGGAAAATCATCTGTTTTTCCTCTGTCTGCAGCATTCCTGAAGCGACGCTACAAATTGACTTCGACAAGTTTGACACGGGGGAGCGTGTAGAGAGACCCATAACTTCAGAAAGTCGCAAATGAGTGAGGTGCGGTGCTCGTGTCGTGAAGAGTTCTATGTCTTTGTCGCAATATGCTAAATGCAAGAACAGCAATGCAGGAAATACGACATCTGTGGTCGGAATGATGGATGACTCGGAGAACTCGAAGCGATCTATTGAACATCCAAAAATGGTCAACTCGCGGAGCTCTGGGAAGTAGGTGGACCACAGAGATGGGGGAATATGCATTCCGAAAGAGAACGTCGCGGACAATGAGTTGAGGTCGCTGGCGACCAGTGGTAACAGGCGTTCTGCTGCGTGTCTAGTCGCTAACTTCAGGTCTCCGACCCATTTGACATGCTCTGACTCCAGGGTTGCATCATCGGCTATCCTGTCGCGAAGAATCTTTGCCTCCTCTCTGGTTAGATTATATGAGCAGAGTGCGTGAACCACATCAGAATCTTTGAGCAAAGTGATGTCGAAATCAGGAGGTGGTGTTCGAGACACCGGTGTCCACGACATATAAAGATGTTTGATTCGTATATGATACGTGGCTTCTTCCAGGATGGAGGCAAGTTGGCATATTTTCTCGGGACCCTTCACAGAAATGCTGAGATACTTCATTGGAAAGGAAAAACCTAGACACCAGAGAGAGAGAGCGGCCGGTATAGCCACCATCCACACAAGCAAACGAGAATATATGTTGCCATATCTCTGGAGGGCAGCCGTCCATATTCAAGCCGCAAGAAGCTCAACCTACAGATCTGAACTTGTTAGCACTTGTTGCTTTACATTAAGCAGTAAAATCGAAGGCGAACGCCAGAACCGCAGTATATTGGAGTTAAAACTGGTACATTCGGCAACCTCCGAGGCTGCTCCTACGGGGACCGCATTTGGTGCTTCGAAAGTCATCCAGGTTGCTAAACCACTCGCTATCGCATGCTGTGGTTGTTCTACTGACTCCAGCTAGTCCTACAGAGACGATTTTGAGGTAACAATAAATCTGATTTTAACGTCATCCTTAGCGACCTCGGTGAGTTATACGTGCCTCTGTTTGCTCTTCACCGTGACCCACTAGTAAACGATTCTAATCGTCAGCATGGGGACATCAAGCTGAAACGTCTCTCCTCACAATACACGCTACTTCACCTAAATCAACCCTTTGAACTGTGATCCCGAGATCGTAAGCGCGAGGCTGAGTTGGATGGTTCCCAAGGATAGGCTGGAACTGACATAGGTCCAATGCATGCGAGATTTGGATGGAGACTGGCTACAGCATGATGATCGGACTGGAGCTACTTCCAATCTTCTAGTTGAAATGGTCATTTCCGGCTTTCAAATAACTTCTGAACGTATGAAACAGGCCTGAACGGGATCATCTTCCACGTCCACTGTGGTCCTCTTTATCATCCCGACTGTATGCCGCCCCAGGATTTCTTTTCCCGGGGTACCGGGTTTGATCATTTCGGCAATTGTGGTTATTCTAATGACACTTTTGAAGGTTTTCGTTACGTTTTACCAAACCCGTCTCCGCGCCGGTTTCACACTTCGCTCTCAATACGTACAGCAGGTATGGATTGGAGCATTAACCGTCGGAGCATCTACAGTTTTTATCTTCTTACTACGCAGACACTTTGTCTACTCCTGGCTGGCACATACGTCTAGGCGATGTCTCCATAGAGGACATCCAATTGAACATCTAGGCCCTAGAGATTCATCTCCTTTCTTCGCGTTCGATGGCTCCACCATTGGGTTTATTACATGGTACGCACCTGCTTTACTATCTGTCGAATTTTGGATATGCATCGCTTCTCTCATCAATAATCTCACGAAGCATGCTGAACAATTGCACACAACCCTTGCAGCAGCATTTCATCTCTTACGAGTCCCTCATGTGTTTCTGCGCACCCTCGACTTCGGAACGATCGTAGAAAGCAAGCCCAACACCGTCATCATCAGGATCGTGTTGATCTTGAATGATGTTTTGGAGGCTTACTGTATTTTCAACCTGTTGACGGGCATAATATTCAGTTCGCATATGACGCATCTTTCCTTTTCGCTAACTCTTTCGCAAATATTATTAGAAACCTTTCGGAAGAGGTGACGCATGTTGCACGGTAAGTAATGTGATGAGGTTGATGAGAATCAAGTCAGAGATAGAGTCATGACTCGTTCAACTGATCACTTGTTGCTACCACTTAGAAATATTGAATTAAGTATTCTCTGATGGAGTATAGCAGTAGAGATTTCAGCACGAGGTGGTAACTCACACTGAGGACGATTGAACAAGGAAATTTGAAAAAGCTGGAGCTGCATCCGGATTTGGCAATCACCTCTCTTTCATCTTGCCACCATCGTAGGACCACCGTATCGAACCTATACTCTTTCACCTCTTTATTAAGCACTGGTGGGCCCCTTGAATCAGGTGTCTTGATGATGTAATTGATTCACTCGTTCACTTAAAGCGTACTATTCGCAAGATGGGGACACGAGGATACCGAGTTTACCGCCACAAAGGCAAATACTTTATCTCCTACAACCACTTTGACTCCTACCCTGAGGGTCTCGGTGTACAATTGCTTCAGGAAATACCGACGGACCCCGAAGAATTTGAGCTGTGGGTGCAACACCACAGGCAAATGTTGGACCAAGAACTCGAGGCATTTCTCTCTGCCGGGGGAGAGCGCGACGCATATAACTCTGACCTGCGGATCGAAGATGAGGCTCCTCGAAATGATCTATTCATCGAATGGATCTACGAAATGGATTTTGACAGGATGATCTTTCATGTTGACTCTCATCCCGTCTACCGGCTGGATCATATGCCACCTGAGGACGTATTCCTTGAAGGGATCGATTTCGATCGCTATAACAACCGTGCTTGCGCGGATAGCGTACCGGCAGAGTATCGCTACATTATACGTGCAGCGCCCACTCCGTCTCTATCCCACCACGTTCTTGAAGTGTACAACGCGTACAAAGCTGACGTTGTCGCTTTGCCTATCCACCAGGTACTCCATCGTTCGCACTCACTTTCCCACCAGGAGACTGTATGCAAACATTTCCTCGAACTTATTGTAGGAAGCTTAATAGTGAATGAGGGTCGGTCACTTCATTTCCTTGACGAGATTCCCAACCGCGAAGCTTTTTCGGTGAAGCATCTGGAAATATTGAGAAGCCTTATTGAGGCGTCTCTTTTCCCATCTGCTTTCGCTGGCTATGAAGCGAAAGATAACTCTGATAAAGAGATGTCTCCTAGCTCCAATGCCAACTTGTTGGTCGACTTCTGGTGGATTCGCAGACACATCTGCGTCCGGTTTACTACACATCTGCAGCACGAGTCGGGTTTGCGATCTGCGATTGCCGAGCTCGCTACGGAGATCTTCGGCGCAGATGCAGGTCCCCAGCCTATCGTCTATGGGGTAGCTTTCTCGATTTCTCATATAGTTATCGCGCGATTTGACAAACCTACCAAACGGCTTGTGCATACTGAATGCCTGCCATTCCTTCCTTCTTTCTACGCAGACTCCCCATCGACGCCAGGAATCACTGCAATGACATACTTGGCCAGTGTTCCAGCTGAAGATGACAGTTCCTGGTTTCTGCAACGTTTGACTCACATTTATACGGCACCTACGATCACATCTTGCCAGGCTGTTGCACATCCTGTTGCTTCGACCCATACACCATCGCTTCCCACTGAAATTTGGATGCGCATTATATCATTCATCGACGATCCGTATAGTCTTAGTGCCCTTGCCAGGGCTTCCCGTCGAACCATGGCCATAGTTGGGGCATCGGACTGGCTAAGATACCCTCGCATCCGAGTTTCTGACCGAGTTTCAGAAGAGTTTATTGCACTTTGTGTACTTCAAGATGTTGCACCTTCGCCGGACTCGTTTTCGGAAGAGTGCAAGTATCTTTTCAGCGCCGCTTTTGAGACAATCTGGCAAGAGCTGTATGCCGTGGTCTTTCTCTCTGCCGTGGAATGCCCAATATTGGATGAGCAGGACGAATCCTATACCGAGATGGCCATGGTCGATATCAAGTTTGGAGCCCAAATCAGGTATACTCTCCCCACAGTTATAGCAACCAATGCTGGGAGGAGTGGTTTGCATGAAGATAAGATGAATTAGATACATTCGAATCAAAAGTCTGGTTAAGACATCAACAGGGAAGGTATGTCCTGTCATATTCAGCACCTCCGTCTCTGATCAGCGTAGAACAGAACGGGAAATGTATAAAAACAAACGAGCCCCCCATACTACACTCATGTATGATTGCCACTCTCCGATTCATGCACGCAGCATATATCTCTGTAACTGCTAGTAAGCAGTTGTGTTGTGAACTCAATCACACGTCGAAGTAAAGATCTTCGGTTGCATCCACAATTTGAGAGCGAAAGGTTTCGACTACACCCCTGTCCTCCCAATCCCAGTCACGCCAGCTGGCACAGGGCAGTATCTCCAACAAACTACGATGCAGGACGATAAACGACTGCAGTCTATATCCTGCTTGAGCGCGTGAATTCAATGCATGGAATGCAGTTGTAATCAACCCTGTGTCGGCAACCAGTCCGAACAACGTGAAATGTTGTAATTGCGGGCACAGGACTTTTGGCTCTTTAGCGTCGAAAGCGCGCAAAGCGAGAGTCATAAGGAAGGCCCCGGTATCGGGCTGAATTGCTCTGCGGGTGTCTTTGTAGTTTGTAAAGGTAAGGTGCGTGATACAATGGAGGTCTTCAAGAGCCGAGATCCAATGCGTCTCTTCAACGGATAACAGATCACATCGAATGTGGAGGTTGGTGATCTCCCGGAGAAAGGTCGAAGGAAGAGCATCGATGGTACGTGCCGCGAAACTATTGACGATGTCCCACATATCCTCCAGATCCTCATATTCGTAGCGAATGGAAAGATGCGGGTGTGTCCTTGCAACAGAGATATTTAGGGGGCTCACGTCATCATGAATGAAAGCTTCAATGAGTGAACCGTTGACATTCGGACCCCAGGAGAACACGACTGTCTTCATATGAGCTACGATTCCCAGTCCAGTGAGATCATCAGGTAGACATTCCCTGATCTCATCGTCATGAAAGCTGGTGTCGAACGTAGTTTTGCAAATGATATTGGTTGTTTCAGGAAGAATGAGATTCGAAAGAATATAGGCGATATCGATCGGTTCGCGTTCGAGATAAATACTACGGAGGCTTGCGGGAAAATTGCACGGCCCTGGAGGAAGGATGGCCGATGGACTGTCCTCGTTACGCATAGGTCCAGCATTGCATAGTGAGAGGTGTTCCAGATTCGGAGAGAAGGCCAAGATCTGCCTGAGGTCATACATCGAAGGAAGACCAGCATTGTCTCGGTTTCGATTGCTCAGCTCAAGCACACGAAGCGGGTGAAACGTTCCTGGGATCCATACAAGGTTCACGTGCCGTAAAATAATAGATTCAATCGTGCCTTTAGAGTCCTGCCCTTGACCAGTATGCAAATGCAATTGAGGAGGGTTGGAGTTAGTCGCGCGCTGATCATCGTCGGTGATGACTAGCTTCAGATAGCTGATCGAGTCGTCCACCAAGTCTTCATTTTGCACATAATAAACCATGTCCTCGTGAGACAACTGCACGTCCACCACCGAAACTGCATGAAGCGCCGGCTGCGCTGCTGGTGGTGAGGGTAGAACTGGGTCCAATAAAGGTTGCACGTGGGATGCAAAGTCGAATGGAAGGTCGCCAGATGCAGTGAATGGAAGGTAATTGTGATCGGGAAAGGATGCGAAGTAGTCCATAGAGTGAAGTTCGCGAGATAAGGGTCCTACGGTTTGAATGAGGGAAGGTTGTAGTTGAGCAGGTTTTGGATATTCAGAAGAAGAAAATTGGCTCACTCGATGATGAGGAAAGCGAAGGGGTGTAACGTTTGAGTTGTCATTCTGAGTGAGTCCTGTTTTATATGAGACGCTAGAGGAGGCCGGCGATGCAAGGACCTTCAAGTTGAAAGACATTGGGAGCAGCCGTAGTGACTACGTCGAAAAGTAACAATTAGAAACTCTGCCTATTTTCAAAACCGATGTTTGCTAAACAACACATTTGAGACGCACCGCTGTGCTATGGCCAATGCAACACGGACGAACTTCGTCGTTGGAGAACAGACCGTTGGCCCTGTCAACATAGGCGCTTACGCGTTAGCGGGAGACAATACGGTCGGTGAGAGGACAGAAAGCTTTGGCCACTGATCGTGCTATAAAGATGATTTCACGAGAGCAGGAGTAGATCGGCGAATAAAACAATGAAGAATCGCTTGACGACAGAGAGCTTCATCCAAGTAGCAGTAAAGTGGCGCCGCGGCCCAGATATCATAAATAGAAAATTACAAAGAACCATGACAGAGGGGAGAACGTCTAAGGAAGATCAAGATGTCGAGATAGAGAGGCTTGACTAGAGAATAATTAAACGAGCGTAGGACGGATGGATCCAGCAGGAGAACACAAGACGAGATCAGCATGAAATGAAATACATTCCCAGGAGTTGCGAGACCAGGAATAGCAGAAACCATAGCAAGCGTGTTAGTAGTCACAGAATCCAGGGCCAACGTCAGTATAGAGCTCGTCCTTATGGCCATCAGAGCCAACGTCGGGTATGAATTCCGCGACAAGGTTCTGGTCTTGTATGGGCCACTGCTTCCACTTCTCTGCCTGAAGGCCTTCCCCTTCATGTCGTTGAATCATGGTGAGCGTCGTAAGCTTGAAACCATTGAGGAGCCGCGATCGAAGGGTATTGCAGAGCTCATTTGCGAAATGTGTATCGGTGACAAGCCCGTATAGAGTGAGATGGTCGAGCTTGGGACATAACGTTCCCATTACGCCAGCCCGAGGGTTGTACTTGCGGAAGCTGAGCGCCTTCAACCAATTGAAGTTTCCTGAGACGCGATACTGACGGGTGTCTTCAATATTGGTGAGCGTGAGTTGCGTCGTAGAAGAAAGGTGGGGGAGAATGCAGCTCCATTCCGCCTCGCTTACAGAGGATACGGGACACCTAATTTGAACATGCGAGAGCCCAACGTTTTGGAATGTTTGAAGAACTTCGGCGATCACATCGGCCGCAACAGGACCATCACCACAGCCCAGCCAGGTTCTCGGACTCCCACTTTCACACAGGAATTCCATGGTTAGCTTTTGCTTCCCCCCGGCTCTGACCCTAGCGAGATCGAACGGTAAGATATCTGTGTCGGAAAAGCCTTCGACGATGACACCACCACGATCCCGACCAGATGTTATCAAAAGGGTTTCGATCTTGTGAAGAGGCCATAATTGATGGTTCTTGGGTAGGCAGTGAACGGCGCGCAGAGATCCTTGGGAGGTTAGAGATGTTTTGAGGTGGATCTTTGCGGTATCTGGTACCTCCAAACGGGCCAAAACATTGTGGATATTGATGACCGTATTGTGAAGACAAAGTTTCTCGAGATTGGGGACTGAAACTTGGTTAGAAGGGTTGACAAAGCAAGCACCTAAATCCGGTCCAACGTTTGACAGAGAAAGTTGAGTGAGGCGAGGACAGGCACGCAGAATGGCAAGAAGGTCGTCCATCGACGGATGAGCTGTATGAGATCCCGGGAAGTTAGTCAGGTGAAGTTGACGCAATGGTACGGGTTGTTGGCCACTTGGCCTCCAAGTCAAGTCCACATGTTGAAGGACAAGTTGTTTGATGGTGGGAAGGGTCGTAGGATTATCTTCCAAGCGGAAAGGAATAGGGGATATGTTGCCGAAGTCCTCGTCGTCTCCCTTAGATACCGCTAGGTGTAGATTCTTGACTGAGCCCACAATCGATGGGCCCGTCATCAAATTCTCAATGACGGCGCTCAGTTGCAGGTATGGAAGGGTTTTTGCAGCCGTGACGCAGGGAAGTGCAATCGAATGGGCCAAGTATGGTGGGGGAGGTGCCTCAAGCTGAGGGCCGCTGAGGGCGCGGAACAATGCATCCACATCTAGCTGCAGCTGAGGATCGATGGGGTTGACGAAAAAGTCAAAATTAAGGTTGGCGTCGTTGACCATAATCGACTGAAAACGGTGGTGCTGGTACAGAGGTCAAACTGAACATTGCACGATTAGCACGGGCTTCTAGTAGAGAGAATGCGCGACCTACTTAGAGAGTTGGAGGTGGGGATTGAAATGTTCTCCCTTGATACGCCCGTATATTTATAGGCGTGCTATTTACCAGTATTTTCCCTTGGCCACGAGTCAAAGCAGACGTCAAAGTGGTCCATGGCGCGACACGGTAATTTGCCACTTTAACGACCATCACTCCTCATTGAGCCGCACTACAGATGATATCAATACGGTATCATGAGATAGCACAGAGGATTGGGTCAGCGCAAGTCGTCCTTGCAGCTTGCAGAGTAAAACGGAAGCTCGTGGGAAAATATATCCACACAGAAGCTGTTGCTTTATTTGGGCGTTTGCGTTCAAAAACAGCAATTCTTCACTGGCTCTTTGACCCTCGGTGAGCGACTGTACGGAAACTATCATTTGCCTTAGATGCAGATCGTGCATGTAGCTTGCATCTTGATGGACTCTTTCTCAATTCTTTATTGAAATCTGGTGTGGTGAGTGCGAACCTTGAGTCATTTAAGTGACTGATAGTCCACTGATCATTTTGAACGCTCAGGCTCTCCGGGCACGAGGCGCTGCCAAACGAAGTCTAGCGGAACTCGAATTATTTGACGGCTGGATTCGGTGAAGATAGAAGTTACCTTCTAGTCGGACATTCTGCTTTGCCTTTTAAAACACGATGCGCGGGTCAAACAAGAACTTGAATCAATCACCATTGCCAGGCTTGCCGCGAGGACGTCAATGAGGAGTACGCTCGGTACTTGACCTTCTACTCCGCTGTGGCTTGGCGAGCCACTTCACCATAATCTATTGTGGCCATTGACAATGATTGTCTTCCTGAGACCTTACAGGCAAGGTCACAATATACCCCGCTATGGCCCATCTTGCCAAGCTCATTTCGCATCTCGATGATTGCAAATTCTCGTGTTTGTTTCAAAGGACGTTGCTATGAGGCACAGTCAATGAGACTTTTCTCCCATTGTGTTCCGAAATCGACCTCAATTGAGGATCATTGCGGACACGAGGATGCCAATGTGGTCAAAGCGGAGCATTTCAGTGTCTTTCTCGCCATGACCACATTCTCACATGACTTAAAAACCTCAAACTTCGAGCACTGTCGTTGTCTCCTCTCTCTCACAGCCATAAACTAACAGTAGGTCCTCCCTATTTATGTCTTTCCCCTCCGTTGTCACTAACTTACGCAGTCTGTTGTAGCTATCGTCCTCGTCTTTCCATCATTATCAGTTGCATCATGGAGAACCTCTTGCCACCCATCATCGATATTGAGATGCACAACGGCGACGTCCCTCCTTTCAATTGGCCAGATCGCGACGTTCCCGACGACATTATCTTCTTGACCTTCATTGCTCTCACGAACATGCGAGATGCGAAGCACTCGCTCTTGTCCGCTTCACAAGTCTGTCGTCGCTGGAGGCTTATCGCCTCATACTCAGCAAGGCTTTGGTCCAAGGTGGACCTCTCAGACCTCAAGATTGCCTCACAGTACGTTGTCCGTGCAAGAGATGCGCCCATCACAATTATGCTCCGAAGAGATAAAGTCGCCGACGTACCCCAAGGCCTCCCAACGTTTCTCTCCACTTACCTGAATTTCGCACAGGTCGTCGAGATAGTCTTGGAACTGCCTTACAGCGTTATGGCGCAAGTGCTACCCTTCTTGAACTGTCCGCTTCCCGCGTTGAAGACTCTGACCTTGGCACTCACCGGAGGGAGCGATGAAGAGAACGAAGCCGAGCCTTACGCTCTTGAAGCTCGCCTGGGAATGTGTTCGAATTTGAGGACCCTCGAGCTGACCCGCATCATCGTGCGTTCTCTCTCATGTGATACTCAGGTGCGGGCAATTCGCTGGGTGGACCAATTCTATGGCTGGGCCGACAACATGCTTACAATGGATCAGTTTCTCGAAGTATTGAGAAAATGTCCTTTCCTTGACACACTCTATCTGCAGGATGCAGGTCCGTGGCTCGACATAGAAGATCCAGAATATCCCCAACTTCCTCCCATCAACCTCCCCAATGTGCGAATGGTTGAGCTCCGCCTGGGTCCTGGCCACATGAAATACCTCTTGTCGTACATCGTGATTCCTGAGGAAGCTAAAGTTACTTGTTATACCTGCTTGGGCGATGAGGAAGACTTCGAGTACATGCTGCCAAAGGACATGAGTAACATTCGCATGACACAGTGCGCGGACACTGCTGTTTTCACCAACTACGAGGAGGAAACAACCCTGTATCTTCGGCTTTACTCTCAGCGAGGTGCAAGCCAGGGCTCGACGGCACCAGTGGGGCGGTTCGATCTCAATTTAGCCTGCGGTACCGAAGATGAGGATGCCATTCCGGAATATCTTCATCCCAAAGCCATCAGTACTATCACTCTGATACCCAGTGTCTTCCCTGGGATTAGAGATATCACTGTCCGGTGCGATCTCGTCGAGATTGGTGCCTCTCAATGGCAATCTATCCTCGAGACCTTCGGCAATGTCACTACTATTCGACTTACCAATATTCGGAAGGGTTTCGAGTCCGAAAGTGCCGATAGACCCTACCTTTTCGAAGCCCTCCTTTCCTCATCTGGAAGAGGCTATATTTGCCCAAAGCTCCGAGAAATCGAATTGTACGATCTACGCATCACCGACGAATTCATTCACGTCGCGTCTCAAGCCTTGCTACAACGACAGAAGATGGGTCTGCAGTTACGGTGGCTCTTGTTCTATGTTCGTGAAGCTGAATGGGATATTGCGCAAAAGTTCTTGCAGTCTACCGTTCAAGACTTCATTACAAGACCTTCCGTGCCCGCCGAAGAGGAACAATGGTGGGGCCAGAGGGACGTGGAATCGCGTGGCTTGCAGTAGGACCTCCGAATGACGTGCTCTGACAGATATCTGGTCGTTCGTTCTCCTCTTATAGCTAATCCTGAGTTTGATACCCGGGATTTGCCAGCCTATATCCGAACCTTTATACCAGCCATCTGTTGATACTCAGGCTCATTTCTTCTATTCGTACTTCTATGCGTAGCTATGTCATAGTATGTGTTTGTTTAGTATGCCCCATGACTTTCAGATATGTTTTTTCTCCTTACTCGCCTCGACGTGGACTCGTTCACCGACAGCCAATAAGTATTATCCCTGTGTATCGCAGGAGAAGTCAAAATGGTGGAGGTAAATAGCGTCAACCGCTGGAAAGCCCTAACCAGATATGGAAGCCGGACTTCTTTATATGGGATGGCATATGTCTGCAATGGTTCATAATGAAAAAACATTCAAAATGTTATAAAAGAGTAGCATACTTGAGAATCTATGAGAAATCTATCTCACCAGCCTATATATATGTTAACGTACGATATCAACTGAAAGAAACTGGGGTTAGGGTCCAGGTGGTTCAGTATGACATCATGTTATACTGTCTCCCAGCTACGGCGGATGCACCGTGGATATATTATCCTTGAATTCAAAAATGTTTCTCTTCCCATATCAACGTACATCAGTCTTTCACGCAAACCCCTACACCAATAATTGTTATATTCTTCAACAATTGTAACAAGCATGAGCACAGGAAGTAACCAGCAGAACACCGTGCACCGACCGAAGACTGGTGGAAGTCCAAGGGCATGTCGAATCATTCACCTATCACGAGACTAATTCTGATATTGTGTTTGGATCTGTGTTAACAGACGATGTTGATTGGCCTGGGCGTGGTCGTGGCTGGGCTAGCGGGCTTCGCATATGGGCAACGGTACCTTCGCAAGGACATCGATAGTCCCGACGGTAGCCAAAGGCCTACATGTGCGCAAGCCAAAACTTTCGCCTTGCTAGAAGCCATATTGACGGGTTAGTCCAGGGCAACATCGCATTAACCTACGGGATACGAGACCTCAAGGTCCCAAAACCAGCAATTCGTCTTCGGAAGCCGAACTCGCTCCTAAAGGACCCAGCCAACTCCCTTTACCTGGTGATGACGACAATCATGGCGACAATCTTTCGTCTACCGTAATGTCCGTTGCCACGGTGAGTAATGAGCGTGGTGCGATTCTCTTGCCCTAGCCTCGATTAATGGATGATATTCAGGGAAAGGGCTTCAATCCAGATACGAAGGCTCCTCAACAACCGGAAAACAATAAGGGGAATTTTGCACCGAAGAGGCAGACGCCAGAAGGTGCGACCTACACCAAGGTCCGTAGCACGTTTTATTCCGTCTTGTATGTTTTACCCAACGGGACTGTGGCGACTTGAAAACTACAGGCTCCGAGTTATGCGTCCCAGGAGAAACCAAAGAACTATGAAAAGACACCTAACAATTAGGAGGGTGGAACATCGACCGCAAGTAATCGCTAGTTCCTGAAATGGATGGACAAATGATCGTCACAGCATGGACCAGTGTAACACGTAGGATGTATTACCAGTTTCGCATCGATATTGTACCCTGTAGCATATAATCAGATAACTAGATCGTCGACGGAAGTATTCAGGAGTGCTTAGCGTGAGAAAAAAAAAAAGACACCCACCTGGGCCGGGCCCTCCATGAGGATAGCAACCCCCTTCGTTAATGCGAAGGGGCTCAGCTAGCTATACTCGAATACAATTGGGTACTAGACTCCTTTCACAATAGGAATAGTACGTTGAGACTGTGCATATCGCGATCCTCGTCGTTTTTAGTCGGTAGGAGTTGTAGTGGGGGGTGGCCGCGTTGGTAGCACTGACAAGGACGAAAATCGGTGTCTTTACATGTTGCCACAGCCATTTCGACGCCAAGTAATAAGTCATGGGAGCCTCTGCCATTTGAGTAATAGCAATTGGGTTCAATTCTTGATTCACTGTCTCTGCAGAGCGACTTCAGCACTTAGTCACGCATTCACAGAAAGGAATAAGAAATATATACATTTCTCACCAGACGGAGCTCCTGCATTCTTTGGGCAAAGTACGGACAGTGTGTGAACAATGAGCTTGAGCTCCAAGTATTCAGCGAAGCACGACGTAATGCGACAGGATTAGCCATCCCACCGTCATGACAGGTACCAAGATATTCTTGCCCTGAGACATGCCTGAGAATCATGAGAAACATCATTCAGAGGATCCTGCATAGTCAAACCACCTGACCCTGCTAACGGAAAAATATCACAAGGCGTTTATGTCATGCACTCACCGATATCAAACGGGTTCGTTCAAACAGAAAACTTCCACAGAGAGCGCTCCTGATGTTCGTCGATATTTTCTCGGTACCGAGAAGGACAAAGACCGCTCATATGCTCAATGAAAAAGTATCGTTATGGTCTAGCCTGATCAGAACGAGCCATCACCACGAGATGGAACCCCTTCGACGCGGGAACCTGAGAGACCTGACCGGTACCAGAGCTGATCAAACCTAGCCCGATCAGCCCAGAGGAGCGCGTGAGCACCTTCGTCCCAAAATATCAGGTCTAGTTGGCCGAACCATGTGGAAACAGATCCTCACCGGACTCGAAGGAGACATAACTCTCGCCACTTTTGAAATGGAGAAGGTAAATATGGCCCGGAAGATGGTTTGTTATAGCGTCTGGTTTTGGAGGTCACGATGGGTCCCTGGGGTCTTGAAATGAATCCGGGAGAACCGTCGCCCCCATTATCTTGTCGCCGATATGTCAAGTTCAAACACAGAGAGACGACTGAGGAGGAGAATGAGGATAAGAAACTGCGAATGGATTGGGTAATCTGATAGTACAAAGTACGTGAAGCTGAAGTGCGTATGAGTGCGTTAGTTACAATCCGATGCCAACACATTACAGGGAGCTTCTCACTCCCCTTCCAAGAAAGAAAAAAGAGCTAGAGGAGCAATAGTGTATGCAGATACTAGTGTACATATTGGGCGAGCGGAAACCGTCCCATAACCAACCTACCCACATCAAACCGAATAGAATACCCGAAAGGAAAGAAGGGGAAGAGAAGATATTACTTTACGCTTTCAGTTCAGGATTATATGAGTCCGAAGTCTTCTCGTCAATGTAATCGTCGTGACGGACATCATGGCCGGCGTTCTGGATGTTCTTCTGAGCATCCTCGCCATCGAACAAAGCAGCGGTTTCCTCGAGCGACAGGTTCTTCGTTTCCACGATCATGAAGTAGCAGAACGCCAACTCGAAAGCGAGCCAGCAACAATAGACGATCTAGTAAATGAGGTTGTCATTGAGATGATAGAGAGAAATAATGGAATGGAATGACGGACGTAGTACTTCCAAGCAATTCTGGCCAGAGCGATAGGGTTGACATATTGATTGAAGATGATCGAGAGCGAGATACTGAAGTTGAAGATATTGAAACCCTTGGCACGTAGAGAATATGGCAGGATCTCGACGGTGTATGACACGATGAGCGGCGTGAAAGCAAGACTGTCAGACGAAAAACCAACATCAGAGCCATTCCCATCATGTATCAGAAAAGTGAAACATACTCGTAGCTTGCATAGAAGAGGAAAATGAACGCAATGACGGCATGTGCAGCAGCATCCGTTTTGTGCAAGGCGTATTGGGCAGAGCACACCGTTTGGAAAATGAAGAACAGGAGCATGCCAGAAGCAGAGGTGATGAACAGGAACCGACGGCCGAGTCTCTCGACGAAGAACGATGCTAGAACGGCCCAGAATAAGTTCCAGATGGCGAGGATACTGGACTGAATGTCAGTGCTCCGATGCATAACACCGATAAAAAAGCGTGCGGAGAACATACCCGTTGATAAGGAGTTGGATGGTGCTGTTGGTAATGCCAATGTTGTCCAACACGTCTTTGAGATAGTAGGATACAAGACCGTTTCCAGACCACTGAGAAAAGAAGGCGATGGCGACGATAATGACCATACGCCTCCGGTTCCCGGGAGTAGCAACGAGAGATTTCCAACCCACGTTAGAAGAAACTGATGCGAAGAAGTTGATATACAGAATTTGTCGTCAGTGCTGAAAGTACTTACCGGTACGATCGAGGTCGATGGCCGCCTTGATCTCCTGGAACTCGAACTGTACGAGAGGATCTTGCTCATCACCATCGGAATGGTAGTAAGCGAGAATCTTCAAAGCCTGTGCTTCCTTGCCTTTTGAAATGAGGAACCTGGGAGACTCGGGTGCGAACCAGATAAGGAGAAATTGACAGCCGGGGACGATTCCTTGAAGGATTGAAGGAATACGCCATGCCCAGTTGCTGGCGATGTATTGACAACCAAAAGTGGACCAAGTTGCGCTGGAACAATACCAGTATAAGTTCGGAGGAGCTTCTTGGTTGAAGCGCACTTACACAATATTACCCGAGTACCAAAGGGAGTTGTACAATGAGGTTAAAGGTGCACGATAAGCGGGGTACGAAATCTCCGTGACCAAAAGAGGAGCAGCATTGGCTAGAGACGGCAAATCATGATCTAACCGCGAATGGGGGTAACTTGGATTACTCACAGGCAAGCGAGAGACCAAAGCCAATCAAGAAACGGGCGCCAATGAACATGCCCCAGTTCTGAGCGGCAGCCTGGAGGGCCACTGCGACCAACATGATCGTAGAGCCTATCCAGATAGCAGGTCGACGACCGAGGCCATCAGAAAGGTAGGGAGCAAAGGGGTATCCAGCGAGGGATCCAATATTCTACATGCAATACATGAGCCGTGAAGAATGAGACTATGTCATGTTCATAAATACCTGGATGGCGTTGAGCAGCCCTAACCTTCCACCTGCGGGTTGGTTGAAATAGGTTTGCCAAGAAGGAAGAGATTGGAAACTGTTCAACAAAGAACCATCGAATCCGTTGGTCGAGGATGTGATCAGACTGGAAACGCGTGTAAGTCGGTTGCAATGTTATTTCGGAGTAATGGAAGCTGGTACTCACAGAAGAACAATCCAAGCATGGAGGAGGATGAGTCTGTCAGACCGAAGAAGCAGACTCTCAGAATACTTTCGTCAAGTACAATAGGCAAGCCACTCACCGACGATTGCTGTACCACTTCCTGTTAGGATCAATGAGATGAGCGAAACCCTCACTGCCGCCTGTTCCAGTTGCAACAGCTCCGGCACCCATGGTGAATTTGTTTAGAGGAGATGAACGATACGGGACGAACTTTAGGAAGAAGCTGGAAGCCTTAGAAGCCGGACCATGGATGCTTTATACCAGAAAATCGACTAATGACACCGCTCAGGTGATCGAAAACAAATAGCAAGGAATGGTCCTCCCACATGTTTCCCCAGGAATTCTCCATCTGCACAGTTTCCCCGCACTGTTACCCATGCACGGTCGGTTCCTATTGGTCAGGGTAACCGCGTCTGGGGTCGCCTGGGGTGTTTCCAGGAACACCACTCACCAACAGATGATTGAGAAATTTCGAGATGCAAGCGACTTCCTTGGATCTCGATTCTTCTCATATTGAATCATTCACGGAAGCACCATGATGTATGTTGGAACGCATACTGCTGGGTTTCACGTCATCACAAAATTGGAAAGCAATTTCAGTTCTCTTCGTATAGCGGGAAAGAGACAACAAACGTATGGACAATGTTAATTCCGAGTTGAGTTTCTTCGGAGCGCACAGATCATCAAAGCAGTTATAGCGCTGCCGTTTGCCGATTTGAGCATGTCGGCTACAATACTGTATGTCGTTCGTTCTCGGCGTTGGTGGGAAAGGAGAGACGTAAAAGACAAGGGTTTCAGAGTTTTAAGCACAATACTAGATGTCCAGCTGGTCAGTTTGGAGGTTGGAGACGTGGTATGGAGGAATAACTTTCAACAGCGTCGGGCGATCGCCAAGCTGCGCGGTCCGTCCTGGCCGCAGTGTCGGGCCTTATGAAGATCGATTCATCCGAGTGTTATTCCATGAAAAGAAACCGTTCAAGTTGACTGTTATGTAAACTCAGTATCTAGCATACCAGAAAGGAGTAAAAACGACAATATTTCCATCCATGACGGAATGCGTAACAGCATAGATGTGCAGAATCACCTCAGAGTGATCATGCATACCAGTCATGCGTACACCGATCACGCCGTAAGCGGCCTTCTCATGATAACCAGGGTCTTCCAAACCTTTTGTGGACTTAGAACGCAAGACGGGAACCATACCCTATTCCTGAGCATACACGAGGCAATGTTACTAGCAAGTTGGCGTCGGATCGTATTTCTCAAGTATTCGCCTCGTCAATGCCCAGAACGCGGACAGCGCACCTCGGAGAAATTTGATACGCACTGAGAAAGGCATGATAACTGCAGTCGGCGAAACTTGCGCCACCAGACGCTAGCTCTAGATGCGATATTCGATGAAGATTGAGGTGATAGAGTTAAGCCACCGATGTTGGGGCTGTATATGGAACCTGAGAGATAATCCGACATTGAGGAGGCGGCTATCAGGCGGAACCTAGTTAGCCTTCAAACGAGAGGCATTAGCAAGGTGTAGCAGGACGTAACAGAAGTGGATGCACAGTGCGGTAAAGAAACTGAACAATACAGTCACTGGTGACGACAATGATCGTCGACTGGCCAGAAAGGGTGAAAGCAAAACGCAGAGCAATCGATAGAGCGAACACGTAACGTTATGTGTACAAACAACAAATGAACAAAAGAGACCGTCCGGAAAACCAAACCTGAACAAAGACGTGTGGATGAAGTCTATGACGGTGATTGAATATTGTCATCATCAGAACCATTAGCACTCCGAATAGGACTGGGAGACTGTGGCACATCGCTCAACCTCTTACGAGCAAAAGGTACGCCCCAACTACTAGCAAGACTAGCCAGTCTACTACGAGCAGTGATGCCAGAGGGTAAACCTGGGCCAGGAGGAGAACCAGCGACAGCACCCGAAGTACCGCTGGTCGTAGGAAACGCAGCCGCCAGCGATGAATTCCGCGGGAACGTGTGTGACGCGGCACGACGACGATTATTGAGAATGTTGGACATTCCTCTTGTAGGCGAACCCTCTGGAGAGGGACTGAACGAGGAAGTGCCGGGACTCTGCGCGCCCGAAGGGGAATACATAGAACCACCAGAAGAGGGTGAGTTCGAGAGTACTTGATCTGATAATGCCGTTGTCGCTGTGGCCTTGGCGACTCCGGATGAACCCGCGAAAGGTATCCGGCTAGTCGGGAATCGTGATGAAGTCGACTGTCGAGAGGCTCGAGATCCTGGTCTCAGGGTGCTTGGACCGCTTGTGCCTGCAGCGCCCTGAGGTGTAGGTGTGGGAGTACTTCGTGCTGGAGACACTTGTGGTTGAAGCTGGGGAGAGTAAGTTAGTGACGGAGGAGTTTGGCTTTCCTCCGGTGCCTTGAGAGCGACAGCATCGGCCTGAGCCTCCGCTTGTGCTAAAAGGCGAGATAATGAAGAGGGGCCTGCAGTAGGAATGGAATTGGTTCTAGGTGACGAAGGAAATAACCGGGAGTTGGGTGGTCTAGTCACCGTAAAGGAGTCTTCTACTTCAGCTTCGGGTGGGGCGGTAAGCGGCTCCGGTGGTACCTCGATAGGTGGCACTGAAGTGTCCGGAGTCGTCTTCTTGTTCGAGCTGCGTCGTTTGGACGAATGATGGGTAGGCTGTGTCCAGTCCTCAACCTCGAGCATGTAATATTTGACACCATCTCCCAGGCCGTACGGGTTCGTACTGGCATCCTGAGAGCGATGGAACAATTGAATACGCGATAAGACGAGGCACAATGCGGCATAGAAAGCTTACTTTGGCATCGACGACACGCTCAGTGATGGAGGTTATTCTTGCCACAATCCATTCCCTCGTCTTCAGTTGCTCGGCGAGGTGCCCAGTCGCCTGTAGAAAATAATGTGGGAATGATACTATAATGAAAAAGGGGCAAAGAGGAGAATCCTCGGATGTCAGCGCTCCGGCATGCGATCGGTCAAGACTTTAGTTTCCTATCTACTCACCGTTGAACGCAGCCCAAGGCTTCGAGACCGAATTTCGAGTGGGAAGAAAGAGAGCGAGGTCGCCCTTGGCGAAGTTCCTGAATGATATCTTGCCTTTAGCGCGTTCACGATATTCCTTGCATTGCTTTTGCCACTTCCGAATAGTTGAACCCGTCTTATGGATGGCTTCGAGGAACTGGTCGTGGTCAAACGTCCGCAAAATCTCCAAGGCAGCTGCTGGATCAGAGGGGTCAATAGGTGAGGGTTCGTCCAGATGGTTGGTAACTCCTCGTCGCAATGCGCCAAAGCTCGATTCCGTCAGGCTGGTACTACTCACACCCTTTGATGACCCGGGGTGAGTCGTCATGGCTGATGCAGCTGCGAGAGCCTTGAGATGAGACTCTCGGAACCTGAGGGCAACGTCCAGGATCTGGGCGATGAGGCGATTGCTGTTCTCCAACTGGAGTTCGAAGTCTGACTGGGAAGCCTTGCCCGCTCCAAGATCTTCTGTCAAGATCCGTTCAACATGCCGCGCTTCCCGCAGTTCGTGTTCCACTCGCTGAAGTTCCTCCCGGAGGCCCATAGCATCCGAATTGGTCATATCAAGTTGCGCACGGATATCTTTGAGTTGACGTTCCGCGCCCTCCAAAGCAGCTTGAAGCTCCAAGTACTGATGCTCGAGGACAGCGCGATCGCCATCGGCTTCAGCGATGTGGTCGCGAAGCAGACGATCATGCTCAGAAGCTTGAGCCTTTAGGAGTCTGTCCTTCTCTTTACTAGTATCTGCTAACGCATGCTGCAACTCGTCGCTTTCTAGTCTGGCCTGCTGAATCTGCTGCTGCAAATCTTCACCGCGAGAACGAGCTTCATCCAGCCGACGTAACGCATTCGCCTGTTCTTCGAGCAAATTGGCAACTTTAGTAGCATTTCGACTTTCCAAAGACTTGACCTCCTCGAATTCTGATCGGACCTGAGCCAGCTCCTGTCGGAGAACCTCAGCTGCTTTCGTCCGCTCCGTAGCCTCAGCTAATGCTGTAGCTAGAGAGCTTCGCTGGTTATCGGCTCCGGAAGACAGTTCAGCATTACGCTGTTCCAAAATGCGACGCGATGTTGTTTCACTTTCAAGGTGAGCCTTGTAACTGTGAAGGTCACGCTCAAGGGCGTTGCGACCACTATCCGATGCCTTCAGCTGGGCTTTGAGTTCTGTTATCTCTCTCTCAAAATCGCGTCGTTCACGTTGGAACGCTTCCTCCTGTTCGGACTTCGCATGATTGAGTTCCGCGATGTGGGCTTCTAGCTCGGCATATGCTTGTTCGTCGGCCTCATTATCTGTGAAGGAGATAGGTTCCAAAACAAGGCAATCAGACAATTAGACAATGCGCATAGCCTATTGTTAGCATATGGTGACATCTCGGAACAAGGAAATGAACGTACTTCGTCTCCGGTGATTCAGCCACCGCGAACTCGACAACACTGACAATGGAAAATGTCAAGGACGTCAGTGTTAAAAAGTCTATCTTGAACGGTAAAAGATTTCTCACAAGAGCGTTCCGCAATTCTGTCAAAGCCAGACTCGAGACTGTCCATTTTGCCGATCAACTTCTCCAAGCCTATTCGAGCATCTCGCACGGAGGTTTTTGCCACTGGGTCCAATGACACCTCTGCAAAGTGTTCTAAATCCTGCAGGACTTTCATAAGTGCTGAGGGCAAACGTCAACATCATGATGCTCGACGATGATGTGAGACAATACAATACTGACAGTCCACATCGCCACGTTCGAGAGAATACGGTGATTCGGACGATCCTGAAGGTGAGAAATCGATGGATGGCACCGGATCGTCCATTCCCTTCGTCTCGAAAGGGAGCTGACCATGGACTTCCCCTCTGTATAGCTGCCGACGCTTGCGTTCATTCGCTCTGCGGAACATTAGTAAGGGTTGTAAATCCAAGGTTAAACACGCACGAGAGCTTGGCCATCACTTCGAGTATGCCTTGCGCTCGCTGATAGAAAAATTGCGCTTTACATATAGAAATGAGATTCAATTCCATGGAACCTATGCAAGCTTTCAAAATGACATACCGAATTCTTTCCTTCGGACAATCTCTACGACAGTCGCACCATACGCATAGAGCATATTATGGAGGCGCTGTATGTGGGAGAAACTTGTCTTGGCTCTGAAACTGGCATGAAGTTCAGACAGTATCAAAGGCAACTCCACAATGTAGTTGTTCAATATGCTAATATGGCGAAGAGCGTTGATGCACCGCTCGGTCAAATGATTCTGTGCCATGTTCAGATTAGACTAACTGCACGAGTGAAGACATCTGACAGGTACCCCTACCTTGATATCGGTGACGTGCACAACCTCTGCTCGCAATGACGCGTCAAGTTGTTGGAGTTCTGTCGAATGGTCAGCAACGTCTGGTATGATTTTGTGTCTAGGCTCACCCTGTAGCTTGCTGTTGCTAGGCGTTGTCCCTAAAACAACTTGAGGATACCTCAGAAGTAAATGGACGAAATACGTACTTTCAAGAGAAGCAACTGCATCGGTGATCTGGTCAACAAGCCCTTTTGACCTCTGTACGCAAAGTTCAGCCTCCTTCAATAGACTATCCAAATTGCATGAGTAAGACTACGATGAGAGGTATAACAGACTAACCTGTCATCGGAAACAGTACTGCGAACGTCGTCAGCACCGTGTCGTAGTTCATCCATAGACGTCTGTGCTTGATTGAACCTCTCGGTAAGGTCATCTTTGGTGCTCACATCTCAGCAAATCGCTATTCTCTGAATGATGTCAGACAAACTCAAACTCACCATGTGTCTTTTGACAAGCCTCAGCAACCTGTCTCATCTTCACCTTACTAACATAATCACCTAACGACCGTCCTTTCTCGCCTGCTTCCATCGCTTTCTTCACGGAAAGACTGACAAACTCTTTGTGTATCGCAACCCGGCTGATGATCTCCAGATCAGCCTCTACGCCCGCTAACAACGAGGCTTGCTTGACGAGTTCACGTTGAGCACCGGCGGCAATTCCATCAAAAGCGTCAGCAATAGCCAACACATGGAGGTCAAGGGCACTGGAAGCAATGCGTAGAGCTTCGTTTTGATATCGAAGCGAGCTGAGGGTCCGTTCGAGTTCGTCTGAGTGAACGTGAGCCGTACGAATATAAGTCGCCGAAAGTTGCGAAGAACTGGCAGTATTCGAGAGAATTTCTGATAAGAGAGGCTTAGTGCTGGATTGTAAAGTGAACAGAGAGGAGCCCGCACCTTCTATTGGGGGTTCTACAGGAGGTTCAACTCGGAGTCGTTCTAGCACATGTTCGATGTCATAGTCGAGGTAAGTCTTGTTAAACATGTATATTGTCTACAGGGATGGCAAAATAAGAATCACGCCGTCGGACCTTAGAGTTGAGTATATAGTAACCTACCTGATCCTGAACTCCTGCAAGTTCGCGGACGTTGTCATTCCGCAGTCGAGTACCGTCAGAGAGGTAGGCCAATATAGAGTCGTGATCGATGCCTGTCTCCTTGCTCAGAAATTGTTCCAAGCTTCCCACTCTAAATCAAAATGACTGTCAGTGCGACATTAAGAAATATTCGTCCAACGTACTTCTCGATCTCGGACAAGGAGGCGTTCACCTATGATGTCGATCCCTTAGTTTGGCATTGTGCACATTCTAAGTGGTCAACTTACTTGGAACACCCTGCCATCCTCTGCTCGACATATCTGTATCATCTTCACTGGTTTCCATACATGCACTGGCAGGACGTCAAACAGGCGAGTGTAAGTTGTCAAGTCGATCACTTACGCGGGCTCGCCGAAACAGTGCGTGCCACTGACGCCCGGACAAATATTGGCGCCTACCTGATTTTGAATTTTGAATTTCTTCGTGTTTCTTCTCGATTTGCTCTAGGTTCTCTGTGGATTATCGTGAGGCATGGCTACTGGACTCTCGAAACGAAAGGCGAAGACAGCTGTACTTGGGTCTCGAAAGAAGATCAAAGCAAAACACTTGACTGCCAATGATCTGGCTTGGAAGACCGTCCCTACGTCCAAGGAAGCCGGATTGACGGACGACTTCGATGGCATTCTGGAGTTGGAGGAAGTGGACAATGTGGAAGTTGTATACGAAGAAACTGAGGGCGGAAAGATTGCTAGATTCAATGTACGTTGCGCGGTGGAAGTGCTGCATGAAATGATCGACAACTTTCCGTTAGGTTATTGATACTACTAATGATGCGATAGACGTGTCTGAGGAAGGGGATGACGAGGAGATGAATGATGGACCAGTTGCGTCCGGCTCCTCTCCACTTCCAGCACAACCTTCAGAGACTGAGGTAGAGACTGAAGCTCAAGAAGTAACCTTCAATTGTAAGTTTCAATTTGTTCAGAATACTTCGAAAGCTATGCTAAGTTGACTATAGCCAAAACACTATTACCAGACTGGCATCCCTTCAACCTCCACCCACAACTACTCAGAACACTATACTCTCAACGCTTCACACGTCCCACTCCAATCCAGTCTGAGGCCATTCCAAATGCACTCAAGGGCAAGGACGTCGTTGGCGTAGCAGAAACTGGATCAGGCAAAACTCTTGCCTATGGTCTCCCTATCCTGCACTACCTTCTGTCTGCTGCATCTTCTCCCCCAAAAATACCTCAAAAGCGGATGAAACAAAAGCGTCCCATTCGCGCACTTATCCTCACGCCTACTCGTGAATTGGCATTACAAGTCTCTTCACACTTGAGCGTATGTCTTCAAGAAGTTGAAATATTGGATCCTGCCGTTAAGACCGAAGATGATGAGTCTAATCCGCCATTGTCTACTGACAAAGCCGTTAAGGGAAAGAAAAGTCAGAAAGGCAAGGGCAAGGAGAGACAACAAGATTCTAAACCGGGACAATCGAAAGCCAAAGGACCCCCTCTCGTGAGCGTTGCTACGATTGTAGGGGGAATGTCCGCTCAGAAGCAACGTCGTATTCTCGATCGAGGAGTTGACGTGCTAGTTGCGACTCCTGGACGACTTTGGGATATTCTACAAGAGGTTAGTACGGGGACTTCTCTTGATGCTGTTCTGTCACATTGCTGACGATAATGTTCAGGATGACGATTTAGCTAGTCAAATCAAAACCCTCCGGTTCCTCGTACTGGATGAAGCTGATCGTATGATCGAAACTGGCCATTTTGCGGAGCTCGACAATATCCTACGTCTTACAATGAGAGTAGCAAAGTAAGTGTTCTATAGTGAATATATCAGAACTGAATGCTGAATGTGTATCTTAGGGATGAGGTCATCGAACCAGAGGAGCCCGAGGCTGATGTCTCGGAAGCTGTTCAAGACGAAAGTACACGAGTAGAACCTGATTTGCAAACATTTGTGTTCTCTGCGACTTTGAGTAAGGATCTCCAACGGAACCTCAAAAAGCGACAACGATTCAAGGGCAAGAAAAACCGCAAACCTGCGTCCACTCTAGGTACGAGTTGGTTCTGTGTTCGTGTTAAAAATGGTACTAATGCAGTTACGCAGACGACCTTGTCATGAAGCTGGACTTCCGTGATCCCGAGCCAACTGTCATCGACCTCAGTCCAGAAGGCGGTGTTGTTTCCACTCTCAAACAAAGTCGAATCGACTGTCTCTCAGGCGACAAGGACGCATACCTCTACTACTTCCTTCTGCGATACCCCGGTCGTTCACTTGTTTTCCTCTCATCCATAGACGGTATTCGTCGGCTTATGCCTTTGATGGAATTATTGGAGATCAACGCCTTCCCGCTACACTCACAACTTGAACAGCGTCAGAGGTTGAAGAATCTCGATAGATTTAAGAACACGGCGAACTCGGTTCTTCTGGCTACAGACATCGCTGCACGTGGTTTGGATATCCCTGCTGTGGACCACGTCCTGCATTATCAGATCCCTCGATCGGCGGACGTGTACGTCCATCGGAATGGTCGAACTGCACGTGCGATGAGGGAAGGATTCAGTCTGCTCATGTGTGCTCCTGATGAACGGCGCCTCGTTCGTGCGCTTTTGAATAGTCTTGGCAGAGGTGAGTTCTATTCCGATTTGACAGAAAGTGAAAAGGAATGCTGACGATGTTTTGCTTTAGATGAGGTGGAGATTCCCGAAATGGCCGTTGAGCTTTACCTCCTGGACAAATTGAAAGCACGGATCCAGCTTGCACGCCAAATTGATAACGCTCAGCACAAGATCAAAAAGGAGAATCATGAAAAACATTGGCTCCGAGAGGCTGCTGAAGCCATGGAACTCGAGATTGACTCTGATATGGGCTTGAGGTTGGTGTTCTTTTGTTTGGCTATTGGACGGCGCTGAATTTGACTTCTGTAGTGATGACGACGATGACGCGAAAGACGTTCCAACAAAGCACAAAAAGAAGACGGCCAATGCGAAGACGGCAGTGCTGAAAGCGGAGCTCAAGCAACTCCTGGCGCAACCTCTAATCGCACGAGGAGTTTCAACACGGTACATCACTTCTGGGAGTAGGTCCATTGTGGATGACGTGATCGCCGGACAGTGTAAGTGTACAGTATTGTTGTGCATCACAACTTCGTTCTTAACCTGTCTTTCAGATCACGAAAGCATGCTCGGACTCAAGAAGTCTCAAGCAGGCCACGATGTCACTGCGCCGAGGAAAAAGCTCAAACGAAAAAAGGCGAAGGAGGAGTTTGAGGAATGGAATGGTATTGAATCGTAGCAAGTTTCATTGCATTTTTCATTACTGCGCAAGAGATAGATCTAGACTTTGTTTCATGTTCTCCGGCTACCAAGTAATACACTTTGCAGCGAGGCGCCAAGGCCCGCGGTAAAGTCTTGTGGATTGCGTGTGCTGGTTTTGTCATTTCCGCACCTCCTTCTTGTTCCCCGACCACGACGATCTACTTCCAGTGGATTTAACTCATCTTAATTCAACGCCTCGGAAATGGCTCGAAATGTGTTTGTGTCGAGGCGGAAAATGCTAGCATCGGCTGGATTGATTTCCTTCCATAACAGGCTTGACCCCGTCCGCCCATAAGACCGTGGTAGCCACGACTCGTCGAGCGCCCATCTGTTTGACTCTACTCACTCACCATGAACATATCTTCTTCAGCTTCTCCCCCTCCTTCACCTTTACAATCTCAGTTTCCTTCTCAAAACGCCTCTTCGCAAAAGTCCAGCCACCTGCGGTTTCCTCATGTTGCAGATATCTTAGTCAAACTTGGTAGAACCAGGAAATCGCATCACATTGAGTCCACCTCCGGTGAACCGCAGACGCATCCCTCTCTAGCAAGAGAAGGTGTTACGTCGGTTAGAAAGGTTCCTCTAGATACGGCGGAAAATTTCGTCTGCCGCGACGGTGTAGACGTCATCAAGCTGTTGAGAGCGACTCGCGCGTCGTTGCTGGAGGACGCGGAGGCTATTGGCGCCAATGCTCTCGTGGACGAACAGTACGTTTCTTCATTCTACGCTGCCCCTACGGTAGAACTCATGTAGACTCTCGTAGATGGTTTTGTACTGTGTGCGGCCCAAGGCACCGACGAGACGGAAGCTTCAGGGTCCATGTATGTATGATGCTCGGTACATGCATATAATCAGGTTGTCTAAAGTCTATATTTCAGATACGCTATTCAGCCAACGCAGTACGCTCGGAGGTAGCAGACCCTCAAAGGCCCGTCGCGCTGGAGAACGCCAGAGGCGTTCCGGGTCTCATGACTGTTGTCAGCCGAGACGAGTAATTGTCAGTCCTGGTCTTATAGGGCTCCGCGCTCCCTGCCCTCACGTTGTTTACCATGTTGCGTCATCACCAGAGCACACCAGCACACCCGCACCGATTCGTCATACGGACTTCCAATCGTGTACCATCATTGATTCCCTTCGTTCTGCATACCCTTCACCTCACCTGTACAACATGTTGATACCGATGGCTTCTTCTCATTCCACCCCCAATCCCTTCCACTCCTTTGGCAATGCGGACTTGAATGATTAGAATAGATGTAATAGATAATTAGACACACGGCTAAAGTTCTGACAACCATATCGTAGTTTTTGGAGGAGTTTCGGAGAGCGCTCTCTTGGATGTTGTAGTATGTATTTCTGTCGATTGATGCATACCCCGTTTTCATATTACCCGACGAGATGAAAAATTTGAACAATGAGCAGATGCGCAGCAGGTACTCCATTGAATTCCTGAAATAATGTACAGGGGGGGGATAGCACTGAATATGTGAGTAATGCCAGAATACTTGTGAGAATGTCTTCTCAAATTTACTTCACCCACACAGTACCAGACAGTCGTTCGCTCGAATGGAAGCTTGTTCGTTGCACTAATTGTCTTATAAGTACTCAAATACACTCGGAACGCGGAAAAAACGTCGAATACGACAGTGATAAGTACGCCCTAGAAAGCTGCCATTGCACAACAAATATTCGTGACGACGTGGCGAGAGAACTGCCTAATAGTCTCAGGCGGAAAAGCAGGCCACACCACCGCAGACTCGATCCTCTGGATCACCACTAGTCGTTCCAAGGTTATGCCGGTAGAAGCCCTCTGAGTGAATACCTCCAAGGCTTCACGCACGAAATCGTCGTCCGCCACAAGATCAGTGAAATGCATGACTTGCAATTTTGGGCAGACTTGCGCGGAGGTGGATGGAAGAAGAGCCCGTAGGAAGGCGCATGAATGGGGAGTCTGATCCACTCGAGGGTCTCTGAGACTCGCGAGGTGTAGATGCGTTACACCAACGAAGTTCGTCAGGATGCGTCGCCATTCGGCAAGCATGATTTTTGACCAGTCGCATTGAATGTGGATGTCTCGTATTGTGGCGGATCTGAAGCCGAGTGATAAGAGAGCCATCGTATCCACTGCCTTGCGGTGCAATTCATTATCCGGTTTATCGATCTCTACCCATTCGAACTCAAGATGTATCCTGGGAGGATACAGTTTCACTTGAGCAGAGGGTTTACGTCGCCCAAAGCCTTGAACAGTGAACTCGGTACGATCAGGACGATGGGTGAAGACAGCAGAATGAAGCTCTGGGACCATTCTGAGGTTGTGACTTCGCCGAGGTAGCATGCAAACGAAGTCGTCATCTAGATCTGGGAGAGTGCTATAGCATCCAATCTGTGCTGTCTCTGGGATGTCCAAGTGGGCCAGTATTTGAGCGACATCTTGAGGGTCAAGTGTCAACATGACGCATTCCAAATGTGACAAAGGGACTGGATCTCGAAGAGGATCGGGATAACGGGTTGTTTCAAAGTCCAGGAGAGGGCCAGCATCGTTCAATCTCAGGATCTCAAGCAGTGGACAACGCCTCAAAATGTCCAAGAACTCGTCCAAGGTAGGGCCTTCTTCGTCCCAGACACCATAGTTTTGCATCTCCAAGACGCGGATATTAGTCGGTCCAGCGAGTGCACGGAAATAAACGTGATAAAGATAAAGTCGTCGCAGGGCAGGACCGATACGAATGTCCATCTCTATCGGTGGCAGAGGTTCGTCCATGGCGTCCAAACTGCTATCAGAGACCGACAACTCGAGTATCCTGAGGCTCAGCAGGTCGGTCGGGAAGGACTGTAAGAGCTCCTGCATGGCTTCATACGGGAGCGAAATGTACAAATCATCTAGTCTTGCATAACCTCGGTCGTATAAGCCGAGTATATGAGGGGTGAAGCCAAGCGCGGCATGGGACTCGGTCAGCGTCATGAAAATCGGAGCGGCTTGAGCGTAGTGGAGGTAGTGCAAGATGCAGTCGAGATGAGGGGTATCCACGTTCTTCCACAGGGATGGCGTTCGGAGTGTCAATGCCCTCCAGAGGCGACAGATGTGACTGAGACAAAGAGGCTGATTCTGTGCACCCTCGTTGCCCACAACAAATGCGAAAATGATGAGAAAAATATCGTCAGGAAGGGTGAAGATGGGCCGCCCGCAGCTCGACTTTTCGTGATAGGCTAAGAGTGGATGACATGTGGCAATTGCGCCACGTCGCGTAGAAGGAAGCTGGACATCGTTCATAATGGCCAGGAGTAACAGATGTTCAGGTTTTGTGAAAGACGGGGGGTGGAAAAATTTGGCTCACATAACAAGCATTGGCGACTTAAATAGTACTGGTGAGAGCAACCTTTGGCCTTACTTCCACCATAGGCGCCCAGGCTTGGCGGCCACGCAGGTCAATCAGGTCAAAGCTAAGAGCTAGGGCGGTGTCGTTTATGAAACCGATCCTTCAATATTGTTTGATGTTTCAGAGTGAATATATTCACGATAGGCCAAAGAATTTGTGTTATAGGGTATCCCAGTATGATCATGAGGTATAGCGTACTGAATACCGGAGAGATCCTCAGTCTCTCCTAGTAAAGACCAGCGGTACTCGCACAGGTCTATCCAAGAGATGTGAGTATACTGATAGATCGTGACCAGAACAGGAAGGCACTAACGTAAGAGTAATGCCCTGCGTGAATTTAAGAATGCGCTCCTTTCTCTGTTCAAAAGTCTCATTCGCGAACTGAGGTTCGGGTTTGACGATAAATTTGTATTGCATGACAAGCATTGAGAGGAAAACCAGACTCTCCAACTCCGCAAACCTATATCATAGGGTGTCCCAGAAGTAATAGGGGCCGACACAACTGAAAACGTACCTCCGACCCAGACACGATCTAACACCTCCGCTGAAAGGAATAAAAGCATCCCTCGGCCAATCCTCGAGGAATCGTGCAGGTTTGAATGCATATGGTTCGCTCCAGTAACGAGCTATCCCCAAATTGATGAATGGTAAATTATTACTGTCCGTAGGAGTAGTGAAGGTTACGCCTTACGATTGTAGTGCAGTGCACTGACGTGCAGCGACAAGCCAGTTCCAGCAGGTACGGGAACGACAACTTTCTCGCCGGCGGCGTTCGTGGTGACGAAGCTGCTATCTTCTGCAGCAAACTTCGGGATATTAGATGCCTACAAGACGTCGGGTTCAGCTCAACCACTGGACAACTTGTGGAATGACGAAACCCACAGGAGGGAACATGCGCAGGGTCTCATTTAGTACACTTATCAAAGGATTAGCAGTAATAGGCGGGCTTCAAGCTATTACTTACCACTCGACATATGTCAGTTTATTTATGTCTTCATACGTCTACCGCAAGGTCAGATGCTTGCCCATGAAGATCAAAAAGGTATGAACGCACCGGCGTCCGACCGTCTGGGAAAGCCTTCATAAGTTCCCCGTACAACCGTTCCTGTTCATCCTGGTACAGAGCTAATAGAGCTAACGCAAAACAAAGTGTGTGCGCAGTGGTCTGAGAAAAGAGTGAACAACGTGATCGACAGATATTCAGGCTGTCTCACCTCGTGGCCTGTTATTCGAAGTTAACACGGTAAAGTCAAAAACTATACAAAACGGGGCTCACCGGCGATTAGGAAAATGAAAATGTTACCTGCATCAGGACGCTGTCAGCTCGACATCTCTCGCTCTGAGGTGAGATCGTTAGACTCACCGAGTAACTCTCGGTCGGTGAGCTTCGCAAATCCATCGAAGTCACCTTCACTAGCATCCAAGAGACTAGTAAGCAGGTCATCCCTATCTTCCTTTTTCTCAGACGACCTCCGAGAATTGATCATATCCATCATGTAAAGCTGTAGAAGACATGAATCGCGTAAATATAGAGACAACTGATCATCATGATTTTGGCTTACCTCAAGCTCTTCAAATGCAATCTTAACAGCTCTAGTCCGCTTTGTTGCGTATAAAGCCCAAGTTGGAAGCGCAGCCTTGAGAAGGACGCCACGAGAGACAATATCAAGAGTGTCCTAGAATCAAATTCAATCGACATGATACAACATGATTTGCAAATCACAGACCTTGAAAGTCAGTTTGTGCCCGGGTGGTGCAACCATTTCGTCATTCCATCCGATGCGTCTGCCGAATCCAGCTGCGCCTATGACAAAAAGCGCAAGCTACGAAACAAAAAGTGGGCCATAGAATTCGCAGATTACGACTGCTGGACGAACGACTCACGGGCATAGTAATATCCAAAGCGTGTTCATAAATAACCTCTTTACGATTCTCCCAGACGTTGTCGAAGAGGTCTTTCACAACGTGTACCGTTTCATCCCACACTAATTTGTTGTTCGGCTTGAAACAGTTGCGTCGAATCAAGTTAAGTTGAACAAGACAGGACACCGAAATTCCTTACCTCTGTGAAGGCAGGAGCGGACACCTTCCTATACCGCTTCCACTCGTCGCGTTCAGAAGCGACAATATTGGGGCCAAAGAATAGCAGCAATTTGTACAGACTAATAGGCTTCGGAAACTTAATCCGGGCTGTCATGATTTCCTGAAAGCAACATATCAGCATGCAGAACCCCATTTGCAGGCAGATGAATAGCCATGCCTTGATTACGGTTGCATCCGCAATGAAATAATGTGGCTTCGTAGTAGGAATTGCAAACACCTTGTATAAAATCACACGCTATGAGTGCAACCCCGGTTGCGCCACACTAACACTCACAGAGCTAACTATGTCGACGCCAAACTGTTCGTAGGGCGCATACCTATCTGCGATGATGCTGCGACCAAGAGATATACCACGGATCCGAGGTAGGAAGGAAAATAGGCCACTTGGGCTAAGTACGTTACGGAATCCTGGATGATTTCTGCCCAGTCAGTGCAATAGCTGTAGTCAGTAGGTGCTATGTAGTACGAAGTCTTGATCCGCGTATAGAGGACGCACTGAATAGATTTGACAGTATTCTGAAATTCTAACAGCTTCTTTACAATGAAAAGCACTGCGAGCGATGCTGCCAGGACCCATAGGGTCTGCATCTCGCTGTCAAAGATGAGAGGTAGAGGCAAAACCAAGGCATCAGATTTCAGTGACAGTTAGCATTTATACCTTCTGGAAGCCCGGAAATGCCGGAGGAGACGCTCGCAAAACGTATGCACATGTGAAGTTTCCACGAAGAACGACTTAGTCCAAACGCAGACATGTACTTCGGATGTATCATTGCCCCGGTGCATAGTTATGATGAAAAAATTGAAAATACCTGGTCAACAAAGCAGAAAGATCGTAATGAGAAACTTTTGCAAGTGCGTAGAAAGTCAGACTTAGAACAACGGTAGAGCATTGTCGACTCACAAGAATTGTATATCGATGAATCCATATGAGAGAAGCGGTATGAGAATACTATTCGACGCGGTATACAACTATAAGGCTATAGTTCATCATGGCCCAGTGGTATCGCGGTAGGTGTGCCCATTGTCGCTAAAAGCGTTTCTGGTGGATCCCCCAAAGTGGTATGGTCGGAAACAAGTTTATCCCTAGAAGAGGAAGTCGGGGCGTCTGGTTGTGCCAGACTCTTTCTCGGCCCCGCCTCCCCTCGTAAAGGCGAGGGAGTAACAGAAGCTAGCGAAGCCGTGGCAGATACCGCAGCAGTCGATACGCCAGCAACTACACTTGATAACGTCGCGGAAACCGCAATAGCACCTTTCTCCATGGCATCCATCGCTTTGTCACTTGATGAAGGGATGAACCTGGTCCACCAGAATGCTATTCGGATACTGCGATCCACGAGACGTTGTTTGAGGATAAACAATATGACGAGAATGAAGAACATGAGACCGGCAAGGATGAGAAGGCGATCAAGCCAGTCGGACTTCTCCAGTGCGGTAATGAGGTGTTTTGACGTGACCATAAGGCTGTCTAGCACATCATGTGTGGAGGAAGCGGATTTAAGAGAAGCGGTGGAAGCATCTACCGTGAGTGAACCGTACTATCAGCGAGAATTCGAATGTATGACTGAGAGGGCTTCCATTACCTAGGAGTTGTGTCGAAAGCACGGAACGCTCAAGCTCGCCTTGCATTAGGCCAATAGTCCGTTGGAGAGCTACAGTTACGTCGTTGCTCGTTTTCATGAGTGCATCCTCTCTATGAGCGAGATGAACTCAAGAATCGATGATTTGACAAGGAAGCATACTCACGCGACCTTCTCGTTAAGATTTTGTTTCTCGCGAACAGCTGAAGAGCGAAGCAGTTCCTCTCGGTTCGACTGGCGGTTCGCGTCAATTGCACGCTTGGATGTCAACACGGCAGACCTTGTTTCTTTACGAAGACTGGGTGGATCAGTGGCCTCAGCAAGAGTAATTGACGTAGCTTAATGGCAGCATACATCGTGAGGGTCTCCTGGTACTCGTCCACTATTCTCCTCAACTCCCGCCGATTGCGCTCGCCTTTCTGGTCGTCTACAGAGACATCTAATGTCTGTTTAGATTAGGCATTTGAAGAAGGGACAATGAGTAACCATCTTACCTCTAGAAGCCGGGCAAAGGTATCAACGTCGTCATGCAATTCCGCGGCGTATTGCTGCTGTGTAACGAGAGGACCCTTGAAGTCACGAAGACGGGGTATCTGGAAATCGAGCAAATCTTTCTTTCTACGGTCCAGGTTATCTATAAGAGCGGTAGCTTCCTCGTCCAGGGTACTTGGCAGCGGAGCCATAATAAGAGATCAGAAGTAAGGGCAAGGTATGAGGGGTAGGGTCAATGGCGATCAAGAATGACTTCGCATATAGCACACCGTGGTGCTTGAGCAGAAAGTTGTAAGGTCAAAGTGGACAGTCCAAGGGCCTTTATTATGAGTCTCGCGGTGAAAGTCGAAGTATTGTACAAGTTGCAAGACACGCTCAGGCAGTGTGTAAAGGTCAATGTAAATTACAGCCTAATGTCACGTAAATTACGGTAAATTACACTTACTTATGAGGCCTCAGAGACCGCGATATAAGAAAGGTAAGTAAGGCATTTAAAAACGCATAGGGTTAGGGTTAGGACAAATAACCAACAAAAAATAAAGGCCTGCCCAGCCCGAGGGCCGTAGCAGGACAGGAAAATATTGAGACGATGCATGAGCCGAAGCCCATACAAACCGCAGGCTCCCTCTGAGGACATGGTCGCCGTGCTATGGAGAGACCCCACGGCCCACCAACCCGGGACGTGAAGGGGCAAGTGCCATCAAGGTAAGTATGAAGAAACCACAGTGTCGAGGATAGTTTATGTAGCCTGGCATGGGTGCGCACGGACCAAGCGTGTTGGAGGACGATCTGAACGACGTTGATCATGTCATCGAGGGAGCTGACAAATAAGATGCCGGCGCTGATTGGAGGATGTAGCGGTTCGGAGGACAGTCATGGCACCATGAAATGCGTAATGAGCAGCCTTATATCTACAAGAAATCGTTAAGCGTGTAGAGTACATCACAACTATAAGATATACATACGGCTATTCTACAACCCAAGACGTTGCACTCGTCCGGCGGATTGTAGTCATCGATCTAGGCTCACTTCCAGCTTCTAGATACTTTGAGAAGACAAGAAGCGAATTGTCAACCGTGTATGAGCCAGGGATTGAACGACATCCGCAAGTCAGAAAACAGAAGTCGGCATTGTAAGATTTGACAATGCATCCAATGGGGAGCAACCAATGCACTAAGATGAGCTATCGCAACGCCACAACAGTTTGCGAAGTGGATGGGCCGACCGCACAGATGATCGAAAACTGAAAGGTGGACTGCAATTAGTTTGAAAAGTCATGTTCATACGCAGTTCGACATGAGGAGCACATGAACTCTTTGTTTTCCGCCACAACGGTCACCTAGTCTGTTTCGATATCGGGCGTTATTCGACGTGGCACCATTTCAATCGAAGCAGGATGCTCACCATTATCATGGCTCAACGTCAGTTTTAACAAAGTTCCATATGCTACAACACGTCTAACCCCTAATGCGCTAAGATCTACTTAAGTCGAGAAGTATTCAATGAGTTTTGAATGAGTTCGATCGATCTTCCCGACAGGGCGCTAAAATGACTGGTCCGTGCGCATATCGTCGAAAAGGTATATAAGGCGGCGTCGGATAAGGTTGTTTCTTCACCACTCTGGCCTTTTGGCTTAGATCAAGTGTAGTATCTGTTCTTAATAGTTTAACCACTATTATGGAGGCACCGCCTCTATTATTGGTTATCTAATTTTTGCCGCCCTTTTCCTCTGAGCTCTGCTTGCAACTTGGAGGCGAGATGACCTTGCTACTGCAGTATCGGCTTGTGTTGTCGGGGGATTCCCTCTCTCTTTTTGCTGGTCTCCTTCACTTGTCAGTTGGCAAGCAGCGGGGTTCAGCAAATGAATTGAGTTGATCTCTGAATTCTTATGATACTTTATTCCATATGGTATATATGGCTTTGTAATACTGCCTTCGGTTCTTATTGTGGTGTAAGTACTTGATAGTGTTTCTGAGCGATGTCAAAATATTCAGGCTTCTTATGCATGTCTGTAAAATCGGCGTTCCTTCCAATTCTGCCAACCATATTCATGAGTTGATTCTCCACCATATGATCTCTAAAGCATAATTTGTCGTCTGAATTCTGCCATAATTGCGTCGTCTTCCAGGCCTGCGTATCGCGCCTCTAGAGTTGACATGCCAATGACGAAAGGTGCTTCCGACACGATGCCGTGCTTCAGTTGTGACCACCACATATATGTTTGCCGTATAGCGCAGGTCCCTTAGAGCAAGCAGAGATGAGCGATCTACCCAGTATGCATACCCTCACTACGTTACTCAAGTTTTTCTAAACCGATGTCCTTCCAGATCCCCTTGTCGACTCACAGACTACTGCGCCCCTCGAGAACAATCCTGATGGCAAAACCGGCGTGACCGACAATGTCGATTCCCCCGTGAAGGATATCTGTATAATAGGTGGAGGCCCCAGCGGACTAGCTGCCCTGAGGATTCTACACGATCACCCGCTTTACAAAGCGGGTCGTTGGCGGGCAGTGGCATATGAAGCAAGGGAAGATCTCGGCGGTATTTGGTGCGTTTGGTTGCGCCATTGTATGTTAAATGCTGTAGATTGAGAGTACGCATAGGCTGCCAGCTCCGGCGGATACAGCAGATCCTCCTTTCACTCCCTTGTACGATTCGTTAACAACCAACATCGTTCATCCAACAATGGGGTATCCTGGTTTCCCATTTCCGCCTTCAACGCCTCTACATCCTCCTGCGTCTACAGTCCTCAAGTACTTACGAGACTATGCTGCGCATTTCAATCTCTACCCTCACTTGCAATTTAACACGCTCGTCCAATCAGTGAAATGGGATAAGAGCAGAAAAAAATGGCAGGTCACAGTACGCAAGACGAAGATTGCCCCAGGCCTCTCAGGCGAGTATGCAGATGAGACGCTGTATTACGATCTCGTCGTCGTTGCGAACGGACATTATCGACTACCTCGATACCCATCTACACCGGGACTCAAAGCTTGGTTAGACTCCGGGCATGCTACCCATTCGGTGTACTATAGAAATACATCGCATCCATCTATCACCAATGCGCGGACTATCCTTGTCGTTGGTGCTGGGCCAAGTGGCTTAGACATTTCATCAGACCTACGTACTGGTACCTCAAAGAACGTCGTCCACTCATTCAGTGGTGCAAAGAACGAAGATTTAGACGGCGGACGTTTCAAGACCCGCCCTCGAGTCAAGGAGTTCCTCTCGTTTGACGCCGCTAAGGGCGAGGGCACAGTCTTGTTCGAAGACGGGACTACTGAGAGCGGTATTAGCTATTGCATTCTCGCAACCGGATACCAGGATTCGTTCCCCTTCCTGGAACCACCTTCTTCCGACTCTCCTCCGGTCGAAGTTGGCATACCTCCGGCGGTACCTCCCCTTCCACCAAAGTTGTACAACTCAACATACCACCTATTTCCGCTTGCCAAGCATATATGGCCGCTCGTCAGGCCTGACTCGTTCCCACCGTCGAGCCTCGCGTTCCTGGGCTTACCTTTCCGAGTCATTCCTTTCCCTCTTGTAGAAGCTCAGTCGCGAGCGATCTTCAAAGTCTTCGAGGACCCTTCAAGCCTAGACGTCGCAAGAGAGGCGGTCGAAATCGTCTCGCGCTACGAAGAGATCTCAAAATCACTCCCACCAAGTGACCTATATCCACGCGAGATCGCCATAGCCCAACTCTGGCATTTCCTCGACGAGGAGCAATTCGATTATTGCGACGCGTTGCACGAGTTCGTTGGTGGAGAGTACGCAAAGCCGGAGTGGAAGGTGCCCGGATGGGTTAAGGAGTTCTATGAGAAGAAATTCGTGATCAGGCAGGTTTGGAGGGAACTGGTGAAGAGGGGCGTGGCTGATGATTGGGTAAGAGGTGTAGGGGAAGGTAAGAGTGGTAAAGATGGAATGACGGAATGGGTAGATTTGATGAGGAAGATGTTGAAGTGGGCGGAGGATGAAAAACTGGTGATAGAGGCTGGCAGCTGGGGTAGCCCGAAGACTAGACTATAAGCTCGACGAATGACCATTTTTACGTGCCTAATTGAAGACTACGCTGTCTCGTCGCATTTCATATGCCCAATTCGCAATAGTAGTATGGTGAGAATTCATTTTGAAGTATGAATTTTTAAAGATTTAAATTAAATGCTGGGCATGTGGTGTAGTTGGTTATCACGCTCGCTTAGCATTCATGCACTTGCGAGAGGGGTCCGGTTCAATCCCGGACATGTCCATGAACACACATGAGATGTGCTGTATTTTTGGGGGGTCAGGCGTGGGTCTCCGGTGTGGCGCTGTTGCGCGACTAGTATGCTTGATCATGTAAACCAGTATCTAGTTCCAGGAAACGAAAAAACAGTTGTAGAACAGGCTGCGACGATCATATCCACGAATGGCTGTAATTGCCACAGCTCCTCTTTAGGCAACCGTAGAGATTAGAACGAGTCGAAAAGACGGTTTCAAGCACTTTGAAACTCGTATACGGAGCAACATGAACCTTTGCAATAATTCCCTATGTATTCAATGAAAATACGCACGCATCGATACCAACTTTTGTCCTTGAACTGTTCCTCTCTGTGCACTATCTGGGCGGCAAAACTACAACGCGCGCTTATGATGCAGTTACACACCGGAAACAGCTTCTGCATAACCACCACACAGTCACGATCAATTGCTCGACCACATCTTCTCTCTTTACCCCCTCGTTGCATCCCCGTTCTCCATGGCCGACGTTTCTGACCCCAAGATCGACGAAGGTATGTCCTAAAAGCCCCCATGCTAAACCTAAAGATTACTTTGGTAACGGCGATCAATGTCCATATCCAGCGTACCAGGACGTACGCTCGGACAAGTCAGAAACGAACTGGCTCTTATTGGACTACGAGGTATGCTTCTACCCTTGCATCCCTTACCCGCACGGACAAAGTAGTGACAAAGGCGCATACATACTGTGTGTATGATTGGAACTTTTTCAGACAGATCGATCCGACAAGCTGGTATTGACGACGACGGGTACGGGAGGATTGGACGAGCTTCGCGAACAGTTGGATGATTCCAAGGCTTCTTTTGCTTATGTTCGAGTTCAGTATGCTAATGATAAGGAGTCGAAGCGGGAGAAGTTCATCTTGGTGATTTGGATTGGGCCTGGGTGTAAGGTGATGCGGAAGGCAAAGGTGCGTCTTCTTATGGTGATTTCAAGATGTAATACGGTTACCAAGTGTTTACTATGTGTGTGTGTGGATGTGTTATTTTGATTGTAGGTGTCGGTGCATACGGCGGATGTGAAGCAAGTACTACGAACGTTCTCGTTGGAGGTGCCAGCGCGCGAGAAGGACGATCTCAAATACGATCCGATCGTTATCAAACTACGAAAGGTGCGAGTATAACTTACACTATTCCTCTTGAACATTGTTGAACAGAATGTCATTTGGCTTCATAGGCCGGCGGAGCGAGTTACGATGGCGTTTGAACATACATTCCTCTGCTGTCTTTGCTTCCTGTCGTCTGGTATAGAACGCTGTCCTAACTTGCTGTCTGTTCTTGGTGCCCGATACATATATCAATATATCCAATATATCCTGGTTTCTCGGTTCCGTGTCGTTCGGTGGTCGAGGCGAGGTCCAGACGGAAATGCCTGCGCTTTTAAAGTTACTACAACGTATCATGGTGTTGTTCGAAGCAGCAGTCTTGCCAGTGGACGGGAAGGCCAGCACAACGTTGAGGGCAGGAATACGGAGGTTATAGAACCTTCGATCGTATATCCGCCACTGTAGACATATGGTATTGATGAGGGTCTCGAGTCATGGTTGTCACCAAAGCACCGCTGGCCCAGACAGTTCCGATGTGAATTGATACAATGCGATCATTGACAATGCGTAAAGAAACAGGAAAGAGAAGAATCACAAGCGATGATCAAGCAGAGGGACATGCAAAGGCGACGAAAAACGAGGGCAACAATTGCGAAAGGGAAGCATGGGGAGACGCGAATATGAACGCGGAATGGGTTTTGTGTCAAGGTCATGCGAAAACAACACAGCTAGACAAGAGAGGCAGCCCTCACTTTGCGCCAAAGAATTCACTCCAGCCCTCCTCAGACTCTTCCACCCACCCTATGACCACCACACTCGCGCGCTCACAACCCGACGTCAAACCTCAGCCACCTTAGTTGAGCTCCTCAAGCTGGCTCTCCTCCTTGGGCTTGTCCTCAACGACATCGAAGTTCTCGACGAGGTCAGGGACGTCATCATCGTCCTCATCTGCAGCGGCGTTTGGCGGTCGCTGTTGGTTCTGTTGGATGGCCTGGTAGGACTCGGCGAGCTTGCGCAGTGAAGCGAGCGAGTCGGGTCCGAGCTGGTTGAGGATGCCGGGAACGAGCTCAGTGAGCTCCTTCACCTGGCCAGCGCCGTAAATGGCAAAGGTGTTGGCAGAGACGGCGGCGTGAACTGTGTATATAACATATGAGAAAATCCTAACAAACAGCAAACAGAATACGATTCCGAAGGACGAGAGCGCGATCGAATGCAGATGAAGTACAAGCACGAGACTCACCTTTGGGAGCAGTGAAGTGCAGCACGTTGCCATCCTCTCTGAACATGTTCACCTCCTCAACGCCAGGAATAGGCTGAACATTGAGCTTCTTCAACGCGCCCTGGAGCTTTTTGTCGTCCTGAGCAGTCGAGGGCTTGGTCTTCCGCACGACCTTGCGACGCACGGTACCCTTTCCACCTGCAGTCATCACCAAGGCCGCGTTAGTCAACAATGACGCGTTGAGGGCCGGAAAAAAAGCGCACCGATCCTGTTAGCAGCCGCCTGAGCCTGAAGTTTTGCCAATTTCGTGGGGTCCATCGTGAAGTTGAGTCGAGGATCGGCCTGAGGACGGGACGATGGATTTTTGGACGTCGTCGTAAAAAGTCGAAGAATAAGGTTCACGATCCGTACAAACAAGTGTACACAATGCTTGGGGAACCCGGCGCTAGCACGCGGTCCGCCAGGAGCCCTCGATATTGCTGCAACTGTGTGAGTCACCAAGGGTCGCTGAGAGCCGTAGGAATTCTGGCATAGACAGGACTGCTGAACTATTGCATACAGATCGAATCATATTCTGACGTTTCTTGCCCGCTCCATTCATGTCGGAGCCCACCACTGTCACATCTAGCAAACCTTCGTTCTTCATTCGCCATGCGAAGCCTCAAGATGTGGTGAGAGCGCTTGCCATACTATAGACCATATTTTATTGTTTTCTGAACGTCACATACAGGATATCATCCTACAGCTCATCATCGATCTCGTATGTGCCAATCTTGGCTGACTATCCGGCTGTTGGCAACGTTCTCAATACGACTCCATCTAACTTGGAGAGCATGATATAGGCGACTTATGAAAAGGCCGCGGACTCTGTGAAAGCAACGCCAGAACTCGTTCGTCACTCAGGACTGCTTACCCTACTTTGCGCATACTTACTGCGCGACAACAGCTTCTCAAGAACCTTTTTGGGACGTCTTACGCGAATACCCTCCTCGCCTTCACTGGTACGGAAGATGCGCCGGGAGATGCAATCGGCATGGCTCTCTATTTCTTTAACTTTTCAACCTGGACTGGTCGCCCGGGTATCTATGTCAGTATCTAGAGTCGTCTCATCTTGCCAGCTCCCCTAACGTCTTTCAAAGCTGGAGGATTTGTTTGTGAAGCCGGAAACTCGAGGTTTGGGCGTTGGCAAGGCTTTGTTCGGTGAACTTGGCAAGATCGCACAAGAAAAGGTAACCGTTTATCAACAGTGCCCGATTGGCCAGCTTGATTACCATGTATTTGCTTTTAGAATTGTGGGCGCATAGACTGGTCAGTCTTGAAGGTGACTATCACAATTGTTAACCTATCAAGCAACTGAATCATAATATTTTGTATAGTGGAACCAACCTTCAATTGACTTTTATGAAAAGACATTGGATGCATTCCCCATGACTGAGTGGATGGGTATGCGCCTAGAAGAAGCTGGCATAGAGAACTTGAGAAAGTTTGCATTGATTAAGAACTAATTAGACATGACACTGAAATGAATACTTTGGCTTTTATTCTTTATCTTACTCTGGGTGTTCACTTGAAATCTGATGTGCACTAATCATAACCTAATGACTTTGCAAGTTTATCTTTCTTAGTACATGCTCTTGAGATTGAAAGACACAAATTTCTGAGATGTGTATTTATATTATAGAACACTTCTTTTTAAATACAATATAGAATGTGCAATAAAGAAAGCAATACAAAATACAATAATAGTTATCAACAGCTCTCATCTGCCTGCAGTGCACCTTTTTTTCTTTGTAATCCAAGTCAAACCACCTTTCAATGTTACAAATACTCTTCTATATATAGATTGATTGCTATATTTTTTGAACCAACTTCTATTTATTCAGAATAAAGAGATAAATTAAAGAATAAGAAGAATGGCAATAATTAAGACTATAGCTGTAATTTCAACTATAGCATAATTTTTAATTGCAAAGCATTTTAGAGAAAATACAAAAGAAATATTCTTATCTTAATTAGATGTATATTAAAACTGAACTCTATGATATTAAAAAAATATCAAACTTATACCTATAATAGAAGTGCATATAGTAGTGAGTAGAGAATGGCTAGTGCTTCTTTACCTTTTATAGAATGAGATAGACTAATAAGAAAAGTGTGCTATAAAAATATTTATAAATAGATGCTCTAAAAGCACTCATTGGCAGAGCATAATATTGGCAAATTACTAGAAGACCAATAAGAATGCCACTGATACTAGATATAATGGAGATATAGCTGGCAACCTGAGATAGTGTTCTTATATTGCTGCCTTTATCAATACTTGAAACTGCAAGAAATGCTATATTTGTATTGAGCAGCACTTTTTCCTATTCTCTATAAATAAATATAGAAGTGGTATTGAAAGTGACATGATCAACTTATATAGAGAATAAGCTCTTTCTACTCTAATCTTAGTTTTTTAATAAAGGTAGTTCATAATTTATATCTCATGCCACTATTAACTGCAATTTTATGAAGTGTATACAGATGCATTATTGATATATTGAAGAGAAGTAGTGAAAGAATTCTAATAAGATATATCTGTAAATATTTGCTCTTTTTATAAACACTTTAGTTATATAGATGATGTACTCTATATTATTTATAATAGTTAAAAATTTAATGAAGAGCTGATAGGTCTGAGATTAGTAGTATTAGAATAATGCATATAGAATACTGCTTATCAAATTTCTGATATAATTGTGCTATACTATTGCTTAATATAGCTTATTCTTAAATTAAGTGATTTATCTAGTATCTGTAGAATAAGTCATACAAATATTTACTAACCTCTAGCATTAGTAACAGTATTAAGCATCTCTTTTAGATAATTAAGAGAAAATAAGATATTTAATATAGAATAGATTATTTTATCTGAAGAATAAGAAAGTAGTTCTATAGAAAATTAGAGACACTAAATATAGGAAGAGTGCACTAGTGATGGCATAAAGGTCAATATCTATAAGCTTATCAATCATATCAGAATATAGAACATGTCTATAAGAAAAGAACTTCTAATATAACCTATAGATATATATTACCATAAAGTGCAGTTGCTAGAGAACAATGTAAATCAGATAAATAACCATTACATGTATACTAAACCTACCAGTATATACCAGTTCATATCAGTAGAATCAATGAATTCTATGCTCTATTAAATATCAAAGTGTGAGCAAAGAAATAAATATAAGTACACTTGCTCAAGATAGATATATTAGACTTTACTGATAGTTTAGAGGTTAGCCAGATGATGTCATATTATAAACTCAAAATAATAGTGTAGTTGGATAGTGAATATAGTAATGACACCAGTCAATATTTTCTTGGTCATTCTCAAACAAATCAAGGACAAGCTCAGTATCATCTGGTACATGAATACCCTGTTCATCCATGTAAGCCTTTAGCTAGGCTTCAAAAGATTCAATCTCAAAAAATACTTGAGAATTACAGAGATAGGCATCTACATAGATTTTCTGAAGAATTTTAGTCAATTTACAGTTTAACTCAGATGACAAGAACTACATTGGCTTCATGGAAGAAATACAGAGCACCTTCAGGGTGCTGACATGCAGTCCAACCATTCGGTATACCTTCCCTGATACAGCTGTCAGCAATCTTTTGAACAATCGCACTGCAACCTACAAATTGAACTCTAATGTCTTCGGAGGTAACATGGTACGGTCATTATTATCCTCGCGTGGTCTGCAACGAGATATGAACACGCAGACCGGTTACTCACATTGTGATATTGAGGCCGTATCCTGCTGTAACAAGTACCGCGTGTATCTGACGGAAATGTCTTGGCTCTGGGAAACGTGATCTCGAAGACTCGGGTGGAGTGGATCGCGAAGCAACAGGTAGTACATGATTGCATGGATGCAGAGATTGCTGTGAGATCGGCCGAGTGTGTATCAATGAAGCAGGATAAATAAGCACTTTGCTTACAGGGTGTATCGGACTTTCACTTCGCAGCGTTACGTTTCGGAGAACTCGACTGGTGCAAATCGGAGCCGGCTCCAAGTTTGCATGTACACCGCCCTGATCCAAGTATGACTTTGGCCTCTCCAAAGCTGCCGAATCAGTGGTACATGACGGACCGGGACTGCTTGTTCTTTTGGAGGAAAACGAGAGAAATCGCTTCAAGCGCGTCCAGAGACACAGAACCATCCTCAGAGTTGCCCGTGCTGTCGTTCCAGTGAAAAGCCGTCGTAAGATGCCAGCGAGATAGTGTAAAAATACAAGGTTCGTGATGGAGATGCAATAGAACAAAGAAGAGTCAGTAGCAGCGGCTCTTCCTAGGTATCCAAGTAGAACCTCGTTTGGCTACCGTGAAACGGACACACAAGAACGTTCTGCAGCGTCTTCTAAATCTACCAATTATTCGACTTCAAATTCTCGTGGTGATATTCACCCTAGCCCTAGCTTGATCAGATACGAAGACATGTCGCGTTGGAGGTTAGAGCACAACGAGACAATGAGTCACAATCGAGCTGATAGGCCAATACACAGAGAATACTGGACCGCCACACTCAGATCAAGAAGTCCATTTTAAACAACGCTGTTGAGTATTTCGCAAATTGAGGATCATCGATCAGGTCCAAGGTTAAGTCACTGAAGTGAAGGGCAAGGCAGATACGAATTGAATTATAATGATGAACGCGATCACGTGCAGAAAGTTGGGAAATATTGCGCGACGCGTTCCTGCTTCTTTTCGTTCTTTCACAATTACCACCATCATGGCTGCCACTTCCGCAGTTGATGATGTCTTCCAAGAAAACTCTCCTCTCATTGTTGACTGTGATGTTCTAGAAGCGGCAAAGGAAAATATCCAACCCATCGCTAAGGGTCGTCGAGTAACCGCTCTTTCAGCTATTCTTTCAACTCCACACGCTCAACGCGAAACTCGCCTTGCTGCCACTCGCAATCGACTGAGAATCAATGTCGAAGTCTCCCTGGAAGATGAAGATGACGATCCATTGGAAGCTTACTGTCGCTTTGTTGATTGGACGGTGGAGAATTATCCACAGGGTCACAGTGCCGAGTCTGGTCTGCTCGAGTTGCTCGAAGAAGCCACTCGTGTACTTAGGAATGACAGAGATGGGAAATGGAAGGACGATATGAGGTATCTCAAGTTGTGGGTCCTCTATGCGAGTTATGTCGAAAAGCCGGCGATCATATACAAGTTTTGTGTCGTGAATGAAATTGGTACCTCCCATGCGTTGCTATACGAAGAGTTTGCCGTTGCTCTGGAGAGGGCAGGAAGGTAAGTGTTACATTCCAAGTGTATGTTCCTTCTTCATTCAATATTTGCTACTAGGAAAGCCGAGGCCGACGAGACATACCTCCTCGGCGTCGCTCGGCGTGCTGCCCCTGTCGAACGGCTTGAAGCAAAGCATCGTGAATTCCAAAAGCGTATGCTAACTTCGACCTCACTTCCTGTTGACACTCCGCCAGAAGTCCCCGCATCGACTTCATCAGGCTCGAGGTCACGTCGCACCGTTCTCGGCGAAACATCGTCTTCTCGCACTCGCGCTTCTTCCTCACGCACCGAGGTTCCTACTCATGCACCTGTTCCAATTGAAGATGATATCCCTCCCAGACCCAATGCTCGCATGCAAGTGTTTGTGGACCCTTCGGGCTCAGCAGATCAAAATTCGTCTCCAGCACCTTGGCCTGAACTCGGTACTCGGAAGACACGAATCAAGGAGAACGTAAGAGAAGTGAGCAAAGCGGCTGGGAGTACATTGAAACAAGCGGGACGGACTACCAGGATGGCGTCAGCGGGCAGTGGCTCGAAGATACCGATCTTCAGAGATCCTGATGGTTCGGCGGCAGTGGATGATATGCCGCCACCTCCTGCTCCTTCTTCCTCGTCAAAGAGCAAGCCGTCAGCTTCGTCAGGAAAGCTTGCGGTCTTCCGTGATGAGGAACCTGTGCCTTCGACTTCAATGGAGAGTAAATCGGACGCCCCGACCAAGCTGTCTATATTCCGGGATGAGAAACCTGTGCGGACCATTGTCACGAGGAGTAAGTCAGCGAAGCTTCCCGTGTTCAACGACTCGGATGCTGCACCTTCCACCTCGTCGAAGCGCAACACGTCTGCTACAAGCAAACTTACTGTATTCCGTGAGGATGATCTTGCACCTGTGTCGTCCACGTCGAAGAAGGACAAAGCAACCGCCCCTGCGAGGCTGACTATCTTCCGTGATGGCGGGCCTGGCGCTGACGACGAGCCTGTACCTGCGACGCCCAAGTTCACGCCATATAGAGACGAAGGGGTACGTCTTCTCTAGCTTTCTGAGTATCTATAAGTTGAATATGAATCTTGTCTGACATCGTAGGCTCCCCCGACACCTTCTTCACACTTGGCTGTACCTGAATCAGTGATGAAAGAAAAGCCAGCTCCTTCAGGTACACGAGGGGTCAAGATGTCTTCAGAAGCCGAGGCCTTGAGAAAGGACCCATTGAAGAACTATGACGAAGAAGATAGGCTTGTTGCTCTGGATTGAAATGTATGCAGTCTGCGCTCTCTTCCGTTGATTTTAGTACCTCCTGTTTTGACCCTTGACGATATCTAATGATGCTGGGTTGTATTTCTTTACGCTGACGATTTCTGCTACTTGCGTTTACCCTATGTCACCTTAGGAGTCAGTCCGACTTGTGCGATATATGCTATGAAGGTGTTTTTGCTGTCAATGCTGTTCGCCGCGTCTCGGGGTTCGGCTTCAGGTGGTACAAGTACCTGATGGTCGCTCCAACGTTTGTTATGTCCCTTCGTCCATTAAACTTCACACCACCAGGAAAGGACCTGCTTGGCTTATTCTCGGCAACAACGATTACCCTCGGTAAGCGTCTAGGACTTGTACCCGGAAGCATCTGACATATTGCTTTATCAGTATCAACAGGACCCTGCGTTCACCCTTATGCTGCGAAGACGCAAATCATTGCGTACTTTATTCTCACCTGCGTTGTCGTCCAGTCAGCTAGAACGCGAATGATTTTCGGCCGCCGTTGGTGCACGTTGCGAAAGTCAACGAAGAAGACATGTTCGGTCACCGAAATTGTTCACGGTTCCGACGGACTTGCGTAGAGCTTGCCAAGGACGATCTCCTCGTGATGCGACCTGTCAACTACATATGCCAGCACGATGTGTAACCCATGTTCTGGCTTCCTCCTTGTCCTATAAGCGGAATCATTAAGTCTTTCCCCCCATGCGGTAAAGACAGACTGTAATTCTTCAACTGATCATGACCCTACCGTTTTCGAGGTTCAGCATGTGTTCACCTGTCAGGTTGCACACAACTTCGACCGTGCTGATACTTTGGCGACATATGCTCAAGATCCCGCACGTTCTTCCTATCGAGCACACGTGCAATTAACAAGATAGACCGTTGGGTATAAAATGGATCTCGAAATGTTACTTTGCAGAGTCGTCGAGCTTGAACCTCACGATGAAGTTCCTCTTGGCTCTGGTTGTCGCTGCTGCGATCTCATTCACTTCTGCTTCCACTACACTCGTCAAACGTGCCAATCCACAGGGTATCGATGTTTCTCACTGGCAAGGTACCATAAACTGGAACACCGTCAAAGCCAATGGTGTTTCTTTCGTGTATATCAAAGCCACCGAGGGCACTAGTGAGTGCCTGCTTGTTATTTGGTTTTCGACGATTGTTAGAACGAGCTGACCATCACTTATAGCGTACACGGATCCCAATTTCTCAGCAAACTACGTTGGTGCTACCAACGTTGGCTTGATCCGTGGAGGGTATCATTTCGCCCATCCTGACTCTTCCTCTGGAGCGACCCAGGCCAATTACTTCCTTGCTCATGGAGGTGAGTTCGAGGTATCCTGCTGTTTCCCAAACCAGTGATGGCTCACACAATACGTCTAGGTGGATGGTCCAGTGATGGTATCACTCTGCCCGGTGCTCTGGACATTGAATGTGCGATTCTCTTCTCCTTTTCTGCTAAGAAAGTATCTCGAACAATTTGCAGACAACCCGAACGGCGCAACATGCTATGGTTTAAGCGCCTCTGCCATGGTGACCTGGATCAGGGACTTTTCTAACACTTACCATTCACGCACTGGAGTGTAAGTCCTAAGAGGATACTCTCTAGCGCTAATCACTCTGACCATTTATTCCTTCGTGTTCTACTTTCAGTTACCCAGGTAAGCTATATATTACCCTTGCTATATAACAAATTTCTAACAATGGACTAGTCATTTATACTACGACTGACTGGTGGAAGACGTGCACGGGTAACAGCGCGTCGTTTGCGTCTACTAACCCCTTGTGGATCGCCCGTTACTCATCAAGTGTTGGAACGCTTCCTGCTGGCTGGTCGTACGTTGTCACACCTTGGATCTAGTATGATGATCATGATGTCTTACTCGTCGTGTAGGTTCCATACGTTCTGGCAATACGCCGACTCTGGTTCGAACCCCGGAGATCAGGATACGTTCAATGGAGACATGGCTGGATTGCAGAGGTGCGTTCAACTGGTTTTATGTCTTTTTCAATATCTGACAATCATTCACGGTTTGTTTGTAGGCTGGCCAAAGGCTGAGGTTACTATGATATGAGACATCAACGAATGCGGTACCGAGTGTCTATCCCCTGAATGTTCTGACTTTGGTCATATGTCTATGTCAATGATTTCGATGAAGATAATCATGCAATTGATTCATCTTGGTCCCCGGTATATGAATTCATATACCCCAAGATCGTGTGATAAAAGTCTGGTCTGCAGGTACGTTTCCTTGCCATAAATATCTGACCAAGTCCGATGCGTTCTGAGCTATAAAAGTGACCGCCAAGACGTGCTACGCTTGAATGTTCTTCAAAGCTTCATCTCTCTGCAACTCGATACCTTTGCCTCTGTTGATCATACATATGCATATTTAAACCACGCCTTTAAACGGCCCGGCGACGATCTTCGGGTCCGTAAATGGAGGGCTGGTCACTTGATAGTAAGTAAACTACTACGTCGAAACTGCATGTCGTTCAATGTCAACCACGACCTAACAACTTGTAGGCTGGTAAGTTATTGTTTTTTAGTTGGCACTGTTGAACTGAATGGTTTGAGGTCGAAAGGACCCTGCCACCGACCGTCGACCGATATGGCAGGGTCCGTTTCTCCTTCTCGATCAGAAAGGCCCTGAATGATCGCAGCTACAAATAGCTCACTCACTTTCGTCCTAGCCAATCCAATCAACTTGAACATCGCAAAGGCAGCGGGACACTGGTCCGAGGTTCCGTAATTCTGTCGTACCCCACAGTTGATGCTTGTCAACTGACCTCTTGTCCTCCGACACGGCGGGGCCATATTCGCGATTCTCGTGGTTCAGCGTCCTCACGTCGAAAGCGAAAGCGATTTAAGGCGATAGAGCGCTCCGGAGAATGGATAAGCGTTCTCTCTTGCAGCTTAGCCTTTACCTTCGAAAGACTCGTTTAGAACCCCTCCCTCCAAAGGCATGTCTGCAGTCGATCGCGAGAAAGGTAGCTACGACGAGAAGGCCTCGTTGGAGCAAACAGAACAAGGAGGCAACGGCGTCGAAGTGACAGAGGCCCCTCTGCCAGCCACCTCTTGGGCAGGGACAGCAGAAGAAAAGAGGCTCGTGAGGAAATTGGACATGCGTATCATGCCTCTCACTTGTATCTTATATCTATTCGCTTGTGAGTGACCTTGGCAATCTCACGATCGCCGACTCGGACTGAAAAAGTCGATCAAACATTGAACAGACCTTGATCGTACGAACTTGGGCAATGCTCGATTGCAAGGCCTTCCGCAGGACACGCTTGGAGGTGACTCGACAGGTGTACTGTTCGACTGGGTTAACTCGGCCTTCTTCTTCTCCTATGTATGCCCTGATTGATTTTCTTCTCCTTCACCGCGTCTCTGTTCTGATGCACTGGCTCTTTCACGAATAGATCTTATGTCAGGTTCCCGCGTCGGTGACTTCGAAGCTCTTCCCTCCTCGAATCTGGCTGGGGTGTGCTGCAGTGGGATGGGGTCTGGCCTCAACTCTCATGGTAAACGGTCTGCTCCATCGAATTCGAATTCGGCCTAATGCAGCCTATGGTAGTCGACAGGATTCAACTTCCCTGGTATGATTGTTGCCCGTGTCTTTCTTGGTATCTTCGAAGCTGGATTTGGTCCAGGCATTCCGCTCTATCTCTGTATGTGCTTTATTCGACTATTCCAACTGTTCACCAACTTCTCTTTCCGTCTCAGCGTTTTGGTATACCAAACATGAAATGGGTACACGGATGGCATACTGGTTCGGCTTCGCTGCTGTGGCAGGTGCATTCGGTGGCCTGATTGCGTTCGGAGTTCAACATGCTCAAACTGCGATATCCAATTGGCGACTTCTTTTTATCATCGAGGGTATACCGACGGTATTATTGGGATTCATAACAATGTGGTTGTTACCGAACAGACCGGAAGAAACGAGTTTCTTGAACGAGGATGAACGGAGGATCCAATTGGAAAGGAGGAGTAGAGGGTTGAAAGCAGACGTTGGGAGAGTCGTTAACAAAAGTGAGTATTTGCTCCAGACAATCAAGATAAATTGAGACTAGATAGGCGCATTCTCTGCGCTATGACAGAACACATCTATGCTGCCTTCATGGACTGGAGGATCTACCTCGCAGGGGTTATCTATTTTGGAGCGAACTGCGCCCTTGCGTCCATCTCCGCTTTCTTACCTACTATCATCAAGACCTTCGGTGTTAGTGAGTATACTTCCCATCGTTACCTTTTTCGTATTCAGTATTGACATCGTCTTCGTAGCGAATGCCAGAGCACAATTGCTCACTGTCCCACCTTATGCTGTCAGCGCCGTCGTCTTGACTTTGACGGCTTATGTCTCGGATCGATTGCAGAGTAGAGGAATCCCTATGTCATGTGCTGCATGTGTCGGTGGGATTGGATACCTGTATGTCTTCGTTTGTTCTGGCTGGACCGTCAGGCGGCTCACCTGAATGTTTGTAGATTGCTCTTGACAGTTCCAGATGACAACCACGTCCGGTACTTTGCCGTCTTTTGCATTACTAGTGGGACCTATACTGTTATCGGAGTTACTATCGCCTGGAGTCAGCCATTTTCATATTCTTGCATGTTATGAGGCTCACATTTTGCTTTGACACACTTTCCTGCAATTATTTGTCAACGTATAGCGGCACACAACCTAGGTTCAGAAACGAAGAAAGCCACAGGAATCCCAATGTATATGGCCATAGGTCAGTGCGGTAGTGTGCTTGGGTCGCACATCTATCCATCAGTTGAGGGACCGAGATACATGTACGTTTGTCTACCGTCTTCGGCTGTTGTTTTGCTGACAAGGCTATTGCACCTTTAAGCAAAGGCTTTGCCGTTTCGTGTGCCCTAGAGTTTGTGGCCGCCATTTGCGGTATCGTCTTAACAGTGAGTATGCTGCTCGCTTCTTACGAATAAAATCGGTTGTTGACTGAACACCTTGGAACCCAGATCTCATATAGGCTGGAAAATAGACGAAGGAATAAGAAGTATGGTGTTCCCGATCCCGATGCTGCTGTGGACACTACCGAGCTTGCTGACAAGGTGAGTCCTGGGTCCATTCTGACGGCCGTATTGTTTACTAACCGAGAGTGTCCGTGTGTAGGCTCCGATGTTTAGATACGTTTTATGAGTCTGACCATGTTGTTCTGCGGATGAAGAAATTTTTGGAGTCTCATAAAGAACTAGCTTTGAGCAGAGGAAAAGGAATTGAATGAAGAACGAATGCACCACAATGAATGACTGTTGAAATGAGATGGCGCATGGACATATTGTAACGCATACACTGACTCTGTTATGTGTACTACAGTATAGTGTGCTTCATCATATTTACAAGAAAGACCTATTGTCCAATGTATTGTTTCCTGACTTGCACAAAGGTAGTGCAACACTGGCCATAGTGTGTAGGCTTGAACTCTACTAGTAATCAATTAGGTAGCTCTAAGTAAGCAATATACACTACATATTGAGGTCAAAATCTAACCAGAAGAGTGCTGGCTATCTGACCAGTTTTTAGTGAATTCAATGCTGAAGTAATGCTGTCCAAAATTCTCACTGAATAGCTGAATTTTAAGTGACTATTACTAGTGACCTTTAATATTCTTGCCAGAGCTGAAACCCTATTTCTTCTATCCACTGCACTGGGCCTTGCTGCCAGGCTCTCCCATTTTCATTTATAGGCTTACAGATATATTCAGTATAATTTAAATATATATATATAATATAATATAATAATATAATAAGTAGTATAATACTATATATAAAAGTGACAGAGTATAAAGACTGCATATATGCTTATCTTCTGTCTGCTAATTCTTTATACTATTGAAGCTTTGATGAAAAGTCTATGGAATATAGTGTGTAAGATAAAAAATAAAGTGAGATTATAAATAATAAATCTTATAATCTGATCTGTAGCAGTAGTCTTGCAGTAGTAGATAATCTTTGATAGAATAGACATCTAAGCTATATAAATAAAGGATGAGTATTGGCAATGAGTAATAAATAAATAAAAACTAGATAACTCACTGATATTAGACTATGGATATGATCTATAGTGATGTAATATTGTAAAAACTCATTTAGTGTAGGTTCAACTGCATTACAGAAGATAACTTATTTGAAATATGATAAGCATTAATTATCATCCTTTATATCTACTTTATTTACCTTCTTAAGTTACTAGCAATACTAGTTAACTCTGGCTCTTGTAAAAAAGAGAAACTCATCTGCTGTTGATATTACTTATACTGTAGAAAGAAAATGATCAAAGATAAGAAGTAATTTAAGTTTCAAATGCATTAGTTTCTTCTTTAAATAAGGTATACTGCTAAGCTACTATTAAAGCTTATTGGATGTTCTGCCAATATAATTTTTAGTATTTTCTCTTATTTCTTTATAATTTCATTCAGAATTACTCATCTTTTCTATTATATCTTCTTGTCTTATTTATTTATGCATAATTATTTTTTATATTTTATTATATATATTCACCATTAGATATTATACTCACCTCTAATTAATTTATTTTGTAATTCTTATTTTATATTTAAATCTCTTCTCCTTTATTGTGCATCTCTGCTTATATTTTTATTGTACTTCTGTATAATGAAGATATTTTGTGCTAGTTTATTTTCTCATCTGAGCTTATAAGTACTGAATGTTAGTGAATCTGAATATACCATCTAGGTTACTTTCTTTTTGAACTTCATACAATAACTCTTTATTTACTATTTAGACCAGAATCTTACTATATACCTATTCTTTCTGTTGTGCATTATTTACCAATTATCAGTTATCTACTATCTTATTCAACATTTAAAGCAAATTTTGAGTGTAGATTCTTATTTCAACTCTTCTCTTAACAGATCTTAGAACACTCAATTCTACTTCATTCTTATCTAACACACTGCTTTTTGAACTATTAATTTTATCTCTTGCCAATATCACATCTTCTACTTATATGTCTTCTACATCTTACTCACTCTTACTGAGCATATTATCTTTATCATCTTTCTTCTTATTATCTTCAGAAGATGACTCTTCTTAAGGCCTCTCTATTACTTACATTATATTATTAATTATTATTCAAGTAGCAGCAACTCTTATAAATACTTCTTTCAAATATCTGTCTATCTTGACATCTAGTAAACTCACATCTAAACTCATCTCTATATGAGATAATGCCTACTGCCATCACTTTTATATATATAAGATTGCAAACACTAATTATATCTCAGTAATTGTAGGCAACTTCTAGAATTTTCTTATTCAGATATATGTCAATAATAATAATAGCATCTCTACTCTCACCTTGAATACTTTTCTTCTTCTTTTCAAGAAATATTGGTTAAAGAAAATTTGAGTGAATAAGATCTCAATCTGCCTTATTTATTTCTACTAAATAGAGATGAATTTTATCAATAACTAGGTAATCTATATAGAAAATATTAATATTCTACTTAAAGAATATACCTCTTATCTCTTAGATAATAATCTTTGCTATCATCTCTTTGCAAATACTATCAAAGAGCTTCACATAGCTATTCTAATTCTGGCAGTCTTGGTCACTTAGAATTTTAAAAACTGAAAGAATGCTCCGTTTATTTTTAATGCATATTATCTTTAGCAGAAAGTATTATATCTTATTAAAATTGAATATGTTATTAAGACTAACCAGATTATAACTTTCTGACTCTCATTTAATGCAGCAAATTTCTTATTCAAATTGACTTCTTTTACAGACTTTATTTATTTTTCTATCATCACTAATAGCAAATGCAAACTTCTCAAAAATGCTAATAATTATTTTAAATATTGCAAACTGAATATATCATACTTCTCTATTAATTGCCTTAATTAATTCTGTAATGCAATAATATACTGTATTTTAATAGCTGCTAATATGAAGCTTTACTTTATAGTCAAGGTTATAGTCATTATCACTTCTACTAATAATATTACCAATATTATTACTGCTATTTATATCAGATTTTCACTCATAGTATTCTCATCTATTTTTAGCTCTAGTAATAACACAGATTCTGATAAGTATATCTATTCAGATCTTATTGACTCTCATCTGTACTGATCTATAGTTATTTATAGTCTATTCTCTATCTCTAGTTTCTTTTGTATACTGATTGATTGTGAATCTTTAGTAGTGCTTATTAGAAACTTAATTGTTTCTAAATTATGTGTTCAATGCTGCACCTTATTTGAATTTTTTTTGAATAATATATGGAAAATAGATTAGAAGAATTTGATAGAATGAATTAAACTTAAGATTTTATCTGCAGACTTATCTTGAAATACTCACACTATATGAGTTATTGCTATGTCTTTACTATCTGTATCTGTACCTCTTGGTAATTCTTCTTACTATGTTAATATACTTTTAATTAATTATAATACTATAACTATAATTAACAAAATCTCTGAATGCAATATTCTCTCTTCTCTAGTACTACTCTTTCTTTGCAATACTTACTTATCTTTTATCTGATGTCAAGATCTCTATGAGCATATCATTCTTCAATAACAACTGTGCAATATTCAATATCAAGATCTTATTTACTAATTTAAATAAAAATTCAATGAACTAAAGACTTCATTATCTGACTCTTCTGATTAACTCATCACTGTCATCAAGCAATATATAGAAAAACTTGCAATACTATTTATTCATAAATATAAAAATAATCTTATGCATAATTATTTCTCTAATCTTTTTTCTGATAATATATCTCACCTCTTGACTTTTTTCTTTGATATTTATCACTACTTTTATCTCAAAGATCTCAATCTTATAATTGTTTTTTTATTAATATAAATATTTAAGTAAATACTGTGAAGTTTGAAAGGCTCTCCTGAATCAACATCTCATTACTAGATAACACTGTCCTAATATCATATACTAAAAGTGTTTATACACTCATATAATAATCATTAAACTAAATAAATATATAAGCAAGAAAAGTGATAGAGATATATATAATTAGATAACTAAATAAGTAAAAATAAAGATATATAGCAAATAACAGTATACAAGTAATTTACTACAGTTTAAGTTAAACTAACAATATATATTGAGAAGCAATAGAAGAAAAAGATAAATAATAAAAATAAATGATAGCAGATAATAAAGGTGTAGAATGAACTGAGGCTAATAAAGATTGAATATGAGAAATAAATAAATAAGTGAAAGGTAATAAATAAGCAAAAAGTGATAAAAAAGTAGAAGATGAAGAAGCTGATTTGAAATGAAGTGATGATAGTGATAAATAATCTACGAGCAAAGAATTTCTATTGGCATCTCTAGAATAGTGCTATAAGAAAAAGAATATAAACTATAAGAAACTAGTAGCCATGATTAAGACTAGAACTTTGACAAAGTAGAAGATATCTATTACTGTAACTTTAGAAGATCTTTAAGCTTTCAAAGAAGTGAGAACTATCAATAAAGACTCTATTGAGAGTAAAGACAGTAAAGTGATAAGTTCAGTAGGAGGTATAAGACTGTTTTAGATATCTACAAGTATAAGAATAAGAGTTATTGATAGATCAAGATAAAGAGATACTTACTTAATATTAAGATAGTTCTAAAACTAATACACTTCTTGCTAAAGATATGTAATTTTACAGGTCAAATATTATCATCTAACAGTATGCCATGTCAAATATAAATATGTGATTAGACTTTGGCTTCAGCAATCTCCATAAGCATATAGATAAGATTATATTCACTTTATATATATCAAACATATCTAATATATAGATAAATAATTTATATTCTAAGTATATATATATTTAAAAAGAAGTAGTACAATTAATATGACAAATGAAGATATAAAATAAGTAATAAGATAATTGAGTGCATAGATTCTATAGCATCAAAAGAAGAAAGCACTATTGAGACTCAAACTGTCTCTGCTATATCACTACTGAATTAATTTTTATAGCACTATTTAAATCTTAGTATAATAACTACAATAATGACTACTATCAAAACTTTAGAAATGCATGCAACTGGCACTATAAACCTCCTATCAAAGAAAGCGGCCTGCAGATCCTCCATCAAGGTAACTTAATAGTAGAAGTAATAATAAATATAAAAGAAATAGATTTATATTCTCACATATATTAAATCTATTTTATAGCAAAATTAAATATTTCTCTATATCATTTCTTCACTCCTTGGAGAACAAAGGATGATACAAGTATTAAGCAAGTATACAGACTATTTCAAGGATCTATAATAGTTTAGTATATTAGATCAGTTAAAGGGCTTGTTTTGATGTAACATTGATATGAAGCATCTAAAAATTGCCATATTTAGATAATTAGAGATAATTATCTCATCTGAGGCCATTTGATGCTAGTAAAATGATCTTTGTGACTTGTGATCTGGATTAAAATCTGGGCATAATGGAGTGTCCATGATGTATGACCCTCAGAACAGTTAAAAACCTATAGCACATTAAACTAGGACTAAAACTGAAACTCTCTATTATTGAAACTGGAACTATAAAACTTGAAACTTGAACTTCTTGATTGCTTGAAACTTAATACTATAAACTATGTACTAGAAACTGGAGGCTCTACCTATCCTCAAGGGGATATATTTATACACAAAGTATAAGAAGACTATGCACTACTTGAAACAAACTAAGAATATTGTAAAATATACTGAGACTGAAGTAAAACAAATAAACTGAAGATGAAATATAGAAGCTTATCTAATAAAATATGAATTTGGCACTAGAACTTATGATAAAACTTTATTCTATATTCTAAAACAATCTATACACTTTTAGGCCTTTTCTAGAAGTTTCTATAGAATTCTGTGCTTATTAACTATGCTTAGCACTTATTAATCCAGTGCAAACTAAACTCAACATTTACTAACCAAGTGTTTTAAGATTATATAATCAATCTTAATTATATATCATATATTCTTCAATGTATTTAGAACTTGTCAGTATCTAGATCAGTTAATAGGCTTATATATACTTATACAACCTTATTTAAATTTTCCATCTTATCTAGATGCACTATAAGAAATTTGCCAATAACTAAGCAGTCTTAATTAATATCAAGTCTCAATATAGCACTCTTAAACCTTATATCTGTCTCTGAGAAGCTATATAGAATTGGTCCAAAGAATAAAGACTAATATATGCAATTACTATCTAGTGGATCTTTTGACTTATCTTCTTACATGCTCAGAGTGGTGTCTATAGTCACATATCATAACTTGTTCTAGAGAAGTCAAAAACCTACAGAATTGTATTGTATTTACTATAGATATAATAATCAACTAATCATAGTGTATTCATTTTCCACCACATCCTTGTGAATTCTTAAGCAACTTAGCTTAGAGTTCACTAAACTTTGACCTTACATATCTCCTTGCAGTATAAACTAGTTAAGTTAAATTACTAGTCAGACTATAAGGTAAACTCAACCCCACCCTAAACAAATAACAGGAAAGCCCTGGTATAATGTCTTACCCAGAACTTTCTCTGCAGGAAACTCATTTTCTGACTGACACTAACTGGTCATCCATTGTCACAACTTGGATTCTACTTTGATGATTATGACCTCTTACTCTTCATGTACAGGTTTTATGCATTCTGGCAATACTGTACCATTTCGAACAGTTCATCACCCATTGTGACCTGTGACATCACCTGATGAAATTTTTGTGTTCATCAAAGGTGCCTGTAATATGAGACATATGGTATATTTCGTCAAGTTGACTTTTCGTCAGCCAAATGGCTTAGTGAAAAGGACAGAGTATGGAGCATGGTGTTTAATTTCCTATAGCAGCATTGTTAATTTACTATTTTGCTTGCTCAGTCTTCATACTGATGCATAACTTGAAATGTTGATAGGCTGGAGCTGCTGGACTAATGTCCTGCATCAAATTGGTTTGGTACATAGATAGGACAGATTTCTGTAACTTTGTATTTGAAGAAGACTCACAATACGAGTAATGATATTCAATAAAAGAAAATATATAATAGGATAATACTTAGACATGACACTAAAGATGTAATCATTTTTATTCAAAAATACACATGTTCAGCAATATCTGAAAGAACTCACTTACACCATCACAGCCATGTCCATCGAAGAAGTCGTAAATCCATATACAGTCCCATTTATTCCTGTCATAATTCGATCAGGATCACACATCTTCTCAATTGCCGAAAACATGATTGATGGACCAATGGTAATACCAACACATAGCTACGTTATGTTAGCAAGTGCAAATGTGGAGTTCTTGGGGTGCATTTCAAGAGTTGTGTATCAGAGGAACAGAGCAGTGTTGACGATTGAGAGTCAAGATAGAGCACACGAGATTCTGGTAGTCGCACATCACTCGCAGCTATTGTTGTCATTTTGGAGAGTACTATGATGGATATTGTTGATCCTTATGGGATGAATCGATCACTCAAGATCTGAAGCCTTCATTACAGGCAAGCCATCATTATCCTATACTACTCCTCAGTTCTTATGACAGACTCTGTGACTAGAATATACAATTGAGCCTACATCCCAGCTTATTCAAGTCTCTATGCGTGATTGCTTCATATACGAGCATCCACGTTCAGGATGTAGCTTTGTTGGTCAATTCTATAAAAGCAGATAGTGGGAATAAATGTGTATTTGGATTGAATCTGAGTCTACTGTCTGAATGAATATTTGAGATATTTCACCAAGTAAAGAAGCACAAATAAGTAGTCTCCTAAGAAATAAGGTCCATTTATGCAATATGCAAGGAATAAAGATGAAATTATATATAGTCAGGAGAGAAAGAAGGCTATGCAGAATTATAGAACAGTTTGGAATCTCATAGATTAGTTTAGAACCTTGTAGAATGCTTATAAAGCTTGTAGAACATTCTGGAAGCTATTTAAAAGGACTAGAATAGAGTAGAATATGATAGAATGATCTGAAAGGTTGTTGAACCTTCTGGAGGCTTATAGCACTTTGAAGAAGGTACCAGAAGATGCTAGAATATTCTCAGACTTGCTTATTAATCTCTCTGTAAATTTAATAGAAATTTGTATTATAATTTAGTATATAAGCTGTCCACTAGAGGGCAGAAGGGGATCAGACATCTCTTTCTGAGATCATCACAGTCTCAGTATACAGTCTCACCCCAGTAATACAGTTCAGAGTTTATATTTTATACTTATACCTGAAAGTCAAGCAGGACTTTCACTTGTGTGCATCAACAAGGTCAACAGTGATCTTATCAGCAGCTCGGTAGACTGCAAGTCAAGCAGGACTTTCACTCTACAACTTTTCAGAAGTCTATGACTCTTTGGAGAAAGTATCTTCCAATATCAGAGAGTCATCATCAGCGTTCACATCATCATTGGTTGCATAGTCAGTCAGCACCCACTCAGAAGTTACAGAAGCCATCAGAGCATTCAGAGATATCTATAGACACAGAATCACCAGAGTCTATTAGAGAGAGTTTAGCACAGAGTTCTTTAAGTAGAAGACATCATTTTCAGTTTAAGTTCAAGTTCAGATATTTGAGTAGCAAGGCAGAGTCTTCTGAATATTCAGTGGAATTTATCATCAATTCGAACAATTGAGCCTCCAGTCTGACTAACGTTCATCCACTGTGCCCAGTATAATTTTGGGTTAGAAAGAGTTACTAATATTCCCTTACCAATAGGACTAGATACCACCCTTCACTTTTGATTTTGATTTTATTTCTTTACTTGCTACAAATATAGAATTATTGTAACTTAGTTTTTGCTAAGTCTCAACTTTTTTTATACCTTTTCAACTCTTTCCCGTCTGTACCAAGTCACCGATTCATCAACAGCCTTCATGACCTGTGACTTTGATGAAATTTTGCTTCATCAAGCATGCCTGTGATGCGTGACTGATGAACCATTCGAAATGGTACAGTACACTGACTCTGGTTCAAACTTCAGAGATCAGGATATATTCAATGGAGACCTGGCTGCATTGAAGAGGTGCATTCAACTGATCTTATGTCTTTATTGACTTCTAACAATCATTTGCAGTTTGTTTGTAGGCTGACCAAAGGTTGAGGTTACTATGATATGAGGAATCAATGAACATGATACCAAGTCTAACCCTGAACATTTTGATTTTGGTCATATGTCCTCACCCCTATGTCAATGATTTCAACAAAGATGCCCGGCATATGAATCCATGTACTCCAAGATCATGTGACAAAAGTGTGGTCTGCAGGTACGTTTTCTTGCCCTAAATATCTGACTAAGTCCAATGCTTCTGAGCTACAAAAGCAACTGCGAAGACCTGGTACGCTGGAATGTTCTTCACCTCTCTTCAACTCGATATCTTTGCCTCTCTTAGTCATGTATGCATATTTAAACCACATCCCGGCGACGATCTCCGGGTCCACAAATGGATGGTTAGTCACTTGATAGTAAGTAAACTACTATGTTGAAACTGCACGTCGTTTACTGTCCGCCAGGCCTGAACAATTTGTAAGCTATTGAGTTATTGCTTTCATTGGCATCGTTGAACTGAACGCTTTGAGGTCAACAGGACCATCGACCAATGTGGGCAAGGTCCATTTTTTGTTCCCAACCAGAAAGGCCCTGAATAATCTCAGCCAGAAATAGCTCACTTACTTTCATCCTAGCCAATCCAAATAATCCAAACATCGCAAAAGCAGCAGGACACTGGTCCGGGGTTCCGTGACTCTGTTGTACCCCACAGTTGATGCTTGTCAACTGACCCTGTCCTCTTGTCCTTCAATATGGTGGTGCCATATTCGCCATTCTCGTGGTTCAGCATCCTCATGCCAAAAGCGAAAGCGATTTAAAGGGATAGAGTGCTTGGGAGAATGGAGAAGCGTTCTCTCTTGCAGCTTCATCCTGACCTTTGAAAGACTCGTTTATAACCCCCCCTCCAAAGGCATGTCTACAGTCGACCGTGAAAATGGTAGCTACGACGAGAAGGGCTCATTGGAGCAAGCAGATCAAAAGAGGAACCATGTAGAAGTGACAGAAACCCCTCCGCCAGCCAATTCTTGGGCCGGGACAGCAGAGGAAACGAGACTCGTGAGGAAACTGGACATGCGTATCATGCCTCTCACTTGTATCTTATACCTATTCTCTTGTGAGCAACCTTGGCAATCTTACGATCGTCGACTGCTGTCGAGTAGACTCGGAGTGACAAACTCAATCAAACATTAAACAGACCTTGATCGTACGAACTTGGGCAATGCTCGATTGCAAGGCCTTCCGCAGGACACGCTTGGAGGTGACTCGACAGGTGTACTGTTCGATTGGGTTAACTCGGCCTTCTTCTTCTCCTACGTATGCCCTGATTGATTTTCTTCTCCTTCACCGTCTCTGTTCTGATGCACCGGCTCTTTCACGAATAGATCCTATGTCAGGTTCCCGCGTCGGTGACTTCAAAGCTCTTCCCTCCTCGAATCTGGCTCGGGTGTGCTGCGGTGGGTTGGGGTCTTGCGTCGACTCTCATGGTAAACGTTTTGCCCCATCCGGCTGAAATGCGGCCTAACGCAGCGTATGGTAGTCGACAGGATTCAACTTCCCCGGTATGATCGTCCCCCGTGTCTTTCTTGGTATCTTCGAGGCTGGATTTGGTCCAGTGATTCCACTCTATTTCTGTATGTCCTTCGTTCGACTACTCAAAATTTTCACTAATTTGTCTTTCTGTGTTAGCGTTTTGGTATACCAAACATGAAATGGGAACACGCATGGCATATTGGTTCAGCTTCGCTGCTGTAGCTGGCGCATTCGGTGGCTTGATTGCGTTCGGGGTCCAACATGCTCAAACTGCGATAGCGAACTGGCGGCTTCTTTTTATCATCGAAGGTATACCGACTGTGTTAATGGGATTCATAACAATGTGGTTGTTACCGAACAGACCTGAAGAAACGAGTTTCTTGAATGAGGATGAAAGGAGGATCCAACTGGAAAGGAGGAGTAGAGGGTTGAAAGCGGACGTTGGGAGAGTCGTTAACAAAAGTGAGTATATGCTCCAGACGAGCAAGATGAAGTGAGACTAGATAGGCGCATTGTCTGCGCTATTACAGAACACATCTCTGCTGCCTTCATGGACTGGAGAATCTACCTCGCAGGGGTTATCTATTTTGGAGCGAACTGCGCCCTGGCGTCCATCTCCGCTTTCTTACCTACTATCATCAAGACCTTCGGTGTTAGTGGGTATACTCCCGTTGTTACCCTTTTCGTGTTCATCATTCACATCGTCTTCGTAGCGAATGCCAGAGCACAATTGCTCACTGTCCCACCTTATGCTGTCAGTGCTGTCGTCCTGACGTTGACGGCTTGTGTCTCGGATCGATTGCAGAGTAGAGGAATCCCTATGTCGTGTGCCACATGTGTTGGTGGGATTGGATACCTGTATGTGTTTATTTATTCTGACTGAGGCGGCTCACCCAAATGCTCGTAGATTGCTCTTGACGGTTCCGGATGATAATCATGTCCGGTACTTTGCCGTCTTCTGTATTACCAGTGGGACCTATACTCTCCTTGGCATTATCATCGCCTGGAGTCAGCCATTTCCATATTCTTCTTGTATGTCATGAGGCTCACCGTTTTCTTTGACGCATTCCTGCAATTCTTCGTCCACGTATAGTGGCACACAACCTAGGTTCAGAGACGAAGAAAGCGACAGGAATCCCGATGTATATGGCCATAGGCCAGTGCGGTAGTGTGCTCGGGTCGCACATCTACCCGACAGTCGAGGGACCGAGATACATGTACGTTTTTCTGCCGTCTTTGGCCATTGTTGTGTTGATAACGCTATTGCACCTTTAAGCAAAGGCTTTGCCGTTTCGTGTGCCCTAGAGTTCGTGGCTTCTATTTGCAGTATTGTCTTAACAGTGAGTATCCTACTCCTTGTTCTACGCATGTGCATGTGCTCCTCGGAGTCGTGCTTCTTATGAGCAAAATTGGGTGTTGGCTGAGCTCCTTGGAACCTAGATCTCATATAGGCTGGAAAATAGACGAAGGGATAAGAAGTATGGTATTCCCGATCCCGATGCTGCTGTGGACACTACCGAGCTTGCTGACGAGGTGAGTCCTGGGTCCATTCTGAGGGCTATATTGTTCACTGACTGAGAGTATCCGTGTGTAGGCTCCGATGTTTCGATACGTTCCATGAGCCTGTCGATGTCGTTCTGCGGATGAGGATAATTTTTCGAGCGGAGGGAAAGGGCTTGAATGAACAACGAACGCACCACAATAATGAAGGACTGTTGAAATGAAATAGCGACATGACGCTTGACAATATCGTTACACATACGCTGACTGCGTTATCTGTACTATAGTGTGTCCTTCATGATATTTGCGAGAAATACCTGTTGTCAAGCTCGAGTGTATTGTTCACCCGACATGCGCAAGGATAGCGTAGGCCTGGAGTCTACTACTAATTAATCCGGTGGCTCTAAGTAAGAGATATAGCTAGCCTACAACATGATTGTATGTTACACGTGTATCAATTGATCGATAAATGGACTATTGCTACAAATGAGCGTGTTTTGGCGCTGTTGAGGCGATTTTTCCTCTACCACGACTTGGACGACGATTGTGCGGGGTGGGGGTCGACGTATACCACCAGGACTCGGCTTCATACCCTCACTGACGATTTTCTAGACTTACTGACCAGAACGCATATCGATATATCCTAGATCGGCGTCGACTCCGACGAACTGCAACGACATGGCTTCCGAAGACGAAGCACCCGCAGAGACCACGGTGCCTCAACCTCACCCATATCTTCATGATCCATTGCTCTATATTTCAGGCATACCGCCACATGTTCAAGATGACCAGGTCGCTGCTGCGTTTACCCATTGCGCGCCGTTCAGGCCGAACATCTCGCGTGAGGACACCACGGTTCCACTGTCGGGTACGATCGAGTTTAAGTACCTCGAGAAAGGTGAGTACGTGCTTTGCCCTTCGCGCTTTTGCTTTCGTTGTTTTGGGTTAGAATAATTCACGATAGTCTTCTTTAAAGTTGATGCACGGTCGTTGCTTCGACCTTTTGCTCTACCTTTGACATTCCTGTGACCCAGCGTCCCTCGAGCGCTAGCTACCATGGCGTAGATCTTTCTATACATGTTTTGACCTCAGTTGACATGATATAAGAAGCTGAACAATAATTCTCATCTTCGCAGCCGAGAAAGCGCTTGCAACGTTGCAGTCGCGCCCTATACCAGGCGTGCTGCCTCCCGTTCACCTCGTGTTATCGCCGTACCCATCCACAACTCCACCCACACCGCTCCCTCCACCATCTGCCCAAGCCCGACTCGTCAAGCACCTCCCACCGGGTTTCACAGACTCGCAACTCTACGATCTCTTCCGTCCTTTTGGCGCTTTACATTCCGTTCGAGCTCAATCGCCGTACGGACAGAACACAGGCATAGTAGAATATTGGAGAGAAGAAGACGCACGAGTTGCTGAAGAGGCCATGCATTGTGCTGAAGTCGAAGGTCAGAATATTGCAGTCCAGATCTGGCACGCGAAGAGAGCTGGCGCAACGATGACTGATTTCAATGCGGCTGCACCTGCCTTTGTTCCTACGGGATCGATTTATCCTTACCCAACTCAGTACTCGCCACCACGATCTACCCCTTACCAGGCCACGCCGAGATCTCCGCTCTTTGTGCATGGTCCCGGCCAGCAGGTGCAACTTGCTCCCTTGTCGGGTCCTGGGTCTACAAGCCATAGTGGGTTGATCGATCCGTGCAATCTCTTCATCAAAGTGCGTGTCCGTGTTCCCTTGTTTCAAGGGCTTGTGAGTTGATGAAGTGCAGAACCTCGATACATCGATTGATTCTAATGGGCTCTTCACACACTTCCGTCAAGTGAGTATAGTTCACATCCTATATTCTGATTTGCCCGTGATACTGATATTGTCGGTTTGCTAGTTTGGTTCAATCGTCAGGTATTACATTACCTGATACACCTGTTTGATCTATATAGCTGACCTATCTTCAGTGCAAGGGTCATGAGAAACGAAAATGGCGAAAGTCGGGGATTCGGTTTTGTCTCCTACCAAATGCCCGATCAAGGTACGTCCCTTCGTCCTCTCCGTCGTAATAGGTCTCATTTCATCGACGCTCTACAGCGGCTGCTGCGTTGCACGGCATGAATGGCGTCCAAATTGGCACTAAGCAGCTCGTTGTGCGTCTGCACGAGCCTAAGCAACTTAGACAGGAGAAACTCGCTGCACGATTTGGTGGGCACAACGGGCACCCACGTAGCAGCAGTGGGGCCACGAGTCCAACTGCTAGCGAGGCTGGAGAGAGCTATGGTGGATGGTCCAGCCCGAACCAGAGGCCTCAAGTGCTGGGGTCGCCAATCATGGGTCATGGACATGGAATCGATAGACCTGATAGGGCTCGGCGGAGCTCCGGAAGTTACTATCATGTAAGAGCCCAAACCTTCTGTGTGTTCTTGATTTTGAGTAGGGACTTACAGCCTTCAATTTGGGAACAGGCTGCCTTACAAGGAACATTGAACCTCCCAATGCGCTATGACGATCTCTCAGCGCTCTCTCCTGTTGTTCGCAAGGAAGTGCTCTCCGGTGAACTGAGTCGCCGTATCAAAGCTATGAACGCCGTACCCACGGATGAGCTTGATACAGTGGTAGACGCCATTGTTGCTTTATCTTTGAGCGATGTCGTGCAAGGCATTCAAGATCCCGCCAAGTTGACCGAGCAGATCCAAGCCGCGAGGAACACTCTTCACCTTTCGAAGGTGTCAACTCCGGCAAAGTCGAAATCGCCTTCGCCTTCACCTGCTGCTTCTCAGGATTCGAACTCACTTGATGTTACTGCACCGAACGCTACTGCATCCGCTCCCGACCATCCGTCGACCCCGTTGTCGATGCCGGCCACGCTGTCAACTCCACCGAGAACGGAATCCCCTGCTGGATCTGTTGCACCGACGTCGGAAAGAGATCGCATGGCCGCTGCCGTAGGCAGACTGGAGTCGTCTCGCGGCGCAGAGCTTACGGACCTCTTGATGAGCTTGCCTAAGCGTGAAAGAGCCATGTGTTTGTTCAACGTTGAAGTTTTGAGAGCAAAGATCGCCGATGCCAAGCTGGTATTAGAGGTGGAGGAGGAAGAGGGAGCTCAGAGTGAAGTCATAAATCCCGTTCCTCAGACCCCGGTTGCGAGGAAGGTCTCCACGTCGTACGACGCTTCGCCGAAGACTCCTGATTTGAGCTCGCGTGGGCCCTCGGCGACGGCTTCACCTGCTCCCGCTACTCCGAGTGCACCTATATCCGCTGCCCCGTCGACTAATACGGTGCATACCATTGCCTCTTTAGCTCGGCTGCCAGCGTCCGAGATTGTCAGGCTTGCGAACTCCTCTTCAGCTACTGGTTTGCCATTGCCTAAGGCCGACCCTCTAGTGGTCAAGGCCACTGATGACTTCATCGATAGTCTGATGGATAAGCCATCTCAGCAACAAAAACAACAACTCGGTGATAAGTTGTAAGTGGCGTTTGTGTTTGATGTGAACGCAGGAAGTACGGAGAGCTGATTGTGTCGTGTCATTGTATAGGTGGCGTGTTGTGAAAGCGTTTGGAATCAAGGGTGCCGTGAGTATCGTCTTTGTCTCTGGTTTCAGGGTCGTGGTTCTTTCGGAACCGCGGTCGAGGCACAAGGTAGAGATACATTCTAACGATGAACTTTGTTATATTCAGCCCAAGATCACTATTGCCCTTCTGGATCAAGACGAACTTCGACCCCTCGCCCATTTGATGAATAGTTACCCCTCTGTCTTGAAGGAAAAGGCACTTCTCGTACAAGCTGCCCAAAGCAAATAATGTCACGCAACGCCCAACGACTCGAATACGCCAACGTCTCCATTCCTCGTTTCTTGCTACCTACGATGCCCCTCGACGTGACGTGATGCACACTACGACTGACGCGCTTTGCTTTGATCTCCTATTCCCAAGTTCTTCTTTCAGACATCAAGTTAACCTTTCGCCCCATATCGCCGACGACAGATCGCACAGTCTCACGGATAACGGAATTCTCTCTACATCCCTAATACCCCGGGTCCCGAAGACCGTAATCGCACAGTCACATACTGTTTCTTTCTGTCGATTGTTTCCCAAGCCGTCCCCCGCTTTTTTTGCGTACATAGTAGGTTTAATGAAGGTGGTCTACACTGCAGTAGCCTCCGCTGCTTCCATATCCCAATCGTTTATTCTCTCAAGTATCACTCCCTGTCTGAATTTCATTCACCCATCCCCTCTCCACATTTTCCTCCGAACATCGCTACCTGCATTCCCTCGCGTTCATTGTTGTCTTTGCCGTTGGATCGGCATCTCTCATAGTTCGTCAACGGCTCCGACGACCAATTGCTCTTCTTACGACCTTTCATGATGATGATTTCCTTCTTGGTTTGGTTCTTCCTGTGCAATTCCTTTTTTCCTTTGACATTTGCTGTGCTTATCCTCTGTCTGTCGATCTGACATCCCAATTGTGCTCTTGAGTAGGTTGCCATAGCTTTCCACTGAGTTGCTACAAATGTATGTAAGTAGTTTATCAAGCCCCAACCACTCAGCATATTCCCCTATATTTGGAGGACACTAAAACATGTGCAATTCCGATACGCATTATTCGCCACACGGCACCAAGGGTATAATGCTCTCGGTGACTTTAATGGGCGCTAAACATACCAGAATTCGCAAACTCTCCCTGTTGTGAATTGATACGCATTGCACGAAGGAGCTTTTCTGCAGAAGGGATAAAAGGTCCAGCAGTTGTAACGAGCGCTGCTTGTTGCACAAAGCTAGTGCTGACTGGGTGTTTTACGCCATACAAGGGTATGTTGCCAACTGTCGGATTTAAAGTGAGAGTTCATATATGGATATGTACTAAACGCCCGATGCGGCTTTGTTGAGCCCTACTGCGTCCCTCCGCGGCCGGTCAAACAATACACATTCCTGTATACTTATTCCTCTTTATCTATTCGGAAAGGAAGCGGATGGCGAGAAACATGTCCGAGCGTTGTTTGTGAATGTGGCTAACCAAAGTGCGGTGCCGCTCTCGATCGCGGATGTTGATGGCGATCATCTTATTGAAGGGCTTCAAGTTCAAGCCACTGTCACGTCCAACAAGAACGAAAAAACTCGGTTTCCTGACGGTAACGTCTAGCAGACAACGAAGCTGATAGACGGCACAATGCCGCAGAAAAATCAGAGAACTTTCTTTCCATGGCGCCGGGAACGCCACGGGCTTCTGGAATCCCATGCATTCCGCCCCGAAGAGGATATCTCGGCTCTCGGACATGGACGCGTTCGTCTGGGAAGCTGATGATGGCATTCAGCATTATGGCCTTGTTCCCAGTGAATGCATCTAGTGTTCCTGAACCCTGGATCCCACTAGGTCGGCGGCGTAACCGGATCTTTGTGCGTCCGAGTGAGCCAACTTGCTCGGCGTATGTTCAACAAGTTCATACACCGCTCCGTGTGTGGATGTCCAAGACTTTCTATCCCATCGTGGTAATTGCGGTACGGTTGAACCCCTCCGACGTACCCTCCGTCCGATTGACCATCCGCTTTTCTATTTAATCCAGAGCAAAGTTGAACACACTATCATTACAACACTTACATTCATTCCATAAGATCATGTTCCCCATCGGACTACTCGCACTTTGCCAGGTCTTCTTGGAAGAAAAGGCAGCTACGAGTGTGGCAATAGGCATTCCTATCGCAGTGCTCCTCATTCTCCTCTGGTCGCTGTCCACCAATCGCCACGATTCAGACGATAAACCTATTACTTTGCCATTATGGGGATTCCTCACGATTAAACCCTTCTTCAACACTCGATTCGACTTTCTTTCTTCGAGCTTTGATCTCTGTGGACAGTCAATTTTCCAGTTCAATCTCCTGCGGGTACGTGTTCATTATGCCCGTCATCCTTTTCTTCGGCTGAACGTCGCTGTATTAGAACACAGTCATTGCGGTCTCGGGGGAAGTCGGTCGGAGAGACTTCCTTACTTCCAAAAACCTTGACATCAACGAAGGCTTCGCCTTCCTGTCCGGAGCCGTACGTGTCATACAAGCTCTTCACGGGTGGCGTTGCAAACGTAACTAACCTTCCTCGTGCGCCCTTACAGATACCCATGTTACCAGGCGTAACATCCGATTTACAGTCTCGCAGGATCTCTTTGATTCACAAACGCCTCTCCGCCACACAGAACAGGAACCACCTTTCACAATGTGAGATCTTATCAATACCAATACCGTGGCTTTAAATAATTTTTTCTTGTTCACAGTAATCCCAAGGATCCTGGCAGACTCCGACGGATCTATGCGCTCCTGGGGAGATTCAGGCACACTTGATCCATTTGACAACATTCCAAAGGTACAGTAGACCTTAATTCTTCCATTCTCTCACGAACCTTGGCATCTCATCATACTTTTTTGGTAATTCTTCACAGTTAATCTTCCAGACGTCTGTTCGGTCCCTGGCTTCAGCTGAGATTGCTGACGATGCTGCGGTCGTGTCACGTCTCCGGGAACTGTATGATAAATTGGACGCGACCACGACACCCACTAGTGTCATGCTCCCATGGTTCCCAAGTCCCAGCATGCTTGGGAAGTTGCTCGCGACCAAAAAGATTTATGACATTATAAATCACGCTGTCGAGACTCGCCGTCAAAGCGGAGTGCAGGGAGATGATACGTTACAAATTCTGCTTGACAGTGGCGACGACAAGATGGTCATTCTTGGAGTACGTGTTCATATTTATCTTTTGACATGGAAGGATCGACAGTCTGATCATTTCCTTCTACGTCTATAGTTCATTATGGGTCTTCTGGTTGCAGGCGCGCGTTCCACAGGCACGACTGGTAAGATAGATTGTGAATGTGTCGGTTGCAAAGTGCGTACGCTGATCACCTCTCACAGCTTCGTGGTTGCTCGCGTTCATCGAGAGCAATCCAGAATGGAAAAACAAAGCCAGTGCGGAAGTTGAGGCCCTAGTTTCCAATCACTCATCGGCGCCGCAGGACAGCTCACATGCAACCAAGTTATCTTCCGTCGCTCTCGAATCATGGGAGACTGAAATGCCTGTGTTCGACGCCATGATCCGAGAGACTCTACGGGTTGCTCAACCTCATACGGCGATGCGTAGGAACATTGGGCCTGAAACACATATCAACGGGACCAAGATACCATCTGGTGCATATGTCGTATACCCGTTCAGCGACGTTCATCTGGATTCGCAGCTATATCCTAACCCGTGGCGGTGGGATCCGGCGAGACCAGAATCAAAAATACCTTTCTCATATGTTGGCTGGGGCGGAGGTGAGTACTCGTTCATCGTGCCGTTGACTATGAAGCAGCGCTGACGGTCATGTTATTGCAGGTAAAACCGTTTGCTTAGGCCAACGCCTAGCGAAGCTCTCGCTCAAGTTGGTGCTTTCACTGTATTTGCTCGACTTCAACTCTGGCCTGGTCAGCGAGTCTGGTCGACAACCAGAAAACTTTCCTCGGCCAAACTGGAACGATGCACTCACATGCAAACCACCTCCAGGGTCTTACAGTTTACAGTTCACACGACGGAAATCGTCATCAGACTAGTTTTAACTTACAGGGATTATGGGACCGGTTGCTCTATCTATTGGGTATTATGTATCAGTAGTCTATATTCCTCTTCGCATACTGCCATACACTGTAACATAAGTCCGTCGACTAATGCAGAGTATATTATACCATCCTCCAGCTTCGGATAAATCTTCGACTGTTCCGATAATAGGGAGCCTAGAGGATACGAAAAAAGGCTCAAGTGAACGAGAGCTTGTCATCCCTGTTCACTCCGAAGTACTGTTTCTGCCTCCTATACTGCTCCTCCAACTCTTTCTGCTTCTGCCACTCTTCTTCTCTTCTCTGCGCAATCCATTCTTCCCTCGACTTCCTTTCCTTCTCCAACAACCTCGCTCTCTTATCCTTCGACGGCTCCCACTTGCTCTTCAAAATCCTCCTAACCGCCTCCGGGCTAATCCTGAATTTCTCCGCCAAAACCGGTGTTGTTAGTAGTTCCGGATTCGCCGCATGAAGAGACCGTAAACCGTCCATGGCATCTCTAGACAATTTGCGTGGAGGTGCCCAGCCCTCGGGAAACTCTTTCTTCAATGTAGCTTGGTGTGCAGCCCATTGATGCGGTGTAGGGTCTCTGACTGCTTTCTTGCGAAAGGGAGAGTCGTAGGTTGTATCCTCTTCCCCGTCAAAATCCTCCTCTTCTGTTTCCAGGGGTTTGAGAGTTCGCGGACCCCGGCCGCTGATTCCCCATTTGCTGCGTGAGAGACCTGAGACGGTAGAATAGAAAGCGATGTATGAATGCATCGCAGGCGTCCGTGGTCGCATTACACGACCCAGTTGTGGCATTATTGGCAGCATTTTTTAAGTAGAGGTGCGAAAGAAACGTCTTTCTCGGTGGAGTTGATAGTGTGAAGAGCAATGGTGAATCAAAACGTATGGCAATGAAAATGGCACAGAGGAGTGAGTAGGTAAACCATAAAGCTCAGAACAGTTGCGAAGTTTGAACATGAGTTATTGACATTTGACGATTGACTAATAAGGAGGTTGTTTTCCACGGTCAGTTTTGCGCTTGGCCAGTGCTTGGCCAACCTGTTGAACGGCATGCATATGTACTTCATAACAAACTCAAGTTGTCAAGGATCAGGCAAAATTGTAGGTATGTGGTGTCGAAAATGTGTCGCTTGCACCTCAGAGTATGTTCTTCCACTCCATTATTGCAAGCTGTCCATCGCCGTCGCGGTACGTAGCGGCTTTGACCTCTTTGTATTCAGACTTTGGAAACTCGAATAATGCGTACAGTCAGCAGGACTACGCTTATCTTCAGTGCGTATGCAACCATCTATGTCTCTTCAACAGCGGCCTGGGAAAACAAGGTAGAGCACACCTGATCAGTATTTATGGCAGTAGGTGTAAATTTCGTTCGGTCTTGCGTCTACAAACAGTACACTTATATCCAATATTTTGACCTTTGCCTACTGCCATGTTAAGACATACGAGCATATATGGCTTATTCCTCAGCTAGTACCAGCTACAAGTCGAAGAGGGTCAACAGCTTACGAACCACCAGGCTAACCTAGCATAGGCACTCCATGGTACACCCGACAGATTCGAACCACATTTGGCTTCTAACAAGGAACGAAAATTGATCCTCAGGAGACTCTTGACCTCCACCTTATTTTGCAAGAACGATAAGAACTCTACCGTAATATAATGACCAAGATAGGATCCACCCAGGTGGCCGCTTCTCAAACGCGAAACAAGAGCGGTAATAGGTAGGCTTCTCCGAAACAGTATGAATACTCATCTCTGAAGAAAAGGCATCATTTTTAAACACACATTCAAGCTGTCAAAATGTCCCCTAAAGGAGGGAATGATATTGAAACATGGTGGGCCCCAATCCTCCAAGTCGTACCACAAAATGCCTGAGAGCATCAATCCGCGATCTCTTTCAGGGTCGACTGGATATGATTTCGACTGCACATGGGACTGTGTCCTTCTAATGCCTTTTGGCTTCTAAGAAGTTGGACCATGTGGCGCGAGTAAGTCCTTGTTTTACTGTGGAACATGCCTTCTTGATTCAGTTTTATTCAAATCGTACGAACCATTCGTACCTTGATATATCCAAATTATCAATAACATGCCACGGCGTCCATAATTTTATGCCACACAGCATGGAAAGCACCATATCAAGGAAAAACCCCACACATGGAGGCCTGATCTTCCGGAACACGATGGTCATATCTGACTGCGTAATCGGCCCATCGGGATTCAAGGAAATAGAGGCCAATAAGTCGAAAACCAAGAAGTTCAATTTTTTGAATGGATTTTGCGAATCTGGGCCAGGCTCCAGCACATAGACAATGGTACTTGGACTCTTGGAGCAGCTAAGAAGGCTTTATGTTACCATTTTCGCAGTCTTGTAAGCAGGGGTCCCACGTGAATTCATGGGCGAAAGAACGCAGGCTAACCCTAACCGAGAAAGATCAGCAGATTTAGGAGACGTCAAGGTCAAAACGACGCGCTACAAAACCGATACGAAGGGATGCACATGACTTTATGTTTAGGGCCACTATCCAGGATATGGCGTCTTCACCTCCAAATGGTTTGCTGGTATACACAACGTCGTCGATGACTCAATAAGCCAGAGGGAAGTATTCGACAGACTCCACAGCTCAAGGCACCACGGTCATCCTCATAGGATCGAAGGTAGTTTGGAAATCGTTATCATCAGAAGTCGATGTGGAGTGTTGGTGCAAGCTTTCATTGCTAGAGAGACAAGTCCTACGCTCGCGGATGGTTGACTCGTACCTTGTCCGTAGGATCTATGATTCACTGTGCTCTTTAATATCAGCCAAATGATCCTCATGTGCTGTCCGGCATACGGCTTTGGGGACAATTTAAGCTTCAATATCTGGACCCACGAAATTAACAGGATGCTTAAACCACGAAGTTTCTGGACGCCTGACGCGTGGGCAGAGACACGATGAAGGAGCAGCCTGCGTCAACCACGTTGCATCTCATTCAAACAACCCTCTATATACCCCGCAACCCAACTACTGTGCGAGGCATATCTACCAACTTCAGCGTACACAACGACAAGATGGTCTACCACACCAACGGCCGGACGATGCCATCCTCGATCGTATGTCCCATCTCAGACCTACATAGTGTAACTGAGTTGACCTTGACAATCTTTTTTTCTTGAATGCGAATGCCGTGTCCTCCTCTCGCATTCTCTCTGAAGCCATGCGGAAGATTTACTGCACAAATGGGTGGTAATAAAACTGGACCGAAATTACCCGTCAAGCCTCCGTCGACGACACCGACAGGATCAGGGTCGAGACGCACTGGAGCCAACGCCAACGACAGAAACGCACAAAGGGGTCAGGGTGTCAATGCGTTGACGAAGCAGAGGGCTCTCGTACGTATACTGGCTGCAATTTCGTAAAGCTGACGTTAAATGTCGTTTATGACAGTGAAAAGCAGTCAGAATAGTTGTGAATCTGGATGAGAACCTGTAATAAGTGACCTCGTATCAAGTACATAACAGTATATTGTACAACAAAAACTTCCTTTCTATTATTCATGGGCTTGCATATTCATTCGTTCCACATTTCAATCTCTCGCAATAACATCGCTAGCACCTCCTCTCATCGATGGAACTTTACTTCCCAAACCCTCACACACCCATCTGCACCTGCACTCCCCAGCTTTACATCACCAATCCAAAACACAGCATTGACACCTCCGGGAGCAGCGTTCTTGATAGCAATGTTCTTGATAGGGTTCTGGACGCTCCATACATAAACGTGCGTATCGAGTGAGCCTGAAGCAACATGTTTCCCGTCGGATGTCCATGCTAGGGAGTGTACTCGGGCAGTGTGGAAGGACCAGCGGGTGGTGACGATCTAGATAAGAGTAAAAGAATTCGGTGTTACACATGAATAGGCAAGAGAGAGCTGAGGGTACACACCGAGCGGTCCTTGACGTTAAACAAGACAATTCGTCCACTTGACTACAACCACAGCGAATCATTCATTAGTAAAATAGAGGTAGCTTTTCTTGCTTAGAATACTCACATCACCCGAAGCCAACAAACTCCCATCGGGACTAAAGGCCAAAGCACTCACGACTCCTTTGTTACTCTCCAACTTCCCAACTTCACTCAATGTCTTACCGTCCCATTCATATAGTCGGACCTTCATATCTTCACCACCTACGGCAACAACGGAACCGGCAGCCGCGATGGAACTTGGGGTGAAACCAGACGAAGAAAGTTCGAATACTTTCTGGTTCGAACGGACTGCCTCAATAGAAGAGGTCTCAGCGATGAAGAGCGTATTGTCGGAACTTGCTGCGAGCGAACGCGGTTGGGAGGTCGTTGAGTACACTGCGGGGCTGTCCAAGTTCCAATTTCGAATCGGGTTGTGAATAATTCTTTGCTTCGATACTGAGAGAGAACCGGGAAAAGAACTTACACAAATTCGTTTCCTTGCAAGTCAACCTCACGCACCCGATCGTCATACCCCGCGGAATACACCTGTGCTCCGTCTGCCGTCTCAGTAACCGCAAGGCTAGACACAAATGTAGAGTGGCCTTCCCCATGAACATACTCGTACGCCTCACCCGAATGAGACAGGACGCGTCCATCGGCTGTACCTGCGAAAAACGTTCCAGAGGAGGGCAAAGAAATTGCAGTGGTGATTGGTTTCGTAGGAGCCTAAAAACAGACGTACGTTATCAGGGATAACATGTTCAAAAACGTGCATATATACGTACATGAAGAACACGTGAAGGCTTGTCCCCGACACGCTTGTCGAATACATTCAGGTCGCCAAATAAAGAGATGGAGACGATCTCATCTCCGCCTGTCCAAACGACCCCGACTTGATGGAAATTGACACCTGAGCCGAGTGTCCATGTCATAGTGGATTTGCGAGCCTCAACGTCCCCTGTTCAGATGATATTGACGTGAGCCATAAATTCACATCCGGTGGAGCCGTGGACGTACATAGCTTGACGGAACAATCTGCCGACGATGTCACCAATGAGGAGCTGTCCGGACTCCAGCTACAAGCCGTCTAAACGGTGGATAAAGCTTGTGATCAGTCACTATGTCCCTTATCGAACTCCAGCGTAAAGAACAGAGCAGACGTACGACCGTTCCAGAATGCGCTCCATCGGTGAACTCGCCAATCGTGTCGCCCTCCTTACCGTCGTAGAGAAACACCTTGGCATCGGAACCGACAGAGGCAAAGTGGGCACCGGAGGAGCTGTACTTGATGTCTTGCACAAACTTGGTGTGCGTCTTGATCGTCTAAGGACGCATTGCATGAGTATGAGTATTTCATTTGAAGCGAGCGTAATTGATTTTGTATGGGGTGTACCTTGACGTATTTGTATGGTGCACCTATTCAGACTATGAAGACGTGGTACAATGAATACTACGTATATCAACTTACCTTGATGAAAAACAATGGTGGAATCATCACCACCAGTGGCTGCCCGGAATGGTCTTTGTTGACGAATCGATACGGCGTTGATGACCTAGTACATTCATCATAGTCAGCATAAAACACTCGCGGAGAGCATTGAAGAAATGATAGCTATAACTCACCTTGTTGTGACCCATGATCTCGCCTGTAGATGAGCCAGAATCGTACATGAACGCATGTCCGAACCTTTAAAATGTCATCTGTCAGTCTCAGTAAGAATTATACGAATAATTTGACGAACTTGTCTCTGCCGTCACCGACTGCAATAATTCGTTTGCTCTCGCCGTCCCATTCCAGATCGTTTCTGAGTCCAAATGAGCGAAGCAGAAAAGTATGAGGGATCAAACATACATCCGACCAGCGAGGACCTTATATTCCCCTTTCAAAATCTGACCTTCGCCTACAATATCCCATATCCGAACTATAATGCTCATCAGTTGTAAATTCCCTGAGACTTCTTCAAGCCATGACTATAATCTCGTTCCCAACCGGTATAGCGCAAGTGCCAATCACAGGTTCAGCGAAGTTGACGGTCTTCGGGCACTCATTGTACACTGTCTGAAGTATCTATAGACAGGTGGAGCTTGTCACCGTCGCTGCCCCTAGCATTTCTGGTGTCAAATTGTAGCCAGAGACTCCAAGTTCGATCTCAATTGCCATACCGACATATGTCGATGCGAGATTCTCTGTGAAAACCACAAGCAGTCTTAAGAGAAATTCAGTACAGGTTGGAACAGAGACTATAGTCACTATGCAACTCGATGTAGGCTCGATTCCAGCCAATATCCTCCCGGAAGACAAGCGTTCATTCGTATATAAGAACTCGACATACCAGCGCCCGAAGCATCACCGGATGCACAATAGTAGCCAGTTGGCGAGATCTTCGCGACAGTGGTGTTATGCACATGACCTGAATTTGCAATCACAGAGGTCGGATTCTACAAGGGAGCAAGTAGCCCTATGCTACTGAGCTAAAGCAATACCGTGGATGTATCAAGGGGCGTACCTTTAGATCCCGAATCTACTCCACAGCAAGACGTAAGCTCGGTTTATGTTACGTTATCTAAGCCCAAGAAAAGACGTACGATCACCGTTCGGCCGTTGGTGTAGACGATCTTGTCTTTGTATGCGTTCAGCCTGGTGGATGCGCCCCGGGCGGTAGCTGGGTTGGAGGGGTATATCACTGATTGTTTGAAGGACATGACGATTGATAGAGACTAGTTCAATATCCTCGTAGTTGTACGGACAAGATGATAGCAAGAAGTAAAAGCGCCCGCAGCAAGACATGTAGCGACCGATCATCTCCGTCGATCTCGTGATCGTGTCGCTACTAGGAGGACTCAAGCCCATCCGTCTCTGTGCACAAAGTTATATGCCTTATTTTACATTTTTCCTCCGGTTTTTCAGCTTCAAAAGCCGTGCCATCTTTTGTCCTTTATTATCGGTTGGCGTGACACCGGCTGTCGTTTGTCCTACTTCCGGCATCCTGCTGGCACCTCTATGCCTTGAAGGTAATTTTTTTGGTGGCAAAGGCTTGACAGGTGGGTGACTTGGAATACCACCCATCCTTGCGTCAGGCCGTGCCATTGCCGCAAGCGGCGCAAACTGACGGCCCATTGCCTTTCAAAGACAAAGAGGCATTAAGAGTGGCTCATCTAACTGGAGAAAGTATGTAGAGTCTTACTGGAATCCTGTATTGTTGATGACTGGTTTTGGTTAAACTTGAACTATTCTTTCTGTTAAAAGGAGACAATATTAGGCTCTTTGGCATATATGCAGTGCTTCAGAACTGATATCAGTATACCTAGATGATATTAGACTAAGGCACAGTTAGTTACTATATATTATGGGAATAGTGAAGATTGTTCTTACCTCAGTGAATACACAGTATGGTGGACTGAGCAGAGATATGATGGGGTGGGTGGGGAACGTGTAAGTTGATATAGGACAACACCGCCATTCCAAGTTCTACTAGAATCGCCGGATTATGCGCCCCGCGACCATTCCTTCGTCAAGATAATAGTAACGTGTTGTCCTGCCTCCATGTACTCCGCCTCGAAGGCAGACATGCTCAACTTTCCTGTGTTCGCCATTTTCAGTCTCGTGGGTGCTATATCAAGTTTGGAAGGTAGCGTTATTCACAACTGGTCAGTGTGTCCGCTATTGGCTAGCTGACTGCTGTCCAACTCAGCGCATGTCTCACTCTTTCCGCTCAATCGAAAGCGGCATTGAATTTGCATTGTTTAGTTATGCAATCACTCAGAATGCCGAAGTAGCAGGCCGCTCGGATGCTCGCTTGTCCTACAGACTTGGGTACGAATGCACGACCATGGTATCATTACTGACATCGTTATGCAAGTCAATCCCTACAATTAGCCACAATGCATTACTGAATAGTATAGGACCAGAAGAAATGGGTAAGGTGGAATCCGTCCGCGAGTCCGAGTCGTATGATGTTCCCCTATGGCTGACCGAGACATTGACCTGCGCATGCATCTAGGTGTGTAACGATGAACTAGTCTCATTGATGAAATTCACCTCCAGTATATGGCGAAACGATGGGTCTCTTCCAGTCTATCTTTTGCCCTAATCTTTTATTTACCGCTGGACTCACACCTTTCCGATGCGTGGGTGCCTTAGGAAGGCCTGACATTCAAATCACTCCCGTAGGTAATATGATACCGCGTATTGAACTATATATCCTACACCTAGTGACATGACGATATCACAAGTCTGACACCAAATCTATAAGCTCATCATCCTCCGATACATCATCACTATCAATACTACAACAACTCGTCCTGATAAGATCCCTGCGCAACTGCACGAAATCCTATCGGCCATAAATACAAAATCCAAACGGTGCCGATCATTTCTACTTCCTCGTCGCATGCTGAGTATTTTGTGCTTTACTATTACCTGCCAACGTCGTGGCTAACGTGACGCCACAGGGCCCCGGCCCCGCTTTCTGCACCACATTGGCACCTGTATGTGCTGAAAGCGACCCCGTTGGTACTGATGTGGTTGACAAAGACTTGACAGGTAACTTGTGTTCACTTTTCTTACCGCCCATCTGAGCGGTAGACCTTCCGCGCGCTTTGAGGGGAGGACGCACGGGCCTTCAACGATAAATCAGTGTCAATATTGACTGGTATTACTGGAGGAAATATGTCTAATCTTACTGAGGTAATGAGTTGCCAATAAGTGGTTCAACTTGAACTGTTCTTTCCACAGTTGCTTGTTCTTGCGGGGTCATCGAAGTGACGGCGATCTCTGAGTCAGGCTCCTGCGTAGTTGCCAGTGAGATCGCCTCTACTTCCGCCCTCACAGTCTGCGATGACAGTGTCGTAGCTCCTTCATCTTTGTCATGTTCGAGATCGGCAGAGACTTCGCTACTAAAAATAAAAAAACTCGGTCAAGTTGAATCCAACGATAGCAATGACAATGATCTACAACATACCTGATCTGAGCAATCGGTCGATCCTCGTCCATTGTCTGTGTTTTCACTGAGTCATTAGACGACATTTCTGCAGAGTGTGAAGACCTAAGAGGGCATCAAGGGTGCAGATGTCAAGGAAGAATGCTCCAAAGTCATCAATCCCACAAGCCAAGAACGCGTTAACATGACATATTAATCCTCGCAGGCTCTTTGTCAGTCTACCTGGGAAGCCAGCGTTTCTCGGCATCTTTACGAAGACAATGCAGACAAATTCAGAAGGCCATAAATACTCGGGTAAGCTTTCTCGGAATGTCGAACAAAATCAATGCATCAGCGCATCATCGTTGAAGTTGCTGTGAGAGAATGCAAATGCATCAGAATCCAGTCAAATTGACTCCTCGAGCACACTCGGTGAATTCATAGATGGGGTGGGACGAGAATGAAATCGGGGAACACCGGTCAACGAGATTAGGAGGACGAAAGATTCTTGTGGCATCTCAATCTAACGCATGGTGTCCAAAAATCAACAAAGTGGCCACAAGCTCTGAACGACCTTTTGGCGAGCTGAAATCCTGCACCAGTATATGAAGTGATAGATTTAAGGTCAGCGAACCAGGTTACTACCTACTTATCCACCTCCCAAGCTGGACTCGCTACGATTTGACGGCGTCCGAGAGGCGAAGTTCGACAAGGGGATAGCGAGCATGTTCTGTTCCCTCATCAACCGCGATTCCCTCGCATGAGCCTGTCTCACGAAGGCATATCTTTGGAAATGGTTCAAAGATTGCAAGAATTGCACGCCAACCTGCAGGATACGCGTTTCAGTCGGGAAGCTTAATTTACTTGAATCATGTATTAAACTCACAGGATGTAATCGAAGTTCATTGAAGATGTCAACCGTGAGGTCACGAACGACTTCCTGCTGATGGAAGAGTCCGAAACTTAGCGGCAGCAGACCGTTGTGATGTGGTGGTAACATTGACAACAGCTGATACTCCAATTCAGTCTTGTTGTCGTAGCTCTAAAACCAACATTCGTACCTCGGTAACCTGATCATAACTTTGCACGTTTTCCGCCAGATGACGCATGATAAGTTCAGCTTCGCCGTCAGACATTCGTTTGGCATGTCTGAGTCGCCACAATTGATGCGCAGCATCGAAACCCTGAATTGGATTAGTTGTCAACATTTTCTTGAAGTCCTATATCACAAGTCAGCATCTACAACGTGTCAGACAAAGTGATACTCACCGCGCGGTAAAGCTCGCAACTTTCCGTCCGTCTGAAAGCCTCGATACGTGACGCATTCGCGGCAAGCTCCCTAGCACCTGCAGCATCATCCGAGAAACCCAACCCACTCCCTAGTCGAGGATGGTCTCCAATACGCTCGGAGTACGAAGCGCTGGGGTACCCCAGAGTAGTTTGAATCCCGAGGACGTCTTCCTCGTACCGGGCGGTAAGTTTGACGAATCGAGTCGCGTACTCTGTGAATCGGGCTCGAACGTGGGCTTCGCCATAATGGTACGAAATGGCAGAGATGATCTGAATGAGGATTAGGTCAACAAGGCTAAGCATATTAAAAAAAAGGAAAATCTTCCACAACGGACGTACATCTTCCATGAAGAGGTTATCGGCATCATTGCCCTTCGTCACGTCACCCCTCTTCTCAGCGACGCCCAGGTCTTTGCTCGGTCGTATCATGTCTTCCTCGCTGCCCAGCGAAGCCTCGGTCTTGAGTGTCCCAGTACGAGTGATCAAAGTTGGCTGACTAGTCGTTGTGGGAGGATAATTGACCAAGATATCCTTAGATACAACCATCCGTCCTGAACCGACGTCGCACAACAAATCCCAGGAACCAGAGGATTCAAAAATAGGGTTAGTGACTCCAGCAATATATGCAGGGCTATATTGCGACGAAAGCTCATTTGTCAGTAAGTACTGAGGAGATAAAGGCGCGCAAAGACTTACATACTCTCCCATTCCTCCCTATTGATCAGATTGGCATACGGAAATGCTCGCTTTATGAAGCCTCGTAGGACGACCCCACAACCACTACCAAGCGCACAAGCACTCAGAACATAACTAGATACCTGACCAGCCGGACGATGATGCCCAAGGAAGATAATTCGTTTCCCGGTGACCAGGGCATTGAAGAGAATAATGATGGGGTGCGTCTGAGCCCCTGAGGTATGTAAGTGAGGATGAAGGGGTCCGGATATACTAGCAGTAGGGCTTGAGAATAATTGTACAAGTTGAATAAGGGAGTACTACAGTAGCGAATGAGCCATTCTGGACGTAAGGAAATAAAACGAATAGAGCACGCACGTCGCCTACTTCCTCAGGGAAAGTCGCTAAAGGCAACTTGATGGGTATCCGATGATCGTTGTATTCCATAACAGCAGGGAAGAAATGGGTATCTTTGAGAGCGGCAGGATTGTGTGCAGTCGTCGAAGCCAACCCTGCTTCCTCTCTCTTTGCGCCACTCTGAAATCCTGAAGAGGACGCAGAAGAGGACGCATCCGTGGAGCGACGTCCTCTACCGCTGCCTGATGGGTGGGCATGAGAATTGCTCGGCACGCTCCCAACCACTTGGTCTAAGCCTGACTCGTCTCCTACCCAGACAGCACTGCCGTCTAGAGAGAAAGAGGCTTCCGACGGAGAGTTCTGATTCTGCTGTTGAGGCGGCGACTGTAGGGCGGTAGAACTAGCCGCAGGTATCGACCCTTTCCTCTCTCGTTCTCTAGCACGAGTGAGGATGCCTTCTTCGAAGCTGGAATGGGAACCCTGAGAAGAAGTAGCTTTGTGTTTGCTGCTTGAGGATGCCGTCTTGGTAGATATGTGGGCGTTAGAATCGTTGTTTGGTCGGAGAAGTTCTTCGAACTTCTCGATGAACACGTCTTTCCGTTCGCTGGTTCGCATGATGAGCTTCTCGTGTCGCGTTAGAACGGGAGCACGGGAGATGTCGATGGAGTTTATGGCGTCGAAAAGACGGGCGAGGCAATCTTGAGAGGGATGTGCGAAGTAGTCATCCAAAGCCATAAGAAGAACGGGCTGCACGTGAACACGCTCAATGCCTTATATCAGTCGTCAATGCCTGTCCAACGTACCTTGAAGATTTCAATGAAGGAATGTCGCGTACAAATCGCCATTGCTTTTACGATTGCGCCTCTAAACCCTTCAGCGTGATATTTGGAACACAAGACGAGCTGCAACATACCTTCGTACAGTCTTGTCCAGCTTCGTTCGTACAAGGTTCAGAACATACAACAGTTCCTGACCTCCTTCCTCTCCATCATTTTCGTGACCATCCGCGTCGCTGCCATGCTGAGAGTCAGAGACGGGTGGATCCAGAGCTAGGACGGGAGAAATCGTGTTGAAAGGTGTCTGGTTTAGAAAGAATATCGTCCAATCCTCTGGTTGACGTTCCGCACCATCGGGAAGCATCAAGTTTGCTAGGAGACTATGACAAGGGTGAACATGGCACACAGAAGGTGGAGTTCGCTAAGACGTACCCTTCATCTGTTCCTAATGGCTGGGGGAATTGGTAGGTGAGCTGAGCACCTCGATCAATGTCAAAGTCGGCCAGGAGCACGAAAGAGCAATGTTGGGCCGTTCCGGTCATGGTGGGCGCGTATGGTACAAGAAACACCGCAGGTATACAAGATAAGAGGATGACTTAGGTCGATACCAACAACCGACTAATTAATATGCGGACCTGCACACATGCTACTTGTTGGTCAATACCGAGTGATCATTATGTAAAGAACTCAGACACACCGTACGCGGAACCTTACACTGATCCTTCACGGCTCTAAGATGGTGGATCACTTCAGAGAAGTAACGAAATGTTACTACTGTACTTAGCACAAACGTTACCCCAATAACCGTGGGAAAATTATTTCAACTAAGTTACCAACTTACTTACTTCTGAACGCCTCTGAAAGCTTCTGAATTCTGAAATTATTGCTTTCTTTCCTAACTTGTTGTACATTGTACACTGTTGCTGCGATCTGTACTCTTTTGGAGCTGGATGTACGTAGGGATCTAATCTCCGACTGACTTTCGTAATATTCTAATTTGTACGGCCAATGAAGCGACTAATTAGACGCGATCGAGTTTGAAGACCTCCGTCCTCCCTGGAGGCACTTATTAGCACCTTATACGAGTTCCAATGGCTCAGAATGCATACCCTGCTCACTTGTATCAACAGCAACCAACTTACCCGCAATATGCGCCCTCTAATCAACCTAATCCGGCCGGACAGTATCAACCACAGTCATACCCTCAACCTAATGTCTACCAGCAGCACCCTCCCCCCATTGATACCCAGCAGCGTTATCCTTCTGGTCCCTCACCACAAGCATATTACCCTCCTCTGCAGACCCAATTTCTTCCTAGAGTAGCTCAAGGTCCGCCAACGCCTTATTCCCCGAGCCAGCCTCATCCGTCGCAGCCAGGAGTTCATTATCACCAACCACAACCTGTAGTTGCACCTACGCCTGCGGACATCACGCAACGATATGCACCCAATGCTTACCCTTCCCCCATCTCCCCCGCTAACCCGCCATCTGCCTTTCGTAGACCACTTCCTAATCCCGCAAATGCACCGAGACCCGGCTCTGTTGCTCAAGCAGAAGGAGCTTCTTCTGGGTTCAATTCCCAGTCACGACAAATTTCTCATAGACCTTCCAGCTCCCTCTCGACATCGCCTTCCTCTGCTTCACAAGTGGCATCAGCTATTTCTAAATTCAGCTCAATGTCTGTGAATACCGCAAGCATGTCGCAGAATTCCAGCCACTTGGGGAGACCCTTACCGCAGCCGCGTGCTACTCAAACTGTGCGCAGTGGGAGTCCCGTCAAGCTTCCCCAACCTGCCCAGCCAAGTGGTGTGCCCGTGACTCCAAGTAGTTCACAATCCCAACCGCACGAACAGCCAGACTTGCCTGGTCAGAAATTTGTTCCTATGTGGAGACGTACTCTTCCATCTCCAATGGCGCCAAGTCCTGGGATCGCTAACAATCCACAAACTAGCACTATGCAGCGTACCCCGGTGATTGTCCCTGCACTCAATGGATCTTCTGACCCCAAACAGAACTCACAACCTGCCATGGCGCGTCGTCCGACGATATCACGCCCACTACCACAGTCTCCAGGAGGTCAATCTACTCCGTCTCGCATGAGTCTTCCCAACGCTCCAAGTTCTCATGGTCAATTACCGCGCCCTCCTCAGACGCCAGGTTCTACTCCTCGTACAAAGCCAATTGTATCGGGATCTATCCCATCAGATGCAGATGCACAGGTGATTCCCTCTCATTCGCCTTTCCAGCGTCGCGAGCGGTCGCGTACACTCCCTCAACCCCAGCCTCCGCCGACAAGCGCCATTCCTTCACGCCCAGTAATGACACCGAAGAAGAGTGAACCAGTTGCGCGTACTACCAGGATTGCATCCTCGGTCTCTACGTCATCTGACGAGGATCTCAGTGGTATATCGCTGTTGCAAAGAAGGAGTATACATAAGGATTCCAACGGCGTCGACCCGACGCCGACAGCACCAAGGACCCCCAGTCCACAGTATGGTATCAAAGATTTACCTTCTCGTTCGCGTGTTTCCAATGAAACTACTCCGAGAGGTCAACAAGTTAACTCCAGTCGGCATGTCCGTGCACCTTCGTCACCAACTCGTGCTCCTCCTCTCCCGAATCGCAGGACTCCATCACCGACTAGAACAGTTCTTTCGTCTGGTCGCTTCTCACCTCCAAAGGCAATCTCCAATAGTCCTGAACGAGTGCCAAGTGTCATCCATCAGCCGTCGGACCCTCAATCGTCCATATTCAAATTTGCTACTATGGAGGCCCTAGGGTACGTACCTGCTACGAGTCCGCCGACGAAGAAGGCAGAGCATCCTATGCAAGAGATGACCAGGACGGCGTCACAACACTCACGTTGGCCAGAAGGTGTACCTCGTTTACCCAAACCTCCAGGCCAGTCGTCAAGCGGATCATCTCCCGGGTCGTCCGTGCATAACACGTCTCCTGTTCGAACGTCGCAGGTGCAACCAAAGCTACCGATCCGTGATCAGTCACTGAACAACCCAGTGGCTAATACGCCATTCAGTCAACGTCAGAATCACAGTCGTTTCCCACCAAACTTGGATGATGCACCCCCGCCCTCTCTGCGACGATCACCCTCACCCGATCCGACGCGTCGAGCGCCTCATACTGGGCTTCCCAGCATACGAACGCAGGACTCCAGGGGTTCACCAGTTCGCAGTCATCCTCCGTCTGCCGTCACCCCAAACTCTGCAGCATCGATGTTCTCGTTGTCAGAATTTCCTGCCGTTCCTTCTCATCCCCCACCTCCTCCACCTGCACTGCCTTCCCAACCTCGTCCGAAAGAGGGCGGTCCTAGGTCACCTCAACGACCTTCACCACGTCGTTATGATAGTGATCGTCCTTCGATACCCAAGATCTCATTTCCCGCAGACCCAGATGATGATTCTTCCGACTCTGATGTTGGAGGTCCGGTTATTAACATTTCCGGGCCAGGTGGAAGTACCACAGGTCCTATTATTTCTATAGGCAACTTCGACGAGGATGAAGAAGACGATGGGCAATTCCCAGGCATTTCTATCAATGTTGCGGACGATTCTGAGCAGCAACCTCATCGACCTCGGGCGCAGCGTGAGTTACCTCCACCTGCTGCTGTCTTGGGTCAAGGTGGAAGGTTTTGTGGTGGGTGTGGAGGGACGATTATGGGACGGATCGTTAGCGCTATGGGCGAGCGGTGGCATCCGGATTGCTTCAAGTGTTGTGTTTGCGATGAACGGTTGGAGAACCTAAGTTCGTATGAACATGAAGGGAGACCGTACTGTCATCTCGACTATCACGAGGTACATGAATTTTTTCCCTCGATTCTATCATTACGAATTCTGACGATTTCCTTTTGATTCGTAGATATTCGCTCCCCGTTGTTATCATTGCCAAACTGCCATCGTGGACGAACTCTTCATCACTCTCGATGATCACGAACTCGGTAAACGCACCTACCACGAACAACACTTCTTCTGCGCCGAATGCGGAGACCCCTTCGTACCTCCCGGTTCTGGAAACCGAAGTTTTAGCGGAGACGGTCTGTTTAAAGCAGATGAAGACGACGTGGGGTTCACGGTGTTTAGAGGTCATCCGTATTGCGAAGCTTGTCATGTGAAGTTAAGGTTGCCGAAGTGCAAGAAATGTAAGAAGAGCATTAGGGATGGGACCCAGGCCGTAGAAGCTATGGGTTGGAAGTGGTGTTGGGAATGTTTCACTTGCATGGTGGGGAGCTTTTCTGTTTTCTCTCGAAGTGAAGATGATACTTACTGATTTTTGTGTATCTGTTGTTAGGGCTGCGACAGACCGTTCGATAACCTGTCGTTCTATGAGCGGGATCAAAAACCATTTTGTGAACGTTGCTTCAGCATCATCATCAAGAGCGAGATATGAGGACGTCAAGTATCCGAATACCCATTCGTTCAAGCCATATCTTCCCTGGGACATTTTTTTTTCTTCATATAATGACATTATTTGTTTCTTGTCCATGCCATTTCTTTCTCACTTCGATTCATCTTGACTAGTATTTATCGTCGTCTGTGCTTTCTTTTTGACTCTTTCGAGACCATGTAGAACATATCACTCATCCTCAATGACCTGACCAAATGACGAACAGCGGAAGTAGTCACGTATAAACAGGCTGTATGTATTATATATAAAATCATGAGCAGAATCGGAAGCAGAGAGTAATCACAACATTCAAGGCAGCACAAGCTTAAGAAAGGGGGAAATCCATCACAACATAATATACCCTGTCACCAAGCATTCATCTAAGCCATCTCAACATCCTGCACCACCTGTGCCGTCCCATTACCATTAGTAGCAGTAGGAGCAGAAGCGATGGCGTTATCATCTTTCATGAAAGTATCGATTTCCTTGTCCAGGTCTTCTGCCGACATGGGCTTCTTGGGCGCCTTCGGTGCTCGGGGTGCACGACCTGTTGAATGTCGCGGCCTGCTTCGGATGGGGCCCGCGCCGCTTTGTCTTGAAGGGCAGGGATGAGCATCATAGGGAATAACTAAAGAACAAGGGGTGCTTACGGAGCGCCCTTGTCTCTTGCATGTTTTTGGTCTTGACCCAACCGGTCGAGTAGAGGAGGCTTCTGGATCCTGTTGAGCAGCGACGGCGCACTGACCGCCCGTTTTGGTGCTGGGTTGTAGAAGTCGATCGACATTGGTTGATCTACATGCGTTGTCATGCACGATGAGCGTCAAACACCAGGCGACTATGTTGTGAGGAGTACGCACTCTTGCAGAGACGTCCGTCATATTCTCTCTTGGCGGCGGCGGCTTCAGCGAGTGTCTCGTAGGAGACAATGGCTACACCGGACGAACGGCCACTGCGGTCATACTTGAAGAACAGAAGAACGACGAAACGAATAGAGGTCGGATGATCGGTTTCTCTCAGGTGAACTTGGTGCATTCGGAGTTTCGTACCCTAATATGTGGTTCACGAACAAGCGTGCCTTTTGTGCCAAAGATTGCCTATATTTCAATCAAAGCCACAACAGGTTAGTCGGATGGTGGGCAAAGGTCAGGGGCGAAAGGGTACTTACAGCAACATCTTTCTCTGTAACCTCATAATGCAAGTTTGAAATTATGAGCTTTGCGCTTGGTGCTGAATTCGACCTTGCTTGAGAGACGCCATTTGATGTCCCTGAGCGTGCGCCGGGTGCTTTGTCGTGAAGCCATTCACCCTCTGAACCTCTAGGACGAGGTGCAGGTCGCTAAAGACAATGATGAGTGCTCAGTCATGTCGGTACATAAAGGAAGGTTAGCCAACGCTGTATGGTTTCCTGTCGTTTCTGGATGCTGCCATAGTACGAAAGAGAGATAGAAAAGCAAGCGAAGATGAGAGGAGAACGAGAAGAGAGTAAGAGCAAAGTCGCAGTCAGGAGCAGCCTAGGGCCTGCAGCGGAGTCTGAGAATCTGAGATCGAAAACCCACATACGCCCTGGCCCGAAAAGGCAGGCGTAGAGGTCGCGGGGCGTGACGTCTCGCGTATGTCACATGGCCAAGACGCGTCCATGGTTCGTGTCGGGATCAGTCGGAGGTTGAATTTCTACCGTGCTAAAGAGGGCGTGTTCGTCCGAAATTTGAACTTGTACGACTACCTTCACCTTCAAGACTTTTTTGTCACTTCGCCAGGTCACGGCCGTGGAAGGAAATTAATTGTCCTTATCTCCTCACCCTCTTCTCCCTCCAATACTAATTAGTGATCATCATTGTTTGTTTTCGAGGGCCAGCAGTTAGTTTGACTCTACTTCCGTCATGTCCACTTCCGTCGCAACCACACGAGCCACGTTTGTCATTTACCAAGACGAACCCTCCACTTCAGCTCCACCAAAGCTCAAGTCCACCGCCTCCGCTCCCTCGGTACTCCGTTTGTCGAGTGGTAGCGCTAGTCGTAGCACGCTCATCTCCATCCCCACAGCAAGTGACAAGGAGAATGTCGACCCCTTAACTGGTCGTCGTCCATGTCTCGAAGACACCCTGGCCAAGAAACGCAAACCTACACCCGGAAACGTCCTTGCGACCAAGATACTCATCTCCAGCAGCAAAGTACTCAAAGATACCATACCGGAGCCTAAGAAACGCAAAATTCTCTGCTCATCCAATTCAAAGTCCAATTCCTCGTCGGAGAGAAAGGAGCGGAAACCGCTCGTTTCTAGGAGAGAACGTGCTCAAGGGTCCAGTCGAGCTCAGAAAGTAGCAGAACTTCCCAAGGTTGCGGAAGAAGAAGAGGAAGCTATCACTGTTGAGCCTGGGATGGCGGATGAGAAAACGCAGGAGCGGAATGAAGACAAGGTGAAAGATGAAGAAGGGCGTGTAGCTCAGGCTCTGGTGGATGCTCGGTGTTACGAGCTCACCGTCCTGCCACTTGCGGATGTCTCGAGAGCTTATTGCCAAAGCTCGGACTCGTCGTCAATAGATGACGAAATTGTTGCGGCAGGCGAGAAGTTGAAAACGTTGTTAACGGAGGTTTGTTGTCTTATTTTTCCTTGCTTCATGGTCGCTGACGTGAGTTTGATTTATCGTAGGATACCACTTCAACTACTCAGGAACAATTGGCCCAGAAGGGCACCCTCGAAAAGGCTCCTTCTAAGTCCCCCGAAACCCCTTCGAAACGTTCCTTTCCATCCAATCCTGCAGCTCCTGCCTTCTCCACACCAGAACGCATGCGAATCTACTCTGCCTTCACGTTCTCCTCGCCTTCCTTAGCTGGAAGGCGTTATGCTGTGAGTAGAGGGTCTGGTGTTGACTCGAGATTCTCGGACTTGGAGTTCAAACTATAACGTCTCGTGAATTGCATATGTTGCATTGTACACCCGCAAACTCCCTTTGTCGTTTTCAAATTTCTCTGTCTCTCTTCCCTGCTTTTCTCTTTTCTACTAACGTGTTGTTGTTTGAATGATGTTGTTCTCTCTATCGTGATCTCACATGACAAGGACGTTCTCCTTGCATACCTTTCTTCCACACGTTATGATTCTATTATATTTTACTGGTTTATCGATATCTCTTGCCCGGGTCTCCTTCACGTATCTCTCCAAGTTCTGTTTCGGTTTTAACATACCTCCACTTTCCCCTTGCATTCTCCTTTTACATTTATTCTTGCTTATGACCTTCATGCCTAACGCATTACGTTGTAGCCGATGACAGCTATCTGTTGTTCGTTCATGTTTCGACTTATTCTCTGACGGTTTCGTGCACGCGTAGACTACTTTAGTCTCTACACATGACATCATCCACTTCTTCAGTTCCTTCTACACTCCTGTCATCTTTTCGCGCTCCGTCTTTTAATCATCCCAAAGAACATCAAATTTTCATATCGGTCTTCACTCTCGACGCGACACGACGCGTCTCCTTCTCACGAACCGATGCGGTTCAAACACGAACATCCATCATATGTTAATATTGTTCACTTGACAGTCTGAGTCGAGCACAGCAGGCCAATTTTGAAACTTTCTGTCCTTGTGACGACATCAACGTGGTGCCTTTCCGAGTTTCTCGGAATGTGCTCGTGGTTGGCAGGGTTAGGTGTTGTTACGTAACTTCCCCAATCAAGTGTGTCTAAGTATGCCGGTTTTCAACCGGTCCTCGAGGCCTCAGCTGCGTGTAGCTTGCAGCAAGGGGAGTCTGACTCTTGCGTCTTGTCCATTACTACCATTAGATACCACTCTTTTTGCTTGGCTTGCTTAGGGATTCTATACACTGGCTGGGAAGTCATAGAGTTGTCGCTTGGCTTTAGACGGTGAGATCGATTTCCAATTACAATCTCATAAATGCTATTGATGAAGCTAACTCCGAAACGTAGTGAACATCGTGCTTTCTACAAGCTTTAATACCTTTAGATCATGGCGGCTTTGACTTCAGCATACCTTCTGCCAGAGGACGCGTTGAGCCATCGACGACCCTCGCTCAAGACCGAGGATGCTCAGGACCAACCTCGTAAAGATACCTCAAATCATGTTCTCACTTGGAATGAAATATCGGATTGGAGAAGAGACAATGAGTATATCATTACCGGTTACCGAAGGTACGCTCACTTCGTGGCGTTCATATGCAAAGAGAGACCCCATGTTGAATTTATTTCACATGATAGAGTACAGGAAAGCTTCCGAGGGTGCCTTCATTCGGTATACGGATGTGCGTAGGCAATGACCGCGCTGAGTCTTTGGTTGTCGCTTTATGTCTCTTCATTAGTCATTGATGTCTAACGTTGCCAACAACTTTATCTAGATCTGCACAACGAAACTGGTGAGCCTTCTATCGCGCGCTTCTATTACAGAGCTGAAGCTAAGGACGGTACAGTAAACATTCACAGTCATCTACTCGGCGCATTGATATTCGGCTACTTCTTGTTGACGTTTCCCAAAGTTTATATCGATCAGTATGACGGAACATCATGGATCGATACAGCTGTTTTTGCCATCTTTTTAGTCTCAGCTGTGACTTGTCTCTTGTTCAGTGCTAGTTACCATACTTTTGATGTGCACTCGAAGGAGGTGTGCCAAAATCCTATTTTTGGCACTTCCTCAGTCAGACTGAAGTGTTTGTCCTTCCATCAGGTGTCGACGCAATGTCATGCTCTAGACTATACAGGCATCATCGGTACGCAACCCCCGTTATGCAGGTCACGACTGCCCGTCAAACTAACCCCCTCGGAACACAGTACTCATCCTGGGCTCTTTCTTCCCCTGCATATACTACGGTTTCTACTGTGACCCACAACACCAGTTCATCTACCTCTCCATTCTTTCGATCGCAGGCGCAGGTATATCTAATTTTCTATCCTTTACTTCACTCTCGTCATTAAAACATGTTTGAACTACTTCCCTATAGGTGCAGCCTATATCGTCTTGAACCCGGAATACCGAAAACCGACCCATAGAGGCGCACGTACCGCAGTGTTCATCGCTCTCGGTCTTTGCGGCGTCATACCCGTAACCCATGGCTTCATCACTCACGGGCTTTACAAGTTGTGTTTTGAGATGGGGTTCGTGTGGTTGTTGACCTCTGCTGTTTTGTATATCGCCGGTGCTCTCCTCTAGTGAGTACCATCAGCTTTTTTTCCCTTCGATATATTGTCGCTTCATTTGTATATATGCTAATGGTGTTCGTTATTTATAGTGCCAATCGGATACCGGAAAAGCTCTCCCCTGGGACGTTTGATTACTTCGGAGCCTCACATCAGATATTCCATGTCTGTGTTGTGCTGGCTGCGTTGGCGCATTATGCTTGCGTGCTCATTGCTTTCGACTATTGGCATAGTCGTCCTGGGCAATGCCAATTGCCCTAAGCTGAATGAACCGGTGATGTTTTTTGTATGATTGCGATCTTAGTCTTATGCAGTGTTGAATGTTGGATATATCAAAGCCATTACTAGTGACTATTATCTGGGTACGCCCGTTGAGGCCGCAGACAAGGTATGGTTGCTGGAGTGCTTCAGACATGATTGTCAACTACCCGATATGAGTAATGTTACAGTACAACTGCAGAAGACATCATCACAAAACAGAGTTCAAATCATGGAAGACGTTTTGGATGGTGTGATTAAATTAAATCTCATTAGCAGTGTAGAGTACTAGAAGCTTTGAGAGATTGTATTCATGATTTTGTGCGCAATCCTACTCAAACACATGCGTTTCACGATGTCAAACCCTACTAGGTACGTAGGATGACGTGCATAAAGATAACTATATATACAGCGGCGATCAGTAATTATGATGTGTTACACGACATTCACCGTCAGACGGCGCTCTGAGACCCCAACGTCATTTTTCTACGCAGTCCGGAAACTTTCCTCTTACCCATCCACCCGAAGACAATGGGAAGTCTTCGACGCAGTGTCCTCAGAGTCGAGCCGCGGATGTCTGGTTGCACAGATGGGTTTGTTCCCCAATCCATGTACAACACCAACCCAGTGATCACCGCAAGGAAACTAAAACAGACTCCGGTGACAATCCGCGTAGCCGTGCTAGTCTGGAAGAAGCACACATATGATACGGCGAGCAGGAAGGTAAGCATGCTGAAAAACATAGATCAGAAACTTAGTCCAACAAAGAGAATAATCATTTGGCGGCAATACCTCCAGATAAATAATGCGATAGGTAAGCTCACGGCGAACGCGACTGCTTCCATGCCGAAGTACGAGCTACTTTTTCTCGCTAGATATGATGCCTTGCAGAACACGATCAGGACTAGCAGAGTATACTTAGCATGGTACAGACGTACCGCCCTAGATGCGTCGTCTCTGTCTGACACCCCACGATGCTGACGTGTTAGAATTTGACAAATAATGTATGTGGCCAGGCTTAGTAGTGTCGAAACGTAGCTGGTGATCTGGTTAACCGATTTATTTGGGTCCGAGATATCCAGACTTTGTATCGCTAGGAACCCCACATTAGCGGAAAGTAGGACTGTTGCCTGTGCCGAATGATCAGTGCGCCGATGCATTGAACGACAGACGACTCTCGCAGCATACCGGTGTAGTCGAGGCTTTCCAGTCTCTTTTCAGCTCAGTAATGAACCTATTCCAAGGTCTGTAATTGACAGTATTATCAACCCATATCTTCTCCAGCTCGGCAAGGTAGATATCTGGCATCCAGAAGAGGCACGGTGATAGCAGAAGGAATGTCAAGGAACGTTCGCGATGGACAGTAGCCTCGCTCATGCATTCATCGCGGTTGAGACGTGCACCGGGTTGACCGTGGTAGTTGAGAAACCTTTCCTTACCTTGTGGAACAAAGTATGTCAGAGTTCTCGGAGTAAAACACATAGAAAGGCACATACAAAAAGTCCCCATATTACGGGCTATTGACGATTGCTCAGCATCCTTTCAAAGGAACAGCGTAATGAACATCCCTCACCAATGACTATCGCCCGGTAGCCGTTCATGCGTCCCTCTGCATAGTAAACGGTGAGAGGTCGAAAGACGTAAGAAAATACATATTGTACCTTTCACTTTTTCCATGACACGTGAAAGCTCAGAGAGCTTACGTTCATCGTAAGGTACGGTCGAAGTATCAGAGGTCATCAAATCTAGAAATTGATCAGTGTGTTGTCGACCACATAGTTTGAGGATAAAGCAGACCATTCCACCCAAAAAGTAGTGTGTCCTTCAGTTCATCAATCAAATGCGCTGGAATATTCCGATGATTTGGAAACATTTCAATGTGAGACCTGCAACACCCCAACGTTGAGCTTCTGGACACCTAAACTGAGCAATGGGTTTAGTAATCATTGCATTTGCAACAAGTGTGGTCATAAATATATACCTCATCGTAAGAAGAACCATACCAGAACTGCCTCTCCACGGCGTGTCCTGATGAACAAAGAAAAACATACAGAGTTCAATGACAAGATGGAGAAAATGCAGATATTCGACAATACTTACGGAGGTGCGCCTGGCAGTATACGTCTCGTTCTCCTAGCGTCGCCAACCAAATATCAGTTTCTTCGGCCCACGTTACAGCACGAGCTTCCCAGGATGCGAGATAATATCCAAAGATCGTTTTTTTTCCGCGTCGAATATCTAGTACCATCTCGAGATCGGACGGTCGCCTCGGGTTGAAGTCTTCGAGTTTGCTTTCGACAGACTGATAAAGTGCCTCAATATCCTTGAGGTTCTCTGGATCGGAGATGTCTGTATGTGTCAAGATACGCTGTATCGTATTCAATTAGCAAACAACAAAGGCGTTCAATACAATTCCTGACCTTGCCTGGGTGCCTAAAATACAGTTTGCCTTCTGGATGCTCACATGCTTCCCACTCAGGTGGGACATCCCGTCTGAAATCCATCACCAACTTGCCCATGTAATCAGCGAATAAGCTTACCGTAAATATGTCATCACCATCGGTTCGATCGTAGTGATCTTTGCTACACAACCAGGTCGGCTGGAGTTTAGATATAAGCTCTCTGCCGATCAAGTACAATTGACTGCGACATCACTTACAATGGCTCCCTTTCATAGCGCCAGGTAATCACATCCTCTGGCGAGACTGGCATAGCAATAATCCTGGCTGGATGACCGTTGGGTTGGGGCGCAGGAGGCTGAGAGCTTTTTGGCGGCGGTACTATATTCTGTCCAGGTATTGGTACATCTAGGATACGTTCTGGGACATCGGCACCGTGACATAGAGGGGTGTCAGCAATGTCTTCCTCAGGTAGAGTTGTCGAAGAGTTTCTAGAAAGGGAAGGCGAGGAAGGACGTGGCGAAGGAGACCTTCTGGTAGGTTGGCCTTCGGTAGACAGGTATTCAAGTTGGCAACTGCTGCTATGGCCAATAGATATTGCTGGAGATGACATGGTGAGGCTGGATGGTGAGAGGATGGCCCTGCCCTTGGCCTGTACTTCGTATTAGGTCCTTATAATTGCCTCGTGGAAAAGGACCATCATATTCCTGTTTCTGAAAAGAACATGGAAGGAACAGCCTCAGGGACTTAGGGTTCCAGTTATTGTTGCAATTGTTTCTCCAGAGCTCAACTTGAGTCGCCAGCAAAAACCTGCCTCACGCACGAGAATCTTGTAAGTCCGATGCACACGAAGAATCGACCTCAGTACGTGAAGAATCTATTTCTCCAAGGATACAGTTGAGGGACGAGAGCAGTCGCCGCGTGTCTGATAGAACCCAGTTAAGCCCTACAGCCTCATCGACGTCAGTTGAAAGGATGCAAGCGCTGGAATCCAAATACATCTCTATAAGTATCTTGGGAAACCAGAGCATGAATGTGGGGATACTTAGACGAGCATAGTAATGAAATGCTCACGCGAAAGCAGGAAAAAAGGAGTCAATTCGACAAAACATGAATAAGACACGACGTATCCGGCCAACTAATAACATAATCTACAAATCCTCGTAAAAAGTCTATGACCGCGGTGCCGGCAGTCCTGACGAAGACGCCCCGATCTCTGTAAGTTGAATGAGAGAATCCAATTTGCCTTTGAATTCCGGGAGATATGCCGCATCTGTGTATGGGCAGCGGACGGCAGGTGAGCCTTTGTAAATCGGTGTGTAGCTGGCGGCGCAGATGTCGAATTCAGTGAATTCGTCGTAATCAATGTCAACAGCGTTTCTGGGATTGCGATCACCAGCTGCGATACGCTGTCGGGCCTATAAATAAAGACCAGGTTAGAAGCATACATATCTTCGCATGAGACCTAACGCACCTGAGCGACGATTTTGGGATCGGGATTCAATTCTAGCAGTCTTCTCGCGAACTTAGCAGCCGTGGCATGGTTGTTGGCTTTGGCAAATACTCCAATAGCGCTTCGCAAAGCAATTTGCAAATGGGGAGGTTGTAATTGGCATTGCGTGAAGTAGGCGGCCAATTCCAGACTTCGCTTGACGTTCTCCGGGTCGGTTTGCGCTACATGACGACGCTCAAGTTCTAGCGATACGCCCAATAGGTATTCTCGCGCCAATGTAACAAGGTCACGCCACTTCAGTTACGGGTCGCTGTTAGTACATCCTTGCGAATGGATCAGTGTTGACTTACCTCCTTAGCCTCTGAGTCTGATGACACAGGGACGAGCAAGAGCACTTGCAAGACAGAACGGAAGATGACTTGCGCCTCCGGCAATTTGTTCCCTGATACAGCTCTGAAGCCTTCCGAGAGCTCGGAGCGCACCGACTGTAGAGTACGAGGAGTGACAGGTAGAATTCTGCTTGGTGCAGACTCTTCCGGGTTCCGTCTCAAATGAAGCTGCAGTGGCGGAAGCGAGGCAACAGGTGATAGATATGCGTGCGATGATCTGTAGGTCGAGACGAAGAGAGGTTTGATGTTGGCAAAGTTAACCACACCGAATTGGCGATTTAGTAGCTAAAAGCCATATTCAGCAAAAACGCGTGTAGAGATAAAGATTGGACACTTACTTGCATAGCCGTATCAAACGATCCCGCAGCTACATGGTCGCCAGCGAAAGGAGAGTTCCTAGTCCATAGCTCGGTCTCGCTGATTCCAGGATTGGCGCCAGCGCCCAAATCTGCCTCGACTTCGAGTTCCTCCTTTTCAGGCTCTGCAGCAGCCTCCTCTCCACCAACATCGAGATCCCAACCATCCTCATCGGCTGCAATATCCTCACGGATTTCTTCGTCCTTCGCCCACTCATCCAGAGCAGATGATGCTGCGACACCTGTATCATGTCCATTCATGTAGGGCACCTCTGAACCACCCTCCAAATTACCATTCGCGAGCGCACGTTCGAAGAAGCTTTCGCCAGTCGATATTGAAGGCCAGTTGAGGTCAGCGGTTGGTGTGATAATCGGTGGTGGTCGCAAGGTAGATGTTCCAAACGAGGGAACATCGTCAACATCGTCTTCGGTCAATCCGGCGGCTTCAAGAATCTCCAGGGCAATATCTTCCAAACCATTGGTTTTTGCAGTGAGGTATGCCAAGGGATCTATGCAAGAGGTGAGCAATATCAGATTAAAGAAAATTCGATTACAAACTCACGCATTCCAACATCGCGCAGAACAGCAATCCTACCAAGCACGTCGCCAGAATACAAAGCATTGTGGAAACGAGACATAGGATCACCACGAGCATCTGCAATTTTGGCCATCTTTGATAGTTTTTCAGTACTACCAGTGGCTAAGTAGAGGAACGAGAGTCGGTCGAAGTTCTTCGTTTGCTGGTAAGCCTTCTCGACAATCTATCACAAACGGATCGGTTCAATGTGTCCAAGATACAGTGGTGCCGTATTAACTACCTTGTGGTTTCCTTGCTTCAAGGCTTGCTGAGCGAGTCGCTCCCAGCACTCTGGACGATCGATCGCGCGAGCAGTCTCCAATGCAACATCCAAATTACCACACTCAATTGCCAAGTCAAAGCGTGTTGTCTTGTCCTGGACGAAGTGCAGTGCGATCTAAAAAAAGAAAAACCATGAATAGAACTCATATACACTAAACAATGGCTGCCGACCTCGGGGAATCCCTTCTGTTGCAGATATGCAATGATACTCTGGCCAAGAAGGTTTGAAGTCCGGATGATATACAGCATCTCCTCATGGTTATTTCGCAAAAGGGCAAGTTTGAAGCGGTACTCTGTGGGATCGATCGTGATCGTGCGCGGTCTTGCCGAGCGATCCAAACAATGCACCGTCTTGCCCTTTACTCTGGTCAAATACACGGGATTGTCAAGTGTGCAGATCACTCCATGGTCACTGTATGCTCAATTAGCAAAGAAGTCAATAGAATGATGCATTCGAACTCACCCCTGTGCGAGGCAATATTTGATATGGTTGAGCGTGGAGTAGATGAATACACCAGAGTCGTCCCATGCGCCAGACTTGATCCGAATCGTTTCGTGAATGAGAGTATGTTGTGAGAAGTTCTTGTTGGCGATGGTAATGGCTATACAAATACTTCAATGGGAATCAAGCGTGAGTATCAATATTCGTGACGTACTGTGCTTGCTCAGAAGGGCGACCAAGGAACCGTCCGCACTCCAAATCACATACTTCACAGGAGGTGTCGTGATCTCAGCCAAAGTCTTCTGTTGTTGAATGTCATACAGGACAACCGAAGATGTTGAACTGAGTATGAGACTCGCAGTTCCGCCATAAAAGATTTCGTTGGTCACAACAGGTGGCTTGATAGTCTTGACAACAGAGTTTGCCATGTCACGTACTTCGATCAACTGGCTTGTTTTGTTCAATACTGCAAATCGGTTACGAGCCACGAAAATTGCCGCTTGGCCACTACCTCTCTTCCCATCCGTTGACGAGTCCTTCACTTCACCCACAACATCTTTCGGCAGGGTCGTCAATTCGTACAAGCCATTGTCGGACGTGATCGTGACTATGACCGCGCGCTCAGCGGGATTGTAACTGAGTGTGCGCGGAGGGACGTAGGGACTGCCGAATTTGCGAATACTGAGGAGTCCGATGTCTGAGCCAGTGTTGATGTCGTATGAACGCACGTATTTGTCCCGGACGTAATACAACACGTCACCATGCATGGTGAATGCTGGGCGTTCACGCTCGAGCTTAAATACGATTAAACCGTTGTCATGACCTACGTTTCATCAGTGAAGTTCTGAATAGATAGCATACAACGTACCAGCGGCAAACAAATTGAGTTCAGGATGAGCCGCAAGCACCCAGAAACGGTCGTGTTCTCTCCTGAATGTCTGCACCGCCGACCGCTTCGTCAGGTCCCACACCCGCACTGTCTTGTCCTCTCCACAGGATACGATCAGTTCGTGCTTTGGGTGGAAGAGGGCTGTAGAGACGTTGTTGAAGTGGCCACGGCAAGCGTCGACCTCCCATGCCCGATTCTCGCTCATACGCCAGATCTTGATTTGTCGGTCATCAGCAGCAGACACGATGAGGGGCAGAGTTGGGTGGAAACTAGCAAAATTGACTCCACGGTCGTGTCCTTCAAGAACGTACTTGACGGTGGAGAAGTTATCAAATGTGTCAAAGGTGCCTGGTGCTGTGTTTGGCGTGCTTCTCCGGAGTCCAGAAATATCCCAGACGCGAACAGTCTGGTCTTGCGATGCTGACACGACCAAATCTTCCTTGGGGTGGAACTGTGCAGACATGACATAGTGCGAATGGCCGGTAAGGATTGCTATGCAATTTCGAGAAGTGCTGTTCCAGATTCGTATGGTTTGGTCATCGGAGGCAGAAAGCTGACGGCAACGCGATGAGGGAAAATGTTAAGTACAGTATGTGATGCTTACAATCCAGGGCATTTCATGGTGAAACTGCACGGTCCGAACGTAGTCCAAGTGTCCGTGCAGAGTAAACAGGCAACGCCTATTCTGTGGTCGGATATCTATGCGGTATTAAATTAGAACAACATGATATCAGGATGCCTCTTACCCCAGACTTTGATTTTATAGTCATCACCACCCGTCACCAAGAGTGCACGGCTTGGGTGAATTGCAACACCTCGTACTGGTCCTTCGTGCTCCTCAAACCTATCCACCAGCACACCCATACGGTAGTTCCATAGCTGAACGCTTCCATTGTGCAATGAAGCCGCGAGTAACGGTTGTGTAGGATGAAAAGCAAGTCCTAGTACATCATTAAGTCTCCAAAATGTGAAGTGTGCCAAAGCGCGACGAACCTTTCACCCGATTGCTCTTTGACTCAAACTTTGTCAACATTACAGACATCTTGACCGACGTATTCTCCTCAAGGTCAAGAGTCTGTTTCCGAAAGATAGAATTAAAGTACAAGCTGGAATAGTACGTGGAAGTTCAGTGATGCCCAGTTCAGTGAAACGTCGCTGGCGGTGACATGTCACGCGTCACCGTCCGAATTGGGTCTGTCACAGTCTAGTCACAAGAAGTCACAGCTCAACTTGAACATGACGTGACAGAGCTTTCAATTATTTTGTTCTCTTGCATCTTCATACTTCTCAAATACTGTGCGATCCTCCACCTCCTTTTAACTTTTAGCAGGTTGGATGGGGAAAGGGTTTGCGTGGTATAGTCTCCAACATATTTGCTTATGGGAGTGCTAGGTCTTGTCCCATTTCTTCACAAGACATGGTGAGCCGAGTTTACACTGTTTATGCGTGTCTGACAAGAATCCCCTCGCCAGTTCAAGCGTACTGCACGTTATTCCGAATCGTTTTCAAAGCTTGAGAGGAAAGCGCGTGGTGCTGTTAGTTGTTCTGAAGTACATGTGGCGTTGCGCTTATTTAACAACCTTGTCAGCGATGGGACACTCTTAACGCAGCGCTTGCACTTTGCCCCGATGCCTAATCCTCATAGGCATGTCATAGGCTGGTATCGTATAATTAAGGAGTTGCAGGACTCTGATGTAACGGCTGTATGTATTTTCGACGGCACCCAGCGAAGTTTGGCAAAACAACTAGAGGTAAGTCATCATTGTAACTCCTGGTTACCTAATTAAAATGACTGTGATTAGGTAGAAAGAAGACGTCGTATTCGCCGATTGACACAATCCCGAGGATCCTTTGAGAATGATCGACTGCAACGATTGCGAAAGCTCAATGTCCTATTGAGCTCATGGCATTCCCTCGACGACATTACTCGCAAACGTACAAGCAACGTCCTACACAGTATCATCTCGCGGACGGCTCCCCCCATGGCTTTGCCAACGTATATGGCAGGTAATTTGGAATATTCCGAGGACCTTGATGCTCTACTGGAGAGATATCAAACCCCCCAACGCCCAGTACCTTCGGCTCCTAAAGACGTGTATGGCGCTTTTGACGAGGCAGACCTGTCAGAGGTTTTGCTGAAACAAGCGGGTGTCCCAATAAGCGCTTCACAGGATTTCTATGCGGAGCCATTTCCCCATATATCCGAAGTTGCTACCAACATACAAAGGCCAACTGCACCGGAAGGTCGTTCGACAGCCAAAGAGCCCCACCCTCATGACGATTGGGCGCGTGAAATAGAACCTGACTTGCTTGCAGAAGTATATCGGGATGATCTAACATCAAGGCTAACGTCGCTCTACATGGATTATCGTCAAAGTATACCTCAACTCGCATCGTTAGCGAATGCTACGCCCCCTCCTACTGCTGTATCTCTTGTGTCATCTGAAGAGGATTCGAGGGAAATCAAGGAAGAATACGCCATGTCGAAGACCCAGAACCAACTGACAGCTGAAGAGGGCTATTTCTGGGAACAGTTCACCAAGCCTACCGCGGCCATTTCTGACCCAGAGGCTTTGCTCAGCTCTATCGTTTCACTCACGGAAAAGAGTTCGGTCATTTCAGACAGTTACGAGCGTAGGACACATCCTCCTACCGCCGAAACTTATGAGGAAAGTAAAGCCATCTTGAAGGCAATGGGAGTTCCATGTGTCGAGACCAATGGACCTTACGAAGCCGAGGCGTTGGCATCTTCAATAGTCCTGAAGGGTCTTGCAGATTTCGTTGGTAGTGAAGATACGGTATGCAGCGTAGTCTGCTCTATTTCTGTTATCACTCATATGTACCCTCAGGACGTCCTAGTCTATGAGGCACCTCTACTGCGTAACGTAGCTAATCGGAACGGTCCTTTGGTCATCATCCCTGGTGCCGAAGTGCGCCGTGAACTGCACCTCGATCGCCTCGCATTCGTCGATTTCATGCTATTGCTCGGAACGGATTTTTCTCGACGAATCAAAAACGTGGGACCACACCGTGCTTTGAAATTCATTCGAGACCACGGGTCGATAGAACGTATCCTGGAGCGCGAAACCCAATATCCCCCGCGAATTCCTGTTCCTACGTACCTGGAACAAATTTCGCTCGCGCGTTCGGTCTTCCAAACGCTACCCCCGGTGCCAGACCCTTCATTACTAGTTCCAGGTGAAGAGGATGAAGACAAAGTGATGGAAATTCTTCGACAATATGGTTCGCACTGGGCAGCAGTCGACGGCTGGAACTACCGCGATGCACTCGCCGGTAACTACTTTGCGGATGATCCGACTATGTCCTGACATGTGTCACCTTGTCCACGCACACACTGGCCTTCCAGAGCACGTGCCTCTTTGAAGGCACTCCATCGTAACTTTTACAATTTGTCGAATGCTGCTGAACTTTGTAACGGCTCGAATACACTTGTATACGCTGCAGGATTCTACATTCACACGCGGCAGTCTCTTGTATGCGCATGGCGCGCCTCAGATATTCCCAGGGCATCTATACGAGCAAATGTGGACTCCATTATCACCAAAAAGCTGGATATATGCGTGCAATTGTAGGAGAGGACAACGTGAGAACACAGTTAGGAGACCTTGGAACCAGAATCCAGGACAACAAGAAGAGCAGAGCCAGACAAGTTCGTGAAACGGTTCCGCGTTCTTTCATCCTGGTACAAGTGCAGTCAGGGCAGCAAGAGCCATCTTGATGCGTTCGACGAAGTCCTTTAGCCTTTGACGCGTCTTCTCTGGAATTTCGTCATAATAATGTCAGTGTGTGTTTTCCATGGTGAGGGCCAATAATGAATGGAGAACATCGGCCTACCAACGAGGTTGAGAGGTAACGATGGAGCTAAAGACATGCCTTGTTCTTTCTCCGTTCCCATTAGCTCGTTAATTTCTTTCTCGAGGGCATCAGCAGTCCGGTCGCTTTCTTGCATAGGCCGCGCAGACGACCAAGCATGAAACTCGAGCATTAAGGCGAGCAACATGATGCTTAGACCTGCATGTTAAATGTTAAACGGTCATCGCCTATATCATACTAAGCTCTTAGCTCACTTTCTTGGAATTCAGCATCCCTTTTGGTCTCGTTGTCGAAAGGTGCGACTATCTTGCCCCGGTGGTCGAAGGGCGGAAATGTTTCTGAGATTATATCTAAGGCGGTTTGTTTGTCATTTGTACTTTGATTATTGTTCGAAGCAACTTGTACGTTCGTAGAAGGTGCTTCCATGTTGAACGTTGAACGTTGAAGGTGAATGTTTAGGTTAAGTACAGTATGCTGAGCAACCAGGTGGAGTAGCCGGAGTTCAAATGATTTAAACTCAAGAACGCGCAAACAACGCATACATAACGATATCCCTGCTAGTCAAAAAAAAACTAGTATCTACGATTACCCTCGCATCCGTGCATATATGTTGATACATTCTCTGGAACAAATACAACGAATATCACTATACAAAGCAGACAGCGATCGAATACACCTGCAGTACTCCCCATCATGCAAACTTGACTCGAATAAATAGCACTTTCCGAAAGAGGACAATCGAATGTTGAGTGTGAACGAATGTGAAGAATAGTAATTTAAATATGCTGATGTGCTTGGCGATGTCTGATTAGAGATAGAATTCCTCATTGCTGTACTGGTCCTATCGTATACAGAAGAAAGTGATAAGCATTCGTGAGCAGTATTGCAATGGAAAGAGCACGTACAAAAGGACAAAGGGCCCCGATCTACCCAAACAAATCAGACCCTAATTTAGCATGAATTACACAGTGTCAGTACTATATACTGACCTGAGGCCTTGGAGTCGACGCGTCGGAGTCTGAATCACTCGAAAACCAGGCGCTATAGGTATCCAACTCCTTGCTAAGTATAATCGTCAGTCTCCGTTGAAAGCAGAGGGGCATTTGCACATGACTCACCCAAGAGCCCGAAGGAGATCGGAGTGGGTTGGGTGTGGATTTTTACCTGTCAGGGGATTAGCTGGTCACTATATGAGAAGAAACCGCACGTACGGAGAACTCGAGTGAAGGCCTGGGAATCGAGGGTTGGACGATTTAGTACGAACTTGAACTGCCGTGTATAGTGAACTATCACAAACCTCAACGAATAGGCCGCCTTCCCATTCATACGTCAACTGGTCATCTTTACAGGCAGACCATGATGTCTGTACAGGTTATCGGTACAAATCTTAACAATGGGAACGACATGCTACTCACCACGTAGGGTTGTGAGGCAGAGCTCAACTCTAATTCCTTCGACCAGAATGGTGATATCGGGGAGAAAATTTGAGGCTCCTCTGCTCCCCGCTTCGTGAGAATTTTATTCTTCACGGTTAAGCCAACGGGACTTCCTGTTAGTGCGTTGAGTTCAACTCTGCCTTGGAAATAAAGATGTAAGCTTCACGTACCAATGGGGCTAGTAACAACTGGCGATCTTGGGTACCAATCACCGTTGGACACGGGAAGATCTACAGCTTCTGTTAGATGAGATCATATCGAGGAATGACGCACAAACCTGCCGCCGTCCCTGAGTGGCAAGAATCGAATATCATCTATGATGAAGACATCAACAACATAAGACGTGAGTCAAGCATGTTACGCAACGTACGATGAGCCGCGCCCCCGCCGGCAAGGAGTCTACGAGGATATCCCGGATATCCTGATTCATCTGTCAGTGTCGTCGCATTAAATCTCTACCAATTAATGCTCTTACATCATCGATTATAAAGTTCTTGGTGTTACGAAGTTCTGCATCCTTTGGGTCGACTTCTACGTCAAGAGGGAGGATGACTGTCACCAGTTCAGCATCGGCGATGGAATCGATCAAGAATAGTTTACCTTCATCAAATCCATCCTTCTCCGTGCCATCTTCGTTGCGAATTTGGCTTCCGTGTCCCGAGACTTAACAGGTCAACCCTCAGTTGACATACAAAACAGGTGAAGATTAACATACAATGGAACACGAATTCATCACCGAACTGTGCGTCTTTAACCAGGTCCTCCATCGCTTGCATCTTCGGCCACGAAGTCCACCTTTCAGCTTATAACAGTATTCTCAGAGGGCGAACTCACAATATTGGCACGAGTAGGCAATAAATACTCCCCAAGAGGATCATCCATTAGAATAGTTATATCATCGTCTTTCCATCCGTATATCTCTGGACATATCAAGGATTAGGTCGAGGACATTTCAGAAGTTAAGTGTATGCTTACCCGTCAGTAATTTGCTAATTTTCAAAGGATCGTAATGTGTCGTCTCCAGCTCCAATCCCAGACCACGCAAATGCTCATATCGAACCGCGATGCATAGCGCTCTGCGTACAGGTGTGCGGATGGGGGAGGGTCTGACAGCCATGATCAGCCAAAGCGGTCCTCAGGATGCATAGAACAGTACCGTCGCCTTTCGTATCTTATAATATATGAACTTCAGTCATGCAGCGCTTACCAACAAAGTTCAGAGCTAGCACTGGCATGAGAAGCCCAGTTCCTTTAGATATGATGTCGTTACGTTCTCGGGCTACGGCGCTGTCACTGATGCGATATGAAACGATCACTGAATTTGATGGATTCGTACCTTGCCCTCATGCAACATAAGCGACAAAGAGACTTGGTCAGCGATTCGCGACTGTGCGATTGGCTGCGATAAAGACGAGATCGAGGCAAAAGTCTCTAGTGAGACAAGATTAACATAGGTTCAACTCAGCGAACTTTTTCCGAATGTCGGGGGAAGGAGGTATATCACTGCCGATGAAAACACAAGCGTTCTTGGATTGCGTTTTCAATGACTAAGATTGGTCGAACCCGCGCCGGAGGTGGAGCCCACTCAAGAAACGTCAAAAGAGTTATGGCAACACTGACGAAGAACTTGGAAGAACGTCCGTTAGAAAGAGACACTGTGACTGTGAATGGTTCTAATGGTATATATTTTAGAGATATATGGTGAGAAGAATCGTACACAAAAGACACACATTTGGGTTGTCTGAAGCGTTCAAAGGGCGGGTTTCGCAACCTGCTGTGGTCATTTGATAACGCGGTAGTGGTGCATGGCGCTCGCTCCTTCGTATTATGTTCTATACAAGGAGACTATCTTCTAGCGTGACAGAACGCAAACCGAAGATCGTCCAACCTTGGAGAAAGCTCGAGCAGCGTCTCCACAACCAACGCCCAAGCCAAATCATGAGACCAATCAATAGCGCTGAGCCAATAGAGGCGAGTATGAAATTGCCTGTCATGTCTGAGAACATGAATGGAACTTGGATCGAGAATGTTGCGAGCGCCCATAGCAGCAAGCCCCGAGGAAGACTGAAGAGGCATGAGACCAGGTGGAATCCCGAGCGTTCCTTTCGTGCATCAACCAAGTAATCGGCCTATTTGCGCCCATCGAAAAGTTATTAGTGATCTGGCGGCTCGGATGGCATTGGCAGATAGTCGACTCACCGCCATAGCCGCTGTCCATGAAGACGAACGCTGGTGCCGTGTGAGAAGGATAGTGCCAGCTGCAACTGCAGCTACACTGAAGGCCACGGATAACCCCGAGAGAAGACAAGTTCCATGAGGAGAGGTGAGAATCAAAAGATTGCATCTACGAAAGATCAAACAATCAGGATGAGTGCGGGGAAGCAGAAGAACAAGCTTACATCAAGACGGCGAAGGACTGAACGATTTCTGGCATCAACATCAAGAAGATCGAAGAAGACAGAAGTGCAACTCACCAGCACTGTGGATAATATCCATTCTTCCCGACATCTGGGGATGAATTCACGCCACTCATTTTGGTAAACGACGGAATCAGCCCAGAGGTTTTCAAATGAGACGTTGTACATCTCTGGAATCTTGAACAGAACGTGCGAGCTCAATGAAAACAACCGGCTTGGATATACTGGTGAGATGTCCAGGATCGACTGGTCCCGGGATAGCCGAGCATGCTCTTGAGCATAGTGTGTCATAAATCGATGGTTGCCTGAGGAAGGATACTATCAGCAAAACATCTCAAGCGAAGCATTGAATAGTCACTCACAAACTATAGCCCAGAGACGCGCTGGTCATCATAGTGTCAGCATGAAACACGTCCATGCATGAAGATTTGACAGACCTATACTCCAGCGAGTGCGCGCAGGGGCAGCAGTGCCTATTTCTGAAGTGATTGTATAAGTATTATACATTTATGCGGCATGTGGTGGAAGCATACCTCGACAATTCCGCACTACCTGGATGAAACTGTTACATTGTTGCTCCGTGAATGGAAACGTGGACGTTTCTGAGGTCAAACGGTCTGTAGAGAATGATTTAACGACAGCCTTTTACGACTGACTCTTGTGCGCACCTGCCAGACATTGAACAAGAACACCAGAAAGCTCGTCCAGTCGTAAGTCAAGCCCGATTGTTTCATGAGAAGGGAAATATTCTACGTGGTTCCAGTAAAGCTCTTCGAGGGCGTGCCCTAAACGGAGGGCATGAGTGCGTAGAGCAGATTTCATAACAGGGCGACATACTGAGGTGCTCATCGGAAATGGCTGGTTGAAGACCCACTTCTTCTGTGGAGACAGGTTCCAGCCAAAAGATTACACGAGCAACGTGATCTGCAAGATAATACCGACAAAATTCTCCGTCTTCGTTGGGCTCCAGATAGACTTCTACTGAGGGTGCTAAAACTATTCCTTGTTCGCGAACAGTTTCTGCGAAAACTAGGGCCCAATGCAGAATCTGCTGCTGTGATTGAGCAGTATACATATACTGCTCCGTAATAAATCTCGGATTGGAGTTGCAAGCAAAATAAAGGTTCCCTTCAGGATTATTGCATGGTATCCATAACGGAGGCAGATAGGGCGGCCTGTGATGGACGTCAAACACGGGCAATTATCAATATGAAGTGATCTTACTCGGGCTCCCTGGCAAATCCAAAAAGACCTGCAGAAACTGTTCGGTGAGAGGGTGTCACTCTGGAACAAAGGTGAGATCATGACGTACGTAGATGCGATGGGAGGACTCACTTCGCCTTCGTATCATAACGCCTTGTTAAGGCGCAAGAAGTGGGTTTCAGAAATTGACATTTCTTTGACATATCAAGTTATGGGTCCAATTTACCAGTGAAGAGGTCTAGACGTATGAACTAGTGGGCGACTTGAGCAAGGAATGTACACAAGTCTTTATACCCGGCTGAAGGAGCGGTGAACTCAAATGTATCCACGGCGCGAAAGCTATGCCCAGAGCTGTTCTGCATTTGACAAAGAAAATCGAGATTCATGTGCACTCCGTGAATGAGGTGGCGACCAGAGTATTCCAGAATGCAACCGTGAACAGCTGTCCCAGAGACCCGCATGACAAAGAGAGCGAATTAATTATAGCCTCGTCACAGCACCGTCGAGCTCGAAGCGCGTGTGCGGCACAGCGCGGCGTGTACTTTATATAAGGCCCAGCAGAGCTTATCCAAAATTGTGACCTCTCGTCACAATGGCGGTGCCCTTCGGAGTCCGCATTAGGGAGTATGACCGTCCATACACTTACGAGTCCGCCTGTGAAGAAAGGGATTTCCGTACCCGCAATCGGCTGCAGCGAAAATCCGACACGAAACTCTTAATGGATTTTTGACCGTCGACACAGGATTAGTCTCTGCGAGAATATGCGAGGAATTTGATATTCGAAACACCTTGAAAGGTGAAGGTTCCACTCTGAGGCTACTTGGGGTTCGTATGAAAAGAATGATCATCTGGAGCAAGTTTGAGCAACTGGTTGACTGCAGAACATCTGACGGCGTCAACAGTGCGTTAACGTTCGACTCTGGGCGTCTGGTCTGGCGCGTGTGGTCGACGACATCGGGGCCTTACAGTGGGCAATAGAAAGTCGCTCCATTATAGATTACTTGAGAAGCGCAAGATAAGAAGGTAACCAGAGGCCGTCCCATTTCCTCTACCGTATCGCTTTTGAAGATGGCCACCACCGGCGACCAGCCTCAAACTGAGTCCCTCAGGTGAGAATCGGACTTGAGACCTTCGCTTTGCATTTTGTATCTGACCTCCGCCGATGTCATGAAATTTTCGAAGTCCAGAGACAGTCCCTAGTAACCAGCAGCAGCCGATTGCACGCACGCCAGAAGCCATTAACACTCCGCTGCCTGAGAGTCAGCCACCATCACCGGCGTAGGTCCCTTCCACGGTTTCATATGTCGCAATTCGACTGATGTCCAGTTTGCAAGTTTGAACCAGGCTTCTCTGCCATCGTATGTTCCAGTCCTCAAGCTTGACATAATCTTATACATTGCGGATCTACTAGTGTTCCTACCGTCTTGCCACCCGGTTTCAAGCCTCGCGGAAGAGCTGGAGGCGCCATGTCTGGACCGAAGAAACCCCCACCCACTACGAAACCCAAATAAGACGGAAGATGTCTAAGAGTCAATATCGGGGATCCTTGGATCGATCACAATGCTATTCGATCTTTGTTTTGCTACCGCCGCCGCCGACATTGTCTCCATATAACGATCGTTCATATCAATTGCCGAAGAGTTACCCGGTTCAGTTATTCGCCGTTTGTCACGGATGTGTAGAAGTACATCGTTAGGGACATGCATGCTCCTTGGTGCCCTGCATGGATGTTCTCCAGGGCTATCTTCACAACTACTTTGAAGATGTCACCGTAAATTGACGGAGTATGCTGAGAAATGTGATGCACTGCATTCTTCCACGCCCGTTTCGTATCTAGCCTCTAGGATTCTCGAAAGAATAGTACACCACGTATGCCCATGGTGCGCATATGCATCGTATTTCCCAAATTTATTCATTACCGTTCAACATCGTGAGAACTTTACGATAGGAAGGGGCCTGCTTCGGACAGCCTCTGAGAGCAGTGTCACAAGCGATGCACCTGAGGCACTTAACTCTACGGAGCTTTTCGATAAAGAGTTCTGTTCTATTGGGGTGCCGGGGAGGCGGGGTTGCCCCCTTCAGCAAAATTGCCGTTCATTCAACCACTCGCTAGTTGTAGCCGCGCGCACCTAGCCTAGGAGTCGTGAGCGTTGTAGGTCTTGTTTGTCTGATACATTAAAGGTAAGTACACGCCCGAGACATTCATCTCTGAACCATGTATGCCAGGTCCGTACATCACCACGGCAGCTATGAAAACCGATATGTATTTGGACACTGCAAATCGGCATGCAGGGTCTAAAGCGGATAGATTGCGAACAGAAGAATGAAGATAAATCTCGAGAACAGCCTTTATTCTCGCTTGGCTCCGGTGGTACGGATCCTATGGAGCACCCGGTGTATCTGTATGCAAGTATTAAAGGACCGACAAGAACATAATGATCCAAGTCATCCTTGTGAATGAGAGAATTAGTCGTGGGGCGTGAAGGTCTTGGCTGAGGGCACTGGAGGGAAAGATAGCGGTCTATGAACATAGAGCATAGTGAGTTTAGTAAACGACAAGATAGTATACGTCAAATGCATACCCCGTTCCATGAGGAAGGAGTCCCGGTGATCAGGGAGATTAGCCTATTGCGCCAAAGGTTCAAGGAAGGTACTGGCGGTACTGGCGGTAATTGCTTGAGCCAAATAGACACGCCGCATTCTTAGCCGAATGTAAATGTGACATCGTCTCCAAAGGCAGAGACGCGTCGGAGTGCTTCCGATAATACAAGCAAACGAAATGAATCCAGCGATATGAGACCTAGTGCTATGCCTATCCTCGGTTTGATCCATTACCTTGGAACGTCGAGGAATGTGACATTGTGTTCAACAATATTGGAATCTAGCACGTTTCAGCCATGTCGTTTTCTGACGTCAGAACTTGATGGCACGATGAGTTAAATACTCAACCTATTACAGGGTCCCACCATACAGTTCCCCCGTTCACTCTTTTACAACAATACCCCCATATGGTGAGCGTACAGCTCGATCCTCGGGAGGTACGACGAGGCCTATATGCTGTTCTGCTTCGAAATCTGTCAAACAAGGGAAACGTCCTGGAACGTCGTGTTCATGTCTTGACAGACGCACCTAACGTTCACTGCGCGCTTTAAGGAATCACGAGTAAATTAAGAGATAAGTTGAGGAATCAAGAAAGAACAATGCAGAAGGTGAACCTGCGCTGAAGAAGTGAAGTAATTGGGTTATGTCGAAAACAATGACACACTTCTACGCCAAATTTGAGGACCCGTCAACAATTTGACGACCTTTGTTTACCGGGTTGTGCCGTGGAGAGCTCGAAGCATAGGACCTACTCTTCGCAGGGCGGACACGGCATGGAACACATTCCCTGACTAGTCTATAAATGAACTGAACGCTGAGCGCTGAGACGCAACAAACTAAGGGGAGTTCGGGACGAACCTGCCACTGCATGTGAGATGCCAATTCTAGATGATTCCGGCAATCTTACACCCACCGCAGAAGACAATAAGCATTCGGGACGTACTCGGGGTATATCCCCCGAACTCCGAAGACAGCACTACCTGAATGGATATGTATGTATCTTCAGTACTGTGTAGGAAGAAGTGTTGACTGAGAATCACAGTATGTCTTCATATGTGAACTCGAGGCTTCGAACCTCTGGACAGATAGATCCATGAAGGCTCCCAAAGGCACTACAGATAGAAGCTCAATGCGCGGTGATAGATTCCAACTTGCAGGACGTTGTAGGTGCGAAATGAACCAGTGCAATAGGACTTCCTTCGATTGCAGGAAAAACGGCCTTGCGCAACGAGGCTTTGCCATACCAAAAGAGAGTTGCTAGCCGTGAGACGCATTCAGTGCGGATTGCATCATAGCCTCCTGTCGTCCAGACGTCAGTACTCGGATAGGACCAAAGTAGAAGCACCGTAGTTGCGACGAGTTGGGTCTCTGTAGCAATGCGTCGGAACCATCAGCTGAGATATTTAGGGTTCCTCATAACTGTCGGTTAGAAGCATGCCGTCGTCAGGAACAAATGCTCGTCAGTAGAGGCAGTTATAATCAATGCTTCTATCAATCAACTTGAGGCTATACTTCGTCTCCAAATACAAGCAACTGCGGTACTCGTTGGTAATCGAGCGTTACCAACAGATGCAATAATCTTCGAGCTTTCTATTTTGAAGCCTGCGATGCTGGTTATAAGTGATGCGATTTTCGAAATACAACAGATGATAGGAAAGAATACAATAGAAACGACAACAAGGAAATATAACAACGACGTTCGTCGTCAGCGACATCAACAGCAGTCAACCACTTGGTTCACAGCCGGTGTTCGTAGGAGCTTGGCCAACATCACTCGGTTCTGTTCTCGAACTTGAGTAAGACCACGTCGTAACGCTCTAAGCACTCGCTTCCACGCAGGTCCCTGGCTATCTTCCCAGGCCGAGTAGATACACCAGACGATGAGGAATCCAGTCACGGTCCACGCTGCAGCTGCAATCCATATTGCGACACGATCATCCGTTGTGAAGCATTCCAGTGAGAATGCGAGGAGAAATGTGACCATACTGATATGATCAACGTTAGAGCTACAGTTTACAGCGAAACAAATGAGATAAGAGACTTACGCCCACAACAGGAGCGCATATGGCAGTGAATAAAGAATTGCTAATGTCTCTACGCCCCTCGTCGGATGAGATCGTCTCGCGAGAAAAACGGCCTGTAAAAGCACGGTTATAGATGGATGCCTCTGAGATGTCATGACAAATACACACCGCCTCCTCAACTGTGTCTCTCGGCCGGACGCGGTACTGACGGACTAATAAGAGGCCTATAATGATACTGCCGATACTAGCTACAATGGAGATGTAGCTCGCAATCTGAGAAGGTGTTCGTATACCGTTGCCTTCATCGACACTCGGTATTGCCAAGAATGCTACATTCGCGTTAAGCAACACTGTACCCTGTTGTCTGTGGATGAAAATGAAGTCGACGATGGAAATAGCATAGATAACGTACGTAAAGAATGAATTCCTCCCACTCCGACTTGAGTTTCTCGATAAAGACAGCCCAGGGCTGATGACACATGCATTGGTCAACCCATATCTTCTCTAGAGCGCGTAGATGGACCATCGGCGCATTGAACAGAAGCGGCGCAAGGATTCTAATAAGATATGTCCGTGGATGTTTGCTCACTCCATGAACACTTTGATCACGGTTGAGACGTGCCCCGTGTTGCCCATGATAGTTCAAAAACCAGGCATGAACTGACGAGATTTGAGGTTAACGATATAAGAGCGACTAGCATTTAATAACACTCACTGAAGAGATGAAGTAAGCGAGCTAGACTACTGTTTAGTACGATAATGTTTTCGGATGCAAAGATTGACATACTTATAGTGCATGTCGTATATGGCGAATGAGGCAAGTCTTAAGGAACGGTTTAGCATCTGCGGGATAAGACAATGGATCATTCACTAACTTCTGGCATTCCTGGCAATATTGAGCATTCTTTCCAGGTCATCAACAGAATACAAAATAGTCGACGTTGGAGAAGTTAATTGATCTGAATGATAGCAAAACAGGATTACGATGACTGAAAGAAACTGAACATACAAAAATAGCGCACCAGTGACGGCGTGGAGAAGAATACCCATAAGTTCTTCAATCACATCTGGAGGTAGAATATGGCCATGGGGGAAGTTCTCCCAATGTATCCTGCCGATACATGTTAGCTTTGAATGAATTCTGAGCCTACCAATATGAAAAAGTCCGTACCAATAGTATCGGGTAATCTCGTGCTCTATGACATGTTAAAGTGGAAACGAAGAAAGGAACATAAGTGGACTCACGCAAGTGCGAATAGTCAGGCTTTCCGAGTAGTTCGGAAGTCGCCCAGGTGATGTCATGTTCATGGAGCCAGAATAGCGATCTAGTTGGATGGTGAACATAGTAATACATCCAGTAGTTGGATCCTTCGCCGTTCTCTTGCAATTCAAGGACCAGCTCGGCATCATCCGGAATCTCAATATTCTGATCATCTGCATAGGCCTTGAGCTGGACTTCGAAAGAAGTGAGCTCTTCAAAGATTTGAGGATTACAGAGGTATGCGTCTGTATATATTTTCTGGAGAATACGCGTCAATCCATGGTCATCGTGAAGACGGTAAGAATTACCTTCGTTTCATGGAAGAAATATAGCGCACCTTCGGGATGTTGACATGGCGTCCAACCTTCTGGTATATTTTGTCTAGTACCGCTATTAGTCAACTTTGGAACGATCAGGCGATAACTTACAATTTGAACTCCAGTGTCTTCGGGGGTAATATAATACAATCATTTTCATCCTTAAGGGGTCTGAGAAAAAGATGTAGAAACGCAATTCATCGAGTTGACAGGGATACTCACATTTTGATATTTCGGTCATAACGTTCTATCATAAGTGTGGGGTATATAGCATGAACGTCGCTCAGAGTAGCGGCTTCGGTGTGTATAGATGGCGGTGCTGTTTCCCTGTTATATAACGACAATGACACTTGTGAACCGGCTGCGGTAATGCCGAGATTCAACCTTGAACCAAGAGGGCGAGGAGAGTTTGCCCGTGAAGGACCACGAGAGCCTGGACCAATCCGTGTGGAATCCCCCGACTTTGATGACACTGGGGAACAGGGTCGCGAAGGTACAGAATACGCAGGCGAATAAAGCCGATGAAGACCCATATCTGGGGCGGATTGCCGGGCAACGGGTGGCGCATAACTGTATGGATGAAGGAATTGTTCCGAGGTGGGTCGTTGACTATGTACCATCGAAACCGGACGACTATGCACCCTAGTCATAAGCTGTATCGGACTACTGCCTTCTAGCATTACGCTCGGAGGAACTTGACTGGTGCAGATTGTGATCACCTCCGAGTCCGAATGTGCATTGTCATTTTCCAGGTATGACTTTGGTTTCTCCAGGTCTCTTGAATCAGTACCATGGAGGGTACCAGGACTACATATTCTTCTGAAAGGTAACAAGGCGAATCGTTTCAGATGCACCCAGAGGCGCAGAACCCGTGCCCAAATTGCCTGTGGCGTCTTTCCAGAGCACAGTCGTCGTAAGAGGTTGCCAAGGTAGCGTAAAAGTACAGGTATCATTATACGGATACAAGAGAACAGACAGGATTCAAATGTAGCAAGTCATCGATGGATTCGAGGTTAAAAACTGCAGGAGGCGTAATTGGCGAGGCAGTACGACCGCCTGCCATGAGGCGAGTCGATGAGAACATTCTCCAGCGTCTTCATAAATGTCCTTGTGTTTGGATACTTTAGCGTTCGCGCGAGGGATATCGTTCAAGTAATCATATAGTACACACCGGAATATGAGCTGGAACACGATGGCTGCAAGACATTACAGAATATTGCAAGGAGAGAAATTGTGAACTTCAAATTCGAGAGCAACTACGTCTTAAGCGTCTATATTCCATATTGGGATGGGCGCTTACTTAGCTGGTCAGGGAGTCTCAGTTGAACGTTTACCTTCAAAGTCGACCACAACAATGTCCTCTCCAAAACGCACTGCTTCACCATCACCATCGTCCGAGGCCAAAAGAATTAAACTCACAGTACCTCAGCAAACGCAAGGAGCTACACCAGTCGACCCAGAAAATGCAACAGGAAAGCGTAGCGAATTGGAACCAATTACTGGCGGCGAAATTGGAAACCTGCCACCAGTGGAGGGCCCTTCTACAGCACAACGACTGAAGCCTGATGACGGGGAGGATGGCGGGGACGTTTCTATGGCGGAGGGAGGAGATCCTGCGGACGAGGAGGCAGAGTCAGGGGAGGACGGTGACGATGAAGACCCTGCACAACTCGAAGCGACTCGACTTCGTTTGGAGGAACAAGCCCGCAAATACCTTGCTGCACAAACACACGAAGTTATTATCCCGTCTTATGCTGCTTGGTTCGATATGTCTAAGATACATCCCGTCGAACGACGCGCTTTGCCTGAGTTCTTCAATTCCCGACATCGTTCCAAGACCCCTGCTATCTACAAAGACTACCGCGACTTCATGATCAACACGTACCGACTCAGACCATCTGAATACCTGACTGTCACTGCGTGCCGACGTAACCTTGCAGGAGATGTTTGTGCTATTATGCGCGTTCACGCGTTCCTTGAACAGTGGGGTCTAATCAACTACCAGGCAAGTGTAACGCCAGTGTCATACCACATCTGTCTAACTGCTAGCTGCAGATTGATCCTGAGCAGCGACCTGCCGCTCTTGCGCCTCCATTTACAGGTCATTATCGTGTTATCCTCGATACTCCACGAGGACTTCAGTCCCTCCACCCTGGTACCCGGCCGAATACTCATCCGCACGCGGCGACAGCCAATGGTGCTCAAAAGCTTGCAACTCCTGCAACCTCCGCCTCTCTCGAGCTCCGCAAGTCTATCTATCAGACAACAGCAAAGGCTTCTCGCGAAGTGGCACCTGCTGAAGCAGAAGCCCTTGCAAACGGTGCCGACGCGAATGGCGGTCGGCCTGCGGAGTTAAAGTATCAATGTGACACTTGCGGCGTAGATTGTACACCTGTCCGCTATCACTCACTCAAAGTCAAAGACTTTGAGCTTTGTCCACCATGTTATCTGGACGGCCGTTTCCCCTCGACGATGTTTAGTGGAGACTTTGTGAAGTTGACGCAGTCGCAGCCGAACGGCATTCACCATGGCACGGACGCTGACTGGTCAGATCAAGAGATCCTCTTACTACTGGAGGGTGTTGAAATGTATGACGACGACTGGTCCGCTATCGAAGAGCATGTTGGTTCGCGTACTGCGCAACAGTGTATACGCAAATTCCTGGAGCTGCCCATCGAGGACCCGTATATCGCAACCGAAGGCAATATGGGACCTCTACGTTATGCGCGAGTACCGTTCGAACAAGCTGACAACCCAGTCATGAGTGTTGTGGCCTTCTTGGCTGGCGTTGTTGGTCCTGGTGTTGCTGCGGAAGCTGCTAAGTCTGCCTTGCATGAACTCACGGACGCCGACAAGAAGGAGGATGTAGAGAAGAAGGAGTCGGAAGAAGAGAAGGGCAAGGAGACAACGGCACCGAAGGAGAATGAAAAGATGCAGGAAGATACACAGGAAGCATCGGCGCCGACTGTCAAGCCCTCAGTGGATTCTGGTGAGAAGCCATCTGATGAGGCAGGTCCTTCTGAGGTTATGGCCGTCGACGGCGAGGTTTCGTTGAGGACCCAACAGTCACCTCACGCCATTCCCCATTCCAAAGTTGTTCGAGCTGCCACTATCGCGCTGAAATCGTCCGCCAAGGCCGCGAAGGAGCTTGCGGATGCAGAAGACGCTAACATTCGATCGACACTCGCGAACCTCATTAAACTTACTCTCACAAAACTGGAACTCAAGATGAGCCAATTTGAGGAACTCGAGGAGTTGCTCGAGGACGAACGACGAGGCCTTGAGAGCGCACGAATGGCGTTGGTCGGTGAACGTGTCGGATTGAAGAAGATGCTCGACAACGTCAAAACGGAGCTGGCAAAGCATGCCGCAGGAACCGGGAGTGCGGTAGCGGTGAATGCCGCCGCTTCGCATGCCCAGGCTTCATTGGATGGTAGCGGACAGGGCGCACGAGTGCAGGAGGTCCAGGTCGGGATAGAGGGTGATGGCGGACCTGTTGCCGGTGGAAACATCGGTCAGCTCAGCTGAGCATCGAGGTGTACCTATTTCCTTTCTGTTTTTGTGGTTTGCTTTTCCCTTTGTGATATTTGTTACGTTATATGTCATTTCTGTAGATGTAGGATAATTATAAACTGGCTGCTTGTGCGATGATCGCAAGCGGAGAAAGCTCGTGTGGCAACCAAGCGAAGTCATGTATGACGTGCACTTACTTTATGTCAATTACCGCAAGCTCTGTGCACACGGCCATCGACTGCTTATATATGCTGTTGCAGTGCTTGTCAATAGAGAATCCTGGTGAACATTTGACCTCATTGTCCACTGATAGGCATTGCCATCATTGCAGACAATGAAACTTTGAATGCCTCGCATGCTGTGATGCGAAGGCTGAACTTTTTTTACCTCATTGATTGGTACTTGCCTGTACTTCGATGTCGCAATAGAATCTGAGTGGCGCTGAACCATTGATTGGCGTTGCTACAGCTAATATGCGATTACTTCGATTTACCTAATAACACCATAATTGGCAGTACCAAAGAAATACTGGAAGGAAAAAACACCTGGTTCACCACCTGTCGCGCTTAAAAATTGATATATAATCCTCCGAGATAATACAAGGATATGGCAGCTCCCCCCCATGAACCACAACCAACATCCCAGCATACCGATTGTTGAATCAAGGGCAGAGGCTACAGCTACACAGAGAACAGCGCATGGGCGGCAGGCCGGCGCCAAATGCAGACATGACTTAACGGCGCCAGGCAAAGCTGTGCGAGATGGTAAGGCCTTACCTTTCTTGCGGGTTATAATTATTCACTCTGAGTCTGCCATCTGACTGTTATTGCATTCAGCTTTCTATCAGGAATGCTCATTGACTGCACAATCTCAGGCTCTGTTGGCAAAGATGGAGGAGGTTGCAGAGAAGATCAGGGCTTGTGAGGGGTGTGGGTTCTACACAAAGAGACACCTTTTAAAATGGATGCAAGCGAAGAAGAAAGGAGACTCTCAGGTGCTGTGGAGCACTCCAGTGAGTGGCTTTTTATTTGCATCCTTGTCACACACTCACAGTGAAGACAGATGCTACATAGTACTATGGAGACCAATGTAGTTCAAGCTGCTGGCACTGACAGTACTGCCGTGTCTGAATATGATTCACCCAAGGGGAGTTTAGATGCATTTGCTGAAGAGGAAGGATTGGAAGGGGTGAAGGATGCTCGAACTGTAGGAACCAGGCCATGTCTTCCTCCATCCCCTTCCCCTCCGGCCCTCAGCTGCTGCAACTTTGGAGCGAGAATCACCAGTCATTACAATCAGATGCTGATCTTCAGTGTCACCAGCAATGAAGAAGAAGAAGAAGCTGCTGAACCCCCAAGTTTCAGGCTTCGGCCAGTGCATACATGGTGATTTCAAGACCATATCCATCGGTGAGTGATACATGTGCATCTCTGACAACCCAAGTCACTCATGTATGCATGCAGACAGACACTTTGCATCACTTTCTTGCTTTGATACTTAATTTCCCCCTCCTCCAGTTCATACCTTGGATGCTCTGATGTAACATACCACATACTTGATGTTCAATCCTTTGATCAGAAGACCATGTGTGCCATACAAAGAGTGATATTAACAATGCTAGAACCCTTCCCCAAGCCCCGGCTCATCGTCGAAATCACCACCACCCTCCGCAAGCTCCTTCGCAAGTTCCTTCTCACGCGAGCGGGCACCTTCAGCCGCGGCAAGCTCTTTCCGATGAGCATTAAGTGGGTATCGCATACCCTGCAACACATTGACAATGAGTGTTACCATTCTGCAAGACGTTTCAATGATGACAGCGATGCTTACCTTTACACTTTGATTATGCAGCTCGAGGCAGTATGAGATACGACGGTTGAAGACGTCGATGACCTCAGGTCCGTATCCGCCCTTCTGACCACCACACTCCATCCAACCCTTCTCGTGGATGATGCGACCCTCAATGACACCATCGCGGATGGCCTTGCCGACGATGTACTCGGCGTCTTCCTCGGAGTCGAGATGAAGCTTGACGCAGATATCGCGCAGTGAGATGCGAGAGTATGAAAGAGAGAGACGTCGGATTCCAGTTTTGATGACGTTCTGACGGAGACGGACGATGAGTGTGTGGGTCTTGTCCGCCTCGAACTGTGCCGCGTGCTTTGACAACGCGTTCTGGAATTGTGATAGCGAGCCCGAGCGCACAGCTGCGACGTATCATATGTATGAGTAAAGACTGACGCATGACAGGACAGGATCGAACGAACCTTTCACGATCTCGAAATACCCAGTCAGTGCCTTCTCCAGTACGGGATGTCGGAAGAGACTTCGTTCGGGAATATCACCCATCAAAAGCTCCACGATGACGGAGAGCTTATGAATGGCTTGGTAGAACCCAGGCGCAGTCGTTGCTGGCGGTGCGCGACGAATTGCTTGCTGGATGTTCGTGTGCGCAGCGGAGTAGTTGAGTTGAACGGCTTTGATACGGGCCAGGTAGTAATGATAACGTGCATATTGAGAATTGCTGGCAGACGTGGGAAAGGTAGTCTTAGACACCAGCTTGTCGGCCTGGTCGTAGAGGTTGTACTGGAGGTAACTGCGGAGAAGTCGGTTGATGAGGGAAGCCTGAGTCTCCTCGTCGTGTCGGAGGGAAGCAGTACGCTGAGCAGCGAGGAATAGACTGCAGTCGCGTCAGAAGCGAAGATAGATTGGACATGGTGTATCACTCACGGTCGTGCATCGGCCAACTCGCCACCCAACTCATACGCTCGCTCCAACGCGTACCAAACCTTGGCTGAGATAGGGTCCAAGGTCCTTCTATTCAGCGCCTGAATCTTTTCCACGGTTTGTCTCGAGAGTTCGATAGCCTTGCCATAGTTGCTCGACGAAGAAAGCAGGTAATGAATCAGAAGTAGGCGAAGATAAATCTCGGTTTCTGGTACGGGCTCGGTGGGTGGTTGCTTCGTAGTTACGGAGTCGACTTCCATTGTGTGATCGGACGTCGCGGCTGGAAGCCATGAGAGAAGCTGTTGACGGAGAGATGACTCTAGATTGTAAGTTGTTAGTCAAGAGGTCACCGTGAACAGCGTTAGCATACGTACCTGTAGGGTATATCTCTTCTATCGCGTCTCTAAGAGCATCCGCATCAAGTCTTTTCTTCAAAGACGTTAGGGTACGCAAGACTCGATGCGTAAAGCGAGGTTCGAAAGTCGAGACGGCACGTTCAATGAGAGCTGCATTCTGCTTGATTTCAGCCGCAGGAGTCAGAGGAATCTTCTTGGGTTTCTCCTCCTCTTTTGCCTCCTCCGCCTTCTTCTCGTCCGCAGATTTCATTTCGACGTCGGCCATGGCGAATCCAGGTAAATGGTGGTCAAGAGTAAGTCAATTTGAGCGTGCACTGTAGGCGCGACGTACGCGTATGTCTGACCCAAAAAGGAATGTAGGGCGCTTATGGGTATGTGCACGCAAAGTGCGCGCTTTGACTCTAACCTGCCATTCAAGACCACGGCTGGTATATTCGCTCAAAGCCAACTTGAACTGCATAATAGCCGCACCCATCTGCTTCCTGGCAACTTGAAGGGTTTACTACTGACTTGAGACTATGTCAGTTTCCGTCTTCCGACGCCTATGGGCAAAAATATCCAACCCAGTTTGTAAATCATGCTCTTCAATACTCTCGACGTCGTGGTGACTCTGGATACATCACTTCTAGACAAAGTGTGTCGGGAGGGACCTTGAAGGTAAGGCAACATTCCTCGAGAGTGTAAATTTTCCAACTGACATATGTAGGTAATCGGTACTTTGAGTACCCAAACCCTCACGGAGGTATGCTTTATGGTTATGCCACGGCTGCACGGGTTGAGAATGACTCTTATAGATGTGAGAACGAAACGCGTCGTGAAATATCGACGGGGCTATGATATGTGGACCTATATCGCTGGAGAGAAGCGGTTACCTGGTATGTCTCCATAAATGAACTCACGCTAGGAACGCTAGTCGACGTCATTTACTTTGCAGTACAATGGACGTCTTGGTTAACTCACACCAGGTCACATCCGCCCACGTACCAGGTATGTGATCCCAAAGTATGGCGTACCGAGCTTGACTGGAGTTCTCACTACTCTTTTTTCTTGCAGGAGCTTCTCGCTGACTTGGAGCGACAACGTCGTGTCTTGCAAAATGCTGCCATGATCGAAGCACGAGAACGTGAAGCTCGAGAAGCTGCACAACTAGCCTCGCCCTCCCATGCGCCGACACAATCCCCCGAGAATACGGATACAACCTCGGAGGCGCCTTCAGTACAAGCATCATCTTCTCCAAATGCTCGGTCGGGGGTCAGTGCGGACCAGACTCCGACGCCGTCAAAGCCTCAGCATAGTACAGAGCCCTCCAAGCCAGATCCCTGGGAAGCAGCTCGCGCGAAAGCTGACGGGGACCAACCGCAGTCTTGGGCCCCTCGTGCGGTTCGTCGGGGTGGCTAACTTGATGCAGCTGTGACCTTTCCATATGCTTCTGATATTCCTCCTTATACAAACACTACTTATTCTCATGTCGTATCCTGTAAGGGATTCCGCAGCAGCATTGTCGCTTGCGTATTCAGCATAATGAGATATTGCATGCAGTATCGGGGTGAGACATCTTACAGTGCTCGTGATAGTTAAGCTTGTCTGTCATCTCCCTTACGCGTCGAGAATGACTGGCTGCGTGCTTCTTTCCCGCTATCTTCCGGCGGTAACTGTGACAGTACACAGCAATACTTTGCAAGGTTGAGGCTTCAAATGTGGCTTTTTCCTGGAGAAAGAGGATTGAGAGGATGTTGAGATCCGTATTTAACCCCTAATACAAGTTGTGTGCCGCTGTGGGTGCAATATGTTTTGAAAATACGTATACGAAAAATAGGTTTCGATCGATTTAGGCGCGTTCCGTTCGGGGTGGGCAAGAGGCGCTGGACTGGAGTTGAAGCTATCGTGTGTCTTGACCTCAGACGACCACCATCTCGTCGCCGTCGCGTGCGTCCTGGAGCATGCTCGCCCTCTATCTCGGCTTGCTTTTATTTCCTTCTTTCTCGTTGGCGTATAGTTTCGTATTCAACGACTCACCAAGGCAATGCCAAAATCTTTCCGTTAGCATCACCGATTCCGGGAACCCGCCCTACAGCTTGCTTATCATTCCTGTGGGCCCTTCACCGTTACCGAACAATGTCGAGGCGAGAAGGATAACACAAGTCAATTTTACTGGATCAGAGAGCTCTCTGAGTTTCCAGTTAAAGTTTCCGGGGAACTCACAGTTTGTCGCAGTGGTATGTTTCAGCGTTCTTATATATGCGTTAAATCTCCTCCTTTTCTGCGCTAGCCTTTATCTATTCTCTCGCACTTCCCTCCTTTTATGGGTTGTTCACTGACGTCTGCAAGCTCTCGGTTGTCGAGTACCTAAGTGTGGCCTCGTGGCGCATTTCATGAGCATGTACTGTATCACAGCTTTGTGGCCTTTACAATTGCCAGTGGGTGCTGCGCGGCGACAGGTTTACGAAGAGGTTCATTCGTGCCATGAAATCTGCGAAGTCGCGGTCATTTCCGCCCGTTGTCGGTTCTTCCATCAACTCTTATGGTCTTCTCGGCTGTTCTATTCGCAGCCACATCGTGATGGCGGGTTGGACAGGCCATTCTTCGTGCCCATTTATGTTTGTGCTCATAACCTTTCAACTGATAATAACCCTCTTGTTTTTTTGTGCAGGTCAGCGACAGCTCTGGTTTTGGATCGGGAGGAACTAGCGGAGCAGTTACAGTACTTCAAGATGATGATAGCTCATGCTATGATTCTACAAAAACAGTGTCTCCGGCCTTCTCATTCAGCATCGTCCCGGCAGGTCAACTGACACAATGCAGCCCTACTCGTATCTGGTGGGATCCCGCGCTAGTACAAGGGTGTGTGAATGGTGCTTCCCTGGTGTATCTATCGCACTGACACGTCGATCAATTGCTAGTACCCCGAGTTTCCAAGGCGTCATTCCGGGTGGACAGTCGTTCGCAGTGCCGCAAGGGAACCTGACGACTGTCGCTGAGCAAGGTCTGGGGTTCACCTGGACGCCTCCCGTGCGAGGAGGCACGACGGTGATTCTGCTCGGTGGAGACAATCGCGGCCCCGGCACAGCTGGAAGTTCGGTCTACGTTGTGAACGCCGGGGAAAACGACTGTTTGAGCGATTCATCACCTTCATCAACACCTGGTTCTCCCGCTGGCGGTGCTTATCCGACTTCCACATCGAGTGCTGGTGGCTCCAATGGAGGGTATGTCTGCTTTGTTTCTTGTTTGGCACTCAACCCTTATTGAATTCGCTTCAGGTCGCACACGAACATCGGTGCCATCGTCGGTACGTTGACTCTCGTATAAAGTGAATAACCTCGTAAGCTAACGCCGTCATTCAGGCGGCGTTATTGGTGGCGTCGTATTCCTCATAGCATTGATCCTCATCCTGCTCTTCTTCCGCCGTAGAAGCGACTTGCATCAATCAGCCAAGGAACGTCCCGTAGATCTTCTTCGGGACGACGAACATGAGCAAGAGCAAATAGCCAATCAACAACTTCCGCGATACTACGAACCTGAACCCTTCATGGTTCCCGATCCAACAGTTGCCTCATCAGCAGGCGATTATGGAGACGACCCTGGTGCCTCCGTCGCCGGTCATCTTCGACCCAGCACAGATCGTAGATACTCACGATACTCTGGGACAACATCCGATCTCGGGCTCACCGTACGATCTCCCACGCCTGATCAGTCCACTTCGACTTCGACGACGTACATGCGCAAGTCGCCTGCGCCACCTAGTTTCCGACCCGTCAATATTGTGCAGCATGAAGATGCTGGGCCGGGCGATGAGCCTCCTCCAGAAGAACCAGAAACAATTGAATTGCCTCCTGCATATACCAATATTAAACAGTCTGCACCGCCAGGACCAGGACCTAGTGGTGCTGGAGCTAGCTCCGCTGATACTGCTGATGCTGCCGATGCTGGAACGTCGGACGTAACGTCGACCGTTCCTAGGAATGAGACTTCTCAAGCTTGATATTCCTTTCCTGTGAGTCTTTCTACTTCGCCATATGGTGCTCAGACTAACGAATCGATGAGTAGGTGATATGCGACTATTCCCTCCCGACTTAGACAACCCACGGACGCTTAGCCTGCGCGATATCATTGTATGACGAAGAGTTCCCATGACGCCTTCCTTTTCTCTCCTAACGGTTTCTTTTGATTCCCCAGTTCACACACAAAGGTTGGATGCGATTACTTTATTCGACTTCTACTGCTTCACTTTCGCACGCGTTCATTCATTCTTTCGTTTATCCAGTATTCAATTCCCAGTCTTCCCGTAATGTTGCTGCTTTCTTTTTATATCCAAGTTTCATACGGACTATTCTTCTTGTTCTTCTCATCAATTTCTTCACATTTCGCCAATGTCTCCATGAATCTTTTGGTTTATTATTCCCCGTGAAGATATACCACCAATTTCTCCTTTACCACATGTACCAGTATAATACCCCTTGAACCCCCAGCACAACCCTTCCCCCTCCCCCAAACAACATTCCTAGGGTCATGCCTGCGGTCAGGACATGCATGCCAGTGGAGCTGAACTGCCCATGGCGGCGATCCCTAGATAAGGTGTCCATATCGAATGACGTGGCCAAAAGTCCCCGACCCTGCTAGTTGCCTCGTTGTCTCAAAGAGCTGTTGTGACTGTGCGTCCGTGCAGGGTAAGGCGGAATTGTATGCGGCCGGCGCTTGAAGATGTACCTCCGCCTCTACCAAAGTCATGAAATGCGTAGGGTCGAGCCTCCAGCCCTATTTAGGATTCCGCACCCAAGTTGCAAGCGTACGGTATGAGATTCCGAATACGCTAGCGTCCCTAGACTATCGATGACTCCTGCCCATCAATTGATGGTGTATCCTATCGAGGAACATCAGTGAACGAGTTAAAAGGCTTATATAGCTTTGCCACTCACCGGTCTACCAATCAACCCTTCGTATTCATGCGTAACAGCCTCCGTCAGAGCACGTAGAACTTGATCAGTTTCACTGTTCGTCCCAGGGACATACTGTGCGTTTTCCAAAAGTCGACGTGCAATAGTCATTGCAGCATCCACGTTCTTCTTGCGCAGCAGAAACAGAATGACCGTCGTGTATGTTTCGGAAGTGGGTGGTGGAATTGCGGATGGTTCGCTATGTTTGTCGCGCCTGAGACTGTCTTCCATTTCGTCGAGAAGAGAGTGAAGTTTCTCCATCTCGCCGTTGATTGCAAACGTCGAGCAGACGATGGTAAGGCATTGTGTGGATACGGGGATATCTAGGTCTTGCATATCTGTGAGGATATCAATATATCGATTTGTGGCCCCACGAGACGCGAATGCTTTTATGAAAGGGGCGAAATGGGCCGCATCGAACTGTGAAGGGACGGGCAAGGGTTGGAGGTATGAGGATTCATCAGGAAACGGGTCTCGTGGCTGCCTCAAGAAGGCTAGAAAGCTCGACTTGTGGTATTGTGCCTTGGTTGGGATGCCCTTAGCGGTTTTGATATATCCAAGGAGCTCTTTGTAAAGGTCGTCTAGTTCTGAGACACTCTCCGCGGTTTCCACTATCACCCTCCACACCAATGCAGTTTGAAAGCATGTTGGAAACAATCCAACAGGGGAAAAATTCTGGCTACGCAAGAGCGGCGCGTAGGATCCAAAGAATTTTACATCGCAGAGTTCACCCGGTCCGAAACGACGTAAATAGCCTGCCTTGAGGGGAAGTCCTACAGCATGGTAGTGACGGATGTACGTTCGTAGGACGCCACGATATTCGTGACGATAGTAGTGGTAAAGCATCTCTGCGAGAACCCAGAGACCATGCCTTTGATGACGGGCATAGCCGGGACGACATAATAGGACGCGCAAGCGAAGCAAAGCAAGCATGCGACCGAGCTCGATACACTGTTGCATGAATTGAGCCAGAGTGGGTGCTGAAGGAAGGGTGCGTTTCTCGAAGGTCGTGCCGACACGGGCATACGCCCTCACCTCACTCTTGAGACGATGGTAAAAATTATCGAAATCCTTCAAGTCACCCAAAGGAATGGTATTGGATGGCTGAATCATTGAAGATCGCGCTGCAGGTATGAGGGCGGGATGTACTGTGGATGCGTTTGCCTCGTTGCTCATCAGTCCCAGATGAGGAGGCGGCTCAAGATCCCGAGATACCCGAGACCTTTTGAGAGAAGCCACGAAGACTTCACCCCAAGAAGGTGTAAAGACAGCCTGCAACGACTCCAACCCTTTCTGCAAATGACCCGCGGAATGGTGAGATTGCAGCGCCAGGTTATGCCATTGCGAAGCCCGATATCGAGCATGCACTCTACTCTGACGGCCCAGCTTTTTAAGGTACGTCCTACTGACATCTCGAAACTTGCCGAGAAAAACTGCGCTGACTTCAGGAGGGGAATATCGAGCAACGACGGGGATAACGTGTTTCGCGACCCGGTCTGCATAGCCTTTGGAGGCGGAAATGAGTGCGAATTCCATGATGACAGGGAGGTCGGGTACATGTGTCCTGGATAGTAACATAAGTAGGATCGGTTCAAAATTGTACTGTACTCTTGAACTGGCTTCCGGTATGAGAGACCACCAACTTCTGAACAGGGACAACCGTTGGGTCTGAGAGACATCCTTGCGATAAAGATATGCATTGATTGCGGCATGCGCATAGGCAAAATCTTGCTTGATATCCACACCGGACTCCATAAGTTCCGTAAGGAGATGATCTGCATCGTCAAACTTCCTGTCTTTCACCAACTGTATCAGCACTTCAGAAAAGGTCATAGGAACGGTGTCAGGGTCAATCGTCGAGGCTATTCCATACTCCTCCGTGGGTTCCTCGAATATAGAGAGGTCTGGTGGTTCCTGTGGGTACGGCTCGTCTCGCATCGCAACCATAGCAGGTGGCTCTTGGATGACGAGTGCACTGTAATGCGATCTAAGGAGTTGAGGTGACCATGCTTGCATAGGCAACCTAGCCGATACACGTAGAACGTCGAGCCTGAGTCTAAGGCGAGTAAGAGTCGACCAAGGTGCGTTTGCGAGCACACATGCTGCCATCCACTTTGTTATCCGCCAGAGTGAATTTTCTTGAGTGTGCCTTGTGACACGTACCCCAAATGTGGGCCTTTGAACGAGCTTTCAGCGTTTGAATTGTAAGATGTCCACGATGCAGAATCAAACGAATGTCTATAAACTTACAGTGCTTGAACGGAGAGTAGGGAGTCGAAGGCGTTAAGCAGTAGATAATATCAAGATGATACGGGAGGGATGATACCGGCCGTCTCGGGGTCCGCCGAGAGATTAGATTAGATCGGTGTAAGCGAGACTTGCTCTTCACCTCTTCCCTCTTCGGAGGGCTAACCACTATTCTCATTTCATCGATAATTGTATCAAGCTTCCGCATAAACACGCTTCTAGGTAGTCCTGGACTGCGTGAATATAAGACGTTACCCTCCGGACCTCCCATTTCATCGGTAAAATGAGTGGACGTAAACTCAATGCGCTGGAGCAAAAGCTGCACCAAGGTGCACTTGCTGCTGAGGATAAGGTAGGCTACATGCTACCTAGCATCGCACATTTCGTTTAACATATCTCAATTATCCAGACACTCACGCCAAAGGAACTGGAATCGATGTCACCAGATGCTGCAGCACGAACCGCCGCGCTGAATTTCCTACTTTCCGCAGGTCTGCTCAAAATGCTGAAGGACGCAAAGGGGAAGATACTGTTTCGCGCCGTCGGAAAGAGAGAAGTCGAAGTGTGAGTATTTATGACCGTGTTTCGGTTCACCGCGCATGTCCTTACGCGCTGATCTTCAGGAAGAAAGACCTGACGGGTGAAGAGGCTATTGTTCTGGGTCATATTCAAGCGGCTGGCAACGAAGGTACGTTGCATGCAGCTGTGCCATTCATCGAGATGCTGATTGTTCTTGTATAGGCATTTGGACGAAGCATATTAAAGTTAAGACGGAGCTGCATCAAACAGTGTTGGACAGATGCTTGAAGTCTTTAACACAAAAGCAACTGGTCAAGGCCGTTAAAGGCAGCGTACAGGTAAGTACAACCTTACACCATATCTATGTTTCAATGTTGTAAAGTTAATCAAGCGATTATTTGCCATGTGTCATTGTAGCATCCAACGCGTAAGATGTACATGCTTTTCCACCTGGAGCCCAGTGTCGAAGTGACCGGTGGTCCATGGTATACCGATAAGGAACTCGATACGGAGTTCATCAAAATGCTTCTCAAAGCTTGCTTGAAGTTCATTCGTGATCGAGTGAGTTCATGCTCTCGCGTTACGGTCATCGTGTAGCGCGTTCTCAACCTGTTTCTTATGCAGAGTCAACCTCGAGCGAAGTCGAGTAGCGATTCAAGCTCCCAGCGGCAACTGTTTCCTATATCCGCCTCCCCTCCGTACCCTTCCCCTGCTCAGATACAAGCTTTCTTGAACAAGAGCCGGATCACAGAGACACAGCTCAGCGTTGAACATGTGGAGATGTTATTGGAGGTTCTAGTCTTGGATGGGGAGATCGAGAAGGTATTTTGTCGATCATCGCGCGTTCTCTTATACCTGACTTTGCATCTGATTCAGGTTCCAGCAATGGGTGCAGCACTGTGGGAGTCGAGTGCAGACACCGGCGACCGCAACGCTAGCGAAAGCGAGGAAGAGTATCGAAAGAACAAGAAACGCAAACGGAGTGAGGATAGCGAGCGCAGGCGGAAGAGGAAACGACGCATGGAATCAGGCTCAGGATCAGACTCTGAGTCGGATGTATCGAGCAAAAGGAAACAGAAGAAGCGCAAAAGCAGAGACGACAGCGACGAGGAGAGCGATAGTGAGGAAGTGACTAAAAGAAGGAAGAAGAAAGGCAAGAAGAGGAGGGCTGAGAGGAGCGATGAGGGCGACAGTGACACCGAGAGCGAGAATGATCGGAAGAAGAAACGGAGCAAGTCTTCCTCATCTTCCTCCTCAAAGAGCAAAAGCAAGCGTCGCAAGTACGAATCGTCTCCGCCCAGCTCTTCTTCGGAATCAGAAAGCGATGCCCCATCCAGGAGGTCCAAATCCAAGTCCAAACGATCTTCTTCACCAGCGATGGCTTTGATGGACGAGTCTTTCACTGGAGGTGTATACGTCTACCGAGCGATTCAATCCGAGCGGCTGCTGAGTTTCGGATTCAGTCAAGCACCATGCGGAAGGTGTCCGCAGTTTGATTTCTGCAAGGGCGGTGGGCCTGTAAACCCTCAGGAATGTGTCTATTTCGAGGAGTGGTTAGGAAAGCAAGAAGTCAAAATCGAGTGATTGTATGTACTACAACCCTGTTCAATGAATATTGAGGCTAGGAATAGATAATATTTCGGAGGTCTTTTGTACTACAGAGCGCAGATCTTCCGACAAGTTAGATTCTAACTTGTCTATATACGGTCAGTCATTTTTGCTTACGTCAGCAGAACACACTTTCTTGGCGACACAATTCCAGTGAAATTCTTGCTTTAGAACTTGCATATAACGTCCGACTGGTTATTGTCTAGGCATCTTCGCAGCGAGTTTCTTTGCTGATAAACTGAGTTTGAAGGTAGGATGCCTTTCAAGCAGTGTGATTCGTTACAGTATGCTCATATCCCCTCTGCCTCTGTCAGGAGCTTGCCTTCGCTCGCTCGCTGTTCCACAATCAGTGCTGCAGGATTTTCCTCACTTTCCAAAACCATAACGAGGCTTAAAGCTTCGTAGAGCTCCTGTACATCCGTTCTCGATGGCCGATGTATCAATCCCATCTGGCACTACTTCCCTAATTCAGTCAGGCGCGGCTCATGTTGACCACAAACAGCACAAGAAAAAGACTAAGCTCAAGAAGTCATCAACACAAGAAGAAATAGCAGTATGCCACCTTGGTCGTATGCCGCTTGAGATCCTTGCGGAGATCCTCTCCTACACTTGCTCGCCCCGAGATGTTCTTGCTCTCGCGAGATGCAACAAGTTCTTCTGTCATACTCTCGTGCAACCCTCTTCTGCTTTCATCTGGAAGCATGCTCGGGCTCGTTGCAAACCTTCTCCGATTCCTGATCCTACACCTAACTACACAGAAGCTGCCTATGCATCCCTGATATTTGACGGCGGGGAGTGTGAGGTATATTTGTTACTTCATTCTCTCTGAAGCGAGGTGGATATTGAAGAGCTGCTGTGTAGGTCTGTGGGAACAAAACTTCGGATATGTTAATCTCCTTCAACATTCGTCTTCGCCTGTGTTCAAAGGTAATGAGCGTTCGTTCTCGCTGGGTGTGATGGTTTACTGACGCGGTGTATCAGGGCAGCTGCAAGGAAAAATGGAGGTATGCTTTTGTACTCGCCTGCGGCTTGTGCAATGACCCCTGACCATTTCACAGGTCCACATATTCACAAACGATCAAAACCACTACTGTGCATCATCGGTATCACCCGCTGGTACAGTGGATGCCTGCCATTGAGGACCGCGCCTTTACGCGTATGTCCGTTTGACCTGCGACTACTTACTCTGTCACTAATTACTTATGTTCAGATCAAGCACTTGTTTCGTCAAGGTAAAGAGACATATTGCACTAGATCAATACGGATTCTCATTACTCGGACAGTATGTTTCGTTTGAAGGACTGGCAAAATGCTGTGGACGAGTATAACAAGGCTCTGCTCTCCCCCGATACGACCGCAATATACATCCATGAGAAGGAAGTGCTTGCTCGAAGATTGCCTGATATTATTGCTGTATGCTCTGTGAACGCTCTCTTTTATTCACGCCGATGGTCACGTCATTTACAGCACGGACTCAATCTAGTTGCATGGCGACGCCAGCGTGAATCTCGATTAGTTGAGATTGAAGGAACAAATATGCAGCGGTATGAGATGATGGTCTCCTCGTCTAGTTGTTGATATCTAACTCGGTTCTTCAGCTCTAAGGAAATCGCAGCACGTAATGGCTGGAATCTTTGGAATATGAGACAAAGTCCGATCTTCGACTCTCTGTTTCGCGCTCGATCTCGATCCTTGGAAACAATTACGAACCAAGGTATCTACATTCGTGTAATCACTTGCACCCTTCGTTCTTTACTGACTCTTCATAGATATCGAGTTCATCCGACCAACTCTGGAATCCCAAATTATTGAAATGGCAGATAGAGCTCAACGCCGCCAGGCTGAAGACAATACTCGTAAACGCCGTGAAGCTGTCGAACACGCTTACGCTCGGCTGAAGTCGATGCATCCTCAACAAGCCTTCCCTGCACTTGCGGAGTTCCGCAAACTTCCAACTGCGCAACTCGTGCAAAAGGGAACTGGTCCAATGAGTGCAGAAGATCTCAAGGAGAGCCCGCTCATCTATATGCTCTCACAGGATCTGGAACAATGGCGGTCAGCTGCGAAGGAAGGTCTTAGCAGTGTTCTAGGCTATCCAGGGTGGAGGCACGCAAGCAGCCTGAAGTTACATCCTGTCGAACGAATGACCGCTCGGTTCAAATGCAAGTTATGTGAGGGCAAGAAAGCCGACGAAGCTCACTGGAAAAGCTACGGTCTGGACTTCAAGGCGGCCTGTGAGCATCGTTGTGAGCATTTATCTGCCAAGCAGAAGGACAAAGCTGTGTTCAAAGCCGATGACTTCTTACCGGATCATAAGGTATGTGGAGTAGTAGATCTGGGTGAATAGGGTCTAAACATTTTGACCCCTTCCGAAGGCAACTCGTACTGTGGAACAAGTCTTAACTCAGTTGGGGAGGAACGCCGAGGATGCAGGATCCCGACCCCAGTTGCTCAATCTTAATATCGCACGCATTAAATGTTTATCGTGCGAAGCCAACGTCTTGATGAATTTCGACGACATGTTACGACATTGCAAACGCCACGAAACTGTCGCATTCGAGTTGATCACCCCTGAACAAGCTTTGTTACTGGAACATCCATACGTTAAAGGCCTCCGCGCGAAGCTGATGGAGCATACGAAGTCGGCTCTAAACCTTCGCGGGCGCAAAGTATATGCCTGTCGACATTGTCCACCGAAGACGCCGGCCACACAAGCTCAGGCCTCTATGGCTCCGAACATTCAGGATGCCCAGTCGTCGGATGGTGCTCCAAAGCCCGACCGAATTTCAACCGATACTATCAAAAAAGACGAGACAAGTAGTCGAGTCGAGAACACCGACAAGAGCCGCAGGCAGAAGCCCAACGCGCATGATGCTTCACTGTTCAATTTCGACGGCTTGCGGTCACATGTCAAGTGCAAGTAAGTGTCCCATGCGTTGTATGTTCTTTGACCTGGCAGACTGACTGACACCTTTGCGGCGCATCACCATTTTTAGACACGGTATCGCATGGATTGGGGACGAGGATTTTTATCAAGTGGAGCCTACAGTTGGAAGGCCCATAGTCATTTCTTGATTCCCACTTTATCGTTTATCTTACTCGACTATCTTTGACATTACTCCCCGAAGCGTTCTAATCTACTTATTTTGCTCTGCTGCCGCGCCATTGGTGAGTGTAGCATCGCTGTGCGCCGTCAGATGATCATAGCAGCGCGTGTATCTCAAAGCAGCCTACTTTCGGTCACATTTGTACTTTGAGCTTCTTGATGGCTTCTTGAATTCGATCATTCCTTCGACGAATTACGAGCACATGGAAGAGGTATTTATTGGTGGTAATGGGAATATTAGCGTGGTGAATTTTCTTCTGTTATGTACGCCGAAGGATGCAGCGGATCCAGACTATTCCGGTTCTCTTTCCTCTAGTTCGGAAGCCACTAAAAGTGAGTTCAGTTACCGGGGTTGGCCCGAATACAAAAGTCCCCGACTGACGTCCGTATCTGTAACAGTTTCACGTCAACAGAGTCGTTCATGCTACCGATTGTAGGCTACAGTACGGTATTAGCCAAGATGGGACAAAGTCGGCATCCATGCGTCGCTTGCTTCAATATAGTCTCACCGTTTATCATGTGAGTGGCAGTGTAACGTATCGGAACGTCGGTGGTGTTCTGTTCTGACGCAGTGTTGTTCATAGAATGACCCAAAATATAACTTTCCTCTCTTGCCCCTGGCTGAATCATGCAAGTGTCGCCGCCAGCTGACAGGCACCCGCCAGCGAAGCAAGTCCGAGCACTCGCCTCGTATTTCCTTTCTCTCCCCGAGAAGGGTCTAACAGAATACATTTATAGCCTTCATCTTCGCTATTTGAAGATATGCCTCTCGCCAGGATAGTCCTTGCTTTCCTCCCTAGATTCACTTCAGCAATGTCCTTTCACCGATTGGCCGTGGCCGCTCTCCTAACATGTTCCCTAGACGTGTCCAGTGTCCTTGGTGCTCGTGTGCAGTCTCCTTTCTTGATCCTTCCTCCGGATGCACGTACCCACCAACAGGCGGTTCAGGATATATTTCTGACGAGTTATAATGCTTACTTGTAGGTCCTCGTATTAACAAGAATCCGAGGTCCTAAGCGCATGCATCAACAGAAAATTTGCATTTCCTCATGATGATTTGACACCCGTGAGCGCATCGTTCACCGACGGTCGTAATGGCTGGGGAGCTACAGTCGTTGATTCCCTGACAACGTTGGTATGAAACTTTGGGACTCTTTCATTGACAAACGCTCTAAATCCAAGTATTGCTGCAGAAAATCATGGGTTTAGAAGTAAATTGAATCTTTCAAGTTAACTAGGTATACTCACAACCCGTGGCAGAATCTCTTCAACGATGCTGTGGTTTTTGCCTCCAAGATTGACTTCAGCATTTCACACACTACGGACACAGTCAGGTGCGTTTCATGAGCCCGTCTTGCCTGCGCATACACTTAACCCATTCTGTACATAAGTGTTTTTGAAACCTCGATTAGGTATCTAGGAGGCCTCTTGAGCGCATACGAGCTCAGCGGCGGGCAATTTCCTCAACTCATCACTAAGGCAAAGCAAGTTGCGGACAAAATGGCATTCGCGTTTGTTCCTGTAAGTATTGATGATCCCCAATTGAGATGTCCACGAGACGCACATATGAATGTAATAGAACACGAGCCCAATACCATTTGGTCATATCGACTTCAATACGAGCAGGGTTCAGTTGGCTACTGTCAGTAGCACTCCATTTCTGTTTCCCGCGCTTACTGATCATTTCTGAATAGTCTAATATCGCTGAGGCTGGAACTGTAAGTATGCACGCACTCAAGTCTGTCATCCATGGGACCTCATCCTACATACTTATCCTTCAGCTCACTCTTGAATGGTCAAGGCTCGCGTACGCATTCCAAAGTATTCAACATTCGTTTCCTGAACCTGATGCAATGCAATCTGACAGAAAACATACTGGAAACGATACTTATCGACAATTGGCAGAGAACTCAGTTAGGCACATCGCCCAGTTACCCGCGCCTCTTCCAGCTCTCGCTGCTCAGGGAATCGATCCCTCTTCAGGCAACTTTGTTGGTGCATATGTTGTGAGTGCGACTCACAACTGTGCTTTATGTTTGTAAAGTTTATAACGTACTTCATATAGTCTTGGGGAGGAGGCTCCGACAGTTACTTCGAATACCTGATCAAGTACGCTCGTATCACCAACACGAAGGACACCTTGTTCGCGGACACATGGGCAACTGCTGTTGACAGTTCTCTTAAGCACTTGGCTAAGGTATGGGTTTTTTTTGTCCCTATATATACACATCTCCATCGTCTTAACAATATTGATTGCAGACTTCGACTGTTGGAAACCACTTGTACTTGGCTGACCAGCAAGATGATGGGACTATACGTCACATCGGATCACATCTGGCCTGTTTCCACGCTGGTAACTGGCTTTTTGGTCAGTTTCCACTCGCTCACATGCATGTTGAGCGATAACTGACGATCTCCCTTCGTCCAGGCGGTCGTCTCTTAAATAACCAGACTATCGTGAACACCGGCCTGAAGCTCAATGATGCATGCTGGAATACTTACGCCAGTACACTGTACGGATCCTACCCTAATCTTTCCTCTATATATTCTCTAAGAACAGCTCTACCTTTGCAGTACCGGTATTGGCCCCGAGGCATTCGGGTTCTTCTCCTCCGACGGTAATTTTACTGGAGCCTCACCATCGTCGAGCGATATTGCCTTCTACGACCAACACGGATTCTTCATCTTCCCGGGGTCTGAAGACTACTTCCTGCGTCCTGAAGTTCTGGAATCCAACTTTTATGCTTGGCGTGTTACTGGCGATACCAAGTATCTCGACCGAGCGGCTTCTGCCATTGACAGCTTCAACAAGTTTTTGAAAGTGAACGTGGCGTTTGCGGGGATTGGGAATGTCAACCAAGCGAATTCGGGATTCATTGATGATACGGAGAGTTTCTGGTTCGCTGAGGTGTTGAAGTATCTGTGAGCCATTGATTCTTTTTGGATGCGAGAATCGTAGCTAAAGTTGCTTTTTGTCTAGATATCTCACATTCGACGACCCCAACCACATTAGCTTGGACGATTGTAAGTTTCATTCCCAACCTCGCTGGGCATGGACTACTCTAAATTGCTCCATTTTTACATAAAAGGGGTCTTCAACACCGAAGCTCATCCGTTCAGAGCACCATCGGCTCTCCCTGTTTACGGAAGCGGGAAACTCATCGACCAGTCTTCTGCGCCGTTCAAGTCAAAGAGTGGTCCACTGCCTGCTGTCAGCCCTATAGCTGCGTTGCGTAATACTACACTCTAGAAGTAACTTATTTCCTGGTGTTTGAGTTTTTATTGTTCTTGATACGGGTACTGTGCTACGTTCCTCCTTTTACCTTCCGAGACGGGTATACCACGGGCTGCAACTGTAACAGTAGATTGACAATAGACGTATATCCTGCAGGTCTTGACACTTGTGTGTGCGTCAGAGGAAGCAATCATTCTGTCTATAAGGTCTAAGGTACAGCGAATGCTACTTTCTGCCAACTCGTAGATCGCCTTTGGTAGCAAGTGCTTGCCTGCCGGCGAGAGCAGCGAAGACACTAAGGATACCACCGTATAGCAGAACCTGTCCAAGCTTCAAGTCGACCCAATACCAAACCAGGAGGGTCTCAAAGGCACCAAGAGTGACGATGAAGGGAAGGATGCTAGGTGAGAGCAAATACGGAACGCTTGGACGAATATGTCCCCACTGGACAAGCCGCCACATCAGCACTGGTTCATTCATAACATACTAATGAGACATACCAAGCCAACCAGTACCACCCATGGCGCAAGGACGAGAACAGCAGATACTGCGGAGATGATTCGTGGTGGAAGCTTCTGCTCCGGACGGAATGTGTGGTGAATGGGAGGGAGAGGGTGAAACGACGCTTCATCAGGGTGTTGCGGGGCAGGATGAGACTCGGGAAGAAAGAGTTCAAAGAGTTCAACTTTGAGTGGTGAATGGACAAAGGAGCCGATGATGAGTTCGACCTTGAGGGGGATGCCAGCGGACGTAGGTGGGATGGACGCTGGTGGACGCGCCATATTCTGAAGTATCATATTAATAGGTGAACAAATGCATATATGTGAACCGTGGTGCCGTGGAACATACCAGCTCGAACTTAGCCTTTCCACCGCTAGTCACCCGGACGGGTTGAATACCCTCTTCGCCAGATATCTCGTCATAGAATCGTAGGAACGTCTGGTGCGGTTGTACACCTTTGCCTTCATCCTTATCAAGTACTTGGAACGTAAGCTTGAGTGCATCACTTGCACCGAGAGTCAAAGGTGCAGGCTTTTGGGTCACTGAAAGCCTACGTCAACAGCATACGTGTTAGCTCGATCGCGCCTAATGGTGATATTCACGTACGGCTCAGAACGCAACTGCTCTGCGCTAGATGATAAAATGGTGAAACGAGGGGACTGTAGAGAAAGTACAGAGGCTTGAACCGCTGCGACTGCTAGCAGCAACCAGAATAATGGTCTTAATGAGTACATGGATTCTGGTCAAGTTACTGCCTGTAACCGTGTTGCATGTATAGTGATCGAAGCCACGACATGGGAGCTAAAAATATCCGAACGCCAAAAGGCAGTCCTTGCCGTGGTTCGAACACGGGACCCCACGATAGGATGCAAGTCATTGCAATCGTGTGCTCTAAACCACTGAGCTACAAAGACTTACATAAGATCTGACATGTGTAAAAAACACATCATGTAACAATCACGACACCATCACACTACATATTACGGACTATTAAACCTCTGTTAAAAAGGTACGTGCAATATAAGTCCTATTGATACAACAAAACAGCGTCCAATCATGATACTCTGCGAACGATGCATCTCCTCAGTCTGTCTTCAGTTTCTCTGGCTAGAGACTACGGCTTCAGTCTGACTATAGAAGTGGCGACTTGGACTATTGCGACTCACATGAGCTGTAGACTTCTCGGACACATCTTCCTCAGGCTGTCTGTCGTTCACCTGATCGTCCTTGAAGTATTCTGTCAAGCCAGACATGACATCGGCATGTCGCTAGTCGATTCATGATGTGTTACAGCATACCTTGTCTCTGTTCCTTGTCCGATACCGCGGCTGGTTTATCACCTCTAATGTTTGACACGCCCATTGGTTCCTCCTGACCGGGTGTGGCTTCAAGTGGTGGTGACTGGGTTCCGAAGGACTTTCCGGCTGAAGACATGGTGATATGGGGATGAATAAAGTTCAAGTGAGTAAATGCTGAAATATAGTGTGTAGGTTTAATCAAACTGATAATGGGGAAACGTATGAAGGTGACGAATTTAAATTCTGTTCTTTATACCAATCGAGCCTACGTATCCACGAAGGGTCCACTCTTCGTGGATGCAAACCGAGTCCGACGTCATACTGTCACTGTCACCATCCGAGCCGCGTCACGAATCAACCGCAAATAGTGTGCAGAAATTACTGGTGGACTCACGTCCTAAAGCATGGTACATAGGTTGGTGCGAATTTCACACAAAGGCTGCAGGTCACGTAACTAGTACGAGAGTTCGTTATGTCGGCTGTGTTACAACAGAGTTGTATTCCAGTTTGGGCTGCACTACAAAGTCATTATAAAATGAATATAGATCCTTAGAAAAAAGCCATAGCCACACTACAACCCCCCTGCGAGGTAGCTTAACACACATTGAGCGCCGGTGACCATGGTTATAGTGGTTTCAACTTTACTTACGCCGTAGAACTTATAAGTGTGTGTATTGCACAGTAAAACTACTTGGCATATGATCGTAGTCCAGCTTGACTTCGACTTTCATCCATTCTAGTCTCTTGATAATCGTTATGCGTGTCATCGTTACAGGCAAGCAAGTTGAACCCCAAGATCGCAACATTGCGCATTTACATGATTGTTATTATTCGACTTCGGATTTGTAGGAGCATCGGGTGTACTTGGATCAGCAGTCTACTCTGCGTTCAAGAATGCCGGACATACAACACTTGGCCTTGCGCACTCCAGAACTACAGGTGACCTGCAAAAGTTAGACCTCCTTGATCAGGATGCTGTGGCGAAAGTGTTTGGAGAGTTCAAACCAGATTGTACGTAGCATATATCGTGGCGGAACAAGTGCCACAGTGCATTCAGTGTATTAAAAGTATGAATGCAGGGGTCATACACTGTGCTGCTGAACGTCGGCCTGATGTTGCGGAGAAGGTGAGTACTGGTAGTATGGACATCGTTCCTCGATGGCACACTAACAGTAAACATGATACTCGAACAAGTAGGACCCGGAGGGTGCTCGCAAAGTGGGCTCGTTTCTTTGAGCTCGGCCATTCGATACCGACATCTTATCCAGCTGAATGCTTCCGTACCCGCGTTCCTCGCTCGGCTATCTGAGACCCTTAGATTCACTCTCATGTACATCTCAACTGGTATATTCTCTCCATGTCGCTTTGACCCTCACACCCTCTGACGTGCATGATAGATTACGTCTTCGACGGCACATCGCCACCTTATACACCTGCTTCCGCACCAAACCCTGTCAATTTGTATGGCCAAACAAAGCGCGATGGAGAAATAGCCGTGTTGGAAGTAACAGGAAGTAATAGTATAGTCCTTCGGTTACCAGTGTTGTACGCCAATCCTGACTCTAGACGTGACCTATTGACTTACAGTTATCTCTCCACATACAGGTACGGACCAGCGCCGAAGAATTCAGATACAGCCGTCAATATCCTCATTGATGTTGTCTCCGATCAATCAGGCAAACAATACAAGATGGATCACTATGCTACCAGATACCCAACGAATGTTGTAGATATCGCGGACTTCCTCGTTAGGTTGACAAGTACGGAACATCCCCGCGGTCCTTTCGCGATTCTATACTAATCAGCGTGCACCTTCAGCGTTGCCTCCAACAGTATCCATTCCTCCTATCCTCCACTACTCGGCCGAAGAGCCATTCACGAAATATGAGATGTGTCTGATATTTGCGAGAGTACTTGGATTGCCGCATGGGCATATTATTCCTGACGCAGAGCCTCCGAAAGTGGGTCCTTTATTTCCTCAATACCTGTGATCCTCAATGAATGTGCTGGTGATGTATTCAGGGAGACGCTGCTACGACCCGCCCACGAGACTGCCACTTGTACACTCGAGAAACGGAAGATCTTATGGAAGGGTATGGGGGATTGGGTTGGACGCCTTTCGAAGAGTGGTGGGTTGATTATTTGAACAAGGAGCAGTAAAATGATACTGTACAATATACCGAATACAAATTCGAACTTATGTCGAGATTTATGCATTTGAAGCCGTAAACGTTGAAGTGAACTTCCCGAGAAACCGTTGTGCTTGACTAGCGCCCACAAACATGAATCCACTGCAAAACAAGTCCTAATTCGAAATAATTTGACTTTTCATATCCACCACCATGATGAAGCGAAGCTAGAGCCACAGTAGGCTTTCTACAACACAGGGCGTGCCTATTCGTGGAGCTGCGCTACCTGCATCTATGTACTATTGAGTCCGAAGTCACAAGGAGAAACTTCACGCTGAATCGATTGACACCCATGCAAAATCGGGCGCACGCCCTACCGCGTTTACTTACCTTGTCCAGCAATCTCTCTGCAGGCAAGCCTTTCTCCAAAATCTGCTGGCGGCAGAGTCGCGCCCTCAGTGTAACTAAGATCCGACGGTGGGCAGCTTTCAGCCGAGTCACACCTGACCACCTGCTGATGCGGGTCGTTAAAACCTCAGACCCTTCTCCTCGTGGCAAGGTCGTCCACGACGATACTCATACTCTCACTCTCTAGGTTACGCACACAGCCTGCACGGTTTCCGTACCATGTCCATTGATTCTAAGCCTGTCAGTGAAGACGGCTGGCAGGAAGTGCCTGCTAATGGAGACGTTCCGGCATATTGGTTCTTCACTCGACCGTTGGAGAAACCTGAACCGGATGACCGAGAATATAGGTTGATTCGACTTCAGAATGGTCTTGTCGCGATGGTGGTACATGATGCTGTGGCTGATAAAGCTGCTGCTTGCGTTGATATTGCTGTTGGTTCCTTGCACGATCCTGTAAGTGTTGGTCTGTTGATAAGGCGATATGATCGGGAGATACTGATCGATACATGTTTTTGTTTGCTGTACTAGGATGATGTGCCGGGATTGGCACATTTCTGTGAGCACATGTTGTCAAAGGTTAACTTTCCTGTGTTGATGCAGTTTCTGTCGTGTGAAGCTTACTGGCCATGTTTTCCGATATAGGGTTCCGAACCTTTCCCAGCTGAAAACGACTTTCTATCTGTGAGTATCCTTCAAACCACATGCTCTTATGTTTTCAGACGGATTGCTGCAGTTCATCACATCCAACGGGGGAATTCGTAACGCCGGTACCGGAGGGTCATACCAAGACTACTGGTTCTCTATTCACCCTTCACTCCTCTCTGAGGCCCTGCCACGTCTAGCTGCATTCTTCCATTCTCCGCTCTTCACACCCACTCTCACATCCCGCGAAATACATGCCGTCGACTCTGAGAATAAACGAAACCTCCAGAACGACGGTCGGCGGATTTTTCAGTTAGGCAGGAGTCTGAGTAAAGATGGTCATCCCTGGAAAAAGTTCGGAACAGGAAACTTTAAGAGCTTGACTGAAGCCGCGAGGAGAAAGTTTGAACAGGAAGGTGTGGATTGGAAAGGAGAGGAAGATAGCGGAGATGGGGGACCGGTTGGGAGGGAGACCAGAAGACGGCTTGTCGAGTGGTGGAAGCAACAATATTGCGCCGGGAGGATGTCTCTGGCAGTCATTGGTAAAGGTAGGCCTTCGTTTCATAGGTCTGGATAGCGAGTCACTGTTAATGCCTTTATCTTTAGAATCGGTAGACGAGTTGACGGCCTTGGTCGTTCCTCTCTTCTCAAAGATCGAGAACCGCGGATTTGAACCGAGACCTTCTCTCAAGGAAGAACCATGGGGTGATTCGGAAAAGGGTGTACGTATGGCCCGCTCTCAAGCTTCGCATCATCAACTGACTGTTACTGTACTTTAGACTATAGTCTTTGTGCAAACCGTCAAAGACTATCATTCCTTCAACATCACATTCCTCTTACCTGACCAATCTCGTAACTTTGCAACTCAGCCGGCGCAAATAGTTGCGCATTTCGTAGGTCATGAAGGTCCCGGAAGTGTTTGTTCCTACCTAAAGAAGAAGGGCTGGTTAGTTGATATCAGCGCTTTCCCTAGTAGGCGAAACCGGGAAGTGCCAGCATTTACCGTTGAAGGAAGATTGACGAAGGAAGGATATCGTGAGTGCCCTCATTTGTTTCCAAGAGCGATCACTGAAATCAACTGGAGTGCATTACCAGGAAGTCGTCTTGACCATCTTCAATTACCTTTCACTGCTTCGTGATACACCGTCACCTCTCCCCGCTTACCACTTCGACGAGATCAAAAAGATGTCTTCCGTCTCTTATCAATTCCGCGAGAAGTCTCAGCCACATACATACGCTTCCACTCTTGGTTACGAACTTCTCGAGCCTTACCCTCCTGAATGGGTCCTCAGTGGGTCAACTCTTATTAGGGAATGGGATGAGAACCTCTTCCGAAGCGTATTGGCCTCGCTTTTGCCGGAGAAATGTAGGATCATGATCATGGCTAAACACCATCAACCTGCAGTCATTGGTGAGAACCCCGATTGGCAGGCGGAGAAATGGTACGGAACGGGGTATGTTGTGAGGAAGCTGGATCAAGACTTCATCGGTAATGCAAACCAGCCTAACGCAAATGGAGAGCTGCATCTCCCCGCTCCTAATCCGTACATACCAGAGGACCTTTCCGTGGAGAAGAAGGACATCTCAGAGGTATGCTTCACACTTATGGTTTATAGATCGCAAGGTTTTGATCTCTCGATAGCCTGCCAAGATTCCGACTTGCGTCCGTCAGACAGACTATTCATCTCTTTGGTACAAGAAGGACGACCAGTTCTGGGTACCAAAGGCGCATGTCAAGGTGGATATCAAAAGGTAGGTCGAACGATTACTTTCATTGAACATATCACTAACCCTATCTGTTCATTAGTCCAATGGCATATTGTACTGCTAGACAAGCCGTTCTAACCAGGCAAGCTCCCTGCATATCTCACGGTGGTTCTTGCTCACGAAACCCAGATTGTTGACGGACCTACTTGAGGACGATCTTTCCGAAGTCACATATGATGCAGAATTGGCCGGGCTTGATTACGCTGTAAATAACTATCGCGGAGGTCTCCTAGTTTCCGTCAATGGTTACAACGACAAGCTCGGCGCTCTGCTCGATACTATTCTTGAGCGACTGAAAAGTCTTATCATAAAACCCGATCGGTTGCAAGTCATGGCGGAACAGGTGATTATCCCCTGCAATCTCCTCAGTCAACGACTGCACATTGACTTTTGCATAGCTTGACAGAGAGTATAGGAACTTTTACATTCGACAGCCTTCTTTGCTCTGCGATCATTACACTGCTTGTTTATTGATGCCAATCGTGTGGATGCCTGAAGATAAACTGATTGAGACACCCTGTAAGTATCGTGACCTCTCACCGAATACTCCCTAACCCAATTTCATAGTTATCACACCTGAGGACATCGAAAGGCACAAGACTGACTTATTATCTAAAGTCTATCTAGAAGTTCTGGTAACTGGGAATATAAACCGGGAGGTGAGTAAAATAATTGGCACATGTTTGGCATCGAACTGACCTCCCGCGAAGCATGCTCAAAGAATCGTGGAGAGTGTAGAACATCGACTAGATGCTCGAGCACTAACTCCACTAGAACGGCCTCAAGTTCGTTCGTTGCTGCTACCACCTGGTGAGTCGCTCGTGCCTACCCGGCGAGCGTACCTATTGATTGTGATTCAGGCTCCAATCTTGTGCTTAAGAGGGAGGTCACCGATCCGAAAGAGCTGAACTCAAGCATCACTTTCTATTGCCAGTTTGGCGACATCGCAGATGCGCGACTTCGACCTGTCCTTGAACTCATTGTGCATACGATCCGCGAGCCTGCGTTCAGTCAGCTTCGCACCGTCGAACAACTTGGGTACGTACACAGCATCCAACTAAACTTGCATTGACACTCACGATCTACGATGTGCTCGCGCTTCAAGATACATTGTTGCGAGCGCGTTCTGGTCTTCGACTGGTTCAATGGGACTAGGAATCAAGATTCAGAGCTTACGCTCACCATCTTACTTAGAACACCGAGTAGAAGACTTCTTGACACACTTCCGGGAGCAGTTGGCCGGATTCACACCAGAAGAGTTCGAGAGCAAGAAGGCTGGTCTGGTGATCAAACTTCTCGAGCGTACCAAGAATCTACGCGACGAGACCTCACGCTTCTGGGGACACATCAGATCGGGGTACTACGACTACCTGCAAAGTGTGTCCTTGTTCCGTCCCTTTTCAAATGTTTGACTTACGGAAGACGTATAGACGAAAAAGATGCTGCGGCTGTCCAAGCGTTGACGCTGCAGATCATCCTCGACGCTTTCGACCGATACGTGCACCCATCGTCCCGGTCTCGGAAGAAGCTTTGCACTCACGTTGTATCCCGCCAACTTAAGGCTGACACGGAATTGTATGAACCGGAGGCTGTTACCTTCATCAAAGACGAAAGTCTTTTCAAGGCCGCCTTGGCTTGTTCTCCAGCTGCCGTACCTGTACACTCCGGTTTTGCGTGACACAAAATAAAGAAAGCATATTCTATCAGTAGCGCGTTCTTCCGGCACTCTCTCAGCCGGAATCGATCGTTGTTTGATCGTGGAAGCCAATTCACGGGGAATGCAACTTCAGCCAGGAAGGCTTTCTCACATACAGCTGCTCAGATACATCTTTCACAAAGTGAACTCTGCTGAGGCAACATAACGTGGCTTATCTTGGACTTTGAGCGAAGTTTTCTATTAACCTATTGCACCCGCTCGATAGGAATGGGCTCGAATGGAACCATGTATGTACAATACATTACAGTTGAAACATTGTCCTGAACGTAGAGTCGATCGGACCAACAAGTGGAGTTGTAACCACGCTCCAATGTGTGTAGACTCCAAGACACACGTTACAGCTATTTGCGGAACGATAGGCCACCTTGGAAAAAAATCCAGGACAGAGACTTTCAAGACCCGCTCTCGGCTGGAGGTGGCACTCGCTCAGGCTGAGATCTGTTGCTCCACGAACTTTCAAAATTCTGTTCGTAATTGGCTCGGAAAAGTGCAATTAGCCTTCGGAGATTGAACCTCGTGTGCGTTTTCAAAAGGTGGCCTATAGTTCCACAAATAGCTGTAACAGTACGTAGATCGATGCATATATCCATGGGTGTCAGAGTGTAATGCCAGTTTACCTAGCTTCTGTTAACATCGTGTGCATAAATACAATAGCGAGAAACGACCGAGGTGATAAACACAACTATAGCATGTCCATCACAAATGAAGCCCTTCAGAGCGGTCAGGACGATTGTCAGCTAGGAATTGCAAAGGGACTTACCAATATAATGAGCGCCTCACAATAAACTGCCGCGACAACACTTTTGCCTTCTTACCATGAAGTTCGTGCAATTTCTTTGCCTATTCCCCAAGCATCTAAAACGCTCTAGGTCGTATCCATGACGTTACTTGTTTCGCCTTTGGAAAGTGACAGAATCTTTGACCATGGAAGGTCGCCGTCGGCATCTGATGTAACGCAATTCGTCGTTTGCATCGGTTCTATCAGGGACTTATTGTGTTTTTCCCTCGAAAGGCCTTGGTAAGCCAGGTATTCCTGGGTTTGTAAGCCATTTGTGAGAATATAAAAACCCTTGTCACTTGCGACCTATCCGACCTATCGTACGTCCTGTTATTCCTGAGATTCCGTAGAGTTGCAGATTTCACAGCACCAAGGCTCCTCATGGCTCCTATCTTCAACGCGCCCGCGCCGAACGTCCCGTTCTTCACTCCTGCTCAGTATCCTGCTGCTGGAACTGCTCTTGATCCCCAGCCCAACAGCAAGCCCATTCCGAAACTCTTCCAGCCTCTGAGGATTCGTGGAGTTGAGTTCCAGAATCGAATTTGGGTTAGTCAATTTCTGTCCCGATTTTTAAAGATTGGCAATGGCCTTGGAACCGCTGTTCCTAGTAGTAGGTGAACGCATTGGTTTGCTTGATCGTGCCAAGAAGCGCGTTAACGATGGCCAATCAAAGCTTCTGTTGCTTCTTGATCTGTACTGTTCTATTTGTGTATTGACATTATTTCTGAATTTAGCTTTCTCCTCTTTGCCAATATTCAGCAGTGGATGGCTTCGTCCAGCCATGGCATACAGCACACCGTGAGTGACGTTATTCGTATGATCAATACATTTCATTCTCATTTCATATCATAGTTGGCGGCATCATCAGCCGAGGACCTGGTTTGTCCATTGTAGAAGCTAGCGCCGTTTCTCCAGAAGGTCGTATCACTCCTGAGGATGTCGGGATCTGGAAGGATGAGCACATCGAGGCTTGGAGACCCATTGTTGACTTCGCTCACTCTCAAAACCAGAAGATCGGTATCCAGATCGCTCACGCTGGACGCAAGGCTTCAACCTACGCTCCCTGGTTGCATCCTGGTGCTGCGGCACCAACTGCTGCTGATGGCTGGCCAGATGAAGTCGTTGGTCCCAGTGCTATTCCCTTCAACGACAAATTCCCTAAGCCCAAGGAGTTGACCAAGGAGGGTATTCAACGTATCATTGACGCATTCGCCAATGCTGCCAAGCGTTCTGTTCGGGCTGGTTTCGATGTTGTTGAGATCCACAACGCACATGGGTACCTTCTGAGCGAGTTCCTGTCACCTACTGCTAACAAGCGCACGGATGAGTACGGTGGAAGCTTCGAGAACCGTATCCGTCTTACACTTCAGATCGTCGACGCTGTCCGTGCTATTATTCCACCTACTATGCCTCTCTTCCTTCGGTAAGTCGTACCTTTCACGTGGGACTATCCACAATTGTGACGATGGTGTTTCTCTAGAGTGTCTGCTACTGAATGGCTCGAGGATGTCTTCCCCGATGAACCTTCATGGCGTGTGGAGGATACCGTTGCTCTCGCAGGCATTCTCGCCGAGCACGGTGTTGACGTGATTGACATTTCCAGCGGTGGAATGAACCACCACCAGAAGATCAAAGGCGGACCTGCATTCCAAGCTCCTTTCTCCGAGGCCGTCAAGAAGGCGCATGGTGACAACATTGTAGTCACTGCCGTCGGTTCTATCACCGATGGAAAGACTGCTCAAACTGTCCTCGACAAAGTTCGTAAATTGATTATCGTTTTTCTGATGAACAATGGTTGTTAACATCTTCCTTCTCTTCAGGGTCAAGCGGATGCAATCTTCATTGGCCGTCACTTCCAGAAGAATCCTGGCGCTGTCTGGCAATTCGCTGAAGACCTCGGCGTTGCGATCAACGTAGCTCACCAGATTGAGTGGGGCTTCGCTGGTCGTGGCGGTCTCGGACGTCAGGCGTCCCATGCAAAGTACCTAGCACCGAAGCAAATTGAAGCCAAGCCCCTGAACCACTATAGCTCAGGGGTTGCGATTGCTGAATGATCTAATATAGGACTGTATCTAATAGAAGTATGTATATGAATTACCATTGAGTTATTTCACTTGAAGCCGGTGGTTCGTCTTGGACTGTAAGTATGCGAGTATATTCCAGCATTCGCAAACGCATGGTCGAAACTAAATGTAAAGACGGGCACTACAGACTTATCTGCTCAACTACAGGGAAATAATGTTCACGATACTGTATAACGCCATTAACAGTACAGTACCAGGAGATGTTTAAGAATTCAATAGCTAGCATAGAGATAAAAGAGACAGGAAAGAGAATACAGAGGGTACTACCACTTCGTATAGTGGGGAAGAGGGAGTCAATCAAGAGGAAAGCAGAAAAGAAAACTGAAAACTGCGCAAGCCAGCTTCCAACTTCGACGAAGCTTACCCATCCAGCGAGCGAAACACCGTCATGGTGACGGGTCCACCATGCAACCATGTGAATGCACAAATGTGACAAATCAATGTTCCGTCGAAGGAGCGACAAAACCCAGATGAAGTTCCAAGAATCTTCCCGCCTAGGTCACAGTGCTAAAGCACCGTTACCGCAATGTCCATCGTCGCCTTCAAGGTAAATATGCCTGATACAACTGGGGGTATGGTGTCAGGGAGGGAATATCGCCTGACCACTGAGTAAGGGATGGGTGGCGCCGGTCCCCGATCACGGCCAAAGCTAAGTCGTGTTGACACTTTTTGTCATGTAAGGGTGGAAATGCTCGGCTATCCATACACTGTGGCTAGAAAAGGGGATCCCATTAACGTAGGCGAAACAATGTACATATTAAATTTACCTAGAGGCGTCTCTGGATGCGGGTCGCACATGAAGTATTCCGCGTTCCATGCATTTTGGTAACAGTGTGCCAAAGATGCTCCCCTTACCGCATACGACAACCACTCTTTCGAGTAGTGCAAACCGCGGTTCAGTAAGGGCTTCGTCGAGTGCGTGCAATGCATTGCGACTATCATTGTCGAGGTGCAAATGTAGCTCGCAATGGATATATACACTGCGTAGATTCGCTGAGTTGACAACGGAAAGCATCCTCCTCATTGTATCGAGAGATGTGCTGTCTGCATAACATGCAATGTATATTTCTAATTGGCGGAGTTGACGCAAATTAGCCAAGCACACTACAACAAAGTTTGTGGATATGTGATGTGAGTAATATCACCATTTTGACAGGTGCAAAGATATTTTCCTTACGCACTTTTCTCTGACATCAAGTGATCCGCTAAAGGATATTGCAAAAGTCCTGAGGGTAACAAATGAGGCAGCGATCAAGTTGTAAACATTGCCAGAGTTGGGCCATAAATCTGTCGTTCCTGGCTTAGGAAACCTGATGAGGAGGGATTCGAGGGCAGAAATACAACATGGGATGCTAGTCAGGAAACCACATAGCCGTTCAGGCTTTCCAGGCGAAATGTGGATAGCTAAACACTTCAGGCGGCATTTCGGCGCCTTCAAACCCTTGACCCCTGTCTGGTTGGGCGGTGATACATCAGGAATATCATATTTGGTTGTCAAACATGCGAGACTTGGCAATGCGCAAAGAATTCGATGGTAATCTCGGCCATTCAATGACATACCTAGCAATGTCAATACTGTGATCGTATGTGAGAACGGCATGAAAGCCATCGGGAAATATTTGTGTTGAACCATGTCCGTACACCCGACAAAGCTGAGGGCTCGGATGCTAGATAGTTTTCCTGGACCAGTGAGTGGTAACAGACCTCTCACTGGCGTCAAAGAGCCAAGGAAAATCAGTCTATGGACACTCTTGCAGAGTTCAACGTTCTTTCGAAGAACGTCGACAACGCGAGAATCTAACCATATTTGTCGATATAGGTAGTAATAGCTTCGGGGCCGCCAGGCCTTACACGTCAGGGCGCAGTTTCGCAAAGAAAGGCAGAGGCTCGCATGGTGATCGAATTCCCCAAATTCCCCTGATGTGAATATAAACAAGAGATCGATCCCGAGTTGGTCAATGATATATTCTGCAATCTCGATTGGAAAAATCGGTTGACCAACTGAATCGATGGCGTGGTCGAAGTTTTGTTGAGGCAGCGTATCGGGGAATACACGAAAAGCCGTTGGGATGTCGGTAGGTGGTGGTTGGGCCATGAGAAGAGAGTAGAAGAGAGAAGGGGAGCGTTTGGGTAGAAGGCAGTGCGACCTAGTGCGACCCGTCTATCCGGATCCATCTATCATAAAACGCCGGACTAAAATGGATCAATGGCTCTGGATGAGGCTTTGCGCAGCGTAGGAAAATGGCTGTCATGCATTGAGGCTTGAAGAGTCTATATCGCTTCTAAGGGATATGGGGGTGGAATGTATACAACAAATGTGCTAGGAATGCCTGAATTTGGTAGATCGATCACATTGATGGCGCTAGAGACGTGTGGAGCTCCTCACTGCGACGTTCACCTTTCAAAGCCAAACTATCAATTAAGATGTCTGACTTTACCCTCACCAAGTACAAAGCTCTCCTATTCGATGTGTATTGCACCCTAGTAGTAAGTAGAACACCGTAGACCCGGATATGTGCACGATTACTCACCGATCACTGGGCTCCAGGACTGGGAGACGGGCATCTATGAGAACCTGAAGCCCATGCTTGAACGTATCAATTCCCCCCTCAAGGATAACAAGAAGGAGGCGCTATCAGCCTACTTCAGCGTTGAGACAGATCTCCAAGCGAAATATCCTACCATGCTCTATGCCGAGCTCATCTCCCGAGCACACGCAGAGCTATCCGTGCGACTCAAGGGCGAGCCATCTCATGCAGAGACAGTCCCAAAAACAGCCATAGCGGCCTCATCGGCTCATAATGTAATTGGCTTGAACGACCTTACTATCACCGCAGTCGGCACGTCTACTTTCACAGAAACTGAGCTTGATCCACATGGGGCAGAGCACGTCGCCTTCGGGAAAAGCATAGCCTCTTGGCCTGTCTTTCCCGATACTATCGCCGCGCTCGCATACCTCTCCACAAAATTCAAGCTTGCCGTACTCTCCAACGTTGACAAGGAGTCATTTTCTGGGACACGCGCAGTTCTGGAGACCTCCGATCCACAACATCAGTTTAAGTTCGACGCGGTATACACAGCACAAGATATTGGATCATACAAACCGGACCTTGCGAACTTTAAATATGCGTTGGCGAAGCTGAAGGAAGAGTTTGGTATCGAGAAGGATGAGGTCATTATGGTGGCGGGAAGCTTGGGTCATGATCACCTCCCGGCGAATGCGTTGGGAATAGCGAGTGTCTTCATTGACAGACACGCGATCTCGCTGAACATTGGGGTGGACGCGAAGTATGACGCGAAATATGAGACTTTGGGCGCATTCGCGGAGGCGGTCAAAGCAGCAGCAGAAAACCAGTGAGGGATGAGGAATTTTGGGGGATATATATGTATTTCAGTGGACTTTAGTCATTTGCTTTTCGCGGATAGCATTTTGTTGTAAGAAATAAGAAGTACTTGCGGATTCCTCGACGAACAGAAATTAGCGGATTGAAAGTCCGGTGAGCGGCGACTAAAGACGCGTCGCGCGTTTCACGAAGATTTACGCGTTTTGCTTTGAAGTCATGCGCTTCCGTGCCAGCAACAGCTGATCGCGTTTGGAGACCTGAGCTTGGATCTCTGACCTCATATCTATGCGAGGCGGGGGAATACGAAAGTATTTGGAGACGTCTTGATATCTAGACATCTTTCTCTCCCGTGTCTAGACTGTAAGAAATGAAGTTTGCAAGGTGATCGTTCATTAATCTAGTTCTTGACTTTTTCGCATGCTTACATTGAAGCTATTCCTTGAAAGATACCTTGAAGAGACTCAGGTATGTCATTAGTCTATCACATCACCCTTCACGCCAGGCAGGACATCTCGTAATCTTTTCTTGTTCTAGGTTCCAGAATGGAAGAAAGCATACATGTATGCATTGCTTTCTCCGTACCCGTATAGCTGCGGACCGATTATGATGGTCTTGTAGAGATTATCGCGGACTCAAGAAACGCATTACAGCCATCCGAAAAGCCAAAGAAAACAGACCGGCATCACCCATCATAGACTCACAGATCGTGACGACGCATTCTGCGGCCGCTGGCGACTTGCAGCCTGCAGCTTCTCCGACATCTTTCGGCGATTTCAAAGATGAGGTCATGATACAGCACGAAGTCATGCCTGATGCTTTAGATAGTCCGATCGAAATTCCTTCCCCAGTTGCGATCTGTGGTCGAACACGGTTTGAAAACAGTCCCTGCGATTCAAGTTCTACTCATGGTGAAGTTGATCCTTCCACCACACAAGCTCGCTCATTCTCACATCCACCGATTCACGAAACGGAGATGACTCAACGTCCGGAACACCCTAGAGTGAATACTCTCAACATAGGGATTCTCCCGAGACTACGAAGGCGAAGTATAGCTCGGGCTCCTGGCTCGTTGCGACGAACAAACCGAGGTAGGTGGGAGCTCGCAAGGAGTACGAGCGTGAGTTGGGACATGGAGAAGAACATACCTATGATGGAGCTTCTGCCTGCGTTGAATACTGTTCAAAAAGCATTCTTTGAAAAGTTAGATGCGCAATTGGATAAGGTCGAGACCTTCTATGTGGGGCGAGAGAAGGAGATGAAGACGAGGTATACTCATGTAGTCTATAAAGCGAGGCCTGTTTCGTCGCTAATTTACCGCACAGGGTAAATACACTGAAGATACAGTTACAAGAACTCAAAGACCATAGACGTTTATACCATGTACGTCCTCTGCATATCCCCTTTCGGATCTCAACTCATGGTCAATACGTTTCGCAGGAAGCGCAACAGCACAGTTCATGGCTTCCAATCAAAATCCCTCTTATTCACAATACAGCCCCTCTATCAGCCAGTCGCACCCCATCGATCTCTAACCCTCGCAAACGCCGTCGTTACAAAGCAGATGACAGCACCTCACCTAAGGGAAAGGAGTCTTATAATGACTCCCGCGTCGACGTCAATAAGCAGCTTGAGGAAGACGTGGAACACTTGACTAACGGCGAGAGCAGTGGAGAGTCAGGTACGGCGAAGAGGGTGAAGGGCAGACAAAGAAATGGAAATATGAATACGAATGGGCAGTTGGACTTGCAGCTAAAGTATGACCCTGAGGATTACTATCAGGCAAAGAAGAAGCTCAAGAAGGCTGTTTTAGAATGCTATCGGTACGTTCCCTCATGTGGTTCTTGAAGCCTTTGAAGGGTGCTGACATGTTGTATAAGAGGCTTGGAGATCCTCAACAACTACCGGGTACGAACATCTTACACATGAATTGTAAAACCGAACTTGAAGTACAAACAGACTTTGAACTTGATCGGTTTCCGGAAAGCTCTCAAGAAGTTTGAGAAGGTCGCCAAGGTAAGTCCCACATGTAGTGCAACATACAAACCTGTTGTTGATTTTCGTTTCAGATTCCCGCGCAGCAAGCATACACGGTGGAAAAAATCGAACCGAATGCGTTCGCCTCCTCCGCAGTTGTGCAGGGAATGCTCAAGGAACTAGAAAACCTATATGCGGCTCGTTTCAGTACGTCTCTTTTTTCGATTCGCATGTAAGTATATATTTGATTGTTCGTCTTAGCACACGGCGACAAGAAACGTGCAGTACAACGACTACGTGGGGGCATCGATCATCGAAACCACCACTTCGGTACTTTCCGCTCGGGGTTGTTCCTCGGTCTCGCTATTCCAGCACTAGTGGATGGGTTATACCTCAGTATGTATGTTTTGACTTTCTCACAGAAATCCTGCTGAGTTTAAGTCATTCCCCACCAGGCTTCCAACCTGATACTCGCGAAGCCATCCCCGCATGGGACGGATTGCTCTTTGTGTATTCAATCTTCCTTGTACCAGTTGTGTTTGCACTTCTCGTCGGCCTTAACCTCCAGGTCTGGGCTGCGTCGCGTATCAACTACGTCTTCATCTTCGGTGAGGAACAACGCATGAATCCTTCATTTGCATGTACACCGATTAATGTTATGTGCAGAACTGGATCTCAGAACAAAACTTGACCATCGAGAATACTACGAAGTACGTTTCTCTCTTGTCGTCCAGCCGGTTCAGCCGGTTCTTATAACTCACGCTACAACGAATCAGATGCCTGCTTTTCTGTTCAGCACGCTTTGCTATGCCTTCTGGTTATCTTTCGCTCGTATTGGTTCCCATACAGTCTCACCCACGATATGGCCTCTCCTTTGGCTCTTATTAGCTGCCCTCTACGTGATAAATCCGCTCCCCTTGTCATTCAAGGCGTCAAGGTGGTGGCTTGTGAGGAACGTCGGTCGACTATTGACATCAGGAACGCATCGTGTTGAGGTACGTCATTCGGCCTTTGCTTATCACCACAAGTGTAACCCACTTCCTTAACTATAGTTCACGGACTTCTGGATGGGGTGAGTTCTGATTCGATATGACCGTGCGGTGCCTGATTCTTGCACCATAGAGATCAATTCTGCAGTCTGGTGTTCACATTATCCAACCTTTACTTTGTGGCATGCGCATATAGCGGTGGCCTGGATGTCGATTGGCAACGCTGCACATCGAAGAATCAGCACTGGGGTGTGCCCTTCGTCCTGGCTGCGTTACCTCTCCTTGTTCGTACGGTGCAAAGTATCAAACGTTGGTTTGACTCAAGGTTGATAACGCATCTGATCAACGTGAGCGTTCCATGTTGCGTCGGATTTGAATTAGCTGTCAACTTATCGGTAATAGGGCGGGAAGTATGCTACGGGTATTCTCTACTACCTATTCTACTTCAACTGGAGACATCAAGGTGGTGCTGATCGTGGTGGAAGCTTCGTTGTATGGTGTTTGTTCGGGACGCTTTATTCAGTTTATGCCGCTGCTTGGGTGTGTCTTTATCCTCCAACATTCTACATCTTCCCGTTTACGCTGATGCTGATGAATTTCTAAAGGATTTGCTGATGGATTGGTCCCTATTGCGTCCACATGTTAACCCGCTCCTTCTTCGTCCGGAATTACTGTACCGAAATGTCGTACCTGTGAGTGAAAGATCCATTTACGGTGCATCATGTGGTTCTCATTCAGTCCTCTGCCCTAGGTGTACTACTTCGCCATCGTATGTCGCTCTCAGGATGCTTTCTGAAGGCAAAAGCTCATCCTTTTTCTGCTGCAAGATTACGAACGTCTTGATTAGGTTTATTTGGATATTCTATATTCCTGAGAAGGGCCCGGACTTTCTCATCCGTACTTTCATTGCCGGTATGCTAGAAGCTCTCCGCCGATGGCAATGGAATTTCTGTGAGTTGTTGAAATTCGTTTCTAAATGAATGTCTTCTGACTGCGGCTGAACATGACTAGTCCGTCTTGAGAACGAGCATCTTGGTAACGTGGATCAGTACCGCGTTACACGAGAGGTTCCCCTCCCTTATTCGTTCGACGATGCTGTCCTGGACTCTGATGATGAGGATGAGCGGAAGAGCCAATCAAATAGGCCATGGCGAAAGGCACAGAAGGCGCGTGCGAATGGAGAAGATGAGGATAGCAGCGATCAGACCCAACATGATTAGGTAGGATCCGAGCATAATCCGATCACAACTTACTCTCTTACTCTCTTACTCCGGTTATTTCCCTTGCGGGGCTTCCATTGGTGGACATTCTAGTACCATATACAGTATATCTGGTACACCATATAGACATTCAGAATGAGAATCAGTCCTTGATGAACCGAAGCCATGGACAGGAGCTATGTGCGAGAATTGCGTCACTTCATCGATGCGGCCATCTGTTCCAACTCCCGGGCGATCAAAGAGTTCGGACATGACCTTCGCAGTTGTCTGGTAACGCAAGCTTCTGTGAGTGGGAATTTCGATATTTGACCGATGGACATACTCCATCTTTGTTTTGTCACCACGTTCCTTACATTCCTTCCCAGCCATCCTCCATTCACCACACTCAACGTAGAGATCCGCACGAGTATTAGCATCACACCGCGGGACGTAGTTGGCCGCCTCTTTTGCATGACCCTTGCGGATAAGATGGCGAACAAAAGGTTGATATCCAATAGGACTCCGTCTTGACCGAGCGAAGGCATCCAGGGCCTCAAAATCGCGAGTTTCCGTTAATGCATGCAATTTCACATACCAGAAGCTGTAGAATTACGAAATGTCAATGATGAGAATCGCATGAGAACACACGGCACACGCACCGTTTGTCGGGGACCTTGAAATCCGACCTTACCTTGTCGGCCCGCTTGGCCATTCCGTTGATCAGTAGAGTTCTGAGAGTTTCGTTTACACTGAGCCCGAAGAAAGCTATCTTTCCATCAGCTTCCTTTTCAAGTTGTTGCTGGTAAGTGAGCAGTCGTGCGCTTTCATCCATCATCTACAATTTTACCGAGTAAGTTTAGGGGTAATTACGTGGACTGAGAAATGACAGAACCTTTGCCTCAAAGGCGCGTTCTTTATCTTCTGAGAAGAACTTCTGAGCCGCTTTAACTGATGTTATCTTGGCACTAGGGTCCTATGGGACTACATTAAATTTTAGGAATAACAAATAAATTAGCGTTACTTACCAGGCTGCCTTCGGCCTCCTCCAAACAGAGCACGGCACTGTCCACGCGTCGATCGTCTGAGTAATAGAAATCACGGAGCATCTCACGGTTCTGTTGCCTCGCATATACTTGGAGAAGTTTGCTCGCTGGAGCTAGGCGGGCACCGCCTTCTTCAATTAATCTGAAGAAGGACCCAAGGGGCAACCGCTTCTGCAAGTGAAGCAGAACATGGTAAACTGGAAGAAGTGTTTTAATTTTCGTGAGGTTGCCGATCAGTTGTACAACAAAATCACTCACCAAGATCGGTGTCGCCACTCTCTACAGCTTTCGCTAGCGCCAGACGATCCTCCTTCATGCTGAGAAGTAAGGGCACTTGATCAGAAGCCCGGGGCTCGTGATCCAGAAGCTTCATGGGAAAGATCAACTGTGAAGTCCGAGGCGATACGCGATACGGCATAGCTTACCTTTGTTGCCAACTCTGTCCTGCCAACTTCCCATGCTTTACGGGCAATTTCAGCATAACTGACATCTGCCCCGCCCAATTTCTCAAATTTCTCTACAATCGAGGCACAAACGGCCTCATCGTCAACGCCCGAGTCGGAGGTTGTTGCACTAGGTCGAGATCGCAGGATCTTAGCACATGCCCAATGTTTGAGCACGGCGGACGGTGGGAGCGATAGACATGATGACATTTTAAGGGCGAGCAGGTGCAGATTTCGGGCAGTTAACCGGTTAATGAGATGTGCAGGGGATACTTGAACGTATCTACTGTGAATTAGCGCATTTCGTAACGCGTTGAGAAGGATGTCCTTACTGTGCATATGTTATAGGAATACCAATCTCGTAAAATCTTACAGCATTCAGTACCTTGAGTGCCTGTCCCATATTTACAAAGTCTGTTGAATCATAGAGATCAAGGAAGGTCTTGCCAAACTTCGCAGCCTGGAAGCGAGTGAAGTCAGCATACATCACTCTTGCGAATGGGCACCACTGACACTAAGGAGCCTCCGTTGCCAAAGGGGTTCCCATTCCCGACCTGCAGCGTCGATGCATTCGTCCACCGCAGCTGCGAGTTCTGGTCGAATATTGCGAATGCTTTCATCCGCCTTTGATGACTTGCGGGAGAAATTCTCCCAGGCGTCAAAAAGAATTGCGGATGGCGACGAAGATCCGGGGCGGAAGACTGATACGGATGAAGCTGCAACAATTGTAAGGATAACGTCAGCTGAAAGACCATCTTTGACAGACCTGGCACTTTCTGTATGAAGTCGCAAGTATCTGGTCCTATTACGCGAACACCATCAATCTCTGTGACAGCAAATGTTGGGCCGGTATAGAAATATCTAGACAGAGAATGAGATAATGTCGTGCAAAATGCCATAATACCCACTGAAGTGTATCACCAAATGGGCCAACCAGAACAGCGGTGGTGTCCCAAGTAACCAGAACGGCGTCGTTACCGCACCACTCTACCTGTCGAACTTCCCCTTCTCCACTAATTACGCGCGAAGTATCGAATTCGGCTAGACTGCGCTGAAAATCGGCTGATACAACCCACAATGTGTGTGTATAAGTGAGCAAAGCCAATGACTTGCCATTCGGCGAAGGGACTAAGTGCGAGAAAGGTCCTCGAGATAACCGCTGGTCGGTAGTTTCCAGATTGTCTACGCTGTAGACAGTTGCATCTGCTGATAACAGTACCTCGACGTGACGAGAGATGGTTAAATCAGGCGGAATTACAGCCCAAGAATGAGGCGGCTGAGTTAGGCCTAGAATGCATTCAACATATGATATGTATAGGAAGAGAATTAACTTACCAGGATTCGCCAAAGTAAGTGGTTTGCCGCCATCCCATCCTTTGACCTCCAGTAATGTCAGTGAACTAGTTAAAGCAACGAGTCCATGTTCGTGTATTCGTGCGTCAATTATACCCATCTCTGAAGCCTCATTGCCGAGAGAATATTGCTGGTAGTCGCCTTGGAGATCATATAGCCTATACACGCCTTCTTCGTTTAGAACGACAAGACGTTCATCGAAGGTCCAGCCAAATTTGACAATCTTGCCCTGATCCCACTGCAACGAAAGTCAATTTGAGTACACAAGGAGCAGAATACGGATTGGATAGCCACACTGAACAAGAGTAAACCTTCCCCTGCCGGAGAATACACTTGAATTTGTGCCTTAGAGAATGTTGTAGCACGTCCCAATGCAATCATCTTGGAGCTGTCGCGCATTAGAGCTGGGCTTCTCAGACAGTCGTTTTCTCCGAGTAAGATGTTACACATACCCAAGGGCCCTCCATATCGACAGCCAGCAATCAGAAAGTCTCCCAAGTTAGGCAGCTTTCCAGGTATTGAGTATACCTGGTGACGCTTGTAGAATACATTGCCATCCTGCATGGCCTCCCATGATGCCGTAGGATGTTCTGCCATAACGAATGAAAAGACTAGAGACTTAGTACGGACGATATGAAAAGTGAAATATGGCTACAAAGTACAGCGTTGGTCGTGGTCAAGATGAAGTGATGTAGTACTAGTGAGTATGCGCGCCTAGTGGACGCGTTCAAGCAATATTGACTCACGTGTCGGAACACATCGCACAGAAGAACTGTTACAAGTGCACGAACTTCAAACTAATTCAACTTTGTGCATAGTACAAATATATCCTGGTAGTTGAACAAGAGAAATTCTTTACATATCTTCAGTCATTGAGAAGTATCCATATAGAGGTATGTCTCCGCGGAAGAAATGCGGTTCTTTTGAAATCAGACCTACAGCAAAGATTGTGGAGGGTGTGGACCATTTAAATAGCATATAAACATGGGTGCTCATTGCGCAAGCATGAGTCGTGAGATCGAGCGTAATGCGAAGCTTTGCAACAGTGACTATTAGTGAACAAGAATAAACTAGAAAATCCGAATAGGTATGCGAGCTCGCAGCTCGTCTTGATTGAAGAGGACTGAGACCTCGAGGAAATACTACAAATGTCGTGTGAGAAAAAAAGCGCGTTATCAGTGATCAATTCACACACCTTCACACTTAAACCTGCCCAATCTATAGATGGCAGCATGCTTTTGTTCAGTTGCATTGAACCCTTGTACAGACCATCCGGAAGGGAGCTATGTGCGTCCAATGAAGGGTGTGTTTCATTGGGTTCAACACGATTGCGAGGCCGTTTCGGGAAGCCAATGGACATATCAGTATGCAAGGTTCGCGTCTCCAACAAGCCGGGATTAGGTGGCAGGTCAGGGAGAGGCTTGTCTTTCACCGTATGGCTATGTTTGCGCTGTCTCCGTGACTCTGAAGGAGTAATATGACCTTGTGAAATAGGTGTGCTCTTGGCCATGCGTCGCAGAAACTTCCGCGTTGAGCTTGATGGAGCGTCCGAGTCATCACTATTGCTAGACGACAGAGACGTGGAAGTTGAATGGAAGGACGAGTGTGGAGATGACTGATTTGTCACAATTGTAACTTGGCGAAGGAGAGAGACTGAGACTGTAGCATCCACAGCTATCTCACGCGCGAGTAATGGGGAGCGTGGTTTAGTTGTAAAGACGACAAAATAAGGGATAGATGCTGATCTTGGAAAGGTAGAAGGAACGGGCAGCGTAATCTACACTTATGTAAGAACAAGGTTTAGTATCGATAACAAAGAAGGAATACACGCACTGCACACTTAAAAGGAATGGGTCGATCAGATCTTAAGGGAATTTCCAGCCAACTCTCTGGTTCTAGTGATAAGCCGTCCAAAGACTGGAAGTCCGTGTCCGGTTGTAAGAGAATGGGAGCTTCGAGCCTAAGAAACGGATACATGAGACTTTAGATGCCGCCGGGGGTGAGAAACCCACCTTGCTTGTTCGCTCGGGTCAGCGCCTTCCCACAGAGCAACCACTTTGTATTCAACCTCCGCTCGCTCTACGCCAGTCCGGCCGCGAGCTTCTGTGCCAGTCATGACAACGGAAGAAAATGTAGGTGGCATCTCCTCTCCTGGTCTACTGGGTGGAGGGACATCGAAAGCAAATTGGAACACTTGTCGACGTGATCCCGTCATGTCTTGCAAGCTTGGTCGACGGTCCAGACGTACCGAGCGCATGGAGGCAGCGAACGCGCCACGGAGAGAAGTTGTAGATCGTGGACTGCCATTGTCGCCACATGGATGGACTACTGAAGACGTAAAGAACACATGGCGAGGCTTGCGACGAAGAGTGGATTCATCATCATCATGTAGCTTTGGAGAAACGTAAACGAATGTGCCCTCCATCTAAGAAAGACACACCTATAGTTAGTTCCAACTTTGACACATAAAAATAAGAGTACTGACAGATATAGTCAAACGTCCTGCCGTAGAAGCCAACTTCGGATCGAGGTGAACGGTGCCTCCAATCTTGTCATGATCACCGAAGACCGGTAAAGAATGAGAAGCCCGTCCCTCGACAACCTTCACAGAAGGACTGTGAACGTGGATCTCCATATTTGACGAGCTGTTCAGCAAACCATGTATCGAAGTTAAGATGTCTTTTCTTTATACAACATTTGAAATGCGTACCGAAATATAGATATGTTACTCTGAGTGTACGTGTCGTCGGCCGCGGTAGAGACATAGCTTGAGGGTGGTGCACTCTTCTTCGATCCGGTAACATCCACTCTGAGAGCTGGCCGAGTAGGTTGCATCGTGGCCAACATGCCCAGCCGGGTACTTGAGCTGTCGAGGCAAGGTAAGAAGCCGGAGTCCGTGCTAGGTTGGAAAAGAGAACGAGCGACACAACCCAGTCGCGATCAACGCACAACAACGCGGGATCCTTGAGGCAGCGCTCTGGTTTATATCTCCAGAAGAAGCACCTTCTTCGCTCATTTCTGTGTGGGAGGAACTCTCCGTTTGGGATTGGACCTGGCCCTTTGCTAAGCATCGCTTAGCCTGGTCGAACGTTAGTTGGTTACCGAACGAACGGGATCACATTGAAGCGCTCGCCATCTTCTTTTCCAACGGATTCTCGACTTTCCACTGACTTTCCACCCTGATTCTCAAATCTCTTCCCTTGAATGATGATAGATCGTTCCCTTCCTCCCTGCCATTCTTGGTCGCGAGCTTGTCATTATATTTGAACAAGTAATAAGCAGCGCACTATTCTCTGTATTGTGGAGAGGTGTAATATCGGTACGCCGTGGGGCATGATCACCGGTATCACTAACTTTGTTGATAAACACCTGTAGTTTGACGGAAGTTTCCCGAAACTTGCGCTCAAAGCATACTCCTGCGATAGTGCAACCAGGACAGATTATACTGGGCACACCGCTGTGATCGGCAAGATTGTGTCGAGCAACAGATGAAGGTCGCGAAGCACTAGCGCGGTAAACATGTCTGCATAGGCAGCTTGGAACGCGAGCGTAGTTCTCGAAGGTGACAGTGTCTGCCAAATGGCTGAATGGAAATCGTCCCGGCGGCTTGCCGTTGTCTAGGCAACAGAAGTCAGATCGCACATCGGAAGCCCGGATCTGACGGATACATTCAAGATTTAGCTCATTGCATCATAATCTGAACAGCTGAGAGCTTACTGTACCTATCTCTCTACGTGCCTATTCAGGCCATGTGCTATGGGCTAAAGACCCCCCTGTAACCATAAGCTAGGCATAACAGCAAGACGGCCGATACGTCCGTTTTTAATGGACTGGATGGTATAGACAGCAACGCGGCTGCAACAAGCTCTAGGTGCCAACTAGATGCTGCAAATCAATGCACCCGAGAGACGTGAATAAGCAGGCAACCCGGGTCACTGCTATGTGGCAAGTGAGCAACTGCCGACCACGAACCAACGGCGGCGGACGGTTTGCGACAGAAGGTTGTCACTCCTGAATGAAATGGACTAATGAAAGCCGACGTCAAGAACCAATAAAAGAATACGAAGCTTCAATACAGGGCCAGATAATAGTCTCGGGAGCCGGGTGAGGGTCGACAAGACATAGGGAAACACTGCACGAAACAGTGGTCCGGAGCAATATGTCCAAGGAGGTAGACCCGAGACCCTGGATGTAAAGAGCCTTTACCATCCCACTACAAAGAACAAGATGCATATGGTGTCGCATTGACAACCAAGAGCTGGGCACAGGGTAACACCACGTCGTCCATTTCTGCATGTAGGTTCAGGGAATTCATAGAGCACAAGAGTCATGAGATCGCCATGGGAGTCTCGCGGAAGACACACATAGAGTGAGTTGAACAGGACCGCCGTTCAACCGCCGCTCTTCATGGAGATTCCAAGAACCCAGACCCGTTGGGACAGCATATTTCTCATGAATTTTGAGTTTGTATGCAAGAAGTGTAAGCGCAAACTGGTGAATAAAGCCCGAATTACGCAAAGACTGCTTGACATTCCTTGGCAATTGTTATAGGGTAGGTTCTCCACAGAAGACCAACGAGCTGACAGACGTGCCTGTTGCTACGATTTGCCTCGGTCACCTGGAGATGGACCTATGGAGATTCCTGGCATGAGCGGGATGGTATCGTGAAGAGCTCTGTACGCCCACCGACAACGGAATAGTCAAGGATAGCCTCCCGAGGCTGGCCGCTAAAGAGTGATCACAAGACTGGGCCGTGAGAAGGGGCATGGAACAACTTCAGTAGAACGCTGTAGCAGCACTCTTTTGGTCTGGAACATGACTTACGGTTTTAGAATGTAGATGAGGATAAATGGGAACCTCCATGAACGTAAGAGTGAGCATGGAATTCAATATGACCTTTTCAAGAATAAGGCGGACCTAGCATGCATAAACTCAAAATTACCAATGAGTCATGCAGTACTTCAAGTACCCAAGCGAAGCAAGAGAACTATAGATAGCGGAAGGTCAAGAGCAACGTGGGATCAACAGATTGAAGGCGCGTGGTTTAAACCATATCTGGTGTGCCTGCCTTCGGCATCAATTAGACTGTGAACCGAAGTCTCCAACTGTGCGGGAGGTGACGCACCCGAAAGAGCCGGAATCGTCAACGAGGATCCCACGCAAGCGATGCAACAGTGCTCTGAAGACCATGACAGAGACTTCGTCCGGAACGTTGAACGTGGGGTTCCGTTCATTAAGACCTCCGATCCGCGACAGAATTCTCCATAGATAGCCCGTTGAATTGCATAGGCTGAGAACTGCAAAGAAGTCGTTACGAGAATGTATGCGGTAACTAGCGGTGTGCCTTGAGTGTCGTACAGAGCTAGTAAGCGGGAAAACTAACAAGAGGTTGTGTGGACAAAATACCAGATGGAGAACAAACTAAACCACGAGAAAGGGTGTTTGCTGGTTCATCAGAAAAGGACGTGATGAAAACAAAGCAATCATCCGATGTCAACATTTCCACAGAGTAGTTCTACGATCTTGGGAAGTGGACTACTTCAGATACTACGAAGCAGGGGATGTGAATATGGATACGTACGGTATAAACTCCAAAGCTAAAATGGTTCACATAGCGCGGAATATGTCTCAAAGCGATGGTCTGGTGACGCTACCCCGGCGTGGCGGGAACACATTGACGTACTGGATGACTTGAGTTAAGAATGTTGCCCTGACTATGGCCAAGTCAAAGATTTACTTCGGTCGCAACACAACATGCGCACTGATAACGGAAGAAGTGTTGCAGTCATCACGTATCAGGGTACAAACGAAGAAGATCATTACGTGTATCATTGCGCACCATATTTTCACCGACCCGTTGCGTATCCTTTCGATACCATGGAACGCGCGCAGTACCTGTGTGGAAGGCACAGTCTCGAACATTAGTAACTTAGTGTCAGCAATTATCTAGGACCAGAGCCAGACCTATGTAACGTCGCCTGATGGCCGTTAAGTCCTGTTCATGACCGAACATACATTCTGCTAGGGCTGCAGATTAATGAGTAAACAAAGAGTTTTCACAATACCAGTCGCTTTGGAAGTCGTGGGGGCCGACGAAGCTTGTGAATTATGGGTAAGCGCCAACAAGTTCTCACGCTTGACTGTCAACGGCCAAGCAACTTACCTTAAGTTTAACGGTATGAAAGATGGCTGGTCGAGATTGTGTAGCAGCTCTGCTAAGTGTATATTGCCTTGTTTTATTCTCAATTACTAGAAATAGCCACCAAATCGGAGACTTCATTATCATTCAACTTACTGACTTTCTAATTTGGGAATTTGATATCGAAGTTGCAATCACTAAGCGCCAGTTACTGTATCCTCATGTTCAGGTCGTCCTCTTGAAGGAGCCTCGATCATCGCTTTGGAAGTGTTTCTGTGAGGTTGTCGGTTTTAATTACCGTCGTTGTGCAAATAACGCTAACCTTTTTTTTCAGGCCTGTTGGAGGGACAGATTAACATCCCTTGGCTATAGTATAGGCGCGCCCGTAATCCTTCGTACTCTTGACGGTAAGTGGGACAACCTGTAACAGCCCGATCACGCGTTACACTCTCTGCATATGTCCTTGCTTATCATTTTCTTGCAGCAGGTGATTAGCGGCATGACCTCCCCTCGAGTTCCGCCAGAATTGAGCGATCAAATCATCTCGCACCTGAACGGAGACACATCTGCCCTCTCAGCTTGCGGACTCGTATGCAGGAACTGGCTTCCTGCTGTACGTTACCACCGTTTTGATTCTCTCGACTTGCGATATCGCGAAGCCAAAGGTTTTCTACGTCTTTTGGACCAGTCTCCGGAACTAGGCCGATTCGTCACATCTCTATCGTGGCGTTCAAGTGTGCCCTACATGATTTGGTATAGCATGTCATCTAGGTTCATTCATGATCTTTCTTGCATCTTGGAGAAGCTTACGTACGTAACGAAATTGAAGTTGTCCGACTTCATCGCCACTGGAGATACACATCGGGAACCTCTGGCTAGGCTCTCGGTGGTCCTCTCAAATTCTTCGGTCAAAGCATTGTATTTCATGAGCTGTCATACGACTTTCGCGTTTCTCTCTATACAAGTGGCGTCCTGCCCCTTGCTGGAAATGTTTGTTGTAGAGCTGGCAAACATAGGGCCGTCTGAGAATGAAAACATGATGCTATCCGATAGGCGACATCTCCAGTCTCTCAGCCTCGGTCGGATGACAGACACTGATCCCGCAGATCTTTTGCACTGTATCGCGGGAAATATGGCTGATTTTTGCCTTTCCAACTTGTCAATGGAGGTGTGGGACGCGAATGATGCTCCGCTCGCGGCTGCTGCCTTACAAAGATTCAAGCACTCGATGGTCGGGTTTCATTTAACCGTCAACGCTGAAGCCAGTCTTCCACGTAAGTCTTTTATTGTTCTCCTTGCTCTGTTCGACCTCAAGGACGATGCACTTGTAGAGCTTTTTCGCAACGTCGACCTTGAACTCGAGAAATGTCAACAATTACAGCATTGTCGCTTGACTTTCCACCTTCGGGAGATGTTCGTGGCCGAGAACCAATCGATACCCTGGATACATGACTTGGTTGCGCGACTGTCTTCCCCCGTACTCGAAACCATCGAGATATCCGTATTTGCGGACCCTATGACGGATCTTAGGGCACTTGACTCGGAGTGTGGAACTAGGTCACTGGACAGAGTATCTTTTGATGCAATGGACGCGCTGGACTGGAGGCGATTGGAGTGCATATTCACTAGCAGTACACTGGGTTCTCTGCGGAAGGTCGTGTTGGTCGGACAGGGAGACCCATCTAGAATGCGGACCTTCCTCGCAGAGTCACATCCAGCATTACAACACGTTATAGACTTGAGATAAAGATTTCATACAAAGTTCAGCAAATTTCTCTGCTACATGTTTGCAATGCGAACTCTCATTTCAAAGCTGATTGATAGAGACGGGATCATGTTCACGGATGGACCGCTAAACCCCTTCATTCCGGGGCCCACAAGAGATTATCCCAACAAACTTCAAGTTCAATGGTCTGAATCATAGAAGCTTGACACCTTAAGTTTAACAGGATGAAAGATGGCTATTCGAGATTCAGTGTAGCAGCTCTCATAAGTGTTTATAGCTTTATTATATCCTCAATTACTCTGAGAGTTGGCCACGAAATCGAAGACTTCATTATCATTCAACTTACTGACCTTCTAATTTGATATCGAAATTGTAATCACTAAGCGCCAGTTATCCTCACCCTCTTGAAGGAGCCTCGATCATCGCTTTGGAATGTTTTCTCTGAGGTAGTCGGTTTTAATTCCCGTCGTTGTGCAAATAATGCTAACCTTTTTTCAAGCCTGTGGAGGGACATACTAACATCCGTTGGCTCTAGTATTGGTGCTCTCATAATCCTCCGTACTCTTGACGGTAAGTGCCAGTGGAACAACTTGTAATGGCCCGAGCACGCGTTGCACTCTCTGCATATGTCCTTGCTTATTATTTTCTTGCGTTAGATGATTAGCGGCGTGACTTCCCCTCGAGTTCCGCCAGAATTGAGCGATCAAATCATCGCGCACCTTAACGGAGATACATCTGCCCTCTCAGCGTGTGGACTCGTATGCAGGAACTGGCTTCCTGCTGTACGTCACCACCGTTTTGATTCTGTTGTCCTGCAATACCCTGAGGTCGAAGACTTCCTACATCTTTTGGACCAGTCTCCGGAAATAGGCCGATTCGTCACATCTCTATCATGCCGTTCAAAAAGGCTCTCCTGGACTAGGCGTGGCATAACGTCTAAGGTCGTTCGCGATCTTTCTTGCATCGTGGAGAAGCTTACATACATAACGAAATTGGGGTTGTGCGGCTTCATCGCCAGTGAAGCTACACTTCGGGAACCTCTGGCCAGGTTCTCGGTGGTCCTATCAAACTCTTCGGTGAAAGCATTACATTTCACGACCTGTAATGCGTCTTTCGGTTTCTTGTCCATACTAGTAGCGTCCTGTCCCTTGCTGGAAACACTTGTTATAGAGATGGCAAGCATACGGCTATCCAAGCGTGATAACATGATGGTATCCAATAGGCGACATCTCCAATCTCTCAGCCTCACACAGATGACAAACACTAATCCTGCCGGATTTTTGGATTGGATTACTGGCGATCTGGCTGATTTTCGCCTTCCCAACCTGTCCATAGGGGTGTGGGATGCGAATGATGCTCCGCTCGCGGCTGCTGCCTTACAAAGGTTCAATCACTCGATGTCGGAGTTCCATTTAACTGTCAACGCCGACGCCAGTCTTCCACGTAAGTCTTTTATTGTTCTCTTTGCTCTGTTCGACCTCAGGAATGATGCACTTGTAGAGCTCTTCGGCAACGTTGACCTTGAACTCGAGAAATGTCAACAATTACAGCATTGTCGTTTGACTTTCCACCTTCGCGAGATGTTCGTGGCCGAGAACCAATCGTTACCCTGGATACACGACTTGATTGCGCGATTGTCCTCTCCTGTGCTTGAAACCATCGAGATATCCGTATTTGCGGACCCTATGACGGATCTTAGGGCACTTGACTCAGAGTGTGGGACTAGGTCATTGGACAAAGTATCTTTTGATGCAATGGATGCGCTGGATTGGAGGAGATTAGAGTGCATATTCACTAGCAGTATACTGGGTTCTCTGCGGAAGGTCGTGTTGGTCGGACAGGGAGACCCATCTGGAATGCGAACCTTCCTCGCAGAGTCGCATCCAGCATTACAATGCATTATACACTTTAGATAAACATATCTGACCGGGGCCCAACAAGAGAATACCCCAATAAACGTCAAGTTCAACGGTCATCAGAGAAACTTGACAGTCCTGTTTGCACTTACAATTAAGATATACGCAGGATCGGTAATGAGCTTGAGGGACTTAGCTCCGACCCGAACATGCCCATACCGTGGAGAGCACAAATTTTTTGCAGTCAGGCCAAGCTGACGGAATAAACATTACGTGTGTATATTGCCCAAGAAAACAGCTCAGGCTACATTGATAGGTATGCGACTAGTAAGGGGCGGCAGCAGCTTGGCACTAATGAAGGGTTGCGGCGTTAGACACAACTTTTACGTCTTCAGAAAAACATCCATGACTCACGGCTTTGAGCTGCTCAAGGTACCAAGTGCAAGAAGGAAGATCTGCCTTCTCGAGACACTTTGTGAACTCTGCACCAAAAAAATTGATCAGCGACACGTACTCGCTTACATCATCTCAAAATGCACAGGTACCCTTCGCTTGAACATCACAGCTGATACCCTGGGTCTGGTAAGATTGCTGTTGCACGGGGGCGGCCTGAGCCTGCTGGGCCAGATTATCCGGGGCAGGTGGCGCGTCGTTGCGGGCGGAAGAACCACCGAAAAGCATGTTCGAGATACCATGACCAATTGTCGAACCAACAGCGACGGAACCAGCGGTCGCAGCCATTTGAGTAAGAAGACCGGGCTGGTTAGCTTGTGCTTGGGGAGGCACAGGGGGAGCATGGTGGGCCGGAGGGGCTGAAGACCCGGGGTAAGGTGCAGTATGAGCTCCCCTGGTCTGCGTAGATGAAGCAGAAGCAGCTGGGGCTGCTCGAGGAGCAGGACGAGAGCGAGACTGACGCTGTAAATGAAGTTTCATGAGCTGTGGAAAACTTTTTCGTGGATGTAGAAAGCGAAAAACGTACAGCCATAGTGCGTGGACTGAGCAAAGAACGAGGTGAAGGTGGTGGTCAACGGTAAAGTTGCCTCGGAATTCGCTGACGCGGAATTTCTGCCGGTACTGAGCGGCGCACGTGGCAGGAGGCAACGTAAGGTTAGGGTTTACCAATTGGATGCGTTCCATTTCAATTCCAAGTTCAATTGTGCTTTGAATTCACGCTGAAGCTTTCACTACTACTTCCCCTTCATACTACGTCTTGTCATACTGAGTTTGCAGGGGGCGGCCTACAATGGCTCTGCAAGCTATCAAGACGTTCAGGACCAGGGAACTCTCAGCCGTGCTGAAGACTTTACAACTCTCAGAAACCGCTCCGACTGTCCCCAACCCTTTCCTTCCTCGTCTCAATCCTGAAAGCGGTCGATGGGCTCCTGCAAAATACTCGCTTAGACAGCAGGCAGACCTCATCAAGCAGGCTAAAGTCAGCAATACGCTGCATTTGCTACCACCTGGACCCAAGCTTCCGCCAACTGCGCTTCAGAAGGTTCCACGTCCGGAGTCACTGGATGCTGAGCCTTGGTCCCAAAACGTAGTATGGGAGGGTGAGGTTAAGGAGAAGAAGAAGGTTTCCGGGCCAGAGAATGGCATCAGAATGTATGCAGGCAGGAAGAAGATGTTCAAGGGACACAAGTGGGAGAGGACTTTGGAGAAGAGAGTGACGAAGCGGAAGTGGTTGATGCGGGGCATGAAAGCCCGAATATTGCGCTTCAAGACGGTACGTATATCTCTGCTCTGTGTTTTCACTTTTTGTACTCATCTTCCGTTGCAGACGTACAAGCGAAGACGACCGTCGCCACTTGGGCCCGCACGAGTTACCGGAAAACAACCCAAGCTTCCATACTGATTGTTTCCTATCCTATCGTCACCTATCTACCTTACAGTCTGTATCCCTGCTTCTTTTGTCTGGCTGCACGCGTACACAGGCTTTTACTTCAACAATGTCCGAAAGAGAACACTAGACACCCAACAAGCTGTCTTTTCCCTCATGCTTTGATTGTGTTTTAGAAGGCAACATTCAAAATTTTGACACAAATGCCAATTACTGGGAATGTATCCCCAATGTTTAAAATGAAGTAAATATTGCCATGCTTGGTTCATACAGTAGCTTCATACAGGAACTGGCGAAGCTTTTAGTCTTCGACTCTGATTCGACTGAACTTTCACTCGTTATGGGCGCTTGTATCTCGATACCCTTTTGGGACATATTCTTACGTAATCAGCTGCAGCGTACCATTATGGTCAGCCGTGCTGGAAGGAGGTCATACCGCCAGCTCATTCGCCTGCTATCGAACGTGTTTCTCTTGCTGCTACTATCACTCCAGTTTGCTTTTCTTTTCGCTGGCCTTAAGGTATATCTACTATTTACTCTACTTGATCACTTTTCCTAACGCAAGGTCACGTAGGAATAATCATGGAGCAACAAGCGAGTGCTCCGCCAGATGTCCGAAATCTCGTCAACTTCCTCCGAAGTAGCAAAGCCGGGATTAAAGTCAGAGTTGGTGTCTTGAATGGGAAGCGTATAGATTATTTTAAAGGTGCGCCGCTATAAACTTTCGGTCAAAGCGTCAACCCGTTAACACCACTTGTTTAGGTCGATCTGCTGTCAAGGCACTCTTGTCACCCGCGTATGCCAAAGTAAAGAAAGTCCCAAAAGTCACAACTGAAGAGGAAGCGCAACAACTGCTCGCCTCCATTGTCCCCTATGCCTTCTTCCTTCGCGTCGAGCGAGGTGGAAACTCTGGCTCCTCATCATCATCACCAAAACATCTCCAAATCGTACAACAACAGATGTTCCTTCCAGATGAATATTTTGCATGGTTCTACGAAGGTTCTCAGTTGACAACATATCTTGGAGGTGTCGCCATGGTCGCCGTAATGCTTGCTGGCGTCATGTTCCCTCTCTGGCCACCGATCATGCGGTTAGGCGTATGGTACCTCAGTATAGTTGTCCTAGGCCTCATCGGTCTATTCTTCGCCATCGCCATTGTCCGCCTGATATTCTACATCATCACCGTGATCGTTGCAAGTCCAGGTATCTGGATATTCCCCAAACTCTTTGCAGATGTTGGATTTGTGCGTACCCCTTGTCTCAATGTTGGGCTAACACGTGCGGCGGATACTGATCTTTTATGGTTTGTAGGTCGAATCCTTCATTCCGCTATGGGAATGGGACCTTCCTAAGAAGAAGGGTAAAAAGAAGCGTACCGAAAAGTCTGAGAAATCTGCAAAGTCGAAAGGCAAATCTACCGCTGTTAATGGTAGCTCTCATACCGAAGTACACGAATTCGCGCCAGACTCAGGAGATTCACGGCCGGAGAGTAGATCTGCGCGAGTAGAAGAGGTCGAGGATTCATGATCAGCCCGTTTTACATCCCTCTGTTCTCCGCCACTTGCTTCCCACTAGTCACTAGTCACTACCTATCATCCTTTCCTTTCTGTCTCTCTCATCTCATTCATAGTTGCTTCCCCCCTTGCCAGCTGGTGCTTGCGTGTATCACTCATGGTCGTGATTGTTTCCTGGATATATCAATAGCTGCTGGGATCTATGACATTCACTAATATTATTTCACGTGCTTCCCATTCGTTGCGTCAATGACTCCCGAGTCTTCGCTTGAGGATTTGCTTAGCTTGTCCAATCGACGAAGTGCCACACCCGCCTCTACGACGCCCTCTCGCATCTTGAGAGAAGATGACTGTTTTCGACTTGCCGTGTACCATTTGTGCGCGTCCTCGTTGTCCCCAGCCATCTACTCGCACGAAACTCATCCATCACAGTTCCAAGGAGTAATACATGCCGTGTTAAGACGTACCTCTCGAAGAGAACCCAAGTTGAAAAGTGCAGCTGCAAGCGTATGCTCACACTGCTGCAGCGCATTGGCATCATCGGCCCTTGCAGCGGCTTTCGCTTCTTGAATCACAGCCAAAGCTTTACGAATCCAGACTTCTGCTTGTTTACGGCGATCAGGCGTCGGTGCTTCTTGCGTTAGGCTATCAGCCAAACTATTCATGATATGTGCACCTAGTAATAATAATGCGATCCTTCAATCAACAACGTCTCAGAATATTTCAGTTAATTGAACAGATGTTACCTTGACATCGTGCCTCCACTGTGTTTCGGCGCGAAGGCGTCAGAATGGAAAGCGCGGAGAGGTACAACGGGACGGCATACCTGCACCAAAAAAAAACGGATTGTCAAGGATACATACGTCCAACACAAAAAAATAATGAGAGGAGAAGCACGTACTCTTGTTTACCTACTCGATTATAGAATGCACCCAGCGTTTCCAACGGTGCGATCAAGTCATGTTTAGTAACCCAACCCGGGAGCTCCAATTCAGACAAAGCAGCCAACTGCCGTTCGTCTCCTCCTCCTCCAGGTTGATGCGGAATATTGCCCTGATAGTCTCTAACGACGCGCAAAAGTTCCTCGACAGTGTATACGAGCCACTTTTCTTCTTCTTCTGGAGGTTGTTGGTATAGTTCTGCCATCTCGCCTAGTTTGAAGGCGATAGCAGCCGCACGGACGCGTTCTGGACCTGAGAGCCCTTGGGTATTTTGGAGTTGTGAGAGTGCGGATGTGTAGACTTCGTATGCGGCTTGAGGATGGTCGGCTTTTTCGAGAACCTCTCCTAGGACTATTGCTATACCGGATAGTTTGAGGTGAGGATCGGGGGAAAGACGTTCTAGAGGGAGTTGTTGTGCAGTCTCAAGGGCTCTATATGCATAATATTGATATTTGAAACGCTCGAAGATGCAAAAAAGAAAAGAAAAAGTTAATGGAAACATACCTCCGTAGATACCTCTCGCTCATGACGAAATCACCCTGATGTTTCGCTTTAACACCGGCACGCAAGTCGCCTCGTACCTCTGGAGGCCACATCGTGAACATTTGGTAAAACTCATACCTATCAACACGTCATAGTGAATATAATGGACTCCAAACAAAACGTACGGTCAATTGATTGCTCACAATCCATAAGCAGTTGACGCAACCCCAAGGAGGATTAGACCTGTAAATACTCGCGAGACTTTGGAGGTCGACTGTGCCCATGAAGTGAGTCTGTTTCCAGTACTAGTACTTGCGAGTCGTCGAGAACGGATAGTCGTAGTGGGAAGTAAGAGTCTGGAACTGGAAGGGACTTCCTTACGGAGAAGTATCGAGGATCTCCTGCCTGAGGCGTTCAGTGCAGACCTTGAGATCATTCTTGAAGGACTTTTTTGTTGTAGCACAAGAACACGAGCTCAAAGCTATCCGAGCAGTAGAAGAAATGAGACCGGATAGATCTGGCTCATTCAAAGTTGAGAAGGGAGAGGTGAATTCGAGTCTCGTAGTACAGAACCGTCCCGACGGTCGCGCCAAGCGGAGGAGCATGAAGCGCTCGATCGGTGGAGCACTTGGAGTCTTGGACTCAAAAAGGCAAGCATGAATGAATACGAGGAAAGGATCGCATAACAGAAACATAGCAACACTAGTAAATTTATGTATATAATAAGAGCATCACATACAAACCATATACTGATAACCATACGAAAAGAGCGTTCAAACACCAGAACACATCCGAGCAAGATAGCAGCCTAGAAAGTTTCATACATCCCCAAGGCACACTCCAGTGGTACGATACATAACATCGCGTCTTCTCAACCGCGTAAAGGGAGAAGTAGGAAATGGAAGCGGAAACGGAAAGTCACTCATGCCCTATGAGCATCCTAAAAGGACCCAAAGTGACTTCTAATCAAACACACCGTACTCCGTCGAGCTCCCTCAACTAGTGAAGCGAAAACCATGGTAATAGCAATAATCTCACAGGGTTGGAGAAGGGAAGAAAAAAGGGGGGAACGTTGCTGCCTACAGATGTTGGTAGTGGTGGGGTGGTGGTGGCGGTTGAAGGGAAACAAGTGAAGAGGGTGTTCAGAAGACCGGGCTCTATATTCATGGGGGCTGACGGGGTCCGTCTATGTTCATTCAAAGTCAAACACCCCAGCCGCGGCGACGGCTCGCATTCAAGTTGCGACGTTCAATATTGAGCTTACCATCGCGTGTTGGACTAACTTCTTCAATCGTTCCACCGACTGAAAGCAGTCGAATACGGAGGCCAAAAAACTGCAAAACGCTTCGCATGGAATAAGGCATAAATCAAACAAGTTGTTGAGAAGAAGAAGACCAAATATAAGGCATCAATTAGATTTTGAGCATTAACGTTGCAAACTATACTTGGCTTCAAGACTCTCGTAAAGCTGATCGCGAATCTCCCAAGGCCCAGAATACCACATGCGTTTCTGGAACACCAAGTATTCCACCACCCGCTTTGGCTCCTGCTCTCGGATTAATTGACCAGACTTGTTGTAAACCTGTAAACTCTAAAAATCGTAAACGCAAAGTCAGCAAAAAAATAAACATAAAACAAAAAAAAAAGTGGTGGTGATGATGATGGTGGATGGACATGCATACCTGGTTGGTATCAAACTTCACAAGAGCTTGAACGATCAACCTATTGCCGATCCTTGGAGGTTCGATGCTCCCGTATCCTTCCGTGGCACGTATGCTAACCACCTTGCAAGGCGCGTTCTCGCTATGGAACTTCCAGATGAAGACGAGAGAAGGGTCGCGGTTGGATATCATCTTGAGCATTCGCGCACGATAAGTGTCAAGGGTGTACTTTTTGATCACTTTCTCATCACCGCTGCAAATCAAACATGAACACTAAGAAAATATGCCAACGTGTATGTGGGGATTTGCGACTCACGTAGCTACGGCTCCTTGGACGTCTTTGTAGATGTCAAGCGCCTCTCTACGGAAGGGTGCGAGCCATGGAGTTGATTGTACGGCAAAGATTTGTCGTGAACGCCAGCTTTTAACTCTTACGGCGGGGAAAGCATCCGCCTTTGCCATTTGGCGCATTCTATTACGAGACACGTTGAGTTTTCATTTGGAATGGAAGAACAAGTACAAAAAAAAAAGAGACGACATACGTAGCAACGTTGCGATACCAATTCCACGTAGTAGCCCATAATGCCCGCGCATGATCGAGCAAGGACGCGTTCTTTTTGTGCGAGAGTTTAGTTGGAACATGGAGGTCTTACTTCGGCAGTCAGTCAGACTAGCTCACGCGGTACACAACGAACACAGAAAGAAGTCAGGCATATGCATACCATACAACGGAACAGGCGTTGCCCAAACGTCAAACTGCGACAAACTCTCCAACTTCCGAATCTGCTCCAAATTATCCAGGAGCTTCTCTGACGAGACGGTCGCGCGTTCTTCTTGCAACTGCTTGCGACTTTTCTTTGGCAGAAGAGAAGTCTTGGTTTGAGCAACTAGGTGTGAAGCTTTGGCTGGTGCTTGAGAACCCGTAGACGAATGGTGCTTCTTGTCCGACTTTTGAAGATGATTGTGGATGGCGTTGACAGCGTAGCCTCGCCGTCTCACCGCCAAAGACCAGCAACAAGAACTTCGAAGGGGAGAGTATGTTGTCCTGAGATATATAGACATGGTGGCCAGGTGAGAACTAGGCAACACGAAGCTCTAGAGGGAAATATTGATGAATTCAAGTTCAAGATGAAGCACAACTTTCCGTGTCACGATATAACGGCAGGTGACTGTTATGATGTCACGCATGCCACGTGGCGAGGACGCGTTCAGGCGCGTCGTTCATTAACACTCTATCGTCGACCGCGTAAAGTCTTATACTAGGCCTTAGCGGTCCTCCTCCTTCAGCTTAACACAATCTCATCGAGAACCAATATATTAGCGTAACTGCAAAACATATCCAAAGTCTTTTCGAGTAGCAGGCACCAGCTCGAATCTTCTCTTCCCTTTCCTCATCTAAATATAACATTGCGCACGCTCTGGTCTTCTCGCGTTCCATTACCCAGTTTCACCTCGTCCACCCGGCAATCACGCACAAACTGTGCGTCTCCGCTAGGCGAAGCATACGAAGCACAAACATTGCAACATTGTTTTCGTCCGACTGTGTAATCGATGCTTAGTATACACGAGTCACTGGGACCATACATATACCACGAGGATCACGGCTCAATACCAGCACGATGACGTCTATCCTGATGTAAGATATATATGTGTGTATTTGAATTCTATCACTATCGATGTCAAAATGTCTGCGTCATAAACTCTAACCAGTCCCAGTCATGTCGGAGTACCCGGATGGTGGGGTGGGTGGGGGATACGCATCTACCAAGGAAAGACCCCCCAAAAAAAACAGAAATATAGAGTAGAGAGTGTGAGTGAAGAGTGACTAAGAATACATGTATGCCATAGGGATGAGTGAGTGAACGTGTCTACCAGAAGTATTGAGTATCGAGATTATTGATGCGCATGATATGTCCAGAGAAAAATTCAAGAGAATGACGGCCGCGGAGAGGAGAGGGGAGTCGCAAGCCGGCTGAGCGACTTGGACTGTGGTTTGGATTCGCGCGGATCCGTCGAAAAGAGAAAAATGAAAGGGCAAGGAAAAAAAAACTAGTGGAGTAAATCAAGAGAGAGAAAGCCGGGATTATAAACGAAAAGCCTGAGGCATGGGTAATGAGGATTGAATTGTTGTCCAAGAAGTGTGAAGTAGCAAGCCATGGCCAAGAAGAAAGGTTCAACGGAACCGGTAAATAGTGATTAGCGCATAAAACGATAAGGATAAAGAGTTGGAGAAAAGACAAAAGCTCAGAGCATTTGATGAGAAATTGAATAATAGAAAATAGGACCATCGTTCCAAGGATGAGAATAAGCACCTCGGCGAGCATTAAGCATGCGAAGAAAAGAAAAGCAAACCCCAAGCCTTTCCTCGATCACTTAGATCTCATTGAAATCGAACCCCTCCAAAACCTCCACCTAAGCTTTTTGCTCTTCTGCGAACTAGTGGAATCCGCAGCAGCGGCGGCCCCCGCACCAAACTCGGCACCACTATCGTCATCATTATCATCTCCCCTTCTCCGATAACTCGCCTCGGCGTCCGTATGTTCGCTGATATCATTCACTGCAGGGGTGTGAACGTCGGACCCTGACTCTTCAGAATCAGGCGGCGTAGGGAGTCCACTTGGGCGACTACTACCACTCGCACCTAAGCTATTATGACGCCCACGCGCCCGTTTCGGCACTAACGGACTTGCACCTGCCATACTCATCGGTCGTCCAAAACTGGACGGCAAGGAAGCCGATGTGGACATAGTGGGGCCAATACTATTTTGAGGTATCGAAAGCGGGGGGTATGCTCCGTGTGACCGTGTTACACCAAGTCCAAACGAAGAAGGAGAAGGGGAAGAGAGGACTGCGGGTTCAGGAGGGGTGACCAAAACATTGGGTGTTGAGAGGATATTGGTGTCATCTGATACGAGAATAACATCAGATGGCCCGGATATCCATGCGCGAGGGGCCGTGCGGTCCATTGGATTTATAGGGCCTTTGCCGAATCCTTGGTTCGCAGTTGATGATAAAGACGAGTCTATCGGATCCAATGAACCGCAAAAGACTAACTCTGCCAACGTGCATTCGTTTGTCCATCGCTCGTAAGGCGAATTTGAAGTCCCAGCAAAATCGTTTTTGTTCACCACCAAGTCTCCCAACGTAGACGCCTGCATGATGAACGGGCGCGCACGTTCCATGCAGTCGTCCCCGCCCATGGACATGCCTGCTGACCCGGGATAGGCGAATGATAATAGGAAAGATTCAAGGCTTTGCACTAATCGCGTACGTGCCTGTAAGGTGAATGAACGTGTATCGGTGGGAAGCAAGTGCACCAGGTGTGCTTTCGAAGGCCAAGGTAGTGAGCTCAGGGTGAGCGATTCGCCGCTTTGGTAAGGTGGAGTCGGGGGAAGATAGACAGAAGTCGTGCTTCTTGAACTGAATACTGACCTTCGCTTCCCTCGCGAACATATGGGGCGGGGATCCGCAGCCACCAAGAACGGCCGACTAATCGTGGTGACTAGAATTGATTGTTTGAGCAACGCTTTATCAGACGTGTTGCCAGGCAAGAAGTTGAGAAGGCCGTCAAAGGGTCGTTGAGTCGGATCCACAGCTGGCAGCATGGACTGGCGTGTCCTGCCCACAGTCAGCAGCCGTGCTGAAACCGATCGTGGACGAGAAGGCGGCAAGTTGGCGTTTGTGTTGGTGGAAAGAGTGGACGTGGATGACCGGGGTGAAACAGGAGTGCTCTGTGAGCCGTAGAAGCCAAACAACGTTGGGGGAGTGAGGTATTCATGACCGTCTTCTTCTTCCGCGAGTTCGACAGCACCAACCCCGCCATGTCTGCGCCATAGACGCGCAACACGTTCTGCCCACTCGAGCACGTTGACAAAGCGAACGGCACCCGCGTCTTCGATGGCGAGGGCTTGCTTGAGACGTAGAATGCGCACCGTTGGCAAGGTGGTGTGGGGAATGTCCGGCGGTGCATGGGTGGCGATGATAAGTAGAGAGCTTGATAGATGTTTGGAGAGCAGCAACGGGGACAGTTCCTCGGTGGTAGGTGCTGTGTTGAACAAAGACGATCGAAAGAATCCTTAGTGTACAGAACAGGGAGCTGGACGTACCTCCAAGGACAAGTATAACATCTCGCCGTGACTGTGAGGCGAGTGACGGCAGTCTGTCGGTCTTGAGGAACCAAGGCTCTCTTCCGCTTGAGCTCAAGGCAGCATGAGGGTCGAGAGGAAACTTTGGGCGAAAGACATCTGGTTTTCGACGGGCAGAGGGGGCCATGGAGGAGGCAGGAGCCATTGGTAGGAGGCAGGAGGCCGGCGGGAAGCAGAGAGCAATGTCACGCCGGTCGCAGATAAATGTCCCTGCGCACGGTAAATAGTTGTCGTCATTCAGCCGCTCGGCACTCGATCGCTTGATACCATTTCCTTTTCGGGTTTGATCGGTCCGCTTGGCCTTGGCACGCGCTTCATCGTGAATTTGATCCCGGCGTTGGCATACTCCAGAAACTGCAGTCTTCAGCTTGACCAGCACGGTTGGCAGTCTCCTATCATCTCTCCAATATTACACCTTAATGAGTTCTCCTACAAGTCTCATCTTTGATGCACTGCATCTTCCCCGAGGGAGCACTCACCTTCGGTCTTCGAACGTCTTCCCTGCTCCGTCTGCGGCATCGTCTGCGGCATCATTTCGTAACATAGGTCTGTCAGGTTCTTCCGGGTGGCGGTACTTCCTCAGAACGATCGTCTCACTGCACCTCCCGCACGTTCCTCTCAACATGTTCGTCTTGCCGTATTCAAGACCGTACGACAGCCCGCGCTGTTGGTAATGTCCTTGCGTGGCGGAAGTCGGCGTTGGGGCGTAACCTTCTATCATCGTACGCTACGTTAAATGCTAATCAAGTTGCCGTATTCGCTATGCCTGTCAAAATAAGCTTACAGGATCTAACACTTACTTACCTCTTGCTTACCCCCTGCTAAACGCCCATTAATGCTATTCAGCCCTTGTGTAAGTAATCCGATTAGGGCATTAGATTCACCCGCTCGTTCGCTTACTCGGGGTTCGGTGAACTAGCACCAAATGTCTTCGATTTGCAAGGAGACCGGGGAAAAGTGATTCGGAGTTGCTCAATGAAGGTGAGAGCCTTTAAATATAAAGGGACCACAGTAAAACGAACCAATCAGAGGCCATGTACTGTTAGTGACGAGTATGCATGATGCAATTAGGGAAGTGATCGGTTGCATGTACAGATAGGGAAGGAATAAAGAAGATGATACTTAGCGTGTAACCCTCGAGCGGGGTTACACGTCGACTTTCCATGGGCGCACACCCTGTCACTACAATATTACTCTTGGCTCACACTCCTGAAGTTTTCTATAGTGCCAAAAAACGACATTCTTCGGATCCCGTTTGTGTTATCTTCAACATTGTACTCAACGGCACTACGTGGCACCGCCGACGCTTGTCCTCGAGGTCTTGAGGCCGCAGTATGTCCGACCATAGTCACCATGAGGAGTAACTGTGCATACGGAGGGTCCTGCTGTGAGTACTCAAGTACTCATTATTTCCATCTTCGCTAGCATCTCGGTTCCGTTTGACATGTTGACATTCAATGTGGTGCATTGCGTCAACATGTCAACATGTCATCCTGGAGCTTGAAGGCTCTTCGTCCGAGGGGTATGTATGGATGACGTGCATGTCCTTGGCACGTCATGGCGGGGGCAGTTCAGGGTCCAACGAGTAACGTTCGATAGTTCGAATTCAGATCGAAGTTTGTTCGGTCGTATCCAGATGTGGACAGAGGACTGCAGAAAGTACACTCTCAGGCTGAGACTGTTCGCCGTGAGCTCGGGCTTTGAGAAGAGGCAGATAAGGTCTCGACGTGCTTGATTCAAGTGTTTTTGTTCCTCGTCAGACCAGGCAATCCTCTTGCTACCATGCACAAACCCATATTCACTCTGATTCTCGCAGCTTTTGCGAATCGCGTATAACGTGTCATTACTCTGTACGACAGGGCCCGAGGCTAAACAAGATTGAGAGTAGTACCAGTCGGTTGGAACCTTAAGTGAGCCTGTAGCTTAACATTTGAATTTGAAGTCTCAGATCTCCGACCAACGTCCGAAGCTACTTTGGACGTTCGTGATTGATATGAAGCAGGAACTGGGGTGAGACTCGGACCTGTGATCGACGATGATGTTGACATTAATTTGGTACCTTTTATAATGAAGTCACAAGTATCTGAGACAACCCGATCGCTCAGCGTTGGACTGCAATAATATTACGATTAGCATAAAAGAGAGTGAAGAATCAAAGAACGAAAGAAAGGACCGTGGTATGGCATGATATCCGAAAGAAAGAGACTACGCATGTACCGGCCCAACGAGAACCTGCTTCTGTTTCTTCAGATTCTCAATCGTCTCATCCGACAATTGTAAATGCTCCTTCACCAATTCTGGAGGAGTCAAAGCTAGCCATTGGGCCAAGCTCACGTCTTGGAACCGATCTATGCACGAGTCATTGATCAATGGTGAATGTTTATGTTTCCTGCGTTCATCGAGGAGAACTTACCAGTCTTGAAAATCTCCAAGAAATGCAAAGTGGTGTTCCCCGTGTTCTCCACATAATGTCCTGTCCATCGACCATTAGTCAGTGTCTTAGACCTCAGCTGCGTGATAGGCTCTGACCGTAGGGCGATGGTATATATGCTATATCGCCAGCCTAAAGTTTTTAAAAATCATCAGTGCAGGGATCGCTTTGATGAAGGTTATTAACACCTACTTGATAGTCGAACGTCCGAGCATTGGACTGAGCACCAAACTGAGTCACACGCGCATAACCCTCACTGTAATCGTAAACCGTCAATATTCGACAATGGCGTCCGATAGGGAACGCATAAATCACATGAAGAAGGTCCACTCGTCTTGAGTTGGATGCCACTTAAAAACATAAAATTACACGCATTCGAGTTGAGAGACGTTCAACGGCAGAAAGGAGGATGGCCGACTTACGTGAAGTTCACGAATCGCACCGGGTTCCACCGTAATCTCCGCTACCGCGATAGTCTTGGAAGCCTTGAACGTTGTCGAATCTGCGATCTTTACTGTACCACCAGAATGAATCGTTGGCTGAATCTTGGAGAATTCATACGTGAAAGGCTCAGGTGGGCTCCCTTCGGGGCTGACTGGGGGTTGCGCGTTATCTGCTGGAGGTACTATAAGGGACATGTATCACGATGAGTCGAAAATGGTTTGAGTCGTGCAGGACTGTAACGGACCGCCTGGGAATATGTAAAGCTCTCGTCCCGGAATATGATCGAACGCCGCCTTGTTGGTCTGGAAATTCTTCGCGATGACTTCTTTGGGCACGTGCGCGAGCCAGTCAGTGAGCTTCAAAGAAACGTTACGGCAAGTCAGCTCAGTTCGTCGTTGGAGTGAAAGTTACACAGACCAAGAACGTCCCACTCTCGTCAAAATTGCCATTATCGAACACCTGAAGCATACCATCCGTTAGCCTAAAATCTGATCTAGCATTGCGCAGACTTACCAAAAGGAACTCGGAACCTTCGGGAGAATCTGCTGTCGCTTGTAACGAGTGCGGCTGACCGGGAGGGAAATACCAAAGATCACCGGGATGCTTGAAATTGGAATCAGAATACGACTGTCATAGACTTTTCATAAGACTTAGACTTAGACTTACTGCAGTAGCAACGTAGTTCTGCCCCTCTGGTGTGACAGTACTGATTTGAGTGGAGCCCTGTAGTAGATGTTAGCCATCGTAACACAAAAAGTGGCTATATGCGCACATTGAGAACATAGGCCCACTACGCCAAATCGTCAGCGAATGACATAAGTCTATAATCATGAAGAGATGTACCTCGGCGGTCTTGTGCCAGTGAAGTTCGCTGTCGAGAACAGGGTGAATACAATTGTCAAAGTCTCGGTGCACGGTCGAGAATTTACCGGATCGCACCCGCTTCCAGTTTCATGTTAACTCCAGCGATCTCTGACATATAACTATCAATATCGAAGGAACCGATCTCCAGAGAAGACACACACCAGCTGCGATAGGCAGATCGGAGACTTATGGAAATCAATGTCAGCCGCATCAAAGAACATCATACACGACTAATGTACCTGTCTGCTGTCGCGCCCATCCACCCGTTTGAAGGCGATTGTGGCTCAGCGAGAAGGGCCATTTTGCGTTGGGGCTGAAGGGGACCAAGGTTACTATGGTGAGACTGAAGCATATATAGAAGAACAACGTACATTTTGCCATGATCGGTAGTCGGAGGTGCCATGATGGAAGGATTCTCCAACTCAATTGGGACGTTTTGCGGTCCCAAGATGCTCCCTCCAAGGGTACCTCTCATTGCCTCGGGAATGATCCTAGAGTTCGGATTCCACAGTGGTTCATTTAAGTCGTCGCTAGCGTAAGGGACGGTAGGACTTGGATCGGCGGATGAGGCTGTCGATGTAGGGTTAACTGGAGGTGCTCCTTGAACCTTAGCACCTAGTAAACAAGCGATTATGGCCACATTGAGTAGATCGGAGAATTTCGACATGGTAGGAGATCAGGTCTTAGGGAGAAGTAGGCAGATGGTGGGAGGTGGGAAAGAGGGTGAAAAAATCTGGACTGCAAGGTTACGCGTTTTATTTATTACGGCTCCCATTCCCAGCCGCGTCCGAATAGCAGCAAGTTGGCCACGGCGGGCTCGATCGATCGCATGACGGGACCGACGAGACCGTCACGACCCCAAACGTGTTTGTGGAGGTCTTTTTCGGCTCTAAGATGAGGTGCATGCTTGAGTAATAAAAATCGCCCGAAGTTTATATAAAATGGGTATGAACTTGCTCACCCTCCATTACCCCATTGGCAAGTCAGACCATGGGCCCTTCAGAAAATCAGTAGTAGCTATCCCAATCTAGTCCAGGTATAGCCGGTTGGTCATATAGTTCCATTTGCTTTTGCGATGGCACCTTAAGACAATCCAAATCAAACCTGATAGATCATGTAATAGAGGCAGCACGCAATCGCAATTACAAAGAAACCCCACATGTTTACGTGACGCGAAAGGACATGCAATAGTTATGACTGTACGAGGTTTCCATCATTATGGTCAACGTCGAGTAGCGAAGAGGGATACTCACCATTATATTAAGTGAATTAGGCAGAGACACCTGTATTGTTCACGCAATGTGCATCACACTCAACAGGAGACATGCCCCACCTTCTACCATCCACCACCTGCTTCACTGTTCCCTTCACCAACTCGGACAATTCCGTATTATTCAGTGCCAACAATTCGACGAAAATATCTGCCAAGGTCTCCGGACTAGGTCCATTTTCACTTCGAGACTCGATATCGAGCCCTGAAGGACTCCGGATAATTGGTGTCGCTGTCTCGTAAATCACGAGGTATCCGTCTCCGCAGGTGTCGTATCCCCAAGCAAGGAGCTCCCAGGTGTTATTTACGGCAGCCATGTTGCCCGTACCCACGGTGTCGTACACTGCATCCCACTCCGGACCCAGCGACGGATCCTTTGAACGCCTAGGAGTATCGATAGTGTGTTCGGTGAGTATGGTCGTTGAATTTGCTATTTGGTATGAAACCACGTCATTATTCTGTCCCGGCAGCTTGCTCGATTGAGGAAAGACAGGTGAAGTGTCGGAGTGCATGTTGTGCAAGTGTAGGTAGCTGGGTTCGGACGAGTAGGTCATTTTCCAGTTGCCGTAAAACCAGCCTGGGGGTGGTGGGACCCAGCAAATGGATGACTTGGGATCGGGATTGATGGTGGGAGGCAGACGTGCTTGGACTCTGTTATTGTGACAACGCGCGAGGAACGCAGTGTCTACAATTTGACACACGAGTTAATGGTGTAAACATGTGAAGGATATTAAGCGTACCTGCGGCATTACTCTTGCATTTCACGGAACCGGTAGCTGCGCTCAGAACACAGTCAGGCAGACCCACAAAGATAACGGTCAATAACACTCCGAAGGACCTCATCATAAGACAATGATTCAACGTGAGCGCACCCTGAACGAAGGAGCATATTTTATAGTATACCTCTGGCTGCGGCGCCGTTCGTGTTGTCCGAAAGAAACAAGTCAATACCCCTATTCAGTATTGCTTGTTGATGTTGCTTGTTCAAGATGACGGGATGCCAGAGCAATGTGTTTTTTGGGATTATGATATAGATAAGCAAGTGGATATAGTTCCGAAGCCTGCCCATCTAAACATATTCTGCATCGTGTTTTTGTGGACCGGAGAGGGATCAAGGTCCGGAGTAGAGCCTGCTGAGTGGCGCGAAGTTCGAGGTTGCAAATGATAGGTCGTGACCGTCTACAATGCTATGTAGCTCAACAACGTGACCTTGCGCTCCTCGGAGTTACCGAGGTTGGCAACTTGAAGAGTGGTGATCCGCACGCGCAGTACATCAAAACACGGCCCTGGAGGATAACACAGAGAGAAGTTCAGTACAAGAGGTCAGAGGGCACTTGGGGTGCACGCATGGCAGTTTGCTCTCGTCCAACAGCCGACAGAAATGGAGCCACGTATACCGTCGCTGTAGATGTAGCGCACATTAGAGGCGATATGAAGCCCGAGCAGCAGACGGACTGGACAAGTTGTAGCAATGGATGAGACACAAACGATTCCCAGCTTGAGGCTCTCCAGATCGGACTCTAAGGGTAGAATGTCGGTTAAGAGCAACTCGACTCCTCTAAGAGGAGTGCATAAAGGTTGCTAGCACGGACAAATGGCCCAGTATTCGATATGTTAACTAGAAAGGCTGAAACTGGGTCCAATAATCATTAGTGTCGTCCTGAACTTGAAGGAAAGATCGGCTGGACCATGAAGACGAGTTGCTCTGTTCAATGGGAATCTGCCAGGAATACCATGAAAAACTGTGAGCGGATCAGTTGAAGATCTCCCATTCAGAGTCTGCGTCATATAATCAGTACAAAGCCACCAGTCGTTGTCCAGTCCTTCTAGTACATCGGTTATGGTTGTGGGCACAAATTACTAGTACCAGTTGCCGAGGGTGTTACAGTATAATCTCTACTAGAACAATCATAAATATTTTGTAGGGCAATACAACCGGCTTACTGATCGGCATATTGCGTTCATTATACGATTTATTGCTTGCTTTCGCCGGACTCTCTTTTAACTATACCCTCACGAGTCGCGTCTTCCGTCGCTAGAAGCGAAATGGTCATTCACTAACATATTTTATGGACAGTTTTGATGATCTTTTTGCGCCTTTAAGAGCTCGTGAGCAAAATCCTTTTGCGGATCCTTTTGCTAGACGTTCTCGTTCTCCGGATTCACGGGCATCGCTCAGGCTTCAAGGATAACGATGACGGCAGTGACTCGAGTGCAAGCAATGGGCCACTTGTTGCAAAGGAACCTATGTACTCAAATGCGTTCGATAGTGATGGACTCGGTGACGATTCGACTTCTGTAGACTCAGCTGCAAGAGATCATCCACTAAAAGCATCCGCTACTACTAGCGACCACGAATGGAAGCTTCTTCTGTCACTCTATCTCTAGGCATAACATTTACAGGATTTATGAAAAGTATATCTCACTCTCCGGATGATAAGTTTGGATCTGCATCACAACCGCCTCCATGAGGGCCCTCTCCTCCACCTGCTTTGTCGTCTCATACTGGACAGACACCTCTTTCGCCGACCTCGCCAATACCTACTATGCCTATCCCTGCTCGTACGGAATCCTCCAAACCCTCAAACAGAATATGAGCTTTTTACCCTTTGGATCTACTACCTCACTCGCCTCGTCTACTCCAGCAACAACTGCTTCTCCTGCAAAGCACACGACGTTCTATAACCCGCTGACACACGGGAAGGCAGGACTTTCCAAGAGAAGAGCGGTGTTTTGGCTTCTACAGCTATTGTTCACAGCACTGCAGAACTTCGATCCTACGAAACCGATGAGGCGGATGAGTCTGTTACTTGAGTTCGACCCTTACTGACTTGTGTCACCAGTGGTTCGACAAGCGGAAGATCCGTCTGGATAGTCTAGAACTGCGGCTCTGAGGTTTGGTCAAGACAATCGACCAATGTCTCGCAACAATTAGCTCGTTAGTCGAAGCCTCCCCTTGCCGGCGGGATGATTTCACTATTCGCCGGCCTCTTGACGCCAGTCATATTACAATATTAAAATGCGTACTACAATATTCCGTCCCCAGTTCCAGAGCTCTGCCACGTTGAGAATCTGCTTCAAGCCATTTCTAGCCCCCGCTCAATAGAGAAAATATCTCTTTGAGCATTCATACCTTTGCAATCCAAGACTGACATCATCTGCGAACAGCTGGTCCCGCCTTCATCGAAACCCGAGTCCTTTGGCTCAGCCTCCGATTTCTTTCTCGAAACATCCCGAGATGCGAAAGAAACCATGCTTGGCCATAAAGCCAATGGCGTAAAGCTTCTTTAAGGGCGCCCTGAGGGGTAGCCTCCCTGATGGGCTCTACTAGCGATGGATCTATGCCAGTGCTTTGCATAGTGTCTGTGAATGACACTGCCAAGGAGGACTTAGAAGTGGAAGCATCTTTCTACCATGGGAACTTACAGGAGCTGCAGGGAAAATGTGTCCCACATTTCTACGGCTTATTCAAGGCAGAACTCAGTGGTGATTGACATTACACACTTCTACTGCTTTCGCTGGGTAGACCCCTGCCACTGGCAGAATATGTATCCAATTTATCAGAGGTGGATCTGGAGATCAGGTATTTTGTTTTTCATCTCATGACATCCAACATTTGAGAGCAGCAAACTAACTTAACCCGTAGGAAGAAGGTGCTATCTCATTTGGTTGAGCTGCATAAGGCCGGCGTGAAACACGCTGACTTTTGTTTGCAAAATGTCATTTTATCACCTGAAGGCCAACCGCTCATCGTAGGGTTCTCTGTGGCTCGTGATCAAAAATGTAAATTTCTCGTGCGAGGGAAAGGTCTTGATGATTTGCGTGTCGGAAATTGGGCGCAGTCAAAATATGACATTCAATGCAGGGAACTTCATGATGCATGTTTTGACTTGATGGAGCTGTGGGTTCCTAGTGAGTGAACATGCCTGGAAACTACGTCACTACAACTTACACATGCATATTTTACAGAGTATGTGTCTCTCGTTGAATGGTATAATCCGCTTAAGGTTAGTGGGTTGCTATATCCCGAGGCCCTCGCAACCCAAGCCTTAGAGGAGTACGGACTTCCAAGGGACGTCACCATACCCGAGGCAAAGAAGATGCGGCGAGAGTTTGAGGCACAGTATGGCTTCTTTTTGCGACATCTTGAATGGGAGTTTGATGGCGAGGTGAAGTATAAAGAAAGGAGGAATGTGCAAACCTGTGTATACGGCGTCGAACTTGAATTGGCGTTGTCGATTGGAGGTCTCCAACACTTCACGTGTACCAGCGAATGACTCATGGCCGATGTTGGAGAATATGGCAAGTTTGTATTTCGCGAATAGGCATCCGAGAGCTATATGAAATGGAGGGAAGGAAGTTTCACGACCATTATTCGTGAGAAAGACAATAACTGCAGTTTATGAAACTTGTCAAGAACAGCTTGAGTGGTCTTTAAGTTTGCATCGGTGACAAAACTGATGGTAGTGTCTATGATGTTGTCACCATGCACCTTCAACTACAGTACATGTCTTACTGGCACAAATTTCTGAAATGGTGTTAAGAAATTACTGATCGCATGCACTATCTAAAGCGCGAGTCTGGATTCTCTAGTGAAAGTGGAGGATCACAACAAAAATTTCGCGAACGATTATTGAGTGCACTGAGGGGGAATTGAACCCCCGGCGGGTCGAGACAGCATGGCAACGACCCAGGTTACCACTACCCCATCAGTGCCTGCTTTCGACAAGCATTTTCATTCATAATGATTGAGATTCAGCCTTACTCCAAGAACTTCGAACTTCGAAGCTGATGTGAAAAATAACGAACGCAGTCATACATCTAATACATCACGTTGCAGCGAGACATCGTTCTCCTACATATTACAATATCCTCTCACTTTCTCGTGCAAATGTCTATCTCCCGTCGTAGCGGTCATCATTCTTCCATATCCGGAATAGCAGGAATGACCGACTTCAACCATGTCTTTAGGTCTTCCACTTCTTGTTCACATACCGTATGTCCGAGATCTTTATAGGAGTGGAACGAAAGCCCAGTCGGGACGCCGGAATTTGAGTCACTTGCAGTTCGGATACCTAGCTCACTCTTGATATAGTCCACTGGAAGAGTTACGAAGACGTGAGCGACAAAAGTAAAAGGAGGGAAAGTTGATGTGCTGACTCGATAAGAGACCTAATTTATACTCGACTATAGGATCCTCCGTACCATGACCCCAGAAGATCGGCAGTTCTTTAATATGATCGGAGATTGGAAGCTATCATGCATACATTTAGCACAACGTCCGTAGTTTGGAGTCTAAGTATTCAATGAACTTGACTGCTCACAGACTTGAACTTGTTTCTCAGTGGCAAGCGTCCACTTAACACTATAAGCCCGCCCAGTCGATGTTTCGTCGTAAACCCAGTAAGAAGAGTCATGGCGGCACCCTGGCTAAGGCCACCCAAAATGATTCGGTCAGCGGGAGTCCCACTCTCAATTTCAGCGGTGATAAGGTCGTCGATTGCTTTAGCACTTTGCAGGATATCTGTTTCGTCTTCCGTGATGGGGTTCATGGAAGTTATGTTATACCTGCATGTGGTGTCACCGTCAACTCCCAGATGCAGCAGATCTGCAAACACAATAGGAAGCTCACCAAGAAGGCATGTATACGCTGTTGATCGTTACATATCGTCGCGGTCTAAATATTCGATCATCAATAACGCGGCACTGAAGGAACTAAAACAACTTACGCGTGAGGCAAGACCCATTTCACGCGATTTAGTTCAGGGTCCTTGCTCATTACTTCCGCTAAAGGCCGCCATCCAAATCCAGTATCGCCGAGTCCCTACAACACGGATTCTCAGCGAACGAGCCGCAGAACACCACGACTACTCGTACATGTACAAATATCACCGTAGCTGTATGTTTCGTTCGAGGAGATACTGATAGGTAATCCAGGGTTCTTCCTGGCATTCTGTGATGTTGCGATTGGGTTGACTGATAACAGATGGACGAGGCGACGTGAGAGCGTTAGGATAATAGGACAAGAGTAAACAGAACACCCGAGTCATGCATATCAAAACGATAAGCATGAGAACGTGCCAAAGACACGCGCGGAAAACGAGGAAGCGGAGGTGGGTGTGACCGACGACAAACATTGGTTCTCTAGCGTAACATGACGGACAGCGTAGCCTTTATATCCATTTTGGTGGCTTCGGAGCAACGTCAAATTCTGTCATGGAACATAACCGTCCCTCACCGGTGAGTTTTATACATACAATTAGTTTCCATTAAGTTCGGGTAGAATTCAGAGCGTTCCGGCCATGACATTGAACACGAAGACGCGTTACGAAGATCGCGTGAATGGACACTCTCGATAGAAGGAAACAAGGTCACATTGGCAGATATCATTATTGGAAGAAGTACAGGCGGGTGATATCGATAGCACTTTGACCGCAAGCCACAGAACGAGGACGTAAAGATTCCCAGCGACAACAGACGGCCACAGCGAGACCAAGCAAGGACGCGAAGAGAAAGTCTCGACGCGACCAGAGACCAAGCGTATTTGCACGACTATATTTAGACAACCGATGAAACTCAGTCCAACTCCGCAGCATTCAGCCACCATGCCGCCGCTAAATTTAGGTATGACCAGTGGGAGCGGGTCAGACTCCGCATGATGCCGACGCTTGCCGACTTGGTGAGGACGATCGTGCGGGGTAAGGTCGTCAGACAAAACCCGCTTGGATAGGACATGCTCCTCGTCACGATGAACTCTACAACTCTCCAGCTCTCTTTACGGTGACAGACACGACTCACACTACTTATTTTCTGGTAAGATACAGCCTAGACACCGTGCTTGTCGCCGTCCGACACATACACAGCAAAACAACACCGAACGTACTCCAGGATGTCTCGAATACGTTCGGACGTTCAATCTGCAAGAACGTCAGGGAGGGCTCATTCGGTACTTGAAGTATCCAGTCAATCATCAGGCATTCTGGTAGGTTACCTATCCAATCGGCTGAGCTTCGTGGAGTGACATCATTGTATACAACGACTGTCCTCAGGTTCGCACGAGTAGGTTCCTCAAGAAAGTCTCCAACATTCGAGGGAGTCGCAAGAAGACCACCAACGATGTGAACGACTCAACACACGATGCAGCAGCTTTTGCTGCCCGTTCCATGGGTCTCGGTCGCAAGTCCTTCGGCTTCTCGCAACCCGTCCTCGGAGTTCACACCAGTGAAATGGCCAACGGACGAGTGCTTTGTGACACGGAGGATGATTCGGACGGTTCGCCTCGAAGCTCAAATGCCCACGTGTCTAGCTCACGATTGCGGTTGTTCGTAAACAAGTCTCAGCTTCCACAGGGTTCCGATACAGCAAGTCCATCAAGCGGAGGCCCTTCAGTATCTACCACTACGTCAAGCCAGCCTTCATCTTCCAACACTACACCGAGCCCCCCGTCGAATGCATCATCTTCGCCCCCATCATTACCCCCAACCCATCGCTCGACCTCATCTTGGTCTCGTTTATTCGGCGACAGGTCTCAGTCCAGTGCGAAGGCAAGTGCGCCTCGAGCTGGAAGGTCTCATTCAACAGCACCTTCGATAGCTTCTAATCCTCAAGCTACTCTAGCTACTATACCCGACTCTGCCCTACCAAATGGTATTCCTCGATCGTCTTCACCATCACCAGCACGGGTTGGTCCAGCACCAGATGGTCTTCCCCGCAGTTCGGAGCCATCGTGGGTTCCAGATCCTACGAAACATGCCCCACTGTCATCTCCAGAGATAGTCCAGGACATCGCTCCAAGTACTTCAAGTGGACCAGGTACAACCGCAGTGCCCTCCTCTTCCCTCTCCAATGACGTACCCGGTCTGTCTGAGCATGTAGTGCGACCCTCCGGCGTTCTGTCTGGCGAGCCCCCACCGCGTGAATCCCATGCGGCACCCGTTCCGTCCTCACCTTCTGGCATTCTGTCGGGTGATGACCGCGTGTCTGTGGTGATGGATACGCGTAGTCAATCATTACCCTCACGACATATCGTATTGCCGGCGGCAGCCACGCCGTCTTCACCACTTGTCGCATCTACCTCACCATCCTCAACTTCAGATGAAGCGATACCTCGAGTTGACCAGAAGCGCGATAAGTCTTTGCATCTTCGACTGGCGTCACTTCCCCCACCCATGATGGCGCGCTATACTGCGCAAGGAAGCACACGCCTGACGCCTAGCGTAATACCCCGTCCAACCCCGATGCCTATTTTAAACCTGCCAGTGCTACATCTACCGGTGTCTGCACCTAGTCAGCCTCAAGACGACAGGGGAGGAGGAGCACCGTTGAGGAGCATGCCTGCGTTACCGTTGACAGGACCGAGAGACGATGAGAACCCTGATATGGACGAGGAGGGATCGGACTCTTCGGACGATGATGACGAGGCGCAGAATTCCCTAAATCGGGAAGAAGGCGGAAGTGACGATGATGATATTGACGGAGATGACTGCACACCTGCTAACCGGAGTCGCATTGAGCTTCCGCGTATGGTAACGTCCCCATTTTCGATCTCGTTTGGTCCGAAGTCTGCGAGTAGAACGCCGAAGGCTGAACGGCCTCTGACGTTGTACTTTACGCCTACCGGAGAAGCTCAGCCAACTCCGTTGGCAGGTCCAAGTAGTCAACCTTTAGACTATTTCTCTGTTCCGAAGCAAGAAGCCGAGCCGGGGTTGAAGACACCGCGACCTGTAGACTTCTCGATATCCAAACCAAGAGTCGATGTTGGTCCAAGCAAGGAAGGTCCCGGTGGCCCTGGCATGATACCCCGAATCGTACCCATGCCGCCAACACCTACTTCACCTAAAGGACGAAGACCACCAAGGATCACAAGACCTTCAACGGGGACGGGGCCTTCTGAGGTGTCGCGTTCGTCGCGTCCGTCTTTATACCAGCATGGGTCACGAAGTATGATCGATCTCGTCTCGCATACTTGGCAGGAGGAAAACTCCTCAGAACCACGGAGTGCTCGTCTGGAAGCTATCCCTTCAGATGTCGCAGTTCAGGCGAAGGCTTCAGAAGTACAGTCAGCTCCAACGCCAACATTACGAAGACAACGTTCATTGCCGATGTATCAACCAGATTCTGAGCCTCCACCCTATCCTTCGTTCTTTCAAAATCATCGCCAACATATCATCCAACCTCGAGAAGAGGAAGGCAGGGAACCACTTCCGGTATATAGTAATTCGGTGTTCATGATGGGTATGATGCCTCGGAAGATGGAATTCGTCGCTCCCGGTGTGCAGGCAAAGGAACGAAAGTGGCGAAGGGTCATCGTCGTGTTGGAGGGTACGGTCATGCGAATATATCGCACTCACGGCGCTGGTATCGCTGGGAAAGGCGGTAAAGTAGGTGAATGGTGGGAACGTACGGTTGGTGCGAGTGATTGGAGTACTAGTGATGGTGTTGGAGGACTGACAGGGTCACAGGGTGGTATTCGCGTCAGTGCGATTAGGGATAGGGAACGAAGGTTACAACTTCAGAACCCACTGCCAACAGATTCATCGCCGCTCAAACCGAAAGGAGAGGAGCATGAGGCTGAGGAACCGAGGCAGCAGCAGCCATCGCCGACAAGATTGCGGTTCCAGTTGGCTGCGAACCTCTTGCACCCTTCGCGATCAAGTAACCTTCACAGTAGCAACAGTAGTCCCAATGCTTCGCGCTCGGGGCTTGCTGTACCCTCAGCTAGTACTCGATCACGGTTAAGTTTTGATATACCTCGTGAACGAGCAGAGGATCCTCCACCTTCAGGACGACGTTCTATGGATGCTCTCAGGTCGACGCCTAGTTCGAGTTCTCGTAACCTTGCAGAAGGAGAGTCTTTCGGTGCATCAAGCTCACGTTCAGCTATGAATGGGAGCTCGCGAACGTCCTCGATTCTTGATATAGCCTCGTCTGCTTCCTCGATGTCCCGCTCATCATCGACTACTGCCAAAAATAGTATCTCCTCATCTGATCCTAATCAACTGAATCTACCTGATGCTAGGGATCTGGTTCGTTCGTATACTCTTCAGCATGCTGAGAGTGGTCTTGCTAGTGATTATACGAAACGGAGGAATGTCATTCGTATCAGGATGGAAGGAGAGCAGTTTTTGCTTCAAGCTAGGGATGTCGCTAGTGTGATCGACTGGATCGAGGTTAGTGGTTCTTTCCATTGAATACGTATACCTAAGGCATTATGCTGAAAGAAAGATGTCGAAGGCTATTCAAGCTGCAACGAATATCGCGTTGGATCTTGATGAACGTCCGATGCCTAAAGGCCCTCTTTTCCCTCGGTCAGTGGTGGATGGTTGTTACTTTTCAAAGGCATATAACTTACTTGTTTCTGGTCTCGTATTTTATGTAGGCGTCGAAGAAGACGAGGCCGTCGTCCTGGGACCGCAGGACAAGACACGGGACAGTCACGCGATCTTGGCCATGCTCCTACTTCGTCATGATATTTCGCTTTTACTTCCATCTCACCACTTCACCACCTCATCCTTACGTCCTGTACGTTCTGTAATGACCTCGATGCACTGCAACGACTGGACTCTCCCCACTCATTCATATATCAAGACACGATCTATACCGTCCCATTCATTTCGTACACTTTTTTGCTTGATCGTTTCGTTTCGTATTGTAGACACGTCATTTTTTTTACCCGTTCATTTGTTCCCTGTCACCCACACACAATGACTCTTTCTTCCTTTTTCATCGCTTTCCGCTTTGCAGAACTCGTTGTGCTTTTTTTCACTCTGGTTATTATACCTGTATACGATTACACTACTATACGACGCTTGGGTTCTACGTTAATGCTAGCACTCATATGTGCAGAGTTTCAGGCGGGATGCATTCAATCGCGTGAGTAGTGTGAACTAAGACCGGGGGCTGGCCGGGAGTGCAAAAGCGTGGCGCCCTAAGTCAGCCCTTGTGAGTGACAGGGGCAAGTATGGACTTGACATACTGTGTTTGGTCTCAGATCGGGGTATACAAGTGATCATCACGACCATCATGACAACGATATATGACCACTATGACCCTCAAGAGACCTTGGATCGATCGGCTACTTGACTACTTGAATGACAATCACCTCGCACTTTGCTAACCAGGTGTCTGCTAAATCATATAAGTCGTTATTACCACTCGCAAGAAACGGCCAGACCCCTCGAATTCCTAAAATATTAGACCACTTGCAAGACACATACGGCCAGTATACCAGTGGCAGAAACGCTTTTTGGATTTCCTTGACGAATCCGGGATCCATGAATATATATCATCCCGCCAATTACGCCACTCTTTGAAATCGTTTAGATGTTAGTACTTCGCATAGTAAGCAAGAGGTTATGTCCATGCACCCCTAGATCTCGATGAATGCAGCAGTGAAAGTGAAAGCAATCCAACATGAATCAACCATGCGAAAAACAAGAAGAGGTCTCGATCAACTTGTGAACTTCTTCGTCAGAGTAGATCGGTTCTAGCGCCCCAATAACCGTAATAAAGAGGGACTCAAGGGCAGAGATACAACATGGGATGCTAATCAGGACGCGACAGAGCCAGTTGTGCTCTTGAAGTGCAAATCCGAGGTGTTCAGGGGAGATTTGGATCGCCAGACACTTGAGGCGACATTTCGGCTCCTGCGAACTCTTGACCTTCGTTACGTTGTGGCTGGCCTGTGACGCATCGAAAATATGAAGATTGGGATTCACACATGCGAGATTTGGCAACGTGCAAAGGATTCGAAGGAGATCTCGGCGTTCCATTGCCATGTCATGGAATGCCAATACTGTGACCATATGTGAGAAAGGCGTTAGGGCTGTAGGGCTGTTCGGAAATACTTGTGTTGAAATATGTCCGTACAACCGACAAAGCTAAGGGCTCGGATATCTGGGAGTTGTCTTGGACCAGTGAGCCGCAACAACGCTATAGCTGCCATAAAGGAGTCATAGAAGACCAATACATGAACACCCTTGTGGAGTTCAACGCTCTTTCGAAGAACGTCGACGACGCGAGCACGACGTAAAGAACCAAACTGTATGTCTCCATATAGGTAGTAGTAGCTTCGGGGCCGCAAGGCCTTGCACGTCAGGGCACAGTTTCGCAAAGTGAGGCAGACCATCTCGTAGTCGAAAACATCCCTGAATGTGGATGTCAATAAGAGATCAATCCCAAGGTGGTCAACGATAGACTCCGCAATTTCGATGGGAAGAATTGGTTGACCAATCGGATAGTCGAAGTTTTGTTAGTGAAGCGTATTGCAGGATGCATGGAGACCCATTGGGACGTCGGTAGGTGGTGGTTGAGCCACGAGAAGGGCCTAGAAAAGAGGGGGCGGGGGTTAATTTAAGGGTAATGCGACCCATTTATCCGAACTTGAAGCCATCTATGAACGACGGATTGAAATACGGCGACGGTTCCGGATAACGGCTTGCGCAGCGTGGCAAAATGGGCGTAATGCAAGGAGGCTTGAATCATCTATATCACTCATTGCACATCCCAAGTGCCTTCGAAAGTATATGTGACATCTAGTTGGCTGGTCACCATGAGAGCGCGACCTGTTCTGAATCGATGAGCCGAAGGGACATAAGTATGGAGGCGGTATGTGTAAAAACATTCCGTAAGCCTCAGGAGCATGCTAGAAATGCAGGCGCCTGAAATTAACAGATCGATCGCATTGATGGCGCTAGAGACGTGTGGGCGCCGCAGGCTCTTCACCGCGGCGTTGACCTCCCAAAGTCAAGTCAAACTATCAATCTTAACACGTCTGAGTTATACATACAAAGGACAAGGATATCGCCCCGGACGTCTAATATTGTTCCCCAATAGTAAGTAGCACAACGTACCCCCAGATATGTATGATTACTCACCAATCACTGGGCTCCTGGGAGATGGGCATCTACGGGAACCTGAAACGCATACTCGAGAGTATCGATTCTTGCCTCAAGGAGGACGAAGGTGATACCATTAGCCTGCTTCAGCGTCGAGAGATCTCCAGACGAAATATCCTACCATGTTGTATACCGATCTCATCTCCTGAGCACGTAGGGCTATCCATGCGACTCAAAGGCGAGCCGTCTCATCCAGAGACACTCCGAAAGCAACCATAGCGGCCTCATCAGCTCATTTGAGACACCCTTGAGTGACCTTACTATCGGTATGTCTGTTTCAGCGAGAACTGGGCTTGATCCACATGGGGCAGACCATGGCGCCTTTTGGAAAGCATACCTCTTGGCCTGTCTTTCCTGATACCATTGCCGCGCTCCCGTATATCTCCAAAAAAACTCAAGCTTGCCGTATTCTTTAACGTAGACTGTGAGTCTTTTTCAGGTACACGTGAAATGTTGGAGACCTCCGATTCACAACATCAGCTCAGGTTCGACCCACGAAGACACATTTCTCTTTTTGTAGCCCTTGACCACATTCCCGGGAAACACTCGACTGGCGCAATAATTGCACATCACTCTTTTACGCGCAGTACCAACTTCTTACAACTGTTCTCGAAATTCATGTCAGCAGCGCGGATGTGCATCCGAAAGATCGAGGAATATAAAATATACCGCTCGACTGTGAGAGCTTCACTTTGTTGCTCTTTTTCTCACTATGCTACTGTTTTTATGTCTGATGTACTCTCATACTGTAGCTGCGAATTCCGAAGATGATATCGAAATGCGACGACGGAAGCGCTTCCCATACAGATCACAACAATCGCACCAATATCTCTAGCATCCATGACTCGACGAACACCTCTGTATGGGTTTCACTGAAAGCTGCTGTTTCGTTACTGCTGTGTTCTCGCCTTCTAACCCGAACACTACTGATTGTACTCACTTTTTTATTATTAGCTGTCCTCAAGGCTGTCTAGTATGTCGTCTATTCAAATAGCTCACCTACATTCTCCACTCGGTCTCATCTCATGAACCTTAACCGCTTCTCCCGGCTTATATTTATGGATCAACGAACCCCGTCATTTCGTTGCCTAATATTCTGATCTGTCAACATACGTCATGTCATAAACCGAGGAAGGCATCATGCAGCGTCACGAAGATGTATATAAGAAGTATCACTGTCTTCTGCCTGACGTGCACGTTCTGCTTCCCCACTCTCCCCCCCCTACAATGAGGATCTTGCGCTAGTCACTGTAATCTTCGCAGGAGTTTTTGACTGCGTTCTATGCACTCTCACTGATCCTGAAAGATGCAGGAACTCGACGGCAGGTATGTACGATCCTCTGCGAGTTTACTCCAATGAGTCATTTTCGAATTACAGATATTGCATCTCTCGCACCTTGCGCCAATAGCAAAGCCCGAGCTCGTCTACCTCCCACCATCAATCCCAACCCCAAGTCAGCTCTTGACTGGATCGCGCCACCTCCAGGCTGGTTTTACGGCAACTGGAAGGTGACCTACACGTCCCAACCCACCTATCTTCCCTTCGATAACATGCAATACGATTCTTCCCCTGTCTTTCCGCAATCAGCCACGTTGCCTGGGCAGAACAACGACTTAACTTCGTACCAGACGGCAAATTCCTCAACCATACTCACTGTGTATGGTATCGATACACCTAGACGTTCAAATGATCCCTCGCTAGGCCCAGAGTGGGATGTAGTGTACGATTTTGTGGGCATGGGCAACCTGGCTGCCATAAATAATAGCTGAGAGCTCCTTGCTTGGGGATACGACACTTGTGGCGATGGTTTTCTAGTCATTTACGAGACTCCCGTGGTCTTCACTGGTGCTCCTTCGGGGCTCGATATTGAGTCTCGGAGCCAATATGGACCTAGTCAAGAGACGTTGGGGGCCATCTTTGAGGCGTTGACGGCCTTGAAGAATGCGGAGTTGTCTAGGTTGGTGAAGGAGACTGTGAAGCTGGTGGTGGATGGTCGACGGACGAAGATGCCTCCAGTCGAATGTGATGCAGCTTGTGTGAACAATACGGGTATCTCTACCTAACGTCGTTCAATATAACTTGCTTGTGATGCATCAAGTGCTTTGCTTGATGGAGGTATCTTGGAAGACGATCTCGCACATTAAACTTTCATCTTTTGCAGAATGCGTTTGATATGTAGAACTAGGCCTGCTTTTCCGACCATTAACACCTTGCCGACAGCTGATTACACGCAGTGATCGGTGTTAAATTACAGCTCAGTTGTTCTTTGAATCACGTATACAAAGTCGTTCCTCATTCGTGTTGATTTCTACATGAAGATGCTATCACCACCGGATGACTATTTGTGCACATTGCTGGCTCCGGGAGGCCGCATTAATATTTGAAGCCAACAAGGTTACATAGCTATGAGATTTGAACTTGGTATACCTGATTTGGACTGACAGGCAGTGTGGCGAGCCTCAAGACCAACTTATCCATCAACCACCATGATTCCCTTGCCTCAAGAGCTTCTCGACCAGATTCTTGACCAACTGTATGACGATATGAGGACCTTAGGCTCATGTGCACTCACCTCGCGCAGCCTCCTAGATAGAAGCCGCCATCATCATTTCCGAATGATAGTTGTGATCACCGAGCCTCCAAGCCACAAAAGATGGAGTGAATTCCTCGAGTTGATTGTTCATCCTGATTTCTCAAAACATATACGCTCCTTGGAATTACTTTTTTTTGATTGGAATTATAGCGTCGACGGTTGCCTCGCCATCTCCCTGCTAGACTTTCAACGTCTCCTCGATCGGCTCCCATTCTTGCAGGATTTGGACATGCAAGGGGTCAACATAACTGCATCCGGATGCACTTCCCCCAATGATATCACAGAGAACCGGCTGCATAATCTAGATTTGCGCCAGTGTTTCTTCAACGAGATGTCCACAACGCTTCCAGGGCTTCTGCACCTTTCAAGTCCGCACTCTCTATCGCTGTCTAATCTACATTCTGTTGAAACCGAGCCGCATGCGCTGGTTGTACACCATGCTGTCACACCGGGTATTGCGTCTCCTGTGGCTCATCTTCGCTTGGGGAGGATATCGGCGAAATGCCTGAAGATCCTGCGCCTGGCCATATCCAGTCAAACACTTGTAAAGTTTACTTTCGGGATAGACATCTCTGGAGACGAGATAAGCAGTCTGGGGGATCTAATTAATCATATTTCCCCATCTCTGCGCGAACTCCGGTTGACGTTACCCATCAACTCATTGGAGCATGCCAAATGGTTCAACAGTGAGTAATTATCCATTGCTTCGCTTACTCTATATTTATGCTTCATTCTCAGGGAGACATATCCCGTGGCATCTCATACACTTGTCATCTACCCGTCAACTGACCTCTCTGGTGTTAGACTTCGATGTCTGGGGTATCTTCGAACAGGAGTGGGAAATGCCCACGCAGGTCATCCTAGCTCTTCTCCTGACTCTTCCCCTGACTCTTCGACAAATCAGGATTGAGATAACATGTAATCTTACCAATTCGCTCTCCTTCCTGAAGCAGGCTGCGTTGAAAGAATGTCTGCATCGATTTCCAGATCTGGATAGCGTGGTATTTGGTTGGAAGCTCTGTGGTTATACGAAGGACGAATGCATTCAATTGGCAACTCGAGTTAAAACACTCTTTCCGGATCTCGAAGCGCGTGGCTTTTTTCATCATGAATTCTGACACTTAACAAGCACACACGCCATCCGAGGGGTCCGTATCTGCACCGACAGCGTTTATCATACCCAAAAGTTTGCCTGGGTTTCATCCGGAGGGAGTTCCACAGACGGACAACATACCAAGGAGCCTGCATTGGAACCGATATGTCAGGACGATTTACATCGGCTACTCGATTCGGTGAAATTTGTTGTTCGCTTGGAACACTGGAGTTGGTGAAACTGCCACCACACCGATGTCTATGGCACAGGACGCTCAGCAAGCGAAGCAGGGTCAGGGTACCCTGCATCACGAGTGCTTTGTGGAACAAATGTTGGTGTGCGGGCCAACCTTGCTAGGAAATAGATGCTGTGAACACCAGGAAGATACGTGGTATGGGGGAGGGCGACAAGAAGACACACACCCCATTCCTGGTGAATGGGCTCATAGGTGATGATTTCGTACCCGTACGCAAGTTTCTTCGCCCATTTTCATGAGAAGTGCAAGGACTATAGGCTACGTAAAAAACAATGCCACGGGATATACAGCGATCGAGTATGAAAAGGTTCAATATTCAATATCCTTACATTCCGATCCCCATTTCGATCACAGTCTGCCTGTCACCAGTTTCCAAATCGATACCTTATTCCAGTTTGGATCATCCTGTGTAGTAGGCTTTGCATTCTGTCGTTGCTTCACCCACTGTTCGAACGAGGTCAGTTCTGGGAAGAACGCCTTAGTCTCTGTGAGATGGGCGTCGTATCCGTTTGGGTCGTCGGTGCGTAATTTGTGGACGCGTTCGAAATCTTTGATCCTATAAGGGTAGAATTGAGTGGCCGCAGGGTAACAGGAGACTAGGAGAGATACGGAAGGACATAGACTCACAGCTCCTTTGTAGCGCTATTAATTGCTAACAACAACCGTCCAAGAAAGTTCGGTATTGAGGGTATGTGTTTGCCTGTCGCCCGAACGTAGGCTGCGTCCATCTCGACCGGAGTAAGGATGTCGCTTGTCACGACGAAAATCTTGTGTGTACTTGATTGAGGGTTCTATTGGCTTTCAAGTCAATCCTACTGTGGGCACGTATGAGCGCGGGGGAAGAAACTCGAAAACATACCTGAAACGTTGCTGCTGCTAGACGGCCAATGTCGTCGGCGGCCTAGTACAGGTAAGGATCGAAATTCCGCAGGAGTGACGGAAGGTGGACTTACCACCATTTGAATCTTCACATCCGGCTTCAAACCACAATGAAGCACAGTGAAGGTGATCCTCCCGATAAAACCATCGAGGTTCTCCATGAAGAATGCCGGTCTCAGGATTCTGCATACATCAAACGTCTCAGTTCAGCATAGTCCACGTTCACGTTCCAGGAGCCTCATTCCGAGTATAAGTGTTAGAAAACTCACGTCCAATTCAAACCCTTTTCACCTAGTGATCTTACATGTTTCTCAATCTTCACCTTCGCGGCGCGATCGAGAATGAGATCTTCGTCAAACGTTTCACCCCCTCGTTCGACGGACGAGAACACGAAATGCACAACTTCGTATTCCAGAGACAAGTCCGCCATCATCTACAGTATATGCAGAAGACCTTATTCAGCACGGTTCGCCTGTAGTAAATCACAGAAAACAACTCACGATTCCCTGCTTCTCCTCCCCGTCTGCATTCGCACCCAACCCAGGAAACGCAAGCACAACAAACACGCCCCATATGCTCCCTTTCCCACCGGCATCTTCAAATATCTTCCTGATCGTTTCTGGCTTATCCAGGTCTCCTTGGACCAATTCTACATGTGGATGAGACTTCAGGGGAAGGGCGGAGGGACTGGACGGGTTGCGCGTTAGAGCGAGAATGCGGAAATCTGAGTCGCGTAGAGACGAAATGAGAGCGCGGCCTTGTTTGCCTGTTGCGCCTGTGACGAGGATCTTGCGGTCCATGGGGCCCTCGGTAGTCATTAAGCGTGTTAACTGGGTACACACGCGACACTAATGTCTGTAGTAGCTTCGAAAGCTCAAAAAGTTTCTGAAGGAGGCAGAAGTTGGTGCGCGCATCACGGTCTAAAAACAACTTACAAGTATCAAGTTCCTTCACTCTCTAAGGCTGTCAGTTACTGGACTGACAGCTTGGACTAGCATGAGCACAGAAGAGTAAAGCACGCTGTGAGAGTTGCTCATGACAGTCAAACGGCGCGAGGATAGCCTCGAGATGTTGGCATGGCATGCTTCCCTGGAAGAGGTCGGGCCATACCGAGAACATGTTTAGAGAGATTGATTTATATTTGAGCACTAATTGGGCCTGACTACATACTGAATATCCAAATTAAATATCATACATCGTTCAGCCATACAAATCGAATACAAATCCGAGTGTACTAAAAACGCGACAGAAAGTGGTAAAAAAGGGTCACAAAAGGATACCTAGCGTAATCCGTATTCTTAGAATTTCTTACCAGTGCTGCATTCAAGGCCTTACCCATTTCAACGTACCATTTCGCTTTCCGATGGAGGCCTCCCCGTCAGTAGTTTCCAAATCCACATACTCAGAGAAGAACTTGAATTCGCATTCGTTCGCTGCTTCATCCATTCTTCGAACGAAGTCATATCTGGCAAGAGTGCTTTTGCTTCCGCGAGATGGGCATCGTAACCATTAGGGTCTTCGAGGCGCCTTTGGTGCATACGCTCCATGTCTTGCATCCTAAGTACCAAGCCTTTGAGTCAGCGCCCAATGAAAACACATGAATGATATGGAGAAAGCATGAAATTGAGTCTAAGAAGAAAAGAGGACTACGACCAGGACAGAAGAAATGCAGGTGCACGGGAGAGGAAGACTTACGGTTCCTTCAATGAACTGCCAATGGCCAACAATAATCGACCTAGAAAGTCCGGTATGCACGGCATATGCTGGCCTGTTGCACGAATGTGTGCCGCATCCATTTCAGATGGAGTCAGGATGTCGCTTGTCACGACGAGGACTTTATGCGTGGCTGCTTGAGGATTCTATCATCCGTATTTAATGTCATTGAACACCGATATGTTTAGCACAGGTGAATATAAGATAACACGTGCTTTAAACACCTCTGCTGCTAGACAGCCAATGTCATTTGTTGCCTGTGACAGTGTCAAGAGAGATTGATCTGAGAAGGGATCCGTAGAAGAGCGCACCATCAACTGAACTTTCACATCCGGTTTTAGTACACATCGAAGTAGAGTGTAGGTAATCCTCCCAGCAAAGCCGTCGAAGTTCTCCATGAAGCACGCTGCTGGCCTCAGGATTCTATCAAAAGCAACGGAGGGCGACGGTTCAGCTCCGATCGCTGTCCCCCATCTAAATAGAGGGGGAAACGTATATAGAACACTCACGTCCAATTGAGACCTTTCTCGCCCAAGGACTTCACATGTTTTTCGATATTCACTTTGACCCCACGATCGAGAATGAGCCCTTCATCATCCGAGTTGGCGCTCCGATCAACTGAGGAGTACACAAAGTGTCCGACTTGGTATTCAAGAGCTAGTTCTGCCAACAGCTGCAGATACAAAAGTGTGTCACGAATATTCATCTAATCCCGAAGCACAAGGAACAATAAAAGAAAGGACATACAATTCCTTGTCTCTCCTCCCCGCTCGGATTTACTCTCATTCCAGGAAAGGCCAGTACAGCAAACACACCCCAGATACTTGCCTTTCCGCCGGCATCTTCAAATACCTTCCTGATTGTTTCTGGTTTATCCAAGTCTCCTTGGATCAACTCCACATGCGGATGAGCCTTCAGAGAATCGGCTGAGGGACTAGATGGGTTGCGCGTTAGCGCAAGAAGTTGGAAATCTGAATCGTGGAGAGATGATATGAGAGCGCGGCCTTGCTTCCCAGTCGCCCCTGTGATGAGGATCTTGCGGCTCATAGCGTCTGCAGATGTGCTCGTGTACACGCGCGTGGGCGACACTGACAGGATGTATATTAGTTCTTGAACGCTTCTACGTTTCTAGCTTTAGATACCTAATGAGAAGTCCTTTCGGAAACGTATGCACGGTGAGAATGGTACATGTCGAAACTTCTGGTGACGGACTTACTTACCAGCAATATCTCAACCCCTGTTAGCGGGGAGTCTCACGATATTTTCGGTTTCGCCGGTATTATTTGTAGCTTGAGTGTCAAAGCGTCGATAACGGTCTTATAAGATGAAAGATTGGAGACAGTTGTTCTCGATCGTTGGATGTCCAATGATCGAATGCCTGGATGCCATATTCACATGGTAAGTTTCGTTAACGTTCTGGCGGATTCCGGGCTGTTTCCTCTTGAGTCTGTGTCGATTGGATCTACCGTAGCATCGGATGTTACCTGGTAACTTAATGGTCCCCTAAACTGAATCGGAGATACATAGAGTATATCGGGGTAAACACCAAGCTCTATAGTCCAACTACATTAGGGCGTCCGCGTGAGGTTATCCGATTTTGCTCATCGCCAGACAAACGGTACTTATATTGTAGGTGAATTAGAGCATTGGTAAAGGAACCACCACTGGCATTGTCTTCGATTGCGGAGAGGAACTCCTGGTATTCGTTTCTCGGGTCATCCATCTCCATGGCATCCGTACCTGCAACTTGTGGTACCTGTCGAACCGTGGAAGGTTTGAAGATGAGTTTCGACGGTGGAAAAGTCCATTATGCACTGATCTGCCTTCGGAGAGTATTCAAATGGCCTCGAGACTTTCGCATGGTAGGTTTCTCTCTAAAGAAATCGGGACCGCGCGACGTTGAGGTTACAAAGTCTACCTTGAGATCGTCTGAAAGACATGGTCCATAGTCCGACAGTTCGCATGCAGCGAGCCTTTGTGCTACGGATAGTTTTCCTGCTTGGCTTTCGACGTCTGACGGCGAGACGGGTATTCAGAGAGAAATAATTATGATATTCGGTTCTCATGGAGGGGCAAGCGGCCACAAAGAGATACAAGGCGAGTGAAAAATCGACCGGTCATAGCGAAAAGAGAGACTTGAATACTTTGAGCCATGGGAATTTCACCTGCGTTGAAAGCGGAGGTAAGTGGGTCTCGAAACTGCCACAAGATATCCTGCTAGCACAGGGCACGAAGCAGTCCCTATCAAGCATCTGTAGAAAGCACAGACGCTTCAAGATAATAGGTTAGTGTGAACTAGCCAGTCACAGGTTTCGTGTAAGCCTAGTTCCTCTGGAAGATGAGTAGAAATACTTAGATGGCCGGAGAGCACATACCCCGTGAATTCAACTGACGCAACGTCAAGGTAACACTACAGCCCTTACTTTCGAAGTCGAACGTGAACGCAGCGGACGGACCAACAAGAGAGGTCACAAGATAGATCCATGGCAAGTGGGGTGCGTTGAGAGTTCAACCAGTTTCTGGACCGAACCTAATAACGCTAGAAGACTCAGAATCGCCCAAGAGAATCCTGTAGAAGGAGCCCTTGTTTTTCGCATCCACTATTGTTTGAGATTCTGGTGATCTCCATGACAATATGAAGCGATGAACAAGTACAAGAACTGAGAGGCATAAACATAGCGGACTGAGAGTCTCAGAGCGGACGGAGATGAACGGGGTTTAAACTATTTCCCGATTAGGTAGGTCGATGGCTGTGGCGACCCAGCATTCAGCGAGTTTTGCAGTGCGTTATTGGCCAAAGTTTGATAGGATGCAGCGTACGATGTTTGCAATACGAGTGTTTGGCATATATACGAGTACAAGAACACGTCTGTGCAGTGGCCAAAGTACAATTGTGGGCGAAAGACAAAGAGGAAAAGGTGCTTACGTGGGCTGTAGAAACTCCGCCCAAAGAGACGCGTTAGAGAATTGAGTGGGTTTCATCGTTATCGTACGCAGTGAGCTCAACCGCTTTTTTCTTCTCCTCAACGGTGTTGGCAGCCGGCTGACCTACCGACGCCTTCATTTCCATCCCCTTTGATCGTTGTAAAAGCTTGTCTACTTTCGTGCTATACATCTTTTACCGCATCAAACCCCGCCATCACACCCAGACTTTGCCTCTCCTTGAGTCCTTCAGTACTTGACGACTACGAACGCTCCCGACCCTACGAATTGTATTCACGATCTGTTGCGTGCAAATGGCGGATTCTTCAGCGACGGAGATCGATCTCGACTCTGTCATTGACCGATTGTTGGAAGGTCAGTATCGAGCCTCTTGTCACGCTCCGTCGCCTGAGCTGCTCTTGCTATACAGTGAGGGGAAACCGTCCTGGCAAACCCGTGCAACTCCAGGAATTCGAGATCAAGTACTTGTGCACAAAGGCTCGCGAAATTTTTATCGGCCAACCCATCCTCTTAGAACTCGAAGCTCCCATAAAGATTTGCGGTGCGTTGTGCTTACGGATCTGCATTTTCCTAGTCATCTCACTTCGATCTGTTTGGTGGCCTGGACTGCTTGTAGGCGATATCCATGGACAATATTATGACCTGCTCCGGCTGTTCGAGTATGGCGGGTTCCCACCAGAAGCCAACTACCTCTTCCTAGGAGACTACGTCGACCGTGGCAAGCAATCGCTCGAGACGATATGTCTCCTACTTGCATACAAAATCAAGTATCCAGAGAACTTTTTTGTGCTGAGGGGCAACCATGAGTGTGCGAGTATCAATCGTATTTACGGCTTCTACGATGAATGTGCGTGTCTACTCCGATCGCCTGCGTAGCTAACACTGACCATTGAGTACTCTATAGGCAAACGTCGATACAACATCAAACTATGGAAGACATTCACAGATTGCTTCAACTGCTTGCCGATTGCCGCTATTATCGACGAAAAGATCTTTACCATGCACGGTGGCCTCTCACCCGACCTGCAGTCAATGGAACAGATAAGACGAGTCATGCGTCCCACGGACGTCCCTGATACTGGTATGTCATCCTCCCTGCATTCATTTTCAATCGTATCACCGTATCACCTTCATTCCACCTGTCCATCTATCTACGCTGTATGACATCCCCCATATAAGCCTTTCTCATTTTCAACTTTCCACGGTTGCTCGTTCCGGACAAATTATGCCGTCATCCCCTTCCCTCACGCTTCCCCTTCTCTTAATTTACGTATTGACATGCTTCCGTTTAGGTCTCCTGTGCGATCTCCTTTGGTCAGACCCAGACAAAGACATCACCGGTTGGTCAGAGAACGATAGAGGAGTGTCATTTACGTTTGGGCCGGATGTCGTCTCAAGATTCCTGCAAAAACATGATATGGACCTCATATGTCGAGCGCATCAGGTATGTCCGCGGTTTTGTTATTTGAGTTTCCAGCTTCATTAGGATGATCGGTGGGGTAAGACCCCATCAGGAGATGAAAGCGGAAGGATAGGTATTGCGGTTTGTTCGGAGCTGGACATGGGCTAAGTTGGAAACTGGACGCCTCAGATGATATGGAAGGCAGCGGGAATGACGCGAGGCTGGGCGTGACGCTCATGCAGACAGGAAAAGGCTTGCTTGCTCGCTTTGATTCCCGAATTTCGCATGGTCCTGTTATCAGTGCCCAGAAGCTGACTTCTGTATGCTTGCCTTATAGGTCGTAGAAGATGGGTACGAGTTCTTTGCGAAGCGACACTTGGTCACGCTCTTCAGTGCACCGAATTACTGTGGCGAGTTCGATAATGCGGGGGCCATGATGAGTGTAGATGAGACACTGCTTTGTTCGTTCCAGGTATGTGCCTGCATTCCCTGCATTCTCCGTCATGGTTCCATCATCCTTGCAACGTCATTTCACTTCACTCGAACCCGATCTCGTGACTACGTCCTTGAACCTCATCCTCAATCTCAATCTCAATCTCGTCCTGTTGCTTACTCTACGACCCTCTTTCGTCCCACAGATCTTGAAACCCGCTGAGAAGAAGGCAAAGTATCCCTATGGCGGCGTGAACATGGGACGACCGGTCACACCGCCACGTAAACAGAAGAAGAAGGATGCAAGCAAGATGGGTTGAAAGGGAGCTTTGAGGACTGGACGTCGGGAGCTTTGATCTTGTTCGCATTCCGTTAGTAATTCCCTTCTCATTTCCCTCCTCCCGTTTTAGTCTCCTCCCGCTTTCTCCCTCCCCTCCCCTTTCCCTCCATCCATCATCTATCTCTGATTCGCCCTCACATCGTTGTCTCTTCTACACTCTTCCCCATTTCCGTCACACAATAACAACAGCATACGCTCTTTCTATTTTATTTCTTTGTTTTTCCTTGTCTCTCCCTTGGTTACCGGTTTTCTGTTTCTGTTTCTGTTCGAGTCTTGGGTGGTATGGTAATGGTTCATTGTTGGCTGGCCTGGCTCTCTGCTGTACGCTACCTGGCAAAACTGGAGGGAAAACGCGGTGATGATGGAGCTCTGACCGCTCCCAAAGGGCGTACGTACATCGTCGTAGTCCTTTTGGACGGTCGCATCGCAAACCAGAGCTCGTCGAGGTCTTGTCGGGTGAGGATTCCTTTTCGATGGAGGGATTTTGGGAATTACAGTTGGTGTAGAAGAGACCAAAGTTTGCGGACTAAACTTAATGGACCCGATTTTCTTTTACCCCCCAAAAGTGCGCAGCCAGTTCGTGGAAGTTGAGATGACTGTATGTTGACTGTGTATGCTGGCAAACGATCGATTGAGTGTCCTTTTTTCCTACTCATGATCTGTTAACGTTCCCTTCTTTCTTTCTATTTCGTTTTTTCCTCTCCTCTGTGTATAATATGAGCTCTGACCATTTGTCTTCCTTTACATGCCCCGCAATCACCACCTTCGTTTCCTCACTCCAACCCCAACCTACTTCCCTTCCGCAAACGCCGTCAATGTCAACGTCAAACCCCCAGGCTTCACATTTACGACTTGATGATGGATACCAAGAATCGCTGTACATAGTTTTTATATTTCTCTTTCCTTCCCTTCCCTTTCCTTTCTCACTCCCTCCCAACCAGCTCATCATCATTTTGAGTATCCCTTTTTCCTCGATCGTTCATCTGGCCATGAAGTCGCCCCCACCCCCATGGGTCTTCTTTTCATAGACGACCAACCATCGTCGCGCGCGTCGCAGCCTGTGGTACTTTTCAACAACTCTTTGCGCTGTCAGCTTTGCTTTTTTATTGTGAGAATAGGCTTAGTCGTTATAATATAAGCATGGCATCTCTTCCTTTACTCGCTGTCCGAAGGTTTATAATGCGCCCAATTGCCCGGTATCGACTCGTATTGAATCCTACGCCTGTGTGGGTTTCGAGATCTTCGCGGGAAGAAGAGTGTCGTACAATGATCGAATATCCATGAGAATGATAGAGGCGGAAGCTAAGGGTTCAAGGGAGATCCGCACAAATCCCCTAGAAAGCGCGTGGAGTCGCCTGACGATCTTCTTGCCTGCACTAATTGAGTATTCCGACTTAGGAGGAGGGATCATACCTAATCCGAGTCAACGGAAGACGAGCCCAACGTACGCAAAGAGACCTGGTGGGCGAGGACCTCATACCATTTCGAATCATAATGAGATACGTGCATCTATTCCGAACAGCTCTATGGAAGGTCAGGCATACGACGCACTACCCTGCCCTCGTTCCGTACATGCGCACGGAGTTTTTCTAAGAGGGGTGAGTTCTGCCATCGCTCGGGAGGAACCTTCTTCTCTGTAGCCCAGTAGTATATGTCCCAGTCCGGCTCGTCCATCAACTACACAGACACAATCAGAGCAAAATACATGAGCATTCACATACTCCAACATAGACAATGCAAACATGCAAAAGACGTACCCTGTCAAACTCCGCTAGCTCCTCCCTATCCATCGAGCCCAATTTCTCTCCGGCAAACGTGCTCAATAACAGGTCGTTCTCTAGCATTCCTCGTTTACGAGATTGATAGACGAGCCGTGCACGCATGCGTTCTGTTGTTTCATTGTATCGTTCGAGACGGGGAGGAGGTGGAGAGTCCGCGGGTGAGGTTGTACTCTCCATGTGTTTGGGTGAGTGAGGTAATGGCCAGGGATCTTTCAGTTCGGCTTGTTGCGAGGAACGGAGGAAGTTGGTACATGATATGAGCCTTTGAGATGGTCTTGAAAGGTTTAGTTGAAAGAAACGTGTTGCGACTTGGCGAGACATGGAATCGTGTTTAAGAGTTGCATCTTGGAAGTTGCGAATTGGTGGTGTGTCTTTTCTGATAATCATAATAATACTAATGATTAGTATTGCAAGCACTGATGGGGTAGTGGTAACCTGGGTCGTTGCCATTCGAGACTGAATCTCGACCCGCCGGGGGTTCAATTCCCCCTCAGTGCAGTGATGTTTATGATAGTGCATCTTTTGCCCCACACAGAGCAGAACCTGCCAACAAGGCGAATCTCAACCGCCAGATATAACAATGCACCACTGTACTGATCATTTGGGATCATATCCTACAACAATTACACTCTAAGGAAGAGTATATACAAATAGCTAAACAACCAAGAGAACAATAGAATGCATGGATAGTAAAACTGAAGCCCAAGGTATGTGTTACGACCATGAAACGAAGACAGAAACCCTTGAAAATACTGTAACGCCAAAAAACACACACAAGTCCAAGACAAATTGGCAATAAATAGGCACCGCTTGACATGTACAAACCTCTCCCCTAAACCCAAAAGACCATTAAGAAGATCCGTAAGCCCATTCCCGATATGCAACATCAACCCTACCAAATTAAATCCTAACAAGACGCTACTTATGGCACCAGGAACCAGGCGCCACCCACCCCAACATATCAACGCCACCAGTACTACCACATCGCCCCATATGATACTAACCCCAACACCGCAGCATACAACATCTCCATAGGTACACCACGTCCCTCAGCTGCGCCAATAGCGGTTGTCGTCTGCACGTACCCAGTCCCACAAGCCCCATTCGCAACTGCCGCAGCAGAATCATACGTCTTGGCGAGTGCAGAGACGTTCAGCGATTGGGCGTATAGAGCCATCACGCTTTTCGTGCAAGACGAGCAACTTGGCTTGGATGTCGCGGGGACCTTGATTCCGAAGGGTAGTTGGTAAAAGTAGAGATCGGCCGGGTTGGTGTTGTGGGCTGCTTCGACGTAGCAGTACGTGTTGGTGCTTGGGTCCGGGAGACATGCAGCGGTACGCATAAGCGAATAGGCTTGCAGTTCTGTGAAAATTACATGAGATCTATTGGAAAGTTGTCAAAAGCGGGTCGTCATAAATAAACGTACCGGTTAGTGTTTCGACAACTAAGGTGTTCATATTGATCAAATCCTGCGAACATTGCGACTTGAGCGTATCAGCGAACCAGCCCGTATTGGCGGTGCATTGGTCGGAGCTAGCGTCGGTGTTACAGGTACCCCAGATGATGGTGTTAAGTGCGGTAAGGTTGTTTTGCGCCTGCTTGAAGGAAATGTTAGATACAGCGGCCAAAGATGGGCAGAGGGGGCATGTGGGGGAAAGGAGAAGACTTATTAGTGGCAAGAAAGTCAAGGGGAACGAGAGCGAAGACAGCTCAGTAGAGATGTCTCAACGAGGCGCTTCCTGGCATTTTACCAATGAAAGGCCCTGAGATGGTTAGGTCGGGATGTGGGTCTATGATGGGTGTATGGAAATGGGTTTCGGTGGAGCGCGCGGTTTATTGGAGGCACAGACAAAATAAAAAGAATAAAAAAGGGATGGGTAAAATAATGGTACTCACGTCAATAAATTCCGCCGAGCTTTTCACCAGCAATGAGAACGGTCTGCAATCCAGGAACGCTTCGGAAGAAGTCATATTATTGAAGAAATTCTGGCATCCGAGCGTCGTAAAGTTTTGATTCACCGCCGTTAGCGGGCGGGGAAATGGAGTGGGTAGTACAGGCGGAGATGACGGGATCGTAGGCAAAACTCTGTCCGTACCGCTCGGCGTTGCGGAAGTAACGACACTCGTACTGGCCGTCGGTGAAGGGAAAGAAATTGCTGGGGAAGAGCTCTGGTCCTGCTGGGGGTCGGGATCAGGACTCGGATGTCGTTTGTGCAATGACCAATCCTTCAGGGATGATGACCAGTCGTGCCAGCTCGCATCATGATGATCAGTAGACAGTTTATCGAGAGCTGCTGGATGAGAAAGGTATCGTGTCGAGGCCGTTATGAAGATCAGGATAGCAGGAACGAGGAGGATAGTCCATTTAGTGCGGCGAGCTGTACGCTGCTTGGCTTCTGCCCGTGAGAATTGTTCGACTTTGGAGGGTTGTTCCGAGTAAGAAGCAAGCGGCACTGAAGAACTACTTGGACGAATTGAACGCCTGTCTGCGGTCAAGAATGTTCCTGAGGAGGACTCTTCTTCGGCTTCGCTGGCAGACGAAAATTCAGGTTCGTGAAGAAGAACGCGGGAGGGCTCAGGAGAAGGCGGAGGAGTGAACATGTGTCGTAACGAGCGTCGGATAATTCGTCTAAGATGTGCGGTATATGGTGGGTCGTAGCAGATAGATAGAAAGGAAGGTGATGGAGAAAGGAATGACTAGGGTTTTCTTCAGGGTTTAAGACGTTGACCAGATCAAGGACCAGAAAAAATGTCAAAGTGGGCCGCTGTCACAAGCCCAAGGAACAAGAGTTGCCTGAACGAACCAGATATGAGTTTAGTGATTATTCCACACGACTGGGGGGAGGGCAGACATGGACTTACTTCGAGAGCACAGAGAAGATAGAAATAAGAAAGCACCGTGGCGTCTGGCTGTGGTACACCGCCAAAGATGTGTACAGCGCTGAAGACCGTCAGTCAACGTCGCAGAGCCTGGGCGCCGACATCCTCTGATCTTTTTGAATGTCCCCATCCAGGAACACATTTCTCTAGCCGCCGGGTCTGCACACACGACCCAGAACCGTGCAGTGCATCCCATCATGATCTGCGGAGATAATTTCAGTACTTTCCGTTCTTACCGTTTGGGACATCGAACATCCTACCCATATTGCATTCCGTAGGACCATAGCAGACCATAACTCGTTCTCGCTAGGACTCGGTCTACGTTTTCGAATGTCTTGAAAGTAGCTGCGATGAAAGTTCAAACAGGTTTCAAGCAAAGATCTTCCTCGAGATGAACGAGTGTCCGGGGTCCTTGAGTCTAGGCCTTTCACAAAAAGACCGCGGAACTTCTGAACTCGATGTTGACCTCATCACACCTTCATCTCAATAGGGCCTGCATACAGTCGTACTTGGGCTCAGAGGCTCATGTCCTGAAGAGATTATTGTGCCTTCCTGAATGTATTCACGACTGACATCACTCAGCTTATCATTGCATGTCGCGATAACAGGTTGGGCAGATGGTACATGTATCGACGTTTACGGACGTCTCGGGCTGTCACTCGTTGTCTTGTACACCAAGAAGATACATTCCATACGATTTGTTGCAGGTGACCGTGGAGACAGTTCCTTTGGGCCTTCCTAGGAGACAGTGCGCTTGATCGCCTCTCATCTTCAACGCCTGAGGCACAACGAGTTCTTTTCCATTTGTGGTATTCGGAGCACTTGGTCACCGGCATTCTTAACCGTTCAACCGTTCTCTTGCATCGTTGCACTGCCAACACCAGATACACTTACCGATCAAAGGTTTTGTTCTCACCCAGGGTTCACATGTTTATCAACATTTCACCTCTGCCTTATACGTACCCAAATTTCTCAGCAGCAAAATCACACAACTATCATCAATCCAAAAACCCTTTCGTCATCTGAAAGCCTGTGATAACACACGACTGCCCCGCCATCTAACTTCGCCACATAACTCAAATTCCCGCTGCGGAGCTATTTTCGTGTCAACCAATCCCAAGCACTTTCAGCTGTCCGACCAAAGATGGTATCTCTTCAAGAACAAGTTTCCCTTGTTAGCATCACACCGTCCTTCGGCATCTGGCGGCGTCACGAAGGTCGCGTTTGAGGCTTGCGGCGGAACACCCAAGTGCATTCCCTGAAGCTAGAAGTCTCAGGGAACCCTTGCGCAGCATACTGGAAACGGGTTTCCCGTAATCCTGTGTTCATCTCTCACTCTCTATTTCTGGTAGCTGGACTACCTAATGCATAGCGGTTGGCTTGTGTTATATATACCCCTCTACGTGGATACCCCCCCTGTTTCGTCTCTTGGGCTTTGGATTGGATTGCCCGGGCAAAGATATTCAAGTCACTTGCAAGCTAATATCACGCGTCTTTGCGTGCTGGCATGCCACGACTTCGGATACTCGCTGGGCCCTCTCTAGATGAGCTAGTCCCCATTGAAGCGAACTCTGGAGTTCCTCTACACATAAAGTCAGACGTTTTTGAAGGGCAGATTCTTGTATACATCAAAGGTTTCGCCGATACGAACGGGGACGTTGGAGATAGTTCGTACTTTGAGCAGAAGGAGAGGAAAGGTATTACTTGGAGTATTCAAGTGCAAGGTAAACTAGCATAAACACACTTCCAGACCTATAATTTGAGCGTGATTGGATTCCAGGGCGGTTCCTTCAGCCACATAATGCCGACGACGTACTATTCGGAAATGTGTTCGATAGGCCGCTGAAGCTTCCGTGGGGCTTCAGTGCTGCTCTGAAATTCATGAAGTATGTTCATAACGTTCGGGCTCCGCATGATTACACAGACTGATTGCATACAATACCAGATATATCGATCCTACATTAGAACAAGATCTTACGTCTAATTCAAAACCATGGGCTCTTTCGCCTCTCGTTGCTACCATGCCTCATCTCGAGCACAGACGAATAGACGAGACCCACCATCCGCCGCCTTTTCCACCAAAGAAACCAATAGCAGATGATATAAGCCACCTGCCTGTCCATTCTCATAAAGGAAAAGCACATGAACGTAAACCGAAACGTCGAGCATACTTCCACCATGCAGCGAGACGGAAAGAGGTGAAGTTTGGCCCCGAGGTACGATTTTTACTAATGCTCTGACTTTACTTTAGCTGACATCTCATTATGTACAGGATCTCCTCACAACAGACTTTTGCTACGACTATCTGGAATTCAGTCCCGAAGGCGTCGTCCTGAGACTCCCCGTGGGTATCTCGATAGACATGTTGCGATATTGGGACGGTCAGCCAGTACGATTTGTTTGTTGTGAGCGGATACCAAAGGGTTCGACGAGAGATGGCGTCCCGTGGGGTAGAGTGTTTTGGTGTGTCGTTATCGAGTCAGCGGAGGATGAGCATGAAAAGGGTGTGCGGTAGAAAGCACTTTTGACAATATGTGCAACCTACTCTATAGATCATTCAGCGTATGATACCCTCATTCTATATACAGACCTCATGATATATAGTGCTCATAAAATATTAGTCAATTATGCAGCGACGAAGGTTCGGATATGCGGCGCTTTGAGATATGACCTCATTGTGCTCAGACTGGGATTCAATGAACGTTTTATCCAGTGGTCTTCCATCATGTCCAACCGAACACTCTTTGCTCTCGTTTCAACTACATCTTTCTTTCTTAGATATACCCTACCATGCCCCGCCTTCGCGTTCTTGCAGGCCCTTCCCTCGAAGAGCTCGTCCCCATAGAAGTCAATTCTGACAAGGCTTTCGATATCAAGTCCGATGCTTTCGAAGGTCAAGCAGCCGTATATATCAAGGGGTTCGCAGACCCGAACGGGGACGTTGGAGATAGTTCATACTTCTCGCAGGAAGGACGGACAGATGTTACGTGGAGTATACAAGTCCAAGGTGCGCATTGAATCAATCATTAAACGGAATTCACAGTGACGTATGAACTATCTTGTGAAGGTAGATTCCTGCAGCCTCATTCTGCGAACGATGTCATGTTCGGAAATACTTTCGACCGTCCGTTGCAGTTACCATGGGGCTTCAGCGCCGTGCTTGGATTTATGCAGTACATTGATCCTACGCTCGAGCAAGACCTGGCGTCGCAAACCAAACCATGGGCTCTGTCTCCCCTCATTGCCACTATGCCGTACTTTGCGCACACGCGCATGGATGAATTGCACAAGGTCCCACCGTTTCCACCGATCAAGCCTATAGAGGAGGACATCTCGGAATTGCGAGTCAAGAGTGAGAGTGGGGAGGAGTCAGTACTAGACCCCGCCACGGGTAGAAAGACATATTTTAGAAGCGTCGAGAATAGACAAAGAGTCATATTCGGTCCAGAGGTGCATATATCAACTTTACTCAACCTGCTTTGCTCGTTTAAACTGACGCTGTGCGCCAGGATCTTATTACGACAGACTTTTGCTACAACTATCTCGATTTCAGCCCGGACGGTGTCATGTTACGTATACCTGGAGGCCTCACCTTCGACATGATGAAGTACTGGGATGGCCAACCTGTCCGATTTGTTTGCTGTGATCGCAAGCGTCCTGGTGATAGCAGCGACGTCCCTTGGGGTAGAGTTTTCTGGTGTGTCGCTATTGAAGCTGTTGACTACGACGATTCGGAGGAGCAGGAGGAGGAGGAGATTGAAGATGAGGGCTCCGAGGAGGAGATCGATTAGAGGCCGCACTACCAGCTTCCGTGGACTCGGGGTGCTGTTATACCGTAAATCTGTATATTCTCGGTAAGCACGAGTTGTATCAATATACCTAATTGTGCGCGCATATACCGATGATTTTAATGCTTGTTGTGCTCTGCCCTCTTTCTGGCCGCACCATTCACGGTCACAAGGACAGGATGATACTAACTGGCCATGCTTCTCTTTCTCTGTGCAGGTGGCGTACTTATGAGATTCACAAAGAGCAGGCAGCCATGAATAACTTTCCCTTCCGAAGTCAATCCGACCACTCCCCGCTTATAAGAGAAATGCGCCGCTCGCCGTCTCCGACCCCCGTAACCGTTGGGAGGCAATTTCAAGATGCACCTCATGTCCGTGCTATGTGCGGTGGGCGCTCTGTCATTGACTCAATTCATGGCTTCGAACGTATTCCTTGTCCAGACGACCTCAGGTCCAGTCCATGGCTTCCTAGACACCAATACCACCTCCGTCCCTCTTAACAAATTGCTCGGAATGCCTTTTGCTGCAGACACATCTGGGCAGAATCGATGGAGACCTCTAAAGCCGGTGTTTCATGAGGACGTGTTTGATGCTTCCGCGTATGGACCTGCGTGTATGCAAGGCAGGCGAGTGCACGTCGTTCCTCTCTATGACGGGGAAAGTTAACGACGTGTCTTTGTTGGTGGCTTTAGGGCAGATGGTGGAAATGGGACTTCGGTCCAGAGTGAGGATTGTTTGAGGGTGAATGTCATCTCGCCGAAGGGGGCGAAGAACTTGCCTGTCTATGTTTACTCTTAGTGAGTATGGACTCTGGCTTCCCCTTTCATTTCTGTGTTGAATGGACATGTATTGAACGTTCACCTCAAGTGGCGGAGGGTTCGATAGCGGGTCCTCTTCTGATCCAAAAATTGACGGGTCCTTCCTTGCTGCCAAAGTATGTAACCATACCGTTCTCGTTTCTTCACTACATTCTTCTTGATTCCACTCACCTAGGGTATAGTTTTTGTCAGCTACAACTACCGTCTTTCGCTTTTCGGCTACCCCCATGCGGCTGAGATCGCCGAAGCTGGAGAGACGCAAAACTTTGGTCTCCTGGATACCCGAGCTGCTGTTGAGTGGGTAAGAGACAATGTGAGAAGATTTGGTGGGGACCCTGCAAAGATGACTTTGGGAGGTACGTCGCCCTGAAATGCATCACAGCCTTGGTGCGATACTGTAAGTCTTTGCGAGTTGACTTTCTTGGGTGAAGGTGAATCTGTTGGTGCTGGTATGTCGCCTTGGATTTCCATACTTCCACTTGCTGATCAAGACTAAACAGAAATGACCAATCAATACTTGACGGCCTTCGCCAAAGATCCAATCATCCGAGGTGCGGTTATGCAGAGTTCCGACAGTAGGTCTCATTTGAATTCTTGTCTCTTTCTTCTCCTGTACCTTGTACTCATAGAGCCCATGCCTCTATAGCTTCCCAACCCATGTGGCCTCTGAATGACCAAATCAGCAAAGTCTCCGCAAATGTCGGCTGCCCGACCGGCCGCGGGCAGTTAGCTTGTTTACGGACCAAATCTGGAGTCGAGCTTCAGAAGGTGCTTCTGGCAACGGGAACACAATTTCAACCTGCGACTGATAATGTCACGATATTCAAAGAGTCGGTGAACTCTTCACCCCTTGACTCGAATGAACCGGAAGTACACTGACGGTCGCATAGTTTCGTCGCATTGACAAAGGCTGGACATACAGCACGAGTTCCTTTGTTAATTGGAACAAACAAAGTGAGTGGTATGTTTATTAAATGCATTACGCTACTTCATGAAGGTCCCTAGGATGAGGGAACATTGATTGTTGAAGGGGAACCAACCGCATACCTCGATACCATCGTACCTTATGCGTGAGCAACGTCTAAACATGATATCCAATACTTTTACTCATACTCTTCGTAACTTAAGAAAGAGCAATAACCTGAACTTCCCTTTTGCGAATGTTACCAAACTGGAAGAATTGTATCCAACTCCATCCACAGCCTTTCCAACAGCATACAATGCAACAGCAGCAATATGGCGCGATGCACATATGCTCTGTTTGGCCCATAACCTTGCTACTCAACGAACAAAAACTCTTGGGCTTCCTGTATGGCGATATCGTTTCGATCTGGTCGCAAACAACTTGAACTCTCGGGGAGTACGAATTGGGACATTCCATGGGTCTGATATTAGGTTTGTTATGGGGACTTGGAGGACCATTGTGCTGTCGCCGCCGTTTATCGCTGCTACACAGGATGAGATTACGGTATCTGCCATTATGGTTGAGGCATGGACGAATTTCATCAAGGGTGAAGATCTTCAGCCGCAGATCGCGTTTCACATAGAACTGATTCAGGTCCCTTGTAGATCCGCACAAAGGCCCGCAGATTTCAGGGTGGAAGAGATTCGATCCTAAAGACCGTACATCACTCGCCCTTCTAGGGAACTCCTTGACGGGAGCTGAGCCCGGCGATCACTTTACCACTGATAGTTCGTGTGCATATTGGAATACCATCCTACCGATATATCCTCAGGTATGTCGGTGTTTCTATCTGTTTCTATTCACCTTTCTATTTCGTACTAAACGTTCTGATCTCAGACGTTCCCGCCTTGTGGCAGTTGGACCTGTTGAGTCCAGATGTGAAACGCAGCGGCTTGTATCAGTTGCTAAGATGTCAATGAGAGTGAGTAGTGTACAAGGATTAGTGGAAGTTTCCTTAGTCAGAAATCAATGCCAGCAGTAGCGACGTTGTTTTCTTTTTTGACGTTCCGTTGTACTAGACACGGCATGCAATAACCCATCCGTAGTTAGTACAGATGCGATGCAGAGTGGCGAACATCTTGGCACCATGTCTTTATTGTCTGTCCCCCGGGCAGACTTTCGATGGTTGCTTACGTTTCTGGGCGCTGATTGGTCAACTCACTCTGCAGAGTTTAAATCTGTCGTCGGACAGATGCATTTACATGTTGCCAAGATGTCGTCCTGTCTGCATGGACTCTGCCTAGAAGGCAGACACGTTCATGTTTGCCGTGAGAGTACTGTAGACAAGTCAATCCTAGTCGGCCAAAAGAGGACGTGCTGACTAAGCCATAATGCGATTGTGTGTTGAGCGCCGGAGAGAGTCTTCTTCCTTGACCCGCAACATCCTCCTCTTCCTCCTCGCTGCTACCACTTTTCGCTCTACAGCCTCTCTCGTCTTCCTCGACCTCGTTAACAACTACTTGAACCTCACGTCGCCCTCGCCTCAAGTCCGCTTTGACGGAGACACCCCTCACAGACAACAAACCTCGAACTTTTTCTCCTCGCGTATCAAGCCTCAAATTGTGCTTGCGCGTGTCCACCTCTCAAGACACCATCCCTCTTTCCCCCCGCTCTCAATCTGGTCAGAATGGCTCAACAAGCCCGTCCTTCATCATCCACAACGTAAGTGATCCATTATGCTGCAAACTGCTGCCTCTTTGCCTTCCCGGTATAGGCGGTTACTATTGCGACGGATTTTTCAGAAGTCTGTCGGACTTCTAGGTGCAGTGGTGTCAGCGACCTCACTAGAAGGCTTTCATGACATCCCAGGCATCCGTTTTTCCCCCAGCTGGGTGTTGATTTGGGGCTGCCACGAATGTCGGTAGACTTCTGTGGCGAAGTCTGCCCATACGGTTCGTGGTGGATGAGGAGCTGCGTCAGTGGAAGAGGTTCAATGAACGATCGTCCCTGGTGGTTCACGGTTGTGGGATGAATTTCATTGGGGCGATTGGAGGCCGGCACGCTGTCGTGTAGGCTATTGTTCCTATCCACTGCGTTGGTCCTGCAAGGCCAGTCGTGAGGCCAAAGTTTGCAGTGCTTTATCCCTCTACTACGCTGAGATCTAACGTGTTTCGTTATTAGACGCAATGACAATGCATGGAAAGCCAACTTAAATGTCCCAACAAAAGACGACCGTCCACAGACAGACGATGTGTTAGCGACAAAGGGAATTGAGTTCGAGGACATGCACCTACGACGCGAATTGCTCATGGGCATCTTCGAAGCCGGTTTCGAACGACCTTCACCCATTCAGGAAGAGGCGATACCCATCGCGCTCACCAAACGAGATATCCTTGCCCGGGCCAAGAACGGCACGGGTAAGACCGCTGCTTTCGTCATCCCCTCCCTTCAACAAATCGATACCAATAAGCGAAAGATCCAGGCGCTTCTTCTTGTACCCACCCGTGAGCTGGCATTGCAGACCGCGCAGGTGTGCAAGATCCTTGGGAAGCACATGGGTCTGAATGTCATGGTCACCACTGGTGGTACAACCCTCAAAGATGATATCATGCGTCTTCAAGAAGCCGTCCACGTATTGGTCGGTACCCCCGGTCGTATACTCGACCTGGCGGGAAAGAACGTCGCAGACCTCAGCGAATGTCCGGTTTTCGTCATGGACGAAGCCGACAAACTCCTCTCCCCCGAGTTCGCTCCTGTCATGGAGCAACTCCTCAGCTACCTGCCTAAGGACAGGCAGGTGATGTTGTTCAGTGCAACATTCCCGCTTATCGTAAAGGACTTCAAGGTCAGTCGTTTGATGTCTCTTCTGCCACGTGTCTTGGCTAATGATCATCCAGGATAAACATATGGAGTCCCCCTATGAGATCAACCTCATGGACGAGCTTACACTCCGTGGCGTAACACAATATTACGCTTATGTCGAAGAGAAGCAGAAAGTTCACTGCCTGAACACGCTCTTCTCCAAGGTGCGTCTTCCTCGTTATCCCGTTCTTTGCCAGGTTATTTTAACTTAATGTTGCGAATCTAGCTTCAAATCAACCAGTCCATCATCTTCTGCAACTCAACGAACCGTGTTGAGCTCCTAGCCAAGAAAGTCACCGAACTGGGCTATTCATGTTTCTACTCACATGCAAAGATGCTCCAATCCCACCGTAACCGAGTCTTCCATGACTTCCGACAAGGTGTCTGCCGCAATCTCGTTTGCTCCGACCTTCTAACGCGTGGTATTGATATCCAAGCCGTTAACGTTGTCATCAACTTCGACTTCCCCAAGAACTCGGAGACGTACCTCCATCGTATCGGTCGTTCTGGTCGTTTCGGACATCTTGGTCTTGCCATCAACCTCGTCACTTACGAGGATAGGTTCAATTTGTATAAGATTGAGCAGGAGCTCGGGACGGAGATCCAGCCTATTCCTCAACAGATAGACAAGGGTCTTTATGTTGCACCGGGCGCGAGCCAGGAGCCCGAACAGAAGGAAAAGCCCAAGAATAATGCTCAACCTCAGCAACAGAGGCAGGCGGCTCCTGTTCAGGCCACTCCACGACAACAACCACAACAGCCCGGTCAAGTAGTCTATCAGAGCACTGGAGCTCCTCAGGGCCGTCCAAACGGTGCACCCATCACCGCAGCACCAGCTGCTGCCGGCGTTCAACAGCCATATCAGCAAGCATATCGCGGGGCAGTTCCAGTCGCGCGATGATTGTCCCGGCCAGTGAAGGGTGGGTAGGCGTGGGGCGATGGCAGATGATGGTGGTGGTGGGTGAGATGGAAGATGGAAGGTGATTTGGGTGGGTCATGGAAGGTGTTGACCGCGTCAAGCATCCACTCTATTTGCAAGCACTCCGGACTGCGGCTTGCACTCGTTTTCGAAAGGCAGCGTTTCTGTATCATAATATTTGGACCCTTTCCTGTGCTCTGGTCCTTTCCTTCTCAACTTTGGCAAGCTCAGCAATAACTCGAATTTCCTCGCTTGTATCGATTCGATGCACCCTTCTATAGGGTCCAACGGGCGTAATCACGACTCTGATGTTTATTCGCTACAGGTTGTCGCATTATATCTATCCTATAGCTATTGTTGTTACTTTTTCTTCCTGCCTTTCTCCGTCGTTTTGTTATTCGCTGTACGTAGTAGTTGTGAATTGGAAATGCGATGCTTGCTCGTAGTCTATTTTCGGTTCCGTTCTCGTTTACAAACGCTATGTGAACCTTGCTTGACAAGGCATTGCAACTGCAAGGGATAGTGCACAGACGCGTCCATCACGCGATGCTGATTTTGAAGTGAAATGGAATTTCGAAGAGGCTCTGGCGATCCTGCCTTTTGCGATGATCTCCAAATGCTGAGTTACGACCACGGCCATGCGACTGCCACTTTAGTTTCCTCCTCTATCGTTATTTTGAAACACGAACACGATATATACCACTCAGGGGTTCGACCTACGCGATTCAACCCGAAACGACACCACTCTACAGCTCCTGGTCAACACCACCACCACTTGCATGCGCAGAAGTTGGGTTTGGGACCTGTCAGGATACACTAGAATGTCACGTAGGAGGAGTTCGTCAGACCATCATAATCGTCTTCCCTCGTGCGTGTCAAACTTTTTTTTTTCCATTGACTCAGAGCTAACGCCGACTTGACTTGTGTGACGGCCGTACATGTAGATGGCGGACCGTAGCCTCACCTCGCTTTTCTGCGGGTTTTGCACGGGCACGCTCTATACCCCTCAAATGGAAGATACTCCTCCTTCTCCTCGTCATCCTTCTTCTCATATCCCCCATTCTCATATGGGAACCACATATTGAAATTTCGATATATGACCGGAAATGGGTCAAGGAGGAAGTCGAGGATTTGTGGCCTATATCAACATGTTTCGACCACCGACGGATATCCCCTCATTATAATATCACCAAGTCGTTGCTTGCGCCGAAACGAACTCAAGTCCATGCTGGGCTACCGTTACGCCTCGGCATGGATTGTTATAACTTTGCTGGCACCGTACATCCAGACGAACATCCGCAGGGATGGTTGCCTCCAGACCAACGGACGCATTATCATACATATTGGCGCACAGACCTTGCACCGTTCTCCGAGAGACAAGAGTGGTTGCTCAAGTCCTTCTTCGCCACACAAAACGTCCAGACGTCGCGACTAATCCTATGGTCCAATGGGGACCTCAGTGGAAACGAGGTATTGCAGAAGTGGTTGAAGTGGTACCCGGACGCGTTTGTGTTGAAGGTGGTGGATTATGAACAGTTGGCTCAGGGGACGGAGTTGGCCAATAGTGAGTTGTTGAGGGTGAAGGATACGAAGGCGTGGATAGACGGGGACTTGGTTCGGTTGCTGGTGTTGTGGGCATATGGCGGAGTATGGGTGGATATGGACTCCCTTCTGACGAGAGACCTTTCCCCGTTGCTAGAACACGAGTTCGTCACGCAATGGGATTGCTATGGTAAGTTCCACCCCCCTTTCTTTGTCACGTCAGAAAAAAATATCTGACTTTGTGCAACTTACAGACAAGCTCTATGTACCCTTTAACGGCGCCCTCATGAACTTTCACAAAAATTCACCATACCTCTGTGAAGCATTTCACATCATGACCACTTCATCCCCTCCACGACAAGGCACGACCGACTGGGGCGCAACGCTCTACCTCAAGCTCTGGCGTCGACTCGTCGCCTCCTCTGTTCGGCCCTTTTCAGTCCTCCCATGGTGTTTCTCAGACGGACGTTCATGTCGGCTCGACAATCGGCTTCCAGATCCGTTCCAGCCCGATCCTCGGAATGGTGAATGGACGTTTGGTCTGAAGATGGAAGAAGGTGGAGGCCTTGATCGCGTGTTGAGCAGCCAGGTGTTCTCCGTACATCTACATAACCAATGGACAAAGCCGTTCCCGAAAGGAGGTTGGGTGGAGAGGTTGCTTTTGAGGAGATACGACCAAAAGCTGCAGCGATCACCGTCCGGACGGAAAATCAGACGCACATTGTGATTGGGATGTCGTCGTCTCGTCGTATAACGAATTTTGTACTTCATTAATGACCCATTATAGTTTAATCAACGTCTTAATGTATAGATATTCTTTATTTACATCCATGCACTAGCCCTTCGGTTATGAGAAATCTCGAGAACAATCTCGTAGGGCAGTAATCTCCATATGCGGACATGGCTATCCTAATTTGGCTATACCTTCTCCATTGCGCTCCAGCGCCTCCTTGCCACTTTCCACCAGCAGCCACCCAAGGCTAGATACTCGAGTACAGCCCATTTACCGACCCTTGCGATGCTCAGTACTCTTTGAAATAGAATACTCGATCTCTAAAATCCTGTATTCCAACGTTTTCGCCACCTGTCTGTTTGTTAAACGACATGGGCCTGCTCACGATCATCCGGAAGAATCGGCAAAAGGAACATGAAATGAGGATCTTATTCTTGTAAGTGACGACATTGTATAGTCATTTACTTTGACTGTGATATATAATCTAACAGAGGCCTGGATAACGCAGGGAAGACGACGATCCTCAAGAAACTCAACAAGGAGGATATCTCGGGTATCAGTCCGACGCTGGGGTTCAATATCAAGACATTCGTTCATGATAGGTCTGTAATCCTGCTGTTCTGATATGTCCTTTTTTGAGTCTCTGATGTGGTCTATGTAGATATACTTTGAACATCTGTACGCGTGTATCTTCTTAGTAGTAGTGGATGACGCTAATGATATCGTTCTTGATCGTGCAGGGGACGTTGGCGGTCAGCGAATGCTCCGTCCATACTGGAGAAACTATTTCGAGCAGACAGATGCTATTGTCTGGGTAGTCGACTCCGGCGATCGCTTCCGAATGCAAGACTGCAAAGAGGAACTACATAGTTTGTTGACAGAAGACGTACGTAGATCGTCCTCACTTTCGTCCTTTACTTGTTTTACTGATATCATCTCTTTCAGAGACTTGCTGGTGCATCTCTACTTGTTTTTGCCAATAAGCAAGACCTGGAAGGATCTATGACTAGTGAGGAGATTTCGGAGGTAATAGCACACTCCCCAAGTATCTTGCGTGTTTAGAGCTTAAACTCATCGTTAATTTGACAGGCTCTGGATCTGAAATCGATTAGGACTCATCAATGGAAGATTTTCTCATGTAGTGCTGTCACTGGCGAGAACCTTTTAGAGGGGTTGAACTGGGTCGTAGGGGAGGTAGCGAATAGGTTGTATTATTCTACGACCTGACTGGCTACTTGAGATGAGTATACCTCGGGTATTCTAGAATATATTGGTTCTATCATTACGAGCAGAGAGATAACTTCAGTGAAGGACATTTGGAAATATAAAATTGTTAAATTTTGAGCACTAATGGGGTAGTGGTAACCTGGGTCGTTGCCATTCGAGAATGGATTTCGACCCGCCGGGGGTTCAATTCCCTCTTAGTGCATCAGCTGGTCTGTTAGTATCTAGCACATTTTTGCACCAGAGCGGCTTTTAGAGGTTGCAACAACAACTGCGTACGAATGCCAACAAAAGATGCAACATATGCGACCAGCACATGTTATTGATACAACGTATACCATGCTACATATTAGACAAATACAATACAAACTAGTTCGCTGGCTTTTAGCTTGCGACAGTCCTTGACGTTGCAACGTCATCCACCCAAGCCTCCACCTCCGTCCAAACTTTATCGATCACCTTCTGATCCCACCAACCCATTATTAAAACATCATGTACACCATCTTCAACCCACGCCGTCCGCACCTTGACGCCGTCTCTCTCCATAGCTCCCACGAGCTTGATAACCTCCCGTTCCAGCCTCTCCGCGTCTCCAAGTACGACACATGTCCTTGGGAAGTCCGTGAATAAACTTAAGCCTCTTGGACTCGCCATCATAGGTCTTCGGAGTGACGTTGGGCTTCGCTCGAGTTCACCACCAAGGACTGGCGTTGACGGGACACTGATCATGTTCCTAATATTCGCCCGAACTTCCGCGTCCAAAGCGCGGATAGTTAGTGATTCGACGCTCGTGGCAAACTGGTCACCGTAAAACGCCTTAAGGACGCGTTGGGAGGCTGGACTGACGTAGGGACTGTGCATCGTTTCTAGTGGGTTGTGGCCTAGAAACGTCCGCTGGAGAAGGGCACGAGGCTCTGGTGTGTCGACGAGGTAGTCGGTCTCCGCATGGGGCCGGGGAACGTAGCATGAAGGTGTATCAGGGAACGCATGTGCTACAAAATTATACGAGTGAGTCGATCCTAATCACAAAGCCACAAAATGACACTTACACGGATCGCAAGATGGGGATAACAGGAGCAATCCATCTGGAGCAGGTAACCTAGCCTCGTCTCTAATCCATCGTGCCAAAGCAAGAACCAAGTTTCCGCCAGCAGAGTCTCCTATGAGTATGATCTTGCAATGCTTCTCGTATGTTGTCGTCTCCGTAACCTTCGTAGTGACTCCTGTGGTCTGCTTCTCATTTTTCCCGTGTATCTCATTGTTCTTACTGTCCTTAGAGTCCTTGGATTTGGTATATTCTATGTTAGTCAAATGTCCGTCAGAACCGGTAGTTCCGTGTATGTGGTCCTGATTCTGGCTGTCTCTGTCTGTAAAAGTTTCAGACGTCGCCTTGGAAGAACTCGCAGAAGGTATATTTAGACATGTATGACGTCGGACCAGATGTGCGTATACCGCGGCTGCATCTTGAACTGCAGCTGGGAACGGCGCATGTTGTAGTAGCCGGTACTCAACAGCTACCGTAGCTCATCGTAAGTACAAGTGGAGTCAAGCCGGTCGGGAGTGAACATACAGTGTATTTCTGTAAAGGCCTTATCCTGGGGAACAAATAGTTAGTCGGAATTATGGAAAATGTGGTATAACGAGACTGTTGGACTATGGGAACGTAAACAAAGCAGGACTCGTTGTTCGCATCCTCACATCTGTCCCAAAGGTGAGAAATGAAGGTAGACGCCATAACGGCGGATCCACCTCTGGCGTCAAGATGGGAGATAGCATGTGAAGGAGGGGCAGGTCTGATGCGAATGGCACGTCATCCCGTATCACAGCGAACCAGACATCCCGGAACCATGAGGCGAGGAGGCACTGAGGGCTAATTATTGGCAGCGGAAACTTACCTGCATAAGTCGGCGTGGTATCTTGGAGGTCTTGCTCTTCTCGTGTGCCGACATATGGCAATAGCCTCCCCCGTGGAGAAAGATACCAATAACGGGAGTTTGACCAGCGTGAGCCTCCAGGTCTTCGAGGCCTAGAGATGTGCTATCGTCAAGGTTATGCGACGCACTGGAATGGCTCGGGTTACCTGAAAACCCGTCGTACTCACTCTATCGTACGGATGCGGAGGTATACATCCAATGCTCACCAGCAGGCTTGTGCTTCGGCCATACACAGATGCCTACCCTTCGGAATGGCACTTGATCATCGACTACAATACCGCTGCGGAGGTCCTCCGGAAGTGGTTCAACCCATTCAAACCTTGTTTCGTTCAGAGTGCGATTGTCGCAGTTTGCGTCTGGGTCGCGAGTGCCCCATGTAACGCCTGCGACTTCGGCAACCCGATAGACCCTTCTCATGAAGTTGACAGAGACAATTTGCTTTAACGACCATGAAGGGCGGGGACGGCGCGAACGTGGTACACAAGCGTAGTATAAAACCCAAAACGGGACAAGCAACATAGTGGTGAGAAGACGCTGAGCCACATATAATGTCTTGAGAGGCTCCCTTGAGTAAGGCATCTCATCGAGGTGAGGACTGTCCCTCGACATTGTGAAAGACAGTGAGCTCAGATGGTGGTGGTAGTGGTATGGAAAAGGGTGGAATGTGGAACCACTGCACAGATGCACCCAGTCCCTCCGAGAAACCCATCGGCCCGCCAAATTCGCGAACATAATAATGATAAATATTAGATAGTAAAACAAGATAAGCACTGATGGGGTAGTGGTAACCTGGGTCGTTGCCATTCGAGACTGAATCTCGACCCGCCGGGGGTTCAATTCCCCCTCAGTGCAGTTTGGTATATATCTATGTATATTTTTGGCCCTCATCCCGAACGATTGCTTCTCACTACTTCTCGATGAATAGCCTTGGAGGAGCCTTATCTTTTCTCTGTATAGATCACCACATATACACACAACTCGGAGCGGTGGTTCAATTTGTTTCTTGAGCTTTACATGAAACTACTTATCTGTCGTTCGGGGGTTTTATATACGTGAGTTTCAAGGTCGGACATGCTATATATACAGAGACCTGGACAACAATACAGTTCACTCCGATGAGCCAAATTTGACTCGATATCACTGACAACGTCTTGCTCCTGTGATCTCTTCTTTTCAGCTCTATTGAAAGTTCCCCCTGTCTGTCGATCTTGACGCGTTCTCTGTCCTTCATGATCAATATTGATGTCCGAGCCGGATCGTTCAAACTCCACGATTCTAACAAGACAGTGCATAAATATCCGACTCTGAATCGCCTGGGACCAACCTGGGGTGTGCTCCTACATTCCATCTAGATATTGAACTGTACGCAGCATGAACGCATCTACTACCAGTAACGCCCATTTTGCATCTGCATCTCAGTCCTTTACATATGCTACGGCAGGCCCTTCATTTTCAGACCTCACGACAATCGGAAACGACCTTCGCCTTACGTACACAATGTGGAGTAAGTGCAGACAGTGTTGACGATGACTTGATACAATGTTATCTACGCAGTTTCCACCAGTCATGTCTTTAGCTCTGGTCTTGTACGATCATGGTGGGTATCTTCAAGTATTCGAAGAGGCGAGATGAGAATAACATGGTCGCCGAAATGCTACATAGCCTTGACATTGGCAGATGAGGTAGATATCTTGATCCGTTGAGGGGAAAGATATTCACAGTTCCTAGATCACTTTCATATGGTCAGGAAGGTTCATCTGGACCAGAATTCTCTTCGTAATAGTGAGTCCCTCATTCATTTCGTCCATGTCTTGTCAAAATCTGACTTGACACGTAGAGCCGATATTGGACGTGAGTATCGTCGTTGTCGTTGCCAACCGGAAAACTAAAGTTTCAACCCTGAACAGACTTTTGAATTTCATGTGAGCGAGGCGTTTCGTTTGAAAGTGCTATCGTGCTTACTACTAAAGTTGCATACCTAGAATCGAACACATTAGTAAGAATTCAGCTTTACTTGCCTTGTCGGGCCTGACGGGATTATGCACGCAAAGTCCTCTCTATCAGCCACCCGTCCGACAAAGTGAGTGATAAGACATTCAGGCACCTCCTCTTCGGTGCTGAACCATTCGCTTAGTTGTGAGCATCGGTGCGGTCTCCAGAGAGACCCTCTCAGTCTGTCTTTTGTAGATGCCTGTTCTTTTCAAATTGGTTCATCTATACAGGAATCTTCAACGTCGTCTCTACAGGAAGTAAGTATGGGCAGCGACTCACAGACAAACATTAGTCTGATTGGGCCATTCGCCCTAGTAATCATGCTCCTCCGAGTGTATGCGATGTACGGTTGTAACCGCAAGCTTCTCATCGCCCTTTCGGTTCTCGCTTCCGCGTCAATGGTCACCGAATTCATCTTCCTAGGATTCGTCATTGGAAGAGCTCAACGTGAGTGGATTGAGTTGCTTGCGTCAGTCTGTGTAACTGAACATTTAAATTAGTCGCACATTTACCGTTGCCTGGTTGTTTCCTCGTCAATACAGAATCATTCGCCTACGCCTACTGGTTCCCCATGATCACTTTCGAAATGACACTATTCGTTTTGGCCATCATCAGAAGCATACAATTTGCATTGGACGATACCACAACGCCTCACCTGATGTTCGTCCTTCTTCGAGACTCCATAATGTACTTCGGCGGTATGGTCGCGGTTGTGTTGGCTAATTGCGTCATATGGGCAGTAGGAAGGGTGCGTCTAAAGCTAGAGTTTTCTGTCATTAGTGCATGACAAGTTAATCCTTACCCGTATTCGACCGTAGGAATCCTTGTTCACCTCGTTCACTTCGTGAGTCAGTCCTTAAGAATTGTATCGGAAACTCACCGATCGTTGCACAATTAGGACCTACATTGCAATTCAGTCCATTCTGAGTTGCCGAATGCTGGTAGGCTGCACTGGCTGACACTGGTTCATTTGTAACCGCACTAACAGATGCTTCATTTTAGCTTAATGTTCACTCTGCTGCCAATCCGTGGCATAGACACAATACAACCATCTTTGGTTTGTCTGGCCGCTTTTCAAGTGTCCGTTTCGTCGGCAGGGAGACAGAAGATATCGGCCTCGATTCATTGGGAGAGAGACATACGGTGCAATAACTGGTCTCTGGGCTTAGAACGGTTTCCGTGATTCGAGTCAAACCAATACTGGTTAGATGTATTGATTGCATGCTTAAACGCATGGAGCGCACTGGTATATGTTCGTCTGTGGTGCTGGGTTGCAATACATGGCTCTGTCGAAATCGTGGTAGATTACAAAGGCGCTGCAGGAAAATCCATTGCTTGTTAGGATTGCTTTGACTGTTGGATCCATGAGTGATGACGGTTGACTAGTTCTTGAACTATATCCTCTTCAATCTCCTTCTTGGGATCTTTGGCTAAGTCAATACGTATCCATGTCTCCACGAAAGTCGATTCCGCGTCATTGGTTTTGCCAGAGGAGCATGGCTCTCGAGGTGATACGAAGACCACCTCAAACTTTCGCCTGTGCAGGTCGTTTCCGATGACAACTTGATGACCATATGTCTCTAGTGCGGTGCGGGCCTTCGGTATCAGCAACGCAGGATCTGTTTCGAGCTGCGTCGAAGGAGTCATGGGCTATCATTGATACGCTGCAATCCGAACTTACCTTGAAAGATACGATGAATCCTTCTCGAGTCCATTCATCAACCAACGGCTTCAAGATCTTCGGCACCTGATCCATCTCAATGTGCAAGCTGCCTTTCCCTGATTGGATCTTGTGTTCCGACTGTGTCCATCCGAGTCAGTCGGATAGAGATATCAAGAATAACACTTCAGTTTCTCACCATCTTTTGACGGGGAAGGAAGAAGTCGCTAACAGCCGCCGCGAGGTAGAAAAGAGCGTTTCGTCCCAGAACGGACAATTCCTTGCTGACTGCGCGAAGGAGCCATAGATAGTCATTGACGGTCACAAAATTCAGGGTATGCATAGTACCGAGGCGATGAACCTCCTTGTAGGCCGTCAGGACCTCAAGCAATTGGTCCCTTTCGGACGGGGTGACAGTGATTTGAATGTTGTTTGAGCCGGACGGATCGATTTCCAGGAAGTCAAGGAACGGATGCGTTGAGTGGGAATAATGTCGGCTAAAGGGTTGTAGACTGAATTGCCTGTGCATGAAAATAACTGCATATCCGGCCTTCAGGAAGTATTCAGCAGAGGTTGCGCCTCGGGTTCCTTTGCTGTGGTGTTAGTGTAGGAATGTAAGATCAGAATCCGGATAGAGACACACCAGCGCTGAAGTTATCTAAGAATCGAACGCTGCGGATCTCACACGCATGAGCTTCGAAACTAGGTAGCCTGATTCAGGCCATGCATTCTCACACATTGAGCTCTAAAGGCACGGTGGTTCCGCCGCTCTGTGTTTCTTGTCATGAGTACGAGATGATGGAGGTGTCGAAGGGTAACTCACCGTCACTAGTACAACCTTGCGTCCAGCTTGCAGTTGATGCCGTATGAAAGTGCGTACTCGAGCGATGTCCTCATCAAGCGAAGGCGGCGGCGGCTGTGTTGCGAAATACCTCTCCGCGGAAAAGTCTGAGCCAGAGGAGTCCATAATCTCCTCGATCTAAGCCAAGTTAAATCAGTACAAGACTCACGAACTCAAAGAGGCACATACAACTTCAGACGTAATGCTTGACCTGAAGGCTAGAGACTCTACTAGAGAAATATTATGCTCATGCAGTCGTACGTGGTTGTTTGTAAGAATATTTATTCTAACTCCGCGAAGTCTATTAATAGTGCTTATCTATATTTGTTCACACAATACTTAGTTCGGGGATATTTATGTATTTACACTTCTAGGCTACAAAGCATTCCTGAAATATAGGGAATACAGAGTCTAATTTCTAACTCACTGGCCCCGCAGAGTAGAGAAGCCTGACTTGTTAAAAATCTAGGGTCTATTCATAAGGCAGAGCCGCTCCAGGTTACATGGCGAGTGACTGGGGCCTGCTCTGGCCACTTGGAAGTATCGAAACTTTAGGAAGAACGGATCATATATATTATCATCAAAGGTTCAACAGAGCTTACGGAATAAGGACATTGAAAAGGCATGGCTGTGTACGTTTACTCTTCGTTAGATCTTTATGGCTATTCAGTTATAGTTTTCACTCGCCGTACCAACGCCGTACCCCTCTCCGTAAAGATGATGGTGCTAACGAGAAAGATGAAACGCCCCTCGGAGTGGATGACAGAGTCTCGAGTAGAACGCATTGAGACGAGGTGCGGAATTTCAGGCTCTTAGTTGAAAGGACTTGTCGCAAATGAAACTTTAAAGCAGAAGCTTCAGCCTGGCTCGGTGTCAAGAATAGGAAAGACAGTCCTTTTCGAGATGCAGTACTAAAGCAGGCATCAATCGCTGCTCTGAATGGTCATCGGACTGAATAAGCACGGACGTCTAGATCTCTCCGCCACAAGACAAAAACAGCCTTCTTCCTTGCATTGACATTCAATGTCTACGGAGCTCCCAGCAAATAGACCAACTCGGAGAAGTCATGCAATGTAATCTTTCCAATCACGATTTGGAATTCGTATTTCAGGTTTGTGTTTTTTTGTCTTCCTACCAGTAAAACTGCTCTTCCACAGCGTTCCCCATAATGTCACGCGGCCATAATATTATATCATCAACCTTATCAACTTTGTTCATCAATTGCTGCCTCTTCACATGCCACGCGTGTTCGTAACGGCACTCCGGCGTCCGTAAGGAAAACACCTCTATGTAATGGATTAGTTCTTGAGCGTGCAGGGAGTGACACGATACCTAAGCCTGGTACCTGAATTTACGATATTGCATTCGGAGCTACATGGTGCGGTAGTGCTGCCGGACGAAGGGCGGCGTCGACCGCTATGTACAGCGGGTATCTGAGAAAAGGGTGGGTGAATAAGGTTAGCTCTACCCACCTTCGCAGCATTTTATAAGAGAAGTTCTTATCTGTTCTTGCGTGGAAGCTCATAGTACTGGTGGCTCGGGTAAACGTAGGGCTTTTCTATGACGTGGCACGTGAAAAAGGGTCCTTGGTCCATTTCTCCAGTCAAGCCCTTGCATAAAAGAAACCGACGAAGCCGACTTCAAGTTGTATCGTCCTTTCGGACCCAATAAGACGCTCTGGGTTACGATACTAGCACCATTTTTGAAAACCATGCACAGTGTGCTTCGACGAAGGAGATCTAAGAAAACCAATGGGACTTATATGTTCTGGACATAAAAGAGAGGCGTACAACACCTCAGCCTGAATGTTTTCAAGTTGTGATTGAACCGAGAAACCTTCGCGGCTGCAGATGGCGATACGCGTCAAAACGCGGTCCCGTGAGTCTGGCTCGCTAGATCTTTCTTTCCGGCGTCTCCGTGTGCGTCAAAAGTCGCGGATCCATTTTGCATCTTGCCTCTTCGTTTAGAGTCAACGATGCAGGATGAAGGGCAACAGCTACCAGGTTGCCATCCTCAGTGAGGGGGTCCCTATTCCCGAGTATGGTCTAGCATCAGACCGAGAGCTATATCGTTGCTATATACCCAGTGAAGTTGGGAAGGTACGTGTCGACCATCGTCTTTACGCTATCGTTCGCGAACTGGCGCGGCATTTCTTGCTTCTTTTTCTAGCGATTCATCGTGGACGTCGTCAATCTCTTTCCTGATTATGATATAGAGGCGCGAATCTTTATTGATGGTCGACTTCTCGCGAGGACGGCTGTCAAGCGAATGAGCCACAACTGGGCCGATGGGGCTCAAGTCAAGAATAATGTAATCCGTCCGTTTGTGTTCTCAGATGTTGTTTTAACAGGTAAGACTACTTTATACAGTGTTAGGGACGATGTCACGACTCCTGACTCTAAGCAGATGACGAGACAGTGGCCAATCCAGATCAAGTCAACCTGCAGCATCTTGGGTCTATAGAAGTCCATATTTTGCGGGTCGTTGTACAGGACGAACAGCTCTGGGATGGCGAGATGTACTACCAAGATATTGGCCCAATTCACGAACGGTCAAAGAAAGCGGGCGCTCATCAAGTCTTGTATGTTCAATTTGCAGTCCTACGTAAAAAAGACTCATACTGAGACTTAGCAGGCTCGGTGACCAGGAAATGGCCTCACCCGTAGAATACGCAACAGTCTCTAGGATTGATCAACCACACACTCCCTATGCCAAATTCATATTCTACTACCGTTCTAAAGGTATGGTTCAAGTTGTTATTTACCCGTTCATGCCACATTGATCCATTGTGGTCACAGAACTTCTCCAAGCCGAGAATATCATCCCGTATAGCACTAATATTCCACCTCTCAAGTCAATCGAACCCTTTCGTCTACAGAACCCACCACCGTCTAGCGCTTTCAGGAAGCGAACGTCAATGTCCTTCTTGGACGATGATGCCATAATGCCTATCAAGAGGACCCGGTATGAGTCGCCTGATGAGATGCCAATGATGGACCATCCAGATGTGTACTCTTCACAAGGGCCCTCCACCGTGGCCATTTCTCAACTGCAAATTGCCAAACCTCCACCCGGCGAGTCCGATGATTCCACTGACATCCACTCGCTCGAGGTGATTCAGGGAAATCTTCTTTAATAACGTGATACATGTCTGACCTCAGTTTTGTAGAGCCAACTAGCTGAGATGACTAAACAGACCAAGGCCATTACGGAGAAGATAGCTGCACTGAAAGCCAGGAAAGCCGCTGAAGCCGCTGCTCAGGCAGAGGCCCAAGTTCACGCTCAAGTTCACGCCCAGGCGCAAGTCCATGCCCAGGCTCATGCTCACGCTCAGGCCCAGGCACAAGGGCAAACACCTCCCGCGACAATGGCCGCGGTTACCAGCCTCCCTCCCTCCTCATACTTTAGGCGAGACAACTACTACGGAATGCCCAGCAGCGGACAAGGACAACAACGCTGGCTCCAATGATACCCCGGGATGGTACGTGGTGAGAGAATATGGAGAAATGACATCGACCTCATAGGACTTTGGGCTAGTTCCAAGGAATATACCTTTGCGATACCTCTTACGGACATACCATGGACTCGGTTGCTGCACTTTCCTTCAACAACACACCGAACACTTTGTGACATATGCTATCGTTCTTCGCTGTGCTATGTTGTGCAAAATCTGTTCTAATACTGTACTCGCCCGCTGCTGCTTGTAATCAAATCTAATCAGGGTTCTTTCTGTGCTGTTTCTCGAATAATTGCTTCTTGTCTCTTTTCTCAAACGCGATTTCCGTGCTCATAGGATTCATGTGACATTACCTGGTAAGCGGCAGATGTTTCCCTGTGTTCCCTGATCAATTCGTAGCTCTGGATGTAGGCCACTGAGTTCTTTCCTCGAACATCTTAATTTTAGGCTTGGTATCATGGTTCTTTCAGAGTATAGCACCACGCCCGATGCCTATATACCAACTCGTCAGGCCAAGCGGAACACTTTTCTGTATTGGCCAAGTTGCAGACTGAATATCGGTACGTCGATAGCCTTAGACACTCTTCAGCAGTCCGAGTGACTGCTGATAGCCTTATAGGATCCCAACCAATGGTGTCTGTGCCGTTCGCGTTTGACACACGTCTCTAGCCGATGGAGCGGTCTGACTGGCCTTGCATAACGCCAGGACGTGGTCTCGATGCCTATAAATCGAGATGAGACTCATCGACGTTGTTCTGGTCTTCACTTCCAACCGCCGACTCCCGGAGCACAGGCATTGCTATGTGACCTCTATCCTGGGAATCTCTATGGGGCCACAGCAGGAATTTGAGTTTCACCGGAAGTCCAAAATCGTGGTATGTTTTCATCGAACTCATAAATTGAATTCAGGTTCTGACTCTGCTTAGGATTCACTAGGACGAACAATGTTTGAAGCTAGCAATGGTAAGAGTCGACTCTATCTCATTGCACCGATAATGACATGCACCATGTTAGATGGCTTACAATTTATTCATCGAGCCGTCCTCTAGTACAAAGACCTCCTGACCAAGCTGTCCCGGAGTTGTCATAACGATTTCTCAAAACGCCTTTGGTCATGCGCAGACTTCGGAGAAGGTGCAATGTTGCTACAGTTACACGGTGCTATCTGTAACTTAACGTCTCAATGGATGTAGATGACATCATAGTTATATTCGAGTATCCCGGTTACTCGGTCCCACGCACTATCCACAGTGACCCAGAGCCATGATGGTAATGTCTCCCGGCTCCGGTTGAACGCGATATAGAACGGAGAAGTCGTTTATCGTGCTCCTTCTACGTGCCGGAGTAGATGGGATTCAAGTCGCTCTACTGTCCTCGGCTTTGTTAAGAATGGTCCTTATCTCGAGGCGTAAGAGCTGGACGTTGCTCTGTATTTACAACAGGCTGTGGATATCAAGGTGAGCATATTCAGATAGGATCACTGTTGCTTTCACGCTTATAACAATTTGACAGTTGGTCACGGGTTATTCGGTTTCCGAAGGATACGTTAATTTCGTCGCCATGATATGTATGCAGAATGTCTACGGGACCGTATTCGACCGCCACTAGGTCCTCAGAGTGCCGCGTGTGGATCAAGCCCAGTTCTCGCTGAAGCAGAAGTACCGACTGCAGTGATAGCAAAAGTTTTTAGGCCTGTCTCAGTGTTACCCGAAGAGGTCGCTATAGTTACTTTCAGGATTGTCCCCAGACGAGATGGCTCGCCTTTAAGTCGACGGACAGCTCTGCGCGTGCTCGAGAGATGAGATCGGCATATAACAAGGTAGGATATTTCGCCTTCAGATTTATCTCCACGCTGGAGTAAGCTGATAGCGCCTCCTTCTTGTCATACTTGAGAGAGGAATTGATACTTTCGAACTTGGGCTTCAGGTTCTCATAGTAGAGGCCCATTTCCCAGTTCTGGAGACCAGTGATCAGTGAGTGATTATGCATATATCGGGGTATACGATGTGATACTTACTACTACGGTGAACTACACATCGGATAGGAGAACCTTTGCTTTGTAGGCGTAAACTCAGACATCTTAATTGATAGTTTAACTTTGAAAGGTCAATGTCTCAGTGAGGAGCGCCACACTTCTGTGCCATCACGATCGATCTACTATTCAAATTCAGGCGTTCCTATCATGCTTGTTTTGTACATCCCCCCCCTTCTTCCATATGTCCTTAGGCTTGTTTAGGAAAAGGTCGCACTCTCATGGCGACTAGCCAAGATGCTGCATATGCTGGCACTTGAAATACGCAATGAGTGACATAGACTCAGGCTCACGCCTCATTGCCTGACGGCCATTTCCCTACGCCGTCCGATCCCATGTTGTACTTCTGCCCTCGAGTTCCTCATCATCGTGTCTGTGATGGGAGCGTTGGATTCGTGGCTCTGCTCTGACGAAATCTACCACTCGATCTCCATCTCATCGGCTACACTCAGGTACTTTGTCATATATTTCAGCGGATATCTTGACACCGAGGAAAGTCTGTAAGAATGATATGTTGCATCCGTCCAACTTATGGCTCTGTTGCTCAAAAACCTTCTTCTAGTGTCCTTGGCTAATATGCATAAACTCAGCGAATTATAAATGTATCCTACCGGTGGTACGGACAGCATCTCTCAATACAACGAGAATAATACTTTCTGTTGTCAACGCCGCATCTTTACGCAGTGTATATATGCATTGCGGGGAATACTCTTTTAACATTGTTCACGTCAATGAATGGTACGAGGTCGACAAAATCCTGGGCAATGCCCGTTTTGCACTGCTCGAAAGAGTGGTCGTTTTAGTCAGAGAGGAGGATACAGTCCGGATTTTTGGCGAGCTGTTACCAAAATGCATGGCGCGCAGGATACTTCATGTACAAAACGGAGACTAAGAGAGCAAGGACTACTTGTAAGCTAAATTTATGCATGGTTTCACTTACGTTAATGACATTTTCTCTTTTTCTAGCCAAAGCGCATGGTTGGCCAAGCGTTTTTACCTACATGACACAGCAAATAAAGACCGTTTAGCTTCGACTGTGATCTGGGACCGGTACCACCCATCCCGTACCCGCCATTACTCCTTATGTTTAAGCCCCAACACTCTATCTCCACGCCTTCGTCACATAGATTTTGCATTGACTATTCTAGTTCGAAGTCCTTGTTGAATGCACAATCATCCGGATGGTGATGGGTCGCAGCCCGAAGACAGCGAGACCACACGCCTCGTTCAAGCGATATCCCTTCCCTTAAACCATATCCCCAGTTATATAACCCATTTTCGCCTTGAAGGCGACGACGGACATCGTGGTAATGGACCCTCATTTATTTATAGTACTCCCTCGTACGGTGTGAAGGGCACTGCGATCCAGGCTGGAAGAACCTTGGAATCTTCGCCAGTTTCATATCAATGCTCCTTCGAAGGAACACTGGACTCGCCCCCGGACCAGTACGATTTATCAAAATGGGTCTCGCGCTTGACAGGCCTCATTATGAGTTCTAATGCCAGTGGACGGTACAGCATGCTTTACGACAAGATGAACAAATTCTGCTGAACCTAGATTACAACGTTTGATGATGGACCATAACAGTCATGTAGAATTCTGTTGACTACCCGTGTAGGGTATTTCTACCACGATGCAAAAGTGTTAATTGTGTACAAATATGAAAAACTAGCCGGGCAATGCACATTACATAGAGACCACCGTACAGAACGAGTGCTTGAATACGTCTGTTCCATTGACCCAGTGGAAAGGTCATGCAGGCCCGAAGAGTTGGAACTCCCAAGGCACGCTTTGCCCCGGCCCACTCTCGCTGAACCATATCCGCCTCAGTCTGCATGTCGCATATATCTTAATGTAGGACACGTGAGAGTACAAGCCGCTGGGAACCTGTGTCCTGCTCACATTTGACGCAATGTGGGCTGAGCGTGAGGGCATCTCTGTATCTGATGAGCCATCATCCTCATTGCGAGCGAGTGATGCTGAGGAAAAATGTGGCAAGAGACTGGGTAGGTTGACGTCAATGGTGCTCCAACCCGTCAAACGGTGTGATGAAGATGACGGGAAGGACAGTGGAAGATGGAGAAGCGGTGGGTTCAACAACTTGAGCCTAGGCTCTTTCTGCAAATCAGACAAGTTAGTTCAGGATTCGCGCTATGTAGAATGCTGAAAGTAGATGAACCTCATATATTGCTCGCGCTCTTGAATTCATAGAAGCGTGGAGAATAACCTTTGTAGAGTTTATGTTCAAATGGAAAGAAATCATTCACCTGGAACGTTGAGAACCGAATGATACCTTCTCTACCAGCCTTATCAACTACGCCAACCTCAAACGACCACTCTCGACCCATATCCCGAACCTGGATATGTATCCAAGGATGTTTCAAGCCCAAATCCTCTTTGCTGCCTTGTGGCGGACACCTAATATATGTCGTCCGGAGGGTTGGTGACTGAAGATGAAGAACAGTTTGTGATAGAGTATAGCCCTCCTTCTCATCGCTATCCTTTCCATCGACATCTGTCCTAACAGATGGTGAAGCTATGAGGGTGGCTGGTGGTGCTGGAGGCGGGCTTGAGGACGAATCTTCGAGAAAACATAGAAACGAGTCTGATGGAAGAGACGCGTCTGTCCTTGACGAGAATAACCCCAGGGGTTCACTACCAGTCGAGGAGAATAGAGAGACAATCCCGGGTTGAACAACACCGCTGAACATCGGTGAAGCGAGACTATGTATGATAAAGACGAACTAGAGAGTATCAGTCAACTGAGTACTCGAGTAGTATATGGCGCCTTTGAATTTCCCTTTTTTTCTCTTTCCACAGAATTGAATTTCTTTCTGCATAGAAACAACGGTGATACTATTATAGTACGATGTGAAGTATGTACGACGGGTAACAGAAGCAAAGCAAGTATCGATGAGAAGGGTATGTCAGTATGATAGCATCGAAAGCAAATATAAATTGTCAAGATATCCAAGAAATATGTAATTGCGTCCATGTCGCCCAAGAAACGCACAAGGATCTTCATCTCGTTACCTTACCGAGTAACGTTCTGCGCAAGACAACTCTTCACGGCCGCCTTCATAATATTCAACACCTCTCTCTTCCTCACTTCGTTGTCAGGCAACTCCGCTTTACCAGCTGCAAGACCATATAAGTAGGCGAAATCCGCCTGAGCGACTAAAGGAAGTCGACCGGATGCCCCAGTCTTGCGTTTGCCCTCGATTTTTTCTTTGAACTTTCGAGCGAAGTCTTTGGACACCACGTCGGCGCGTTCGACAACCTCCATTGGCACCCCCGCTAGGTTCGCGACATGCGTGCCGAAGGAAGACGAGGCGACACCTTCCACCAGTTTATACAGGAAGACCAGCTACAACAAATGTGAGCTTGAGCATAAGCGATATAATCAATTGATACTTGCCTCCATTTTCTCATCGTCTACGAGCGTAGACATATGCATGTTCCTGATATTTGGGTGGTACGCAAAGTCGTCCGTTAGTGATCCATAGTGTGTAGCGAAGAACGAAAGTGCTAGTGTATGGGTGGCGAGTTGGTGAAGAACGGCCTAGAGAGAATAGAATGATGAGTCGAGCGCTAAATAAAGGCACTGGATTGACATACCCCTGCTATTGCCATTCCATCGTACGTTGAAGTACCACGACCGAGTTCTGGATGTGAATGTTTTAGATAAAGCATCCTTGATCACCGCAACATGACCTACCATCGAGAATGACCAACGACTTCGGCGTCGCATCACGAAGAATCTTGCAACTAACAGAGAATGAGGCGACGACAATAGGCATGTGAGGAACTGCTTACCATTCGTCAAGTTCCACCTTGAACGTACTAGCATTCGAGAACATGTTGTCGTATGCACCCATACGAGTCAGGATAGCATCAACAGGGCAAAGCCTACAAATTATGTCCAGAGTCATCATCCTGAAGAAAGATGATGAACGTCGGCCAATCACATACCTCGCCTTTTTGGCCGGGACATACATGCCAAGTTGCGCCATGATCTAGACAGAACATTAGTCCGACTTTTCTCAAAATCTCAACATCGAGTGAGATACTTACGACACCCGTCGCGGTCATACGCATAGCCTGAATAGAGGTTCAGTTGGATCCTAAAAGCAAAATGGGTGTGATTCTTACCGTTGACTTTCCTCCCATGTTCGGTCCTACATCACTGGTCAGTAGTGCATACACAGTCACCACAATTAACCAGGACTTGCCTGTCAGTAAAGCGATTCTTCCCACATCTCCACCAAGCCTCACGTCGTTGGGGATAAAGTCACCCTTTAGAGTCGAGCTGATACACAGCGCAGGGTGTCTCAGTTCCTCAAAATCGACCCAGGCAGAATCTCCTTCAACGAATTCGGGTCTGCAGGAGGGCTCGCCTATTGCATTTGATGCCTTGGCTAAGCTGAACAGGCAATCCAACTCCGAGAGAACTCGAATAGCACGAAGCCAGACGCTACGATCAGCATCGAATTCCGCATATAGTCGGTTCTTAAACTGTTTGACGGCGGTGCTGTGATTCTCCCTGGCTTCCTTAAGACTACGGATGGTAGGTTGAAGGTCAGGGACCACCCAACGTGCCGCGGCCTAAAATCATCAGCGAGACGAGCTGAAGTCTGATGGGCATCGTAAAAACAATACCTTCGTAGAACCACTCTTCGTCCAGTCTCTTGGAATGTTCTTCTCCTTTGGACCTGTTTGCACAAGGTAGATTTCCTATACATGACCTCGTTAGTATTTCGTGGGCTTGTCAGAGAAGATCTATCACCTTTGTGCCTATGGCACTGTTCCAATACGTCAGCTTGCACCTGAGCAGACGGTTTCAGTATCCTATACACGAAGTAACACGGGAGGCACCTACCCAACCTTCTTCTCCAACCTCTTCAACTCCTTCTCTAGTTCCTCTTCAAGGCCGTTGATCTCTTCCGCGATGCGGTCGTAATCCTCATCTTGACCTTCCTGTGGAACAACTTCGTCCGTTTCTAGTCAAGAGTTAGCTGGGCTCAGGACACGACCCTCGCTACAGCACTTACTATCATCAGTCTTCTGGAACATCTTCTTGACGTGCTTGATATGTGGTAACAAGTCGGGCGCCGAACGTAACAAGCCCAAAACTGCTTTGGACTCGAAGGATTCGGCTTCATCTGCAAGCTCAGACAGACCTTTGCTGAGAGTCCTGAAAGCCTGTATGACGCCTCGAGCTTAATATATACACCGCCACGCGAATAAAACGTAGACGTACATCTAGGACCTTCAGGAAATCCTTGACTCGGCAGTTCTTTGCATGTATACGGGAGACAATCCGTTCGAGGTCAGGGAGTCCTTTACAGACTTCAGCAAACTTGGCTTCGAATGTAGGATGAGTCATGAGATCGTCCACTGCATCAAGTCTCGAATGAAGGTCAGTATCGGGAGATCAGGAGACGCAGTGGGCTCTACGAAGATAGCTCACCGAGTGTTGATGTCTGCAACATTGCGAAGAGGCATACAGAGCCAAATTCGGAATAGACGTTTGCCTAAGAAGTGTTATAATCATCTGAGAGAACGAAATGTCATCTGATCGAACACACCTGAAGGAGTGATGCACCGTCCAAGCAACTTCAACAGCGATCCTTCCTCCGTACCTTCACTATTGAGCAACACCTGGTAAAAAGATGTAATTTACTTCTACAAATGTTCAAAGCACAGCAAATGGGACGTACCTCAATGTGAGCCAGAGTCTGGCCGTCGAGGACCAGTCCTTGGCCTCGCTTCATAGGGTCATAAACATTGAAGTTTTTCATGCTGAGAATTTCCTTGTCGATATTGAGGGTACGGAGATACCTAAACGCAAAAATGAATTTCATGAAACATCGTACTTGCATTCCGCAACTTACCAGATCATCGAACCAAGTGCTTCCATCGCTTCCTTGCACCCCACCATCTTTCTGATAGCCTCCGGAATAGAGCTTCCTAGGCCATGCACGTTGTCATCCATATCGTCGTCATCTTCACCAGCGGGATAGAGACCCTTGAGTTCCTTCAAAGTCTTGTCGTATGGTAGACCCTCGCTCTCGCGCAAGCTCGTCCAAAGACAACTGCCAGGAAGAACCGCTTTGAGAAGGCGTGTAGTGGCCACAGTGAGGTTACCCTGTAACATAGTCAACACCATTATTGATGAGCACAGACAGAAAGTCAGACCTTGGTGAAGATGATCTCTTTGGGCCTAAGTTGCCTCATCAACGTCTCCAACTTCGTCCGACAGACGTCATCCTCGAACGAGCTCAGATTAAACTCGCTCGTAGAGCTGTCCAAGACGCATATACCGAACCGTCGGTGGTCATCCTTGCCACCTTCTTCGCTATCCTCCCTGATTGACACACAGTGACCGGCTTGCTCGTCTGTGAGCAAAGCCTCATCGACCAGCGTACCGTTGGTGTAGACCTTGTTGAGCTCTCGACGGACGATCTTGTCCTTGCCTTTCTCTTCTGCCGTGGCTTTGGTTTTCCCTTTGGACTTGTCTGCTGCGACACGCATCTCGGCACCGAGTGCTGTCTCGGCTTGGTCAACTCGCCCAACCTTGTAACCTATGCGACGCTATGAGACCCACACAGGCAGTCGCCAAAGGCAGATAAAGATCCTTACCTTTCGCAAGGAACTTCGCAGCCCAGAAGTTGAACGACATCTCCGGGACACCAACCATACTCATCTTCACTCGATGGGTAAGTTTCAGATCGAACTCTTGATGTCCAATACGCGCATCTTCTTCATAAAGCTCCAAGAACTTTCCTTTCTGGAAGAACAAGATAGTGTCGAAGTGATTCTGCTTGATTTCCCAGAACTGCAAAGACATATTAAGCAAAAGCATCACGGACAACATACGCGGCCTACCCACTTGTTTCTCGAACGGTGTGAATCCTTTCCAAGCTTTCGGGGGTATGTATAGCGTTCTGGGATCATACCCAGGTTCTCCAGGTCGTAAGCCATCTTTATCCCTAACATCGACCAAGAAAGAGAACGGATCTTCTGTGTTTTTCTTGTCGGCTTTCTGCTGTTGAGTACGTTGTTCCGCTGCCGTTAAGAAGAGGTTGTTGCCACTGTCTCCTTTCGAGCTTGAATCCTTCAGCGAAGCGCGCGCGGCAGCAGACTTCTTTTTAGGTTTGGAGGGTGCATCTGAGTCGGCATCAGACGTATGTGCATAGGATGATACTCGAGAAGAGGCCCGCGAACAGACTCCTGAAGTGCGAGAGGGTGCTCGAGAAGATGACTCCAGAGGTTCGTCCTCTTCCTCGTCTTCGTCGTCTGGCACAATGAAGTCATCATCATCATCAGACTTCGCCTTACGACCTGCTCGTGTAGAAACGTGAGTCAGCGGCTGACTGTAGTTATATGCGCTGTAGTACGGACCTTTGGCTTTCCCTTTAGTTGGAGACTTCTTGAACTGAGTGAGACGTTTGGTGAACTCATTCATACGCGGGTTCTCTTCGTCATTCTCGTCATCTGAGAACACTGTAACGTCTTTCTGCCTCTTCAGGCGACCTTGACGTCCAGACATCAGTATATAATGATAAAGTTAGACATTCGCGTGCTGACCTGAGGGTTTCGGTGGCTCATCTTCATCGTCTGTGATCAAAGCCGCAATACGCTGTTTCTTTGCACGGTTGATGTTCTTTGAAGGCTCGGGAGAAGGTTGATACGCGGATAAGCCTTTCTTATACGCAGACCCGTCGACGTCCTCATCGGATTCGTCAATGACGATTTTGCGTTTCTGTCTCGTTTGCTCCTAAGATTGGTTAAGATCTTTACTTGCATTAGGAGGCAAAGCCGACTGATTTGCTTACAGGCTTCGTACTCTTCTCCTCTTCAACTTCAGATGACATGTCCACGTCAATGGGATCGCTTGTGGGTGGTGTGTCAAAAGCACTGCTCCCGCCATCCGAACCACGAGTATACTGTGCGCTGCTGATTCCAGATGATTGGGAGGCACCCTTGCCAGCGGGTGTACGCAATGAACTGGCAGATACCTCCACAGTTTCTTTTACGTCTGACTTGTGAGCCTCCTTGGTCACATTTGGCTTCGCAGGTTTGAAGTCCGAAGGCCCTTCTTGCTTTGATTTTGACTTTGACTTGGCAGGCGTCGCGTTCGACTTGCCAAAGAACGACATCAAGCTCTTCTGCTTCATGCCGTCTGCTGGAGATTTTGAATTCGTTTTCGACATAACTAGAGTTATATGAAAATAAAAGTGCCTATGAGTACCAGCTCGAATCAGTTAGGACTCTAATAGCATGGAGTGACAGCTCAAAGGGATTCACGAAGCCTCCAACAGCGCGATGCGCGTTATTTGTTCTTGTTTGGCTCGCGATAATTCCGTGAACTCCCATTTTGGCAACACTGACTTCTAAGTCGATGATGGTTTCACTCTCGTGCCCACCCACCGTGTCAAACTTGCTCACAACGACCATCCTCGGCTCATCTCGAATTTTAGCTCAAGGTGATCTCGAAACTGGGGACTTGAAGTTTGAAAGCCAAGGTCAATGGTAATGACAGCCTCAGCGCATGTAAACCACATCAAAGCAATGTGCATGAAGCTCAAAGAAGTTGAACTGACTGGCAGGTTAATACTAATAGAAGTATGGCCCATGTCTATTTCATCATCTAGAATGACGATCATCCGACAAAACGTTGCAATAACAACGAACATTAACGACCAGTGTCTTCCTGTGTCGCCGATGTACATCGCCCCCCAAAAGTGTCGATTCACGATGGGATGTCTTGCGCGTGGGGAGATTTAGGTATCAGGGGAAAGTGTATGAGGCGATGTTACTGCAAAGACAGAATACCTTGAGACGGTGAAGATCTCAAGAAGGAGCTAACACCGATCAACGCGGCATATCTCTGTTTCCATAGGGTCTCAACGCTATTGCCATCACTGAGTACTGTTCTTCTGTTCTTTCGCACGTACAACTGTGTTTCATACTCATGCAGGTATCTCGTAGGATCAACATAAACCGTGGCCATACATCTGCACTCGATGCATCCAACATAAGTTCGTCACTGATCACTGAAAATCACTTCAGACCCCGGTCTTCATGGGTGTTATCACTAGCTAGCATGATCGCCGTAACGCACGACTGGATCAGTCTGTTATTTTTACATCGATAAATCACCACAGTAGGTGACTAACAGGATCTTGAGAACGTCAACGTACGCTGATGGGCCAAGGTCAGTTCACCGAACAGCAGGAATAGAAACCACACACATCTGCAACACGCATGTTGATAATCCATAGATTGGACATCCGAGTTCATGGGAACCATTATTTGGTCAGAACGAACAAACAAGAATGTGGACTTGATTCACAGCCTATTCTGTTATCTGATTTCATATCGCAACCGCCTTTACGATAGACGCTTCACGCTACAACTTCGAGATTCGGGGTGTGTTGGCTCCGCTTTCTACTCTATTGTACAACCAGCCTCAGCTTCAATATCATCCACACCTCAGGGTGAAGTTCGTAGGGCTGCAAACCCTCGTGTTCGGGTCCGGAGTCCATCTGCTGTGGGAACTTTGAATATCAAGGACCAACTCTGAATCCGTGGACAGGATGATTTTAGGAATATGTTTCAAATACCTGAGAGCCTATCGTTGGAATTGACACTTCCAGGGCCGTTTACTATTTCTTTCCTCGTACGTGACCTATCCACCGGTTCATCTGACTGTTTCTATCGTGTCATTTACGATATTGCATCTTGCCTTCCTAGATGTCAACAACATATCAGACGGTGAAGGGGCGCGCTAACAGAAAATCGATGATCGTCCCAATCCTTGCGCCGTATCTCACTGTTTGCATCTTCTCAGTCGCCGTAAGAGCTCTGCATCATGTTAGTTCACCATGATCATCGCATCACATGCAGTGATGCTTCCACCCATTTCCTCTCGTTTCGCAGTTCATGTGCATCTCTCGAGTAACCGTTCAAAACATATCAGTGCCCTTATTTAAGGTGTAGTCTCCGAATCCCCGCTCTTCTCAACCCCCCCCCCTTTTTTTTTTCCCTGTCTTTGCTTGATATCAATAGAAAATCGACATGGCGGCCTTACCTCACATCAACTCCATCCCATCTCCCTCGCAATGGATGGGAGGACTTCTGGTTGGCCTTTGCCTGGCTCTTTCGTAAGCTTGACGGCGCTGGCGGGAGTTTACGAAGCTCAACGTCATCCTCGAGTCTAGGTTGTACGGTATATCCGTCGCACAGTGTTACTTTTACATGATGCATTGTCAAGGTGATGGGCTGCTCCTGCGGGGATCTGTTCTCACCATCTTGTAAGAGCGACCTCGTTTCTCTTTTATTGCCATGCATTCACTGATCTGCGACTAATTTTGGCTCGTAGCATTTTGGAAACTCTCCATACAGCGCTGCTGATGAATATGGCGTACGTCTACGCCATAGAGTCATTTGGCAACTTCGCTGGAGTTTTACGGATCAATTGGTTCGTATTTGACATGAACTTTACAGGATGTTACTTCACTGATCTATCTTTCAAGGTCTTGTGGAGTGCGTCTTCACTTCTACATACGTCATAGTAGCTTAGTTGTTATCTCCAAACTGCCAGGCGATCGTTTTCGCAGAGGTGAGGGTACATTGAATTGTGAACATCAATACCGGGAACTGATGGCAAGTGTAACAGATGGCGATTGTTTTCATAGTTCAGGGGTACGTCCCCGCTTGATATATCTTACGCAAAAGTTGACCGATGATGCTATTCTTTTGGCATAGATTCTATGTGCGTCGAGTCTGGATTCGTGAGTTCGGCCATGAATGAGCCTTCCGTAAAGAATGGACGAGGATTAAATTTTCCCAGTTAGCAAGCGTTCCAAGCTCTTGACAGGTGTCCTTGTGAGTGCCGAGCTTGGTTTGTTCTTCGTGAAATCTTGCTGACAATTACGTCGTTAGGGTGTTCTATTCCTAACTCGAATTGGTAAGCCATTGCGTGTCCTGGTGACAATATCTCATCCGTAAATGTTGCATTGTAGCGTTGGGTCTCGGTGCGTATCAAACCATACATCGTGATTTTATACCCTCAAATAATATGTCTCTATACAGTAAGTGCCGTCAATTCGTAAGTATCAAGAACTCCACGCCGGGTATATTGTTAATGGAGCTGTTTCGTAGGTACCTCGCCGAGACGTGGATAGACTTTCGCCATACACCCAAATTCTCCGCGAGTGATTTTTAACTCATGTTTCATAGATCGCCCGCTTATTGCCGTTCATTTAGGTTGCGTTTAATGCGGCTGATGTATCGTCGGTCGTACTGGATCTGTCCCTCACTATTCTTCTGATATTTGAACTGTACCGACATACCTCAGGCGTCAAGAGGTATGCATCGTATAAACTATTCTCGACAAGAGGTTTCGCTCTGACAATGAATGTAGAACGGATGGTCTCGTCTACTCACTCATAGTGTATACAGTGAACACTGGAGCCATAACCACGTACGATATCTCATTCTTGCTTCTTGCAGCGACGTATTAATCATCTGAACAGATTGGTCTCAATCGCTATTCTGCTTTCTGTAAGTGATCTAGTATTCGACAGCGGCCTAAAAATCTTATGATATCAGTATATGATTTTGGACGAGAGCCTATTGTACGCAGGGCTCATTGCAATGCAAAGCAAATGTGGGTTCCTTTAATGTTCAACTCCCCCGCGTTTTTCTAATACTTGCCACAGTATATGCGAATGCCTTCCTCGGACTGTAAGTCATGATACAACAATGCACACTTAATAGCTGATCCGTATCCTCGTAGTTTGAACACGAGATTGCAGCGCAAAGCACAGCTACAGGTAGCAGCCACCATTGAATTGGCCCGCAGAACCGTCCACGGCGACGAAGAAACTGGTCATAGTCGACAGGTAACGAATCATTTTCTTCGCGCCTGCCATCGCTTTGCTGACATACTGCAGAATAAGCCTATTGAAATCATGGAGTATTCGGAGACATCCACCACAGTTGATCCAAGCAATTAAAAATGTTTTTTTGGAGACAAGCCGACTTAGTAAATTCCTCTATGGTGCAATTGTATGGCGGGGCTTCATATCCTGCATCTGTCTTACTGTTACTAGAGCACCGAATCTAGACCTGAATTCATTCCGTTAAGATAAGTCTTAGAAAAAGTAGATCGACATCCTTGAACAAGATGCCACCGGAGAGAGGTCAGCGATCTGAGAACTACATAACTCATTGAGATCTATGCCGGGATTAGTATGTAGATTAAGCACAACAGAGAAGGATGGTGATTAGAAGGGCAAATCGCCTGAACCAATTTCTCAAATTCTTCGAGAATAGGGTCGACCCGAAGGATGGACAAGTTAGGAATCCTCAGCATAACGTTGCCGAAGCGGTTTGAGATATGTGAGAATTACCACTGACAAATTGACAGCTAGATTCAGAACGATAGGCCCCTCATCTAAAATTACATTCAGGTCGGTAAGGGTCGGTAGCGTCGGAGTTGCCCTGAGTTGCCTCGCTAACGAAGAGCCCAGAGGCGGACGAGGGCGGCATGGCTGACCAGCACCGGATTTTACCCCCGGCATGTGTTCCGTAGCCCTCAGCATCACTGTTGCGTTAGCCGACGCTGAGTGTGATTTTTTTGCAGGGGCCTATCGTTTTGAATGTAGCTGGAATTAGCTTTCGTCTAAGAGTCAAATCGCACACGCATACAATCAAGAACAAAGTTCGAGAACAGGTTGTCCACGCTTCGCAAACGCACTAACAGAGAACCGATATGTGGGGAAAATAAATTGTTTGGCATGCTCACTTTGATTTCATCTCCTACAACGTATCAAAGAATTGTACGTTACTAGGAAGTGTGATCGAAACTTGCTGAGGCCCTCTTCCTGAGAGCCTACACCTCTATCAGCAAGCGGGTTCGACGAAACGGACTACTCTATGGAAAGCTTAGCCTTAGGCAAATGAGACCGTGATCAGTGTACACAAGCGCACAAATCTTGCAAACAGTCATTCATCGGTATCGTAGCCTCCAAATCTTTGGGATGCCCCACGTGGACTACCCTCGGGAGTGCCACCGCTGCCCTGTGATGAGCTCGCGAAAGACTGTCCATCGTCATCATCATCTGGCCGCTCTTCAGGCAGGCGACATCGCGTGAAACCAGATCGCCTCGTCTTTGACTCATGATCTTCTTCCGTAGACACTTCAGGTATGCCCTGAGACATTAAGGTGTCCTTCTCTTCCTCAATACGAGCATCTGCATCCTGTATCTTCTTCTCTAGCGCTTGCAACTCCGTTTCGAGCATGTTTCGTTGAATGTTTGCCACCATCCATCGACGGTGTGCAAGGCGCCATTCAGAAAGTGCTGTTTCCTTGGACGCCTTAGTCAAGCGTAGGTGCTTTCGAGCCCGAACGCGCTGATGAAGGACTGCCTCCTCTGACCGGGTGCGCTGCAAAGATAAGCTACAATGAATCATATTAAAGAATCCTTAATCGATAGAGACATGCCACTGGTCTATCCGAGAGCCCAGAAGGTTGTGATTTGGGAGAAGTAGATTTTCCACTGCTGAAATGTGAGAGATCTTCGACTTGCAGAGGTGAATCGAGGAAAGATCGGAATGAAAGATTCGCGCCATAGGATGTGGAGGCTCCAAAGGGAACATCCATATCATGAGTGGCAGTTGAGGTCATGACGGTGATGCGAGTTGGACGATGAAGGTAACCATCCAACTGCCCGCCAATTGCAAGACAAAACTGGCATGAAGGTTGCTGGGGGATGGAACACAGACGACCAACATTAGATTACGTGAGCAAGGGCGCTGAAATGATCTCGATCATAGTTGGCGAAGAAATTGCACAAAGCTTAATGGGGGATCGCCCAGGACTCGTTCAACGTCTCCAAGAGTTCTAGGAATGCCGGCATTGACGATGAAGGATTATATGATTCTCCATACTTTTCCTCCCTTGATGCAGACAGATCTTGTTGAATGAGAGGCAGGTCCCCTAGGTCTTTCGTTCGTCGTCACTCTCATTTGAAGGGCGTGGCTATGGGCTGGTCTCTTGCGCACAGTTTACGAACACTAAGAACATTGAGGAATCTTCCTGCAGGTCCCGATACTGGTGTGAGTGCACTAGCTGGAGCTCATGGTCAATGAACTCGATGTTACCTCTTTCTCTCCGCGCCGGCCGCGGCTTTTCCTGATTCGTGAGGGAATCTATGTATACTTCATTCTTCGTGAGTACCGCTTCGAGGATTTTGACACTTTATTTGACCTTGATCAGTAATCACCTTTCCCTTCCAGTCCCGGTAGCATTATTTCTTCTTCGCCTCAACGACTAATCCCGGTGAACGGTAATTACGTCGTTCTGTATTTATGGAACCACCGACATGTCAAATGGTTGGTATCAGTTAGCGCTAGCATCTATATGCCCGGACATCGTACGTCCCTTTTTCCACCTGTATGAATGCCAGCCCCTTTCCCCACTAAACTCACTTTCTGCGATTGTCACTACTATGGCACTCACTCTGCTTTCCAGCCTGGCTTTGTTCGTCCTCGCATGGGCCTTCAATCGATTACGCAAACTAGGCTCAAGACAGCAGGGTATCCCTCCCGGACCCCCTACTCTACCACTCTTTGGGAACCTTCTCACCTTTCCGAAGACATGTGCTCATGAAAAGTCTGCATGTCTATCTTGCACTAAAATTTTATTCATTTCATTTCCAGGTTCACTGAGTGGGCGAAGACATATGGCGATATTTATTCGGTGTGTGTAGCTTAGGTGCAAACACGCCCAACCCTGATTTTTCAATCTTTGCTGTATCAGCTTAAAATGGCTTCTGGTACTGCAGTTGTCATTTCGAGTCCCAAACTTCTCCGAGAATGTATGGATGTGAATGGCGGAATAACCTCTGATCGCCCCGATATCCACGCAGCTAAACTTCTCTGGGACGATAAGGAGCTTGTCCTTACTCGATATGGTGTGTCGCTATTCTCCACTGTTCTTCAGTCGCCTCTGAATTTGTTATAGGTCCGATGTGGAAGAACATGCGTCGCGCAGCACATGATATCTTGTCGCGAGATGCTTGCATGAAGCATTTGCCGATCCAACATGCCGAGGCTGTGAAGCTTATGTACGATTTCTTGGAGCGACCGAAGGTATGTGAGATGCCATACAGTCAGGCTTCGTGGCTGATAACTCAACGCTCACAAGCAATTCTACACCCACGTCTACCGCTATGCCGCTTCAGTCGTCTATTCGGTGGTCTGGGGGATACATTGTCCGGAGTTCAACGACAGCTTCATCCAAGATTATGTTGCTACCATCGGCATAGCGGATGAGATAATGAGACCTGGCGGCATTCCGCCGGTCGACATTTTCCCAGTCTTGAAGTATATTCCAGAGCGTTGGGCTCCATGGAAAACACTTTGCAAACAGGCGCATACTATGCAACGCAAGCCCTACCTTGACTTGCTTGGAATTTGTATCGACCGTGTCAAACGTGGAAAGCGAACTGACTGCTTCATAGAATACCTTTTGGATCATCAAGATCAGTACAGCTTGGATGATGAACTGACAGCGTACTTTCTTGACATACTTATTGCTTGCTTCATATCATTAACATATACTCCAGGTACCTTGGGGGCTCTCTCATCCAAGCAGGATCATACACAACTGCTGTGTATTTGCGCTTCTTCGTGGCGTGTATCGCAGCTTATCCCGATGTTCTCAGACGGGCTCAAGCAGAGATCGACGGCGTAGTCGGGACGGATAGGATGCCGGGACTTGACGATCTGGAGAACCTGCCGTACTTGAGAGCAGTCATCAATGAGGTAGATATTCAAGCGATCATAAGAGGGCACGACTTGACTTAATAACTCCAGGTTCACCGGTTCCGACCGATCATGCCTACTGCTGTTCCTCACGCCTCTACCGTTGACGTCCGGGTATGACAAAACAGCCGTGATGTTGTGTTCCTCGCTTACGATGTCTACAGGTTGGTGAATATCTTATTCCCAAAGGATCCATGATCTTTATGAATACATGTAAGCCTTGGTGCGATGATTCGAATTCAATGTGGCTCAAAGGACTTTGATTCTTAGGGGGTATCAATCACAACGAAGAATACTTCGATAACCCAGATTCATTTGACCCTGAAAGATACTTGCGCTCGCAGTTTGGCACAAAGTCCGGCATCGATACGACAGGATTTCGCAACGATTTCGTTTTCGGAGCAGGACGAGTGAGTCCAAACGAATACTTTAGCGAGAATGCCAAATGTTGAATTGACTGTCTAGCGGATTTGTCCCGGCTCGTTGCTCGCGTCTAATTCAATCGTGAGTACTCCGTACCACGCGTGAGATGTTTGTGCTTTCTGACTATATGATATCAGGCCCTCAATGCCATGTACATGGTCTGGGCATTCGACTTCACTCCAACAAAAAATCCTGATAGCGGAGACCTGAACCCTATTAGCTTAACACCCATGACCGATGTAAGCATAATAGGGAAAACCGTGTTCACATTTCTAATATCTCCATGCAGGGTATCGTGTTGGTGCCGCAGCCATTCGAATGCGAGATACACCCTCGAAGTACAGCCAAGGCAGAGTTAATACGCAAAGAGTATGCCGCTGCCAAGGACATGTTCGACATCTTCGAATACCGTACTTCAGTTGATCATTGATGCAATGTTACCCTCAGTCTCAGAGAACCATCCATTTTGCGATTTCGTATAGCTCTTGATCCTTCTCTGATGCATCGCATGGCGTTACAAAGCTTTGAACGTTGGACGGGAAAATGCCTTTTACTTATTGCTTCGTGCGTTATATCGCCATCGTTGTTAAAGAAATCGGACATGCTGCTGATATACTCTAAGACCTTACGGTGCAAATAACATCGTCGGAAATAAACATGTAAGCGAGAAGGTGAGATGTTATTTTTATGGAAATGAACCTGACCTGACAACCAACTTAAATACAGGCTTCTGATCCCAATAGAATGAAAGAACAATTGCAATTCCACCGAAGCATGTCGAGGTTTCGAGGTCTGCCGTTCGGCGAATGAGTACAACAAAGAACAACCGTCGAGGAGGCGTGTGCTGCGCACCACGATGTCAGTGCCATGTATCCTACCAGTGGGTCTGACATGTTCTGCACGTCAAAGTCACTTCTTAGCGATGAGCAGTCAATCTTGGGAGTTTCAGCGACTAGGAAACGTTGACGTTGCCTTCTCTGGGAATTTCAAAGTGAATGCTTGTCGGGCTATTTGCGAGTCGTACATACGTTGACTAATACACAGGGAGGTAAACGTCAATCACAGATCATAGCCACGAGACTTTTGTAGCAAGTGAGACGTGGACCAGGCGAAAGAAGGGACTATTCGTACGCGCCTCGGATGATCTGATTGAAATACTCATGATGCTTGAGACAATTCGTCGAGCACCTTCACATATATGTGTGACGGATCCAAATCTCAGGAACGAAGTATTCAGCTAGCAGAATCCAGATATTTAGGAAAGCAGGCGTGGGAGACTGAGCTGAATTCTGTTGAACCGCGACGCATACACTGACAGGCTGCCCAGCGTTCTCAATCTTTCCCTCTTCCTTGTCTCTACGACATCCTGCTGGTCTTTTCACAAACAATTGAAGGATCTGCGTTGGCTTGACCGGACACAGCATGCCTGTGGGTAATCCTCGCCAGCCTAACCGCACCTCCCAAGACCTTTCTCCCCTGGTAGCAAATTCAAACCTTCAGCACCCGTCTGGATGGTGTCATGACCCGTGAACCCGACTATAGCACATGATCGTACCGTAACGAGTAAGATCCGTAGAATCTGTTAAATCTGAAGGTTCTGTGTTCTGTGACAGTTTTCCAGACTTTCGGATTCGTTGAGGACTTGGGCAAGCCTCCAGCATGGGTGCAGTGGCATGCACCGCCCTTCCTTATATATCAGTACTGACACTCACGTTGTTTTACTCTCCTCGTTACCAGTGCACCCGCGCGATGCTCAGAACCAGGGCGAGGACACGATGGTTGAAATTCTTTGGTCAATGCTGCTGCCGTATCGAGCCCAAGCTTTGAACCTGGCGCATATATGCATGATATTTCAAGAAGAGATCCTTCAAGTTGGCCAATCATGGAATCTGAGTTCGTCTGGCCTCGGTAATGCCTTCAACGCGGGCATATGCTGCCCACCGACCAATGAGAAGACGTCCTGACCGACCAATGAGGAGACGTCCTGAAATAAATCTTGATGGCTAAACCGCATTTGTGGTTTCCCTGCGTTACCGGATCCCTGGTTCCGCAAATTATTGTTCACCAAAGCAACCCGAAGTCCGGGAAAGCGCTCTGGCCAAACCATCGTCTATAAAATGCCTCACCTCCACTACAATCGCTTTCCTCATTCCTTCTTTCTTGAATTCTTTCCACCCCACCGAGGCAGGATCCTCCTCACATCGAGTTTACCGGCTTTTGCTCGTTCTTTCACTCCAATTCTCTCATTTTATTTTACTTTGCCTCGCTCTCTCGCATTTCCAACCTCATTGTCGAGATGTTCTCCAAGCTCTTCTTCGCTCTTACTCTCGTTCTGGGCTTGACCCTTCAAGTTTCGGCTCATGCGCTAGTCGCTCCCCCTATTGGTGTCACTGATACTCCTGTCCGGAAAGACGTAAAGAGGCCTTCCAACAGATCTCCGTGCGGAGCCGGCGTTAATGTCGCGAAGACACTCGCTTCGAGCACTCCCATTGTTGCTGCAGCTGACGGTACCTTCACGACTACTGTCACGAATTTCAACGCGTATGTGATCATTTTGTCTGTCACATGTTTGACCCTATATTGAATCCATCATCTCTACAGCGGTACCGATGGATCTCGTCAAGTTACCGCTGCTGTGGATACCACTGCCATTGGAAAGACCTTCGCGGCGGCTGCAACCGTAACTCAGAATGGTGATCCCGTAGGTTTCCTTGATTTGTTTCACTAGCTTTATACCCATCCGTATTTCATAGGCTCCCAAGGATGTCGGTTCCGAGCAGATTACTGTCCAGATGCCTGCTGGGACGACTTGCACTGGCGGTGCCACCGGGGACCAATGCTTGGTCTCCTTCAAGACCTCCGGTGGTTTTGGTAACTGCGTCCTCGTCCAGCAAAGTGCTGGTGCTGCAGCTGCAAGTAACGACACCACTGCTGCTGCAGGTGACAATACCACTGCTGCTGCAGGTGACAACACCACCGCTGCTGCAGGTAACGACACCACTGCTGCTGCAGGCAACGACACCACTTCCGCTGCAGGGAACAACACCACTGACACTACCGCTACGGGTAACAACACCACTGACACTACGGCTACGGGTAACAACACCACCGCTGCTGCCGCTACCATCGCCAACACCAGTGGCAAGAAGGGCAACAAGAAAAACAACAACAAGAGGGATATTGACATCCGCGCTGTGGTGAGTCTCCGTTGATGGTGGCATAGACCAGTATCAGGTTTTGATGATATCTTTTTCCAGGGAAGCCGTGCTGCGCGTGCCTTCCGTGAGGCTGAGCTTGATGAGTTGATGTAAACAGGATACTTTGGGACCTTGATCTCTTTGACATTCGAGTGCAGGATAGCCACGGACTTCTTTGTGTACAGTACTCCGACTGAACGTGAGGTGGAAGGATTCAAAGACGTGTGTGAAAGTCAGTGAAAGCCAACGAATATTTGGAAAGTAAGTGCAGGTTATAATGGTCTCATTATGCTGAAAGCGGCTATGAAGACATGCTATGTAACTATAATTAGTGAGTGCAACGTAAGCACTAAGCAAACTAATAAGGCTGCTATTGCAAAGCTCCACCCTAGACCTACAGTCTTTCGTCATCTCCTAGTGACCACCTGGTCGTCATGATCGGGCATTTATATGAGATACTAATAGGAATCCTAAGCGCACTCTGCAGTAATGGCACCCTACAATCTCTCTAGAGGAATATCCTCCAAATTGATTCCAGTGCGAGACCTCCAAATACATTACCTCGAAGCTGGAGATTCAGAGTCCCCACTCATTCTTCTCCTCCATGGTTTTCCAGAGCTTTCATTCTCCTGGCGTAAAATCATGGTACCTCTCTCATCACTAGGCTATCACGTTGTCGCACCCGATCAACGAGGATACGGACAAACGAGGTCTCAGAATCAAACGGCTTCTTCAAGTCCTGTCACCTTCAATGATGACCTAACTCCGTTCAGGATGCTCAATCTCGTCCATGACGTCGTTGCTCTCGTATTCGCATTGGGCCACACTTCAGCGGCATTGCTTGTCGGCCATGACTTCGGTTCCATGGTGGCTGCGCATACCGCCCTTATCCGTCCAGACCTATTTGCGAAACTCGTGTTGATGAGTGCTCCATTTCCCGGAACCCCCTCCCTTCCCTTCAATGTTTCCAAGGGTCCTCGGAATGCCGGCGTTGGAGGATCGTATGCCCCATCTGCAGACGACCTTTTAGCGTCGTTCGATCCACCTCGGAAACATTACACGACATATTTTGCATCTCCAAATGCGAATCACGACATGCTGAATGCGAACGAGGGTCTTCATTCTTTCCTTCGCACTTATTTTCATGTGAAGAATGCGGATTGGCGTCACAATGATCCTCATCCTCTCACGGACGCATCACAACTCTCGCGTTTGCCGCATTACTATGTAATGCCTATCGATGCCACCATGCCAGAGGCTGTAACTCATATGGCTTCTCCGCATCCAACCACAGATTCGGAAAGTGCATGGCTCCCCGACGACGAACTCGTGATTTACGCCACAGAATTCGGTCGCACTGGTTTTCAGGGCGGCTTGAATTGGTATAGATGCATGAAAGATCAGCGGTTTATGGCAGAGTTGAGTCTCTTTGGGGGGAAGAAGATCGGGATTCCGGCCATGTTCCTTTCTGGTCAGCAGGACTGGGGACCGTTCCAGGTCCCCGGAGCTTTTGACAAGACGCGAGAGGCGTGTCCGCAGATGAAAGATGAGAATGTTGTTTTCGTGGCTGGTGCTGGGCATTGGGTACAGCAGGAGCGTCCGGAAGATGTCGTTGCGCATTTGACTCGTTTTCTCCAGAGCGTTGCATAAGTACTTGCTGACGTTATTTTCGATGCAATGGGTGCACGTTAATGATAGGTTTTAACATTTGAAGTACGATACCCCGCCAATCTCCGTAGGCCTAACTGTCACGCTTGAATTCTAAGTAACCGCTTCTCTACTATGAATTAGGCCTTTCCGGCCAACTACAATTTCATATGTCATTCTGTACATTATATACCAGTGCTTCACGCTCTCTTATTAGAAGACAAATCAGCGAAGGATTGTATTTGTAGTGTAGTAATCCTTTTGCCCCGATTGGGCGCAGAGCGATCAATACCTGCACAGTGCAATAGCCTACTGTAGGCATTGAATATTGAATATTGATCGCTGGACAGTGCGGTTCACCATCATGACCTCCTTTCCAACCTTGACCCTGGACGTAAGTACTCGTCAAGCCGATGGTTGCTTCGCCTGTGATCCGTCTCATCGCTGCGTTAACAAGACCGCAATGGCCAAAGCACCTTATAAGGCTTCGAGCTTCACATTGGAATCAGATCATGAGACAAGCCGGAGCCTGAGTATTCTCTAAGGGGGATAGTTCTACCCTTTGTGTAAGCACACTCCTTGTATTTATACCACCACCGTCTCTTCCACTAGAGACGACTGTACCATATTCTTTATCTTGAGTTGCCACCAACGAACGAACAACACTTGTTATGTCTGCCAAACCTACAGAAGATCCGCTTGTTAACAAGGCCCTTCCCAATGGCATATTGCCTCCTAACTTCGAGTTACCGGTAGAGTGCTTCTTTTGTACTTCTGAGGCACACAGGAAGCTTATGGAACTGATGTTCAGTATCCCGATAAACCAGAGCTGATCACGGCGAACTTGTTAAAGTTGTTCGATCTTACACCTGATCCGTGAGTTCCACGCCTGTCACGAGATACGATTCATGAAGGAATGAGTGCTGTAAAGCCGTATCAAGTTCGTTATGAAGAATCTGGTAAACCATCTTCATGCGTTCGTGAACGAGACAAGGTATTCTTGAGCTCTAATCCATCACGTACACGGCTGATTTGTATTTCTGGAGTATTACCACTGAAGAATGGATGAAGACCATCCAGTTTTTGACCACCGTTGGTCAGACTTGCACTCCCATTCGTCAAGAGTTCATCCTGCTGTCTGATGTCCTTGGAGTATCTGCTCTGGTCGATGCCATCAACAACCCTCCCGTCAAGGGCGCCACAGAAAGCAGTGTTCTCGGACCTTTCTTTACTGAAGATGCGCCAGATAGTACGCATATATCTGACTCTCATTCTCTCCTCTTCGCTGAGTCTTTGTGTAGTCGAGCAAGGCGGTTCGATTGCGTCAGAGGGTAAGGGACAATATATGTACGTCGAGGGCACAGTTCGGTCGACCGATGGCACACCTATTCCCGATGCTGTCATCGAGACGTGGGAGGCGGATGAGTCTGGTTCCTATGACACGCAGTACAAGGATCGCGATCATCCTGATTGCAGAGGACGCTTGAGAACAGATAAGGATGGTCGATTTGGTTATCGTGCAGTGACTCCAGTTGCATATCCAATCCCAGGCGATGTGAGCTTTATGACTCAATATACGGTATGAAGTGCTCACTATTTCTTGTAGGGCCCAGTCGGTGAACTTCTCATCACAATCGGCAGACACAATCTGCGGCCCAACCATTTGCACTTCATGGTGGAGAAGTCAGGATTCCGGAAACTCGTTACATCTCTGTATCCCGATGGCGACCCATTCCTTTCTACCGATGCCGTCTTTGGTGTCAAGAAGAATCTTGTTGTTGTACGTGTCCACAGGTCCATGGTTCTGCGAAAATCGATGGCGGTGCTGACAGTAATACTTATTTTAGAAATTGGAGGAAGTGAATGACGATGCCGAGGCTCGCAAGCGAGGATTCCCCAAGGGCGGTTCTTTCAAGTTGCTGAAGTACGATGTCGTGCTCGTACCATTGGACGAGGCTAAGGCAGCCCTTGAGGAGTTTTCTAAACAACGAGCGAAGAACGCGGCTGCATGAGCGAATGGCAGTTTTTCTTCCTTGATAGCAACGCAACAAGGCTTCGACACTGTTAACATAGTTTTCCGTTTTGAAACCCCATGTACGAATAGCATCAGATCCAGCCTGGATTTCTTTCGATTGTTTATACGAATTCTGTTGACCGATTCATCTTCCCAGCGGGGGATTCGAACGGACGCGTTCTTGTAGCGATTGACGTAATGTCAGCTGATCGCGTTCGGACGCGACGCGTTTGTTTACCTGTGTTTGGTAGGGCCATCTTTGCCACCGCAACTCGTACAGTATTCGCGTTCATTCTTCACTCACTACAATCCATTCTTAATTTTCCATAAACTCACTGGATATTTTTTTCTCTTGTCATACTGAACATAGGACACTTCCTGCCGAGAAAGACTTTCGGATATGGGTATTTCGGGCCTCTTGCCGCTACTCAAGCCGATTCAAGTTCAGCGCCATCTATCCGAGTACGCTGGGCAAACTATCGCCGTGGACGCATATGTTTGGCTGCATAGAGGCACATATGCATGCGCAGCAGACTTAGCTACGGGCAAAAATACTACCAAGTGAGTTTTCAGTCCCCTGGTTCGGTTGAGACTTGGGATTTGTGCAACGAGAGTACATGCTCCCAATGGACATGGTTTTTGGCTATAAGTCCACCATTCAGTGGTACGCTGTATGGAACTTATGTCTGCCGTAAGTCTCCATCGTGATGTATCACGGAACATCTGAATTCATTGCGCGGCCAGGAGGCTGAGCTCAATTTCAGCCTCCGGATGGAAGACAGTAATTCCACTGTGTAGAGGTTGATCCTTGTTAGTAGGCCACTGGTGACCAGTAGAGTCTAAACAATGCTTTATAGACTGTCTTTGATGGGGTTTGCTTTGATGATGTTGAAGGAGCCCACTCGCTACCAAGCTGGACGCAGCACCAGCCTATCGCAGGTTCACTTTTGTTTCCGTTGGGACTATTCCGTTTAGTGATGGCCCTATGAATGCTAACTTAGGCATTTGCACGATATATCGTTGGCTCTGTCTAGCGCTCTATACAGACTTGAAGACGTTATAGACGCTTATCAAAGCCTTCGCACGCCAATCTTCTTTTATCCATTCAGCTTTATTCTGACAGTATCAGTTCTAATTGCTGTGTCATAGATATGTCGACTATGCGATGCATCGGGTTCGACTGTTGCGTCACCACAACATCACACCATACATCGTGTTCGACGGTGGCCCGTTGCCAGCGAAGAAAGGAACCGAATCCGAACGCAAGCAAAGGCGAGACGAGAATCTCGACCGCGCAAACTCGTTAGCTGCCCAAGGGAAACACACCCAAGCGCGAGAGTTCTACGTCAAATGTATAGATGTTACGCCCCAAATGGCCTATCAACTTATCAAGGTAGGCTTCCTAGAGTCAATGTCCGAAAACAGCCCGTTGATCTCTGACATGCCTGCAGGCTTTGAGGGCTGAGTCAGTCCCGTACGTCGTAGCTCCGTATGAAGCAGATGCACAATTGGCCTACTTAGAACGTATAGGGCTCGTGGACGGCATTCTGACTGAAGATTCCGACTTGTTGGTCTTTGGATGCAAGACCGTTCTACTGAAACTAGACGCAGTCGAGGCCATGGTTACTTCCATTTCTCGGGTTGACTTTGCTTCACTCGGAGCGACAACTGTCGGTGGCTTTTCTCTGTTAGGATGGTCGGATGTACAGTTCCGAGCTATGGCTATTCTCAGCGGTTGCGACTACCTCCCAAGTATTTCCGGTGTTGGTCTCAAGACGGCGTGGGCATTGCTCAAAAAACACAGAACTATAGAGAACGCTGTGCGCGCGTTGAGGCTGGAAGGCAAGAAGGATGTACCGAAGGGATACCTCGAGGCTTTCAGGCTTGCCGAGAATGTTTTTCTTCACCAGAGAGTGTATGACCCAACGCAAGAGCAACTGGTCTACCTGACCGATGTGCCGGATGGTGAAGACTGGGATGAAGCAAAGGAGGCGCACGTGGGCAGGTAGGTTCTAGGGTGTTGTTAGGGTTCAGTAAGAAGCTGATGTGTGGCGGGACATGCACATAGATATATCGAACCGTCATTGGCCAAACGAATCGCAGAAGGGGACGCATGTCCAATTACGTTGCTGCCCATGGAAGACATAAATCCGACATTTGTCCCTCGCGCACTCAAGCCCATACCTATGAACATTCTCCTATCATCGAAATCAGATGCAAAGGGGAAGGGTAAAGCCAAGGCGCTCTTTTCCGAAAAGGCAAATAGCACAGGTATTCTTAACTTCTTTCGTGAGTCAGGTCAATACATTGTCGACCATATGTACGCTTTAGTTCTCACCATTTGGTCGATTCTCCCAGCAGCGAAGTCTAGAGCTGCAGTCACTGCGAAAAGCGCATCTCAGCCGGTTCCAAGGCTTGGTACTGGCTCATCTGAGAAGTCCAGGATTGTTGCCGGTCGTGCTAGTGGGAAGCGTACACTTGCGGAAGTATTGGACCACGATTTGGCGGCAAAGAGGAAGAAGCGAGAGGAGACTGAACGACCCGCTACTCCGGCGCGCTATACTCCTACCGATACGCCCTCTCGATTCTTTGGGGTTGCATCATCCTCAACAATGAAGCTACCTGCAGGCATCGAGTTAGAACGGACTGCAGGCCCATCTCGCCCGAGGCTGTCCGAGGGTAATAAGGAGAATATTACATCTATTGACGAAGATGAAGTTGACGAGTTCTCCTGCGAGGAAGAAGCCGATCCTGTGATGCAAGAGGACGGATATATTTCTCCATCTCCTTCTCTGTCACGCTTCGACACGCCTGAACTTTCGTCACCTCTTCGGCCTGGAACATCCTCATCTAAACTCAGTGTAGATGATATGGAGGATGATGGTTTTGGAGCAGATATTCTCTCCAGTCCTCCGTCTATCAGATCGAAACCTCCAGCGTTTCGTAAGGGCAGGAATACACGTGCACCTACTCCTGTCGACCAACAACATGCAGGCAGAGTACTGGTTTGCTCTACGCCCACAAAGTCAGGAAAAGTCAAGACGGATATGGTACCTGGACCTGATCTTCAAGATATCTTTAGTGACTGGAACGATGTCGGTGACCATTTCGACAATTCCGCCGATATTTCCGTGGCCAGTGAGGCATCTTCTCATGGGCCTAACACGCCTGAAGACTCACGAATCCTTCGTGAAATTCAAGTTGCTGAAGCCCTCGATGAGATATTGTCGGACGATGAGGATAATTCCGAGTTGAGGGCTCGTCAGCAAAGGATAGTTGATGGCTGGCGTAAACAGTATGCGTCGCGACCAAGGAAGTTCCCGGTGTGTAGTTTTCTTTCTCTACCCCATACGTGTGATTATTTATTGTGCATATTTACAGGCCTACGGAGCACCTCGGCGGCGAGAAACCACGATCACACCAGAAGGACGTCAGAGATTAAAGAATTCGCTGGCACCGAAGACTGCGTCGACTGCGAAACATTCTCCAAGGCAGAAACCTCCTATAACCCGAACCACCGCTTTCGTAAATCTAGAGGGGAATCCAGGTAACGTCCAAAGTACACGGCACGCAATCCGCGTGGAGGGGATTTTGCCGAGCGCCAGGAGTAAATTGGAAGGCTTCAGGTAGACAACAAACTATAGACAATCGATCTCATGTTCAGTGACCTCATCCAATTTCTTGTAGGTACGCGGCGGCGTAATCGTTCCGTAGCCGCAAGAATCCGACCCAGCAGGCGAGCAAGCTGTGATCGAACACCTCGTCATTTCCGCGTCTCGTGTCTATCGTGTATCGTGTATCGCATATCTCGCATTGTATCATCATACTAATTGGAGTCTTCGTCATTGAAATGTTGACGTTGTTCGCACTTCCCAGGAAACAACGATAGATTCGATGTGCGACTGCTGACGCTTGCCGAGCACAAGATTCTGACGCCTGGTGTGAGCGCGGTTGCTGCATGTGAGATACGATTATAAGGATGATACCAAAGTATCCAGTCCTCTGACCCATGCGTACCATCCCAGGCCTTGGTTGCGAAATAATCGATTGTTCCAGGATCGGGTCGCGGAGTCCGATTGAAGACAAGTCCTCCACAACAGCCGAAAATAGAAACAACCAGTTGAACACGACCATCAATCTGTGAAACTAGAAAATACAAAAACCAGTATTTTCGCAAGCGCGCGCACGTTCCCTTCTGCTCACCACCATCAAGTGCCTCCTCGGGAAATCAGACTTTACCGCGCCTCGAACGACGGCTGCTCTGTCGACTGCCGTATTCTGATGCTTCCTGAACCGTGTGGATGTTCGAAGAGGAAAGAGATCCTGGGTGGATTTACGAATTCAGTCAGGTGTTTGATCTTTTGTTCAGATATGGGATCTTGCCTGCCTCGGGAAGTACGTGGGCAAACCTCCCAAAATGACAGCTTTACCAATAGTGAGATCTCACGATTCCGAACTCCGTCCAGTGGCAGTTAAGGCACATTCCTGGCTCATGTTTGAGCTTCCTGAGAGCTGAAATGGCATCGTGATGATGCGGGCTAACTCATGGCATATCATGACTCTCCTTCGTCCCGAGTATATGAGACGCGAAGTCTGACCGTACTTTGACATTCACCCGCCTCGACGATACCCCTCATCCTCTCGCTAACACCGGTGCGTATAACACTAACCTATCTGCTGGGTCTTGACTCATGTCATGTCATTATCATAGCGCTCTTCCGTTAAGGGGGCTTTCTGCGTCCAGATACGCGTGCGCTCAATATCCCTCAACATCCTTCACGATCATCATGCCATCTCAATCCGCCTTCTTCGACGAGCACGCTCAGCACTCTGCGCTTCCTACGGGCCATAGATACGGCTCCTATCCCCAATACTTCTCAGCGTCTCCACTGAACCATGCCATGGGCGCTGGCGTCCATTCGAGCTTCTTGTCGCACAATTGGCGGTCCCCGCCTCAGACTGCTGCAAACACTTTCTCCGAATCTCCTTTGAGTACACCATACTCTGAGACCGGCTCTGCCGACAGTAGCTATTACATGGGAGATGTCGCATCCCATGCAGTAGGTTATCCTGAGTCTTCACAGAGAACTCATTTGCCGGATGCGGCCTATGCTGCTGCCATCTATCAGTCCCGCTTCCACGGCGGAGTTTCCTCTGTCGATGACACCACTTCATATAATTCGCAAGGTGTGGCCAATGGACGACATGCCCTCCATTCTGCCTCTTGTCAGTTCATCTCCTCGTCTGAAGGAAGTGAGTTGCCGGTATCTGCTCGACATGACGCTCATAACAATCCGTCGACGACATCTACTACTGTTCAACAATTCTCTCCGCAGCGCCTCATGGGAATGACCGGGCCCGGCTTCTCTCCTCAGACGGGTAACTTTGAGTCGACGCACTCGCCCCCTTCCTCCATTCAGCGAAGTATACCCACCTCCCCTCAATCGCAGCCGCTCTCGTATTTCTACCCGGACACTCGCGACCTTCATTACCCGCCTCCCCTATCCATCTACCCCAACTCGCACTCGAACGCCATTGCAAGATTAGGAGAGCCTGGAAGCCCTTCTGTTGTTCCGCCGTTGGTCTTCGATGTCGACATTGGAGATGAGTACGAGGAAGGATCCGAATGTAGTCTTCCCTCGGCATCTTCTGATACATCGCGGTCGAGCGATCGTGATATGCCATCGTCTATTCGTGATGGAGCTGGGGGACGCGGGCTTTCTGATGAATGGCAGCAGTCTGGAAGAGATTCGGACGCGCAACACGGCGATACTGGTAGCCCCATCGAGTATGACGCTCAGAGCCCTACATTATCTTCTAGCACTCTCGCCTCACCTACACTTTCGAACGAGAATCATGAACATGGCAAGTCCAGCAAGAAGAGCAAAATGCACCAATGCAACATTTGCGCAAAGTGGTTCCCTCGTCCTAGTGGCCTTGCGACTCACATGAACTCCCACTCGGGCGCGCGGCGTACGTCCAAGATTCTCATTTAGAGTCTAGCTGGATCACTAAATCGATTTTTTCAAATAGCTTACAAGTGCCCAGTTGAGGGTTGTGCCAAGAGTTTCGCTGTACGGTCCAATGCTAAACGTCACCTCCGCACCCACGGAATATTTCCCACTACCGAGCACAGCGCTCCCCCCACCCAGTTCACCGTCGGTTTCGACGAACCCATCGTTTCGGATGCCCCGCAGGTCGGGAAATTGCCGTCGAAATTGCGCTGGGTCCCTCAGTCTCTCTCTTCTCGTACTAACGTGGACCACCTTAAAGATCCTACGTCGGACTCCGAGGATGAGTACGCATCCGCGTGTGCAGTCGTATCCGTTCCCCTTCCTGCCGTTCTCCCATCTTCGCCAAAGTGGGACGGGGATGACAGATATGAAGAACGAAACTCCTATGAGCGGTTTGGAATGAACCCGTACCTTTCCTCACAGGTTAGTCCCATTGTTTAGTGCTAATTGTGACGCCGCAGTCTAATAAATTTCCGTTGTAGTGGAGGGGTCTTCCTGGACCCGCCATCTTGTCTTCCACACTCTAGATTTTGGTCATTCTGGTTCTTCCTGCATCCCTGTGGGACTGTGTTGTCTGTACGTTATGAAGATGCCGCTTTTGGTTTACGCTATCTCTTGCTTTCTGCTTTCTAACGACATATTCCCGACCTTTGTCATTCTTGATACCATGCCACTGCTTCGCCGTTGTACGAATAGTTCGCTGATGCCGTTCTCCACTGTTGTAACATTAGTCGTTTCCATAGCCAATACGTTAGATAGACTGAAGATCCATGTGATGCCGTAATGCTACCGTTACCTGTGATTATGGTAGATAGTTGCAAATAATGATCCTACACTCTCCCGCCATCTCTCCAGCATGCGTGATTTATCACAGCCCCAATGTGACGTCTTAGCGCAACTTGTCCACGACAGATAATCGAATGAATTGAGCGGAACAAGCGGAACGCAGTAGGTCACCAAAATCTTGGATCCTGATGGACAAGATTAGCATTGAATACGAGGAAGGCAATGACCAAGACGCTCACAGTGGGCTAGGACACAGTAGTCAGCACGTCATAGAAACACACCAATGGCCGAAAGGATCAAATGCTATCATCGGTAACTCTTGAGAAGCTCTCCTGGAATTACAGCCAGATGCCGGTTGTTATCTCGCCACCATCTTGCAGTGAGTTACCGCGGAGGTTGTGAGGGATCGGGATATGCCGTTATTGGGGAATTATTCTTTCGACGACCATAAATGACTCTGTTCACCAGCCCAATAGGTATATCATATAACTCCGGAATGGCATTGGGTTCCGCATGTGCGAGGTAGGGGTTCACGGTCGCGCCGTTTCCGTCGGGGAGAAGGGCCTTGGAATCTTGTGGCGTGATATATATGTCAGTATTTGATACTCCTTGCGCTACTTGTAACATGAATCTCACCCGTTATCGTGCTCATGTCCGAGAAGGCAGGAGTAGCGGCAAGTGCCAGAGCGAAGTAACTGAAGTATGTAAGCAGAACGAGCACTATCGAATACGATGGAAGGAGGAGGGCCCATTCGCTATAGTTGTTCCGTGACGATAACGAGGAGTCATATGTAAGTCGGATATTATGAGTCTAAGCTCTCATGCACGAGGATTGCGTACACGCAAACTTACCGGTTGGGATACCAAGTGACACCGAGCCAGAGTATGTACTCGTCTGGAAGAAGTGCCCAGAGGAGAAAAAGACAGAATAGGAGATAAGTGGAAGTCCAAGCGACGAATCCGTAAAACTCCGGTGCCCGGCTGCGGGATTCTGTCGGGGAGAGAGGAGGAAATTGCGCTAGAGGTTTGACTGGTGAGGTGGGACTGGACTCTGCCATGGATTGCGGAATCGCAACAGGGGAAGAAGTCATATGCTCGGACGAAATACTCAGTTCGTGAACACGGGTTGGCGTTCTTCGGAATGGTAGACGCCTAACCTCGCTATCCTGCGCCATGATGCAGCCATACGTAAGGAAAGTCTATCCCAGACAAATGGTGAAAAGTCTAACCATGCACAGATGTGGGGAACAGGGCCGGGGCCGGAAGAAAGGGTGGGACTGGAAAGACGATTTTTGGTTTGATTTGGTTCAGAGATATCGCAGAACCGGTGCGACCTGGCCGTATTTCCCGTAGAATGTATAGGAGAGGCTAGAATGCGAATTGAGTAGAAGAAATTTGTCTATCGAACAGAATAACGAGAGAAGGACACATACCAATCGCCCCCGCCAGGAACGATTTGACGTACAAATGAACGACAGCTTGGACGTCCACAATGGGCGCTTTACTTTTACCCGAGTGTGTAAACTGCCCGATCGATTGTTGAATCGAGATTATTCCCGCGAATATTCAGTGGCAACTTGAAGTTTGATACGAGCATCTGTGGTTTCAACATTCAAGGTCGCGTTCTGTCCTTGCTGAAGCTTGCACTTCATTTTCAAAGCCGTTTCAGTTCCGACTACATCTTGAATTGACCCCTGTCTTGATATGATGTCTGCGTTGAGAACTCAGAAGAAAGCCATGAGGAAAGGCATTTCCTCAGTGCTGGCTTCACTACCATCAACCGACATCCAAGAGCAATGTAATCTATTAATGCATTCTCATATTGTAAAATAGTCGCTGACTTCACCGCAGCTCTCGCAATCACTACACAAGTAATCTCATCGCCGCTTTTCCAACGCAGTCGCACCGTTAGCTGCTATCTAAGCATGCCAAGTGGTGAAGTCGATACATCTTCACTCGTGATGGAGATCCTGCGAACAGGTTCGGATTCTGTACCATGAATATTTTTACACACTAAAGGACTTCAAGGAAAGACCCTATTTGTACCGAAGATTGACGTCACCGCGGACGGCAGAATGGATTTTCTCAAGGTGTACAATGAGGACGATTTGAATTCGCTGCCCAGTGGAAAGTGGGGGATCAAAGAGCCTCATTACCGGCATCAAGGCGGTCAACGAGCAAATGGTTTGTCCCCGTGGATTGATGTCAGTAGCCATCTGAGCGAGACAGAGACCTGACCACATTGTACAGTTTTGGACAGTTCAGCGGAACAACTTGACTTGATTCTTCTACCTGGTGCGTATCGCTATCTGATCCAACGTGTTCATGACCACAACGACGTACTACGACGCGTTATCCTGCAGGCGTAGCCTTCGATCGTTCCTTTGCGCGGCTCGGGCACGGCAAAGGGTTCTATGATAGATTTATTAAGACATACACATCTGCGCATGGTGGACGTGTGCCGGTTCTTGGTATGTGAACCTCGGACCTTGGGCTCTAGATGAAGACAGCTGATGCACACTGCCTGCTTCCTACTTCCCGATTCATGATCCTTAATACGTGGTTCCTGCAATCAGTCGCTTTGGCTCTTCGAGAGCAAATCCTGGAAGATGGACAGATTCCGATTGGGGAGCATGATTGGAAGATGGACGTAATAGTCGGTCCAGACGGTATCCTGCGAGGAAGGAGTAGGGAAGCCGATTCATTTCCTCAAGACGATAAACGAGTTGCCTTGTAGGGCAAAAATCCGATGCACCTGTTAAACCGATGATGTGCCGCAAAAGAATGCGAGATGAAGTTGCACGCTCATGTTTTGCTGCGTATGTCGGATGTCATTGCATGATCCCTTCGACCTGGGAAGCAGCCAGCTAGTCAGTTATTACGAATGAAAGAGTGATGTAAGGAGGACTCGTCCGGCCCGTGTACCATTTCGTAACTCTCTTCTTTGTTGATAGTTGGATTCCAACCTCGAACGTGCATTGGTGCGGTGAGCAGGCGTAGTACTCTGGAGAACAGGGGTCGTGATGGGAGAGGAGTGTCAAGTGGATGTCAGTTGGACGTAAACTACGACACAGCAAGGTACGAGAATATCGGAACGCACCCAGTAGTTCGAGTGTGCGGAACGATGATAACCCTAAACGATTTTCCGCTTGGGAGGTAAGTGTTCCCTGAAAACGAAATATTGAAAACATCGGACATCGATCTATCTGGTAGCTGGACAGAATAGGACAGAAAAAACCTACCGGGCTGCGGCACTAATATAGCTTTAGATCCGGTTTCAAAGTTGGCGGTGGTGCCGTCATCTTTGACAAGCTTTGTTGCGAGCTGAGTCGTAACGACCACCTGGGAAGTGACAGGTGTCAATCAAGGATAATGCATGCAACATTAAAAGTACATGCAGTAACTCCAGTTGAGGCGCCGACCTTCGTGAGCGTTTCCTGCACTCTAAGCAAAAGCGCATTTCGAGTCCAATTTGGCAGATTCGACGAGGCTTGAAATGGGAACCATAGTGAGTTAATCACCAAAAGTCCAACCTAAACGAGTAGTTAATAATTGCTTAGATCAAGGGATGAGCACCGTAGTCCGAGTACCTTTGGATGTTCAGGAAAGTATGAAGGAAGCTGGTGAAGGAAGACCAAAAATTCCGGGAGTGAAAAGATGCTGAAATGGGATATTCGGGTTCCGTAGTCCTCAGGAAGGTCAGTATATTCTGCAAAAAATAGGTAAGCAATTATTTGGACCCATACGACTGAACATGCCCACGGCGTAGGACCTCCCGCAGTTGGGCAGCGGGAGTCATGTTCTGCATATCTACACACAGGCGCACGATGATAAGCAGTGAAACAATGAAACAAAGACACATCAAACAAGACATACCGACGAACAAAATTTCGTGTTCTGCTTCAAGGAAACTGCGTGTAATGTTTACTGCCAGAGCTTCCTTTGCGGTCCCTGGAGGGCCAGATATTTCGAGGATGGATCCTGGTGTTATTCCGCCATTGAGGAGAGCGTCGAGTGGCTGGCAATATGTGGTGTATTGCTTCAAGTTTTGGGAGAGTAATGTAGCGGCTGATTGAGTCAACGGAGGGGCTCTTTGCGTCTGAGTTGCAAAGAGGATCGATTGAGAAGCCTCGATTGGTATGTCCAAGTCTACGTAAATCGATGCAATGCACAGTAAATGAGCCGATTTTTTTTTGTACTGGGTATACATATCCTCACCGTGAGCTAATTGCTCTGGTGTCGCTGCTATTAGATCGTCAATGGTGTCATAGCCCGCTTGTCTTAGAAGCCCAAGCTGCTGAGGCGGCAATTGCAGTTCCGAGACCTGTTTCTTGAACATTCGGGATGTAGAGATTAGCAATTTGTATTGTTTTGTTACTTTCACCGAAATCGATTTAAATAATGCGAACTTGAAAGAGGCTATGGAAGCAGGCGCGCATCGCGTACTGTAGCGCAGACGCGTCGGGAAACGCGCCTGTGGCGTGGGAACCCTGCTGGGTCTCAAAATCAAGCACAAATTTGACAGCGTCCTCCTCTGCATCTTGCTCCTCGACGTCCACTTTCTTGCTCGCTCTTCTTGCTCAAGACTCTGCACTGATCCGGATTACATGCTCCTATTCTTGCTGTAAGTTTCACTCAATATTCCTCTAGACCTGCGCAGAATGTCGTTCTTCAAATTCAATCGGGACGGTTATGTTGTCCGAGTTGAGAACGTTGCCTCATCAGGTAAACATCATGTCTCTTTCGCTTCAATTACTTAAAGCTGATATCATGCTCAGTGAGCTCTCAGGAGATAGTCGAACTATTCGGTAGCTTGATTGGTACTTTTGTATCGCTGACTTCCGAGAATTGAGGGTACTGATCGTTCTGCGTGATAGGTGATGTCTGCAAATGCAGCGGCTTCGTCGGTGAAGGCAATCGGCGGTTTTTGGACCTAACATTTTCTTCACAAGACGTATCCAAGTGAGAGGGTCTCTGATATTTTGCATGCCGTCGTTAATCCGAGGAATCTCAGAAAAGCTTTATGCATGTCGGGCTATAATGTAGCCGGCGTGCCTTTGTATGTCCCCCATAACACCTTATCTGTGATTTTTAGCTGACTATATGCGTCTTACTATCTTAACTCCGTAGATCCGTGACCGCCATGCAACCCATGGAATCCAACCGGGTGTTCAAACAGGGTAAGCAGCCCGACATGCGCAGGAACCTATATGTTCTAGGGCTTCCCTTCGATTTGACAAAGTATGTTCACACACTTGACTCAAATGTTGCTCATACTCATGTCATCCGCACAGAGCCGAATTCGTGGAGATCTTCTCGCGATATGGCACTGTTTCACATGCCGTCATTCTTGCTACTGTCGATAACGCTTCGCGTAGGCGTGGCTTCGTTGTGATGAGTACTTACAATGAGGCACGGTGTGCCATGGATGCCTTGAGCCGCAAGGAAATCAAGTGCGTTGCCCTTGCGACCTCGCGTCTTCTAGGCCTTATGTCGTCATTCTAGAGGTCACACAATTGACGTGTCGTGGGCTGTTGTTCAACGTTCACAAGGTCTGCTAAACCTTCCTCTTGTCTTTTTGCTCCACTGATTTGTCTATCCCAGGCTTTCTTGACGGCGGTGATCGCACCGTCATGCTCTCCAATCAGCCTAATTCACCTTCACCTGTCTTACCTTCCTTCGAGTCTGAACAGATGGTTTCCACTCCATCTTCTTGCGTTTCTACTCCTGCTATAGCGACCCCCCTCATAGATCAGTCAATCCCTTTGCCTGCTTCCGATCATCTCTCTGCCACCACCTCTTTGCTCGTCACCAACCTGCCTGCTACTCTTTTCTCGACCAATTCGGACTTATATCCCCTCTTCTGTCCTTTCGGTGAAGTTAAACACATCAAGATCTTGGGCTCCAATCCTTCCTCGCTGGCTCAAGGCACCGTATCGGTTCTCGTCGAGTACACTTCCTTTGAGGCTGCAAGAGACGCTCGCGATTCGCTTCGCGGTCAAGTTTATGCAAGTCAGCCGGTCAGAGTGGACTTCTGGGGATCCAATACTTCGACGCCCACAGGGATAGACCAATGGAACCGTGGGTCTTCATTAGACATGAAGGCGCGTCTTAATCCCCACGCCCCCCCATTCATGATAAATCCTGGCTCCATCAACGGTCACACACTCGAAGCTCCCTCCCCGTTTTTACGTCAAAAAGATCTGAACTTGTACGAGAATGGATCCCATGGTTGGAACGCGCTTCAGTCTGCTCCCTTGACGCCCATTCCTACGCCATACAATAACTGCTTGCTTCCTCCACCGGTCACAAACCGCCCTAGCTCTGCTCCCTCTCGATACGTCGGTCCTGCCATGACATGCCCTCAAGATGAACAGGTGGACTACATTGGTTGGAATGATCAAGCTCGTATTGCTCGCGCTATGCCTTGGTCCTCTTCTTCTCACGACCTTCCGAACCTTTCTACGCCATCGCTGCGTTCACCATACCTTGTTTAAATATTCTCTCCTGATCGTGCCTCGCCTCTAGCCAAAACTCTTCCAATCGCATCACTCAAGATTCTCCGCTTCCGCTTAAGCTCAAGATACCGCACCATTCTCGATACCCAGCATCAACTCCATTGTTCTTCATTATACTTCAATCCCTCACGACCCTTATCCTATTCACCCTTTTAATTATTCTTTTGTTTCTTGATGCTTCGCTTCATGGTTCAGATTCGCGAAACCTATGTTCTGTATAATCCTTATTCATTCCTTCCTCTTCCTTACACTCTGTCTTCGGTTTGCAATGGAATTCTAGTGCTAGGCTGCGTAGTTGAATGACTGTAACAATTCAATGTGATTTGTACAATTACTTCGTTTTTCTACAGTATGCACACGGCTTACGAAATTGGAGTTGGTCAAGACGTCAACCCTAACCTGAAGCTGAAGGACAGGTACGATGCCGAAGCATGCTTGTCGCTCGACTCACAGCTGCAGTCGTCTCAGCTTAAACTTTCACGACCAAGTTTCGAACCATATTCCTAATTGTAATCGGCTACTCCCGCTATTTTCGTACCATATATACTGACAATGGAGATAGGACGATCATACCAGAGTGCTCTCTTCAGCCACACATTAATATCTCCCGGCGTAGGTGCTTGCACCTGAATGTCGAGCACGCGTCCCAATGCCTCCAAGAAACCAAGTGGGGGAAGGCCTTTACCGAAACGTCTTTTCTCATTCGACTCTTTGCGAAAACAGACTAGTGGTCACGACTCTGAGAACAGCGATCGGGAACAGACCTTGAGGCTTGTGGAGAAATCTGTCTTAGAAGATGGCGATGGCGCATTGGCATCTGGAGGGAGATGGCTGGAGAAGGAACCTATGCATTCACCCACTGATGAGACCCCTCGCAAGACGCCACCCGTAACGAAAGAACGCTTTCGTGCTCGTCGTCAAGGATCAAAGCCTATGTTCATAGACCCAGAATCGGCCAATGCTAGCGACACGGGTCCTGAAGATATTGGAGGGAAAATGCCCGTTTCGCCCTCTAGACGTCGATGGGATACTCTTCGTCAACATGTCATTCCTTCATCCAGTTCGTTCTCAGAATTGTCGACGCATTTACCTTCCACGCCGTCAGACACTACATCCATTATATCCTCTGCTGCCCCCAGCAGACCCTCCACACCCAAGCCTTCCCGATTTGGAGTTGGGAAGAAGGGAATGCGCCAGGTTGTCGAGGAGGCTCGTGTGGATTACGAGTCACGCAAGACGCTCGAAGAAATTCGAAAGGCATGCTGGACCGTCCGTTTTGGCGACATGGATCCTCGCGCGCCTCCAAAAATGGATAGGGAAGGTAGCCAAGGAAGTGGTGTTACTGGTATTCATATTCCTTTCGTGAATTCCAATACACAGTTACCCATGCATTCAAGCTCAAGCGTCATGAGTTTACCTATGACCATGGCAGCTAGAGGTGGTTTGAGACGACCCCCATCCGTACAGTCCTTCGCGACCACCACAAGCAACGCCTCAGGATCGCCCGTGGGTCACCTTGTCTCGCTTATCGCAGCCCTGAAGCCGAGACCCAAGGAGCTGCCGCTTGAGCAAGACATACTTTCCGCACTATTAGTTCCATTCCTGACACCTTCCAGATTTATGAATGTTGAATTAGAACAGGGCACTGCGACTGAGATGTTCGACTTCATCAGACGAGCTTGGCCATCCTTTTCTGACGAGGTCCGTATATTTCTGACATGCTCTGAAATGGATCCTGCCATTGCTAACGTCTCATTTGACAGGATGAATTGGAACGATGTCTGTGGTGCTGCAAAGCAGCATCTGTTCCTTCAACGTTTCGTGGTCGAATTCTGGGCTCTCTTTCAGGGATTCTATTTTCGAGAGAGGGGTCATTCCAAGCCAAGACGCCTTTAGTACTCCAGACACTCCTTCATAGCATGTTCTCCTTGCTGTTCGATCTATCTTTCTCCTCTGGTACCACCTCCGAAAGCGACTCCGTCGCCGGATGGATTATGGCAATTCGTGAGGGACAATGTGGTGAATTGTCGCAAGACGATCTCGAGAAAGAATATGGGGTTCGGTACTCCAAGACCGATAAGGATGACTCTATTCGGGAGGCTATCGTAGCTGAAACTGTGGCGAAATGCCTTGAAATTGGATCTGAATGCAGTCGACGTTGGGCGTTGCATAAGCTCCTGAAGGTGCTCATTTCCTAAATGCAATTTGCCTACACCCGTAAGCTGACAGGACTCCAGGACTACTGGCCAGTCCCGGAACCTCATTTGACGTTGACACCTCTCCTGGTTTGTATACATTGGCGCAAGCTGAAGATCTTCCTCAGCTCAGCTTTGGTGTTGCTGTCTTCGAACGCTGAGGACGGAGATGAATCGGATGACTTGGTCGTCGTGGAAGTCTTTCGCTCTCGAATACTTCCGGAGTTAGAGGCTATGCGCACGGATGTGGCTGCAGACATTCAGTCCAGTGTTGTCAGACTGGTACTTGAATTGCTCTGTATTCGGCAAAGCGATCAGCGGGAATATCTCTTGATGCATTTCTGTGATTGGTACCAGAACAAGCCGGATTGGAAAGCTAGCATCGAGAAGACATTGTCACAGTTAGTATGTCCTTCTCACCTTCCATGTGTGTACTTACATACTGATGTTCTGGCAGATCGAGAGTGCCGAATGGCGTCTCATCCTTCGCCTTATTCCAACTGTTGCCAAGGAACTTCCAGATGAAATACAACTTCCGGTCATTTCATTCATTCTTCCTCTACTCACTGATGTACGTAACATCTTCGCAAAGTCCCTTAACCGCCTCCTCATGTACATAATTCACAGCGCCTCATTGCCGATCCTGCAGAAGTTCCCTGTCACGCCTTATGCGATTTCTTGGAGGCTATTTCGAGAGCGTATCCCAAGGTCTTCTATAAGCCGCTCTTCATATGCGCTGCCTCCTCAAAGGAAATCACCGTTGCGGCTCAGCTTCAAACGCTTGCTGCCATCTCTACATATGTTCCTGATTTCTGGACCAGAGATCCGGAGATGATGGCGGTTGCTTTGATGAGCGATACAACTGGGTTGAAGGGCAAGGCACCAGCTCAACCAATTCCTACTTGGGGAAAGTCACGGTTGGGACAATCAGTATTACTTATAGAGCTAATCGAGCAGCTGCGTATGATCCGACACTCGAAGGATATGACCGCAGTATGTTGAAAACATTGCTGTGTTAGGCATCGTTCGTCAGCTCACACCTGGCATTAGACTGTACCTGCAGTGAAATTCGCAACTGCACTGGAGGTCAAATTGGGAATTCTCATCGAAGCAAAGGTGACAAGAACCACACATTACTTTATCGTCGACCTGATCGCGTGTGTAGGAGCAAAGTACTTGGATTGCAGAGCCGCAAAGATTCTTATTCTGCGCATTATTCCGTGAAATCAGATTACTCAATCGTTCTCTGAAATCGTGAGTACTCCTGCATTTCCTTTCCAGTCAATTGTGTGACAAACGTCTGAGTACGCTTACAGTGCATCATGGCTACCATCCGTCGTTTCGTGGTGTGCGTATTGGCAAACTGCATTGGACGACGGGGACAGAACTATAACGCACGGAGATGAGGCGGAAGACACGGAGACAGCGTTCCATAAATTGCTCGCGATGTATATCCATGTTCACGAGAATTCGCGAAGTTCAAGCAAGGTGATGCTTACAGCCCTTCCATCGCTTTATACGCTATCTTACGCAACCTTGCAGCGTAGAACCACGATGGTTTCGATTCCCTCGTTTGATAAGCCTTTAGCGATCAAAACGTCGCCTTCGGAGTCGAATGACCTGTTGGGAGGCTTCGATGGCAGAGTCAAACTGTTGACCTCGATGGCTCATGCCCCGCGAGCGATGCCTCTAGAACTCCTCGTTACTATTTGTGGAATGCTTGGAACCTCAGAGTACGTTCGGCTAGCACCTGTTCTTTGGAATTGCTGTTTCGATGATGATGCACGCATCATTGCACCGGTATGTAGCCTTGTTTCAATAGTCTAATACTGAATTTGACCATTTGTATAGACTTGTTTCTTGGTCATGCAATGCGCAGAGAAATGTCCATCGGACTTCCTGACATTGGCTGAAGCTGATCTCAACAGGTAGGAGCTCTCTTTGCTGCATATCTTATGTTTATCGATTGTTTCCATAGTCCAGATTCAGTTACGCGCGTGCATGCACTCGAGAAGATCAGCATGCTCTCTAGCTGGAGATTCCAACTCTTGTCTCAGGAAGTCATCTTGGATCGTTCCTTCCGTCGTCCATTCAAGCTCGCACGACCACCGATCCTCTTCGTTGCGACAGATATGGGCTCTAGCTCATGGACTTATGAAGAGGATGCGAACGAATGGAAAGATAGTCATGGTAATGTGCTTCCTCTGGAACTACGGAAGCGTCTGTCCGAAATCGGTTGGGACGAAGAAAACCGCCAAGTCGATCCGAAGATGCAATGGATACGATCACCTATGTCCCTTCTTCCAAGCTACCAATTAGACCATTTGGATAATAATGCAGGAGAGCTCATGCTTTCCCCGGAGCCGCATAGTCCAAGTCCAAGTGCCAGCCCAAGCGCTAGTCCTCAACCTTCCCCCGTGAAGCCCTCCAGTACAGATTCGGCTCTAACGAGACAAGACTCTAATGCAAGTATACGATCTTTGGGTGTCAAGCGTCGCCCTGTCTTTGTTCCAACCCTACTTACGCTCTTCCCTCTATTGGCAAAAATGGTATCGGATCGCGACTTTTCTGTATCCGCTGCAGCCCTTGATATCGTATTCGACTTCATGCGAGATGACCCAGCACTCATCGGCAGAGAGATATTCGCCTTGTTATCTGGTGATGAAGCTAGCGTCATCGCTGGTATTTCCGCTCTACGGGCATTCTTACATGTTAGGCATGTGCTGCCCCCCGCCATGGCACACTTTGTGTTAAATCATTTGACTGGCTTTTTGAAGTCTTTGGTTCGAAGCACAGAATCGTTGACACCCTTGCAAAACTATGCATATTCGGTTCCCATCATCGCAAACCTTTTTACGCAGGTCAGTAACCTCTCTATGCGCGAACTGCGCCGAAACAAGGTGGACATGTTCTTCGTTCCCACTGGATCTCTCTGGTTTCCTCCCACGGCACCCGCGAGTTCGATCTTCCCAAGGTGCCTTCCTGGAAATTTGAACCCCTTTGACAGTCTCCCCATGCCTCTCGTATGGATGACGCTGGTTCGCACTAGCCAGAACAGATTATTTCTGAGCCTATTGAAACGAAACCCACAGGACGCTCAAATTCTGAGGAAGAATGCGACCAGTCTGGTTCTCCCTTCCCCTGACAATGAGGAGGAGACCAATCTTCTCTCGTTGAATAATCTGCTTCCCAGGAAGCCGGATATCAACAGGAAGCCATGGACACCGGGACAAGTCACGTTGCGAGACCTTTCCCTGACTCTTGCTCGTAGTTACCTGCTGTTGGCAGGTCAAATATTCCAATGCCTCAGTAGACATCTAAACGACCGCGCAGAGCTCTCTATCTGGATGGATAGCATCAGCACTATCCTGGTGCGTCATGGGAACGACGTAGGAATTGTGGCCCACTCTATGATTGGTATGTGAGAATTGATTTTATTTTTGGGCAATACTAAATCCCATTGTAGTGCTGATGGTCGCTTGTACTCGTTTCCGCCGATTCTTCACGTCTGGCGGCGGCTATACGTTGTTCATGCCTGCAGTCATGAAGGTGTATATCGAGGCTGATCACCATCCTGGAATCCGGAATGCGATTGAATACGCGGCAAGTCGATTTTTCGCTTTACATCAAGATACGTTTGTCTTCCAGACGTTGGATGTCATGACCCCAGTCGTTACCTCACCCAGCGTCGATGATGGATGGATTGCGTCCGGAATCTACACCTTATTTGCTTCGCTGAATGGCAGTGTGCTTGCTTCTGTGCCGGATGCCGCGGGTATACATGGTTTGAATAGACCACAAGAGAAGGAGGCTTTGATGATTACTGCTGCGGAGGAAATACCACAGACATTTTTGGCATCGCTCAAACGGTCGAATAGTCAAGATAATGCTCTACCTACGATTCCTGTACCGGACGAGTATGAGGGCAAGCGCTTGGGGATGGACAACTTCGTTCGATTGTTTCTCACAGTCATTGCCTATAATCCAACCTCCCAACGAGCGGAACATTTCCTCCGTCTACTTCGCTTACTGGCTCCCCAACTCTACCATGCGTCCGGTTCGGCGAGGATGGTTCTTCGAGATGGCACTGTTGCCCTGGGCAATATACTGCTGACCAAAACTGTATCCAAGACCAAGAATGTAGATGAGGGTCATATCCAACCTGCGGATAACTTCAATACCGAAGTTCTAGCACAGATTAATGGTCAAGGGCCATCGTCTTCGATCAACTCACGGGCAGGCGACCCTCTAGTCATGCGTCTTGACTACTTATCCCTCGTAATCGCCTTCACGAAGCCTGGTGGTCTTTTCAGTCACAGTGCTTCGCAACGAATCATTGAGCTGGTGAAGGCCATTTTGAAGGAGTCTCGTGTCAGTGTTGGGCAAATATCGACCTTCATCGCCGATTTCGCCAGACATGTGCTACTACGCGAACCACCACCTCCCCTCAAGCAGGTTGTTTCTCTGCTGAACGATCTCGCACCTGTCGTTAGTGCATACAGTACTTCGGTTGACTTCTCTGGTTTATATGATGTCATCGCTGAGTTGGCTGGAAATACGGTGTTTGGGAACGAGCGAACATTCGCGAACCTCGTCATCAACCAATACTGCCGTAGTGGTCTTGACGCGTGTGAGCTCGCGGCCTCGGAAGGTCTCCTATTCTCGCTGCCCTTGCGAACCAGTCTCCTCCGACTGTTGCAGAACACTGTGGCAATGGTGGGCGCTGACGTGATGGCGGAATTAGAGAGGAAAGCACCATCTCACGAGTTTCTGGCTGGAGTAACTCTACCGTTCGCACTTTCTCTCAAGACTGCAGCAGATATCATGGCAGCCAGTCAGTTCGCAGATACCTGGCGGCGGGATGCGCATGCTAGAGCATGGGTGCGACTTTTGACCTATATCCTCTCCATCTGCCGCTCTGTCGACAGCCAGGGGAAGCATGCTAGAAAATCATCAACCTCGGGGTCGGAGAAGAATGGCACCCCTAGCTTTTCGTCGGTCATGACATTCTCGATCGCTTTACAAATCCTGAAAGTGATAGTCGTCCGTGCTGAGGATGATATATCCAGAGCTATGCCTGGTATCTGGGCGCAGATTGGGATGATTCTGAGGTCCTCTTTATCAGAGGGGGATGCAAGTTTCGCCTTACAATTTTTCGAGCACTCGGAAGCACCTTCTCCAACCCAGTCACCTCGCGTCAGTTCATTTGGTGAGAAGCAACAACACCTGTCTGCCTTTCCATCAAGTATATCTATGCATAGTCGACGCTCGCTCGCCTCGCCACGAATGATAGACTACTTGGCCTGGTCTTTCATCCATTGGCTTTGGCTTAGACGAAGTCCGCTTATGATTCAGATGCGTATATTCATTCAGGAAAGAGTCGCAACTATTTATGATGAGTTGACTCAAAGAGACAAGTTTCCAAACAGCCCTTCTCGCCGTAGTCGCCGTATCTCATCGGTATTCTCAAAACCACGAAAAAGTCTTGTATCTGGGAGCGCTCCATCCTCAGCCAACTCCACTCCACGCAATTCCTTTCTCGGACCTTCAATCTCCATGCCTATGTTCACCGAATTTGGTGCGAGTGCATCCACTCTTCAAGTCTCCACGGATTCGACTCGCCAAGCTGGTTATGCTCGCTTGGCCAGCCCGAGTTCCCCTAGTCGAAGAGCCTCACAAGAGTCGAATGCTCCGAAGATCGTTCACTTGGGCCCTGTTAGCCCTAACACCGCTTTAGCATCCCTTGGTCTTCCAAGATCAGTTTCACCTGGTGGAACCCGATTACGAGATGTGAGCGTCCGGACTTTGGCCAGGGAGATGACCGTGACTTCTCCACTCCTCATTCGAATGACATATCGTCGTATACGGTTGGTGCAACATCTGATGGGATACAGAACTCTGTTACCTATGAATGGCAGCACGTTCGGAGAGGACGATAATCCTGACGCTGAGGTGAAAGCCTGGACAAAGCGGGATGCACTTGATGCCGTTGCACAGGAGACGAAGGATTTGTTAGACGAATTCCGAGAGAACTTTTCCTTCGATGGAGACGAAGGTGTTATTGTTGAGTCTGGAGAACAAGGAGAACCTGATCTCTAGGTCACCCAGCTGACCTTTAACGATGTCCGGCGTGTATATTGTGCTGTTTTGAACTATCTTGCTATGATTACTACCCTGTTGTTTTGTTATCGTTTGTGCATTTGTACGTTATGTATTAGATAGTGCGGAGGCTGGAGTAGAGTAGATGGAATAAATACCCTTTCCTGCTTAGCGCTTCGCAGAAGTAAACCACATCCCTGTTACACTGTGTTCTGGATTTTTCGTTGAACTGATGAGTTGAAATCGGGTCTGAGTCGTTTATGCTGCATTGAACTGATGTTTTCATGGGATGGCCTTGTGTGAACTGCACTTAACAAAATGTATGTCCAATGCATGGATCACGTCAGGTTGCTTGGAGGTGCTCACAACAATTCACCCTACACATCAGAGAGATCTGCATAAGCTCGTATGGGAAGGCAAGCTTCACCCTCAAATCGGCGTATGATTATTTCAAAGGTGTCTTCCTTGTGATTCCTCATCTTCGCTTTGTTTAACGCTCGAACCCAATTACTCATGAGATAAGTTCTCGATTGGATAGAAATACAATACGTATCTGCACAAATGTGAATGAATGCCTCAGATGTCGAAGAATATGAAAGTGGGTAGAATCACATACATTAACTCCCATTATGTTGCACGAGTGGCGAGAGCTCCCACAAGCTCAAGCAACAAAGGGGTTCGGAGATTATCATTATATAATAGTAACGACCTATATGGCGGGCTAAAAGCTTAGTATGAGAGGATGCTTCCGAGTGAAACGGCAACGGCAGCCACTGTAAATGTCATCCAAGCACTATTCAGTCCTTTTCCACCTAATGCGCCGTTGATAGTAGTCAGATCAGAGAACGAGATGCCGGGAGTCAGAGAAGACGAGTTGATGCCGTAGACATAGGAAGTGACGTTCGCAGCAGGAGGGCTTGGATCCTGGCAGACGACAGCGACGGACTTGACCAAGGTTTGGAAGTGACCTAAGAGGATGAATTTCATCGCATACAATCAGATTTAGAGTGGTAAATGGAGTAAAGAAATACGCACCAGCTGCTGTGTAGTCAGGATCATTCCAATTGATCATGCCTCCGGACCATTCAATAGTACCGGGAGGAGAGGAGCTGATGCCTGCGGGCCATATGCTATTATATGAATTGGTTAGTTAAAGTGAACTAAGCTCGAACATTGAAGAGGACGAAAGCTTGCCTGAGCTGGATGCGGCTTGGAGTGCTAGGGAACCGACTGACGCCGTCGCTACCGATGGTATCAGAACGTTGGACTGTTCGGACAGCCTTGTCGTCAATCAGGAAAGTGAGCGAATCGGGCTTCCAGTCAATCTATTGAAGACGTTTGAGCAGTGAGAAGTAGAATGTGGAGACACAATCAAGATGCGTACGGTATAATCATGGTAATTTTCAAAAGTATCAGTGAGTCCCTTTTCGGTTGTGCCATCCGTCTTCTCAGCTATAAACGCCAGTCAGCTGATAAAAAGATGACGAAAAATAAGAGTAAACGCACGAATAACACCTTGCCAGAAGAAGTTTGTCTGTGCTTCGGTGGTTGCAGTACCGGGGAACTCCCAGTCGATTTCATCCTTTATGTCTGACATCGTGATGAAAGCCGTCACAACACCTCCCCATCGACCAGTCTTTACTACGTCGAGATACCGTTTCAGATATATACGTACGTATCAGGCATAGAACGCTTACGCTTGGCGGTGATTTTTGCGTAGTGAACGTAACGGGTCGAGCTGATTCTCGTTCCCCCGTTGGTCTCCGTGAGAAGCAACGCGAGTTCTCCGCCAGACGAATTCGTGTTGATGATGTTGCCCTTGTCCACAACCCAGTCCCATGCGGTTGCGTTTCCACCAAAATAGGTCGCATTTGAATGGATGCGAGAGAGATCAGGGAAGGTGTGCTGAAGACAGCTGTCAGTGGGCCAACCAACAGAGCTTAGGCAAGAGAGGATCGCACCTCAGCATTTTGGCAGACGGGTTCTGGCATGCATGAGTCGAGGGCACGAGATGCGAATGGGTTGCAACCGCCAAGACAAAACTGTGGTTGGAGACGGATTTAGGAGTAAAACAGTGCTGTATAGATAACACACACGTTTCCAGTTCCGCAGAATCCAAATTCACCTAATAGAAAGGGTCATCAAACAAGACAACGAAACAGGGTCGAAGCGGACGTACTGCAGCATGGCGCGGACGAAGGACAAGGATTGGTGATATTACTATTTTCCAAGGTTCGTCAGCCTGAAGTCCTCCGCCAACAGCCGTAAATGTTCAATACCAGGTGGTTGCAGCGATGAGAGTCGCGGACGAGAGAAGAGAGAGCAAGGCAAATGTAGCCTTGACACGGATGAACATGGCAGTAATGGGCAGTATTCTCCGAAAGCTTGCAAATCGTACGCGAAACCGAACAGGGGAGCTGAAAAGAGTGTATGACCTTTTACAAGTGAATATGGGTATAAATGAAGGAATGTGAGCCCGCGAAGGGTCCTGCGTAGATCAAGGAGAGAGAGATGCCGCTGGTTCTGTTCAAGACGCGTCGTGTCTGTGTCGTGTTGTGGATAACCGATTAATGTTCCGTCGCCAAGGGTCGAGAAGTACGCATCCTGATTTGGATAACTAAGAAGCCAATGATAAGCGGATTTTACTCCCGCTTTGGATCAATATCTTGACGATCTGTCAGTTCGCTGGCAGTCTGAGACGTTGAGGGTGAGTGTCAACCTACGCTATTGTGTTTCGTGGGTCTGATACATATCCTCATCTGAGGTACGATAGACAAGAGAAGATATAATGTCAAGATGAGTTACAAGTCTATACGAGTCGTTAATGTGTGGCAGACAATGTGACCAACATCGTCCCCGTTGAGATCATGAGTCTCTTATATTATTCCCACGCATCTTTACTGATCCACAATCTATTCAGCAGGAGTACTGTATACATCGAGGTCTGTGGCTTAGTATCCTACACTCAAACGTCAAATTGAAGTCCCGAAACATCCTGTTTACGCCAGCTCATTGAGCTCAGCCCTACGCAAGGCATGCGCAGCACGGGTTCCCTGAAAACGAAGGATCATGAGGACTTGACACTACTTCAACGACATCATAATTGACTCACCACAGCGCGGATGTCAATGGCCCTCTTGTTGTTCCTGTTGCCGCCCGCCCTTCCACCAGCCCCGGCACCAGCACCAGCACCAGGGGCATTATTACGAGGGGGAGCAGGCGCCGCACCGTTACCAGCAGGAGCAGGACCTGCATTGTTGGGAGGGGGAGCAGGAGTACCATTAGGAGGGGGAGGGGGAGCGGCGCCGTTACGAGAGGGAGGAGCCTGCTGAGGTGCACGGGATCTCTGTATACGAAACATTATAAACTTCATACTACTTCCAGACTACCGTCAAGGTAGACTCACCAACGCGCGAACGTCCATGGCCCTCTTATTGTTTCTGTTGATACCCGCCCTTCCACCAGCGGCATTATTAAGAGGTGGGGCAGGAGCGGCGCCGTTGGGAGGCGGAGGAGGAACTGGGCTGTTGTTGGGAGGAGCGGGAGATGCGCCGTTTGGAGGGGGTGCACGAGGACCGAGACCATTTGCAGAGGCACCAGCGGCATTATTACGAGATAGAGCTGCAGGGCCGCCATTAGGGGGAGGAGGAACTGGACTGTTACGGGGAGGAGCAGGAGGTTCACCGTTTGGCGGGGGTGCACGAGGACCGAGACTATCTGCGGAAGCACCAGCAGCATTATCACGAGGTGGAACAGGGACGGCGTTAGGAGGCGGAACAGGGACCGGGCTGTTAATGGGAGGAGCCAGCGGCGCGTCGTTAGGAGGGGGAGCACGAGGACCGAGTCCATCTGTAGAGGCACCACCTGCAGGTACATTACCTGTAGCAGTACTAGCTGGAGCTCCACCGCCTGTAGCGGCACCATCTTGTTGAATAAGGACACAGTTACCGAAGCCGGCAGAGGTCTTGAATGAAACCAGACACTGATTTCCGTTGGCACCACCGGTGCAAGTCGTTCCGGTGGGCAGCTGAACAGTGATTTGCTGAGAGCCGACATTGTTAGGAGCCTGTAAAGGACAAATAAGTACTTTAACTTATCGAAACGTGTGAGTGGAACTTACAGCATCACCATTCGTGGTTACAGTGGCCGCCTGGAAGGTCTGGCCGGTGGCAGTAGGATCTACAGCAGCAGTGACTTGACGAGATCCATCAGCACCGCTGAAAACATGATAACAATCAATACGGAGATAAAGGTGTAGCATAGAGTGGCAGCGTACCTGTTGAAGTTTGTGACTGTAGCAGTGAAGCTTCCGTCAGCAGCAGCAACGATTGGAGTGCTTGCGGCGAGGGTCTGAGCGATATCGACGCCAGCTCCACACGGAGCGTTGTCGGAAGGCTCCTGGACATCTCCCTGAGCGGTTGTGCCAGCGACACCAATAGGCGGAGCAACCAGTGCTTGACCTGAGACCTGAAAGGTCAAGCCGGGAACGAGAGCAAGAGCGAAGAAGATCTTGGGGAACATTTCGAGAATGAGTTAAAATACGAGAGAGCGAGGTAAAGCAAGAGACGGTGACAGTAGTTTTAGAGTAAAAGAACGAGTAGAAGTCAACACACACGATGTGAGGAGGAACCTGCCTCGGTGGAGTGGAAATGATTCAAGGGTGGAGAGGATGAGGAAAACCTTAGGCAGGAGAGGCATTTTATAGAGTAGTTTCGACCGTTTCACGGACTTCGCGTTGCTCTGGTGAAAAATGTGCGAGCTCAAGGACCCAGCCTACATGGAAACCAAAACTGCGCTTTAGCATCGATACTTATTTCAGGATGAGCCTTCGTTCATGGGTCGCTGAGTAAATGTAGCATATGCGGGATATTGGAGGCACACCAATCCACATTGAAGGCATATACCAAGGTCAGGAGAAGAACCTAGATCCTATAAACGCTCTGAACGACTTGGAGGGTATCTTGTTTGAAGCTGATGCATATACGTACAACAGCTTCAAAGCCTGCGGCATATCGCAAGTTTACCGTTAGGGAACTGTGCATTCTGGGAAAAGAATCCGAGTCTGTGATTGGAGGCAGTGAGGCAATTTGAACTACAGCCTCTGGCATGGCAGCATTCAGGGGCATCACGTAGTAATGCGGCGGGAGCGAGAGTTGCGATCTGTTTGTGAAAGCTTGATGAGAGCATTGAGGGCCAGTCCACGCTCTTCGAATGGAAATAAACACCAACCAAAGAATGAGGGCACCCGCTCGCATTGAGCAATGCCTCTGTCTGTATTTGGAGAGAAAACGCACGATGGATCGCACAAACATCCAGCGCCGGGATTTTGGGAAGATTCGGAAAGTGAAGAAGCCTCGGGAAACGCAGCAGTCGGCGATATGAGTCTCACAAACGGATCTGGAGGGATAGACGTAGATATCCTGAGTCGCAAAGCTTGCGTCTCTGTTTGCTCTGTCTCAGAAAGACCAGTTAATTTGCCATGTACAATCACGGAGGAAGTCATCTCGATATATGCTGCCCGACCAAAGACTTCAGCAAGATTTTGATACAGGTCTGTTGAGAGGAGAAGGCACGATTCGAGTAGCTATAATCTGACCACGGCTCCCTATGCAAGATCAAATGCAACCTTTATCGGTTCGTCAGCTGATTCTAATGCTGTTTCAGTTACTGGAGAATACACTTAAGCTCTCTTCACGTATTTCATTGCGGACGTGTCGTTTGAGGTCAAATCCGAGTAAGTCAAAGGGAAGTCGAAAGCCAAGATCCTCAAGTTGAACTCGAGAGCATCTACATGCACACAACTTGATTTCATACCACCACCTTCCTCCTCACAGAGATCATATTCCCAGTGTTTCGCTCGCTGACGTAGTCCGAAATCGCCTACGAATATTGAAAGTTGATTCTGGAGAAAAGTACGTTCCTCTGTGAAAATATTGCAACAACAAACCAGCTCGTGTTGACTCGAGTTTCGTACAGGTCGGCATCATCCAGGGACCAGCGAAGGAATTAAGAGTACCTTTCAAATACTTAACTGGCTACCATATCACAGCAGATATGCCGTCTTCTCTGCCTCCGTTGGTCGCTCTTGCCGAACGCCCTATCGGATCGATTGTAGATGCTGCTCGTAATACCCATGGACGTCATAAGGATAGTGATAGACCACCTTCATGACGATATTCAAACCCTTCTTGCGTGTTCCCTTGTTCACTCCTCGTGGACAACAGCAGCTCGGCGGTATCTCTTTCACTCTCTCGTCATCCGTATCGTCCGAAGCTTGAGGGACCCATACAACCCACGTCTTGACATGAGTTCCTTCGTGGAAAGACTTATCGGTATTTCCACGCTGCCTGTTCGGGAATATACGCGTAAACTGAAGATATGGGGTCACGATGAGACTCAAAGTTGGGGCCTTCATTGGACTGCAAATTTGACGACGCTTCAAAAACTTTTCGCAGTCTTTCCCAACGTTTCCGAGCTCGACTTCCATGGTTTATCCTTGGGGCCGATGACCAGGCCCCTTCTCCCTTATGACGAGCCAGATTTTGACCCATGGAATTCCCTGGCGGTACCGTCCCAGTCGGCTCTTAACTATGTCTCCTTCTCTTCGCTTAACCTCTACAATGTTAAAAGCTTATCCGTGGTATTCGACATCCTCGGCCTCTTTTCCTCAGTAGATATTCTTCGTCTTTCGGAAGGCCCCATTTTCATGCGTGAGCAGACTGTCTTGCTCGAGGCGCACCCGTCGTCGCTTCCCGATGTACGATGTCTTCAAGTTGACTGCCTCGACCCCTGGTTTATCAAATGCCTTTTTCACGGCAATCGAGTCCATGCGTTGCGCAGTCTGAAGTCCATCATGTTTTCTGGCTACTTTACTGATCAAGTCAACCCGACGTCTGGGATCAATTTCTTACTTCGTGAATCCGGAACCTCCCTCCATTCGCTGGAACTTTCCGTCACCGAAGTAGTAGGTATGGCTATGTCAAGCATTGTGGAGATACGGAGGACTGTCGAATCTGGTTTGTCCATGCTACTCTCAAGGTTTACCCTGCTGATCCCGACGTATCCTTTAGATTTCAACATCTACTGGAACACTATCGACTTCTCGCCCTGTACATCTCTCCGAAGGCTAGTAATTCGTTCGGATTTTAACACACGGTATCCCTCTCCGTTTCGCCGTGAACTGGTGCCATCAGAGAACCTTCCAGAGCACCTGATCAAATCTGTCCTGGATGTCCTTGCCCAGTTCTTGGCTTCAGCTCCTGGACCCCTCAATTCACTTGAACTCGTCATCGATCTTCGCCTGTCTGATTTATCAGACACATTGTATCCCATGGATCTCATGCTTGCGCATACTTCGTGGGATCGGCTTCGCCAGATCCTGCGTGATTTTAGTAGACGGTTGCGTCCGAGTCGGATTCGATACTTGCTTTCAGACGAGAATGGACGAGACACGAGCGTGTGGAAGACGAACTTCGACAACCTCCGTGCCAGAATTCGGGTAGAATTTATGGAGCTGGAAGAAGAAGGAATCTTGGTGAACCTGGAATGAAAATGGAAGTGCGGCTTTGTACCTCAGTTTGTTAGCATATCATGCGTTCGGGAAAACTCTGATTTCGTCTCGTTTCATCCTGGCTAATCCCCTATCAAACCTTTCGCAATTTCTTCTCGAACGGCTTTCACATGTTTAATTGTCCTTTCGTTCTCTTTACTCACACCATCGCACTATTCCCGTTCAAGCCAGATTATCGTTTCTTGTGCCGTCAGCAAGATTGGAGCCAATGCCTGTATACGTCCTCATCTACAGGTTAGCCTCGCAACCATCGACAACGTCTCCCATAGTTTACAATCCCAGTATCGTTCTCTTTGAATCTTCAGACTCCATTGCCATGTTGCCGTGTACATCACAGTCTCACTTGCCTACGTTCTCATTAGTATGTTACGTGATTCTATGTATCCCATACTCCATTTTTGTATTCCTTCCCCCTTGATTACAAAAACTCCGCATCATCATCTAGTTTACGCACTCAAGGCAGCGCGAGCCGTCCCAAGTGCACACATTTGGTTGCTTCAAGGACTAAGCCTTTCATACAGTAGTTTATTTCGTTCAAGCTCCTGCAGGTGACAAAAAACCTCATACTCAACCGATTGTCATGGAGGTGGGGGGAAGGTTGAGAGGGCTCGGCAGGCCGTATATACCTTCCTACAATAAGGTACATATTTCCTCGGCTCAAGAGGGTCCAACCTGAGCAGAATCTGTCGACCGACAACAGAATGACAGGGTCACTGGTACTTGCGACTATTTCAGCTCTGTTTCTGGAAGAAACTGCTAGATCTTAGTCATTGGACAAAGATGGCTGACTGACGACTTGGGCGATACGCGGGCTGTTCCAGACTTCGCATACCCGTTTCTCTCGATTTCAGCTAAATAGCCCATTACTTTACTTCTCCTCTCGCGCCCCTGGTAATGCGTAGCCGTATGTGTTTTGGCTGGTTGCGCATGTGCAATGAAGCTTCGTCGTGGCTGTAACGTTACATAATGTCCCTTTTTCGAAAATGTCAGATTAACACTCTACGGTCTGTCGATGTGTTCCTGGTTCGTTAAGGGTATGTTTTCCGTCGAGGGAGGGTCGTTGCTCCAGACGATGCCAGTCATAGCAAAGAGTTGTGAGTCATAATGTGACCAAGGGTTCACTGCTTCTCGTGCATTAAGCTGTAAATTTAATGTTACATAGCCGTATGCATGTGAGAAGAAATGGGAACAGACGAGAACTCACAAGCATGCGACAACCAAGCACTGAACCGAATGCTGTATGTATTCTAGGTTCCGATAGTCTCTGTTAGTAAGGATCATCGAGAATAAGACAGTGACCTACGATGGGAATGCACTGAACAGAGTGGGCTACGAGAAACGATAAGCGCGACATACACCTCACGGACAACAAGTGAAATTTGACATACCCTGCCAACGCCCCAGATGATGCAATTTATCAGCGCAGCAGCCAGCATACCCCCGAAGAACATGATTGAGTCTCGTAGCAGCACCGCCATAAGTCGAGTTGCGCCAGACTCGTCTCTAACGTATTGAATGCATTGGATGATTGCCAGGATAACGAGGCATGTCTCGAAAGCAATGGTGGGCAGCCAGTATATCCAGGAATCCTCTCGCCCGCTGACACCGAAACACCCAGAATAGGGTGGTGGAAGTGGGACGGCTGTAAGATCCGATGTCAGCTAAAGAAATACATGCCAGGGATGACACTCACAGATCAAATGTGAAAGGAGCCTGAAGAGAATCACGAGTTCGACTACTGTCTTCACGCCGAACATGATAGATAGGGCGACAAGAATTTTGAGTCTGTGTGCGAACATTGCATACATCGCACCGATCCTCAGAATCAGAACGACTGTCATCAATGACACATAAGTTCGAACTCTACGCAGTAAGATTGGAACACTCGCTTCCTGAAACGATTGCAATAGGTATGTTCGCAGCCACCCAGCCATTATACCATATGGAACAACTACGGGCGGACGCGATCACATCATGAGAAGGTCATGAGACTGGGGTGCCGGATTGCTTACAGCTGCGATTGATCAATATCAACCAAACAAAAAATCCAAGTAAGAAACGTACTCTAGCAGAGGGTTTGTTCCAAGACAGTACTAATCACAAGTTCAGATCATGTCGAGATTATGGTCAAGGGTCAAGAGTTTCTTGCCGATATTAGCAACTCTGCAAACATGAGAGATAAGCGGGACTCAGAGATTATGGTTCAAAACGTACGTTAAATTAAGGATACTGTAGCAATTGTGATCCGGGAGTCAATAACTTGCTTCATTGTATAACGTGGTCAGCCCACCTAAGGTACCGGAGCTGAAGAAGTTGAGCGTTGGCGGTGGCCTAAAATGATTCTGACATACTATTACGAATATTACATGCCTCCATGAGAACTTCCCCTTCCACATGAACGTGACCTAGCGAGAACCGTATTAGTTGCATATCTCAGGTGTCACGGGTTTCCGACTTACTTCACTGGGTAATGTCAAGACTAGGAATATCCGCATTAGGCTATATAACAATACGATATTGATAAAAAGACCAACCGAAGTCATAGAGAACAAGAATAAGTGACATCACTGAAAAGCGACAGACAAGTTCAGTGGGATACCACAGTTCAAACGCGTGAATACAAACTCACAATATATTGAGCGAGACAAGCGGAAATCATTCGCAACCAGAACTAGCTGCTCTAATTCAGCTCCAGTCATTTCGAGATGACGGGTTCCACTTGTCAAGGAGGCATCACCGCAGAGACTTGTGGAGAGCAAGAGAGCCGAGCAGCAGCATATATATAAATGGCGGCAAATGTCAAGAAACGGATTGATTGACGACGTCCACGAACCTGAATCTTACGAGATACGGGGAGTTTACATGATTCATTCCCCATCGTGTGTTAGTTCCCGACTGACTTAGAGCAAATGATTGCACGGCGATTAACGCGCTGACCGTAACCTCGGTATCTATTGACCAATTCCAGGCTGTGAAGGCCATTATAGAATCAATGGAGAATTAGGACGTCAAGGGATGTGAATATAGAGACAACAGCGTAAGGGTCGGCAGAAGATTTCATTCACACTGGCTCTGTGGTGACTGTGGTTATCTTCAACATTGATTGCCCAGCGTCAGCCACATGTGTGGTCTTAGGCATTGGAAGGTGAGAGGGTCATCAACGGGCTATACAAGTGGGAATTTTATAATAGCAGCCCTGACAATTCGTCTTAGTCTGAGTCTGTGAAATTCGTGGCAAACACCCGAGAAGTGATGGTGGCGGCAGTGACCTCGAACAAATGGTGAACAATCAATCATACAGACACCTGGAGGAGGCCGATGAGATGCGCCCGGGGCGCCAGTGTGAAAGCTGGACAGTAAAATAGGCCAAATCAGCAGTCGGACGGTGCACAATCAGACGAAAATGCAGTAGGCTTACAGGTGGAGAAACGCAACCCTGAATAAGATCATGGCGCCCCATAGTCACAGAATAATCGGTGAGTCAATGATTCAGACGCTGTAAGTCTGTGATGAGACTCATGTAAGTTCAAGAACAAAGTCGCCGTGCAGACACTGATACTGTTCGATTCATTATGTACATGATTCAAAATTAACGAACCAAGTCCTGGCATGATGCAAGCAGCGTTCCGGTTTGGCATCGGGAAAGTGGTCGGAAGAGGGTGAGTTCGTGAGTGAATGCTTGATTCTTTTGCGGGATATCTTTTGGCATTCATTGCATGGAAAGATTAACAAGGCATGATCATGAATGGTATTAGGTTATGAAGTATGTATTCAAGAGTGATGGGTTCAAACGTATTCGAAGTCGACAGTAACATGTGCTGTGACAGCCGCGATCACGAGCGCGTTAGGCGTGATACAGTCGCGATCGGAACGCTGGAAGCTGCTGCTCCTCCTTCCTCACAATGTTGTGTTACCTCTCTCGCTGTACTTGGAATGAAGCTCTCGGGAATCGAAGTGTATATAAAGACAAGAATGGGAGATCCCGAACGAATCAAAGAGTTCCAAGTTAAGACGGATGTGGCCACTAAAACTGCTACCTGCTTCATTCCCAGTAAAGAGGGTCAGGTCAGTTCCGTGGCCCTGCGATGCGCGCACATGAGACTTGCTAATATTCTCAGTTTTCTCTGCATATCAAAGGAGTTCGAAATTTGTTGGAAGTCTGAGCTTGCAAACAATCTCAGCTTTAGAAGCTATATCGACGGCCGGGCCATGGGTCGTTCTTCATGCTGTCCATTCAGACATGGATCGAGATGGGGGATCCGCTCTTCTCCTACCACCCGGTTGCCTTTCAAATTTGCGAATGTCGTCCTTTCAGGTGTGCCTCACTTCCCAATGAACCGTATTCTTAATTGCCGATTATTTCAATCTTCAGACGATGATTCTTTGATGACTGACGGTTCTGGGTTGCAAAACATTGGGACAATTGTGGTTGAAGTCGGACGTATAATTCATGCGGAGGGCAAGCTTGGGACGAACTTCGTACTTCCCGGCGAAATTGGCCCTGTTCATGAAAAGACAAAGAAGGCAGGTTCGCACTGCGTCATGTGAGTCTGCTTCCCGGGATCGTATAAGGCGATTTATTTCCCTCATTGTGGTTTCCAGGTTTGGAGAAACAGTTCCCTGTCCGAATCATGCACGAACTAGTAGTCGTCCACTAAACCCCGGCGAGGGCATCTGGGCGAAGTTCATCTTTCAATATCGACCTAGAGGTACGTGTGCGTACATTCAACGCACGGTTCTAATCTAATTGGTGTATTCTCCACGTGGCTGTATCACAGGCTCAGGGTATTATTAGTAACGACGCACCGACCATTCTGAAACGTTCGAGGAGTTCTGCTGCGCTATCATCGCCGACAAGATCACAACAAAGAAAGGTAAGTATCGCACCGATGAGCTTTCTACCGAATTCAACCAAAAATACATTTTCCTGGGTAGGTCTCTGCACTTGACAACGCTCGACCAGCCAAGCGTGTCAAGCGAGAAGCCACTCTCATCGACGATGACCCAATTGATTTAACAGTTGTCAAAGAAGAACCCCCTAGACTACTAGACCCATCGCTGCAGGGCACGGTTATTGACTTGACGTTGGACGACGAGTAGCATGTGTCGACGTCAGCTGGTTCTTAGGATATAATTTATTGTGCCCCTGGTATTTTATGTTTACAGTATGATTTCTTGTGTTGTATGCTCGGTTCACCGTAATGCATACGGGACAGGTCGTAAAGGAATAATATCGGTTTCTATAGATGAAGACATGATAGAAGGACTAAATAAAGGTCCGAAAAATGCAACGTAAAGTAGTTGTATTTAGAAATCTTTGAAACCGGGACCAAGTTCGGTACCATATGCATCTTGCATCTTATGAAAGTAGAATACATCTACAACATTCGCCCACTTCAGTTTTTGACAATAATCCAGAGGGACAGCTCCCTTCTCATTTCGGAAATCGATGCGAAGGGTATGAACTTTGGAATGCATTCCAGCACGAGTCTTGAGAGCATGATACAAGGCGTTTATAGGGCCTTCATCCCAGTGGATCCCGTATAGATAGAGTTCCCGAAGTGTCGGATATACCAACTCCCCTGACATGACTTGAGGAACAAGAACCGAGAGCCAAAGGTGCCAATGCATAGTGCGGGAGTCATTGATTGTGTCCGCGATGTTGCTGATCTTGAATTGCTGCACAGAGGAGAAGGACGTATAGAGATGCTTCCAGTCCGCCTCGGTGATGCGCGGATTTGACGTTTCGCACCTAATCTCGATAAGGTGTAGCTGAGATCTTTCAAAGACGGCAGGTACTTGGGCAATGGCCTTTGCTGCGATTTCGCTACGCCTGGGAGTGGCAAATTGGAGAATAGCTTCTTGTGTCAAACTGTTTGTTCCCACGCGGACAGTAGGCGTCAATGAACCGAGCCAGATATCCTTAGTGTCCTTGTAGCCGACTTCAATTGTAATGTGAGTTCCTGGGGCCCTCAACTCATTGATTCGGCACGGAGCAAACGATTTAAAGCCCTCCACGATGAAGCCGCCTCGTTCGCCACCCGATGTGATAACAACACTCGTGACGGCCAGCAGAGGTAAAAACCGATGGGATGGAGGAAGACTCAAGCATTTCACCCAGTTCTCGTCCATGTCGAGGAAAGTCTTGAGATAGACACTGGCTGATCGTGGAACCTCTAGATTAGCCAAAAGGTTGCGAATGCTGCTGACTGAGCTAAGAACACGGAGGTTCTGTAGATGATTGAGTTTGACTGGAAGTTGAACCTCCGGAACCTGCCCGATGTTCGCCAATATAACTTCTTCCAGATAAGGGCATAGTCCCAAGACGTCGAGAATTTGAATCGCCGAGCTGAATCCCGAAGAGCTCTCGACCAAGTTCTGAATGCAGAGTACGCGCAGAGTCGCCTGGGTGCGGTTGGGGAAGGGGTGCCAACATAGATCTACGTGGCCAAGGATGATTCGTTCGACCGAGTTAACTTCCGCAAAGTTCCGGGGGAAACTAAGAATGAGAGGAGGGCGGAGTTCTGGGTTGTCTATGTCCGAGCGAACGGCCAGCGTTAGGGTCTTGACCTCACGTGGGTTTATGAGAGAAGATGAGTCCCGTATGGCGCGCGAAAGACCACCGTATGAAAGGTGCTTCCATACTGTGTCAGACGAATCGGAATGACGAGGAATATTATTCGCGTAAGCTGCTAAACGTTCACGATACCAGTCAAAGGCCATTGCGGTTAATGTAAGCTCGAGAATGATCTTCAAATGCAACGTCAGTGTACACCTCAGGTTGATATCAAGAAAAGTAATGACCTTAGTGTGTGGGGCGTAGAGGGTTTGAGAGAGGTGATGTTGTCAGGGTGTTCGAGAATCATACACATATATATACTCCTGGGACAAACACAGAGCCACAGTATTTGAAGTTGTCAGGGCGACGTGGCCGGGCCTTCATTTGACTCTGTTCCTGGTGGCATTGACTGAACTGAACACATGCTCCTTTTCAAGCAATTTTGTCGACCAAAAAAAGAGGCAACGTCAAATCAAATGATTCAGCGGGCTTACCGTCAGACAGCGTGGCTACCTCATTCTATCTCGGCGAGAATGTATTCTTGCAGAGGGTGGCTGAAAGAGAAAACACGATAGAACCAAATGATATAGCCTCATTAAAATTGTCGAGATGATGATGTGAGAACGTGAAGCTCCTGTACGAGATCAGAAGAACGGATAAAGATACAAAGACGTTGTCTTGGCATGCTTACAATGCGTCTTTTCAATATCACAAGTTCACAACACAAGAAAACTGCCTATATCTTCACGTCATTTCCATTAACAACCGACCACTTTGACACATGTGTTATCCTGATGTCTACAATGAAGCACAACGGAGTTCAAAAGTTGTTTCTTTGACCTCTGGAACATATCCACCCACACCTTTGTCTTCGGAACCGTAGCTCTAGGCCACAGTATGGAAGCGCCGAATCCCGATTGACGTGGCCCAGATATTCTCTTTGGCCTTATGCAAAGTCGAGATCGTGCGATAAGTATCGTACAGTGATACAGATGATCTTCTTTGAAGAATTATTCACTGGTATATCACTTGATCAAACTTCTAGCACTCACCGATGTTGGTCGAGTCGTAGCTTAGACCGTGAAGGGCTTGAATACATGAGCGCTTCGCGGAACTTCGCGCATTCGACCTTCTCCGACTTGCATGAACCTGAAGCTTGAAAGCTCTTTCCACACGAGCTTCTCTCATAGTGAGTACTTCAACGTAGACTCACGCTCTCCGTCAACATTACTATCACCCTCGGGCAGATAGCTTCTCATTGGCCAGTGCCTGGCAGATGACTAGTATTGTCTTATATTTGCACCTTCTCTCGTTGTTCAGTTTCCCGGCCGACAACAAACTGCCCGTTGAGCTCTGTATACGGTCTCCGGTAGAGGACCACGTGAAACATCTGCTTCTGTCTCTGCTTCTGTCTCTGCCTTTGTCACATGTCTCTGGATGATTCTGGCAGTGGATCACACTGGGATTGCCTCTTCACTCGAATGCGCTTGGTCCCGCTCCCAATCTCTCCCAGCCCGCAAGCTCATGCAGCTCTGGAAGGAACACCGAATGAAAATGTTGCAGCTTCATTTGACCATACACACACATTTTAAATCCATCATCGCAGGTTCTGAGAATCATTCTCACAGGTGTGCGGTTTATAAAAACCTCCACATACAATATTCGCTGACTGAGGACTTGAGAGAGGTGCCGGAGGAGCCCGCGAGTCCGGCACCCGAGTCCAGCCGAGCGTTAGCGCACCAGCAAAGTTTTTCTCTCGCTTGTTCTTATCCTTGCACCTCGACGTTCACCGTAGAACTGTAAAGCTTCCTTCGTACAGCAGTATATTCAGTATTTTACTTGCTATCTACCTGCTTTTTACATCTCTCCTTCCTACATACGATCATACTCCCACCATTATGGTTCAGAACGACAACATTGCCAATCAAAATGCCGTACCCGGCGCCCTGGGTATCAACCTACTGCAACAAGGTGCTGTACAACCTGCACCTCTTGCACCTCCTGCGCCTCCCGCACCTCCTGCACCTCCCGCACCTCCCGCACCCCCTGCTGCAGAGAACCAGCTACGAGGAGAGCCCATTCCGCCTCCTCCATGCCCTCTCAACCAGCAGCTTCAGGACGACGCGCGCAGAACGCTGCTGCTACAGAGCATCGCAGATGCACAAAAGAACTTGACGGGCTCAATGGCCAGCAGCCAGCAGCCGCACGCACGCCCTTCGTACCGGCCTTCATCGATCAAGCCGACGTAGACTGCACCAGAGAGATCGCTGCGGCCCTGCTCGGGGAAAACCCATTGACGAAACCCAATCGAGCGAAGAAAATAGCTGGCTTCAAAGCAAATGCTTTGCACTCCGGTAAGTCCCGCTCAAGTCTTCCCTCCAAACGTAGTCTTTTGGTGATTAGCACCCACTGCACTTGCATGTCCTGCCATAGTAATACACATGCAATCATACGTTTCACATCTACTCTCGCACTTGTACTCATTTCACACCTACTCTCGCACTCGTACTCGTCCCACCCGTACTCGCACTCATTTCACCTGCATGCTCGCACCCGTTCACAATCCTGGGACCTCGTTCTCCCCTACCTTCGCATTCATATTCGTGCTCGCATCCATTTCCTACGTGACTCATTGTTGCCCCGCACTCGCGCCCAACGCAATTCCGTTTGAATGCTCTGCATTCCACCCACTCGCAAACGACTTGGTGTATTCAGTCACCCTTAATCTGTTCCATCTCAATCTCGTCACCGTGCTCTCGTCCTTCTGACTCACGCGCACCCGTTCCTGTATCGTACAGCGCCAGCCCCGCCACGAGCTGATCGTGGTATAGCCACCTTCAACTATGTCCCGTTAACGGCACTCACCAAGTCACGACGCGTTGAGGCAGCCTTCTCCGACGACGATCTCATCTGGACTACCAAAGGCCTCAGTGCCGCTAAACAACTCGATCGTACCGGTGAAGGATCCATATCTGAACTTGATTGGATGAATGCCTCGGACTATATGGTCAAGCTGGTCCTGAAGCATCATGGCGAGGAGCTAGCTGAGGATTTCAAGCTACATTTCAGCAATGTCCGAGTCATAGCTCAGACCCATCCCTGGCCCGTTGCAGTACAGTACGACATCAAGCAATGAGAGTGCCTCGTTCTCGATGGCCGCCACGACCTCGCACCACTCGATGAAGTTGCACTGTCGCTCTCCGTGAGCAGACATGTCTCTGAACAGCTCGATTTCCTTCAAAGGACTCAAGCTTACATGCAGATCAACAGATCACCTGTCAAACGTACCTACCGACCCGATTCGCCGCCCCCTTCACTGTCAAAGCGCTCCCGTTTACCCCCCGTCACATCGATGGGGGGCCATTGCTTTCGCTGTGGTAAAACCGGACACCTTCCCGCCGCCTGTTCAGAAACGGTCACCGTTGCCGGCAAACCCGTTGCTGCCATCTCTGCAAAATCAAACAGCAAGAATGCCCTCCTTGCACCAAACGGAAGTCCATTCTGCTTCACGTTTGCACGGGGAGGAGCCTGCCCCTTTGACGGAAAGGGGAAAGGATGCATCAACCACCACGGCTGCAGCGTCTGCCTCGACACCGGTCATGGTGCCGCAAAGTGTTCCTACCTCGCTTGATCCTCGCAACGTCACGACGCCCATCCAGGTTGACAAAGTGGAAGCCTTGTTACAAGAGCTGGGCATTGCAGAGGATTGGCGTCATGTCCTAGAGGGACTACGCAACGGTTTTGATGTTGGTGTCAAAGACACACCCCCACGCTCCTTTATGTTCAAAAATCATGCATCGGCCTCGCTGGTTCGTACGTTTACTTACCGCCACATATGTATGAGCATATGCTGACATATAGTATGGATAGGACGAGGAATTCATCGACTCATACATTGCTGGAGAGCAAGCTGCAGGGCGATACTCACAGGGCTTTGCCCCCGACGACCTAGAGGGTATTATAGGATTCTTTCGCACGTCACCCTTAGGGCTAGTGCCCAAACCTCATTCCGACCATCTGCGGATGGTGCAGGACATTTCATACCCTCGCAACAATGTATGCCATAAATCCCCCTAGTGTTTGTAGTCTCGAATAACATTTGCACTTTCATGTGTAGCCCGAAATACCATCTGTAAATGCCGGCGTAGACTCCGACGACTTTCCCACAGAATGCGGGACCTTCGACAGCACCAGCGAGATGATTCTAGGACTGCCAGCTGGGTGCAAAGCAGCTGCGTTCGATATATCCTCAGCATATCGGATCACGCCAGTACGCCCAGACCAACAGCATGCATTGTGCATCTATTGGAAAGGCAAAGTATACCTAGACCGAGCGGTAGCATTTGGACTGTCCTCCAGTGCTGGAGTCTTTGGCGCAGTAGCCGACATGCTTGTTGCCATTTATCGTGCGAGTGGTTTCGGACCACTTCGGAAATGGGTAGACGATTTTCTTGTCATTCGCCTACCACACCAGACATGGTCAGAGGACGACTTCCTCCAAGTAACCGAGACCCTTGGTGTCCCTTGGAGCCATGCCAAAATGAGACCGCTATCATCATGCCAACGCTACATAGGCTTCGACTGGGACCTGGAGCGCAAAGTTGTATCTCTACCAGAGGAGAAACTCAGTGCGACACGCTCTCTACTATCCCTTTGGCGATCACCCGGCAGCAAGTTCACCATGAAGGAAGCCGCCAGCCTGCATGGCAAATTGGTGCACACTGCAACAATCTTTCCACTTTTACGACCCTTTCTTCGCTCTGCTTCACGCTTTGCCAGCTCTTTCAAATCACACCGCGCACACCTACGACCACCAACACCCCTTCATGCAGACCTAGGCTGGCTGGAACACCTCTTACCCCTACTACCCAACGAGCTACCTCTATCTGTACCAACGCCATTAGACCTAGGTTGGTGGGGAGATGCAAGTACTTCCTTTGGTATCGGCATCGTAGTAGGTCCCTACTGGGCAGCGTGGAAGTGGGCAAAGGGATTTCGTGTCGGCCCAAAACAGATTCACGACATTGGTTGGGCAGAAGCTGTAGCAGTCGAGTTAGGCCTACGAATGCTGATACACCATGGTATGCTCGCTCAAGTGCCACCCTCAACAGCCCGACTTCTAGTGTGATCTGACAACAATGGGGTTGTCCACGTAGTAAACAAGGGCCGGTCACGAAGTGAAACAACAAATGCTACCTTGAAGGATACCTACTCCCTGTTGGCACAACACCACCTGTCACTCGAAGCGTGCTACATCCCGAGCCATCTGAATGTCACCGATGCCCTCTCACGCGGCGATGTTGCAGCGTTCCTAGAAGGCTTCCCAACAGCATCCATACACAGCGATGTACCACTCCCATCATCGCTCATCAGCAAACTGTCATCACTGTGATGGCAGCTTCCGCGGTCCGAATAACGCCTTCAGCAACCATTCCAGGTGCTGGAGAAATTGAGCAGCTGGGCTGACTACAACCCCTACCATCACCACTGCGACCGAACTGCCGCGCGAACGAATGCCTGTTTCTCTGGAAAGGGATCAATACCCCACCATCACCCGTAATCCAGTCCAACATCCTCCAACACCTGGCCGATGTAGCCTCGCGAGCATCACTAAAAGATGCCGGCAACTATGGGGCAAGCCTTCAAAAATTCCACCTTTTCTGTGATATCTTCTCTGTCACTGAAGGTGACCGCCTGCCAGCCTCCTTTGCCCTGCTACACTCCTTCGTCCTGTGGGCAGTTGCAGACCTGGACCCCTTAGAGCCAGTATTCGCAGATGGAACCCCGTTCGAGCCAGTCTCTGTCCAAGTGGGCCTAAAATGTCTCTCCGCTATCCGAGCTTGGCATTTAGCACAAGGATGGCCACCACCACTGTCCGACAGTGACATGGACCGAATACAGTGGTCGACGCGGGGCCTCGAGAGGATCCAAGCTGGCCGTCGCTCACGTCCACCGAGACCGCCAGTGACACTCCATATGCTAGCAACTCTGCACCGTGTGTTAAAGTTAGATAACCCTTTTGAAGCCTGCATATGGGCTGTTGCAGCATGCGCTTTCTGGGGTTGCATGCGCTTCGGCGAGGTGACAGTAAAAACAAGAACAGCCTTCTCCGAACGGCTTCACCTGAAGTGAAGTGATGCTTTCTTTGGGTTACGACTTGGATAACAAGCCTTATGCACGCCTGGACCTACCATCTGCTAAGACAGCAAAACCAGGGGAAATACAACATGTTTTCCTTGCACCGCAAAATTCTCTATGTGCCCTGCAAGCATTGCAGAACCTTTTCCGAGTAGTTTCAGCTACAAGCCGTGATCCCCTGTTTTCCTGGCGTGACAAGCAAGGAGTCATCAGACCAATGGTCCGCGACGTAGTGCTATCATTCATCAATTCTATCTTTCGCGCGTCAGGATGGGGCACTACCTTCGGCCATTCCTTTCGCATTGGCGGTGCTTCTTTTTATCTTTCCCAGAAGGTCGATTCAGAGATTGTCCGTCTCATAGGAAGGTGGCGATCACTCGCATATGAAACTTACATCCGAGCCTTTGAACAGGTAAACTCACGACACACAGCCAACCTCGCTGGTAATTATGGTTACTAAAGCTGCTTCGACTGTTGGTTGGGCAAGCGCCAAGATCAGCCGCGGGATGCCTCAGCAGCTGTGGGTTTGGGTAGGCGGCTTGACCTTGGCTGCGTCCATGCTCAGCTAGCGCTGAACCCACCCAACCTTTCTAATTGACTACACTTTGCGAAACGCGCGAAGATGAAGCTGGATACTCAGTAACCTCTCCAACGCTTATATGGCTTGCGATTCCCAACAGACATACATTCTATAAGTCCTCATTCACACTGGGTGTTGGATTACTGCATATACTCTGAACCCATAGTCATCTTTCTCGCTCCCTTTCAGATGTCTGGTACCTTGGATAGTAACCATTCAATTCTTACCTCATATTCATCTTTCAAATCTGTGTTCTTACGTTATGCATCCAGGACATCACGTTGACACTTTCTCCTTCGGGCACTGATATGCTCCACTCTAAGCAGTGACCGGGTGTCACATTGAATCATATTTGTAGTGTGGTAGGTCTGGGGAACCTGGTGTAAGGTGTGTAGAAGGCTGATGCATACCGAGATAAAATACGGTCACGGAGGAGAGTGGTCTCTGACTACTCTCGACGGGGTGAAGTCCTACTCATGACTGTAGTGATTTAGTTCAGTAGTCGAGGAGAATACTGAAGAGTATGGGTGAAGAAACTGTATACAGAATGGTCCTTTGAGATCCAGTAGACAGTACCACTGCCTAGATCGAGTGCGTTCAAGATGTCACACTCCCAAGTCCTGATCCTGCCTGTGTCTGATAGGGCAACAAGTCCTCCAACTGTCTCTTGAAGATGCTCGATGTACAGGAAGTACAGCTGAAGAGCTCCAAGTCCTGAAGGATGAGTCGCGACGAGTTCCTCTCCCTGTGCGTACCTCTCAACAGTCCCAACCACTGGTACAGCTGTCTCGACTCGAGAATCTCCCTCGACCAAGTCAAGTCTATTCCTCGGAAACCAAGCAATGAACCTCTCTGTAATCACCTCTTTTCCTTCCTTCATCTTGAAAGCAATACAACACACCTCCCAACAAGAGCCCTCAGGTACAAATCCCCTCGAGACGGGTATGAAAGGTATCTCGAAATGGTTGTTGACAATGTGAGGAAGTTCTAACCTCATTGAAAGACCAGCCAGTATGTTGTAAAGTGTGGGGATGTATTAGAGTAAACAGAAATTATATCTAAACAAGCTGAGAGAAATATAGTCCTATCAAAAAGATACTGATGTCGAAGCCTCCTCGAATTCGTAGTCATGAATTGAGTGTTTGGAATGTCAGTCCTAAGTCAAGGGGGGGGAAGTCTCTGTCCTCCTTCTCGAAACCTCTTCGTCCTTTTGTGTTCCGTTCCACCATCTCCATCTCGATTAGTCCCATCACGAAAACATCCCAACCAAACCATCTCCAACTCAATCCTGCCTTCCTGATTCATCGAGATCAGTCTTCACCTGGCTTGGCTCCCTGGGGCCTTCCTTCAACCGGTCTCTCGCAAGTCTCGATGCCGTGGTCAACCTTCTGCCTCAGTCAAGACCCACCGGACCTCTTCCTGCGTGAATTGTTCAGCTGAAAGGACCTTCCCCTCCTTCGGGACTTCATACCCTTCTGCATCTCGACAACCTCCCAACCTTGATAGTCTTCTCCTCGATGTCCCAGATTGATCCTCTTAGACAATATGCTGCCTCGATACCTGACACAAAGTCTGAACGTGCTGTTGAACGTTTGTGTGTGACTATGCGAATGTTGTTCCTCGATCTCGCTGGAATTCCCAAAGATCGTGACTCCCTCGATTGGTTGGCCTGGATAACTAGAGTTCGAGCCTATACGGTAGGAATGCATCTCGATGCCGATGGAAGGGCAAGTAATGACTTTTTCTAATAGGAACTGGTGCAGTCTTGTCATGACGAGATTCGCGAGAATGGGGATAGTCTTCCTCGAGTTTTCGATGAGAGTGTCCTTGCACAGGCAGTAGTAATTATCGAGGACCTCTGTCTGGTCACCGAGCCTGTTCATGGTCCTCGCGAGAGGATCTCCTTCAGATTCCGTCATCTCGACAACTATGCACATGGAGGGCCACCAGCTGGTAGGTTGTTCATCAGATCTAGTGGTATGTCTCGAGGCTGATTCGTGTCTAGAACTTTGAGTGATGTGATACTTGGCCACAATGGGTGAGGCACAACGATTTGCTGGCCTGGCTGGACAATGTCCTCAGGAGTCGTATCATATGGCTGAGGACCTTGTCTCCTTGCAGGCCGCATTGAACGACGAGTTGGTCGAGATGGATGAGTTGTCGAGATGATACACAGCTTTGAACCAGAGAATTGTGGGCTTGAGGCAGAGAGTAATCGAGATTGGTACCAGTACAGTTCAGAGGGGAACTCCTCATGTGAATCGCAACTGTCATCACCAGGGCCGTCGCACAGAGGGGTAGGGCTGCCAGATTCAAGAGAGTGGTGTGATGAGTGTATCCTGCCAGCTGAAGTCTCCTCGAGACTTGCCTCAGGTTCAGGTCTGAGTGGGATATAGTGTCCTG